CTCAATCAAAGCACGCAGAAGAGATTGCGACATTGAACGCGGCTCATGCCGACGAAATGCAGCGGGTCCAGAGTACACAACCAAAACATGAAGAGGAGGTTGCTGCATTGAAAGCGGCTCATGCTGGCGACATCCAGCAGCTGGAGCTGAAGCTACAGGCATCACACCAGGAAGTTGCATCACTTAAGGACACGCATGCCTCCAGGACCAAACAACTGGAGGAGCAGATGAAGGCCGTACTCAAGGACCTGGAGATATTGGAAGCCGGGCATATTGAACAACTTAATCAAGCCAAAACCGACGCCATAGAGCAGCAACAGCAAGCTGTAGAGCGAGCCAAGAAGACCGAGGGCGAGAAGCTTCATCATTTACAACAGCAACTCAGCACTGTTGAAGCGGAATTGGCCGAGGCAAAATCCAACCATTCTAGAGAATTGGCTGAATTGGAAAGACAAAGAGCTTTGGATCATGAAAACACTCTCAGTGCACTTGAGGAGAACCACGCCGGCAGCATCAGTCATCTGCAGGCACAACTGAAGTCCGCCCAGGATACCTTGGAAGCGGCAAAAGCTGATCACGCCAAGTCCATGATAGCCTTGGAAGAGGAGGCAGCCTCCCGAAGCAAGGAAGCGGTTGAGGGCATGAAGACCAGCCATGCCAATCTCATCGAAGAGGTCAAGTCCAAAGCACAGTCAGATCAGAATGAAGCGCTTGAGGCACTGAAATCTAGTCACGCCAGTTCCATCGACGAGATCACTTCGAAAGCACAGTCCGATCAAAATGAAGCGCTCGAGGCGTTGAAGTCCAGCCATGCCAATTTCATCGAAGAAGCCAAGTCCAAAGCACAGTCCGATCAAAATGAAGCGCTCGAGGCGTTGAAGTCCAGCCATGCCAATTTCGTCGAAGAAGCCAAGTCCAAAGCACAGTCGGATCAGGATGAGGCTCTTGAGAACCTGCGTGCTACTCTTACCGGAGAAAATCGGCAGAACGCATCACAAGCAAAATCGTTGCAAGCAGATCTTGAGGGGACGAGGTTCCAACTTCAAAGCCTGAAGAGCATCCTGAGCTCAATGGAGGAAGAAGGCAAAGAGAAAGACCAAGAACATGCGGATGCGATCGAGAAATTGGAGCAGGAGTTGTCATCGGCTATTCAGAGGATGGCGGAGCAGTCAAGCCGTATGATGAACCTTCAGATGAGTCACGACCAAGCTCTGGCTGAGGTGAAGAAGACTTTAAGGGCAGACTTTGAGAAGGAGATGGACAGTCTTCGTGCAGACCACGATGAAGCACTGGCTGAACTCACCAGCAGTCTGGAGGAAAGGCATAAGTTGGCAATGGACGAAATGGAAAAGGGTCACGCCGCGGCCATCAATGCTAGTCAGGAACAGAACAAGCTTCAACAAGACGAGCTGGAACAAAAGTTGAAAGAAGCCCATGACGATCAACTTGATGAAATCATGAAAACGTTGGAAAACCAATGGCAGTCTCGGGTTGAGCAACTAGAAGAGTCCAACACAGAGGTCAGTGCCCGTCTCCAAAAAGCCGTTCAAGAACATGCCGACGCCACAAAGAGCATGCAATCAGATCACGAAGCAGCCATTGCAAGGTTGGAGTCGGAACTGCAAGCCGCTCATGCTGCATCCGAGTCCGCGCCAGATCCTGAGGAGCTCGTGGAAGTTAAGGACCAATTCGAGCAAGCTCGTCGGCAGATCGATGAGCTTAAGGAGCAGGCCGAAAATCTGCGACAAGAAACGGATGCTGTTCAACAGGCTGCGGAGCAACGTCGAGATCCTGCAGAGCTTGAGGAAATCAACAACAAGTATGTCGCTGCCCAAAGTGCTCTTGATGAGCTGCGTGAGAAGCATGAACGAACGATCAATGAGACCAAAGCAGAGTATGATGCCAAGCTGGAGCAGCTCATTGCTGAACTTAACGAGGTCAAAAAGGGAGCCGAGGATCTTCCCCAAGCAAGCGACCTCGACAGCGCAAATGCAAGTCTGGCAGATGCGAAGAAGACCATTGCCTCGCTTGAAGCCGGGCTTGACGGTGCCATGCTTGAGATTGAAACACAACGTAATCTTGCAGACAATGCTCAAACGGAGATCGCACAACTCAAACAAGCTCAAAAGGAGACCAAGCCCATTGCCCTGGCTAGTCCCAAATCAAAGCGAAAGAGCAGGAGTCCTCTGGGACTTCGAAGAAACTCGTTGAATCCTTTGTCGCCCGCAGGTTCGAGGCAAGGTCTTGAATCCAGTAAATGGGCTGCTACAACAGATGAGGCTCCTGGCAGACCGAAAAATTCTGGTTCAACGGCGCCTGTTGAGGAGGCATCTGCACCGACGCCAAGCGGGAAGCGCAATCTGGCCGGTCAATTGGCTGGCATCAGTGAGGAGATCAGACAGCTTGACGAGCTGAGTGAGGAGTTTCTTGAAGAGCACCAAAAGATGGCCAGGATATTGAGTCGTGTGAATGACACAGCCGCAACCGCTGAGGTCGAGAATGGCACAGCAGGACGTGCGGAGGAATGAGTGCTAGTGACAGATTGACATCGCGCGAACAGGGGATTGATTCGGAGGGGAACCTGAACATGATTCGGAGTGGACCTGAACATGATTCGGAGGGGAACCTCAACATGATTCAGAGGGGAACCTGAACATGGGGCTTGGAGGTTTGTGGTCTTAATCAGTGGACAGAAAGGGTGTGACGGTCACTGAGAATTTGGACATTCATGAGGTTTGGTTTGGTTTGGTTTCTTGTCTATCTTCTTCTGTCTCAGATGAGAAATCCAGGAGCCGTCTCTTGTTCTCGTTCTCTAAGCAAGCGAAATGAGCGAGCGCCACTTGGCGATGCCTTTTTTTTTCAGAGGCAGGGTGTTATGAGTTGTTGTTCAAGTTGGTTGTTAACCACTGGGGACGTTGAATACCCTTAGCGTACTTATTGTATAGAAATTTTCATTCTCTGAATATCATGACATCCTCTTCCACCTCGTAAGCGTACTGGATACTCATGATGTCGTACTACTCATGTAACACTGCCAGGAGGAGGACATTTCAGGCCTACCTAATCAGGGAAGAAGTCATATATACAGACCAATACAACATCACACACCATTCAATTTGTTGGTTGTTAGGTGTCACAAGGTCCAGGCACCATTTTGGCTCTCAGGTAGCCAAGGAGAGGGTACTGTCGAAATCAAATCCACCACCAGCACCACTCAGACTATTGAGTAACCATCAGTGCATCACCGCTCGGCGTCGTTTTTCCGGGTACGGTTGCTGTCAAACCCTACAGTAGTCATTCACCAAGACTGTTCAATAACCACTCAGGCTCGGCATCTTCTTCGTCAGGGTCGTGCGAGAGTAATGAATTCTCGGAGGCCGGCGTCGCTGGGTTTGTGTCTGTGTCTGTGCTGGCTGTCCGTCTCGCTGGTGGTGCCAATGTGTTTGTACTCGGCAAACCACTTGGAGTTGCAACTTGGATGCTACTCTCTTCTGCGGTGGCCTTTTGTATAGAACCAAGAGGCGAGCTGGGCTCGACATGAATGGCAGCTGCATTTGCGGGATCATTGTTGTCCTCGGTGAAGAAACCGCCCGTTGTATCGTACATTGCGTCATGCTGAGTCTTGCGAGGCTTGTTGGTGTGGTCTTGCGAGGCCCCTCCGGCGGGTTTGTCATCCTCGTCATCTTCTGGTAGGAAACCGCCTCCATATTCGTCTGCGTCGGCCAGCATTATGGTGGGCTGGTGTGCATGCGCGGAACTTCTAGCTGGTTCTTCCTCTTCGTCTTCCCCGGGCAGGAAGCCTCCTCCGGTGATGCCATCTTCTGCCTCTAGTTCGGGCACGAATCCTCCACCTTCGTCACCATCGTCTGCTTCGGGTAGAAAGCCTCCCGGTTCGCTGTCCTTTAATGGTTGCGTAAAATCTGTGGCTTTTGCCTTGCCGTTTGGTCGCTCGGCTGTTTCAGGCAGTTTGTGCGGAGATCTGACGACAATAATCTCCATGTGCAAGACTTCTGGAGGCAACAACCCATCAAGGGGCTGTAGCTTCGGGAAAGCAGGTTGAGCCTCTGAATCTGGCGGTTTGATACTCGGCTGGCCTGGCTCTGCTTCTTCGAGCATGAAGCCACCACCAGCATCCTCGTCCTGATACGTCTCATCATCGTCATCGTCAGCATCTGCCTCAGCCGTCGCTTCATCGTCCTCTTCCTTGTCGCCGTACTCCCGCTGGACCCGCTCCCTTACCCTAAGCGCGGTAAGCCATCGCTTCCACAGACCGAGGAGAATCCTGCTGCGTGCCGCCGTGGCTTCGCCTGTCGCCTCGGACTCCAATCCTTCAATCACATTGACCATGGCATTGCACATGTTCATGCTCACGACCGCACCATCGACAACAGCTGTCCCTTGTCGACCCTTGAACTCAAAGCCGGTCACCGCATCAGAGTAACTGATATCCAGAACACGAGCGGCTTCAGCAGCTAGAGGGTGACGGACATGAACTGCTCCAGCAGGAATCATCGATGGAACATAGACGTCCAGGTTGCCATATGCGTTCTTTGGAATGTCTCCATTGACGACTGGCGGTGGTTCGTAAAGTCGTGTCTGGTATTCAGCATATAGTGCCGTCCCCTCATTCGCTTCGTCATCTTCATCAAAGTCTTCAGTGACAACATCACGTTTTCGTTTGGGCACCACTCTCTTCAGGGGCTGTTCCCCTTCCTTTACATCTCGCCCTCGCCGGTACCATGCATCAGCGCTTCGACATAGATGAACGTCCCGTCGACGAAAGACGCTCTCCAGCTTTGCGTTTTTGGCGGTTCCCGTACTCACCTTTCCCACTTCATGCTTGGGCTGGATGACTTCACTCATGCGCAAATGCCGCTCGAGAACGTAGACAGGATGTCCTTTAAACTCCTGTACGTTTCGTGGCATGGGCTCGGTTTCGGCACGTTTCAAGAGGGCAGCATCTTCGATCTCGTCTCTCACTTCGTCAAAGGGCTTTTGATAGACTCGCATTGTCCTTTCCCACCACTCCTCCCCACCCTTGGTGCTTTCCACTCTTTGCTTTCGTGTCTTTGCATTGTACCATTGGGTATATCGTCTGGTGACGTCCTTCGCGGACCCGTCATCCTCAAATGCTATCACGTAAGTCATGCTGTTTTGCTGGTCGGATGCAGGCGGTTCGAATCCGGTCTTGGGCTTGTTGATTGTGTTTCGCACGATCGGATCCAACGGCATCCATGTCGCCGTCGAAGGCGAGTATACCTCAACCCAGAAGATGGGAAATGGTGAGTCCTTGACTCTTTTTGCCTTGGAAGGTGATGGGCGTGGCGTTGTTGTCTCTTCCGCGGTCGATCCGTAAGCCTGAGTGGGGGCATGGTAATATTGCGGCTTTGGCTTCTCGGGTGTCTGGCCTTTTGCAACACCGGAGAATGGTAGGACCTGAAGAGAGCAGACCAATCTAGTTTCGACGGCGACGGAACGAAGCAACGCGCAGAGTAATTGTGCACCGAGATCCCGTGAGCCAGATCGTGACTTTGCAGCAACCCTGAACTCCTCGAAGTCAATCAGGTCTCCAGTATCGTCGCTCTCTTTCACTGCATCAACATCCGCTCTCCAGTGAGCACGTCTCATACCTCTTTCCGTAATCGTCCACTCAACTTTCCAAATAGCACAAACTTCCTCGATTCCTTTCAGAAACGAGTGCGATCGCTGATATTGTGGTTTGGACTCATCGACGTGAAGTAGAGCTGTAATCTTGCGAGGGACGAGAGGTTTGAGCATGGCGTGAATTGACTGGCTCTCACACCATCTGTTCCGACAACTCAGGTGTGCCAGTAGACAGACAAGATGTGCTCTGTGCACTTCTAGACGGAGTTTTCGTTCTGCTGGCCCCACAGGCTTTCGCCGTTGAATGCCCCGTTTGGAAGAGTCCAGGTTTGTCTTGGACAAGTCCAGCACCAGAGTCTTCTGCTCGGCCTTTTCAACCGGTTCGTCCTCGTCTACTGCCGCTTCGAGATCGACATCCTCGAATTCAGCTTCCGACTCCTCTGAGCCTTCGAAATCATCGTATACTATCTGTTGTAGCCTTTCCGTAGCTTCGACGTTCAAGTTTTGTTCTGGGGTGACTTGTGAAGAGCCGAACAAGTCAAAATCGAGGTCGATCTTGGTCGAGGGCTCTTCGCTGAGTTTTCTCCGTTTGGACGACCTGGGACTCGATGCGGCGGCGTTTTTTTCACGTAAAGCTTCTGCGAGCATTTCGCCGTACACATTGGGAATGCCATCGTCGAGAGTCTCGCGTCGACGAGTTGACTGACGCGTCCGGCGCGTGGATGATCGCGGTGGTTGACTCTTCCTAGGTGGCATCATTTCGGAACGGATGAAGTCGGCTTATGCCATTCATGATTGATTTCGCGTTAACACTTATAGTGATGATCGTCTTGGCGAGTCCTCACGGAGAGTGAAGCCTCAATCCTACCTTCACTAGATGCGACGTCGACTCGGCACTTATTCGAGGATGGAGGGTCGACGCCTAGTAGGTACGTCACTGACAAATCTAAGACTGGAAGAAATTGTAGTGTCTGACAAAGACTTCCTGTCAGATACCATTTATGTGCCCTGGATTGTGGCAGGACCGGGGTCAAGAGGATGTCCGTAGGAAGCCCTGAAGGACTTTATGGTTTCTCAGGCGTCCAGGACATACTGCATAAACGAGTCTTTGGTGTGTTGATTCGATCCTTCACGAAGAATGTCTGTTTAGTTATGGTGATCCCTGTCTGACAAGGGCTAACGGCGCATATTGGTCACGGACGACCTAAAAACCACAGTTCTCCTCTTCTCCACTTCTCACAACTCTTGCACATTTCGAGTCCTACAAAAATCAAGAGTCAAAGTCGTGTAGTCGTTGCAAGACTTTGCAGGGCAAAAAAGAAAGCCTTGATAGTGGACTTTGGGCTGAACTGGGAATCGAACCCAGGGCCTCTTGCATTTCAGTTGAGAAGAACCCAAAGCAAGAATTATACCACTAAACCATCTAGAAGTAAATGTTAGAATCGAGATAAAACATGTATGAAAGATTCAAACTCACTCAGCCGAGGCCGACTTCTCGAGGTCGAATATAGCTTAAAATTTGGGGATACTGTCTTATAGTCCAAGATTCTTTGCTTTTTGTCTGACCGAAGCATTCCAAGACCCTGGCCTGAGTTTAGATGGTTCGTCGTCTTTTCATCTGCAAGTGACTCCTCAGTATTGAGTCTTACTGGGTATCTTGAGGTGAGCTTGTCACGTTTCGATACTGACTGGGATCGAGTCCTTCTTGTGCTAGGGGTGCCTGCAATGAGCGATTCACAATAGTGATGAATATGGTAAGGGCGGACGCCGCTACCATCGCTCCCCCTTTGGTGGACTCGACATGTCCATCTTCCTCAATATCCTTTGAAGCTCGTTGAACATGGGGATCTTATCCTTTACAAAGAATATCCCGACTTTTCCACCGCCTTCTTATAAGCCTCCCGTTGCTGTACCCTACTCAACCACTTCGTCACATTTGGCCAATCCCCACCCTCAGTACCTAACTTCCTCGCAAAGATGAACTCGATATTAAAACCCATGAGGATATCAGCAGCCGTCACGGTCTTGCCAACAAGGTACTCTTTGCCCTCAAGTTCTGACTCAAACCAATCAAAGTCGTTGTGCACATTCGTCGACAAACCCTTCTCCATTTCCGGGAGATACTCTTTAGCTGGTTCTGGAAGACTCCATCGCGCGTAAAGAATCTAGTGCACAATCTCAGCTTGTCCCCAAGTAAGAAGAGGTAAGAGCATACTGACAGCGAGCCCGTGGATCATAAACGTTCCTTCTGCAGCGGACATCCATTCCCTGACTTTCGCTCTAGCGGCTGGTTCTTTGGGGAGTAACCGACATGAAGTATCGTATGTTTCACAGATATACCTAAGCCAAAATGCCTTAGCGGAGAGGTTCCGGACGTCAAAAGTTTCGTATATGTAGTCAGATATCGAGTGCTTGAATGATTACTTACTCTGCGATCGCGGCACTTTCCTGTATCACGATATTGCCATCTTTGATGACCGGACTCTTTCCTAGTTTTGTGGGGATCTTCGCCTTGAACTCCGGCGGAGCAAGGCCATTTGATGCTCGCGGCGAGGATACCAGTTCGTACGGCAAAGACAGTTCCTCGAGCAGCCAGGCGATGCGGATAGCGCGACTGGCGCCGAGAAAGTACAGGGTAATTTCGGGTTCTTTAGACGCCATATTGTTCTGCACGAGATCTTTAAGATTATCTTCACTTACCATGCCTCCCTGGGCGCTTATTTTTTGATATATATATTCTCCAGGTCGTCAGTCATTACTACTCCTCTCTTCTCTACCTCGGGTTGATGGTATCATGCAGGCTGCGACGTCAACAGAGTCAACAATAAACTTCAAGAGAATCGAACTTGGTGAAGATCAAAAGAGCTTGAAATTAAGCTATACTTTTGGAGACAAGAGAACCAAATGTACCCAAGACAATATTCAGAATGCAAATGCAAATTGCAAACGCCAGTACCCCTGTGAAACTCCATGCCGCCCAAGTAACCCAAACCCAGACCTAGTCACATATCCACATATCTTGACTTCGCAATGATAGTCTACTGGACCTCGATCAATGCAGGTCCGAAGAGAGTAGCAGCGGCAACGGCGTCGACGTCGGCGAAAGGACCGGCGCCGTTGGTCACGACGGCAATGGTCAGACCGAACATCAGGTTCTCCGTGAAGGGGAAGTTGGCGGAGAATGTGACTTGGCTGCCGCTGACTTGAGCTCCGGAGATAGGAATGGCGACGGGGGTGTTTTGCTGGTTGATATAAACCAGGTTGAGACCCTGCCAGCTGGTCCACTTGCTGTATTGGCCAGCGGCATCGAACGAGAAGGTGAGTTGTTGGTCTTGAGCTGCAACAGTCGGGGTCTCGAGGTTCAGAACACCGAAGATGGGCAGGTTGATGGTGTTGATGTTAGGGCAGGAGCCTGCGACGACAAAGTCCTGGTTCAAGGCGGAGAAGGCGAACTCGCGAGTAGAGGCGGTCAGGAAGGGGGCGGCACTGGGAATCTCGCCAAGGAGCTCGCGGTAGTAGCCGTTCTGTTCGCCTTCCTGGCCGACAACCCCGACAACACCGCGGGCCAATTTGGCATCTCCATTGAGACCGAGCTTGACGATGACATCTCCCAATGTGCCAAGGACGACGTCAGTGAATTTAGCAGCCAACGCGATGGCGGAGGGGAAGTCCGAGACAGGTGCGACGTAGGTGCAGGGCTGGATGGGACCGGCATTGAAGTGGTTGAGGACGCCATTGGCGTTGAGGGCGTGGAGTTCCTCTTGAGCCTGAATGGCGGTCAGGGCGGTGATGACACTCTGTCGCTGGTTCTGGTCCTGGAATTGGTAGCCTGCAACGTTGTTGGTGACGTTGGCCAGCAGCTCAGTGAAGAAAGCCACCTCCCATAGCTCGTTGAAAGCAATCAGACGCTGGGACAGGAGATCATCGGGGTTGATGGATGGCGGTGGTGCTCCGTTGGGAAGGGTACCGTGGGCTGCGTCCTCGATCTGCGTCAGAGCGGACGAAGGGTTCTGGACGTTGGGGAAGCCGTTGGCAAGAGGGAACTTGAAGGGGTTGTCACCAAGATTGGCACCAGCACTGCCGCTTGACCAGGAAGCAGAGCTAGTCGAGGAAGGTGCCCAGGAGGCACTGGTGGAGGTTGGGGCGTAGTAGCCGTTGCTAGCAGCGCTGGAGCTGCCGTATCCCCAAGATCCAGTGGAGGAAGAAGCTGCTGGGTAGCCTGAAGAAGCGGCCGGTTGAGAGTCTTGGTAGGCCTTAATATGGTCGGTTCGGTCACCGTAGGAGATCGAGCCACGCTTCTCCATGGGAGCAGCTGTGACAAGGGAGGCCAGGGCCAAAGAGCCGAGGACTGGTGCGGTTTGCTTGAAATGCATGATGATTATGGGATTGTTGGGTGGTTGGTTTCTTGAGTGAATGTGTGTTCAACAATAAGGAAAATCCTGGAGTTTGCAAAGAACGAAGAGAGAAAGTTCGAACAATTAAGAGTGCTGAGCTTTGATTAAGATTAGTGAAAGACTGAGTTGTGTCAAAGAATGAATGCTTGTATATGTGTACGACCTAAGACTGCTGGGAGGGGTCTCGGGGTGCATGTTATATACCTATTCGATCCGTCTTGCCCAGCAGACGGGGGCCGAGTAGCGATGGCGAAAGCCTGAACGGAAAGTCAGAGTTGGGTACATGTTGGGGCTGAGGGAAGATTGCAGTGCAGTGCTGACCAGGAGGCCCAGCGCAGTCATCGATGAAGGATCCCACGCTTACCGCTGGTGTCGACTGCTGACCGGCACACCAGGCGTCGGGCAAAAGGTTATGTGATTGGGCTGTGCTGTCTTCAGCCTTGCAGCGAAAGAGTAGGACTCGATCATAAGCTCGGTCTCATCTGTAATTCTTCCTCGCCCGACATGACCATATTGGCAACGACAGCAATGCTCGTCAACATTACCTACGTCGACATCTCGCGGAGAAATACAATCCATTACTCAACATCGCAAGAGAGTGCAATCAGTCCACGTGTGAGTTGATGAGGAATGTCCATGAAGCTGGGAAGATTTCAGATTTCAGGCCCGTCAGCGCTTGCACTGAAGAAGAGAAGTAGGAGCGATGCAAGTATGCGAGCGAGGTCTAGTGCTGATGCATAAATGGAGACGAGAGGAACAACGAGTGGCTGTCGATTACTGGAAGATCCGGGGCGCAGGGGAAGAACGAGCAAAAATGCGCCACAAGGATCGAGCGACTCCCGGGAATTTTTAGATCTGACGCTTATAAGTGGTCACTGGAGGCCACAAGCTTTCGCTCCGCGATGCAATCAAGTAAGTAAGCTTCTTCTATTTTGGAGGAGATGCTTGATTCTATTTTTGTTCTTATTCAGCATTGTTTAGTCACCCACCCCCAAGTACCAATCCTTCTACATGTCACTCATTTTCCACGAACGAGTACTGCTTTGACAGCATGACGGGACTCGTCTAATCGGATCTCTACCTCCGACATGGCCTAATTAACCCATTAAGGCCCCTTTTCTTATGTCTGCTTAGGGAGATCAAAACGATCCCGAAAAGCATATCTCAGCAACCGACGGTTAGTAGTGTCTCTCTCGTCAGTTTCGTGACCCTGGCGCAGAGATATATTGTGGCTGACGACTCGAGTACGGTAGACTCACTCGCCCCAAGAGCTTGTGAATTCCCTCTGTGAAGCATAACGTTGTGCACGCTCATTGCCTGAACAATCGTGTGCAGCAGATATTATCCGAATCCATCAGGCTGAATCCTGGACCGAAGTGTCCGGAATTACATACCGCGCACAACTACGACAAACTCGTCTTTCCGTACGACACTTGCTACCAACCCAAACGCCTGTTGTGTCGCTGATACTCGAGCAAATTCGGAGATCATACCATCATAACAACGGCTTGGATGTGTATACAATGGGTCGTGGACGGCTATCGGCATAGATCAACCAACCATAAGCGGAGAAACAGGTATCCCCGCAATGAGGAATATCCCAGCACTATGGCATCATCCAAGCCAAATGCATTTTACGAATATCCCCAAATTGTATCAAATGGTCTCGCTTGTTCTTACCTGGTTGCATCTTCTCATCATCAGACAGGATGGCGACACAGACGATAACCCGGCCACAGCAAACCTCGTTCATCCCAAAATGGACGCAGGTCGCCGAGACGCAGCATGAGTGTATAGACCAACCCCTCATCTTCCCCAAACACAGTTCAATACTAACGGAGCCTTGTCACCAGTGGACTGGGCAGACTTGGTCACCCTTGACCTAAGCAAGTTTGACAAGCCAAATGGTAAACAAGAGCTGGCGGCTCAATTGTCCGACGCCGTGAACAGAATCGGTGAGTCACCTCAACAGCCAAACCATCATTCAATCTCAAATGGAATGCCTACTTACGCTTTACTACCAGGATTCTTCTACATCACCAATGTAAGTCTCGTCAAGATATACTATACCACCACAAACCCACCATATATGTTCCGTACTTTTATGGAAACAGTCGTTGACGATCTTCATTAGTTTGGCCTGAACCAAGAAGAAGTCGACCGCCAATTCAGCCTATGCAAGCAAGTCTTCGAACTCCCCACCGACGAAAAGATCAAATACCGTGCGGACCTCGAGCACGGCGGGTACAATGGCTACAAGCCCTTTGCGACCCGCGAAATCAGACCAGGCATCCTCGACAACACCGAGATCTACAACATCCCAAAATCCATCCCCGAGTACAAGCGCGAGCACCCCGAGGTAGTCAAGCAGCACTGGGACGAGATCCAGTACTTCGCCAAGCACATCCACTTCGAGATCGTGAACAAGCTTCTCGTCCTATTCGCCATTATCCTCGAACTGCCAGAGGACTTCTTCCTCAAGAACCACCGGTACGAGGCCAAGAGCGACTGCCACTTCCGGTACATGAAGTACCACAAACGCACACCCGAGCAGAACGCCGCACTGGACAATGTCTGGGTCAAAGGACATACCGACTTTGGCAGTTTGACGTTGTTGTTCAGACAGCCCGTCGCGGCGCTGCAAGTGCGTACACCCGAGGGCGAGTGGAAATACGTGAAACCCCACCCGGGAAGCATCACAGTGAATATCGCGGATGCTCTACAATTCTTGACCAACGGATTTCTCAAGAGCAGTATTCACCGGGTCGTCGCGCCGCCGCCGGATCAGGCTGACGTTGATCGTCATGGCGTTTTGTACTTTGTCAGGCCCGAAGACGATACCCAGTTGGTCCCCATTGATAGCCCCTTGCTGAAACGCTTGGGCTATGATCAGACGCTGGATCAGGCAACCGTTGGGTTGACGGCCGGTGAATGGGTCAAGGCGCGGGTGTCGAAGAATGTGAGTAAGCAGGGCAAAGATGATCAGGAGATTATCAAAGGTGTCAAGGCGAAGTACTACGATTGAACCACAACAGTGTCATTGGCATGCAGTCATAGATGGACGCACGCCCATATGTGAGCGGAACATGGAAGAACGTAAAAGTTAAATGAAATGTATTCGCGCTGACCCTAGTGCTCAAAGTACAATACATACCAAAAAGGTTTCTGACGTCCAAAATTCCCTGGACCCAATAATGAAAAGAAATCGTGACCTTCAGCCTCGACCCCTTCCTCTCTGTCAATCTCTCGAATCCATACTCCCGCCATCAGATCCAGTCGAGGACTCGGTCGTGGCCGGTGAGCCTCTCGATCTAAAACTGATCTCCATCCCGTGCTTTAGCTTGTAGTGTCTCTTGACAGCGTCCGGACGCAGGGAAGCATAGTCGCACAAGTGGCACTTCTTTCGGTCCTTCTCCGTGGCCAACCCATGCGCCGCTTTCTCGTGCTGGCTACATCGTCTCTTCTCCGCGAAGGCGGCGCCACAGCCTCGTGTACATTTGAACGGCATAGTGTGCTTGAGGACATGCCGATTGAGTTCACATCGGCGCCGGAATGACTCGGGACAATCTTTACAGCGGAATCTGTGCGTCGGAGAACAGGGCGTAGGCTGCGTGGGAGATTGAGGGTTGAAGTCGTATTCCGGAAAAAAGTTGAGATCGGGTAGATTAGCGAGACTGACATTGTCGGCGGCAGGATACAGGTCGAAGTCGGAAGTGAAGTCAAAGTCGTCTAGGTAGGCCGTGTTGTTGAGGATGTCGTGGTCAAGGTTGGAGTGGGCCATGGTGGAGAAGCGTTGGGCCGACTTGATTGTGATAGAGATGCTTTGATGCTGGTGCTGTGGCGTTGGGCGGGCGACAACAAGCTGTTTAGCCGACGTTGTTGGTATGTTGTGTTTCGAGGTGCCGACAGCGGTCATAAACGACGATATCGGACCCGAATGGGATCAAGGTGGATGGTTGCTGGTGTAAATTGACTCGCTGGATGCCTTGTTCCCAGTGAGAGCAGGCCAAAGAACGCGAATACGTGCTCGATGGCGAACCCTATGAAAGGGCGCGGAAATGTTCATATTGAACGATGGTATCTTGTGATCGTTGGCGGGTTGGACGATTTTCGTGCCCCTGGATAGTGTTGGGTCCTTCTCGCTAAGTTGGTTCGACAGATAGATGTTGTTGGTATATCGATTGCTGGCCTTGCCATAGACGACAGTCGGCAACCCCGTGGCCAACAACATGTTATTGGCCACGACCTTGCCGATTGAAGCACTGGTGAAGGCGTTTTCCTGTTCTCCTCTCTGGTTTGTATACTTACTACTGCGCGAGCCCGTTGGGGTTTCCCCCCACACCCACGTCAAAGACACTTGTTGATTGCGTCCACTAAGATACTGTTGGTCGATGCCCACAGTATCAATCAACAATATTGCCGTGGTTGCGGCTTTCTTGAGGTCCATCAACGACGCCACGCTACCCATGCCAGACTGTGCAAAAGGGACATCAGCCGAACAGCAATCAACAGATTTCTGTGATGCTTACCAATATGTCCATGTTGACTTTGGTGGACCACGCTGCTCAAATCCGTCCGAGGTTGGTGGCATCGGTGGCAGTCTTGTGGCCGCGCAGGACTGGAAAGCTCGAGTATGGGCTGACAAAATGGCTAGGATGAGTGTATGGAGTTGCGAAGACGTAGGGCAAATAGGTATGGTGAAGGAAGAGAGAAGAGAAACAAGTCAGGCTATCAGGCAGGAAATGGACGACTTTTGAAGGAAGTGAGTAACCACCATCCCGACACGAAGTATTCGCCGAGTTGAGGCGGTGCAGACATAGTGATTGGTTCATTAAGTCGGGCCTCTGCATTAGTGACTAGTCTAGCAAGATTGATTTGTGCCTGACATGATTTTCGACCTTGACCACGCCTTGATCGCGAGGGTAAGCGTTGTCAGACAAAATACTTCTTCATCGTCAAGTTGTAGGCCACATCGATGGTAGGCCACATGGATCTAAACCTCTTGGATTGAGGCTGAAGGACAATCACAGTCGTCATTGCTGCAACTCTTCTACAAGTAGCAACATCCTCTACAACATGCATCGTATTGGACATCGCCGAGGGACTTGCGCTACATGGAGAGAAGCGATGCACCAGTACTATGGCTCCAAGTCCGGCGATCTGTGTCCATGCTGTGATAAAAGCCTCGAAGATTCGGCCACAGCACTCTTCTTCCAACGAGCTAACTGATTATCTGCAATGATTTTGAAGATTCTTGTTACATATCATGGGCATAGAGACTGATGATAGGCCCGCTATAAGCGTCGTCAAGCCTGAGCAAGCCAGTCTAAAATTTCCTTTGTTCTTTCCTTGATATTGTTCTCCCGACACAAAGACAACACCACACTTTTCGAAGACTTTTGCTGCCACTGACCTCCACATCGGTACTCATGAGCAGTCACCATGGCATCGTGCATAACACCATGTGCGAAGAAGGCCGTCCTTAGCTCCCGATGGGCATTGACACCACACATGACCAAAGGTAAGAAAGTACTCACAAGACCCCATAGACGCCTCGGAGCAAATTATCATGTCCAGTCTAATAAAGACCATACTACAATTCCAAGAACAGCAATCAAAGAATAGACAATGACCACGCCTCTCATCAAAGCAGCCTATATATCCCATCACCACCAACCACCATCCTTTCCACTCATCACCTCATTCACGAGTCCTCCAACGAATCACTCAACATGAAGCTCATCACAAGCATCGCCATCCTGGTCCTCGCCCTCAGCGCGTCCAGCGAGCCCATTCCGCAACCCTCCAGCAGCGAAAGCCACCATTCGTTCTCACTATCTCCTGAAATGCTCTCCTCCCTCCAGGAAATGCACCACTCTCACATGGCGACAACACTCCCAAGCCACACGACTGGGGAGTCTGAAATTGCGCATGTCACGCCGAGTAAGTCCTTCACCAAACACACTCATTCCACACACTCTACACTTCACGTCACCCGAGAACCAGAAGCGACCGACGCTGCGCCCTTCAAATGAGAGTGCAAAGAAATGCAAATCCAAAAAGCCAAAGACATCCACCACGAAAAAACACCGCGGGGCCACTCTGCGATGCAAACGTCCCCGGCGTAGAATGGAGTCCTAATGAGGACTGGGATTGACAATTTGACAATCAAGACTGATATTTCAGCAGTAGTTCTACATGTACACCAGCTCATGCTCTAGTCGTAGTCGACCAGTAGTCCTGTACAAAGCCACATGAGACATAGTCCAGCACTGATAGCTCACATGAACTCAATCTCATCGTCGTCATCATCTTGCACGACCTTTTCTTTCCCTTTTCCTTTTTCAGTCCCATTACCACTAGTGCCACTGTCCTCACGCAAATGCGTATCATCGATGAGGTCAGCAACATCATCAATCTCCCCCAGCACCCGCCCATTTTCTTTCACACTGCCTCTCGACCGTTCTCTCTCCCGTTCTGCGATTTGATTCTTTACCCACGAAGCTTTCCTGCTCGCGGCCGTGATCTTGACTTTTCCGTTTTCGACGTCTAGATTCGCACCCATCTTCTCCAGCGCCTCTTTAGTCACTGTATCAGTCGGCGCGACTTCTCGTGCTTCCAGACTCGAAACGAGTGCTTGATTCTCCGGGTTGGACTCGAGTAAGAACTTCAGACACATGACGGCGTGCTCTTTGATGTACGGGTTGCATGCTGTTCACACCAGTCAATCAACGTCCAATCCATAGATAGCCTTTGACTTACCATCGTACTGTGTGCAACTCAATATCGTCTCGACACCGCCGTACTCCCGTATCTGATTCTGCACTGTCGGCGACTTCCATACTAGACTTGACAGCACCAGAACAATCAATTTCTTGAGGTTGCGCCATTCAAAGTCCGCAGGCTCCTCCGTTACTGCTGGCGGGGGCGAAGGATTCGAAGGTGGTGGTAGCGACTCAGACTCAACGTTTTGGTCTGCGGGTTGCTGCGTCACGGGATCAAGTGCCGCCGCATCATACGGTCTCTCAACAGCGACGGGAGCGGCAGTTGTCGAGGTGGCAGATTCTGGTTCGATCGCCGTCGTGCCATTTGTCGCCGCGTTTGCCGTTGCTGGTGGCATGGACTTGGTGAGCGGCACTTTGGCAATACTATTGTCAAGTTCCTTGATCAATGTCACCAAATCATATACAATTTCCCATTGCACGAGCAGACGTTTCCAGTCATTGTTCTCCGTCAAAACCGCAAAGAACTCCAGGAATTGGTAAACGCCTTCATAAACGCGTTCCATGTCCCAGAGATTGAGCGGGAAGTCCTCAGCCAGGGCAAGGCCAGCTCTTATCTGACCCTGCAAGTAAATAAGAGCGCATGTCTCGGGTATGATATTGCCGCGGAAGACAATGAAGATATACCGCACTGTCAACACGTCGACTCTGCTCAACGGCGCAGGGACCCGTGGTTTGGGTGGAGGTTGCTCGTTCGAGTCCTGCGAGGCCGAAGCAGGACTGTATTTGGCCCGGAAAATGTGCGTGAGGATCTTGATGACCACAGCTTGTGCAGGAGAGATGATATCTTTCGGCTGCCCAAAGTCGGAATAGGCATGAGACATCAATCCGTTCTTGAGAATGGCCTCCATGATCTGGACCATCATTTTGAAGTAGAATTCGTCGTCAGGCAAATCCCAGGCCGCAATGAATATCAACAGTTCTCGCAGCACATTGCGTCCTGCTTCTTGTGCCAGGAGGATATGACACCGAACGGCCTGCATGTTCTTCACGCCTTGCCGTTCGCCGTTCTTCGAACCAAAATTGTCCACAATACCGGCCTGTATAATCATCGGAAGAGCCTCGATTTCCGTTGGCCCTAAAACGAGAGGGACGTCGGTGAGCAGACCTCTCTCCTGATCGCCTGAACCGCGGTAGTCCTCATCGTCGTCTTCTTCCTCTTCCATGCTGTCTTCGACGCTGTCCATTAAGTCGTCATCATACTCGCCCTCAGGATTGCCATCCTCGTCATAAATTTGGTCGCCATTTTCATCCACAATAGGTGCCGACTCATGTAAGCGTGCCATAAGTTCGTCCTTGGCTTCCTGTAACGTCGCTGCCGCGGATTGTGCCGTTCTGGACATCTTCAGATCCTCTTCGGCGAGGTCTTGTCCAGATTCAGTGAGGTCACTGTATGTGCCCAAGTCTGGCAGTCGGCTGGGGTGTGTTGAATGGGCCTGGCCATTAGCTTTGGTACCATTGGTGACTGGGTGACTTCCATTTTGTTCGATTTGTTTGGGAATCGCTGTTGCAGTAGAGTCTGGACCAACTGGCATATGAGCACGCAAATCCGCCCCAACTTTGAGCAAAGCATCTGGGTTGCTGTCCAGTTGACTGGCACTCATACCAGAGAGAGTCTCCATGTCGGCTCGAATCTTGTCCATAAGCACTCTTGCCGCTTCCTGTGTCTTTTCATCCGGTTCTTTGTTCGTGCTCATCATGTCGAACAGGGCGTGCACGTCATCCACATTGTATGCCAATTCGCCATTCGACCCTTGCTGATCATGGGAGGCCAACTTTTCTGCAGCAGATTGAATCCTGTCTTCTCGCGACGCAGTAGCTTCGTTATTGACCCCGTCTTCCATTTCAGGCTCTTGAACAATATTACCTTCATTTCCATGCGTCTGAGATTGACCGAATAGATCCAGCCAGAGTACCAGTTTCCGCTGCTCGTTGTGCATTATGAAGTTGTGTAGGAATTGTAGACATGTTATCAGCAGTCTTTTGTACAGATTGACCACCTTCTGCCACCTCTCCTCGTTTCTCGGGTTCGCCTCGCCATCATATCCTCTTGCTGTGACCCGAACACACACATCGATCAATTTGAGAATCTGTTGATCGAAACTCTTTTCTGCAGCCAAGTTCTGAGCCTTTTTGGTCGTCGCCAGGAGGTTACGCGCAATAGTGCAAAGGTCATTTAGCCGCTCGATATCCTTGACCAGTGAAAGGTAATGCGCTGCGATCAACTCCGAACTGCTTCCATTGTAACTCGAGGCAGGAGGATTTTTCCAGGCAAAGGATTGTTGTTCAAGGGCTGGAATGGCCACACTGAGGACTCGAGTAAGTCCCTCCCATACTCGGGGATTGAACCCTAGCGCGGACCGTACATCGCTCTCCTGATGGGACTTATATAGAATTTGTTTCCCGCATCTCAAGAGGTGATCGAGTCTCTTATCATCTATTAAGCCTCTGTTTTCGTAGTGGGTTTGCGTGCCGGTTAGGACAATCTGAAGCAGTGTTGATGCGCTCATGCTGATACAGTCTGAAACACATAGTCATCGCCCTGAGTATGTTTCCGCCGTGAGTTTGCTCGTGTAAGATTCTCTCCGCAGTTTACTCGACGGCTGGAGTGAAAGGCCAGACCAAACCAAAAGAATCGTCAGACCTTCCTACGGAATGAGTATTATTGCACGGGAGTGATTCACCGTACAAAATGTACTCCGCAAGGGGTCCGGTGCTTCACTGGACCTTGTGCGCACAGTGGAATGAATTCACACCGGCTTGTATGTTGTGGGTTTTTCACAAAAGTTACATGCTATCTAACATAGACCCTGGGCTGCAGACCACAGGTAGACGGAGAATCCAACTGAAATGCGGCGACATTCGCGCGGCAAGCAGCTAGCTGCGAGCCCCTACAACTGGCCTCACGATGCTTCACTCAGTCCAAAAACAACAGCTCTGGTCATCATTGACATGCAGCGAGACTGTAAGTGACACAGATAAGCCAGACAATGTCACTAATGGACGATAGTCTGCGAAGAGGGAGGATATTTTGATTGCCAGGGTTATAATATTCGCGCGACCCAAGACATTATACCTTTTGTGTGGATAGTTCTGGATCACGTCCGAACATACGCAGAATACCCAGTATTCTTCACACGAGAAGGTTCGTACAGCGCCATCATTCCACAGGGTTTGGCTGACCATGTTGTAGGCCACAGTCCTGATCTTTCCACGCTATCAAGTAGGGAAAAGTTTCGATCACGGAACAACCCGCGCCATCTGGGTATTGGTGATACTGGACCACTAGGCAGGTTTCTTATTCGAGGCGAACCTGGACATGATATTGTTCCCGACCTGAAGCCCATTCCCGGCGAAGTCGTGATTGACAAACCAGGAAGAGGAGCTTTTGCTCACACGGATTTCGAGCATCACCTCCGTCTTCGCGGTATCAAAAACCTCATTCTGGTAGGGGTCACAACGGATGTTTGCGTTTCCACCACCATGCGGGAAGCAAACGATCGTGGGTTCGATTGCCTCGTACTGGAAGACGCTACGGCAGCAGCAACTCCAGAATTGCATCGTTACGCATTGGAATCCATCAAGATGGAAGGTGGCATCTTCGGTGCTGTAGCGAAATGCACCTCGTTATTCCATCCCTTTTGAGAACCCGGTAGAAGTCGAGCGATCAGGCTGACGATCATGTCCCCAGAGTACACAGAGATCGCTCCAGTGTGCACTCCAACGGACGGGTTGCGCGGTGACTGTTCGCGTCTACATCTGCCTGAACGTATTTCCAGAAGCACTTCTCCGATCCTGTCTTGGTGCACCGTTTGACCTGGTGGCTGTCTTTCCGGGCCCCCGGGACTTCTTATCACCAGGCTCGAAGGTGATGACTTTATCGCCAGCAGTGCCGCCAAAACCATGACCGCGCTTTGTGCGCTGATGTGGCTGCAAGTTTTCTGCTCGTGTGCCGAACGAGCGATCGATAGGGGCCCGAACAGTCGAGTTCTTTCCAGAAGATGAGACCTGCATCCGCATCTGTCCACCCTTCTGTTTCTTGGCAGGCTTTCGTTTGTAATCTGCGGTGGAAACTCGATCTGTCGTTCTGTATCTGCCTGTGATCTCTTCCTCTGATGTGTCATCATCATCATCCGAGCGAGGGACTTCGTCGATTGCTTCCTCTTCAACTGCCGTGAGTCCTTTCTCACGATCCAGATTCGAAGCTGGCGCGGCTTTAGTACTTGGGTTGAGCTGCTGGAACTCCCTAGAGGTTTCGTCCACGGCAAAGTCCTCGTCCTGAAACAGTTTTGCAAACCGTGAATCCGCAAGCAAGCCCTTTTCTTCGGGCTCAGTAACTTCAACGGCAGCTTTCTCGTCACCACCTTGAGCCAGGACCCTTTGGGCACGGCGCTGCTCATTCTTCTCCTCACGATCGAGGATCCTCTCCACCATTTTGCGATTGACCTTCGCGGTAACCTTCTTCTTTCCACGAATCCTGCTCTCGCGTTCCTTGTCAATCTTCTCCTGAACCCTCTTGGCTCTTTCCTCTTCCCAACTTGAGGGATTAGCAATAAGTCTAGCCTCTTCATACAATCCTTGGGCGACAAAAAATCCATGCATATATGGTCGAAGTAGGTTGGTCTTTCCGACAAGGTGGTCCAAATTGAGCATACGAAGTTGCGAGGAGGTGAGGAATTTGTAGTTGTCGTAGATCTCGCCGACTTTCGTCCGTGAGAAAGCCTGAGGGTCATTGGGATCATCTGCCATCTCTTCGACGACGTTGTCTAAGAATGAGCACCATTTCGGCGCTGGACCAAGTTGAGGTATGAAGAAAGAATGCTGCTGTCGACCTTCGTTTGCTGTCAAGAACATACCGCTGTCTTTACACCATGCCACGCAGTTGATGTCGACAGCTGGTTCAACAGATGTCCAGGGCGTTCCATCTCGCTCATCCCATAGCTTGAGGATTCGACGGTCAGCCGAGGCGATTTTGGGTTCGGAGACTGATGCTCGCGTGGCGCTTGAGGGTGTGAGGTACTCAAGGTAGATGATGGGATAGCCATATCCTTGATCTTTCTTTAATACTGGCACAGGAGATCGTAAGTCATAGAGGTAGATCAGCCCAGAAGATGTACCAACGGCAGTACTGATGCCTGATTTGTGGAAAGTAAGAGCTGTAACCTCGGGACGCCCTTCGAGGTCGGCAGGCGTGGCCAGCGTAGCCACCCGCGCCCTTGATCTCGTATCCCAGTATTCCACCGTCCCCTGCGAGGTACCAAAAGCGATGAGGTTGTGACTGGCTTCGGCTACAGCTGCCACATTGACGCTGCCAGCACCAATGCCGCCTTGCAAAGCGCCACCAGTGTCATCGCCGCCTACGTCCACCTCAAATGCATTCATGAACCGCCCCAACTCTAGATTTATGCGAAACGCCTCTCCCATCCCGTTGCTGTTAGTCCCGACAGCAGGGACAAGTAGTTCGGTGCTGCTCCTGTCATAAACGAGATCGCGACCGTATCGCGGTATCCGCAGAGAATCATGACAGCCTCCGGGAGTGTGGAATTCGATCGACCGGTCTTCCTGCAGATGTACGGATTTTGAATAGTCGGATGAGAGGAAAAGGAAGGTTTTGTTCAAAGTGTTCGTATGCCTCGTGAAAGAAAGGGATAGATTAGGTAGATAATGTGTATGGAGCTGGGGCTTGTAGGTGCCAGTGCTCATGGCCCATTCGCCGTCTTCGCTGATGCGAACGCATTGACTGGCTTCTTCGAACTCGAAGTCTTGGAGCAGCTCGACTCGGTTCGCATATTCTGGATCTTTTTTGCGCTTCTGACTCTGTGAGAGCCAGTCAGGAAGACTCCGCGACGTCGACGAGCCCGAGACCGTGTAGACTGGCACGGCACTATTGGTAAGCCTCATCATTCGAACTCGCCTGAGGCAGACTATGCAGACATAGTAGAGCGGCGACACAGCCTATTGAGGCTCAAAGTGCCTGGTACCTTGGTCAGCTAAAGGCTACAAGGGAATGAAAAGTCGTCGGAGTTTGTAACATATTACCTGGTGGTGGCCCTCCAGTCCGAAAGACTTCAAGAAATTTTGGCGGCGCAGGCAAATCATGGCCGATGTTTACCCGGCGGGATTGCGTAGCGTATCACGTGCAGTGGCTGAGATCGGACTTGAGTTGATTTCTCCGCCGTGTCCTTTCATCTCGAACCTCGACCTCGTCTCTCTTCAAAATTGAACAATTTGACTTTTTCATATAGCAGAGCTGGCCTCCCTTCCTGTCCTAGGCTCTATCTCATATACTGGCATCACGTCCGTGGCCTCAGTCGTCCACGCGATCATACATCAAATTACGGCCGCTCTCCACCAAGATTTCGTCGGCTGAACGCGTGGTGTTAGACATCCTACTGAAGCATCGAGTGCAGCTCCAGAATTCAGTCTGCAAGATTGTTCTTCAAAGGAACTATAACGCCAAACGTGAAATGCACCAAATCGATTGCTGGCCTTTCCCTCGGTGCTTAAATCAGCACTTGATTTTGATTCCGCCAAATGGTTGACGGAATGGCCAATTCCTTGGACTTTCCATACAACTGTTCTACCAATGTTTACACTCTTGTGCGATTCAACTGACCATCCTTCTACACTTTACTGACTCTCGATGCAGAATGATTTCGGCGAGATAGCATACATAGTATGTACAGTGGCTACGCCACCTACGCATGACCCGTCAGCATTTGTCTCGACCCCAGAAAACACTCTTGCACGACTTCGAAAGACAGAACGGCAATTTCGAGAGGCTTCTATACTGGCTGCTCTTGATGTCGAGGCTCGCCAGCTGTTTACCTTCTACAAAAAGGTCGACATCGCAAATGCGAAAGATCAGAAGACCCTACTAACCAAATTCGGCTTCGTCCTCCGCAGCAATACCTGTACCATCGCCTACAAGACAGCTGCTCGCCTTCCGGATTTGATGAAACCTGAACAAGCTAAGCTTTACCGACTCTTTTCAACGGCAATAATCTCCAGCATCAAGCTCTTTCCTACTGGCGATTCGGCTCTTCAGGCTTTTGGGCCGAATCTTTACATGGTTGAGCAATGTCCAGCAGGCTCGGAGGACGAAGTATTAGCTTCGCCAAAACGATGGGACCTTCATCGAATTGACTTACAGATCATTCCCAGCGGGCATATAATTTTGACCATTGCCAAGGAGAGGAAACAGTCATTTCGTCAAGCACTTGACCTCGAACATGACCTGCAACTGGCGGAACATGCCACATCTGGCAACACTCCTGTATATCTCGCGCCTGTTGGTCGCGTTGCCCGTTTCGTTGGGTCACCAAATGGTTACGAAGTCAAATCGGGCCCTTCTGATAATCAAAACTCTGACGCTCGCTGGGAACTGTGGAGGGAACTTCTGCCAACATGGATGAAGACGAGTCTAAACAACACCGTCCAGGTCGAAGACAATTTCTGGATTGAGGCGCAGATTGCTGTCCAGGAAATTGAGCGAGCTTCTACAGACGACGAAAGCAAAAGCGTTTCGTCTGTCAACAGTGCCAATAATGCGTCAATATCTTGGCGTACTATCTTCTGGCCAGCGAATTTGTGCTTTCTGTTGGAAAGTAAGGAGCCTCCTGCGCTGGAAGTCTTCGGTGACAACCATGATCCTATGAAGTTCATTCAGGAGTGGGTCGCTGGTGTGGCCCAGGAACGAACAGGTGACGGTCAACGTCAGCACGAATTGATGAATGTGGCCGAAGAAGACGACGAACCATTGTTTGCCGAGAATGGGACCTTCGATGACCCAGAACCATTCCAACCATCTGGCCCACCAGCTTTCCCAGGAAATCAATCAATCTATCCCACGCCACCGGATGTCGTTATGACTCATCCCACACCAGGCATCGCTTCCGTCGAGGTGATGGGAATGACGCCAGCAAACTTGCCTGGAGCACAGTCGGACACAGTACAGCAACTTGATGAGGAAATGCACGATGTTCAGGAGGCACATACAAGTAGTGAGCTGCGAGCATATTATGAAGAAGATTTGTTCGAAGAAAGGCCTGACGATCAATTTGGCCGAGAAGATACGGCTGATGAACCTAACTGGGATTTCTTTGACCAATCTGGCATGGAGACGAAACCGATAACGACAACCGACTCAAATCCACCCAACGGACGATCGCGGCAGGACGATACCGCCGTAAGCCACGTTACTTATCAAACCCCGCAGGAAAACGGTGTCCAAAGCACGCCAGTACCCAGCGGAAGACCTGCACCTGAAATGCATGACGCACCTCTGCTTATGGAATCACCCAGGGTGCTTAATGCTAGTCATGCGGTCTCTCCGCCACGGATGGCGAAGTCAAAGACCGAGGTACCCGTCAAGTCGGAGCAACAACATGATGCATTCGCTCAAACTAACCCGTCTGGAGGGGACAATGATCGGAAAGACAGACCCAACGGGTCAAACACACATCGCCGCTATGGTATCTACAATGGTGTGTATCCTCCAGCTGAAACCAAACGGGACGATAGATATGCTGCGAACGGAGAATTTTGGTTCGACCCGAACAAAACAACACTGCAATCTAGTCGCGATGCACACAAGTTGACGGCAGAGGTGAATAGGCCGCAGTCAAGCTCGAATGAAAGTGATACCTCAATGGAGAGTGCCAGTGGATCAGAAGAGTGCAGTCCGACTCTGAATGAACCACCAAGAGCCTTACGACCGTGGAACGAATACCACCCACAATCCCCATCGGTCACGACGCATCATGGTGAATTGGAAAGAACGTCAGTCAGACAAGAAATACAGGAACTGCTCGGTCTACTGAAGCCGCGTTCGACGCAGCCTCCACCTATTATTCTATCTGAGACGCAAAACACTGTCACCAGCCTTGCCCAATTGACTGGTGAAAGGTTCTCGCAGGTTGCCAACATTTTGGTCGACCAGTACTCCCAAACTTCTTTGATCTCCCACAGACAGAGAGACCCAAACAACGAAGGTACAAGTGATGCTCGTACCGAGGTTGTTGCTGATCTCAGTGGCATAAACAGCTCTACAAATGCGTCAACATTAGCTCAACTTGTCAGCTTGAAAGCCGATCACACCAAGATCCGAGGCCGCATCACGAACCTCCAACCAGATCAGATATGCATACGACGTGGCGACCAGCGTCTACTTGCTTCTATATCCATACTGCCGTTCTGGAATACGTTGAATCTGCAGCCCGAGAATGGCAGCAAAGACGTCATTGCCTTTTGCGTGCATCCCGCTGGTGAGGATGTCGCCGACGGGTGCTCGAACCTCCTACAGAGGATGTCAGACACGTACAATTCGTGCCTCCTCGGATCACATGCTATCGGTCTGCTCAAGGGTGTGACCAGTACTGGACTCGTTGCGTGGGATGCCAAGTCAACATCTAGTATGTCGCAAATCTGTCAGAAGGTTGGGACTGCAATCGGAGCGGCGGATAACTTGAGCGGTACAGCACTTGTCTACATGGTCAGCCAAGACGACAGTCCCGCTTCATATGTGGAAGTGTGTCAAGCATTTCATGGGCTGTTCGAATCGTTCGCGGCCACTGCAGACAAGCGCCACATCTCTGACATCGCCTTGCAAGTTGTTCCTCGCTGTTTCGTGGCAAGTGCTGAGTCGCTGGTCGTGCCGGATCAATTTGCATACATCAAGCTCGCCATAGAGGTTTACAACCGGCTTCCTCCTCCTGAGGCGAAAGGATCACCAGCCGCATGCGACACGGCCATTGTCCTGTCGAAAGTGGAAAACAATGTACACCTCCAACTTGCATCAGCATATGGATCGCCTCTCTCTGAACATGGCGTTATCCTTCACGTCGCGTACGCTATCACTGCTGATAATAGATGGATAACAGCGGCTTGGACAGACGAGCTCGGACAAGTTGCACTCACTATGTCCTACTGTACAAGGAGAGGTGGTTCGGCGAAGAAAAGAAATCGACGGGAGATTTTCAGAGAGATGTGGCATGTATCTCATGACCTGGCGAGCAAGCATCGAGGGCGCTGGAGGCTGGCTATCGTCAAGCACGGATATCTCGATGCAACAGAACCTTCGGACTGGTACGATGTCTTTGGGAGCTCCACACCAGCTCAGCAACGATGTTTGCCTTTGATCCTCACTGTCCAACTCGACCCCGTGTATCGAATTTTTGGACAGCTTCATCAAGGAAAAGTGGGACAGTCAGGATTGCAAAATGTTTATGGGACTCCTGCGTCCACACCGCAGGGTGGTATCACCTCGCCTGATCAATTGATGCCCGCCACTCCTACACCGGGCGGCACTTCCGTGATGAATGCCTCCACGCCGCCCGAACCTGGTATTGATCCCAATGTTGATGGCGATCTCAGTCTCGTCAACCCGGCAGAAGAGAGCTGGGGCATCATTCTACCGTATGGGGTCAACCAGTCGAAAAACATGGCAGAGCTATTACCTGCCGGAGTTACTGGACTCTTGGTCAAGCGTCGAGGAGCGAAGGTTGAGGATGGCCATCTTTCGATCGAGGTCAGTCTCCTTGACTGTACTGTGCATGTAGGGCCAGATACGTCAAAAGAGCCCTACCCAGATGAGTTGCTGGAGGACGTGATCAGGCAATACCGCGGCTTGCTGACTTTGGGTGTCACGAGGGGCTGTATTGATCCGCTCACCGAATGTCTTCCATGGCATATCGCGACAGTGATCTGGGGATGTCGCGCTTTAGGGTCGGTCATGTAAGTGACGGGCTGTAAGTATATTTCCCAGTAATCTATCTGGGATCTTCCTAGCAGTTGCTAGCAGCGTTTACATAATTGCATAAACAACTGATGACTTGATATGAATGTACAACTGAAGCCCGTCGCCATCCTGTCGAGTACTTGCGTCGTCCGCCAGTTTTCACCTCCTTGACATGAGAGGACCCTAGTATGCTGACATGGCCACGTGCATTGCACCTCCGAAGGCCGCTAGCCGTAGCGAGTCCGACAGCGGGAGATGAGCATGGACAGGGAACAGCCCCGCGTGCCAGTGGACCACGACTTTACTTTTGATAGTGACGTCGACGTGTCACCAGACTCGCTATCAACACCAGCCATTCTGAACCCGAAGATATAGTGCTTGAGACTTGGAAACAAGTGACAGGCAACCTCAGTCCTGCTCCTTCTTACCATATCAAGGTGTTTTGAATTGGTCAAGTGCGCTGAAGACCGCCAAAGAAGTACCTGCCCCTCAGACCAATTACTTCCAAACAAAATTCCCCCTTCCGTCAAACAAATCATGTCAGTAATTGACCGACCCATCCATATGCGATTGGACCTAACACCATGACAGCATCGTAGTACGAACCTCCTCCTCCATCTTACTCTATCGCGATGGCGGCTCCCAATCTCCCGATCCGAACCAAGACCATGTCAACTGACTCCGACGACGAGGGTGCGCCAGCCGGTGACCCTTCCAGCACGGCCGGGCTGTTGAGCGAGCGCTTACAGGCTTGGAAGCATATGTGTAAATACCTCGAAGCCTACATTGCGGCCGTTGCCAAAGACCAGGGTGGTCGGGCCAAGGATCAAGAGAAGATCATCAAGACAATCTCGAGCCCTCTAAAGGAAGGCCATCACTTCGACACTGCTCTTGGTGGTATCACAGGCTTGTTCGAGAACCTCCGTTCGAATACTCAAGCGCAAACAAATCTTTATGTTGAAACGTCCAAGAACCTTACTGGGTCGGTCCTTCCTATTCTCGAACGTCTTCATCAGGAAATCAAGAACAAGAGCAAGGAATTGGCAAATGGAGCCGGCAAAGGATCTAAAGCAGTCGATGCTGCGCGTGTTGCGACACAGAAGCATATCGATCTCCTAGAAAAGTCCGCGGCCACATTTGACTCAAGCGGGAGTAGCAGACTCTCTGCGCACCATGATCCATATGTGTTGAAGCGACAATCCTTGCATCGACTCAATAAGCAGCTGCTCGAGGAAAACAGCAACCGACAAGACTTGGTCGCCGTTCAAAACTCATTTAAACAATTTGAGGCCCATCTCATCACGACCATACAGTCCGCATTGAACTCGTACAACCAGTTCATGAGCAACCAAGCCGATCGACAGAAAGCCATGTACAACGACATTGCCGGTACTGCAAGCGTTATGCCTCTCGATTTCGAGTGGGCTGGTTTCGTCGCGCGCAACCAAAATGTCCTCGTCAATCCAAATACTCCTGCAAGAACGATGGACGGTGTTTCCTTTCCGAATGACAGCCATCGTTCCACCAAACCGTTGATCGAGGGAACGTTGGAGCGTAAACCTCGTGGCGGCATGGGTGCAATTCGTGGCTATACCAGTGGTTACTATGCTGTGACGCCAGCAGGATTCTTACATGAATATAAGGACAGCGAGAACTTTCACAAGGACCCTACGCCAGAACATTCCTTGTACCTCCCGGACTGTGTCATTGGAGCAGTCGACGGCACACAATTCGCGATCAAAGGCAAGGACTCGTCAGGGAGCAAGGTTGGACAAAAAATGGCCCTAACCTCCAATTACCAATTCAAGGCACACGCGGATCGCGATGCCCAGCAGTGGCACACCATCATTGCCAGTTTTGCCAATGGAGGAGGTAGTGTTCCTACCAGTCCTGGTGAGAGCCGAAATGTCTTCCCCATCAATACCAACATGGACGCACAAAGCCAGCGTGTACCAAGCGGACCAACCAGTACAGGGTCGCCTCAAAGTGCAAGGACACAGACTCCCACCACCGCGACATCCGACTTTGGTGCTGCCCCAAATTACGGGGCTCCTGCCACGGGTACACTGGAAGAGCGTAGATATGTCGAGCCACAAGCAGACAAGCCACTGTCTCATGAAGGATTGGAAAGACAAGCTGGCCACAAGCCTTAGAATGGTCCTAGATTATCTGGTCATGAATACTGTCTTCACATGCAACAGGTTTTAGCGGTTGTCACCAATACCCATGGGTTTTGTTACTGTCAATAGTTTAGCTTTGTACCGTTTCGAACGACTAATTCCGTTCCCTCGCTGTCGTCTATTGAGAAGCCCACGAGTCCACTCTTCGGCGGTATGAACTGTCTCAACCCGACTCCGGCCTCTTTGAGCACGCGCCGAGTTGCATCGTCCATGTTGTATCCCTGACTGTAAACAACCTCCTTGACGCCCACCTGCGCGATTTTCACGGAGCAGGTCAAGCAAGGACACGTATCGCAGTACAAGACACTTCCCTCACGAATTCGTTCGCGGCCAGCCTCGAGGAGAGCATTCTCTTCCGCGTGAAGACATAGGCACGTCGACAATGCGGATCCGCCTGATGAGGCGCTGTTACACCGCGCACAACCTCCTTCGTTACAATTCGTCAGATTGCGCGGTGTGCCGTTGTACCCTGTACTAATGATCCGGGCGTTGTGCACTAGGACGCACCCGACGCGGCGTTTCATGCAATTTGAGCGTTGGGATGCCAGGGAAGCGAGGGTCATGAAGTAGGCGTCCCACGTTGGGCGAAGACGTATGGGACTGGGGAGGTCGAGGGTTGCGAGGAAAGAGTGGTACGCCTCGAGAGTGGGGTGGGCGTTGAGGATCTGTACGTGGGAACGGGCGAGGAGGTGGATTGTTCCTGTCGCGCTAGCTGTGCTTGCGGGAGGAGAGTTGGTGGTTGATTGTGTTGATGAAGAAGCGAGACTTCGTGAGCCATAGAGTTGGAGGTCGTTATGATATATGAAGACTTCGAGGGGCAGGGGGGTGAGGGACCGGCGACGACAGCGCTCACAGAAGCGTTGATACCGTACACCAACTGGTGCATCGACGTTGAGTAACAAGAAGAACGGTCGTCTTAAGAGTAATTCGAGGGTAGCTTCGTCGTAGATGTCTGTCAGAACCCAGTGTTCGCGCCAACGCTTGGTGACGAACTCGAGGAGACTGTCGACGTCGGGGAATGTGAGGCCTCGTGTGCCCTTTTGATCTGTCACGCTTGGGAGGAATTGTGCTCGAGCCTCTTCTGACGTGCCGTTGGAGTCGGCACTGGAGTGGTTGGGAAGAGGTTGTAGTTGTGATGGTGTTGGGAGGTGAAGACGTAGAAAGCCGTGGTGTTGGACTAGGTATTCTGCTGTGGTGTGTTTGCCGGAGCAGATTGAGCCGGTGATGCCGATTAGCATGATTACGGCTCTTATCAACCTTCAAGAATGGCTGAGTTCTAGCACTGCTTTGTGGTTTGTTCCATATAGGTGCCGAATGGCCGATTTGATGCTGGTTCCTCGGTCTTTCAACTGCTTTGAACACTGTTTTGAACCGCCACTGATAGATGCTCTTCACGCTTATTCGTGAGATAGTCACTGGACAGTCGATGTCGGTATGGCTGGTCGGCTGGACTCGCTCTTCACATGCAAACTCGATATCAGGTGGACGCGTCTCTTTTACGCGTAAAGTGGTCATTTGGCAGATAACAAAGGTCAAATGACACCAACCACGAACCTCGACCGGGAAGCATTTCCGTTCGCCTACTCAGTAACAACAACTGGAGCCTTGTTTCAAAAGGGCGATCGTGATCGTCTTGGAGATGCCAGCCACCATCCTCACGCCATCCTCCTTCCCCCTGTCTTTGAGATCTTCCCATTGCATCTTCTCATTGTCAATAACGCAAAGCGCTTTCGTGGAGGTTGTCAACATTGAGACAAAGAGACAAAGTCGAGGCTGCACGGCGAATGACCCCTGTCACTAGTAAAAACACCGAAACACGATAGCAATGGCAATGCAATACGTCCCCTTTGCTTCGGATATCGAAATCCCCTTCTATGCATCTCTCGCGTCTCACAAGATCAACCATGACAAGCTTGACGATTCTGCCCGCAAATTGTTGGGCTTGTATGAAGTCCGTCCGGCCGACGCGAAAGAGCATTCTTGCCGGATCCAGGTCCATTCCAATGCGCTCACCAACGACGACGTCCTAGCAGGCTATTATCGCGCCGAGGGCATGATCAAAAACGTCAACACAATCGAAGAGTACCGCAACCTCGACAAACTCGAGATGATTCAGCAAGCCGGCAGGACCATTTGGGACGCCATTAACGATGGCACCATATATTCCTGTCCTTCACTCCTGGCATCCTTTCTAGTCCTATCATTTGCCGATCTCAAGAAGTACAAGTTCTACTACTGGTTCGCATTCCCCGCTCTGGTCATGGATCCGCCATGGACACCTGTGCAGCATCAAGGCTCGCTACCGAGATCCGATACCAGTCTGCCGCATTCCAGGCTTAACCCGCTGGAAAGCACCACACTCGTCGACGCCGTAATGACATGGAGATATGGCGTTGATTCGCGGCAGTTCGGCTTCTTTCTGGCCAAGAAAGTACACGGCGAGTCGACTTCAAACCCAATAGATGAAGACTTCGGCCCTACGACGCCGATGTCGCCGCCCACACCGACGACAAGCCTAGGATACACATGGCAGATTACCTCATTGTCAAGCTTTGAGTCAGGCTTCTTCGACGGCATCAACCGAGAAGATCAATTTGTCTGTTTTGCGGACCCGTCGAATTACGCAGATCCCGGACCCGTTGCGCCAGGCTGGATGCTGCGCAATCTTCTTGTTCTGGCTAGACAAAAGTGGAAGGTCGATCGCGTGCAGATCCTATGTTATCGCGAGACGCCCTCGAGAAGAGATGCGGCCCGAAGTGTGGTTTTCACTATGGAAGTCTCGAAAGAGCGGAAATCGCAGCAACCAGAGGGCGGCATGCCCAAGGTGGTAGGCTGGGAGCGCAACGCCTCCAACAAGCTCGCGGGCCGCATGGCCGATTTGACCGAGTACATGGACCCGAAGAAACTGGCCGACTCTTCAGTCGACTTGAACCTCAAGCTCATGAAGTGGCGGATTAGTCCGAACCTGAACCTCGAAAAGATCAAGAACACAAAGTGCTTGCTTCTGGGTGCGGGCACACTGGGCAGCTACGTGTCACGGAACCTGCTGGGCTGGGGCGTGCGGCATATCACATTCGTCGATAACGGGTCAGTTTCGTTTTCGAATCCCGTACGACAACCACTGTTCAACTTTGAAGACTGTCTGGAAGGTGGCAAGAAGAAAGCTCTATGTGCTGCTGAGGCATTGAAGAAGATATACCCGGGAGTTGAGACGGAGGGGCATGTCTTGTCGGTCCCGATGGCAGGACATCCCATCACAGATCTGGAAAAGACGAAAGCGGATTACGAGAAATTGAAACAACTCGTTGACGAGCATGATGTTATATTCCTGCTTATGGATACGAGAGAGTCGAGGTGGCTACCCACTGTTATGGGCAAGTGTTCGGACAAGATCGTGATGAACGCGGCGTTGGGCTTTGATACGTACGTTGTCATGAGACATGGTGTCAGACTGGAGGGTGCCCAAGACCGAGAGCTAGGGTGCTATTTCTGCAACGACGTTGTCGCACCAGCGGACTCGATGAAAGATCAGACGCTCGACCAACAATGCACGGTGACGAGGCCTGGTATTGCGGCCATTGCATCGGCGCTGCTCGTCGAAATCCTCATTTCCGTGCTGCAACATCCGGAGGGCGGCGCCGCACCTGCTTCACTGTCTCCGTCGGAAGACCGCGGTGAGCATCCACTCGGACTCGTTCCGCACCAGATCCGTGGGTTTCTGCACAATTTCACCAACATGAACGTTGCGGGCAAAGCGTATGATTGCTGTAGTGCATGCTCCGAAAAGGTGATGGACGCGTATAAGTCGGAAGGGTGGGAGTTCGTGCAGAAAGCGTTGAACGAGCGGGACTATGTCGAGGAGTTGAGTGGGTTGAAGGAGGTGCAGAGAATCGCTGAGGCTGCTGCCGCGGATATCGAGTTCAGTGAAGAAGACGATGTCGAGGACGAGGAGGGCGAGTTGATTTGATCGGCGCCTTTGCAAGGTGGCAGCAGCCTGCCACTTGTACTTTTCTCTCCGGCTAGCGTGTCGTGCACTTTCATGCCCTTCATAGTACTTCAGTTGTACGGAGATGGACCAGTTGGACTTCCATCAGCCATCGGCAAAAACAGCATTCTTATCAACCTTGGCCAGTCTCTTGATGCCCACGAAGTACGCCTCCTTGGACTCGCTTCTCGAGCTGTCGGGCTTTTCGCGATGCACTTTGTGAAACATAGCCTTAAGACTCTTTTCGAGCGCCTTGTCCTCGACGCCCTGGTAGAACTTGCACACGAAATGCCCGCCAACCTTGAGCGTTTCGTAGCTGAATTGTAGGGCAGCTCTGCATAGATCCTTTTGCTCCGTCAGTCGTCAAGCCACACAAGGGGCTGTGATTTGCTCACCATACTGCCGGCGTGGTCCCGGAAAGCGTTCCCACTCGTGTTCATCAACCTGTAATACGGGTTACTTATGCTCTTCTTGTACAGCCCATCAAGCGGGTCCCAGGGTTCGGACATATCGCTTAGCACCACGTCGACTGTTTTGTCGAGATGCTCTTGTTCTTGTTCATTTTCTGCTTGGCTTTCGCCTTCCTCAGCCGCCGCGATATGCGCTTCTCTTTCGACGTAGCCGCCTTCCGCGTCCTCGAGAAGTCCGTCCGTCGAGCCATCGGGCTGGACGTCGAACATGAGTGGACGTCGCAGCCGGCCACGGTCTGGGTCGCGGAGGAACGATTTGATCTCGGCTTGGACGTCCGGGGAGAGGAAGTCGCCTTGGATCGTCGATACGCCTTTGGGAGGTTGTACAGGGATCAGGTCGATGCCTAGAACCCGCCCGCGCGGTTGGGTCATGTCGATTGCTACCTGTGTCACCACACGTTGTTAGTCTACGCCCGGGATATCTGCGGGCGTGTGTTTGGGTGGATGAGTTTGTGGGGGTATTTATAAGTACCTGACTCCAACTCCCAGGTGCGAATCCCAGGTCTATGATCGTCATGCCCGGCTTGAACAGTCTGTACCTGTCATTGATTTGGAGGAGTTTGAACGCAGCCCGGCTCTTAAGACCCTGGACTTTGGCTGCGCGGGCAAAACTGTCGCCACGTTGTCGGTCAGTCCATCGCTTGGAGGAGGCGAATCGCTGTCCAGTCGCTGCTGGTGAGCGTGAGGAGCGTGAATGTGAAGTGGAAGCTGATGATGTAGGACCAGCAAGCGACCAGGTACAGTCTGTCCAGGGGAGACATGATCGAGTAAAATGGGCTTGTGCGCCTGCGCAGGAGCGGAGTGTGAGTCGAGGATTACATCGTTGCATAGCCCTCTGCTTTTGCAGGTGGCTGCTGCACAAAAGGGACAGGCAATGGTGCGAAGTGATTTACGAAGTGGGAACAATTGGTTTCAGCATAACTTTCTGCAGCCTTGTAGCGGTTGATGTTCGGGTGATACTGTACTGTACAAGGCTCGAATAGACCTTATAGCGGCAGGTTTGGTCCAAAGTCTCTTGAAGATATTGCCATGTTTTGCAGACTCATCTTCCTGTAAATTCTGCGACCTCATCAAGTCAAGTCTACACCGCCACCGCTTGCCAGAGAATTGCCAACATCTCTCTCTGGCCATCCCTTTTCTTGGATCCCGCCTCAGTCGTATGCAAATGGATGCTTGTGACAAGTTCATTCAAGACTCGGGAAGATCCTCGTGATTGGCGTGCTTCCGTCTTTTCTTCATCTCTTTAGCTGCAGCTGCGGCAAAGGTCTCCAACTCTTTATCATCCATTTTCGCTAGTCGTGCAAGGTTCAATCTCTGTTGGGATGTTTCTTCGCTGCGCTCGAGGTATCCGTAAAAGATGTCCAAGCTGTCATAGTGTTGTTGGTCCACCTTATTGATTACCAAGCTGATCGTGACGACAGGAATCAAGACTATGAGCACAGTCCCGCCCAGCAAGGTGAGAAGCTCCAAGCTTTTGCGGAACGCCACCATTATGGCCGACAGATTGACGCGGTATCACACCTTCCGTTGTTTTGGGGCAGCCTATGGCTTCGCTGTGGTTTGAGAAGAAAATGTTTCGTTGGCGAGGAAAGGTATGGATGTTCGTGTTGTATGCTGATTAGGATCTGGTATTCGAGGTCTTGTGGCTTTGTTCCCAGTGAGGAGTGAAATGCTGAAGATGATGGCGACCGCAAAACGAAGGGATGAGAAAGAGAGCTTTATATGGGTAGGACCACTTGAGGACCTGTTGCCTGCGCTCGAGAACACCCCATAAAATTGGACTCTCTTCGACTTTGTTCGCCACCTGGACCGAAGTTCTGCTGGATGTCTCGACACAGTCCTCTCTGCAGGACCCAACGCAGGTCTCAACCCTGTTGAGGAGCAGCAGTCAGACCTACGGCCTTAGAATGGATCCGACAGAGCACACTTACAGACACGGTCTGTTTGTTCTTCCTGGAATCTACCGAGCCTGTACTCAGAAAGCTCGCACCGTCTGACAGACTACATCGATGATCTTAGTCCTGCCGGGTCACGACGGCGGGTGCCTGACCCCCAAAACAGTAGAACTATGGATGTTGATAGGGTTGATGACCTTTCCCACGTCCAAGGCTACCGCTGTGATGCTGTGTTCGAGGGGTCCAAGAGTGACAGTGGAGGGCGATGTCATCTAGATATGAGGAGCTATTGCGGTCGGACAATGCCAGTGTTTCGGAAACCGGCCTGTTAGGTACCTTGATTACACCCAGGTGGGACGTGATACAAAGATCCAGGCACCGGCATCTAGGGTTTCAATGTCATACTAGTGCCGTTTGACTTTACTGCCTTTTAGATATGAAGGGCTGATCAGCCAACGATACGTGTAAAACTCCGCATACATATCGGATGCGTACGTTCATTTGAGCCGGACGAGTTCCCAGGAGACAGTGCCACCTTTTCTGGAAGCCACCATGCCGCGCTAAGAGTTTGATGGCATCTTGATCTTGCAGTGCAACTTCCACCCGGGTAAGATCGTCGGACATTTCCCCCCTCAGACACGGCGGCCATCTGCGAGATAAGACCATTGAAGCCTTCAAAGCCTAGACGAACTGTCTGTAGCGCGAAGAGGAGGTGAACCTATCGCATGGCAATGACTGTACCCTCATCTCGCATGTCAGATACTGTCATCGTTGCCGGCCTGTCGAACCTACCTCGAATACCTGGAATCCAGATGACTAGGTCGGGGCAAATGTATAATTAATAACTGAATGTAAGGTTGCGGACATCTTAGGGACCTGGAGCCGCCTACTGCGACCTCGAGATCGGGTCCAATCGACTCAGCAGGGCTTATCACCTGGGGATCAAGGGCCCCAAGAAATGTCCCCAGTACGATAAGCTCGATAAGTCAGTCGTCACTGTTGCCTCCATTGACACTTGCTCCTCATAGCCCTCCAAAACGAGGACAGACCGCCAGATTACCTCTATCCGCCGTCTACGATATAATGAGTTACCCTCAGACGTGCATACAAGTAATAAAGAGTGCTCGATCTCGACAAGGCTGTCTGACCTGTCGAGAAGCACACCAAATGTGATGAAGAAAAACCCACATGTGGGAAATGTCGACAACGTGGACAGGGATGCCAGTATCCCCCTAGCCTAAGATTCAGCGCAGTCGACAATCCTCAATCATTCGCCCCCAATGGTCGGAAAGCTAGGACAACGGGAGACAATCGTCCAACTCCACGTAGACAGATTCAAGAACCTTCGAAATCATCTTCCCGGGTCGGAACCGTTGACAATCAGCCTCTCGAGGATTGGACGGCATCACCTCTGGGTCATGAAGTAAGGGCAGACTTGGAATGCTTTGCCGGGCCCCAGCAGAGCTCGGCAGAATTTCTGTCAGCAGAGCAGGACTTGGCTAAATTGGACCACTCTTCATCTGCTCGGGTGGGATCTGGCTCGGAATTTGAGACTGACAAAGCCAGTTGTGTATATGCCCATGGTGGGAACAGGAATGAGATTTCCCTCAATCAAAACGAGCGAGAAGCAAGAAGAGAGGGACCTGGTCCAAGATGCTGGTTCTGACTCTGATTCCGATGTCAATGAAGCTGGTGGTGCAGCTAGCTATGAGTCCTGGATCCTGGACTTCCCACTAAACCATTTCCTTTGCCAGTCAGTACACGATGCTGGTGCGGAGATTGCTTACAACTACTGTTAGTTTGGTTCGCGAACGGTTTATTTTCGCGCTGACCTGAATCTCCAGACTTCAAGCATGTCTCCGGAAGTATCCCGGGTCACGACAGGAAAGACAATCCATACCGGAAGTTATGTTTGATTGCCGTATCATATCCAACTCTACTGCATACCATTATTGCAGTCGCTACAGATCACATGTACAACTATGGGAGAAGCAGTATTGACCTCACAACATCGAGACATTCCCGGGCGCTGAAATCTCTCCAAGAATCGCAGAAAGTATTAGCTCAAACAGAAGAGAAACCGAAATCTAACGATTCAGTCATCGGAGACAGCGGAAACTACTCTTACGCGTACTCGGTGCTCTCCCCAAGGGACGTCGTACTGGCCGCCATTCTGATGCAGATTGTTTCCAACGTCATGACTGGAAGTGACAGCGCTGAAGCTCATATGAAAATTGCTGCTCATTTCCTTCGCGAAATGGGACTGCTGTACCAGCCAGGTCAATCATTCTTTCCCCGGTTACTCGTTCAGAGGTTCGCCATGGTCGACGTTGTCCTTTCATTTCTACGGCACCGAGATCCTTTGGCACCCCCAGATTTTATACTATACCAACCGAACCAGCATTTTGATCTTAGCGAGCCCTCCTTTCGTGAAATGACGGGGTGTTCTCAACAAATACTCTGCTTTCTCGCCAGAATATCCTTTTGGAACGGAAGAGTCATGAGCGGCATGACCCCTGACATATTTGCTGAAGCATACCTACTGGAGTCTGAAATGCGAGTCTGGGGCGGCAAATATCACGAGAATCTCCAGGGCAAGCAGGACTGTCTTCTCGCTATTCCTCCTCCAGACTCACAGAACTCAGACCGGAACCTTGACGTCCTTAGCGAATGCTTTTACTGGACGGGCCATCTTTTACTAATGAGAAGGGTGCTTCTGGATCCCACCACAGCCCCAAGGGTGCAGATGGTGCGAAATCACCTCTTCCGGCTCATCGATTGCCTGCCAACCGGATGCGGTCCAGACTCTTCAGTCCCTTTTCCATTTTATATGGCTGCTCGGGAAGCTATGTCTGCAGACCAACGGGCTTGGGTACGGAACAAGCATGCTAGCATGAGAAAGGTGTACCGTGACCGAGCGAGGGATTTGATGATGGCATCGATCGAAGAGATTTGGGCCAAAGTAGACTCCTCGACGTCATCTCATACCGAGGTTGACCATATCAGGAATGAAGGGTGCATCAAAGCAATTGACAGGAGATCGTCACACTTCATGTTCTAAGGACGATGAGAAATAGAAAATGGATAGAATTTTGTCTGTCACGACAGTATGGCCGCGGGAAGGTTGCAGCAAAACGAGCACAATATACACCCAGACGCCATCTCAGGGCCGCGTCGCGACACTGTGCAGAGTCCCTCCACTCCTAGCGAATTATCCCGGTTTCCCGAACACGATTGACGAAGCTATACCTGCTTCTCCTGCTCCGGCAACGAGACAGCAATCTGGTGCTTTGGTGGGAACTCTGCAACTTTCTCAGGAGTGTCAACCACTGTTCCATCAACTGAATCCTCATCCAAGTCACCAATGCGATTGCGAGCGACCCAGTCAACAACGTCGTCTGGATGAACGGCAGGACCGGACAAGCTGTAGCTTGGTGGGAAGACGAAGTTCAGACCCCAGAACACAGAGGCTGAGATGATGACGGCAAATACCCAGCTTAAATCGTAGGTGTATGGTTGAACGTCTGGAACATTTGGGTTGATTTGATGGATAAAACCTGGCAGGTTCGGTGCATACGCGGCAATGTATGCAGCGATGGCTCTCCAATTCACCCCGTGCCAGTAGAAATATTTCCCGCCCTTGCCAATATAAAGATGACGGACATCCACTTTACGCTGACGGACGAGCCAGTAATCGGACATGATGATGCCGCTGATAGGGCCCAGGAGAGATGGATATGCACTCAAGAAGTCTGTCCAGCGTTAGTGCTAGATCTCATTTGCTTAGGTCAGAAGTTGACTCACTGATGAAAGAGCCACCATTGTTGACGATCTTCCATGGAACGATGATTATGGATAGAAGAGCAACCAGCCAACAACCCCGGACGTTGTTGATATATTTTGGGGAGAAGGATGATAGCGCAATCGCAATAGTAACGGTGTTGGCAGAAAGATTGACTCCAATCGTCGCTATGATCCAATCGAGTGCTGCAAAGAACACAGCTGCGCGATTATCCCATTGTGCCAGAATCTCAGCTGGGCTCCAATATGTCTCGCCGTATACTTGAAGCGTTGCTGATGATGTGATGACAGCGAATACCGGTCAATGGCAAAGCCAAAGCTTGCATCCATGCACCTTTTGTGGACTTGCCGAATCGCGCGAAGTCAGGGACTGTAGGGAGTCGCTTAGTTCATATCTGAAATCGATTGTGCCAGACTCTATACAATGCCATCAGCTTCTGTGGTTTGGAATGGAGTTACCCCTTGGAGACAAGGCAGCTGTCTTGACTCGACGATGAGCAGGCACTTACCACATTCAATATACCGAGCCACATTAATGCGATGAAAGAGCGAAGTAGCACTGGAAACCAGCCGAATCTCATGCCCAGGACAATCTCGCCGAGAGGGGAAATCCGATGCGGTATGTGGTAGCGACGTGACCGCTTAAGTCGCAGACCACGCCCGTCAAGAACATGCCGCAGAATGTCAATGGCACAATCTCACGCAGAGTGAACCCCTGAGCCACCATGCTGGAGCCAAACTCCCAAGTGGGGATAGTGAATTGGTCTGATGCCCAGTAGGTCATGAAATCCCAGGCTCTCCATTTGCGTTGCTCGGGGGGTACTGGGTCGAGATCCCTCAGGGGAACGAGTCAGTCGATCATCCCTTTGAGCAAGAGGAAGGGGTAAATCACCTTTGTTTGCCCAAGAAGTGCCATTTGCGAATATAGATCCGTCTGGATCGAGCTTGACCATTTCATGCGAAACGTGCAACTTGTTCTTGAATCCTTTGGTGTTCTTCACCGTGATGAAGTTCTCCTTCCACTGTTGATGGTTGGGAAGGGGAATGCCCCAGAAGGTCTCTCGTCGACCCATCTTGTCCTCGTGTGATGAAGGTAGGGGTAGCAGACGAACACACTCCAAATTGAGGATGATACTTTCCCAATTGCATATCTCACGAGGAAAAGTCTTTGATATATGTCCCATTCTACATCACCTGAAAATCCCAACACATGCTCAGTAGCAAAACGTCCTTGACATGATCGTTACCAACCCAAACCCAGGCCGTGATTCGGCTTATCGTGTCCGGTTGTCGTGGTCGAGCCAAGATGGCTATCAATTACTCAGAATGGCAATCCGCCACGGGCGGGACCATCTACCAAAAAAGCAACGACCAATCAGGCTAGATTTCACTGCTCGAGTACAGAATTGCGGGGGCGACGCGACAAAGTCCCAACAGACCAACAAGGTGTTCTCATTCTGAAGGCCGCAGCAACATGCCCTTATCTCAAAACATGGAAAAGTTCGGCACCGAGATTCACAGATCATTGGGCGCGTCCCGATGATAACGCATCTATGGGCAAATGTAAATGCGCTTTAACAGGATCTGCGAGTCTGGACCATATGCCTCGCTCTGCGATTACTGTCAGTCTCCTTGCATTTTCTGTTTAGGAGATTCGTGACGGATCCCTCGATCAACTCATGACTCTAGTGATCACACTAATGCCGTAGTGATACTGTAGGTTGGCAGCCTTGGCTTATGCGATTCACATGATCGCTACTGCAAAGGGTGTGCCTTCAACGCTGGCCAGGCGGGAGTGGGGCACGAAGAGAGCCAGACGAGGAGATGTCCTATCCGAGCATGTTATCTTTTGACCCTGCTTTGAAGCGGATCCAGGCCATGACCGCCTTGTTACCAGAAATGCATGTCAGACTCCAAACCTATGTCTTGCGCGGCGACCTCGACCACTTAGCCTTTCCACGAGAAGTGCTCTTATCGTCTACCTTGTTCTTTGTGTGAAGGCACAGAAACTAGATAGGCCGCACAAGAGACACCACAATGCGTTCTGCTACAACCCCAGATGCCAACCTACCCATCTTCGACTTCTCTCGCTTTCGAAATAGTGACCAACAAGAGCGCAAAGAAGCCTCAAAAGAGATCGTTCAAGCCTTTAAAACTTTCGGTTTCATCTATATCATCAACTATGGCATCTCGCAGGAGAAAATTAAAGATCTATTTTACTGGGTGAGTAGTCCTCAATCTTACTTTCTGTGCGCAGGGGTATGAAATGGTTCATCATTCCACGGCTCCTCATACTTGATCAAAGCATTGCGCATACGAATTAACATGAGAATCAACAGAGCGCGAAATTTCACGAACTTCCCGACGAAGTGAGAAACAGCCCCGAACTCCTTCGTCCGGAGCCTGTACCTGGAGCAACAGGATATATAGCCCGTGGCTTCTCACCCTTGGGCAGAGAAAAGATCTCGCAAGACACTTTTGATGATCAGTCTCTAAAAGCTCTCCGACAAGTCCAGGATGCCAAAGAATTTTTCGACATGGGACCCGAGGCTGGGGTTCCTGCTGTCCGTGAACCAAATCGCTGGCCTTCCGAAGATGTCCTTCCAGGCTTCAAGGAGTATTTTCAAACTTTCTACACGGAGGGCAACGAACTTTCATTGGAAATTCAGCGGTGTCTCGCCCTTGGACTAGATCTTGACGAAGAGTTCTTTACCAACTTCCACCAAGACGCCGATAACCTGCTCCGTCTCATACACTATCCGGCTGTTGAGCGCAAGGCTATTCGAATGGGTGAAAAGGCTCGAATTCCGGCACACACGGATTTTGGCACATTGACTATGCTCTTCCAGGACAGTGTGGGCGGTCTTGAGGTTGCTGATCCCAAAAATCCTCAGGAATATAGTATGACTCTCTTGATTTGAGAATTTCCCTTTTGCGCATGGAGGACGACTAACATACGTTATAGTCTCCGCAACTCCAATTGAAGGTGCAGCCATTGTCAATATTGGCGATTTTCTGAAGCGATGGTGAGATTCCCACCTTGTTCTCTGGTATGTTGCGGCTGATGAATAATCGTTTAGGACGAATGATATCCTCAAGTCGAACTTTCACCGTGTCGTCGAGCCACCAGCCGAGCTTGAACTTGCTGATGGGAACGAGCTGGCCAAAGAGCGCTATTCTATACCATACTTCGTCCAGGCGGACCGCAACAAAACCATCGGATGCATCACAAGCCTCGAGAAGAATGCAGAGCCAAAGTATCCTCCTATCAGTGCGCAGGAATACCTCAATATGCGCACGTTCGCCACATACAAGCTCTAGATACTCGAAGCTGTGGATTTGGTGTAGATGGAAATTTGTCTAATCAAAGGTGTCATATGCAGGGTCAAGTTCACCATACTTAGCATTCGATGTACAGTGGTGGTGTCATTCTTCTTAATTCCGACAATTGATATCATGTGTGTATACAATCAATGACACCTCGTAACCATCCTTTCCATGAAGAGACAGCCCTTGAAGGACATGTGTCCTACAGGGCAACAATCTAGGTTTTCTGGCCTTGGCCCCGTAAGTCACAGAGAGTGAAGTGCCAGATGTGGACTTCAAGAGGCGTGGAGAGAACGTCCAGAACTCCCCAATGAGTGTGGCCTTGTTCACAGACGAAGTCTTCCTTAATATTTCCCAAGACGATGCAGCGACACGCATTGCCCGATGAGGTTAATCAGCGTCACCTGGTCGAGACTGCGTGCTTTCCTGGGCAGAGTGGCTTCGAGTCGAGTGTGCGATTCCGGTTCAAGTCAAGATACTTGATGTCTGTCACATGTGGTCGTGGCTGGCCCTTATCATTTAGCCGTTTTGTTATCTTTCCGAGTACATGTACCCTATCTGAACTAATTTTGTGGTTCTTGGTCCCATCCCTGGTGACTAAGCTCGAAGACCACTGCACTTCTGCAATAGCAGTCAACAGCATTCTCGAAGGCTACGACGATGTTGTTCACCAGGGGGATCTTACCAGGCACCGAGAAGACCGACTATAAGGGGTAAATGTGTGCTTTGAGCACCCTGAGAGCACTGTGAGGGAACGTGCCTTTGTTCGCCTTGCCAAAGCACTCTCCAGTTTGACCTTCCAACCCAGTGTCGACCAGTATCAAGACCCCTTCAAGATGGGATTCACTCCAGTCACAACAGAGGCACTGGTGGTGCTTGAGCCGCACACAGGGTTTCAAAGACTACCGATCATTCTGAACGAAATGCGCGACAATGAGGTCTTGGTTGAAGTTTTGTACTCGGGAATATGTCATACAGTGCGTTCTAACCATACGACGTCCCCCTCAATCCGATGTGACCAGACAACGGGATAGATATCTGATTCTCTTCCAACAGGATATTGTGGGCGAGGATGGCGGGTTCCCTCCCGTCCACTACCCAGCAATCTTCGGTCACGAAGGTGCAGGTATCATCCGGCAGCTCGGGTCCGCGGTAAAGGACAAGTCGCTCGCTGTAGGCAACTCGGTGATCTTGTCATTCAACTCATGCGGATCCTGCAAATCGTGCGAGACCGGTTTTCCAGGATCATGTTTCTCGCACACACCTCTAAATCAGCACTCGGGCAGGATCGATCAGACCCATCTTGCAACGCTTGAAGATGGGGTGACCGTCTCGAGTCAATTCTTCGGGCAATCCTCCTTTGCGAGAATGACCGTCGTCTCGGAGCGGTGTGTGGTGAAATGCCCATATCCAGAATCACTGTCCATTTATCCTGGTCTCGGGTGTGGCTTCCAGACTGGTGCGGGTACAATCTTGAACGCCCTCAAGCCGAAACCCGAAGACACTGTTGCCGTGTTTGGCCTGGGAAGCGTCGGGATGGCGGCCGTTATGGCCACCAAGTATGCGGGCATTCAGAAGGTCATTGGCATTGATCTTATGGACTCGAAAATCGAGCTTGCTAAGCAGTTTGGCGCCACGCATACGATTAACCCGAGGACAACACCTGATGTTGTCAAAGAGATACACAGCCTCACCAACGGCTCAGGCGTCGACTATCTCATTGAGTGCACTGGGTCGACGAAAGTGTATGACAATCTGGTCGATTTTCTGAGTTGTAGAGGGATTGTTGCTCTTGTGGGCGTTCCTCCGGTCGGACACGATTTGAAGCTTGATACGACTAGGATGCTCCTGGAGAACAAGGTCGTTCGAGGCGTAGTGCAGGGCGACTCTGTTGCTCAAAAGGTATGTGCAGGAGCTCTTTGATAAATATACGTTGACAACTAATTTCCACAGTTCATTCCCGAAATGATTGAAATGCACCGTGCTGGTCATTTTCCCATAGATAAGATATGTACTATCTACCCCGTCGAGCACCTGGAACAGGCCTTGGAGGACATCCATACGGGAAAGGTATGTGCAGACACAAAGATCCGGTTTTGAGATCATCACGTATTGATACGCCGATTATATAGGTCATCAAAGCCATCTTCGCGTGGTAGCAAAGGTGCACTGGTATTCGACAGCAGAGGAGCCACACGAAAAGGAGATGTAGATTTGTGACTATCGAGCACGAACCTAAGTTTGTCCTGCTCGAGACGCCGAACCTGTTTCAAGGAAAAGTGGCACCGTCTGGGAGGGGGCATATCGAAAACACAAGTTCTGAGGTCAAGCTGGTTCATGACAGCGGCTGCCCGGACAGCGAACTAGAAGCACTGTACGTCAGAGCTGATGGCCTCCTCTCTATCAACGGCGAACGCTATATCGTTGTGTGTGAAGGACTCTGGGATGACAATCAGGATGGTATCTATCTGATCCTGACCGGCAACAGCAGTCAGACTGTGCCACTTTTTCTGAAAACAGGCTGGACGCCTTGTAAAGGCGAGGGTAAGTCGCCACTGGGGATAGGGAGGGTGACACCTATAGCTGCAGAGCTGAAAGACAATCAAATCGAGGCAGGCTTTCGATGCATTCAGGGCGACACAACAAACATTTCCTCCTGTTGATACCATGTATCTTAGATAGCTTCCACGATAACGCAAAGGACAAGGCATCATACTCATGACTTACGCGTATCAAGCGCACAGAAGAATGATGCATATTGGTTGATACTAGAGATAGAGATCACCGCCGCAATGAGAGACCACATGTATAAGTCTTCTCCGAGGGATAACCACACCTCATTATTGTCCTCACAGCACCGCCAACAGTGGCAGGTCGTGTCTCGCAGCATTGCCGAAGATGATGACGCTCCATAAGAGTCGCCTGTCTGTCAATTCCCATGTTCATTCCTTGTCAGTAGCCTTCCATGCTCTCTTGATGTACTCCTCGACATCTGCAAGCAGCTCATTAGGCTTCTCCATGGCCGCGAAGTGACCACCGTGGTCGTGGTGATTGAATGACACCAGATTGCAAGTGGTGGCCGCCCAAGTCTTCGGAATTGGGACGATCTCATGGGCAAACAACGAGTACCCACAAGGCTTGTCGACGTATGGAAGGTTCAGCGGTGCTCGACTTGTCACCACACTAATCCTTGCAATCTTTGGCTTCTCATTTGGGTCGCCGCCCAGGCCGCGGTTATGGTAGAGGCATCGGGGTATAGTATCCGTCATCCAGTACAACGTTACTGCTTCGAGGATCTTCTCAAGTGGGGGATCTTCGTCGGTCCATTCGAGGAACTTTTCTCCAATCCAGCAGAGAAGTGCCAACGGACTGGCACTCAGGGCTAGGCCTATTGATGCCGGCCTTGTTCCTTGCTCCAGTGCAAACGCATACCCCGTGTCGATGAACTCGCCTGCCTTTTGCAGCGCCTTCTTCGTTGGCTCGTTCATTTCAGGCTCCCCTGCTGGCACCATCATATTCACATGCATGCCTTTGCAGGCGTCGTAGCTCATTGCAAGAAATCTGCTCACGAAGCTGCCAAGGTCACCGCCCTGGGCTATGTATCCGGAGCCGAACCCCAGACCGACCATCAAATTGTTGAGTGCTCCAGCAGCTAGGTCGATTCCGTAGTCCGTGTTGAGTGGTGGACCGGATGAATATGCATAGCCTGGAAGCGACGGAACGATAATGTGGTATGGTAAGTCTTTAGGAGAGTACTTCTTTCTGAGGATTTCCAGGATGTCCAGGAACTCGCAGATAGAGCCTGGCCAGCCATGAAAGAAAGCGATCGGAATAGCATCAGCTTTCTCGGAGAATAAGGCCAGGAATTGGATGTTGGTGTCATTACCGTCTGCATCCTTCACAGTAGCATTGAAGTTTGGGAAAGAGTTGATTCGGTCTTCCTGTTTGCGCCAGTCGAAATCATTTAGCCACACATTTTTCGCATGTTCAAGCCAGTCTCTTTCAATACCATACCTCCGACCTGCATTGGTATTCTCGAAGACAGCAGGGCCAATGGGTGAGAGCTCCAACAGCTTCTTGAGGTGGAGTAGCTTGTCCTCGTCAACGTGAGCCTTGAATGGCGTGACGTCGAGTGTTGCTCCGGCTGGGAGCTTAGCGTAGTTGGCCATGTTGTCTAATATGTGAGTATGGATGATATGAATTTTGTCCCGGAAGGAAAGAAGAAGGCTATGAGTATGCTACTTATCACTTTTAAGGCTGATTTCCTACCTTACCTTGGGCGGTCGCCCGACTGATCGAGCATACTGGAAGAACCTAGAATGTTCCTCGTCAAAGCGATACACACGGCCCAGCGCTCGGCTGATCCTGATCCTGCAGACGGCACGGCTGCGTACATAAGACACTGCACAGCATTGCACAACACATGGCCATATTTCCTTTGCTGCTATCGTCCCAGCTTGATTCAATAATGGATCTCCGGGTTGGCAATTGTTCTAATACGAGCAATGTATCATTCAGAATGTCATGCAGAAACGATGCTGCAGGCTCCCGCCCGGGTGAAGATGGGGGGCCTTAGACTGGTTCTGCTCAAAACGACGCCCATATTTGTCGTCGTCCTCCATGACGAGTGATATATGGCTGCAATTGGAAGCAGGCGCAAGAAGAAGGATACTGTAAACATAATCATCAACGTGAGATGAAGTCAAGTCAAATTGAGGTGGGGTGAGAGGAGAGGATAGGAGGATTGGCTAACGGGCAGGATGGTGGCTTAAAGCGGCATGGTTCGTATATGTGTTATTAAGTATAGGCACACTTGCAGCCTAAAAGCGGCGTCACCACAGACGGTCCTTCAGCAGGGGGTAATTATTCGTATCAAAGGCAGACAAATGTCCAGATGTGCCTGCCAATCTCACGACAAAATGACATCCACTGGGTCATGGGGACACATGTGCCCTACGACTTCTATCAGAAAACGCTCGCAGCCCTTCGATCCCTCTTAAGTGGTGAGAACTCTGCCAATGCCTTCCCCTTGCCAATGGGTTTTGCTTTCAAACTGATGCGTCCGAGGATGCCACCGCCTCCCCGTCCGAGGTCTCTAACCTTGGTGCCAGGTGCTTCATCTTCATCGTCAAAGATGTTGACCCGTTTTAAGACCTTTGCCTTCACCAGGGGCTCTGTTGCATCCTGACTTGTCTCCTGGGTAGTCTTGGTATGCATTGTATTCTCCTTGTCCTTGTCAACATTTCCGACAGCTTCAGCCTCGTCCGCCTCACTCTCAAGGTCCGAAAGCTCCTCCACTAGCTTGGCTAATTGTGGCTTTTTGATAGTGCTGTTGGCTCTGGAGTTTGTAGTTTCCTTGAGTGCTCCAGCCTTTGGTTTGCTTGTGGAGGCAGATGCCTTGTTCGTTGCGGACGGCTTCTCCGGCCGTGACTGCGCTATCTTAGGTTTCGAAGCTGCCCCTTTGGCCTCGCCCACAGTAACAGCTTGCGATGGCTTCTTGACTTGTTCGCTCTCCTCTTCCGATGGAGACTCGGGCAGTATGCTCAGGGTACGATTCAGGAAAGGCGTGATTGAGAAGTTTGATTTGTCGGCGACATTGACTGACATGCGTTGCTTTTTTGCCGCTGGTGCACCGTGTCCAGGTGTCCCTATCGTCATGTCTGGGTCGAACCTCGCAATGTTTCTCTTCTTGGAATTGGCGTTGGTGGTTCCGATTAGCCTGGCCTTGGTCATTTCTGCAGATTGTGCCATCTTTTCAGCCTGCAACTTCTCAATGTCGTCCTGAGCCTCCTTCAACTGGTCTTTCGTTGAACGCAATTTATTTCGGAAAGCGTCAAGTTTTCCCTCGAGGATCTCCTTCTCACCTTCCCATTCCACCACTCTCTTTCTGTTGTCACGCTCATTCTTCTGTGCGTCGCGATGCGCCTTGGCCAGCTCTTTCTTCAAGCCCTCAATCTCCGCGGTAAGCACAGAATCTTCTTCCGCAGATGACTTTTCCTGCGCCTTGATTCGTTGCACTGTCCTCTTCTCTGTCTCAAGCTCCACCTGCAGGGAGCTTAGCTCCCGCTGCAACGCCAACTTCTCTGCTAGCAGTTTCTGATGGGAGGAGGCTTGTGATCTGAGATGTTCCAGTTCTGGCTTCAATGTATTCAATTCTCGTGCAAGCGCCAGCTTTTCGGAAAGAATCTTGGTTGCATCCGCGCTGGCCGCATTCAGTGCATTTACTTCAGTCTTCAAGCGTTCCAGATCTCGTAGACGCCCTTTCAGCTCCATCTGGGTTTGCTGCAGGTCGGCTTCGACTTCGGATAGGTGGGTGCGCAATTCTTCGTTGATTTCTTCGAGGTGGTGTTGCTCGTCTTCATCGCGTTCGGCTTGTTCGTGTAGCTCATCGCTGTCATATTCGGCAAGCAAGAGCTGTACGCGCATTACTCGCACACGCTCTTCTTCGTAAATTCGATCCGCTTGTCGCAATGCGCGTTCGTAGACGAGTTCGAGCTGTGCCGATTGCATAGATTGAGCAACCTCCTCGTTACTCATGTATGATAGTGCTACATCCATGTTGTAATATGGGCTGATGCCAAAACTCTTCTGGCTCAAATTATGATGCAAATGTCAGCGATGATGAGCATTGGAGAAACGAATAAACGAATCGCTGGCGCTGTTTACTTGTTCTAGAGATGGAATAGCGCCGCCAAGCCGGAAACGCGCCTTGGGGACGAGTGACAGTGACACCACGACTCGCTCCATAACAGAGTCTACCCCGCCATTTCCAATCAATTCCATCATACTGGACAGTCCGTTCAATTCACTGTTTGCCCATCTGTACCTCATCACAAACACACACAGACATACAGACATTTCTAGGTGAACAAGCTGCAGCCATGTCCTACGATAGCTATGACAGAGTCAAGGGTCTCTTCGTGATTGGGACCACCACCTCGGCTTTCCTCACTGGTTCGCCCAGTCTCAGGACGTTTCCCTCTCCTCAGTGCTAATACAGAACAGGAGGTCTCCTTTTCACCTCGTACTCACACGTCCCCGGCTATCTTCAGAACTCCTCGGACGAATCGTTGTTGAAGCAATGGCAGACTATGGGTGCTATCGGCAGAGCCGTTATGCCACCCTTGATCTTGGTTGCCAGCGGTTCCCACTTCATCAATGCCTACCTAACCCACACTCAGCCCCAGCACTACCGCTTCCTCGGCGCAGGGGTGCTGAGCCTCGCTGTCCTGCCCTTTACCTTTCTTTCGCTCGGTCCGATTAATGACGAGATCGCCGCGCGAAACGAGAAGAAGGAAGATCATGTGAATGAGCAGCTGCAAAAGATGAGCAACCAGGAGCTCATTAAGAGTTGGGGTACTCTCAGTGCTGTGAGGGGATTTCTGTTCCTCGCAAGCACGCTTGTCAGTTATGATGCCATGTTGCATCTGACGTTCTGAGAAACGTATGTACGTCCTACAGGGGACAACAGCTGGGTATGTTGTAACGGACCAGAAATAGTCGTCGATCGGATGTCCGACAACCGACGCCCCGGAAAGCAGAGGTAGGGCATTGCCGCAGGTCGAGACACGAGCAAAACATGCAGATACATAATATGTTGTGAAATATAATATGTTGTGAAATATTTACATGAATCGAAGATGCAGACCGTATCAAGATGCTCATTACAGCCTCGTGGTACTCTCGACGACAACGCTTGAATACGTTACTAATTATTCAACTTCACTAACAGGCCAACAACTACGGAGCAAACGTCTGACATATATTTGCTGACTAGGCTATCCCCCAAAATATCAGCCTCATGTATCATGCACCCATGACTTCTGGCCCCTCTGGGCGTCAGCACGAACGGTCTCCCAAGTCTGGCCATAAGCAGCCAGTGACACATTTCATCGCAGTCGGAATCAGAACAACCTCTTCATTGGAATGACAACAGGTGGCTAGGAGTTCCGATACTACAACCGACGACGAGCAAACTTTCATGAGCCTTGAGTGCCCTGTCCTCAACCCAGAGTCGCTGCTGGCTGCCTTCAAGCCGATTGAAGTGTTATATACTATCTTCATCCCCGGCTTACTCACTGCCTCCTGCACTAAATCAAGCCACAACTTAGTCGCTGCCAGCCCCAATGCTACAGTCCCTGTCATCCCTATCAAGTCCACCGGGACTGCACATGTTTTTACTACCATTTCTACACTTGTAAGGACATTTTGGAAGCAACGCAATTTCGTTTCCAGCAAGCGAAGCGGCTTGGATACACTGCAATGTCAGGGTATGGTGGACAGTCAGGTTATTTGGATGGAGTTTATGGCGATGAAGAGTATGACAATGGAGGTTATGGGAACCAAGATTATTCAAACACTGACGACACCAATGTGCAATTCAATGCTGAGGAGTTTGAACAGGAGCTACAAGAATTCAACGGCGACTACGACAATTTCGACCATGACCAAGTTCACAATTTCCTGGCTTTTCTCAATTATCTCGCAAACGACAAATCAATCGATACTTCTCACAACCAGGCATTGACCGAAGGTATACACTATTTACAAGAAGCGCTATACAATGAAGGGCACGACGGGCACGACTTTTACAAAACAGAGGTGACGAGTTGCGTCCGGCAGCTCGCGCAGACGGGCCATTGCGAACACATCCTCGCGTTTCTCAACCAGATTGTGGAAGAAGAAGTCGGATTTCGCACTCACGGACCCCTGTTGGGCGTCATGAACGACATCGCTGAAATACTTGATTCGGATACGAGTACGCAAGATGGGCAATACGGCCAAGGACATGGTGGTCATGGTAGTTACAGTGGACAAGGCCACGGACAGCACAATCAAGGCTACGGACAACATAGCCATGGCTACGGCGACAACTCGGGCGGGTATAACCAAAGCTATGATGACGGTTCTGGTGGTTATGGCGATCAAGACTACGATGACGGTACGGGTGGTTATGGTGGCCAGGGCACTGGACAGCAGGGGTATGATTATGGCGGTCAGGCTGGATACTGATGGTGACAGCCGCGCTGACGGACACTTGGACTCGTGATGCAGCCTGACGCTCTTGTCGTTTTCGCCCGTAACTCGTTCATGGTCCATCGAGGCACGCTGTCCACCCATACCGAATACGTGGACAAAGGACGCCAAGCCGTGAACTCGCCCGAAATTAACAGATCATGCGGCCTTAGAATACTACTCATCACATCGCCGAGGACAGTATCACCGCTGATCCAGTATGCAGTCCGAAGGTGGCGGGATTTGCAGAGACGCAGTAAACGTGGGCGACTGTGGTGGCCGTTGTGGTCGTTCTGGGCACTGCACGTCTTGTGCCTAACGGAAGAATATCGGCCCGAAAAAGGAGAGACAGCCTTGTCCCACGACTGGGCACCCGGACTCTTACATGATGACCATTCTATATATAGGTACTGAGAGCAGTAAAATACAGTCCATCGTAACCCAAGCGATGTGTGAGCTTCCTTGTATCGCAGTTCCCAGCTTTTCGGAACAGGTCCTTCTCACATCTGACCAGGACAACTTCCTTAGGGTATGCCGCGAGTCTGTCGAGTATTTCGATCTGTCATACAGGTTCTTGGGAAGAGGGTTGGACTGCTGCTCAATTGGTTGAACCTTGTACCCCAGGTGGTACTGCTGCTGGGCCTGATAATGCCCCTTGTCTCGGTATCTCTGGTCCGGCTGATACCGGTGATGCTTGTATCACACTTGCAATGTTTGGCTGGTATCTCATTGTGGATTCAAGCACACAAACACCCGACAAGATCATTGACGTCTGGACTCGCTGGCGCGGCTGGTAGAACGCCGAAGGCACGTCGACATTTTTGCCCTAATGAAAATGGTTATTGGAGCGTTGTTGTTGGCACTACTCCGGTCCTGTCGGCGGACCTCGTGCCGCAGGTCTTCTTTCATTCATCTCGATTTCAGCTAAGCACTACTCTGTTAAGAGACATGGGATATGGGTCAAGATTGTCCCATTTTCTCGAGACCTCCTCTGTTGCCCATGAGCTGTTCCCAACTACAGCTCACCACTTCAAAGGTATTGCCCCAAGGATCCGAAAAATAAACAACTTCATCATCTTCCCCAGGTGCGAAGGGCCACACAGTCTCACCGATCCTCTTGCCTCCCGCTTGCAAAACTTTTGCCAGGAGCGCTTCTGGGTCAGAGTCTGTGATTGCCATATGGAAGAACCCGCCCCGAGTGTATGCGAACTCGGATGGGTGTGACATTTTGGGGTCGATCCATTCAAAGACTTCCAAGCCAACACCGTTGCCGCTGGTAAGGCAGCCCAGTTTCAGCTTCTTGCAGTTCTCGCCATAGATCCGGAAGATAGCAGCGTCGGGGTTCTCGGATCTATCGATGACGCTGATGTTTTCTTGCAGTTTGCGGAAACCTAGAATTTTTGTGTACCACTCAACTGCCGCTTCGCAATCGGGAACGGTCACACCTATATGGTTGACGGTACGATTGGGCGGAGATCGTTGAATCTGAGGTTTTGCATCTTTCAGTTTGATATCTGGGAATTTCCCAGGCTGCTTGCCGTGAACATACCTTGGGCATATTGTCGATGGTAAATTGAGAATCCCCTGTCAGGTCTTTTCTTTTCCAACTGTTGAATGTTTGCTCAATTGTGAATTCATCCAAGGCCCACCAGTGATGGGACTTTACTTCTCGTCACCACTACACGCGTGTTGTAGTTTTTGTATACTTTCACTAACCAGAAAACATACGGGTATTGACAGCCGACCGGCCCCGAAGCGGCCACGGAGGGATGACCATTCGTACAGTTTCGATCGAGGCACCTCATCCGTCGATCCGACAGTCTTCGACTCACTGGGTCTAACCACGTTAGTGAAGCGGTCAGAACATTATCGCAAGCATTTTGGAAGCCGTCTAACGACTCTGAGAACGCTCAGAGACGCATCAACTGAGTCTTATGTGATGCCACTTTTGGGAGGACTAGGGATAACTATGCGTTCTAATGGATCCTTCGCTGTGATGCGACACATTTGGCTTCGGACAAGGTGTTACTCTGAGTGCTGAAATGCTACAATTGACTCCGGACTCTCTTCACAAAGGCGCCTTGGGCGTTGACGGCATATTCACGCCCATTTCTCCAGCCTATCCATTCTTTCAATGCCTCTTCGCCTCGCTCGCCGGGACGCAGAGCCTTGCCTTCGTAAGGCGACTCTATTTCTTTGGCTGGTGTCTTGCTAAGGCCGGATATGGGTCTCTGGTCGTATCCTGCCGCCTTCAGTTCGCTCAACTCGAACACGGGCGTGCAACAAGCGTCTGTACCGTCAAATATAGCTTCCCATTCTTTTCGTGTTTTGGTTCGGAATCGTCGAGCGAACAGCTCCCTCATGAATGGCCACGCACGTTTGTCCTCCCTGTCCAAATCACCAGGGACAGCCTCGCCCGGTTCAAGGCCTAGACCTTTCAGGAATTGCTGGTAGAACTGTGGCTCCATGCATCCGACAGACATATATTTTCCTTGATCTGCGCACTCGTAACAGCTGTAATATGGACAGCCTCCATCAAAGGTATTATTGCCGCGCTCGTCGTTGCCTAAAGGATGTTGGGTCAAAAGACGCGGAAACGTAGCAAGATAGCTGGCGCCGTCGACCATATTCGATTCGATGACTTGCCCTCGACCTTCGACTTGTCGATTGATGAGGGCTAAGAGGATACCTGTGAACGCGGCGTGCCCACCGCCCGCGAAGTCACCGAGGATATTTTGCGGCGGCGAAGGTGGCAGGTTTCTTGGACCAAATAAAGATAAAACACCCGAAACCGCCAGGTAGTTTATATCGTGCCCGGCCATGGCTGAATATTTTCCATCGCGGCGAAAGCCAGTCAATCTCCCCACTATCAACCGGGGGTTGGTTTTGAGAAGAACCTTCTCCGGGTCGAGGCCGAGCTTCTCAAGGACACCCGGTCGGAATGGATCGATCAGGACGTCGGTGTTCGGAATCAGAGAGAGGAGGATCTCTTGTGAATGAGCATCCTTCAGATCCAGGGCAATCGAAGATTTGTGGGACGTCAAGAGATCGCCTGTTGGGACAAATCCAGGTCGGTCGATGCGCAACACTGTGGCGCCCCAGTCCGCCAGGAGGAGGCCGCAAAAAGGACCTGTAGGAGTAGCTTAGTGAGTGTGGTCGCCCACGATCGGTGCTACTGTTGGGGCCAAAGATCTCCTTACCAGGGGCAAGGCCAGCGAGCTCAAGCACGCGAAGTCCTGACAGAGGGTACTTTTTGGAGGACATGATGCGAAGCTCCACCAGCAGGGTCACGACGTCATATTTCTAACAGACAGGGGTAGTGGCGAGGCGTCAAAAAGGGAGTAAGGTCTTCATATCACGGAACACACTGCCAGCCTGATGGTGGCCATACTCTGTATCCACCGAGGGCTCTCCTCGAGGGCGTCACGGGCCGGAATGCCGAGGCGTCACGAAACGCAGGATTGTAAAAGCTACTTCATTCCCTAGGTATGTGACGGTTATGTTCACCCTCGTGCATCGGCCGAAGGAGCTCCCCGCGGTTTCCCCAACCTACTGTTCCCGCGGGGGCAGCTGTGCACTCGGGGGCAGTTTGGCATCCTTGAAGGTGCGGGGCCAATAATGCGCCGCCCCGAGGCCTTCCAAGGCGAGTCCATACGGCAGTGTATTCGCCAGCTGCTGTTTGATGACAGCATTAAACGCTCGACGGCTAAGCCGGCGGGTCAGCTCTGGAGTTTGAAGCAGTTGGCGAGCGATTTCGTGAGCTCGAGGAAGCAAAGCATCCCTGGAGAGAACCTCGCTCACCAGACCCAGATTTTTGGCCTCACGGGCGTCCAGAATCTGACCTGTGTACATCAGATATCTGGCTCGATTCATGCCGATCAGCATCGGCCAGATCACTTGCACGCCATCTCCCGGCACCAGGCCGTTCGGAAAGTGTGGCTGGTCTCCAAACGCAGCCGTGTCGGAAGCTAGGACAATGTCGCAGAGCAGGGCTTGTTCTGCGTGAACCGTGGCCGGCCCATTAACGGCGGCGATCATGGGGATATCGATCTCCAGCTGATTATGGATTAACCCCAGCGCAAATGGTAGCACGTAAGAGCCCCAAACGTCGGTCGGGATCGTTGCTTCTGATCCGAGGTCTTCGTAATGGATGAAAGTGTCGCCGGCTCCCGTGAGGATGATCACTTTGTTCTCTGTATCGTTCGCGATGTCGACGTAGACCTTTCCGAGTGCGGCGTCGGGTTTCATTCCCCAAATCAGGTCGCTGCCATTGCTGTGGAGAGTGATTGTGAGAATGCCGTCGTCCGTCCGTTCGAACCGGAAGTTCTCATACTGGTTCTTGTATTCGTCGAGTTTCGTCATTCCGAGCTACAGCTGGCGTCGTAATAGTCCAACTTCGCAGCAGGGACAGAAGTGTTATGATTTGGGTATGGATACCTCAAGAGAAATGTGAACGAACTGAAACAATCTGCTGCCTAGCACATCTTCAGACACGTGTATCGTTTCGAGGCCTGAAGATACCAGGGATCCCGAGGTAAAGCAACGACGCATTCCGGGTTCAGAAACAGGCTTTTGTCACCCCCACGACATATGGCCAGGCTGAACATTGCCTGAGCCATCCCCTGATCTCGTTCACAATGCAGACAATGTACTAACCCACTCGTCAGTAGTCCATCAAATCATGGATCGAGGCTATTGCGACACCGTCCAACGGTCTTCCTACGCCGGCACAGCATGGTCTGCGGATCAGAGTAGAAGATCTATGTGACTTCAACTGATCAGCATTACAGTTTGGCTCTGGTTCTTCCTTCTATAGCTTCGGCATCTCTTTTCCCCCACTCTTTCAGTAGTTTCCTGACTATCTTACCACTTGGTAGTCGAGGTATCTCGTCGACAAAGACGGCGCCTCCGGTCAATCTCTTGTGTTTGGCCACTTGCTTCGCCACGAAGTTCTGGACATCGTCGGTCGTGATTTCGCTTCCCTGCTGCGGCACGACATACGCCCTGGGTAGCTCTTGACCGTGCACAGTAATACCTGTCACACCAGCATCGGCCACGGCTTCATTCTCCAGAAGAATGGCTTCCAGTTCGGCGGGTGCAACCTGTAGCCCGTTCACCTTGATTAATTCCTTTTTCCTGTCCACTAGCCAGATCTTGTCCTGCTTTATTACTGCGACGTCTCCAGTTCTCAACCAACCATCTGGCGTAATGCTCTCCTTGGTGGCCTTCTCATTTTTCCAGTACTTCAGCATGATCTGCGGGCCTCTGATGTAAAGCTCTCCGGGGTCTCCTTCCTTCATGTTCTCTTTCCCATCCTCATTCACCAGCATCGCTTCTGTGTTAGGAAGGAGAAACCCGATGCTCCCTGTCTGATCTTGCATCATCCCTGGCGTAAGCGCGCCCGCAGAAGTGGTTTCAGTCATACCCCAGCCCTGAGCAACAACGACCTTATACCGAGTGCTGATCTCATTTTGTAACTCGCGCGACAGCGGCGCGGCACCGCATAAAATGTGGCGAACGCTACTGATATCGTATTTAGTCGCTTCCGGCCTCTTACTGAGCATGACGAGGATGGGTGGAACTGTTTGTAGAGTTGTAATCTTGAACCTCTCGATGTAACTGAGAAACTCCTCGAAAGAAAACTTCGCCATCACGTAGACTGGTATTTGTAGCCTGCCCGCGATGCCGATTGAGAATAACTGAGAGTAGGCGTGATAGAGTGGCAAGAAGGCAAGCCACCTCTCTTCTCCTGGATCGCTCTCGGTCTGTTCTGTACCATGGAACTTGCTGTAGAGACACTGTGCCGCATTGGAGACGATATTGTGGTGCGACACACAGACACCTTTCGGTAGACCCGTAGTACCACTTGAAAAGTTGATTGCCGCTATGGTTTCGATTGAGGCATCTCCCAAGAGTGGATCAAAACTATATGTTTCAGCATCCTGGGTCGATGCTACTAACGTCCTCCAGTCTTTTATCCCGCGAGACACAGAACACTCGACAGCCGCAAACTGGAAAACGCGACTGACAGGAATTTGCGCTTGCTCTACCGCCTTCAGTCCGGTCTCGAGCAGAGAAGGGTGTATGAGAACGAGGGCTGCTTCGATAGTCTTCATTTGAAAGGCCACTTCATCCACGGTATATATGGGATTCGCGCCAGTAAAGATCCTCTTCGACCCAGCTGCAGCGAGATAGGCCATGGGAACGTAGATATGGTTCGGCGTGAAAACCATGATGGTCCGTCCCTCTTGTATTCCAAACCTGTCCAGACCGAGAGCAAACCTCTTGACCCACGAGAGCATCTGCGATTGGGACAAGCTATTGGACGGGTCGGCCGCCTCCATCCATATTGGTGCATTCGAGAGAGGTTTGCTCGTCGGAAAGACGTAATCGAGAATGTTGCATTTTGGAATGGTCAATTGTGGATATGGAGACTGAAAAGGCATCTTCCTGTTGGCGTGATAGAATGCCCTTGGGCACGCCTTGGTACCAGGAAATGAATTGTAGGTTCACCAGAACCTGGATTGGCTTGTGTATCACGAAGGCTCCTTCACCCGTCAGGTTTCGTATTCCAAAAATAATGATGAATTCAGTTCTACCGAAGAGAACGTCTTCGATAACCTAAGGCGGCTGTGTATTCAAGTCCGAGGAGGTTCCAGATTAGACTGCCACAGCGAGGTGAAATCTTTACTAAGGTATGTCCGCACAGTTCCCGAAAGCTCTTCAGTATCCGTCGCTGGCAGCTCAGCATGAGACAATGAGAAAGATGCGCCACTTGGACCTCAAATTGTGGTGGAACAGCCTCCGGAAGAGAAGCCTCGGCAGCAGTCGGCACCAAACTGCACGGGTGGATTCCTTTCGGCCTGAAGTCGAATTCGACCTATCACGTCGGGAAGGCAAGCAAAGGTCGCGTATGTCCAAGCATGTAGAGCCTACAGAGCCTTTGCAATTCTCCATTAATCGCTGCGTTGCGGAAATAGTTGGGGGGTTGTGTACGTTTCTAGCTGCTTTACACTCTGAATCTACTGTAAATGATGACCACCATGCTCTAGAAGCATGGCAGACTCGGCCTGTCCAGTATGGATCAGATCCTTTGCCCACAAAGCAAACTATAACCGTGGCCGTGCGGAATCCTTATACAAGTCCATCAAGCTCTCCGTAGCCTTCTCCTGTTGCTCGATCTTGCTAATCCTGGACACAGAGATGGTTAGAGATCTGATAGAGTATGAGGTCAGTCTCTCACTTACAACTCCTTGGCTCCTCGGGATTCGAGTCGTGCAAGTTGCGCCACGTGAGCTTCATCTGGGCCGTCTGCTATTCTCGTCGTCCTTAGGTAAGCCCAGATCCTTGCGAGAGGGAAATCCTGGCATATGCCTCCGGCACCATGGGTTTGAATTGCTCGATCAAGAACTGTCAATGCCATGTTAGGCACAAAGATCTTTGACATCGCAATTTCTGCCATAGCAAGCTTTGCATTGCCCCGATCGATCTTGTCAGCTGCGTCGAGCACAAGCATTCGCCCAGCATCAATCTCGATCCGTGACCGAGCAATCCAATCTGCAATAACACCTTGATTGGAAAGGGGATTTCCGTTGATTTGACGACTGTTAGCGCGTGCAATCATGTATCTGTGTCCCGTCAGTGCTTAGAGACAGCATGTGAAGGAGGTAACATACTCCAATCCTCGTTCTGCGCCCCCAATGGCACGCATACAGTGGTGAATACGCCCTGGACCCATGCGGCCTTGCATAACTTCAAATCCACGGCCTTCACCAAGAATGATGTTCGAGAGAGGTACGCGAACAGACCTCAACTCGACCTCGCAGTGGTTGAGCGGCGCATCTGAGGTTGTTAGCCTTGCTCATCATCCATCAGGCGGGTAGGTCACCATCAAAGCCGTACACATGGAGTGTTCGTAAGATCTTGACACCAGGAGATTGCGGACTGACGAGGATCACGCTGTGCTGCTTGTTCTCGTCGGGTTCGCCCGGGTTAGATTTGGCAAAGACGATCCACCTGATCACGACGTCAGTTACAATGCTCCTCTTTTACTTTAAGCCCTTCTTGAGATCGAGTGGCCACTCGTGGGAGTTCACAATTTGTTTCTAGGATCCGCAGCACTGCTGATCCACCATTTCTGTGTGACCCTTTAGTAAATGAGCTTCACATTCAGGCATGTAGAAACATCTCACCGTTCCATTCAGCACGTACTCATCACCTTCGCGCCGCATTGACATTGAAACATTTTTCGCATACGATGAAGCTTGCTGCCTTTCGGTCATCACAAACGAGGATCTGATCTCCCCCTCCAATAACGGCTTTAGCCATTGCTCCTTCTGCTCCTTCGTCCCATATTTGGCTAGTACCTGTGGCCAATGGTTAGAGGTGGAGTGCAATTGTGGAGAGCCTCATATCGTACTTCCATATTTCCTGTGTCTGGTGCACTGCAGTTCGTGGCCTCCGGTGCAATCCGGCTTCTGCCCATTGTCTCGCACATGAGAGCATACTCCAGATTTGTGAAGCCGGCCCCGCCCTCATAGTGTGAATGCAGCCACAGATTCCACAGACCTAGCTCGCGGGCTTTCTTCTTCAATTCGTTGAGGATCGGAGGGATTGTTCTAGCCCTCTCTTCTGGGTTCCAGCCCAGCTGGCTCTCAAACACATCATCGGCGGGTACACCTGGTGCAGTGATTAGCTAAGCTTGATAGTTCGAAGGACAAACACAGAAAATACAGTCCTCTTCGACAAATCTTTTCAGTTTGGCCAAGGTCTCTCGGGCGTAGGGTCGAATTCGGTCGGTAACGGTGGACGGTATACGGAGGAGATCCATCTTGGAGCAAAATCTATACGGTTAAGGACGTGAGGTACGTCTCTCGGCTACGGCAGAGGCGTACAGTGTTCATAAGCTGGGATTCTGACTCGACGAGATAATGCTATACCTTGATAAACAGCCGTCCACACGTGCCCGTTGAAGCCGCCAGGGTGGGTAATGTTTTCCGGCCTGGGGAGTCTTCCAAGAAATGGAAGAATTTCTCGTGTAAAGCTAGAAATGGGCAGGATCCGCACCACTCATGGTCAAAGTCAAATTTACGTTCAGTGCACTTACGTATTGCGCGTAAAGACAGCCACTCTGTTAGGTTTCGTGACGCTGTACATACTCGGTAACAGAGTCTGGGAATCCGACGTACAGCCTGTACCTGTTCCAGCCGCTTCCAAGTACAGTAGTAAGTGCGCCAAGTTTGTATCTGGGCGGGGTTGACACTGTCGTTGTTGTCGGTCCCAAACTTGTCTCTGCTTGATACCATCGACGTTGCACTCGTACCCAGACATTCCCCGCCCCTGAGAATCGCAGAAACGAGACTTTCTCGATCACAGGGCTACCTGGAGCTTATAATGGATATCAGTGGATTTGCCTTGGTAACAGGTGCCGGTAGTGGTATTGGGAAGGCCTGTGCTGTTTCCTTTGTCGAAGAGGGAGCAGCCGGCGTAGCACTTCTGGACATCAATGGAAAAGCTTTGGAAGACGTTAAAGAGAAGCTGACCTCACTCAGTCAGCACGAGGAATTTCAATGCCTTTCTTTCGAGGTAGATATGAGGAATGAGAAGGACGTTGCTGATGCAGTCCAGAACTGTGCCCGCACATTTGGGAGGCTGGACTATGTCGTCAATGCGGCAGGAATAGCGTTCAAGAATATTGGTGGAGCTGCCTGTGCAGAAACTACCGACTGGCAGCGAGTCCTGGACGTGAACCTGAACGGGACGTTCTACTGCCTTCGTGCTGCGGCACAACAGATGCTCCGACAGTCCTATCTCGAATCGGTGATGTAAGTGAATCTAGTACCCTCGGGCGCCCACATCTATTGACAAGTTTGCCTCCAGCGATGGACGGTCGCTGCAACGTGGGTCGATTGTTAATATAGCATCTCTTGCTGGATTGGTCGGTGTCACACAGTCCACCGCTTACTGTGCCTCCAAGCACGCCGTCGTCGGCCTCACAAAAACCACTGCTCTCGACTACGCGAAGGAAGGCATCAGAGTCAATGCCGTATGCCCAGGGATGATCAAGACTCCACTAATAGTTCCTGGATCAGAAATAGAGCGTGCGACGACCGACTTTGTCAAGACTCGCACACCGATTGGCCGCTGGGGAACTCCAGAAGAGGTGGCCAACGTTATTGTATTCCTCTGCGGAGGAAGGAGCTCATTGATGACCGGAGCCTCCTTATCCGTGGACGGTGGTTACACGACACAGTGACTCGAGGAAGAGTTGTAGGGACTCCACAGAAGATGCGAAGCCGCAAGGCTGATGATCGAGCTTTACAGGCGTTGAAGTGGCAAAAATGTCACCGCACAAACGGCCCTCGGAGGATATGGTATTACCACTGAGCAAGCTCTCGGCCTCACGGCCCCATCTCCCGTCCGTTTCCCGTCTACCTTTAGTCTCACGGTGCCCCTTTATCTAGAAGGAGAGTCATCAGGGCCAGGAACCATTAAGGGGAAGATCCCTTCATATCACTGGCCGCTAGGTGACAGACCGAGCAGTTGCCTTTCCTTCGGTAGAAAGATACGGTCGTTGTTTGAATCACCTTGGTCGTAAAGGCTAGCTCCATCAGACTCAGTCGAACCATCCTGTGTGATGCGAACCTGCGCTGCGATTCGCCTCTCGTGCGTCTCTGGAGATATGGGCTCCCGAGATGAGGTCGCCATCATTTGTGAATTGTTGTACTCTGGGAGCGCAATGACGCCTCTGAGAGTTGCCGGTGCCAAGCTTGATACGGCTCCCCGACCAAACGTCTTGTTCGGGCGCTGTGGACTGGTCGACATTCTTACTTGCTGCTGCGTAGCGTTAATCGGCGTCCAGCCCGCATAGTGGTCGTTGGAGGAGAGTGAGGCAATGGACGGTCCTTGGCTGCGAGAAGGCGTAGCTGGAAGCACTTTTTCCAATAATCTCAGACTCTCAAGTACTTCTGCTCGGCTGTCCAAGGTTTCCGACTCTTCAAGAGCAGCTGTTATGTATGTCATGGCGTTCGAGGCGTAACCCAGTGCCAGGGTCGGTATTTGTGTACCATTCGCTCGTCCTCGCCACTTTCCCAGTAAACGTGAAATCATCCTTGCGTGATCTAAGCATATTGCTTGACTGGAGTTACGAGCTGCTTGATACGCTTCTGAGCCCTCTTCGCTGTCCCCAACGATCATCCCACTCCGAAAGCCCCATGACTGGTGCAGACAGAGAACCGCATTGTGGTAGTAGAGGCTAGAAACTGTCATTTTTCATATCGCAGAGAAAGTCCAAAGGTTTTGAATGCCACTCACTGAAGGAATAGAAGACTTTGATTCCCTTCTGACTGGTTTTCGAAGTCCAATGCTAGGGTTTCGGGCCAGGAGCTGTAGCGGTGGGCGAGGTTCTGATGCACAGATGTCATCTCGAAGAAGGTGCCAGCATCAATCGCGCAACCCAAACTGGCACTGTACTTATCCAGGAACCCATGCACTGGCTCCACCAAGTCCATGAGAATAGTATGAATTACTTGCTCTATTCGTGCTGATGCCGTGAAGAGTTGTACGTTGTTCGGATTGCCACGCGCGCCCTCTGTATTGCGTCTATGGAGTACAGTTGGACGACGCAAGATTTGAGACCGGTAGCTGATGAAAAACTCATGGTCAAAATCGGTGCTATCGCAGAGCATCTATCGGACACTAGAGTACTTACGTATCGTATACGACACAGGTATCGAGAACTCCCCTCTCGCAACCCGCAGAAACAGTGCCGAAATGAGTCTCGCAGGCGCCATTGTCTGGACAGATTGCGAGGCAAAGTCGGCAAGCGGTACCTACATGGCGGGTAAGTTGTTGACTTGACTTCACGATCAGGAGCTTACCAATAAGCAGGCATCCCATGTTCCCATCACCCTGCCGCATTTCTATCTCTGCGAGGAGGAGCAGTCCTTGCCCCAACGCAAGCGTGGGTTGTTCCGCAAGTTCGGACTCGACCAGCAACCAGCACTGACGATGTAATGCAGACTTTTGTGCACCACGCTCGCGTGACTGCAACTTCTGTACTTCTGGGTTGTCGGGCTCCGCATATAAGAGACCGACTGCAAGAATGGTGATATGTAAGAACAGAGAGTAATACGGCTTCCTTGACCTTGCCATGGATTCAAGGAAGACATCCATATTGACAACGTTGAAGATCGAGTTGAATCGCGTTGAGAAGCAGTTCAAAAGGTACTGCTTACAACTTGAAGATAACTGATCGATGAAGAGGCGAGTCCAGGAAAGCTCCGTCTGCCTGGTCTGGCTGCCACTCGTGCCCGGGACGAGTAATGCCGAGTCTATCAATCTGGATGGTCTTGTTCCTGTCTGGTCAAGTGACTCTCCAGATACTAGCCTTGGAATCAAATTTTCGGTCCCCTTAGCTGATTGTAACTTGTCGAGTGGTGAATTCACATTAGCTCGGGTCGCCCGAGCCAAAAGCTGGCCGCGCTGTGTATCAGATTGCGACTGCAGCCCTTGGTCCTGAATGCTGTCAGATGCTGTCAAGTACGTCTTCGCTTGGTTGAGAAAGGATGTTGCTCCCTCAGTGAAAGCGTCGATATCTGTCTGCAGGTTTGGTGGAGATTCTGATAGCAGGTGAACAATGGGTGGCGGTTGGGTCGTAAATCCAAAGGAGTCCGATAGGCGTGGTCGAGGCGACGACGACCCTGACGACTGCGCTAGGAAGGCCTCCAATGAACCTATACGGCTCTGTAACGAGTCGATATACGCGGCGGACTTTTTTCTTCGTTCATCAGCGACCTGACCGTACCAGCAAGAAAAACCATCTACCGTTTCCTAAGGTCGTCCAAGTAAGTGATGCATGAGACTCCTCTGTCTTTGCACTGCGTACACACGTCGTCACCGGGTTCTCTCGTACACTAAACGCCAGGAGTTTAGCATAACGCGTCGTTGTCCTGATGGGCCTACGTGCACACCTTGGTACGCCGTTTCCGACACGTCGCACAAGCAGCGGATGCTCGCTGTCGTGCGACAGTTGGGTCCATGTCTAGAGGTGCTGATATTTTTCGATCAGCACAAATTTGTCGCGAAACAATGGCTAACCCTGAGCAAAACCGAGGAGAGAAGGGTGAAGAGATATTGGTTCGTTCCGCTACTGCACCCTTTAGGTCTTTTTGATCAAGTGGTGCGGGGAACAAGGCGGGGGTGGAGGGGCTGGTTAGGCTAGGGAGCCTTTAAAGGAAGCCCGGATTATGTCACATGTACAGGTATCAATGCGAACGAGGGGAAGGTGAGGATGTTTGCTCTCTGATCTCTCAGATCCCCTGGTGTCTGAATCAGTCTTTTCAACTTCCTTCAACAGGGCAAGCCCGTCCAGGGCTCTAATACTAACGTTCAATCTCCGGAAGTTCCATCTCTTCAGGACATCATCTACAAGTTTGAACGCGTTTCCAAGTCATGTCGTCGAAGTCGGCGTTAGAGCCTCCTATGTGGGACGACGCTCGAAGGACTTACAGGCTATTGCGTTCAATCTCACCACAGTTTCACGGTACGCTCCTAGAACTGTACTGGACACATTACAATGCAGGCGTGCCCCTCGTGGACAGGGGCTCATTTGAGCAGTCGGTCACGGATACTGGAGGGCTATACCACTGCCAATTTCTGCATATTTCGATGTTGGCTATGGGCTACCATTTTGCCGACCAAAGCAACCAAGATGTGCGACAAATCACGACCATCAGCAATGAGAGCACATTCCACTACGAAGCAAAATTTCAGGTGTGGCAGAGGCTTCGATCTCCGAAACTGTCAACCGCCGCCGCCCTCATAATACTAAGCGATCTTGAATTCCAGGTCGGCAACAGTGCCCTGGGAAGAAGGTTTACGGGTATGTATGTTCATTCATGACCCTTGTTGTGACCAAAATGCATCTCTTCCTTCCAATTTTTGGTCAAATGCAGTAAAATATACTGACTCAAGACCAGAAATGGCTTCTCAAATTGCTCTAGACAAAAGTACCACTCTGCACGACCACCCAGCTGGTAGCTCCAGCGAAGAAACATCCATGAGGCAGCATGTCTTTGCAGCCTGTTCGCTTTATGACAAGTATGTCCGAACAAGCACGTGGCTGGTGCTATCTGCTGACGCCAACCAGCAACTGGGCGTTGCTGGGAAGCCGACCACCCCTGACGAGGGCGCTGGAAGTCAGGCACAGCGAGTGGGCGGCTCGATCGGACGATGGATATACGTCTCGCCTGCCGAGCACCCTGGCAGGGTTGGGAGGACAGATGTATGTCGCCGCAGCAAAACTTCAGACATTTTATGAAAGCATCGTTGAGATGCGTCATTTTGTCGATACATCATGCGACGGCTTACCTCCGTTGGGCAGAGCCTATTCTGAAATGGCGACCTTGAAGCGTGGTATGACAGCTTGGTATCAGACTCTGCCACCAGACCTGCATTGGACGTCAGATAAGAAAGATGTCGTTCCGCTTGGCTTTTTTCTTTTACAGTAAGACCATCCTCTACCGCTGGCGTGATGCACGTTCATTCCTTATCTCACTGCAATTCCACAATCCTTCGCCCCGTCCTGGTCTGACGATGGACAGTCAACAGTACAACGCAGCTATGATCCGGCTGCACCAGTCGTTTACCTGTTACCCGTCGCAGAAGACCGGCTCTGTGGCTGATGCCCCGAGCGAGAATGCTCACCTCAAGCATCTGATCGCCATATCCCAATCGGTCTGTTCAAGACACGCCAAACAGATTGTGCACCTGCTCGATGCACAACAAGCGCGCTTCGGTCATGCTGTAGCTCTGCTACCAGGACTGCAAACAGCTGCAACAGCTGCAGGTGCTCTTATGGACGGCATCACTCAAACGAAAGAGATGGCACAACGCGAGCCATCAATTCGACCTTTGAAGGTCCTACTTCAAATACTTTCTGCCTCGGCGGCGACATGCAAGCCTGCTGGGACCATGGCCGACATGATCCTCACCTTTCTTGATCGTTCGACGAATTCCTCATGACAACAGCGCCTGACTGAGGATGTCTCCCAGTGCCCACGCAATTCACGAAGATCAGAAGAGTCTCTTGGCTTCTCTGAAAAAGTCTTTTCGCCACATGTAAGTCTCATCATCGTATCATATGTAATGCTGAATCAGGTCGTTGACGTGGTTCTACGATACAGGCGGAATATCAGTCATAATCCATCGTTGAGAGCAACTTAGCCTCGTTATCCTGAAGACGCCCATTGAACGGACCCTACGTCGTCATTGGCTTTGAACAATTTTTCCGATGCAATCACTAAGCATTTAAGATCCGTTGCTCCGTGGCATACACTTTCCTCCATTGTGAAAGGGGGACAGACAGCGGCAGAGCTTTGTCATGAATTTGTTGTGGATTGGAGTGACTTCACCGGTGCCATGTGAAACGTGGGGGACTGGCCGTTTCTCGTTAGGCATTTGGGACTACCGATTTCCACATCCGAGGATGGAAATCGATATCCGGAGTCTCTTTTCCCCCACGGTACCAGGACAACTCGAGGGGTCAGAGTCTACGGACCCCGCACTTGAGTCGTCCGGACCAAGTCGCTGAAGGTTAGTCGCATGTCCGAGGACTTGGGATTGGGAGCACGGCGAACAAGCACTCTTGAGCCATCAATGGCTCTCTCGGCCGCTAGAACATCCACTCCGTGACTTCTGCCACGGGACAGCGCAAACAGCGAGTACATTCCCAGCAAGATACCAAGCGGGACGGCCTGGGATGGAAAAGCTTCCACTCTATGATCGAGACAAGTCATTTCTTCCTCACTCTAAGAGACGCAACGATCATGCAGGCGGGACAGGACTAATCTATTCGACAAAAAGCTGCGCTCAATAAGGTCCGGGGTTCCTGATAAACATGTCACTCCTTCCAGCGAACACGCCTCCAAAGGTTAGTTTTGAAAGATTCAGAAGTGGCCATGCCCTTGGCCACGTCGTGAGACCGGGTTATTGTACTGAACGATTGACAGCGAAGACAAAGCCAACCAAACCACGTCGTCAACCACATCGCCATTGCTGTTCCCGATGTGGAGGCCGCGATAAAATGGTACACTGAAATCTTGGGGTTTCGCAAATTACGCCAGACTCCTCGCTTGACCGAACGACGCAAGACCCCGAACGCCGCCATATTTGACATCTACGGGGACGAGTTACAGACGCTGAAGATCGCCTTTCTCGTCGCAGGCAACGGGGTCGGTATCGAGCTGTTCGAATTCATCGAGCCTTCGATGACCCAGCCGGCATCTTTCGACTATACTCGAGGGGGCGTCTTCCATATTTGCCTGACTGTGTCGGATCCCGACGCTCTCTGTGCGAAGGCAGTCGCTGCTGGTGCGAAGAAAATTGGCAAAACCATCTGTCCGTGGCGACATCTCGATGAAGATGATGTAGCACTCTATATCCAAGATCCCTGGGGAACCGTGATCGAGTTCTTGAGTTGCGACTTCGAGCTTCTTATGGCGAACCGCGTGGAAGCGATGGCGCCCGAAGCGGGCAGTGATTGAGCAAAACAGACTGTTCTGTGTCTGACCAATATATACATGGCACCTACGAGACCTATACCTGTTGGATTTGTTCAATCTCGATAGGGTTCCTTTCAGCTCAGCCAAACGGCCAGTGCGCACACTTCTATGTCTCCGTCCACCGAATCACGCCTGTACTCGAAATGACTTATCATATTCTTTTTCGTGTATTGCCCGCCTTTGGCCCAGTATTCGACCGTGCCGAGGATGACAAGCTCCGTGGCGTCGGGGCCACTGGTGAACACTTTGCTCGGTGTATGCTTCCGTCTCTCGATGTCGCCCTTCCGCAGATCTTGATGCAAGAGTCGGAGCGCTGGTAATAAGAGCGCAAGGTCGGTCAGCCACAAAGAACAACCATTGAAGAGTGGAAAGGCCGGTTGGTGAGCACATGATCCACAACTCTCGCCGGTCCCAACGAAATATGGATCCAAGCTTACCATCACGACCACGTACGTGGGAACCGGTCGGTAGCGTCAAGACTGCATCTTCTGTAAAAGACCTGGCGTACTCTTCGTGACTGCCAGATGTGTCTACCGCAGCGTAGTACCGAGAAAGGTGGGCCTTCACGTCCTCGCTCACTTGAGCGCCATAGAAATAACCAGAAAGGTTGCTTTGCTCCTCTCGCCCCGGCTTCTCGACATTGTCCTGCATTGTGCGTAAGCTTGTGAAAAGAGGCAGTGCTTGCTTCCGGAGAATTTGTTTTCTAGAGGCCACCTGACATGTGAACATCAGGGGAAATGCGGAAATACAGTTATGTGAAGGTAGCCGCTGTAGCATGAGGGTCTATCGTGGCCGTGTCGTTGAGGGGATCTCGCCTGATTATGGTCCACGTGTGCTCATCCTCGGTGTCCTAGCCCTCTAACCGCCTCGCATGCGGCGGTGTCGGTGAGAAAGCATTCCGAACAGCCTTTTCCGTCTCCACGGGGCAAAGTACAGCCGGGGGTAAACGACACGCCCCTTCCCCGCGCCACGATTCTACGCTTTTCTGAATGCCTCCCCCTCGACCCCTAGAGGATTGGATCTCCATACTTCACGCCCTGGCCGCCAAGAGCAATCTCGATCATGGACGACCAGCAAGGACGACATGCACTGATTCTGGGGGCGTCTGGTATTACCGGCTGGGCGATCGTCAATTCCATTCTTGAAGGGTATTCGAGCAAAGATGCGTTTGCCAAAGTCACCGCGGTCACCAACCGACCCTTGTCACGGGATGACAGCGGCTGGCCATCAGATTCTCGTCTGGACCTCGTCTCTGGCATCGACCTTCTGCAAGGCGGACAAGCAAGCTTGAACGAGCTGATAAAAGAAAAGATCCCATCTATCAACACTGTGACGCATTTGTACTTCTACGGTTGGTACTTCCAATGCTCGAGGCGCCCCTTTTGGCACTGAAAGACTCTGAGAACGACGTTAATGTATTCTTTATGAGTAGCCTATCAGCAGAACGACGATAACCGCATTGAATGCGACGTCAACCGGAAGATGCTGGAACGAGCCGTGACGGCAGTTGAAAACCTTTCCCCGAAGCTGGCATACACCGTCCTTCCAAGCGGTACAAAAGTATTGCTCTATTCTAATGCACTGGCGGATGAATGCTCAAGGCTCACACTACCTCTTCCCAGATTTATGGAGTTCACATGCTCGACCAATTCCCCTTCGCCGACATCCTACCCATCAAAGAAGATGCTCCTCCACTCCCAGAGCCTTGGGTCAGTGACCTCTTCTATTACGATCAGATAGACTGTTTGAAAACCCTGTCCCGGGGGAAACAGTGGACTTGGTGCGAAATCCGTCCTGATAACATTGTAAGTCCTTCTTCGTGAGACTTTCTTCCGAGCAAGCACCTTGTTACTAGAGCTAATCGGCACATATTAGATCGGCTTTGTGCCCAATAACAATGCCTACTGCCTCGCTCAGACGCTGGCACTGTACCTCAGCCTCTTCCATTACGTTGAGGGTGGCGGCGCTAGCTGCCCCTTCCCTGGAACAGAGAAGTCCTGGAAAGCGCTTTATAACGAGTCGCCTCAGGATATGGTGGCTCGCTTCTCGATTCACGCCAGCCTTCATCCCGAGAAAACCGGGACAAAGTCCTTCAATTGTGCAGGAGAAGAAACTTCCTGGAAAGAGAAATGGCCCATCATTTGCCAGTATTTTGACCTTCGCGGTACTCCTCCGGTAGAAGGTTCGATGGCGCCGTCAGCATACATGGAGGACCACAGACAAGATTGGGATAGGTTGGCCAAGCAATCGAGTCTCAAAGGTGGCTTCCTTGACAACAATATCTCGCATCCGCACTTTCAGTATTTCATCATGGCCTTGTTGGATTTTGATCGTCACATGGACATGGGCGCCATGAGAGCCACGGGTTATACAGAGATCATCAACACAAACGAGTGCTGGACAATTGCTTTTGATCGTATGAGAAAGGCCAGGATAATTCCCTAGGAGACTCTAGATCATTGAGGAGGACTGGTTATAAGAACCCTCTGTGAGGTTCGATCTTGAACCAAGCAGATACATAATACCACCCGAGAAGCCATGGTTCCTGGTTCCCCTATTTGGGTCCTCGTGATTGTTCATAACAGCAGAGATAAGTCCATATGCTCGACACGATCCATCTCTATTGGGCTCAGTAGCCAAGCATTTTCCTCCATGATGCGATTGTTGTAACCGTCACCCTGGAACTCCGACGCAAAGGGCGCGGTACCCCCTTGATCGCTAAAATAAGTCTGTTGGAGGTTGTTTGTGTCCATGAGGCAGGCATCGATCGCCTCTCCATAACTTGCAGGTAGGTCTTTGTCGGTGATGTCGTAGGAGAACATCCAAGCTTCATCGTTTGGATTTTCCATCAAGGCAAAGTCGGTATCAAAGAGTTCACCTTCAATTGGACTTGGTGGGAGACTGGGGATGCCTACAGGATAGCCAATGGCGGCCTGATGTGGAGGTATTGAAGTGCCAATGGGATCCTCCTCTGGTGGCGGTGTGACTCCAAATATTGGTGTGGGATCCCCTTTGGCCATTACACCAGTATCTGTGCATGCAGCGGACTGTATGTGATGCTGCTCACTGTCCGGGCGGTGATGGGGAGGCGGTCGTCGTTCCTTTATATATGTTGGAGGCATTTGAATCTTCGCAGTCTGGCACGCAGACTCGAGAACCTTATAAAACCGGTCCATACAGGACACCTCGGTTCCCACTTGTTTCATGATATCAGACAGTAGTGACAAAGCCTGCATGTCTTCCGGCTTCGGGGAGTTTCCTGTAAATTTGATCTCCAGGAGTTGTACGATGGTTGTGATGAGGACACAGGTCATAAAAGGCATGGGTAGTCCTTTTATGAGCCCGTTGACGTCGAGCATCTCACATAGGCTTGTCACCTGCCGCGCAGCATCGCGAACTCTTTTCCGTGATGCTGCGGCCGTCTCGTCGGCTTCCGTGTCGTCCGTGGGCAGCTTTGGGGGCATCAGGTGCCTTCGATGAACCGTAATGACGGCTGTATGGTACAACATGTAGAGGAGACTGCAATGTTGAACCAAAACACCATCTTCAGGCTCCCAGCCTTGGGTGAATGGCAGCGTCAACCAAGAATATTGTGACAAGTTGGCATACCAGGAGGAAAGCCCTGCTTCGATTTTCTCGAGGATCTTCTCCTCCGAGGTCGGGTTGGAAAGTCCAATTTGAATATCCACGTTCTGCATATGTGCATCCCCGCCATGCAGTTCTTTTAACTCCTCCAGTTCAAGATACTCGTGCCCGATCCTGCAGAGTTTAAGCAACTCGACGAACAAGACGGCCAGGTTGCGCCCCTCCCGTTGGCAGTGGTCCATGGGAGAACGCATTGACACGGACCAGGCTGTAGCGAGGTCGAGATCATCGAAGTCGTTTGTGGTAAGCATCAAGGTCGTGCACTCCCGAAGACGGATGTGGACTGGTCGACTCATACCATAAGCGATCATATAATCCCGCATAACGCAGCACCACCAAATTCTTTTTAAGAGGGGCTGTCTCCCTGGATCGATGGCAGCAATGATTTGACCTTGATGAAGACCTGTCTTCCTCGCGAGAGCCGCAGCCAGACCGACATAGTGCCACGGATCCTTGTGATCGTCCGGGGATCGGTACCAGAGAGTCATTAGTAAAAGACTCTGGATTAAGCACACGCGATCTTGCTCATAGTCCATGTCGTACAAAAGCTGGAACCAATCTTAGCAGTCTTTTCTTCCGACTAGATCGTGGGGAGATAAGGATACCTTCACCACTTCGAAGGCGTCGTTTAAGCACGTCTTCCGCAAGGTGTAGCCAGCGCCACGCAGGTAGTCCATGTCGACGGAATGCAGACCACCCAGCATGATTGCGTGGTACAGGAGGAGACTTACTTGCCCTTTGGAGCCATCCCTCCGCTGCATAATTGCGAAGACGGAGTGTGCGTCAAGCACCGGCATGAAGGGGTGCACAGACTTCAAATATGCCAGCCATAGCGCATTTTGCAATTCGACTGAGGGCGCAGACAGGGCCAGCTTTTCGCGAAGAAGATGTGAAACAGGCGGCGATAGCCGCGACGGAAGTGGCCTAACGAATGAGGGGAGATCGTTGTTGTAGAGCCGTGCCAGAGGACAGGAAGGTCGAGTCCAAAGGCGGTCAGGCGGCCGCTCGATGTTCTCCTTGTTGTAAATATGAACATCAGCTTCAGGCCGGGAATCTACTATGCACCCAAAATGTAATTAGCTTTTCCTCAAGCATAGACGCAGGCCAGATCACAAGATACCTACGTACTTGTTGACGAGATGCTTGTTGACGAGATTCCTGTTGAGCTAGGAGTGGATCAGCGTGCATTTCACCACAGGGAAGCGGTCTATGAGTGCAATACCTTTGCGACTGTGTTCCCCTTGTAGCTGTAGGCTCCACAGGACAGTTGACCTGATCGAGCTTGCAGTTGGTGCAGGGAATACTGCCGCCATTGGAGTCGCAACGGACTTTGCGAGCCCTGCAGCGTAGGCAGGCGCGACGAGCTCTCCTTCGGGTGACACCATGGCTTTGCCTGGGCTCCCTTGAAGATGACACTGGCTGTTCGCGAGCCGACTGCGAGCCAGATGGAGAGGTCATGGTGACCGTGGTTAATTTGGACCTTGAGAATAAATTGCTGATTCCGAGTTGGATGGCGAGTAAAACGTTCCAAGGTCAAACGATTGAGAGAAGCCGAAATAGGTCTTTTGCGTGGGAAAGGGAAGCAAGAACCCGACAAGAGCCAGAGCCGGGGGCAGAGAACGCACGATGCGGGGTCGAAGCATGGGAGCTGGCAAATCCCCGTGGGTAACCCCTCCCTAATGTGAGGTAGAACATAGTAACCTATGTCATGTCCAGTGCCAACAGGCGTAATGATGCGATGCCCATTGGTTATCACAAGAAGCAAAGACGGCAACTAAACATGGATGTGTGCCAGAGACAGTAGGATAACTGGGCGATTTGATCGACCAGGTAATCTTCAATCTGGCGCCATGAGAAGTCGGATTGGACCCTAATGTAATTTACACTGCCGAGCAGACCCTTATTGAAAAGAGTGCAAGAGGTACTGCAAGGTTCTGAGAGAATTCACCTTTTCCAAGAATAAAGCTATCACTAGTCGTCGTTTATCATGTCTGAAGTTTGAACCAAGGGGTAGCGTTCATGCTGCCGTATCTGTGGCAAGGTTGGCTGGACTGTGAGAGAAACAGGGTTTGAAGCTTCAACTGTCAAAGAATTCCCTCTCTTCTCCAGATCTCGCGGCTGCCTCCACCAATATCCGGTGGGGGTGTATCAATGGGTGCATTATTTTTCAGTCATCACCTAGATGCTTCCACCTTTGAAGACTATCCACGCTATGGATATTATTATCCGAAGTCCGCTTCTGGACCGAGGACCCCGCCACTGCAACTATATTCCTCAATTCTGTAACACTCTACTGTATCTGGGTTGGTTGATCGCCTCTCAATAGATTAGATCAGTAAGACCGTGCTGGTGGGACCGGTGTAAATCTTGTGCCTGATACCTTTCGAGATGACGAACCTATGATATGATTCTGTTCGTTTTAGGTCTCGACAGCAGTTCCTCGGCTGGAATATAGTCAACACTAGCATATGAAAGAATATTTAGGTATTCTGGAATTAGACCTGTTGAGGAAGGCGCTCGGAAGAGTGTCGTCACGCTATGCCACACCTATTCCATTGCGTAGCCTCACTTTACGCGATGCAACCCCTCGGGCAAAGATGGTTCGTGCCGGTCTGGTGGCATTGGAACAAGGGCTAAATCTAACAGATAACGTAGTCAATCACGGAGGCCTGATCGTGGTATATTCGATCATTCACTCGATTGACGAGTACACGCCAGTACACGCTTCATGCACGCGATGGAGCCCACGCACAGTTTGAAGGGCAAGGTGTACGCAATAACAGGTGGTGGATCTGGAATCGGCCTCGCTACTGCTGAGTTGCTGGCAAGCTATGGAGCCAAGGTTTCGCTGGCGGACGTCAATCTGAACGCCCTTAAAGATGTGCAAGCGCGCATCGAGAAGAATGGAGGAAAATGCCTGATCACTGGTGTTGATGTGGCTGACAGCGAGAAAGTCGACCAGTGGATACAAGAAACGGTCCAGATCTTCGGGACCCTCGACGGAGCTGCCAACCTAGCAGGCATCATACCAAAAAACATCAACATCGACTGTGTGGAAGACCTAGACAACGGAAGTTGGGGCAGGGTCCTTGATGTCAACCTTACGGGGGTCATGTATTGCTTGAGAGCCGAGCTGCGGCATATGAAACATGGCGGGTCCATCGTCAACGCTTCAAGCGTCGCTGGGCTGCGAGGATTTGCCAAAAATGCAGCCTACGTGGCTTCCAAACATGCCGTCATTGGGTTGACAAAGACGGTGGCCCAGGAGGTAGGGAACAGAAGTATACGATGCAATTGTCTAGCGCCGTAAGTGACAGTCCAGCAGGAAACGCAATGGAGCACTAACATGATCAATCATCAGTGGCTTGATTGATACGCCGATGCAACGACATTCAACGGAGATCCGGGGAATGGACATGCCATTGACTCAGCAGCCCATTCAAAGAAAAGGTCGGGCTGAGGAGGTGGCGCATTTGATTGCATGGCTGATGTCTGACGCATCAACATTTATCACTGGGACTGTGCAAGTCATTGACGGTGGTTGGTTTGCTTAGCATGGAGGAAACCATTCAATTCGATGTACCGTCCATTGACTTCTCCCATGGCTCTGGGCTGGCCAGAACCCGCAACATCCTATTTTTGCATAAGTTGCAGAGTTTAACGAGCTCGTAAATATTGCCATCGGCGAAGACATGTCGGTGTAAGGAGCAAAGCATGCCATGGGACAGAGATTTCATGACTCAGCTACACAGCAATTGGCCACGACAATGACGTGGTTCTCCAAGCATCTCTCCTATTCGAATACAACAGACGACAAGACACAGGGTGCAGTCATGTGTCGTGTCTAGATGTCAGCTGGATGATGTAGATCATCTGGACTTAATCGTTTATCGAATCAAATAACGAACGCATACAGTCGTTCCAAAAATGTATTTACATTCTATCTGGCCCAGAGCATGCTTTCTGAATCAGGAGAGCTTATATACTACACCACTACTGCTCATCTATCTTTTCGCAGGTGTGGCTTTGACACTCAGCTCAGGCACAGCCCATACCATGTATGCCTTCATGTGTTTCATTTGACCATCCGGGTCCCACAAATTGGCTCCATCCACCGCCTCAATGTCGAATTTCCAGAGGAGGCGAACCAGAGCCAGGCGAATCTCCATCCAAGCAAGGCTAACAGTGACGTTAGCTCGGAAGAATCTCATGTGCGGGAAGACTCACTTTTTGCCTAAGCAGACTCGGGGTCCCAGCGAGAACGGTTGCGTCGCTCTTTTGTGATCGGTTGAGTAGGCTTCCTCTAGCCACCGCTCAGGAATGAACTCATCAGGTTGAACGAAATTTGCTGGATTATGAGAGGCAGCCCATGAGCTAACTGAGACTGTTGTGCCGGAAGGTACATCATAGCCATCAATGATAGCGCCACCATCAGGGACACTTCTCAGCAAGCCTGGAGTAATGGGAGGGTGAACGCGAAGACCCTCATTGATACAGGCATTGAGGTAGGACATCCTCATGGTCCGATCGTGGCTGATGTCTTCTTCACTGGAAAATTCCGAGCGGATTTCTTGGACCAATTTGTCATAAGCTCTTCGATCGCGCAGCAAACGCGCCGTCAACCCGGACAGTGAGTTGGCAGTAGTTTCACTCCCAGCGAGACTGATGCTGTTAGATATCACAAGGGGTCGGCTGTGCAATGCACTCACATAAACAACGCCGAGTTGGTGATGATTTCTTCTTCCCGCAATTCGAATTTATCCTGCTGTTTCAATATGTACCAAAGAAAGTCGCGATGGTCGTCGTTTGTGTTTTCAAGACGCCTAATCCTCATCAGTCGGGCCCAAAGAATCTCGTGGACTAGGCCCAGACACTCACTTCTTGACTTGAGCTCGTGTGAGTTTCATGTGCTCCTTGTTTGGTGCAAAGATATCGCCAAAAGCACGCAACAACAGCTTTTGCAATGGTGTGCCAGCCGTTGCAAATCTCCTGGTAGCTTGGACCAATGCACCAGCTTTCACGGCTTTGAATACCAGGGTCACCCAATAGTGGTACTTGCCGTCATCAAGACAACCATAGTATTCTTTGAAAGCCAAATCGCCAATGGCGTCAAAAGTCAGGAAGTTATACCAATCGGCCAGGTTGAAGATTCGACCTTGTTCGCTAAACTCTGCAACCTTGTCCGTAAATTTGTGTATGTGACTGTTGATGATGGATTCTTGCTCATTGAGCGCCTTCTGTGAGAACGAATATGCGAGGCCTCGTTTTTGACGAGCGTGCGTAGCCTCGTCGGGCTCGTACTGCATACTGACGACGCCTTGGATGGACTGGACAGCTCCGGCGTGCACCGGATCTTTTGGCATGTTTGTTTTGCCATGTCGATACCCGTATATGTCGTCCCATGCTTGAACGCCATTGAAAGAGAGCTCTGTAGGGGCAATTCGCACCACGGGTCCTGTGGATATCTCAGCATGACAACTTCGGAACTGGACTTCACCCTACCGTATTTATCATGCAACGTCTTGACGTCCATGCCCATCCGGCCGTTCAGCAAGGAGATGATGGTCGGAACTGGACAAAATTTGTTGATTAGCGGGCCGGGATACTTCGATAGTGGATGGAAGTAGATCCGGTAAATCATGAGCATGGCAAAGTAGCAGGAGAGACCGATTACGGCAAGATACACGATGCCCATTGCGTCCAGGCCACCAATGGTGGGAGCACTCCAGGAAACCATCTCTGCTGTCGACTCAAGGTCGCTGCGAAAGCTAGGCTAAGGTGTCGAACTGTCGAGCCATGCGCGAAGGAGAGGGCGAAGCTGGCCTTGAATATTGCGTCGGATTCGCAGGCCGCCTTCAAAGAAAGAGACGTCCTGTAATGTCGCCTTCCCCTTTCGGCCCAACAGAGGCTATGAGCACTGAAAACTCCAACAATCGCGCCCGAGGCTGGAACAGTTGTAACGGGATATGGTCAATTTGTCGATATGCCTCGGGGTCACAAATGCGGTTGTTATCCTGGCACCATGAGCTGTACGTCAGTGGCCCAAAACTAACTTAGATGAAGGTTGTGAGTATCCGATCTCCTCGCTTCCGTCACGGAATTGATTACCCATCCCACGCAAGCACCCCGAGTTCTCCAGATTGCTACTCCATCCTCCGCGCGGGGCCATTCTGTTTATATCCTAGCATCTGATCTTTCCCCAGATTGACCCTGAAAGCACTCTTTCATTTGTACGTCCATGCTGATCGATCTTCTAACCGATTGCCGACGGTTCAAACAAAGTGCTGCCCGGAATGACTAAGATGACAGACAATACTTTTGTCGAGAAGGATGCTTCTTCGGGCGTTGAGCCCTCAATTGAGCACGTAACCAAGGTCCCCGAAAATAACGATGTGATCCCCGAATACCATGGGTTCGCCACGGATATCGAGCATGTGCCAAGGGGCTATTTCACAAGCAAGTACTTCCTGGGCACCTACACCGCGCATGTCTTCACCTTTCTTGGCGGTCTGGCAGGCTTCAACTTGATTGCTCCTATCCTTGGTCAGATTGATGCCGACATTGGACCCAGCGACAATATCAACTGGGTTGCTCTTGTCTTTACGCTTGGACTCGCTCTCGGCATTGGACTCATGGGCCGCGTCACTGATATCTTCGGCCGACGTTGGTTCATGATCATCGGGAACCTTCTCGGGGTCATTGGGGCCGTTGTTTGCTCGAGGGCTCAGACTGTGAACACTCTAATTGCCGGAGAGACTTTGATCGGCTTTGGTTCCAGCGCGGCGTATGCTTTCAACTTCGTCATCAGCGAGATTGTCCCAATGAAGTACCGGTTTTGGGCGCTGGGAGGTCTTTTCTTTTTCACGCTACCAACAAACGGCTTCAACACCATCATTGCCACCTCTTTTATCGTCCACACCAAGCAAGGCTGGAGGTGGTGCTACTACCTCACCCTGATCCTGGATGCCATCGCCACAGTGCTCTACTTCACCTTCTACCATCCTCCCAGCTTCGAGATGAAGCACAACAATGCTTCCAGGAAGCGAGTAATCAAGGAATTCGACTTTGTGGGAGCATTTGGTTTGCTGGCCGGCGTGACGCTATTGCTGATTGGACTTAACTGGGGTGGCAGTCTCTATGCCTGGAACGACGCCCATGTTATCGCTACAATGGTGGTCGGCGGCGTCATCATTCTCGCCCTTCCTGTGTGGACCATCTTTGGGAAAGTCAAGGACCCCTTTATTCCCAAACGCCTGTTCAACAGGGGCTGGACCGTTTCCATGCTTTCATCATCAGTTGGGGCGACCGTCTACTACAGCTTCTCCATCATCTGGCCTTCGATGGTCAGCACTGTTTTTGCCCAGGGAGACCTGGTTTGGGCAGGCTGGGCATCCTGCTTGGTCTCTATGGGCATAGCGCTTGGAGAAGTGATTGGCAATGCACTGACCCTGACCGTCACCAAGCAAAAGTATCAATGCATAACAGCTATGACAGTGGGGACAATTTTCTTGGGAGGAAAGTATTACCAAACGCAGAACTATTGCCAGAAGAAACACTAACTTTTTGCAGCCTGTGCGACTGTCGGGGTCGATGACAAGGGCAAGGCCATGGCTTTTGTTTTCATTTCCTGTCTTTTCATTGGATGGAACGAGGCCGTGGTCGCGACGTTGGTTGGTGTCTGCATCCACGACCAGCACGACATAGGAGTTGCCGCCGGCTTGTCCGGCTGCATTCGCTCGCTCCTCGGCTCTGTCTCCGCTGCAATCTATCTGGCTGTCCTCAGAAGTCGACTGGCGCATACAATCCCGGCCGAAGTTGTCCCTGCGGTCGTGGGAGCTGGTCTTCCCAAGAGCTCTGTCGCGGCTTTCATCGAAGCTCTCGAACTTGGTTCCACTGCTGCTTTCTCGAAAGTCCCTGGCGTTGATTCGGCGATCATCGCCGCTGGATCCCGAGCATACCGAGTTGCCAACATGGATGCTTATCGAACAGTTTTTCTTTCCAGTCTTGCCTTCGGGGGAGCATGTATCATCCTCAACATCTTGATCCCCAATGTCGACGAACTCATGAGCGGTGACATTGCTGTTACACTCCACGCAACGAAGCAAGAAGATGATGAAGCACTCCCAGGTGTTGGTGACAATGCGTTGCACGCTCGCCGTCAACATTAGACGGGCCCCCAATGGGGAGAAGGGACACAAGCAGATAAGCATCATAAGGTCCGGTTTGAAGAGTTGTTACCCTACCTGCTTACAACTTTTGAGACATCACCGAACCAGGTACTTACAAACTATATAGTGTCCTCGAGATCATCGCTTTCAAGGATGTATCTTCGGAAGTATTCTTCTGCTAGCAGGATCAGAAAGGCACCGTCAAATTTTGCTGACAAGAAGAGGACTGAGAGGCAATTGCCTGTGTATGAGCCTCTTAAGGCATGTCACTTTCTCGAGTGTAGCCAGTCGAAGGGGTTCACCTGGAAAATGTTTAAACATGGTGCGTTCTTGGATGCTACATGTGCAATGATGTAGACACGTACTTGATTTGCTGCAGCTTGAATTAGATGAACAATGAATATGATATATCGTTTCGAATCATTCAAGGCAAAGATAAAGGATAGCATCCATGGTGACCAATAACATGTGTGACGATTCGAAGAGCTCTCGAGCTCTCAGCAAACCTGCTTGAAAATATCTACTAGCTCAACATATCATCCCAGTCCACGAGAGGTCACCGGCACCAAGTGATCTTCCTACTGCCACAATTATTCTGTACAATGAGCTGATCGACCAGGTGTACAGCCTTCTGGCATGTGAAGCACTCGATGGTCATGATTTCTTCCATAGACGTTTCACAGTGATACAGGCCGTACACATTTCAATATGTCAAATCTTGCCTTTGTCCAGATACCTAGTTGGAATATTCACCCACTTGGCTCGCAAGTATTCGCATACGTTCTTGCCCAGAGAGTCATAGCTCGCCGTAGAATTGACGCCGCGGTCGAGGTGGTCCTTCAAGAGGAAATGAACCGCCCGAACATGCGGCATCTCGAAGCGCTCGATCCTCCCACCCTTGTACTCGTCTTGCAGGAGACTTTTGACCGTAGGAATGGTTAGGCTGGACCTGAGCCATTCCCACTCCTCGTCGTCCCGGGCGAAGAATCCAACATTGGCATCAGAGCTTTTGTCTCCTGACCTACCATGCACGATATGGCCGAGAGGAGCTTTTGTCGTCGGACCCCAGGAGCCTGGTGCGAGCGGGTTTTCTGTCTCTGAGCACGGTTGTTGACGGGGGAAGGTCTTCGTGACCTCTGGCGGGCTGATATCAATTGTCGATCCATGGAAGGCATGGACTTGCTGCTGGATTTCCGTTTGGGGTAGCAAGGCCACCCAATACCTGGATAGATTTAGCATATGTACAATCAAAGTTTGGCAGGTTCAAGGGCACAGCATACTCAAAGTATGGTTTGCCAACCGCCTGCCGCATATCCAAAGCAGGGGTGGAGCCTGGATAGCCCATCAGGCAGTTCTCGACACACCAACGTGCAAAGCAGGGCGTGTCGGGGGTAACGCTTATATTGGACCCTGCAGATATGATATCGGGATTCTTCGTCTGAGCGAAGATGCGCAGGTCCACGGTGGCTTCGTCCTGGTTCTTTGGATTTGGGGCCGGCGATCCTGTCACGGTGAAGGTGAGAGTGTGGAATTCTTTGCGATAATGTCCCATAGAAGCGACTGTCTGACGTTCAACCATTTGACGCTTTTCCTCGATGTCGAGGCCGGTCAAGAAGAAGTGGAACTCGGCTTGATAACCGCCCTTGGCTGTGATGCCCACTTTGGTTGTTGGTGGTGGAGGATGTCCAACGATCCCAGAGACGCGGACCTTTTCCGGGCCGTCTTGGGTCATTTTGATATGCCTCAGCTCCGCAGTTACATCCGAGTTGTGATAGTAGACCCCTTGAATCTCATATAGCAATTGCGATAAGACACTGTCCACGCTCACAATCCCTCCCGTGTTTTCCTCCTTCGTGATGGTAAACTCACCACTCTCCTCGATTTGTGCAATCGGAAAGCCGAAATTGGTGCAATTGTTTTTGGCCAGGAGCTCCTTCTTGAAACCAGTGTAGTACCCACCGGTCACGTATGTGCTGCATTCGATAAGGTGCCCAGCAATCAAGGCATGCGCAAGCTGCGTGAAGTCTTGACGTGACCACTGATGCCACCAGATCGCAGCCCCCAGAGCAGGTGAAGCGTCAGAAAGACGACCGCCTATCACGATATCGGCGCCAGTGGCCAGAGCCTCCGCGACTCCTACTCCTCCGAGGTAGCATTGAGCACAGACAGGAGCCCACCCCCAGTCTTGTATCGGCTGGTCTGCAGGTAAGGACAGGAACTCTTCTCCTTTTGCAAGAAGGTCCGTGACCTTTTCTGTCACGTCGTCTCCGGTGATCCAGGCTACTTTCAGATCAGTGCCTTTGTCCTTGCAGATTTGTTGGACACGTTTTGCCATTGCTTCAATGTCACTGGCACCAGCATTGACGACGACCTTTTTTCTGTTCGCAGCGATATCGGGGATTGCTGGGATGAGTGCTTCAATGAACGTAGCTTCGTACGACGTCGTGCCTCCATTCTCCTGACCAAGGGCTTCACGGTCTATTTTCGAGGAACCTCTGAATGTCATATTCATTTCAGACATCCAGTCACCCGTGATCACATCCACATGAGGGTTCTTAGATAGATTGGCAATTGCTTCAATCCGGTCGAAAACTCCCCCAGAACATCCGGCAATACCCACAGCTCGGCGTGTGGTGCGAGTGCCATTTGTGGCTCCATTCATGTTTTCGGGAGCACCTTTCATGGCTGCGTCCAGGTCAATGTCTTTCTGTGACCTTCTCTGGGTGAATATTCAATTATCGCAGAGATGTCAGAACTCAGAAATGCTATACACCTGGCAACGAGAAAATGATCAGGCGTGATGTTTAGTACTGACCCCGGACCAGCCAGCATAAGACTCGGTTAGCCAGACTACACACCCAAATCTTTCCTACAAAATCCATGTTGAAGTCGCTTCCACTTCCAGCAAAATGGCACTTCGGCTAAAGGGACCGCTACGCGGGCAATGGTGGACCCATTGTTTGGTGGGGTACCAGTAACCCCAAGCCCGAACTCTTCTTGAGGCGTCGACCATCGGAGAGGAGAATCATTTCCGACGGCAGTCTCTCCGTAGCATCATGTTCGTTGCCTGTTTGGACAAGGTCCACAGCAGATCCGAGGCACCACGAACCGAGTGGCCATGCTGCCACATTCTCCACCCTAACAAGGAAGGGAGTCATGGAACTTTGTGGTTACCTTGTTTGCTTTTCAATTCAACTTGCAAGGATCGAGCCCAGAGGTCACACCTACCATACGCATATCTTGCACCAGCAAACTATCAGACTGTTGACCTGTGCAATCGATCTCGCCAAAACAGACCTCAAGATGTTGCTCGACGACGTTGCCTCTCAGCTGGATCCGAGAAGCGTCTCGCTAGCCACAAATATTTATCGGCTTTTCCTGGTGGTACGTGCCTGTTTAGAACTCCCAACGGCTACATCTGCGTCAAGCACTAAATCTTGACAGTTCTTTGTGTACTGGGCTGCTGTGGCGGTCTATCGACTCACGCTGCACCCTCTTGCCAAGTATCCGGGCCCGATACTATGGGCTATTTCACCAGTAGGATCAAGCTTCTAACAGGCCACGGGTGTTCAACTTAATGTCGTATAGGTACCAAGCATATACTACTTACTCATAGGGAGAATATCTTTTCAGTACAAGGTCCTTCATGACAGATATGGTAGGGAACCTGGCCATAGCTTTTACCCGTACCACAGTCCGTGCTAACAAAAGCAGGACCTGTCGTCCGTGTCATGCCAAATGAGCTGGCTTTCAATACCGCCCAAGCATTCGAGGATATCTACGGCCATCGACAGGGTAGACCTAACATGACAAGAGACCCTATTCATGTTGGAGCCGTCGAGGCCATTCCGGGGGCCAGCAACCTCACGATGTCAGACGAGGCAAACCATCCTCGCCAACGCAGGGCCTTGGCTCATGCTTTCTCCAAGAAGGCGCTTGACGAACAAGAAGATATCTTGTTGGGCTACGTACACAAATTCGTTCAGCGCTTGCGGGAATATGCCGCAGCGGGAAAACCTGCAAACATGGTAAGCTGGTTTAACTATTGTACGTTCGACATCATCGGGGATCTCTCATTTGGCGAACCGTTTGGCTGTCTGGAAGAAGGTCTGTCGTTCCGGTCTAAGGGAGGTAAAGACGCTGACGAGCTGAATAGGAGAAGGTAGCGAGTCGGCATCATGGGTTGTCCTTATTTATGAGAGCATCAAGTCCGGCGCCATCGAACAGGCTACCCGACGTTTTGCCTCGCCGGGATCTCTTCTTCAACGTTTCCTGCTCTGGTCATGTCCGTCGATCATCCGTGAGCGCCGTCTAAAGCATTTGCGGAACAGCACGGAGAAGGCAGTCCGCAGGATGAACACCAAGACCGAACACAAAGACTTCCTCTGGTATATCCTCAAACAACGAGAAAAGAAGAACGAAGTCAGTGACGACGAAGTCATCATGAACTCGGCTCTGTTCATGTGAGCCAATGACCTCTCTACCGTTTTATGATCTTGATCGGGCTAACAATGACCAAGTGTTGCCGGAAGCGAAACCACCGCCACCCTGCTCTGTGGTGTCACCAACCTGCTGCTCAGGAACAGAGATGTTTTAGAGAAGCTCAAAGCGGAAATCCGCGAGAACATCAAGACCAAGGAAGATCTTGTTATGGACAAGCTAGCTCAGCTTCCATATCTGAACGATTGCTTGGAAGAGGCTCTGAGGATCTTTCCTCCGGTCCCTATCGGGCTGCTCCGAGTCGTACCTAAGGGTGGATCGATGATTGATGGCCACTTTATTCCCGCTGGGGTATGCTCACATGACTCTTACTGGCACTACTTCCGTTGGCTTTTACTGACGATCTACCAATATAGACTTCCGTGTGCGTCAGCTCCTGGGCCGCATCTCACAGTCCGGCGAACTTCAGAGAGCCCGACACGTACATACCTGAAAGGTGGACGGACAAGTCTTACGAATCCGATGTCAGAAAGGCTTCTCAGCCTTTCTCCCTCGGGCCTCGAGGGTGTATAGGACGCAATCTGACCTATGTGGAACTACGGCTCATCCTTGGCCACTGGTTGTGGTACTTTGATATCGAGTTCTTTGATGGAGCTCCTTTGTGGGATCCTGCCAATGAATTTGCAGGTCTGAGAGCATACAACACTTGGGAGAAGAGTCCGTTGATGATATCCCTGACGGATATCAGAAAATGACAAAGTCTGGCTTCGGGACCACACATTCTTACTGGAGATCAACGCGCATTCTCTAGTGTCTGCTCAGAGGCAATGACCATATTCTGACCAAGCAAGCTAGGGAGTCTAGAACAGGAGAATTTAAGCAAGAGGCCCAGACCAATGGTCAATGGTCTACCATTAGACAGAATCGTCACTCATGCCATTGCTATGAATGAACTTGAAAGGCGCTCACGGACTTGGTGCCACATAGTTGAGAAGATAAAGTCATAGGTGGCCACCAAAAAGAATTACGCCCAGGCGATGCCACAACGCAAGGATCTGTTCACGGCGTGGGCTCGCGGTGTCATAGTTGATGATACTGTCTTCTCCAGCTAACCAAAGAGACCTGTGAGTATTGGTGATTATGACACCAGCCTGGTAGTGCGAAGCTATCTTGTGTGGTGACCAGGCCTGGTGGGTTTTCAGAGCTTTGCCTGAGTTACCGTCAGTCTTTGATCCTGAGACGTGGGACGTCCGTCCTTCTCCATATGCTCCATCAGATCCTTCACCAGGGAATATGCCCAGAAGGCGGTTTGATCTCTCTGAGAGCCATATGCTTGTGCCTTCGCACTTCCCGATTGACCCAGCGCATGTCTTGCCGCAATACCTTGCATGACCACCGCTAGCCTGAAAGCACCAAACGCATCACCCCAACAAATCTCGTCACTCGGGTCCCATCCTGTCATATGGAAATACCACTTAACACAGTCCTCACGTGCTGGTAATCCGGGAAGGGCGCCAGGCCTGAAGTCAGGGGCATCCTCATTGAAGCCTACGTATGTATGGAATTGAGCTGTCACATAAGGTTGGGTTAGATTGCCAAAGTCCGACAGAGGATGTCCGATCGTTGCCATTTCCCAATCCAAGATTCCGATGACTCGGGGCTCGGTTCTATGGAAGACTATGTTGTCGATCTTATAGTCTCCGTGTATCAGAGTAGACCTATCTTGAGGCTGGCGGGAGGGGTCTGCAAAGAACGTGATCATTTCCCTCAAATGAGGTACGGCGCCAATAGGAATGCCGGTGGCCTTGTCGACTGCCATTGCTTGTGATGCTGAAAGATTGGTGAATGTCTTGATTTGGCGGTCGTAGAAGCCGCCAGACTTGCCCAGGGTCTGTAGGCCTATGGGGGTGAAGTCTACAAGGTGAAGCCTGGCCAACGCCTCCACAGCTGAGCGCCACCTAAAACCAGAATTAGTATGATAGCTCTCAAGCACCGGTATGAGTGTTCTCACATGGCTGTCCTCTCCGCAGGCTCAAGGCCTGGAAGAGAAGGGTGGGAGTATATCCTGCCATCTAGAAACTCCATGACGTAGAAAGCGGTACCTGTCACAGTCTCGTCCGCGCAATAGTGGTAGGCCTTTGGCGCCGGCACGTCAGTGTGCTCTAGAGCACGAAGAATCCGGTACTCTCGATCGACCCTGTGTGCCGTGGGAGAGAGTAACGCCCCCGGTGGTCGTTTGCGGAGTACATATCTTCGGTCATCACTGCCTGTGAGTAGATATGTTGGATTCGATTCTCCAAAGCCAAACTTCCAGGGAATGGTCAGTCAAGAACTTGAGGAAGAGAAGTCGAACGAAAAGGAAAGCTAACCTTTTTGAGTTTGATGGGCCTCTTAATATCATGGACATGTTTAGCAAGGTAGGTTTCTAATGCTTGAACATCCAGAGGCTGTCGAACAGTTCCGGCCATGGTGAAAGCTGAATGATGACAGGGTATGGGGTGTACACAGCTAGCTATGTCCTTGGGAAAGAAACATGAAGCCCAGAGAATAATTCCAAGCAGCCGTGGCACATCTCAAAGGGTCCTCGAAGCTGGAGTCTGGTGTTTGCCGTGGGTAAATCATTTGCACACTGTGGCACCCGGGACGGGCTTGAGTTTCCGGGGGACTTGATTAACAACTACCTGATGCCTCGGGCTCGGCAAGCTTCGGAGGGTCAACCCCTCGCAAGGCGCTGGGACGCACTCACTGAAACGCTGAAATCCCCGAATCACTGAGTCACTGAGGTGATCAAGATTGAGTATTAGATTTGAGATTTTACCTGCCCTCTCTGTAGAACACGTGGTCAGAAGAGTCAATCTGTTCTGCAGGTCCTGAGTTATTTCATCGATCACCCTGAACGGCGGCGGCTCCATCTTCTACACAGTACGTTTGCAACCTCAAAACCACGCCTGGAAGTGGAATTGCCCTCGGCACATTGGCAATGGGTCAAAGATTGCTTCAGCCTGATCATGCCTGGGCTTTTGAGCCGGCATCTTGTGCATGTAGTGATCATGATACCACTTGAGCCTCTGCTAGCCAGGAAGCTTTTTATGTGTGATATACAAGATGGACAGCTGTGATCCTGCAGTCCTGAAAGGGACAAAGAGTATCATCTCTAGCCTGGGAATATTCACTTCTCAATACCATTTCTTTGTCTCTCGGATGCCAGCCTTGCGACATGCTCAGAGGTCGACTTCATGTCCATACACATCAAACCACAGGATCTCGCCTACATGATCAGACTTTACATTCCGAGCTGTCCAACCGGCCAGAACCTATACTGAACTTGGAGATGTCTCTCCATGCACTGTTCTCGTGGCAAGTGTCAGTACCACAGTCTATACGAGCCATAGGCATCGTTATCATGAAATGCCAACGGACGTCGTTTCCACTCAAAGTCTTACTTGCTTCCACAACCTACCTTCGTGGTAAGTCTTTCTTATCTACAGCCACACATGTTGTCTTTCAATTCTCCCAGAACATCATGTGTTCTGGCAACGCACCATATCGCAAGGCTGAAAGGAAGAAACATCTGTCTTTGTCAGGGACATCACACTGTTTTGTTGATGTATGGTTTGCCGGGTGTCCGATCTAGGTGTTTGATTGGCTGTTGCGAGAGCCGGCCAGGCGGTACTGAGCCTCGACTCCACTGCAAAAAGCAGACTCGCTATACTCGATATGAGCAAGTACATGGAGATGTGGCTACATAGTAGTCAGCCAGCATTCCGGGGGCATTCGTGGTGTCCTCGCTGCCACACTCTTGCCACGATTCCTAGTATGAGTAGTGGTGCCAACTTAGGAAGTGTATCGACGGATGCCAACGAAGCCGAACATTAAGCGTACCAAAGTACAAACAAAATGCAACCCGGCACCAATCAGCGCACCAAAGTCCGACGAAAATGCAATCCCACACCAATAGGGTATGTTCTTAGCATAAAAGAATTTCCTGGCACGCGCTATGCCGTGGTTAGTACCCAGGTCCTCACCCAGTCCATTCAACAGGCTTTTTGGCGCGGACCACGAGGCTGGGCCGAAAAAGGGGGGAACTTTGTAAATGTCCCGCACCACAGAAATTCTCGGACGAGTTATATCGCGTACCATACCTTTTCATACGTCTAGGATAAGACTCCGGACTCTTCCCACTGCAGACAAATTGTCTCTGGTCCCACCAAAGAAAGTCTTACTAAAGATCCTCAAACAGTGCAACCGGCACCAGACATTCGAGGAATTTCCAACGTCTCCCACGCCGGAGACGGTCATGATCGGCGCAGAAGGACGATTTCCATGGGTTTGTCAATAACTCTTCGAGAAAAATTCCACGTGGTTGAGTGGTCGATCCGACGAACAGGAAAGTTTGTAAACAACTTGCAAGTCATGTACATTGTGTGTCTATCTGTGCAGGTTCATTCCTGACGACCACCAGGGCGAGATGTTGCTGCTTTCCGCAAAAATCCCCCAAGTTGCCCCGGGTCGCCTCTACAAATGCACCAACGCCTAAAGTGTAACGCTTCCCATGCTAAAGAACCCCGTGCCCAGTAGTGAAGGGGTGCCCCTCGTAGATGATGTCCTCCCCTTTGTAAGGAGGTGTGCTTCCCATGCTATGCATTTTCCATTATATCGTAATAAGCGTGTTGGTGATGAGCACCACAATTTCCACCATCTGAATGGCCTTGCTGTGCGAGAGGCCGCCCATCATATCAAGCGCTGAGTTGCCCGGCACTCTTATAATGACTCCTCCAGAACTTGCAGGAGGTCAGAGATCGTATCCTTCAACTCCTCCAACTCAGCCACCGCACCAGTGTCGAAGTCGTCGAGATAGGCATCAACGAAATCGCTGAACAAATGGTTGAAATCGACGTCCGAAAATTGCTGATCGACACGCACTTGATGGTGTATTGGCTCGCAGTCATGCACCTGACACTCGAGTAGAAGACTTTCAGTCGCATCTTGCCCTTACCGCCGATATCCTTCTCGATGACAAGCGGCGTGGTGAGATTGGACTTGAGAAGCCTCAGGCACTCACTGGACATGCCTCCGCGGGATACGACCTTTCTTTGGTTCCAGGACTTTATCCGTTCGGTGTTCCAAGAAAGAAGGGCGCGACGAGGTGTAGGTCTTTGTGGTAGTGGTAGAGGTAGTGGTTGTAGTGGTGGTGGTGGTCGTAGTGTTGGTAGTGGTGGTTGAAGATGAAGATGAAGATGAGGAGGATGATAAAGAAGAGATAGATGGTCTGGCACTGGGGGTCGCCAATTTGGAACAGAGGAAAGCTTTTTCGTAGGGAGAGGGTGATGCTGTGGAATATGGAGCAAGGGTATGTGCGAGTGTAGCAGTGTTCAGTATGGTAGAAGCTCAAGGGTAGTTATGCACGAAAGCAACAAAGAGGCAGAGGTTATATAGGCAATGCGAGACATGAAAGGCAGTGCAAGACTCATTTGCGTGTTGTTAAAGTTGTTGTTTACACTGTTCAGCAAACATATTTTTCAGTTTTTCCAGGGTATGTCGCGAGTGTCGCAGCCCGTCAGAGGTGCTACCCGATGAATCTGGCTTTTCCGTCTACTGCCCTCTATCAGGCGCCGGGCTGGGTGTGGATCGAGTTGGAGGTTTTCGAGAATACGCTATCGTGGATGCCCGACAGGTCGCGCGTATCCCAGAGGGTATGTCTGCAGTTGAAGTAGCGCCGCTTATGTGCGCCGGTCTTACGATCTACGCCGCGCTGAAGAAGTGCGAGCTCACAGCGGGCCAGAGAGTAGGCATTTTATGGGCTGTGGTGGCGGTCTAGGTCAGTTGGGACTCCAATTTGCTACAAAAATGGGTCTTAGGACAACGGGCGTGGATATTGCACCACGATCGTTACAATTCGCTAGAGACCTAGCCACGGGAGCAATGATAATCGATGCGTCGAAACAAACAGCCAAAGAGGCCCGACAGCAGATGGGAAAGGATGATGGACTGAATCTTGAGTCTGAAATGGGTCTTGACGCAGTGTTGATCCTCCCCGAAAGCCAGAAATCGTTCCAGTATGGCATCGACATGGTGAGAAACGGTGGCCTGGCTGTTGTGATATCGTTTCCACCACAAGGGTTTCATGTCGATGCGGGCGATTTGGTCTTCCGCCGGATCCGACTGGTTGGCAGTCTAATTGGCTCCAACAGGGCAATGGTAGAGATGTTGGAATTCTGCGTCAAGGAGAACATCAAGGCCAAGACCACCGTATTTCCCTTCTCGAAGCTCAACGATTTGGTGGAGGCGTATCATTCTGGCGTTCCAGGGAAATTGGTGGTTGACATGTCGATGGCGCCTTGATGGCTCCTGGCTTGAGATACTTATCGTGGCGCCCGAGCCTTGCGTCTACTTTTTCTCAAACATAGATGTGCCTGATATCACGAAGGGAGAGATGCCATTAGTGTAATACGTGAGGCCCAAGGTCAGGGTCGAAAGTGCTGAAGTCATCTCTTTCGGGGATATCGGCACAGTCGGGGGTCTCCAACTATTCAGCCTCAATTCTAGTAGTCATGTGCATGCGAACACGAACACTGGCCAAACCCCAGCCGGGGAGGAAGTGGAGATAAAAGTTGACAACTATCGGAAAACCACTCTGCTACTTCAAAGACGGTAACCTGCTAGGTCTGTCGATCGAATCTCCTCCAAGAAGCGGCCACCCTCCATTTGGACCTCGTGCTTTCGGTAGATATGGACGGCACTGATGGGGTGCGGGACAGGCCTAACGTCTGGGAAACCTCCAGTCTAAGCGAAGTGCCTCCCCGCGCGAGACCCGGAAAGCCACAATGCAAGCCTAGGGAGCCTCATCCACCCCGCATCGACTCGATGGCGTCTTCCTGCTGTCTTCCTTGCCCATCATTCAGCCGGAAACATGTTCGATTCCGAGCATCTGCGTGATCAACAATGCAAAGTGAAGGCATCGCGAGAGACAATGGTCTCAAGAGACGACGTGTTTCGATTGCCTGCTCAGCTTGCCGTGCACGAAAATCTCGGGTGAGTTGCAATCCCGCCAATTCCCTTGGTTTGCCATTACCTGTACTGAAAGCTTGGTGCCCAGTGCAACGGCGAGCGGCCCAAATGCAGTAGCTGCGACTCTCATGGGTACGAATGTACATACGAGCAACCTCTGAGCTCGGCTCCGGATGGGTACATAGGTGCAAGCAGGTATAGTCCGGATCTACCTCTCTTTACGTCGAAGAAAGAGCACCACTAAATGGTGGTCCATGGCCCTAGACCTTCAAAATTCCTCGAAGCTCGCGTAGCGGATCTAGAGGAAGTGGTACAAAGCCTCAGATCTGATGAACCAGGCTTGGGCAGGTTGGTCGTCTCTTGATGCAGCACGAACTCGAACGGCCAGAAATAATGTGAGCAGACTTCCGGCCCTGGATCGCAGAAAGGATGACCTCCACACCATAGGAAGGCTTTCGGACAGTTTACCCAGGGCCTATGGCGGAAACGTGGACGCATTAGCATCTATCATGCTTACGGAGAATAATGACTGCCGCGACGAAACGCCTCATTTTGAGTAAGTAGCCATGGCCATCCTACACGGTGCTAATCGAAAAGTACTCAGGCAGAACTCCCAACGTCTTTCTCTTCCAGCAGTTAGTGCCGCATTTGTCTGGTAGCGGACATGGGCAAGACCCGTCGGCGCCGACAGAAGCCTACAACAACCGTCATCCCGTAGCGATGTCGCCGGATCTAGACGGAACCACGATACATGGATCGAGGCCGAACGTCGACATCGATGCCGATCCGTACCAAATGCCGCCTATAACGGAGACGGAAAATCTGCTTCACGTGCACTTCTCCACCATCATCTTTTCGTTCCCTGCCTGGATGAACACGGGTTTCTTAGCACAAATCTTGTCGAGGAGGGGCTCAATATTCTGTGGCTGCAGTTGGTGATGCCTGGCTGGGTACATTCTACATCGTCTTGTCACTGGCCTGTCAATGTCTGGAAGCCATATCACCTGACTCACACCGCGCAGCAGAGTCAGAGGCTTACTATCGCAAGGCTCTGAAGGTAGGAATGGAACAAGTGATCGCGGGAGTGGGATTCGAAGTCGGTAAGTTTACTGTGGCTCTTCGTTGATCCCAGCTTACAGAGGGACAGTGCAATTTTTAGTCCTCCTCACCACTTACCTTCTGAGCACCCATCGAGCGAGCGAAAGTTGGTCATTCCATAGTCTTGCTGTCAAATCTGCATTTCTGATGGCTCTTTACTCGAAGTCTTCTTTTTCAAGACTGCCGACTGCGGAAAAAGTACTACGTCAGAAGTGCTGGCTGTGTTTGGTGTATAATGACCGGTGAATGGAGCCAGCGCCCCTGAAGGGAACCTGCTAATCGCGTTCTAAGGTTGATGAGCGTCGCATTCGGCCGACCTGGCCTCATCCAACCATCGTACAGCACATGCGATTTTCCACCAGAAGATTTGGACGAACTGCCACCACTGCACGTCACCAGGGTAATTGCATCATTAAGCTTGCTGCACTTTAAGGCGTCAATGTGAGAGCTGCGCTTGAATCGCTTATCATGAGCTTGGCCGCTAATAAGGAAAGAACATTGTCAACAATTGTGGCAGATTTCGCCGAGACTTTGAACCACGAAAGCTTGAGGAATGTTCCAAGCCCAAGCGCGTCCGCAATCATCAGCAGGACCGTCCTGCTACTTGAAAGACTGTCAGAATGGAGATCAAACCTACCGAAATCACTGCAGATGGTGGATCGGGATGACCTCCCGGATCTCAAGTTATCAGGCAAAGGAGAGCTTTACTCAACCCGATTTCGAATATTCCTGTCACTGAGATATTTGACATCCCGAGTTCTCTTCTACCGGCCACTCCTGGATCTTCATCTGGAGCTGGAACCGCACGAATATCTCTTGGTCAACAGCGAGCCTCTTGGGGACATTATGTTGACGTTACTCAAAGACTGTGCAAAGTCCTGTCGACTTGTGATTGACATCGCAAAAGGCGTTCTCAGGGCTTCTGGCGAAGGTGTCAACATCCAGGGTGCTTGGTGGCTTTCTGCGCATTTCGGTATGGCTACCCATATAGCCTGGTGCTTATCCCACTTGTTGACGCTACTATTCAGTCTTTAACGCATCGCTTGTGCTGCTTGGGATAAATCTGGCGATGCGTCAATCCGGCGACATTTCGTCACACTCTTGGGTAACGACAGCACTCATTGAAAACAGGAACTCTGTTAGCGATGCGGTGGCTGTCAAGCGTGGTTTGGACCGCGGTAATGCCGTCATTGCGCGCTGCAGGAATGCTTTGGTCAGACTCGCCAAGTCGTACGACGCCTCAGGTGAGTGTCAGAACACGCAATCCACTGACAAATATCTAATGGTCAGAGCCAGATTCTCTCCCAGGCCCAGATGTGGCGATGTTGAATCGTGAGCAGGGACCCTCGTCGTCAAGTCAAACTGGCCAAGATGCACAGCATGAGGTGGATAACTACTTGCCTCTTGACTACAACTTCGACGAGCTTGCTTCGTACTCGAACTTCAATTTCTTCTCTGATCCGCCGCACCTATATTGACACAGAGAAACTCGAAGGTTAGCAAAGTTAAATTGAGACATCTACAGAGAGGATCGAACATCATCTTGCAAAAGGAGAGCTTTTATACCGGTCTTATGCCCGGCGCATAATGCTGTTTCCTAAATTTCAAGTTCTTCCTCAACGCGTCGTCTTCCGTTTTCCAGCATTCCACAAGCCACTCTTTCCCTGATTCAAAACGCCTCTTGGGTCTGTCAGGTCTTTCACAGCCTGCAAAAAGCGTCGTTGAGCTCCGTCGTTCCAGTTGTAATGGCCGGCGATGTCATCCATGTAATCGATATGTGTCCGGTATTCCGAGACCGACTCCTTCGCCGCGTCTTCCACCAAGTCTTTGTATAACTTGTCGATCCTGGGACCGTCCTCAGGTCCGTGTATAAGCACAATGATCGCGATCACATAGCGACCATAGACATGAAAATCGCTGAAATAATCAATGCCGGCCTCCTCAACCAATGCCTTGGATCGAAGATACCACTGGTGAAGCTGTCGGCTATTTGGTGGGAACAACGGCGAGAAGCAAGTGTGCGCTCCTCCTTTTCCCCTAATGTTCATTAACTCAAGGGGATCGAGGACGGGAAGTTCGGAGTGTGGGATTGCTCCTTTTATCATCTCCGACGGCACAAGTGGTCCAACCAGTGTTGATTCAGATTGAGGAGTAGCGTTGAATTTCACTCCGGGAATGACCTCGAACGCTTCTTTGACCTCCCTCCAGGCCGCGTCGCAAACGTGTTTGGAGCCATATAGCTCAAATTCTGCTTTCCAGAATCCCCACCCTTTTGCTTCCCGAATGTCGTTCAGGACTGCGTAAGGCACCGCCTTTCGTGTCGCCCAGTAAGGAAACAAAGGTCCCCAAGTGTCAGGTCCTGCGAAGATTGTTTGTCGGTAGGAGTTGCTGATAGAAGCATGGTTCTGAATGACTCCCGATCTTTCCAGGCGAGCAATGATGTCAAAGCAAGCAGGTCTTCCTCATTCGGTACCGAGACCTCACAATCGACAAAATGTCGAGGTGCTGGTTGGAGATGAATTCCCATTTTTGTTACTATGCCCAAGTTGGCTTGGAAGAACAAGCCATCAATACTTGGACCATAACCGCTGCATCAGATTCGTCAGTAAAGGACTACACATGCTGGGGCATTTCACCTACCCTTTGAAAAGCGCCCACATGTCACTGTTCTCCATGGCGCCCATGCCAGATCGTATGATCTCACCATTGGGGAGAACGACTTCCATGCCACATTGCGCTTGAGAGTGTTCCCCATATTGAGTATATCCGAAACCTCGCTCAGTGGTGTTGCCCAGCACGCTTCCCCAGCCCAGGGCAGGGCAAGATATCCATAGTTTTATCTTGGGTTCCTTGATGTAATCGTGGAGATCGAAGAAGCTTACACCTGGCTCAACGATGGCATAGGCGTATTCTTCATTGACCTCGATGATCTTCTTCATTCGATTTAGATCTAGCATGACCGTACCCTTCTCCACACCACTTGTGCAGCCGTATCTATTCTCTGCTTTAGCTATGATTGCACTGAGCGGTGGTGGACTCTGAATAGACCCCGACCTACCCAAGATTCTTGCCCCGCGAAAAAGCCCATAGAGGAAGATTTATTCATTGGCGATTTTCATGTATGCTGAATTTCCTCCACAGTCTTGGGACGGAATGCTCCTGAAGGAGTATTTCGACCGGCGCCACGCATCTCGTAGTGGTCCCCGTACCATTTCTCGCCCTGAGGCCCTTCCAGTCCACCATACTCGTGCGTTCTCGTGACATTTTCTTCTCCGATGACAAGTGCTACTGCATCGAAAGCCTTGTCAAAGGTGTCTGAGTCGATTCCAGCTGGAAGTACGCGAGAATTTTCATTCTCTCGTGTCGGTTGACCGTCGCAAACACCACTGAGAGATCCCATTGCATGAACGTGATGGGAAGTTAGAGGGCCACCGATTGCAAGGTTGGTATTCTCCTTACAATCGCAAAGGCCCAGAGATTATATGATGCATCCGGTTCGATACCCCCGTATGGAGCGCCCCACGCCGAGCGGGCCTGGGTGGTGGGTCATCGACATCCGCCATCCCCGCATTATTGCTTCCCGATATCCCCGACGAGATCCCGCGATATCTGCCGACTTTAGGATGTCACGGCCACGCCCAGAACGAGCGATGTTATGTTATGAATCCGTCCAATATCGCTACATCGTGTCAACCTCACCTACATCTTTGCGAACACTAGCAGTTAGGTCAAAGATTGCTCGCGGACATCATGGGAGACCTATCAGAGATGAAGCCTCCCTTCCCCCTAAATGATCTACACGAGGCTTTCCCTGTACCCAAGGCACTCCGCGAGAATGAACCACAACATACAGGGTTTATGGCGCCGGTGCGATTTGAAGGCAGCATAACGGACCTAGAAATCATTGGAGATGTCCCGACAGAAATTTCAGGTACATTCTATCGAGTTATGCCGGAACCACACTACCCTTCTTTCATCGAAAATGATCCCATAAGTCCAAGACTACTCCTAACAGGCCTGCATCCCGCCTAACGTGTACCCTAGTGGTTCAACGGTGATGGCGTCGTCAGCGCTTTCAAAATCAAAGACGGCCATGTCGATGCAAGCAGGCATTCGTGAGAACCGAGAAATACGTGAAAGAGGCCGAAGCAAGACGTGCGTTGCTTGGTAAGTCGACCTTGTGCTCGCGGTTTGACAATGCTCTAATCACGACAACTAGGAAAATATCGAAACAAATACACCGATGCTATTGCGTATTAAGTCCGATCAACAGCAAACACTAACATCGTGTATTGGAATGGCAAACTCCTTGCCCTCAAGGAAGATTCACCATCATACTCGATGGATCCTACGACGCTAAAGACGATCGGACTTGAGACCTTTGACGGCCAACTTCCAGCATTGACATTCACAGCACATCCCAAATTCGACCCTGACACGCGCGATATGGTGTGTTTCGGCTACGAGGCAAAAGGAGATGGCACACCAGATATCTGCTACTACTCCATCGGCCCAGACGGAAAGTTCAAAGAGACAGTCTGGCTGACTTGTCCGGTCGTTGCTATGATACACGATTTTGCTGTCACCAAGAACTATGTAAGTTTCCCATCGCTGCAAAGAAGGTATCTCCCAATTCTGACCAAAAGATTGTTCTTCCTGTCGTCAACCAAACCTGTGATGTTGAACGAATGAAAAAGGGTGGTCAACATTGGCAATTCGACAACGACCTGCCCACATATATTGGAATATTGTCACGCTATGGAGCTACAGGAAGTGATGTCAAAGTGGGTACCACGTTCGATTAACCACAATTTTCGCATCTGACCTTCATGATACAGTGGTTTACGGCGCCCCACGGATTCGTCGGACACGTTGCGAATGCTTTCGAGGATGAGCATGGAAATATTGAGCTGAGCATGGCATGGAGCAAACAAAATGTGTTCTTCTGGTGGCCAGACAAGGATGGAAGAGGACCTGCTCCGGAATCGATCTCTAGTGATTTGCTAAGATGGACGATTGACCCCAAAGCCACGGACCTAAAGCTGCCTGCAGGTGAGATCTTAGCGACGGGAGACCTTGAATTTCCCAAGATTGACGACCGTCACGTCATGTCTCGCCACAGCAAGGTTTTCTACAGTATCTTCCAGCCTCAACTTGTCGATTTCCCGTTCGTGGGGCCGAGGATGGGAGGCGGTTTTCCACCTTACAACGGATTCGCCCGGCTAGACACCAAGACTGGCGAAGTGAGTCGATACTTTGCCGGACCAAGAAAGTTCACCCAGGAACTGGTGTTCATACCTCGTAGCCACGCGGGCGAGGAGGGTGATGGGTGGATTCTATTCTTGCAAAACAACTTTGAGAGCATGACGAGCGAACTTGCTATTGTTGATACAAAGGATGTATCAAGGACTGTGGCTTTGATCAAATTGCCCGTGCGGTTGAGGCCTGGGTTGCACGGTAACTGGGTCGATGATGCTGATGTGGATGGTCACCCGATGCGAAAGGCTCCCACAACCACGTAGCCGTCGATGTGAACGGGATTGGCTTATCAAGGAATCTCTCGTCACTTTGAATAGATCATTGGCATAATTCTAGTCTCAATGACTGCATTGGTCTAATCTGCATAGTTCCTGGGGGCGAACTGTCATTATTCCAGTCGGCGGAAGGAAGATCGTGCCGCTCAAGGAATATTTTCCACATATTTGACCGGAAATCAAGCGGCCAAGACCTTTCCTGCTTCTTTCTCAATGTCATACAGAAAGAAGAAATCGTTATATTCCTGAGAAAAGGTCTTTGCTTTGGGACCGGGTATAGGCCCGTCGTAATACCGCTTGACCTCGGAGATCATCTTGTCAGGTGGACCCATCATCTTATTTGACATGCTTTGCACGGCACTCACGCGAGGAATGCGTAGCTTGTCGAATGCTTGAGCCCGATTCTCCACGTCCGCGCCCGAGGTGACTCCCTTGAACAGGACCTCTAGTGCCAGAGCATCTTCCAGTGCCATGCTGGCTCCTTGACCGTGTGTAGGCAGCATAAGATGACCAGCATCGCCTATTAAGATGGCCTTGCCTTTGGAAAGGCGTTCAATAGGGTCCCGCCACATTTGCGTGTACACCTTGACGTCGGTCGCGTCCTCGCAGATCGCCTGCACTGCAGGATGGAATCCTTGGGCATCGGATATAACGTCCTGATATTCCGCTGGTGAGTCCCAGCCTTCAATTCCCTTTTCCTTCGGTTTGGTGGGATGCACCAGGGCACAATATAGTAGTTCCCCGCCACGACACGGGTAAGTATTGAGGAGAAGACCGGGCCGACCCACCGCTGTCTTGTAGAAGGTCGTAAAGCCGGACTTTTGACCATGGTAGAATTGTCCGGCTTCAGGGTGAGCGAGGACCCGGTCGAACGGTTTTAGGAAACGATACATTGACATTGGAGATTTGGATACCGGATAGTCTCGGCCAATGACTCTGGAGATGAGGTCGCTGTGTGCACCGTCGGCGATGATTACCAGATCTTTCTTGACAGTCTCGCCGCTCGAGAGCTTGAGGATTCCGCTATCGACATCGACATCGACAACGGCGTTCCCAAGATGGACTTTGGTTGGAGGCTGTTGAGCCTCGACAAGCTGTTTGAGACCTGCATGGAGATCTGCACGGTGGAAGAGCAGCCATCGGTCTCCATATTTGTCTTTGATGTCCGTGAAATACTCTTCCGAGTCGATCTCGAGAGTGTCGGCCTTTATTCTCCGCACCTGGGTGTAGTCCATTGCTCCAGCTTTGTCGAAGTGGAAGCCCCATTTGGACAATACTCTCGAGCCATTCGGTCCTATTATGATGGCTGCACCCGTCTCATTACGAAATCTGGACTTTTCGTAGAGCTCCACCGAATGTCCTGCCCTTGAAAGAGCAATAGCTGCTGCCAGACCTGCAATACCTGCGCCCACAACAGCGACCGACAGCTGAGGACTGGGACTAGACATTGTGAAAGGGCTCAAAGGATGTGATGGATGGATTGATTGCGGTTCTGGCCTTGTCCCTAGGATATCGAAACATCATCGTCATGTAAGATTGACAGGAAACTTTCAGGCTTACTGCTTGTAGTAGTTGGCACTTACTTAAAATTAGCGGTGGACCGCCTGACGATCTGTTGCCTAAGATAAGTTCCAGATAGTTTTCCGTGGTGTCAAACTGTAAATATAGTTAGAAGAGTACGTCACTCACTCGAAAACATTGGAGGCCTTCCTCCTTCACACAAAGTAGTTGTTTTTTCTGCTCCTTGTCTCGATTCTTGATGCTTGAGGTGGCAATACTCAAGAGCTAGCATACCAACTCACACACCTGTACCCCCTCTCCTCATCACAATGTCCGACCCGTCGCGTGCAGTCCTCCCGACGCGTCTGATCCTGAGCTTCATAGGCGTCGCGTCCGCAGCAGGTGGTTATCTGGCGGATTGGAACGAAACCCATGTCTTCAACCCGAAATGGACGGCTCATGCCAAATTCCACAACGGACAGACGATGAGCACAGGCCTCGGCTTAGGCCTCCTCACCTTATACTATACCTGGCGAAAGACCAACAGCAACACTCCCTCCGGTCTGCTCGATAACCTACTCACCGCAACCCTCATGGCCAGCCTTTACTGGGCAACACAACTCAGTGCGATCCTGTATCCGGGGACAAAATGGGTGGATGACGAGTTCAAGGAGAGTCATGGAGAGCCGCAAAAGAGAGGAGCGCCCGTAATATTGGGTATCACGGCGGCTGCATATGGACTGGGTTGGTACAGGTTAACGGGTGGACATCTTAAGAGCTCTTGATGAGACAAGCAGCCTTGCACTGCAGATACGGACATTCAAAGCAGTCTGGAGACCCTAGCGAAGTCTGCGAATCCTCTCGTGTTGGAATACCAAGGACAGGGTCGGACATTCCTACAGTCTCAACGACAAGGCTGAAAGAGTTCCAGCCTCAAATCCCTGCGTCAACCACTTGGCAAACCTGCAAGGCTTTAGCACTCAGCCTCGCCATGCCTGGGACCTTTTCGAACAGCACACGGTAGTCGTAACACGTCCGACCTCACACTCCCAGCTCCCCCCAAAATCACGGGACCAAACGGTTTCTGGCGAAAAGGAAAATAAATCCAAGAATATATACCCTGTCGGCTGGACGCTTCAAACCAAGTCTGCTACTGACTCTCATCCAGTCCCAATTCCAGAGCCTTGATCTGCAGCGCAAGCATCCTTGAATAGTATCGACACAGAGCGAGATTCCCTCCCATGAACCAGAACCCAGGATGCCCCGTCTTCTGCCAAATCGTTCGAAATTCCCCTTCAGCATCGAATCCCCAGATGTCGCCCACCCGATCAGCCACCTCTGCCCCAAAGATCTCCCTAGCCTGAGTCCTCATATTCTGATATCCAGTCGCGAAAATAATCTCATCCCCCTCGAGAACCGAGTCGTCCGCAAAGCGTAGTCCATTCGGAAGGACCTCTTCAATTTCTTGTCCCTGTTTGATCTTGATTTTGCCGTCGATGATGAGTTGCGAGGCGCCAACGTTAATGTAATACCCACCACCACGTTGGAAGTATTTCAGAAACAACCCGGCGTCATCTGGTCCCCGGTCCGTCTTGAACCCAACTCTGTTCAATCCGTCCAAGGTCTCCTTATCGTACTGTGCCAAAAGGTCAGTGACTTTGACTTGCAGCGCCTTGAGAACTTCGCTGGGGAAGCCATGCAGCATAACATCTGCGTCTTCAACAGGTGGTCCACCCTCACAGTATAGTCCTTTCAGCGAGATATCTGTAATCGCTTGACTTGATACCACGCAGGTCGTTGACCTTTGCACCATGGTGACGTCGTAGCCCTTTTCGTAGAAATCCTGGGCAATGTCGTGGGCGGAGTTGCAGGACCCCACGATGATGGCTTTTTTGCCGGCGCTTTCGGTCTTTGCACCGCTAAACTCAGATGAATGGCACAGCCTGTCTCCCTTGAAGCTTGACAAGCCCTTCATCTGTGGGAAATTTGCTTTGCCGGAATGGCCAGTGGCTTGGACAATGTGTTTCGGGTGAAAGGTGCGAGTCTCCGATGTCCCATCGCCCGATTTCTCCAGCTCAACAGTCCATCTTCGTTCTCGCTCATCCCAGGAACTGGATTTCAAGGTCGTCCTAGTCCACACATTCAGTTCAAGCAGTTTGACATAAGCCTCGAAAAAGTCGGCCAGCTTATCTTTCGGCGTGAAAACTGGCCAGCTAGCAGGGAAATTCATGTATGGTAGGTGGTCGTAGTATACCGGGTCATGAAGGACCAACTGCTTATAGCGTTTCCGCCAGTTACTGCCAACGCTCTCCGCGCTGTCAACCACCAAAGCGTCAACTCCGAGCATCTTTAGACGGGCGGCAATTGTAAGACCGGCTTGGCCGGCTCCTGTACCACCAATCAGTCTTGTCATGCTGTTTAAGGGAAGGGGATTGCGACTTACCTAAGACGAGAACAGTAGGCTCGTTGCCCTCAAACCGTTGCTCCGCCTCTCTTCTCTCCTGCCAGTTCTTCCGACCTGGCTTTCCACCATGCTCGGCGCCTTTAGTTCTGTGCTCGTTGATCCTCTCTGCCGAACCCTTGATCTCGCGCAACGTTGTGAACAGAGTGAAGATCTTCCATTGACCATCTTGCTCGGCTAGACGGACCAATCCTGTTCCTGAACCGACCTTAGATTCGAAGTTGAGAAAGAATTGTACACCCTTCACCTCTCCCACACCATCGAATGGAGCCCAAGACGGTGATCGGACTGCTGTGCTCTTGTCCAACTCGACGGATGTTATCCGGTTTTCTTTTGCCAGGTAATCTGTGATGTCCTGACCGCCCTTGATCGTGCGAAGATCCCAAGAGTTGGCCAGATGATCTCGCCAGTAGCCGTCTTCTAAGAATAGCTCGCCAACGGCCTTTGTGTCCCCAGCTTTGAGGGCAGCATTGAAGCCGTCGACGACCTGTGTAGCAACGGCATCCGGGTCAGCGGACGTTGATACCGCGGTTTTCGGCCATTTGGCGACAGGAATATTGACGGAGCCAGGCTCGCATCGATCCTTGGACGGGCCTGCTTCGGCTTCCAACTTGACAATCATTTTGGTCTGGATAGTCTCTTGGTCCTTTGCAATGTTTGGACTGACCTTGCATTTTCGAATACTTAAAACTTGAGGCTCAAGGCACCTGATTTTTAGGGTGTAGAATTGTTGCTTGGCTTGCTATCAGCTGTCCCCAGATAGTGTGCCCACTTCGACCTCCACAGCGATGTTATCAGTTCGGAAACATGGAGTTGCCTCAAAACCGGATGGTGCGAGTGCTCCCCGACGATCAGGCACCCTCTGTTTCCACCGGGAACGAGTTGGTAGGCCAAGATGCGAGGTCAACCCCCAGTATTCCTGGGTCGGGCATCTTGCTTGAAAATCACCGTGCAAATGATGCAGATTGTAGGAGACAAAAGATACATTGAGGAGACCCATCGGTTAGAAGATACGATCCATGGAATGTGCAGTCCAATCACCTTGACCACCGGACCACTCTTTCCCCTCCGATTGTGCAATACTCGTATGATTGTGAACTTGGCCGCTTCGACCATGGTGGGGGAGATCTCTCCAACAGCCGGACCACTTTTCCCCTTGGCTTTCGATGCTGCGAGGACGTCATGACAGCTTTCTGTTTCCTTTCGTGATCGGACGTCGCCCGAAACTCCGACGGCTTCGACGGGGAGAGAACCACCTAAGCCCCCGGAGGTATTCCGCACCAGATGTGATCAACAGCTGTGACACGGTGTTCAGACACTGGTTGCACTTTCATCACCACAAGGCTGGTGGTTGAGACCGTTGGTGCCTCTGTGCATGAGAGATACGCAGGTAAACACATCGCCATGAGAAACCCAGAGTCTACATCCAAGAATGTGGTGTTCTTTTTAGCCGTACGATTTAACACCGACATCATATGAATTATTCCCAATGAACAAGTTTCTCGGAGCATGACTACCAACAGTCCGAAGACTTGTCATGCATCTACGACTCCAGAATCAAACATCATGCTCAATCTCGTCAACCGTCGGCACACGACGCAGCTTCAATCCCAAGTACTTTGCGATCATCTGCACCGAGTCCCAGATAATCTGCACCTCCTGTTTCGACACCCCCAACCTCCTTGTCCCACGGATATGCCAGTGCGTCTCCTTGCGAAGGTTTTGGATCATGATGGCTGGTAATACGACCATTTGTGTGTCCACATCGTCCAGAACCTGTCTGTCGCTGAGGTACAAACCGTATGTGATATGTTTGCTGATCCACATAAAGTCCTTGTGGTCCTTGAAGAAGTTCACCGTGCTGTCCGTATTGTGACTATACAGCTTTTTCATCCAACCCATACCTCGCTCAAGATTTTCATCGTCGCATTGCCAGCCTTCGCGTGTCGATGATAGGTCTTTGTCCTCATCGCGCTCGAACTCGTTGATCGCCATGATGGCCTCCAAGGGCTTACAGACCCCAACTATGCTGACTGCTTTCACCAACGCTTCACGGACCCGTCGGATCATGGCTTGTCGTTGTGGGGCAGTCGAAAAGTTTGGACGTGAGATGAGGTAGAGGTATAGCTGCGCACAGAGTTCTGGGTCGTTGCCCCCAGCCAACGTTGCCACTGCCACAATGTACCATCGTTCAACGCCTAATGATGTTGAACAGAACGTCTGTTCCATTGTGTGGAAGATTTCTTGCAATTCTGGGCTGACAGCAGGCAGCTGTGATTCTGCTATTGAACCCATGACGAAGCGATTGTGTATTTGCCTGGTTCAACGATGATGACTGTAGGAACAGGTTGTGATCTCTGAGTCTGTGGTCTGGTAGCTCTAGATTGCAAAGTGAAGTCTTCCAAGACTACTTGAAAGCTCAACAACGCAAAAACGGCGTAGTATCGACTCGATTTGTGGCTTATGGATGTACAGTTCGGACGACTTGATTGACGGAAAGTAGAATAGGTGCACAATCGAGGGAGCCAGAATTTCTTTTGACGTCTTAGACTCAGAAGTGAAGAAGCACATACCCCAGAGAGATGAGGCCTTCTCGGCAGCCCGCCTCAAGCGCGCCTGTCCTGCCTTGGGGCGCGTAGCACAGAAAGCCCAGCCCACAGCGCCTTTCCCGTCAGTGCACGCCGCCCGCGAAGTTGTGGAGGATCTTCCTCTGATTTGAGACACCTCAACCTGCTACTCTAGACCCCAGTTGGGGCTGCGGAGGATTCCGGATTTAAGTAGTGTCAGTCCTCAGCGAGTCAGCGGAAGTATAGGCGGGGTCTCGGGGACGCCAGCATCCTCTCCGAACGCCACAGCGCCCTTGAGTTCATGCCTCGCAGGGGCGATCCACGTTCCTGTCCTCACAAGTGCACTAGGGTAGGTGACTTGTTTCCCAGATCTGTGACCCCGAGACCGAGGCGCGCGAGCTCTGCACTCCATGGTAGAGAGTCCAAGTGCGTTGCCGGTCCAGATGGCGCTATTGATGAAGCAGAGAAAGACGTATCTGGCCACGAAGTTTTCGATGGCCGTAGTGAGAGCCGAGAAAATACATCCAAATGCCATGGTCCCGACTAACATCAGTCCACGCTTGCTCGGATGCCGGTCGGCAAAGAAACACACTGGCAATGCCACAAAGAGTGCAATGAGATAAATGGGCGCCGTCATGTACTGGGCGTTCGTCGAAGTGTAGCCAAGTCCCTTGACGAGTGTAGGGTAGAAGTATGAAATTGACAGGGCGCCGATGATGCACATATAAGCCGGAGTGATAATCCAAAGTTGCCAGTTGAGAGCTGCAGCGGTGAAAGCTCGGATGAGGGTTCTGGCGTGACCACCTTCGGTCTTCTTGGAAGTGATGCCATCGTGGCGCAGTCTGGCCTCGGCCATGACACGCTCCTCAGGAGTAAGTCGCTTGCTTGTGCCAGGAAAATCCAGCAGGAACCAATGCACGATCAGGGCAACGCCACAGGTGGTCACGCCCTCGACCAAGAAGAGCCAACGCCAGCCAGCAATACCGTGGGCACCATCGAGTCTGGACGTGATTGCACCAGCGGCAACGCCACCGAAAGCGCCAGATAAGATTCCCGCGCTGAGAAAGATGAAGAAACGCTTAGATCTGGAACACGTCAGCACATGTGAAAGATTCCAGTGTGGAGGCATTGCCATACTGTTCGTGCTTGCGATACCAGACAGAGATGATGAAAAGAACCGCCGGCTATAATGCGTCAGTATGGTTGCTCGATGGTGCTCAGGCGTGTATATATATCTCTTACACTGAAGCCAGCTTCGAACACTCCGAGAAGGAACCGGAGAGCCATGAGATGAGACGCATTTGTAACGCAAGCAGTGATAGCTGCAACGGCTCCCCACAGAAACATGATAATGGGGAGGAAAATGGAAGGTCGAGTACGGGACAGGATCATGCTGTTGATTGTTTAGCCGGAACATCTAGTCAAGGGCAGCAGCGACACTTACTTGCTTGGAACTGCGGCAGTAAAGTATACAATGACCCACAATATGACAGCAATATAGTACTCATGGGGCGTGAGCTTCAAAGCCTTTTGCATGCCAGCAACTTCCGCAAGACCAATGTTGGCTCGATCCTAGGTGTTGTTGTCAGCATCTACCAAGACCGTTGGGATAAAGTCGACTTACCACAAAAGAGAACAGGTAGAGCACAAAGATCGACGGCATCAGGTATAGATCGATCTTGCGGACAAGTTCTTCTCTGCAACAGGATCAATCGGTTGTTCGGTCTCAGTTGCCTCTTCATAATGAAGTTCCAATGGTACATGTTTACCATCGTTGACAACATTGGGAAGATCCATGCTGATTCCGAAGAGTAGAAAGTGGAATGGAGAGTGCAAGGAGCAGACGAGCTGAAAGTAACTCGTTTTCTGAAAGAAGTCTCGGCAAGGTCATTATATAGCCAGCATACTTCACCTGGTTGCTCTCAGGTGGTTGGCGATGCTCTAGCCGTCTGCTGCCCGGGGTAGTTTTCTTGTGGCGGGGACCCCGGGGCACACATCTTCGATCCAGCTCCAATGAATTGATCCAAAGGAAAACCGAAGAGACGGCGCACATTCACGTTGTGAGGAGAAATAAAGTTGGCAATCATTGGGTGTTGAAAGATGCAATCTGCACGTCAAGCGTCCCCGGAATGGAGTAAGTGCCACACTCGGGGACGCTAGACGAAGGACCGCAATTGCACTGTGTCCTTGACCTGCACAAACCCACGCGGCAACTCCATCGGAGTGTCATCGAAAGCAACGACAAGTCAAGTCGGTTCCGCACTTCCCTCCTGGCACATATCTACTCCTGAGAAACTCACATCCAATGAGCGGGCAACACGACTTATTTTACTACCACGACTTGACTTTGAGGTCGATCTGCGTGCAGTTATCGGTGTGCTCGTATTGCGGTGCCCACTATTCCACTTGTGGGGAAATTGGCCCTCTTGCCGATGAAGGGGCCCCGGAGGTTACCTCTTTAACCAGGATTGTATTGGAGTGAAGGTTTTCGCTCTTTGCAATGAACCACACTCTTATACACTACAGTTGACTCCATGCGAGTGACCATTTGAGGGAAACATCTTGTATACAAAACTTCCTCCGAACGAACCGGCACCATGACAGAGTTCGCCACATATCCCGATCTGGCCGGCAAGGTAGCGCTGGTCATGGGCGTAGGACAATCCGGCCCCGAGGACGCTCAAACATGGGGCAACGGCGCTGCCATCGCCCGCGTGCTCTCATACAACAAAGTCAAAATCTTCGGCTGTGATCTGAGCCTGGGTGCCGCAGAACTCACCGCACGACGACTCCGGTCTGAAGGAGGAGTCTGTGATGTGACGACGGCAGACGTGACAAAATCATCAGATGTACAACGAGTTGTAGACGCTATCATGTCCAAGTATGGCAGAATAGACATCCTGGTGAACAACGTTGGCACCACGGTGTCAGGGGACCCAGTCACTCTCACAGAAGAACAATGGGACAAGCAGATGAACATCAACCTTAAGACCGTCTATCTCGCATGTCACTCAGTATTACCGATCATGGAGAAGCAAGGATCCGGCTGTATCATCAACAATGCAAGTATCGCTGGGCTGCGGTATCTCGGCAAGCCGCAAGTCGCGTATAATGCGGCAAAAGCGGCTGTTATACATTTCACAAAGGTCACGGCAGTGTTGTACGCCGCAAAAGGCATACGCATCAATGCAGTCGTCCCGGGCTTCATGATGGTGCCACTCGTCGAGCAATTTGGGCGGAGCGACGACGAGGCTGAACGAGAGACGTACCGGAAGATTACAGAAAACAACGTACCCATGGGCAGAATGGGTGATGGACACGATGTCGCCAATGCCGCAACATTCCTTGCGAGTCAGTCAGCGAAGTATGTCACTGGTCATCCTCTGATAGTGGACGGAGGATTAACATGCTCAACGGGGACTTGATCGTACCAAAGCCAAACAGGAGTTCAACAATCCCACAGGTCCACAATTGTGTATATAATGTGCGTGATCGATGCATGGCTAGACTATATTTTGCCTCCTTTTCGTGCTTGACTCTTGGTCCTAGAGCTCGCCAACTAGTTAAAATCAACTTTGACCTTTGGCACCGGCGGAATCATCTTGATCCTCGCCAGGTCGTCGAACACCTCAAGTAGTGACTCAGAGGAATCAACAAATCCATGCCATCCAAGTTTGCGAGCCTTGTCAGTACTATTTTCGTGATTAGCATACTGTCTCGTAGGTCGATTCGACTTGAGTGAGTCGCGCGTCAAGGCTGAACACGTACCTGAAAATCAACGGCGCAGGCCGACACACCGTTCCATCCAGAAACCCGAATACGCGGTCCGTATCCTTAAGCTCCTTCCAAGCCAGGCCATCCTGCTTGGCGATCTCCTTCCACGCACTCGCCACTTCAGGTCTCTGCGCCCACTCCACGAAGGTAAATTTGCGCCTCGAGATGCCCTTGTCACCGTAGCCGCGCGGATTGAAACGTGTCTCCTTCTCGATCCATTTCGTGTCTGGCTGCATGTCGGGACCGGTGTACTTGATCCCGTACCAGTCTGCGATCCGAGGCCAACAGGCTTCCCAGGTAAATGCGGAGTTGTCGCAGGTGTTGAACCGTTGGTCACGAGCCGCAGGGGAGAGAACGGCCCATTCTTCCATCTAGTACCCGAAATCTGTCAGCAACCTGTTGCTGCGAGCTAACTACAGGGCAATGACGCCAGTTTGGCACACAGCCGGGAAGGTATATACTTACATAAGCGTTCATCATACTGCTGCTCATGCTCTGATACATCTGCCAGCTCGCAATATCCGCTGGGAACTCCAATGGTACACCCAAATGCTTTGAGACAGCCGCGTACACGGCAAGAGGAAATGCAGCATTCATAGCCGCGTCGGGCACGGCTCCCAATATCGGCCCCGGCATACACACGTTCCACCCGACGCCCTGCTGCTTACAATACTTAAATAGCGAATCCTCCTGAGGGTAATAGAAATTGGGCTCGAACTCCACACGCGGATCAGTCTCTTCCTGCGGAACCTTCGTCGGACCAAGATGTCCGCCGTAATTCTTCGCGCCGGTCTGCAGCATGAAACGTTGCGGACGGATCTCGGCTTTGACGAGCGCGGCAAGAAAATTGTCAAGCAACAAAGAATTGATGCGACACATTTCCTGGGCATCGGACCACAGACCCGCGCCAGGCTTGGGCTCCGCCTGAATGTAGCTGAAGAAGAAGACGTGGATCTTCTCACTTGACGACGAGATGTTCTTGGAGCGTAGTACGGACGCGATATCTTCGGGATCTTTGAGAAAGTCAAGCGCAATGTGCTCGGCGTTTGGGGGCAAGCCGCGCTCGAGCAGGGGCGGACGACGAGATAGGCAGTAGATCTTGGACCATCGTTGTGGAGCCTGTGAGAGGACTTTGAGCATGTAGGAACCAGATATTCCGTTGGCACCGGTCACGATGGCCGTCAGATCCTTAACGTCATCGGGGAAGACGGGTAGGCCGTGATAGATGCCGTAGGAATGTACCTGTTGTATCGTGGACATAGTGAGTGTCGAACAAGGGAAGAGCTACGTGTGACGGAACAAGAAGTGTAATGGCCCAGAAGGACGGCCCAGAACTTCGCGGATGATGAATGTCATGTAACGAGGAGAGAGGGGATCTCCACAAGCATAACCGAGCCTTGTCGTAATGCGGAGAAATGGAGATGGCAGCAGCCTTGTTCAGCCTCGTCGTGTTGATAGGAAAAATGGAGTGATTCTGGACTTTTTGTCGCATGAATGTCATCTCAGCTGGCTGCCTCACTGCCTGGCATAGGTTTACCATATGGACAAATTCTGCACGATGCTGTTTTAGATCATACAACATGCGAATGCTCAGAGGTTTACCTCCTCTAGTGCTGAAGGAGACTTGTATTGCGGAGCCATTACGTCAGCTGCACAAGTCCACCACAACGATTGATCCACCAACGACGAACCCATTTACCGGTTCTATGAGTCCGCCATTAGTCGACACATACAGTGTCCGAGATCCTGGCGCTCGACTCCAAGCACATGCAGTATCTCCTGCCAAAACGGTCGAGTTGGGACTGCCGGCTACCACCGATGTGCTACCATCGACCTTCCGTACAGTAAGAGTGTTTTCTGGGTCATTCGTGATGAATGCGTTGCCTTGTTGATCGAGAATGAAGTCGTCGCCCAATAGGTTGCAGTTGAAGATCTCCACGGGCCCAGCAGCAGTACCGTTGTCGTGGACAGCAATTCGGCAAAACAAGTATTGCCCACTGCTTGTGTAGTAGAGATAGCCGTCCTTTGCATGGATGCCATTGATACCGTTTTGTATGATGGCTGAAGCATTGGGCTTCATGGTCGTGTCGTTGGGCGCGATGGTGTACTCTGCGGTCTGCAAATCCAGTCGAAAGACGACTCCCAATATGCCGTCTGCAATAAGAAGGTATCGGCTGTTCAGCAACGTCAAGCCATTCAGGACCGCTGCGTCTTGGATATCTGCCAAGACACAGACGTCCGCCGGCTTGATCACCTCCCCGTCACTTGCTTGGAAGCTTCGCATGTCGACTCTGGAGACTGAATAGTTTCCTTCGCCTAGCGGTGCTGACACATTGCCGGCAGCCACAGCAAAGACATCTGGCTCGATCTCGGCGATGCCTAGGACACCTGTCTTCCCGGCGAAATTGGCAACAACGACCGGATCGGGGGAAGCCGCTGTTGGATCCAGAGTATACAGAAGGGGTGCCGTGAAACATGTGGTCAGAATGTGGTCGTTCGATCGCACTGCGATGTTCTCCAACCAGGTTTCATTCGGAAATTGATAGATGGAAGTAACTTTGTCAGCGAGACCACGAGGTGTAGGATTTCCGGCCGTAGATCTTGTGTAGGCCAGGCTCAACAGGAGCAACCGATATAGCCAGTGGTAGAGACCATGCATTCTGCCGGTGAAAGCCGATTTTTGCTTCGGATTGTTGTTCGACATTTGGGATACGATGTGGCTCAAGTCTGCGACTTTATACAAGTCCTGATTGTTGAGCCTATGCATCAGCTGGCACTCGTGGCCGGCATGGGTCAATGGATGACCTCAATGCTCGGATTCGGGTGGCAGCAAATAGAACATGGGGAGCCTAAATTAGGGAGGCCCACCAGAACGGCAAGGTTGACGGCCCAAGTCATGCATCCGCCCCCACGGAACAACAGGTCCACCGAACTCTTCGCCCTGTGAAGTTTGGCTCCAGGCATCTCAATAAAACCGATACCGGGTACTCGACGTACAAACTCGTCACCCTGAAGCGTCAGCCAGGGACGGCTCCGCTGAGCTTCTTCAGCAGACTGCAACCTGAAACATTTGTTAGTGAGGATATGTCATCGCTAGAGGTGCAATGACGATGCATGACTCACCGTAGTAACTCAATATCCTCTCCGTCTACGCCTCCGGTATCTGTATGTGACTCATTCTATATGTCGTTCTAGAGCTGTTCAGGAGTCACGCCTGGTTCGACCGCAACGTCGTTCTTCTCCTTTCTGATCCCCGTTTGGGTTTCCGTGTGCTCTTGGGACAACTCTTTCTTGGTGATGAGTCCACCAGCCAGGAGTCCACATGCTGCCATGCAAGTGCACATGATCCAAAAGTTCCGCAAGCTCCATGCAAAAGCCTGTTTGACCGCCAACTTCTGTGTCTGATCTGCGATGGTTGCGATGAGATTGACATTACTTGCCGCATCTGCCCCAGAGAGGCTCTTCAACAAGTCTGCTGGCAGTCCTTTGTCTCGCAAATTCGACGTCTGAAGTTGCATTCCGTTTTGAAAGATGACGCCACCAATAACAATCGAAATAGAGGTACCTACGCTGCGCATGAACGAAAGAGTAGCTGTGGCCGTGGCAGTGTCGTCTTGAGTTACAAGAGCTTGAAGAGCAATCGTGGGCGGATCAAAAAGAACACCTGCTCCGAGTCCGGCCACGACTTGAAAGGCGACCATGGATCCTAGGCTGGTCATCGCAGTAAGGTGGACAAACAACCCGAAGCCAATAGTAAGCACAACCCCGCCTATCCAAATGAGCTCGACATATCGGCCTGTCTGATGAATGAGGATGCCAGAAGCAACGGCCGTAAGTGCTTCAACGATGATCATCGGAAGGATGAGGACACCAGAACGAAGGGGTGAAGCCTCTTTCGCTGATTGAAAGTAGAGTGGTAGATAGTAGTCCGCAGCGTTGACAACCTATCGTCAGCTGTTAGTAACGAGCGGTGTCCTAGCCATAGATGTGGTAAGAACTTACAAAGTTCTGCGTAAAGCCAATGATAAGACATGCAGCGTTAGATCTGCAGCGAAATAAGCCAAGCGGCATAATAGGATATCGTGCGAATCGGCCTTCGTTGACGAGGAACAAGATGGTCATTGAAGCCCCAACTGCGACAAGGCAGATGACTTTCGAAGAGCTCCATGAATATGTCGCGCCACCAAAGTTGAGCCCAAGCAGCACCATGACCATGATGCCGACGATAGAGATGCTCCCCGCCCAGTCGACTGCTTTGATACCGTCGGCAAACTTGGTCTTCGGGTTATGGACGTCCAGAAACAGGAACAACAAGCAGAACGCTATCCCAGCGATTGGAAGGTTGATCCAGAAAATCCACCTCCAGGACACGTACTCTGTGAGCGCGCCACCGAGCACCGGTCCAAGGCCTCCAGCAACAGCATATGTTACGTGGAGCAGGCCGAGAAAAAGAGGTCGAGTCCTGTGCCAAAGGTCAATGACACGAGGTCAAGGCATGATGTATGCAGCACGAACCTCAAACTAAAGAAATCTGAAATGACAATGTTGATGAGAGGACCCAAACCGCCACCAGATACTCCCTGGAGAGTACGGCCGATGATGAGCATGCCCATGTTGGTTGAGACTGCGCATAAGATGGAGCTGGCGAAATATAATGCAACAGCAATTAGCAGCAGTGGCTTCCGGCCCCATATGTCTGAGAGTTTCGCCCATATTGAAACGACAGCGGTGGTTGCAATAACATACGAGGCACCGATCCAGGAGTATCCGGATGCTGCATGTAATTCGGAGCAGATGGTGGGTATTGCAGTGGCCACGATGGTAGTGTTCAGCGCGATGATGAAGAGAGTAGCCTGAGGCAGTCGGGTGTCAGCATGCAGTTCTGCCGTCGTGAACTCGGCGTTCGACGCGTTTCAAAAGAGCGCGAGCGGAGCACACCAGATATGGTGCACTGCTCATTAAGCAAATGGAAAGTTACTCACGAACAGTGCACTAATGACAGTACACGTCCTGAATGTGTTTCGCCGCTGACCCGGCTCGGCCACCGCTTGAATCTGATCCTCACCCTGCTTGTCGCTTTGGCTTGCGGGAGCAGCGGCCCTGACTGGTTGTATTGCTGGTAATTCAATGGGCTCGATTGCGTGCGCAACAACGGAACTTTGGTTTGACGTCACTGCCATGATATCGTTGGCGCGATGGTTGTTGCCAATGTCGCCATATTAGGATGACCGAATATCAAAAAGAAATCCCGACTTCTCAATCAGGGAGAGATATCCAAAAGTAAATGTTGGTAGAATGGAAAGGCGATAAAGCATTAAGAGAGGAGGTGCTGAACCCCAGATCCAGAACGGCTTGGCGCGCCTTTCGGCCAGACAATGTCCAAATTCACCTACGCCTTTGATATTGGTCTACCGTTTCTATCACTCTATCTTGGTCGAGTCCTCTCCATGATCACAAGATGGTCGCCGCATTCATCCGAATGCTGACCCCAACGGCCTGAACACTGCAGAATTGTCATATTCAGTGACTTCCACTGAGACACTTCTCGTAGGCTTCTGCTCTGGAGACTGGGCCGTGAGCGCTTCCGGCTGAACCCGGAGGCAACGACCAGGATGGAAAAGTGTCAGAACAGCCACAGCGATGATGATCATGGGGCCCTCGAAAACCATCTGGACGTTGTCAGAAGCTAGTTCCGCAGGAACGGAGAGCGACACCATGAGGCGGATAACTTACAAACAAGACCTGATCGTTTGCCAGACGTCCGCCGAATCCTCCCTGGAGTTCCGCAACACGAAAGACACATCTGATAGAGATTGTAACTGTAGCAAGCCCGAGGCCAAAACTGAAATTCTGAACGGGCGAAACGTGCCGATCTTCCTCGCTATAACTGTCATCCAATGCCCGAGCTTTTTGCGTGCCTGCATAATGCTTCTTCCAATATCGGACCGCATAGTCAGAGCTCAGCACCATGAACGCAGCCAAAGAAGCGACCTGCAACGCAAGCCCACCAAGCATGATATGTGTACCAGTAGGAACTTTTCGGCGGTCCTCCTCGCGAACACCTTCCGCAGCCCAGGCCCCACCCGCCGCTTGTAAGATGAGACAGACGACGTCGAAAGACACGAAGATCGGAGTATAGTTTGTTGGCTTGATGCGTGAGATCAGCGGGTCGCGCTTGGTGATGACGACACCAAGTGATTGATAAATTGAGGCAGATATCAAAGCAGGAGCGATGGTCAGGGTGATCAAATAACTGCGCCAGCGTTAGCTCGGGCTGATGGGACCGGATTTGAGACCGTGTACAGAATGAAAGGGTTGGGTTGGAAGATCTCGCTCCTCATCCATAAACGAGCGGCATAGCCAACCATCTCCAGCAAGACTCCACACAGCATGGGTATTGAGAATTTCCACGTCCTGTACGTCAGGACTAGTATGGCTTGAAGAACGAAAAGGGCGGAGAAGATGGCCAGGTACGTTGCGTTAGCACTTAGATTCGGCAAGTAGTGAATGGAAGCCTGCATCAGACAACAAGTCGACACCGTGCACTCTTCTGAAGGAATGGAATACTTGCAGACAGCCATGGTGGAGCGGGATGGCTTCAGGTGAATGGGGAAACGTCAAATTGAGTCGCTTTACAAGGCGGGAGATGCAATGGAGTAGTTGAGGAGGAACGATACTTAAATGATACTCACCTTGCCAGGAAGGCTGCTTCATGAGAGCGAGTCTGATAGATCGTCGATGATTTCTGGCCTGCAGAACTAGCATGGTAGCGACTAGCAACTGTTCCAATGCTACATATCGTAAGACCTCACGCATTGAGGTTGAGTTCAACTGTTGGTCTACTTCATCACTGCGAATCTGATGAGGTGTCGATTGATTCCTGGCCTTGCAGAACTCTCATGGTAGCCACTAGTAGCTTACTTCAAAGCTACATCTCTGGAGACCTCATGCATTGAGGTTGAGTTCAATTCTTGGTCTGCACGGACCACCGGTTCGTGCGACTGTCGACCAAGTTGCGGAGAAGGGCCGCGCAAGCAAAAGATGCTATGAAAGCCTCTGGTCTCCCGGAGTCATGCTGAGAGTGGCATGGAAGCCTCTGGTCAGTCGCGTGTCTGTAGAATTTTGGAGCCATGGAAGGACCAGAGCAGGTTCGTTAGGCCGCGAAAGCAGGGCAGCAAATGAGACTAGGTGAGAGGTAATGGCATGAGAGCCGTTGCAAGAAAAGGATTTTACCATGTCTGCAAGGTCGCGACTCGAAATATAAACGCAGAATCTTGGAAGACGTGGTTTAAGCCACGGTCTAGATGAAACGTGAACACCAGCGTACCATGGTCATGATGAGATGAAGATGAAGATGAAGAAACTTTGATGTTGGGATCGTGCTTTTTCTTAGCTTCACGAGCCCGGAATATTGGTTCAAATGCTCCGCGGGACGAGATATTAGTAGGTATGGTGACGCATTCATTAACTTCGATCTCCCGATTGCTCTCGACTCGAAGCCAACTCATCGCCGTTGGACAGCTATTTGGGTTTTGGCAATTGAGATGACGAGTGTCCTACGGGAGTGCATCAAGTATCCGTGCTACAACAACAAGTGCACATATTGCAACCTTGCGCTCACAAATGGAACCTCCATCTCAAATCTTCATCTCCAAGCCAAGGACCTTCACCTTGTTCGCTTTTGGGAATAGCTTCTCTACGATCGTTCTCCCGCTTGAGAACCCACCACAAAGTGGTCGTCACTATCAGGTTTGCGACCAAGTATCCCAGGGCGAATGAATGACCAAGGTAGAATCTCGGCGACGTCTCTGTACGGTACAGCTGGGTGCCAATGACTGCTCCACAATTGCCAATGCTGATCTGAATGGCGTTTGCAATCGCGCGTTTTGTCTGTCCACTGACATTGTTGGCCGGCCAGGACAGGACGAGTGCCACCGATGGGTAGATCCCCGCCGCAGCGAAAATAGTTCCGAGGTATGACACGCCTGGTCGATGATCGGACAGAAGCAAGAGATAGCCTAGAATTGCGAAAGACGAGGTGACTAGGATGAATGGGGCTCGACGTTGGTATCGTTCCGATAGGATAGCCACACCGATCGTCAAGACGAACGCGATGGCGTACGGCGGGATGGTCATCAGCTGTGCTTGCGCGGCAGTGTAGCCCAGCGAACTGATGATCGTGGGAAGGAACAGCGAGAGGGTATACAAAGGCAAAGACATGGTATGATATGCGAGGGCGTAAAGGTAAACCTTGATGTCGGTGAAAGCCTTCTTCACATTGTTCATGTTGAACTTCTCGTCCGCTGTTGCGTCGCTGTCTTCCTTCAGCCGGTTTTGGACGAAAAGTCGCTCGTCATCCGACAGAAATTTAGCCGTGTTCGGATAGTTGTGGATGAAAAGGTAAGACAGAGCGGACACCACGACGGTAAGTAAGCCTTCCTGGGAATTGTTAACAGCTAGAAAACGTTCTCAGAATTGAACATACCAGAATGAAGATCCATCTCCAGCCGTTATAACCACCAACACCTTTCATATGGGCAATGCCCCAAGCCAGGATACCGCCAAAAGCACCAGCCAAGGAAGCTGCACTGAAGAACAGCGCGACTCGGAACTGTCGCTCGTTGCGTTTGTACCACCTGTTACGGTCAGGCGTCAGGCAAGAGAAGAACAATCAGCCCGTAAGACACTTACATGGACAGGTAGAACACAATTCCAGGGAACAGTCCAGCTTCGGCCACTCCGAGGAAGAAGCGGACAATGAAGAAGCCAGTCCGAGATTGAGTCAGGCCCATCAAAGTACTGACAATGCCCCAGACAAGTGTCAAGGTTGGCAGCCAGGCCCGGGGAGTCCAAACTTTCAACACCATATTTGCTGGCACTTCGAAGAGCACATAGCCAATGAAGTATAGCGTCAAGCCAGTAAGATATTGGTCGCCGGTCATGTGGAGGTCGGTGGCCAGACCTTCAACACGAGCGTTGCCGACATTGCTTCGGTCCAGGAAGGACAGCAAGTAAAGAAACGTCAAGGCCGGGAGAAGAGTACGGTCTAATCTTCTGACAAGCGCTTTTTCGTTAATATGCGCGGGTGCTTCTTCATCGCCGGAACTGGGCTGAAGTTGTTTGTCGTCAGTAACGTCTTTCTCCAGAGCAGCCATGTCGAGTCACGACCAAGCGGGTATTTGATTGTGGGTTCTTTATGTGATCTCGAAATGACGGTAAGAACTGTATTGTCCTATACCTCCGCAAGCTCGGAATCAAACATGCAGGAACCCAAAGACGATGCTCAGAGGCCGACCACTCCATCTTCATATATCAGGTCGCGGAAATCCTGCTAAGACGGAAATAGAAGGAGGATGCTGCAATGCCTCGAGTATCGTCATCAAAATGGACGTTACAAGGATGTTAAATGTGCCGTAGCATACAAAATCGTGTGGTGCAAAGATGATCAAGAATTGCGTGATCGTTTCACCGTCGTAAAAGTCGAATCGCAGCACTTCAGGGTCTTATGTCGGCAAAACCCTCGAGCACCAAATCATCGTATCGCCAGGTGACCCAGCTGCAGGCTGACTGACTGTACGCATCGAGTAGAAGACTCGGCTTTGCCTGACCACGCTCTGTTGACGTGTCTATTCATATCGCAAACATACAGGGAGATGGCCTTGATGGTTGGTAGAGGCTCGGATTTTGTGGAAATAAGGTGCTGCATGCCAAGACGGATGAAGTCTTTAGGCTGGAGATGCGTCGATGAGGACACGCATCTCCAACTGCAATAGTGAACAGAAACATCTACTTTCCAGGCCCCCAACTGGCACTATCGCTGTTGTTGACAAGCTCGACAATGCATTTCCTACGGTTCCTGGCGCTCACAGCGCTGTCTGTGACTGCAGTTGCAGCCAGAAAAGCCTCGACCGACAAGTTTGACACGTATTTTGCCAAACAGGCCAGCTCCGCACCTTTCGAACTCGACGAGAAGGGCTACAATGAGCTGACCACAGCACCACGCGACTACTCGCTCGCCGTCCTTCTCACAGCGCTGGATGCAAGATACGCTTGCGGAATATGCAGAGAGTTTGACCCGGAGTGGAAGATCCTTGGTCGTAGCTGGCAAAAAGGGGACAAGACTGGGGAGAACAGGATGCTCCTGAGCACCCTTGACTTTGATCAGGGCAGGAACATTTTCATGAAGGCAAGCTGCAGCTTTTCCTTCACCGCCGCACGGGCTAACACATAGCAGCTCCAACTCCAAACCGCGCCTGTCCTCCTGTACTTCCCTCCTACTGTCGGCCCCAATGCCAAAGCTGATGGCTCACCTGTTCGATTCGACTTCTTGGGCCCTCAATCGGCTGAAGGCACTCGCAACTGGCTTTTGCGTCAGCTTCCTGCCGGAAATTACCCTGAACTCTCACGCCCAATCAATTATGGAAAGATTGCTGTCACATTGACCATCCTGCTTGGAGCCTTTACATTCCTGACGGTGGCATATCCCTATATCCTACCAGTCATACAGAATCGCAATCTTTGGGCAGGGATCAGCTTGATCCTGATCATGCTGTTTACCAGTGGCCACATGTTCAACCACATTCGAAGAGTGCCATATGTCGCGAACAACGGTCGAGGTGGTATAAGCTATTTTGCAGGAGGTTTCCAGAATCAGTTCGGAATGGAGACTCAGATCGTGGCTGCCATGTGTAAGTCTGACATACACATCCTATATCCAGTCATGCTGACTCAGACAGACGCTTTGTTGGCCTTTGCCGCTATCAACCTTGCCCTAAGAGTTCCACGTATCAAAGACGCCCGAACACAGCAGGTCGCTGTGATCATCTGGGCGACCGTTCTTTTTGGCATGTACAGCTTCCTGATGAGCGTTTTCAGGATCAAGAACGGCGGATATCCCTTCTGGCTACCACCCTTTTAGGCTTCTACTGGACACAAGCCGCAGGAAGGCATGTACTATAAGACAGCATTCAGCTACAAAAAGCAATGACATAGACTCCAACGGATGGGAAAATGGGAAATGAAAAGGACAGACCTGTGATGATACCAAGGGTCAAATATCCGCGCATGTGAAAGCCTGGTCGGGAAGACGAAGTTGGTCGCGACTTTGAGGCCTCTGCTGACCATTCCAATACGGCCGGGTGTCCATCAAATCATGGCCGTCGGACACAACTCCTGCTAATTGCACACGGTGCATGCCATCTATCCAACTCCTTGGCACATTCCTCATGCATCATTGTCCGCTTTTTGTCAGCATACCTTAAGATATCCGGACTTCTAGAAGTATTTTAGAAGTTCCACCTGCGCACGGGTCCCCCACTGGCTTTCAAGTTGATCCCTCAATCTGGAATCCCGGTCTTCACGATATCGTGACCAATCTACGAGCAGGTACGAGAAGTACTGGAAAAGTACATATTCTTGCCCAGATGCGAAGCTACAATCCTTTCTCACGCAATACTCCTGTCCCAAACATCCGTGTTTGCTGCCTGCTGCATGCACTTCAAATCGTTAGCCATGGTCTTTATTTCGCATCTCCTTGCGATGGTGCTATGTCTGATATCTCAATTCGCACAAGCATATATCGTCCGGAGACCACAGTGGGCGCTTCCCGCCGAGGAAACCGACAGTCTAGTTCGGCAAATTCATCCACATCCTCTTCAGCCTTCGACACCCAAGAGCTGGACATCAGAGACCGACGACGCTTCTTCGAACGGTAACGGCCACGAGAGTTACGACGAGCCAGTAATCGCGCCCGTAGCTGAATACCAACTACTGTCCGATCTCACGATTGTCATGGGTCAGGCTGGCGATGAGTGGGCAGCAGACTTTGCGGCCATCTATGATGCAATTGCAGACCTGCTGGAAGAAGTATCCACGGATGCAAGGAAGATCGACCAAGTTCACGCCTTGACACTATCTACCCCGATGTCTGCGGATGGCTGGCAACGCCTGTACACGACTTGTACATTGGAGCGTGAATGCGAGGTGATTGAACGATTGGACCGTCTCCACGAGTCTGACATCCCGAGGAGGAGCAGGACGGGTTTTCAAACACATGGAGGTGGGATATGTGCTGGTGGACCCCTGATGCTTCAATACTCCATCAGCACGCGCAAAGCGGCGGGCTTGACGTGGTTACGGATGCTCGAAGAGCCCATATATGGTGCCACGGGGGTTGCTATTGGCCTTGTACATTCCTCACTTGGGGAGGTGACGGCGATTATCGAGTGTTGACTGGAAGTGCATGTCCAGTATTCTACAGCATGAAATACAATGAACTATATTTTGTTGCAATTCCCCAGTGTAGCATAAATTGTACTACTGAGAACAAATAGCCTCGACCATTACGAAATGAGGTTCCGGCGAGAAATGTAAACCTCCAGCCCTGTCTGGACAACGAAGAAGGTCGTATGATGTTTCATCGGCCGTCCAGGATGCACAAGCTCAAAGTGATACCTCCTCAACAATCGTGGGAGCAACTTGTTCATCTCCAGCAATGCCAGATTGCGGCCTAGACACAGGTGGCTTCCACCACCGAACTATGATACTGTCGTTAGCGGAACCGCACTTGTCGTTGACGGGCATTAGAGGGAAGCATACCTGATACATATGCCGATGCATTTCCTTCGCGTTGGGCTCCAACCACCGTTCAGGACGGTACTCATCCGCATCCTGCCCAAAGACAGTCCTGTCACGGTGCAGCACCCAGCCGTTGACAGCGACCTCGGTGCCGCCGGCAAAATACATGCCGTCGATGGTCATTCCTTCGGGAGGTAGTTTGCGATAGATGTTCAGCCCGACGGCTGGACGGAGGCGCATGGCTTCCATCAGACATGCCTGGAAGTACGGCAGGTCTTGGGCCTTGGAGTAAGAGACAGGATCGGAGAGCGTGCCCTTTGCATGAGCGGCATCGATCTCGTCGACGAGTCTTTTGTAGCTGGTGGGCGAATTGAGAAGGAGGTGGAAGAAGGATTGCATTGTTGACGCCGTGGAGTCGGAGCCCGCGCCACTTGAGTATCCCATTATTACTTTGTGCTCGTCTTGGACAGGGGCATAGTAGGATGTTACTTACATTGCTCCATGCGCCACAGCGAATACATCGGCCTCGGTGAACTTGTCTGGGGCGCGCAAGTGTCCTTCGATCAGCTGCGCGAGCAGATCGTCCTGGCCGGTTGCAGACCTTCCATTGTTATCGAGCTGTTTTCGCTTTCCCAGTTCCTCGAGAGCCATGCGAGTCAGTAGGACTGCCTTGAGACTCAGGCCTAGGCATGGCGCGAAGGGGTTCAAGCGGCCGAGATAATGCAACCACGGCACCTGGCCGACGAAACCGTCGTACCATTGTACTTCGTCAATGTACTTGATGCAGCCTTCTACATCGGTGCCAGTGCGGATGAACCCGTAACGGTGGGAGAATGCGACCTCTCCCAGTACGTCGAAGCCGAAGAAATGCAGATAACCACCCAGGTCGACAGTGCCCTTGCCATCCTTCGCGAAAGAGTCCAGCTTGTCGATCAACTCTTTTTCCACGTCCTCAATGGCAGGAGCCATCTTTTGCATCGAGGCCAGACTGTAGGGTTGTACAGTGAAGCGCTTGAGCTGGGCGTGATTCCATTCCCGGATCTCCGTGAAGACATCTGGGTTCTCGGCGGGTGGAAAGACCCAGTAAAAGTCCGTTTTCTGGATTCCGTTACCAACGGCGAAGATGTCTTTGGCGGCCTCGGGTGATGCGAACGACAGCTCATCTGGACCTGTACGGACGATGGGGCCTTTCAAAGGCTCGTCAGCCTTGTGTTGGTTGATAGCGGATTCTTTTCGTGCCTACCATATTTGCGATGGACGTCGATGTGGTCGTGCTCACTGTGGCCGTTGTATGTGACCCACAGCCTCCATACGCGCGAGCATGATGCCAGAAAGGGGCCAGGGTATGCTCGGAGTGGCGAAGCGTACCTCTTGAACAGACCTCGCGCAATGGGAAGAGAGACAAGGAAAAGCAAGAGGTAGGACTTCAGGAATTGAACGGCATGGTCGTAAAGCGAGGTTGTCATGATATCCTGGGCCATAGCTGGGTTTTCCATGCCTGAAGACTGATGGCGGATTGCCCTCAAGTTCAAAGCGCGCAAGGCGTTGATCATATCCTGTTGTCACATTGAGGGATACTCGGTGATATCGAGATATACTCTCGGCTTTATCGATTGAGCGGTGCCACGCGTTGAGTCGTTTAGTAGGTTACAAGTAGGTTGCACCAGCTGAACCGAATGGAAGGCCTTATGATCACGGCACGGCAAAGGTCGGTATTTTGCCTGGTGGTGCATAGAGACGTCCCGCGATACTTTTCATTCCAGGTCATGCGGGGCTAATCCACCATTGGAGGAGGTCTCTCCTCAGATAATCTCACTTGCGACTGCTTTACCTTCTCCTTGCCATATGAAACTAGCGTTGGTCCAGTATTTCAAGCCTGGCGTACTCTGCATCAGCACCTAATATTCTCCAAACATGTCTTGCGTGCATGTCCACGGCCTTTTCGCGGCCGTCAAGTAGAAGCTCTCTCCCGTGGTTGGCCTTCAAGGACGAAATCCATCGGTCCTGCAAGACGCAGGACAAGATTAGTGCTCAGTCCTTGATAGATTAGAATCACTTACAGTCCCTAGACTCAATTTGAAAGCTCCCTCAACTGTGTCTGGTTTGTGCGTCTCCAGTTTTGCCTGTCCTTTGATCAGTGATCAAATATTCGATCAAACCACCCCTGCTTGTGATAGACCTGCTTGAGCGGTCTTAGGGCGCTCCGTCTCAGCAACGTCCCCAGGAGCAAATATTTGACTATGCCTTGACAGCTCAAGCGTTGGCCCTGTAAGGATCCTACCGGTCGTACCTGAAACAGCAGAGGGGGCCAATCGCTCCATCTGCGAAGTATTAGGTCTCTGACCTGCGCATGGTATCTGTCCACGCAAAGAGCGAATAATATTTAGCCATGTGACGTCAAAAGAAGGCAATCAAGTGAAGAAAATGGAGTTTGAATTCCACCAAGTCAAAGTCATCGGCACGATCATCTTCAAACTGCAGCCTGGAGCTTTCCTTGCCGGTGTCCGCCGCATCCGGCAGAGAATGAAGCTCCCCAAGAAAGGTCATGACTCCCATGTTTCTCACAGCTTTCGCAGCGTATTATTGGCCTCTTTCACCAAACTCAGAGAGCACGCGAGAGTGACCGCGGAAGAGAGAGACGGATTTCTTGGGGTAGATGCTCCTGATGTCGGTCGACATTTGAACCCCAACTGGACGTCCTCCGATGATAGCAATGCGTTCGGCTATGAAGATTCGAGCTTGCACTGCTTGCAGCTCATCACAGCCGGCCGTCTTTGTTGTGGACCGGAGGATTGCTGGGCTGGGTCGAGTTGCTCCTGTCGCGATCGCAAGGAAGTCAAAGCCTACACTTTCTCCGGGTCTGAGCTGCTCTTTATCATACGTGATCTCTGAGACAGTGTCCTGGACGTGCTCGAAGATACCTTGTGGGCATCTAGAAGCCAGGTGGGAATAAGGAACGAGCGCCCGTTCCTGTACACCGCGAACAATGGCGAAACAGGGGAAGTTGACGACGTAGTGGAAGTGTGAGATCGCTCGATAAGTATGACTCGATGGGTATTTGGAAGTGTATTGGCGAGACGCTGGGCTAGAAAGGCGCCAGAAAATGATCCTCCTACAACCACGACATTATTTGTTGGCTGGATGGCTCGATATGTCAATTTGTGATGTAGAGCACCTATCCGGTAACAGATCTCGGTCCATTGCAACTTGAACACGGTCGCGGTAAACAATTGATAGAACCTGATCTTGTCGCCCAGCGTGATTTCCATGCCTCGATCCTTGCGCGTCGTCTCACGGATGCAGTGTTCTTGCTCATAGACTCTGTCACGTATGATAGACAGATCAAGACGAATACTTATAGCTCCAAGGGTCCACATTCATCCCGATACCTCTCGACTTGATTAAACGGTTGTACAGGCACAACCCTTGCCATGGTTTCTGGGCACAAACAACTGTGCGAGCTTGACATGGCGTGGGTCTGCGATTCGTGAGGCTTTTTGCATTGGCTCTTGAAAAACCCACTATTACTATCTCCGAGTTACGTGTTGGCATTGTTGTGTCTACAAGACAGATCGGTATTGACCGTGGCATGCAACTGTATAAATTCTCCGGGATGTTTCTGAAGCAATTTGCATGATGGGACAAGGGCAAACTGTACTATCAAAGTATGGAGCAGCGCCTGTCAATCTGGATCCGCCTTGGTCGTCATCAAACGATAAGCTACGAGTGCTCGGAAGCATGATAACTCAGGGGTCACGGCAGCCCCACTGTGCAAACCATACGAAATACAGAGACTTCCCAGCCTCTGCCAGGCACCCGTCTTTTCACAGCTCTCGCGAAAAACGAAAAGGCAATTAAACATGACTGCAATAGGCTCTTGTGACCGACACATCCCCATCGCCTCGTCATTCCACATTGGAATGTCAATACATGAATCACCCTGTTCCCCGACCCTTCAGCTCCTGTGGTATGACCTAGCTGGTCGTTGCTCATCCAACTTTCTAGCACTGAATCTAGAAGTCGGGCCCAATTATCTTGGGGGAACTATTTAAGACATTGATGTGAAGGAACATGTCCTTCAGAAACACCCGGCACGAGCGGGGCAGTTCGATGTCTCCAGAACAGATACAGGGACTCGTCTCTCAAGGGTATGCCATTGTCATCATGGAAGACACAGTATTAAAGCTCGACACGTGGATGAAGTCTCATCCTGGCGGTGAAAAAGCAATTCTGCACCAAGTTGGTAAAGACGCCACAGTTGAGATCAATGCGTGCGTGACCTCAAACCCCCCAGCGAGGTAAGAAGCTGTTTGCTAAGTACTCGGGCTATCAGGTTCCACAATCCGACCACAAGGGCAGTCATGCAACGATATCAAATTGGCACAGTCCAATTACCATGGAAGAACTTGACTCCACCGATTCAAACAATGAATCTCCAATCGTCAGACGAGGCTGATCAGAGCCTGGTAGTCGACGACTGTGAGCAGCGCGTCGTCAAAGATCTCGGGTTTCCAGAACGGCCGGAAAAGCGAGTTGAATCTGACCATCCAGCTTCGTTGGGTCGCTCGACAACGCATGTCGTTGATAACGGAGCTCGCCAACCGCTGTCCCACATCGACGTTCAGACCAGAGAGACAATCGACTTGAAATGTGCTCACTATCCTGCGGTGGATGCTGGCACGCAAAAGATCATCATTGATAGATATCAAGTGCTTGAAGAAGAGCTACATGCAAGGGGCATCTACGATTGCAATTATAGTGCCTACGCCTTCGAAGCAGCGCGCTGTGCCTTCCTATTCGGCCTCATGCTTGTAGCGTTGAAGCATGGATGGTTAGTTCTCAGTGGAATATTCATGGGCTTTTTCTGGCAACAGCTAGTCTTTGCAGCACATGACGCCGGCCACAACGGGATCACCCATGACTATCGGATTGATTCATTGATCGCGCTGACCATCGCAAACCACCTTGGAGGTCTCTCCATGGGTTGGTGGAAGCAGAGCCACAACATCCACCACATAGTGACGAACGAACCAGAACACGATCCCGACATCCAACATTTACCCTTTTTCGCGATCTCGTCGGAATTTTTCGGTTCCATATATTCCACATACTACGAGCGTATCATGCAACATACGAACATGTCAAAGTACTTCCTGCCATATCAAGCATACTACTACTACCTTATACTTGCGCTTGGCCGGTTCAATCTTTATGCTCTTTCATGGGAGTACTTGATTCGTGGCCAAGGCCCGAGACAGGGTCCTGCGTGGTGGCATCGCTGGTATGAGATCTCTGGGCAACTCTTCTTCTGGACATGGTTCGGCTACTATCTCGTCTATAAAGGCATACCAACCGGTTCTGGCCGACTTGTCTTTGTCCTTACCAGTCATATGGTCACCATGCCGCTGCACGTCCAATTCACCCTTTCTCATTTCGCAATGGATACCAAGAATCTCGGGCCGCAAGAGAGCTTCCCACAGAAGATGCTGCGTTCAACAATGGACATCGATTGTCCTCCATGGCTGGACTTCTTTCATGGGGGCTTACAATTCCAGGCAGTCCACCATCTCTTTCCTCGCCTTCCGCGGCATAACCTCCGGGCAGCGTCGAAATTGGTCCAGCAGTTCTGTCGCGAAGTTGAGATACCATACGCGATGTACGGTTTTGTGGACGGTAACAAGGCTGTGCTGAGCCGTTTGGACGAGATCGGTGGGCAGGTTGCGATCATGGAGAAGTGCAGAAGAGTACTCGCGGAAGCACATCAGTCGTAGGAGGGATATTAGACCATTACAACGTAGGAACAGGCAACGGGTCCTGAGTATTTGGATCAAGAATGACGAGCCTCGTACATTATCACATCGTGTCCGACATCACGCATGAAATCACTTCACGTGAAGCCGACCGGGCCGTCATCCGCGTTAGCCGCCTGGTCGACGACACAAGAGTCAGACATGCCATCAGTCATTGGGTGGAAACAGGTTTAGCGCGCTGGATTATGTAACGGGGAGCCACTCACAGCACAAAAGGACCATCGGCAAGTCGGAGGCTTAATGCAAAGCAACCAATAGGCAATGTACTCGGTTAATATGCCAATCATCGTGATACTATTTTGGGCGCCTAATCTAAAGCGGCATTAGCTACGGCTGAACGCCGTTGACCTCACGCCTTTACTTCGTGCTTACATTATTATTGATTCCTCAAAAATGTTGGCATTGCCTCGCTCGTTCACCGTGAGCGAGAGTTAACAACTGCCGGGACCATGGAGCGCTCGCCCAGCCTTGTGTCAGATCCCACCACGGTCACCGCCCGCGCACGCGGTCGGCCTCGCAAGATTCGCTCCACAAAATGTTCGACTTGTGGCCAGGAGTTTTCCAAGATGGAGCATCTTCAGCGTCATGAGCGCGCACGTAGAGTTGCCCTGACCTAGATGACATTGGATGCAGTGATCTAACTTTTGTCACCAGACACCGGGGAACGACCCTTCTCCTGTCCACATTGCGACAAGCGGTTTTCACGGAGGTCAAGGTCCTATTGCTGTGCTGAGGATATCCACTAACATTCTGCTGCAGAGATGTGCTCAATCGCCATGCCCAAAAACATGAACCTCTGGCGGAAGAGCATGTCAAACCGTCCATGCTTCCTCACGAAGCACGGCAAGACTATCAGGAACCCGAGGACAGCCCCTTCCACGCGGAGCATCAACCAAGAAGAAAGTCACGTCCAGCAACGATTGACATGGATTCCATGAATCCTATCTTGAAGTCCCCTTCAGCCAATCTTGATCCCCCAACTGAATCATGGGACCAATCTGCAGGAATGCTGACACCTTCGACGGAGCCTGTTCAACATGCGTATTCCGACAAGATACCTTCAGCGAACAATAATGTTGATCTACAGATCTTCGAAACAGGGACCGATGCCATGGATACATCTTTCTTAGATGGCCTTGATTTCGACCTTGCGGGTGCCGACGACCCCAGATGGAACGCGCCCGACTTTGCAGCGTTCAACTTTGCATTTCCGACATGCTGGATCCCTAACCCAAGCCAACCCTCCCAGCCTACGTATGGAGTCGATTCGCTTCACACGCCGCGGGACGACATACCTGACGAGCGCTTTGACAGAGTGCGAAAATACTGGCCAACGGTCAAGACTGATGCTCAAATCAGTCGTCGAATATGGGATCAAGTCGTTACTCATCCCGAGGACAATATCTTCTCTCAGTCAGTATCGTCATTTGCCACTCCTTCAGTGGACGAGTCTTCTCTAGACTCAAAATGGAATTTCGGTGAAGCTTGCAGACTCCGGCTCATGGAAACGTTGGGGGTTTCCCTGGGCAGCCAAAATCCGAAATTTCCTTCCGCCAGCACATTAGACTTTAGCGTGGACTTGTTCTTCGTCCAATTCCACAAGTTCGTGCCGTGCATTCACGTTGCAACGTTTGATGCTAGCAAAACGCCTAGCATCCTGCTTCTGGCGATATGCATGGTGGGGTCCGCTATGATGAAAAGTCCAGCAGGGAATCAGTTTGTCGAGAACAACATGGTGGTAAGACCACAGCTGACACGCCAGCCATGGTTTTCCTTTCACACTGGGACACCTGCTAACATTGCGCATCAGAACCTGATTGCGCACTGTCGACAAGAACTCAAATCCATCCATTCACAGACTACAGCTGCCCCGATGCTGGCGGCTCTGGCAAGTTCCTATCTTACTATGATCCTAGCCTTGATAACAGTAAGATCTGAGTGCTAGACTCTATAGCTTCTGGACTGACGTAGAAAGGCAATGTTCGATACAGAGGCGTGTCAAAGTCTCTATGTCGAGACAATAGCAGTCAGTCGGTATCAATCATGCTGTTTTTCCCTACTGACAAGTGCTAGACAATGATCAGTCACGGCTTTTTCGGAGACAATAAGATCTCGATCCTGGCAAATGACTTCGATAATCAGGTTCTACATGACCGTTATAGCTGGAAAGCCTGGGGCCGAATCGAATCAATCAAGAGGTCAGTAAAGCAACCGGACACTAACACACGAGGCCTGGTGGCTGACTATCCCAAGGCTCGTGATCGCAATTGTGATGATTGACGCACTTTACTCTGATGCTTTGGACCTGGTCCCGGTCATTCCAACGAATATGTTCAACCTGTGCCTGCCCTCGGATGAGAAATTGTTCTACGCGGCATCTGAAACAGACTGGAGAAGAGCTTTGCAAGCCGGATGCGGCATTTCATCTTCGATCATCGAGTTCTCCGCTGATCGAGTCTCACTGTCATCTCGCAATTTGGGCATGAGCACCTGCGGCTTGCATGGCATCTTGTCCACTGTCTGGCTTCGGCAATCTGAGGCACATCATCGACTCATATCACGCAGTGACTTGTCAAGCCACCGATGGGGACTGGTACCTTACGAGGTGTACTCTACCGACCACTTTGCGAAGCCTCTCGCTCCGTTTCTGGTGAATGTGATGCAACGCCACGGAGACACACTCCAAAACCTGAATCCTCACTGTCTGATCATGTGGAATACCTTGTGCATGATGTTACTCGGCAATCCGTGGATGTTTGAGTTAGGAGCAGGTCGGCAGGGAGCGAAACCTGCAAAAGCAGCCCTGAATTGCATAGCGTCCTGGGCTGATACCCCCGCAGCTAGGCGAGCATGTGTTCATGCCGCACAAATATTCTGGATCTGCTCGAAAAGAAAGATTTCCGACAGCATGATGCTTCACTCGGAAACAGGGCTCTTCTTGTCAGCCCTCGTTCTCGGACTCTACGTGCTGGTTATTAGGACATCTGTTCAAGATGGATTGCGGCATGCTAGCTATGAACTTCTGACCGACTTGGACTGGAGACAGGTGGGAGACGTTGGTCTGGGAGGAACCACGCCTTACGGTAAAGTTCTCACTCCCTTGGCGGACTTTATTGCAAATGGTGGTAACCTTACGTTCTCCGGTATGCCTGTTTTCGGGGGATATTCTTCAGCGAGACGCATTCTTGTTCAGTTCGCGAATCTTCTCGAAGATGCTGGCATGTGGCGTGTCACGGAAACGTGCAGGATACTTCATATCATGGGTGATGTCCTGATGGAGAACGGCGTTGAGGAAAGTGCCAAAAGTGTTGCTCCATTCTACAGGTACGATACCCCTGTCTATGTGTTGCGGGACGAGACGTCTAAAGTGTCGCGATTTTCAGGAGATGACCGTGGCCGTGCCCACTTTTGATATCCTTTGCGGCAAGAAAGGCCTGAAGAGGCTCCTTCGATCTCGTCTGTACACTTCAAAATTGCATGTGATTGAAAGAGACAGCAGTGGAAGTCTCGGTCGACACAAGCTTATCACCTGGCATGACATGTAAGCCCGAACGAGGGGATTGTGGAGACGAAATACTCTGGTACCACAGACCAGCATGAGGTGCAGAGGAAAGCATGTACTTCCTTTCGCCTAGTAATGCTCCTTCGGCCCAACTCATGGGGCAATATTACCAAAGCATGGGGAAAGTGTGGAGGTATATTCTTAATGCACCAATGGTGACAGAGATATGCCGACTCCCGTCAGTGCTGTGGGTCTATTAATACTGATCCATGGGGGGGCCTCAACTTATGGCCGAGCCACCGTTCTGAGGTCTCGGGGATATCAGATTCACAAAAAGGCCACTTCGAGCATCCTCCTAGAGTGGGCGAGTGCTGTTAGTACTATCTTTCACAGAACGATGTCTTCAAAACGTGTTGTCGCTGTCCTGGGCGCGACTGGAGTCCAAGGCGGATCGGTAGTATTACTCAAGCCCTGTTGGGATACTGTGCTCACTGTAGCCTCAGATTGTTCGACATCTTTCAACACAACCTGAATACGACATCCGGGCTATCACCCGCAACCCTCTCGGCGAGGCAGCAAAGCAGCTGTCCGCCCTTCCAAATGTGTCAGTCGTCAAAGCCCATTTTGGGGATCCGGCGTCCTTGGTCGCGGCATTCGAAGGTGTCGAGGCTGTCTATGCCTTGACGAATTTTTATGACCCGGAGAACCAGGCCAACCCCCTTCAAGAATTGGAGCAAGGCATTGCCCTTGCGGACGCCGCCAAAGAAGCTGGAGTCCAGTTTTTCATCTGGTCTACAGTCCCCAGCGCTTTGCTTAGGATGAAGGGCAAGTTTCAGTCTACTCGTTTAGTCGAGAACAAGTTCTACGTCTCGGCGTACTTGAAACAGATCGAACTACCACACATTGACCTTTACCTTGGGTTCTACTACGACAACTGGATCAACTTTGGCCTTCTGTCGCTTGCATCCGATGGTACTATCGAGATTCTCCAGCCCATCTTGCAGCCCGAGACGAAGATCGGTATGGTCTGGACGGCACGCGATCTTGGTCCCACTGTCGACACGGTCCTCAAGAACTACCGCACTGCACCTCGACTTCTGAACGAAAACATATACTGCGTCGGTGGATACCACAGTACAGCAGACTTTGCACGAGAGCTCCAGAAACAGACTGGCAAGACGGTTCGGGTCGTTGGTGGCCCGACAACAGGGTTTCAGGATCTGGATACGATGTATGAGTACTATAACAGGCATAGCGTATATTCGGAGTTTACTTTGCCAAAGAAAGAAGCGCTGGAGTTGGGAATCAAGTTCCATACATTGGAGGATTATGTCAGGGAAGTTGCTGTGCCATATGTCCATAAGCTTGGCCAGGCACAGTAATTTGCCATGAACAATTACATGTAATACGGCAAAAGGTTATGAAGTAGCAATCACTGAGTTGAGCAAGTCCAAAGAATGAACATTTCTTGTGTGCATTAGGTCGATAAGTCCCCCCCTGGCACGGCGCTATGTCTCTGATCGGACCCATCAATGCCACATGAGGTCAAATAACTAGAAACCGCCACTTGGTCTAACGCGATGTCAGGACCGAATGACCCATCGCGGAAGGGAAAGTACCCGATTGGTCCACGCGGAGCTTTTCGTTCCTGGATGGAAGCACGGCGAAGGCTGGGAACATACGGAAGGTCTGAACAATGCATTGGAGCGCCTGCAGATACCGGCATTTCCATACTAAGTCCACATTGCGTATATCTGGCAAGGCTACAAAAGCCGGGACAGCACCTCACCTTTCACGAGTGTTTCCTCAATCTCCCAACCTCTTCACTTCAAGCACGAGGTGAACACACTGATCGATAGACCAGAAACAGCCTATCAATTCACAGAGTCTCAATCATGGCTACTCTTACTCATCCTGAATTCGACGCCACCACTGAAGGGTTCACAGTCGCTGCTGCCTTTGCATCATCCATCAAAGGTCGCACGATCCTCATTACTGGAGTCAACAAACTCGGAATAGGGTATACCACCGCGGAAGCATTTGCTTCTGAATCACCACGCCTCCTCATCCTTGCTGGCCGTTCCCCAGCCAAGGTCCAAGAATGCATCGATGCCTTGAGCCAGAAATACCCTGACGTGGAGTATCGACTGCTCCAAGTCGACCTCAGCTCAATTGAATCTGTCAGAAAGGCCGGTTCTACCGTCCTAAGCTGGGACGATGTCCCGACTATCGATCTTATCATCAACAACGCTGGCGTCATGGCGGTCCCAGAGCGGACGCTCAGCCCGGACGGCATCGAAATGCATCTCGCCACCAATCATGTTGGCCACTTCCTGTTGACGAACCTGATCATGCAAAAAGTCATCGCGGCCGCCAAAGGCAAAGCGCCAGGCACTGTCCGCATCGTCAACGTCAGCAGCATCGCAACTATGATCTCCGCTTTCCGCGATAGCGACCCGAATTTCACCAAATTGAATGCAGAGCTCCCGGACAACGAGAAAGCAGCTTTGGCAATGCTCAAAGCTGGGGGACTTCCGGCAGATGAAAGCAAGGCTTACATTCCCATGGTAGCCTATGGGCAGAGCAAGACTTGCAACATCTTGCACGCCGTCGGACTTGATAGGAGGTTGTACGAGAAGTATGGCATTGTGAGCGTCGCCTTGTATCCTGGAGACATGCGAAGTGAATTGATAAGACATACGGATCAGGAATGGTTGAAAGAGGCTCTGAAGAAGAGGGAGGCTGCAGGCCATCGTGTCAAGACACTGGAAGAGGGTTCAAGCACTACGCTCGTTGCCGCGTTGGACCCTAAACTGGACAAACCTGGAAATGGTTATTTTGTCACCAACTGTCAAGTTGGCACTACCCCGCCGGCTCCAAAGTATGCTGTCGATGAAGCAGAGGCGGACAAGCTGTGGGAAGCGAGTGAGTCTTGGGTCGGTGAGAAGTTTGCCTGGTAGAGGCTTCTGTAGAAATTGCTTTAGAAAAATGCCTCGTCCACTCCTTCCTCAATTGGGCATTAACCATGGTCATTTGTAATTGCGGATGGTCTCGTCGCTGTTAGGACCAGCTCGCCGCCCCGTTTGACCGCGCATGCATGTAAGAAGAGAGGTTTTTGTTCGCAAAAAAGGACGCGGTGCAACAAGCATAATTTATGATTCCAAGACGGATGTCGTTGGAAGAGCTTCAGCCGCGTATCTTTTTAGCCCCTGGAGCACCGACGCTGAAAAGCGAATCAGCGAGCCTACTTTGCGCGCCGACCACTGATGTCGTCGTCTATCAATTCCTCCCAAGGACTCTGCAGCATTGGGCGCCTAATGACCCGCGTCGGCATGTGATGCCACTAATGGATCAAATACCTTTGAGGCTCCATATCATTGGCCAAGCCTGTAGAGAGTCATTCCAGACAGACTGTTACGGCTTCCAGGCAACCTCGCCGTCACTCTGTCCCTTGATAATCTACATTCACAGCATCGGAGCCTTGCATCGACTCCTATTGCGAGCTTCTCAATCTCAGGGTATGCCGTCGCTACTGGACTGTCCCATCGACAAGTGGAACGTCTGACCCATCAATTGCGTACGACGATGACTCCGGTCGGAGTTCCCATGATTTCTTACCCACATTCTCAAGTGCCCCTGTGAGCTGCCAAGTCTGTCATGGCTCAACATAGCGAGTCGTCTTTGATCCGCGCTCGTCCGAATTGCCGCAAGGTCAAGACCGGTTGCCGAACATGCAAGTGAGTTAACTACTGCCCCGTTCCCCGCGCCAAAGGTACTTGCAAGGCTCATCCACACCAATAGGATCCGCAAGAAGAAATGCGATGAAGGCCGACCATCATGCCAGCGCTGTCTATCAACCGGCCGAATTTGCGATGGCTACGGTGTCTGGGGTGGAGGCAACAATCCATTCAAGCAGCACCCTTCGTCTCAAATCAGTCTCTTCACCGGAAAAGAACCAGGCCTAACGTCAAAATTGTCGTTGATTAGCCCGACAGCAGCTCAAAAGCTGTTCCCAATCCACACGGTATCGGCCGACGAGCATATCTGCATGGAATGGTTCATCCATCGGACGGCTACAAAACTTCCCGGCGCATTCGAGTCCGATTTCTGGACTACATTACTCCCTCAAGCCAGTTACTCGGAACCAGCGGTGCTCCACGCCATAATCACGCTAGCTTCAGTCCACAAGAGGCAAGTCCTTGATCTCAGCACGTGTGCCGACACTTCTGAATTGTTTGCCCTGCAACACTATACTCGCGCGACAGGCGATCTACGACGCAAAATCGAGACCAGGAGCAAGACTTCCACCCAGGTTGCATTGATTGCGTGCGCAATCTTCGTTCAACTCGAGTATCTGCGCGGATGCTACCAAACGGCACTGACTCATCTACGACATGGTCTCGTGTTGCTCGAAGACCAGGCCCGTGTCAGCAATGGCGACCACGTCAAGATCGAGCCCGGAATACTTCAAATATTTACGACCATGTTCATCCAAGCAAGACTGCTAGGACAAGACGTCGGTGGACCCCGTGCGCTTCTGACACTCTTGCAAGAAATCAAACCTGTCGACGGCGCGTTCCAGTCAGCCTGGCACACCAGACTAAGCCTGGAATATACGATCCTTCGGGTCTTCGACATGGTTGATCTAACCCAATCTTCGAGACATTCCAGTACTTCTTCCAGCGGACAATGTTGTCCCCCGGACTTCAACGTGTATGAATGCAGCACACTTCTTCTGATCGAGCTCGACACCTGGCTTGCAGCCTGTGAGTTGACTGTCGCCCAACTTCGAAAACTGCCACGGACCATCCCCACAGCTCTGGCCCTGTTCGGCATGAGACTTCTACACGTATATCGCACCGTGGCATGCATCATGATTGCGGACTGCACGTCGGCCATGAGCAGCCGCAGCAGAAGTGCTGAAAGGGACGCTGACGCTGCTACATCATCATCGTCATTGTCGTCATCATCACCACTGTCAACAGCAGCAGCAGCAGTCCAGTCAACTACTAGTACTAGTACTTCCTCCCAGGAGACAGGCTCAACCTCATGGCCGTCGCCAAAGCCTTACACCCCATCCACGACATCTTCCGAACCACCTCGTTTCCAAGCTCAGTCCTCATCAAGCACTACTAATACCGAACCTCTCTTCCAACTCATCAACGAAGAGTCCCGCACCCTCTACAAACTCGCCTACAACGCGTCGGTCAACCCTAGCATAGACAAGCACCGCAACAGACACGATTCCGGAGATAACTACAGCACATCAACCTCTATCGCGGACATGGGATGGATCGCACCACTGTACTTCACAGCGATACACGGTTCCACGCCAAATACCCGAAAAGAGGCCATCGACAGCCTCCATTGTTCGCTGCACAGGGAGGGCATATTCAACGCCACCCTTGTAACCAGTGTCGCTGAAAGAGTGCTTGAAATTGAGCAAGACGGGCACCACATCATCTGCCCGCCCGAAAGCGTGGCGAGAGACAGCGGCAATTATTGTCGCCCAGCTGAAGTGAGTTTGTCGCCGCCACCGCTGCCGCTAAAGTACAGAGTAAGCGATGTGCAGGTCGACTTGCCGGAAGGCCCTGATGGGATACTACTCTTGAACTACAGTATCTGCAGCAACGACTCGGATACCGACCCTTGGGTCAAGCGCCAAAGTGTATACAATCTAAGGACGGCTTGTTGGACAAGTGATTGTGAGATAGCGATATAGAAATGCCAACATAACCTCGTAAACAGGACGAGGCATTTCGGTATCACATAGCTAAGGGCCCTTCAATCCAACACTCTGTATCTGCCGGGTAGTGGTTCCGCTAGACTTACAAGCAATCTGAGAGGATGCATGCCCTCCGAATGTAAAACACAGCGCTGAAAGACCAGATTGGGATCCTGACGGCTGTCCCTCGACCTGATCGGGCTTCATCGCTTCCAGTGGTACCAATCTCATAAACCTTGTCAAGCTGCCCTTTCCTTTCCAGACCTCAATGGTCTAGACTCCTGGAAATTATGCAGCCGCTCTCCGATCAGGTACACTTCGTCACGAACCTTCACCCTCCAAGTCGCTACTTGTCGCTGCAACTCCAGGAAACCAAGCCAAGTGACCAGCAAGCACAATACCCCTGGGTAGGCCAATCGATACAAACGCATCTGAGCTTCGTGGTCATGAATGTGTGTAACAAGCATGATGGCTTTGGCATATACCAATGGGACGACCAGGAAAGCACCAAAGACCACGATGGCTGGCAAGACGAATGCACGGCTTGCAAGTGGCACGTCTGGCTTGAGGATGCCGTTGCGGGTGATGGCGCGCAAGGCCGTAGTGACTTGGGAAGTAGAGCCAGCATGATGCATGAACAGTCTCAGCAGTAGGCGAAGATAGAGTAACCCAATTGTCCACGATTGAAGGACATAAATCGTGGCTGCACGTTCACTCGCAGTAGGTGATACCTTCGGAGTCGCTTTCTCGTAGCCCATTTCCAGATAGGTGATGAGTGGGATATGAATATAAAGTTCCGTGATCATTGAGAGCAGGAGAGGAAGAACGACCGCGGTAAAAGTCCCGAGATATGCTAGGCCAAAAAAGTACCTCGTTGATGCAATGAATTGTGACCCGAACCATTCCGGAATCTTGGATTTGAGATACTTTGATGCTGGTCGTGCGTAAGCAATCAGGTAGCCCAACGCCGCTGATAGGTGAATGCCGATGGTGAATGCATACAAGTCGTTTGGTGGAAGAGCCGACTTCGAGAGAAACTGTATGACCTTTCGACCAAGCAAGAGCGGTCCTATGGTGAAAGAAACCCCTGTCGAGGCAGCAAAGAGCCACAACAAGAGAACAAAGGTAGTAATCCGAGCGCCAAAATTCGGCGGTAAGTATACCTTGGTAAAACGCGGATCTTTTTTACCATGATTTCCAAAGTAAGGATCAGGCAGGCCATCGACTCTTTCGTTCTGCTCGTTGACCTCAAGAAAGACCTGGTATCCTTTCGGAATCCGCACCGAATCTGATGCTGGAGCCCGAACATATGTTCCGTCCTTTTGCTGCTCACTGCTAAGAGCTTTGCCTGTGAAGAGACCCCAAAATCGATGAGGAGTGCTGTAGGTCTCTTCTTCGACCTTTTCCCCAAAAAGGAAATCTGTCAACCTCAGAGCCCCAGCACATCCTCGAAACCACCAGTTGTATATTGCTGAGATCTTTTTGGAGGGTTCGGCTTTTCGTATCACAAAGGGCAGCATGAAATTGTAGAATACAATGTCCACCGGGAAGGCCAATCTCGGTTCAGGTGTGGCCCACTGTATAGGCAGGACGTCGTCGACACAACTCAATGACCATACAACACCGCCGAGACACACAATGACCAGGGCTCCGTAGACCAGCGCCGAGAATGCAATTTTCCCCAACTGAGCCGGGACGGGTCGTTCCAGAACGTCCCGCACTGGATGAAATGTGGGATCGTCAGGATCCCGGATAAAATACAGAACGCCGGCTCGCATGATCTTTCGACATATTGATACAAACAACGCAAAATGAAACATATAGCAAGTTCCAATGAACCAGTGGATGAAGATGCCGGTAAAAGGTGCCCTCGCGATAAACGCAATTCGACCAGCGACGGTGGCATTGGCGAATAATGGCAAGAGTGCCAGATCCAGAAGAAGTCCGCAATATAGCGGAAAGACCAGCATTTCAATGCCGATAATAACGACAACTTTCATTACGCCTCCAGCCTGTCGGAGACAATCAGCGAGGTAGCCTTCGACTTTTTCATTATCTCTGAGGCCCATGACAAGATGAGCCAACTCCAGGCACAATATGCTGGCGGCCGCAAAGAAAGCGTAACCAATCATAATGGTGATGAACCGGTCCTCGATACTCCATTCGACCAATGACTTGTCGACCTGAAGGGAGACGTGAGGTTTAGAAGGCGTCAGCGTAAGTTCATCAGGGAGTCTGCGGACTGCCTCGATGATCGAGCGGAAAAGCTGTGCAGCTGCTGCTGGCCATTGACGAGATGTCTTGACAAATTCGGCCACCAGGCCGAGAACGACTCTAAAGGATGGAGGTTCATTCGAGAGAGAGTCCCAAGTTCCGACTACCGCCGATGACGTCCACCGTAGATTTTCACGGATGTGTGCTTTGATCGTGAGAAGAGCGTGATGGGATAACATGGAAAAGACTGGGAGATCAGGCCTGAGATCGAACAGAGCACCGGACAAGGTCTTTTCTATACGTGCACCACTCTTCTGACTGAGGTCCAGACTCAACCCCTCCAGAAATGCAGTATCCAGGATTCTCGGGATTGCAGGTACGACTGGGGATATGATGGCTTTGACGACCTTGAGTGGTTGGTTCAGAATGAAGCCAGCAAGGCCGGTAGTGAAGAGGACAACATCGACCACAACATCCGCACCTGTGGACAAGACAAAGAGAGGCGCCTTCATGACCATTGCCGGGTTGTGCATGAACAGGAGCGCAATCTTGCCCCAGACGTAAGGGCACCATACACTGGCTGTCAAAGTCACCGTGATCAGGAACAAGCTGAAGATGACATTCTGGACCATGCCAAAAATTGGACCTTCCATTCCGAGCAGTTCCAGAACCCCATCTAGGTCTTCTACGTCCTCTGCAGCATTCGGATCGTTCAAATCGACACCAAGGACGATGTTTGGTTGACGTGCCTCGGCAGGGGCTGGTGCTTCAATCTCGGGGAGAAGAGGTTGGAGAGCTTCCCGGTTGTGGTTTGGAACGAAAGGTGCCTCATCGAAGGGATCTTGAACAACGTGCTCGTCGTCGTGATGATGATGGATATCCCCATTAGGGCCATGTCGAGGTTCGGCCAGAATTTGAATATTTTCGAGGCCCTCAGTATTCCACAGCCATCTCGAAACTTTTCCCCAGACTGACAACCCTCGGGTGCCACTACTGGCTGGCTGATCGGCAGGAGTGGTAGCATTGCTGGCGCTGGCTGCTATCTCATTGTTCTCGGTCGCCCGATCGGATTCACTCGAATCAGGCGTCGGAATAGGAACACCTTCTGAATCGGTATCCTCCGTAGGAGGCATTGGCTCCTCGCTACCGTGTTCGCCCACCATCGTGACATCACCTGCGAAGGAGACGCGGCGATCATGGCCATGCGCAGGCGTCGATGAAGAAGTTTCCATTGACTCAGCATGAATCCGATCCAAGTGTTCTGAAGTGAAGAACTCAGGGTCGCCATTGGCCGTGGAGTCCTGGAAATATACGGGAAATCTCTCCCTTTCAGGTACATCACTCCCCGACGAAACTCCGAATGCTCGCTCGACAAGAATAGAATTGCTCAGACTCTGATCGGATATACCATTGCTCTCCCCTAGTGCGGGTTCGTCGTTGTCCAAGCCCGGAGTGCTGCTACGATCGTCCTCTAGACTTTGGGACCTCACAGGTAGGTCGGCTCGCTCCAAGCCATTCCCTCTGACACGTAGAATGTTGTTGTCTGACACAACTCGGCGTAGCCTTGGGTCGGGATTTTCACCTGGTACGAGATCTTGAGCATCAGCCCCGGTTGGGTGATCTGCGTCCACAGGAGGATTTGCCGGCTGTTCTGCACCCTGAGCCTGAGGTTCTGGAGCAGCAAAATCGGCAAGATCAGGATCTGGCATGTTCAGATTTGGTTGTTGATTTATGACCCACTCCCTAATGAGGAACACAAGAATGAATGCAGTAACCAGGAAGACACATATCAATTGGCCTTCCACAATATCGATGATTGTGCCATTGATAGCAGGAGATTTGGACAAGGTGCCGAAGAAGTGGACGTTAGATAAGAGGGAGGGCGGTCGATTCGAAGTCTGTACCGTTGAGGTCATGTTGGAAGAGATGGCCTCCTCGGTGTTTGAAGGAGCTAGAGGCATAAACAAGGAGAGTATCAATTGCAATAGCCTTCCAATCAAACCCTGACTGAGGAAAGCCCGAGCAATATCGGCCAGCGAGAGCTGCATGGGAGGAAAGACCAGTTTAATGCGTTCAAGGTATTCTGGCATTGTGAAGTTGGCGGCAAACGTTCGGACAGGTATTGAAGCGGTGGAGGTACCACTGGCAAGGACATCAGTGGACAGATGCGACTCCATCTCCTCCCATGTGCCATCTGCAAACCATATCATGCCTCGCCATACTTGTCGGATGCACCATGGCAGGCAACACACCCAAATCAGGGCCACGATTGTATAGCGGATCCAACGTGCGAGAGACTTGAAACCGTGTCGTGCGAGTTGGCGGACAAAGAGAGGAAGGGGCAGTGTGGCTGGCATGGAACGATCGTAGAGTTTTGTGAAGCGAAAAGATGTCTTGCATAGCTCGCAGTATTTCTTCTGGGAATGAGAAAGCCATTCCATCAAACATTCTTGGTGGACGAATTTGATGCTCCCACTGCATTTGCAAGGGTAGTATAATGGTTGTTCGGGAGAGCCTTCACCTCGACAAATCCGACAATAGTCCTGGCCTTCTTCATATTGATTGTCGGGTCTGGACTTGTCTAGACGAAGGCCCGATGGACGTCTCTCGTGGGTGTTGACCGACATCGTGCCTGACGTGGGGGAGCATCAAGTCTAAACGGTAGAGAGATGTTTGCATTTCGAGGGGGTCATGAAGTCATGGTGAGAGAATAAAGGCACCAAGACATGAGGACAGTACCGGAATGTAGGTCGGTGGGAGTAAAGGATGAGGAAGATGTAAATTGACGGATTGATGGAAGGAAGGTACAACAATGATGATGGTCACGCAGGCAGTGGTGACAAATATGCTGAAACGGACATCAGAGTGGAAATGGCAGTCAGTGGCTTCGGTTCCCCAGACCAGGTGCAGGTGCAGGTGCAGGTGAAGGCACAGGCACAAGAATGGGAGCGCAGTCACGTGCGGATTATGGTTATGGTTATGGTTATGGTTACGATACGGGGGCAGGCAGAGCGTACAAGCATCTCATAGGCACCGCAGGCGGCAACCGCTTCCTATCGTGAGGCTTTCGTGAACAAGAAGATGAAGTCAACCAACTCCAACGCGCAATTTGTGGCCTATAATTTACATCATCTCACTGATTGAAACATCTTGTTGTTTTCATGTGCATCAGACAGATCGTAGATGCTGCTTGTCGATCCTGTCTGTAGGCAGTAATAAGGAAAGAGAACCTTGAGTACCTTCTCAGCCACCATAAACACTGGAGTCCTGCCTTATCAGTCACGCCATCCTATCACCGGTCGCCGTCCCAGCTTTTTGGCCTTTGGCTGTGGCTGCAGTGACGCAACTTGGTGCACTTTCACTTGTTTGAGCTTCTCGTCCTTCCCCGAATCCTGCAACACCTCCACTACCTGGCTAGTGACGCTCGCCTATTCAACCTGCACCTTCCAGAAAATACCACCTCTATCTCTCTCCGTATCTGGTGCAAATCGACCATCAATTCCCCCTCCTTTGTTCATCCTGGGCAGTAATACCTCGAGTGTCCATTCCACGTGAAACACCTTCCTTCAAGCTCGGCCATTGACTTCGGGTCAATTGTGACGTCCGTACCTGCTGAGCGTATCGAGACTCGAGACTTAGCTGATTAGCTGGAAAAACACACACACATCCACCAACCGCCGCAATGGCAGTGGTTGAGAATGGTAAGCCAGTCAATGGAAAGCCCATAGAGAGTGTCAAGGACAGACCCAATGGCCATGCTGTTGGCCCTGTCTCACGGCGACCCCGTCATCGTCGCCAGAGTTGGACCTTTTGGCTGTTCAACAACCTTGCCAGGTGAGTTGAAGCAATTAGTAACAATCAACTCTCTTCTAACCCTTCTGCAGGCTCACCACCTGGTATGTTCTTTTGACAGTCATTTTCCGCTGTCCTTCGACGCCTGCCAAACTCACCGACACGACTCCACAAGTATGTCACACATACTTGAGCGTGAAGTCCTATGCTCAACCGCACCTTCAACCTTACTACGATGACTACGCAGCACCATACGTGGCAAAAGCACAACCATACGCCGACCTGGCCAACAGGAGGCTGGTTAGACCTGTATCGAACTTCGTGCAGCTAAATTACGACAAATATGCGTCACCGCAGCTTGAATCCGCAAAGACACATGTGCAAGCTCAATGGGACAAGTCGGTTGTGCCACGAATCAATAATGTCCAAGGAAACGCTGTCAAGATATATGATGCTAACCTTGCTCCACACGTTGAGAAGGTTGCAACAGTTGCAGGTCCCTACTACTCCTCGGGTCGCGATTCCGCCGGCCATCTATACCAGCAATACGTTCTTCCTTCGGTCAAACAATCTCGTCCGTATATTCAATCTGCCTACAATTCCACCCAGCTCTTTGTCGCCACTACCGCATACCCAGTGGCACGTCATGCTTGGTCCGACTTGATCATTTTCGTGGATGGCACTTTCTGGCCTTTTGTGAAAGGGCTTTATATTGACAATGTTAGACCACAATTGGTCATGATCAACGAAAGAGTGGCCAAATATCGCGAATCCCGAAAGATGAAAGCTGCCATGGACGTCGTTGACAAGAGCACAACAGCCCCAGCTGCTTCATCCACCCCAATTGCATCCTCGGTTCTAGACGATGTGTACGCCATGTTCAACACGGACGAATCATCTACCCCGGCAGCCACAGGCACAGTAGCACCAGAATCATCAGCGAAAGCAGAACCCAAATGGGCTACCGAGGAACAGATCTCCGAAGATCTCGAAATCTGGCAGAAGAAGTTTGCAGCCGCAGCCGACACGGGAAGTGACGATCTTAGTGAGAGGGTGGCTTCCATCGTGCATAGCCTTGCCAAGAGCGACATCGAAGGCATGGGTCAGGGTTTGGCCACAGCCCTGGAAAAGACGATCGAAAATGAGATCGATAATGTCAAGTCGAAGATCAGATCTGTCGTCGGTTCGCTCCCTGAGGATGCAGGCTCCGAGGAGACCAAGAAGTCAGCAGAAGAGATACTTGGCACAATCAGAGCATCAGGTGCTGAGATCAAAGACCGTGCACAGAAGGTACGCGACTGGGCTCAGAACTTTGAGAAGGGTCTCATTCAGAGACTGGCTGCTGCTTCTGCGTCGACATTGGAGGTATTGGACGGCATCAAGGACCTTGGACTTCAGGAAGTCGGCATGCGCTGGGCTTGGATGGAAGGAGTCACCTATAAACATTGGGAAAAGTTCCATGCAGTTCGGAAGCAACTTGATGAATGGAAGCAGGAAGTCCGTAACGTCGCCATGGAAAACCCAGAAGCGGAAAAGGCCATTGCTTCTGCTCGACAGATCATGGAAGAGAGTATGGCAATCACAGAAGATGCCGCAAAAGAGCTGGTCCGACTCAAAAGTGTCGCGCAGTGGAAGCTGCGCGCCCGTGACGCGACGGACGACTTCGAGACAAAGAGCATGCCCGCGGAAGCAGTATCGGCAGCATCGAGCTTGGCATCTGAGTTGCAAGGTCTTCCTTCTCAGGGTGTGGATTCTGCTAGCTCTGCCTTGTCTCAAGCAACCGATGCCATAGCAGATGGCATCTCATCTGCTTCGTCTGCAGTTGTTGGAACCAGCACAGGCACCGTGGAATCGGTATCCTCACAGGCCAGTCAATATGCGGACTCGGCGCTTTCTTCTGCATCATCTGCAGTAGGTGCTGTCCCGGGCTATGACTCCGTCAACTCCGCAGCTTCTTCAGCCAGCTCTGCGGCTGGGCATGCTTACGAATCTGCTTCTTCCATTGTCGGCACCGGCACCGACGGCGCTGAATCTGTGACGTCTCAGCTCAAAGCGTCTGCTTCCAGCCTGAGTCAAGAAGCCTCCAAGTCCGCCGGTTCGGCATCCAGCGTCGTTTCAAGCTCGGCGTCATCACTTGTGGGATCTGTGTCTATTCCTTCGTCAGAGGCAGCATCTTCCGCCAGCTCTGTTTCTAGCTATGCATCCTCTATTGTGGAATCTGTTCCTACCCTTTCCACAGATGCGCTTTCCTCCGCCAGTCTGGACGTGGAAGACCTTGCTAGTTCTGCTTCATCGGCGGCAGACTCGGCCACCACCAAGGTGTCTAAAGTCTTTGCAGGGGCCATGGCACAGAAGGTCAAGGGCACCACCCCCATCTTGGACGATGTCTTTGACGACGACACAGCATCGAGCTTTTCCGAGAGAGTTCAGAGTGTTGTGAACGACGCAGGTGACCGATATGCTGAGGTTACACGAGCAGTATCTGAGGCCATATACGGAACCACTCAAGGAACTGTTGAGAGTGCCACATCTGTTGCAAGTGAACGATATTCCAGCGCTCTCGCCGCAGCTTCCATTGCCATATACGGCACGCAACAAGGAAGCGTGGAAAGTATTGCCAGTGTGGCATCCGACAAATACGATCAAGCAGTTGCAGCTGCAAGCTCAGCCATCTATGGTACACCCGCTTCCGTCACGGACTCGATACTTGGACAAGCAAATTCCCTGTATACCGATGCCATGAACAAAGCAGGTGAGCAATACAGTGCCGCCATGTCTGCCGCTTCTCAGCAAATCTCTGGCACCCCAAAACCGGCTCATGAGCAACTGCTCTCCTCTATTCAGTCGGCTTATGCAGATGCAACCGCTGCTGCGAACAGCAGACTTGACTCTGCTTCTAGCGCAGCTTCGGGCCAATATTCCTCGTTGAGTACAGGAGCTTCGAGCGCCTATCCCACCACAAACCCGCTCGAGTCTGTAACATCTCTTGCATCTTCGGTCTTGAGGGACTCCTTGGCTGCTGCGTCTGCGCAGTACTCCAAAGCCAAAATCGCCGTCGGTGCCACGCCCGCCCCAGCTCACCAGAAATATCTGCAGGAAGCCCGGAAGAATTACTATGCTGCTATGGGCATGGCATATGAACAGTATGACGATTTTGTCAATGCTGCTTCAGGCGCCATCTATGGAACCGCTACTCCTGCTCTCAGTAGTATGTCTAGCGCCGCTTCAGCGGCGGTGTACGGAACTCCTGTCCCAGCATACCAAAGCCTCTATGATGCTGCAGCCTCTCAATATTCGGCAGCTTCCTCCGCGGCAGCTGCCAGCCTTGAGTCCGCTCGCTCATCACTAAATTCGGCAGGTACGCCAGCGCAAGGCTATCTGGATCAAGCCCTGGAAGCATATTCCAGTGCCGTCGGGGCTGCATCGTCCTCGCTGTCATCGGCTTCGTATGCTGCGAGCACCGCAATCTATGGTACACCTGCACCATACTATCAAAGTGCTCTTGACCAAGCTTCGTCCTCTTATGCAGCTGCTTCTGCTGCTGCCGCGTCTCAGATGTCGTCAATGCTAGGCTCGGCCACAGCAGCCGCCCGCGGAAAGAAATCACCTGCTCAAAGCGTGCTCGACAGCATCTCTTCTCAATATGATGCAGCTGTTTCGGCGGCATCTTCATCATTGTCTTCTGCCAGCTACGCTGCCAGTACCGCTATCTACGGTACCCCTGCGCCATACTACCAGGGTGTCCTCGACCAAGCTTCGTCGTCCTATGCTGCGGCTTCTTTGGCTGCAGCGTCACAGATGTCATCAATGCTAGGCTCGGCCTCATCGGCAGCTGGCAAGAAATCACCTGCTCAGAGTGTGCTGGACAGCATCTCCTCTCAATATGATGTGGCCGTTTCGGCCGCGTCTTCGTCGTTGTCTTCAGCTAGCTACGCTGCCAGTACTGGTATCTACGGCGCGCCTACTGGGTCAATTGAGTCGATTTCAAGTGTTGCCTCGCAGAACTGGGAGGCTCTTGTATCCAAGGCCAGTGAACAGGTTTACGGCACTCCAAAACCTTTCACCGACCAAGCAGGCGACTACGCGGCGCAAGCGACCGACTACGCAAGCGATCAATACATCATTATTCAGTCGTATGTCTCCGAATTGCTCGTGGGCAAAGAGCCAGATTTCACAGAGTCCGCGATGAGCAGACTGAGCTCTGCGTATTACACTGGCTACTATGCCTCAGCGGCTAGTCTGGCTAGCGATGCGTATGCATCTGCATCTTCGGTTGCCTCGTCCGTTTCATCTGTCGCGAGTGATTACTTTACTCCCCCTCCACAAGTTTCGTCAGCCCTTGACTCTGTGACGGACCAGCTCAATTCAGCTGTGGCTGCAGCAAGTGTACAGTTCTATGGCAGCAGCAAAGGAACCGTTGAGCAAGCAACTTCTGCTGCGGCAGCCTCATACTCCTCAGCCAGTTCGGCAGTCAGCGAAGCCATCTACGGAACACAAGCTGGATACGCAGAAGCCGCACAATCGTCTTGCGCAGATGCTGCTAAGAGTGCACAAGACGCAGTCTATGCCGCGATATACGGCACACCGACCGGCACAGTAAAGTCCATCACGAGTGCCGCAGCTGATACCTATGCCTCCGCCTCGTCCATTGTGGCGGACAACGTTTCCGCTGCAGCTTCAGTGGTCGGAGATGTGACGGATTCGGCAGCGAGTGTCGTTGGCAGTATCAGTGCAAAGGTGTCCGAAGCCGTTTACGGACCCGAACAAAGTGCCGCCCTGGAGAGTGCACAGTTAAGAATTGCCGAAGCTATCGCGAGCGCCAGTAGTGCCATTGCAGCGATGGCGAGTGACGTTGGCGCCAGTGGTGCCAGCGTTGCTGGGGCTGTCAGTACCAATGTTGAGCAGGCGGCGAGTGCTGTGAGCAGCTCGGTCAGCAGCGCTACTCAATACGTCCGTGATGAGTTGTGATCGACCGTGAACGAAAGGGAGGGAAGAGACGGTGTGGTCGACTCGTGGAACGACGACTGAACATTGAACAGATGCCCTCTTACGAAGAGCCTGAGATTGTAGAGATGAATTTCTTTTCCAGCGGTTTGGGCGTCGTCGGCCTTGTCTATATCTGGACAGTGCTGTCGTTGCAGAGATACCTCGACGAGGGTCGCTCTGTGACTTGCAGCGTGGCAGGGACTGAGGCTGATGGGTAATGGGTTGGCCTATTTCTGAACGCTCAAATGATACCTATTTCGCTTGCTTGGTTTGCTTTTTATGCGCGCTACAGTACGGTATAGTCATATAGGTATGTAACGATTAATCGAGATGATGATACTCCAATTACTTTGTCACTATAGCGTATCGGTATTTCTGCTACTGTATCAAGCACCACTCTGTTTGTTAGCGAGCTTGTTCTTATTGTTCTGTCGCCAGTGTCACACTGTTTGATGACCTCAGACTACCTACATACCTACAGTACTGTAGGTATTGTTAGGTAAAAAGGTGAGCCGACGAAGTTTGACTTCTCAACCCGAAACAACACCAGACCCTATGCTATGCTATGCCGTTGCTACCACCGCATGCCGTCCCCCTAGGATAGAAATACAACATGCTCTCCAAAAATTCCAATTCCCAATGTTTAATGCTGAATGCTCAATGTCGTATGGCCATATACTACTCTCAATCGAGGAGTGGCCGTCCAAAAAAGATGTTAGAGGTCCAGAGTTACTGCAGATATCGAGACAGCTCAATCTGTCCGACTGAGGCGATCAATCCGACCACGTTCTTCACGGACCCGATCCGTGGCAGCAAGGGCAATGTACTCGAAGCTCGCGCTCGAGTCCGTATGTGTGCGCATTCATCTCCGAAGACTGCTGAAACCTCTCCACAAGGCGCCAAAACGCAGACAATTCCAAGTTCAAATCGTCCAAAGTGGGGCCGATGCATTAGACATGTCGGAAGCAGCATGAGGTTGTTGTAGGCCACGTGAAGCAAATACCGTGACGAGGCGGATCTCGAACTGGTCTCCCATCCAGAAACGCGAGTGCGAGACCGGACCAAAAGCTGAACTCGACGGATCCATGAATGCACCAGTACTTCATCAATCCATATCTTCATCCTCATCATAGCCGTCGTCTTCATCATCATCCAGACTCTCCATGGCGTCCTTGATAAATTGTGCGGCCTGTTCAAACAAGTTAGCATCCACATCTCACACAAAATTGTCAAAGCCAAAACATACCTTCGGGTCCAGATTCAACGCCATAGTAAACGCCCTCACAGCATTTCCTTTCTCCCGTAACGTCTTGTAAAGCCTGCCCATCAAGAACCACACATTCGCCTCATCTGGCACCACATCTCTCAAGATGAGGAGTTCAGTCAGCGCATCCCTCGGCCGGCCCAGGCTCATCAAACACCTGGCCTTCTTGAAGCGACTCAATGCACTATTTGGAGCAAGAGTGCATGCTCGCGTGTACATTTGCAGCGCCTTCTCTGGTTCCTTGAGCCTTTCGAGCACCAATCCAATACAGCAGATGAGCACTGCATTGGTAGGATTGATCTTGGCCGCAGTCCGATAATGCTGTTCGGCAATCGTCCACTTGCCCATCTTCTCATAGACTTTGCCCAAGCCGTACCAAGCATTATAATGCCTACCATCGGCGGCTATAGCAGCTCGATACGCCTCGAGAGCTTTTTCGAACTCTTCGTTCGAAATGTACTCGTGACCTTGCAGCGTGAAGCCGTATGCAAACTGTGGGTCAAGTTGCGTGGAGCGTTTGAAACATTTCAATGCTTGCTCATGCTCGCGTTGAAGAGAGAACGAGTTGCCAATGGTACACCATGCTTGAGGTGATAACCTGTCCACCTCGATGAGCTCGTGCGCCAGACAGGCAAGCTCGATCTCCGATTTTAGGTGCCAGAGGACTGTGGAATAGATCTCCATGTCTTCCAGGCGAGTAGGAGCGAGCTGCCTGACCCGAATGAAGAACTTCTCTGCCTCAACATACTGTGCCTGCTCATAGTACGCCTTGCCGATTTGAGCCAGAACATAGGGACTCTCGCGCTGTGCTGATGGCAAAGAGTTGTAAACCTGGATTGCCGTCTGACAATCGTAGTTGGATAAGCATAGCTGAGCCGATGCAACTCGTCCAAAGAGATCCAGCAGGGTCTGAATTGCTTCAATGTCCTTGTTTACCGCATATTCAGCACGCACTTTGGCGTTGGGCAAAGGTGGCACGGGTGGAATATTGTCACCAGCCCTAGGCCCCTTGCTATCAACATCCATCGCATCCGTTGACCCGGTCCTCGTCCGGTTGCCACTAACAACCCGTCCGACAGTGGCAGTATTTGCTGTTCTTGGTCTGCCAGCCGGAGCCTTGGCCTTTTTGATATCTCGTCCTTCTCGAAGACCTAGAGTGTTTGCTAATGAAGAAATTTTGCTTCCTGCCGTGCTGCTTGCGCTAGGCGGTCGCGTCGTGTTGAGGAGTCGGTTACTCCTCCTGGTGGCTTCCCCACCATTCGCACTCGCATGACTCGAGGCAGCAGGTTGGCCAGAAACGGTTCTCTTAAAAGGCGCAGCTGGGAGTGGAGGATCTTGTAGTACTGTTGTATCGTCAGAGGCGCCTTTAGCTTTCGCCCTCATCCGGGCTGATCCGGTCTTCCACCTAGGAGGAGGATCTGCTGGCATTTCGGTTGCACTCTTGGTTTTGCGTGCAGGTGCCGCCGGCGGGTCATGATACTGGTTGACAGCAGCGCCCTGTAAGACGCCCTCCTCCACATCTGCTTCCGTGGATGGAGTGTTCATACCCTCTTCATCCAGGATTGTACTGGCTGTATTCACACTTATTTTGCTGCCATTCAGTTTCTCCCAAAGCACTGAATGGCCCTGTTGAGTGTTCCCATTGGCTTTCTGTGTTGAGGTGAAAGGATCCGGAGGCATCATCTGGTTGCTATGAGTCTGTTTCTCATGTATAGATGGTCCACTCTTTTCGGCAGCGAAATCAGGCACATTCTCGTTCTTCGTGTTTTGTCGCTGAGCAATCTGCGTGTAGGCGATGATCTCCGGAGACATTTTGTATATGTTCGGTACGCTGACTTTGGCGCCAGCATCGCACAGGCCCATGAACGCATCCCACATGAAGGGATTCAACTTCAAGGCCGATGCCCAGCACTCCACCGCCTGATCGACGTTCTTGTGTGCCTTCCATAGCTTTCCTCTCAGACACAAAACTGCCGCAGCGTCCGGCAGATGTTGTCGTCTGCATTCATTATGTTGACCCCAGGAATTGCGGTGTGACCAAAAGTGATTACTTTTCTCCAAGGCCGTCAAACCATCGACGTTGCGTCCTAACTCCAGGGATGCTTGTGCAAAGATATAGCTGCATCCGAGGTGTGACCCTCGCAAACCGGAAGATCGACTGGTATCCCATGCGGCCTTCACAAAGCCAGACTGGTACTGGCAGTAGGCTAGTAGGTACGCGGATTCCGCTGATCGAGGTTCGTAGGCAACAAGGCGACCGGCAAGGAAGAGGGCGTTCTTCAATAAGTTGTTATCGAGGTGATAATACACCAGTTGCCGTAGTTGGGCGGCAATATGTGTTGGCGAGGGAGCCATGGCGGCATGGAAGGCGAGATATGTTGGTCGTGTAGATTTGAATCTCTTCGACCGGCCAAGGTCAAGATACAAACGTGGTCAGAGACGCGGTCGGCGGTATTCGAAGGTCATGAATGACGAGGGCTGCCTTCGTCCAAAACAATGCGCCGCGGGTCGAGGTCGTCAATTCATGAGGTCGATCTAAAGGATCAACAACGCTCAAGATCAAAAGTGAGACATTAGGGACCCATCCGAACGCATCTCCTAATACTAATCCCGAATACAAATAAACTGCGGGCGTTTGAAATGGAAAATAGTTGGAGTGTTTTGGCAGGTGAGTCTGTGTTCGCAGCGGTTGCGGAAGGTCTGTTGCTGTTGCTTGCACAGTTACGAAATGTGGCTGGAATCAACAAATTGTGGCGGCGGGGAATCAACACCATCAGAAATCCACAAACACCTATCTTCATTTCTGTATTTGCCACGACGAGTGCAACAGCTTCACTAACTGGATAATCATTGGGAGGCTAGTCGTCTTGTCTATCACAGGTGTTTTTTCAGCTGCCTGCAAGTTCATCCTTTCAATAGGGCGCCATTCCCGCATCGCAGCTACAACGAACGAGCGCAAGACTCCATTGAATTTAACACAACGATATAAACCCTCCCACCATGGCACAGGTACATCCGAGTCCGACTCGCTGTTCTTACGGACACTAATGATACTATAGAAAGCCGCCAAATCCCTCGCAGTGCGCAACGCATCGCGCCTAAAACAAACGCACCTCATCACCCTCGCCGTAAACACCATCTTCCTCTTCCTCCGCTTCACATTCCGCCGCTCTCTCTCGCTCAAGCGCTATATTCTCCTCTCAATACCTGCTCTCGCGATCGAATTCTACCTCGACCGCGCCGCGCAACCAAGCTACAAGTCCGACGGAACGCTACGTTCGGCCGGGGAGGACCTCGATGCCAAAGGCCTGACAGAATTCATGTGGGATGTCCTGTACTGGACATGGATCAACGTGATCCTGGTGATCGTCCTGGGTAATCGAGCATGGTGGCTATACCTTGTCGTGCCTGGGTACGCCATCTATGCGGCTGTAGGTACAGCAAGTGGCCTGAAGGGTATGCTGGGCGGTATGGCTGGCGGAGGTGGGGAAGCAGTCGACGGCGCACCACAGAGCCAAAGCAAGCGACAGGCCAAGATGGAGAAGAAAGGAGGCCAGCGTATGGCATATAGATGAAAGGGAATGAAGTCAAACAAGCTGTTAAACCATGCCTTCTCGACAGACACTCACAACGCCTGCACATCAACCCAGTGACTCGTTTTACCAGCCTTCGCAATGCGCCGTTCTGTTACCCATAAACCAACATAAATCATGAGTCGCGCCCCTTATCAAGCCAATGCGCAAGTCCAGTCGTATCATACAAGTCTCGCCACTGTTTCCCCTCCTCCTCGACATACTCACCCACAAACTCGGCCGTCTCATTCGCTCGCTGCTGGATAGCATGACCGGCTTCTTCGATCTTCTCACTCGCCCGAGCCATGGCAAGGTTATAATACTCGACACTAGCCTTGGCCCTTTGCGCAAGCCTCCTCGAGCTCGTCTTCCGCTTATACCGCGCAATAACGATCGACGTGACATAGTACGCTCTCACCAGGAATCGCTGTATCGCCTGCTTGACAAGCATAGTGATGCCGTGGCTAAAGAACGCCCGGATGACCTCGACGTACAAGCCTTCATATAGCGCAGAAATCCCCTCGGTCTGGGCGATGGTAAGGACGGTGCTGAATATCGTAGTCCGCGCCGCTTTACGGGCCTGTTCGCTCTCAAGATCCTCGCCGACAACCTTGTTCTCGTCACTTTCTCCGCGTTTCGCACCAGCTTGAAGACGAGTCTTGGCCAAGCTGAATGGATACGTCACCGAGCTTGCGCACGCCTTGCTGAACGCCGACAGCAGGAAGGTCAATGAGGCAGGCGGGTTGTCCCGCCGATGTCGCGGGAGAGTAACTTTCTTGAGGGTCTCAAAGAGGAAGAAAGTGATTGAAGGGTTGAGCGTCAGGACAAGTGACGCAGAGTAGCCTGACCAAAATCCGGCCACGCCCTTCTCAGACATGATGTCTTGCGCGATCTGCCGGGCACTCGGTGTTTGGTATTGTTCATTGTTCGGGTCTTTAGCAGCGTACAGCGCTGCAGCTTGTTTTCTTGTGACAATGTTGGAAATTGGCGTTGTGGCCAACTTGGTCAGACTCCCAGCGACGAAGCCAACGCCCAGCTCTTCTAGGGCAGGAAGTGACTTTTTACCATGTACAGCCAGCCTCCTGTTTCGGAAGTAACTGTATAAAAGGAAGAATATGAAGGAATCGGCTATCGTCTTGCCGGTGTCCTGTAAGAGCCCGGTAAATAATGCAGGGATACCGCCTTCTCTCTTGTAGATCTTCTCAACGGCATCGGTAAAACTTGTGTACTCGTCTTCGCTGGGCTTGGACTGATTCTTTCGAAGTTGGCGCTGGATCTGTAGCCGAGTAATGATCAGGTCGATAGGGTAGAGGGCGGCGTTGGAGATAGAGGCGCCTGCAGATCCGGCAATGGCATGACCTAGGGCTTCGAGGATATTGCCACCATGCGACGAGGTTTGACTTTGCTTGACATCCTCCTGAACCTGGTGGTAGAGTTCGAAAGCGTCCTACAATGATTAGTCTGTCTGCGACGGACGAGCAAAGTGGACATGGTGAAGACGTACTAGTTGACTATTATACGGGAACGCGTCGGCCATGATTGTGAGATGCGCTCTGCATCATCGTTCTCGAGCAGTGGGCACAGAAAGTGAAGGGGTTGTTGAGAGCAGACCGTAGCGGAGACCGGAGAGTCGTGGCAATGACGACTTTGGAAGGATGAATGAAGATTCCAGATCCATTTACGGAGTAGACGCGATTGATTAGAGGTACCGGTAACCCCACACATTTACTGTACTATGGAGTATGGAGAAGGTCACTTCACATACGAGTAGTATGCGCTGGCATTATAGCCATACAGAAATCAACATCGACAAAAGCATCAGCTTAGCTATGAGGGTATTAGGATGAGAAAATCAAAATCGTTCTTCGAGGCCCATGAAAACCCAACGATGAGCGCCATGCATTATATGCAGAGTCTGGTCGCTCTTTACCGACCCGCAATCCGAGAATGATCCCATCAACGCCCATCTTTCCTGTCATAACATCATCATACAACCTCGTTGCCATCAAGGCTCGAGTTATTCTATGCTCTCATACTAGTGCGTCGTCTCAGTCCATTTTCGGCTGCTTGCAGTTCTCTCGCTAGCCGCTCGTCTGCATCCAGATCGCTTGACCCCCCAGTACTGTCTCGACTGACCGGCCTGCGCGAAGCTTCTCGAGACGCACTACGTCTCGTCATCATTAACGCCATCTGGTGTATTGTCGAAGAAGTGTTGCTTGATGAACGCTGACTTTTGATGCTCGTCACCATCGTTTGCGCACTTGCAGCACTCGAAGCTCGACGGTCACTTCTGGCGGGCTTCGGGTATGGTTTACTAGGTGATCTGGTGTCGTCGGCTGTGTACATCTCGACTTGCTTCGGCTGTCGTGAGGATTGTCTGGATCCGGGTGCCGAATCTGCTGATCCTGAGTGGTCCCCGTTGACTGAAAATCCATTCTTGATTGGACCAGGCGTAGCGAATGCACTGTCGTTTCTTGGAGTGGTGGAATCAGTAGCATTGCCATCTTTGAGGGGCAAATATTCTCCGTGATCGAGTTCACTCTTGATGTTGACAACTTCCACTGCTTGCGCTGCGATTGCGCCTGATGCTGGATCAACAATAATAGTGTCGACAGCTTCACCTTCTATCGGGTCATCATTTGCCTCCTCCTCGATGTCATCGCTGCCGTCAACTCCGTCAACAACAAATTCGTCTGCAAATGGTGCTGGTGTGTGGAAATCATCTTCGACTGCATCCAGAACAGCCTCAAAAGAATCGCCATTCATGAGAGCGGGATCAATGAGGTCGTCCAGAGAAGCCCAGTCCGTTCTGGCTCGCTTGATAGGTGCATTTTCATCGCTAAGCCGAGCCGGGCGTTTCGAACTGGTCGATCCCCGTGGTTTTGATGGCTCCGCAGCCTTTGCAGGATCCACACGGCCATATTCATCATGCACACAGCGACGCTGAGCATTGTTAGTAAGTAGCAGAAGCATATTCGAGGAGTGCCTACCTTGCTCTTGCGACATTCCTCACAAGCCTTGGTTCTTCCTTTTTTAGAGGAAGATAGTGGATCATTCGAGAGCGCACTGTCTGAAGCGCTCACCTGAGGCGCGGCACTTGTATCTTCGGATGCTGGGACGGGTTCTGGATTGGACCCATTCAGCAGGACTGCACTCGGTTGTGGTCCGGTATTCGAGAAACTACGAGGTCGAATCTCAGGTGCAGGTCTTGTTGGGGTTTCACTGCCTGATTTATGCCGACATTTGATGCGTCGCTTGCGACAAGTCTCGCAGGCCATTTTCCCGTTCCCCTTGCTGTTGCTGCCACTGCCAGATCTGCTATCTTTTGTCGTAGGTTTCAAGACACTGACTGCAGGAGGAGGCGTCTGTGCTTGTACGTGAGCTTGTGCAGCTTTTCGTAGCGAAGTGCGCTCGCCAGGAAGGCGGAAGACTTCATTTTTCTTGCTCTTCTCGGTCTTTTCGACTTCTATGACACCATCTGAGTAAACCCATTCCGGTGCTGTAACATTGCCAGTCTTCCAAGCACACCATATAGCAAAAAGCTTGATCATTAGCATAGGGTCATTGATCTCCTTCGGTATAGAATTCTTGACCGCGTCAATCTGTTTCTTGGTGATGTCAGGAACCGGCAGGCCAGCATGAATGCGAGCCGTTCGGTAAAGGTATTCTCTGAGAGAAGGCCATCCAGAGACTTCGGCTTTCGGGTAATGTCTGGCATTGTATGCCGGCTCTCTAGGCTCTGCCATGTTTTCCAGGTACCCGATTTCGTGCCAGACAGGGTTCGCACGCAAGAAGACATAGTCGGGGTCGTCACGAAAGTCCTGGACCACCTCGTCCGGAAGCGGATCTTGCTCGAGGTACCTCATCAAGGCATACCACATGACCTTTTGAAAGTATGGATAGCGAAACTTGGCAGCCACCTTGGTTGCTTTCTCAACGTTGAAGATCTTGAGCTGCAATTCGTAGTCGATGCGGGTGAGGAAGTTGCCGCCAATCACCAGACTGTCCTCTGGAGTCCAGACCGAGTGGATCCAGCCTGCCGGAATGAAGGCAGTGTCTCCCTCGTGCAGATCGACTCTTGTGACATTGTTGCCACATAGTTCCCCAAGCCAGGTCTCGTTCTGTGAATCGGAGTTGCACCACTCTTCATATTTCTTAAGGTACTTGTCCTCCGGGGGAATGAAGAAAAATGTCTTGGTACCTTTGAGAATGTGATAGTAGACAGAAGAACCTCCAAAGTCAATGTGGAAGTCGGTGTAGCTGTCGGCCACGGACATTAAGCAATAGAATTGCACTGGTCGTTTCTTGGCCCGCGTCTCAGTATCAGCCTCCCAAACATAGTCCTCAAGGTCAAGCTCTCGGACTACTCTGGGACGTCGGAGCAGTTTACCCAGGGGACTGTGCGAGACTTCCAGACTGATGACATTTTGAATCTCCTTTTCGCCCGGCTTCTCGTAATAATCCGCCCATTTACCAAGAGTCCATTGACCTTTCGTTTCCTGGGTTTTGACATCGATAACGGGCACTGGCTCGTTCGGTCCATACAGTTCGGCGACCTTGCGCACTGTCAGGTCTCTGGGGATGACCATATCGAGCAGATCTTGATCACAGTCGACAATCTCGTCCGCGAGGAGATCGAGTGTATCTGATGATTTCGAGGTCACCAACTCTCCATTGCTGTCGATAGCCACTGGAGATGCATCTTCGTCCGCCGGCACACCTGCAGCAGTCTCATCGGAGGTAGGTTTGACCCCAAACCGCGGATTCCAACAGGCTGGAACCACAAAAGGTCGCTTCATGCCATCAAAACTCTCCATAAACTCCACGGTGAGCAATTCCGGTCTGACGCGAGGATAGTCGTCGGGGAGAAGAGGAATCTTCCCTTCTTTGATCGGTTGGATGTAGTGATGTGTACTCGTCTCTGCAGAGGACTTCACAACACCCTCATTGAGACCCGCATAATCGATAGCAGCCCGTGGACGGGAAGACTTCCGAACATAGGTTGTCTTCCCGTGCGTGGACTCGCACTCCTTGCAGATGAATTTGTCAATGCTCTTTGCCTCGGCTTTTGTGAGACCTGCACACTTGTCATGAAACCACCGCTTGCAGGGATCACAACGAATCCAGTCGATTGCAAGGTCTTCCTCATCTGAGTCCAATTGGAGTTGGTGGCATCCTGCACATATCTCTTCTTGCTTGACCTCGGCCTCAACGCGCTTAGACTTTTTGACTCGTCGGGCAGCCGACTCTGCAGGCTCAGGACCATGTTCTGGCTGTCCGTCGGCTCGGGACTGGCCGCCCAGATGTACTGATGCTGTCGGCTCCTGAGTTGATGCAGCTGCCCCTTGTATGCTCGAGGCATCCACTTCTGCTGTTCCGGCGTCATGGTAGGAAACCACCTGAACCGCCGTCGTAGGTTGTTTCAGACTCTTCTGTGGCGGAGATTGCTTCGACAGCTCTCTGTCCACGATGGTATATAGCTGTTCTGCAGGACGTCCATCCTTGTTCCAAGCTCCTGAGGACCGTCGAGCGGAAGACGGCGAATGGTCAGGCTGATGTAGACTCGCAGGTTGTAGGGACGGCGTCTTAGTCTTGAAATTGACCTCGGTCTTCAACCCAAGCAGAAGTAGAGCGTCCTCGTGGGTGATGTCTGGCGTCGTCTCATGACCACTTGTTCTCGGTCTCTCCCCCTGCGTCGTCCATTCAAGGTTCGGAAGTCGTTCAGATTTTATCCTCTTCGCTGGTGGGCCGCTTGTAAAGTCATCATAATTGTAACGAAGGACATAAGACGTGGAAGGTCGGGTCGCAGCGGATGGGCTTGCTCGGGAGAGAGAATAGGAGCCAGCAAAGACTGTCGGAGGACTTGTTGCAATCGCGGCGGTTGCAAGATCATCGATGGTGGAGCCAGAACGCGTATGGCCTTTTGTTCGAGATCTCCGAGTATCTGAAGGGAACTTGTAACTTTTCTGGGCCCATTCGTGTAAGTCTTGTACCGGCCGCCCTGACTGCGCACCCGCGCCACTAACAATTCTGGCACCAACATGAGCAGCGCCGTCCCGGTCATAGTAAAGATGGTCTGGTTGCAGGCTCAGGCCCGGCCCGTCCGATATTCCTGCATCAGATAGCCCGAGCCCTCTTAGTGAGGCGCCACTGTCGTGTAAGGGTTGCGGTAGATTGGACGGTTCGGGGAGGTTCGAGGGTTCGAAGGTTGGGTCAGGGGAGAGCCGTTCGATGAACTCGACGAGAGGCCGTTCCGGACTGGTGCCTCGAGGTCTTGACGGGTCTTCGGAACGACGCCATGAAGTAGAGGTCGGCATGGTCGCCTCAAAAGACAGTACGGAGAGTGAAGCGCAGGGAGTTGCGAGGGTTGCGGGGTCGGAGTTCAAGCAGTTCGAGCTTTCGTGAACGGCAGTCGGGCGCGTTCACTACATTTGTGGAATAGCATTTATGAGCGGCCGGACGAGGCCTGGCAAGAAATTGGGACAGAAAGAGCGTCGATGTTGGTGGTGAGCGAGGAGTTGACGTCGAGTGTGGTCGGTTCATGCTGGAGGGAAATCACAAGTCGTTACAAGAGAATCGCGCTAAGACCGGTTCTGTTGCCGCAACCCGTGAATATTGCCTGCGCCGTCACTTTTTTCCACCACAGAGTCCTTCACACCTGCTCACCGTCACAGTATCTAGATAACTTCTTCTGTTGTCGCGGCTCTCCTGCTATTGAAGATTTCACCTGCCGAGTGATTGCACAGGTCGGACGACGAGTACCAATTCGGAGTCATTTGCGGTCGGTTCATTCTTGCCCGCTTTCAACACCACGACCATAGGGCGACCTCTCTGCCAGATCCTACTCGAGGTTGGAACAACAAGAAGCTGTTGATATCTCTTATCCCGTTCCAGTCTTTCAACGAACGGCCAGGTCTGCCCGAAATGTCCCGCAGCAATCGACTCGCTCCTGAAGCGAACAGAATCCTCTTTGTGAAGAATCTCGCATATAACCTTGATTCTGAAGCCCTCTATGGTCTATTCTCTCGCTATGGCCCCGTACGTCAAGTGAGAGTGGGAAACACAAATGCGACGAAAGGAACAGCATTCGTGGTATACGAGGATGTGTTGGATGCCAAACAGGCCTGCGACAAGCTGAATGGTTTTAACTTCATGAACCGGTATCTGGTCGTTCTATATCACCAACCGGAGAAGATGAAAGTGGAAAGCAAGGAAGACATCGCTGCAAGACAAGAGAATTTGGAGCGAGTGAAGAATGCGCACGGAATTGAGTGAAGAATGACCCTGGCACACTTTACAAGGACTGGTCTTCGAAAGAGATCAGACGATTTTGTTGTGAAAAACTGGCCGTCCCCAAGCAAGCTGGAAAGTGCTGGTATCATTGATGCCAGGCGACGTTGTAGCAAATGCTCGACTTAGACGCGCCACTGAGGCGCTTGTCGTGAAGCAACTACACAGCGTCGCTGGAAGGATGCCGCCTACGAGTGGAGAGAGATCATGCCGGAACGAAGGGGAATCCGGCGGACACGCTGAGCGTCCATGATTTGGAGATGAGAACAATGGAGGAGTCACGAAAGGAAGACGGAATGTGGTAGAGCTTCGTCTCGCGACCAGCTCTACTTGAGGTTCTGCTTGGGCTACAAGTCTCATACAAGCAGCAAGCGCAGAGAATCAGGACACATGACTCCACAGTGTAGGTGTTGATGGTCCACCCAATACTTCAACGCCTCAATGCAATCAGACATCTTCTCTTCAGGCATCCAACTTCTTATAGACCTTCCATCCCTCTCTTTGCAAACGATGCTCCTTCTCCATATTGTCATCCTCCATCTTCTGCAGATGATCTTGGACCTTCTGCTGCACCTTAGCATCACCCGTCCCGACGATCCGCGCCGCCAGGATAGCCGCATTGGTACTATTGCCAATTCCCACTGTAGCCACGGGCACACCACGGGGCATCTGCACGATGCTCATCAAGCTATCCAAGCCATCAAGACTGCTTGCCTTGACCGGCACACCAATCACCGGCACTGGTGTCTCCGAAGCCATCATGCCAGGCAAATGCGCCGCACCGCCTGCCGCCGCGATGATCGCTTTCAACCCTCTTGAGGCAGCCGCCTTGCCGAAATCCAGCATGTATTGCGGCGTACGGTGAGCGGACGTAATGTGCACTTCATACGGTATTTCGAAGGTATCGAGCATCGCAAGGCCCGCTTTTAGCGTGGCCAAATCGGTATCCGAACCCATCACGACCGCGATCACCGGCCGCGGAGGCGGCGGGGGCCTGGTCTTCGCCAGCTCTTTCGCTGTATTGAGTATTGCCTCCTTGGACGCCGACGAGGTATCTGTTCGATGTGCCCGGACTGCATCTACCATCTGGACAAGTGAGTGTATCTTGTTCTCGCATTCTGACATGCTGAAGCCCGTGACCGTAATGTGGCCCATCTTGCGCCCTGGGCGGCCATCGCCTTTGCCGTACATATGGACATGGGCGCCGGGAACGTCCCGCGCAGCGTCTTCGACAAGGAGGTGCGAGTCCGGTTGCGGTCCACCCAGGATGTTTAGCATGATGGCCGCGCCGACGCTCAGGTCCGTGGCGCCTTCGGGTATCCTGGATGCCTGGTCTGGCAGAATCGCTTTGATGTGGGCCTCGTATTGAGACATACCACATGCTTCGATGGTGTAGTGGCCAGAGTTATGTGGTCGGGGGGCAATTTCGTTGACGACTAGGCTGTCATCGGCGAGGAGGAAGAGTTCGACGCCGAACACGCCGGTGCCTAGGAAGGTGGACACTGCCCGTCGCGCGAGCTGTTGTGCGGCTTCTGTCACTTTCTTGGAGACATCTCTCGGTGGCGCGTAGACAAGTTTGCAGATGCTGTCCTCATGGATGGTCTCAACTGTGGGGTAAGCCAAAGTGCTTGACTCCCATGAATCGATGGATGCTTCTTGCGCGGTCTTGACGACCATGACTGCGAGCTCCATTTTAAAGTGAGCCCATTTTTCCGCGTAAAGGGGTCGGTCTGCCAAAGCTTTCAGTGCAGGTTCAATGTCTGACACTGTCTTGACCGGATAGTTGCCTCGTCCATCATATGCTTCTGTTCTCGATTTGAGCATGAGAGGAAAGCCAATTTGGTCGGCGATGTCCTTGAGGCCTTGAGGATGCGACGTCCCGACTGCTATCGACTTTGCGGTGGGAATGTCAAATTTGGCAAGATGTGATTTCTGCACAAATTTGTCCTGGATAGTCCGGACTGTTTTCCAGCTCGGTTGAATTCTGTACCACTCTGTGCCCTCGACAAAAGGTTGCTCCTCTTCAAGCTCCTCCAAGACCTTGGTGTCAACATGCTCAATCTCGTATGTCAGAACATCGCACCTTGAGGCTAACACTTTGACATCTGAGGCTTTAGCAAAGGAGCCAGTGACATGTTTGTCCGCAGCAACGAGGTTGATCTGTTTTGCTGGGGCACTTTCGCTATCCAGGATAGCGACTTTTATGTTGAGTCTGTGAGCAGCCTCCACCGTCATGCGCCCCAGTTGGCCACCGCCAAGGATGCCCACAGTATAGCTGCTCATGCTGTTGAGCGATATAACTCGGGAAAGGATGAAAAGAGAGGTGAGAGTCCGCTGAAGGTAATGCTTTCAGGGTTGCGGTCTCACTGTGTCACAGACCGTTTGCTTGGAATAAAAAAGCCTTAAACTCTTCAGATATCGAGCTTGAGCCTGTCACACTTCACTTGGCACGAGGAAATGCCGCAATGTATGATCCGGAAGGGTGTACTTTTACAAGGTATCACAGCAGGTCGCTGGATTGCTTTGTCTGGTCCAGACTGTACCTTCTACTGATCATGAGAATTTTTTGGCTCATCGCATTTAGACTACACGCGGAAGCGGGCTCAGCCTTGCGATAGTCAACGACGCCAAGGAGAGTGCGGAGTAATAAGGCTTCAACTCCTGGAGCACGGACAGATTTGGCAGAGTCGTCAACATTGTATGTACGTATTGTACGTGTTTTACATATTGCAGAAATGGAGGACTTCTCACAGTCTCGTGGAGACGACGATTTATTTGAGGACGAAATCATACCCTTTGAAGAAGCTCCGCCTTCCACAAACCAAGTCGCAGTTCAGCTAGAACAAGTCTCGCTTGATCGAGCACTGTCACCCGCGGAGCAACCACCACCACCGGCGCGTCCCTCGGTAAATGTGCAGACAAACCATAAGACCTCAACTTTCCCAGGATTCAGACCAAAACCGACAGGAAGAGGAAGTCATGGAGCCACACGTGGGAGCTCAGAAAGAAAAGGTGGGTTATCAGAATCCAGATGGGCGACCAAGCCAGAGAAACCGCAACCAGCGGCAGTAACGAGCACTCCAGCCGTGGAAGAAACCTTGAGCCGCGAAAACACACAGCCAGAAAAGTCTCTCGAACAAGCAGATACCGCAGAGACGCCAACTCCCACAGATCAAGCGGAGTCCCCTACGGGCGTGCCCAACGCCCCAACAGGTCCTGCCAATGCCGCTGCAAGTGCTCGACCGCCCGCCGTACGCGGCGACAGAACGGCTACAGGCGGTGTACGCAAAGCCAAGCTCACGGAAGAAGAGCTCAATGCCAAACTTGCCGCGGCCAAAGAACGATCACAAAGCGTGGCAGCAGCGCATGCCCGCGCAGAAGCCGACGCCGCAAGTTTCCAGGAACGCGAGCGCATAGCCCAAAAGAAGCGAGAAAAGGACCGAGTAGAGCGAAAAGTCATGGACAATGAGCGGGAGAAGAACCGTCAGCGCAAGATGGCCGTTATGGGTGGACGAGAATGGGACTCTCATAAGAATGAAGAGGATTTCAGACCTGTACAGAATGGCCGTGGCGGCGGTCGGAAATTCCAGAGCGGTGTGACGTCGGACCAGCAGTATCAGGCCGAGCAGGAGGATCTGAAACAGTACGAATGGCATGATGACCGGGGCCGTGGCCGTGGTAAGGGGAGAGGAAGAGGCGGACGAGGTCGTGGAAGAGGAGGGTTTCGTCACGATGGAGATGGTCATACGCAACAGCCAGATGTGTCGGCAGAGACTGATTTCCCTGCCCTGCCCGCCGCCACCAAGCAGGCTGCAGAAACGTCGAACCTCAATCAGAGTAAATGGGCTTCCACGCCGTTATCCGCCGGAGGCGACGGCGACGGAGGTGGCAGTTGGGCGGAGCAAGTTGAATCAAGTGAGGCAGCAGCGAACAAAAACTGATCCAGTTGAGACTTTCTGATTTGGTCTGCATGGTGTTTTATGCTATTGAAGCGTTCAAGCGAATTGGGTTGGACTGTCTGTCGACATATCCTGTATCATTTTTGGTTGGGTTGGGTATCTCTTTTTGGCATATCCATACATGAAAGCGTTGGCGAAGAAAACTGAAAACAATAAAACGCAACCCAGCTATCAATAGTCCAAGCGCACAACGCCATCGCTATGCTGCAAGGGGTCCAAGTTGTGATGAGCCTGATTCTACCACCTGCCTCTGCCTCCTCTTCGCCCATACCCGCCTCCACCTCCTCTGTAACCGCCACCGCCACCGCGTCCACCATAACCTCCGCGGCCACCCCAGCCTCCATCGCCATATCCGCCGTCATCGTAGCCGCGGGGACCAGCCGGGCTACTCTCTTCGTGCCTTTGTGGCGGAGGCCGACCCTTCAACTCTTTCTGTAACTGTTCGTAAGTCCGTCTCATCTGAGCGTAACCCAAATGCATTTTGCCGTAGAAATGATCCGCAAGTCTCCGATCATTGTCCAATCTCGACAAATATGCTCCGCACACGTCGCAGACTTGAAGTTTCTGGTGCCCTGACGGTCCGCTCGTGTCTGAAAGCGCTTTGAGATCCCGCTCGGCTTGCTCTCTGGCTACCTTTGCCGTTCGGACTTTATAGAACTCGGAGCACGCCAGAGATACCGAGCCCATCTCAGCAAGGCAATTGACTTCCAATAGGCCAGTGTTGATCGTCTTTGTCAGATCTGATATCGTTTTCAACAGATTGTTCGTTTGCCTAATTTCGTCCGGTGTCTTCTCCAGACGTCGCTGGGCTTGATCGATCCTCCGGTTGCAGTCGTCAATGTATTTCTGCATATCCCGTACGTAGTCGTATTGGAAGCCATACTTCTCCTTCTCCGCTGTTGCCAGACCATCGTACTCTATTTTCAGGTTCTCGGGATGCGCTTTCGGACAAGGACCCAGGTCTTGCTTCGTGTTTGTAAAAAGGTCGTGCGGACAGGTGCCCACAAGGTATGATCGACAGACAGTCGGTGAGTTGAGGGTCAGGTTTGCGGTTTTCGAGGAGGAGACGCCGGAGAATTGGTCGCCCATCAGCTGCTCGAGCAGCTTGCGCTGTTCCGCCGCCATAATGAAGGAGAGTGTTCTCCAACTCGGGTGCCAACTTCGGTCTATATACTTAGTGCGCCTAGAGGCGGTGGAAATCTAGGCTGTAGACTGGCGCGCGGAGTTTGGCAGAATTAGTACGTTGGTTGTAGCCTCGTGAAAAAGAAGCGAAGGCATTCCACTCCGCAAATGCAAAGCCAGAATAGGCGGAGTGAGCCTCGGCTAAACCGTGGCTAAATCGCCCTCCACGCGAAGTGTCGTCTTCTCATAGAACAACAGTCTCAGTACACTTACTGGCAGCGATTACAATCAACCTCTTTCTTGTAGACCATGGTAGACAGACTGTCCCAATGACGGAGGCATGTCCCGGTCTCTGTTGTTCGTCCTCACGGCCGCCTTGCTCGTCCTGACAGGTGCTGCATCCGACTACTTCGAGCGACTGAGCCTAACACCACTGCCCCTGGGCTCCCTCCTTGCATCCTTCGATTTTCAGAGCAATGAAACTCTGCAAGACTACCAAGCCCAGAACTTCAGATACTTTCCCCGCTCTCTAGGCCAAGCACTGAAGCATGCAAACACAAAAGAACTCCATTTGAGATTTACTTCTGGCAGATGGGATCCGGATACATGGGGAGCGCGTCCGTGGGACGGAACAAAGGAAGGAGGTACTGGGGTTGAATTGTGGGCTTGGATTGAAGCGACTTCAGAAGACGAAGCATTCGAGAAATGGACAACTTTGACACAATCTCTGTCCGGCTTGTTCTGCGCCTCTTTGAACTTCATCGATTCGACCAGGACCACCAGACCTGTCTTGTCATTCGAGTCCTCAGGCACATCAAGGGAACAGACCGCCGATCTACATTTCCTGCACGGTGTCCTTCCAGGAGAAGTAGTTTGCACTGAAAACTTGACACCATTCTTGAAGCTGTTGCCGTGCAAAGGAAAAGCAGGTATCTCAAGTCTCTTGGACGGACACAAAGTGTTCGATGCTTCATGGCAAAGCATGTCTATCGACGTACGGCCTATGTGCGACGCTGGCGTTGCAATGTGTCGCGTGGAAATCAGCCAGACTATAGACGTCGTGCTGGATATTGAACGTTCAAAGCGGCCCAGGGACAATCCAATTCCACGACCAGTGCCGGCCGAACAGCTCGTCTGCGATGAATCCAAGCCTTACCATTCGCAGGATACGTGCTATCCAAAAGACATGACTGATGAGATGGCATGGTCTGTGAGGGACATCTTTGGACGGTCAATCGCTGGGGCTTGTCCCTTGGCTGGAACAGATGCAAAATCTGTCTGTCTGAATGTGCCACATGAGCGCACGGTGATGATAACTCAAGACGCGCAAGAGATCAAATCAGAGGCTGGGCCATTGGAGCATCGGTGCTACCAGCTAACCCCAGCTGCAGGCTTCGACATGGCACTCACGCAGCAGAGTATTAACCGAAACCCAGACCTTGGTCAAGAACTGCTTCGCGCCGAGAGGACCATCACGGGTCATGGCGCAGCTCGCGGTGGTATGCGTACGATTTTCACCAATCCGTCGGCATCCGAATTTGTGGACTTCATATACTTCGAGAGCTTGCCATGGTTTATGCGACCATTCATGCATACTTTGGCGGCACAGACCACACATGGTCAATCTGCCGACGTCAGAGAGATCATCAAAGACATGTACTACCGCCCGGCCATAGATCGAAAGCGCGGAACTCAGATCGAACTGGTCATGTCAATACCTCCGGCCAGCACCGTAATGCTTACCTACGACTTTGAGAAAGCGATACTTCGCTACACGGAATACCCTCCAGACGCCAATCGTGGCTTCAACGTCGCTCCTGCAGTGATCCGAGTCTTGAACGAGGTTGATGCTAATGGGTCGCCGAAAGATGTCTACATCAGGACGACAAGTTTGCTGTTACCACTACCGACACCTGATTTCAGCATGCCATACAACGTCATCATTCTGACAAGCACAGTCATGGCTCTTGCGTTCGGAAGTATCTACAACCTCATGGTTAGACGATTCGTTGGGGTTGATGAGGTTGGTGAGAACAAGCTAAGACGCCTGCTCCAAAACATGTCGGGTTCAGTGGTGGCTTTGAAGGATAGGCTAAAAGGAAAAAGTCAAAAAGTAGAATAATAATAGCATCGATCTCCGCGCTCAACTGTCTGAGGCTCTCGCCATGGTGCCATGTTAGCAAGTTCGATCGCAGTCGATCACGAGCAAAAAGGAAGTGGACTCTGGATGAGGCTCTTTCAACCCCAGAAAGCTTAGTTAGTACCTTATGCACTCCTGCGGCAGCCTCGTCGCCTAATCCAGGCTAGGTCAGCCTCGTCGATCATCCGCCTGTCTATCTCCGGATCTCGCAAATATCAATACATGACGAATCGAGCACTTCTTCTCCAGCGCACAATGACGTCGAGATTATGTACGACTTCTCTCGAATGCCTCGCACCAGGTATATCGGCGAATTTGCCGGGAGCCGACCCTCACGTTGATGTTTGCGGCTGAAAGCATGCCCTCTGACAAATGTGCGAACATCCTCTCCACAGCTGTACCTCATAGATCATGGTACGGCACATCCTTCATGACGCGTCCACATCATGACGATGGTTTTCCCATCCTTGATAAAAAGGTAGGTCGTCGATATGCCACATCTAAGCTCAGCCTTGGTCGTCGTGACTCCTGATCATTACCTTTCTCTGAATCGCTCAACATGCGTGTCGCTATTTTCTTTGCGGCCCTGCTAGGCCTAGTCTATGCTCAAAATGCCAGCCTTACCCAAGACAACACAATAGCAACAGAGGGCCTCGTGACGAACACATCTCGATTCAACACGTTCCTCCGCGTTGACAATGGCACATACGGCCCAACAATCGAGGAGGTCCACTACTTCTACAACTACTGGCCCATCGGAATCGCCGTCTCCAGCACCTCCCGAATCTTCATCTGCTACACCCGTGGCGAGTATGACTACACAGTCAGCGAGGTCGTCAACATGACAGCGGAAGCCGCATACCCGTCCGCGGGGCTCAATCTTCCTGTCGACGCCCTCAACACCACCTTCAACGGCATCTCATTCGGCAGCGCCAACTCGACGGGCTTAATCTCCGTTCAAGCTCTATACATCACGCCCGCGACATCATCACGACCCGAAACGCTCTGGCTTCTCGACACAGGCAGACCGACGGTCCAAACCTCCACAGGAAGCTACAGCATGCCCTACGCACAACCTGGCGGCCCCAAAGTCGTAGGCGTCAACCTGTCCAACAACACAGTCTACGTAACATACACGTTCCCATCAACAGTGCACTACCCCGACTCCTACATGAACGACATCCGATTCGACCTTCGCGCCGGCCGCAACGTCGCATACATCGTAGACTCCAGCAACGAAGGCCGCAACGGCTTCATCATGCTGAACCTCACGGACGGATCCTCATGGCGACGTTTGACCCAACACCCGTCCGTCCTACGCGTCTACAACAACCTCCCCAGCTACCAAGGCCACCCTTTCTACTACCGCAACCCAGGCATGCCAATTGGCCATCAACAAGAAGGTCTTGACGGCATCCAAATCACCCCGGACGGCAACTACATCTACTACTCCCCCCTGACCAGTCAGGACCTCTACCGCGTCCCCACGGCGAATTTACTCGCACTGGACTCCGACCCGCTTGCCGAACAAGCCGCCTCCAACAACGTAAGCTGGCTGGGCCAGCGCGGCGGCGAGGCCAACGGTTTCGAAGGAGACACCAACGGCTTGATCTACATGCTCATGCCCACGCACAACGCCATATACTACTACGACCCTGCAGACCTGCAAGTCCACGGCTTCGTGCGTGACCCGCGCATCTTGTGGCCCGACAGCGCAAGTATCGGCGCCGACGGCTATTTCTATATGAACATCAATCAATTGCCGTACCAGGATGAATGGAACAATGGGATCGACTTACGCCAAAAGCCTGGGGCGATTCTGAGGGCGAAATTGAATAACAACGGGACTAAAATCAACACGTTATACGACTGAGATAGACATTGGAATACGAAAGTCCATTAAACAATTGCAAGTCCATTTGCAGTGTTGAAGCCAGTGTATGCTGTAGATGTTGATCTAGAGCCCTGGTGATGCTGCAACATGAATGTCTATGACTGACCGCAAAACATGTGGTATCAATTCCATCATACTAGGGATACAATAGAGACCCATAAAGCCCGGATTGCGCCTGACGGATCTCAGGTCCATGCTTGCCCTCAACCAGCTCGTGAAGCCGAGCCCAATAGCGCCACGCTGCCAACAAGCCCTCATCAAATCATACAAGTGTGAAATGAAAGGTGTCTAAACCATAGAAAGCCCGGCCACAATCGCCTCGAATACCACCGCGTCTTCTCGAAGACAGAAGACAGTGCCGACACCGCCCCTTTCAACACTTTCTCCGGTCCTTTCAAGCAGGTACCTCTTCGTCTTCTTCTTCATGTTCTCTCTTTACTCCACGTTTCTTTTGCTCCCGCTCACTCTTTTCTATCAGATCGATCAAATCGACAATCAAGTCCCTCAAGACTCGGTTCAAGCCCAGATTGTTGAAGAGAGCATACTTATGATTGCCAAACAGTTTCTCATTAAGCTTCACGCCATCCTTCTCGAAAGCTTGGCCGTACCGGTTCGCATATCTTGCCAGATTCCGCATGATCATGACACTCATCCAGGGAATGCCACAAGGATGAGCGGTCTGGTCGATAGCCGTATAATGATAAGCATGCTTCATCTGCACTGGTTCGGTCTCTTTCACGTCATGGGCCAATTCTTGTATGAGCTTGGTCATGGCCTCTGCTGACTCGGGAATATGCATACAGAGATGTCTTGCGAATTCACGGACACTAGTAAACTGCGTTCGGTGTTTGCATTGCGTCCATCGACAGGGCCAGTTGTTAAGGCCTTTCTCTGGAATGCGGCCGCCGGTCGTGCTGGTTCCGACATGGTTTCCTATAACGTGGCTGAACAGCTTTTCGCGGCTGGTGATCCACTCGCTACAGATGTGTTGCTGAGCGAGACGGGCCGCGGGGTTCATCACGTCGGGCCGAGCGATCTCCCACAAACACTTGTATAGAGGCCGACCCTGGAGGTCAACTAAGACTCTGCGTGCTTTGATACCCTTGATAATGAATCTCGGCTGGGGACCGTTGATGACTTGCGCCTGCGCCGTGGTGAATGTGTGCGAGACGTTCTTAATGAAATCAGCAGCAGGTATGGGATTGTTCTGCAAGAATTTCGACTGATAGGCTTGCCAGATGGCAATTTGTGTGATGTCGTCGTCGCGTGATTCCTCGAAGCAGCACCGTAGCCACCTTGAAGAGCGGTCGGGTTCGGAATATTGTAGGAGCTGAGCATGAAGCTCGGGTGGGATGTTGGGGATTGAGGTAGGGCTGGCTGTCATTTTTGTGGCTTGCCTCGCTATGATTGATTCTTCGCGGGTCAGCGACCGATGTAAGAGAAGAACAGTTAGTCGACCGGTCATCTTGGGAAGAAGGGGAGAGTTCTTCGTGAGCAGCTCCGTGTTGTTTTCCGGTATGGCTGTGTATTCGTACAGGAAGTCTAAGGTGGCTTCGCGAAGTTCGTCGTCAGAATCGAGTAGAACAAAGGAAAACAATCGTTCGATGCTGGTCACTGGTATGTCTGTCAATCGATGGACTTCCGGTGTGTCGATGCCGATTCTGTTTATGGAACGGATTGCAGAGATCAGCATACCTCGGTCGGCAGACTCGAGGTACGGGATCAGAGAAAGATACAGAGAATCCTTGGGGGCCAGTGCCCAGTATCGTGTAACGTGCTCCAATATTTCCATGGCCGACTGTTTGAATTCAGCGAGTCGAGGTTGATCTGGTAGAGTGATTGCAATGGTGAGGATGTCCTTGAAAAGTGGAAACTTGGCCAGGAAAACAGCGTTTTCGTCCAGCGTGACCATGTTGCGCAGGACCAGAGCAGTCTCTTTCAGTCTCTCAAGTCTTTGTGAGAAAACAGCATCCTCCAAATCTTCCTCCGTTACATTGGTCGAGAAGACCTGGATGCGGTCCAGCAGATTTGTGGTACCGAAAGCGGCGTTCAGAGTATTGACAGGAGATGCCTCGTCGTCTTCATCGTAGGTGATTTCCCATTTCACACCATAGATGAGCTCTGTGATTTCGAGTGCTTTCTCAAGCAGGGATTCGGCAAGAAAGGGGAAACCTTCGAACTTGTATTTGTCTCCGCGCTCATGGGATACTTTGACCAAATGATGCAAGGCAAACTCCTGTTCTTCGGCAATGCCGGATCGAAGGCCATAGAGACACCGCTGGTAGATATTTGGGCCATTTAGACCAGACGGGACGCACTGTCTCAAGTGTTGTTCTTCTGGAGGCGGCTTAGGCAGTGACTGCAGCTTTTCCCGGGCTTTGAGGGCATGATAAGTGGGGTCACTGCCGGGTGTCTTGACCTGCTGCAGGGTCAAAGCGACAGGTGGACGTGGTTGATAGTGTTGATACCAATCAAAAGTCGGGTTGTGAGGATCACTCGAAGCGTTCAGATACGGTTGCTGTTGTGGAATTGGGGGGGCAGAAGGTGAATCCGTAGCTCGAACATTTCGTGGGCGAGTAAGTGGAACATCTGGCTGATACATCTGCGTGCGTTTGGGGTCTGTTCTCAATTGGCCTACAATCTTGAGTTAGCATGCGAACATTGTCGAAGCGCTAGGCGGGAAAAGGGACTCGATTGAACATACGCGACGGATATCTGCCTCCACTTCCTGGCTCTTCAAGTTCAGTCTTCTCCTGGGTTGGAGTGGCCTGTTCCTCATCTGCAGATTCAACGACGCCTTCGGCTGATGGGAGCTCAATCGTCTGAGCATTGGAATGGGGATAGTTCTCAAGCGTCCGCGACCGGAGATTTCCTCCTTTTGCACTTGTGTCTTCCAGAATCTCTCTTGGAGGCGGCTCCTCTCCCCAGTATCTCGCGATCTCGTATGCCCTGTTTGTGGAATCTGATATCAGTCACGAGGTTCGATGCGACACATAAGATAGACCAAAATTGACTCACGCGAGGTTCTTGTAATAGACAGTTTTCAGCTGGAATGTCATGACGGCTTCATGAGTTTTGCCAAATCCGAATTCTTTGACCAGAGTTCTCCATTGCATACGTTCGCCGGACAGGATATCGTAACCTCCTCTAGATAGTACCAACTTGTACAGCTTGTGAAGAGAGATCGGTCGGCCGCTGACTTTGCCTTCGCGGTCAAAGTTAGTCCCGCGTTGTTCATGGAAGGCGGCAAGATCTCTGAGGAACTCCTCCTCGTCCTCGATGATGGTTTGAGGAGGAGGTGCCATTGTTTTTCTGGATGCGGCGCAGATCTATTTGCGACTCCGATAAATTTGAGGGTTCAACGCGGCACACTTGTAGGACGACTCGGAGTCATTTCGTGGATGGGTGCGATTGCGGAACTCATGCAGGCGCAAGTAAGTTGCGAAGTCTCAAGATCGGTCGAAGAGGTGTAAAGAAGTAGAATGAATCAATTGCCAATTCGACGAACAAGACAAGTCTGCGCCAGTGAGGGTGAAGTTCGCATCCTGTCACTTTTTGGTAGTCGCAACCCTCCTTCACTGCGCGCTGCGGCTGGGCCCGTGCGCGGATCGCGCTTGCCGGCAGACTTTCCTATTACGCAGAGCATATCAGATCTATCAAGATTCAAGAACCTGCATCTGCCCTTCTACCTTCTTCCTCCTCTTCCCACTTACTACTTCCAATTCGAATCCAAGATTATCTTGTACTCCAACCTTATGATTAGGCTCAATCACTCTTTGCTTGACGGTTTTCATGCTCAGATCTATGCTTTGCCCAGTTTGTCGCTTTCTTCTGTGTCGTAGATATTGACTATGCCTTCTCAAGGTTCTCAGAAAATTTCCCCTTCTCCTTTGTGTCTGCCGCTGTCCAAATTTTCCTATGCTACTGTTTCCAATGAAAGCATCGCTCCTATCCCATGGCTTCACATCTCAGGCAAGAATCGTTTGTTTGCTGTTTTCGAAACAAGCCCTACTCAGCTGGAAGATGGCCGGATTGAGGAGAGACAAAAATTCAAGGTCTTGCAGGATCCTGAAGTCATGGTACTTGTGCCTCAAGAACTCAATGGTCTTCTCTCCCTTTTTTTGAAAACTCACCTGTCCACCAGGAAGAACTCGATCTCAACGCTTTAGCAGTTGAAGCCCACCGTGCGATGGCTCAACCAACCAACCTGATGAATGCTCAAGTTCCCGATGTCACAGTCATTGTCAAAGTTCCAGTTATCGCCATGAAATATCCCATGAACAACGGACAGGTGATGTGAGCGAAGCATCAAGCCTTCATTGCTTACTAAGACGCAGATACGACGCTTCCAGATCCGATTCCCATCCAACGAAGACTACTACGAAGCAATGAAAATGCTGTCTCGTGCCAATGTCCCTACTGTTGAAGCCGGCTCCTTCCCTGTGCAAAGACCGCAATTTGTGCCGCAGATAGCTCCCCCGGCCTTGTTGACGCCCAATGATTCAGCATCCCAGATAGGGTCGCAGCAGGAAGATCCGAAAACGCGTGATCAAGCCGGCGCGTTTCCTCAGGTCGCTTCCACGACCCGGCATCTTCAGTCTGCCGTCCCAGCTCGACCCGCGATGGGTCCTCCTGCATCCCGACCCTCGACAATGGATGCAATGCAATACCGGCCACTTAAAGAATCGTCAACGTTCGGGCTACCTCAAACACGGCAAAATCTCGCACCACGTTCAAACGTCTCACTAAGTACTGCTACGACTCTCGTCAACAGCAAAGTTAATTTCACCGTGCAGGACAATTCTGCCGCCCATCATGCCTATGGCAATGCTATGAACATGCAACACGAGCTCGGCCGTCCAGGAACAAACACGATAAAGCATCCAACCACAAATCCAGTCGATATGCAAGACGATATGCAAGACCCAGGGCTTGGGTTGCCGCCAAAGAGAACGTTGCCGTTCCGCAGGTCAGACTCCACAGCAGACGAGTATCTCGCTTCTGCAGTAGCCACTGAAGCCACCAGCATCAACGAAAAGAATGAACTGGGGCATCTGCCTGCAGCCTCAGAGAAGCAAGAAGTCATTGTGGACCCGGTGTGCTCACCACAGGCCAAGGGCAAACGAAAACGAGCTCCCGCGAAGACATCGACCGCCAAGAAACCACGAGCCACAAATACACGCAAGAAAGCTGGAAACAAGGCTGCAGAAGACAACCAGCCGATCCCAACAGTTGAGGATCTGCTCAAACAGCCTGACCGGCCTCTTTTCCAGCGAATGGTGCACCAAAACGCGGAGACCAAGCACCTAGAAATATCCGACTCGGAGCCACGTTCAACCAGGCGGGCAGGTGGCTCCATGGGAAGTCCATCTCTCGGAGCACCCAGCAGACGCGTGACAAGGTCAGCATCTCGAGCACTAGTCCCCATCCAGGATCAGAGCATTGTCCAGAATGGCACAGACACAGACCGCACCAAGGGATTCCCCTGCACACCTGCCGACCAGATGATCGTGCCAGTGATGCCAGGCTCGCCTGAAGCCCAGCACAGCTGCAATGCTCCATCGCCACAAGATCGCCCACCAAGATCCGGACAAGATATTCCGCAATCGTCGTTTGCATGTGCCGATCTGAAACCGATGGCCGAACAACCGGATGTGCCTATTCATCAAGTCATGCCCGCCCCTGATGGTCTACACGCCGATGCTGACATTGCCGGTGAATTTCAGAGGCTTCAAGCTTGGGCAAATCAACCGGACGGCGTCCGCAGTGCCGCTCTGAAATCATACTTCTGCCGCTTGATCATGGATGAGAGCTTCGGTCGTGTCTGCAAGTCCTTGGACTCGTGGTGGGAGACGGAGATCATGAAGGGCAAGATCGAAAGGCGGCATTGATCACAGTGAGCCAGTCGATACGGGCTTCAGCACGCAGGAGGTTCAGGTGTATTCAATGCGAGGAAGGGACACCTGCGCGGTCGAAAGAATGTGGAATTGTGCTGCTACAGGATGTCTCGGGCACACTAGAACTGGGCTGTTATGACAGAGGTCCCCGACTCTATGCCGTACGCTTGACGAAGAATGAAACCGCACACAACTGTAGATGACAAGCGATCTAATTCGATTGTTGCTCGTCGCAAGTACACAATGTCTTAAACCTAGACAAAGACATCTAGTCCAATGCTTGCTCGATGACACTGCTGTTGCTAACCATACATGTGTTTTAGAGCCAGCACCTGTGGTAGGCTCAAAGCCGTTCGCTGACTGCCCAGTCAAGTAGGACATGCAAGATCGCTGTGCTAGCGTCGCCCAGTCCACAAGAGCCTGATCCCGAGAACATTTCCACTCAAGCTGAAATCACCGTACAATAAGCTTGGACATAACCAGCAGACCAGAAAAAGAAAGAAAGCGCACCAAAATTCTGTTGAAGGTAGGTTTCAACTGTTGGCCTGGAAAAAGAAAGCTTGCTGAAGCGAGAGATCAACAATCGTGAATAGTGTGTGAATCTTTGTTATTTTGTTCCCTCGGACCTGGTCTCTGAAGCCATGGCCTTACTGAGGGAAGCCTAGGAAGTATCTGGGTAGTAGAAAGGTATGTGTCTGACACATGTTCTGGTCTGAATCGTCGCCTGGGACGAAACGCTCTGCGTTCAAGAAGGCGCCAATGCTCAGTCGTCTAAAATGGAGCAGGACTGACTTCAACAAAACAAGATGACCACCAAAAGTCATGCCAATGCTGATATGACAAGATGATGCAGGAGAAGAAAAGCCTCGGGATAGCACAAGAAGTTTCAAGAATCCAGACTCGCCATTAGGTGCATCAATGTCAATCCGATGCGCCGAGAGTACAATATGATTCAGCTCCCAACGCCGTGCTAAAACGCAAGTCAATGGCTGAAAGAAGGAAAAAGCCGCTAATAAGAGTGATTCCGGTAATTCGCGCTCCGGAGGGTATTGAGGCCTGGTCGTGATCCTGCGACAGGGGTGTATTCAAGACCCATGTCTATGTCCATGTCACTGTCGAGCAGGCTTCGACCCATGGCAGTTGGACTGGAATCGACAGATGGAGAATGTTGGCCAAACGCAAATGTCTGAGCTCGAATGAGTTTGGATCGTTGTTTCACTTTTCCGAGACCACGTTCGCAGTCGAGAACATGCTCTTTGGCATCCATCTCGACATAATTCTGTGGAAAGCATCGTGATCGATAATCCTTGAAGAATGTGCTATAGCCACCATCTAGAATATAGACCTCTGGGTATGTTAGAGCAGGGTAGCGCTCGGCGTTAACAGTTCGATCTCTGTTGCGGATGAACTTCGCCATAAGAGGTGCGCGATGAGCAGAATACTCGCAATGGAATATTAATAATGCCTTGGTAGTCGGCTCGATGTCAAAAAGTTGTGAAGATAATTGCTCTTTGTCGTTGAAGTTCACGGCACCGTCGATATGGCCGCCATTAAACTCGTACTCGAACCGACAGTCAATCACGACCAGCTTCTCGTAGCATGAGTTGAACCTCCCGTCAAGAACCTCGATCATGGTCTCTTTTGTGATGCGTGGAAGGGCACCCGCCTCACTTTGGGTGAAGTGAGGGAGTTGAGGAACGTGCGGTCCTTCGACGTCCATGATAGACGGCAACAAGGGTGGAGGCGGGCTCATCCGTTCCTTCTCCCGTTTCATAACGTCCTCAGGATGCTCAAACATGCTCAAGGATCGACGAAATTGTTTCCTCGGCCTCGGTCCTGGATTTGATCCTTTTCGTGCATGGCCCGCCATTGGTGACCCATTGCGGGAGTTCCCAGTACATAAGCCGAAGCGAGGTCGTGGAGCAACAAAGGCCGGAGAGGCGGCGAGAACAGGAGCCTGCTTTTCCTGCACTGGAGACTCGGCGAAGATCTCTGACAGGGATAAAGAGGAGGAGTTTGCTGGCTTATTGCAGCAATAGTCCATAAACTTGAACTGCGGAGCTTGACTTTCTGGTGCTGGTGCTGGTGCCGGTGCCGGTGCAGGTCGTTGAGGCAAAGTGCCAGTACTATAACCCTTTGTTCTGACCAGAGACGGTCGCAGCGGTCCTGATCTTCTTCGTTCCGAAGGGACGTTGAGTTGCATGGTCTCGAATTGAGGAATCATCGGTGGAGGAGAAGGTACGGACAAGGCCGGCGACTCATGAGGCGTGGATTCAGGGGTTGGGGACTGCAATTGAATCTCGACTGCACAAAACGGTGCCTTGTGTGGTAGAGGTGAGACGTCAATGTCCATAGATTCTTGAGTCCCAGGCGACGACGATGGGATTGGAGGTGTGGTGAGGGTCACTAAGTTAGGTGTTAGTGGAAAGAGCGACTCCGGACCTTGAAGTCCGCTCACCATGACCATTCTGCTGAGCCGCGAACATGCTGTTAGGGAACAGAGCCCTTCGAGGAGTGGGCAGCTGAGGACTAGACGCCGGTTAGTACTCCATGCAACTTCATATGCTAGATTATGTGATGGTACCTCTGATCGATATGGAAATTCTGAGAGAGGTCGGCAGCAAGGCTAGCCGTAGGTGAAGACCCTCGAACAGGTTTGAGGTTGAAGTAGTCTGTCCTTGACTTCTTCATTGATAGATCCTTGAAGTTGAAGTTGTTACCAACAGCGAAGGAGGCATATGATGTTGGTCCATCTGGTCTGAAGCCACAATGGCCCATGAATGCCGGAGGCTGCATGGCCGCCAACGGCGAAGAAGCCTCGATCATATTCATGTTGTCCGAATGAGGTATGGATCAAGGTATCCCCCTCTTATGCATTCACCAGAAGCAGCCCTGCGATTGCTTGTCTTGCGTACAGAACCGAAAGGACATGCACGTTTGGATTTCGTCCAGGAAGATCGTTCCACTAGTCAGGACGAGAATCTTGGTGTAAAGGCCAAACCCCGGGTAGCCAGGTCGGTCCGTGTCGACGGAAGGATGTTGGAAGGGTGGTCGAGGAGGATCTCAAGCAGACATGGTCCTCTGCAGCAGGTACATGAGCACTGAGGTGTTGGATCGTGCTGCTAGCGATGTGAAGACTGCGAGGAAGGCAATGAGGAGAAAGTCGGTGGTTATGAGACTGGCCAACTGGGCTCAGACGACTTTTCTCCTCGCTGCTTCTGGCAACGGTGTGGAATCCTCGGAAAGAAGCCTTGACCTGCAGCTCAGTGGGCTTGAGGGGGAAGGGAGAGGATGGATAAGAGTTTTAAGACTGGACTGCAGGTGGAAGTCCCAGTTGTTGCTGGGCAGCATTGACCTTGGAGTTGAGCGAGTACGATGGAGATGCAATGCGGGCCTTGGCCTCTTTTGGGCGGGTGGACGCCCGAACCTGAAATCCAGAAGAACCACCACCTCCAAAGAATGGGGCCGGCCATCAACTGACAGCGACGGCTTTCCAGTTCCAGTCTCAGGTTCAGTCTTACGGTAACGGCTCTAACTACAATCTTGACACCTTGATCTCGATGATCGCTACACAGAACACACAAAGGAAGAACTCAAAAGAGAAGCCAGGCGCATATTACTCGTAGCTGTACGTTTAAGCCTCGAGGTGCCTATAACTTACCACCCATTCATCGCCTGCAGGGCTTACAGGTATCCGGTACAGAAACTCTCAAGCCCAGCAAGCCACCCCACAGCCTAAAAAGTTGACAATTGTGGCCGTCGACTAGTTAAGCTAAGCTGCGATTAAGCTCAGCTGGAGTCCTGACACTGTCGGGAATTCCTCTTTTCTCTCCACCCGACCAGCACCTGCGACACAGAAACTACAGGCAACCCGACCTTGGTTTACGAACCACGAGTAACGCTAACACCATACCATCACCGCTATCTTCCAAGTTTCGTTTCATCCAGGAACCATTCGGACCAGCTGAACCGATACTCTTGTTGTCCACTTATGTCATTGAACCTTTTTACCTTGATCTCATCTTGCTCATCCATTGATCCACAGGCACAGACCGCGGCCTCCTCTAACGACTGTAGATCTCGATCGAAATTCCTTTGCTCATCTATTCAAGCGGCTCGACGAAAGGTCTGAAATCTGGCCGCAGCCTCGTCACGTCGTCTATCGCCTTCACGTCAAAGTGGGGTTCCGCTAGAGCCATCCTCAGGTGCAAGACTTCTGACATGAACTTACGCCATGACACGAGGTTGCCCTGTGCGATAACCGACTTAGGTCTGCCTATCATGAGCCTTGGAGAATCCATCCTTCTCTCCATGCCATCATACCGCTGTCAAATGACTCTATTCGGCAATCATAATACAGGTCGTAACCGCTGCGAAGTAATGGGCGCGTGCGGAAATCACGTTGTCGCAACAGATGAGAAGGAATGCCTCAAAGCACGGAGCAATACGAGTTATTGGGATCTAGATTTACCTTTGGATCTATTTCTGGTCTTCCAGGCATACCCTTGACAGCTGCCGAACTTTGCAATCATATTGAAGAATGCACACGGCACAGTCATGAAGCATTTCAAGGGAGAAGTGCCCAGTGAAGGATATGGAGTACAGCAGTAAGGTTGCCAACCACCTTGTCGCCACCCCCACCTTGTCGCCAGTACTTATAACTTTACTACGTATATTTTAGTACTCGATAACTATCTTAGTACTAGGTATTTTAAAATAATATTTTTAGAGTAGATAGTTAAATATATATATAATAGTACTATCTAATAAAATTAAAAATATTACTATTAGTACTCTTAAGAATACGACTTATATATTATTTTCGAAAGAAATTTAAAATCTTATTTTATTAAGTATTTCTTTATTATTAATTAAGAGATATATATTTTTTAATTTATAATAGTTATTATTAGCTATTTTTTACTATATTTAAATACTAAACTTTAATTATATTTTATTAAATAAGTTAAAAAGCTTTAAATAATTTTAATAATTTATTTTTAAGAAATTTAGATTTTTTAAATTTACTATAACTTTTTAAGTACTTAATATTTTTATAAAATTCTTTCTTATATATAAATACATTTATATATATTCATTATAACTTTAATAATATTTTAAAAAAGTATAATATTAAGTATATTATATAAAATATAAGTTTAAAATTTTCGAAAATTTTAAAGACTATTTTAAACTAATTTATTTATAAAATTTATTAATATTTTTAATATTTTTAATCTATATATATATAATTTAGTAATTATTCTTATAGTAAATAAAAGAAAAAATTAAAAAAATCTATTATTTTTATATAAAATTAAGAAAAGAAAATATTAAGTTAAATTACTTTTTTATTTTAAGTTATAAATATTTAATAAAATATTAAATTAAAAATATAATAAAAGCTTAATATAATATTACTAAAATACTATAAAAATTTAAAAAAATAATCTAAATATCTTAAGTAATTAAAAAGTTATAGTAAATATCGTAAATTTCGTCGAAATTTTAAGATTTTCGATTTTCTTAGTAAAATCGACTAGCTAATTTTCATTCTATTCGTTTACTTCGAGATTCTAAAATAATTATAATATTATCTTATAGACTATAAATTCTATTAATTTACTATTAGTCACTTAAATTTCGAGTTAAATAGCTTAATTAGATATTGAGTTATAAGTCTTAGAAACTAAGGTGTTTTGGTGTAAAAGGGTGGCGATAAGGTGGGGGTGGCGACAAGGTGGTTCGCAACCTTAGGGCTTTGTTTTCGGGCAAAAGATGGCGACATTCTTCGAGCTCATCAACCTCGGTCAGCCAGAGGCTTGTCCGATTGAGTATGGCCTCAGGTCCCAAAGCGCTTTATCCTCTCGCTTGTGGCCTGTTAGTGGACGGAGACCCCGGGCATCTTGAACCTCGTTGGGCCATTGGCAAGGTTGTGGTCCATTGGACTCCCCAAATTTGGCACATGGTAAACCCTGTTCCCTGTTGCCGTGTTGGCCAACAAGCAGCACTCTGGAAACTCATCGCGCACTGTCACCTGCATCGCCATTCTTTTGGCAAGGCAAACGGGTCTTATCGGTACCTGTTTCACTAGCCTTGATTGCCTTCGGTTAAGGCGTTCATCCATACAGCCGATTCCCCCACGATGTCGACTGAGAACGACCCGAACTGTTGGTCACCTGCTTGGTCGTCGCGAGGATGTTGCTCACATCTTTACTTTCTACGTCATGCGATCAAGACTAAACTTTCCAGTTCCCTGTTTTCTATATCAACACGTGAAGAATACCGCGTCGGATCTGGATCGCGATGAAAACACCAAAACAATGGTGGCCGACCTCGCGTAATGGTGTTGCAACGATGCTGACTAGGGCTGATGAGAAAGAGGGGTAGGTCGGCAGCTGTGCACGCTTCAGCTCATTCACAGGCTCGTTTCCCCGCCTACTGAGACAGATGGCCCCCCGGGGGCGCTCCGGTGCGAGCGTGATCGCTCATCAATCATGTTCGGTTCCGCTCTCGAAAGACGCGTCTTGGATATTTCCAACGTCATCATTCAAGCTACCTACCACCTTGGGTTCGGTATCACACAGGTTTACTGTTCCCTGTAGCCAGGACCATATCACTGCTTGTCACACGCTATGGTCTGCGAACACATTACGCTCAAGTCAATGTGGCAGAAACATCTCGGTCGAAGCCGTGCACGGCCGTGTTGGTTCACACGCTGGAGGACGTGTCGCCAAGTCCAAATGTCAACAATCCTCAACACGCTACAGTCGCCAAAGCACGTGAGTCGGTATTTGGCAATCACCAATCCCTGTACGGAGTATCGTTTTCGTAACGACCTCATAGCAAAAGCACGGCTCAACCGTTTCTGTAAGTTTACACAATGTCATTCTGGTGGTCTGCCAGGAAGTCTGTGTGCGCCGCGACGTCCATCAAACCCATGTTTTTCAGCCAGTATGCCCGGCAGCAGCGCACTGATTACAACCTCGTTTTCTGCTGCATCCGGAGTATGAAAGCTCCTCCTTTGACACTCGATAGTGCGCAATCTGATGGGTATAGCTTTACAGCTTGTCTTTGCCACAGGCGTCACTCCCGAAGCAGGCAAGACCCTGCATATTGATGGCTCTCCGCTTTCCAACTTGTTCAACAAAAGTGCCGCCGAGTACGATTACTAGATCAAAGTGGACAGCAGCAAGAAACCACAGTCTTAGGCTCATAGCAGCATGAGGAGCTCTCCTAAGCCCCAGCTGTCTCCCCTGTCGATCAAAGTTGTCACAAGAAAAATTGACAAGACCCTTGCATCCCGATTGTGGAAGGATCTATGAGTTCTAGAACTCTTCCATACTCGATCAGTCATCCCTCTTTGCTGAAGGAGCTCATTCCGGTAATTTGGGATGTACTATAACATGTCACAGCGAGGCTTGGTCGCTGAAATAGCGGCTATTCTCCAGAGACGATGTGCTCGCCTCTTCATCTTGTGCACCAATTTCTTGCCTGAGATGCGCACGTGGAGACCAGAACGGATAACACCTTTAGCACCGGTGGTCAAAGTCGACACGAAACCCCTGGATCTTCAGGGAGGCTTGGTGCCATCGGCATGATCCCTACAGACTCATGAGTCGTGGCGATAGTGATTTCGACTCAGTGTCGGTTTGCGTCAACGGTGGAAATTCTGTTGTTTATACTAATTTCAGTTCTCTCGTGATTGCCATCGGGATGACGTAGCGCGTCGTTCTGATGTTCACGAATACCCCAGATCGTCGGGGTCATGGTCAAGGTTCGCTGTCGACACCGAGATCAACGATTTTTGATTATGCTTTACGTCTGGTGACGACGCTGTGTTGACCCGAGGGCCTGGATCGCGAGACGACAACAATACTTTCCGCTCGAAAATCAGGCTTGTAAAGTATCGCGTGTCATCCAATGTCACTGCTTTGGGTACGTGCGCCTCATCGACGATGACCATGTCGGGTGAATAAACTTGTGATGCATACATTCTTCTCGTGGTGACAGTGCTCGCTGATGATGACGGCGTTGCAGTTTTGGCATCCCTGGTATTGACGTTGAGGTCATATCTGAGGCTTTCATATCCTGGTCTCTTTCTATATTTCTATACCCGCATGACGTTGAGCCTTTTGGTCATACTCACATGTCTGGCAGCTTCGCAATCACTCCTCAAAGTACCCCTCAAACAACCACTTCAGTTTCTTGACAGCCTCGGGACTTCGTCCGACGGGATACGTGCTGATGCCGAACTCTCGTCCACCAGCAAGATGTTTCGCCTGCACTAGCTCCGAGTGTTCTTCCTTGGACAGCTCGTCGAGTACAGAGCCAATGAATCGTCGTGCGTTTAGGGCGTTGGCGCGCATATGACCCATGACCATCTCGACCGAGACGTCACCGGAGTCGTGCCAGCACTGTAAGTGAAAGAGGTCAGCAAACATCCAGCAAAATGTAACATGTGCGAGTTCGTGGACCGTCAACATCACACCCCTTGGAAGGTTTCCGAGAACGGTCGTCGGGTGTATCAGGTCTTACTTACATCGTAATCCGTGCTCATTAGAATGACTTGATATGCGATCTCTGCTTCGGCGGCCAGTTTCGCCTCGGGTAAAGTCGACATGTTGATGACGGTGCCGCCCCAACTGCGGTACATATTGGACTCTGCTCGGGTACTGAATTGCGGACCCTCTTTAGGGATGTTAGCAGTGCTCACCATCCCAGCAGTAGTCGATACACTCGCCGCGTGAGTGAGAAGAGGAAGGACATACCCATAACGATCACAGTGCCTTTATCATGCAGCACTACCCCCTCGCCCTCAAGACTGTGGCCACACTTCCTCACGACATCGCCCACGCGATTATCAAACGGATCCGCAAACGGCATGTGCAGAACGAACCCGCCTTCAAAGAAGGTGAATGGTCTAATACCCTTCGTCCGGTCAATCACTTGATCCGGAACCACAAAGTCGCGCGGCTTGACTTCCTCCGCCAAAGACCCAGCGGCGCTGAACGCAATGATACACCTGACTCCCAATTTTCGAAGGGCCGCAATGTTCGCGCGCACGGGAATTTCAGTGGGGTTGAGCTGATGGTGAATGCCGTGTCGGGCCAGAAAAGCGATGGGAAAGGGTTTGCCTGTTGTTGGGGATGGGTGTTCAAGAACGGTTATATCAGAGCTCGGCTTGCCCCATGGTGTGTCGATGTCTAGAACGGCGGCTTTGTGAAAGCCTGGAAGTGTGTCGAGGCCGGTGCCGCCTATTACGCCGATGTGGATTGGTGCTGGACAGAGTAAATCAGCATGGCTGGCATGTGGAAACACAATTGAACAGAAATGCAAGACGGACCTGAGTAGCTTGTCGGGACGCTTTCTGAAGACATGGTTGTGTAGAGGCCGGTAGTCTAGGAGGTTGTGTATAAAAGTTGCTGTCGAATATAAACGGTGGCCTTAGTCTTTTATATTCAATTATTAATGTTTAATCTCAAGGAAGAATCTTGTTCGAGTCGTCGCGAAGGCGCTGATCCGGTTTAGAATAGCAGTGAAAAGAAATGTCGGTGGTTTGTTTATTCATTTATTGCATTAGATTCAACTTGACGTAGTAATAGTATCGTCGTCCACATATCAAACAAGGTCATAAAATTTGAGATCTGAAGTCGTCGTGAGTCTCGCCGAAGATTCCCCGCCATTATTTCACCCCATTGCGCCATGCCCGCTAAAGAAAAGACCAAATACCTTGTCCTCTCACCCATACCAGGTATGCTGTTCAGACAAAAGCTCCTCGTCTTCATGCCGCCCAGGGATTGTAGTCATGTGCGTCTTGGTAAATGGGAGCAGACGACTCCCTGATTAACATCTCACTCCCCGCAACGTGCGAGACCCCCGTGACATTTGCTGCAACCACCACGGCAGCGCCATGGTCCGGAACTGGGGATATGGGCGTTGGAGCCTGCTGTTCCACCTTCGAAAGCTCAATGTCAAAACTGTTGTCAGAGGCAGCTTTTGCACCATCGTTGGAGAAGATCAATGGTCCATCCAGCTGTGTCTCGCCAAGGACGGCACCTTGATGCCCAGCGACATGGTCAAGCAGGGCCTCACTACCCTGGAATGTTGCTGGCTCGTCTCCAAGCATAGTGCAAATCAGACAGCGGTAGGACGGATGCCGCTCACTAGGGTTTTGCTGCTGCATATGCGACTTGGCTAAAAACAACCATCGATAGCGGAGCCCGGCTGTGTGCATGCGTAATCGGTCATCCATTTCCCACCCCTTATTCTTCCAGATGGCGTTATCCTTGAAATGGCATTTAGTACTGGCGCACTTATAGACCACGTCTCTGCCACGTGCGCCTTCAGAGAATGCCCGCGAGAGGCCCTTCTTAGGATTGCCCCGAAGCTCGTGTGCGTTCTTGCAACATCCACCATAGTTGGAGATAGGTGCCAGGGTGGATGCAGTAGAGAAAGACGTTCCCTGTCTTGGAGGCACTGCGAACGACGCCGAATCTGTGTAGGATCGACGACTGGCATCTACAGATTGCATGGTACCGTGGTCATAGGCACCATTAGAACCTCGACTCCCCGCACTCGACCAGGTAGCAGATGAATCAGTCGAGGCATTAGTATCTCGGCGAGGAGGGCGTGAGAGGACGTCCTCTTCCAGTGGCTGCGACGCAGTATCACGTCGCCCGACCGGAGGAGTGTCAGCCATCTGTATTGTTTTGTTACTGTCTTTCGGTCGAAACACCGGCCTAGAGAAGCGGGGCTTCTTGATCTTGTCCGGAGATGAAGGGGAAGCGATCGATTGCTCCCTAGATGCTGTCAACATTGGCTGCGCTGGCATAGGTCGACTGTGCACAGCGGCAGGAGGCGTGACGGGTGGTGATTGTGGCGAGGCCACACTCTGGGCCACTTGTACATTCTTCTTCTTATCCATCTCCTCCTCCAATTTCCGTTGAAATAGCGCATGCAGGGCGATGAGGGCCTCCGAACGTCCCTTGTCGGAGATGTCAATGCAGGTCTCGAAATCAATAACACCGTCATCGTCTCTAGCTTGCGTCAAGCCGGCTAAGAGGGCATTCTGTGTTGCTATTGTGATTCTCATGATCGCCAACTGCGCAGTCGCTGTTCCGAATTAGCATGAGCACTCGAGAACCGAACGGGAGTCCTACTGTCACCCTCCTCAAAGCTAGGCCCGAATCGCTTGTTGCCGTCCGCGACCACTTCTTCTACTTGTCTCTTGCCTTTCTCAAAAGATTCTTCGAGGAGGTCTGAGGGAGGTAGGGCATCGTGGTTCTGTCGACGAGCCTTGATCTGCTTGAAGATGCGGCAACCGGCATCGTATGCTTGAATCAACCCCGCAACGCAGCTCACAATGGCGAGAGCCTCGCCGATTCCGGACATGGCGAGGCGAGGACGTCGATCTTGGCTGTACTGGAATCAGTCGAAAGGAGGAATGGAGATGGAAAGCTGCAAGGAGCAAGAAAGAAGGAGAGCGAACGAAGGCATTCTGTTGCACAAGGCTGCGCCTCAATGAGTGACATGAGTCCTTGCAAGGAGTCCTCCTGCTTGGTACTCTTAGCGGGCAGCCACAGGGCTTGGGTGCAGATGGGATGCATGATGGTGGTCCGTCGGACATGGGAGCCCGGCCATTTATCGCAAAAGGCGTCGACTATGCCTACCTAGGGTAAGACAGCCAGTAGGGAAACCTACCTTTCACTATACCGTACCATGTTGAGGTTGTTGAAGCTTGATTCGACATAAGAGGTAATGTCACAAATAATGATGGTGCTTACAAGTGATCAACATCTTTAAAAGGCACCAAAAACGTGGTTGCCGCGAGATCCCCAGATGTAGGATTTTTATGCCCCCAGATTGCCGAGTCATTGACCAATCTTCTTCTCCAACAGCCCTTTTCTCTATCAAACTACTGCACAGTAAAATTCCTTTTGCCTCCAGCGTACCTGGTAGGGCTGACACTCTCATTGCTAAAAGAGACCTCATCAGACTTGGCCCCTTCAGTAACGTCCAGCCATCATCATGTTCGAGGTCCCTGACGCAAAAAGGTAGGTGTATCCAGTCCATAATACCGACGTCCGTCTGACATGTTGGCTGCAGAGTCAAGAGATCAGAACTCTTCCATGGCGCCATCACTTCTCAAACGTCATCAAGGTCGGTCTCGCCTGCTGCAGCGAGCGATCAAGAAGACGAGCCAAATCCAAGCCAAATCGATTATGGCTTCGAATACGACTTCATCTCGCCAGACCAGAAACCGGCACAACGATCTCAAGCCGACACCACACATGAACCAAGCAATGAGGACAAAGCTGAAGAACAAGAGTTTGACTTCCGTCTCTTCACCAGTGCTTCCAAACAGCCCTCCCAAGCCATAAGACTCTCAGCAACACCACCACCAGCAGACCCGACAGAGGTCCCATCCCTCGACGAAGCCAACTTCCTCCGCCCCAACCGTCCAGACAATTACTATTTCACTTCAGCCCTCTCACCAGATTCCACGGACGCGCTCAAATCACAGTACGCAACCGTCGCACTTTCAACCACAGATGTGCTCTCCCTCGCAACTTCGACGAAATGGCCAGGCACAGCCCTTCCCTGGCGGTGTATTCACGTACAACTTACTAAGCCGACAAAACTCATTCAAGTCCATGACCGCAAATCAGTCACAAAACAACTCGACTCAGCCACTGATGCAAGACGCACTCGTCCATCGAAGAATCGCCGCATCTTGTTCCGCAAACGCCTAGCTCTGCGCGCCAACCTCGCCGCACAAGCTGAGCACGACGAGGAAGCGGAGCGGGAGAAACGCACACGGCGCAACCGCGAGAAGAAAGTCAAACGCAAGGAGAGGGAGAAGAGGAAGAAACTGGAGTCCGAAGATCAGCCTGAAAGCATCGGAACGGAAACGAGAGCCCAAGGACGATTGGACGAGGATGAGGATCATTCCATGATTGACAAGAATGTGGAATCTCAGGGCGCTGGGACTCCGTCTGCGGCAGCGACTATAAATGCGACTACGACTGCTGAGCAGTTACGACCTCCTTCAGCGATGAAGGGAGCACAGCCCAACGAAGGTTCGCTATTGAAGGCATCAATAGCAGACTCGGCGCCAGAAGCCGTCACCCACTCCACGCCGCCGACTGCTCGACGAGCGGCTCCAACCTCGAGGGCTCCGACATCAAGAGCTCCCACGTCCAGAGCTCCAACTGCGAGGGCCACTGGATCTTAGTTGCCCAATAGTCATGGAGTTTAGCAGCCTACATTGCACTCACGAGGAACGAAATGTCATAAAAAGGAAAAGCACTTGGAATGCCTTTCGGATCTTGATCTCATCAAATTCGTCTGCTCTGCTATTTTGTCTTTCCTCACGCCGTTACCGTTACCACGACCATCCCATCTAGTGGCCGTCCTAACGGAACCCGTGACCATGAAACACCCTATATCAGACCACTTTTATCCCAACCCATCACATCCGTTTCTTCCAGTTCATTGCCCATGCGCAATTGCCCCAGCCATCCTCTTCCTCATAAAATCAAAGAAAGCAAATTGACTCGGTGTCGAGCCGTACTCGTACACGAAGCGACTCGCCAAATAACTCCCAAAGATTGACTTGAGGTAATTATCCGGCACGCGCTTCAAGATCTTTTCCAATCCAACCTTGGCCTGCAATGTCTTGGGCAGTGCCTCTTTAAACACAGCAACCCTCAAGGGCTGGTTATCCCATAACTCCGTAAAGTTCTGGAGCTCTTCATCCAACTTCGTAATCGCCAGCGACAATTGATCCGACAACCTCGACCTGGATAGACCGGTAGTCTCGTTCTCGCGCCAAATCGCCTCGAATTCCAACCGTGCGTTGTTCTGAATCGTCTTCTGCACTTCCTCTACATAACTCTTGTAGAACTCGGGGACAGTCCCATCCGCATCAACGCACATGTTCTCGATGAATCCCTGGTCGTCAAACGATAGACTGGCCAAGACCTCAAGCGACGACGAAGTCACGCCGCCCTTGTTGGCAGAGGCGTCCTTGTACAGGATACACCCCGCTTTTTCGAGCCTCAACTTCGCGTCCTGCGTGATGAACAAATTCGCGCCCTCAACGATATAAGGAATCGTGCATTTGCCGTCAACAATCAACTTGCTCGCCGTTTGCAGGTCAATGGATTCGGGGCGACCACCGCACGGTACGAACAGGTCATACGCCGACCCATCGCGGAGGTGGAATGTATTTCGGAATATCATGCCGTTGTTCACCTTCTCGCCAGATGGCAAAGTGATGTTGGTGTCCTCCACCAGAACTCTATATCCTTGAGGCGACAGTTTGGAAATGTCGTAGTCGACGATCATGACCCGGTTCTTGGCCAGGCGAACCAGTTCAGGGCGGTCCAAACCAGCGGGATCGACGAGAACACCAGATCCATCGACAATGGCCGTGTACTTTTCGTTGCCGAGGATGATCTCATTGGACCCCAGGTCACCGTCTGGACCGCCAGTCTGCAGCTTCCTGATCTGGCTTTGATCGAGATTCAACTTGCGGTAAATGCCGAGGACGTATTCTCGGACTGACAGTGTAGTCATGCCGTACGCATCGTGCGGGATACCGCCGAGTTTGGGACTCTTGCCGGTGAAGAAGGATTTCCACCACGGCGCGCCTCTTACTCGGGCATGCTCTGTTGCCCAATCGACGAGATCTGCGGTGTTCTCGTCGGGACCCATGAACAGAATCTCTTCTTGTCCATGGAGGTCAACAATGGGGTCCTTGATACCTGGACTCGTCGGCTTCAATAGCAGATCCATGATGCTGTCGATGTACTTTTCGAAAGCCACACGAGTCTTGTCTTGGTGGTTGTAATCGAGCAGTATAACACCCTTGGAACCACCTTCAGGGATGTCTTTGTTCTTTCTCTGCTGAGTGTTGGCCAAATTGTAGTTCTCGTCAAATTGTGTCCGGGCGTTGATGGCGTACAACTCCTTGTTACGGGACTTGACGATTCGGATACCTCCACGAGCAATGTCCCGGAACCGTAGGTGGAAACCTCGGAACTCTGATCCAATGACCAAAAACATGCCGTAAAGGGGTTGAGGGTACTCGTGCTCCGGCAAAAACTCTTCAGATGGCTTAAGCCTGAAGCTCAGGGCGACCTTGGTAGGGGTGTAGAAATTCGTCTTCAAGACAGCTTTGTTGAAGGTCAAGAAGTATTGCATGACCATCTCATCGTGTTGATTCGTGACAGTCCGGGTTATCATCTCTGACAACTTGTCGTCGTCCAAGACCTGCTCCACGTTCAGTCGGAGGTAGCTGAGTGTCGGGATGAAATCGTCCTGTTCGCCACGAGTTTGTACATAATGAGTGCTCGCGAAGGAGAGATACAAGGACCTGATCAGATCTGGATACTTGTTGATGATTTCCAGGATATAGTCTGCCGTGAACGTTTCCGTGCGCAGACGCTTCTTGATCTTGCCAAGCAGTTCAGCATTCGTGCTGCTGTCTCCTTTTAGGGCCGCCTCAAGAGAGGTGTACTCGGAACCGAGGCGATTGAGGAATTGCTGCACAAATATATGTACGCAGTGGGCGTAGATACTTTCTTGTAAGCTGAGATTGCCGCTCGCAAATTGCCCTTGCAGCTTGTTTTGGGGGATACAAAACAGCAAAGATACCTCCTTGATGATCTGATGGATAGCAGCTTCGATCGGTGGGTGTCTCGATTTGGCAATGTCACTGCTGGCGGGCTTGAGGTAGAGTGAAATGACGGTGATACCGTTGGAAAATTGCTCGACGTATTTCCTCGAACTCGTGACCCCATAGTAGTGGTAGAGGTCAGACAAGGCGCTGAACACGCCCATTGCTGATCCTTGTCGGTATGCAATCACTATTCTTTTCTCGCGAGTGCCGTGCATATCGAACATCTCTATAACTGGCCCTCTCCTTTCGACGGCATATGTGATGATCTCTTGGTAGATCTCCTTGGTGTTCTTGGTCGCCTTCTGTAGGAACCTCTTTTCGCCAATCTGCTCCAGGTCGGTCTCGTCTCGGCCGGGATTTGGATTGTTGAATTGGCATTGGTAGATGAAGTAGCAACGCAGCGACTGGTCTGGATTCTCTGGGAGGGCATTGTTTGACCTGAACGACTCAACCCGGTAACTCCTTGCAGGTGTAGACCCATCAATGTATTTCTCGTCAATTCTTTGCTCGTACCTTGGACCCTCGATGTTGCTGATTCCAGGTTTGCTTGTGTCAATGTAGACTGCATGGTCCGAAGCCTCCTTGGCCAGGCGAATCTCCAACTTCTTGTCGTCTCGAGCGTACGCAGCTAGTTTTGCGGCATACAAGGAGAGTATGTTACTGGCGACCGCCTCGCCCGTTTCGGTGGAGAAATACATGTCGTCAATGCCCAAAGCATTGTAGAACCACTCTGTTTCTGAGGCAATGAACTCGGTAGGTAGGAAGCCCTTTTCTTCGATGAGATCCATTACTGTGACTCGGTCAGTACCTGGTATGCCTGGGGTCGGAACAGTCCTTCATACCTTCTTCCATTTGGGCTTTCTTTCCCTCGAACTTCGGAGCCACATAACCCGGGCCATGGTCCGCTGACAGGGTACGGTGTAGCGATAGATTTGAACTGGAGGCTCCTGGTACTCCCAAGAGGGTTGGTTGAGGAGAGGGTTGTCGACCAGGTGTTCTGACATTCTGCTCCAGGAGTTTGTGTCTCGCAGGGTTCAAAGGCTCGTCGCCGTTTACTGTGAGGTGATCCATGTTGCTGGTCTGAAATAGTGAGAGTAGAGAGTAGGAGGGACGGCTGAGAGAGGGACTGGAGAAGACAGATAATGAAAGAGAGAAACCAAAGCAGATAGCTCTCAGAGAGATATCTGTTCAGCTGTGTGAGATTTCGACAGGGGCCGGTCAGTCAGCCGCAGAAAGACCGCTGCTGGTTTGTATTCAAAAAATACTGACTATCGTGGTGGTGATCAACAGTGAGTGGTTGTAGTCCGCATGAAACAGACCCCAAAAGTCCCCTTTCTTATCGGGAAAGAACAGAGAGCGTAGGGAGTTGATAAGGACCAAATCTCACCGCAGCTGAGACACAACACAATACACAAGACTCAAACACAGACCACGCGAATGTTGCTGGATTTAGCAATGTACCCAGGTCTTCTTCTGGCAACGTGGCATCTCTGCATTCTTTTATACTGAAACAATGAAACATATATCGCGCAAAATTTGTGTACACTTACATCACCAGGTTGCAAAGAGGAAAACATTAGGTACAACATCTCCCCGCAATTGGATCAACGCGCCACTTGGTCAGGCACCGGGGCGCCCCAGGCACAATGACAGCCCTATCAGCAGCAACCATGGCGGCTGTCGCCCGCTTATAACCGGAAGAGTTGGCCATCGAAGGTTTATTCTTGGCCAGTGAGAAGTCTTCATCTAGAAAATTGCCAGGGAAGAAAGTGAAAGTTCAATGTCGCAAGGCGTTGTTGGGATTGCGATCTGTTCCCTGGCAGTGCGAGTCCTCATCAAGATTGTGAAAAGACCATGATAAGCATTTTGCTGGACGTCGTATGTAAGTGACTTGTACGCTATAGAAAAACCCAGATGGGCCGAAAAGTAGCCACAATATAAACATGTCAAATACAATATAACGCTACCGCTAACTTATGGCACAACTCAATTTCATTTCGATGTTCATATGCGTGGTCTGTGTTCAATGCCTTCTTCCTCCGCGTGTTCCAGAAGGCTACTGCTTCCATCAATCCGATCAGCTGAAGCATCTTTGTCGGGTTCGGTATGATCGATGTTGGACTGTAATTTGGGCTTTGTCGTCGAAGCTTTGTCCTCGTCTGCGTCGATCGACGAACCGGACCCCTCAACTTCCTCCGCCAGCAGACTTCCATGCTCTTCTGCTTCCCCGTGTTCTGCCTGCTCGTCTGAGTCCGCTTCCTTCTTGTTGTCCTTGATGAATGTGTCGATGATGTAGTATTGCAGCGCATTCATAATCAACGGGAAAATAAGCATGACGAATGCAATCTGAAGTGCCTCGTTGCCCTCCGTCCATCGCAGCGCCCAGTCCCCTACCCGTCCTAGCCATGGGCAGAGATGGAATATGAGAAAAACGCAAGCTTTCATACCCAAAAGGCCCACAAAGTAGATCAGACACTGCTTGAGCCACCAGCCGGCCTTGGGCGGGGTTCCATAGTGTCCGGACTCGATTGATTCTGGCGGGATCGCGAGAGGTGTATAACTTGCTCCGATAGTAAGAACCTTGAGGGTACAAATCAGGATTGGTATTCCAAGCGTCGTGTCGATAGCCAGATTGAGCAGGTAGAAAGAGCAAGGATTCGGTTGGTAATCGACGCTAGCATCGGCCATCAAGGTGGTTGCTGCTGCCTTCGCTAAATCGTCGAATTGTCCAGACGAGATCATGGACATCAATAGATTGGCCAAGTGCAGGAGAATTGATCCCACAACTTGCTTGGACACGTCAAAACTCCAGACCTTGAGTGGTCGTTGTGGTCTCTCCCTCCATCTCTTGAACACTAAGGATGATAATGCGAGAAGACCGAGCGCTGTTTGAACCAAGATAGCGAACGGTCCGAGTAGCTTGCATTCGCCACTGCTTTCATCGTCGGAGTCGCTCGGTGATGTGGCAAGCGATGGTATGCCTACGCCTTGTGGGATTGTAAAGTCCTGACCAGCTGTCGCAGCAGCTGTCGCTATGCTGAAGAGAAGGCTTGTGGTGGTCGTCATAATTGACGAAGGAAGAGTGTATGATACCGAGGCAGTTTCAACAGCATCGTAGAGGGCCGTTATAGAGGGGATCGCGTCTGGAGGCTGCATGTACACACCAACGCTGTCGCTATTGTCGCATACGAAGATGCCAATCTCAGGCTGCTGAGAAGAACGAGGAAATCAGCCTTCCTGATGTAAGTCGATGTAGTACTTAGTGCAGGCAATGAAGGTGTAGCTTTTCACTACTACTGTAACATGAGGAGGGCACTGACCGCTAGCCGCTGGTGCGGCACGGTGAGGTCAGGGTTGCAGGTCAGGCGGGCACAAAGAAAGCCCAGTCCGAGCCACTGTGGGTACCGCAGATTTAAGCTTAGTCACCACCAATGGGTCATTTCCGTCATAAATCCTTCGGAGCCAGAACCCGCCTTCATGGGGGTTTAAACTTCAATGATATTGATAAAAAATGGCTTTCATTCTCATCTATACTAGTACTTCTGTAGTGCAACAAACCTTAGGAGAGCCAGTATCCAGGTCTATGCGGGATGGGTATCAAGAAATGCAATCCTGAACAACCCCCCAAAAAGGACTCGCAAAGGGTATCGTGATGCTAGCCATCAAATAATGATAAAGCCGGGACGCCATGTTCATGTCGGTCGTTACTTTACAGGTCTTCCTCCTCATTCTCGTTCGCAAGATGCAAATGTCCAATCTTGTCCGATAAACCGAGCCAGTTCTTGATGACACAAGGTGCTGATTCCGGGCCCTGGCAGATTTTCTTTCGTGCAAGGTTTTTGAATTTGGGACCGTAAGGTCCATTGACATAGTGGTACTGGCCAGCAAATCGATACTGCCGGCGATCACCCAGCGGGTAGAACTTGTCACCCCAATGACCACCGTAATGGAACCATTCTGTTGGTGCACTGGGGGTCAGGTTGGAAGATCGTAAGTTCTCTGTCTTGTAGTCATATGTATAAGCATGCGAGTTCAACGCCGGATCCCACAGAGGACCGCGGTCGGTCATATCGTGCAATATGCCCCAAGGCAGGACATAGGGATGTGTCCCTGGAGTGGCATACATGGCATGAGTTCCATATGCTGAATAGATGACAGGCCGCTTTCCAAGCTTTTCGACGGCATCGTAGGTGTAAGCCGAGCCGAAGTTGTGTTCGCTGAAAAAGACAGCTTTGGGTTCGCCATGCTGGAACCGAACAGCGGTGTGTTCCCAGTCTCCCACGTGATTGCCGAACCGGACATTGAGCACCACGTTGCCCAGGTTGAAACTATAGAAGAAGAACCAAAAGGCGTCGACAATGCCATGACCCTTGTTGACCGTCACCAGGACGGCAGGTGCTCCGCTTCGACCACCGCGGAATTTCTCCTGCGTGTGATCTCGAGTTGTTGAGCGTTTCAACTCTTGATGTATCCGGCGTGCATCCTCGTCCTGCTCTGATTGGGCAGTCTCGGAGGCGCGAAAATCGTCCGCACTATTCCCCTCCCCAACTTCGGGCGTGAGCCAGTCTTTCAAGTCAGATATGGCATGCTTCATACCCTGAACATACGTTCGACCTGGTTTGTGGACCCAGCCATCATTATCTTCAAACAGGTCATTCACGTCTGATGGCTCGCTAGGGATGTTCTTTTCACCCTCCAACCACGCTGGTCGTTCTTCCACGTTGTCGTTGCTGGTCAAATAGACCCATCGAGGGGGCTGATATTCGTTGAGTCTATCCAAGTTCTGCAGGGTTAGATGGTCCTGCCCCGACCTCACTGGTGTATAGTTCAGCGTTGGTGTGATGTGGTACAGATGTTCGGCGATATCACAAGGCCAAAACTGCTCTCCAGAATAGAGGTGGACAAGTGGAGCGTATTCCATCACGTAGTCCGGGATTTCCCTCAGGACGCGCTCGTCGTCGGCCCAATCTTCGGGCCTGTCGTTGCCCTCTGTCCACGCATGTTGCCAATCCCATTTGGGTCGCTTGTCGACCAACTTTTTCGATTTGCCGTCCACTAGAGGTCGATGCCCGAATATGTCGGTCGCGGAGACCCAGTGCATGTGTAGACCGCCGCACACTCCAATCCACCGACAGCATTTCCGATCAAGCCAGGACTTGGATGTGGCCATCCAACTCGAATCTTCCCAGTCCTCATCTTGCCAAATGAACGCCTCTGGATTCGTATCTCTGTACATGCTGTTTAGGCACATATAAGATATGATGGTGGACAGGACACCTATAGTGACCTTCGTCTTGGTGCCGCCCATCTCCTCTGCCTGCAGAGAATCCTTCGCTACCGAATCATGAACGATAACGCCTTGCTGTGCAGTCGCCGGGCTCGGCTCAACCACGACAATGGCAGAAGTAGGTCCGACGTCGAGTGAGGTGACCGCTGTAGGGAGGTGGTAGTTGTCACTGGTCGGACTCGCCGAGGATTCGAACGAGGAAATAGTAGAGAATACTGTGGGCTCCGCCGTCAAGGTATATATTGGATGGGTAAGCCGCGTGAGCCCGTCATGGTGAGAGCCTAAGGCCACTGAAAGAGCGAAAGGCCGAAATGATTAGCCATCAGTATCACCAGGAAGACAAAATCTGACATAAGGACAGGCATATGAATCAACGGGTCTGAGGGTGCATCACCCGGATGTAGCGGCGAGCATCAGATCGGAAAACGAGGGGACGCTCGAGTCTCGGTCGAGCTGACCGCGCGGAAAGGCTATCAATGACTGCATTGGGTAAATAGACGAGTGGAAAAGGGACGTGTATCCGGGAACCATGACAGACCCAGGCTCCGCTAGGATACGACATAAAAAGGGTCCCAGTCCGCTGTGCTGGTGGAAGGATGAATAATTGTGAATGCGATAAGACGCTGGTTCCGCCAGCATCCGAGTCAGGCCCCGGGAAGGGTTCAGGTCCAGATCCAGATGCAGTGAGGAGACGGGATTCACGTACTGATGAGGTATAATTGGCTCCAGAGACTTGGCGTTTGATATGGCGGTCTGTTCTCGTGCAGTGCTTCACGACATGAAGCTATGCTGAAGCTATACACTTCTAGTCATGTTGCAGTAGATTGATGACAATCGAAAGCCGATTGAACCCATGTGCCAGAATGACAAGTGAATAGTAAAGAGGTGAAGACAAGGTTGAAGAGATCCAAAGAGTGACCGGTGCGGCTGATGGTTGTCTGGGCCCCTTCGGACAAAAGAATGACATCGAGTGACCTGTTTTAGCCCCTGTAAAGTCCGATCCGCTAGGCTCGGTAGGCGGTAGTTATTTATGTCCAAACAGCCAATCTTCCCCGTTCCAGTCACCACCCCCTCATTATCTTGGTCACTGTCTAATTCCAACGGTTTCACCTGCCTCCACTCCATCCTTGCTTGATACCTTGCACGACATTGTCATTTTCTTGTTCACTTCATCTCAAGAAAAGTCAGAGGTTGTTGACTTGGTTCCAACCACTCGAACACGTTCCACTGCGAGGGGCACAAGAGATAAGGACAATTACCAGTACTGGGAGTAAAAGAGTACGGTGCTGCTTTAAGATCTTCAGGTCACGTGGTGACCTGTTCTGCCGCTGATTGAAGCTTTTCCTTTTCATAACAGCCGTGGATTAGTCTTCACTAAACCACGGCCGAAGTTCGTGGACAAGGGCCAAATGCAGGAACAATCTGCTGCGCCTCCGCAGGACGAGGAGTATGAGTATGAATATGATGAGACACAAACAGAGGTAGGAGCTATGCTGAGAATACCTCAGCTTTCCTTTTTCGTTTTGATCGTGCCTTATTCGTTCTTCCACAGACGTTCCTCGTGGATCTTGACCTCTCATCATTACAATCTAACCTCAAAACAAATGTGCCCGGAGCGCCGAAGCCAGTGACCCCGGGTAAACGACGACGATCTGGTGCTGTTGCGCAAACACCGGAGCCAGCTGGACCAACGCCTAATCCATCAGGCACTCCTGAGGACCACTCTCCTTCTGCCACGGAGGGTCAAGGGACGCCTGCTCATGATGCAGAAGATTCTGATCAAGGTGCATTGCCAATCATGACAAAAGCGCAAATTTTGGGCCTCGATACCACCAACCCGATCATCTCCTACCAGGATCGAGTCTATAGCTGTATGTGGACCGATATGATTGGCAGCAATATGTTTTTGGCACAGCCTGGGCTGATAGATTCCGGCGAGATACTGCACTCAGCCGACGACTTCGACCTCATTGGCACATCACGAATCAAACTCGTAGGCGAGCGAACGAATCTGGTCAAGAAGAAGCCGTCTGCCTCAGAAGAGAACACAATCGAGGAGGACGAACACCGACAGCCTACTGAAGCCCCAAAGACATCCAACGGCGGCAGTTTGAGGGACATCCGGACGCCAAACCCGAAAGTGGCCGCTCAGATCAAGCGACAGGCATCTTTTTTGGAGAACCTGATGGATATCAAGCGCCGGCGCGGCGAAGGAGACAGTGTCCGAGCGCTTGATGACGAAAAATCTGCTTCAAACGGTACTTCCGAACTGCATAACACAACACACAGCGAGTTTGAGGAGCCTAACAGGAAGGTGGACGACGGAGAAAATGAAGCTCGTGCAGGGCTGCAAGGAATTTATTCTCGTCACGGTGAAAGAGCCGAGGAGCTACAAGAAAGTGCCCAGATGCCCGAAGGCGAGGCAGGTTGAACAGAGCAAAACGCCCACACTTTTCCACACGCCAATGATCTTGCGCCAGAAATTCAAAGACCAAGGACCATCCAGGACAAGCCCTATTAACAACGACATTTCCGAAGATGCCTGATATCAGGCAGAAAACTCTTTGCACACCCAACAACCCGACATCAATCCCAGACTCAGCGGGTCAAGGTCGCATTCATCGATCTTGCTTGTCAAACTTCCAGTGGACTGGTGACGGTGGAGGTGGGGGAGGTGAATCTTCAGAAAATTGTCTGCGATCCGAGTAGGAGACGTATTTAGGTCGTGGAGATGCTTCGACAGCCCTGTGGATATCTCGAGTTGAGGTCTCGACGGCGAGCACCGTTGATCGGTAAGATGAGCGGTTCATGGCCGAAGTCATAGCACAAGGCTAGAAGAATATGGTCAGCGTTTAGCGACAACGACAAGGACTTGTTGCATAGCATGAACTGCAATTGACTCACTTTGTGCGTGGTGAGGTATTGATGGTTTTAAGGTTAAGTAGCGAGAGTGATCGCCGGCTAGGTTTAGGGGTGTAGTAAAGGTGCTGCAGGTACAACCGTCACAAGCCGATGATTTTCCTTTGAAAGCTGATCGGCGGATTATGGACGGCAAGAGACTTGACTTGTACTATCGCAGAAAGGTGCAGTAGAAGGCAGGATTGTCAGGAGCAAAAGAGCGGACAATCAGGGAGGATCTGACGGTAGTCAAATACCTCCGTTGGCGTGGGAAAGTCTGGGGACCTTGTCACTCAAAAATCTGGCGGTGAAAGACGACGTGGGATGTCACATTTCAAACGAACCCGGCTGGCCAGTCGCCTGCAGTCTGGTGCAGTCCTTCCGAATGCGCCAGAAGTGTTTCCCCGGAGCGCCACGAGGCGAGGTTTGGGCCATTGAACCGCTTCCAGGAATCCAGGATGGATGCTGATGGCGTGCGCAAGGGTGAGAATCGACAGGGGCTGAACTGGGACGCCGCTTGCATCGTATCTACCATCCATTTGCTGGTCCAGCTTCTTCCCTTCGTCTGCTTGAACACCTTCTGGTGTCTCTCGCCAAAGACATGATCCCGATTGGAATGCGTTGCTTGACGTTGGGCGATCGGTGGCCTTTGTTATCCTTTCTCGGCTGTCCGATCAATAGGCGACAATCTCATCCTGGCATGATATTTGATCGACGACACGATCGCCAAATAAATCATGCCCTGTACTTTCCTTTTCCTGGAGCTCGCCAGGTTTGGAAAGCTTCTACACGTCACCAACCGGAAACACTGGTGCGCCATAGGCTTGAGATGCTACCTAGCACGTATCCGTGATTTCTAGACCGTGGGAGAAAGAACAAAATCAAGGTTCTAAACCAGCGCCACGACATCCGTCTCCGAACTTCTGTGGACACTGGACACTCCCGTGCCTTGCTTAGCGACGTTTGATGAGCAGCGCAGCCCCCGAAATTGCCGTCAGCCCCTTGTCTGAAGTTGCCCGCCGTCTGTTGCGGGAATGCGGACGGGGGGGTCCAAAAGCATGGGGCAACCCGCCACAAGACGCGCAACGGCCCTTCCACAAAGCGTCCCACGGGGGGATGGCCGGATGCGACCATTACATTCAGGACCAATCCTGTGGTCCTGCGTTAGCTTTTCGCGAACAGCTTGTTGGTTGACGAAAGCCTGACTGATGCCCAATAGTTGTACAAAAGCCCTGAGAGATTGTCGAGTTCCTATTACTGTCCATTCAAGATGCCCAACTACGATTGCCGTCGTTGACGGCTTTTGACGCTACAAATGTCAAGAATTCCTTTGAGAGGTTAGTCTTGGAAAGAGATCGGTGGCACTTCGCTTGTGTCACTTTTGATCTCCTCGCCGCCATTTACCCTGTACGACCTGGCAAGGCTCTCATGTTAGGGCTGCCAGCTTATCCAGTGTCATCTTATCTGCCTGTCATGTCTGACCTTTCCGGCTTCCCCGGATGGAGGAGACCTGTCATGTGGGGGGATGCGGACACGAAGCAAGGGCGGGCCCGATGCATTCACCCACATTCTATGGTGACGAGATGCACAAACTACAAATGCCACCTCTCTTGTAGGCAAGGATTAAGCCAATATTGGCGAATTTTCATAACCTGACTCGCGGCTTCATTTTGGAGGATCCTTGGTGTGTTGAGGCCAACAAGCAAATGCGCTGGTCCAAGGCGCCCAAGCCAATCAATCTGAGGCTCTCAAGAAGAAAATCAAAGCATAATCGTGAATACTTCCCGGAATGATGGCTATTTGCGACACCAGTCGAGCGCACATCAACCTCATGACGGCTTGCAATGAACCTCTAGTACAATGACCCGTCTACGGAATTTCTATTAGAACTTGAACCTACCTGGTAAGTTATGTAGGGTCGTTCACAAAAGCAGCAAGCACATTTGTCGGCGTCCGGGGACCGATTATCGGCATTCGGTCCGTTCGCACTTTTATATTGTGATTTCCTGCCATCTATTCAGCCTTCCTGTTATTATCTTCTGGTAGACAAGCTACTTTCGCACTGTTACATGCTATGTTGTGTGGGAACTCCTAAACACAGGCAAGACAGACCCTTGAAAGGGCCGCTTAACAATCTCTATCAGCATACCGTCGAAGGCACCTGCTTTTGCCGGAGAAGGATCGGAATTATCGCCGGACGGTCTGGTATGAGCATGCCTGAAAGCCGTCCACCTCTTGCACTTGTTGTGCACCCAATAACTATGCGGCCGCCTTCCTCAAGTCTGTTTATCCTCAAGCTTGCGAGTCGATCAGATTCTTCCTCATAGGCTTTTCATTTGGAAATCTTCAAGCGGTGATCAACTTGAGATAGTCGGCCACGATCAACGTAATCATCCTATGTGGGCATCAGCACAATCCACAAAACCAGCAAGGTGAGTACGTACGCATGTGGTGCAATTCTAACATAGTATGTCGGAAATCCACGATAAAACCTCAACCAACCTTCATCACGGATGACTTTTCTGGCGCAGTCTAACAATCCACTGTACGGCAGTTTCCCGTCAGGACTCTTGCTCTGTTTCTGCAGGCGCGTCTTGATGAAGTCAAAAGGCAAGCTGAAGAACGAGGCAAAGAAGCCGGCAATGGCAGACGCGCTCAAGGTCCTGGCGCCTTCTGATAGGCTGGGGGCATGCTGCCTCAGTTGCGCCTTGGACTCGGCAAAGAAGGTGAGTTGGCCAAAGTTCAGAGCCATGGCACGAATCACGGTGGGATAAGCTCCTGCCCACCATGCACCGATCCCTTCGGTTTTGGCAATGCGCGTAAGCGCATCAAAAACTGAACGATAATTCGCTCTTTGTTCTTTGGGCTTCAAACCGTCCGACTGCATTCGAATGAGGGCCAGATCGGCGGGGTTGCCTATCATGGCTGCCAGACCTCCGGCGGTCAATCCTGCAGCTCCTCGTTCAAGGAAGCCTATTTGTGTCCCTTGCTTCTGAGCTCTTGCCTGCATCATGTTCTGAAAGGTGTCGAAAAGTCCCAATCTTGCAGTGGTATAAACAGCTTGTCTCAACAGACCAGCTGAGAGACCTGTGTACAGGTCAAGGGCCTTGCCTTGGGCGATTATGTCCTTCGCAATGCCAATGGCTGAAGGTTTGGGTCCCGTTCTTATGCCCTCGCCTGCCAGTTGCAGGCGCACCTTGATCATATCTATGGGTTGAATGCAGGCTGTTGCAAACATGCCTGAGAGGCCTCCATTGATGAAAGGTAGGGCACCCCGCATGAGCGGCGTATGAAGGAAGTCATTCTTGACCTGTGCCGGGTTGTGCACCACTTCTGAGGCGGCTTCTTCGACTTTACTTGCGGCCGACCGTGCACCTTCTTTGATACGATTGGCAGTACCACTGCCAGACATGGTGCCAAATGTCGTAAGGGAGGGAACGAGGCTTGGGGTCTGTATCTAAAGCCTGCGCATCCACTATTAGTGTCTGGATACATGAGCATGCGCAAGGCTAGACATGTTGCTCGCAAACCGGCTCACCTGGGGTGAGAGTATGTCCACGTACAGAAGAGTACGCAACAGTACTCGATCGGCGCCAATGTGCTCGACAGACACGATGGAGGATCACCGGTCCAGTTGCGGTATAGAGCTGATCGGTCAGATCTGGCTGGTGTGACACTACAAGTGGGCTGGCCGGTGCAGATACTCGGTGACCGAGGACGGTGAGTCTTGTCAATTGCCCACGGAAGGACGCGAGACAGGAGGTACAAGTAAAGGGCAGAGCTCGGCCGGGGTGAGGGAGGAGATTGACTGCCAACGAGGAAGCAACTCCGCAGTCTGCAAGAGGAGAAGGGAAGAGGAGGTGTGAGAGTGCGTGACCTGACCGCGGCTTTGGACTTGGGCTTGGGCTTTTGAGCAATGGGAGACCACGGGGCCGGGCATGGCCCTGGTATATAAACGCAACAACCATTGGATACAGCAATCAATACGAAAGGCCGAGGATTGGACGAACAGTTCTCTAGTGTGCTTGAGTCGACGAGGATTGGGCATCGTCATCTTGGTGTTCGGACAGTTGGAAGCACGGGAGGGACATGAAGATGCGGGGAAAAAGCATGCCAACTCTTTAGGATCAAAGCAATACATTTATTGTCGGACAAACGCTTTAACTCTGTCGGCTCCATTCCGGGTCGCAGTTGGCAGATTTCCGTGGGGATGTGTTGGTGTCTGACGGTTGTCTCCGCTCTCTTCCCTCAAAACGGCTGTCTAAAGTACGCTGTCACCTCGTGAAATGCGGGAAATGCGTGCTTCCGGCATATTATCTGAAGCATCCTTGATGAGCACCCATGAATCTACAGTACAACAATCGTCGTCAAGTCTTGTCAGCACCTTTGTGTGTCATTAGACCTGGTCGAGATGACTCTCTTCAAGATGCCGACATATCCCCTTTAGTAGGCGGATTGCGTGCGTGGGTAGGGTACTCGGCGGAAGTCCCTGACACTGGTACCGGGTACGGGTACTATCGGGGCTCGCGGGACGCCGTAATGTCATGAAAGGGTCAAAGTAGCATGTGCTTTACTGCCACTGAAGTCTGGATCTACGAGGCTGAATGAAGTGTGGATTACAGGGTTCAGAACTGCCTCCCAGTCAAGCCTTGTGCAAGCTGAAAGACAGGAGAGCACCCAAGGCTTCAATTGTTCTAATCATTCACGTGGCACTCGATGATTGGGTCTGTGAGTATGCCTGTACGAGAACATTGGGTCAATAACCTCATCTGTCCATTTTCGTCCATTACCTACGCGACGTTATTTACTGTGTAGAGATAGTCTGGCAGTCGACCTTGGTTTTTTGTGGTGGGGACGAAGCCGTGCCACAGGCTAATGTACCTGTACCGCAGACTTTAGATTTCCATACCTTCCGTAGGCGGTGCGGTGATCAGACCGTAGCCTTGCTCGGCTACCAGGGGGTAGTGTCGCACCTCGGCCTAACATTTGTATTTCGGACAATTACTTTCGGCCAGCAACTCTCAGCCTCGACCACCTAGCCTTGCACAGTGCCGCATTTCAGCACCGTTCCCACTCCCACCGCATGCAAAATGAGAAGTCCGACCTCGGTTCATACCGAATAAACACGGTACACTGTTGTTGCAAGACCTCAATATTTTCGGTCTCCACGCAGAATCCCACGTGCATCGACGTGCAACACTTTCCGAACACTGGCCGGTGCTGCAACACTGGCCGGTGCTGCAACACAAGGCCATTGTTTTCGCCGGGCTTGCGACCGGATTCTCTCCACGGGCCATAATCACTATCCGGGAGCTTTCCCGTAACAATATCCCACAGCTGCCTCGGAACCGGGCTAGACGATATACCACATGCAAGACGGCCAAACCCCCTTTGAAGGCATCGGATGTGGGATTGCATCAATGGGTGATACCTGGCTAGCCATGTCAAGCTGCATTTTTGTCCTTGCGCTTCAGCAACGCCTTCACGTTGAATGGCTTCTTGATCTCCTTGATTCTACGCAATAAATCCCTCATTTTCCTTTCTCGTTGTTCCGGTGTCAACGGCTCATTGGTGCTCATCGTGCTGAGCACTTCTGACTCGGACGTCGATGCGGAGGTCGTGGGTCGTTGTCCTTTTCTTTTGATGCTGTCCTTCAGTACCGCCTGGTACACCAAAGCCCAGCCAGGCACTCGCTGCGATTTCGGCGCAGACTCATTATCGCTTTTCCGTCCGCCAATGACAACCTCTGTGTCTTGAGCCGTGGCCGACCGCCACGGGCAATAGTCAAGATGATCGTCGACAGCGTCCAAACTTTCCATGATAGGAGTTTCACCACGGTACAACCACAGCCCGAGGGACCTGAAGCAATGATGGCATTCAACAACGTCGTCACATTTTCTTTCCCACCCACACACCGCGAGCCGTAACACATTGAGGTTGGACTTTTCGTTTTCAATGAAACGGAACTGCTCGAGTTCGCCAGTGCCCTCAAAGACGGTCGCAGGAAGAGGTGCCACGTCAGGAACTTCCTCCGCTCTCGTCATTATACTGTCGTAACGTGTTCGTAATCCTGCAACGGCCATACTCGTGTTCAATAAGCCCTCGATGCGTTGGATGGACGAGTCGCATCCACGTTTCCGCCAGAGACAACTCTCGGCATGTGCGGTAACAATCATACCCTGATATCGCTTGACCATGTTATCGTGTAGGTCTGTAGTCATAGCAAAGCTGTCCTCCTCTTCGGCCGCTTTGTCCTCTTCGTCATCCTTGCTACCCTGGAAGTCATCCGTGTCTAAATCAACATGTAATCTCTCCTTGCATGCACCACACGAGACAGTATCGGTGTCTACACATGTCCACCCCCTCTTCGCCCACACAACAGCATTTATGGGTTCTGTTGAAGGTATATGCCACTGTGTCACATGCCGGAATGTTTCGAGCCGCTGAAGAAAGGCTGTGCGGCTGGATGGGAGGAAGTGTCCACTGAGCGAGGTCGTCGAGGGGATAGAGACAATAGGTTTGGTACTGGTAGCTACGCGGAGTCGCTTGGAAGAGTCTGAGTCGGTAGCTTTCGAAAGGGTTGTTGTTGATCCATTGTTGCGTGAGTTGAGCGAGGTTCGTGAGGGAGATGCTGCCCCGTCATTTATTGCTTCTAGAATTCGATCGAACTTGCGCTTCTTGGTTTCTATCGCGTAGGACATGTCGGTCGTAGGACTTGTAGTCAGATTGCGTCAATATGCGTCAGGTCATGCTGGCCAGGTTCTTGTTGACTTGATGTATTGACTGCGACCAAACTGTCGGCTAGATTGCCATGAACGGTTAGGCGGCTTAACCTCGGATACTGTGCGGCTGCTGAACTTCAACTGCCCAGAGTTGCCATCAGTGACAACGACATGGTAGATGGCACTCTGTGAGCAGGGAAGACCGGGTCTACCAAGTACATATGGGGCTGGTGTTGGAGCAGGTCAAGGTGGTAGTGAGGATTGTCAAGCACGAGGGCGCTGCCCGCTGCCCTCTGATCACAGTATGCGTCAACTCACCTCGTCGGTCAATGATAAGTCATATTGCCAACTGCCTCACCAGGATTCTTAATATCTTCACACTTGCACGTAGGTATTATCATGAACTATGTCACAGCGAGGAAACAGGCAGTTGCGCTGCACCACCTTCTTTCCCAAAAGTCCTGCTTCTCTGAACCTCCCTTCCCATATCCATGCCCAACCATCGCAAGAGAGCATCGATGTTATTTCGAACTGCCGCTGAATTTTCCTCCTTCGTCCTGCTTTATGTACTTCTGATGTTCATCTTGCAAAGACTAGAGAGACTCCCTCGCCATCGTTTGCAAGTCTTGGTGGGTGTGCTGTTGTTCTTGGTCGCGGGCCATCATCTTCAGGTCTTTGCAACTGATGGACTCATCGGACGACGAGTTATCCTGGGCATCCAGCAGCGAGCTGTATGAGCTTGAGATGGCCGTGCGAGCCAAGGATGAATTAGATGTCTGGTAAGATAACGCAAAACCCGCATTGCTTGAGCTGACCCATTGCAGGCAGAACAATTGGCCTCCTGTCAATCCACCATCTAAGAGCACTATGGTGGCTTTGCCATCGCCGTCGCCGACTTCCGTCGATGCCGAAGATGAGCAACCGTCGCTTTTAGCCAGTCGACACCGAGAGACTATACTGAGCTCAGCAGAACGAATAAAGCTGACGACGAAATCCCGCAAACGAAAAGCCTCTGTCTCCTCACCGAGCGGTCCACGCAAGAAGAGAGCCGTTGGAGTTACGAATATGACTCCCCCTGAACAGATCGCGAAACCAGAAAAGCTTACAGTGGTGCCCGAGCAGAGATCTGAGAGGAAGTCCGGTAAGACGGTACCTGCCACACCCAGGAAGAAGAAAGACAATTATCTCCTGCCAACCCCTCCGAGCAGCCTCAATATTCAGAGTACTTCAGGCGTGATGCTTACGACGATGTCGGACCTCACCAGCCACCCAGAAAACACGCCTCTCAAGTATCGGCACAAATCTGCAGAGTCTCAGAAGAATGGGAGGAAGAATGGGAAGACTGATGTCAGTTACCTCTCTGCGATGATGCCTCAGAGATGAACGACATCCACAAGCGCTTTGACGATAGCGATTAAAAGCTACGAGTGGATCTGCAGCGCACTTGAAAGACAGAATGGGAGGATGTCAGGCTACATGTCCACTCCGCCCGCAACCGCAGCGGTGGACAAGGATGCTGGTCATACAGTGCAGCACCGAATACGACGCTGGTTTGTCCGAAACCCTGAATGAGGGCTGAAGGGGAAGGAGCGCTACGACAAGATTGTTGATTCTAGGAGCTGCATAAGGGTGTGAGTCTGGTTCGGGATCTCGTCAACATAGACGGACTGTGTCCTGAAATCATGTCAGGTCCACTATGTATTCCGCAGCTGAGTTAATATGCATTCACACTCATTCTGTCAGGTAGGGACTCTCAGAATGGCAAGCGGTTCAAATCAGGAAGGCTTCTTGACAGCATTGCGGGTGCAATTGCGGTGTATGGGGCTCCACGCTCCTTTGACGAGACCCCTAAAGACGGCCCGAAACGGCTGTTCATCTGAGGCTGGTGAGTACCAGTACAAAGTCCTGTACCAAACATTTTACCTTTACCAAAGCTACTCCTGCTCTCAGCCACGACGGTGAAAGAGCAGCGCTTCAATAATACTAGCAGAGTGAGATTGTTTGACGACTGAGGTCAAAATCTGAAGTGTCTGGGGATTATGCAATCTGTTATATTTCAGGGCGTTTCCCGTGACCTTCCCTTTCAGGTGGTGGCTTCGGAAATGTGCTGGCGAACTCCGGAAGCCAATCGATCATCAGATTCCGGAAGTAGCAGTCGCTTCGTGGTGAGTCGGATCTTCATGCGTCGTATGCTTTGCTTTCTCTCCCTACATTCACCCTTTCAGGCGGCAGATCTGGCCATCCTAAACAACAAGTGTCTGTAGATGGACGTCAACACGCTTTGGCACCATCAAAGCTGTATCCCTTTTTGGTAACTCTTGAAAGGGCGCTTTTGTAATTTTACCGAATGTACCGCGTCAATTAGGTCAACGTGAAGGTTCGATGCCTGTCGCGATCAGCGGTACTTTGGCCTGGACCGCTCACACGTCTTCATTGCTGGTCTCGGCTCTACGTACTAGGATCGTTGCGGTATGTGCTTTCTTTGCCACGCTCTCGGGATCGACAACTCGTGGTCTTGCCAGACATGCGCGACATCTATGGCGACGAATCGCATGATCGTGGTTGCAATACCGTCCTGTCGTCTTACTTTTGTGGTATGACTAGCCCACCAGGGCGTGCAAGCATTGGCCCATGGATACTAATCTCCCGGTGTCCGCATACCGCATCCATGGTGTCGTTCAACGCACTTCCCTAACCGGCAACAGCTTTAATTAATGTCGGTTCATGAAAATCCTCGAGACTCGTTCAACAAGGCAATAATGTTGCTTCTTGGAGTTTAGCTCAATGGACAACGTCAGAGCGGCTACTACATCGATCACTTTGCATTCATCCCTGCGGTTGGAACCATAATCTGATGGTTGCTTTGCGTCTTCAAGGCTCCTTTCTCACTGTCCCAGTTACCTGAAATGGTAGTCGCTTCATATCGTCGGTTCATGAAAAGCTTCAAGATGATCAAAGAAGGTAACTATCATTGCTCCTTGAACTTATTGCTGCAAAGTATCTCTTGTCCAGGCTTTGAAGACTTCGCGAGATGCATGCATGGCATGCCTCACTTGCTTCTGCATGTCATGTTGAGCCTGATGTATTCGAGGTCCGTTCATCATGACAGCGGGAGAGCTTCCACACGGTCAACAATCCGTATTCTTCATTCCCAGGCGCATCCCTGGATGGAGCGGACTGTGACAGTGAAGAAACCTCCTCTACTTCATTGTCAGGATGGCTACAGCGTGACTGTTTCGATATCCCAGCAATCATGATTGAGCCATTCTGTTGATCGAGCTGTCTGCCTGATCCTCACCCACCACTGATGTTGTGCACTCCGCGGGTCTGACCCGACGTGCGTCGAGGCGGTCTCCTTGTCGCTGTTCAACAATTTGGCTCCGTCTTACATGGGCCTTTTCGAGCAACATCACTGCCGATCTTCAGATTGTCCGACGCCAGGTCCTTGTGCTGTAAGAAATCCAAAGTCACAACCCAGATGAGCTTGATTGACCTCTCTCTCATACAGTCCACGATATCCTCTCCGACCATGTCTTTCTAACCATTGCTCTGGTCGCCCTTCACCTTTTCCAGACAAATGCTGAGCCCGCTGTTTCCGCTCGGCTATCCGCTTACTGATCTCTTCTTGTTCTAACTCAAGAGTCAGAGTCCTCTTCTCAATGTCACAGACAATGTTATCGCCAGTCTGCACGATACCGAACACTGAATCGAGATCCGCAGACTCTGGCGATATGTGCAGTATGATCGTGCCTCCTGCCGTTCCACTCATCCGCCCGTCGCTGATGCGTAGCATATCTCCGACTCCCTGTCTGCCTAGCTTCTGTGGTATCGGGATGAGACCTGCCTCAGGCATGCCTGGATTGCCGACCGGACCTATACTCTTGAGAATCAAAATGGAGTTTTCGGTCACGTCCAGATCCGGTGAGTCGATTCGTTTGGCCATGTCTGCTGTATTTTCGAACACGCAGGCTGATCCTCGGTGTTGAAGGAGCTTGCGGTTCTTTGAGGCGGATGCTTTCATGACTGCACCGTCCGGGCAAATATTGCCGTACAGCACGACCAGGCTTGACTGTGGGTAGAGAGGGTCGTCGAGAGACCGGACGATTTGCCGAGAATATGCAAACGATTTGAAGGGCGTGGTGTCGAGAAGTTCGCCTAACGTCTGGTCACTGTAGGTTCTGGCGTTGAGGTGTAGTAGTGGTCTTAGTGTGTGCATCAAGGCCAGCATGCCGCCTGCATTGTGAAAGTCGGTCATGTAGTTGTCGCCGCTAGGCTTGAGGTCGACTAAAAGTGGTGTCTTCCTGCCTATCTCGTCGAAAGTCTTGAGGTCGATCGTGCCCGCGACCTGCGGGTGTCTGTTGATGATAGCCAACAGGTGTACGACAGCGTTGGTGCTGCCGCCAATGGCCTGTAGCACGGTAATGGCGTTGAGGAAGCTCTCTCTCGTCAGAAGCTCTTGCGGTTTTGTGTTCTCGATCTTTAACATCGCGACCGCATTTCGGCCAGCCTGTTCAGCCACACGTAGCCGCGATGAGGTCACGGCCGCAGCGGTCGCACCGGCTCGTAGTTCGAGGAGACCGAGTCCGGCGGTGATGCAGGCCATTGTCGATGCAGTGCCCATCACACCACATGTCCCGCCCGTGGGCGCGAGTTCCTCGTTGACAGACATGATGTCCTCAACATCGACGTCGCCGGCGCGGAACTTGGCCCAGTAACTCCTGCAGTCTGTGCATGCGCCGACCCTGACGCCCTCGACAGACCCGGGCATCATGGGCCCCGTGATGAGAGGGATGACAGGCTTATTGGCGCTGATCCCGCCCATCAATTGCGCGGGGACCGTCTTGTCGCACCCACCGATCATGACCACCGCGTCGACGGGTTGCGCACGGGTCATCTCCTCGGTGTCCATGGCCATTAGGTTACGTAGGTACATTGATGTCGGGGATGAGAAGCTCTCGTGGATACTGATGGTTGGGAAGTCCACTGGCAATCCGCCTGAGGCCAGAACACCGCGTTTCACGGATTCGATGAGCTGCGGGACATTGGACTGGCATGGGTTGAAGGAGGAGTAGGTGTTTATGATTCCGATTATAGGTGACGAGAGGGCTGAGTCGGAGTAGCCCAGGGCTTTGATGAAGACTTTGCGCAGGAATAGGGAGAAGTGGGCGTCGCCGTAGGATGTGAGGCCTGACCTTAGGCCGGATGTTGAGTTTATGGGTTGGGAGAGGTCGTAGTCCTGTGCTATTTGGTTGCTGTCGCCATTGGCCTGGGATGATGAGTTGTTGTTCGCCATGTTGGCCATCCAGGTGCCGGTCGTGGCTGTCGTGGACCTTGAGGCTGACTCTTCGTCTGTCGACTCACTACCTCACAGGTTCAATCTTTGTAGATAGCAAGTCCAGACGTTGAGCTGGGATATGAGAGGTCTTGATTGTAAATACTAAATTGAGGAGAGTTCCCTGTGGTGAGTGCGGGGGGCGGCGTTTGGGCCGACGATGGCCGACGTCCCCCGGAAATGAAGTGGTCAGGTCTGGTCCGACCTGGTTCTTACCTGCCTACGATGGTCATGTGTAGACCCGAGATATGCCTTGGGTATGGAAGACTTACTGTACAAAGCTGACCTTGCTTCGTGGTACCTGGCTGTGGATGAATACTTGTAAGCGTGTGTGGGTTAGGGGTCTTGAGAAAAACTTTTTAGGCTCGCACGTCATTTGGGTCATAGACCTTGAGCCCGCCTAAGTTAAACCGGCACTCTACCGGATAGGATGCGCCTGTTTTGAAATCGGATTTAACCGCAGGCTGGCCGGCTTTCATTGTTGCGAGTTGAAAGCCCATAGCCAACCTGACTACTCTGCAGTTGTCCCTTAGCTGCACTGGTACTCGGTTGAATGTCAAGCACGATGAGCTCGTCCCCTCGTAGACTTGAGGTGATGGCCTCGGTCAAATAGCATAGAGTACTCGTTCAAGTACGCTATGTCCAGGTATCGCGCAATTGGAGCATGTCCAAGCAAATTGGTGCTTGTACTTGTCCCATGTATCTGGTTCCTTACCTGTCGGGTTTGTGTTCTTGATGTACTCCCTGTCAACCCCTTGATAGCAGCGGTCCCCATGCTGGTAACGAAGAGGAATGTGGACTCAGAAATATGGAGGTCACCCCCAGCAACCTGGCTGCCCAAGCCTTGGAAGACCGGCTCCTGGCTGTTTAGTGGAGGGGAGATCGAAGCAACTTTTTCTGGCCCTGGGGACTTCCGCCAGTGCTCCAGACTACGCCCAGCCGCCGTCCGTGTCACCCTGAGGCTGCCTTGATTGGCTTCCAAATCGAAAAATGAAATATATTGAACCTACCACATTTTGGCCAACAATTCTACCTGCCGGGGGTAAGCAAAACTGTCTCATGATGACATATTGCGATCCTAACTTCTATATAGTAGCTCAATCGGTAGAGGTACGAGTTTTCGGGTGTTCGCCTTTCGGCTCTCTTGCTAATGCACATCTCAGCGTGTGTATGTGATTGTCCAATTCTCGCTCCATCCGCAACCATCTGACACCTATCCTAGGGCTCTTAAATCTCTTAAAACAGGTGGTCACCTCAAGGCGTTAGTTATCGTTGCACCTAGACTCTCGTTGACTTTACTGACATGTTCCAGTGTGGGTTCGAGGTACTTAAACTCTTTCCACATATTCTTACTGCCAGCTAACGCCCACGCTGTCCCACCTTGTGAGCGCTGACCCCTGATTGTATCAACGTGAACACTTCTGAAAAGATCTTAGCGGCTCTATTCCGGAAGAAATGGACTTTTTTTTGCATGTTCTTTTACCCTTGGTGGTGCGGGAATCTGATGTGGGAAGAAGAGATCCACAGTGCCACGTGATCAGGCTGAACATCCCCTTTTCATGCACATACTAGGTGCAGGGTGAGTTTCAGCAGGCAAGTACGGTTCGCTGCCATTCACTATCTGTCCTTTTCCCTCTCCTTGCGATCTTCGCTCCCTATCTCCTGTGCACGCGCCTCGGCGCGGCTTCCTCCGCTCGGTTCTACTGCTGCTCTCATCCAATCTCGAGATTGTCCCACTGCATGCCGACCATGCAGTGAAACCGAACTCTTGACGTTACAACAAATGTAGACGTCGCTGTGAGCGAGCCTGAATCCACTTACTTTCAAGCGCAAACCTGCCGCATATGTTCCTGCAAGTTTATAGGTTACTATTGGCTTTGCGTCAGCGTCCTGTGGTTTTCTTTTTAGGCGCCCAACGCAAGGCGTTCGAATATGTTTGACTTGATTCAGCTGGAATACAGTCAACGTCAAAAGCCAAAACCTTTCCAGTCTCTCGATATTGTCCTGGATGGAAGATATCTACCATTGAAAGTCCTGAATCTTGGCCACAACAGGCAATATCCCCTAGTCTTCTTGGAGGTGTAGACCACTTCAGACTTACTGGCATTCGAAGGCCTGACAGATATCTACTTATGATAGCATACGGTCCACTATGGAGCAAAATGCCCTTCTCCCAGGCCGACGTCCAGCCCGCATAGGCGGGCGTGAAGAGGAGATTGTGAGATCATTGCACAGTAACACACATGAACTTGCATCGGAAAAAGGCCTCAACGATATCGATATACTGCTCGTTAACAATACCACAGAAGCTGCCAGGAAAGACAAGGAAAAAGGGTTATATGTTCCAAGTCGGCCTCATGAAGTACGACCCTACGATCACACAGGTGTTGTTGTCACACTTGGTAGCCAGAATCGCCTCGAGCTCCAGCTGAACGATCCCTCACCAGCTCCCTATGACATAGAGCCGATGATGAAGCTACAGAGCCAACACAAAATGTGCTTGGCTTGCACAGATGCCATCGACTACTTTTGTCGCTACCGAGAACTACGCTGGACGGTATGTCGCAAACTTGTTGCCCCAGTATAACAATGTTGACAACCGCAGTGGAATGAAAATAATGAGGAGCCATTTCCCATTCCTAGTAACGTTGTCCATCACTACAATCTATGGTCGCTCATGGCGTTCGCCCAAATCCACAAATGCTTCATTTGTCAGGAGCTATGGGCTCGGATACAATTCTACTATCCGAGCTTGGAACCTGAGCAGCTCCTCAAGTTCCGGATGGAGTGTGCATGGGCTAAACGGTGCCTGAACACGGAAGAGGATAAGATTGTCTTCATGATGTTTGACCCAGATATTCCCAAGGAGCCCGTCTGGAACTATAAACGCTTCTGAGGGTGTCGTTATGGCGCACCGATCATTTTTCAAGCCATTTTGACCTATCACTGAGATCCGACGACGTCCAAGGTGCAGACCTTGGGGCTTTATCTCTGGAGAGCTATCCTTCCAACCACTCTCCTGTTACGCACGCGCTGATGAGATCTTGGCTCAGGAAGTGCAAGACCAACGCCGATGGCAAGCACGATCAATGTAACAAGCAAAATGGAAACTACTTACCCACACGGCTACTTGATGTACGGACGGCTCTGACCTCAGATCGAGTTTTGCTAGTTTGCTCAGCCACAGACCCTACCCGGTTTGAAAAGGATCGATTATATGCGTCCTTGAGCCATTGTTGGGGGACATGGGGTGCGACAGACAACCCGGTACTGCTCAATGAGAACTTAGAAGCACGTCAGCAGAAAGGTCTCCACCTGAAAGGTATCCCTAAGACCTTTCGTGATGCAATCCACATTGCTGGGTCACTCGGTAGTAGGTATATGCTCCCATAGGATCTTACTGTCGTCCTAACGCCTCTTGTAGTCAAGTGGATTTGGATTGATTGTCTTTGCATCATTCAGAATTCGACGGCTGATTGGCTCCACGAAGCGTCAATTATGGATAAAATCTACCAAAATGCCGTGGTGAATATATCTGCAGACCATAGGGAAGACAGCCGGGCTGGATGTTTTGTTGAACGGCATCCACTCGACATTCGCCCAATACAATTCGAGTCCTTGAAGAGCAAGGTATCATGGCAAGTTACGTTTGACGACACGTTCAGGTGGATCCATACGTCGCCTTCTTTCGGTCGAGCATGGATAATGCGAGAACGTCAGCTGTCCCGTCGTATACTCCACTTCATCGACAAGGAAGTTGTATGGGAATGCTGCGGCGTCGAGAACAGCTCATTTGCAAGTGAGTCTTTGCCCGGTGGGGCGCCGTTCAAGAAAGTATTCGAGGATCAACACAAGTTCCAAACCGGAAGGCTGCAACAGACGCTAGGCGATGATCTGGAGGAAACCTATGCGCTGTGGAACGATGTGTGCGAAGATATTTCAAAAAGATCTGTCACAAAGGCGCCTGATATGCCTATCATTCTCTCCAGTCTGGCAAGAGAATTTCACCGAGTTCTTCCAGAGGACGATTACTGTTCGGGTCTATGGAGGTCCACACTACCCAAAAGTCTGGCTTGGTCATCTATTTCTTGGGCGCCTCGTAATCGAGCCTATATTGCGCCATCGTGGTCCTGGATGTCGGTAGCGACAACTGTGAAGCTTGCTCTGCAACCTTCACATCGCAGCGTGCTACCTCTCGCTGAGGTGGCCTCCATCGAAAATGAAATCAGACACGGCGATCCCTACGGCGCTGTGAAAAGTGGTGTCATCCACATGGATGGCTTCTTGCGGCAAGTGCGTCTGGACTTCGAGCCTGATGCCCGATTGAACTTGAGCGTGTTCGATACATACTCTGATAATGATGATGATACCATTTCCCAAAAGATCCGACTGATCGGGCCTAGCTGGGAGGACTACGATGGTGATATGTGCACAGCCGAGCTTGATACACCAACGGACAATAATTCAATCGTCTGTTTCGCGTTTTTGGTGGGGATAGACGAATGGATGCAAGACATGGACTCGAACGACCGAACAATCAAGGCAATCTTACTCGAACCCGTCGACGGGAGCGATGGAGCATTCCGCAGAATTGGAGTGCTTGCACTGCAAGACTTGTACAGCCTGAAGATGAGGTATCGGGTTGTGTCAACACACGATCCTGGCGAGCAAGGTCGGGATTCAACCGCAGATGAGACATGGGCCGCGATGGCTGAGTTCATCAAGATCAAGAGATGGTCTGTCAGCGAGACGTCACGATTGGACGAAGATCGTGGCGCTTCTGGAGATTCAAGGAGTGAGTCCAATGAACCTAAAGAGGCTTCTCAGGAGAGTGATGATTCAACCGGTGATCTCGACCAAGAGCTAGATAGCGCCAGCGAAGAGGATGGTGCCGACAGAGAGGATGGTGCTAGCGAAGAGGATAGTGCGGGGGACAAGATAAGAGAAAGGCTCAGGGCCCTGTTGCCGGTCCTCCAACCCCATGCCAATGTCTCCGAAGATGCTGGAATCGAAGAGGCCTTCACCATTGCTTCAATGACCGAAAGAGGTGGGATGAGACTGCCTCCGCATGAGGCTTTGTACCAGTTCGACGATGCTCTCCACAAGCTGCGTGAGCAGCAAAAGCTGGTTCCGTGGTTGCAGAGATTGCGACCGACGAGAGTGACAGTCATCTAGATCCTTGTGTGGTTTCAACGCTTGAGGAGTATCAGTCCTGCGAGCCTGTTCTTAGAAAGTGGCACACCCTGACCGCTGTAGCTGGTCAGGGTCAAGTAGGTACCATTCTTGATGGAGTTCCGGAGTCCTTGACACACAACGATATAGGGTTGGCCCTTAGCAGGGGAAAGGTTATCACCCCTACCGTACATGCCTACTAGGTTGGAGTCAACGCACCCACTGTCACGAACTCGCTGGACGCAGTGCTCATATTGTAGAGGTACTCCATGTCAGACGGTGCCCCTTTTCTTGGAAACAGGCTTGCCGTTACTGTTCCAAAAAAAACATGATCCTGCAAAAAATCCGGAACATGCATATGCATATTGTACAAAGCCACATTCAGATCATTGATTTACTGACACGTCGTACAAGCGAGTCATCGAATGTTCCTCTTCTACCAATGGGGCAGCTTACGTGGCACCTTTGCCGGATAGACGGAACCAACTAAGTGGGTAATAGCCTTTGCGAAGCAGTGTACGGCCGTCACACCAACGCGGACTTTCTTTTCTCTTTCTCTCGTAGCCGGAGACGGTTGAAAATGACAGCCCCCCATATCTGCGCCAGGCTGAAAAGTACGTGCAGTACAGGCGTCACCACTTTGAAGGCAAGCCTCCATTTTGACCAGAGACTCCCAAAGAGCCACATCACAACAGCGGTCTCGATGACTGTCCCAGCCACTTCCAACCCGCATGTCACCTTGAAGATCCTCTCGAGCAAAAGGTGGTCGTCGTGGCGGACTCGGTAGATGATCATAGCCACATGAGGATAAAACTCGGCAACAACATCGAATGCACCTATGAAGAGGGTGAGTAAAAGCAACAGCGGGCTAGTGGTTGACACCCACCCCAAACGAGACAGAGAATAAATTCATCTGTAGCATCTCGGTCGTGAGCGTACCCTAGAGTCAGAGCAACCGCAGTCTGCGCGATCACAATGGCGCCGATGTGATGTGCTGCACTGATCGGCGAGATAGCTGTCCTATAGAAGAGTTCGAAGATGTACATGACTGTGAATATTTGCGAACAAACCATCGCGACATCGCCCAATGTTGTTAGGTGACTTGGGCCAAATGGTGAATGCGGAGTTCCGTGGCCAAACGCCATGGAAATGAAGGGGTATGCACCGGAAAACAAGAGAACCAGCTTGGTTCCACCGGCAACATGGTGATTGACAAAGCTTCGACGATTCGTGTCGCTCAGGTCGGTGTACTTGGACCCGTAGAGTCGAGGAAGAAGCCATGACTCGAGAACATATAGTCGTATCAGGAAAATAATGACAGCGCTGATTGTGATGATGAGAGCAGAGAAAGGTGCAAGTGGGGAGATCGATTCGTTCGAAAGTGTTGCAACATGAGAGTGATCATGGCGGACGTCCAACATCTTTGCTCGCAGACTGCTTGCTTGTTGCCAGCTCAGGGTATTGCAGTCAATGCAATGTTGTTGCTTGTGGCTTCATATATATACGCTCCTGTTGACCTCGGTTATTGCGAGCTTTAAGTTGACGTGTCATGCTCTAAATCCCCTTAAGCGTTGCAAAGGAACATGCTTTTGAAGCCCCTGATTTCGTTTCATTAGTTTCAAACAAACTTTGCACATACCTTTTGTCCCGTGGGGTAGACTTTGGTTCTGGAATGTGGATATGTAAGAAGAACGAATAGCTGATCGAGTGACATCCATGGCGGTTGCTACAGGCCCTGCCTTACGCCACACCCTCCACCGACCTGTCTCGATAATACTGAATTGAGACATTTGCAGTTCAGTCACGTGTTTGTCAACAACATCTGTCACTGGAACGGTCTGGATGAACCACGACAATATGGACAAGCTGTGCCAAAGGCCAACTCTAAGCGCGGTGTCTGTTATATGGATGAAGCTGGATTTGGAACCGGCACCGAGGTCGAAATCTTCATCCACCAGGTCAGTAGGCCCTGAGTTGCTGCATTCCATGTCGCAAGTCGTGGGCGCACTTGCACCATTATGCTCGAGGCGGCGAGCCTGCTCCCAGCAAAGTGGCACTGACCGGCGGTAGTCAGTAGTACGTCGGCGGTATAAACTCATGATCCAGCGCGACCACAGAACGGGTGCCTCGACTTCAGGCTAGTAAAGATACACGGTAGAGGTGATGGCCCTTCCTCCTGTGAATACCTAGCGCTATACAGCGCTGGGTGCACAAGACTCCAGAACGACAAGAAGGAAAGGTTTCCCCCTAGACTTGAAGAGCGACAGTGGTCAGACAATGCCAGATTTCTGGACATAGGCTTGTCATGTGATCATGACCCATGATTTCATGCGTCAAGTCGTCGTGACTTATAGCGGAATGGTTCGTCCCCATGACAAGTTTGACAAAGATGAACAACAGAGTGATGGACGATTGATGGTGAGAAATCGTTGGAAGTCATCCGGGACTGATCCGGGCTTGGCATGTTTGATACGGATCGTTCGTTGCCGAAGTTGCCTGCAAGGTTTATGTCATCCGATCTTTTGGTGAACGTTCACGCCATCTTCGAGAAACATACCCATGCCATTGAAATCACACATCAAACAAACGTGTATCTCATACAGTTGACGAGATCAATTCGCGACACACGTGCAGGTTTGAGGGCAGAGCACCACAACCCTCTCCTACGTATTGCACAATCTTCAACTAGGCACCCTCCAATCTCGAAGCCATCAGAATCTTGATACCATGTCCGTCAAGTACGTTCCCCTTGCTTTGTTGTTCAATCGGTATTTGACAATACTGCTCTCAGCTGGGTGATGCTCGATGGCAAAGGAGGATTTGTTCCTCTACCGGGCGAAAAGGTCATTCACAAATCATCGCCACGAATTGCCCTGGCAATCACGACCCCAACCAGTTATCCAGGCAACAACCCATTATCCATACATTCCAACTCAGGCATCGCATATGTCACCAATCAAAGGGTATGGTCATATACAATCCTGTGCCACACACTCGCCCTGACCGCGTACAGGTTGTCTATCTTCCTGAGAAGCCCACTGCAGAACTCAAATCATTTTCTGCACCGTTGCTCAACCTTCACGACACTCATGTCACAGTGCCATGGTTTGGGCCGAATGCTTGGCAGGCAGCCCTCCAGCCTGTACCGGGTGGCAATATTCCGGGAACACAGGCAAGCATCGAAGTCAAGTTGACCTTCAAGGAGGGCGGAGCGCCAGATTTCCATTCCAATTTCGAGAGAATTAAGGAAAGACTACAACAAGTTGTATCCGTAGCAAGAGAGAACAACCTCACTGGTGGCCGACAAGACAACATCAACCTTGACACCGTGCATCTCGACGAGTTACCCACATACCAAGAATCTGGACATGACAGGGTCGCGCCAGCTAACGCTGCTGAACCTGCTGATCTACTGGAATCGCCGGGCGGGGCGAGTCCCATCGGCGCGCCAGAGACGAACTCTGCGGCAGTCCAACCGCCGCCAGATGCGCCGCCGGGATACGAAGAGACACAGCAGCAGAGTATACAGGCTGAATTAGATCGGAGACTCAGTCAGACTGACCGCTGAACCTCTAACGACGGGAATGGATACCAGTATTGTATGATTATGCACCATGGCGTTGGGCGTCCAGTCTAAGAGGCCGTGCACAGCCCCAGACATTCTTGTAGGTTAGTGGCGTGGAATAGTATGATGAACAGCGACGATTGCAATAAGATATGGCATGATAATAACTTTCTTTCTCTTGAGAACTCCAGGAGCAGAAATTGTTTTTGTTCACACAGATCGTGGCATGTCATAGACTGGCAGGCAGTGCTATCCGAGATGATCTGGAAAAAAATTGACGTTGGTGGTGGTTTCTTCCCAGGCGAGTTTTTAAGGATTCAGCCGCAATTGGCTGCGGAGAATAATGTAGGTCAGGGAAAAGGGGATCTTTAGGGGACAGATCTATTTACTACAGTAATAACCATGAACATTTGCCCTCGCCCATGCCCTTGTGGCCAGACTGTTCAACACATCTCACTAATTCAACTCCTACACTCTCTTGACGCCATTCCTTGCTTTCTTGTACAATTGTTACTGTTCTTCGAACTTGGCCTTCAATTCGACGCATGTAAAACCACACCAAGATCGTCAGCATGCGCCTCCAACACGCCTCCCCTTTCTTCCTCGCCTTCTACCTCTTCCTCCGACCTCACTGCATCCGGGCGGAAGCTCAGTGTGCGATCGACCCTAACTCGATCGTCACCGATGCATGCACTTCATACTCGGATCTAGATAGACTAAACGTCGAATTATCGCCTTCTGTCGAAGACCTGACGCAAAACACCGACTTCTTCGCCTACTACCGATTAAACCTGTACAACAAAGTTTGTCCGTTTTGGACCGATGAACACTCCATATGTGGAAATCGTGCATGCGCGGTAGACACGATAGACGACGAGAGTGACATACCCCTGATATGGAGAGCGGAGGAACTAAGTAAACTCGAGGGCGCCAGAGCGCAGCATCCGGGACGTGCCCTTCAGCGAGAACGGCCCAAGAACCGACCATTACAATACCAGTTGGGAGAGAATGTGGATGAAAGTTGCGTCCTGGAAGAAGATGACGAGTGTGATCAGAGAGACTATTGCATGCCGGAAGATGAGGGTTCCACTGGCAAGGGTGACTATGTCAGTCTTGTGAACAATACCGAAAGATACACAGGGTATTCCGGATTGGGTGCCCGACAGGTTTGGGACGCGATATACAAGGAGAACTGCTTCTCTGCGAAGACGGCTCGCCATGCATCGCTGAAACCCAAGCCTCTACAGGCAGCGGAGAGTCTGAAAAATGTCTTTCAAGAATACGGACGACAACACGTGGATGACAGCGACGACATGTACCCGCTAGACGATGAGTGTCTGGAACAGCGCGCATTCTATCGGGTAATCAGTGGAATGCACGCTTCCATCTCAACGCATTTGTGCTGGGAGTACTTCAATCAGACCACAGGCGAATGGGGTCACAATGTCGAATGCTACAAGGAGCGACTGCACAACCACCCGGAGCGAATATCTAACTTGTACTTCAACTATGCAATTTTGACCAGGGCGATCGCCAAGATCAGAAAACATCTCGAGTCATACACGTTTTGTTCTGGTGATCCGGAGATTGACTTCGAGACGAAACAGAAGACGCTGCAGCTCGCTGACAAGGCTGCCTCTGGACCACATACCTTTGACGAGTCCATCATGTTTCAAGATCCGGCGGTTGTCGACCTTAAGGATGACTTCAGAAACAAATTCCGAAATGTCTCGAGGTTGATGGATTGCGTCGGCTGCGACAAGTGCCGGCTGTGGGGAAAGGTGCAGACCGCTGGGTATGGTGCTGCCTTGAAAATCCTGTTCGAATTCGACGAGAAGAAAAACGGCGAGAATCCACATCTGCGCAGGACAGAACTTGTGGCGTTAGTCAACACCCTCGGCCGCGTCAGTCACAGTCTGGATGCGGTCCAGAAATTTCGAACCGCCGTGAACACTGGCAATTACAGTGTCTTGGACATCCTGGGTCCTCTGCCTGTGTCCGATGAGAGTGCCACCAAAGAACCCGCAAAGGTCGAAACAGTAGACGAGGACGAAGATTTTGACGAGTTTGACGATGATTATGAGACGGAAGCAGTGCGACCCCCTCAGCAAACGATAGCCGAAGAATTTCGGTCGGAGTTCGACCTCGTTTGGCGAGCGCTTAAGATGGTTTTGAAGAGCTGGGTTGACATGCCGTTCAAGCTCTTTGCCATTCTCGTCATGGAGTTGAATCGATTGTGGAATTTCTGGTTGGGTTTGCCGGTTCCTGATCGGTCATGGGACTTTCAATTCCCTACCAGAGATGAATTGTATAGAGATGAATTGTAAGATTGTGCGGCAGGGCATATGGCTTTGGGCGATGGAATATTTTTAAGCGGGCATATATCAAGCAACGGGTACGCATTATACAGTACTATAGCACAAGCGTTGGCGTTGGAGGTGCTAATGGATACAACACATCGCGTCTTTATGGTCCTCCTGAACCTTCTCCAAAGCGATGGAAATCGGCTTACACGTTCCCGTGTTCCTCTCCGACGCAACTCTGACCGAACTGTCGAGCCGGCCGCATACGCGACTTATGACCGTGAAACGGACCGCGTCGCTTGGCTCTCTAAGGAGCTTAAGCCTCAATATCACTTTGGAGACTTCTCGATCCTTAGTACCAGAGAGTGCGCTTGTCGTCTGACTCATCGCGAAGTTCGACATAAGTTCAGCCACTGGAGCGGCTGTTCTCTTCCTGCGTCGCCGCCGTTCCAGTGGTCAACTTTCGCCAGTGGCTGAGGAAGCTGAGCCCAGAGCGACCTGGGAGCAGAGCCGACGTCAGAACTTCGCTACTGAAACCTCCAGGAGAGCTACCTGGTAGCAATGCGATCAGTCATGGCCAGCTTTGGAATTCGGCAGGCCACGGCGACGCCACTATGATCTCAGGGTGGGAGTCACCCGCTCCAGAGTACAGTGCAATGCAAAACAAGACAACACGCGGCGAACCACATGAGATGGAGTGAGGCTTGTCTCTGTCAAGAACTGTCTTTCCATAGGGAGTTTGAATCTTGATCATGACCTTCCCGTCCATTCATAGCTTCCGAGATTCTGTTGGGAGATGCATCCCGTCGTCTACTGAAATCCATCGATCTTCTCACTCACAGAGAAGCCTTCTGCTGACCAAGACCGCCCTGCTTAACATTGGTCAGGAAATCCAAAACAGCCTCCAGAAAGAGCTGGGGTTGATCGATATTGACCGCATGCCCTGCATTCGGAATCACAACCTTTTTCGCCCCTGGAATCTTCTTCGCCATATACTCGCTTGCTGCCAGGAACGGTGTATCGTCACCACCTACAACCACGAGAGCCGGCACTTTGATACGGCTTAACGACTCGATCACTCGATTATCCCTTTGAGCCAACATGCCTCCCGCAGCAAGAGCAAGTCCTTTGGCATCTCGGTGACTGACAGAGGCTCGCTCCGCGCTCATAGATTGCAGGACCGCAAGACCTTCCCGGTCGAATCTCTCTCCTGTTGCAAACGCCGTTTCGTTCCATTGCTCCCGAGCAGAGTCCTTCTTGAACCCAGGTCCAGTGTCGATGATGAGCAACGTGGACACGCGAGACGGGTGGACGCGATAGAACGCAAGAGACATATATCCACCTAGTGAAAGACCGCCAACAATGGCCGTGCTCCTTGGGCCGCACACCTCGTCTAGGAGTGCGGCCATGTCTGCCACAGTGTTCGGTTCGCTATATGCCGATTGCTCAGAAGGGTAGTCGCTTTGACCGTGACCACGCATATCCCAAATGATTAGTTTGAACTTTTGCGACAGCGCCGCAACTTGACCGGCCCACATTTCAGACGTCGATGAGTAGCCGTGGGTGAGGAGCAAAGGTGGTCCTGCTCCGTGCACCTCATAGTAGATGCGAACTCCATTTCGATTGAGAGAGGGCATGATTACGATATGCCGGATCGTCGAGCAAATACCAACAGTGGCATCTTTGTAGTGGACAAGCGGTGATAATGATACATACCCACCACAAAAGAACATTATGGGGCAGCCCCGCGTTCCCCGCGTTCGTGAACAACCTCGGTGTGCCTAGGTAAGGTTGCTGGGGGATGCTACAAGTTTTGTGCGGTCTTGATGTTCTATTCGGCTTCTTCATCGTTCGGACATCTCTGTCAAGACTATTGGGTCGCAGCTTCTTCGCGCAGGCGATCTCTCACTTTCATCAATGCCTTGCCTAACAGGTTCCTTCCCCATTCGTCTTCTTTGCCCTCTGCCTCATCCCCTCTAAATCCAATGCCCCAATTTCTGTCAACAGGACTGGCTTCCGCGAGAAATTTGTTCCCAGAATCGAGCAGCGCCTGCCGACACTCTTCGACCTGACTATACTTCAGGTAGTTGCACGTCTCAGCGACCTCATCGACAGCCTCTTTCCATTTGTCGCCATCGTAGTACTTGACTTCACGTCCCAACTTTCCCGCTTCTTTCGGCGTTGCAGCATTCAAGATCCTCTCGGCTATGGAATCATCGCCCATGATAAGCGCCTTGCGGTACATGATATAATGCTCGCCGGTCTGGAACCGAATGCCAGGAAACTTAGGATCTGTGAAACTTGCTGGGTACCAGTTTTGCAGCCGTGCTTCTGGAAGCTGAAGTTCGTAGCCGTAGAAGAAGAGATGTTTAGATGTGTAGTGTACAGCTGGACCAAATGGTGGAGCTTGGCTTGAGGATGACATGGTTCGGGCTCCAACGGGATTTAACGAAAGAGTTGTGGCAGCAGTCTGGGAAGCTCTTTGTAGCATATAGATTTCTTACCCTTGATTTCGAGTTCGGAAGCCCAAGGAAGGCGAACCCACCAACCTGAATATCACGATTATTGTTCGATATTCACCGCCCCAGGAAGATCGAATGGCAGAGGATTGCAACGAGGTCCAATCTTGACGTCATGAGCTGGTAAGAGCATAGTATCCTTAGCTGAAGACCTCTCGAGTCCCAAATCGTTACCACTGCTGTCAGGCTATGGTGTTGCGTTTCAAGATTCAGTGTATGGGCACCGTTTCAAGCAATGTCCGCAATCCCTAATAGGAGAGTCAATTCATCAATAGAAGTTCGTTGTCAATGTAGTTGCTATGTCTCACTGTAGCCACTACGGTAGATCATGAAACATTCGATGCGGGCGCCGTCTTTGACAACAACACCATCCATCACCACCACCTTTCCATCCTCCAATTATGTTTGGAAAGGTAGGTCAATGAGTCGAGCTTTCCACTGCCGTCCATGCGCGCCTGCACGTTAATCACGCGCAGTCTGGCACATATACCACCGCTTCCCGATGGCAAACGATTGCAGTGATTCATCATGCTGGTTGAAGTCATGATCTCATCAACCATTCCAAAAGCCACCGATCTTCTTGCTTCGCTGCGTTGCTGCTCATGATTTCCTTGCCATTCAGCCTCAACTGATATACCCATGTCCGATCTCAACCGAAAGACGGACGTTTGCAAGTGTGGATACCACCATAACTGTACAACGTTGAAGTGAGGTCAGAACAACCGGAGTACTCCAAGACAGTGGCATATGAATACTCGTTGATCACGCCTACTACCCCTTCTCAGTTTCCCAATGTCTGCAACTCTTCGTCACCCTTTTCTGGGCCTCATAAGAGGACACAGGCTACCATCCTCCGACCTTGTGCAATACTCCGGCATACCGTACGCGTCCATCTCGCAGCGCTTTGCCCGATCCACCACCCTGCTTGATTTCCCATCGACGTCTCCACCAGAACCTTTCGATGCAACAAGAGCAGGACCAGAATGCATACAACCTGATAATGCCACAAAGCTCGATGCAGATTGTAACCAATTCCCACACGCTGGATTTCAAGAGCAACCGCAATCGGAACACTGTCTTTATCTCAACATCACAACTCCTGTGGCATCTCAGGATTCGTCCCAGCCACTACCTGTTGTGGTCTTCCTTCACGGTGGCGCGTTCTTCCTCGGCTCCTCAACTCGACCATATTACACCCCCGTCAACTTTCTCGCCCATGCCCTTCGAACCGATCGTCTGCATGTCTTCATCTCCGTGAATTATCGTCTGGGTGCTTTAGGCTTCTTACATTCTCCTGAAGCAGGATCTCTCATTTCACCCAACAACGGTCTGCATGACCAGGTGCGTGCTTTTGAATGGATACATCGCAATGTATCCGGCTTCAATGGTGATCCTGAGCGTATCACCGCCATTGGGCAATCTGCTGGAGCTGAATCGCTATCTTTGCATGCGATCTCCTCCAACCCCACTGCTCTCTTCAAGCAGATGGTGGCTTTGTCTGGCTCGCCCGTGACTATGCCTTGCAAGACTCCGTCACAGCATCAGGGAAACTTTCTCTCCCTTGCTCTAAAGCTTGGTATACAGGACATCGAACAAAAGTCTTCCGCGGAAATTGCTCAAGAGTTCATTCATGCGCCTATCAGCAAGATTCGCGATCTGGCATTCGTCGGGGCGCCATGCAGCTCCTCCGAAACCCTGCCGTACAACCACCCAACCATGTCACTCGTCGACTCGAGACCAACAAGCAGTGTAACTTGGATCGAGCGAGCGATTTATAGCTCAGCCACGTTCGACGGTGGTATATCGTACAACATTTTGGTAAAGTCGAGAAATGACATTGCGAAAACGTTCATACAGACCGCCCAGGAGAGCATGACGACGGCTGGCGCCACTGAACTTTTGGGACTTTATGGTATCAATGACAGCGACAGCGATACTGACGCCCTCGAAAAGATATGCCAATTCGAGTCAGACATCGGTTTCTTCTCGGCCTCACTTGCACAGGTCCAGGGTTCGAGTGCACGGAAAAAGTATTTACAGATTTTTGATCTGAAAAATCCCTTCGATGAGGGCGGAGCGCTTCCCAAGAATAAGTTTGCAACGCATACATGGGACATCGTCGCTTTACTTGGCTGTTATGACGACTTGATGGATAAGAAACAAGTGGAAGTCATTCAGCATTGGAGGTCTCGGCTATTGGACTTTGTGTATGAGAAAGACGATGGGATTTGGGCCGAATGGGATGAGCAGAAAGGAACCGCCCTGAAAGTCACAGCTGAGGGCTTACACATGCAAGGCAAGAGGGAATACATGGGCGAGGACGGAGGCAGGAGAAAGAAGCTCCTGAAAATCGCAGAGAGGGAGGAGGGAAGCGAGGGCCGGGACTTCCTGTGGGAAGGCGTGTGCAGAAAATGGCTTGATGGTTGATGCCACTCAGTAATCGTTACCTGTGGACCCGTACAGATGATGGCCAGTCTCGAGGACCTCGATCTCGTCCCCAACCTCGACATATAAATCGGCACCCTGGTCCATGGCTTGCTTGAACCCGGAATCTTCAGGGACGCAGTGCATGCCCAGATATCCAAGCGCGGCTGGGTTCCCGTTTTCCACGGTCCGATATTCCACCAACGTCGTGCTTGGTTGAGGCTTCCCCTTCTTCTTCTCCGGAGGTGCATTCTCTTCCTCGAAATGACCGGTATCCGGATTCACATTCGGCATGGTGCAGCGCGACGTCCGGCAGACGACTGAAAGGGCAGGTGCTACACGTGCCCGCCGCTCGGTCGTTGCGGCTTTGGGAAGAATTCGGAAACGCTTCCAAGTCTCCTCATCGTACGCCGGAGCACCGAAGATATACATGTTTGCACGAAACCGGAGAGCGCTTAATGGTTGATTTTCCTTGGGAAGAAGTGGAGACGTCGCGTGCACGGAAGGCAGATTTATGATATGGACCGGCTGTTGGTCCGTGTAGCCATGCATAGCAGGTGTCCCGATGTATTTGAGGGGTGCGAGGTTTTTGTTCGTCGGCACTAGCGTGTCCGGCGTACACCTCAGAAGTGTGAGAGTTTGTCGCTCGGGAACTTTGAGAAACCTCTTCAATTTCGGCAAAGCTGCTGCGACGTCAGGGATGCACTCAAGGTCAAGGCCTGAGGCTGTACGGCTGTGGATTTGGAAATCTCTGAGTTTGATCCCCAATTCGTCGATCTGCGCTGCCGTTGGGAGCAAAGGTACCGTGAAGCGTACCTCAGGCATTGCCGACAAGGACCATGACTCGAAAACGGCTTGAAGGCGTTTTGTCCAGACTGGAGCATCAGGGTCGGGGAAACTAACGACCAGGCAGCCGCCGGCTTGGACAAGGGGATCTCCTGGGTCGCTGGTCTTGTGTGGCAGCCATAGTTCTTGCTTGATTAGTGCCATCCGCGGCTTGGTTCGCTGGCTGATAAACTGCCAGTGCTTCTCGTCATTCTCAACGGCGATCGCAAAACATCTGTCGTATGCAAAGCCGATTTTCGTGAGTAACGCCCGTTTGACCTCGATTGGCGCACAGGATTTTATCGGGTGGACGTAGAGAGCTTTGATAACTATTGATTCGCTGGCGGAGTCATGTTCAGCTTTGTCGTATTTGGGATCATACTGGTCCTCCAGGTTGCTTCTGGAAAGTCCATAGCGCCGCAGGTGTCTGGGACGTCGGCGAGCTACGAGGACATGTCGAGCGACGCGTGCGATGACCAGGAAGGTAACAAGGAGAATGAGAAGGGTTGATATTCTGTGAACGACCGCGTGGAGCGTCAGCCTGCTCAACGGGCCTCGTATTAGGTCAATTAGCATATTGACGGTCGAACACTCGCGTTGCTATGCAATGACGCGGTACAAAGTAACATGGTGAGATCGACGTGGTGCTGCGAGAGGGACATATATCAAAAATGGTTGTTGTGAGAACTTAAACATTCCGTCGACGCCCTGACAATGATCTAGAGTTTGATTTCGCCGAGATTGACCCGTGAGCATCATGATTGCATTGACTATCGAGTTACTCCAGTGGTAAGAATTGTCGTTATTTATTGCTAGAAGACATATAGTATCACATCAGGGCCCGAATAGGTACCATGACACGGAGAGAATCAGTTAAGGATATTGCTGATGGCTCATATAGTACGGCCCTCCAATCGGAAAAACTGTCCAACCAACCCGACGAGGCTGAATGAGCAAGCCCGGGGCTCCCTGCATGGTTCCGCATCTTATCCTCCTCAGAATTCAAACTTCGCTCGCTTCCGGCGTACATATGCCGCGAAATCCTGCACCCAGAGGGGGTAGTTCCTCACTCCAGTATTCCCTACCTCACTCCTCGGCATGTATATTTGACCACTCCGGCCAGCCAGGACTTGCTCGACGATCGCGTTGCTGACATTGGACGCTGGGTCGATTTGGACTCCGAACTTCCGGAGCTTATCCTCGTAATCTTTGATAATTCCTGTGCTATGCCAACTCGGATGCACTGATGTGAGCTGGATACAGTCGCCATTCTCATAATAGTCGCGCAATTCTGAGCGAAGGCCTTTCATGTGCCTCATCAGCGTTGTCCAGGATAGGATCCGGTGTCAGCTTACCTTCATGTAGATACAATGCTCCAACCTTTGTGCAGCAATAGTCCACCAGTCCAGGACTGGGGTAATAACTCGCCATGGACGCAACGGTGACGATGTGACCTTTCTTGGCTTTGAGCATGCCGGGTAGGAACTGCTTGATCAGGATGAAGTGTGACGCGAGGTTCACTTTGAAGATTCTATCCGTCTTTTGCGCGTCACTGTCGATGATTTTGGTTCCGGACGCTTTGTGGAAGTCGAGTCAGCTTGCATAACGTCCATATCGTGTCAAGCATTCGACTTACCAACGCCAGCATTATTGATCAGCACCGTCGGATCTCCATGTTCTTTTCGGATCTGCTCAGCCGTCGACTCGATGGCGGCAAAATCTGTCACATCCAGCTGGTAGTAGTGCACTCCGGGAACTGGTAATCAGGTTAGTTGGGTGGTAATCAGCATAAGAGGAGTGGCCCGCACTTTTTTCAAGCTCCGCTGGCACGGGGCTGACATCCAGGATGATCACCCTTGCGTGCTTGCTGAATTCTTTCACCATCTCATAGCCAAAGCCGCTGCAGCCTCCCGTCACCACGATCAGCTCGGGCTTGCTTGTTGCGTCGAAGTCGAACGGAGTTCCAGGTTTGCTGAGCCGCCAGCGGTTCACGGCGAGGAGATTGAGGGCGGCATTGAGTTTACGGAGCACGCCAATGGCTAGTAAGTACTTCAGGCTCTTGATGAGTAGCGCAATCTGCGCGGTCGATACTCCTTTGCTATGCAGGTATCGCAGAAGAGGACCGCGATATTTCTCAGGTGCTCGGGTGAGCGCAAGGAGGACTGATCCAGTCAAAATGGGCTCGGTGGCTACCTTGCCGACCACTTTAATCGGAAGTGTAACGGCTGCTGTCACGGCCCCAGTTGCGCGTTCGACTAATCCAGTTGTCGCCATCAGATGTAGCGCCTCAACGGCAAAAGGACTTTGGTTTCAGAGGTCAAGGTACACAACACGTCTGGTTCCTATGAAGTATTTGTTGAAATTTGATGAAGAGGAGAAACTCGGCAACGACAGGACGGGAACATGCCTCGAACTCTCTAGCCCCTCCCAGCTGAAGTGTGGCAGCGACACATGTGCACATGCCTCGGTTGCTGGCACCAGCATATCCAGAAGGCTAGGCCCCCCATGGGCAACCCCGCCACCTGGAAACCACCAGGACAGGTCGCTCTTACCCCGCAGTGGCGCACAGGCAGCAGCCTATTCGCGCCCTCTAGGTCCAGTGCCGTGGCACTGCATCCCGTTGGGACTTCGGTCCATTGCTGCTGTGGCAGGCGCCTGCAAACCACGTGAAGCTCCAGATTAACATTCGCAGACGAAGGTACACGTAAAAATGTACGAGTTCCATCGTGCGTCATGTTATAATTCTTTTCTCCGCAAATGGCGCCATGTGAGTGGCGGAAAGTTGACCATGATGTCGTCAATGGCAAACTCATATGGAAACGAATAGATGCAGCAAAGAGATGAGCCCGGGTTGTACACATTCCGAGCCACGCGACAGACTTCGGCACGGGTGCCCGTTGGGCCCGTATGGCAGTGCAGGGCAAGTGATGGCGACAAAAGGACGTCTGCGCATCATCGACTTGACTCTACAGAGCGATAAGTGGTCAAGAGGTCGATGATGACGAGGTTTCATGATCTCAGCAACGTACAGTTGATATCATGTAGTAGGAACCATTAGGCAGACGTCTTTTGTGCTCACTCGTAGTTGAGACGAGTATGTGTATATAAGTCACCACTGTACATGGTTTTGACACATTTCAAGCCATCCATCACTCCAACACGAAAGATAAACAGATCTAAAAGCACAAAATCAACGATCAATCAACCAAATCAATATGTCTGGCACCGACAAATCTCACGCCACGGGCGACTCCATTGGTATTGCCCGCGATGGTCGTTCTCATTAATTACCTAGGCTAACTTGTTGGTGACAGTTCCCGAGAAGGCCCAAGAGGTACTCCCCAAGGGAGTCGAGCAGAGTGTTCCTGACTCGGTTCACGATACCGACTCTTCAGTGAGCCACGCCACTGGAGAGTCCATGGTCCCAGAGGCAATCCAGAAGGCTGCCCCGGAAGGTCTTGAGAAGGCTTTGCCAGAAAGCGTTCATCCCACCAACTGAACATCCACCCTCCACTGTCAGCAACTCGTGGAAACACAATGAAGGGCAATCGACCGCTATCTGAAATCACGATACGTGCTTGGAATTGAACATTGCAGGCGATTTACATTGGTTCACAAGATGAAAGGAGATATAGCAGTTATGCGACACATCAACGTCGTCTGAACGTGTTATCATAGTTTATATGTACATATGTGCTTTGAGCCAATAATAACATATCATGTCTCCATCGTATGACTTGTATCTCTGTCGAAATGATTCTACTCCAATTTTCTTTTTGCGACTGCGTTAGATATCCTATATCAGGAGTGAGGTTGGTTCCCTCAAGGGAACAGTCACATGTAGATGTGGTTCCTTTTCACGTCCTCAGGGGGGAATTTCCCGGTGGTTGTATATATCGATCATTTGACGAACAGTTGCACTCTCTCCGCATTTCAACCACTCGAGAGTCTGGGGTCCTGTCGACTCAACGTTACATGATCTTCACCTTTCCCCGCCGCTTGTTAACAACATGTCCGGTCTTAAAATGGAAGGTGTTGTACGACCCACAGATGGTCGGGTAGTTCAAGACCCCAAAAGCTTTCCAATCCCTTTGCAGAAACTCTCACGGCACCGTTCATCATGTCGTCCCCAAGAAGGCTGCTTGCCTATGCCACCCTGCTCCCTTCGACGATCGCATATGTAATGCCAGATGGACATACTGGCAAACTACCCACACTGGGTTGGAACTCCTGGAATGCGTATCATTGCGACGTTGATGAGGACAAGGTCTTGGCAGCAGCTCAAGCTTTGGTTGATTCCGGTCTTCGAGATGCCGGTTACACATATGTCAACATTGACGATTGTTGGTCGGAAAAGACAGGCCGTTTCAACGGTCACATCACACCAAACACGACTAGTTTCCCTGACGGTATTAGTGGACTTGCTGAGAAGATACATGCTATGAATCTGAGCCTAGGTATCTACAGCACTGCTGGCAATGCTACATGCGCTGGGTACCCGGCCAGCTTGGGCTACGAGACTGTCGATGCAACAGACTTTGCGTCTTGGGGCATCGACTACCTCAAGTACGACAATTGCAACATCCCTCAGAACTGGACAGATCAATACATGTATTGTACTCAAGACCGCGCCGACATCAATATCACAGCCAACGGTACTTGTACGCAGCAACTCGACCCGGATCTGGCTCCCGCTGGTTATGACTGGGAGACGTCGAACACATTCGACCGATTTGCTCGCATGAGAGATGCACTTGCGCAACAGGATCGTGAAATCCTCTTCTCGCTCTGCATCTGGGGTTATGCCGATGTTTTTGACTGGGGAAATGAAACCGGCATTAGCTGGCGTATGTCAAGTGATATTGGACCGTACTGGAATGCTGTCACCCGAATCCTCAACATCAACTCCTTCAAGATGAACAGCACGAATTTCTGGGGCCACAACGACGCTGATATGCTGGAGGTGGGGAACGGCAACCTGACCTTCGAAGAGACGAGGACTCACTTTGCCTTTTGGGCAGCAATGAAATCACCACTGCTGATAGGAACGGACCTGACGAATCTCTCGCAGACCAATCTCGACCTGTTGAAGAATGAATACTTGCTGGCGTTTAGCCAGGACGACGTATATGGCGCACCTGCCACACCCTACAAATGGGGTGCGAATCCGGATTGGACATACGATCCATATTCACCCGCAGAGTATTGGGCTGGAGGGTCACAGAACGGCACTTTGGTGTTGATGCTGAATCCTCAGAATGGGACATCCGAGACCAAGGAGGCGATATGGTCGGAAATCCCTGAATTAGGTGACGGGCAGTATGAAGTTACGGATGTGTGGACCGGGCAGAACCTTGGTTGCCTCGCATCATTCTCCGCTGAAGTCGCAAGCCATGATACTGCGGCGATCTTAGTCGGCGATAAGTGCTGAGCTTGATGCTTTGATGAGCATACATGCGGCGCCAAGTACTGATTCTGCACGGTCAGTCCGGCCGTCTAATCGACTCTCACCGTGGTAAGACCCAAAAATCACTTCGCAGATATCGCAGATTTTTGGTTGTGGTGGAGAACCCGGAGAAGGTTCAAAACGCCAGGGTGTTCTTGAGCACAGCAGTAGGTCCTCAGATAGCCATAGGGTATATATACCTCTTATTTGTCATCCCAACGGCTTGCGGTGACCAGTATCAAGTATCGCAACATTCTCTCTCGGATCAGGCTCAGACCCCGTCAGTCCTGGCTGGTACCCACCAACATCCGGATCTTTCTTCGCCGTGTGAAGTCTTCTCTCAAGCCACATTTCAAGCCTCATACTAATGGGTGGCACAGGCAAAGCCTAATAAAGTTTTCCTCTTGTACGGAGAAATGACGCTTCGCGAGTCTGTGGAGTTTCTCCTTGTAAATGTACCGGGTGCCCTCCTATTGACGATCCGTCTCATCGCACTCCGCTGGTTCTTGAGTGAAGAGGCACGACAACCGCACCGCAACGAATACCGATTCTACACGGACCTCGAAAAATGCAGTGAGATGAATCGACAGAAACTCGATGAGTCACGACTAAAGGAGATGACCATCGACGAACTCGGGTCGAGTGCCTCTGCAATAACCAGAGAGTTCAATAGAATACTTGCATTTGACACTAAAGAACTAGCAGCCACGCTCGAGAACTTGAAGCAGTCAGTCGAGTACTTGGCGGTGTATTAGACTCACCATGAGATTTTGGGAGAGAGCCAGTCCCGTAGAATCGGTGGCAAGCATACGGATTGGGACGCTCAGGAGGCGGATTGGAAGATAAGAGACAATCTAATCTTTAAAAGGGTCCATCTTGATCAACAAGTATGGAACCAATCGAATGCTCTTGTCACAGAGTGAACAGAGCATCATTTAACCGGATGTACTCTCTTCTCCCTTTCTCCCACCGCACCGTGATATCATCCCACTTCTACGCATGTCTTCATCTGTCACATGGATCACCAACAACCGGACTCTTAATGGACCCGGTGTTGCGTACATTCTCAACTGACAAGCATCTCCGCGCTCAGGCATGGTCGCCTCATCATCGCCCTCTGTGAAGTGTGTCGAAGCAAGCATCTCTGGCTCCTTTAATAGGCGTGTCAAGCTAATACAGCCGTGGCGAGGTGATCGTTGCCGAACTGTCTAACAACCAACCAAGCAGGCCACAGCGCAGCAGCCCACAATCCAAAGTTGATATACACACCGCCAACCTGAGCGAAGATTGTGATCGAGTTGAGCCCATAGCTCACCGCTTGCCACGCACTCTCCGTTCCTCTCAGCAATGCGGCGTACCGGATGACCTCGCTTGGATCTTTTGCCAATTGCCCAATCATGAAATAGCAGAACATGTAGTTGATCTGAAAGCCTGTAGTCAATAGCAAGTACGGAGCAAAAGCGTGCCCGAATCCACTACTACTCCAGTCATATGTTGGCTGGGTGTGACGGAACCGGGTCACCAGGACTGTCGCCCATATCCACCATGCACCTTGCAAAGTCATTATGACCGCGAATGCTGCCCTGGACCTTGTCTTCAAGTTGATTGACGTACGATCAAGCCAGACACCGAGAAGATTCCCACAAGTCACAGCAATGATGCCGGAAAGGAACGAGCCAAGCGCCCTTGCGCGCACGCTGAACCAGAGTGATAGGTAGGTGAAGAACACGGCTTCAGCATATACTGCCTGCCCAATGAATAGGAGCAGCAACAGAAAGTTCTTGCTAAAGAACGTCCTGACCATCAACTTGACTTCCAGCCATGGATGGTTGAATATGCTCAAATCCACTTTAACTCCATCCGTCCTCTCCACTTTTCTTGGAGGATCCAGCAGCAATGCCACAAAAGGGCCACAAGCCTGTAACGCGATGAAGACCAGGTACACGGTGTAACTGACCTTGCCAGCCTCATTACGATCAGCGTTGATGCCGAGGTTGATTGCACCACCCAGGATTTGACCTCCAAGGCGATATGTCAGCCAGTAGCCCAGCAATCGTCCCTTGTTGTACGGTTCAGGGTACGCCAATGCAATAGCCGCCTCGGATGCCCAGAAGACACCAGCGCTGATTCCACAGCAGGCAGCACCAAAAAGTACGGACCACTCGGTCCCGAAGCGGTTGTTCGTGTACAGGCCCGCGGCATAGGGTGCATAGCCCAGTGTCCCAAATAACAAGGCACCCTTGATGCTGATGTACTTTGTCAGGATGGACGAGAAGAAGCACGACACAACCATGAGAGAAAACGACATGCCGTTCGCCGCATTGACCAGATGCGGCTTTTCCTCCCCACCAGCTCCCAGGGAGTTCATGGCACCCCATATTCCTGGGGCAGCGAAGTTGCAGAGCCCAAGGATAGTGGCATTATAGAAGGTGCTATGGTACCAACGCACTGCATCAACATGGTCAGCATGACAGACGAGAGAAGGGGAGACTGATCACTTACCGGGATGCTTCTCAACGGCAGCTTCATTGACGTCTTGAAGCTCCACGTGCTTTCCGTTCGAGGCATGCTGAGACATGGTGATGAATTTTTGCTCAACCTCCTGCTCTGGCAATAGTCTTCGAAAAGGTTATGGAGCCGTCTCTGCCCATGGGTTTGGAAATCTTATGTACCTCTTGAGGCGCAGAACACCTCACCAAACGAGGCTTCTCGGCGAATGACTAGTTGTCCTCGGCGTATTGGCAAAGATCAAGACCAGTCATGGTCCATGCAGTAGCCGCAAGCACGCCATATCTACCGAAAGCAATTCATCTATCAACCACATGTAGAGCAACCAGCATCTCTCACCAGGCGGCAACTTCCTGTCGCTGGGAACGATACCACGATGGATCCTTGTCATGTAGTGCCGGGAAAGCATGCTGCATGTCGATCATTCCCCTGGTCGACGAATATCAGCTCACCATCTGCGGGTCATATTGCACCATCTCAAGGGATTTCGGTACGTTCGACGACTTACGGCAGGAACGGGAACAAAAATCTCCTTGGCGGCACGGGGAAGAAACACAGTCACTCCTTGGCATCATAGGTCAATTCGACCTCTATCTCACTTCAAATTGCTGCAGGAGAAGCTGAAGAACCGCTTGACCAGTTCACTGACCACCCACTATGTACAACTTCGACCCTCCCCATGACTGGAGCACTCGACTACCTCCCAAACTTCTCCATTGTCACTTTTGGTATGTTTTGACATGGCCACAGCATTCCAGCACTGCAAATCTACCGCTTATAGCTTGACATCGTCTCCTATAAACACAGCGCCCTCCTTGTTGGCCTTGATCCTGAGCCTTCGAACACGTTGAATGTCCTTCTCGTTCCGCCAAGTTAGGTACCAAGTGAAACAATTGGCAATCCAACTGGCCCCGATGGCACCAGCACAAATGCCGAAGGACACCTTATAGTCGGGCGCGTACTTTGACTGGAACAACTGCGGACCAACAACACCGCCCACTTGTCCGATGCAGGACTGGAAGGCGAGCGTGAATGCCGTACCGGTAGTTCCAATGAGCGAGCCAGACCGCCATGCCCAGAATGGGATGAAATACACGGCATAGAACATGGTGCCGAATATGCACCCGATGTAGATCGCGACTTTCGAGACGTCGGTGCAGAGGATCACGAAGAAGCTCAAAGCTCCAGCACAGATGATCATGATGAACTCTGGGCGTGTCAAGTAGGCGCGCTTGAGGAACCAGCCGGCGAAAATGATTGCCAAGACACTTGCTGCGGCGGGAGGGATGTTGAGAAGCTGGTTGCGAGGGAGTCCAGCAAAGCCCAGGGCTGTGGTGATGGTGGGCAATTGCCATGACAGGCCGTAACCGCCGAGGTTCATCAGGACTTGCGAGGCGCAGAATGAGTAGGTTCGCGGATCGCGTAGCGACGCAAGTACTTCGGCTCGGTCGAAGGCCTTGTCGTGTGTGCGCGGAGCATTCTCAGTGAGACGTAGTTCGAGGTATTCTTGCTCCCGAGGTGTGAGCCATTTGGCGGAACGGGGAGACTTGGGATAATCGGGCAGGGTAAAGTAGACCACAAATGCGAAGAGGATCGTAAAGAGTCCTTCGAGAAGGTATACCCTATGATGATGGGTCAGCAACGCAGATGTGGTTTCGGACAGGGATAAATACGAACCATTGCCAACCACTGAGACCACCGAGGCCGTTCATGTAAGAAACACCGTAGGCGATAAGCGACCCAACGATACCGGCACAGTTCTGGAAACCGAACATCCACATGATAGGCTTGCCCATTTCATCGCTACGGTACCACGAACATAGTTGAGCTGCGAGGCCGGGGAACAATCCTGCCTCCATCATCCCAAGGAAGAAGCGTGCAGCATAGAGACCCTGCTTGTTCTTGACGGCAGCATGGCAGGCGAGGACCTAGAACACTATCATCAGCACGCTGCAGGAGCCCAACAAGTGGAAGACTTACCACGCCCCAGCTAGCAATGATTCTGAATTGCCAGTTTCTGGGTGTTGCCTTCTTCAAGATCAGATTGCTTGGCACTTCGAAGACAATGTAACTAATCTTTGAGCCGTTATCAGCAGCTGGAGCATCACAAGTGACAACAAGACTCACGAAGTATATGCTCTGAACCCAATTGTACTCGTCCGCAGTCATGTGGAGCTGCTTCAATATGTTTCTCGGCTCACCGACCTGAAGAACCTTCACGGTCGCCGCATTGGTATAGTCAACATTCTTGAGCATGTACATGAGACCAATCAGTAACAGAAAGCGACGGTCGACTTTTCGCATGACAGCCTTGTCCTCCTCTGCGGAGAAAGACGACAAGACTGCATTTCGATGGTCGGTGGGCGAAGACGGAGCATCACTGTCGATGGTATGGTCGCGGACAGTGGAAGTCTTCTCGTTCGTGTTGATCTCAAGATCTCTTCCGAGTGAGCCCATGGCGGCAGCAGTATGTGTAAGAAGTCCTGCTGAGCGAATCAGGAATGAATATGATGGGACGACCCGGGTCAGATGCGAAGTTGAAGCACGTAGCTGGGCGAATACCGATTATAAGGACCTGGGGACCGGTGAACGTAGTGAAAACTCAGTCAGAGTTTCCCGTCCCAGAGAGACGGGAGCTTCTTTCTGCAAGCGTGCGGACGATAACGTAGACGACGTGGTCGTTCGAGAACGGCCGTCGACTCTTCGTGGCGGGCATGCATATTTCCACAACTCTGGAACCCGCCCTGACAAGCAGCACCATGCGCGTTTAGTGGAAAACGTTGTCGATGTCGACATCAGGATGCGTTGTACTCCGTTGAGGGACGCTCCGGGTATCGGTAGCTGTTATGGCGTGCTCGTGGGCGGCATTGACCCCGAAGGTGTCTGCAGCAACAAGAGGAACAAGGTACCTAGGTATGTGAGAGTGAACACCATATTGATCGACAAATGGGGCGAGGCTGTATCGGTCTTGTAATGTCTTTCATCAATCGTAATGCTGCAGATAAGGCATTGCATGTTCCGTATCATCCAGATCGGCTTTGTTCGCGGTCAAATACCGAAACTCAAGGCTTGAGCAGATTCATCATCAAGGGCCCAAATTGCGCCATCTCGAATTCTTGTTCTCACACTGTTTTTGGAATATTTCGGTGGTTGAGGCCGACACTGTGGAGAAAAACGTAGCACGCAATAATGTCCATTCCAATTCAGGCGACCAACGCGCTGTCAGTTGTTGTTGAGGCTCCGATAACAACGCCCTGACTTTATGAGCCGCATCAGATATCTTTGTGGATCTTAAGGGACAGCACCAAGGCTCGGCTCTGCATGTTGGGCTACTGTGGTCCAAATTCCGCCATTCTTAAGCTTGCTGTTCTGAGACTACGGGCGCCTCGGTCTCAACCGACTCGTCTTTGACGTTCTGGTCATACACGTCGTACTTGTACTTTGCGCCCGTGTGGTCGTCCCTGAGACCGGCTTGGCCGGGCCCATAAACCTTCTCACGCTGCGTCAAAGGTTTCTCGTCGGCAGATCGAGCCTCGGGGTATATGCCCCTGCGTCTAAGCTCAGGAACGAGCAGATCCACCACGTCCTCAAAGGAACCAGGCGTCGTGATATAGGCCAGGTTGAAGCCGTCCACATCTGCCTCTTCAACCCACTTCTCCAAGACATCCGCAACTTGCTCAGGAGTGCCTATACCAAGAGGTCCTAGACCACCGATGGCAGCTTTCTCGGACACAACTCTCGGAGTCCAGCGTGGTATGGTCTCGGATGTAGTCGTGAATGCGTCGAGAATGCTCCTTACTTTGTGCGCTTCCTTCGAGTCCTCCGTGGTGATATCCTTATCAAGGGGTATCGTAGAGATATCGATCCCTGTCCAGCCGGAGAACAAGACTAGGCCGCCTATCGTCGAGGCATATTTCTTCGCGTCTTCGTACTTTTGACGCGCTTCTTCTTCCGTTCGTCCAATGATTGGAGTGAAAGTCGCAACGACTTTGATAGACTTCGGATCGCGTCCCCGTTCTTTCGCGAGCTTCCGAATGTTGTCAATCTTGGGCCGGAGTACCTTGGGATCGTGTGAGGACACAAATATGGCTTCGGCGTGGTCGGCTGCAAAAGCTGATCCTGCTGTGGATGTCCCTGCTTGAAACAGGAACGGGGTGCGCTGAGGCGACGGGTCCACGATGTGTCGAGTTTCGAGATTGAAATATTTGCCGTGATGGTGAATGGTGCGGACCTTGTCGGGATCGATGTATACATCTGTGGCAGCGTCTGGGTTCAGAGCATCATCTGCCCATGATCCTTCCCAGAGCCTTTCCAGTCAATCAGTCAATCTGCATCTTGATACCACGGAGAACACGTACTTGTAGAGAACCCTCATGTACTCATCTGCCTGGGCGTATCGCTCGTCATGCTCGATTGGGGTGTTGATTCCGATGGCTTTGAATGCACCCTTTTTCCAGGAAGTGACAATGTTCCATCCGATGCGCCCCTTGGTGATGTGGTCAAGCGTGGAGAATCGTTTGGCCAGAAGAAAAGGTGGCTCGAATGAGGTAGAAGCTGTAATTCCGAATGCTAAGTTCTTCGTAACGGCCGCCATGGCTGAGATGGGCTATCAAGTGCGGGTCAGTCCATAGCCATCCTCTGGGTCGAAGCTGTTCAGCGTAGGCGACTTACAATCGTTGGATCCAGCATTGGCCATTGGGCAGCGCGTCGGACGCAATTGTCCTCGCTGCCTTCGTACGTGCTGTAAGACCCGTAGGTATCGGCAAGAAAGAGTGCATTGATTCCTCCACGCTCCAGGACTTTTGCAAGATCGGTCCAATACTCGAGATCCCGCTTCGTGCCGGAGCGATCCTTGGGATTCTGGAGAACCCAGTCAGCACCAACGCAGACAACCTGAAGTCTCGGTCCAGCACATCTAGGCAGCACGACATCGAACCTACTAACGTACCTTCCACTGTCCTGGAGAAAGATGGCCGACGGTGTACATATCGAAGGCATTGAGAATCAGCTGCTTCTTGGGTTTGACCCCATTGCTGTCCGGTGCCTCAACAGAGCCCATGTTGTCGGTATAGCAAGTGTGTGCTGTGAGTCCTTGCAAACGGGAATCAACAGCAACTTGAGGTGGTAAACAAAGTCGAAAATTAATTTCCAAAAAGTGACTTTGTCACACGCCCTGTGGAAGGAGATGTGCATTGTTGAGCGCGAATGTGCCGCATCAACCGAGGCGATAAGACCCATCATGAACCTTGTCATGGTCCGTCTTCTTCCCAGGTGCCTGGCTGCATCTGGAGATCCATGTGTTGATGGTGCGTTCTGCTGTCATACGAGGATGTACCAGTAGTTCCTCCATACCAAGGATGGCGACATCCGGTGGGGCTTGCGCGTGCTGTTGGCGCGCAAGTCCTTCGCCATTGCGACGGAGCATGTGCGATCACGACTGTCCAATACCATGGCCGATGGATGATACGGCTTGATCGCGGTGCCCTTGATAAGTCGGATGGATACACGGTTAAGAATTCATTGAACTCTAGACACGAGGGAACATTGTTGTGAGAATAGAGGAAAGGGAAAGAGATGGCAGCAGCAGCAGTCGACGGAATCTTGCCGCAGAGGAAAGGTGCAAACCTGACAAACTCAATTGACAAACATGACAAACTCAACGGCATCGATTCTGGCAATTTGACCTCCTCCGACCCTGAAGAAGTGGTAGCAATTGTGCCAAATGGCATCACACCAGGCCGCAAAGGTCCAGAGGTGCTAATATTGCCAGCAAGCGATGCAGAGACACCAGGAAACACCCTTCACTCGTCATATCCAGCCTCCAACCTCGAGCTTCCTGATCACCACATTGACGAGGTCCGGAGCTTGAGAGTTACCGTCATTGGAGCTGGTCTGTCAGGAATTCTCGCAGGGATACTGCTGCCCGCCAAGGTCCCAAAGATCCAGCTGACGATACTCGAGAAGAATACTGACGTGGGCGGAACCTGGCTGGAGAATGTCTACCCCGGAGTGAGATGCGATATCCCAGCTCACGTTTACCAAGCGACGTTCAGCCCGAACACGCAATGGTCTCAACAATTCGCCGAGGGTCATGAGATCCGAGATTACTGGCAAGGACAGGCACGAAAATACGACGTGTACAAGTATGTCAAGTTTGGCAGAAAAGTCAACGACGTCACCTGGGATGAGGGTACCGCCGAATGGACCATTACAGGGACAGACCTTGGCAAAGACCAACCTTTTGAAGACAAAGCAGACTTTGTACTCACAGCCATCGGACGCTTCAACGACTGGAGATTACCCAACTACCCTGGAATCAACGAGTATCAAGGGCATCTCCGACATGCTTCAAACTGGGACAAGAACTTCGATCCCACTGGAAAAAGTTTGGCGGTCATCGGTAATGGCGCCAGTGGAATCCAACTTGTCCCGAACCTTCAACGAGTTGCGAAGCACATCGACCATTACGCCCGTAACAAGACTTGGATCGCCGCGTCCTGGGCAGGTGACGAACGGACGTTCGAACCGCAATGGTATCCAGAGGAGAAGAAGAAAGAACTAGAGAATCCAGACGAGTACCTCAAGTTTCGAAAGGAGATTGAATCGAAGTACTGGCGGCGCTTCGCATCGACGTTCCGTGGAGCACCCGAGAATGAAGCCATGCGAGAACGCTTCATCCAGATCATGACCGAGCGAGTCTCCCGCAAGCCCGAGCTAATCAAAAGCTTGGTGCCAGACTTCAATCCCAACTGTCGGAGGCTAACTCCTGGTCCTGGATACTTGGAAGCCATCACGGCGGACAATGTCAATTTCATTCAGGATCGGATCCGCCGCTTTACCAAGACCGGCATCGAGACAGTCACGGGCGAGCACCGCGAAGTGGACGCCATCTTCTGTGCTACCGGTGCAGCCATCGACTTCATCACACCCTTCAGCATCCATGCCCACGGCAGGAACCTCCAAGACATTTGGCGACCACGCCCGGCCAAAGAGCTCGCCAACAACCCCGACTACCACGGCTGGCCGTACACCTACCTGGGTCTGGCAGTGCCAAACTTTCCGAATTTACTGCTCATCCACGGCCCGCATGGCGCTGGACCGTCCGGCACAGTTCCGCACAGCTGCGAGGTGCAATTGACGTACTACGCCAAACTCCTGCGCAAAGTATCTTCACAGGGCATCAAGTCCATGTCTCCATCCAAAAAGGCTACCGATGACTTTGTCGCCTACGCCGATGCATTCTTCCCCAAAACGGTGCTTACCGACAACTGCAGCTCCTGGGCTAATGGCGGCCAACCGGGCCAGCGCATTCACGGTATCTGGCCTGGCAGTGCAGGGCAGGTGACGCTGGTCAGGAAGGAACCGCGCTGGGAAGACTGGGAGTACGAGTACTGGCACGACAGTGGAAATCGGTTTGTAGGATGGTTAGGCAACGGGTGGACCAAGAAGGAACGGGAGGAGGATTCGGACATCACGCCCTACCTGCGGAGAGAAGGCGAGGTCGATCTCAAGAGTTTACACGAAGAGTGGTGGAGTTGGCCGTGAGGTGTCTAAGACATGCTCGGTATAGGTCTTCTTGGATCAGTGATAGATTTCGTGGCCGCAATAATGGTATCCAATACTCCATATGAATGCAATGGTCTATGCTATAAGTCTATACTCGGACAGCAATCCTGCCGCCACTGATCTCTCCTTTCCTCATGCGGTCCAGCGCAACGTTGACATTTTTCAGCCCTTCTTCCACTCCCAAAAGCCTCGGCGGCTCGAGTAATCCTTGCTCCAGTAGTCTCTCCAGCCAGATCATGAGTGCCTCGCCAAGTTCAGGAACTTCATGGAACAACTTAATTGGGACGGCATGGAACTTGATGGTTCCTGGAGAAGTCTTGGGCAAACCGGTCAAGCCGATCAAATGGGTCGACGTTTTGTTCGTCAAAGTCGACAGTGAAATTGCAGAAGCAGGGGGCGTTGCAGGCGGCGTGAAAACGTCTTCTGTGGAAGGGGTCGTCTTCTCTACCGTTTCTGTGGGCTCTGGCCCAAGGCTATGAAGAAGTTGCTCAGCTGTCTGCCTCCCCACCGTGTCGAAACCGAATCGTAGATTGCCGTGTGCAGATGCTCTCACGATCTCAACAGCGCGCTGGGGATTGTGGCTGTCAACGATGACATCTGGCCGTGACTGGGGTGTGGAAGAATGTAGCCAAACGCTGTGCTTTCGAGCGTCGAGGATGCTGATCGTTCTCAGTCCTGCCAATCGTGCTAATTGATTGACAATGAATGCCGTCGTACTTGATCCACCCCAAATGGCCAGCCAGTCACCCGCTCTTGCTCTCTCCGTATCGTCGATACCATCGAGGCATTCGGTACGGATGTCCTCGGCTAGTTTTGAGGGGTCGAGTCCCCGTACCAGTGACAGTAGGTTCGGTCCATCCAAGACACTGCTGAAGTCAAGGCCGGCACAGATTCCTAATGAGATGGCTGCAGCAACGAATGCTACTCCAAGCACAGAGCCAGACTCGGCTGTCAGGCGACGGGGTAGTCTGGCTAGGTTGTAATCTGTTGCTAAGACATATTGTTGGAATGCCGCTTTTCGAAGATCGCGGTAGTCGGTAGAGACAACGATGACAAGATCGCCCACCTTTAGTCGTGAGTTCTTCTTTGACACGGTGACGACCTGACCGACGAGTTCACGACCAGAGACATAAGGAAGGGTTGGAATGCCGAAGTTAAAATCTGGGGCTTTCCAATCTATGGGGTTGAGGCCGAGTACGACGTTCTTCACGAGGACTTCTCTGTCCTCGGAGGGTACTGGTATACCATGGTCGTCAATCGCAGCATATGGCTGTCGAGGGCCATGAAGTAGGAGGGCACTTTGCCTTTCTGGAATTTGCAGAGACGTGGGCGTAGTCTCCTTTTGGTCGTTCCGCTTCTCAACACTAGCAGGCGCTATAGGAGGCTCAGTCACCAGCTTCTTCCCTATCCCAAATATCCGTAGGAATGCCATTGCAAATCTTTTGTTGAAGTCGCTTTCCTAGGCTTGATAAGTACATAAGGAGAAGTCACTGTATCCGTCGTTGTTCCATTGCCGATCCCGCAAAATTTGCAATGCATTCACCAGCTCCTAATTGTGACATATCACTTCCGAGATGTTAGATCCGCTTTGGTGACCTTGTTGGACATTCTACCAAGATGCCTGTGCCGGTCGCGATAAGTGAGACGAATTGTTGGTCTCCTGGGCAAGCACGACATCGCTCCACAACAAGACGGCTCGGGAAGGCAAGAACGAGCAGATGCCAGCACGTGCTTTTGCGGACATTTGCGTGCTGCAACGACGCGAGTATCGTGGATCATCATTGAGGGGGAAGATGGGACTGGCACGCTGATGCATGGCCACCTACCCGTGAAGGGGGACCATGCATCCTGGAGAGCAGGAGAAAATCTGAGCCGCTACGGTAAGATTGAATGTGTGAAGTGTTGTAATGACGGCTGGGATTTGTTTTAGGCCCGATCACCAATCCCTAGTCAATGGCGTGATATTGGCGTTGATGGCGACACTGAACCAGCCTTCGACTTGATCAGGAAAGAGCTTTCTTATCGTGTAGTACGGCTTCAACCTTTGAACCGAAAACACAAAACGCCAGCCAGTCATCACCTCACACCAATATTTGAAGGAGTGACGACCTATCACAATCAGGATGTTCTCCCACGATATCGGTGTTTCAGCCTTGCCTCATCGCAAGCGTGTGATCTTTTGGTCAGCCCCGGCAGATTTCAACCCTGAAGGAGAAATTGACACTCTCTGTCACTAGAGTAGGTAGGGACCATCTTTAAGAGGCGTCAGGAAAGTTATCGGTGGTCAGTAGTGTCCGTAGGGTGCGATAGGGGTTGGCCCTCGTTTTTTGATGGCACTAATGCTCCACCGCACTACAACGGCAGTGCATTGGACCTATTAAACGCGTTTACTACGGCTGAGATGGCGATGCAGCGCGTCGTGGTGGTACCTGATTTCCATGATCGAAGGGGGATGTGGTCCAGCATCTGCTACAGAATAATTTGACAAGAAGGAACTATGCCCACTCTCCCACTGTTCTTTGACATTGCTCAAGTATCCAGAGTCTGCTAAGACTCACGTGTCTCAGAAAAGAGCAAGGCGAGATGAATCTGCAGCACCTGCCTGATCCTACAGGCGCCGCGGGCATAGATGCCGGTAAAAGTGATTGGGACACTGAAATCCAACTTGCAGTAGCACATCCAGAGTTAATGCTTAGCACTTTGAGGACATGCCCCACTTCGACGACCTGTGGCAACTGGAACAGATGAGTGCTGGATGGAAATATGGCGTGCTGTTTGAAACGATGGCGTGCGAATCCGGAGGATCGCCGTATGGCGACATACCCCGAGCGCGTTGCGGTCAGAACGTTCAACAGTGTCGCCATACAGAGACGACCTGCATCCCCTTCCCGAACATTGCTTATCAAAATTGGTTCTCAACACGTCGAAGCTCGACACAGAGAAAGAAACTGTCGAAATCATCAAGATGGTGGACGTCAACAACGGCCAGCCGGAGGCACCAAAGACGAACGGGTCGACCGGTACGGTCACTCACAACGGCACGAATGGCACGAATGGCACCAAGAAGTCTAAGGAATGGATCCTCAACGCCTTTGCCATGAACACTCCATGCCATCTGTCACCGGGACTCTGGCGACACCCTCGCAACAAAACCACTCAATATAAGAAGCTGAGTTTCTGGACAGACTTGGCCAAACTTCTCGACGAAGCCGGATTTCATGCTCTTTTTCTCGCGGACGTCCTGGGATGTTACGACGTCTACAAAGGGCCAGCCAATCATGGACCAGCGATTGGGGTCGGCGCTCAATTTCCAGTCAATGATCCCTTGTATCTGGTGCCGGCTATGACTGCCGTCACAAAGAATCTGGTGTTTGGCGTCACCGCAAGCACGACGTATGAGCAACCATATTCTCTGGCCCGGCGATTTTCGACCGTCGATCACCTGAGCGATGGCCGCGTAGCCTGGAACATTGTGACGTCCTACCTGGACAGTGCTGCCCGCAACTTCGGTCTGACGGACCAGGTCGAGCATGATAAGCGATACGCCCTCGCCGAGGAATATATGGAGGTCCTGTACAAGCTATGGGAGAGTAGCTGGCGAGATGATGCCGTGGTGGAAGATAGAGACACCGGCATCTGGGCCGTGGCGGATCGCGTCAGGCAGATTAATCACAAAGGCGAGTTTTTCAACGTGCCGGGACCACATATTTGTGAGCCATCACCACAGCGAACTCCATTCCTCTTCCAGGCTGGGACTTCGAAGACAGGCCGTGCCTTTGGTGCGAAACATGCAGAGGTGATCTTTGCTGGCGCTCAGTTGCCGGAGAAGCTTCGTCCCTCAGTGGACGCCATTCGGCAGCTGGCTAGGGATGAAGGTCGTGATCCTTATCATGTGAAAGTCATCGCCAGCATGTGCATCATCGTGGCTGAAACCGATGAGGCTGCGCAAGCCAAGCACGCCGAGTTACTTTCATATGGAAACACCGAAGGTGCTTTGGCGCTCTTCGGGGGCTGGACCGGTGTTGATATGTCGACCTACGCTGATGACGAAGATTTCAGATTCGCAAAGATGCCTATGATACAATCAATCATAAATGGATGGACAGAAACCGTCCCTGGCAGCAAGGATTTGAAGTGGAACAAGGCAACAATTGCTGAATATCTGATACTGGGCGGATTCTCTGCCAAGGCGGTTGGCAGTCCAAAGACTGTGGTCGACAAGCTCGAACAGTGGGTTGAGGTTGCTGACATCGATGGTTTCAACCTATCGCACGTCACGAATCCGGGCAGTTTTGAGGACATTATTGAGTTTGTGTTCCCCGAACTGAAGCGTCGGGGTCATTTCAGGTCACCGCCAAAGAAAGAGGGTGAAACGGCTCGAGAGCAATTCTTTGGTACGCCATGGCTGCTCGACGACCATCCAGGACACAAGTACAGATGGCGAGCACCTCCTCCAGAATAGTTCAGTCAGGAATCGCGCTGGAAGCAAAATGCTCCAAAAGCTTTGGGATTTGACATGCATGCATTGACGACAATGTCAGGTGAACGATTTCAGGGCAAAAACTTTCATATTGTAGGAAGCGAACCATTTGACATGATCTTCCAGAAAGGTCTTTAACATCGTTCATCAAACGACGCAGTTCAGCCTCTAGACAGCCTCGCCTTGCGTGGGTAGTGGGACAAGGGTCTGCTCCATATGCAAAGGAGTGGTGCCAATCTTCACGATGGGCATATCCTTGTTCTGACCCCAATTATGCACAGCCAGACCTTGCTTCAGTGACATCCGGACTTCATCGGCCCCTCGTTCGACCACTTCTGCCATGTAGCTATCGGCAAATTCCTTCAGATCCAGCTTCCCTGCGGCAATCTCAGGTATTGCATGGACGAGGTTCAAAACATCCTGTAACGCATGATTGAGTCCTTGTGCACGATCTATAGGGCGAATGTCAGATCAGGCTTTTGGACATCTCAAACCAGGGATGACTTACGTGCTGTCATAGAATGAGCACAATCTCCTGCAAGGAGAACTCGTCCATTCTTGTTGTCCCATGGAATGCTCTCCCAGGTACCATACCTATCAGTGCTGATGAACGTCCCTTCAGGCATCCATTCTATAGCGGACCGGAAGGGCTCGGCAAAGGCTTTTCCTGCCTCCTTGACTATTGCGAACCTTCTTTCTGAACTGTCTTCTTCAGGTGGTATGTTGGCTTTCATCGCCATGAAAACTTGAAATTTCCAGGATTCTGGCTTGTCCGGATCATCAATGTCAAGGGCTATCTGAGAGTCAGTTAAGTCGATCCTAGCCCAAGCAGGGAGATTGGAGAAGACTCACGTATCAAACCATAATACGTACCGTTCGGATGAACTGCAATGTCCATGAAGGCACTCAGCCCCTCTTTGATCTTGAGTGCCCGGTCGACAGGATATTGCATCCAAAAGTTGTTGAGAATGAATCCCGGCAGAGGTTTCCATTTGGCGTCCTCCTTGTTGGCAAAGAGAAGTTGTCTTGACGGAGATTGAGCTCCATCGCAGCATACTACAAGAGTGCCTGTGGCGGTCGTCCCATCCGCGAAGACTACTTCGACCCCGTTTGGCAGCTCTTTGATTGTTTTCATTTCCTTGTTGTACTGTAACCTGGTCAATACTTATAATTTCATTGTCGACCAAGCTGGGATATAGTTACCTGGACTGGGATCTCCTGTGTCAAAGCCTGCCTGATCTTCTTTTGGCTGTACCGTTTCGCTGGACCCAATGGAATGTGCTTGAAGACCTCTCCTGTCTCACCGTTGTGGAATTCGACCTGCTCCTGGACTTTGTTGTCTCTCTGAACAATGACTTGCGCCTTGCGAAGACGTTGTCCCATGTCCTCGGGGTAGAGCTCCATGAACTGTACCGCCCAGTGGACGGTGATGCCCCAGTCACGGTGTCGGGTGGCACCGCCATGTTTCTCGAAGATCTCATACTCGATACCTTGCTGGAGGGTATCATGTCAGCAATACCACTCATACGTCACCCTAAAGCTGTGACCGGGGTCTAGCACTTGGGGCATACCTTTCGCAAGCCATGAGCAAGAGACAAGCCTGTGACACCTGATACGAATAGGTCAGTCTCGGTCGGGATCAATGCAGTCTAAGCCCATACCTGCGCCGACGATCAGAACCTTGAAGTTTGTAGCCATGATTGGTCGTTGTCCTTATTTACAGCACTGTTCACACTTCTTGAGCAACATTCATATCGTCCCTGCTCGCCACCGCAAGGTAAGTCGATCACGGCTGAATATTCATCCATCGATTCTGCTCTGCCTGTGTGGTATGCTACCCATAGAACAAGGTGATGCGTATCCTCCGCAATCCTGGCGAGGCTGGATACTCCTATCATGGTCCACAGTGGAAGTGGACCGGATCACCGACAGCACCGAAAGGCTAAGATTGACCGGGAGCGGATCGGAGCATGTCGGTCCAGATTGCAGCCCTGGACTATCGCTTCTGTTCCTGCTTATCATGGATCTCGGTAACGAGGCATGCGCAATGCTCCGGGACCTTCAGCCTTACCCGCTTCTTGTGCGAGCCTGCCTGGACCTGCACAAGCATACAACGAAGAAAACAAGCCGCTTACTAGCTCATTAGCGTCGAGCTTGATATCGTATTGAGGAATTATGTTATGTTGTTTCCAGACTCTTCCAGATCTGCGACTACAGTTTGGCGGAGCATGATTGCCACCCAGGAAGATCGCTCAGCTCCTGGATCGGTGCTGCGAACATAGGTTTGGCTTTGTGTTTATTGGTTACCGATGTCGACGATCCCCATTGCCATTTTTCTTCCAGTACTCTGGGCAAAGTCCCTTCAAGCACCTGCGAAACGAATGTTCCGAGAGTGGGTAGGAACTTGAAAGCATGGCCGGAGCCACCTGTGGTGATTATGAGGCCTTTCTGTCGAGGATGTCTGCAAATAACGAAATCTTCGTTTGCAGTTTCGGTGTCCCTGAGCCCATCCGTCAGCCACGGCCGCGGTTAACAGGGGATTGGGAGTGCACTCACCAGCATATTCGTGTTTCGGACCAAGGCCGCTCGGCCAATTCTGGCATGACCTCACGAACCCAGCCTCGTAGACGTCTTTGGATTTCGTCGGGGACGTCGTCGCGAGGGTTGTCCTCGCGGTACCTGGGTAGTGAAACGCCTGGTACTGTTGAATTGTTGTAGTTCGAGACAAAGTGTACAGAGGCGATCTTGATGGTGTTCGTTTCATCGGGCGGAAAGATACATCCTATCGAACTTGTCAGCTCGGTTTCGCCTACCGCTCTTTTTTTTACAAGTTCTCACCTTCTTCTATGTTGGCGATTAGTGTCATCTGCTGATACCGCTCGACCTCTTCGGGTCGAAGCTTGATAAAGCAAACAGTGTGACCCAGAGCACAATGTTGTCCTTCCATATCAATCAAAGACGCCGTATTCGCGCCAGCGGCTAGGACGACATGATCTGCATGGTAAATTGTGCCATCAACAGTGCGCACCCCAGTACAAGACTCATTGAGAAGAAGGCTTTGTACGTGCCCTGCATTTCCTGAGATGAATGAGACTCCACGAGCAGCACTCTCTTCTGCCATCTCGAGTAGAATGTTGTTTGATGCTGCCCAACCTGCTGCTGGATCAGACAAAATCTTCCAGTCCTTCATTGAGCCAGTAAAGACAGGCCATATCGATCTCACTTCTGCTGTTTTTATGAAACGAACATCACGTACACCCTTTCTTAGGGCATTATGCGCACTCTCCTCGATGAACGGGACACTGCTCCCACTGGCACATAGCAACCAGCCTGATTGATGGAAATGCTTGTTGAATATCGAAGTTGGGTCTGTCCATGCCTTCATAGCGCTCATCGCTAAATCGACATACACCGGATCTGAGTATTGTGTGCGGATCATCTTGTTGATGTCGCTCGCCGCAGCTGCCTGCGATGGAGGCGGAAATCGATCAAGCACACATATCGAGCTGTACTTTCGTCCTTCTCCCAGGCTTTGAGACAGGTGCCAGGCCGTTGAGATGCCAAATGCACCTCCCCCAATGATAACGATTGATTTTCCCATTACTACAGCTGCTGTGATGCTTTACCGCATGTCGTCGCATGAACTGGGCGTCCTGTTATGAAAACGTACCTCACACCCCAATAGTCCCAACACATACCGACCCCTTACTCAGCAACGTATTGGTTCTTCCCCATAGCCCGTGGGCTAGACAATAACAACAGCTCTGATCCGGCTGATATCCGCGTTGCGATCCGCTGCCCTGGAGTCGGTGGCCTCGACAGGACTGTTATGCGAGTGCCGAGGATAACGTATGAAATCTAGAACCACCTACTTTTGACGATAAGAAAGGGAGGGGCGGATGAGGCTCATCGATCTACGCTGACGGCCGAGAACACCGAGAAGACCGAGACTAGCAGGATCTTTCTGTTATGATAGGCGTGACGTGCAAAGGTGGAACCTTTCAGATAAGAAGATTTGACTAGCAATCTGGACGGGCTAGTATCAGTTATTTTGTATGGGGAAAGCACAAACCTCTGCCGCACACTGGCAAATGTCCCTTGGTTGAGTGAACCTCTCAAATACGTCCAAGAGGCGGCTTCCTGAGGTGCACTTCACACCTATCTATAGCCCGGCGATGATAACTGAATGTTAGCACCATCCGGTGTTGTCGCGCCGAGGTAGAAGAGGAGTGTTATCGATCGGCGGCCAGCTCTGGAAACTGTCCGGCCCAGCCCAAGGCACAGATGGCAGCCTCGTCTACAGTCGATGTTGAAGCAGAGCACTATACGCAGAGGTCTTTATATCCCGGCGTGATGCACGCTCCACTCGACTTCCAATCCGATCAATCTGCGAGTTTCGTTCTCGAAAAATCACACCACACATCACAACAAGAATCACACATCAGTTTTTCCGATACTTGCACGATGTCCGGCGCTGCGGATTCCATCAATGCCATGGAGGCCAAGGGTCCTCTCTCTGAGGAGCAGAAGGTCTACATTAGCTCTGGTATCAATCCTGTCATTCCGGACGTTCAGATGAGAAAACGCTTCAGTTTTCTGTCGCTCTATGCTATCTTCGTTGCTGGGACTGCAGGAGTAAGTAACCTTTCCGTCCCGTCGCGCAAACCGTTACTCACAAGACAAAGTGGGAAGCGACCATCTCTTCGCTTTACCAGGTTCTCGTCGCTGGAGGTCCGACAGTACTGGTTTGGGGCTTTGTCATCTCTGCTGTAGCAGCATGTTGTATTGCATTCTCCTTGGCCGAGTTCGCAAGTATCTGGCCGAGTGCAGCTGGACAGTACCATTGGGCAGTTGTGAGTACCTTGAGCACTCCTCTGATATTCATTACTGACTCAAGCAGGCTCTGGCTCCCAGAAAGTACAAGGCTGTCGTGGTAAGTCTGGACAACTTTTGGCTAGTCCGACATCTCAGCTGATACTTTTCCTTTACAGGGCTGGTACAGCGCTTGGATTTTGTTGATGATGAACTTGTTGTCGTCTCTCAGTGCCATGTTTGCCGGGGCCTTTTCTCTGCAAGCGGCGGTCCTCATCTCGGTCGACAGCTATACCAGTGAGAGATATCACACCTGTCTGGTAAGATGACTCCTGATGGTGATCTACATCAGCTAACAAGCTAGATCATTATTGCCATCATAACACTCGCCATGCTGATAAACATCTTCATGCCCCATTCTCTTCATTACATCTCCCTTGTCGGTAAGTACCAATGCCTTCTCAGCCGTGGTAGTGGTCCTGACATTTCTTGGAGGCACCTTCACGCACGTTGCTGGCTTTTTCGCCATCATCATTACCCTCCTGGCCACCACCAAAAACAAGAACTCTGGGAAGGAGGTCTTCGGATCGCTTGAGAACTACACGGGCTACCACAATACCGCCGCTGCATTCTTCATTGGCTTACTCCCCACCGCGACCGGCTTCTCAACTCTAGATCTGCCTGCCCGGTATGCAGAGGAGACCAAGAAGCCACACGAGGATGTCTCCCGGGCCATGTTCTGGGGCGTTTTGACCTCCGCGGCTATTGGACTACCTTTTGTCCTCACCATCGCATTCTGCATGGGCGATCCTGCGGTGCTGCTTACTTCTCCAATCGCAAGTCATAGCCCGCTTGCAGCGGTATGTTCTCTTCACGTCAGCAATGTTCGCACAGGGCAGCTGCTAACTTTTTGAAAAGATCGTATACAATTCCACAGGCTCTATCGGAGCTGCAATCACGCTCGCTTGTACGATTATCATCGTCGCAGTGGTATCCGCAATTGACTGCATGGGTGGCATCAGTCGTATCATCATGGCCCAGTCTCGAGATGGTGTTATACCTTGTGGACACGTCTTTGCGAAAATCAATCTTCGTTGGAACACGCCCATCAATGCAGTCCTCCTCGCTTCCTTCATTCAGGCATGCATTGCCCTGATTTACATTGGGAACAGCACGGCCTTTTACTGTATCCTCAGCGGCGTCTTCACCCTGCAAGTCTTGAGCTACGGCCTTCCGATCGCATTGCACCTGTTCCGTCGTAAGACGATGAATCTGACCTATGGACCTTGGAAGATGCGATGGTACGGCTATCTTGTGAATGGCCTGGGTCTGATACTGTACGCCATCCTGTTTGTGGCAGTGTCTCTCCCCACAGGTTTGCCAGTAACAGCAGCAGACATGTACGTCCCCCATCTCCCAATCCATGAGCTTAGACAAGGTGCTGACAGTTTCAGGAATTACGCTGCTCCGATCGCCGGTATCACTCTAATCTTGGCAACTATACTGTGGTTTGCTTGGGGCAGACGGCAGTATCTTGGGGCGATGATCGTTACAAACGGAATAACAGCAGGTACTACTGAAGTCGGACAAGAGAAAGGCATGTGATCTATTTCATCTACCACGTGCCATTCGGATGTGTATCTATCCAAGCAAGCACCAGTGGTGATATCTGGTTGCTTCATGGTGCTTGTGTTTTGGTTTTCGGGTCTTGTACAAACTCTTCCAATACAACACTACTGTTTACTGATTGGCACCTTCTTCTTTTCCCGATACCATATTTAAGATAGAAAGTCCCTACAGTCCAGACAAACAGCTGGACTTGAACCCGAGGGTCGAAGCACGCAATGGAAGGCTAGGCTCCGCTGTGCTGACATGGGGTGCCTTGCAGATGTACAGTAGAGCGAGTCCGACTCTAATTGCATTGTTGTGTCACACCAACCACCTATCTAGCATAATTCATGGACACTATCTAGCCGTGCGGAACTATGGCGGAATTAGTCCTTCAAGGTGCCGAATAATCCACCCTGGCAAGCCCAAGATTATCTGAAAGAGATCGATCAGTAAGGGCAAACAGATACGCATCACCAGCATCGTCAGCCGTATGTGTCACCCAGGACCAGGAGGGCACAACAAACACATCCTTCTCTTTCCATTCAATTGTCTTCTGGCCTGTGGGTGCATCAATCTTGGTATACCCTGATCCTTTTCGGACGACATAGATGAATGAGCACGTCTCGCGAGGCAGACGAGCTGTGTGACCTTGCTTGATACGCTCTGCCTGGGCTGCAATGGTGCGAGAAAAGGGACTTCCGTTGCTGAGGTAGTGATAGACTGCTCTCGGCGAGTCCTGTGCGTCTAGTGCTTGCTGGGTCGTCTTCCACGGAAAATGGAAGGGGCTGTCGTCGGTGACACTGAGTTTCCAGTATTAGCTTGAAACGCGCCATATAACATCCACAAGCTATGAGGACAGTCGGACTTGACTTACAGATCGGGCACCTTCGCAGTGGGATATGGCTCCAGAAAGTTAGTTCTCGCATACACGTGCAGCGGGATGTCAAGGCAGTCGACCCAGAACGTCGGTGTTGGGCCGTCATTGCCGTGGTAGTGCCATTGCCACGATGGGGTCAATACTAAGTCACCGTGTTCCAGATAGATCTTTTGTCCGGCAACAGAAGTGAAACCCTTTTCGCTTTCCTGTATGAAACGTACTGCAAAAGCGATGTGCCGATGTGCAGGAGCTGTCTCGCCCGGCATGACGAGTTGAAATCCGGCATAAATTGTGTCTGTGGTGTATGGGCTTGGACCCTTGACTTCACCGAAGCCTGGGTTCACCAACATCAAGGCTCGTCGTTCTGCCTGTTCTTCTGGGACATATTGAGCAGAGTCGAGCATAAGCTTCTTCATCTCTTCCCATCGCCATGCCGTTGGGAGAGCTTTTGGGTTAGGCACAAGCTTCGAAATCTTGTCATTGACCTTCCACATGGGGTAGGAGTTCTTCTGCATGCATTCTTGCGTTATCGCTGCTGTTGCTTCCTCTATGCCTGGTACTTCCTCTATGGGTACCGCGGTCTGTGTGACTGTGGTCATTTTGTCTCGCTGTTGAAAAGAAATGGAAGTCCGCCCTGGAACCTTTGCTGTGGGTTGCCTGAATTTGGATAGATGTTCTTCAGTGGAACTTAATATTGTCGCGGAGTCGTTCAGTGCCAACGTTGCTCCTCGATCGCAGACTATCACCATGTGATTGGTTCTTCCCAATCTCGTCTTATCTCGACTAGGCTGGCTCGGAAGCTGCTCGGGGGACTCGGGGCATTCGGCTTCGTGGAGTGCCAGTCTGTGGTCCAGACGGCCTACGCGTTCTGCGAAATTGATAGGCCTTTACGGGTCGATATGCTTTGCCGAATCGTGGATATGTTGCGTCCCCAGCCTCGGTGCCCGCTCAATCCTAGACCTGTGTCGCCATAGCCGAGTTCTTGTAACAGTCTGAGGCAGCCATACACACGTGACAGACCAACATGAGAGCGGCTTCCCAGTATCTGGACACCACAGGTCATTTTCTCGCGCTTCACGTACGCAAGCTGTTCAATTTCACCACTAGAAGATCATCTGAAATATATCATGACCTTACCAATCGTCACTACACTCAATCGCTCTGACGGTCCTCCCGATGCACCGACTTTGTCAGCACTCTCTGTTGTCCCACTACCACCAGTCAATCCAACAGCATATTTACTGCAGACGGCAGGCCAGATTGGCAAACCACCACCAACGACACCATCAACTCCTTTTCCTACGTCTTTCCATGAGCAAGCAGCGAATGCATTTGCAAATGTTGGGGCTTGCCTCGGACTGAAAGGTGCTACGCCCAGAGACATCACCAAGATCACCATCTACGTGGTCAATCTCAATGCGTCACATCGCGAACCTTTGATAGACGTCATCCGGAACTTCTTCCGGATTGAGGGTCAGGAGTCGCATAAGCCTCCCAGTTCGCTGATAGGGGTGGCTGGGCTTGCATCGCCGGACTTTATGATTGAGGTGGAAGCTACCGCTGTTGTTGCTGCCTGAGCGCGTGGACTGATGTCCAAGTCATTCCAGATCGAGTCTGTGGTCAGATATGTTTATACTTAGCAAAGCCGGCTTGACCGCAACTCTTTATCTGTCGGCCTAATGTGGTATCATACCTGTCCTCTAAGTCATGCTCAGAGGCAGGTGAATCTCTCAACATGGGGTGTCGAGTCATGGACGATTAGCATTAGTTGAATCTGCTTGGTCTGAATGAGTCCAGGATCGAGGTGCGCTCGCCTAGGACTTCTGCTGCCGTCAGGCGGCCTATCAGTGGTGCCATCGTAACACCGCTCATAGTTGTGGCAACGTATACCGCCTTTGATGGTTCGCAGAAACCTACAATAGGACTGCTATCCTCCGAAATTGGGACATGACCCAGTGTCATCTCGTCAAGCTCCATACCAGCAAGCGCAGGAACGACTTCAGCCGCATTCTTCAGCAGCATTTCTCCATAAGCGTCGCTAACATTATGACCATCAGCGCCCGGACGGTAGTCAAGCCCTGTCACGATTCGCCCATCCGGATTCTGCCTGATCGATCCTCGCGGTCCGTTCAAGACACGATGCAATACAGGTTGCATCGGCTTGCTATAAGCAAGTGTGCCCGATACCATTTTCAAGGGAATCCGAACCCCCAAGGTCTGAGCAAGATGTGATGATCCGGCTCCTGCAGCGACGACAACCTTATCTGACTCCATTGGACCTTCGCTAGTGCCCAGATGAGGCCTTCCAGTGTTCAAGACTGTCATATTTGTCACTTCAACCGGCGTGCGGAAGTTGACACCGAGTCTCTTTGCTTGTTGAACCATAACTGCAAATGTCTGCATGACATCGAGAGCCCCATACCCGGGCAAGAAGTTGCCATCGCCGACTGGGCCAGGAACAGCCCCCGGCACCAGAGACCTGATATCGTCTTCGGACAAAGCTTCCACCTTCACGTTCCACTCCTTGAGAAGCTTCCGCGTTGAGACGATTTCCTCCACTTTATTTCCTGGTTCGACCCAGTTGACGACGCCGCCCCATTGGATTGGTAAGCGTTCCCCAAGACGAGCTTCCAGTTGCCGCCATTCTGCAACCGCCAGCCCATAAAGTTGATTCAATTCTTCCGTCCCGTCCGTATGTGTTGCAAGCAGCATCGCGAAGGCGCCTTGAGTGCATGCTGATCCTGGTGTTTGCTTGTCCAGCACGGTCACCTGTGCTCCCCGCCTTGCCAGATGGTAAGCGATTGATACACCGATGATACCAGCACCAATGACGATAACGTGGTTTCCTCCGGCGCTCTCGCCATGGTCATCTGGTCCATCTGTGCAAGCAATGGAACCCATTGACGCCGAGAGGCAGGCAGTCTGGTCTAGAATTTCCAAAGAGTGGAAGGGAAGACCAAGTTCTCAGATGGCATACAACGTAGACGACGCCTGGAGGTACACCTTTAGATTGGTCGCATCAATTTCTTTCCAGAAGGTACAGGCACACTGGAAGTGTTTGTGCCGTCCCGTAGACCGCTTACCGGACTACGGCTGACCAACGGCATCGCAGGCCTGTCCATTCTATTTTCATGCGCAAAGTCATCCTGGTATCAGGCCCGGCATGCTTCAGAAGTGATGTGCGTATCTTCGCCACAATGTCACAAAGCGAAAAGAGAGGAGCGAACCGAGAGGGCCGAGAACGGTTGACAAGGCTTCGGACCAAAAGTGCAAGTTGCACTAGCCCTCAGAGATAAGGCACAGTGGGCCGCGGAGCACGACGCTTCAAAGCTTAGGCGATGGATTCGTGCAGAGGTTTCGGGCACTTGAAACCCCACCATCGCTTCCGTGCGCCAGTAATAACCAATTGCCAGAGGCACCACTCACCGGCGTACCTTCCTCGACGACCTACCATCTACGAACTTTCATTTCCGTCGTTCTTGTCTAACCACAACTCGGCTTCGCCCTGTCGCTGGACGACCTTTCAGAGACGGATACAAAATGCCCAAGGTGTGTGTCCTGGGCTCTGGAATCATAGGTCTTGCGTCCGCAGAATGTCTCGTCAATGCTGGATTCGACGTGGTGGTCGTTGCCAGAGATTTGCCGGGTGATGCAGGTGGTTTGTCTTGGGCCAGCCCAAGGTATGCAAGATCGTTCTTGAATGTGCCAATCGCTAATCTGGCAATGTTTGTAGCGCTGGGGCAGTCATATATCCGACACACTCACCAGAGGCAGAAAGCCAAACGTTCGAGAAGGAGACTTTTCAGCATTTCTGGGCTCTGGCTCACCAGGACCCAACCGGTGGAGCTCAAGTGCTTCCTGTGACGGAATTCTTTCAAGAGTATCACGAAGACATGCAAGCCTGGTACATGAAAGTGAATCCGCATTACCGACATCTCCGTGCAGACGAGTTACCCCATGGGGTGAAGGTTGGAGTTACAGTCACAACCATAGCTGTGAACCCAATAATATACCTGCCATACCTGCAAAGGAAGCTCGAGGAACAAGGAGCCACGTTTGTCCGTTTTGAAGCTCACAGCCTCGAACATGTGCTTCGGATGACAGGAGCTGATGTCCTAGTCAACGCCACGGGATTAGGGGCAAAGAAGCTCTGTAACGACGATGCGGTTGTGCCTATTCGTGGGCAAGCCATGTTCTTGCGCAACCGACCTGGGTGGAACCAGATCCTGCTTCGGCAAGATGCTGGATATACCTATGTTATACCTCGATTAGGCTCTGGTGGTGTTTTGTTCGGCGGTATCCGACAGGAAGGAAACGAAGGTGAAGCGGCGGATCCGGCATTACGAAAGGATATCCTCGAACGGGTGAATCATCTCTCGAGAGGTGCTTTCGCCGATGTCAATCTGGAGACCGATGTGGAAGATATGGTCGGATTTCGGCCCGGGAGGAAGGGCGGGTATCGATTGGAGATTGAGGGCTCCAATCTGATACATGCTTACGGGTTCGATGGTGTTGGCTATGTTTGCTCGTTCGGTGCAGGGAGACGGGTGCAAGAAATGGTGAAACAGTTGACGGATCTGAGGTCTAAGCTATAACAAGTACGAAAAGCCCATATGTGATGTCTAGTATGCAGAGAACTTTTCGGACTACGCTATCTCCCAGTAGTGTTGTGAATCTCCTGTTCTTGTTCTTAGACGATGGAGAAAGCATGTGTCCAAGTATAGTCGGGGCTTGATCAGGTTAAGTGACTCCAATTAGCACGGCAAGGCTATGCCATCCCCTCGGCCATCACTACCGCCAGTCAATATCCTCCGACCTTCCTCATCGATCCGTTGCCGTATCGCCTGGCCCCTACCAAATCTGTTCCGTGACCAACCCTTTAGTAACTGCACGTCGTGACCCATCGCTCTCAATTCCTCAGCCACAGCCTCATCAATACCTTCCTCCAGATACACAGCACCAGTACCGCCCAAATTAGGAGGCATAGGGTTCTCGATACAGAACCTTGGCGCATCAACCGCCTCCTGAGGAGTCATGCCAAAAACTTCCATGTTCAACAGAACCTGCACCTGGCCTTGTGGCTGCATGAGTCCGCCCATCACGCCAAAGACGGAGTGCAGGTCGCGTTTGGGTCCCTGTGTGGCCAGGCACGGGATTATCGTGTGGTACGGCCGCTTTCCACCCTGATAAACGTTGGGATGATTGTCCGGCCCCAAGTGAAAGCCAGCACCACGGTTTTGCAACGCGAACCCACAGTCTTTCGGAACTATGCCGGACCCGAACTCCATGAAGTTCGAATTGACGACACTCATCGCATTTCCTTCTGCGTCAATTACCCCGAAGACAACAGTATCGCTGCGATTCTGTGCTGGGCTCACGCCGTCAAACGGCTGCCCCTTAGCGTGGTTGACTGCTGTGTCCTTCTTGAATAATCTTGCCCGCTCAGCAAGGTATGGGCGCGAGACTAGCTGCTGAGGTGAGACTGGGGTACAATCGGGATCTGTGACCCACCAGTTTGCATCGGCGAAAGCAATGCGGAAGCATTCGACAAGCGTATGTAGATACACAGCGGTATTGTGGTCTCCCTTGTTGAATGTAGGAGCCTGATGCGTCTTCTCGAGCTCCTCGAGAAAACCCAAAGCCATGAGTGCTACAATGCCTTGCCCATTGGGAGGGTGCTCCCAAAGCTCGATAAAGTCCTCGCCCCCGGCCCGAGATGTTACACCTTGACCTTTGAATTGTAAAGATACTGGCTGTGTTTCCCGGGATCCTTCTTTGGCGTAGTCTTCCAGATCAGACAGCTCCATATGGGAACCCTTTTGCTGTAGCACGTCGACGATAGCGTCGGCGATACGGCCGCAATAAATACCCTTCTTACCCTCCGCAGCTAACACTCGAAGTGTCTTTGCTAAATGTGGGTTGCGAAAAATCTCTCCGGATCGAGGTGATCTCCCATCAGGCTTTAGCATTTCTAGACCATTTGGCGATGCTGCCTTAAGCTTAGTCTCCCCATTCTTCCACTGAATCCCATAATCAGTCTCAAAACGTCAATCATTTCAGGATGGTTGACCTACCATAGACGCCGAGATCTCACTGACAGGGAATCCTTCCTCTCCCAACTCAATTGCCGGCTGAAGGATTTCACCCAAGGTTAACTTTCCGCTCCCAAACAGTTCGACTGCGTCCACCCAGCCAGCAGCGGCTCCCGGAACCGTAACTGCAAGTGGGCTGCCAAAAGGAATTTTGCCCTTAGACTGGCCGCCCAGCTCTCGTCTGACCTGTGCGAGCGTAGTGTTCTTCGCACTTCGTCCTGAGGCATTCAGAGCATGTACCGTCCTAGATTTCTCGTTGTAGAACAAACAGAAGGCATCACCACCGAGCCCAGTTGAAGCCGGCTCGGTCATGTTCAGAGCAGCAGCTATTTGCCTGTGTCAGCTTGCCGACTTCAATATTGTCTCGTGAGACATACCAACAGCGATGGCGGCATCCTATGTGGTGTCAGCGTTGGATGTCCGAGAGTCGACATTTTTTTCTTACTGCTGCATTGCCTCCCTGCGCGAGGATCTTTTGTCCTGCTTGTGCAGCGAGAGGCTGCGTGCAGGCTACCATACCCTTCGTGCTGTGTACAGCACTCCGCCTTGCAGGAAACCTGGCGAAAGGCTGGTCGCTGCTTTGAACTGCTGGATACATGTTGTCGGTATACAACTCGCTCAACGCAAAAAGTCGTGGCAACTACAGCAAAAGGAACGACACCAGAAAGTTGCTCGTACAGAATGATCAATACTTAGGATAGCTAAGCAAATCCTGGACCAGTGTCTCTTGACAGGGTTGTCTGCTGACTCACCTTCCTTGCTCCATCCTAGAGATTCATTTCAGCAGGTACACGGCTTGTACAGGTCCGGCGTGAAGTGCAAGGCCGAGCATGGTGTGGATTGTTTGGTTCCGGATTGTGGAGAAATTGGCCCTTCATGATGACCTAGCCTATGCCATCACAGTGACCCTCAAGGTCTTCCAGTCGCCTGTAGTTTTGTCTCGCCAGCCAGGAGTCGGCCATTGGAGGTCAAGCAGCCACGGAAAGGCGAGTACCACGACGATGTGGAGCTATTTGGAAGCTGTCCCCTTTACGACCGTGAGGGGCTTCATCATTTGGCCGATAAGCTTCTCTTCGGCCTTCTCGGTGTTCTCGGGTTTGACCGCGGCGGCTATCTTCAGGGCGCCCACTGGCCGCCCACGATTTGTCCTCGCTGATCGAGCTGGGATGTAATTCTCCTGCGTGTAGGACTGAAACTGAGCCGACTTGGAGTGAACCAGGGGAGTCAGGGCCAGGGATCGGATAGTATTGTCTCTTGGTAGACAATGGAAATGTAGCGGCGTGTCCAAACCTCAGGGATATGCACCTCCTAACCGTCCTTACCTAATCATTTATTCAGCCCAGAGCTTTTAAGCTTGACATGGCTTAGGGCAGGCACCCCACAGTCAAGCCCGCTCAAGTAATGACAAGGCAAGACCCTTTACTTGAGTTGGGAATCTCGGGAGAGAGCGCCCATGGTGCTGAGAAGTTCTGTCAGAGCTCGCTCGAGCGCAGTCTCAGCTTTTTCAGATCCTGTCCCCGTTTCAACCGCTCTACTGGTCCTGGGACCATGATGGTGTGGCCCCAATGGAGAGGCTACCCTAGGTACTTGATCTGAAATCACCATTCGAACAAATACCTACCGCTCTTTGTAAGATGAAGGAGTCAACAAGCGGATGGTGGTGGGTGCACTGTAAGGCAAGCCTCACTGAAAGCCATAGATGGGCCAGGTGCCGTGCGAGGTCCAGAAGGCCTGGAATGTGTCTCCATCTAAGCTTGGGGACCACCCAACAGCTGATAAGCGGGTGGGATGTTATTGGGCGTTAGTGGCTTGGGCGGCTGAGATCACGGCAGCTGTGGGATGCCCCTCCTTTATCTCTAGGCCCTGGTGATGTCTTATGTGTCGACCACAGCGTCGTTCGCCTCATGATGTTGTACAGCCCACGATATTTCACATTGAACCAGAGTCTCAGGCAGTAACGACAGAATTCTGAGCAGCACGATACGAGCGCGCCGATGCAACATAATCATTCTCTCTGGTACAAGACGGCGTGCTGGACCTGCCGTGACAGGAAGGTCAAGTGCGACAAGGTCTTACCATGCCGCAATTGCTCCCTTGCAGGAATTGTTTGTTCCTATCCACCTCAAGTTCGCACTGTCCGGAGACCGAAAAGGGCCCATAGTACTGCCAGCCCTAAACAAGATGACGCGCTTCTTGACCGAATCACCAAGTTGGAAGCACTACTCAAGAAGCAGCCCTCGGAACTGCATATCAATGGTGTCAACGACGGGCAAGACTCAAGCGTCGCTGAGCCTCATGCGGAGCACGCCACAGCACCTCAGTCAAGGCATCTAACGAATGCGACATCTCTTGTTGGTCATTTGCCCACCAATGCAGGTCTTGAATCAACAACGGCCCCAGTTGATACTGCTGAGCCCTTTTGGAAAATCTCCCCTGAACCTGGAGCACTTGGACCCCAGCAAGGAGTTGCCTCCGACACGGCCGATGCGAACTACTGGGAAAGGATCGAAGAGCAGTGTGCTAGTCAAGTCTTCTTGAAATCACCATCAGTTTCCAAAACGAGCATCAGAAGCGACGCATACAATCAAGAGCCGCCCAACAGTGAGCTGCCGAGCATCGCGTTTCCCTTCCACGGGCCCAGTTCCCCGGCTGCTGTGCCTCTTCTGCCTATGCCAGAACGACTTGTTTGCTGGAGGAAGTACCTCGAGAATGTGGATCCAATACTTAAGATCCTACACAAATCAACAACCCAAACATTACTCCTACTACCGGACGACCAATGTTATACACTCGATTCACCTTCAAGAGCTCTCATTCAGGCTATATGTCTGCTCGCGGTTACTTCCATGTCCGAGTCAGACGTATCAGCAGGTTTCTCGAGATCCAAGGAGTCTATGACACGGAAATGTGCCGCCCTCACTGAACAAGCATTGATGGCTGCGAAGTTTCTCGAGGCGCAGGACCTAACCACGATTCAAGCGCTGCTGTTGTTCTTGTACTATCTCAGATGCATGGAAGACCCTCGACTGAATGCACTATGTGGGATGGCCGTCTTCTCAGCTGTCCGAGCAGGGCTGAATCGCGACGGAGCTGCTTCGGGACTGCCATACCTCGAGGTAGAACTCCGAAGACGAACGTGGTGGCAGCTTCTCAACCTTGTCGACCACCCGGATGATTCTGGCCTTGAAAACTTCCCCCCTGGAATGGGCGCAGACACGCAATTGCCACGAAACGTAAACGACTCCGAGCTCGACTTCCAAATGGGGGATGCTACGGAGGAGCGTGTTGGATTCACCGAGTCCAGCTTTTGCTTGATGCAGTATGAGGTAACACGCACATTCAACCTCATTAAGTCAGAACGAGCTCGTGCTTCGGCCGGACGAAAGTTCAGGACCGAAGAAGCGGAACAACTACTGCACTCATCGCGCGAAGTGTTTCGACAGAAGTATTTCCAAGGTCAACTCAAAGAAGCTCCAATAGGCGAGTTTGCTGCTGATGTGATCGCAATGGTGCTTGCTAAGCGGCGCCTTCTCATGCACATCTCACCGGATCGCCATGGACATGGCGAGTCTGTCACTCCAGACGCCCAAAACCATCTCTTCATGCTGGCCGTTCATGTGCTGGAATTGTCTCGAAGCTTACAGACAAACAAGAGTGCCGAGAGGTGGCGATGGCTGAGCGCGACATATTTCCAATGGTCCATTGCAGCGTTTGTCGCCAGAAATCTTACGATACGTCCATCCAGTCCTGCGACCAAACGAGCTTGGCACGTTATGGATGGAATTCTTGACCTTTGGCCCTTACCGATGCGCAATTCGACGAAGGCTAATGCACTCAAGGGCTTGATAGCTGATGCGATGCGGAACAGAGATGCACAAAACCCGTGGTTGTCGATGTGGTCAGGTAGCAATACTGCCCAGTTGCCTTCGCCGCCCATTTACCGCAAACCACCGAGTGAGGACAAGAGGATTGAGAAGCTGGTCCACTGGTCTGACCCTATGAGCGAGCTTCAGCAGCCTCCGCCTGTCTTTTCCTTCAATCAGGGACTGGGGTCGGATAATTTTGGGTCCTTCAACTTCAACTTCGATGAACTCAACATGGATTTTGGGCTTCTGTCGTAGTACGGGCTCAGTACTGTTTATGAGTGTATTATAATTTTCGTAATGGCTTTTTCAGAATAGGAGAATCTTCATGGGTGGATAAGAATCGACTATCCCTGGCAGTAAATGGTTTACTGTAGAGGCCAGACCAGGAAGCCCCGGAGATCGAACAAATTTCAGCCTCGCTTGTGCCTGCAGGGTCACCAACCACAACCTGTTGGCCAAGGATGCCATTCCTCAAAACCCCTTTCACGGGCGAGGTTTCGTGAACGACGATCTCTTCCCAGGCTCCACGAGGCCCGCAGAAGGGTTTCTGAGAGATGTAGATTATTTCGCACTTCGGCGTTCTCGGGGCTACAGCTGGGGCTCGCTCCAGCAGGTCCAGCAACCATTTGCGTCGATAGCAACTCGTATCCGTAGCTAGCCTTCCGAAAGATTGAATCAAGCCCGATCCGAGTGTGCAACAAGTACATGACTTGCCGAGCGAGGCTTGCTTGCTAGCTTCGTCCGCCATGACTAGATAGAATTTGAAGCCTTGATCAACTGTTCTCCACTTTACTCATGGTAACTGGGGTGTAGGCGCAGATATCTTTTCGAGACGTGGATTGTGTCTCTAGAAGTTGAATCAGAATACTTTCTTGTTGTAGCATTGTGCTGTCTTGACCATGACTTTGGCAACTTTGATACTTGGAGCGTTGGTTCTCTCCACGATCGCCTGGACTGCCTTCCAGTATTTGACAAGGAAAGAGCGGTTACCAGATGTGGAATTCATCCGACTTAGCGACAAGCCTGGCAAGGCTGGGGATGCGGACGATGTGCAGGCATTCCTCAACGACAGTCTGGGTGCGATCATGAAGGGGTACAACGAGGTATGGCAGCATGTCAAGTCAAGGTGACCAGGCTAATCAGAAGACCATACAGTACTCGAAAAAGGGCAAGCACTTCTTGTTGAGAACACCCCGACAAGTATACTTCATCGCGGCGTCCAATCTTCTAGACGAAATCCGTCGCATGCCCGACAGCCAACTCAGCCAACCGGCGGCCGCGAACATCATCTTCCAGGTCAAGCACAATTTCCACCCTGAACTCGAAGCCGACATGTACCATTTCAACGTAATCCGGGGCAAGATGACGCAGGCCTTGGGACAATACCTCCCAAGAATGGTGCAGGAGTCAGGACACGCGTTTGAAGTCGAAGTCGGAAATAGCGCCGAATGGAGAGAAATGCAGATGTGGCCACTAACCTCGAAAGTCGTCACTCGAATGGCCAACGCCATGTTGGTTGGAGAGCCGCTTTGTAGGAACGACGAATATCTGCAGTTCTCCTGCGATATCACTCCCTTGGTGTTCGACACTGCTGCGAAGATTCGCAACTATCCCGAATTCATGAAGTCTATTATGATGTACTTCATGGAGGATCGGAAGAGACAACTGCAAATTGCTCGCAAACACTTGATTCCTTTGATCAAGCAAAGGTTGGCGCAGGCAAGTCTTCCGGCGGTACAAAGCAAAGCAGAGAGGCCTGACGACACACGTGAGATCTCCCTTTTCCATGGGGCATACTTGGCAGGACTGAAGACCTAACCATCATTAGTGCAATGGCTCGTGGATATGACGCCGCCAGAGAAACGAGATCCGGAAATCCTCATGCAAAGACTGCTCCACATCAACGTCAATGCGATTCACGCGCCCGCTTACACCTTGACTGAAGCCATGTTCGACCTGTGCAGGCATCCTAAGATTCACGAAGAACTCCGCGAAGAGATTGCCGAGGTTTTGGCCGGAGGCAACTGGAACAAGGAGAGTTTAGATCGCCTGGTCAAGTTGGACAGCTTCATCCGTGAATCATCACGCTTGACGCCCATCAGTGCCGGTGAGTTGAACCTTACCAGTAGTACTAGACACTTTGTGGGATGGAAACTGACAGTGTGAACAGTGAAAATGGAAAGACTTGCCGTCCAAGACGTTCGACTGAGTGACGGCACTCTGATCCCGAAAGGAACGTCAATAGGTGTAATCGCACATGGGCGCCATTTAGATCCTGACATCGTTCCCAACGGGGCAACCTTCGACGCCTTCCGCTACGCTCGGCTGAGGACCGGGGTGGAGAAGACAGATGCTGAATACGCCTTCGCGCAGGCGACTCCAGAGAACATGCTATTCGGGCTAGGAAGACATGCTTGCCCTGGCCGTCTGTTCGCGTCGGCGCTTTGCAAGATCTTCCTCGTCTCGGTGCTTGTACTTTACGACGTGAAGTTTCTCGAAGGCAGACGGTTGCCCCAGGGCCGTTGGACGCAGAAGTTCCGCAACGCAGATCTTACAGCGACTGTCGGATGGAGGCTGAGGCCGATAGAAAAGAGGTTCGCTGGTATCATTGTATAAGGAGAGGGTCATATGCAGCAGCTCATTAAAGACGTTCACACGCAAGCTCCCTGGTATGAGGATCATGAATCAATTCCTCTTAGTCTGCCATGCCTGCGCACGGCCGCAAGATGATTGTCCACGTTGAGTTTTATTACCACTGCTCTTCCGCTCGTTGACCGTGTCGAGCCATTCTCCGAATTCGAGTTCGCTCATCGAGTCAGGCACTTGCAGTCACGCAAAGTGCAGGCATGAAGCGGTCCGGTTCGGCGGCAAGGCCTGTAATTGGTATCGACCTCCCGTCATGCATGAGTTCCTCAGCTGCAAGGTTACGGTGGGAGGAAGCAGACGCAATGTCATGAATGCGACGTTATGGACGTTACGAATTGGTGAAGGTCGGTGAAGGTGTGAATGAGACAGGATGCTGTGCCCGCGGAAACTGGAAATTTCTCACAGCCTCGTGTCAACCTGCCGAGGCTTGCAAGGCTGGCAAGCTCAAAGTGGCCTGATCATACCTGATCACTCATCCTACCACAGTACTGGTATTACTTATTAGTAGGGCCGTCAGGGCTCTTCCGGCGCTCGCATGGGATCAACTGACACCTGGAGAAGCTCCACTGCCAATAGGAAAACTTTACATATTTATTTGTACTTCCGCGGCTGCATTCAATTCCCCTTGAGCTTCGTCCGAGCCCAACATGCGCAAAATGAGCGATATTTGACCGTTTCAGCCGTTACGAGAAACAGTCGTCCTTCCTCGTGCTGTCCCTGCATTTTTCGGGGGAGTTCGGCTGTGAGTTCCTAAAGGTAAGGCAGGGCAATGCTTTCATTGTTGACACACAAACTCCATATGCCGCGGAGCTGCGACGAGGATGTAAGCACCGACGAACAGTCCTATGTGGCGACTCATCAAAAGGTGGTATGATCATTGCTTCATGTTACGTACTCTCACACATTTCCGCACTTGGGTTCCATCCCATGCTGACTGTAGGTAAACAAATTATTTATACTGCTCAATTTCCAGCGACCATGGCAGAGTCATACCCAGTCCAAGGCGAATATGTTGGCAAGAACGCAATTGATCAAACTTGCCATCTCCTCAACGATCACCTCCTCATTACGTGGTGCCATCCCAACAACAACAACAATGACTTCGACTGCTAGTTTCCATTCATCACCTCCGCGACACGAGCTGAGCGAGGAGCACCAAAAGATTGTCAAATCGACAGCGCCTGTCCTTGCCGAGCATGGCGTGACAATCACCTCTCATTTCTACAAACGCATGCTCGACAACCATCCCGAACTCAAAAACATCTTCAACGCTGCACATCAAAGCACAGGCACACAACCTGCCGCTCTCGCTCATGCTGTCTGGGCATACGCTTCGAATATCGACAACCTGGGAGCGTTGACGACAGCCGTCTCTCGAATAGGTCACAAACACGCCAGCCTTGGAATCAGACCCGACCATTATCCGATTGTCGGTGAAAACCTCCTAGCATCAATCAAAGAGGTGCTTGGTGATGCAGTCAACCAGCCAGTTCTCGACGCCTGGGCCGCTGCGTACCAGCAACTTGCCGATATCTTCATCGACTTCGAGAAGAATCTTTACCACAAGGCGGAACAGACTTCAGGTGGTTGGACAGGCTGGCGCAAATTCAAAGTCGCCCAGAAGGTCCACGAAAGCGACGAGATCATCTCATTCTACCTAGAGCCCGTCGACGGCGCGAAGCTGCCCGAGTTCAAATCCGGTCAGTACATTTCCGTCCGGGTATTCGTGCCTGAATTGGGGGTATATCAGCCTCGGCAGTACAGTCTGTCCGATATTCCCGATGGAAAGCACTTCCGTATCTCGGTTAAGAAGGAATCAGCCAAAGGCCTCGCACCAGCCGGCCGCATCTCTAATGTCCTGCATGAAAATGTACCCGAGGGAGCCGAGGTCGACGTCAGCAATCCCTACGGCGACTTCACGCTCGATGTGGAGACGGACGTCCCAGTTGTCCTGATCAGCGGTGGTGTCGGTATTACACCCATGCTGTCCATGCTGGGAACCCTTGTCGACCACGCGCCGAAAAGGAAGGTCGTCTTTGTGCACGCTGCCCGGGGTGGAAACGTACATGCCATGAAAGAATACTTGTCACGGATTATGAAGGACAACTCGCAAGTCTCACGGGTCATCTTCTACGAGAACGTCGCCGAGGCCGAACGGGAAGGCGTTGAGTACGACTACAAAGGCCGAATCGAACTTGAAAAGGTCAAGGACAAGCTCCTGCTGCCCGACGCGAATTACTACATTTGCGGACCCATTCCATTCATGCAGTCAAACCAGAAGGCTCTCGAGGGGTTGGGCGTCCCCAGCGAGCGGATATATTCCGAAGTGTTTGGCTCTGGCATTGCGTAGATGGTCATGCTTGCGGGATGGTTCAGCTGGTTACTCACGACATTGCGGAATTCTGCACGCTTCTGTGGGCTGGTTGTGATGCCCTTGGGTTTACTTTGTGGGAGTCGATTCATCATGTGCGAACCCAGCGGAAGGCCGGTTGCTTTGTACGACACGAAATCAGACGAATTGTCTTGATGATGGCGTAGACGAGGATTTGGAGAACCTGTATACACTGAGAGTACATAAAGCGCTACTGTTTCAATTATTACTACGAAGGAGTGCAGAGGATTCTTATGCCATTACATGAAAAATCTATGTACCGCGGTACTCATCTCTAGGCCCTAAGCTCATGCTGTCTGCAATAAGACAGCATACCTGCTACTCGGGTCCTGATCCTGATGGCCCTTTCTAGGTTTTCCACCTAGCATATTCCCTGCCAGCCGACATCGTTCACTGACCTGTCTCGACGGTAGACAACCGAGCGAGACCCAGCTCACAGGTGAGAGGTTCATACTGCAGTCATGATTCTATCATGACTCCAAAACCTACTCCGGCGTGCTCATTGCACGCATTACGCGTGCTGCGTTGACCACGTTTTTGGCCTGGTCTTCTGTCATTGTGTTATCAAGCTCTTTCAGTCAGAAAGACTCTTCACGTGGACAGTAAATAAATGCGCGAAAAGAAAGAAACATTGAGTCAAGCGTCTAACCTGCCATGAAAAGGCCTGGACGTCTTGGTCTTGCTGTGCAAAACACTGTTGAAGCCATCTGGTCCGCCTCCTTGAGACTGGACCCAGCAACAACGTCGCACGGTGCAAGAGAAAGATTGGGGAATACTACCCCATAAAGAAGCATCAAGTTGAGAGCTTTTCGTTTCAGAAATGGCCCTTTGGGAATCTGTACTGTCAAATCGCTGATGATTCTTATCAAGAGCATTCACCTTGACAGCAACTTATTGGGAAATGTACCTTTAGGCATCTGCACCACTAGTTGGTTGATGACCGTCACCTTCTTCATCTGGCAGTTCTGTCACGCGTCTGAGATGGTTCAGCTCGCGACGGACAGTCTCTTCTACCAAGTCCTGAATTGGTCCGGCCATAGCCTGTGTCATCAACCCTCTGGCTGTAGCATTGACGCCTTGTTGGAGTCCAGCTTGATGCCCTTGTGTGAACCCTGCACCATATGCAGCTTGCGTACCTCCAGCAACGTCTTGTTGTGTGACATTGTTGACTGGAGCTGCGTTGACTTGTGGTGGCAGGACGTTGTTATCTGGCATTCTTCCATGTTGCTGTTCGAATACCTGGACACGTTCTTGTAACCGCTGAAGCTGTTGCTGACGGTCTGCATTGTCTTGATGCCTGCCAACACGGCCCGGATTTTGCACGGCGAGAGCACTTCTTCCCCGACGACTGTTGCGCGGGTTGTTTCTTGCATGGTTGGTATTGTCTTGCCCAGAGTTGATATTGTTATTGAGGTTGCCACGTCCGGCATTGCGAGGGTTTCTGGAACCGCCGCCTCGGCCACGACCCCGGCCTCGACTATTCGCAGGACGGCGTATGCCTTGAATTGTGTGCTGGATTTGGTCCATTTGTTCCTGCATACTTGAGAGTTGCTGCTGCGTTTGGAGATGTTGCATTTGGCCCTGTAGACTTAATCTTTCCTGCTGTAGCTGCAGGACTTGGGGATCTCCCTGTGGTAGTTGGGTAGGTAACATTGACATACCATTGTTTGGCACCATGGGTTGACCCATTGGTTGACCCATTGCTGTGCCAACTTGGCTGTTCCAGCCTGTTTGACCGTTCCAGGCCATGCCTGGTTGAGCCATGCCTTGTTGACCCAAGGGCCCGTTTGGAGGATTAAATTGACCCCATGGTTGTTGGTTTTGCCCTTGCCCGGCTGGATTTGGTACGTATGCACCTGCATTCGGATTCAAGGCATTATTGTGCCATTGACCGTTATTTGAGCCGAAGCCCTGGAAGAAGAAGGGGTTGTTGTTATTGGGAAACATCAAATCGAGACTGTGCAGTGTATCTGCGCGTTCGATGTGATGGTGGAAAGGAAGGAAGAAAGGACGAAGTGAAAGGATTGTGAAGACGGCGAAGGTTATCAAATTCGCAGGCTGCTTTTTCGCAGCTTGGCTGCAGACAGGTTCCTGCCGCACCCATACCAAACTGCGAACTTTCACCTCATCAATCGAAACACTACTCACTGAATTTGACATGACCGGCTGTCCTCAATGTCGCTTTGAAAGCATGATGGCAACGGATCCGATCCCTCTGTCTCCTCGCTCAGAACTTCCTGCATCTACCCATCCATGCTAGACTTGAGACAAGAATGTGGTTTGATTCTCTGCCCCTTTCCTGCAGAGAGCCCGATAACACTATCATTGTTCGAGTGCAAGCCTTTGCCAGCCCGATCTATCCTCCGCCATTGAGGCTTCTTGCTGCGAAACATGAGGCAAACCACCGTCTATACCTTCACCTTCGCCCGTCCACCATCTCGACCAACGAAGACCTCCACAACCGTTGGGTCAACACCCTCTTAAGCGCTTCTTAGCGTGGCTATACCATGTGAGCATTGATGATGGCAAGACTGTCCCAGTGAAAAGAGCCGGGAGCAACACGAAATACGATCGCACACCAACTTGGTACGCAAGACGGCTTGGTTGAATAGCGCAGAGACCTTTCACGGGACTGATGACATTACTTATGCCCATGTACACTGAGGCAGCGAGGTGGATAACATGAAGGAGAAGCTCATGGTATGTGAAGCTGCTCGTAAATTTCTGTCACTCGAGGGTGACGTGTGCCCAGAGATCCTCGAATGTCCCTTGATTTTGAACGTTGTCTACTCGTATAGACTTATAGGCGGTGGCTCATCTTTTTGTATGTAGTACTTCTAGACCCAAAGCAACAGCGGCCGTTATCAAAAAGTTCTAACGGTTGCCGTGCCGTGCAATTGTCGATCAAATAGTGGTTAGTCAAGTACCCTCATAGTGGGCAGCCAGTTCCCAAGCCCGGAATATTTCTCCAAGGAAGCCTATAGGCGAGCCGTTAGACACAAACGACGTCACATAGCTTAACGGCGCAACTATCCGGGCATGAGAGTGGCCGATCTGACTGCCTATCGCGTGTCGTGTCTAAAACAAAGGCCTAACGAACCCCAAGGTCGAAAAAGGTACAAACTAAATTTTGACGCGACACGGGATGACTTCATATCCCAAATTCTAGGCCTCTGCTCCAGACACGAGGGACCGTGACTTTCCATTCTTATTAACATTCGGATCTTCGCAATTCTCAGCCATTAATAACCTTTAGGCTTTCCCTGTCATCATGTTGGCGACAATACACCCAGGCTATCTCGACGTGGACTGCGCAGGATGTCTTCTACTTCAACAATAGACACTCAGCCTCGGACTTCGCACGCCTGTGACAGGTGTCGTCGTCTGAGGACAAAATGTTCGGGAGGAGCCAAGTGTTCCAAGTGCCGAGTAGATGCGTCGGAATGTAGATATTCTGATAGGAAACGAGAAATAACAAAAAAGTATCCACACAACGACTGCATATGGCGACACGGCTGACCAGGACCAGAGAGCTCATTGAATGCAAGAGCAGCGTCGCCGAGTTGCAAAACAAGAATGGAAAGCTTGTCAATCTCTTGACAGATGTGTTGGCCGCTACCACCACCGAGAGTGAGGCCCGAAGTCGTGCTGTGCAATTCTTGACAGAGGTACCGTGGTACAGCCTTCACTATGCGCATGGACGACCGATTTTGACTTGTAGTGTGCTAGGACCCTGAGTATGAAGGTATCTTGCGAAACGCAAGGAGATCTGAATCAGGTACAGAGCCTATCCCCCGTGAGGCAGGACAGGCGGGCCCTTTCACCACAGGGCAGGATCCTCACCTTGTCCTAGAAACGAACTCCGAACACCCTAGTCAAACCGAGCACAAACAATGGCGGTCTCCTGGGGCCTTCAACCTGGTGGGAATGTCGCGACTCTCGCAGAAATCCCAGCGCATCTTGACCGACGATACCCCTCCCACTTCTGCCTCATTTCCACCTGCTGCCTGGACCTCCGCCACGGACAACGACAATCTCGTGCAACATCTCCTCTCGCTCTACTTCTGCTGGGAATATCCCGTCTTTGCAAGTTTGTCTAGAGAACATTTTCTCCTGGACTTCAACAGTGGTAGAGGCAGATACTGTTCACCGCTTCTTGTCAACGCAATACTCGCTCTCGGAGCCCGGTTCAGCGATATTCCCGAGGCATGGAAAGATCGGCACAGTCCTGAAACTGCCGGAGACCAGTTCTATGAGGAAGCACAGAGATTATTAGGGGTCGAAGACGTCCCAACACTGACGAAAATCCAAGCTCTGGGGTTGATGTCCCTGCGACAAGCTAGCCGCGGTAACGACGCGAGTGCTTGGCAGCTTTCTAGATGGGCCGTCCGCAGCGCCATTGATCTGGGTCTTCACCTCGGCGAATCACAGGACACTCGCGCAAACCGCTTATTATACTCGAATGCTGAAAGGCAGGTCAGTGCTGCCACGTTCTGGGGATGTTACACACTTGAGCAGTAAGCAAACGTGATAATCCTTTGACAGGAGGGCCTACTAATATTCCCCAGGGCATGGTGTCTCACTATTGGGCGGCAATCTCAACTCAGACCCGAAGAGATTCATGTAACAAAGCCACTCAAGATCGACGAGATTGAAGACGAGCCATGGGTCCCCTACAATGATGAAGGCGTCAATCCGGACACCACGCTGCATCAACGAAGCAACCTTAGATCTGTTTACAAGGTTTTCGCAGAGCTTTCCGGAATCGTACACCAGACCAATACGATTCTTTTATCAGACGACACTCGGAGCATCAATGCTCATGTGAGGGCGCTGTACACCGAGTATCTTCAGTTCTACAATTCGCTCCCTGACGCGCTACGACTTGGTGGCAATTCCACCCCTCCGGTTTTCTTCGCGCAGTAAGTTCAGCTCACCATAACTATTGATTCCACATGCTTATTGTGGCTCAGCATGTATTTCCATTACGCCATCTTATTACTCTTCAGACCTTTCTACAACACGGGAGTCGGGGACACCGTCACTGTCACCAGGGTTGTTTGTAACGAAGCCACCGACAATATCTTATCGCTCGTCCGGTCATATAAGAATATTTACACCCTCCGGCGCACGCCTGCGTTCTTGCCGTATGTGGTACTAACAGCCGAACTTGGGCGTATGGCAGATCACAGGACCGGTGATCACAGAAGCGAAATATATCACACTGCGAGTCTCCGATACCTCAAGGAGCTGGCGCTGTCACATCCGTTTGCCATTCGGGCGATTCGTATTTGCCGATATTTCAGGAGAGGTTGGCGGATCGAGGCCTCGCCCGAAGACGAACTGGACTTGCCTGAGGTCAATGAGGAAGCAGGTGATGGAGTTGCTATGTCCCACGAAGTGACGTTCTTCCGGCCAGATGTGGACTTGGAACGACATCATGAAGGTGTACCTCATTACGGCCCGATGCGCGATCTCAGTAGGAATACGAATACGAAACGCTTCGTGCTGTTTCCGCTTCAAGGTATAAGTGAAGGAACCATGAACCTGGAGGAATGAGATGCCACCTTTGCGCCGAACCGAATGATGAGCACGATAATGGGGGATGACTACAATCACTGTATATAATGTTGAGGGCATGCGCCATCTGCACGCTGTATGGACCGAGCAAAAAGAGCGAGCTAAGTCTATAGAAGAAGAAGGACTGTACAGTATGCAGGTAGGCATGTGTACTTGAGAAAGAAAATGGAGATGAAATGAGATGCCATTGACGCAAAGAAAGCTTGCCGCCACGGGTTTTTTCTTTCGCGCTGTCGATACAAGGACTTTGTGGATTGATGGCCTTGAAAGGTGGCCAGGGCTGTGGCCTTGTCACTCTGTCCTCCTCTTCAGTCCCAATCACCTGTCCGATGCAAGCTTCCACCTCTTCTCGTATGCGAGCATCCCGTGACCTTTGGCAGCTAAATGGTGAAAAGCGCAGTAAGGATGGACCAAAATTGGCTTATAGCATCTTGCATCGTACGATGTAGATGACTATATCCGCAAAGGCCGAGTCAAGGAGGACATGGCGTTCCGGTCGGCGCCAAAGTGTGTCTTACACAAAAAGGTAGAGGCATGTAAGTTTCGACGCTGACATGAGAAGCGTGAATCCAGCCAGTCATCCTTCAGTGTCGTCGAACAGATTTCATTGCTTACCAATAGCACGAGGATCAGGCGGAGCGGGATAGTACTTCCCTCTGGACTTACACAGGTATCGTGCCGAATGTGCTGCAGATGCGGTTGACAAGAAAATAAAGACTGCGCAAGTTGAAGTTTAAGTGAGATATCAAACTATACCCGTTCGGGTCAACATTTCAGTCAGCGGCGACGTCGCCAATCTCCATCTTTCGCCTCCAATCAGTTGCACGAGATAGCAGGATTGCTTACGCTGAGTCTATTTCCTTTACACGAGTATTTGACCTCTGATAAATCTCGCTGCCTGTTACTTTTAACATTCAGACCTTCTCATTGATCACAGCCCAGTAGAGTTCGTTGCTAACGGCCGGAGCCGACCGAGGCTCACAGTATTGATAACTCCCTGATTTCTGTCCCTTCGTGGTGCAACACGCCGAACGCAGTGAGAAACGTATCAATTGTCATCTTCAACTTACTCTAACCACCATGCCTTCGGTCTTTGTGCCCAACGGCAACGCCGCTGCCTCGGAAGAAACCATTGATCTTCCATTATTCGACATCTCGCAAGAGACTCCCGAGCTGGGCAAAGCGATTGTGGACGCCGCAGCAAAATGGGGCTTCTTGTGGATCGCACCATCGCCTTCAATGTCCGACGCTGAAGCGACGACCAAAGGCACGTACTTCCTCGACGAAGCAACAGTCGACAATGTCTTCGACATTTCACGGCGCTTTTTCAAGGATGCGCCCATTGAGGAAAAGACAGCATGCGCCATCAAGCACAACCGAGGTTACGTCGGCATGCACGTCGAGAACCTCGACCCGACCAAGCACAAACGCGGCGATTTCAAGCAGTGCTTCAACCTCTCCGGCCCTGACCCAAGCACCAACGAATGGCTGCAGCCGCTGCCGACGACATTTCAACAAGAAGACGCCGCGCTCCGCGACTTCCATGATAGGTGTAGGAAGATGTCGTACCGCATATTACGACTGATCGCAATGGGCCTGGCTATCCCTGATGTCGATTGGATAGCGCGCACGCACGACAATGCGCCGAACACGTCGCGCCTCCTGTGGTATCCTACACTCCCGCCTGATACGGACTTTGACCCAGAAGCCGACATTGGTGCCGGTGCGCACTCCGACTATGGCAGCATCACGCTTCTATTCACAAGACCGGGTCAGCCGGGTCTGGAGATCCTAAAGCCAGACGGGGACTGGGCGAGTGTACCCATCTTCCCACCAAAGTATCATTCCGACACTTTCCCACCGGTCGTCGTGAACATTGGGGATTTGTTGAGTTATTGGACCAACGGCTTATTGAGGTCGACTGTTCATCGTGTCGTGCTGGCGCCGCCGACAAGTAAAGAAAACTCGGCAAATGAAGATGCGACCAATGGGTCTGCGACCAATGGTCACAACCACAGTAACGGCGACACAGGCTCCAAAGCCGATCGGTACTCCATCGCGATCTTTGTCCAGCCCCATGAGGATGCGAAGCTTGTTCCGATGCCATCACCACTCGTGGCGGATAGGGCTGAGAGCTTCCGGAAGGAGGTCATTGGTCACGGCGGCGGTGTTACCGATGCTGAGGGAATGAAGACGCTGACATCGGGTGATTATCTGAGCGCGAGGTTGAAGGCAACATATGGTGCCGTCTTTGAGAGGGAGAAAAAGTAGGTCAATGGTCACTGGTCGGCCGATACTGAGGACTTGCCGATTCTCGGTGGCATTTGGTCCATTTTGCATCTGGCCTGGTTGATTTTCGATGTCACAACCTGTCGCAAAAGTTGTAGGGCCTGCGCGTGGCTCTTCGCACCGGGAAACAGTCGGACCACAAACTCAAGGACCGGTCTCAATGTCTCCAGGGCATCTGCCATGTTTTCGGCATTCGACCTTGTTGCATCCAGCAGCAGAGATGCCTTCTCGACTACGAAATCGATGCTTGCTGGATTCACAGAGTAACTGTAACCCGCCACATCGCTTCCTGGAAGCAGTGCCATGGCAATGTTAAACAGGAGGACCAAGGCGACGAACGCTGGCGACGGCACGGTTTCTTGATCCCGCTGGCGAACGCTGTCCAACCACGTACTCACTGCGATCTCCATGTCCTTAAGGGCAGCATCATCGTCGGGACGAGAATGTGACAACGATGCAATCTTTTCAATGTACACGCAGATCTCTTGTCTGGCATCGGCGATGGATGCAAAGGGTGGGCCGGCGAACGGATTTTCCAAATGATTATGATATTCTGGCTCCATCTGGCGAGTGGGTAGGCCTTTTCGCAGCACGATGGCTGTCAGACCTTGTGCCAGCATGGCGGTGGGTCTGAGCGACACATGGATGAGGTTGGCGTCGGGCTTGTCCAGCCGCTTGGTGGATTCACATTGGCGTAGTAATGATTGCGACGCCTTGAGGTGGACGAGAGCTGCTGGATAATTGTTCTGCATCATCTCCATGGTCCAGGCGAGCAGGGCGGCGGCTAGGACATGGGATTGAGAGGGAGGGTTGGTGCGAATCTCGGTGATGGCTGAGACGTAGTGACTTAGTGCTCGAGCTTGGGACTTGGTAGAAGCGTATGCCACACCGTTCATGAATTTTTCGTGTGTCATGGACAAGGAGACGAGCATGTGTCTTATGGCGGGGGATGTCTGTGCCAGTTGCGGGACGACGATCGTGAAGAAGTCGCCCATCGGTCCGTAGTGCGAGAGCATAGGGGAGGTTCGGAGGAGCCAGTGGTTGAGGGAGCGGGATTCTTCTTCGTCGCCGAAACCGAAATGTGGTTGGACTTTGCGGAGGTGGAATGAAGTTGAATGGTCGTGGTCATTGCTGGTTGAAGTGGGATGAAAATGGGAATTGAGACTGTCACTGCTCTTCGCCAGCGTCTTGTCTGTGGCAGGTGCGATGCTGAAGATATTGGCTTGGGGGATGTCGTAGCAACATGCATGACCTCCCTTGATACATCTCATGCAGTGTGGCTTGCCTTCATCGCACTTAAGATGGCGTCGTTTGCAAATTATGCAACCTTGAAATCGTCAGAAAGATATGTGGGCATGAAGAGGTTTGACCAAAGAATTCGCCCCTTCAACAGGACATGCGTTTGCGGTTGGAGAATACAGACCCGTGCGGACTTTGTGGGAGAAGGCTTTGATAATTTTCTTGCTCTCTACCATCCTTTCTCTTCTCGATCTCTAACATCCTTGCTCAGATCCCGAGAGGTAATATCCGAGATATGATGGTGGTTCGCACTTTAGGATCCCCGTGGGGAGAAGACGTGTACGTACTTTTGTGAATACGAGCGAGGTGAGGCTGAGGACGTTAGGCCACCCACTCCCACCTATGATGCTAGAACTGGTGAATGGGGTGTGAATGATGGGAAACGATTTGGGATCTGCATGGTCGCAACAACTAGCGCCGTGGCATCATGTTTCATCTATCCTTTCCGGACATGTTTTCTTCTAGCAGAAACTATTCCATTCACTTGCCTCCTACTTCTCTGCCCACAGTGACGTTTCAGGTAAGGCGAAAGTACCACCAAACGGCCACCCGACAAGTTGAATGCTGAGTAGCGTGCCCTCCTCGATCTCTTTGGCTCGGGCCTTGAGTTCATCGACATCCCAATTTGCCCATAGAAACTTGCCCTTGAGGAAACGCGCTTCGGGACTTGCGAGCCATACATGGAAGCTTGCTGGCAGTGAAACTGCTTCAATGTTAGCTTGGTACTGGTACTGGAGATGTCGCAATTCAACCTACCGTCATCGGAAAAGCCCATTGCAGCCACACCACCGGCTTCCCTGTTCATAGCGGTGTCCACCACGCCCGGCTGGACATGGAAAACACTCATATCCGGGCGTATATAGGCCACAGTGTCCCAAAGCCGGTACACGGCAAACTTGGCGATGCTATATGAAGCAAACATGTCGGCAAAATTGACGTGTGCAGCAGACGAAGAAACCTCGATCGCGACTGCGTCGGTGGCTGCGTAGCGGAGGAATGCTTGCGCAACGTACGTTGATCCTTTGAGATTGCGCTCGACGGCTTCGACGAGCTTGTCTGGGTCCACGACACTCAGCGACTCCTGAGGTCCAACCATGGCCGCGTTGCTGACCAACACGTGGATCTTGCCATCGCTGGCGAACTTGGAAATGGTCGCGTCAACTTGGCCCTTGTTCGTGATATCAGTCGAGGCCACGAACACCTCGACGGCACAGTTCATGCTCTCGATGGAGGCCTTGGTGTCGAGAAGGGGTTGCACCCTGCGGCCAAGGAGGGCAATTCGAGACGCTCCTGCTTCGGCGAAGTAGCGAGCGGTCTCGGCACCAATGCCAGTACCTCCTCCCGTGATTAGGACGGACTTGCCATTGGCAGAAAGCTCGGGACGGGTGGGAGATAGAGTTGGGTAGGTGTTATCGTGCCAAGTGGACGTTGGGGATGGGAAAGGAGCCATGGTGATGGCTGTAAGCTAGCTGAGTCACTTGGAAGAGAGAGTGGTCGTTGTTCGATGAGAGACATGATTCTGAGCGATACTTGCCTACCTTTATGTATGATCGAGTCTGCAGCACTGACCCTCTGACGGAGCCGTGCAATTTGTGAAGCCAGGTATAACCGGTCATCGCATTGGCTATGAATCTGTGGGTTCTGCACTGAAGTCTTGGGCGCCTGGTATCCATTCATCTAGATGTTTGGGAGAGAGGATCCTGGATCCGACGAAGTTGAAGCAGACCGGACGGACTCTTCTGAATGATTACAAAGAAGAGAGCGCTTGAATGGGTGTTGCATGATCTAAGATGCACTGAACCCCTGACTTGGCGTTTTTACAAAATGTCCCGCCCGTGCCAATGCCGGTTGCTGACAAACTCCCCCTATGCACAACTATCGTCTACAATAAATGTTGTTCAATTGCGAACCTTTCACACCTGTTGCTCCGGATCAAATTGAAATGTATGAAGGAGATTTACAACTCGTTCTGCGGTGCGGGCAGTGCAATAAACCGTTTGACAAGCGTGAGTGAACCTCTCCGAGCATATCGGTAAGTGTTGTTGTGCCCGAACTGACAATGTGGCTATTTAGCGTCCACGTTCAAGAGACATGGTTACTATTGTCGGTCTCGGGGGTCTGGGAACGCCAATCGGCCTCGGTCTTGCGTGTCTTGTGCGAAGGTAAAGGCACGCTGCGACAAGCGGCGACCCGAATGCTCGAGATGCATGACCAAGGCCATCCAGTGTCACTATCCAGGGAACACAACTCAAAGCCAAGCCTCAAGAACCCAGGTATACGATGATACCTCGTCAGGGCGACAGGAATTGGCGCGCCCACTGGTGGCAGATCCTTCGAATCTCCAAGCCAGCAACAATGGTAATATGTTGTTCGATACTGGCGTTACCATATCAGATTCGGACTTTGCAAACCTCGAGGGGGAACCTCTTGACTTTGATGTCCCAGACGATTTCTCCGACTTCTTGAATCTGCAGGCCAGTGGCGAGGCATATCGGTACCCTTCCACCGTGCCATCGTCATCTCTGATCCGTCACTCGACACCTTCACCTGATCTTCAACATATCACGCCTTCCCTGAACGTCCGGTCAATTCTCCAGAGACCAAAAATAAAGACCGCGCCACAACGAACTGTCAACCTCATACTTCACACCCTAAAATCGTACCCACTGATGATGCTGCGCGACAACACCCTTCCACCCTTCATTCATCCGCGCTCAATATGTGCCAATGCCGACAGCAACTACATGGAGCCGTTGACTAATTGCATCAGCTTGGTGCACATGATCAGTAGCGGAGTGCGAGGAAGCAGGAAGTTGTTCTGGAAAAACGTGCGATTGGAGTGTGAACGTTTGTGTGAAGAGGTAGCTTACCATCAACAGGAGAGTCCCAGCAAGCTGACATGGACTAGCATAAGAGAATTGAGAAGTGGGGACTGCTTGCTGCAATGCAAGCACTTTCCATTTACATTCTCATAAGGGTGGATGAAGGTCAGACGGACGACAATGATTTCGATTTTCTACTCATCACAACGGTGGTCGTACGTCTTGTTCCCAGTCTTTCCGACATACCTGGATGCTAATAACATGGTGTAGATCATGGCCAAGCAACTCAGAGATATCTATCAGACCAGCGACACCGAGTCTGCACTGTACGATCACAGTGTCGAATCCAGCTGGAAAAATTGGATCTTTGAGGAATCAAGTAGAAGGTTAAAGCCTCTTTCCACAACTTTCGCCGGTCCATGTACTGACAAAACGAAGAATATGCGTTGTCTACCGAGTCGTAAACCTGCTGGTCTATTTTGAGCCAGCGGCCCTGTGCGAGATGCAAACGGACCTGGTTCTAGCACCACTGCCGGCGAAGAAACAGCTTTGGGAAGCTGGTAATGAGTTTGTGTGGAAGTCGGAGATCGAAAGGGATCCTGCGGCGCGGACAGCCTTTGGACTTGCTGGAGATGGTGAACTGGTCAAGCTAGATGAAGGCCCAATGTGTTGCAGTGATGCAATCATGCTCCATAAGCCCTTGAATTATAGGGGTGTTGGAAATTGGGACGAGTGGTGTTCGGGCATGGATGGGTTTGGTGCCCTGGTCATGCTCACTGCGTCTCTGATAGGATAGCCTTGTCTTCCCAAGATGGCCAGAACGCATATTGGCGGACTCCAAACTACGAAGAGAAGGAACAGCGGCGTTTCGGACTTCTTTTGCACAGAGGACAGCTTCCAACGTATGCTGCCGCCGGAGAATTTCCATTCTCGATGCGGGATCATGCATAACCATGGGTTTGCACAGAAGTCTCCTCCGCACCCCACGGGCATCTTCTCCTCAAAACAAGGGTATATGCGGGCAGCTTCTCCCACTGAACAGTATGAGCGAGGAGCAACGCGGAGATTCTTGATCGGCGTTCAATCCGGCCTCTCATGTTGTGACCTTCCTAATCAAACCTCAAGCACGGAATGTTATGCCCGCTGGAACTGCCGATGGGGAAAAGGCAATGATGGATCTGGCACTCTCTCATTGTTCAGCATATAAGATGGCCTTGATCCTCCAGCACTTGGCATAATCGATGCATCCAAATCGGTAGGCTTTGTTGGGAGCAGTCAAAATGCATGTGTCTACGATCGCGGGTTGCGTGCTATTGCTGGCCGCTTCCGCCTTTTCTAGCACTCCGCACCACAGCAACAAGAGAGCAAATACTTGCACGGTCCCAAGCAAATACAAGTCATCTGGAGGAACCGCTGACGATTCCTCGGCCATAGCGTCTGCATTCGCAAAGTGCTCGCAAGATGCGACCATTGTCTTCAGCGAAGGAGCCGACTACAATGTCCTCCAGCCTATTCACGCTACCAACCTTTCCAACGTCGTTATTCAAATGCAAGGCACGCTTCACCTGCCACAAAACATCACTGCAATCCAGGCTGTAGTCAACAAGACGACGGCAGCAACAAATGCATCTGCCCTCTATTGGTACTCATGTCCCCATTTCCGGCGCATACCGACCGAGACTGACCCAGCGTAGGTTCACACTCGGCGGCAACGAGGTCGAGTACATTGGCACGCAAAACGTGACCAACGGCTGGATCGACAGCTACGGTCAAGCATGGTGGGACGCCAACCCTGTGAACGGAAGCGGCACAGCGTCACGCCCACACCTGATGAGCTTCAACGTGACCAACGGAGCGATGCGGTACTTCAAATCACGCAAACCGATCGCCTGGGGCGTACAGGTGAGCGGGAAGAACATTACCATCACCGACTCTGTCGTCGACGCGGTATCCAACAGCACAGCATTCCCGTTCAACACCGACGGCTTCGACGTCGGCGGCAGCGACATCTCAATCCTCAACAGCGTCATATTCAACGGCGACGACGCGATTGCCGTACAGTCCGGCGCACATAACATCCTGTTCCAGGGCGGGACGATCGGATACCAAAGTCATGGAATGTCAATCGGATCACTGGGCCAGGACCAGACGCAGTTTGCGAATGTTTCTAACATCACGTTCGACGATATCACTGTCATCAACGCGGTGTATGCCTCGCGCTTCAAGTCGTGGATCGGAGGTCAGGGGTTGGCGAAGAACATCACTTGGTCGAATCTGAGGGTATATAATGTGACGTTTCCCATCTTTGTGACTCAGACGTACGTAAATCAGGGGTCGCCTCAGACGCAACTTCAGAATGGGACGACGGTGGGAAGACCGAATAACTCGACGGTGAATATGGAGGGGTTCACTTGGGCTAACATTACGGGGACGATCAATTCGTTTAATCCGGGAGATGGATCGTGTGTGAGCGATGTAAGTACAGCCCCTTCCCAAATGCTCATTGATTGCTGGAAGCCGGATGATTGATATTGTGAAACAGCCCTGCTGGTATAATGTTGGACTGCCGGATCTCCAGCACACCGAGGCCATTATCGTTGAATGCAACACCAACTCTTCTTGCAAGGACTTCGTGTTTGATAGTATTCAGGTTTTTCCTGAAACGATGCAGGCTGCCACAGTGGTTTGCATGAATGCGACGGCCACGTTGAACGCGGATCTGGGCTTCCGATGTGGCAACGGCACGTTTGTGCCGCTTTGAATGAATGGGAGATTCGTCGTAGCTGTGGACGAAGGGATGAAGCATGCAGCACGTGAACACAACGCAGGAAAGGAGAGCAGCTGGTGGACCGTGCCTGACGGCGATGGCCAGAAGTGATTGAGATGGGTGACTGCGTGATCATACTGTGATTCACTGACAAAAGCTTGCCATCTGCCCAAGTTGCTGGCCAGAGTAGCCTTCCATAACTATCCGCCTGTCTTAAGAAGTATTGCTGGGCAAGTTCATGCAACCGAGATATTGACTTTGCTACCATCTGGCCATCTCACATCAGCATGTCCCTCAAGAATTTGGGATAGTACTCACAGAATGCGACATGGTCCTTGATGTTCGTCGCCTTTTCCTTCGGCGTGGGGTAGTACCAAGCGGCGTCCTTCAGAGTCTTTCCGTCAACGGTGATGTTGTAGTAGTTTGCCTGTCCTTTCCATGGACAATTGCTGTGAGTATTGGATGAGGAAAGGAGTGATTTGTCCAGCGAATCTGGCGGGAAGTAAATGTTGCCTTCGACTGTCTCATAGTGATCGGCGCTAGCGACGACAGTGTCTGAGATCTTTGCGGTCGCGGTCGGCATTATGAGAGCGATGTGACTATTGACTACCTATTTATGGTGTTGTCAAAACCGGCGAAGTTGAGGTTGTTCCAGCAAATATCGATGGAACTTGGTGAGGAACAGAACAGTGCATTCAAAGTATCTCGATTTGTACCACATGGGAAGGCTGACTGAGAGAGTCCCCGCCTGATGACAAATGGATGCATTGCCAATCACGGCGGTCTTCAGTATGTCTGATCCGTCAACATTCAGGCCACCACCAATACATGAAACATCGAGGGCCAGAATGATTATGTCAACCCTTGTGCAGTCGTGTTCACAGTGCCGTTGAAGCAAGAGAACGTCGGATCGAGGTCACCCTTGGATTGTGGTCCTGAAATGGCGGCCTCCCACATTGCCATCACCCCAGCCACGAGTCTTTGTAAGTGCCTCGAGAACGGCCAAATCAGCGCTTCTTCCTTGCGCTAAAAGACTTCAATGGATCGACCTTTCCTCGCTTCGCTGGCCCGCGACCCTTACGAGAACTGTTTTTCTTCTTTCTGTCCTTCCGCTTGTCGTCGGACCCAGGCTTTCTCAGACCGACAAATCCAATATCGTCGGCACTGATTCCTTTCCTCCCCTGCGCCGGCATGAGATACTCGGGAACGTGTTTGAGGTGAGACTGATGTCGCACAACTGCACCATGTTCCCCGTCGTGTCGCAAATGCCGCAAATCATCCGGATTTGCCTCAAAATGCTTGCGTAGCTTCTCGCTCTTGATCAATTCCTGCTTGATCTCTCGGGCTCGGGCTTCGTGGACCGCTGGTCGTGTTACTGCTCGTAGTGCATCGTTCATTCGATATCGGAAAGCGTCCACTTGGGTCATGTCGAAATGATATGGCTTCACTTCGTTGCCTTTCTTTTCCTGACGAGCGATAATTTTCTCCAGCACCTGTTCATCCTTCCCTGCTGATGATATACTCGTGGGCTTGTGTTTGCCGAAAAGATCCTTTGGCACAACAAACGACAGAGCCATGCCTGCTTTCCCTGCCCTCGCTGTCCGGCCAATCCGGTGGGTATAGGACTTGGAAGTCCGCGGCAAGTCGAAGTTGATGACACAAGCGACGTTCTGGAAATCGATGCCTCTCGAGACTCCATAATCCTTCTGATTGTTTGCCACTTTCGCCTTCTTGGCTGGCCGTGATTCATCCTCGTCGTCTTCGTCGCTAATGGCATTTTCACTGGCGTCTTGAGTCTTGCTGAGCCGCCTCTTGACAACACCACCAAGCACTTCCTGCTCATCTGCAGCGATGAGAATGTCATATAAACCTTTGTTGAACTCTTGCACAACGTGCAATCTGGAATTGACTGGCAATTCTGCATTCAAAACACATGACTTGATTCCAAACTGTTCCAGGTACAATTTTAGACGGTAGCTTCTGTCCACATCGGCAACGAATATGAGAGCCTTTCCTCGAACAAGGCGCAGTTTGAAAAGGACGAAGATGAGTAGGAACTTCTCGTCCTCCGCACATCGAACCACATATTGTGTAACGGACTCGCCCTTTTCCTCTTTCTCATCGACCTTGACCACTTCTGCGTCGTGGCAGAACATCGTCTTCAACTCGTCAACCTCCGGTGTGAGTGTTGCGCTAATGAGGAAAGTCTGTACATCGCGGGGCAAGGCTGCAGCAATGGCAGTCATGTCGTCCTCGTACCCGTATGAAAGGACAATGTCTGCCTCGTCAATGACGAGCTGATGAATGTTTTCTAGCGATAGCCTTCCAGAATTCATGTACTGCACCACTCTTCCGGGCGTCGAAACCACAATGTCCGGGAAATCTTGTAACACCGCATGCATGACCGTATCCGAGACTCTTTGGGTCAGGTTCAAGGATGTAATCTCCTTCGCACAGTTTGCTGAGAAAGCACTGAATGCTTTTTGCACCTGATCTGCCAATTCACGTGTCGGAACGAGGACGAGAGTCGAGATGGCCTTTTTCGGTGAGACGGCCTTTCTGCGGAGGATGGACTGCAGAATAGGAAGGACATAGGCCGCAGTCTTCCCGGACCCAGTCTTGGACTTTGCCAATATATCTTTTCCCTCGAGCGCCAGAGGTATCACTCTTGCTTGTACGGTCGTGGGCTCTGAAAATTGTGACTTTGCAATGGCCTGCATCAGTCGGGGATCGAGGTCGAACTGATCGAATGAGTCGGCGCCATGTGTAGGTTCGTTGGGGACTTCCACCGTTGGTGCATCGTTCGAATCTAACTTGCGCTTCATCTTGGAGTGATTTTTGGGGACCAGTGTATACTCGAATTGTTGATGGGTATTGGTGTTGAGGCAGACCGCAGCCGATCAAAAAAAGTTTCTGAACGAGTCTTTGGGCGGCTAAACATCGGCTCATAACAAAAAGTGAAATGGACTTTCCCGCACTGGAGGTTCTCACGTTCGGCACCAATGAAGTCACCAGTCGTCGTCGCGCATTCCATTTGGCACCCTCTTCTCACTCCATTTGAAACTCTCTTTGCTTGACACTGACCCTCAATAACACCTACATCTCCGAGTATGCAATGTGGGGTTCCGCCTCTGCCCATCTTTGCAGGACGAAGGGAGCACATCTTACCCACCTCTGGACAGGGTCGATCCACGGTGGACAACCACCGACAACATGGACGTGGTTGAAGGTCTGCCACGGCCTCCAATGATACCCGTATGCCAAAGGTGTCGACATCGGAAACAGAAATGCGATTCCGACATAATCGGCTGCAAGCCTTGCATGGTAAGACCGCGGCCTACGCAGAGATCGAAGGATGCGTGTTTTGTGCTGACCTACCAAAGCGGTCCGGAAACGAATGCTATGTTGAGGATCCTGACACTGGAAGGAAAGTGCCTAGAGCGTAAGACTGTCCGCGGACACGAACCTGCGATTCTACCTTGAGGGCTGATGGAGGAGGAGGCAGATATGTTCAACGCTTGGAGGACCATGCCCATAGCCTACGCCAGGCTGTGAGGAACCAGACCACTAACCAGCAGTCCAATGACCTCTCGGTACCAGCAATCATCTCCGAACAAAGGCCAAAAGCTCCTCAGGCGCCGAACAGACGCTATCTCGGCACATCCAGCGGCATCTCCTTCATTGAATATGCCATCACCTTTGCAAAGACACACAAAATCCTCGATAGCTCCCAGAATCCTCCCAAGTCAAAAATACCACCAACATTGACGCAAAACAACTGATCAAAATCCTGTCTCCCAGTCCGGCGCAGTCTAATCTCGATCGTGAAACAGTGTCGAGGCTGTTCGACTATTTCTCAATCACGCAATGGTACTACAGAATTATCACCCGCGACGAATTCGACCACCATCTTTCTCTCTTCTTCTCCGATGTGTCTAACGAGCATGTCGATTCAGCCATCGTTGTCCACACGATCTCCGCCATTTCCACGTTTTATCTAGGTGCGATCGAGGGGAACGCGATGGCATCCAATCTTGCCGAGATCCAGTACGAAAAAGCCCTTCATTTACTGCCGACAATTTTGCCATACCGAACAATCGAGACTCTACAAACTATCCTTCTCGTCCTCCTGTACTCATTCCTAAATCCTCAAAAGCCTGTCACATGGCATTTGTTGGGTGCTGCGCTACGTCTTGCAACCTTTCTGCGTCTACACGAGGACAATGCCGCAACGGACTCGACATATAGTGCCAAAGACGCAAACGTCCGACGGAACCTGTTTTGGACTCTGTACAGCATCGATCGCGCCGTTGGCAACACCCTCGGTAGGCCAACGGCATTGCAAGATGTCGACATACAAACACCTTTCCCCGAACTTAACATAGATGGCACCCAGGACTCCTACCCAGCTGCAAATGCCGCAATTGCCAGTCATTGTTTCCAGATTCGAAGGCTACAAAGTGAGGCCGCTGATGTGCTGTATCAGAAAATCAGACCCATGGCACCTGACTGGCCTACAGATATCCAGCAGCGAGTAGGTCAGTGGCTGATCGATGCCCCCATGTCGCAAGCCTCGCCTCAGATGCAAGAGTGGATCAACCATGCATATTACAACCTGACCATGTTCATCAATCGGCCATCCTTGATTAGTGCAACTTCTTCCTTCGAAGGAGCTTCCAAACGATCTTTCGCGTCAGCATCCAAAGTTTTGAAACTCTACGCCCAAATGCACTCGCGTAATGCGATCGACTGTACCTGAATGGCATTCCACTGGCTCTTCCTCGCTGCTGTCACGCATGCCTTTTGCATCTGGAAAGATCCTGAGATAAGAATCACTGCAGACTGGAAAGAGATCAACGAGGATCTACAAAGGACACGCATGGTGCTCTCAGCCATGGTAGAGCACTGGCGATACGGCAAAAGAATTCTCGACATTTATTGCCAGTTATGCGATGGGACTATTCGCCTCTTTGTCCAACTAGTTCCTATTACTGTCGGGGAGCAAAACTTTGAGCAAAAGCCAGCACTCCAGGATCCCACGGACACCACAGAGGCGCTAGGCATCAATCCAGCACCGCCGCTCACAGAGCTCATGGATGCATCGTTTCAGTTTCAGGATGTCCTCATGAATGACGACCTTGATTATTGGCTGGATCAGCCCATTGCTGGATTTGGAACACCTGGCGGGCCCGACGTTTACTCGGGCGCGAACGATGTAGGAAGTGAATTGGACCCATGGTTGTATCGGATGTGAGAGTTCGTTCATTTAGCAGATCAATCTGTGCTTCTACAAACCCATTGGAAACTGATCATTGCAACCATGACCTTCCAAGCACGAAAGGCTATCTGTTTGAGCCTTCTGCTACGCTCAAGCCTCGTCCTCTATCAGTCTGTGGTTTGACTGCACCTTACTCTGCAACTCATGCTTGCCCACTACCAAACTTGCAAGGAAGGCTACCGCCAGCACGACTGTGATCTGTATATGGACATCTCGCATAGCTTCTGAAAATAAGCTCACGGCCAGAGACCTTTGTGGCTCTGGGAGGTCGCGAACAATTCCCACTGCCTGCGACATGGGGACGCCGTTAATATCGATGTTGGCTAAACCGTTGAAGAGCACCATGCTCGAAATGCTGATGCCCATGGAACGCAGGAAGGCGTAAGCTGCGGTGGACGATGCTATGGCTTCTGGGGCACTTTCCGTCTCGTCACCAAACGATGCATGTATCGGAATCAACATCGAGTTGAAATTTGGCCCCAGACCAAGTCCAGTCAGAATCAAGAATGCGATCTGGGCGATGTTGCTGGAGGTCTACGTGGAAGAAGTCTGCGTCAGTCAAGTTTCTCGTTTCTCACGCAAGACTCTCACCTGGTTGAGCATGATTGTCAGCCCAGATCCGACAGCTGAAAGTGCGAATCCAGTCCATATCAAACCTTGATATCTGCGGCGAGAGAAGAGTGGTTAGCTATTTGACGGCGTTCGGGTCCAGAGTGGCGTCTGATTTGAAGCCAGGATCACTCACTTTCTGGTCCATGATATCAAATAACCACTGGCAGTACTGACGATGGTGAAGGATATCACCAATGGAAGCATGCTTACACCAGACTCGGAGGCAGTCTGACATCTGACAGCCTGTAAATACAAGGGTGTGTAATATGCGATGCCAGAGTAGGCGACGGCGTGCAGAAATGAAGCCAGGTATGACCCAATCCTGGTTCGATGTGAAAAGAGGCTCAGCGGAACGACAGGCACAGGCGCTGTTGCTTCAATGAATGGGAGGATGACAAACCCCAGCCCACCCAGCGCCAGGAAGACAATCTGCCGGGATGAGGACCATAAGGCGCCTTGTTGTGCCCACTGTAAGGTCAAGAGGATGACAGTCGTTGCAGCCGCTATGATGGTGATGCCGAGGTAATCCACGTTTCGGATGACCTTGTAAAGCTCCACCGGCGGGTGACTCATGTGAAGAAACATCATGATGACCAAGAAGGCCAGCACCGAGGCAGGGACATTGATGAAAAAACACCATCGCCACGAGACCTTGTCTGCGAATATGCCTCCTAACACCGGACCAACAGCGCTGGCCACGGCCCAAGTTGCACCAATCAAGCCCTGATATTTGCCTCGATCCCTGAACAAGTTTAATGTCAGTTAAACGCCCTGGAGGTAGGCGGAAGGAGCGTCGGCACTTACTTTGTGCTCACCAAGTCCCCAATGAGGATATAGACTAGGGTCAGAATCCCACCAGCACCAACACCTTGCACGACTCTGCCAGCGACCAAGACCGTCATGCTGTCTGCGCAACCGCACAAGATACTTCCAAAGAGGAAGATGGAGATGGCACACAGCAACGTCCATTTACGGCCGAAGAAAGTTCCTGCTTGCGTGTAGATGGGCAGCACAACAGTCTGCGCCAGGGCGAATGCGGATCCAACCCAGGTATAGCCACTGCCGGATGAATCGAGTTCGGCGGTGATGTGTGGGAGAGCACCGGTGACTATGGTCTGATCGAGTGCCGAGAGAAATTGTGACAAGAACATGCCGACCAAAATGAAAAAGAGACGAACTGAAGATCGTGGCAGTCTCTTCTGGGCCTTGTTGTCACATCTGTCAGAGGTAGAGTGTGCTCCCAGTACGGGGATGTCACCGGAAACATGGCTTTTGAGGTCTGCCCCAGTCTCCCTGGCTGTTCCTTCGGTGTTGACGATTGTGCCGACTTGTGTGTCGTGTTCAGTCTTCGTGCTCATGGTGGAATATGTCGTTTTCGATCCTTGGGCAATTGCTGCGCTCAGCCCATCCTGCCGCTGTGCTGCATCCGACCCTAGATGGTTCGAACCTTGCGCTCCCGAAGGCTGGCTGCCGATTTTGGAGTTATGGGAATCCATTTTATGACGATTACGGGACAAGAAGGTCGTAGAAAGCCTACAGCAATGGACGGACACCTGGGACGACTTCTTTATCATATATTCTTGCATAGATCGTCCCACAGGCGCGATCGGTGCGCTCATATTTATCAACAGTGGTGGCGAGCCAGCGATGGTCACTTCGCCCTGCGGGACTATGCATGTGGACTGACATACCTACGAAATCCACACGCCACACCTCACGAAATTGATCGGAATAGGAAATGAGAGGAAAGACTGGTGAATGCCTGGAGTTCGTCCCTCGGGTGTGACGAATGAACAGACATCGTCGGCGAGAAAGCGAATGCACCTAAAGTATCCCGGTTGAATAGCCCCTATGCAGGCTTGGCTCTTATCGGCGAAGACGCGGCCCTACAGTAGCAAGCAGACCACCTCCTACACGATCGATTGCCCCTTTTGTTCGGGCGAACACGGCTATGGAAATCCTGCGTCTCGACGGCCTTCATGCAATTTGACGTTAGATCTCACAAGTGGAGTCTACATTATACTCCCTATAACCTTTTCCAATCGAACGCCCTCTCCCAAGCTGCTCCAATTCGATATATCATTTCTTCCTGAAACATGCCTCCAACAATCTGCATGCCCACAGGCAGCTTGATGCTGCTGTCGTCTTCGGCGGACAAGAAGCCAACTGGTAAGCTCATGGCGGGATGGCCGCTCGCATTGAAACAGACCGTATTGACCGCCACCCCACGACTCTTGGCCATCTGCTCTGCCGGTCCAGCATCAGGAACCGCATGGCGGTCTGCCACATATGGAGTTGTGGGAGTTATGAGCACATCCACCTGCCTCAATGCCGCGTCGTATTCGTCGCGTAGCCGGCGATATAGATTCATGGCCTTGCCATAGAGCGTGGGGTGCTTAGACCAAACATGGAGACCGGAAAGTAGGGAGAATTTGGACGTCGAAAACATTTTGTCGAATTTGTCCTGGGTCAATGGATTCATCTTCTCGGCCAGCCCTGTCATGTACAGAGCTCTTCGACCGCACGCCTTACCCAAATAACCTTGTTGCGAGGCCGCCGGTCGCAATGCGCAATTGACAATATGTCCAGCCTGGCTATGGAGGGGGACACTGACGGGTATAACTTCTGCGCCCAAGCTCTTGAACCGCTCTGCGGCATCCAGCACCTTCTGCTTCACTCCAGGATCTATGACTCCAAAGGCAAAGCCTTCCTGGAGCATACCGATTTTGAGTCCGGAAACACCTTTGTTGAGAGAGGCTGAATAATTTGGCAGGTTCGCGGGCAGTGGTGCGGCATATTGACGATCATCGATATCGTCTCTGCCCGCGATGGCCTGAAGCACGTTGGCGTTCAAAGCCACTGTCTGAGTCATGGGCCCGGCTGTGTCGTGGACTGGATCGTGCGTCATGATCCCAGTCCATGGTACGAGGCCCCAGGTCGGTTTCATGCCCACAATACCGCAATAGCTGGCCGGAAACCGGATCGATCCTCCTTGATCGCCCCCTATGCCAGCGTCGACTATGCCAGCACCCACCAGATGGCCGCATCCACTCGACGAGCCACCAGTCGTGTAGCCCTTTGCGTATGGATTGTCCACAGGTCCTGTGGCTGCGGAGAAGGATGATGCGCATAGCGACAAATTTTCGCAGACGGCTTTTCCCTCAATCGTGCCGCCAGCTTCCAATATTCGTCCCACCACGTTAGCGTCCGTGTCAGGAATGTAATCGGTGAAGACATCAGTCCCCACGAGCATGGGCACGTCCTTCACTGCAATGTTGTCCTTCAGGGCAAAGGTGACACCAGACAAAATGCCTGAGTCGTCCTTGTCGCCTTCAATCCTCACCTTCCATGCCCAGGCATTCCCTGGGTTCTCGTCTCGAACTGGTCGGTGGACATTTTGTCGTGGGTATCGATCCGTGTCAACAATTGGCACGTAGTCCGGCAAAGCTTCAACCACGTCGATGGATTCTTGGACTGAGGCGATAATCTCGTGCCACTCAGACACTTCGCTCTCGGGTAGTGAGACGTTGAGGCTCTGGACTATGTCGAGCACATCTTGGGCCGTAATATGTGCCTTGTTGGACTCGGAGGCCGCTGCGAGTGTAGCCATGTCTTGAAAGATTCACTCCGAGTCCATTCAGGCCAAAAATACGACTTCTTTGGTCATCAAGCTTGGACAACGCTTCATTGCCAGGACATTTCACGGAGCCGTGATCTAGATTAGCAGAGTCACTCAACCATTATCCGGCAGGGTCGGGCTTCTGCCGATATGATAATCGCATTAGGCTCACGCACTGGACCCTTTTGATATTTCAATAATATTGATGCTTCTAGCACACCGGCCATGATACGACTGCAGCTTGCATCGCTCAACAATTCCACACTTTCCCAAAGCCACAGGGGAAAAGGTCAAACCATCAAGACAAGCATGTTATCTGTTGAGATAGCCTTCCTTAGTCATCCTGTCACTGTTTCACAAACTCCACCACTGTTATCAGAGGTGGACGCGCCCTTCTCCGGCGTCGCACTTTCTCCGACGATTTGTCCTGCTGATAGTACACTCTAGCCTTCTCAATGACTAAAGACAGGGAAAGTTGCTCGGGTTGGCCAGATGCAGGGTCGCTGAGATACGTCGGTCATCGGTCATAAAATCAATGGCAATGGAAACACCATCCACGACGTCGAACCCGTCGAATCCGTCGAATCCGTCGACTGGGGCATCACGCATAAAAATCGTCGCTCTGGAAGCACGTTTCGGTCCGATTCCCGACTTTGACACTTTCAAAGGAGAGTTCGACATCGACACCGCAATCTACGATCAGACTGTGCGAGATGATTTGGAGGTACTCAAAGAGCGACTTCGCGATGCGGAGATTGCCATCATTTGCACCATGCCCATGACGGCAGCCACATTGGCCCCAGAGGTAACACCAAATCTGCGTGCCATTTCAATCAGCGCAGCCGGAACAGATCACGTCGACTTGGAATATTGTCGGAAACGTGGGATTCGAGTGCTCAATAGTCCCAGGGCGAACACGGAGACAGTGGCCGAGCACGCGATCGCCCTGTTTTTTGCGGCGAGAAGGGCGATTGTACAGACGCATATACAGACAGTGCACGACCAATGGCCAAAGAAAAAAACGCTAGTAACTTCACTGCGAGGCAAAAATGATGCTCTACCTCTAGGATTGAAGGAGGAGACTGTTGGTATCGTGGGGTACGGTGGTGTTGGTAAGTCCTGATGTGAACATTTTAGGCGTTACTACATCCCTCCCTGGAGCACGCGACGACTAACAGATCTTGCATCGTCATGCAGGCAAACACATTGCAAAGCTTTGTACCGGGCTGGGCATGACCGTCCTGATTGCAGACCGCAAATCGAGTACAACTACGGAAACACAGGGAACGGCACCAACAAGCAACGGATCCAATGCTATGACTCGATGTTCATTCACGCAAATCCTCCAAAGTTGCACCGTCATCTTCGTTGCCATACCACGACTCCCGAGCACCATGAACATGATCTCGGCGAGCGAGTTTGCCATGATGAGCTCCCGTGCCGTGCTTGTCAACGTCAGTCGTGGTGGCATAGTCAATGAGAGTGATCTGCTGGTTGCACTACGAGAGCGACAAATAGCTGGTGCCGCGACCGATGTCTTTCTGGTCGAACCAGCATGGACAGAGAACTCGGTCTTGGTCAAGGCCTTGGCGGAGGAGGAGACAACCGTTGATGGCGAGAAGCTGCCCCTTGTCGTCACGCCACATGCTGCGTGGTATAGTGAAGTCACCATGGGGAATCTGACAAAAGATGCGAAAAGGAATGTTGTTGGGTGGCTTCGAGGAAACCCGCCTCCAGAGAATGTAGTTGTCTAAAGGCCCTGCTCTCGCCCGCCATTGGATTTGTGTCTAGCTTCAATATGTTGCCTGAAGACGTTTGACCATCCAGTCAATTGGCATGACAGGTTCATACTTCTTTGGTCTCGACTCAGTAACGCAAGCCTCGATCGCTGACACCAATTTGTCATGATCAGGATGGGAGAAGAACTGAGAAAGTGTTAGCAGATTACGAGGGGTTTTCCAGCAAAGAGGACATACAGCAATGGAATATCGAGCTGAAAAGTCCCCATCTTCCGTAGTTTTGGCGTTTGGCGGTGAGACCACTCTGTGAAATGTCGACTTGATCACGTCGTTGGTCCAGATCTGAAGCAGATCGCCAGCGTTGATGACAATGGCTCCTGGAATAGGCGGCACATCCACGTACTCGCCGCTGGGAGTGCGTGCCTGCAATCCACCGCTTCCATCTTGGAAAAGAAGTGTTACAGTGCCGTAGTCGGTATGTGCTCCTGCACGGACAGCTCCCTCTGCAGTCAAGACACTCTTCGGTACGGACGGGTAGTGGAGCAATCTCAAGCAATGGTCCCCCGCTGAGATATGTGGTAGAAAGTAGGTCTTGTCGAGCCCCAGTCCGGTGGCGATAGCGGACATGAGCTGCTTCTGCAGCTTGTCGCATTGTGTGAAGAAGGTCATGATTCCATCGCTGATACCGGGCAGGGTATCCTCGGGTAAGTGATTCGTGGAGCCCTTCTCTGGGTAACCGTATGATGTCTCCGACCCGAGTTCCAAGGACTCCTTGATATCAGGGAAAATCTTGCGAAGTTCTTCGATATCTTCCTCGTTGGTGAGGTCTGCGTTAGTCACTTTCTCGACGCCCATTCCGGAATACCTGTTCGAGCACCGATGTCAGTTTCGTTATTCTAGAGTACTCTACTGTGGTGACGTTTCACTGTTGACCACGCACCCTCTGTTCGCTTTTGGATCGACGTTGGGATATTTTCGCTTCTCGTCGGGAGATAAAGCGAAATACTCCTCCGCCCATTGGAACGCAGTTGCCGGATCAAGACCGCTGTTTTGCAAGTATACGAATCCCGAAGTCGTGAAACCCTTCATGATTTCTTCGACGCATGCCTTTTGGTCATGTTCGGAACCGTGAAGATATCGGCTGAAATCAACCAATGGGATTTCGAAGGCCCCCTTGGCCATGATGGTCGACATGCTGGTGAATGTGATCGCGTTTGTGACTCGAAGACACTGTCGTTGTGTGGGAAGGAAGTTGACGAACTTTGGGTGCACTTCATGGAGGTGTTGACGCGGCTCGGTGGCGCCGATGTGAAGCCCAGCCCACCTCCAGGACCCTTGAGACTGAGATCCAGGCTTCAGGAGTGGGCAGAACGCACAAGTGCGAGGATCTCCTTCCCCAGGGTCGAACTGTCGGACCTGATAAGAAGCAAAGCTCAGGCCAATAGAAGTCAGCTCGATGGTAGGCTGTGGGGACCTGATAAGATAACGAGAGTCCGACAATATCGAGGGGGCTTCGGAATTGTATCAGTTACGAAAGTACCAAGCATTGAACTGGCCCGGGACGATCGCAGCAAAGGTCCATGCGCCTAGCTCCGCAGGGCTTACATGATGGCCAGCCCAAACTTGGTAGGAACCACAAGGCCATGTGCGGAGGATAAGGACAGGTACTTTGGTCTTATATGAATCCAGTGTCCTTGTCCCGAAATGATGGCCCTCAGTCGGCCGACCCTTTTCGTGCATTGCATTTGCTACCATGCAGTCCGAGAAGGCCCCTGAGCCTACAAGTGGGACCTTGAGTCCATCGCCCGCTGAGCAAGGGACATTCGAAGAGACCCATGTCACTGCCGTTCGTGCGACGAACCGTCTGCAGCGCTATGCTAATCGTCTGGATGCGCTCGTCGGCATCGAGGCCCGTGGTATTGAGCGAGTGCCTCCTGAGCTGCGTGAGCGCAAGCTGGCGTTGGGAGACTATTTTGGGATTGGTGTAATGTGGTTCAGTATCAAGTAAGTCTACCCCGGTATCCTCGGTCTTCATCCAAGAGCTGACGTCCGGACAGCTGCACTGCCAATCAAATGACTCTAGGCGTGCTCGGCCCGGTGGCCTACGGTCTAGGACTTGTCGACAGCATGTTGCTCTGTACCTTCGGAACTATATTTGGATCAGCCTGCTCTGGATACATTGCGAGCTTTGGACCGTGGTCTGGCAACCGAACTCTCGTCGTGGCAGTAGGTGGTGTCTTTGGGGTTCCATAGGAAACTCTCACTGACTCCAGAACAGAGATACAGCATGGGATGGTGGCCGTCCAAGATCTGCGTCATCCTGAACTGGGTCATCGAGATTGGGTATGGTCTGGTTGACTGTCTAATTGCTGGACTGTTGCTTTCTGCCGTCAACGGGCATGGCATGTCTCCTATTGTCGGGATCGTTGTTTCTGCTTTGATTACGGTAAGCCTCATACCCTGCTCTTGTACCAAGCTATCATGTTTGCTGACGAAGCACAGTGGCTCGTGGCGACCTTTGGCATTAGATGGTTCCATACCTTCGAAAGGTGAATCACGCACTTGTGTTGAGGATGTCTGGGAGTTAATCATTGCCTAGATGGGTTGCGGTACCAACTGTACTGGTCCTGTTCATCTTGATCGGCGTTGCTGGTCCTGATTTCGATACCTCCACACCTTCAAGCGGATCAGGAGCGACTCTTGCCGGCAATCGACTGAGCTACTTCTTCCTTACGGCATCTGGTCCTCTAGGGTGGGTTCCTGCTGCGGCTGACTTCTTCGTCTACTATCCAGAGAACACTTCTCGTGTTGGCATGTGCTTCATGACCACGGCAGGTATGACCTTGGGAAAATTGTTGATCGAGTTCCTTGGTATTGGCCTGGGATCCGGGCTTGCGGCCAATGCAGACTGGGCAACCGCATTCGAAGGCTCCGGCGTTGGTGCATTGGTCGTGGCAGGTTATGCTCCGCTCGGAAACTTTGGCAAAGTCTGCGCCGTCGTCCTTGCTCTTTGTGTGGCCGCCAACAACATTCCAGGGACTTATGCAGCGGTGAGTTTGGCGTCCTTCCCCACTAACATCAGACATGTACTGATTTGATGCTATGTAGGCCCTGAATTTCCAACAGCTCTTCACCCCTCTTGCCAAGGTGCCTCGACCTATATGGACCACCGTGGCAGCCGTTATCTATACCGTCTGCGCCATTGCGGGCCGAAACCACTTACTTTCCATCTTCCTCAACTTTCTGGGTTTGATTGGCTACTGGGTCGTCATCTGGATAGCTATGGTTGTGGAAGATGAATTCATCTTCCGTCGCAAAACAGGATTCCGATGGCAAGACTATTCGGATAGTAGCAAGCTACCTCTTGGTATTGCTGCTTTCACGAGTTTTCTGATTGGCTGGGCTGGGGCCATCGTCTGTATGGGCCAGACCTACTACTATGGTCCGATAGCGAGAATGGTGGGAGAATATGGTGCTGATGTAAGTCTTGTCCTTCACGTTTGCTGTCAACCTTATTGATATGCGTTACAGCTCGGCTTGCCTGTGGCCCTTGCATGGACTGCGATTTGCTACCCTCCATTGAGAATGCTGGAGCTCAAGTTTGTCGGACGATGAGGAGGCTGTAGATGGAGTGAAGAAAAACAACCATGGCTTAGGGATTTCCATCCCTCCTGTATTGCTAATCACGTGAACTCCACTGCATCCAGGTGTGATTATTCAGCGCATCAAGATGCTAAGGGATATAAAGACGGTTGAAGACCGTCAACTGACTCAGGAGGATGTCGTACACGATGTACGACCTCCGGATAGGTATATAGTCTAACGGGCCCCTACGGCCCTTGAGCAATGACAAGTCCTCCGTAAAATCACACAGGAGCACTCCTGTACTACATGGTTGGCTCCCTTCCGGGAACCCTCTCAACTAACGGAGATTCTTATTCCACTTCTCATGCATGTGTCTTTGACAGATATTTGTTCACAGGCTTCACACCAGGCAAGAGCTAACATCCGCATAGCTGCGCTGCCAACCGCTTCTCGGTAGGTTCTGTACGAGTTTGTGCAGAAGTCTCCGAACGTTGTTGGACCCATCGTGATTACGGGCATGGCCTCTGCTCAGAAATCTCAAGCTTGTGGCATCGATGTGTTTAGTTATGGTTCGTACCGACTTTGCGTGGTTGTCAGCTCCTTCGATTTGAACATTTTCTGGACAGCCGGCAGGTGAGGGCATTTATTATTCGATTTCAACGTTGCCTGCTCTGTGCGTGATGGTTGCTGCCATTAAGATACAGGCTACTGTCGTGCGACTTCTTGAATCTGGCTGATTCCGACGAAGAATTATCTGGATTTGACAAAGTAAGCCGATCCAGAATCTGGAACCAGCTTGGCAAGGCTACGAGCATCCATGGTTCAGTCAATCACTGCTCCCTACCACAGTATACACCCATGGCGCCAACTTGCCGTGAAGACAAGGAATCCAACAACGATCTCTTCACATTCATGTGTGGGTATATAAGGAGCTCTTCCCAAGTTTTTTTTCAGCCTGTCTATTCTACTGTCTCTCCACCGTCTACGACAGAAGCGCTTCACTTGAATCGAGTCACTTATCATCGCCCGCCAGGATGCGTTCTCTCACCTTCTTGAATGTTGCATTCGTATGCTTCTCCTTCACCCTGCCATCAGTGGATGCCAAATGCTGCAACCACCTAACTAAAACACTAGAGTGCGGCGACGGTACGCTAGGCACTCCCTGCTGTGGCTACGGAAGATGCAACGCCTTCTGCTGCAGGTGTCCTGGCGGTAGGTCGCCTCAAAACGCTCCCTCCTTCAGTAGAGGGTTCTTGGCTGACTTCTGGGCTAGTTTCGATATTCGAAGATACAGTCGAGTACAACGGCACCGAGTATCAAACCATTGTCACCGCGCCATCGGATCCAGTCAAAGGTCAAGCGTCATGGACCTGCCGTGACAGACACATCACGACCACGGGTCCGCCACCAACAACAACAGCAACAACGGTGACATCGCCAACAGGAGACGGCAAGCGCTCTGCTGGTGATGCCGCTGTGACAGACTTTCTGATAAGAACCACCGCGGCTCCTCTACCCACCGGCCCAGCAACTTTCGGTCCCAAGAGTAGCCTTAGTTACCTGTTCCCATCAGTCGACCTGTACCCATCATCACCCGAAGATCACGATGCGTGGGCTGATGAAGTCCGAGTTTTCGAGGACTTGAGTGGTGGCCTACAAATCAACGGCACGTGGGTGGTCTCGAAGGAGCAGTATTTGGGATTTTTCGGCGTCTCGGATCTGGAAATTGGATCGGAACACGGGCAGAACGTGCTTGCCAAGTTCGCGATGCATGATATCAACAGAGATGGCTACTTGAACTTCGAGGAGACGGCGCTGCATTGCGATAGACATGGCTGCTATGGGGAATACCTTGACGCATATCGACCACACCGAGGATGATGGTGTCTTTGTCGTTTCTTTGTGTCTGAAAGGGGGCACATCTCTCAAACTTTGCACCGAAGGTGGTTATTCACAATAACAGAGTTTGCGCGGCTAGGCCTATTAGTCGTGCCTCGACGCCATAGAAAATTTCTCATTGACAACAAATCCGTTTCGTTCATTCATTCTCTCGAGTATAAAAACAGTCAGATCATTCATACCCGCTAGGAACCACCAACAGCCAAATCCTGCTAAAGGAACACGCGCTCAACAAGTCTATTGATACGTCACACACTTGGACATTCCTCGCCCGCAGTCGTCGAAACTTCAACAGCAAGGGCCCTTTCACAGCTGCTTCTCCTCAGCGCCGGCCGATTTGGCATAGATATCTCCCTCTACCTTGCTAGCATAAGGTGTGACTCCGTCGATGTAGTCTGTCCCCTCGTCACCATTGATACCTGTCCCCTGAGGCTCAACTTCCTTCCACGATGTGGCAAGGCCACCCGGTGGAGGTGAGAGCATCGAGAGCCCCCAGTATGCTACAGCACCGAAAATGACTCCGATGGGGAAGGAGAAATAGTACAAGTGCCACAGACACGCCCTTGACTCCACAAACGGCCAAAAAGCCTGGGAAAGCAGGAATCATGCCAATGATGTAGGCTGCATAGCCGCGCCAATTGAAGCCGAAGTTGTAGTAGTAGAGGCCATTCTTATCGGTGGTGAATAGCGAACGCAGATCAAGATAACCCTTGCGAACCAGGAAGTAATCGCCGATCAGGACTCCGACAATCGAGGAAAGGAAGATGGCGTAGGCTGAGAGATATGTGGTAAAGGAGAAGGACGTCTTGGTCAGATTCCATGGGGTGATGGCGAAGCCCAGGACCAAGGCAATGATCATACCGCGACGGACCGAGATATATCTGGGGACGAGTGCGGCGGCATCATTGCCGGACTGGATGAGGTTGGCCAGGATGATGGTAACAACCTGGGCAAATGCGAAACCGGCGGAAATGAAAAAGACACCGGCACGGTTGGCAGAAGAGTAGTCTTCGGTGAGATAGCTGGCGAGGATGCCCAGAGGATCCCAATTGGGCTGTGGAAAATTAGTATTTGGTCCAAATGCTTTAGCGATACCACAACACATACCTTGCCTGTAGAGAGGGTGATGCCAGAAGAACTAGTGATGAGAATGCCGAAGAAGGCGATCATTCCGTAGGAGCACGTGAAACCGATCAACTGAGTCCAAAGGGCATCATTTGGTCGACGAGAGTATCGACTCAAATCGGCGTTGTTGGCAGCGAATGTTACAACGTTGGATGCTTGGATGAAGAGTTGTTGAATGAAGACCTGGAGAGATTGTATCAGTACAGGGCACAAAGTCTGGAATTGAAGACACTCACCCAACCATGAGACTTGCCCTTGGGGATTTTGGCGCCTTGGTGGACGATCTTTCCAACACCACCAGCACGGTGGATGGACCAGCCAAAAAAGGCGAGCAGGCAAATAGATATGATGACCGATTTGAAGTAGATGACCTTGCGGAATTTGTGGACGGGGATGAAAGTGCAACCCAGACAGATTAACCAGGCAATCGAAAACCCAATCGATCGGCCGCCAGTCATGCTGACTTCTTTGCTAAATGGATCGTGCACTTTGGAGATGCCTTCGGTCCACGCTAGAATCATGGTGTAGAAACAATTGCCACTGGGAAATACTGTCAGAGTGTAGTCATAGATCAGAGCAAGGACGCTTACGTTTGGACCATTTGCACACCAGTCCAGACGATGGTCATGGCTTCACGGTTGAAAATTGGCCAGTAGGCACCAATGACACCGAAGCTGGATCGAGCGAGGACAGGGAAGGGAACATGGTAGACGGCACCACCACGGCCCGTCATGACCGTGGGTACAGCTGCGATAAAGTGACCCAGGATAACACAGATCCATGCTTCCCACCATGCCTTCGGCCTGTTAGAGACTAATATTCATGTCTTTTGTACTCGTTGGTAAACATACTAGACCAGCGGTGACACCTGTGGAGGCGACAGTCCAAGAAGTGACGCTGAAGCATTCACCAAACCAGAACAGAGAATCTGATGGATCAAGGATTAAAATTTGGTCTTCAGTTTGGGAATGCGCGGCGACTTACAAGTCCATTTGGTCCAAGTGCGATTCTCTCTTGGGACTGGAAGCAAGTCCTTGTTGACTAACGAGGAATGCTCGGGATCGACGTCCGGTCTTTCGACCTCGAGTTTGGGGAAAAGGCCCATCGCTGCTATGGTGCGTGCAGTCCAGTGAGCTAATGAAAATTGAATAGTGGGATTGCACAGAGCAAATGTGGAAAGCAGTCGGCTGGCCGACGAAATGTAGCGTGGAGCCCGTCTTGTCTATATAGCTCTTTGACCAGATCGTTCAAGCGGTCCAGCCACCATCTTGCCGCCTTCTAAGGTATGGTGGTTGGCAGAGAACGGCGCTCAGCGCAGCATGGCGAAGATACGACTGCGTCTGGACTTGGTATAGAGATAGCGGTGGATCGTGCTCAAGGACCGCTTTGCGCAAGCCCTTTCGATATTAGCAGGAACATGTCGGGCAGTTCTTTTGTCGGTCAAGTAGCGATCCTCGAAATTGATATCCTTATCTGTGTGCTAGCCCTCCACAAGGACGCTAGTCCCCACGTCAAGGGTAGATCAAGCACCCGTCGGTCAAAGCGCGATTCTGCTTATCTGCAGAATGCGGACATGGTCGATCACCGATAGACAAATCGCGAAACTCCCGATTGTCAGTTTCACATCGCTTTGCGGGAGTCTACCCCTCTACGGCACTCCGGACATTCTCCGTCGAATGTCCGGGTTGGTCTGGAGACATATAACGCCAAAGACATGTCGCAAAGCATGTTGGCCTGATATCTCAACCGGCTGTACAGGTGAGAAGATCTAGAGAACTGAATAGTCATGGGTTCCATCGACGTTGACGACTCATTGCCCCAGACGGGGACCGAGTTCCCCTTTCCCATTGTATCATTCCAACCTTTCCTGGATGGCACTTCAGAGGGCAAGGAAGAGGTGGCAGCCCGACTTTATGATGCCTTCCATAACTTTGGCTGGGTTTACCTGAAAGACTTTGGAGTCTCGCAGGCTGAAATTGAGGAAATGTTCCGACGGGTAAGTCCGACTTATTATGTGGCTGGATGTTGACTAACACCGTAGTAGAGCAAGCAGTTCCATGAACAGCCTCTGCAATGGAAGGAACAATTCAAACTCAACGACCCTTCGGTGAGCCAGGGCTATACTGGTGACGGCGCCGAATCGAGTGATCCTCTGGGTGGCAAAAGTCACAAGGAGTGCTATGAGCACCGCAAGGTCAACAAGCTCTGCCCGGCAGTAGGAGAGCTCGATGAATGGACAACCTGGGCCGATAGCTTCCACAAGGTTTGTCAAAGTCTGCTTCCAACAAGTACTGTGTTGCTGACCTGCACAGAAACTACTCGACCTGGCAGGACACGTCGCCTCGGCACTGGCCATGGTTCTAGGACTGGATGTTGATGAGTTCCGAGGGCAACTCGGACAACTTGACGGTCAATTGCGACTGCTGCACTACATGCCTGTGGCACGAAAGACATTCGAGTCAGGCCGCAACTTCCGCATCAACCCTCATTGCGATTACGGTCTTTTCACGCTCCTTTTCCAAGACTCGGTAGGCGGTCTTGAAGTTGACCGTTTTCACGACGGCAAATTCGTGGCAGCCACCCCGATTCCAGGCACTTGTGTCATCAATGTGGCCGACATTCTTCAGAGGTTTTCCAATGACAGTCTTCGCTCGACCCGTCACCGGGTCATGGCACCACAGTTGACTCAGGAGCAACTGGACGCCATCGGGCCCGATGGATACTTACCGGCTCGCTTTTCAACCGCGTTCTTCGTCCACCCGAGACGGGATTTCGTGGTCAAACCCCTTGTCAAGGAAGGTGACCAACCTCACTATGACACTTGCGTGGCTGGCTGCTGGAGGGACGCGATTACAGCAAAGAACTACAAACTCCCCATCCCCATGGACACTCCAGAGCAAGTTCAGGCAGCCAAGTGCGTGGATATGCGTTACAAAATGGCCGCCAACATTGAGGTGAAGCCACTTGTGGGTTGAAAGGACCTCATGACGCACAGCATTCATGGCTTCTTGTATATAGCAACCACCGCTTTGGCCAGGCCACCAGCACCAACAGCAGCATCAGCAGGTAGTTCAGCATATGCTGGCTCAGCGGGAAAATACATTCGGCGACAGGATGCTGAACTTATTCACCCCTTGAGTAGTATCTATCCTAGACCCGTTTATTTACTATCAGAGCAGCGTTGAGTTAAATGCGCGGCGAAGACTTGCTCCTCCTTAGACATTCCCTCCAGACATGGTCTACTAGAAAAACACGGAGCAAGTCGACTTGAACCATGAATGTTGAATGCTAATAATCCTCTTGTCGCCCTTCGCATGTCGCTACAGGACCTTTATACTTGCGACGTGCGCTGACAAAGTAGTTGATGGCAGAAATTAACATGACGCCTGCAAAGAGGACAATGGCAAAATTCATCTGTAACGCAAGTGTTAGTACGTCCCCTCACTGGTAGCAAGTAGCACGAGGTGGAAATGTCTTACCTCTTCAGCGTTCGGTTCCCAGTAAATAGGCCAGAAGGCCCAGAAGAAGGCGAAAACAGCATATGCGAGACCTATCCCATTGACCGCCACACCCCAGCGGTGCAAGCTCCAAAAGACTGGGGGTAAGGTTTCCGGGAGCGTGAGGCGGCGCCAAAGGACACAGCCAATGCTAATGGCGTAGGTGGCCATGAGGGCCACGATGGCCAGGCTGATGATGGCGTTGAATGCGATCGGACTCCCAAGATACACCAGGCTCATAACCACGCTGTAGCCCCAGGTGACAAAGCACGAATTCGCGGCAACTTTCAGACGCGGATTGACCTTCTTCATCCAGGTGGAGAACGGCATGCCGTCGTCGCGGGCGAAGGCGAAAAGCTGTCGGGAGGTCGAGGCAAAGCAGCTTATGGCGATCATGAGTACCAGGATGAACAAGATGGCCGTAATGGCTTGGGCGCCCGCCGGGCTCAGCGAGTTTTGCAGGATCCACACAAAGGGGAATGCCTCGGTGGTGGCGGTGGCGACGTCGGTCATGCAAAACAAAAAGGCGATGAGCATGCCGAAAGCGAGAGGGATGTTGAGCATGTAGGCCCAAAACATGGTCTTGGGCGTGACTTCGCTAGCATTGCGCACCTCCTCGGCTTGATTGTTTGTTAGTGGCTGGCTTGATGATGGTCAACGGTGGTGCTTACACAAATGGGCAACAGCATCCGAAGCCAGCACATTCCACATGGCCGGTACCTGTCCAACCATGACAGCAAGACCCACTGTGAACTAGTCAGCATACATAGATAAAATTCTCCAGTAATCAAGGCAGGCCACGTACTCAGGGGATAATTCCCGCCATTATCGGTAAACGTGGTGAAAACCTCCTTTGCGTCGTTCTTGGGCGAGGTGACGCAGATGGTGATGATAACAACAAAGTACGAGGCAACATGCAACGCGACGAAGACGTTTTCGAATAGCGCGAGCTTCGTCGCCCCCCAGACATTGACCGAGGTGACAATGGTAGCGATCAGAATGCTCAACAGAGCAGTATACCAATTCTTGATGACAAAATTCGGGTCGTGGATCTGGGCGAGCGCCATGAGAAGTTGGGCGGCGAACATACAGTCCGAGGCAACGAACGACTGCCAGCAAAGGGAGCTGAGCCATCCCGAAGTGTAGCTCAAGACCTTCTGGTATTTCTTCGAGGCGAATTCGCTTACCCAGTGGTACTGTCTAGGCTCTGTCGTCAGTGTGGGAAGCCGAGGGAAGGTGCAATACTTGCCCGCCGGCAGTCGGAGCCATGGACGACATCTCTGCCAAACTCAGGACGATGAAAAATTGGCCCAGGATAACCCAACAGTAACTCCAAAACATCCCCGCAGTGCCGCCATCGACCAGCATTTGGAAGTTGTTCAAAGCGACAAACTCCGTAAAATCAGAAGTCAGTAGAAGAACGAGTATGTAAGGGCCCCGGGAGACCTATCAGGTGCCCATTGTGCAGGAGGTGAAGCCAACGCTGCTGATCCAGTTGAAATTGCGCTGGAACTCCTGCTTCTTGCCCATGCGGGCCATGTCTCTGTCATCGTTGTCGCCGAGGATTTCGACCTTCAGAGGCTCGCCCAAGTCGGCGGGCTTTTTCTCATCCGAGATTTCCGAAGTCGCCATGGTTGAATCAAGAGAAGTGGCGATGGATAAGGACAAGGTGTGCAAGAAGAGGTTGGAAACCAGCTGAGAAGAAAGACCTAGCAGGACACCAGGCCAGGGCTAAAGTACTTACCGTTGTGTCGGTATCACTCAATCAAATCAAAGCAACTCGCAAGGAAGTTGCGCCTCTATCAGGAACAAGTACCATGTGGTCGGTAGAGGTCCGCACCTGCTTAGAGTGGTAAGGGTCGTAGAGATAAGAGCAAAGTTGAAACCAATCAGGCCGTGATGTACCTAGGTACACAAACCTAATTGAACGCCAATCTCGCCTGCAGTGCTTTTGTAGTGCTTATGCTTCAACCCTAAAAAAACTGTGCGCCATCCTATGGTCACCTAGGAAGAGTACCGACATTTCTTCGGTCGTGATTAAAAGGCGTACAAATGGCGGCCCATAATATCCTCATATATCTATAAATTGGCTTGCACGGGTCCAGCCTCGGTAGCACCGGTGACATGTGCTGCATGAAGCCCAAAGTAGGGAGCGCCTTTTCGGTATACTTCCTCCAATATGTCAGCCTCCATAATCCACTTCATCCTTTCCTTCAGCAGGTCTGGTCTGAAATTCTCCGTTAAGCCATCAGGAAGATCTGCTGATGCTAACTTTCCAGCTTCATAGCTAGTTCTGGTGACTTTATTCGTACGAGGCTTACGGATATCTTGATACAGTTGGAAGGCCGGTCGAAGATCGTCTCCAGCTTTCCACATTCTCAGGATGGTTGAAAGGGTGATGCCAGACTCAATGGCCATACATGTCCCTTGACCTGAACAACAAGTCAATATATTTCCATAAACACGAGTATTGGTACAAAGCATACCTTGATGTGGCAGGGTTGAATGAACAGAATCGCCAAGTAGCACAATACCATGGGAAGGATTGGTCTCTTCGACGTGAAACCAAGTTTCAACGGGTGATCGGACGTATAGGGCTTGCTTCAGCATTTTGCCGTCTGGAGATGACTTGCGGAGTCCCTCAATAAGCTCTTGAATGGGTCCAGCCCAGTCCTTGACATGTTCGTGCAGGTCGTCGATAGGCGCGGTTGCCATCCAGCTTTCGCTTTTCCACTGGTCCAAGGACTCAGTCATGAAGGCAATGACACCGATGCGGGCTGTTTTGGATTCGTCGTTCCCGATAGGTAGCGTCAGAATGTGTTTTCGGTGACCACGGTAGACAACAGTTCTGCGGAAAATCGCTGCTGCTTCGGCGGACAGGTCCTCGTACTGCACATAGCCCCGATAGACTACTTGACCCGAGTAGGTAGGAGAGTCTGTGATGCCAAGGTGTTGTCTAACTACTGATTTGATACCGTCACATCCAATGATGACGGTGGCAGTGGCAACAGAGTTGTCTTCGAATGTGAGTTGATATTCTGAACCGTTGTACGTTATGGAGCGCAGCTTCTTGCCCGTTTGTAATATGGATTCCGGAACTCGCTCCTTCAACACGTCCAGTAAATGAGCCCGGTGGATCTGCCTGGACGACGGTTCTCCGAACTCGTCAATCTGGCCTAGATAATCGCCGGACTTGTAGTTGCGATATTCCATGTAGCATGGTGGGTTTCGTGACGACTTCCACAACATCGAGTCTTTCAATCCATAAGCGTCAAGGATGCGGTTTGCATTGCGGGTGATGTTGACACCCGCGCCGACCTCGGTAAACTGGGCGGCTTGTTCATACAGGTCGATATTGGTCAAGCCAACGTGAAGAGCAGCATTGGCAAAGGACATGCCACCAAGGCCACCGCCAACGATGGCGATTTTAGCCTGATCGAAACCCATCTCGGTGGTGATTGCTGCACTTGGACCGACGCGGCGTGGGTGCTTGTGCTTGCGAGCAGAGCTTATATTGACACGCAGCACAGTGGCATGGTATCAAAAAGCATCTGCACGCTACTGACGGTGGGTACGGGCGCCTTCCTCCACGTAAAAGGGCTGGTGCAGGTGAAATTCACATTGCCCAGCGCCTAGACAACAGATCGGCAAGGCTGGCCTCAATGGAACATAGCCGTTGGGCCTTAGAGCCCCATCGCGCGACCGCCGCAAACAATGGAAGGATTTCCATGCCGCAGAAGATTGTCGTGCAAGTCCTCCTATCAGGACCCTGTCGCTTCCTTCGGACGGAGGCGCGCTGCGTGAGAGCCTAGGGTCTTAGCTAGGTTTTTGCTAATTCGGAGCTGACCGCAGGGTCATTTTCCTAAAGGCCGACGATCCCGCACCTTTGGGCAGACGGCACGGTCCCGTCAGAATAATCATGCCCCAATGCATTTTGGATGGACAACGAAAATGACACTGGTTGTGCTAGACGTATTCTGTCATGCGCGCGTTGCAGGAGGCGCAAACAAAAGGTAGGCTCTCATGATATCCAGCGTCACACCATCTTCGAGGTCGTCCGTTCTAACGACCAGAGCAGTGCGACCGCCGTCTGCCCCAATGTTCGCAATGCGCCGCAGCAAGAGCCGAATGCAATGGCTTCAGTGTTGCGGACCAACATGTCGACGTTCCTCGTAGTGTGATACATTTCCTCGAATCCCAGATTGCACAACTCGAGATCGAGCTTTCGACATGTGGCCTCCCGAGTCAGGCCAAGTCCGGAGTCATCGATGGCGGCCCAGCGAGCGTACAAGCACCGCAGCCGCCTGCATCGAATCATCAAAGTCCAGCTACACCACTCGATGCGTTGGAAAATGAGATCATCCAGAGCATGGAAATTGGCGCGGCCATCAGTGCCACCATCCCGATCGATCCTGCTCTGACCGACTTGGTGTCCCGAGTGCGCATGGGTCTAACGCCCTCTCTGGTGTTGCCAACCATGACTGGAACTAGTCCTGAGTCCCGCAGAGCAGTTGTCTCGACTGACGTCGAGTCAGAGCGCGTCGAATGCTCAACTCTTCTTACTTTACCAGACCACGTCGTTCATGCTTTGGTCAACAAATATGTGGGACACGTCCTCCCGCAGACCCCAATCTTCCTTTCCGAAGACATTAATCGGCATCTGGAGGCGGTTCAAGCCAAGCTGCGCCACCACGATGCCGGAAGACCACCGGAGCGCGTTGAACCTTCCTACCATTTTCTCATCCTGTACCTAGTCCTCGCCATCGCTTCGACACTGGGCTGTGCGAAGAGTCAGCATGAGTCTCGCTGCATTGCTTTCTCGGAGATCTTGTTTCGTGAAGGGATTGCACACGTTTCGACCGGTATGCCGTTTCCGAACGAGCTGGCCGGCATCCAAGCCACACTGCTGATGTTACAATACGCCGAGATCAATCCGAACTGTGCCAACATCTGGATTCTCAGTGGTGCGGCGATGAGATCTTGTGTGGAGTTGGGATTACATCGCGAACCGCGAGGTACGGTTCTCAAAGATCCACGGGCGGTAAATCAGAGAAGGAGGATCTTTTGGATGGCATACTGTATGGATCGTATGGTTTCCCCGGCGCTGCAGAGACCACTGTCCATACCAGACACCAACATCAACACATTATATCCCACACCCATGGAGAACCGCATCGGACAGCCATCCGGCGGTTCTTCTCCATCGATGAGCAGACCACCCACAGTAAGACTCATTGAGTATTGCCGCATTCAGTCTGAATTAACCGAGGTGCACTTCCAAAACAAGCCCTTGGCTCGGGAATGGAATACCTGGGTAGCGGACATGGAGCGGACACTCAATCAGTGGTACCGGGAAGACCCAAAGCCGGACGATAGTGTTGAACTGGCCTATGCGTACGCCCAGGTGCGGTTACACCGGCCATCACCTCGGATGATCATGCCACGAGCCGATAGTCTGGTTGCTGCTTTTGATGCGGCGTGTAAAGCAGCTAAGCATCAGCGCGAGAGCATAACCGGTGGTTTTTTCCGCAGGCTCTGGCTCGCTTCACACCACACAGCGGAGACGTCCATGGTGGCAGTCTTCTGTCTACGACACGCCTTCGACGAGATTTTGGCGGCATACTCGATCGCTGAGCTTTTTGACATGACTAAAGGTTTCACCTCGAACCTTCTGACGCTGGCGGCACAGGGTTGGAGTGAAATTGCAACGTTTGCAGCGACGCTTGAACGTCTCCTTTCGCCTCTGATCAATGCTGCCATGAGGAAAGACTCTTCGTTGTCGTTGTCATACCCTACAGAGATGGATAACGAACTGAACAATTTCCTGCTGCCCAAGAGCGCTTCGCAGGAAGCCTTCCTGGGAGGGCCATTTCCAACTCACCTTCCTGACCTTGATATGCACATGGACTTTGACATGTTGAATGCTAATGACCTGTTCTTTGAGGCTTTCGCAGACATCAGCGACCAGCAGGGATGGACTTCACTTGATCCTGTAGCAGCAACGGATCCATGGCCGGACCTTGCCAGTCCCGAACATGTTTGATTGTAGGACCAAACGGAATACATCACTTGCTCTTGAAATGCAATGTCACTAGACTCTGATGTGATGTTCTACCTGTAGTATGCTCAGTTCAACCGGTTGACGCATGCCCAGATAAACCTGCTCCTTGCACGGCTTCATGGATACAATGTGGCCCTTTGTATCGTATCTTGCATGGCTATTCCGCGAGACTGTCAATGAGGATCAGATCCAGAGATAATATCGTAGTCATCAAGACTTATTATTGTAGAAGCCACTCAGTTGTGGAAAGCGCCCCAGGATAGTGGCCCGGGGAGCCTAGCCTTATCTTGGCCTCCCTAGCCTTGATAGCGCCTCGACTTGGCGAGGTATCATCTAGACTTCTACACCTCAGCATCAAACATTTACGCAACAACCATAATGACGGTGTTGGCTGTACGATCTCCTTTTTGTGCTCCCTCCACACCATCTGCGTTGACAGTATGAGCTCTGATGGGCTCCTGACACCGTTGCCTGTTCCAGATCCTGTTCCAGGTCACGGACAGATATTCTTCTCCGACTCGGATACATTGGCCAAGACCCTCAAGACCCTTCCCAGTTGTCAACGATGCAAGAAGGGACGACGGAGATGTGATACGCTTTTGCCAGCCTGCAGCCGCTGCAGAAGAGCGGGAGTAGAGTGTTTGTTCTACGATCATAATCTGGAACAGGTTCTGCCACGGAGGTAAGATCATCACGAATGGGGTCCTTGAGAACTACTGCTGATTGTGTCAGCTATGTCAAGTCGTTGATTACAAGCCTTGCAAAATTGAAGCAGAAGAAGGCGGCCACTTTGGCAGCTGCGCAGACAATATCCACTGCACGAAGGCCGTCCACATCTACACCCGACGAACAGGTTGACTCTTTAGAAAACACCAGTCTTCAAACTCCTGGAATTCCCCAGGTCGACTCATCTATCATTCAGCATGCTCTTCTCGGTGCACCGTCCTCTATGCGGGATGGTAGCCATTTTCCAGTCGCTACGCCGCAAGGCCCTGACATTCGTTACTACGGAGGAAGCTCCGTCTTCTCTCTCGCTGTTGCGACGTTAGCACGAGCCCGAAGCGATCCGAGATATTCTTTCGCACCTTTGCGGGAGTCTGAAATGTTGCAAACGGCACCGCCGGAGTTCCACGGCGGCTGCAATTGTGTCATCACGAAAGAAATGGTCGAGAAATCCGTCGACCTGTACATGGTTTCTCTTCACCCAATCTATCCCTTCTTGAACGCTGCCGATCTCTCCACAGATCTTCAGGGGTACTGGGAGGTGCAGAGTAGCGGAGTAGACCCAGGCACGCTGCGAGGCAAGATCGCACACCAATACTTCCGCATCAAGATCATTGCAGGAATTGCAAGCGCCAGCCGCTCGAGATACAACGCGAGCAGGATTGCCTGCGACCACGGCTGTTACCTGGAAGCTGTCAAGTGCGTTGCTGAAGTCACCTCCGAAATCTCGACAGACTCCCTCCGTGCTCTGATGCTGCTGATAATCTACTGCCTCTTCCGTCCGCGCAAGGGCGACATCTGGAAGTTACTAGACTATGCATGTCGCTTATGTTTGGAGCTGGGTTATCACAACGAACCTGCTCCAACCATGTCCATGGCAGAAAGCGAACAGCAAAGAAATACCTTCTGGTCTTTGTATGTGATAGAGAGTATGGTCGGTCAGCTATTGGGAAGGTCGTCTGATCTGCCCGAGGGAGTGATCGCTGCTAAATGGCCCTTATCGGCCACCATTTCTACCCAGGACAGCGATCCGGATGATTTGGCCCTGCGATGGCGTCAAGCTGGCCACCAGTATCGGCTTGTCCACCTCCGTTCTGGGATGTTCGCTGAAATGTACTTGAACGACAAAGATGACCTTCGTCACGATCTCGCCTGGTATCAGGAACGCCTAACGAAGATCCTGGATTGGTATCTGCAAAGTCGAGACGACATCTTGAATCTTGCCGTCGGTTCGCTCACCTGTAACATATCGTTCCATTCGACCATTCTCTTTCTCTTTCAACCTCTGCTGGTCGAGGCATTGCGGACCACCCGTGCAAACAGCCCAGCCTCTGCGACACCTGAATCTGTGCAACCGCCTCCGACGCTTCCAGTCGAGATCTACACTTCGGCTTGCAAGTTGATTGAGATATATGAGCAGATCATCACCTCACCTCGAAACTCCGACTACGGTATTTATCCTTTTACCTTTATGTCCGCACACAACATCTTCATGGCTAGCATCATGATAATGGCCTATTGCATCCTGCGTCTGGATGCGAGTGTCTCTTTCATGCGACTGGTCGGCACTGCATGTCCTGCCTACGAAGAGGCAACGGCTCATATCCACGTGGACAATGTTCTACAGGTATCCAACTCTTGTCTCATCCTGCTCACATTTTGCGCCGAGAAGTGGCCCGGTATGAGTGGCATGAGGGAGATATACAGACAGTTGTCGGACCAGGTGCTCAAATCCATGTTCAAGCTACGACCGGATTGACATACAGTGATAACGAAATTCGGACTTGCGAAACTTTTGTTTGCGAAGCTTGAAACCTATACCAACTTCCTTTTCAGTTCTCGCTCTCCATGCAATTGAACATCGATGGCAGCAGCGACAGCTTCGGCCAAGCTCTGAACGGCAGGACTCCCGATGGCTTCGTTGTCCCACTTGTCATACAAGGTACCCCCTGTGGCCCAAATTCTCCTGAGAGTGATAACCGTGGCGAGAGGGTTGGCCATTTCCCAGGCCTCCTTTTCCAACCTTTTGAGCTCCTCAATGCTGGTGTATGAGACTTTCCACTTCTCGCCTCCAGTCTGCTTCTCGAATTCTTCGAGAAGGTCGGCGTCCGTGGTGGTGAAAGATTTGACCTTCAGAGCTTTGTTACGACTCACGTCCGGATAAGTAAGAGCAGCTAGGAGCAATTTTCCAACGCTATCAGTTGCAGACATGACACAGTCAGCCGGGATCATTCATACAATCATCTGGGCAACAGTCGTTTCTTGACACAGGACTTACTCAGTCATGGTCGTGAAGGCAATCTTCAAATCTCCAGATCCAAGCAGCACCGCCGTTTTGGTTCTGACGTCAAAACTCCCGGTAATCGTTGCGCCGTGATTCGGACTCAGGTAGAGCACTGGGTCTCCATCGGCATAGGGACCTGTCACCAGGAAGGTGTAGTCCAGGTTTTTGCAGGAGCGAATGGACGCTCGAACCTTGAGCTTTCTCTGGTGCGGTTTCTCGCCCGAAGATTCAGGACCATGCTCAATGTCGGTGCCGTACTCGGAAGGGAAGAATCGGTGGATGTTGGGAGTTTGGTCTGCAAGGCGGATCAATTCCACCTGATGCTCAATCATATTCCTCCCGACAGCAGAAATGACCGTATCGACGCCTGGTTCCGCGTCAGCATTTGGCCACCCAGTTGCGCTATCGCTCTTTCACGATCAAAGCGACCTATGAGATTTACCTTGATATGCCTTCTTGACATCATTCTCGTCCGTGATATTGCCAACAAGAACTTCAACGCCTTGATCCTTCAGGATTGCAATTTCTTCGGACTTTGAGTTGACTGTGTCAGACGACGTAAAAATGGCAATGCGGTCGAAAGCATTCTTCCCCTTGAGTATCTGCTGTATGATGTGGCGGCCGACCAACCCGGTGGCTCCAAAGATGAGCACATTCTTACAGTCACTCATTCTGAGTACCGCTGAATCTAGGCTTGGACGTTCTTAGACCACACTGGCAGACTCGGAAGGGCAAAAAATCGATATCACGTGCCGGTGTGTTTCTCGTTGACCCGAGAATGCTAACGATCCGAATCGTTCCTGTTCGTGCACATGCAAAGGAACCAGTTTACGCTGACTGATGGTCCTCCAAGTCCAGACACTTCTCTCATTTGACAGTTGGCAACGTTATCAGGGAGACAGTGGTTGGACCTAACTGGCAAGCCCCGCCATATCTTATCAGACCCTGCGCACAGCTCCGACAGCCACTAGACTCCCAATTTTCGGCTGATGCGCGACTCTCAACCCCATCCCTCAATTGGGGCTCACCCAGGACTTGCCCTTCCTGTAGAACCTGAACGGACAGACTGCCGCAAGCATGCTGAATCTAGCATGTATCGGGGTCACTTGGGGTGCCAGCTCTAGACCCTGATCCGCGGTCCAAGAGTCCCCCAGTTGAAGAGGTGAAGTGAGCAACAGTGGGCTATAACAACAAATCGAGCTTTTTAGATTTCGTGCATTTCCTTTCCACCATCTCAAACGCTCACTGACCCTCGACACCGTGACTTTAGAACACCAGCCTCGATTGAACCTTGCAACCTCCACAGACTTGTAACCCCAGAGCCGTCATGGGCAAAGTCGTTGCTGCCGTGGGATTGTCCCACGCTCCCGGCGCTCTCGCCTTTCCTGAGACAGCACAACCTGATGCCCGGCAGCGGACTGAAGATGCCACCCGCTCACTAGGCATTTCACTTGAGTCTTCCCAACCCGACGTGATTGTCGCATTCCTAGACGACCATTTTGAGAATTTCTACCGCAACCTCTGCCCCTCGATTGTCATGGGCATCGCCGACGAGCACGTCGGACCAGCTGACCAGTGGATGGAGACTCTACGCATCAACAAGAAGACCGTCTTCCCTGGCGCGCCCGACGTCGCCGAGAAGCTGCTTGGTTCTCTGGTCGCGCAAGGCTTCGACGTTGCCCGCGCTGGCGCCTGCGAATATGGCAACAACCTCCTCATGCCGTGGAAGTTGATGGGCGTCGAGCAATCTATGGCCGGCGTGCCCATCATTCCCGTCTTTATCAATGTCTTTACGCCGCCACTCATCCCTTACAAACGCGCATATGACCTTGGCGAGGCCGTCCGGCACGGCATCGAGACTGCATGGCCCGCAGATACCAAAGTCGGATTGATTTGTACCGGCGGTCTATCACACTGGCCGCCCTACTGGAGCCCAGTGCAGGGAGGTGACCCACCATCAGATCCTTTCCTGCAGCGCATCAAGCGCTTTCAAACCGAAGGCAAAGCCTATCTCAAAGAAGATCCCCGGCTGTTTATCGATTTTGACGACTACGAGGTCGAGATGGCGAAGAAGAACGAATACCCTCTGAACTCAAAACACCCATTGGTCAACTGGGATTGGGATCGTTTGTTCTTGGACAAGTTCTCGTCCGGTGACATCGAGTGGATGAAGAAGCTTACGTACGATGAGGTGGAGGAAGAGGCTGGCCACGGTGGTCACGAGGTTTTGAACTGGGTTGCTATGTTGGGCTGCATGAAAGGTGCGAAGAGCAAGATGTTGTTGTATGAACCTGTCGTTGAGTGGATTTGTGGCATGGCTTATCAAGACTTTTTGGTCACCGAGAAGTTGAACTAAGAACCTCAATATCTTGCAGAAAGGATGTGGATCTGAATTTTACTTCAATGCTGGAAGGGAGCATAATGATATGATCATGAGCACATTTTATGGCCCGCTTCCCAATGTACTAATTGCCCTGCGGCTTTTGGCTGTCTGAATATGCCGCCGGTTTCTACCAGCTGCCGCATTCTCGGATGGACCTTGATTGACAGCGACCTTGTCGCTCCGTTTCCTGCCCGCTTCTCGCCCCGTCAGATTGACGAAGGAAGCAGGCGAGGAACCCCTGGAACCATGGAACGTCGCTTGAGCATTCCATGTTCCTGTTCCTCTTCTTGCGCGACAGCGTCCTTAGAGTCGTTCGGCGTACAACCAGGGAGTGCACAGCATGCTAGTCGTGCCATCTGTCAATAGAATGACATTGCTCAGCTCCAAAGTTCCTGTCGGATCGAAGTAGGAATCCCCCAGCCGCTCCGTTTGAGGTGAAGAGATTGGTTATTTGCTTCGGCGATTGTTGGTGTTTGTACAGAACAAGTTGTGCTTTTCCGTTCCCACAAGTCGTTCCTCTGGGGTTCTCCCTCCCACAGCCATTCGGTCCATCAAGTCCCAATGACGAGCGTGTCTTGTGAACTATCGCGCCTCTGCTCAGCCGCATCCCGAAAAGATCTCTTCCCCAACAACATATGCAACAGTCTTTGTCGCAAAGTCCAGCCAGCAGTCTCTGTTACCCTCGTCCTCTGGCTCTGAGTCTGCTCTGTGGTGCTGAGATAAGGACTGGCGCAATAGTCTAGAGGCATGATGACTAGCCGTGTTGCAACTCGGGGGGGTTTCTGCTCAAGTAGCGTGATAGTGATTCTCTTCAAGTTTCGCTCTCGTCCTGCGAGGGCAAGTCATGCACAGCGCCATGGCTATGTGCAGGCATCCACGCTTCTTATCTAAATTACTGTAATGGGTTCGGCATGGCAAGGTTATCGCTGAGATCGCGATCACACATGTGCGTCTCTCAGAGCCTAGCCGGAGTACCCCGTACGCGCGGTTTGCTCTGCGCTGCGGGCCGACGCACGATTTGATCACATACAGTACGCGGGCAGCGCACTGGGACTAACTTTAACCGAGAATGCAAGTCTCGAATGTGCAGAGGTATATCATTCATCACAAGATAGGTATGATGCACAGTCACACATCCCTTTGCCGCCGGGCACTAGCCTCGAGGCTGGAAATCTGGTGTCACCAAGACACCATCATGAGGTGGTTGATTTCTGGTCAAATTACTTATCGTGACCAGAAAGCGACATAGACACGAGGAGCCCTTTATGGTCTCTGCTTAGTGCTCACGGAGGTCGTTGCGCCGGTATTCCACTTATGCCTCTTATGCCATCCGTCTCGCATATGCACCCTGGTCTCGGGGAAATGCGTTCCTGACTACACATTCGCGGCCTCAAGCTGTCTCATGTTTTCGTCGAATTATCTCGTCGTACTGCAGGTATGCTCCAAGCATGACCTCTGCGGCTGCCGCACAGCTGTCACATTTGTCAGTAAGACGACTCGAAACGGGTAGAAGCACCTACTCTTCTGGACGGCTGTACTCTGCGGGATTATGACTGACACCGTCTTTGCACCGGGCGAAAATCATGGCTGTAGGGACCTTCTTGGCCGTATATACGCTGTGAGACCAGTCAGCGCCTGGTGAACCTCACATCAATTGTGTGGCACTCTCACCTATCATGCCCTGCTCCACTGACGATTTCGTGGGAGCATTCATATTGTTTCGCCGCAGCTCGTATGCAGTCTTTCATAGGCTCGTTGAAATACGTTGCGGGAGATTCCCAGAAGGCCTTCATGTCCAGGGCGACCCCGGATTCATTGGAGATCTTTTCGAATCTCTCCCTGCACAGTCTTTCAATCTCATCGACCCCTGAGTCTTCTGGAGACCGTAAGTCCAGATTCATGCTCACTTCGCCTGCGATAGTGTTGGTGCTCTGTGGTTGTGAAGTGATGACTGCAATCGTGCCACGTGCTCCCTTAGCAGCGAGATCCGGAATGGACACCACTTCATTGACAGCCACGATCATCTTTGCAGCAGCCAAAAGAGTGTCACTTCTCCGGTCCATAGGAGTAGCGCCGGTGTGACCGGAGCGACCTATGAGATCGAGTTGATACCATCTCATGGATTGCACTGACTTGACGAGTCCTACCGGCTTCTCTGCTTCGTCCAGGATCGGGCCTTGTTCGATATGGACTTCGAAGTGTGCTAGTAAAGGGTTGGCTTCGTACGAGCAAGGGACATCGCCCACATACCCAATACGTTCGAGCTCCCGCTTCATAGTGACGCCGTCCAGATCGGCTTGATTATGAGCATATTCGGTGCTGTACACGCCTCCCCAGACGCCAGAACCCAACATGGCGGGCTTGAATCGCGCTCCTTCCTCGTCGGTCCAGTTTATCACAGCCAGCGGAGCGTAGGTGGTGATGTTGTTCTCGTGAATCACTTTGAGCGTCTCGATGGCACAACAAACTCCCAAAATGCCGTCGTACTTTCCACCGGTAGGCTGTGTGTCGAGATGTGATCCCAGACCGATGGGGGCGAGGTCGTTATTTTGCCCCGGACGAATGGCGAAGATGTTGCCCATTACATCGATCTTGTGGCTGCATCCATATTTTGCCGTTTCGGCGATAAACCAGTCTCGGACCTTCTTGTCGTCGTCGTTGCCAGAAAGTCGGTTCATTCCTCCATCCTCGGTACTACCCCATTGACAAGAGTGCTGCAGGGTATCATTCATACGCTCTGCATTGGTATGAAGGTTGGCGTACGCCGAGCTTAGAGATTTGGCGATCATGGTTGCAATGGATTTTGATCAAGTTTCCGCAGCGCGTCTTTCGTGTTGTGCACTGCTCAATACACGAATATCTTGTTCCGTCGTAAACATATGATGTTTGACTTGCTAAAGGCCTCGGATCGCCAGCGAATCGAGTGGGGTTGATATCAGCGTTGTCCTCCGATGCAGATGCGTGCATATCCGTGGCGGGCATTCCTGGGGACTTTGTACGGTGGCAGGCCGCACACTCGGCCTAAGAAAGTCGTCTTCACCCCTTTGACCCCGGTATGTGAGCGAAGAGAAAAACTGTGGTAGTATGCAGCGGTCCAACGTCACCGTCGGCAGAAGCTCCGGCCTGACTCCGTATCGCGACGAGGCTTCCCACAACATCGACAAAAGTCAACGAGGCTAAACAATGGCCGATCCTGGAGCGGCGCCTGCCTGCACCAAATGTAGAACGCACAGAGTCAAGGCATGAACCTCCCGTCACCAGGCACAGATTCGTCTCACCCTAATACTTACTGCACAGTGTGACCGTCAACTTCCCAAATGTTCGCGATGTCTCAGAATCGGCCACGACTGTCAGTATCCGGTGCGCAACCCTGTCAGGACTTATATCAAGTGAGTCGATACTCATGAACATCGGGCTGCCGTCGCGTTGACTGTTGCTGGCAGCTGTGTCATGGAGCTGGAAGCTGAGATCGCGCGACTGGAACAGGAATTGAGAGAAGCAGAAAATTGTACGTGTACTACCTCCTCCATCATCATCACTAACAGGGCACAGTGCCTTCTGGAGCCCCGGTACAGGATGAAACCACGGGTCCAACAGACGAGGCGGTTGTGATGGAACTGCTCACCGGCAATCCTTCGCCACTCTCAGTGCACTCGGAGAGTTTGATAGAAAACCTGTTTTCCTCAACGGACGCAAAAGAGAAAGATTCTGTGCAGTCCCTGATTGACGACATTGGACAAGCGTCCCTCTCCGCCATAGTCGTGCCCGAGACATCGTCATCTCACGACTTTTACCTTCGACCTTTGATATCGAATGCTACTCTTCCTGTCAACCCAGCTTCCCTAAAAGCCATTCCCAAGCCGCTTCACCTACCACAAAAAAGCATTGCTGAAAAGGTCTTTTTCAAATACCGCCAGAGTGTTCTGCCTGATCTTCCCTTCATGACCGAAGACTCCGTCTATCAGCACTTGCAAGCAACCTACCAGCCAACGGCGCCTTCTTACTCCTTATTCGTGACAGCACTCATGCTGGCTACCACAGCCGTCCATCTCTCACCGGGCTCTGTGGAGAGAGCATCCAGCCTCCACCGGACGGCTGTTCTACACTTGGAGACAGCATTCTCATCGGCAGCCGAACCTCAGCCCCTGCGTGATCTGGAAGCCTCGATAGGGTTGGCATATTACGCTGCATTGACCGGCGACGACTACTCGGATCCATGGGCTCTCAGCGGCATTGCAATGCGTGTCTGCGTCGATCTGGGTCTGCATAAATTCGCCGACACCAACCAGAAACGGCGGCTTTTCTGGTCTGCATTTGCTCTGGACAGAAAGATGGCCGTGGCTCGCAGTCTTCCTTTGGGTCTTCCTGACAAGACAATCTCCGCCGATGTGAGTTGCTGCTTGGTCGCTGCTCCTTTGAGAGTCTACTGACTCTCAGCTCGATAGTTTCCTTCCTCAATTTCTTACCCCTTCAAACTATATATATCTTTATCGGAGATATACGCCATGCAGAGGAATCCAGACATTGAGCGATGCCGCGATATTCGCATCCAGCTGGACGACTGCGTGCAATCTTATCGATTGCAGAGGCCACTCTCGCACCATCTTGAACGCGATGTCGAACTTACCACGAGGTTGTTGGCTCAGTTGACAGAGGGGAACGTGATATCTCAAGCAAATAGCACAAGTTTCCCTAGTCATTGAACTAAGTTACGAAACGTCTCACCCAGCCTGAACGTAGACCAATGTCTAGTCGAGCCGTCTAGAGCGTGCCTTGTACTGTAGTCTACCTCGTAAAAAGGGGGTTGATGGGTGACTTCACCCATCAAGCCATGTACTCCATACCTTGGCGCAAAAGTTGGAGAAAAAAGTTGCAAGATTTCTCCGCATAGACCGACGCAAAGATGCGGAAAGAAAAAGTGTGTCTGTGTTCGCTTGCGTCTGCCGTCACCACGCCCGAGGAACCACAGCAAAGTCGTCAGGAACAATGGTGGCTCCGACGAAGTTGAAGACGAACGCTGGTTTGAACAATCCTACGGACGCGCTCGAGAAAGATGCGATTGAGCTGCGCTTAGAGAAGGCTCTGTTTGGCGATGATGCCGGCTTCTTCAACTCCTTGAAAAGATCTCAGACTGGCGAAGACGAGACAGGCGCACTTATACGACATGAGATCCCTGAAGGTGAGGATGAAGACGGAGTGGAAGATCCTGACCACTTAAGTGATGTGGCCGACGACGACGTACGTATTCGGACCTCCAATGTCTATATCCTGTAACTGACTTTCGATCCAGTTATTTTTCCTCGATGCCGGAACCGGCCAGTTACCCTCAGCGGTGTCGAAAGACCTCGAAAAGACCGAACCGCAGCATATCTCTGCACTTGGCCAGCCTACATGGTACGACAGCGACGACGATCGAATCACAGTCTCACTCGCCTCCCATACGCGCCTGCGCAAACTACGAGACACGGAAGATGACGACGTGGTCAGCGGCAGAGAGTACATTGAGCGACTCCGTCGACAATATGAAAGACTCCATCCTACACCAGAGTGGGTGACATACGCGCGGAAAAGGAGGAGGCTGTCCACCGAACGAGACGAGAAAGATGCAGACTCTGATTCCGACGTATCAATGGATGATGGCGACTCACTCGTCGCAGCACAACCACTTGCCGAACTTTTGAGGTCGGCAGGCTCCTTGACAAGGACAGACACCAAGGGCTCAAAGAGAACGGGACCACGCAAGCTACGGCCCGAAGTCATTGACATTCAACGTACCAAAGACATTGCTAAGGCCGGGCCTTCGTCCATCGACACGATGCAATTCCATCCTTACTACCCCCTCCTCCTCTCCGCTGGACCCAGTTCCACAGTCACAATCCACCACATCTCTCCCCAGCCACCGAATCCGAACCCGATTCTCACATCATTGCACTTGAAAGGCACGCCCCTTCACACTGCCGCATTCTGCAAACCCTCCGGCGAGACTGCTAACGACAACAATCACGATCAAACGCGGATTTTCCTGTCCTCTCGACGCAGATACTTCCATACATGGTCTCTTTCCACCGGCGTCGTCACGAAAGTGACGCGAGCGCTTTATGGCCAAGCCCGGAAAGACCAGCGGACAATGGAGGACTTCAAGATCTCACCATGTGGCCGGTACATGGGCCTGATCGGCTCTGGAAGGAAAGGCGGCGGCACTATCAACGTGCTGTCCACGGAGAGTATGCAGTGGATCTGCAGTTGCCGCATAGATTCTCAAGACGGCGTAGCAGATTTCGCCTGGTGGCGCGACGGGAACGGGTTCGCCGCGGTAGGCAAGAACGGTGAAGTCAGCGAGTACGACATCGACAGCAGAAGTGTCGTTGCGAGATGGATCGATGAGGGTGCAGTGGGCACCACTGTCATCGCTTTGGGAGGTGATATTGGACAGGGAAGCCGTGGCGGTGACCGGTGGGTGGCCATCGGATCTTCAAGCGGTGTAGTCAACATCTACGACCGACGAGGATGGACTGCGACTGCCAAGGCTGGTGCCGATGCGAACTTGGATGAAAAGCCCAAGCCTGCAAGGGTACTCGACCAGTTAGTCACGCCTATCTCGCATGTGGAGTTTTCGCAAGATGGTCAGATGATGGTCATGGCGTCCAGATGGAAGCAGGGCGCTCTCAGACTGGTTCATCTGCCGAGTTGCACTGTCTACAGGAATTGGCCGACGGAAAAGACACCACTCGGAAGAATCAGTGCTGTCGCTTTGTCTCCAGATGGAAGTTATCTCGCCATTGGTAACGATCAAGGAAAGATCAAACTATGGGAGATCAGCGAGTAGCTGGACCGTACACATAGCACCAATTCCCGGCGAAATATATCCAACCTGATGACCTGATCTATCAAACTCTGCAAACAATGTCTATTTCATCCATATGTCATATTTGCTCACGTCTCGCACACCCGCGGTGTTCCCCTCCTTGATTCTCTTCAGTGTCAGAGCGGCGATCAAAGCCGCGCCCACACCACTTCCATCTTCGGACGGCAGCATGACGATAGGATCTTTCTTGCCCTTCGGCCAGTCCAGGATCTCTCGCAGGGCTACCGCCCCTCGAGCCTTGAAGTGTGGGTATTTGGTAAACACGGATCCATCGGCGCCGACATGGCACGTCTCGATGCCCTTCTTCTTACAGATGGCAGCGACACCACATGCTGATAAACGTGCAGCGCGTGTGCCGATCAACTCGGCGAGTCGTCGACAGAGTTCGAGTTCGGGCTTTGTCACATTGAGTTTCAGCTCGTCCTCGAACTTGTCTTGAGTCTCTTGCAAGTTCTCAAAGGGATCTTCCTCGATATGTGCCAGGAACGAAGCGTCTAGGATATACGGCTTCTTCAGTTTCGAAATGTCCTGGCCTTCGAACAGTAGATTCTTGTTCTCGTGTAGATCCACGAGGACCAATCGAAAGATCTCGCCGAGATATAAACCTGCGACCATTTTCTCGAAGGCTTGCTGGCCTGGTCTCGGTGAGGTTTCATCGATGATGGTGTCATATTTCGTAATGGGCAGGACTTTGTGTTCGTTGTCGAAGGCGCCGTACTCGCAGTTGATGGCCATGGGCGTGTCGGGAGGGAGATTGAGGTGCTTGAGTTTGGGTATCGAGCCGCAGTTCTCCATGTATGCGGCGTTGCAGCCTGTGCCGAAGATACATCCTACCCGCATACTCTGATCCGTGTATGCGGATGCGATAAGAGTACCGGTGGTATCGTTTATGAGAGCAGCGAGTTTGACTGGGAGACCCTTGTGCGCTGTTAGCTCCGGACATTCTTACTCTGATCTTTTTGACATACCCTGGCATCCAAAGCTGCTTGGAATTGTGGAACAACATCACTGCCTTCGACTCCGGAAATGTCGAATCCCTTCGTCCATCTCTGGAGCACACCGTGATCGATAAAGTCTTGTGTGGCAGGGTATGAGAATGTAAAACCAAGTGGAAGAGCAGTCAAGTCCGCGTCTTCGTGGTGGTACTCGATGAACTGTTGCAGACAGTCCGCGATGTACTCCCACAACTCCTCTGCGGTCCCAGTCTTGAGCTCTTCCGGCATGCGGTATTTACTCTGGATGATGTCGAATTCTCCCTTCTCTTCTGTGAGTGTAATCTCGCAGACTCGCAGGTTTGTGCCACCCATGTCCAGGGCGAGAAAAGTACCCTCCTCATTGCCGTCCGGGAAGGCCATGCACCATGTAGGATTCATTGGAATGTTTTGTCCTTCTTTTTCCAGGCCAGCCTTCAGCTCGGAGACGAAATGCTCGGTGACCAGCTTAAGTCTGTCGGCGTCCACGGTGAAAATGTCCTCGAGGTTTTGGATTTCCTCCAGCAAGGTCTTAGGCACATCGGCCATAGATCCTAGACCGGTCAGTCTGCATCAACTCGTTGTCTCGAGCTCAACACGTACCCTTGCGGGAAGGCTTGCGCTTCGGGCCTACTCCGACCATGTTGACGGTTCAATTCGGTCGGTGGTATATACTGTGGATGAGTTTCTAGGTCCTGTCCGCAACAGCCAGCTGGACCTTGAATATATTCAAGTACAATTGAGAAGATAAAGAGCTTTAAGAGATTGTTGACACAATAGCGGGGCGGTGTACTGGGGAGAACAGGAGTATTTACTGTGGAGGGGCAATTGGACTTTTCAAAAATTTGGAGACCGATGAGCTCCTTTATGGGCTATGTCATAGTTGAAGCTTCGCTAACGTTTCCGGTGACCCCGGGCTCGGATTCTACGTTCGTGGTTCCTGGCAAAATAGAACTTTAAAGGCCTGAATCATAGCACACTTCCATATTATTCAGCATGGTGAATGGACCACACAGACCATAGTTCCAGTACCAAAGGCTGCATTTCCAGAATACCTCCCGGCCAAGCTCGTCGTCCCCTTTCTTGCAGTTCATCCTGACTAAGAGACCACTGCTGACTCAACATCTCCGCTGCGTTATCCAAATCGATCTCCATGTCACGTTCATCATGCATGACCACTATTCTGCCTTGAAAGGTTGTTATCGTCCCTGGCGGCACCAACCCTCCCGCACCATGCGATGTCTGTGTGGCGAATAAACACGACGTGACTATTCGTCCACCTCGATGATGTCGACTGGAACAGTTCCTTCCTGTTGTGGACTCTTCCAGTCTCTCATCATCCATCTGTTCCGTCCCAGAGCAGGATCAAGACGAGCTCGATCTGCTGCCGCGACGCTCCCAGCAAGAGCCCGCGCAATGTCCGCAAGAGCATGGAACAGCGCTTGCCGAACAGGTCGCTCACCTTGGACCAGGAAAGTCTCAAAGAGCGGGTTGTCGCGAGCAAACTCATTGTATCCCTGAGTAGAGACCTCGAAGGCAACCTGTTCGATGAGATATCTCATCATCGGAACTGTGTGAGTTGCTGGACTTTCCCCAAGCCGATTGGTAAGCCATGTGATGTACTCGAACGAGATGTTGTACTCCTGATGGTATTTGCGAACGCAGTCGATGATTGCATCCTGAAGCGGAATGATCTGGTATTGAAGTGCGATAACGTAAGTGCGCATTTGAGTTCTGCACACATGTCGATTCACCGGCACACCCGGTGGTTGATTGTACAGCCAATTGACGACAACCTCGAAAGCCGCGGGCTCATAAACGAATCCTTCAAGGTGGTAGAGTGGGCGAGAAGGCGAGTCTTGCAAGAAGGCAGCAGTCCCGGTTTCAGCCTGGTCTGAAGTATCCTCGCTTTTGATTTCGGGCGGTGGGCTCAAGGTGCGCTCGCGATCATCGCCAGTAGATGGCTCTCTGGAAGGTGTACCGTTGCTCGAGGTTGCAGGCATGCCATGGACTTGGAAAAAGGCGGTTCGTTCAAGCTGCGAGTAGTGGACGTGGAAGGAGGTCTTGGAGCGACCGACGGTGATGTGAATTGTCTGGCGTGCATACTTGTTTTCTTTCGGCGCCTTTGGACGAGAAGGCGTACTCGAAGCCATGTTAATCGGCGCCGTATTAAGCGTCAAGAACTCGGATGAAGTGCTGTTCTCAAGATGAGAGAGATGGAGAAGGATCAAGAAGTCCGGAGAGAGCAGAGGATCTAAAAAGATTTGGTTAGTCAGTACAGAAAACGCGAAGACAAAGCCACCTACTTGGCGAGGGAACCTAATGAGGATTTTGAATGGATCTCTGGTGAGACAGAGATGTCTAATCCTGAAATGCGGAAGGGCGCTATCAAATTGATCTCGAACCGAGGAGATCCGAGTCAACACGTGAGAGAGAAGTGAGGACAGTGAACACCTTGAGGCGATGTTAAAGCGACGGTTTCTCGGGCTTTTCCTCTTTCCCTTCTCTCAGATGAGGAAAGACATGCTGCAGACTTGGCTCATCCTTGGAGTTGATTGTTTGTGAAGTTGAAAGAACGGGTGTGGGAGATGAAGATGCTGTGCTGGCGGTTGTCAAATCTTGCTCAAGCTCTGCCTTGATTCTTTCACTCGTCTCCCCTGTCACTTTCAGTGAAGTGTCAATGTCTTTGGTCAACTTCTCAATCTCATCGTCCAACTGCTCTTGGCGGGATTTCAAGGGGGCTTCTTGCTTCTTCCTGTCACTCTTGTCCGGATCAGTCGTCTCCCACAGGGCTTCGAGCTCTTCCCGCCAACCCAGTGCATCTGCAAACCTTCTCACGCCCGCGTCGCAGTCGCCAAGTAACAGTACGTCGTCAGGCCGAGAGCCGAGAGATCCAACCTTTTCCAAGTTGATGAGCACGCGAGGCGTGTCCTCTCCGACGAACGAAGGCAGACTGGCGAAAGGCTGGACAGTCAGACTGGTGCCCATGACGATAGCTAGGTCGGCCTTGGCTGGTAGGCTCCGATTCTGGAAGAAGGCTTCTGGCAGAGCTTCGCCGAAGAACACTATATCTGGTTTGACCAGACCGTTACAGGTTTTCCTGATACAGTGCGGCACCTCTTTCTTGCTGATCATCTCCTTCATCCGGTCTTCAGGATACTCAGTCTGGCATTCGATGCATCTCTGAGTGGCAAAAGAACCATGTGCCTCCACGATCTTATCTCCAGGAACTCCTGCTTCTCGTTCTAAGCAGTCTATGTTTTGTGTGAACAAGTGCAAGAGTTTCCCCTTCTTATTGAGCAGGCTAATGAAGGAGTGCGTGATCGTGGGTCGGTATTTCCCAGGATACAATTCATGAGCGAGGGTATAGAATGGATATGGGTTGTTGCGGAAGTAGGAGATGTCGAACACCGCCTCGGCGTATGGGAGATTCAATCGAGCAAGGTTTGCATACAAGCCAGTATCGGGAGAACGAAAGTCTGGAATGCCTGCGGAAGTGCTGATACCTGCTCCGGTCATTACCACGATATTCTTGACATCCTTCTCTTTGATGTACTGAGCAACCGCCTCGATGCTGCGGCCATGTAGTCTCGTCGGAGGTGTGGCCTCGTCGACCGGTGTCGAAGATTCATTGCCCATCTTGAAGTTCCAACGCCCACTGCGCGGATTGGAGTGACGGTCTCGTTTGCGGCGACCTATGATGGCGAAGAAATAACGAAGCAGGTTGAGTGATGAACGAGTGTTTGCTTTGATGCGCAATCACGCCCCCTCCGCAATATACATGAAAGGATCTGTATCGAGCAAGTATAGAAACGTGGAGATGGACTGTTGATCGTTAACTTCCATCTCATCTGCCCCACGTCATTTTGCGGACTTTGCACTTTTGTAAAGGTTAAGTGCGAAACCACGGAAAGTTGTTCCTACCAAGGCTACCTCACGAATCACGTGGACTTAACGCCAAGCATTGCTGCATTGAAACGTAGAGAACACTCTTCGCGTCCAAGAAAATAACTTCCACGGAGAGGGTCCTTAATTCGAAACACAGACATAGTCAGTACAGAGCCACCGCCTCTGGGGATATCCACTGTGTCTGCAAGGTATGTCTCTGCAAATTCACCAAGATATTGTACAACTATCGTCATGCGCACGAGCAGCAACAACAGCAATTCGCTCGGCCTGTTCAAGACCAGATTTTATGGCTCCAAGCAATCTATGTGCTGATGGAAACATAAAATCGCCATGGATCAATGCCATGTCCATCACCAGTCGTTGTTTTCAGGCTTTGACGTGCCAGATATCTTTCATGCTCTTAAGCATAAATTTCCTCTGTTCGACCTCTCGTTCGACCTCTCTCAGACACCGCTGCTGGATCCCCAAATTTGAAGCCTGGTCGATCGATTCATCCGTTCGGAATCCAAATGCCGACGCTTCGAGTACTGAGATGGTTCGAGGTAGCTTCTCTAATTCAGTAGCCCGCACGAAATAGCCACTAACGCGGCCCCGAATAATGATGGAAAACACTGGCTATAATTCGTTGGCTTCATCCATCAACTGCCTGATTGAGACCTGTTATTGTTCTCCAAAAGCACATCAAAAGCTAGTTCTCGCACGCAAATCTTTGCTACTTGTGTGATGACCGTATGAACACAGATCTTTTACGAAATGCATTGTCACTGGCTTTCCTGCTGCCGATCGAACCCCCACTGTGAGGCCATTGCCGAGTCTCCGTCCGCTTATTGCAGTGCGTGGGTGCCCCGTGCCCCAATAGTGTGGGGTGCGGAGAGGGTAAGAGCTATAACCGTCCGACGGTGGCTCCAACCGGCTTTGCCAACACCTCAACGGTTGTAGGAAGCCAGCTCGAGCCAACGAAACAGAGCCATGACGACTACCGAAGTGACCAGGAAGAATAAGCCCAGGCAGCGGGCTTTCAAAGCGTGTGCATTATGTCGGTCTAGGAAAGTAGGAATTCTTCGGCTTGAAAGGACCGCCCTGCGAAAGGACGAAAAATCAGCTAAAATTCGTGAGTGATAGGCAAAGTGCGAATTCTCGAATTCAGGAGATCACGGTTTACGCCCTTGCCTGCGGTGTCAGAAGGAAGGAGAGCAATGTCAGTTCCTACCAACACGGCGCGGCGGAAATCACGGCAATGGCTACACTGCTCGTAAGGCTCGGGAGCTGGCAGGAGCGGCGACACTCGTCCCAGAGAAGGGACTGGAGAATCAGAACTCAAGCAGTCAGCCGACACTCGCTCCAGGTACTCACTTTGAGGATTCCCAAGTCGATGTTGAGCATTTGACAGAGGCACCATTGCGTAACCCCTCAGACGCACTTGAGATTTTGGCGAGAACATCCCCACCAAATCGTAACAATGGGCCCGATTACGACGAAGATGACGAGGATGAAGAGGAACGAAGGTGCCTCCAACGAAATCATCCGGCACAGAATCAAGCAGATTCAGGCTCACCCGATGCCAGCCAGCCAACCTCAAGCCCCGACATGCTTCGCGTGGCGAGCAGAAGTTCTGTCATTGTCAACGTCAGTCCAACGGAAAGCACCTACCATCGAAACGCATCAAAAAGCATAAATAGTTTTCCACTGATCAAACTGGGCCTGATCAACCCTGCTCAACTTCGGACCTATGTCGCCATATTCGCATCTCGGAATAATCACTACCTCCCGATAATTCCAGAGAATAGGTTACCCAGTGATGACCATCACCTTGGACAATTCGCCGCTGAAGAGCCATTCTTGCTGATGGTGATTGTTTTGATCGCCTCGCGGTTTGAGAAAGACACTCTGCACGCAGCCTGTTGGGAATACACGAGACGCCATCTCAGTGGGATCACTTATGGCGGATTACCAACGGTTGGGGTGGTTGAAGGCCTCTTGTTACTGTCGGAGAATCTACCCAAGTTACCGAAAGTGGCCGACGACGAGTTTCACAAAGTTGAAGCATTCGTGTCGTGGAATCTCATTGGCTTGGCTGTGAGGTTCGGCTACTTCTTGGGACTCGACCAAAAGACGTTGCTTCCGCCAACCCAAAAATTTGACAGGCAGACCTCTCGCGAGCGCTTGGTATGGACATATTGTCACGTTTTCAACCGCCAGGTGTCAATTCGGCTAGGAAAGGAGCTATGGAGCCGTGGTCCTGGGCTTGCTATCCAGAATCCATCAACAGCAAGTATGAGTACACCGCTAGAAGCTCGCAGCAATCTCATGGCATCAACGTCAAATACTACAGAGTATCCTACTGACATCGGCTCGAGCAATAGTCACCAAAATGAAGGCAGCTGCGACAATGCGGGTTTGCTTCAGACATATGTGGAACTGACACAAATTCTAACCAACATCCATGACGTTCTCTATCCCAGTAGGGATCGTACCATTGCACTCGTCAATGTCGGTGAGTACTACCGTATTTTGGATGAGTTCACACGGACGATCACTGCTTTCAACACTACCTGTGAACTCCGTCACCAGTGGGAGCTCAACGAAACGATACATGCTGTTTTACAATACACGAAACTATACGCCTATGCCTTTGCATTTCAGGCACATGTACAGAGAACGACAAGCCGACACAAAGAACAACTCAACAACATGGGTACTACCAGGACACTTGCCGAGCTCATCTTCCCCTTGGGAGTGGCTGGATGTCCCGATGCTAAATATATTCTCGAAGCAATCGAGTCAGCTTCTAAATTGTTGACTATTTGTGTCAATGGATTATTTAACAATGGCGCTTTGGCATATCTGCCATCAAGATTCTATGGCTATTTCAGTTATGCTGCTGTATTTCTGATCAAGGTTGTCCTCACTGGGGCCATTGCCTCCAGTGAAAGAAAGAAGATCTTGACACTGGTTGGACGAACAATCACAGCTCTTGAGTCGTCCTCGTCTGGAGCCGACAAACAACACCTAGGGGCACGCAGTGCCCGCCAGTTGAAGACACTCGTGCGTACATTAGTTGTCGCTACTGGTACTTCTATGGCACCAACCCCGGCCCGCTGCAGCCCTGCGCCACGAGAGCAGCAGCAACTACCAGACATTTCCATATCTGATCACGACTATGCGCTTTACTTCAACGAGTTGGATATCGGCCCCGGGCTAGATTCTGCTATGGCTCCGATGATTGACACCACTTTTCTATCAGAGCCTTTCGCACCGGACCTGGCCGCTTTGTTTACTTCAGACATTGACAGCGATATGTGGCTTTCATTTTTTTGACTACTGCAATTGGAAGTAGACTGCCTGGCTAGGTCGTCATGTTTAGGGCAGGAGAGGGAGGCTCTATTGATTTACTTGACTCTCCTTGAGTCGTTTCAACACCACATATCATTCTGCATGCATGATATATTCATGTCATGTCGGAACCCTGGGTTTGAATGAGTCTGTTCCGGCTTCAACAATTATAAATTTGACTTGTAGCTTATCCCTAACAAGAGTCTCGCATACACCAGAACCAGCCTCATCAAATTCTTAATGCCCGCGGTTCTCCTCCCAAATGCCGCCACAGAAACCGGCTGCGTAGACCACTCCATGAGATCACAGATGATTGGGAAAGAAGTGCTGCAAGTTCTTTTCCTCCCACTCTCCGTCGTGTGCTAGAACAATTTGCACTGGTACGCCATTGAGACCCTCTTTTTGGAGCTTTCGCATGATATTCAATGTTTTGTAGGCCGCCCCGAGGTCCTTATGGATGGTGACTGTCTGTCCTTGGTCGTCCTTCCAGGTCCCGAAGTCCGTCTCGCCTTTGAGTATGCGCACATGGTGGCATGCATCGGCAGCAAGGTAAATCCATTTATGTGCCGAAATCCGTACCAGTAGGTTCAAATGACCAGGTAAGTGGCCTGGACTGTCGACGAGGTACACGGTGCCATCGTTGAACATATCAACAGCATTTTGAACCGGGCTGAGACTTTGCCAATACCATCCACGCTTCTCGTCGAAGACCTCACCAGTTCTCGAGCTCGGGACGGCCGGCAGCTCGACCGTTCGGTCGGCTGGCAACAAGTCGGCCTCGAAGAACGGGTTGTAAAACTGGGGCCCCATCTCATTCCTGAGCATCTTCCCCGTGTTGTGACCAGCAATGAACGTTGCAGACGTGAAATCAGAAGGCGTACCAATGTGATCCCAGTGGCAGTGGCTCAATACCACGTAGTCCACTTCCGAGGCATCCATGTGGCCTAGTGACAAAGCCGACTTCACATCGTTCTCGCTGCTAAGTGGATGTCTTGTTGTCAGGTGCTTCTGCAGGCCGAGATGGTACTTGGTCAGGTCTTTGCGAATGCTCAAGTCAAACACAATCTTGGACCCGGTCGAAGGATGCAAGATCAAGAAAGACAGCGACGGCATGGTGAGTTTCTCTCCTTCTCTAGCATCCGCCAGGAACTTCTTTGCTGGCGGCGAGAGAAAACCGCACCGGAGTGGTGAGACTGTCGGATAGGTAACCGCCATGTTGATTTCTTCGTGCTGAAATCCTACTGACTAGTTTGATAGTTGATATTGGCTTTTCTATCCAAAGCTTCTTTTCTTGAACACTCTGGGCACTTTTATCTCAAAAGCACGAACGGCAATAGCTACAACGGCTATAGCCAAGGACTAAGATCGCTTGAGAGTCGAATCTCTGAGCCTTGCTACCACGTAGCTAGAGCTCACCAGGCCTTTCGCATGGGTGAGACTTGAGAGCCTTTCCCGCAGAATGGTTACGGCAATAGCTACATCAAATGTACAGTTCGGTAGTGTTTACTTGTAGATTCGGTGCTTGAAGCCATGAAACTTGTTGAGTAGATGCCACCTTTGGAGAAATGCAAACGGTTACCATAGGCTGGTCAGGTGAAATGCGAGCCTGACCGAAGGCCTAGAACTTTGCTGAGAGGCTTTGAGCAGTAGATTGGTGTATCTGATAACAAATATAACAGACATGCGTAAGCTACCAGTCAAAATTATCTTTCGCGCCGGGAAGAGCAAGCCCAAGTCGTTTTGGGGGCTGCAATTTTCCAATACGACCAAATAACCAAGGGAACTTTTCCTTTTGCTTGACTTCGAAGTCATAGATCTTCTCTTCACTCAGAAGCGTGTTACTGATGTCGTCGACGCCGTTGATCAAGCAGTGCTTCGTGTAAGCGTCCACTTGGAATTTTGCGATGAGATTACCGCCATCATCCCTGATTTCCTGGTTGGGCAGATCTACTTGAACCTCACGCTTTGCCAGGCCTTCTTCGTGGATTTTCTCCAAAGCCTGGGTGTCATCGAGAGGTATTGCAAGAAGCCCATTTTTTCCGGAGTTGTTGAAGAAGATGGATGCAAAGGACGGTGCAATGACACATCGAAAGCCGAAGTCTACCAGAGCCCATACGGCATGCTCTCGTGATGACCCGCAGCCAAAGTTCTCTCCCGTACAAACTAGAATTTTCGAATTGCGATAAGGTTGTTGATTGAGAACAAATTGAGGGAGGTCTTCGTGCGTCTCGCTATCGTATCTAAGGTCCCGGAACAGATTGGGTCCCAGACCAGTCCGCTTGATAGTTTTGAGGAAGGCACCTGGAATAACCAGATCTGTGTTGATGTTTTGCATGTCAAATGGCGCGGGAACTGATGAAACAGTGTCGAACTTAGGGATACCGTCAGCACTCTTCACCGCATGCCTTGCAGCTCGATTGGCAACGATTTCGTCCTTGGGTTTGGGAGCAGATTCAGGGGCAGAGGCGGTCACTCTAACGGATCCATAGCTCTTGACCGTGTCACCACCAAGCGTCAATTTGGTTATCCTGATTGATCCGTTCTCGGTGGTCAAGAAATCTCTCACGTCAGTCATGTGGCCTTCGATTGCAGCAGCAGCAGCCATTGCTGGCGACAAGAGGTGGGTCCGACCCCCTGGCCCTTGCCTCCCTTCGAAATTTCTGTTCGTCGTGGATGCACACCTCTCACCAGGAGACAAGACATCAGGGTTCATGGCTAGGCACATGGAGCAACCAGCTTCGCGCCAGTCGAAATTTGCGGCTTTGAAGATCACGTCTAGACCTTCATTTTCTGCTTGCTGCCTCACCAGTCCTGAGCCTGGGACAACCATGGCATAGACCGAATCCGAAACTTTTCTGCCCTTTGCAACCCTTGCAGCCGCTCTCAGGTCTTCAATCCTTGAGTTCGTGCAAGATCCGATAAACACTCGGTCGATCTTGATATCTGTGGCCAACATGTTGGCTTCCAGATCCATGTACTTCAGAGACCTCCGGATTGCAGCAGCTTTGAAAGGCTCGGTATTGTCATAGTCCGCTGGATCCGGAACCCTGCCAGTGACTGGGATAGCATCATCAGGCGAGGTTCCCCAAGTTATGGATGGAGTGATATCCGCAGCATCTATTGTAACCGTGAAGTCCCAGTGAGCATCCCCGTCGCTATATAAGGTCTTCCAGTATGCAAGTGCGTGGTCCCAATCGGCCCCAGAAGGAACAAGAGGGCGATCTTTGAGGTATTCAAAGGTGACATCGTCGGGTGCAACAAGTCCGGTTCGAGCACCACCTTCGATACTCATGTTGCACAGCACCATTCTTGCCTCCATTGATAGATTTCGGATTGTAGATCCACAAAACTCAATGACGCATCCTGTTGCTCCCGCTGTTCCGATCTTACCCAGCAGGTGTAGGATAATGTCCTTGGAGTATACACCAAGACCGAGCTCACCCTCGACGCAAACGCGGAGGTTCTTGTACTTCTTCTGAAGCACAGTCTGTGTTGCCAGCACATGCTCGATATCTGAAGTACCTCCACTGACAGCCAGCGCGCCCACCGCTCCATGTGTTGGTGTGTGTGAGTCACCGCAGAAAATCATGGAGCCTGGCAGTGTGAGGCCTTGCTCTGGGCCAACGACATGGACGATACCCTGTCTTCGGTCGGACATGCCAAAATATTTTATGTTGTGCTCTTTGAGATTCTTCTCGAGCAATGTGATCTGAGTTCTAGCCTGGGGCTCCGTGACAAACGACGCGGCATCCTGATATTTGGATCGATCGTCTGTCGGAACATTGTGGTCGACCGTGGCGAGTGTCAGATCAGTCCGTCGGACAGGCCTGGAATTCTTTCTGAGTCCGTCGAAGGCCTGTGCGGTAGGAACTTCGAAGATCAAGTGAGCGTCCACATACAACAATGGTGCTGTCGTGTTGTCAGGGTCAACCAGATGCTCTCGGTAAATTTTGTCGTACAATGTGAGAGCCATGTTGAGTCCAGTTCGTCCTCGAAGAGTAAACCGAACAACCTAGCTCTGGCCAGTGTGATAAAAGCGTCCTATAGAACTAGGGAGCGTTCTTGATGTGTAATAAAGGGAGGAGATTGAGACAATGTCAATAGTCACTTTGTCTTAGATACTAAGCTTGACAACATATCGACACCAGGTTCTATGAGTCACTAGTCGCTGGTTATACGCTGTGGCTTTTCTGGACCAGACAGTGTTAGGTTTGTATTAGCCGGCGTTGTAGAAATAAACAGCAAGTCTTTTTCGTGTGGGGTGATCAGCCTGGCGGAGGGTGCCGTGGGGGATTCTGGGATGGGGAACTAGCTATAGCCGTGGAAGGCTATAGCCGTTTAGGGGTTGGCCAAGGTTGCGGTGTTCGATGGGTTTTGCGAGGTCACGCGAGGTCCAAACCCCAACTTTTACGAGGATTGTTACTCTGCGAGTGGTATGATGGACGAGCATTCCCTGTTGTTTGTGATCAAAGTGATTTCTTGAGGAAAAGAAGATTGTCAATCTTGGAAGCCGCATAAGGTCAAAGATGATGTACTCTAAGTGTTAATCTATATACTATGATTCAATAATTTCAATTGCGAAACAAAAATCTCACAACATACTGCTAGTTTCAGGCATTGAAGATGCCTTTGAGCGGTCCAGAACCTGCTTGAGGGCAGTAACAACGGCGTTTCCCATGTCCGTACAAGAAGCACTGCCACCAATGTCACCTGTTCGCACCTCCAGACCACCAGCCTCCTTGTCATCAAGCGCAATACTGACAGCCTCGTCGATTGCGTCAGCTAGGAAATCCAAGTCGCAGCTATATCTCAGCATCATAGCGGCGCTTTGAATCGTAGCAATGGGATTGGCTTTGTTGGGAGCCAAGTCTGGCGCAGAGCCGTGGCTAGGCTCGTACATTCCCGTTGACAATGGCTCTCCCGGAATACCGGACAAGCAAGCGGATGGGCTGAAGCCAAGGGATCCGACTACTGCAGCAGCTTCGTCGGAAAATAGATCGCCAAAGATATTGTCACATAAGACAACACCGTTTAGCGATCGAGGGTTCTTCACCATGATCAGAGCAAGTGAGTCTGACAGCTGGTGCTGGAGAGGAATGTCCGAAAACTCTCTGTCGTGGATTGTTGTTACGGCTTCGCGCCACAGTCGACACACAGCCAACACATTTGCCTTGTCGACAGAGGTGATTTTGCTAGGCCCCTTTGCACCTCCTTGTTTGCGTGCGAGGTATGCGGCCATTCTGGCGATTCGCTCGATTTCCCATCGGTGATAGCCCCAGACGTCATGAGCATAATCCTCTGTTTCTTCCTTAGCACCAAAGTAAACGCCGCCGAGGTTCTCTCGAAGGACAATAAAATCGGTGCCCTGGACAAGAGATTCCTTGAGGGGCGAGCATTTGGCGACGCCTTTGGAAGGAACCTTACAGGGTCGAATGTTGGCCCAGCAATTCAAAGCCTTCCTTAGGTCCAGCACAGAAGTTTCTGGCCGTAAGGCTCCGGTCATGCCCCATTTAGGGCCACCAACGGCTCCGAAGAGCACTGCAGTGGAGTTCTTTGCTTTTTCAATGACTTCGGGCGTCAACGGAATGCCATGAACATCAATAGACTGACCGCCCAACAAGTCGAAGTCGAGATCGAATTTGATGCCTTGTTTTGCAACGCCGGGATGTGACTCAGCCGTTTGCAAGACCTTGACAGCCTCGCCAACGACCTCTGCCCCAATGTGGTCACCGGGCAGCACGAGAATTTTGAAGGCCGGCATTTCTGTTTGAAATCTTGTCGAATTTGTCTTGTTTATTCCTTGATACAATGCTTCAATATTGCCATGGTTTCCGTCCGCAAGAATCTACTTAACGGACCAACGGCTAAAGGCAACAACGAGGGTGTGCAACTAGAGCGAACCCCATGCTCAACCAGCAGTAGCCGTTCCGGCCACTCTCCGGAGTTCACTTCTTAGCGACCCCTGAACGGGGCACAGCTGCCCGGCAGATGCCAAAAGTGGCTTTAGCCGTCCGACTATAGGCCAAGGGAGTGAACGAGACCTTCCCCGGATATAGTGATGCTAAATATGGTGTGGGGTTTGTGTGCCAATTTAACTTGGTACAGAAGCGCAGAACTCCCTCGGACAACGGCTAGAACTTGTTTACCAGAGAATCGTTACTCCAGGGGTGGCAAGCGGCTATGGCAGGACACCGCTGTTGAACAAGTCCTTGCCTCTATAAATGTGCAAGATGAATCTTCCCTTTCTGGTCGATGTCTGACTTATCACTTTTGAATCCGTCTCTTCTCCCTCATCAAATTTATCAACTGTCATAATGGCAGCAGAAGAGCCGACACCCGCAGTGGCCCTGCATGGGAAGGGGGACATCACCCACTTCGAAGACCAGGCAGTGACCGCCACGGACACCACGGAGAAAAAGGCCGAAGTGGTGGGACAGCTCGAGGCTCTTGCCTTCAGCTACACCAAGGCTGAGGAGAAGAGATATCTCTTGAAGATCGATGTTATCGTGCTTGGATATGTGTCGGGAGCCTATCTTTTGGCCTACATGGATCGAGGAAACATCGGGAACGCCAACACTGCAGGGATGTCCAAAGACTTGGGCCTCAGCGACAACCAGTACCAGTGGGTGTTGACCGCCCTGTACTTGGGGTACATCCTGTTCGACTGGCAGACCATCTTCTACAAAATCTTTCCGGCTCGATACTACGTCCCAACCGTCATTTGCATCTGGGGTATCATTGCGGGATGCTGTGGAGCTGCCCAGAACTTCACCGGTCTGATTATACTGCGTGTCTTGCTGGGGATCTTCGAGTCTTCGTACAGCCCCGGGCTCGCCTATTTTTTCTCCTTCTTCTACTACCGAAGAGAGATGGGTCGACGTCTGGGCTGGTACGTGTCCATCGCTCCACTCGGTGCCTCTTTTGCTGGGGCCTTCGCATATTTCGTGACGAAAGGTCATCATTCAATTGCCGGCTGGCGGGCTCTCTTCCTCGTTGAAGGACTGCCGGCGGTAGCTGTTGGTCTCTTCGGTTACTACTGGCTTCCCTCAAACAGTCAAGACTGCCAGTTCCTGAATGAGAAAGAAAAGAAGATCGCTTTGGCTCGAACAGTTCGCATGACCGGAAACCAAGAGCGAAGCCGAAAGATTCATATCAAAGCCTTTTTGAAAAGCTTGTTGGACCTCAAGAACTGGTTACCGACCCTCATCTACTTCTCCTGCAACGTCGGCTACTCTTCGCTACCAATCTATATACCGGCAATTCTCACAGGCATGGGCTTCACGTCTATCCATGCCCAAGGCCTTTCTGCGCCGCCATATCTGTTCGCCTGCTTGGTGGTACTGGCAATTGGCCATCTATCGGATCGATTTCAGCGTCGAGGCTACTTCCTTGCCGGATGCATCTCAACCGGTGGTATCGGATATATCATCCTCGTTAGCGTCAACATAGTTGCCGTCAAATACTTTGCACTGTTTCTGGTCGCTGGAGGATTGTACCCGTGCATTGGTCTGGTGCTTAGCTGGGTCGCGAACAATAATGGAAGCGACAGCAAGAGAGGCGCCGGTTTCATCCTCATGAACTTTGTGGGTCAATGCGGTCCCCTGGTTGGCACTCACATAGTAAGTTCATCCTGTCTTACACTGATGATGTTGGTAGCGAGTTCTGAGGCATGGACTGACTTCAAGAACAGTTCCCAAAATCCGAGGCTCCTCACTATCGCAAAGGGTTCATCATCTCGCTGAGCTTTTGCTTCTTTGCTGCCACACTGGCCCTGCTACAAGTTGCCTGGCTAGCCCATCTCAACAGGAAGCTCGATGCTCTCCACGGACCAGTTCGCCAGGATATCGACACGGAAGATGAGATCGGAGAGGAGACTGATGCCAGCACAAATTTCAGATACATGTGAGTATTATTCTTTCTCTCAGACCCGATGGCTATACTGACCTTATACTTAGTTTGTGATCTATATTGCAACAGAACAATGTACAGAAGATTTGGTAACAAGAACATTGGAAGTATCAATGGTGGGCTTCGTTGAGGATACTCGTGCGAGGTAGATCATGGGTGGAAGTCATCTTTGAACTATAGTTAGCTAGGTACCGAGTAGAAAATACTATGGTAGTATATGAGAGATTAAAAAGTACTAAACTTTCTACTTAGCCTAACGAAAGCTACATAATTGATAAGTCGTGCCTAACTTACTCTACTCGCACTTCTCCTAATACGCTCTGACAGACTAGTAGTGAAGAAAAAGCGTTGAACGGACACTCGGAACCGCACAGAGGACCAGATAGTCTACAGTTAGTTTTGCTAGAACCGTTTTACTGTAGTATTAGAGATATACTTTCGCTGTACCGAGCGAGAAAAGTTAGACCTCTAACGTTAAGTGAAGAGAAGAAGTATTCTCGTACCTAGTACTATAAATACGCGCAAAAAAACATCTTTATGTTCTTTAACCACCGGAACAATGTGAACATATTGCAAGCTTGAGCATAGAAGTCTGATCGAATTTGTCAGCAGCGTCTCTCGGATCTTATGTCAGGTCGGTCTTCGTGCCAGTACGGCGACCGCGATGAGCTTGGTGGCGTTGCTTTTGATACTGGAATCGTCAAGCTGGTTGGTGATAGTCATAGGAAAATCCCTAAAGCCGTCGGACTCATGACCAGAGATGACCCACTTGGTCATACTGATGTCGAGTTCCCATATGCTGCTTCTGTGATTTTGCACTCCCGAATTGGACTGAGATGGCGCCGATCGTACAGCAGTCAGCTTGGCGACGAATGGCGTGTTGCATAGGTCCAGATAGGCCAGCTCTCATTCTGCGACACCTCATTGCTGACAAATGGTTGGAGTTGTATCGAATCAGCCGCAGTGTAAGCCGTTGTAGAAAGAGATGAGCTTCTCGGACGATGGCATCATGGCGGGTTTTATGTATATGGTGTGCCGCATCAAACCAATCTGGATGAACAGCCTTGCAGAAGGAGGCAAACAGCTGGTGAACACTGAGGTACCTACAGGCTCATGGCGCACGCGTGCTCTTCATCCGTACAATCCATCCCACTCTTCTTCCTCATCCTCCGGTGCAGCATTCTTTTTGATCTCTTCCAGATGCTTTTGTTTCCGATCCCTCTCACGTTGAGCAAGGTCAGTCCTGTCCAGCGGACATGTACCGTTAAGCAAGAGCCAGGGTCGGATGCATTCCAGATCGAATATATGACTTGGATGACACGGCAGCCTCACCAAAAGAGGGTGCGGATCTTCCACAAATGCGTTCCCACAGATTGGGCAATCGGCATCTTTCTTCACCTTCTTGATGTCAACTCGGTCTAGTTCTGCGATGTACTCCTCGTCGACGCCTTTAACTTCACGAGGAGGATGTTCGGCCGAGCTCATCAGAGTTGCGATCATGTTTCCAAGCAGATCCGAATCCGCGTTATCATTGTCTCTTTGCATGAATTGGAAGGCTTCGGCCAGCGAGCGAAAAGCCGCCGAGACATCGCCCGGAACTGGAACAGCATGCTCTCGGGCTCGATCCTCGGGTCGATCAGGGGTGATCTCGTGGAGAAGGCTCATGAATGAGGACAGATCCGGCCTGCGAGGCTGGTTCTGATTGTGGCTGGGCTCATCAGCAGCATGCTCGGCTAGTAATGGTCAGCTAGAGACGATATAGGGGATTGTGCGGGCACTCACTTTCGTAGCTTGCCATTATGGCAGACGCAAAATCTGGCTGTCCTTTTGTGGTGTGAAGAGGGTTCGCAAGTAGGTGTGAAGAGGAGAAGATAGGAGGGACAGCCGGTCAAGTTGCAGAAGACCCAGGAATAAGTAGGACCGGTCAGTCCAGGCACAAGGTGATGGCGTGGCACGCAGATTGTAGGCTGTACAGTGGCAGACAAACGCCGTGGAAGCCTGTTGTCTCCTTGCAATCCCGAGTCTATTGTGTAAGTGACATGATGCCGAACGTCAATACCCTCTCACCATGCTTCAATGAGGTCGGAGAGTAGAAGAATCACAATGTAAGTGAAATGCAAGTAGAAGAGAAGACGGAGCGCAGCCAATAGACACACAGTATGAGCGGGAATGAGCCACAGCTTTCAGCCACGACTCACGGACCACAACTTCAATCATTGTCAACCTCGACCACCATCTTCACTCTTGCTCCTCAATAAGACCACGAAACAAAATATGAAAGTCCGACCTTGGACCGTTGAATACCAAAATAAAAGTAATGCTGCGTCCTCCAAATCCATGATCGCTGGAAAGGACTCTGTGCGCGCCCATGGAGGCCGATTGGGATGAAATCACACGCATCGCGGTGCCCTCGTCAGGCCTGCATGCAATTCCCACCCCAGCCAGCGCCATAGCATTCGACGATCTACAAGAGTTACTATGGGTCGGTAACGATCAAGGACGTGTCACCTCATTCTATGGCCCAGAGCTGCAACGATATGTCTCCGTCAAGGCTCACCTGGGCGAAGGGCCAGTCAAACAACTACTGCTCCACGAGAAGGGCATCGTATCCATCTCGGCGTCCAGTGTACACTTCGTCACCCGCAGAGGTCTAACTCAATGGCACCTTTCACATCGACTCATGACCGATCTACGATGTATGGCCTTCACAACTATCAACAATCTCATCATAGTCGCCGGATGCCAGTCCACTTTCTTCATCATAGACATCGACAAAGGCCAGATCGTGTCCGAGCATGCTGCACAGGCTAAATACACCATCATCAAGAAAAGTCGACATATTTGCGCCGCCACCGACGATGGCAATGTCCACATTATCAGCTTGAATGATTTTTCCGTGCTCAAGAAATGGAGAGCCCATTCAAGCGCCGTGAACGACATGGATGCACGCAACGACTTTCTGGTAACGTGTGGCTTTTCCGTGCGACAGCTAGGTGTACCTATCGTGGATCCCTTGGCCAATGTGCACGATCTGAAATCTCTCACTTCACTCCCACCAATACCCTTCCATGCAGGCGCGGCTTATGTACGCATGCACCCGAAACTACAAACGACAAGCTTTGTTGCCTCGCAAACAGGGCAAATGCAGGTCGTGGATCTGATGAATCCAGTTAATGTTATGCTGAAACAAGCAAACGTCCAATTCATGCTGGGCATGGAAATCGCTTCCTCTGGCGATGCTTTGGCCATTACAGACACAAACGGCCTGATATACCTTTGGGGTTCACCATCGAAAGTGCGATTCAACAACCTTAGCAAAGAGACAGAATTTGCAGATCCACCTCCACAACAGATCCCTCATGTGGACTGGAATGATACGCCTCTAAATACTATAGGTATGCCGTACTATTCAGAACCACTACTGTCGGCATGGCCTAGTCATGTGGTCTTTGAGGTTGGGTCGCCGCCGGTCCCTGTAGAACCTTCCTTACTCTTTCATATGCAAACGGCGGAGATGGGACAATATGCTCCTAACCTCAATCCTCGAAAACTTCTCCGTTACCAGGTGGAAGATACCAGAGCAGGTCATGCACCGGCTTCGATCGCTGTACCCAAATTTCTGAGTGAAAAGGCCAAGGGAACGCCAGCCACTATGGATGGGCAAAAGCTTTCTGACGCCGTGGAGTCTTTGGCCGGAGTGTCTTTGAACGGCCGAAACCAGACTGACGAGGAACGAATGCTCAAGTACAGCAATGTGGAAATCAAGTATTCCAGGTTCGGAGTTGACGACTTTGATTTTCGGTACTACAACAAAACTCCTCATTCCGGATTAGAGACTCACATCGCAAACTCCTTCATCAACTCCCTGCTACAACTCTACAGATTCATCCCGTTGGTCCGCAACGTCGCCGTACAGCATGCGGCCACCTCATGCGTTGCAGGCAATTGTCTCCTCTGCGAATTCGGATTCTTCTTTGACATGTTGGAAAAAGCCCAAGGTCAAAACTGCCAGGCCACAAATCTTCTGCGGGCATTTGGAGCATCTAGGGAAGCTGCCAACCTCAGCCTGTTTGAGCATTTGTCCATGGCCAATGGAACCCCTTTATCCACCACTATACAAGCGGTCAATCGCTTCTTCCTGAAGCAGATAGCACACGAATACAACACCATTGCTGGGAGCAGCGATGGCATTGATGAAATCCTCGCATGTAATGCGTTCGAGTCGATTCGATGCATGTACTGCAACAATGAAACCACCAAACCTGCCAGTACTTACGTGCATGACCTGGTTTACCCGCAGGTTGATCCTAAACACTCGATGAGATATTTGAAATTCTCATCAATTCTGAAGACCACCATTGAACGAGAAGCCAAGAATCGAGGTTGGTGCAGTCGATGTCGAAGATATCAACAACTTGCTATCCGGAAAACCATCCGGCAATTACCCTTTGTGCTCATGATCAACGCGGCACTTGGTGGCAACGCTACGATGCGAGCCCTTTGGGAAACACCAGGGTGGTTACCATCAGAAGTCGGGATCATCGTGCAGGATAGGAACGTCTACTGCTTCGAAGGGTCTGATCTTGCTTTGCACCTCCGAAACAAGTCTCCGAATCTGGTGGTTTATGAGCTTGTGGGCTTCGTGGCCGAGATCGACGCTAGCGAACGACATCAACCTCACCTCGTCAGCATGGTCAATGTTGAGGTGTCCGGCGCTGGATCTGAGGCAATGCATAACAACAAGGTATTCCCCAATTGGCACCTGTTCAACGATTTCCTTGTCACTCCAATCGACCCTAGAGAGGCCTTGCATTTCAGCGAAAAATGGAAAACGCCTAGTGTGATCGCTTACCAGATCAAGACCGCACATGGGAAGCTTGATGAGACCTGGAAACAAAACCTGGACACTACGCTCCTTTATCACCATTACAGTATCAATGGACTTTATCCGGTTGACGAGTGTAAGATGTTGAGGCCCGATGAGCACCCACGAAAGGATACTCCTATTGCTCTGGACACTGAATTTGTGGAATTGGAAAAAGCCGAAATCGATGTCAAGGCCGATGGTACGCAAGAGACCATCCGACCCGCCAAGTCCGGACTTGCGCGAGTCAGCGTAATACGTGGTCAAGGTGACGAGGAAGGAGTACCCTTCATCGACGACTATATCACGATATACGAACCAATTGTGGATTACAAGACACAGTATTCCGGCATCAAACCTGGCGATCTTGACCCGCAGCAGTCCCAACATAATCTTGTTCCGCTGAAGGTGGCATACAAGAAATTGTGGATTCTGCTTAACTTAGGGTGCATTTTCGTTGGACATGGATTGGCATCGGATTTCCGCAAAGCAAACATTCATGTGCCCAAGTCACAGACTGTCGACACACAGTTTCTGTACTTGGCACCGGGCAGGAACCGAAGATTCTCCTTGCGGTATCTGGCTTGGGCTGTGTTTAAGGAGTACATCCAAGAAGAGATGTCCGAGGATGCGGCTGGCGATGGACATGACAGTATTGAAGATGCGCGTATGGCGCTGAGACTGTGGCGTAAGTACCAGGAATACGACGACGCAGGAATTGTCGACCAAATGATTGAAGACATCTATCGAAAAGGCACAAAGTATGGATGGAAACCTCCTCCGAGAAGTATTGGAGGGATTTTGTTGCCCGAAGGCATGGGCACAGGAACAGCTAACAGCGCTGTGCCGAGCGGAAGAAATACACCTGACTTGATGCCGTCGCTTTTGCCGACGTCACCACCAGGGTCGAAGAGCGGTGGCAGTAGCGGAGCATTCAAATTGAATGCGTCAGGGACAGGAAGCTTTGTGCCAGGAAATGGGACCTTGAGAGAGAGTCCGCTGCGGTGAGCTGGAGGCTGAAGGGAGAGATAGACGAGCAGAATCGAACTCTGAGGTTTGTTTTGCTGTAGTGGTTTGCAGATGAATAAATTACTTTGCAGATTACCATTGTCTCTCATGACACTTGCACTTAGGTGTTGTTCCCTCATGACCACGTCGCCATCAAATCAGCCTCGTCTACTGTTACCTAAGCCGTACACTTCTTATGGTTTAGCTCGGTATTAAACCCTGTTGTGCCTGGGGAACCAGCGGTGAGAGTCCCATATGAGTGGCCGGCTGTTGACTTTCGGGCGTCGGAATACCCCTGTGGGATCGTCTCCATGAGGGTCTCCATGAGGCGCATTAGGGCCCTTGGCTCCCGGAAGATCTATTTTCGGATGCTCAGACCCTCTTCAAACGCCTCATCAGCCTCTCCTTTACGAGGCTACCAAGACCTGTAAAATGGTTTCCTCAAGAGCACTCATGCTCTACATTCTCTGATTTTTGCCTTTCTCTCTTCTTCACTGTCACTCAATGAATTGCCAACAACTTCATTGAGCCATCCGTCGTCATCGTAGCCGTTGCGGCGTTGCTACAAGAACCGTCTCAGCAATACCCAACCACTCTCCTTTTTTCCATTGCGAAACACGACGTACGACTCCACCTACTTACGACGCTCCAACGTGTCTGAGCTTCTTGGTTGCGCAGCAGTTGAACAGCCACACTGCCAACCCCTTACGGAGTACACTGCGACGAGAAAAGATATACTTGCCCGTTGGCGTTGACTGTCTTTCGTTTTTGGCTTCTTTTCATCATGCCCCCCAATTCCAAAATGAGAAGCCGACCACAAGTCTACCCACGGCTAGCCTTCCACGTCGTTCGGGCAATTGCATTCATCAGTGCCTCCATCGTCACGGCCATCCTAGTCTACTTCTGCATCCAACTTAAGCATGACGGCTATAAACTCCCATGGACATTCATCATTGTACGTTCCGTTCCCACCAGCGATCGCCCGCAAGACCAAAAACGCGCCAGCTAACAGTGTAACTTTCAGGTCCTCGCCTCAACCCTCCTATCCCTCATCACCCTCCTCATCTCCAGCATGATCTACGCCTGCGCCTTCCTCAACCCCCTAGTGAACATGCTAGTCAACATTCCCATCGCACTGATCTGGACCGCCGGCCTCGCCCTCCTCACATACAACATGTACGGCACGCTAGGCCACACCTGCTCAGCCACCAACTGGGCCTCGTCCGACGGCATGATGATCTGCCGCACATACAAGGCTCTCTACTCGTTCGCCGTGTTCGGCTGGCTCGCCCAGATCGCACTGGTCGTGCTCGACGTGCGCAGTCGTCGCGCTCAAACCGCGCTCGGCAAGTACAACAAGATGGATCTGGACGCCAACGCCTCTGCGAAGGACGTCAAGTTGGACAACCTCAATTGTACGAGCACGAGCACACTCTCGCATTCGCACTCGCACTCGAATTCGCAGGACATACCGTATGGAGTCCCCGAGTACCGTGAGAACGGGTATTCGAGACCTGCGCCGCAGCAACAACAGCAGCAGCAACATCAACATCAACAGTGGACAAGTGACCGTCTAAGGATGGCAGATTATAACGACACCCACGGCAGATTCAACCAGCAGACCGGGTATGCGAATAACGGGTACGGTTATGAACCACAGCGGTGAGCATTGCTCGATAAGCAGCACATGCTGCGCCACAGCATGGTCATGATTGGTTTTCATTTTAACGACTTTTTTACGACAAGAAGCGAGGGCGTGCACTGGTCATATCTCACCGATGATACCACATCTATACAGCGAAGGGAAAAAGACGGAGTTTGGAGACTTTATGGCAAGCGACGTGCATTTGGGACAAAAGGACATATTTATGACTTCGACACCTGGGCTAGCTTACGGATCTGGCAGGACATCATGTACACCACCATCATGATGCGCATAATCTGCCTAGATACAGGCTATGTATGTACAGCTTACCCGAGAAGTGAGCAAATAGGTAGCATAAAACCCACGAATTGAAACAAAACTCAAATTCTAGTGAGTGAGAATGATACCTAGGTACATTCAAGAAATGCCGCTTCAATACATCATATGATATGGATAGGGACTCATCCTTGAACCACATCCATTATACAAACGCCAGTCCAGTCTTGTGGGACGCCAACGTGCTTGCGTGCCTCAAAATCATGAGCCCGCTTCCCCGTATAGTTCATTTATAATAAGCCCAGCATGTTGCGCCGGAATCCCGCTCACAGCACTCCAAGTATGCTAAAAGCGACAGTCGTCATATCTCGTCCACGCCCCATTGGAAGTACAGATCATTCCCTAACCACCACCACTGATACCAGCACCGGCACCAGCACCAGAACCAGAACCGGCTTGATCAGGCTTCCCACTTCCAGCAGTGTGAAAGTCGCTCTTTTCCATGGCAAAGGGCAGGAACTCGTCCTCGTCTTGAAACCGGTTTTCAGGTCGACTTACGCTTCGTCGGCCACCTCTTCCCCATGACCCGCTGGTACTACTGTCCACTTGCTCCACGCTGGCTCCAGTCCCGCCGAAGCTCGAGCTAGATCCCTGCGTAGGAGTAACGCCTCTACCAAGACCTCCTCTGGTCGGTTTGTTGCGATAGACATTGGGTGAAGTGCGGTCTGAAGTGGATTCGGAGCCTCCACCGTCTGTGGTCATTGTCGCCAGGCCAGAATGGCGATGCACTTGAGAGCCGGCACGGATAGGATCGTTCGCTCTGGGCGAGTTCGTCCCCTGCCTAGTCTGAGCACTCGTGGGCTCATCGACATCATCTTGCCTCGCTGCCTCACGTCGGTGACCTCTGCGATCGGCCCCCATACTATGGCTTCGCATGCCGTACAAATCACCAATGTCCTCGTCTGAACTCAGAGGTCTCCGCTGAGCTGAACTAGATCGTTGATAGCCCGGTAAGAAGAGTCTGGGAGAGTTAGGGATATCTATTGCCGGAACGTTAGCCGTCGACTGAGCTTGCGCGGTCTCCTCCGTGGGCGCCTCTGATGGAGATCGAGGTGCTTGGCCACTGAGATGGTGAGCTTGTTCGGTATCATCATGACTGTAGGCAGCGCTCAGTCGAGATGGAGCGAACGGGGTATGTGGTGTATGAGGTGAAATAGGTTTCCCAGGAGATGACGAAGTCGACATGGACGTTCCAGCGACCATGGGAGGAACGCCCGACAATTGCCGACTAGAAGAGGCCGACGATCGCTGTAACATTAGTGACGATGACATGGAGTCAGACAAGGCAGCATTCGAGTCTCGCATTCGGTGAAAACGATGTAATGCTGCTGCGGTTCTCTTGGTGTTGGCTTCAGCAGCAGCCGAAGATGCAGGTAATAAAAGGTCTTTTTGTACTTCCAACATCTTGAGGAAACCCGAGATATTCTCCCCATCATCTTCTGCGACCGAGCCCGAACTTCCACCACCAATTGCTGCCTCTGTCATCAGCCCAGAACCTGGCTGGACTGAAGAAGTAGCACTTGCCCTGCCGCTGCTGGTCTGATCATCATCTGTCTTGGTAGTGGTGCCTCCTGATGACAGTCGAGCTCGTCTATGACTGAAACTGCTGCTGTACCTGGTCGGAGCAGGCTTGGGCAAGCTCGATGCGGTTGAAGCAACAGCAATGTCGGATGTGAGTGATCCGGTCCTTCGCGATGCCATATAAGTGGCAGACGGAGGTGCAATTCCTTCTTCGGTAAGCGATCCAAGCGTAGGCGCTCGTGCGGTATGTGTTCGTGGAGAGGCTGCTAAAGGAGAAGAACCGAGAGGAGAGGCTGATAATGTAGGGGTCTTGAACGGCTGCACAGAGAAAGAGCTTCGTCGGTTAGCTGCGACAGCGCGGAGGGAGTTGCGGGTGGGTTGAGATGCTGTAGGGGGATGCATCGAGGATCTGGTCTGTTCCGGTGTCGGCGGAGAGCTGGCATTGAAGTCTTGAGCATTGCGAAGAGCTGAAATTGGACTCGTCCCCGTACCAACTCCTGCCTGGTGAAACGTTGACAAGCTGCCGTATGCAAGCCCCAACTCTGGTCTTTCGAGCAAATTCTGTCGCCGGTCATTGGGAAGAGACCCGATCTCCGCTCGAGAGCCTTTGTCAGTCGGCAAGGAAGGCCGGAATAGCTCGTCATCAGCGCCTAGAAATCTCGAGCTTAACAGCTCCTCGGAGTCATCTATTCGGAAATCGCAGTTTTGTCGATATTCAACTTTGACCGAAAATGGTCCCGCGGGTGAGTCCGTCAGGCCGAAATCGTAGGTGGACAGGACATCCGCGTGACTATCAAACAGCCTGAGGCTGAGATTGTCTGACCGAGATATACCACTCAATCGCGTTCCGTCAACCAAACGATAACCCAGCCTCATTGCCATGTGAGAGCGACCTTTGCCCACTTTTCTCGACAACTTCCAAGCCGGTAGGAAATTGCTGTACGTATAGAGAGCCCTGAAGGATACGATACTCTTCTTGTAGACCAGCGGCAGAAGGGTGGCCAGATCCGAGGGAATTGGAGTCCTAGCATCACCAAGCTCTATCGTCCACCTTTCCAGTAGGACCTCATTAGAATCCGAAGTCCGTCGTTGACCGGTACGAGAAGTACTGTAAGCCGAAGACAAAGTATTCAAGACATCCCATCTCTTGCCGTCGTCATCGATGATGACCAGTCTTTGACCTTGCTGTAGAGGTTCGGTCGTGAGGAAGATCTCGATCATCAGTGGAGGAGGACGATTGTATTCGACATCGCACGTTTTCCACCTCTTTATATCATGCTTGTACTCGTCCGTCTCATCTATGTCCAGGTTGAACCACCGATTCACCCTCTTCGTGTCTGTCTTTTGAGAGTACGCTGGTGCCAACTCGATTCTCGACTGCAATATGATCAAGGCTGCCTTGGAGTGGTAGTTCTGGATGACCTGATTTAGCCTCTGCATCTGGCCAGCGGTATTGTCCGCCGGTTGATCTTGACGAGCAGCAGCGAAGTCTTCCGAGGAACCGGAGCCCTGGGTAAAGGGCGAGTCTGTCCTTGAAGCATGGGAGTCCCGATCTCTAGGGTTATTCGTGCGGGTAGGGTTTGTCTGTTCGGAGTTTGCGGGAGACGCAGTGACTGGTGGTGGACGAGGATGTTGATGCATATTGATGGGTGGGATGGAGCATGAAATGTCTAGGTCGTCGATGTCCTGGCTTAGCGTTCCGACGGTGAGTCTAGCCTGGCAAGTATCCGGTAGCCATCCATGCTCTTTCACTAATATCCCAACAAGAGTGCAATGGTAGTATCAATGGCCGTTGATTGGGGCGGTCAACACCGGTTCATTTCATGGAACTTTTGAACGTTATTGTGGTAACTTTCGGGGGGGGCAGCGGAGCAGATGCAGGCTAGATGGAGGGAGGAGTCATTGTTGCGGCGCAGTAGGAGGAAGATGAGAAAGGTGTTGGGAGGTGTGAGGTTGTTGATGGTCTCGAGTCGCAGGCATATGACGGAAGCTGCATGTGATTGGCGGTGTTGGAGTCAATGCCAGGTCAGTTCGGAGGTCGGATAGGTACAGATGTAAAGGTGGAGAGTGGTGGTCAGGCGAGTGGAATATTACTTTGCAGTCGTCGGGTGAACCGGTGAAGAGCCTCGCCAGGCAGCGATGGAGTAGACTTAGTCTGATGGAGAAAGATAAGTAAAGGCAGTAGTGGAAGAGTTATTCAACAATGGGATGATGCAGGCGTGCAATGATATGATATCGAAATGTCGGATACAAAGCAGCAACACCAGGGACGATCTCTCTTCGCCGTGGCTTCTTCCGAAACTCCACCGAAGGGTGCGGGTGCAGTGCAGTGTGCAAAGGTGCAGTACTCCGTTATGGTCAACGGTGTGGCCGGTGAGGTTGAGGAGTGTTTGTTGGTCATTTCAAGTGATATGATATGATATGCTTCCTCACATGCAGCATGCCTGGTCCTTAGTTTCATTGCTTGTCACTCGTTCTCTGGCTGGTCTCTGATGTCCTGCATGGACTATGCATCATGGGCGCAGGCACCAAAAGGTGCGAGGAGAATGTGGTGGATCGAGAAACCTCCATTTGCCTTTCAATTGGTTGCCTCAATCACCTTCCCTTGTCGGCTACGGTACTGTGTATACTCTTTTCTTCTAGGCACTCTGGGGGAGCGCATATAGTACTTTTCATACGGCCAATATCTCAATGCCAGCAATGTTAAGGTACCTAGGTATGCAGTTGATGGTTTTATTTTCCCTCCATTGCACTTACAGCCAACAACCGGCATCTTCGCCGTTCGGTTCCAGCCCTCCCTCTCGTAAACAACATTAAAGGACTCTTGGTTATGTGCTTCCTCTCTGAATTGTCCTCTCTGCCTTGCGCATACGAGACAACCCCACCCGGCTGCTGAACCAAGGCTCCCTTCCGTTGCCCGCCCGTCTAGCCGCTCCCGCTAAGTGATTTCCCTCGCTTCTGTGGTTGTGACTTTCATCGAACAAGAAAAGAAAACTTTGGCGTGCGAGCTTGTTCCTGGTAGTGACGGTACAATGTTATGCTGACAATCAGGCACCTGTGCCAGTCCACCGGGCAGAAGTCTGTGGAAGTAGTATTTTCAGGTGCAGAGCACCTTCGTGCAAAGAGTACGAAGGATTATCGTGAGCCTGCCTGGCTGCCTGGCTGCAAGGACATCCACAGGTCGACAGGTCGCCCCTTAGGATGAAAGATGCTAATTTATCAATCCTTCAGGACACTTTTCAACATCGTGAGAAAAGAGTCTTCGTTACGTTATGTAGCGTCAATCATATGTGCAATCCCATGAATCAAAATCTGTACTGTTCTATCATTACTGCCGTACTCCACGTTGCTGCTGTGCATTACCCCGACCACGCCCTCGACCGCTGCCTCGTTGAGAGTCATGCCCACCACGACCAGAATCTTCCCGGTGCTTCGGGTTCGCCGTGGAAGGCTCTCGGCCAGCCACATCCGTTGCCGATGTTGCTTTGCCCCTACCACTGCCACGACGGTGTCCGCCACGTCCACGGCCCCCTTTGCCACCTCGGGCTGCAGTAGTACTGGCTTGTGCCTCTTCCTCTTGTATCCGCCGGCTCTCACTGTCCCACCACTCTTGGAACTCCTGTTCCTGCTGGATCTCTTGCAGTGACCTCTTCGCGACTGCCTCCTTGACTGCCCTTTTCTCGGTCTGCTGCTGCGCTAATATCTCGGCCATCGATGTACGTGCGTCGATAGCTGAAGCTGTCCTAGAAGGAATGGGACTGTGGCGTATTGATTGGATTTGTGGCGCCGCTGGTTTGAGGGCAGGTGCAAGCCCGGATGGTGGTCCACGACTAGCGTCTTTGGTAGGGGTCTGCCCACTTGGGGAACCTCCTGCGACTGTCTGACGCATGGTCATGCTCTGCTTCCCAGGCAGTGGCTTATCGGCTTGTGGAGTTGACCCTTGCATGGGCGAGACCGGTGAAGCAGCGGGCTTGATGGGTTTGGCCACGTTCTGCCAAGGAGAAGAGGCTCCTCTTGCGACCGAGTCCTTGGGCACACTTGAAGACTGTACAGTCTTCGCCTCTTGCTCCTTCACGAGCAGCTGCTGCTGACGTTTCCGCTCCTTTTGCGACATCTTGTTGCTGCCTTGCAACGGAATTGAGGCCGTGCGCATGGCTTGCGTCAAATTGGACACGCGCGACGCCGATGCTTGCTCCATGATGTCTTTGAGATCACTCTTTCGACGAGTCTCAGTAGGAATCTGCCATGCTGCCCCGGACGTCTCGAAGCCTGTCACAGGCACTGTCGGACTGTGCGCCAAAAGTACGTTGTCCGATTGTGACCTGTACGAATTGACGAATCCGGCGCGAGGTGTTCTGGGACTCTCAATAGATCCAGAAAGAGCAGCGTTGGGCATGTTCAGTGGCACAGGCTTCTCTCGGAGGGGTGGTGATCTGCCCGATGGACGTCTGACTTCACTGGCCGGTCCTGGAAGAGCATCGTCGTCCATTTCGAATGGCAAATCATCGCCAGCGTCATTTGGCACAATTGCTGGGCTGGCGCTTGGAGTACTGGCAGGCGAGTCACCTACCGGTGTTGGTAATTGTCCTCTGATGGTCGGTGAAGACGCATGTCGTTCCAAGCTGCCTACACGAAGTTTGGCGGCCGCGGAAGCGTGACGTTCTTCGTCCTCGACAAGCCTCGACCTCAGCCTCATAGAGTCGATCCTTCGCTGCCTGCAGATCTCCATCCTCCTGAGCAGATCGGGGTGGTTTCCAACCAGTTCGATCTCTGCTACTTCACTGCGAGCGAACGGCAAAAACGCCAGCTGGTTGGCTTCGACAACCTCATCAAGCTGAGAAAAGAGGTCTTCGTCCAGCTCATCCAGCAACTTCATTTCTAACGTACTTTCCAAATTCAGACAAATGTACTCCAAAGCCGCTTGTTTAAAGTCGTCCACGGAGCACTCGGCAACAGTGTTCAGTAAAGAGCAGACGTTCCTCACATTGACGAATCTTCCTAGAATTTGTTGACAAATCTGCTCGAGCCGATCCAGCATGAGTTCATTGGCAACAGACATTAATTCAATGACGGTATCGATGAACTCGTCAAAGCTCTTTGTGACTACGTCGTCAAACAGCTCATCTCCAGTGTCGGCATAGAGATGTCGTAGAAGCATGCTGAAGATACGCTCGTCAATATGTTTGAGGTCCACTCTGACAAGCTCGGACTCCTCAGCTGCTGCCGTGCGCCGCGAACGCATCCACATTCCTCCAGCTCGTCCATTAAACAAGCCGTCAAAGAATGGACAACGCTTGCACAGCAGAACACTGTGAGCAGGAAGCTCGGCTCCATTGGCAAGTTCAATAAGTACATCAGCATCGGTGAAGAACTCGGGGTCGAGAAAGGCAAGCTCCATGTCGTTTGCGAGATGCCAAGCAGGATCAACCATGACTCTCGCTGCTCGTTCCAATTCTCGCAATTCCAGGTGTGTAGCAATTTTCATGAGTTCAATTCGAATAGCGCGATAGCGTGCGGCAAATTGCAATGCCTTGGACGTGTAGTGCCAGACATCAGCCAGGTTCTCCGTATACAGATATAACACCAGGTTGACGATGGTCAAGAAATCGGCGCCATTAAACATTATTTGAATCTGCCCATCGGCTCCATATTCGATCGACAGAACATCGGGAATGGAATAGTAGTATGACTCCTGAAACTCTGTCAAAGCAGTCCGCATGACCTTGCTCCTTGCCTTGAGCACAAAAGCGTGAATGGGAATGCGGATGTCGGTGACATTGGAGGTAATCCAAAGATCGTACTGGCTGTCCGATAGTGGTTCGTGGCGTTTGCAGATGTCCATGATGTCTTGCTCTGCCGAAGCTTTGGTGATGATCGCGCGACAAATACTGGCCGAGTTGACCCCTAGCTCGGGGTCGTCGCTTGACTTCCCATACTCGATAAAAGGAAGCAAGAGCCCGACATCGTTCCACAAAGATTGCGCTTCCGGAACTATTTGATCGCGAGTGACGGAGCAGTCTTTTCGTACGGCTGTAAACGATCCAAAAGCGTTGCTTCGAACGGCTATTGCTCGAGTCAGGTTAGGAACGCGGACGAATTTGTAGTCTTTGACCCGCGCCATGCCTGCCTGCTTGTCGCGCACGGTTTTGATATTTGCGCGCTTCTCTTTTCGCCAGACGGATCCGGATGCGGTGCACAGCACGATCGAGCCATCTTGCCCGACGGCCACGTCAATAGCAGACATGTGAGCTTTCCGGATCGACCAGAGACGGACCGGCAGTGGTAGAGCATTACGGGCCTTAGTCGGATTGGTCGTAGACATGTGCGAAGGGACGTTCTCCGACACTTTTGGAACCTCGACGGTATAGACTTCCCCAAATGAAGACATGGCACAGATCGTGCTGCCACCACTTGTGATCTGTTTGACATAGTTGGACTCCATGTTATACCTCGTCGAGAGACTGTCCGATATGTAGTAATTGGTGAACGTTTCCATCGGAAAGAGTATCTTGGTCCAGCCATAATGTGTGAAGACAATGACATCGTGGTTCTCGAGTAATACAGTGGTAGCGCGGTCAATCGCGCTGACCGACAGAATCGAAGATTGCAAGACCGACACTCCGACGCGGCGAGGAAGCTCTTGTATTCCCAATGACCGGGCGTCTGCATCCATCAAACCCAGTTGGCCTTCATTCTTACCAAAGGTATAGAGTGCCGACGAAGTGTACAATGCTGAATGGATTGCGGAAGCCGCTGCACCGACAACGACCTCTTTCTTGATATATCCATAGAGTTGGCGTGGCGTCAATTGCATAGGCACCTCATTTTTGGGCACCTCCGGCAGAGAATAACCCAGTTGACCATACCGATTACTTCCCCAAGTATAGACTTCGCCTTGCGAGCATACCGCCACGGTATGATCCTGCCCAAGGGCTATAGCGGAAATGTGTCTCTTCGCAAGTCCACCACTTTGAATGCACCGATAAGTGAAAGAAGTGTTTTCATCACCAGTACCAAGACGGCCACCTTGTCCAAATCCAGATATGTACAGGTTCGAAATCGGGTCGTCCGTTAGCACAGCAGTATGAAACTTCGACATGACCACGTTTTGGATGGTGATTGGTTTGTACCGAATGATATCAGGCAGGAAGTCCTGCGCTCGAAGATCCTCAATGCTGCTTGCCAAGTCTGCATGCTGGGCGCTTTGCCTGGCCTCGAGATGATCAGCAAGCAGACGCTGGAGCAGGTGATCTGGTCTTGTAAATTGAAGGCGTTCTGGATAATGTCGATCGTCACCGTCCCCAACACCCAGGGACATATTCTTGTTGCTACCAAACGCGTATACCTCATCCCCTACAAGATCGACGAGGGGCTGGACATGGCGTTTTGACCGCTCGGCATCATAGTTTTCATGATAGTCCATGCCGTTGATGCTTTCGTCGTCTTGCAAGCCAGATGGGAGTGTGGAAGAATCATCCTGCAAAGATCGCGGGGCAATCGTGAGGCCAAATACTTCAAACGGACTGTTGCCTTCATGGTCTTTGATCTTGACGAGGCCGCCGGCGTGGGTATGCTGGGTGTTTGTTGTGTAATCCGTGGCATCTTGGATGTCTCGGACCATCAGAGCATGTGCGATTGAAATGTTGCCAAAGTACAGCGCACGATGCAAAGCTGTCCAGCCGCTCTCGAGATCCTGGGCGTATAGGTCAATGAAAGGCATTCCCAACAAGGCCTTGACAAATGCCAGGGCGTCTTCCGATCTTGATGATGCAGCATGATGCAATAATGTCCTCCCGAAGCTGTCTCTTGCATTCAGTTCAGCGCGCGTCAAGACAAGACCTCCAGGCTTGCCATGGCTTGCGCTCGTTGGAGTGTACCCCGAACTCTTCCTTGTTTTCAATGGAGTCTTGGGAGACGCGGATAGACTCCCTGGGCTACCAATCTTGAAAGAAGCATTTCCTGCCTGGCCTACGGCGGCCACCTTGGAAGGTCCGGAGGTGAAGGTGGCGTTCGCCAGGCACTGTCGAAAGCTATCGACATCGTCCTCGAGGAGATAACGCCAGAGACTGTGGCTCATGTGGTATGTAGAGGTGCAGTTGTCTCCGGTGACCGCTCTGGACGCCTCGCTGTGATCTCTGAAGGATCACGGCGTGTTTAAAGGCGTGTTCAGCGGACGGAGACGGAGAGGATTCGGGTGATGATGGTGATGCGTGAGTCAAACGAATGACATCTTCGATTCAGTTGGTTCGTCCGCGCAAGAAGCTCTTAAGTGTTCCAGAGGCTTGAATAGACGTATATGTTGCGGCGACTGTTGTCCGAGGACGCAAAGATATATGATATGGAGGGGCACTGGTGATGTGGTGGTTCTTGGTAGCGATCTGTGCGCGGCACAGTGCGATAACCGGACATGTTGGAAGGACGCCTCTCCAGCCAATCAGACAGGCCCGTGCCGCTTCGAACCGCGAATGAAGGAAAGGCCATTGTTGTCTGGGGTTAAGCTTTGACACCTCACAAGATCTCGACACGCGTGCCGGTGGAAATTAAGAGAAATCAAGTATATCAGAGAGTGCCAGAGACCATCAGGTGTAACAACACGAGAAGTGGTAGTAGCTTGAACAGGACAAGCAATGCTCCATACTAAATACTAGATAGCACGCGCCGCGAAAGGGCGGCGTACACGTAGACCTCCCTAACCTTCCGCACACCATCTTCGTGGAGTACGATTTGTTTATGCCATTCAACTTTTGAAGTCTCCGTCGACTGCCGGACGCGAGTATTGAGCACCTCATCTTCACATGGCCATATGAATACCAGCAACCAACCCCATGCCCAGCAGAGCGGCCGTTGGTGCTGCTCCACTTACTGCTCCTCCTGAGGATGTTGCGGTTTTGGTTATCGTGGAAGGGCTGTAGCTGGTCACTTGCGATACGCCCAGGTTGAACGTCGGTGTTCCTGCCAAAATCATCGTGGTGCCTGACAGGCTCACGGTTGGAACAGCCGGCGACGACGTCGCCGCAGCTCCTCCCAATTGCGTCCCCGTAGCCGAAGCGGTAAACGTGGCTCCTGGGAGGGTCGTGCCAGATGAGATGACCTCGATGCTGCTCGTAGAGGTCTGATTCTCCGCTGCTTGAGCCAGAGCAGCAACATTGTTGTCCATGTCATAAACAGCATACGCACTTCTGAGGAATGTGTCTCCCAGGATTGCAATGCCGTCAATCGGAGGCCCAAACCCCAGGGCGCAGCCACCGGAGGCATCGTCGAAGTTTTCCGACGAGAAGGCTTTTCCCCCAATGACCTGTGATACAGGGACACTAACGGTGGGTCCGCCATCGCCGCCAAAGGCATAGTTGACAGTCCCATTGACATTGGTGAAGTCACAAGGGACCAGGAAGTCGCCCTGTCCATCGTTAACTGCTCCAAATCCATTAGCAATCGCTGCAAATGTGTCGTCGTCAAGGTAAGTTTGGCTCGTGCCGGAGTCGAGCAGGACGGCTTGAGCGTAGCCGTCTGGTGACAATTGTGTTGTTTTGCCGGTATGATCAGTATAAGAGACACCAGTAAGGGTCACATAGAATTCTGAAACATTGCCTGTTTGTCCAGCCTAGCCCAATTAGCATCTTTGCCGATGGGAAACCGACATGGCTTTGAGCTTACCTGCAGAGGTAGAGCAACAAGGTCACCCGTGTATTTGGTCGTGTCAACTCCACCAAAGATGATGGCGCCCTGGGTGGACCGGAGGTCATTCAAGTACAGGCTGTAAGCTTTTCGAGCGATGATGTTGTCCGATACCATGTTGTCCATGACAGACTGGTAAACGCCGTTTGGCTCGTCGTTTGCTGCTTCATTCGTATCATAACCCACGCCCATGACACCATGCTGATCCACAAGCGAGGATGCTACTCCGATCTGCTGTTGCTTGATTTGGGCGGATCCTCCTACGGTGATGGTGTCTGTAGCCCAATCACCAGCATCACTGTCTCCGACTGCTGCATAAGTCTGTACAAGATCCGTGTTAGCGACTGACTCTCCTACATTTCGGATGGCAAATAAAATTATGATTTTGTCTTACGATGTTGAAGCCACCCTGTTCGACGACAGTATAGGTGCTCGACTTGGACGAATCGAAGCTGCCTTCGTCGCATTTGCCTTTCTTGCAGAGACTGCTCGAGGATGCGGGGACCCAAAGATCGGAGGAACCGGTATCAAGGGTGACGGCCAGGTTTTGCGGAGGGGTTCCTACGGTGATGTTAATTAGGTACTCGAGTTTGTTTGTGTTTTGATTGAGGGTGGCATCGACATCGTCAGATCTTCTGATCAGCCTTTCGCTGGAAGAACTCCTGTGAACATCAAGTCTGAGATAACCTGGTGAAGCGAGACAAGAAGACACAAATGCTGCCACCACAACTCCGAAGGAAAAGTGCATAGTGTAGATTGAATGTGTCAGGTGACTATCACCGGACAGCGACCGGTTGACACAACTGAAAGTGTAAGGGTAGATCACCAAAGAAACGAGAAGGATCGATGAAGAGAGTGTTAAGTAGTGAGAGAGAGAGGGGTCAAAGTGCTGTTCGCGTTTCGACTGCCTTTTCCCAAAAGCCAGCCACGAGTCGTGTAGAACGGGAACCAAAAAGCATGGATTCCTGTATGAGGAAGGAGTAAGGCGTCTAATAAAAAGCATCATAACAAGGGGACCCTTTTGAAGATATGCCTGGGTGAAGGGGCGAGGGCAGTTTAGGTGCTCACCGGTGGTTACAGTGGCTAATCAGCCCGCCCGAGCGGAACATGGCCCGTTGGGTCTGGTCATCCGCATGAAGCCATGATTAAATTTAGTCGTGACGCACTCCGTAAGCTGGAAGACAATAAGTAAGTTCCAAGGTTCACAAATCTGCTGCAGGTCGCCGTCTACCAGTAAATAGCATTGTCACATTGCACGGCATGTCCGAACAAGAAACTGGAACTCGGCTAGCAACAGCGACGCACAGACCACACAAGGCTGCGACAAGCCATCATCTGTCTACACGTAGTACTTATCGTTGGTCTCCACGGCGATCAATTCAGAACGCGCGAATAACAATCAGTGAACTACGGACTACGGACCTACTTACTTTGCTAGGTCCCTGTCACGCTAAACTTCGCAGATCTGGGGTATAGTCATTCCGCGCATATAAGACTGGCAAACTCCATATGCGGTCCCTCCAGTTTCTTCTTACATGTACTTTTGATAAAATCCGAACCCATGCTAACCTCCAAATCATCCTCGATACCAGCCAATCTGAATCAAGCTGTCCATTCTGTATGGTGCACACAACATCCATCTTTCATTCCACATTTACTTCGCGTCGATACTTGACCCGCACCCTAGTGTCCTTGTTCCAGTGCAGAGAAGTCGGTGTGCCAGTGTCTGTTATGTCTCGTCTCTTCGAGGGTATCGAAAGGACCAGAGACACCAATCAGCTGGTCCGTTGTTTCTTGAAAACCAGCTCGTCACGAATCCAGAGTGCCACAGCAGCGGCCGCACAAGGACCTAGAGCAATAGCGACTATGCCGAGCTTGGCCGCCACAGCAAGGATCTGGAATGGCGATGTCTGTTCATGCTTGGCAGCCACACGCAGGGTCAGACCCCAAAGCAGCGTCGCGGTGACACCTACCACGATGTCCCACTGCAGAAACGGAAGAGCACCATCTGCAAGAGTGGATACCTTGTGTGACCCAAATGGCACCTCGGGCACGAAAATACGTGTCGGTTGCAGCTGTGGCAGATAGGTCGAGCTGAACAGAACCGGAAAAGCATATGCTAGAAGTGACAAACTCCATGCAGCCAAGTGTGAGCCGGCAGAACACATGATTGCAAAAGCATATGCTCGGCGCAGATATTTGATGGTCTTAGCTCTCTTGTCCGCCTCAGTGAGTATCGATGCTCTCTGGTCCAAAGATAACGCGACAACAGTCAAGGCGAATTGGGCAAGCCCAATCCAAATGGCCCATCCCTGCTGGATGCCAGTCCATGTCTGCTTGGTCCCAAATGATACAGTGGTCGGAGCGGGCAGACACATGAGGAGAGATGGCAGCCCAAATCCAAGGAGGATGCTGATCGGAGCAATGGCGAGCTTAACAGGCACATCAACAATCAGTTGATAGTCTTTCGGATCCTTCACCGTCGGTGAGAGCCAAAGGTGAAGTGCGAACCATAATGGGGCTACACAAGCATAGCCGACGATGGCCACGCCGACACCGAATAAGGTGGTACTGCTCAACGTTAGTAAGTCCTTGGCAACTACAATGAACGAAGCTGGCTTACGCGGTGAGAATGAATTTGCCTTGATTTCCTTTCCTCAGACTCTCAATGGTTATCAGAACCCAGGCTGCAAGGACTTGGCCGCCAAGGTAAAGAAAAGAGAGCGACACGTCCGCTCGGTTCCCATCAATTGCCGTATAAAAGAAACTGACCAGTACCGTCAATTGCTTGTCCACGGGACCGATGCCAGTGTACGTTTGCTTCATTGGAGCCGCGGTAGGGCCTGGGATGACGGCGCCTGGCTCACTTTGCTGACTCAAGATTTTGAGGAGTCCATTCTGGTAGGGGAACGCCCAAAGCGTCCAAAATCCAGCGATGGACAAGAGAATCAGTAAGATTTTGGGGATTGTAAGCGCCATGGCGTAAGCTCGGGCGGAGATTGATGTTGTAAGCTCGAATATGTGCTGCAGATAACCACCAAGAGAGAGGCCAGGTGAAAGCGAAAAGAGCACAGGACTAGAATACTGCGACAGTGCTCGAGCGGAGACTCTGGTTGAAATAGTCTGGACTGGTTTGAGAAAGGCAGACGGCTGCCTGGATATCTGAAGCTGTGCTCAGCTCTCAGCCTCAAGTAGCGCGGCTAGCACTGCCAATGAGGTTGCATAGATCGACCGGAGCTAAACGGCTTTCGCAGGCTCGCGTGTCTTCTGATTTAGTCTCAGCGAGTCAACGGCTAGACGATCCTGCAGACCTTTGCCCGTGTATTGTTTTTCCTGCAACAGGCTATAAGGAGGTTTGAGCTTGGAGGAGGAAGAGGAGAAGGAGAAGGGGCTGCCTCGGGCCACTTGCCTTCTGAGAAAACAACACGATTCCGATTTTGCATTAGCGCGTTTTTCTGAAGAATCAATGCCAAGACCTCTTTGCCTCGCCTACTAGTACTTGATGATAGAGTGAAAGTTCTCGACTTTTGCGCTCCGTTTCGTATGCAGTTGAACTGTCAACGAGAAACAGTGAATCATGTCGAAGAGAAAGCGCGGAGGCGAGGAAAGTGACAGCGATGTCCCTGCCGAGGAGAAGGCATTCCGAATGGAAGTTCAACGCCTGAAGGCCCAACTCACCCACGGCATCAAAAGCCTCCATGCCGCCTTGAAACTTGCTCGTGGCTTCGAAAGACAAAAATTGGGGCGGCGCCAGAAAGCCGCCAATGATGAGCCTCACACATTATTGCGATTGCGAGAAGAGGTGATTGTTCTAAAGCAAATGAGCGTTGGTCGGACAGCCAGGACTTCCCTCGTCAAACATTTGATCAAAGCAAAACGAATCAGAGAACATCCGGCTTTCATCCAAGTCTACGGCCCAGATCCCAAACTTGAGGCACCCAAATCTGTTGCTGAAGGGAATGTCATAGGAAGGCTGTTCAATTCTGCTCCGGTCAAGCAAGTGATGCCAGGAGTCATGAAAAACATCTACCAAGTACTGCGCATACCACAAGCCGATTCCGGTAAACCGGTCAAAAAGGAGGCCTCCAATCTTGAACACTCGCGAAAAAGTGGAAGCTTGGGAGACGAAGATGTGTTCGATGGATTCTCTGCCGAAGGCTCAATAGGTGGAAACTCAATATCAAACTCCGAGATGGACGATCTACTTGATGACTACGCAGAGGACCGATTGGCCTTTTCGGACGACGAAACGGATGATGATTCTACTTCGGACCGGGCAAATGGCGCAGGGCAGCTGAAAGACTCCCTACGCGCTGCTGCACGAAATCCATCCATATCACCAAGCCCGAGCCCCAGTCCTACTCTTGACGCAGACGAACTGCGCACAAAAAGCCTCAAGCCTGTGAAACCTGTGACCTCAACGGCATTCTTACCGTCTTTGAGTCTTGGGGGTTACTATTCTGGTTCCGACTCTGACGAACCCGAGGTCCACCACCACCACAGTGGCCCGCCACTACCGAAGCCGCGTAAGAATCGTCGAGGGCAAAGGGCACGACAGAGGTTGGCAGAAATGAAGCATGGAAAGCATGCCAATCACATTGCTAACCAGAAAGAGCAACTAAGGCGAAATGATGGTTGGGACGCTAAACGTGGCGCTGTAGCGGCATCCGATGATCCGAGGAGTCGCTTCCGTCCACGGGATGTTAAGGGTACTCAGAAAAGTGCTGACGCCGCGGTCCCAAGTGTCGGGAAACCACCGAAGTCGAAGCCGACCCGCAGAGACGACCAAGGGTCTTTGCACCCCTCATGGGAAGCTGCGAAAAAGCGCAAGATGCAGGATCAGCCCCAAGTCACTTTTACAGGGAAGAAGATTACTTTCGAGTAGGTGGACATCCTCCAAGACATCATACAAACACTCTGGCGTACTGTCGGTCTCTTTCTCCTAGTCCCTACATGAGTGAAAGGTAGAAAGATGGTCACACTGTCTTGCAGCGATGCTATCAACCCGACGCCTTGTTCGACGCTCCAAACTCCGTGCTGGCCACAAATTCCTACAAAGTTCGATCAAGTCCTGGCATCGTTCCCTAAAGCGACTGAATAAGTGTTACTCAATCATTTCTTGTTCGGTTTTTCCTCGATCCTCTCCACTTGATGAGAGGCAGTCTCATCCGAAAGCTCGCTTGCACCTCTCATTGCATCCATCTCGACCGGTCTCGGGATCGAAGAGACTTCTGACGGGTAAGACTGCATTGGAAGTGCTGGCGAGGGGTTAAAATATGTTTGGTATTGCCCTTCACCAGGGGTATACGTTGGTGCCTGTACTTGTTGCTGGTATTGCTGGTACTGTAATTGCTGTTGTTCGATTTGATGTTGGAGAGCTGCTTTTTCACTGGCACCTTGCTGCAAGGCTGTATCCCTTTCATTTTGAAGACTGATATAGCTGTATTTCAGCGACTTTCGGCTTCGCATTAGGTACCACAAGGCAAGAAGAGAGGCAATGAGTGCGGCTCCAAGTACAGCTCCAAGCACGCCCCCAACGACCGCGGTCTTGTCCTTCGACGGGGTTTGAATGACTGCCACAAGTCAGCAGAGTGGTGTGAGATGGTTTGAGCCGACTCACTGGTGCTATAGGTCGTGTTCACTGTTTCACTAGTACCGGGCAGGAGGATTTGCCCGATGGTCACGTCGGCTTGAAAGGAGCTCGCTGTGTCGTTACAGCAGTTGGTCTCATCTCCTCCTGCACGACAGCAGAAAGACCCATTGTTGGCATTGCACTGCAGAACATTGTACGAGTATCCGGTAGGCATGAACGAGCATGCCTGGGGGCAAGCTTTGGCCTTGCCAGTCGGGTCTGCGATTGGAAGTATCAGCATGAAGAAGGATTGGAGCTCTTTGACAGGGCAACCCACCGGTACACCCATTGGAATAGAGAAAGGTGCTGTACCAGCCGGACGTCGACATGCACAGACCCGAGTCCATGCACATGTCATTCTGTCCAGATGTACCATTGAGCTCACAGCAAGCGCTGAACTCGGCGTCCGGATTACACGGCTGATACACGCCTGCGACGTTAGCGGAGCTGACGTTGGCACTTTGACTGTGTGTAAAACGTACTGTCAAGCACCTCGCCGTTCATGCTATAGCATGTCTTCTTGGTCGATGAGGACATGACCGACAACATGGATGCCGTCAAGACACCCAAGGCGAGAAGCGAATCATACCGCATTTTGGGATTCGTTGACCACGTCGTCGAAAAACGGATATGTGACTGATGAAGAATACTGTCCGCCACAGGTCAAAAAGCAGGTACCAAGGATAGATGGGCAAGAAATTCTGGAGTTGAATTTGGGCGATCCTGTAATAAGAATGAAACGGCGCCCCAGGACTCGACCTTGAACAGATGGTCTCACAGATCCGCTATGCCGGCCAGGTGCCTGCCGAGGCAGTGAAAAAGTGACATGGTCTTCAGCAACAGTAGCGGAAGGCCTCAAGACGCGGGATCGCAACTATTAATCAAGGTTGTGATTCTGGCCCGCCCATCTCGTACTCTGGTGTAGCCGTCAAGTTTGACAACAGCCTATCAAGTTGGTGCAAGCATTGCTTCATGGCAACTAAAGGGCCAGTCACTTGTCGCCTAAAGACATTCCTCAGGACCAAGTGGGTTCGAGCAAGTGGATTGCCGTCAGGACGCCTGATGGCGGCCAGCGTTGAGAAGCCATGCAATGGCATGCATGGAGGTTCTGGACAGTGGAGTGTCTCAGTGGATAAGCGGCTAGGAGTGATAAGAAGCGTACAAGAGCCTGCATACCCATCTCCGGATGCTGGTCGTACATATGAGATGCACGACTAAACGAGCCAGTCGTGCAGACAATAAGAACCGAAAGCACGTCCCAGTCCACCAATGCAAGCTTCTATTCGATTGTGCTGACATGCTCAAACATGAGCAGTACGAACCTACCCTGTCACTTCTTTTCCCTGATCCAAACTGATATATGCATGGGGCCAAAGACTCGGACTTTCCCTAAGGCCGATTTTTCGCGAGACCATAAATGGAGTCCGATTAACGTTGTGTGACTTCATGACCCTTTGCATCTCGCGAGTCAAGTTCATCCCGTGGTCACATTGTACCTAGGCATCTTCTTAGCCTCCTCGAACTCACTTTTAGCACTGGCATGAGCTCCCACTTTATGCTGGAGACTGATCATGAGCTCTATGGTTTTTTCCCAGGATGTGAGGGCTGGATGTGAAACTGCAGCGTTCCGTGATCCCGGCTTGAGCCCCTTAATTGACCGGGCGCGGTACGATAACAATTTGGCCCCAAAACCCTTGCATGCTTGATCCCTGGGGTTTTTCAGCGGACCAACGCACCCTCTTTCCCTATCTCAGTTATTGGCTAGAGAAAGACGATACACGTCTAGACACAGCCCCCACAATAGTCTTGCACAGGATACACTTTTATTGCGGACATCAATGGCGCAGCGACTCGAAGTAAGTTACCATGACCATGCTCGACCTTATTAAAGGACTTTTAATGGTGGCGATCATTGATTCGAGAGGGTCACACAAGGAAGCACCAACCCCCACATCAACATTTCAGTGCTCTTACCACCATAATACCACTCTGCTCGGTGGTATTCAACTCATGAAATTGCAAGGCTCGCCAATCTAGATCTCGAAACACGCCACCCAAGATCGACCCTGCACATTATGAAAGAATCGACATAGGTACCATGGTACACCTGGCTAGGTAGCCTGCAACGTCAATTAATCGCAATGGAGCAGAAAGCTCATGGCATCGACCATTAATACGGTCAACAGCCGCATACAGTTCAACAGACGCAATGCAGTGAGAAGCCAATAACTGCTCTCACTTACTCACTGTCGCTTTGTCGGCAAGCCACTCATTATCTTCCAATCGCTCGTTGAATCATTTGGACATCATGCATTTCAATGTCTATGCTTGTATCGTGGGATGCCTCGCTCTAGGCTCGCATGCCTGGCTGCCCGGTGAACATAGACAAATACTGTCGAAGGATGGAGTCGATTTTTTCAACCGGAGCAGCCTTCACCAGGCTGGACTTTTGAAGAAGAGGTATCTCCCTACCAGCTATGGCAACGACAAGAATGCTATTCGAGGTGTCAATCTGGGTTCACTCTTCATCATCGAAAACTGGCTGTCGAACGATATCTTCGCCGGCTGGGGCTGCACTGATACTTCGGAGTTCGATTGTGTTTCATCGCTCAACAATCAAACAAAGGCCAATAGCGACTTCCAGAGTCATTGGAACTCGTGGATCACGCAAGATGACTTTACTGTATGGTGCTTTCCTTCACGCCTTGCTGTCGCTTTCTGACCTCGTCACAGAAAATGGTTTCCTACGGTTTGAACACTGTCCGAATACCGGTCGGGTATTGGTTTCTCGAGAGCATCGTCGATTCGAGCGAGCATTTCGCCCAAGGCGGCGAGCAATACCTCGATCAAGTCGTCGGATGGGCGAAAGATGCCGGTCTCTATGTCATCATCGACCTCCACGGTGCTCCGGGTGCTCAAGTCACTGATGCCGACACGGGCCAACTCAATCCCAGCCCTGACTTCTACGACGACTACAACTACAACCGGTCCTACACGTGGCTAGAGTGGATGACGAACAAGGTGCATACCAACGACGCCTACACGACAGTCGGCATGTTAGAGATCGTCAATGAGCCCGAGCGGACATGGGACACCTCGACATATCCCAGTGCCGTTGCAAATGCGGACAGTATGAGAGAGGTAAATCCACCTTCCACTGATCTTGTTTTCGTTTGTGCACTGATCCGCTCAGACATACTATCCAACCGCATGGTCAACGATCCGCAACAAAGAGTCCTCACTGGGTGTTGCCTCCGACTCACAATTGTCAATCATGATGATGGACAAGAAATGGGGCTCTGGCGATCCAGACCAGTACCTCACGGATTTGACGCTTGCCGCCTACGATGATCACGAATACGTCAAGTACGCCGGCGTCGCCGAGACCCAGGACGCTTATCTCAGCTATTCCTGCAACGACAGCAGATCTGGCAACTGGCCCGTCTTCGTTGGCGAGTGGTCTCTTTCAGTGGCGGACGATATCCAGTGGACTTCGGGATGGGATCCTACGGTCGAAGCGAACAAGGCTTTCTACAAGAAGTGGTGGGCAGCCCAGGTCATGTCTTACGAGAAGACGGCGCAGGGCTGGGTATTTTGGACGTGGAAGACGTCAGGCAGTCTCAACGACCCGCGCTGGGACTATCAGATGGCAGTTACGGCCGGGCTTATCGACGCGGATATCGATAATGCGTATACCTTGGGCGCGTGCAGCTAGGGACACGCGGGCGGCGGGTCGCATACAGGAGGTGCGACAAGTACTAGCACTAGCAAGTTGTTACTAGTCGTGGTCACTGTTGTGAGTGTGACTGCAGTACACCTCATTTCGAGCTGAGAGACGTCTCTCACTCTCAGCGGGGTCCCTTTTCAACACGAAAGTGTCTGTTTGAGACTTCCGGTTGTCGAGGACCATGAACCCCGCTTGAAGAGGAGATACTACCTCCAGCCTCCATGTCTCGCTCACTAGGGCTTTCGAAATACCTTTTGGGGTCTTACTGATGTCCTCAAGTCAGACGTCAAGTCATTCGATGTGACAGTGATTGAATGTTGACTATGCTAGGCGCGCTTTGACGACTGCAATGTCTAGCAATGGGAATACGAGCATACAACGCAGGTAGCCTAACAACGACATGAGAGCTGTGATGTGGTGAGTGAGGATGGCGACCGCCGCCCAGCCCAGGGATTTGGGCAATATTGCCATGATGTTGGCAAGTATGGATTATGCTGGCAATGCCCAAGAGGGCTTTGAAGAAGATCCTCTGCTCGGTTAGCATGAAGATTGAAGGAGGATTGTAGGACTATGAGTGGTGATCTCAGTTTACCAGGAGTCTTGGGCCTGCGACTACGCAGCACTGAGGTTGCTGCTACGCAAATGGAAGCGTAATCATTTTTTCCACTTTCCATAGAACATTGTCACCTCTAAATGTGTCAGGAAGCTTCAAGTCGTTGAAGAGTTGAGAGCAGACTATTTTCAAAAGAAGAGATGTTTTTGTAAGATATTTGTGTGTAGATTCAAATGAGTGACTGAACTTTTCTATGATGTACAAGCGCTATGCTATCAATTCCAAAAAGACTAAAATCAATCCCGCTATGCCGCTTGCTGATGTTCAAGAAAGGAATGTAGACCGCTCAGACGATGCTATGCTCAAAAATACTCAAGAGACTTTTTCCGACCTGCTATCCTGCAGCTCCCGCTCTGACCATTCACCAGTGCTTGCCGGTAGGGTGGGCGAACTTGATGTCCGAGACCGCGGAAGGAGTGAAGGTGACAGTGGAAGCAGATCCAGTGGCGTAGGGTGTAGGTGGCACGGCGATGGTGACAATGGAGCTTGCGGCATCAGTGTAGGTGATCATCTGGCAGTTCTTGCATTGGCTGGGGCGGTAGTAGAAACCGCCGTGAGCAGGCCAGGTTGGGGTGACGGTGGCGGTGACGGTTACTGTGACTGGGGTAGGGCAGCCAGTTGTTGTGGTGGTCGTGGTGGTAGGAGCGGGGTTGCATTTGCCGTTGGCACCGGTACCGAAGCCGCACCAGTGAGAGACGGGAGTGGTGGTTGTAGTAGAAGTGGTGGAGGTGGTGGTGGTGACTGGCTTGGTGGTGGTTGTGGTCGTGGTGCTGGGAGCAGGGTTGCACTTTCCATTGGCAGCAGTGCCGAATCCGCACCAGTGGGAGACGGATGTAGTGGTAGAGGTAGAGGTGGTGCTGGTGGTGGTGACTGGCTTGGTGGTTGTGGTGGAAGTGCTCGTGGAGGTAGAAGCAGCGTTGCACTTTCCGTCAAGAGCGGTACCGAAGCCACACCAATGCGTGGTCGAGGCCGAGGTGGTGGTAGTGGTGGTCACTGGCTTGGTGGTGGTGGTCGAGGTGCTGGTTGAGCTGGGGGTAGGATTGCACTTTCCATCAAGAGCAGTGCCAAAGCCGCACCAATGCGTGGTTGAGGCGGATGTGGTGGTTGTGGTCGTCACTGGCTTGGTCGTGGTCGAGGTGGTCGTGGTGGTCACTGGCTTGGTAGTCGTGGTCGAAGTGCTGGTTGTAGATGGAGTGGGGTTGCATTTTCCATCAAGAGCTGTGCCGAAGCCGCACCAGAAGGTGGAAGTGGTGGTAGTAGAGGTGCTGGTAGTCGTCGGGGTAGGATTGCATTTGCCATCGAGAGCTGTACCGAAACCGCAGTAGTATGTGGAAGTGGTGGTAGTCGTAGGGACGGTGGTGGTAGTTGTGGAAGGATTGCAAGATCCGTCAGCAGCAGTGCCGAAGCCGCAATAGTGAGAGACAGTTGTGGTGGTTGTAGGAGCCACTGTGGTTGTGCTAGTAGTTGGGATAATGCATGAGCCGTCAGCAGCGGTGCCAAAGCCACAGTAGTTGGAAGTGGTGGAAGCCGCGTCGCTGGAAGCCGCGTCGCTGGTAACACCAGTAAGAGGGAGAGCAAAGGCTCCTGAGGCCAAAGCCGCGAGGACGAATGAGACTGAAGAATGCATGGCTGATTGGTTATGTTATGCAAGGCTGAAAAGCTGATAGTGTTTGTGTGAAGTTCTTGTGTTGACTTATAGTGATTGTAGCAATGAAATGTGTTGATTGAAAGATTGTTGTAAGGAAATAAGAGCTGAAGCTATAAAGATTGTGTTGTAGTTCGTTGTATGTTGTTGATGATGGAAGAAAAGAAAGACATGAATACACGAACTTGACCTACCTACTTATACGAGATTTGACTTACAGCCTCATGATCCAAATGATGGTGTAGCATTCCTCAGATGCGTGGTGCCGGTGAATGTTCAGCGGAAATGGACATGACATCTGAGGTGGTTTTGGACAGTGGTAGCATGGAGAAGCCAAAGCCAGCAGAAAGTGGCGTGCAAAGGGACGAGGGATTGGCTCGCATGGCCAAAGCTCATGCAAGACACTGCACAATGGGTGGGCGCTGTGGCTGAACGTCTGAAGGCATGACGAGGTGAGCAGGATAGAGGAGAGTAGTGAGAAGTGAGGAAAAGGACGGTGAGGGACCAGGGTAACATCCCGTACTAAGGGAAAAAGAAGGCTCAGCAAAAAATAGAGTCTAGAGGCATATCAGCCAATAAGAAATTGAGTTAGAGCAGTAGTGGTTTCGCTAGTGCGTCCAATCCGGATACCCCAAGCGGACGCGAAGAAACGTTGTTCCGATGCGAATTTGGAGCAGAGACAGCCAGACAGCCATATTCCACAGTCCACACTCTCATGTCATTGCCCCTTTCCGGTCTGTGCGCTCCATGATACCTGCGGATGGCTTGCGACCCCCAAGGCCAATAGAGTGGGTCCGTTTCTTCAAGCCAGTAGGGTAGCTACCCTACTGGCTTGCTTCCCTATTTCCCTTCTTTGTAGCCGCATCAAGGCCAAACGTTGCAGCATTGACATGGCAAACACCCGAATCCCAGAGGCATATTCTTTTTCTGGATATTCCCTCAGTGGTACTTCTGCTGGTATACGGCTACCACCCTCGGTTTCCGCCTTGTCATCTTCTTGACACAGACCTTCGTATTGCCGTCATTCCAGACACTTTGCGGCGCCTGCCGGTGCACAGTCTCGAGGCCGCAATTATACAACACTGAACTCCATGCACTTGCTGTATGCCCTGGGACTGTGGACGTCATTCAATGCATGTTTTTAGAAACGTTCAGAAGCTTGTCGCTAGTCAAGCTTCTCCAAGGTCCATGCCTGGGCGGAGACCGTTGGCAAAGCCTCACAGCCAGGACCACTGCAGAAGTCCCTCAAGGTCCATGTCCACAGCATAGACGGTCGACTTGATATGGATCAGCAATGCTCTGTCGGGACAAGCCGTTGTGTGTCTCAGAGACGTGACGATGAGGCAAATAGCGAGCAAGAACTCGTTCACTCTCAGTCGATAGTCTCAGATGCGTGCCAAAAATACAATTATCGAGAAGTTCAGCCGCTCGCTTTCTTCAATCCTTGTTCTGCGACCTCGATCAAAGGGGCAAGATTCTTCTCCCTCAAGGTAGGCAGCAGACTCGAAAACGCCTTTTGGGATCCAATCTTGTCGCCATTCTCCAAGAGTAAATCAGCACGGGTCATTTGCGCCGAAAGCAGCGCCAACTCGCAAATGTCGTCTCGCTCCTCAGGTTGAACCACATCAGCCGTTTCAATAGCTTGATCGGCCCATTTCAGTGCTGCTTTTCTTGCGGCGGCCAGTGACTGTTTCGTGGCGGGTCGTCCATTAATTTTGGCGTCCGGCTTCTTCAACGCCAGATCCATGGTCGAAGCAATATTACTGAGAACCTGGACCTCTTTGCAGGATCGACTGCCATTGCATGATGCTCGTAGTGGTTGTAACGTGAGCATATAAACCTGTAGAGCATTCGCTTCTTCGCCTGTGGTGGCATATAAGTCACCCATTTGAGACAGCATTGCTGCAATCTCGCCTGTCGTCAGGCCTGCGCCATTGTCGTCAGTAAAGCCATTCAATTGAGGGTCTCTGGCTTCCTTGACAACCAACCCAATGGCATCAGACAGGATTTGCTTGGCCTTGGTTCGGTCCTGCATGTAATCACTCTCGTATAATGACGCTACCTTGACTTTTGTCTGTATGGCAGCCCTAAGCAAGGTCTTTCGAGTGACAGCATCGGGGTCGGTCGCGGCGGTCGTTTGAATTACCGGCTCATCAGCAATCTCTGTCAGCTTGTGTTCTATGTCCTTCGTGACGCCATCCAGGATCTCGATAGCAGCCTTGACGTGGCCGAAGTTCTCCATCATCTGCGAGAAGCGTATCCGGATGCCCAATGCATCAGGCTTGAACGGGTCCATCCCAGCTTCTTCCGCTTTTTGAATCGCCTGCATGAAATACTTCGCCGACGTCTCCGGGTCGGGCTGTACATGTGTATAGTGCAAGGCTAACCGTAGTCTCTCTTCAACTTGCATAGGATAATTCGTTGTGTGGGCCTTGTCCTTCTTGTATTCATTATATGCCATGACAATCAGCATTGAGACTGAACCGAAGCATCCGATCAATAGAAAAGGAAATAAGATGGGATGTTGTACTCGAGCATCGATCACCATCTTCTCGAATCGATTCGGTGGCCTGGTGAACGTCTTGGCTGTCCTGATCTGGCCTCGGGCGGTATTCAAAGGGGGGTGTCGAAACTGAGGTCGAGCACCGGATGTACTGTGATAGCCGTTACGGGATGCACTCGAGATAATTGTGCGATTCGGTTTCGAGCCCCGCATCAATGCGGCAGTAGATAATATGCCCTTCATGATGCTTGATATAGGAGACGGAAATCCAACAGTGGCTTGAGATGAACAAGGGATGGTATGTTTAGATTATGAGTGCGGCGAATCGACTGGTGAGTGATGAACTGCGCAAAGAAATTTCCCCGGATTCGCGCCTCGCGTCGACGTCATCCACGCTTCCCGCATCCGATTACTAGTACTCTTCAGCCAACGATCTGACTTCGCCCCATACCCAACGTATTTGCCAGGCGCTTTGAAGCGTTGTTCTCAGTACAACAATGTGCGGGAGATACGCGCTAGGCATAGTGAGTTATCCCACACAAGCTGAATCCATGCGTACCTAACAATGTGATACAGCGTGCCTCATTCGTGCGACACCACCTCGAACAACAGGGTCTCCCCGTGAATGATGCGCCAGAAGACGATGAAGCTCGCGAGACATACAACTTCCCTCCCGGCGCCTACGGTCTTGTCTACCGAGCAGAAGTTCCCGATCAGGGTGTAAGAAATGCCGACGAGCCAGAAGCCAGCGATGCTGCAGCTCAAGACGCATCAGACGAAGCACCCGAAGAAGGAGACGAACCTCCCTCCAGCCAGTCCACTGCCTACAAGTATGAGATTAAGGTTATGAAATGGGGCTTGATTCCTTTCTGGACCAAACGCTCCCCAGACTATGGCTCCATGCTGCGCACCATCAACTGTCGCGACGACTCTCTCATTGAGAACCGCGGAATGTGGAACACCATGAAACAGAAGAAACGCTGCCTGGTCATCGCGCAGGGATTCTACGAATGGCTGAAAAAGCCCGGCGGAAAAGAAAAGTCTGCACACTTTGTGAAAAGAAAGGACGGTAACCTGATGTGTTTCGCTGGGTTGTGGGATTGCGTCAAGTACGAGGATACGGAAGAGAAGCTGTACACCTACACGATCATCACCACCGATTCAAACAAGCAATTAAGTTTTCTCCACGATCGCATGCCCGTCATCTTGGATCCTGGCACGGAAGCAATGAAGATCTGGTTGGACCCGACAAGAAACAAGTGGTCCAAAGAACTGCAGACTATACCGAAGCCGTTTAAAGGTGAACTCGAATGCTACCCTGTCGATACCGCAGTTGGCAAAGTTGGGAACAATTCACCCAGCTTCATCGTTCCAATCGACAGTAAGGAAAACAAGAAGAATATTGCCAACTTCTTCAACAATGCGAACAAGCCCAAAGCCATGTCTGATGGCGGGAAAATAGCAAAGGAGCCGGAGGAAGACCGACCAACGGTCGACCACGACGGAAGTGAGAATAAAGCGCCACTGCCAGTCCCGCAAGACTCGCCAGAAGAGAGCCAAGGTCAGAAACGATCGCACGATGAGGAAGACGACCAAGCCTCAGCAAAGAAGCAAGCCAAGCTTTCATCACCACCTCCGAAGTCGATATCTCCTGTCAAAAGCTCCACCAAAAAGCCTAGAAGTGCAATAAGCAACAAGGATATGACCATGAAGAGTAGCCCGTCAAAGAAAGTCGAAGCAGGCACACAGCGGATAACAAATTTCTTTAGCAAGTGACGGGTTCATGAGATGTTTACGACATTATGATCATAAAAAATCCCACGTTCGGGGCTTGAGAGCTTGGGCCTCAGGAGAGAGATCTTCACCAAAGTCGACTTCGATCCATTTCCCGCCGCGCTTCTTTCGGATGGAGCGCAGATGTCGTGCGACTGATTGCGCAGTCCCACGAACCTGGGCGAACCTCTGTCGTTCTTTGTTAAAGCGATACAGCTCTCGCTCGTTCTCCACGTTCCAGGAGGACTCATCACACTTTGCCATGGACTCGCTGAGCAAGGGAGGCACAGGCTTCCACCCAACCTCGAGAACAAGCCTTTCCAGTCCTCTCCAACCACCATTCCACTCAGGGCCGTATTTCTCCAAAGAGGCGGTGTCTGACGGACTCCATTCCAATGCTGCGAACCAGTCTCCACAGCCTGTCAAGTCCAACCATTTCAAGCAATACAAAGACCTGCTTAGCGTCCGCAGGATTCCTGCTGCTTCCCGCCAGTCGTTATCATACGCCGTGTATATGTCGGATCCACCATACACTACTGGCCGGGCTCCTGGGCTGTTGATGACTGCTCTGGTAGACGCCGCGTTCGGGGTGAAAGTCGGTTGGGGCCAGTGTGCCAACGACAGAGATGTTAGTGTTCGCAGCTCGGCTGCGAGAGATAGCAGAGAAGCCCAGGAGGCTGCCCTAGTATTGGCTGGGGAGATTGCCAGAGACAAATGCCTGATGTTAGGGAAATTGTGTATGTACCTGGGACCTGCAATGATGGTCGGTGCGATCGCATCATCGCTGTCATCAGCAGCATCCCAGCTGTCGGGCGCCTGGGGAGGGGGGTCGACCTTGTCAGCCGTACTAGGCGTGACTTTCTCGGATGGACCTTGCTTCACGAGCAGGTCTCTTTCAAGCTGTCTGGAAGTAGTCCATAGTCCGAGGCCATTACTCAAGTCCAAGCGACGTACTTCAGCACGGTCTTCAAGTGTGCTCCCATTCAGGAACAAAATGCGCAAGGGGTTGCTTGGTGCCTCATTGTACACCGCAATGTAACTCAATAGCGTTTCTTTCAAGTTGGTGGGCAGGAACTCCAGATAATCATCATCGTTCTGAGCGTGCCATTCCCAGTTGCTAGCTATCTTCGTGAGGATCAAATGTTGCAAGGAACAAGCAGGAGGGAACGATCCATCTGGGAGGTTGCTTGTGCGGACTTGAATACGATGACCAATGTCTTGTCCATTTGCTGTTGTCTTGACAGATTTGGGAGCATATATGCTGTCTGTAAGCCAGCTCCGAGGAGGCGGCGGGCCTGGGATGCGTCGCAATCGACTCGGTCCGCTAGATCTTGCGCCTGAACGAGGGGCGGGTGGCGGTGGGGGAGGGAGATCGAGCACTGCTCTCAAGGAAGGAGGGATGGACGCAGCATTTTGTGCGGTAGGACTTCGTGGCTCGTTTCTCAATTGAAGACGACGAGATTCACGAATGAGGTCGTTGACGCTCCTTCGCGCGGGTTCATGCTGATATGTGGATGTCGACCATTTGGCTAGTGATAGCGTCTGGGGAACGCTCGATTGCGGTTTGGTCAATAGCGCCTTCTGTTGATGCTTTTTGGGCATCTATCAGATGGCAAAGGTAATGAGGGAGGTCGGGGATACGGAGAGGGCGCAAAAAAAGAGTACGAAATGTGAAGCGTGCTTTGGAGGACAATACTCGAGTATGCTGTGGTGGTTGCTCAGACATTGGATACTAAGCACTGCGCGAGGACTAATACAAGAGAGATGTGATGTCATTGGACAGTGACTGTGATACTAGTAGAGGCCCAAGTCCTTCCTGCCGCTTTATAGCAGAGCCTCATGATGCTTCATTCCTGCCCTTCGTCGTCAAGTTGTGCCTGCTCGTAGATTTTCCTCGTAGACCAACACGTATCTTCCTGCAAGACGATCGTAAAGGGCCACTTGCTCCCAGACCACACTTCTACACTTTCCGTAGATGTACAACAGGGCTGCCAGACGCTCTGTAGGTACGCATGGTAAGATGCCCCATGAGAGGTGCGAAACTGATCCCTTTTCGGTCTCAAATATTCCAGATGTAGCTTTCGACATGCCGCTTCCTCTGCGTTCGTGCTTGGGCCCCAAGGTGTAATACTCGCTTCCACTCGGAGTCGATGCCACGTCGTCGCGAAGCTGTCGTTCTAAGCGCTCTCAGTACCGAGGGCCCAGCCATGCGTACTAAAAACCACGTTTCCACATTTTGCTTGTTGAGACGTTTGGAGCGGAATCTGGCCCAGAACCGTCTCAATGCGTAAAGCTGTGTAGACTTGATGCGACGCTTGACATAATTGCGGCCACTAAAATCCAGGTGGGTTCACTCTCTGGCTCACTCTTGTCCACTTGGGGAGCTCTGAAGATGGTTATCAGCACATTTCCAAATTCAACAGCTTCACACGACATACTGTGAATGCCCTTCCTGTACTTCTTCTCCTTGCGGTCGAAGATGGTATATTTATCCTTTGGAAGCATCTCTTCTTCTCGTGGCATTTCCCGATACCATCTCTCCACGGCCTTCGCAGTCACCCCACCGTTGTTTTGTAGCGCTGTACTGACAGTATCGACAATTTTGTCGACCAGCCGCAATCGTTTTCGTTGACGCGCCTTTTGAGGTGCGGAAAGCCGCCATGGGATTTTCCTGCGCAGGCGATCAGTATAGATACCAATGAAGCATGTGCAGACAACACATACCATAGCAGTCCCCCAGACAGAGGAGCAGTCGGCCTGAACATCACGACGTGCTATGCGATCAAAGTGCGGTGGTGAGTTGATGAGTTCAGATTGATTGAATTGCTTAGGAGGGTCAAAATTGGCGATCGGAAAAAGCTTAGGGCAGCAAGTCCAGACTGCCCAGCCTAGCCCTATAACTAGGTACTTACAGTAGCGTCCTGCAGCCAACTGTTCCACGACCCACCAATTTCGACGCTTATTGTATTATCCAATCCTTATGCTACTTGACCTCTCGATCGCCACTCTGAGCCTTGTGAATGTTGAGAGCTTGAGGAACTGGATTGGACAACGGGTCTGTTCCCATGTCAGGGTGTAAACCGTATCGTGGCTGAGCCTCCCCACCCAGCTCGTACGCTCGGTCCTGTCCAAGCACATCCTTCTTGACGACTGACTATGGTATATCATATCCATCCTGTTGAGAAATGTGCATTGTTTTCTGCTGTTGTGATGGCTTGAGAGTGTGCCCTTTAAGGACACATCTGATCGACATACATATATAGCTTATGCCCATAGGTCGACTACTGCTCTACCGACGACCTTTCCATCTTTCAAAAGCTGTATCGCATGGGGTAATTGGTCAAGTGGGTATGTGGTGACAACGGGCTTCACCAAGCCTTGCGCGCAGAGATCCAGAACTTCTGCGGTGTCGCCGAGTGTGCCCACCATAGTGGCCTTGATGGTTATGTTTTTGGCTATCAGGTCATTCGGATCGCCACCAACGTTGGCTTTGTTGGTTGGAGGCATGGCGACACAGACCACGGTTCCTCCAATCCGCAAAAAGTTCGGAGCTGAGGCATAGCTAGCTGGATGAGCAGAAGCTACGATGACTGCATGAGCTCCCCCGCCCGTGATTGCCATTGTTCGCTCAACGGGATCCGTACTCGAAGCGATATCAATGAATTCGAAAGCCCCTAAAGACATGCATAGATCCTTTTTGGCCGCTCCCGAGTCCACAGCGATCACGCGCGCACCCATCGCCTTAGCAATTTGCACGGCAAAATGACCCAATCCTCCACCACCACCCAAGACGACGACCCAGTCCCCTGCGCGGATGCCGCTTTTTCGTAGAGCCGCGTAAGAGGTGGTCCCTGAGCACATCACTGGCGCTGCTTGATCCAGATCCACGCCCTCAGGAATTCGCGTTGCGTATATGGCTGGGACGGCAATATATTGCTGGTAGGTACCCTCCATCGTGATGCCGGTAAATCGTGCTTCCGGACAATGCTGCTCGCGGCCTTTGATGCAACTTTCGCAGGTGTGGCACACATATGAGATGGGCTTCACGCCGGCTTTGTCTCCAATATGCCAACCAGTAACGTCTTTGCCTATCGCTTCCACAACACCAGCGCCTTCATGGCCGACCGTTTGCACCTGCGTACGGAATCCAGTCCACTCCTGCATCATCAATGAGAGATCCGAATGGCATAATCCTGTCATTTGAAGACGAACGAGAATCTCATCGTTAGCAGGCTGAGGTTTAGGTTTCTCGATGATGTCGATGGTGAAATCCTTTCCCGGATTTTGGATGACCGCTGCACGCATTGTGGCTGTCATGACGAGACGATGAAAATGGAATACTGATGCAGGATAAAATGAGATCCAGAGATCCTGCTTCAGAGAACACGCAACCGGTGTCGATTGTAGAGACTTGAAGAGCTTCGACCTCGTCCGGGTATGTCGCAACGACATCCCAAGAGGCCTCCTGGTGGACCCACCTCATGACTTTGACTCTATCCGCTCGTTGAGGCAACAAAGAGTGTGGGCGTCCGGGGATGGTCCGACTACCTCGGCGTTACACCTCGCTGTTGTCTGATTGGGTGGAACGATCGTCAAGTACGGGGCTTCCAAAATTGCCTCTGACCGCGGCTTACCGCGAAGGTTCGTCGCTCACCCAGGCTTATCCGCGATTGGTGGGCCTCTACCTCGGTCCTTGTTGTGAAGGTCTTGGGTGAACTCAGCATAGTGAACGAAGAACACAAAATTATTAGCACCTTCTCTGCAAGATCGAAACTGCATCCCAGCGGCAACTCCATCAAGATGGCGAACGGATATCACAAAATAGAAACGCGGTGCTTCATCAACAATGAATTCGTGGAGGCCAAAGAGACCTTTGCACTCCATAGTCCGTCAACCGGCGAGCTGACGGCCAATGTTTGTCAAGCTGGGGAAGATCTGGTGAATTCTGCTGTTGATGCCGCTCACGCTGCTTTTCCGGCATGGTCTGCGCTCGATGCCCCCGAGCGGGCCAAATGCCTTATTCGACTCGCGGACCTCCTGGTTGAACACGCAGAAGAACTTTCCAGACTCGAAGCCCTCAGCATGGGAAAAGTGGCCGCATTCTATCCACCTGAGGTCCAGTGGGCGGCGGATATCCTGAAATACTTTGCAGGATTAGCGAGGGAGGTGCACGGGGAGTCGAGCTTGACAACGGCAGGAATGGTCAATATGACTTTCGTGCAGCCTTACGGTGTCTGTGGGGCCATTGTGCCCTGGAACGGACCCTTGGTAGCAATGTCACTCAAGGTCGGACCTGCATTGGCAGCTGGGAACACTCTTCTCCTAAAACCATCAGAGAAGTCGCCTCTGACGGCGCTCTATATGGGCAAATTGATTCCTCAGGCAGGGTTTCCCCCAGGAGTTCTCAACATCTTGCCCGGCCATGGACGCGTGACTGGAGCGGCCATAGCCAGTCACATGCGCATTAGGAAGCTGGCCTTCACTGGGAGCACGAGAACTGGGCGTATCATCAAAAAATTAGCTGCCGAATCGAATCTGAAAGACGTCACTCTGGAGCTGGGGGGCAAGTCGCCTTTAGTTGTGTTTCCCGATGCTGACCTTGAAGAAACGGTGGCTGCGGCCGCGTTCTCCATTGCCATGAATTCGGGACAAATCTGCATGGCCAGCTCACGAGTGTACGTCCACGAGTCCATCGGCGAAAAGTTTGTCGAAGCATATGTCACCAAATTCAAGGAGATCATGGGAAAAGCTGGGGATGCGTTGGATCCGAACACTACACATGCACCGCAGGCAGATGCTATGCAGTACGAAAGTATCATGAAACACTTCGAGACTGCCAAAAATGAGGGCGCAAGTCCAATTACTGGCGGCAAACGAATCGGCGAGCAAGGCTACTTCATTGAGCCAACAGTCTATCTCAATCCGGGACACTCATCTTCAATCAACCGCGAAGAAGTTTTTGGTCCCGTTGCTGTGATAAACACTTTCAGCTCCGAAGAAGAGGTACTGAAGCTGGCCAATGATACCGAGTACGGCCTGTATGCGTCAGTATACACCAAAGATATCTCACGCGCATTGAGATTTGCTAAGCAGCTCGAGTCTGGCATGGTCGGCGTCAATTGTACATCACCGACCATGGCATTTGATTTGCCATTTGGTGGGACTAAGCAGAGTGGAGAGGGACGCGAGTCCTCTTTGAAATCGTTACACTCGTGGACAGAGCTGAAAACGGTCATGATCAAGATCTAGGCTTTGACGCCCAGAAATGGCCAAGGCTGTCGAGGATCAGCAGCATCGTGGTCCGCAACCTCAACAGGGAGTAGAATGCAATGTCATACATTTTGGCCACCGCTGGCTCTTTCTCTGCCTCGGCATCGATCCCGCCTGTAACTCTGGCCAGTGCCACAAAGCTGCTACTTGCGGCTTCCATGCACGCTAAAAGTTAAGAAGGGGATTCACACATTGGCCAGAATTTCTCAGGTCTTTCGAAATCAGGGGTGTGTAGCGTCGCAGATGTAGCGGTCTCTCACAACTCTGTGATACTACCCGTCACAACGCTTCGCACTAGTGCCCTGAAATACGTGATAAAGATTCGCCTGGATATAAGTATCTACATTCCATTACCGCTGATTGCAATAACTAGCGAACCTATAGTCTGGGAAGCGCGGGAGACAAAACATCAAACCTTCATTCTTTAGCTTCATCGAACAGACAGTGAGCCCCTAACAGTGGATGCGTAGTTCTGAAGCACCTGTCTCAATGATTGCAACCCTCCTCTTGTCCCGCCGGGGCGAGCCACCAGGCGCCAAGTTATCAAGGACACCAGAACTGGGACCCATGCGTTCTTGACAATGGTTCTCAGCCACCTCCGAAATCTGTTGAGCACCCAATAAGGAGACCCTCCACGTAGATGGTAGTCCGAGAAGTCGCGTTGATAAAATTCCCAAAACAGATCCATTCCGGTGCCAGGGTAAGATGCAGTGTTCCGTCCGTTACTGGTCAAATTCCAGTTGCTGCAGCCGCCTGACCAGACCATCTTTTGAAGCTGGTACTGGATCTTTGTGGCCCAGAAGTTTTGCGCCTCTTCCTTGACTTCGACAGAGTCAGCCTGTTTGTCCAGAATGGGTTTGAAGATATTGCGAATCGTGTAGTCCGCCGCCATCTCCAGAATGAAAATAGCCGAATTGTGCGCGAGGAAGGTATTAGGGCCGAATAGAATGGCAAAGTTAGGGAAGCCTGCCACGGTCGTGCCCTTGTATGCGACTGCGCCACCAGCGGCCCTCCATTTCTCGTTGAGTAGTGCACCGTCTCTTCCAACAACTTTCATAGGTGTGAGGAACTCTGTGACCCGGAAGCCGGTTGCATAGCAGATGGCGTCGAATTCGGTGCGATCGCCATTCTCGGTCTCAATAACGGAACCATCGATCTGCTTGATCTTGGAAGCCGTAACGTCGAGGTTAGGACTAGATAGTGAATCCAGGTAATCTGGATCAAAGACGCGACGTTTGCAACCAAGTGGGAAATCCGGGATAATGAAGTTGTGATATTTCTCGGGTGTTTTGTCGAGTGTGTACTTTATGGCAGAAGCTTCGACCTTTAGCCTCTCTTTGGCAGCCTTCTCACCATCTCCGTACGTGAGAGTCATAGTTTCGAACAATGAAAATAGTCGGAAGCGAAGGTATCTTTGATAGAGGGGGACGTATCGGCAGAGCGCTTTCGACAAGCTGCTAGTTGACTTGTTGGGTCTTTCGTGGTACCACTGGGCCGATCGTGAGTATTGCTTGACAAACGAAGCTTTCTGGACGACTTTAGGAACAATTTGGCTTGCGCTGCAGCCATTTCCAACGACTGCCAACCTCTTGCCTGTATAGTCGTAGGAGTGGTCCCATCGTGCGGAATGCCAGCTTTCGCCTGTGAAAGTGTCCTTGCCAGGAAGATCGACTTCCCTTGGGGCGCTGATGCCACCAACCGCAGAGACAAAAATGGTCGCCGTTCGTGTATACTCGATACCCGTGACAAGGTTTTTCAACCTTACTTCCCAGATGCGTTCTTCTTCATTCCAGACAGCTCCTAAACACTCGACTTGCAACTCGAAGAAGCCTCGTAATCCGAATTTGTCCACCACATTGTTGAGATAGGCCAGAATTTCTGGTTGTTCACAGAGCGCTTTTGACCAGTCCGGGTTCAGGGCAAAGGAGAAACTGTACAGATGGCTGGGAACATCGCAGCCACAGCCAGGATAGGTATTTGCATACCATGTTCCACCAATACCCTCCATTTTGTCGTAGATCGTAAAATCTCGAAAGCCCATTCTGGTGAGTTTGTAGGCCATGGAGATGCCGGAGGCACCTCCCCCAATGATGATTGCATTTGTGTAGTCCCTCATGTTGTTTCAAGACTCAAACCCTCCCAAAAGCGACGACGCTGACAGAACATACAGCACATGGTCTCGAGAAGTTATTGGAAACCTGCGAGGTCGATGACTGGTCGTCTCCCGAGGATCTAAATCTAAGTTTCCTATCATGGGCGCGTACAATACCGCGGCTTTGAGACTAGGTTCGATGCTCCACAGCGCCCAACTCCCCGGTACCTCGGCTGAAGATTCTAAACAATGTTGCCCGTGGGGTCACCCGTTCTATGCTCGGCTCCATCACGATTGAGAATGCGGAGAATTTGAGACCTCGTATCTTGAGATTAATAATGGTCTGGAAGAAGGCATACGAGACGTTTAGTGTTGTGTATTCCCATAAATAAGTGCATCAGTCGCAGACCAATTGCTGAGCCACGGAAATCCTGTGAAAAGAACAACGCTTTGAAGCAGACTACTTCACCATGTCGTCCGCTGAGCCACCAAGCACGCCAAGTTGGGTCCTGAAACCCGATCATAGTTCGACCGTTGACCGCATCCGGTCGGTGGCCGGAAAGGTGGCCGTAGTCACTGGCGGCGGTCGTGGAATATCAGCACAGATAGCGCTTGGTCTCGCAGAAGGTGGCGCGATCGTGGCTATCTTTGATGTTCTGCCCGAGCCAGTCAAGGAAGAATTTGACGCCATTCTGCAACACTGTTCAAAAGCCACTTATTATCGTACCGACGTGACATCCCCAGAATCCCTGGCAGAATCCTTTAAATCGGTGCTACAAGATTTTGGAAAGATCGATATCTGTGTTGCAGGCGCAGGCATATTAGGCGATGCAGCTCTTATCGACATCAAGGAAGCCGAACTACGTCGTCAAATCGAGGTTAACCAGCTGGGGGTCTTCTTCACGGTACAACAAGCAGCACGACAGATGGTGGCTCAAGGCCATGGAGGAGCGATTCTTGTTATTGCATCCATTGCATCGTATGGGTCCTTGAGAGGCCAACAAGCATCTGCGTATGTTATGACGAAATGGGCAGTCAGGGGCCTGGTAAGACAGGCGGCACTAGAACTAGGCCAGCACGGAATTCGGGTCAACTCATTGTCACCTGGCTATGTCCAGACAGGCCTTTCCCTACCATTCATCACAGAAGAAAAACTGAAGGAGTGGCATGGGAAGATACCCTTGGGCCGTATGGAGAGACCAGACGAGTTAAAAACGCCAGCGGTGTTTCTGTGTAGCGATGCTGCGGGCTACATCACTGGTACAGATCTACTGGCCGACGGGGGCTCACTATGCTGAGAGGAACAAGCTGGATCTCTCAGATTGACAGCCATCGCAACAGATAGTTCATTTTGGATAATTCTGCATCTGTGAGCGTCAACGTTATACTAAAAGAGTATATTTGTGAAGAACCGACTGTTCCTGCCACTGATCACAAAAGCACCAAAAGTGCTTTTATTTGTCAACTACAACTTAATTGAGCCAATATACATCCGTTGCATTCGAACGATTGTTAATTGCTGTAGCTAGCTATTGATGCTCTGCAAAGCTGCGAGACAGCATCCGGCCGGCGAGAGGAGTGCCAACCTTAACAGCCATTCACTGATCAAAACAGAGCAATGGCGTTGGCTGGTGATCCTATGCCCGAGGCCACATTCAGAGGGGCACTCGTTAGAAAGAATGACCATCGTTGTAGGCTTCTGCAGACTTCTGCCAACTTCTCCATATCCCACAGCTTTCCTACAGGCATTCCCCACATGGCCAGGAAGTACTCGTGAAGCACAACGTCTCTAGGAGGCCATACCTCATATGTGACATTGTCCGAGACGACGGCAGAAAAATGATGATTCCAATGCCTTGGTGCAAGTCAGCTGAGATTCCAGAATAATGGTCAACTGAGCAGCTCATTATACTTACCATCTGCACGACTCACGGGTGGCCTCGATGCCCAAGTATTCGGTCCCCTCGAGGGATCCTCGCTTCTTCTCATCGTCAGTCGCCGTGGTGCTCCATGCGATGAAGCCAGTGCGAATGAGAAGGATGTCTCCAGGCATGAATGTTGTCTTTTGCCATTTGGCTACCTCTTCAAGCTGGGACACCGTGATCTCGTCCCGTCCGATGGGATGGCACGGAAGATTCTTTTCTTTAGCCCACGACGCCCAGTCCAGCAGAATTCCCCTCCCGCAGATACCACCTCGATCGTTCCACAGTCTGGTGCCCTGGTGAAGTGCGTTCTGGAGGTGGAATTCCTGATGGCTGAGACCATTGTAGTATTTCTTGCTTCTGCCACGGGTCAATGAACCGCCACGTCCGCTCAAGTCGGATCAAGCCATACTTCTGATGTGCAAAATGTAGAGGAGTGTCCCAATGCGATCCATGCTGGGGACAGAAGCTGAGTTCGTCGTCACTGGCATAAACCTCTGATGGGCTGAGATCTATAATACGATGGTGTAACCTCATTCGCTTGAAACCAGAATATTGCGGGTTTTCCAAGCCCCAATTGAGAGATACTGTCTGGCCACATAGAATCTCACGCTTTGCTGCGTCCAAAACCTTCTCTTGTGTCAGCAGATTCAAGGTTCCGAGCTGATCCGTCTGCCCATTACGATCAAATAGTCCCCAGGCACATCCGTCAAGTCCACCTGATGAAGGACCTGGAAGTGAGTCAAAGTCTGGTAAAGTGGTGAGGTCACTCATTCTGGCGATGGCATGTTTGTCATGTCAAATCTGGGATTTCTATCTTACGCAGCAGGTATACATTGTTTAGCGTATTTCCTATGAGTCTTCGCGTCCACTCGAAATCTGACAGTGGAGCCCCAGTCTCTGGAAGCGGGCAGACACATTGCCCCACGATACAGTGCTCTACCCATGGGGACATACAATCAGTGACTTCCCAAAAGGGATATTATGGCGTGCCCGTCCTAAGCACCGAGACACGATATTAACTTTCCCGAGGCGATAATTGCTCGGCCTGCTTCTGTTGTGGCCGAGGCTGCTGGAGATAGGAGGTCTAGATCTCACCTTTCCTCTTCGACTAGATGCTATCCCCCACACTTTGCCTAGGTTGGATCTGCGTTGTCTGGGGTCGACCCAGACTCTCGGATTCTCACCTGGCGAACATATAAGTCGTCGCGCACCCCCGCGTCTTGGCCTACTTATTCTTTCTGCAGATCGTTTTCAAGGGCATAAGTCAGAAGTGCAACTATGGGCAGATTCTATCGTGGTTTCGTGCCCCTTAAGGGCCTTGTCCTGCAATCATGTATTACTGTCTGTTCCGCCATGACTTTCTTGATGTTTGGTTATGATCAAGGAGTTTTCGGCGGCTTGATCGCTATCCCTACAGTCCTGGCCGACCTGAAGATCCCCGACAAGGACGCCAATCTCCAAGGCACGGTTGTGGCTATCTTCGACATCGGCTGCCTCGTCGGCTGTGCGATCTGCGCCTTGTTCGGCGAAACAATGGGCCGACGAATCTTCATCATCATCGGAGCACTCTTCATCATCACCGGCGCTGGACTGCAAGCTGGAGCGCCGGATTGGCGAATGATGGTTGGAGGCAGAGTCGTTGCAGGCATCGGTGTGGGTATGGAGACATCCTTCATTCCAATCTGGGTCTCCGAATGTGCTCGAGCTGCCTATCGAGGAGCATTGGTTGCAGTTCAAATGAGTATCGTCCTCATGGGACTTGTTGTCTCCTACTGGTTCGACTACGGCACGGTCAAGAACCTCACAGGAGGAATCGTGTGGCGACTTCCTCTTGCGTTTCAGGCTGTCTTCGTCTGTATCACATTGTTTACGATATGGGCTCTGCCGGAATCACCCCGTTGGCTTTACAAGAAGGGCTTTCATGCAGACGCTGACGATGTCATTGCACGCATATACAACGTCCCTATCGATGACATATACGTCAAGAGACACCGCGAAGAAGTCTTACAGGCCCTAGAAGCAGAAAAGGAAGTCACATTTCGACTCAAAGACATCTTTTTCGACTCATCCAAGGTCAACACTTCTTGGAGGATATGGGTTTGTGTTATCATCCAATTCCTCCAGCAGCTTGGAGGCATCAACTTTATCGCCTATTATGCGGCCTACCTCTTCATCAACAATCTTGGGATGACCCAACATACAGCAACCTTGACTGCTGGAGGCCTCAGTCTAGTCTTTTGGGGTGGTTCCTTGACGTCAATCTATACAGTCGAGAGGTTTGGCCGAAGACCAGTACTGCTATGGGGTGCAGTTGCATGTTCGACGTGCATGATTTGCTACACCATTGGTCTGGCTGTTTTCAACCAAGCGAGTCTGACAATGGCTGTGGTGTTCATCTTCCTGTTCGACTTTTCCTTTGGAGCATCATGGTGCATTGTACCTTGGATGTATTCTCCGGAGGTCACGCCGCTACATGTCCGACATGTCGGCACAGCTATGGCGGTCGGCATGGAGTGGCTGATGACATTCGTCGTTGTCAAAGTCGGCCCTATCGGTATCCAAAACGTGGGATGGAAGTTTTATATCCTGTTCTGCGTCTTCAACGTCATCCAAGTCATCTTTGTGTACTTTGCGGTCAAGGAGACAAAGGGACTTACTTTGGAAGAGATCGATTACGTGTGGGCAAAACCTGAATACAAGGCCGAGTTGGAGGCTCGACTTCACAGCGTTGAGCATGAACACGTTCAAGTGGAGAAGACAGATCCTTCTGTCCATGTAGAGCGAGAGGGTCTGGAGTAGGCGTCGAGAGCTCGAGGTGGCAAATGGCTGCAAAAAGCTCAGAAAACGCACATCAAAGGAGTGTTGCTCATCGATTGTGAGCGCTGTCATGGTCTCCAGGAAGACAGCCATGAGAAGAGTCGAGTGGGCGGAATTGTTGGACAATGTAAATAATAGGAATATCAAGCACAGTGTTATCTTCTAACTTTGCTTCTTTGCGAAACAATGTCAGATCTTTTTAGAGGTGTTCTGTGTGATTGGAGCACAGTTGATGCTGAGTCCTAGACACGCCAAAGCATTCGGCAGCTCGTGCTATTTGACAAAAACTGCTTATCTAACTCCGTCTTTGGGTTTGCTCTGGGTGTGTGTACGAGGTAGTGCGTCTTCTTTCATCTTGACTTCCCGCATATGACGATTTTCTCTTTTCCCTATTTTCGAAGCTCTCGTTTTCCAATCGAGATGGTGTGAGTGAACATCAACGAGATACAGCGCCCTCAGCAGTCTTAAGTATCATCTGCTAGTGTCTCACGTCGGGTAGATCCATGTCCGTATCTGGTGACGAGGCCAGTACCTGCATTCTGTATCTCATAGAGGCACGGATTCAGCCAATAGCCAGTCTACTCTCCACGACACGAATAGCGATTGTCTGGAATATTTATTGATCCGGCCAGCCAAGGCACACATCATGAGTTTGCATTCAGGGAGCCAATCGAATGTGCGTGTTTCAATCCACCAGTCAAGCCTGAGGCTTTGTCCTGCTGAGTGCAGCGAAGCAGAATCAGCAGATAATGTAAATTTGCCTTACCACGCGAAGGCCGTGACCACGACTTCAGAGTTTGGCAGAGATGACTTTCGCCCCAATCTTCGTCGCATCCTTCCCACTGACCACAATACTGGTTCCCATTCGACTTGGATCGTCTCTTATGACCTTCTTCAGAATCTTTCCTGTAGGACTTTTTGGAATGCTCTCCACGATCTCTAGCTTTGACAGCCATTTATGAGGAGCCCGCTTCCGACGCACCAACTGCAGTAAGTCCATACCTACTGTCGTTTTGTCCGCGGGAGCAGTACCAGCATTCCTCAAAACCACGTAGGCTACTGGTGTCTCTCCGGCATAAGCATCTGGAGCACCCAGAACGGCACAACTTTCGACTTGTGAATGTGTCAACAGTAGATCTTCAAGCTCTGCAGGCGCCACACCAACGCCCTTGACTTTGATGAGATCCTTGATGCGGTCGCTGACAATGAGGAAACCCTGATTGTTCATCCTGCCTATGTCGCCAGTATGGAGCCAACCTTCACTGTCAAACGTCGATGCGGTGGCATTGGGATCACCGAGATAGCCTTCCGTGATTTGGGGACCTCGGGCGAGTATTTCCCCAGTCTCATCCACCCCCAGCTCTCGACCGTCGTCTATGGACCGTATGCTGATTTCTGTATTGGCCACCAGGGTGCCTCCAAAGCCAGCATTTTCATAGCCTAGCATGTCTGGAGGATGCAGCGTTATGGCACTGCAGGACTCTGTGAGGCCGTAGCCCTGCTTGAAACCTGTTTGGGGAAATCTTTCCTGGAGCACTTTCAGAACACCGTCTGACAAGGGCGCGGCCCCGGAAAAGAATCGTCGAATGCAGCTCAAATCATACTTTTCAACGAGGGGACTCTTGGCCAGCAGGATTATTATCGGTGGTACAAGGCAGAGTTCTCGAATCTCGTACTTGGCGACCGCCTCTAACATGCCCTCCATGGAGAATTTACGCATGAGGTAAACCTCAGCATTAAGGGCGACCGGCACGTGAAGAATGTGAATGAGACCCTGGACTGTATGAGGACAACCAATTAGCACAAAGTCGTCGGTGTCTTTGGGGGCCGTGTAAGACTCTTACTGTGGTACACTGGCAGGGCCCCAAGAACCCTGCGGTGATCGGTGGACGTAATCTGCTCGACCTGTAGGCATTGCGCAATCACATTCTGGTGTGAGATGATGACCTACATGGTCAGTCTGCCGTCTTGTGGTCATTTGCGATCGAGCAGGTACTTACTGCCTTTGGTAAACCTGTCGTGCCACTACTGAGGTTTAGAAAAGCACAGATATCTTTGTTGGTCTGTCCAGGCGGTACTTTATATGCGCCGATTTGCTTCTCTTCTCCGTAACTCTTTCCGAGATTTGCAAGAGTCTCGAGTGTGTTGCCGGTCTCAATGCTGTTCGGCTGTGGTTCAAGGAGTATTATGCTACAGTCATGACTCAAGTCCTGCACGGCAGCCACAGCAACGCTCTTGAGTTCATAGGTAGTCCACAGGATTTTGGTCTTCGTCTTCCGCAAGGCGTATGAGAGTTCGTCCTTTGTGTAAGTGGGCGACACTCCGGAGACCGTTGCTCCTGCGAAGCCGTCCTGTCAGTCTAGAAGTGGGACTATACAACAGGCCGATTACCTACCTAGCCGCAAAGCCGCAAACATTGCTACCGGATACCATACTGTATTTGGACTGAAGATTGCAACCGCATCCCCGAGGCATGTTCCATACACAGCACCAAGTGCAGTCGACAAGTACGTTGCATAGTCTTTGAGTTGCAGATATGTAACGCGCTGCTGTGTATCGACATCCGTATATCCTGACGTGGTGCGTTTGGTCCGTCGGTCGAAAGTGTGCTCGGTCAACCATTCCCATATGGTCTTGTCCACAGGAACTAGCTTGCAGTCAGCAACTTGATGTTCGTGTCATCGTAGAGGCTACTACTTGCCATCCACACGTGGATGCGACGAGCGAAAGATCATGTTTCCGTGTCTTGACACATCTGTGGCCACACATTGAGCTACCTTCGAGGCACATTTCGTCTACAGTGACCGTTTTCCTTGCTCCCAGAGTTAGACCCACGTGACGAGAGATGTGTTTTGCCGATGAGCCTCACAATCGACGACTTTTCAGCCTGACGATGAAATGTCCGAGGTGCATGAGGGCGAGCCTCGGTTTGGCAGTCAACCTAGGAACAGCTCACCATTCTGGCATAGCTTGATCCGAAAGCTAAAAGGCGGGCAGTCTGGACCCAAACAGACGTGCGAACGGTCATCCTTCCTTCAATACACCACATGGTGTTTGTGTCTACTCACAAGAGTTATTGCTCCAGTTGCTCGCCCTTCGAAAGTGGGGTATTTCCTCGCAATCATGGAGTAATCATTGTTCCCCAGCCATGGAGATTTTTTTCCATCATGTCATAGCAGCACGAAGACTCCCACTGCCTTCCCCTTATCCATCTACGTTTGCTTTGTCAATCCAGTCGAGACTGATGAGTTGGACGTCGTTGTCATCGTGAAGGTGACCCTTGAAGACCATGTACGTAGTACTTGCCTGGAATCGTGGTACAAATGAGATATGTCCATCGTCCAGCCCAAGAAAATCATGCGTTGGTCCTCTTGTCGAAGAGCAACCTTAACTTCTGAGTGTTCCTCGGTGGGCTGGTAAAATAACTTTCAAGAGTACTCATTTTCGCTTGCTCGTCAGCCATTTACTTAGCGTTCGAAGATAGCGCTACAAGGATTCGCGCTACCAAAGGCGCATGAATGGAGACCCTAACACGTGCTTCCTTCCCCATAGCATTCCCCGTGGCGCGGATATTGTGGAGGATTTGGCTCTACCGAACCACATTTGACTGGCCGAGATTCATTGCAGGCGGACTAATGCCGACTGGTCCTCGGCGTAATTAATGAGTACCCTGCTTGCTATTCATGTCACCAGGGACTTCTGCCTCGGCTAAATCGTTCATCGCATTTTTACCTAACAAGTAGGACGGTCACGAGTTGGACCCTATTTTGTCTCGCGTTTGCGGCCACGATGACGAATCGTCTGCACATACCCGATGCCTATTCAAGGCCTGTCCCAACCCAACGTTGAACAAAGACGCGCGTGATCGATAGATTGCTTTCTTTATTTATCTCCCACTTAGCCCAGGACAGCTTTGAATTCAGTTTGAGAGCCATGGGTCGCCCAGTGCGTTTAGCTGCCGTTGCTGGCTGGCATGGAGATCGGAAGGAAGCCATGTTGGCCCAAGCCAAAGCCGACCCTCCCGCTGATGTTCTTGTTGGCGATTGGCTTGCCGAATTGACCATCGGTTGGGCGGCGAGGGAGCGATATGTTGACCGCCAGAAGGACCCGAATCACAGCGCGGATGGATATTACATGAAAACCATTGTGGAACTCTTCGACCGAGCTGTCGACACCATAGTAGAGCGCAAACAAAAGCTCATTACTAATGGAGGCGGCTTAAGTCCAGAAGGCTGTGCGAAAGCCCTGGAGCAAGTGCTGCAGAAGCATGGCCACAAACTGAAGATCGCATATATCTGCGGTGACGACATCTTGGACAGATTCGAAGAATTGAATCAATCTGCACCAATGAAGCATTTCGACAATGGCAAAGAACTACGTGATCTGCACAAGGGTACCTGGATTGGAGCTAATGCGTACATTGGAGCTTGGGGCGTTGTCGAGGCTCTGAGAGGTGGGGCCGACATCGTCGTCACGGGTAGGACCACTGACGCATCGGCCATTGTCGCTGCAGCTGCGTGGTGGCATGGATGGAACGAGGAGCAGTACGACCGTCTGGCACAAGCTGTGGTCTGTGGGCACATTATGGAATGTTCCATGTACGCTACGGGTGGAAATTTCTCTGGATACAAGGCCCTCTTCGACAAACCACATGACACTGCATTTCCGATCGCCGAGATTGAGGCTGATGGCTCATTCATAATCACCAAGTCCCCTCACATGAATGGTCTGGTGAGTCGTCAGACGATCACTGCGCAGATCTTGTACGAGATACAAGGCAACATCTACCTCAATCCTGATGTTCAAGTCGACCTTCACCGGGTGACCGTCGAGGATGCGGGACCCGATCGTGTGCGGGTGACGGGGGCGAAAGGCTTTGAAGCTCCCAGCACCGCCAAATGTGCGGTTTTTGCCGTTGGCGGGTACCAGGCGGAGGCCTTTGCCTTTGCGACCGGGTTGGAAACCACGATCAAATTCAAAATGTTTGAGAAGCTGTGTCGCTACTGGTTAAGCACACAGCCGCAATATAAGTTTACAACCTTGACATTCCAGCACGTTGGAGTTGCGGCGGTGGATCCCAAAAACGAGCTCGAGGCCACTCAGACGCTACGTATTTTTGCACAGGCCGACCGAGCAGAAGATTTCCCTCCAAACGGCTTACAAGCAATGGTCGAAGGCCTGAGTATGGGCACATTTCCCGGCTTTCACCGTGCCCTTGATATGAGAAACACGCTGCCCAAGCTGTATATGGACTTCTGGCCGTCGCTCATCCCCGAGTCCGAATTGAAACTGTCCCTTTCGTACCTCCACGGAGATACGGCACCTCTTTCCAACCATAAACACACCATCCCTGCCATGAAGTCAGATTCATATGACCCAAAATCTTCTTATGACGAAGACAAATGGGGTCCAACAGTACGCGAACCGCTGGGAAGCATTGTTATGGGTCGCTCTGGAGACAAGGGAGGCAATGCGAACATTGGTCTTTATGTCCGGCACGCAGACGAGTATCAGTGGTTGAGGACGTTCCTCGACACGAAGCGTTTCGAATATCTCCTGTGTGACGAGCTGAAGCACATCACGAAATTGGAAAGGGTGGAATTCGAGGGCCTCCTCGCCGTTCATTTCCTCTGTCGCGGTCTGCTGGGCGAAGGTGTCTCCAACACCTCTCGTCTTGACGGCCTGGCAAAATCCATGATTGAATTCGTTCGAGCTCGTGTGGTTGATTTGCCAATTCAATTTGTCAACAGAGGGCGGATATAGGCCATATGGCCACTAGCTAACGTACTACACACGGGAGACCGCCAAGTACTGTCTTAGACTAGGCGAGACACAAGCCCGGCCCTGCCGAATCAAGTATATCTCGCTACAAGATTGACTACAATATGCCTTTTCTTCTGTGTCAACCACCATTCGCTAACAATCGAAGCTACTGTTTCCCAGTCGTCGGCACCTTCCATGTCTATCTCTACCTCGAGACCTTTTCGATCCTGAGAGTCCAAGATTGTTGCGCGGCATTCGGCCTGTAATGCCGTTTGCCCTCTCTTGGCAGCAAAATTACTCGCTGCTGTGGCGGTTTTATGCAATATGTCGGTAAATCTGAACCGCGTTGACGCCGAAAACATTGTCGCGCTCTGAAGGACTCTCACTTCCTTATAAAAGGCCATGTATTTGATTAAAGCACGCGGCAACTCCGTGGTGTCGCCCTCCCCAGAATCCGAGACGGGAGGTGTTACCGAGTGAGGCGCTTCCACAGACTCTACAACATTGTTCACGGTTTGCGGGGACGTGGAGTTTCGGACTTTGTCAATCTGCTCCCGTCAGTGATGCATGGCAAACAGCAGGGGTTTTAGGCACGTTTGTAGTCATTCGCACCGGACGCTCGATCATACCTTTTCACTAACGTCATTTGCCAGCCCAGAGTCAATATTCCTGACCACGCTGCTCAAGAGGATTGCTTCGGCTTTCGTGGAAGAGACGCTGGCGGTTTCGTCGCCGACAAAAGCACTGGATTTTCGACCCCATCTCTGCGACGGTCGACCCATGTCAGGAAGCTTTGATTTTTCGGTGGGTTCCGATGAACGCTCCTCAATACACTCATTGATGAGAATGCCGGCAAACTCAGCCCCTTGGCATCGGTGACTCATGGCCTTCAGAAGGGCAGGCAATACGTGCTTTTCGGTCCTTGTCAGAGGATGTAGAGGTGAAAAGGGACTATCGACCTTGACCTGGTTCAATGTGCAGTAGACAGCGGTTGGCAGGGTGATCCACGAAGTTCTTATCAGGCATGTTTAGCATAGGAGCCTGACGGTGTAGGGTTTGGGAAGGTGATTTGGGGTGACTTACATAAAAGCAGGGACTGCCTCCAAAGACGCAATTGCAAGGAGCTGATGAACATTGGCAACAACCTGTTGGGTTCCTTCTTTCAGTTTGCGGAGTGACAATTCCCACAAGTTTTTAGCTTCGAAGGGCACGGATGACCACCACTGCAAATAGGGTTGATATAGGATGAGCAGCAAGCCACTGCCAGAGTTAGATATGCGAGTGGCTGAGTGTGAAATAAAGACTAGCACAAACCTTGCGATGAGACGTACCAAGCACACGGTGCTGCCGTACGCATTGTCGCCAGCGCTTACTGCATTCGAATGACATTCCTCTTCGAAGACACGCTTCCACTCTTTCAGCCTGGTCTCGAATTTTGTGACCGAGGGCATCTCTTCGGCTTCGCAAATGCCCGGGCTTGTGGCCGTTTCCCACTGTCGCGTGAAACGAAAGCGACTTTGATATTCCGCCATGTCGGCCTGGATCTCGCTCAACCTGCAAGACGCCAGAAATACGGAGATCATCCGCTTCTTCGACTCTCGGGAGGAATAGCTCGGTAGTAGTGCTTCCAAGCCAAAGTCCTCCTCTGTCAGCATGCCACGTACATTTTGTACCTGGTGGAGGCGGTGAGGCCTTCGCATTCCAGTGGCTAGCATCCGATCACGGATGAGACAACACCACCAGAGGATGGCGCGTCGATCACCTGGGGTCCCAGCACTGGTCTGTGCATTCCAAACCGCCGCTTCGCGAGCATGACAATATGCACGATCTAACCAGAAACTGTTGACTTGCAGCTCGGTGTCGCAAGGACTCCAGAATGTGAGCAAGATGGTGACTTGCGCCAGCACGTACGGCTTGGTGGAGAACTGGAGGCGGTACAGGGCCTGTGACTGGTTGTTAGATGCAAGGATGATATTGTAACGCAGGACGGCACTTACACGGGCGAAGTCAAAATGGGCCTTTTGTGCTCCATGGACTGACTTGTATGGTGTAAGGTCTAGTTGAGCCTGGCTGACATGCTTAGATAGAATTAGCCACGTGTCCGTTTTGTTGACCACAGACTTACCGCCAGGGCAGTGAACATCATAGCCTGGAGAAGAGGCAGCTCCACGTAGGTCAACAGGTCCACGTCATTTTTGGCGAAGCGATACAAGGTGGTGAAAGTATACTCGTCCACCACTGGACACACAGGGTGTACGTGAACAAAGTAAAGCTTGACCAGGTCGTCCCTGATTCGTGCCAGTGGTGACATGCAAGCGTCAATCAGCGCATCGACGGTATGTTGTTGAGGTCCCCAGGGATTTTGGGAGATGGTGTCATGGTTAAAAGGGAATGTCAATGTCCCCAAGCTCGTTTCGCTCAGGCTGTGAATATCGCTGTCCAGTTCCGGGGGTATCAAGGAGAGCGCGGTTGTCATGTCAATACCTGACGGGTCTCATCAGACACGAAGATGCCGGCGACTTGATGCGGGAGCATGCTTACCAGATTCTTCGAACAAAGTGTCGAGCCTGCGTTTGCGTGGCAGATTGCTTTTAGGCATCTGGAAAGTATTGCCGCCCTCTGGATCGACATATTGTAAACTCGTGGGGTCTATAGCGAAATCGTCCATCACGACGGACGCCTCGCAAGTCTGTCAACGAGGGTAGGCCAGTTTAGTCATAGGAGCACGTTGCACGAGAATAAGCATCGACCTGGGGAAGAAATCTGCATCCACGATTCCGGGCGAGGGGTAGATACGGAGGGCACGCGGGGCACGCGGGGCAATTCGGGCTGCTGAAAAAGCAAGATCACACACAGCCAATTACTTCGTCGTAGAAAAGCACAACACTTCTCCGTACATGACTGGATCAATAGTGGCGGCAAGATCTTGTCACCTATTCAACCGGTGCACGGACGAGTGGCTTGCATGGGGGAGGAAACCAAGGGGATCCTGTGGTGCCATGGGCAGGAAAGTACAGTATAACAGTGGCGGTGCCGAGGTCTCGATCATGGCGTGCCCGCACTCTTTGGGTTCATTGCGAGGACAAGAAACCTTGCCGAGGTGTCGTTGCGTCCTGCCTCGCTAGCTGGTGGATCTTCTGACCAGGCGATGTGCTACTCCGTACAGATCCATCTCTTTGTCGAATAGTCTTCGTGGCTCGACTGTTCCCCGTATTTAGGGAGAACGTGGATATGGATAGTGGATATGGATAGTCTACAAAAGCATCGTCCCATCCAGCTCTTATCTGAAAATGTACCATTCCTCACGTCTCGGTGCCTGAACCTGTTGTTTCACCGTATCCGGCAAATCCAGTCTTTCCTGTCAAGACTTGTCCATCATGCAGAAACTCAATTGGGGTAACTTTGCCATCTGCTTCGCTGTTTCGCTGGGCCAACTATGCTTCGCATATCCGTCGTCGATTATTAGCACCACTTTGGGACAGCCCGCTTTTTTGGAGTTTTTTCACCTGCTTGACAGCAAAGGAGCCATCAGTCCGAAAGGAAATTCACTGATAGGAGCTTTCAATGGCGTGTTTCAGGCAAGTCTTGGACCAATTCTTCGCGGAGCGCAAGGCTGACCTTCGGTCACCCAGGCCGGTTCTATCTTCGGCGTCATCATTGGTGGATACCTCATGGACAGATGGGGACGCAGACAGGCGATGCAGGCTCTCTGTATCGTATCCATGATCAGTGGTGCCCTGCTGGCGGCCAGTCAGAATTCGGCCATGTTCACGGTCTTTCGATTCTTCAGTGGACTCGGCAGTTGGGCCTTCCTGGTCATCAGTAAGTGATTCCATCGCAGGACAGAACCGGTCTGACAACTGGGCAGCACCCGTCTACTGCTCGGAGTTGGCCCAGCCACAATACCGTGGTCTTATGGTCGGCATGAACGGGGTCATGATTGGCCTGGGCTACTCCATCGCGTCTTATATTGGGCTCGGATTTTTCTTCTCCACCAATGCTACGGCACAATGGCGAGCACCTCTGGGATTGGCCCCTTTCTTTCCCATCCTCATGTTCATAGTCCTATTTTTCATTCCCGAGTCACCTCGCTATTTACTGATGCATAACCGTACGGATGAAGCGTGGAAGGTGGTTTCAAAGCTGCATGCCACGCCCGGAGATCCTCAGCAAGAGTTTGCCAGATCCGAGTTCTATCAGATGCAAAAGCAAAGCGATGCTGATCGGGAGATGGACACATCTTGGAAAATGATCTTTACGAGACCATCATATCGCAAACGCATGCTTATTGGCATGGGGTTCGCATTTTTTGGACAAAGCACGGGTGCTTTCGTGGTCAACAACTACGTAGGATTCCTGGTTTCCCTACGCTTGACGCGCTCGCTGACATGCACAGGCGACCGTCATTTACAGTTCTATGGGATTCGGTGCAAAGGATCAGCTGATCCTGGCTTGTGGCTGGATCTCAGGTATGTCTGGCCGTTCGTACCCGTCCAAACATGACTAATATCTAATGATTGCAGTGAGTATCTTTGGCAACTTGGGAGGGGCCCTCGTCGTGGATCGTCTCGGACGCAAGCCACTCATGTTGTGGGCCTTCATTGGTTGCTGTTGCTGTTTAACACTGGAAGCTGCAATGGTGGCTAGGTATGCCGCGGAAGGGACGAACAAAGTCGGCCTGGGCTTTGCCCTTTTTGCCAGCTACAGCTTTTCAGTCTTCTATACACCGGGCATCGACTGCAACAACGCCATATTCTTGGGAGAGTTGTTTCCAAATCACATTCGTGCCAAGGGCGTGACGCTGTGCCTGGTCGTGTACGCTTGCATTGATCTCGTCTATCTGCAAGTCGCGCCCACAGCCTTCGAGCGCGTGGGATGGAAGTTCTATCTGGTAAGATCTCATTCAGCTATGGAGACCAGTTACGGAATGGCATACTTACACTTGTGTACAGCTGTTTATCATCTTGTGCGCCATCGGGGCTGTGTGGGCATGGCTGTTCGTTCCAGAGACGAAAGGTGTTCCCTTGGAGGAGATGGCTGCCATATTTGGAGATCCCGAGGACGTTGTCATCTATCTGCGGGAAGTCCACGTCGATCACACCAATAACGAGTTGGTTGTGGAGCCGCATGCGGACGACGAGAAGGCGTCCATACAGAGAGTCGAAGAGTCTCACGTGCACAATCAACCTCAAGGCGCTGGCACGTTGGAAGCCTAGAAGTCCGAGATGGCAATAAGGCCACTGGGAACAGGAGCTGAAGCGTGACAGCACGAACAGGACCCACAAGCGCGAGAGACATGGGCCGACCTGACTCTGGAGATATTCTCTCTCACGGACTAGAGGGTGTGATGCATGATGTCCAAATGGCGCAGTAGTGCATAGAGCTGGTGCTGAGACGAGACTGAATCTCCATTGCACAGAAGTACATTGGTATCATTGTCCGAAGCACGTCAAAGCCAGGAGCATTCCATGCATTGATTTCTTCGCGGCTTCCAGCCTCACAGGAAGATTCCATGATAAGATTGGAAACAGAAGCAACCAGCACCAACCTTGCTTTGCACAAAGTGGATGCTCGGACATACAACTCGTAACGACGCTGGAGGCAAACCTCAAAGGGAAAAGAATTCTAAGAATTTGGGCCATGGTCAATTGCATTGAATCAGGATACAATGAAATTGACTTTGGTAAGAGTCCTAGTCAGAGCAACCAGATCGTAGTCTGTACCTCAGCCGGTTCCTGACGGCGACTGCACATGCACGTCAGACAACCCTTTCAGAGGTCAAGTCATCTGGCCACCTTGCAGCGTCGACACCGTTTGGCCTCGTTCCAACATGATATCCGGGCCTGACCTTTTCATCATCGAATTTGAGTACGGGCGCCATGACCCGAATCTTCTTTCCTGGACCGAGTGCTACTTCGGCGTCCCGGTCCTCGAAAAAACCGGCCTTGAATAGCCTTTGGGCGGCCGGGCCTGCCTGGAGGCTCCGTAGCATTCGGGGAAAAGTATGACCCATGGTGTGCCAGTGCCGAAACGATTCGTGTCCGGTCTCCTGCCGCGTCTGCTCAAAGATGTCATCTGGATAGGTACCAACGGAGCGAACGAGCCATTGGTTGTAGTAGTTGAGGGCCACGTCGACCCCGTAGCTGCCACCTTGCTCGCCGCGCTTAAGCAGAGCGACCAAGGTACCACAGATTCCAGCTAGGCCAGTGCAGTAGTCACTGTTTGGGAAGATTGGAGTCACTGGCTCATCGAGCCCGAGCGCCTGACCAAAGCTGTGTGCGCAGCCAGTTACCGCATCACTAATCTGTTGCCACCCGGGGCGTCCCTGCCAGGGTCCGTTCCAGCCATAGCAATTCTCTCGCACGTAGATGATACCTCGTTCCCGGCCAGCACACAGGTTCAACACATCCTGCCGTCCAAAGCCAAACTTGTCGAAGGCGCCCGGCCGGTACCCATTGATGACGACATCGGCATCTAGGATCAGCTCGCGGAACTTTGAGCGATCACTCTCCATGTTCAAATCGAGATGGCAGTTCCATTTGCCCCAGTTGGTGTCTGGATGCAGGATGCCGTACTCTGGTAGGTGAGGCGCCGTGACACGCATCACGGATGCTCCGAGCTCTGCCAAACCACGGCCAATGGAAGGACCAGCAAGTATTCGAGTCAAATCCACCACTTTTAAGCCTGCCAAAGGGCGGAGGGCCGAAGTGTGACGACTGTCAGGCCACCAGCCAGGTGGTTGCTTATCGCCCTGTTGTGGGAAATCGTGTATCTCAAAAAGGTCAATATGCTCATTGGCTTTCCCGTGCTCGCTTGCCCAGTATTCGTCTGTCGTAAGGGACACTTGTCCTGACTGGCGATATATATCACTGACCTGGTGTTGAAGTCGGTCAGAGGGGATTTCACGAGCTGCATCCTGGTAGTTTTTCACGGCGTCCTCATACGTGGACACTTCCAGGTCCATTGGTAAGCCCAGTGACTTGAGAGTTGAGTCGGGGTTCAAATCTCCATGCGTGTGGAACCATTTTCCATCAGAACATTGGACCCAGTTGGAAGCAACTCCACGGTGTAGAGATGCATACAATCTATGCTTGTCATACGGTGGGAAGTACTTCTCCACGCTCGGGTTCCCGGGACTCAAACTTCCATTCACGCAAGTGTTCTCGCCATCTGGATCAAGCGTCCACAGAAGGCAGGACATTATGAACAGAGTTGCATGATCAGTGTCGATGGCTACGGCTTGAGCGGGAAGGGCATACTTTCGTTGCAGTAAGACATTGATCAAACTCGCTTCCAACATGGTCAATGCCGATACCGACTCGGCCTGCCGCCAGTTGATGGGAATACTTGGGAGCTCAGAGCCAGTGAGAGTTATCAAAGACTCGGCGGAAGAGCACTCCTTTGGGAGGAACCTGCTCACTCTCGGATTTGCGAGTATCCCATTCCTGAATATCTTCTTTGTCTCTTCCTGGACGCTGTAGGGTGCATCGGAATGGCCGTTAAGGCTCGTGTGAGCTTGCGAATGCCCACCATCGTGCCCATTCGTCTTCAGCACATCGGGGCTCATTTCGGAGGTCATGCTAGCAAGCAGCGCAACAGCTTGTCTCGAGTCTCTTGGAGATCAAATCTGATGATGCGTTCGAAAATCCTCATCCCTACCGATCGTGCAATGACACTCCCCTGCCGCACCTGTTGACATCCCTGTGAATGGGGGTCGCCGATCTCAAGCTAGGTTGCTGATGGAGCCGAGGTTACAAGGACTCAGAGGGCTCGTGCACCACTGCACACAAAATCGTTGAGACTCTTTTGATCTAGTGCGGCACCCAGCAGACTCTTGAACCGCGGCATCCGAATACGAGGCATGATACGCGCAAAGATGCAGTCACACAGATGGCCTACAAAGCTGACTTCTCCGTACTTGGCTGCGAGCTTCTTTTGTCATGTTGAGGCGTGGTGGAATTTGGCAATTTTGGAGGAGTCTCTATCCGAAGGGTCCATTCAAAGTCAACGATGCGGGGAGGGATGCCATCTCGTATCTTACAGCATCGTGAAGTACCGTGAATCGCTTTTCGAAGCGCTTATAACTTAATGCTACGAGGATCGATCCACTTGATGTGGATAGGCCTCGATACGACAACCCTATCGATGCTTAATTCGTCTACGTGAGTCATGCGTATGCGTGCATGATGATGCGGCCAATCTTCACAATCTTTTCAAAGTACGAACAACGAGACACAAGAGATTTGTTGTCACTTATCTTCCACGGATCGTCCTACATATGTTTGTAGAATAGTGTTTTTTTATACTATCGAGAAGCCCAGGCTTCCCCTCTGGGACGTAGTCGATCTTTGGTAACCATCATTGACCTGTGCTTTTGCCTTGAGCATACAGAGGATCTAGTGCCGGAAAGCTTCTTGCTGGGTAGTGGTGATCCAACGAGACCTTTCCCGGAACACTGCGGGATCAAGAGAAGAAGTGTACACAGATCTCGTATGAAAACACAGCGGTTTTTCACTGGTGAAAAGCATTTGATCTCTCACCCTTCTTGAGCAAACCGACATGTGACGGCTGCGGTGTCATACCTCGATGATAAGGAAGACCCAAGAACCAAACTTCCATCATCAACCTAAAATATGGCGATAGCGTTGGGATGGCTTCCTACACCTCCTTTACGTGTCCTTTCGTTAGCGCACAATGGCCTTCATGACATCGAAGGGTTTACATACCGCGCACATTGGTGGGGACGCTCGCCACAAAGAAAGCATATTGATTCTTGCGTTTGCACGTCTCAGCCAACTGGTCCAGATCCCACATCTCGCCAATGGGCACGCCCCAGCGTGTCAGTAGATATTGATGGAGGTTGATCGATTGCCGTGGCCAAGCTTCGAAAGCCGGTGCATCTCCCACCACAGCGCTGAAGTAATTGTCGTGCAGGAAGTCAAGCATGTCTTCAGTTTGCTCAACCCCGACGAATGCGTGTTCCGGGATTTTGAGAGTGCCCAAGTGTGCGCGTTGCTTCTCATCCAGACTAACATAGTTTTCGGTGAACCCTGAACGGATGATGAGGATATCACCATACTGGAACTCGATGCCGTGCTTTTTCGCGATGGCGTGAATATCACTTAGTGTAATACGGTGTGTGGTGATCGGATCGTAGCTTTTACCAGCATAGTCCCAGTAGTCGATAAGCACGCCACGGCCGGCTGCGACACATCAACACTATTTTGGTAGAGTATGGTCAGGAGCTCATACCTATGCCATGGTCAGCCCATGCCTGCATTCCACCACTTTCCGCCTTGTAGATATCGTCTGCGACAAGCTATCCTTCCGTTAGCCGACCTCTTCAGCCATGGGAACGTGACGCTTACTCCGTTATAAAAGATGATTTTACCATTATGCGGTAATCCGACCTTTCAAGAGCATCAGAGTCCATGGCCAAGAACTAGCCAGTGGTGTGACAGTCTTACATGGCGAAACCCATCCCACTGTCGGTAAGCTGTTAATTGCAGGACAGACGACGCTCTCTCCTCGAACGACTAACCTGTGATCCACTTTGCGTGTTCATGTCGTACAAATCGTCAAAGCCAGATGGACCGATCGGCTGGATAGTATGCTTGAACCCCTGTCTGCCAAAGGCTGGAGGGTTTGGAAACTCTGCAGGCCAGCTGGGAAATGGTTATCAGGACGGAGCTGTGGCCGGATTGTTCTTGTACACTCACTTGAGGTTTACAATCTCGCCGGTCTTTATCAACTTCGCCGCGGATGCAGTGCGCCCTGTCGTGAGCATATTAAGACGTCCAAGCTGTCATCGGTGAGATCGCTGCCATCAAGCTCCGGAATTCACGCATACCTCATCATCTTGACCCCAGAACCAAGCCGCTCCATCAGGAGCCCCGTCTATTTTGGGCAGCTCAGAGCGCTTGGGAAGCGACTGAGAGGAAGAGTCAAGCTTCATGACGTGTATTCAGTGCACAATGAAGCTTTATAGGGCTGATAAGCTTCTAATCGATTATTGAGGTCGTGAAGCTGTGCAGGTCGCTGGAGAGCTGAGCACTTTTAGGGTACGTATTGGTGTGCGCACCCCTGGCGGTGGGAGTTGTCCAGGGCTAAGCTGACCAATGATTTGGCAGTGATGATCCCCATGAGCCATTACCTCGGCAGCGTCATAAGGTGGCTTCACCGCGGTGCGGGCTATGATTGCAGATTTCGAACCTAACCTCGGCGGTGGTGCCGACAGAGGGGGTTCCACCACGGTTGACCATGCACGGGTATTGGGTCATCAATCCTGGGGTAAGATTGGAACGCTTGGTTCACGCGGTGCGGCTCCCAGTCCTTCATCAGGTACGTTCTTACTACAGTACATATGATAGCCCCTAACTGGTGCATCAGCTCTACCTCAAAGATCAAATCTCTTGCTTCAACATCGCTTCTTGGATTCATGCTGCCATCGGAAATATCGGAAGGTTTTCCTGGTGGCTCATGGCGGTCGGTATGACCCTGTGGGTTTGTAAGGGCTGACAAGAACAAAAACGTCTACACTGGGCAAAGTACGACCATGGAAGGACGCGTGGTTTTGAATGAACGTAGCATCAGCAGAGGTAGATGTAATACTGAACCGAGGTGGTCAATGTTGCGCGACAATCACGATAATGTTGAGGGCAAGTGCCCCAAGCCCAATGCTGCAGGGACAATGGAATCCTAGTAGACTGTATCCCGGACTCGTTGCAGGCAATCAGTGCCGCTTGTAAAATCATTAAATCGCGGTCCAGTTAGATATCCAGCACGGCGTGGGAGTGAGTCCGTTCCCAGACGTGCGCAGAGCGAAGATGCGGCCATTCTGCATGAACCACCTGGGGATCAGCTAGACAGTATCCAAAATGTCTGTCAAGTGCTTCAGGTACTGTGGATTACCGGGACACTCATCAACGCGTGTTGCCTTCCATCATGGCCGATAACGGTGCGAGTTGGTTTGAGCTCCGATCAAGCAACGAAAATGCATGAGGGTCGGACGTCTTCAAGTGCTAGCACTCATGGATGTAGATGAGGTCGTTGCTGGACTACGGCATTGATCGGCGACGGTGCCCTTGAGTTGATGCTGCTTGGCGACAACGCCTTCAGGGACCAAGCTTCGCCAGCCTACTGGAAATACCCGCACGTTGCGGCCCAAAAGCTCCAGTTGGAGGCGCGAAAGGCGAGTTCACCTTTCACGACATATCTCAGTACTGTTCTTGGCCTTGAGCGCTTTGCCCCGTGACGCGAGTCCTAAGGGGGAAGACTCATGTCCTTTCGGTGCAGATGGCGTTGGCGATCGGCTTTAGTCGACCTGAAGATGGCCGGTGGTGGTGCAGCATGGTAGAAAGGCGTGACGGTTCAGCATGGTGAAGGCCGTCCTGCACTTCCTCCAACCCTGCTGTAGAGGGCGTTTTCAATTGAAGATAGATCACTGCTCATTGATGACTTTTTCCCGTGACTCCGAAGTACCATGTAGAGTGCCATATAGGATAAGATACCAAAGCTCTGTGTCTATTCTGGTCGAGGTTAGAAAAGTGAGGTGTAGGATCGACCATTGGCCAGTGCTTAGCGTAGCCAGTCTCCCTCCCGCACTCCTGCAGCCAAATAGCTCCGGCACGTTCGCCCCACAGCAACTGTTTTTCATGACCCTGAATTATCCCGCTGCCATGCCTTGATGAAAATTAAACCTCGACTGCGCAACGTGTTGCGTAGCTTGCTGTCTTCAACTACCGTTCAGGCTCGATGGAAGTCGACAGCCCCAATGGTCGGCCACGATGACCTCTATACCAATACAGAGGCGCCGAGCTTCTTCTGGCGCGCGGCCTCGTACCAGACTTTGCTAGCTGTCAACGCGTTCTCGCGGTTCTTCATCTATGGCCTCAACAAGACCGAAGTCAATGGCCTGCCACGATTCCTCGACCTCCTCAAGTCACGGTCCGACTATAAGGCGCGTCGACGAGGGTTAGTCACCGTGTCAAACCACATTTCCGTCATGGACGATCCGCTGATATGGGGCGTCCTCCCATTATCCTTCGCCGCGTTTCACGGGTACATGAACCACCGATGGTCGTTTGGGTCTCACGACATCTGCTTCAAGAACAGTGCCCTCTCACACTTCTTCACACTCGGTCAAGTCCTGCCCATGCACCGAGCCTACCATTCCCCCTACGGTGGTCCCTTCCAAGCAACCATGACCGAGGGCGTGCGCTTGTTGTCTAAGATCAACACGGACAATATCGCGCTGTGTCCGCTCAACAACCCGCGTTTCCACAAGTCGTACCATACACCGAGCTGGCCTGGCGACTGTGTTGATCCGTTCTCCGACATGACTCCCGCGCCGGCATACCCGTCCCAGCCAAGCGACGTAAGATGGTATCACGCGCCGTCGCGGTACGCCAGCAATGCATATAGCTGGATCCACATATTCCCCGAGGGCATGATCCATCAAGCCGAGGACAAGACGATGCGGTACTTCAAATGGGGCGTCGCTCGACTGATACTCGAGCCGGTAGAGTGTCCGGACGTGGTCCCCTTGTTCATCGAGGGGACCGACCAAGTCATGCACGAATCCCGCACGTTTCCCCGTTTCCTGCCGCGCATAGGCAAGAACATCACCGTCACGTTCGGGAAGGAATTGGACGTGGAAGCCCGATTCGGCGATCTACGTAAGCGCTGGCGTGAGTTGGCGGATCGAGACGCCAAAGACAGAGGCCTTCCAGGCTGGGACGAACTCCTGCTGGGTATTGTTCCCGAGAGTCTGACCAACGACCCTGAAGCAGTCGAACTGAGAAAAGAGTGCACCAAGCGCGTAAGGGATGCGGTCCTCGAAGTTCGCCGGTCTCGTGGTCTACCAGACGAGGACCCCAAGTCTGGTTTGGTCGAGACGTGGTTGAGAGAGGGTCCGAAACGAGAAGGTCGCATGGACGACGGTTCCTGGGTCAAAGATACCTAGGCATGAAAAAAGCATAGACATGGGCAAGGCATTCCTAAAAGCATAGAGCATATTGCAGTGAACAGCGGCACAAGAAGTAAGAGATGTAAGACTAATGAATTTATTGAGCAACGGCAAGATGCGTGCTCTTCACTATCTCAGCAAGCCCTTCACCGTACCAGAATTTGGGTATCCAAGAAGACCTTGTCCTGTCCAAGGAGACGCCATCGCTGTCATTTAATCCCAACAAGTCTTTTGATGCTCAACCGCATCCAATGCCAGAATCCAATTGTAAACTCAATGGTCACAATCCGCTTCATCGCCAATTCCGAAATACATCTCCAAGATCATAATGAGCCCACCCGGGTCGCGAAGATCCACGGCTTAGGCCTCAACTTCAACCTGCTGCGAAGCAGTCATGGCTGTAGGATCTTCACCAGGGCTGGTCTCGGCCCAAGATCCCCATAATCCACGCTTGGCTCGGATCCTCAAAGGAAGCCCAATTGCCTTCTCGCCTTGGTCAACCTTGATAGCGTCTTTGGTAGCTAGTACCAGCACTTCGAAAAACATCTTCGTGGCGTCTTCTTTGCTTGTCCTGCCTTCTGGCACCAGCTCTTGCAGCAGAACAGACTTCTTGGCGGGCGAGGATGGTGGATTGCCTCCTGCATCACCCAGTCGATCGCGTAGAAGGTGTACGGCGTGCTTTGTGCCCAAGGATATCGGGCCGCTGTCTGCAGGGTGAACTAGAGGCATGGTTGTGTCGTCAAACGTGTCGTCACCTCCAAAAATACCTTCATCATCTTCTCCAGGAACAATGTCCTCCAAGGCCGGTCCACTTTCGCTCATCAGGGCTTGTACACCATCGTCGGCTGGAATGTCTGTGACCATTTGAGCTTCAGGCTCGTCGACCTGTACACCCTCGTCTTCCATTTCGTCTTCTGGCCTTTCCAGCCGCGGCGATTTGTCGAGATGCTCGTCCTCACTAAGCCCGCCGATGCCGCTATCTCGTTTGCGCTTCCGCTCTCCAGACTTGGTGAGGGTTTCGAATGACAGCAGGCCCTGGAGTTCTGGTGCCCAGTTCCTGGACCGGCCGTCGTTCATGGCGTCCAGTACAAAGTCGCCATTCTTTTGCATGTTCATAAGAGTGAGCAGAAGTGGATCACGAGGCAGGAATGACGGAGCACGCAGAATCTTCGACCGATCTTCCGCTTGAGCTTTGATTTGTTTGTTGTGCAGGACTGTTTCCGTGTCAGGTGCAAGTGGTTTTTGTTTTCGACTTCGCTGGCGCTGTTGGACGACAACCTCTTCGACTTCCTCCTCTGGCAACTCTTGAAATGTCTGATCGAGTTGGCGCAGCATTTCTGGGTCGGCTTCGGAAAGTGGAGATTCCGTGTCTCTAACACGCTCTCCTTGTGCCACAGCTTCTCGTAGCTGTTGCGTCTCATCGCCACCAAATTCGAGCGGCTCTTCGTTGTCAGGTTGGGGTAAGGCTTCATCGTCGGGAAGAGGTAGACCATCGTCGTCGGCCATTGGGATGTCTTCACCAAGATCCAGGTTGAGGTCATCGTCATCATGTACTAAGCCTTCCTCTCCAAATATATCTTCGTTGTCAGGTTTGGGTGTAGGCGCGTTCCTGCCAACGTTCATGCTCACGGTAGTGTCGTTGAAGTCCATCTCGTCTCGATCTCCAAAGTCCAGGTTAAGATCATCATCGTTGTATAGAGCCTCTTCTCCCGGTATCAGCATTGATTGTGTACTGCTCAGCTGAGGGTTGAGACTGCTGGTCCAGTCGTCGTCCGCTTCCTGTGTCTGGGAGCCTCGTAGGGCTGGTTGTTGGGTCAGAGGAAAGCCGAAGTCCATCGACGTGAAGAGGTCATCAATGGTCAGGAGTTCTGGGAGATTTAGATCGATGGCGGTTGTCGCATGCGCGGGGAGATCGTGATTATTTGTCGACTTGAACGTCTGTAGGACAGTTAGGTATTGCAACCAAGTTCTTGACCTAGGCCACTTACCATTCGAATCTTGATCAGTGCTTCATTGCAGTCGTCTAGTAAATAACGCGCTTTTCTTCCGTAGATGCGCACCACACCGAGCATGAGTTGACCACTGAGTCTGAGTGCCATGGGAGCGCCTCCTTGATCGACAATAGCCCCAACGCTGCTCTGGATGTCGGATTGTAGGATTTGCGACTTGGACAGCTTGCGTTCGACGTTCGACGCGAGCCAGACGCGAGCCAACGGCCCGGTCTTCGCCAACAACTGCTCAGAATAGAACATGGAGGGCAAAGATGATGTTAATGGCTAAATGTTCAATTGTGCATGGGATTTGGAGGAGCGCGACGCCGCGGTAGTGGGTTGGATGAGGGTTGATCAGTCGACGCGTCGAGCCCGATGTTTTGACAGCGATCTGCAGGACTGATATCGATGATACTCTGAAAATCGTAGAGACAGCAAATTCGTTTCGAGGCGACAGGAAACAAATGCAATCGCAGCGCGTAGGGATTGAAGAGGGAGAGGTTGTCGCAAAAAAGGTGGTTGGTAAGAGAATAGTGATGTCGTGGGAATTATTGGAATGCGATGAGGGAGGAGGGAGGAGACGGAGAAGGATAGGAAGTGGCTGGATTAGGGAAATAACGGGCGCACGGGGCGTTAAGATCAGATCATACAGTGCATCATTTCCATGTTCGCAGCTAAAAAGTTGACACCAAGCAACGCGCCGGCGCCCCGCTCGGAAAACTTGCCCTGTTTTAGTGATAGGGTGCTCTAACTTAGGGGTTCCGTCACTAAAACTCTAGAGCGGAGATGAAAATGGGAAACACGCTGGCGACCTCGCTAGTAATGACCTTCCAGGAGAACAACCGCAGCGCCATTCAATGCTGGTATAACTCCTCCATGCAATAACTACCATTATCCTCTTCATCCCCATATACCTACCTCTTCGTCCCCGATCGTTGAGAGTCTTACTCCGACCATATCATCCTTGCACACATTGACATCCTTTCGCTCACACCTCGAGTCCACGCAATCGGCCAAAGTCAGGTTGGGTTTGGGTGAATGATGGAGGGTTTGTTCACATAACACCATGAAATCATGTCAAAACTACCGGTCCCTGCCCTACCTGTCTACAATGCAGAGTCCGCATCCAGTCGACCTCGAAGTCCAGCGCGTTTCGCTGGAACCTCATCCTCGATAACATCCGTCTACTCCCTGCTAAGTCCTCAAGACACCGCAGAAAGACTACACACTTCCCTGGGTCAGGGCCTGTTACAAGGTGAAGCACACGCAAGGCTTGCAAAAGATGGACCAAACGAACTGCCACATGAAGAGGAGGAGCCTCTTTGGCTGAGATTCTTGAAGCAGTTCAAAGAAACTCTCATCCTCCTCCTACTCGGATCCGCTGCCATTTCGCTCTTCATTGGCAACAAAGATGACGCTATCAGCATCGCACTCGCCGTCACGATCGTGGTCACCGTCGGCTTTGTGCAGGAATACAGGTCAGAAAAGTCACTCGAGGCTTTGAACCGCCTCGTGCCTCATTATGCGCACGTGAGACGTACCGGACCTCGGCCGGCAGCACCTTCGCGGACAGCTTCGCGAGCTGAGGGCCTGGGTATCGAGATGGAGCCTTTGGCCAATGGTGCGGCACCGAAATCATCCACACTGATACCTGCCGGTCAGCTTGTGGTTGGCGACCTGGTCCTCTTTTCCACCGGTGATCGCATTCCTGCCGATATAAGAATCACACACTCTTCCGACTTGACCATCGATGAGTCCAATCTGACCGGTGAAAATGAACCCGTCGAAAAGCATGCAGCAGCTCTTGACAGACCTGTCCGTCCCTTCGGAGGTCGCGGCACGCCAGAGCCATCTAATGCTGCTGGGACTGTGGGAGCTGATCTCCGCCTGAACGAACAACACAACATCGCTTTTATGGGTACGTTGGTCAGGTCAGGCTATGGCGAAGGTCTTGTCATTGCAACAGGAGGGTCAACCGAGTTTGGTACCATTTCGTTGTCGCTGCAGGAAATTGAAGCTCCCCGAACCCCGCTGCAACATTCGATGGATCTTTTGGGCAAGCAACTCAGCTACATGTCATTCGTGGTCATCGGGATAATTATGCTCATCGGTCTCATTCAAGGGAAGAACCCGTTGGATCTCTTCCAGATTGGTGTATCTTTAGCCGTGGCAGCTATCCCTGAAGGTCTTCCAATTATTGTTACTGTGACCCTAGCACTTGGAGTACTACGCATGGCCAAGCGAGGAGCAATAGTGCGGAAACTGCCTAGCGTTGAGACGTTGGGGTCGGTCAATGTTGTGTGCAGTGACAAGACGGGCACGTTGACTCTTAACCACATGACCGTCACGAAACTGTGGCATTTCGATGCTCCTTCTCCTGTCTCGGTCGACACTGCGACGCAGCCCACTACCGCCATACAGACAGTGCTGCGAATCGGAAATATTGCGAACAATGGACGACTATCCCACAACAACTCCGGAACTCCAGCAACGGCTGCCTCTGCCGCGGTCCTCTCTTCTACCCGAGATCTTGCTGCGACAGCCACCAAAAGCAGATGGCTAGGGCAGCCCACCGACATTGCCATGCTGGATTTATTGGATGCCTATGGTGAGGACGATATTCGAGACAGGGTTGGCCATCGAACAAGTGAGACACCGTTTAGTTCGGAGCGAAAATGGATGGGCGTTGTCATCGGTAGTCCTTTGGGCGAGTTGACAAACGGTGCTGGTGTCGGAACCGAGACAGCGTTTATCAAAGGATCCCTTGAGCAGGTCCTGAGCCGATCTGATACGTATCTGACCAAAGACGGGCGGGAGGTCGTTTTGGACGAAAACCGTCGACAGGAAGCAACTGCGGCCGCTCGAGCAATGGCCGAAGAAGGCCTGAGAGTCATTGCCTTTGCAAGTGGGATCATTAGGAACAAAAGGCAAAGCAGTAGGAGCTCAACGCCCGCCGGTGACAAGAAATCTGCCGAGGTGGACGTCTTCACCAGTTTGTGTTTTGCTGGTTTGGTCGGCATGAATGATCCGCCTCGGAAGGACGTACACAGGTCTATTCGGAGACTAATGAATGGTGGTGTGAAAGTGATCATGATCACTGGCGATGCTGAGACGACTGCAGTGGCAATCGGAAAGAAATTGGGAATGCCACTCAATCTGACCTCATCTACAGCGACATCGGTCCTTCGAGGCGACCAACTTGATCACATGTCTGAGCAAGAACTGTCTGAAGCTATTGGCAAGACGACCATCTTTGCTCGGACTAGTCCGGACCACAAGCTGAAAATCATTCGAGCACTACAAGCGCGAGGTGATGTGGTGGCCATGACAGGCGACGGGGTCAACGATGCTCCCGCGCTGAAGAAGGCTGACATTGGTATCGCAATGGGCATGCTGGGGACTGATGTGGCCAAAGAGGCAGCTGATATGATTTTGACCGACGATGATTTCTCGACGATTCTCCGAGCTATCGAACAGGGCAAGGGCATCTTTTTCAACATCCAGAACTTTATCACCTTTCAACTAAGCACAAGTGTGGCAGCCTTGACGTTGGTCCTGTTGAGTACGATGTTTGGTTTCAAGAATCCTCTCAATGCCATGCAAATCCTGTGGATAAGTAAGTCTCTCCATCGTTCATTTGCATCAGGTACTAACTGAATATAGATATCCTGATGGATGGCCCGCCTGCTCAATCTCTTGGAGTTGAACCGGTTGATCCGAGAGTGATGAACCAACCTCCTCGGCCTCGGAACGCCAATGTGCTGACCAAACGTCTCATCCGCCGTGTCCTTACACAAGCCCTCGTCATCATGGTGGGTACGATTACAATCTACATCCGCGAGATGGTGGACATCGACGATCCAAATGGTTTGGATCATGCCGGTACGCCTCTTCGCACACGAGTCGTGACCAAACGCGACACAACCATGACATTTACCACTTTTGTGCTTTTCGACATGTTCAACGCCCTCACCTGCCGCTCCGAAACCAAGTCTGTCCTTTTTGGGGAGATCAAGCTTTTTGGCAATAAAATGTTCAACTACGCAGTGGCGGGCAGTCTGGCGGGGCAACTCTGCGTCATCTACCTTCCTTTCTTGCAGCGAGTATTTCAAACAGAAGGGTTGCGGTTGTGGGACCTTCTGGGCTTGGTATTCATAACCAGCACTGTTTTCTTTGTCGATGAGGTGCGGAAGTGGATGGAGAAAAGGCGAGCTTCTAGGCATGTGCCGAGTGTTGGGTATTCTGCCAGTGTATAGACCTTGTATTGAATGGGCCAGTTCTATTTCTAGGCTCGTAGGTCGGTGCTACGTCGATGGGGCACTTTTGTACAAGTATCAAAATACATCGAGAGGAATGAATATATTGGGAGTGTTTTAAACCCATGGCAGCTTAGAAGTAATTCAGCCTCGCCGATGCATTCAAGATGCGTAAGGCTGTGTATTGGAGAACTTCCGATTGGTTGGACATGGCGAACTGATAGTGCATGGCATCACTAACGCACCACCAAGATACTCTCTTCACATCGAACCCCAACGAAAGATCAACTCACGGGCTCTCTGTACAAAAGCAAAAGTACACCCATATTCAGGTACAACTACTTTCTTAAGCCAACGCCGTCAGCAAGTCGACACAGTACCATCTCGGAGCAATTTAAATTTCCCTGAGGCTTGAGCTTTCGGGTTTCGAAATAAATTGTTTGAGCAGCCAGTCCGTCTTGCATCAACAAGCCTTCTGCCGGCACTTTATAAAACTGTTGAAAGAATGCGACCAAATGGGCCGCGCGACCCTTACGCAGGGCCGGAGTCTGGTCCTGAAGAACCCTTTCCGATAAGACTTCAAGGTCCCGTCATTCGTGGATTCGGACGGGGAAGTAAAGAGGTGAGTTTTCCCGTCGAGCACTGCACAGTACAGCACATCGCACCAGGAAAGAAGTCTCGTGAAGGAGCCTGAGGACACTCGGATGGAAGCAGAGCAGACCGAGTATCAATGTTTGGTTTCCGTGGTTGCGGTTCAAGGCTAGTGCTGGTCAACGCCGTACAAGTCCTGCCGCGGGCACGATGCCGACATTCGTTGAGCTTCGCCTCTGCTCCTGCCTCTCACTCCGACTATGTTGTCTAGCCTCTCTTCAATCCATCTCTCAACTCCCATACCCACCCCTCCCCGTACCCTCCATAGCACCACCATCTCATCCCATCCATCCCCCTCCCCCTGTCCTCCCGTCCGAACATGGAGAGGAAGTGATTAGAGACAGTCGCTAACGCTCCTACCCAAAGCTCGGCATCCCCACAGCCAACATCCCCCCCGAAGGACTCTCCTCGTACCCCGACCTAGCATCAGGCGTATACTACGGCTGGGTCGGTCTCTCCTTCACCCACTCCCCCGACACTTCGTCATCCGCGACAGAAATATACCCCGCCGTCCTCAGCATAGGGTACAATCCATTCTACAAGAACGACACACGCAGCGTGGAAATCCATGTCCTTCACCAATTTACGCACGATTTCTACGGCGCCGCGCTCAATCTGTTGATGTTGGGCTTCATACGGCCTGAGTACGATTATGTCAGTCTCGATGCCCTCGTGGAAGATATTAGGATGGATTGTGATGTCGCGAAGCGGAGTCTGGAACGGCCGAGCTACGAGAAGTTCAAATCAGAGAAATGGTTGAGGGATTTTGGGTGGATGTCGAACGTTGATACGGGGAAGGTGGAGAGGGAGGTTTTGAAGAAGGATCCATAGGACTCTTGCTTGTGCGGTCGAGGGGGGTCAAGACCCGAGGGGGGTCAAGACTAGACGTACGCGCAAGGTCTGTTTGTGGTAGACAAAGGCATGTTCAGACAGGATTTGGATATGTGTTGACTGTCTAGAAGGGAAAGCCCATCCTGCCGGATTGTCAGAGTTGATTTCCACAGAGCGATACATAGACAGTGGGTTGTTTGGTTTGATTGCGAGTACATTCTCCAACCTGTCAGCTCTCGGTGCCTGTCTTCGTGGTGTTTTCTCGTGGTCATGGCTTATTCCGTTGACACATGCCACCTTCGAAATTGTGTCCTGTCGTGTTGTTGATGATCCTAGTTCTGCTGCATCGCTTCGCCATCCTCAGCATCAATCACAGCAGCACCGTCCACGGAAGTATCATCATCAGTCAAGCCTCGCTCATAGTCGTCAATCCCGGCCTTCACCTGTTTCCTAGCCATATCCAGTGTTTCCCATTGCCAATCCAATTTGTCATTGTCCTCGGTGATCTCAGCGATTGTTCTCTTTCTTCCGCGCAAGACTCTATTTGCTATTTGAATAGCTCCATAGAGTTTGAAGCTTTTCAGAGTATCCTCGATAGCTTTCTCGAGATCTTTCATGTCCTTTTGTCGTTGCAGCATCCGGATTCTGTCGTGGTATCTTTCTTCGCCCTTTTCCGATTGGTAATCAGACACATAGAAGTGAATACCATTCCTCAACGCTGGCTTGGCTTGCTTGAGGCGCTGCATTTCGGCAGTGATTGACTCGATGGCTCCGAGGTTAGATTTCCATGGATGCTGCTGAGATTGGAAGGCTGCTAAAAGCTCGTTGATGAGTTCTTGCATGGAAGACATGTCGGAACGGCTGGGCTCTGATTGGAGTTCAGCACTACCCAGACTTTTGCTCAGGCGAATATTTGTGGGTGCTGGGCGCGGAGCCGCCATGCAGCTTGTCCAAGGGGTCGAATGGAACGAAGAGCTGAACGTTGGGTAGAAAGTGTGGATACGAAGAAATCAAGGAAATCGGGAAGAAGAAGAAAAGGTTAGCACCGCTTCGTGATCAAGATCATTCATGGAAAATTGAAAGTGAGTAGCAGATCGTGTCAGATGAAGCTGAGGTGAGGTTGAGTGCAGAGAGGAAAATCAGGTGAGGAAAGTGATGGTTGTATGTCACTTTGCCAGAAGCCACACTTCGTGTCCTTTACAATCATACCTCAGTTATAACGATGGTGCCTCCTACCCGACCTCCTTGGACGGCCATATGCACATCCCACCTGAGGATATACACCTATTCCCAAAACCTCACTCCATAGCGAGTCGTGATCCCATGGGTAGCGTCAAATCCGAGCCAACCTCATAATAACTTTTTGAAAGCCTATATACAAGGCAAGAACTGCATCAACGTTAGCATCGAAAACCCGATCTCAACCATCTCAGGGGAATACTCACATTCATGACAATTAGCATGGGAATATCAAAAACATCACGTTTTACCGTCCAGCAATATGTGCAATCAACCTTCCCATCTGCAGAGCCCAATTTCTGCATGCCCTTTTCCCCAGAAATGCCATCCTTCTTCATATCATGCCGCCTGGCAAGATCTTGTCGGCGATTGTCGGTGCCACCATTGGTCTTGCCCTCCTCATTTTGTGCTTCAGCTTCGGCATTGAGATTCTGCGCGAGTTCATCGTCCTTGGTCCGATACTTGAGCAGCTTTCCTCTACCAAGTACGCTGCCGCGACTGTCTCCAAATGCGAGCCTGGCAAAGTCCTCGTAAAACTGCACCACGGAGTCGTCGTCGAGTAACTCGGCAAGTAATACAGGCATCGATTTCTTTTCGCCATTTTCGTCCTGGACCGCTCTTTGCGTTGGCGTGTTGAAGCCAGTATTTCTTGCAGTATTGGGTCCAGATCCACCTGCTGGGGTGGTGCCAGTATGTCCTTTGTTCACATTGAGATTTGGAGTTCGACCAAGTAGAACACTCTTTGTCCAGCCTGTAAGAATCTGGAACTCCTTTCCAACAGCAGCAATCTCACCCGTCCTTCGAGCCACGATCGTTGGAGTTCCCACCCCTTCGATGAAGCCTTCGTATTCCCACAATGTACGCTGAAAACACTTCTCCATGAATATTAGATCTTCCCTGTTCAGTGTTTTCGTGGTTGCAATGAACGAAGGTCGGATAGATGCCAGTGATTTCGCGATAGCAAGTGTTTTGGAAGGGTGGGTCTGAAACCGTTTCTGCAGATATGCGATCAGAGTATGGAACCCAGCCGTATATGAATGTGGTGTCGTCACACTCGTATAGATCGAAGACGGATCTCGAGGGCGCTTTAGAGCCTTGACAGGGAATTGCGACTTTGCTTTTAGCTGGGGGGTGGAAATCGGTAGCGGTTGCCGCGTTCGATTATCAGAAGTGTTCAACTGCTGGCTTAGCGAACCATTTTCAATGCTCGTTGGTGGGGCTTGAATTCCTTGATTCGTGAGGAGAGGTGAATCTTCAAACTTCACACCATTTCCTGGAGTGCCATTTGTGTCTGGCGAGGTCCAGTGGGCAGCATTATTAGACTCGATGGTGAATGCATTGGGTGCCATAGATCGGCCTTGTGCATGAACAGCATACGGATCGGTGGTGCTGTTGGACCAATCGGACATCATGGTATCGTTGTAAAACTGTTGCCGGGCTGTCGGACTCTCACTGAAGCTTCCCAGCGGCATGCGATACTGTTGTTGGTTCATCGAGCCTCGGTGTACAGTTGCGGAATCACTTGGTGGTGTCTCGCCAGCATTGGTAGCCATATGTCCTAGCATTCCAAATTCCAACGCACCGTAATGATTGCCGAAGTTCATACTCGCTGTGTCAAAGTGGAACATGGACTGATCGTCGAGAAACGGGCCATTCCACCCAGCAGTGTTCAGACCATTGGCGCCGTTCTGGTCAGTCCCGATGACAGGGCTCTGCAGCGCAACTTGTCCTCCGATGGCTGTGAAATTGTTGGCTATGGGTGATTGGTGGTTGAAACTGGCGGAACTCATACTCCGTTCGTGGACCATCGGAGGAGGCATCTGCGAGGAATTTTGGAAGTTGTTGAATGTCTGCTGCGGTTGCTGAAAGAAGGGCTGCTGTTGTGAAGACGTGTCGCTGTTGATGGTCGAACTTCGTTTTGTGGTCGGTGGGTTGAAAACGTTCCCAGCAACACCGGGCAAGAGAGCCTCGTTCGGAGCATCGTGCAGGTATTTTGCCTTCTTTCTGACCCCATCCTGGCACGCATCTTGTAAACCTCGTTTTATGCATCTTTGACACGGCCGCTCATCACCTGCAAAGTTGTCAGTAATGAAATGTTGGCGAATAACATGTCAGCACTTACCACAGGTCAAATGGGCACGCTGGCAGGCATAACATGCTCGGCGTGCCTTCTTCCTCCGGGGACGGGAAGGATCCTTTAGATTGGTGGGCTGCAATCCAGTCTTCTGTTGTTTGCTGTCCTTGGGCTGTCCGTCAGCCATCATATTCAGGACGTGTTCGGTTCCACTGTCGTCGGGAGAGGCCGAACGAGAGTGGTCATCTTCGACATCAGAGGCCGTCATATTGTTATAAGGAGATCATCAAGGACTGCCAGATCATGCAGGCTGCACGATACCTTGCACGAAGGCTCCCTCCGTAGCACAACACCGAAATGGGATCCTGCGCCAACTTGGAACAATGACCAGACGGCGGTGGTTCATGCAAACCCCGGAGATCAACAGGAGTGTCCCGACTGACGCAGAATCACGTCAAACTGGCGCAACCGCAAGCTCGAGTCGCCTCAAGGGACCGCTTGCCCGGATCTTGAGAGGGCGCGGAGATGGAAAAGTAGTGGTGATCCAAGCCCGTTGTTTCTGTATGACGAGCGGCGCAGGAGAGGAAGCTGGCAGGACGGGAGAGTGGGTCTTGACGGTGGTATTTCGTGAGCGGTGTCGGTGACTGATGTCGTGCGACCTCGAGAGAGTAGGACAGAGGTAGGCGATCGTCGAATGGGTGTATGAAGACGAGTCTTGGAGACGACGGCGGATGTGGGGGAAGTATGATGTGATGCTGGAGTGGAGGAAATGCGCAAGTCGCACAGCGATTCTCGGTGTGCTTGTGTCAAGTTTCTCGTCGGGAGTCGGTGAGTGAAGGCGAGGAGGTCCTTTCTTCCGTAGAGGATCTGGGAGGAGATTTGAGTTGTGTAGAAGACTGAACTGGGCTTATGGGCGCATGAGGGAAATGGGAGTGCGGATGAAGGTTTGTGAAAATGCGGGCGGAGGGCGCTCGTCTCGTTGGAGGGTTCGTCACTTTCGCTACTAAGCGTAAGTGGGCGGGCCACAGGCTTACCAGTACCACTCATCTGCAGGGTATTTGTTAGGGGCCTTAGGTACCGCCTAAAAAGCCACTGAAGCCAGCCCCTCGGATGCGGAGGTGCAGAAAATGGGGACCACTACTGGAGGTCTAAGCACCATAGTAAGCTACGACTGCGAGCACGGCCTATGACACCCAACCCAACCAATGTGGCGCTGTCAAATACTACGCCAATACCAGAGTAGATAGCTTGTTCAAGTTCGACGACGAGATCAGGTTGTATTCAGTTGGCTGTAAGCATGCATGCGCGATATCACAACAGTTTGCATGTGTCTGTCACAGGAAGAGGGAAGTTGACTGCGAGGAGCAAAGGCGATCTCCAAAGGCTAACAATTGAGTTACTGTAGACCGACGATCATGAGTACAGTGGTTGGAGAGACCCTGGATTGTTACTTGGAGGTTCTCACATCCTCATGGCATACGGAATATAAGGTGGTTACCGAGGTTACCTGGTAGACAGTCGGCTTCACAGGCAGGTTGTGGCCAGGCTATCTATACTCTTGTCTATAAAGTCGTGGTCAATTGCACGCAGGTCTTCAGGCATCGCTGGGCCGAGTTCGGTCCTTGCAAGCTCGCTATTTGGATGATGAAATTCGGTGCCGCGGCACGAGGGCAAACCCCCACAAAATGTCAAATCCAAGATCTGCTTTGGCAGGAGAGCATTTCGGCGCCATCTCCGACGACCAAAAGAAGCACTTTGCCAGACCTAAAACATGAGATGAAGACTCGTACAGATGGTAGCTACATTGGCAGTAGTTTGTACTCCTTGCATCAAGCAAGTCTTGAACCAAAAGGACTTTGGACTTGTTCCGAGTGATGATGCTGCGAAATCAAACATCGTTAGTTCAACCCAAGATCCTGGTTTGCGGCGTTCCCCATTCTGCGAGGCTGTCCGTATCTACCCGAGGAACCGCGGAATCTTTCGGCAAAGGCTCGCCCTGAATGATGTTGATAATCAGTGAGGAGAATACTCGTATTCTGAATCCAAAATACCCTGTGATCAATGAAGTTGGTCCGAGAGAATCTTGCCGATGCTGGCGCGAAGTGCTGCGCCGTGAATGTAGGACAGCCTGTCGGCACTTCATGTTGACTTCCACACCGACAAGTGTACTCACACGTGGTCTGGTGTGCCGTCGCTTCACTCCTTTCATCATCTGAAGCACTCACTGCATGTGTAGTCGTGTAACTCACGCCCCTTGCACTCGCGTCTTTGACCAATTCCCATCCTCTATTTTCTGTTGTGGTCGCTCCCACAGTCTGCACAGGCGAGGCGACGGGCCAGGCGCCAACCCGCCGTCCAGATTTCCACTGGGACTGCACACTACATGTCTAAACCCACTTATCCATGACAAGGGATAGAACAATTCTCCTAACGAGGGAGAATTCGTACCAGGGCAGGCAACATCTGGGAAGATGTATCCGCTCGTAATCGTACTCTTGCCCTTTATAGACAGATGTTCGCTCTGCCCGCTTGAGATCCAGTCCGATCTTGCTGGGCCCGATTCAAACAAAGTCGAGGTAGGAAGAAATATCCATCGGAAGCCCCATTTCCATATGACCATATGCGAAAGCTTTCGAAACATACGCGACCTCGCAGTATTGCTTTGACGAGCGAAGGACATTTCTGCAGGCACGATGCAATGTCCACCTCTTTCACCGGTTCCTCACCCAGAGAGGTTCGAAAATCGGCTCTTCTTCCGCAATCTCTTGCCGTAAATGAAGAACAGATACGGGAATGGTGCCATGGCCAAGCAAAGGCAGGCCAACAACGTGCTTGCTCCGTGGAAGTTCAATTTATTATACATTGCTGTTCCGAACAACGGGAATGCACCTGCAAAGGCGCTTCGTGCAAATGAGTTGGCTGACAATGCACTGGCGGCATACAAGGGGTACGCCTCCACCAGAAAAGTGAAGACCCCTGAGAAGGTCAGGATAGTACCGAACCCGAAGAAACCTGTTGCAACAATCGGTACAATCCAATGGATATCAGGGTAAATCGTCCATGCGAACCAAAACAAGCCCACAACGCAGAACCATGGCCCAACAATGGACGGAGGAAGCCGAAATTCTGGTTCGGATTTGCGTTCGCCGGTTTTCGTCTCGACATTTCGAAGCAGACGTAGGTAATTCCAATGCCATATCGGATCAGAGGCGATGGCCAACAGCATGCCGGTCAAGAGTCCAAGGAAAGACAGTCCAACCTGCCAAGTGTTGAAGTCGTACACTGCTGTGAAGACCTGATGGAATGCGCCGAAGAAGAGATACAGGATCCCAAGCAGGATGGCAGATAGTAAACAGAGATTGAAGCACATGGTCTCCATAAACAGTAACATGAAAGGCCGATACAAGGACTTCACCACTGTCCAGAAAACAGACTTGTCAGAGGCTTCAATGGGCGCCTTCCATCGTTCCTCGCCTGTCTCTTTCCTCTTCTTTTGAGCCTTCTTTCTCAGTAGTACTGGCATATATGTCTCGGGGACAAACAATGTGATGGTTACTAACATGATGCCGGACCAGATCAGCAGGACATAGTAGGACCATCTCCAGGAAGTGTTGTAATTGATGAAGCCGCCAATGATTGGACCCAAGCCCGGGCCAATGAAGGGGCTTGCAGTATAGATCATCATCGGAGCTTGCAGCTGGTCGCGGTTGAACATGTCGCCGACTGTTCCACCAGCGACAGACAAAAAGGCACTGCCCGAAAAGCCATCGAAGAATCGGGCGATCAACATAGTCTCGATGTTTCTCGCAGTTGCGCACGGAATAAGCCATATCGTGAAGAATATATAGGCAAAGATATAAATAGGTCGGCGGCCGTAGAACTCGGACAGAGGCCCCAATATCATGGGTGACAGACCTAGACCAAACACGAACAATGTAAGGCCCAGAGTGGCGACGATACGAGAGTTCCCGAACTCGGCGTCCATCTGGTCTGTCAATGTTGTTAGATTGAGCTTGGAAATGAGAAGACCTGGGGGCAGACAAACCATAGGTAATTGTGTATAACGACGAAGTACAAGTGACACACAGGGATCCGAATGCAAGTATGATAACGATCAGCCATTTCCTCGCTTTGTTCATGTTCTTCGGGTTCATGGGATCATCTGGCCCATCCCACTGAACCTCAAATGCCTTGTCTGGAGACCCTTCGATATCCACCTGTTGTCCAGCATCTTGATCATCCTCACGGCCGTCGTCACTGTAGTATCCGTGACCGTCGACATAGGAGCGGGTGTGGTGCAACGAGGCTCGGGCGCTCGGGCGCGAGGAGACTGGTGTCAAGGTGACGGCTTGATACCCTTCGGGACGCAGGTATGTCTCCTTCTCTTCTCTGGCCGACGCAGTGATGTCCGTTCCCGATGAATCGCCATTCGACGGCTGTGACATCTCCTTCTCGAGGGCGGCGTTCTCCATGGGAATGTGAGGAGCGTTACCTCAATTGTGCATGACTCGAAGTTTTTCCAATCTCCATGTACGCACGACTGGTGGTCAATGGCTGTCTGTTATTCGTTCACAATGCTATTGAGGTCGAGGGAATAATCCGACAAAGTCTGCCAAACGCCCATCTTCACCGGGCGTAGCTGTGGCAGGGGAGGAATCTTCAGGGCCCATGTCGCCGACTGCACACCGCGTTCCGTACAAGTAGGTTTTTCCTAGAATGTGGAGATGTACGATATGGAGTTTGGCCGTTGATGCAATGATGTTGTCATTGGAGAAAAAGCGTTAACTGCGGCTTCCACGGGTAAAGCACCGCGTCGGCAAATGATCCGGTTGATCAGACGTCGCGGACCGCTTCACATTTCTTGTACGAGGTGCCTGCCGACAGTGACCAACACGACCGATGCAGACTACCAATCTGTAATTTATTCTCCACGATCCTTTTATCGTCTGGTGTTCATGATGTGGAATGAAATGATCTAGTTGTCATCGAGATGCTCGAGGGAAAGCAGCAAACGTCAAGGAGAAACTGTATGCCACCGAGAAATATGATTGCGCCTATGTACACCCTCATTCAAAGGTCTGCACGTCTGGCATTCTTCCCAAGCCGCTGCCTTTACTGGCAACGTTGACATCTTTGACGTCCTCCAAAACGCCGCCAGCACTTCTTTCCCGCACATGTCTACGCAGTAAGGTCAAAATCTCACTTTCTTTCCACCGTTGAGGTACTGGTCTGTACGCCGGTTTGAACGTTCCGACAGTTTGCGCCCACTCTCCACTTCGCGGAGCACCTTGTCTCCAAGCATCAGTCTCTTGAGTTTGTCCAGGATTGGCAGGGGAATTGTATTCGGTTGTTTGGCTCTTCTTCGTATCTGTCACCGCTCCTTCTGCGTATTCGAGCGAGGTTGGCGTCGGTGTTTGAGTGGCCCAATAGTATATATCCCAGTCATTTTCGTCAAGGAAGAGATCGTACTGTTCGAGTTGTGACTTGTTCATGGACGATAAGTTTTCCGCCGCAAATGTGGAAAGTAGGAGGTCGGACTCTAATGTCCCTCGCTTCCTGCTTTGGTCTAGAAGAATATGTCAGCAACAAGACTATGAAGGACGATTCCCTTTTATGCACAGCATCATGACATGGGGCTGCACGGACATAGTAATCTTGCTCTCATGGTCGTCAAATCTTCACCAGTCCGGCGTAGGGGAGCAACTCTGAATGTGATTCCTTCCAACTCTCCAACGCCGAACTCTGAAGAGCTTACTTTGTTTGGATCACCTGGTTGTGTTCCTCCTGTCATCCGTTCTGTGTTCTCGGGATGTCGATCCTTGGGAACATGTTTCGAATCCACTGAGCTGATTAGGTCCGGTGGAGGGGCGTCTGCACCCACGGAAGGCATCTCATTCTCAATGGTGGAATTTGTGTTCGTCAAGTGAGGATTGAGCTCCCTCTCTTTCTGATATTTGCGATGCTCTTCGGCAGTCGATGGTGTTCTTTCATTTTCTTTGGTGCTGGGCTCGGAATATGTTTTGTATCGTCGAGGAACAGCGGCAATCAAGCTGCGCCTGGTTGCGAGTCTAGCGAAGACTCGTGTGGACTGCATGATTCTAGAGGTTGGCGATATCTGAAATCTTGGGAGAAGAGAATGTGAGAAGGGACCATTGAAGTCTGTTTGCCATTGGAAGCGAAATGCAGTTGAGAGGGTTGGCGTTACCCGGAACCGTTGACATCATCGATTGACGATGCAAAAACATCTCGGGCTTTACAAAGCAACTATCCTTGACGAAACATCCGATGGTTATGTCTAGTAATCAGACTACTTAGACTCAATAAACGAGGATTTATACTCTATACGTACGCTACTATAGTCTTCTATATGGTGGCTCAGGTTTGTTCTCAAGTATCTTGTCAATCTCAGCCATCACCGCATCATCCAGTTTCGAAAGCAAATCCAATGCCTTTACAGACCTTCCAATCTGCTCAACCTTGGAAGCGCCGGTTATGGCCGAGCTTACATGAGGATTCTTGAGCACCCATGCAAGTGCAAGTGTGGCTTGATCTGTCCCCAGCTTTTCGGCAACTGGCTTCAAAGACTTCACTTGAGCCAGCGTTTTCTGCCACTGCTCATCACCGTAGCTGTCTCTCTGACTGGTCGTGTAGCCTTCTTTAGCGATGGCAATTCTGCTATCTGGAGGAATACCGTCATTGTATCTCCCGGTCAAGATTCCCTGTTTGAGTGGACTGAAAATGGTGAGACCCAAGCCGTAGTTCTCATACAGTAAGGCGAACTCTTTTTCCACCTTGTCTCGCTTCAACATGTTGTATTCTGGTTGCTCCATAACAGGACCGATGAGATTAAGCCTTTCTGCGCAGGCCCATGCCATCGCAACCTCTTCGCTGTTCCACTCGGAGGTTCCCCAGTAGAAGGCTTTTCCATTATTGATGAGATAATTCATGGCCCGCACAGTCTCCTCAATTGGCGTGTGCCTGTCGGGACGATGGCAGTAAAGCAGGTCGACATAGTCCAGCTGCAGTCGTCTGAGTGATGCTTCGGTACCCTCGATCAGATGTTTGCGAGAGAGGCCACCGTTGTTCACGGGATTGTCTCCAAATGCACTACCCCAGTATATCTTGGTGGAAATGACGAGATCATTTCTTTTCCAGCCAAACTTCTTGATCGCTTTACCCATCACGATCTCGGACTTCCCATCCGCATAGCCCTCGGCACAGTCAAAGAAGTTGATACCCAGATCATATGCGGCTTTCATGCAATTGAACGCGATATCTGTCGAGTCAGTGCTGGAGACGTCCAGGTTTGGGCTCGCCTACCGTCTCCTACTGCCTCGCCGTAAGTAACCCTGTGTTGACAGTGTTAGCCTTATTTTACTGTGCTTGACAGCTTCGACTCGTACCATCCGCCCAACGAAATGACTGAAACCTGCAGGCCCGAACGGCCAAGAAAGCGATACTGCATTTTAGGTGGCTGATCAGTAGAGGCGGCCATGTTTGGAGAGGGACACTGCGAAGGACCCAGAAACCTCTGGTGTGTCTCAGAAGAAAGAGAATGGGACCAGATAGATGAAGAGCACTTTTTGAATCATGGAGACGAAAACAGCCGGTATATGCCCTTGATGAAGGCAGGCATTTTAGCGAATTTAGCCGGTTATTCTCCGCCACCAGTGAACATATCCTTGTACACGGATTGGCTTTCACAGGTATGAGTAGAGCCTGACTGGCTCTCAAATGTCAGGAGAAGGCCATGGGTACCTACGTCTGTATGCCGCCTTCGTGCCATTGGCATATCGGAATGATGTTCGGCTGAGCATTGTTCGTGAAGTACCCCCAAACTGATCGCGTTTCAAGCTTAGGCACTCTAGCAATGAAAGGGTGTGCACAGCTTCCAATTGAACGAATTCTTGAGTCGCGGCGATGCATGACCTTCCAAGCAGTGGTCTAGTCGTGTAGACAGAGGTTCAGTGGTGGAGCAACAATGTCAACAAGCAGCATTTGTGAAGTCGAGTTTGTTTTCTCAACATCTGGCGGAGAACAACTGCCGCAGTTTAAGCGAAGAATTCACTAAGCCCGACTTGACTTAGCCCTGCGGATATCTTGGCACAATTTTCGACCGTTCACACATTGGGCTTCAACATCGTGAATTGCGGATAGAGTCGACAGCGACCTTTACACAAATACCCGGCCTTCCTCTGCTCAGATCACCCCAAGGCAATCATGGCTGAGCAACTCATTCACCGTGGCACTCTCGAAGGCCACAGCGGCTGGGTCACCAGCCTTGCGACCAGCTTGGAGAAGTCAGTTTTGCTATCTCAATCTCGACTCGTCGCAGTCCTTGCTAACTTGCGCTTCTTAGCCCTAATATGCTGTTGTCCGCGTCGAGAGACAAGTCCCTGATCATCTGGAACCTGACCCGCGACGAATCCGCCTACGGCTACCCCAAGCGATCTCTGCACGGTCACTCCCATATCGTCTCCGACTGCGTGATCTCTTCCGACGGCGCATATGCCCTTTCATCATCGTGGGACAAGACTCTGCGATTGTGGGAACTGTCCACCGGCAACACCACCCGAACCTTCGTCGGCCACACCAACGACGTCCTCTCGGTTTCTTTCTCGGCCGACAACAGACAGATCGTTTCCGGCTCGCGAGACCGAACAATCAAGCTGTGGAACACTCTGGGAGACTGCAAATACACCATCACCGACAAGGGTCACACTGACTGGGTGTCGTGCGTTCGCTTCTCGCCAAACCCTCAGAACCCCGTCATTGTGAGCGCAGGTTGGGACAAGTTGGTTAAGGTAAGAAGCCGCGAATTTTTTACTCTGCTTTGCCCAGGATGCTACACATTTTTTATTGTATTTGCTACTTCAGAGCCATCAGGCCATGAGACAAACCTTCACCAAAGGACTGAGGCAATTACCCACAATTTTTACCTGCTATAACGGACGTATGCAATTTGGACAATGTAGCTAACGTGGGGAAATCTAGGTCTGGGAGCTCGCCTCTTGCCGCATTCAAACCGACCACATCGGCCACACCGGCTACATCAACACCGTCACCATCTCCCCTGATGGATCCCTCTGCGCCTCCGGTGGCAAGGACGGCACCACCATGCTTTGGGACCTGAACGAATCGAAACACCTTTACTCTCTCCAGGCTGGCGACGAGATCCACGCTTTGGTCTTCTCCCCCAACCGATACTGGCTCTGCGCTGCCACCACCTCCTCCATCACCATCTTCGACCTCGAGAAGAAGAACAAGGTTGACGAACTCAAGCCCGAATTTGTCGAGAAGGGCAAGAAGTCGCAAGAGCCATACTGTGTGAGCTTGAGCTGGAGCGCCGATGGTCAGACCCTGTTCTCTGGATACACCGACAACAAGATCCGCGCCTGGGGTGTCATGTCTCGTGCATAAATGACTTCTTAAGTGTTTGGTAGGAGGCTGCGGAACGTGGGGAATGCAGAATTGATACAGGCAAAAATGTACCTTGTACGTTGCATGCCATCAGGCAAAATCCGTTACAGGCAAAAACTTCGATTGCATGCCCATCAGGCAACGCTTGTGTAAGCCATTGGCATTGTCAACGATGGCTGGGAGCCGGCGCATTTGAGGCACTGTGCTTTGTGCTAGAAAGATTGGCACGAGAAATGATCAAATGTTCAAATCACGATCTCTAATAAGTTTCTTTCACCATGTTCCTCGCCCTAACACGCTCCTCGGGCTTGAGTTTGTCCGCAAAGTCTCCCCCAGAACCAACAGATTCTTCCCACTCATCGTCATCCATATTCATAATCATGCATATCTGGCTGCAACGCAAGAATGACTCTCGGAAACTGTACTTCTGCCCCTTGACAACCACCTTGATGATTTCATTGACATCGTGCTCCAACCTTGCGGCGCCCACCTCGTTAACTCGTCCGTGGTACGTCCATAGACGCTTCTCGATCATCTTGCTCAGATAAGTGACAACGATGGTGAGTAGCTGGTCGAACGTGCGGTCTGTCATGATCCGCCCAATTGGCTTTGTCAGGGCATCCCATCCCAATTGAAAGCGCATTCGTACTTCGTCTGACAGACCATCTGTGGTCTCGGCGTCACCGTCCATCTCCTGCGCTATGTCTTGCAGCTGCTCACGTGTGAGTTGGTAGTCTGTGTCGCGGAAAGCGTCCATCAAGATCGGCCGAAGACGAGGTTTCATGACGTTGTGGAACACGACTTGCACACCGTCGGATATCAGTTCGTTTGTCTTTTCTGAGAATGTGGCGGAGAACGACTTTAGCGTGGACGCGATGGACTCGGCGTCTCCAGGCTCAGGAAAAAGGTCGTCGAGGGGTCGATGGGGTGAACCTGCTACGGGCTCGAGACGTGCATGAACAATTTGATCGACATAGTCTCTTGCCACGTCGAGGTTGTTGATGAGGACTAGAAACGAGACGATGATACTCTCGGGTGGTAGTTGACCTTGCATAGCGGCTTTGGGGTAGCTTTCATCACGCATCTTGCGCTGCTCCATGCCAATGAAGTCCGATCCCAAGACTCTTCCGAGTGTCGGAATGATGTTGCCCACCACGGGTTTCTGCGAGGTCGCTAGAGATTGTTGCAACACTTTGTTGACAATGTACATGATGTCTTCGATGGCGGAGGTAATATGTGGTGGGTTCGAGTTGAGAGGTTTGTGCGGGTTGAGAGATAGATCTGAAGGCTGCTCGTCCAGCTGGAAGGCCTTCTCCACAGATCGCCGAAAGAAGAACGTCGTCATTATGTTGAACGGGGAGATTAGCTTGTCTTGGACTTTCTTCGTCAAACTTGAGTTGACCAAGAAGGGTGGCATGGGTGTGGGCTCTTCTGCGGTTGTTGTGGGGCTCCGACATTTGTCGCTGATGAAATTGGTGTAAAGGGACCATTTACCCAACATGAGGGTCATCTCGTTGAGCAGAAGGTCCACCTGCTTCATGTCCACTGACTCATCCTCGCTTGAGCTGCCCGGAGCAGGGGAGTTGGCACGTGGAGTGCCGGCCGACCCTCGCTGAGCTGGCATGAAGCTCTGGACCAAGAAGGTAAAAGCGTAGGATTTGATGTCAGTCAATTGGCGATCGATTCGACGCTCATCACTCCAAGTGTCCAGAATGATGCCACCTTGTAGGTCTGCTTCGACTTGTAGCCGCTCGATCACTCTAGCCATCTTCCCTGGGCCGTAGTGTCGTTCAACTAATCCTCCATGGCCATCAATGATTTGTGCAATATGTTCAAAAAGCCTTGTCAGAGCGTTTGCGTAGAAGTAGCCGTCTTTGCTCTGGTTTCCACCAGTACCGGCATTGAGGTTATTGCGCGCACGAGCAGCAACCCCTTGACAGACGTATCGACCATACACATCAAGACCGACATCGGATCGATTGATGAGCGGAAAGAGTTTGAAGAACCTGGTGATTCTTGTACCGTCATTGTCCTTGACAGCCTTGTCAAATTCTCTCAGAAACAAATTGCACAATGATTCTGACGCCGATTCCAGGGTGACTGCTGGTGCATCGGGTACTTCGGCTGTAGGGACGATTCTCGCCGCGAATGAACCATGGATGACCTCGCTGGGGATCTTGGATGCCCGACTGAGGTAGCTGGCTGCTGTCTCCCAATCTTGGGCTGCCCCCATGGACCCTGCCACACCGAGCACACAAGCTTTCAGCTCGCCGACCTGTTCAACCACGGTCAACGTGGCCTTTACTCTTTCCTGCTCTAGATCGAGCTGCTTCACGCAGTTTGAGATCCGTTTCGCGTTTGAGGCCGCATCTGAAAGCATGCCATTGCTGACTGCTCGAGCTTTGGAAGCCTGAGATGTGGCATTTACGCGGAACAGATCCAATCGACCGAGCTCTCGTTGCAGATCCTTTTGCGCGTCAATTAATGTATCCAGCTGTGAAGTCACCGAAGCCTCTTTTTGGTGAAGTTTGGCCAAAGCATCACGGATTTCCGCAACGGAATTTGCGTCGTACACATCGACAGCATTTTGTCCAGAGTCAATACTGGAAACGTGGCCATTCGTGGTCATTGCTGAAGAGTGATCTGCCTAGTTGATGACATGGGTGTGTTGATTCTCAAGACGCGAAAGCGCCCGAAACAATGAAGGGTTTGACCACCTCTGTTGCAATGGGGATCACACGTTGTCTGGACAGAGGTCAACGAAGGTCCGTCCAGTGCTGAGTGGGTGATTGTCGGGTATGGCGACGTTCAAGAATAATCAAGTGTTTGACGTTCCGACCCGCAGTATAATTCCTCGGCGCCTTGAACCATTTTCCAGGGTATCGTTTCGCTCGAAACATGCCGCTATTAGGACTCGCTTATCTGAAATTCACCCCCGCGTCCATCCATCGTGAGTCGACTGTTCTTGCCATGCTTGCCCCGAACCTGCCATAGCCTGCGTTCACATGCACACGCAACAACAAGTGCTTGGGCGGGTCAGAGACTAACATGATGTTCTCCAGAGCTTTTCAGCCCTAGCAGACAACACGTTAGCTGTTGTCCAATCAGGACCATGTTCCCATGGTCATTCCAATGAAAGGTAGACTGTCGAGGTGCGCCAACGTGGCGGTCCACCATTGAGGACCATTCAGCCGCTGCAAGCCACCTTAGAAGCTACATGGCTGTGTGCAGTAGTCTGACTTTGAGCCCATCCGAGCAGTCCAGACTGCATGTGCCGCAGCCAGTTCACTTTCTTCTAGCTAACTACTGTTTTGGAGCCTTTGCGCACAGGCATTGCGCTTCACGATTCATCTCGCGCTTTATCGGTCCCCATGTTGTGTCATTCAACATATAACAGGTGCTAATATTCCTGCAGCATACGTGTGTGATCATTAGGAGACTCCGAGGCAGAGTACTCGAATGCGACCCCAGCATGTCTACGGACAGTCCCACAAATCCTATCACCAGCGGAGTAGCGACCGGCCGAACTGTCTTCGATTTCTCAATCGATGTAGCCGACAAAGTCTTTGAAGGCCCAGTCCAGTGGGTGAAAAACTTTTATAGCCGCGGTAGTTCAGCCAGGGAACTGAAATCCCGGCTGGGGGAATGGGCCCTTGAAGCTCAAGACAATCGAGGTCGGTGGTTGCAGCCAGTCCTCAGCAAAGACGCTTTTCGGAGCCATCTGATCACCGAAGACGGTCAAATGCAGCCATCCGGAGAGTGCACGGCTACGTTTGGTTGGGCTAAGCTGCTGTATGCTCTCAACATCCGTCCGGCTGGCGGTATAATCTCTTGGAGAGAGACGCCAGAGGGCGAATCGAGTGCACTCAACACCAATAAAATTTCGCTGTGTGTTCATGGCTCTGTCTTATGCGACATCATTAACCTATACCGAATGTACACAGACAGACCTCCGACCTCAGCAGGCATTTTTCAACTACCATTCGGTGAACTCAAGGTATTGGATGAGGACAATCATTCGTACGCATTCAAGACTTTTGGGAATGATGTACTGTCATCTCCGCGACAGCCGTTCCCATACAGCATGCGTGACATAGGGAGTACTCGAGAAGGCAACCTCAGTTTTGACAAGGGCGTTATCATTACTTCATACTTGCAAGCTCTCGAGTACGACATAAGCACGAGTGCCCTCACTCTAAGAGATACGCATCAGCCTCTAGCAGAGCGTGTCAGACGCCTTCTGCAGGGCTTAGCTAGGGTCTGTGATGGCGATTGGAACAAGCCATTACTCGTAACACCCTCCTGGACCAAGCATGCAAGCCGTATCAAGCGCCGTGCAACGACAGACAACGGAAAGAACGACCGTTTGAGTCGCCATATTTTCATGTTCATCTCACAGAACAAGGGCGTGGAGGCTCACTTACAGCGCTCTAAGGGCGATAAGTGGAGACACCTGATAGACCAGAATGTCAAGGCCTGGTTTCTATCCGATGGCGAGGAATATAAGTTTGTCTGGGACATCGTGGCCTGGCAAAGATCGTCCGATGGTTGGGAAGAGTTTTTCAAAAACGAGCTACTTCCGGCACTCGAGGGACTGTCCCAGACCACTGAAGGACAGCATTGGCTCCCGGATACCGTTTCACCTCAGGATCTCTATATACTCTTGACCACTCCACACAAGATTTTGAATGAGCCGGTAATCGTGCTGGAACATTTACCGGATCAGTGGGACTTTTACGGAGAGATATCGGGTTGAACATCCCACGTGCTGGACACAATGACCACAGACGAGGGTCAAGTCTATGTTGATGACATCTATGTCGGCGTATTCTGTTGCGGCATTAACAGCGGAAGCCTGCATGGCAGGATCAGATTTCATGGCCAGCGTCCTAAGACCTATGCGATCAGGTACGGTCACTCGATAAGGGTGCGTACTCCAGGAATGTGCGGGCTCTGGTCTGTCATAACCCGTACTTGACGCCAACGTTTACATTAGGTTTTACAGTGAGAGTACATCCCTCGATTCTGCAGCGCTATGGTGGTGTAGTTCCCTCCTTGAGGTCTCCGCCCATCCTGTCCTTTCCATCTGAGTTGCCAACCCGCACGGAGGTGATAATTGCGTTCACATGATTCATCTGCAGCCTGCGATTTCGTGTGCAGCAAGCTGCCTAGGGGTTGTGATGATGAATTTGTTGCGGGCCAGCTAAGGTGGATACCAACATTATGTTAGTCTGGTCATCAAGAATGTAATTTTTAGGGATATTATTGTTCTCCTACCATTATATCATATGCTCCAAGCCCAAAGTTGGTCTTCAGCAAGGCAATCAATTTTCCTGGGTTTACCGCCCTTCCTGGGATCTCTATGCACGATTTTGCGTTACTGGTTGGGTGATATGAAGACTTGGGCAGGCCTGCCAGTTCCGATCCGGTATGAGTACTGGCATCCATGGTAGACGACTATGTGCTGCACACGCTGAGACCTGCAAGTAGAAGGAGTTTGCAGTAGGCTGTCACTTGAGAGAAATCCTCGAAACCCCGCCTTTTGGTAGGCTTTTATCGTCGTGCTTGTCTCATGCGCCTGCTTTCCAAGCCCCAAACAGGCTGACCTATAGGCAACTCTTTTGCCTCGCAAAAAAGTGCCAGTCTGCCTCGTACCAAAGTACGAGACAAATCAAGTTGAACCTTCAGCTGCGCCCCAAAATTTGTTTGGCTTCTTCGAGACCACCGCGGCAGATTAAAAAGATGGTTGTGGCCTCATTGGCCCTGCAAGCTAGAGATGTTAGTTGCATCTCAGTTGACGCCACCACCAATGCGGCTGGGCAGCCATCCAGAGCCCTGGCTCTTTAGGCATCATGCCATCCACGGTAAGGCTGAGCGCGAGAGATGTCGGAAACACCTGTCATGGGCACTATCCCAATTGAACACTTTCATGTGTCGCCGGAGCCAGATCCGTCCTTTGCCTCACGAGACATCTCGAAGATGAACGATAATTCGGCATGGATTCGCTAAGGTATGCCTCGAATCTGAGGACGGTCCAGCTAAACAATGCAAGCTCTATTGTTGCGAACGAAACCAATGATCGAGGTTTCCAAGGCAACTCGAATTTGCCGTCGATGCCTAATTCCAGAGGATATCCTCATATGGAAGATGGTCCTGCTATGGAGGGGACGTACAACAACCACGAAGATCCCTGCAATGAAATCGATCCTGGCGCCGAAAGTCTCAGTTTCGGAAGTTCCGATGAGAACAGCGTCGTTGAGATTGATAGTAGTGCCACCTCCCAGGAGCAGAGTTTACTCGAGATTTCTGGATGTCTAAAAAGAGAGAGCCTCTCCCATCTCAATTCAGAGGAGACCGATGCCCGTTTCCACAGCATCCAGGTATTCTCAAGTGCGGATCACTTTGCACTGGGAGACCGCCGCGATCGTGACTTTTTGCCCAATGCGCTGGACAACGGCCAGCCTTTAGGTTGATTCCAAAGACGTGATGCTAGGTTGCTCTCCGAGGGACAATGACTAACCCTGTGGCGCAGGACACCTTAGACTTACCAAATGGATGGAGCTCTACCAATGAACCTGCTGCTCCTGAAGAGAAGCAATTAAGCGCAATTGTTTCGTGGAAAGAACCGGTAGTGGACAGATCTGATATATCTCAGAGCAGATTCAAGCCACCGACAAGCGAGGTTACCGACTTAGGGGATTGAGCATTCTATGCAGATCTGAATGCCAAAGGTCGAGATTCTCCTATGGTGTCTGCGCAAGATGACCCAAACGGGGGCGGCGAGCAACGTCAGTCACTGCTAATAACGTTCCTTGATGCGAGAATTAAAGTCGATAAGGAGACGTGACTAGCTAGGTAGGTACAGGAATGTGAAAAGATATTGTCCCATAGACTGGCCACTCCTACATCAGTGCTCCACAGTAGAGCAGACCCATCACGTGACTGGCTCCCGCCGCAGGCAAAGGTCTTCGTGATTGTCCAACTCGGACAAGAACAAATCTGCAGTCCATCTTGTCTTCGACGCATCAGGACAGAGCAGCATCAGCAGACATGGCTGGCCAAGTGCGATGCCTTCAGCACACTGCTAATCGTTGGCTGACGAGACTGCATGACGTCAAGTCAAGAACAGAAGCACCAAAGCATGTTTTGGTATAGCCGGGATATGTGGGACTGACGCGTGTATGCGGAGAAGCACCAAAAAGTTGGGATTTTCATAGTTAACAAGTACTTTGTCGCTGGAAGATCGGCGAAGATGTACTTACAAGGGTTTGTGAGACATGCATATCCTGGAAAGACTTCGTTGCAACGTTGACATAGATGGGCATTCATCACGTTCAAGTCCATAACAATGGTTGGCGGGCTACTTCTGCCATATTGTTCGCCATCGACGCTGGTCTCGGAGATGTCCTCGTTTTCACTCGTCTCTTTGGTGATCATGCATGACTGCTCTTCGCTACGAATGGAACCCTTCTCCACGCAGAAGACTGGAGAAATGATCGATGGCACTGCGGGTTGTTCCTGATGATCGGTGATCGTGGTGGAGAGAACCTTGAAAGCATGAGAAAATGATTCGTCGTCATTCCCACCTGTCGAGTTTGACCTGGTATTTGGACTGTTGAAGTCGTAAAGGCAGTGTCTCTCCAGGCTGTTGCCTTGAAGAGAAATGCTTTTTCCTACAACTCAGTCACAGGGGTTCTTATCAACCAGCAATACAAGGGTGTCGATGAGATGGTCAATCAGAATAGTCGGGTGAAACTCGTGCAACAGTGATTAGTCAAGGCAGTCTGAAGGTGGAAGTTGGAATTAAAGATGCAGCTGGAAAAGAATAGTAATCCACCGTACCTCACGGCGTTTATTTTTAGAGTCTGTCGACCTCCATAGTGGCTGCCTTTGACTTTTCTTTATTTACCATCATTCTGTACATCATCTTCTCGGGCAGAGACGGCATCAGAAAGTCCAGCACCTACTTCCAGAAACATCAAGGACACAAGAAACTGTAGACCCGTCGTCACTCATCCTGCCCAATGGCCATGATGCCACCTACGCGTAGGTCAACTGCTCTGTTCGGATGCATCTATGTGGACCGTAAACCGCAGCATGCCCCAGCCGTGCACGAAAAGTCTAGTTGCAACTCAACGATGGACCTATCCTTGCTTTTCAACCCCACAAAACCGCGAAATGCAAAATGCAAAATGTCTACCACAGTAACAGCCATCACTCTTTGCCGGGTCATTCGGCCGACCCGTTTAAGGCCCGACATGAAAATTTGAAATGTTCCCATGTTACCGAACGTCAGAATGCCCTGCACCTCGAAGGGCGGCACGCATGTAAGGTACATCCAACGACATTGCACCGAGGGGCATTGAGAAGTGCGAGTGGAGCAATCAGGCACCAATACCATACATTAGGATCACGGTTTCTCGCTAGGTGAAGCGAAAGTGTATATTGTATACTACAGCAAAACGGTTCTGTCAAAGTTGACTGTAGGACTATTCCGCCGGTGCCGAACATCCATCGACGCCGCCTCTTCACCTGCGGTGTCTTAGACACGCGGTGGAGGTTTTCTATGGACACGCACATATCCCTCTCTGCCAGTGGTCGTCACAATGGTTAAGTCTGGGGCTTCATCAGCGGTTGCATACCTTTTGGTGCCTTTCAACGAACCGGAATGGTTGCTATGGAGAATGCGAGACCAACATCGCCCAAGTGGTAGGCCATACCATCCTGATGAGTGGTTCGATGCAGCCCCAACGTTGCGTAGGGCCAATGGCTAAAGCAAGGCATACTTCATGGTTCTGGAGAACAGAGCTTCGTCGCTTGTGGCTGAGAGGCAAATTCTCTAAGCCCTCCTAGGTGACGGATGGGGGTGGATAACAGCTCCACGATCCTACTTGGGAGGCTCCTGCTACTGAACAATGGTATGAATAGTATGACGATCGACAATTCGATATACGAGTGAGTATAAGAGCAGGATCTTGCTCGGTGTTGCCTTGCACTGTTTCTTCCAAAAGCCATACTGTTCTTTCGCTTTTCAGTACCTGTTTTTTTCTCACCGAGTCTTCGGTCGACATTCGTTGCAATATAATCCAACATGGCTGGAAAATCTTTCGTTCTATTCTCGGTCCTTGCACCAGCTTTGGGCGCTGTCCTGCCTCGGGACTCGACCTGGGCGGATTGGAGCTCCTCGACAACCACCACGACTGTCCCAACTACCACGACGACAACTACAGCTTCGACACAATGGGAGGAGTGGACCTCAAGCACTACTGCCACTACGCCGACGACCACCACTACCACCACACCGACAACCACCACTACTACCACGCCTACAACTACAACCACTACCACTACCACAACGCCCTCAACTACCACAACTACTACGACCACTCCAGTAACGTCTTCGGAGTGGGAGGAGTGGACCTCGACGACCACGACTACCAAGCCCATCACCACCACCACTACCCCGGCCGCATCTTCTTCGCAATGGGAGGAGTGGACCTCGACTTCCACCACGACCAAGCCTACAACTACGACGACTACCTCTGCCTCGTCGGAATGGGAGGAGTGGACATCGACCACAACTACCACCAAGCCTACAACTACGACCACCACCCCTGCCTCCTCAGAATGGGTTGAATGGACATCCAGCACCACCACCACTCCGCTGAAAGTGGTTTCGACCACCCCATCTTCAGAATGGGCTGAGTGGACCTCGACTACCACGACTACCAAGCCCACAACTACCACCACCACCACCACCACCACCACTCCTGCCTCGTCGGAATGGGAGGAGTGGACATCCACTACCACCTCAGTCAAGACCACCACGACTCCTGCCTCGTCACAATGGGTTGAATGGACGACCACCACTACTCCTGTGAAGGTCGCCACGACCACTTCTGCTTCAGAGTGGGCTGAGTGGACGAGCACTACCACAACCCCCGTGAAGGTCGTTACGACTACTTCGCCATCTTCCGAATGGGTTGAGTGGACATCAGCTACCACCACTACCATCAAGACGACCACCACCACCCCCGTCAGCGTCGCGACAACTACCCCTGCCTCTTCGGAATGGGTCGAGTGGACTTCTACCACGGTCAAGGCCACACCTACCACACCCGTGAGCGTTGCTACCACGACTGTTGCCTCGTCGGAATGGGTTGAGTGGACTTCTTCCAGCACCACAGCTAAGACCACCACAACCAGCCCCGTGAGCGTTGCTACTACGACTGTTGCCTCTTCCGAGTGGGTTGCATGGACTTCCACCACAACTCCCGTCAAGGCCACGACCACTACCCCGGTCAGCGTTGCTACCACGACCGTTGCCTCTTCTGAGTGGGTTGAATGGACTTCCACCACAACTCCAGTCAAGACCACGACCACTGCCCCGGTCAGCGTTGCTACCACGACCGTTGCCTCTTCCGAGTGGGCTGAGTGGACTTCTTCTTCTACCACTGTCAAGACTACCACCACCACACCCGTGAGTGTTGCCACCACCACTGTCAAGACCACAACGACCACCCCTGTGAAGGTTGCTACAACCACTCCATCCTCGCAATGGGTTGAGTGGACCTCAGCTTCCACTACACTCGTCACCTCGACAAAGCCAGCAGTAAGCTCCACCACCACAACTGTGACTCCTGTGGCTGCCACTAGCACATGGGGTGAGTGGAAGGCTGCCACCACCACTTCTCAATGCGTGGCCTCCACGATCACCGTGACCCCTGCCGCAGTTACCGTCACTGTAACTCCTGCCGCCGTCACAGTCACGGTAACTCCTGCAGCTGTCACCGTCACTGTCACCCCAAGCCACAACTCGACCACTACCACCGCCTCGACCACCTCTTCTTATAGCTGGGCTGCCGAGAGCAAGACAGCCAGCTGGGGTGATTGGTAAACAATTGATGCCACTTCTTGCATACAGGCGCAAGTCGTCGCCAAAAAGTATCTGAGAGTGTACGAGATATGAATATAATCCCTAATCAGAGGAGATTAATGGATCGTGCAGAGACGTTTGAGGTCTTTAGTAAGCCACGAGGTTGGACAGGACGAGAAGTCTGCCCTTATTTGCTATGCTAGTCTAGCCACAGTCATTCATTATAATGTATATTGCCTATTGATGATCAAAACTTTCTTCAAAATCAAAATGCTATTGTGCTTGATGCTTCTTCTTTGTTGAATACGAATGTTTCAAAAGTAACATGACAGAGTTCTCAAGTCGGACATCGATGCGAGTAGATACCTATCTAGGTACCAAGGGTAGGTATATCATAGCTAACCATAACCATGCTGCAACGCGTGCTTTTTTGAGTCAGATTTATGTTTCGGATTGAATTGTTATGCTAGCATCTAAAATTCAAGTACTATCTAGCCTCTTCCCACTGTCTTGAGGGCAGTTGCCAATGCTTTCCTGGTCAAAACGCTTTTCCGCGCGCTCGCCCACATTTTCAAGTCGATTCCCCATGGCACCCTGTCATCTTGCCGAACAATCTGGCCCCTTCAGTTCTCCCTTTCAGAGCATAGTCGTGAATGACCAGCATCGGAGAAACACTAGGGACCCTCAAGCGGCACCCTCAAGAATACCACCAAGATACTGTGGAACGCCGCCGCTTCTGTCGTCTGGCCGGTCACCGGCCGAGGTAGTTTGCTGCCAGGCTGGGACGTCATAATACACAGGATTTCCCGCCGCGTTTTGCCAAGGATCAGACGGCGTGTACCACTGCCCTTCTCCTTGAAGATGCAATCTTTTTTCGATGGATGGTGGTGGTGCGTGTTGTGGGAAGCCGATGGGATATCCTGGGGCTTTGTCGATAGGAGCACCGGCCCCCGTTGCGATAAGAGCAGCGAGGGCGATGATGATAGCTTCAATCTTCATGTGGAGTCGTTGTTGGGATTTGTTTTGGTTGAGGCTGGGTTGAGGTTGGGTTGAAGGATAGAAGATTTGTGAATATGAAGGAAGCGAAGTCGAATGTTTGCAGAACAAGAAACATGCGTGATACTTATACTCCAGCGTCTCGAGGTCCTCTGGTACAAAGGCTTTGCTTTCAGATGGATCGCCGTGCCTAGTCTGGGTTCTTTTGCGGAATTCCAAAGAGTACTCAAACTTACTATTTCTGACTAGGTGAGGAACTGAAATGGAACCCCAATAAAGCAGCCAGCCATGCCACACGATCTGCGACAATCATAGTCTGGTTCTTCTTTGGTAGTCGCAAAACATCTGATTTGGTTGGACTTTCGAAGGCAGACCTCCCTGCCCGTTCGTGACAGCAGGATCGTTTCCAGGTTAATGTGGGGGATCGGCAAGTCTCTCGACAAAGACCTTGGTGGCGCCTTCGACGAGGACCATTGCCTTGAAGCAACATCATTCTGGCTGACCACTCACAGGCGGGCGCGAGACTCAGGATTCGAGCGGAATGGAAGATCTTACTAATGTTCCTAGCTTGTTGTAGACATCTGGAAGGTGGCAAGGAGGAAGTCAAAAGGAATGTTCGCGGTCCTCGCTTAACTGAAAAGCAGATGTCTTGTAATACTTCACCCTACTCGAGCTACTGTCCCGCGAACAGTCCCGGGTACGCAATTTGGAGACGCTTGACGTCTCCAACTTGCAGAAGAACAATACAGTAACTTAGGCAATTGAATGTCTTGTGAACAAGACCTCACTCATACTCAAATTGTCCGAGATCACATACTCTTTTTCACACACGAGAGACATCGCCTCTCTCATTCTCCGGCTTCTCCTCGATCTAGCTGCATCGGTAACCATGCCGGAAAATGACCGGGTAGCCCCTGCTCGAAGACGCTCATCCTTCGCTTACGACCCTGCAAGAGATACGTTCAAGGAGATTCCTGTCACGAAGGTCGATGAGGCAATTGCAGAAGATATAGATGAAGAGGCTCAAGGACCGGTTGCCGCGACATCAAGCCCGGCAATCGATCGAAATATAGACGCGCAGGCACGAAAGCGAAGAAGATCAGACTTACCTGAGGAGAGACTGAGCGATGAGGTGAAGAAGAGTGACAATCAGAGAGAATCTGCAAGCTTTAAGAAACAACGCACTTCCCAGTCCCCTCCAAGAGACGACCGTCGTTCTCCCAGACCTGCTACCAACGGATCTCGCCCTGACAAGCCCGCACCGAGGGTACCGTCAGATCTACCACGAATACCACGTAAACCAAGAGAAGACGGCGAAGTTTCTACTTCACGACACGTGCCATCAGCGTTCAGCAGGCGACCTGATGGAGATGACAGACAACGCAATGGCCACGCCCGTCGAAGGTCACAGTCTCCACGCCGCCGATCTCCCTCCAACATCTACCGCCGCCGCTCACCACCACGAGAACGCCGCAAATCACCTTCACCAATTCGAGACTCTCCACCTCGCGAGATGATTCGTCCAGGTGGCGCACGGGGTCGCGGACGCAATGTCCTGGCCGAACAACAACGTCTGGCCGCGGAACGAGAACAGAAACATGGTAGTGCTCTTGCCCCAACCAACCGTGGCGTTCAGGAAGTCTCCAATCAATTCTACAATGCTCGTCCTGAGTGGGTCAAGGAGCGGGGTCGTGACTGGCGCCGAAACGAGTCTCAGATCAAAGGTCTACGCAGCTACAACAACTGGGTGAAGTCTTGCTTGATACAAAGATTCAGTCCCGAGGAAAAGAAAGAACCTGAGGAGCTGGGCTGGGGAGAAGAGGCCAAGGAACCGGAAGAACAGAAGCCTCTTCTTGTGCTCGATGTTGGGTGCGGAAAGGGTGGAGATCTTGGAAAGTGGCAGCTTGCTCCTCAGGTTGTCGGGCTCTACGTCGGTCTCGACCCGGCTGAGACGAGTATTGCGCAGGCACGCGAGCGGTATCAACAAATGCGACGTGGACGCCGCCCTATCTTCGATGCTCGTTTCCTCCCGCAGGACTGTTTTGGTGCCTGGATCGGTGACGTTGGCATCATCCGCGAAGTAGGAATTGACCCCAATGCTGGCAGTGGTCAACCAAGTCGCTGGGGTGGCGGTGGCTTCGACGTCGTTACAGCCATGTTCACGATGCATTATGCATTTGAATCAGAAGAGAAAGTGAAGATGATGCTCCGGAACGTTGCAGGATCGCTGAAAAAAGGTGGACGTTTCATCGGCGTCGTACCGAACAGTGATGTGTGTGCGGAGCATATCCGAACTTGGTTCGCCGACAAGGAGTCGAAGAAGCCGCAAAATGGAAATGGGACGCAAGACCCATCAGCCGAAGAAATGACCAAGGAAGATGGTGAGGCTGACGAAGAGGGACCAAGCTGGGGCAACTCGCTATATAATGTCCGCTTCCCGAATGACCCGGTGCGCCCATTGCAGGCTGACGGTTCGTTTCGCCCACCCTTTTCGTGGAAGTACACATATTGGATGGCCGAGGCTGTGGATGTGCCCGAGTTTGTGGTGCCATGGGAGGCGTTCCGTGCAATTGCAGAGTCTTACAATCTCGAGCAGAGATATAGGAAGCCTTTCTTGGATATTTGGGATGCGGAACAGGGCAATCGAGAGATGATGAGCCTGGCCTTGCGTATGGGCGTGACCAAGCATGAGGGTGGAGAGTTGGGGTTGACGCCTGAGGAACGGGAAGCCGTTGGATTCTACCACGCCTTTTGTTTCGTCAAGGTCTAAGCCTGATGGTGCGCGTCGTCGTCGTTGTCGTGCTCAATTTGGAGAAGGTCCGAGGTGGGCCCATATGACCGGCGGCTAGGAGCAATTGGGCATGGCAATGGCAGAATTTGTATAGGGTAAATATTATATCCACCAGCTCCCATAGGATCGTGCACATAGATAACAATACTGCTGGCAGACACAGGAATTCAGATGTTCATTCTGCCCTGTGCGGGTGGGAAGCCCGATCCATTCGATATCTATAGCATAGGACACCAGACCGGTTCCTGTGATCTTCCTCTGTACATGTGTATTGTATATTCATTGACTATATTGGGTTTCGAGCATCCAGTGAACAAGATCATGAGACATTCACGGGCTGGCCTCCTGTAGCCTCTTTCACCCTCGGATCAGTCACTTCGGCGATCTTTCTGACGTGCTGCGTACGCTTATCGTCGTCGAGGGCCCCGGGCTTCCAATACTCGTACTCGATCCACTCGCCCTCCTTCATCTGGGCCTCGACCGCCTCGTGCCAGCGCGCTCCCAGCTCCGGCTGCAGCGGCACCACGCCCGTCTCTTCGCAGTACGTTTCCCACAGTGCCAGCAACTCCTCCAGGATATCCTGGTGTTTTGTGGCAAGGTCTTCAGTCTCGCCAGGATCCGCGGAGAGGTCATATAATTGCCAGGCCGAGTTGCCCTTGGGGTACGGAATGAAGTCGGCTTTCCATTTACCTTTGCGAATCGCCGCGCGGCCGCACAATTCCCAGCCGAAGGCCTCGTCTGGGTCGTGTATGGTTTGTTGCTGGCCTGTAAGCCACGGCGTCATGTCCTTGCCACGCATGGGAACGATGGAACGCCCGTTCCATTCTGGAGCTGGGTGCTTGATCCCCGCGAGGCTGAGGAGTGTCGGTGCTATGTCCATGACTGTTGCGAAGGTTTCCGTAATGGCGCCCTTTTGGTCCTGATGAATGGGTGGGTAGCGGATGACGCAGGGGACGCGGACGCCGCCTTCCGTCGTGTACGCCTTGTACAGTCTGCTTGGGGCTGTTGCGGCTTGCGCCCATCGCGGCCCATACCAGACGAAACTGTCTTTGTTGCCGATGTTGTCGAGGCTGTTGTTGTAGTACTTTCCTATATGCGCCATGAGCTCCCCTGCAACCATGGGGTAAGCTTCGTATGCGGCGCCCTCGGCTCCATTGTCCGAGAAGAACATGATATAAGTGTTGTCGAGCTCCCCAATCTCTTCTAAATAGTCAGTCACACGGCCAATGTTGTGATCTAGACATTCCACCATGCCGGCGTATGCCTCCATTGCCGTACACGAAGCCTTTTTGTAGAATTCGTCGGTCTCGTCCCAACCTGGCACTTCATCTGCGACGACGGGGTGAGGCCGGACGTCCTTGGGGATCATGCCCAGCTCTATCAACTTTTTCAGTCGGGCTTGACGGAGTGCTTCTGGCCCATCTTTGTAGACGCCTCTATAGTGATCGATATACTCTTTAGGCGCCTGTAGGGGCCAGTGGGGAGCTGAAAATGGGTAGTATGCAAAGAAGGGTTTCTCGGAGAGATCTTTGTCTTCCTTCCACTCCTTCAGGTACTTTAACATATGGTCGCCGTAACCATTACTCGAATACCAGTCCTCGGGTAGGTCCTTGACATAGTGATCGTCTTCCATGTGCAGGGCGATAACACTTTTCTCGAGAAATTTGGGAAAGTCGACATCCGGTCTCCAGTCATAGTGGTTCGAGCATGCTGGTAGAAGTGCCAGACTCTTGTCGAACCCACGGGCTTGAGGACTCCGTTCCTTTGTCAAGCCCAGATGCCACTTCCCGGCCATAACAGTGTGGTATCCTCCATCTTTCAATACCTCGGGCAGTGAGGCTACCCGCGAATTCAGGTAGCCCTCATACCCTGGCATTCCTCTTTGCGGAGCCGTCGAATACTTGCTGTCTTTGGGAAAGTTCTGTCCTGAGAAGTCCGTCCATTCTATCAGGTTTCCCAGTCCGGCAATATGATGATCGGTTCCGGTCAATATCATGGCCCGTGTCGGCGAGCATGCTGCCGCGGCGTGGAAGCCTGTCAGACGTATTCCATCTTTTGCCAATTTGTCGATGTTAGGCGTGCGGATTTCAGAGCCAAAGCACCCAGCATCAGAGAAACCCATGTCATCCGCGACGATGATGAGGAAATTGGGGCGTTTGGGAGGCATGATGGGCAGTCGCTGTATGGGATTCCGCTATACACCGTCAGTAGTGGTGGCACGCGATCACAGTACAGGCACGGAAAGGGAAAAGAAAGCAGTCACCAACGACGAAAGTCTTTCGTTATCGGTGTATCATTGCAACGAGGTTGATCACGACCATTCGGGAGGCTGCCCCTCCACAACGTTGCTGCATGAAGTTCGTCTGCGGGGACAACTCTGGGTACCTGGTAAGGAGACGCGTACCGTAACATACCTAGGTAGGTGCACAGGTACTTTAGAGGCGTGGTCCAGTCATGCTTGGCAAGCTTACACGTCATCTTGGGTCACTTTACCCGTAGCCTCAACGTTAGGGATAATTTATGAGGGGATTGTTGCTCTTCTCACTTCATCAACCATATCTCCTGCTTGAGGAATCATAGTATTCATTTTGCGCCGGCTGACCGATTACTTGTCGACTGTGCAACCCAATACGACGTTGACAAGAGACCTCTCAACTCATCTGACCATCGTCGTCCTGATCTACTCACACCTTGCCCTTCTGATCTAGGCCCATGTTCCCCGCATATATTGCGTGATGGCCTGACAGAATATCCTGTTGGCCAGCGATCACGACAGCGCTTCCCAGGCTTCCCATGTCGAAAAGACCCAAAGTCCCGTGGCCTGAGGAGAAGTTGGCATTGTAACGTTGCCGACCCTCGTCCATACAAAACCAGCCATGTCTTCCTCTGCTGGCTATCATCTTCTCCAGCAGGGCGACTCCTCCGACTCACCTGAATCATCTCCTGACGTACACGAGACAGCCATGGGAAAGAGACTCGGCACCTTCAGGGCATGCTATGTCGTCGGCCTATGTTGTATCGGTTCCTTCCTCTTTGCCTATGACACGGGCATAGTTGGAGGCGTCTTGACGCTGGCGAGCTTCCAAAGAGATTTCCGTTATACCAAAGCCGAAAAGACTCAGGTCAATTCAAATTGTGTCTCTATCTTGCAAGCAGGCGCCTTTTTCGGCTGTTTTGCAATATGGCCCTTGACCGCCCGGTTGGGTCGGAGATGGGGCTTCATCATTGCCTCGGTCGTCTTCTGCATCGGCGCAATCATGCAAGTGGTCAATACTCATTCAATCGGTGTCTTCTATGCCGGCAGAGTCATATCAGGATTCGGCACTGGAGCTGCAACTGTACTTACGCCCATGTATGCTGCGGAAATGGCTCCCAAGGAAATCCGAGGCAAGCTGGGCTCTTGCTTTCAGCTTTTCTTCGCAACTGGGGTGACAGTATCCTATTGGGTAGACTACGCTGCCCAAGCTGGGATTTCCAGTGACTCGTCGACACAATGGCAGGTCCCCGTCGGGCTTCAGCTCGTGCCTGGTACGCTACTCGGCCTGGGCATGCTTCTTGTCAAGGAGTCGACCAGATGGCTGGCAAAGAAGGGGCGCAATGAAGAAGCATATGCTTCACTCCTTTGGGTCCGTGGTGGTGTCGACGGACCTGAAATCCGTGCCGAGTTCTCAGAGATCTTGGTTGGCGTCGAACTCGAGGTCCGCCAGTCTGAAGGTCTGACCTGGAAGGAGCTTCTGCTTCCTTCAAACCGGTACCGGATGTTCATCGCCATCACTGTTCAACTCGCAGCACAGCTGAGTATGTGTTCCCTCATCCGAAAGCCCGTCGCATTGAAGCACGAGCTTTCAATTCGCCCCCTCTTTACCCAAGCAGTTTACTGATATTTCGCAGCTGGCAACACTTCCCTTGCCTACTATGCCCCTCAGATATTCGCGACTATTGGCGCAGGAAGCAAGACTCTCTTCATCACGGGCTTTTTCGGAATCGTCAAGATGACTGGCGTCCTGATCTTCATCTTCTTTGTTGTGGACAGAATCGGCCGCCGTATTCCTTTTATGGTTGGAGCGTTTGCCATGGGCAGCTTCATGCTCATCATCGCCTTGATTGTCGATACACACCCACCTAAAGCTTCAGCGACTGGGATAACGGCCTCCGGAGCTGCAGGGATCGCAATGGTTTATCTGGAGGCCTTCAGTTTCAACATGTCGTGGGGTGCTTTGCCCTGGCTTTATCTAGGAGAGCTTTTCCCCAATCGCATCCGTGAGATCGGTATCGCGACTGGTGCTGCGAGTCAATGGCTCTTCAACTTCGTCATGAGTCAGATCACGCCTCACGCTATTTCCAACATCGGATGGCGCACTTTCCTCATGTTCGCTATCTTCAATTACGCCATCATTGTCTACAGCTACTTCTTCTTGAAGGAGACTAAAGGCAAAAGCCTGGAGGAGATGGAAGTGGTTTTTGGGACTGTCGAGAGATTGCCCAGTAAGGACAATGATGAGGCGGAATCTCAGGCGGGGCAGGAGCAACAACCCAGGGAGCTGCCCGAGACGATCAAATAGATGTAAGAGATTTGCGGCATGCATGTTGAAGTACATGGAGCCAACATATGTACTCATATTCGAGACCATAGAAATCTCTATTGCTCAACTATTCTGGCCCCTAACAAGGCTCCCAACTCGATTCAATTATACAGCACGTGACCATGCGAATGACATCAACGAGGCACGTCTCTCCGCGTTTCTCTACTATCTTCTCCGCAAAATGCCTGCGATGATTTGTAGAGTTTCCGTCCCATCAGTTTTAACAAACTTCATGAACTAATCCAACAACAAAAACTCTGTGAAAAGGTGTCAGGACTATGCGCAAGTGCTTCAGCACATGCGCGAGACAATTGAGCCATGAAAACCCCCTAGTAAGCCAGGTCTCCTCCCACTATACCTCGATTGCGTGGACTTGACTTTCCCAACACCACCTGGAACGCATCCGTTTACCACCCCTGTCCCGAACGTGTATTGATGGTGACTGGAACAGGGGCTTCCGCGCAAAGGCGCACCACCGACCCTTCCTCGCATGCAACGCGGTCTTCCCCAGAAACGCAAGCTACGCAATGTCGCCCACACCATCGCCGTCTCCAGCGCCAAAGGTGGCGTCGGCAAGTCCACGCTGGCCGTGAACCTCGCCCTCTCTTTCTCCCGACACGGCCTACGCACAGGAATCCTCGACACCGACATCTTCGGTCCCTCGATCCCAACGCTGTTGGGCCTAAGTGATGCCTCTGAACCGGCACTCACTTCACAAAACCTTTTGGTGCCGTTGACGTCCTACGGCCTAAAGAGCATGAGCATGGGGTATCTACTGCCCAACGAGGCCGCACCCGTAGCATGGCGCGGACTCATGGTGATGAAAGCTCTACAACAACTCCTCCACGAAGTCGATTGGAGTCCAGGCCTGGATGTACTGGTGCTCGACATGCCGCCGGGTACAGGCGACGTGCAACTCACGATTGGACAGCAAGTCGAGCTTGACGGCGCGGTCGTGGTGTCCACACCTCAAGATATAGCATTGAAAGATGCCGTCAAAGGAGTCGGGATGTTCCGCAAAATGAATATCGACGTGCTAGGCATGGTGCAGAATATGAGTGTCTTTGTGTGTCCGAATTGCCAAACCGAGACGAAGATCTTTGCTCATGCCCACGATGGAGGAGGCTTAGGCGGCGCCGAGGCCAAAGCGAAAGACCTGGGTGTGGACTTCCTGGGTGATGTGCCGCTGGACCCGAATATTTGTGCAGATGCGGACAGAGGTATGCCAACTGTTGTCGCGGAGGAGGCGAGCGGGAGGAAAGCCAATACGCAGTACTACGAGCGCATCGCGGAAAAGGTAGCGCGAAAGATCGGACTGAATTGGGCTTGAGATGTGATCCTCGCCAGGACCCTTGATAGGTACATGTTCTGTTCGTACCACTCTAATCTAATTGGTATCATACATTCGAATGTTGTACAGTATCAAGACACTTGCTCTCTAGCAGTCTGGAACTTCGTCTCCGAGCGATCATAGATCTTTGGTCGCGCCGCTGCACCTGCTGCCGACGGCGTCCCGTCATCAACAACATTGCCGTCAAGTCCTGTGCTAGCTCGCCTTTCACTTTGTACCGCGGCATCGGCATCCTCCTCTTCCTGAATCCCACGATGTTCACCATGACCACCGTCGTCGCCGGACACGACACCCACAATACCCTGTGCTCTGACGACTGCCATCGAGCTTGGGCTTCTGATAGGCTGTAAGCGTCCCATGCCCTCATCTTGCTGATGGCTGTGTAGGCGATCGAAGCTGTGTTGACTACGTGGCGTATCATAGCCATTACGGGAAGACTCGACAATGCTTCTTCCACCTGCATAGTCGTCATCAACGTCGAAGGGCCTGGATTCATATACCAAAGGACTTCCGGGCCGCTCCATTGCTGCTGCCGCTGCGGCCGAGGTGTGTGTTTTAGTCGACGGCTGGATGACCCCTGCCTCTCCGAATAGGGATCGTGTACTTGCATCGTCTGCGGCGGCGGCACTTTTGCCTGTCATTGTACTTGCGGCGTCGGAGATGGCGAGCCCGCTTGAGTCTTGACGACGATGCGAGGCAGTTTTGTAGTTCGGAATGAACCCGACGGACAGGTGATCAGGGCTTCGCTGGGTCTGGTCGTCAGTCGCAGGGTTTGTCACGATCACTGGGGGGATACCAGGGGCTCTGGACGAAGTGGTTGTTGTCGTTGCTGCTGTCTGTAGGGTATGTGGAGTAGGTTGCCCTTTCTCACCCTCAACTTGCCCGGTGTCGGACACAGTGACGGTACGGGCGCGACCACGAGACTTAGCATCACTTGCTCGTCGTCTCTCACTCACACTTCGCTTCCTTGAGCCACTTCGTCCGCGATTGGCTGTTGCTGCCAGAGCCTCGCGGTTAGGTGCATTTTCACTCTGTCCACTTGGGACCTCAGCAGAGAGCCCTGTACCGTCCTTCCCATCATGCTCGGGTCTTGTATTTTGCTCGGCCTCCTCTTCTCTTTTTAGCGTCTGCTCGTCATGCTTGCTTCCCCACATGCTCCACATCGATATCAGACCATAGGTCTTGTGCGGTTTCTTTGGGAGTAGGTCTTTGTCGGTCCGTCGACTGGCAAGTGCACTCGCTGGAGGTCGCTCGCCGCCTTCAAACGGTCTAATATCACCATTCACTAGAGCTCTGATACGCTGTTTTCGTACTTTCTTGCTCACGCTGGCATATTTGGTGTCCCACGAGTTTCTTGCTTGCAGCCATTTCCGTACTGGACCCGGCTTGACTACTCCTACGTCGTCTGGATGCATGCGGCAACCTGGCAGCTCGTGCGGTGGTAATAATGCGTACACATTCCCGCCACGATCGATCCTTTGACGTAGCATGTGGTTCTCGAAAGGCGGCAAAGGGTCGCCAGCTCGGCCAACAGAGCCAATGGTTTTACTCAGGTCCAGCATCGGCTTCCTTGGGATGCCAGACCCGTCAGCCTCACTGTCAGTTGAGTTGTTCTCGCTTTCACTCCCAGAGGAGATAATCGAGATATTGTCATCATCCATAATTTCAATATCTCTCCTCTGTGCTCTAGCCAGGGCCCAGGCTCCAAATTGAGCTACAGATCTGTACATGTGCTTGGCAGGTCGAGTAAATGATAGCGTCGGCGCAACATGGCAGAGATCGTCCCAGACTTGTAGTTGGACAGGTGTTGGTTTGTACTTGTGCAAAATCGTGTCACCGGGGTCGTATGTTGACCTGTAAGACTTGCCCAGCGGGTATTTCGAGGGATATGCCATTTTGTGGGCTAGGTAGATCTGCTCATCGCGAAGGATCTCGCCTCCACCGGTCAGAATACATATGGGCGGAAGTGCGCCCAGTGAGGGCTGTAGCGCAGGCGACACCAGTGGGTGTGCCAGCAATTGATTTGTCGTGTACATCTGGATTTGGTCTTTCAGAACGACATGTTTCCCATCGAGCTCGATTGAGAGTGGAAGTTGAGGTCCAGGGAAAATCTGTCCGTCGCCTCTTACTGGCACTGCGGGATGGCAACCTGGTCCATTGACTCGATGTTCCAGTTCACTCGACGTGTTCTGGCCAGCAGTGGCGTGGTCCGCTTCATGAGAATGCGTACCCTTGGAGACTGCCGTGTCCAAACTTTTACCACCTTTTGCCATTGCGCTAATGGTCGATAACTCCTGGTCGTTTGGAGGCGGCCACGAGGCGGATGGTTTGTGCATAAACCCATGGGAAGGGATATAGTCCTCCTCGGCATCCCCTGAAAGACTCGGAAATGAATGAGTCAAGTCAACCCAGGGTGAGATGAGTACGGCACCAGCTGGAAGCGGCAAGGCCTGGTCACGCAGCAAACACAGTATAGACACCACCATACCACCACCGGCCGAGTCTCCTGCTAGTATGATTTCGGAGGGGTCGTGGATGCTGAGGAGGTACAGGTATGCTGCAAGACAATCCTGCAGTCCGCATGGAAAGGGGAATTGAGGCGCGAGCCGGTATCGAGGTGCGAAAACACGGGCCTTGAGCTTTCGTGCATGGCGTTGCATTTGATATCGATGTTCATCGACACTGCCGAAGAAGTAGGCGCCGCCATGAATATACAACATTATCCTCTGGCTTCGCCTCCCAGTCTGCTTCAGCTCATTGTAATGCGCACGCATCTCAATCCACTCTCCTTTCAGCTCAGTCCCCGCCGGACGCCATTGCCACCACTGAGAGCCTCCGACTTGCTGGACACCACTCTTGCTTAGTTCGTCGATGATCAACTGTGCAGCTTTCGTCGTGTGTTCGCGTCCAATAGGAATGTTCTCGGTCCGTACCCAGGCAGGTGTCGGAACCCATTGCTGAGTAAATGCTTGCAAGTCATCTACAGTGTGGTGAGAGGCATACTCTAGGAAGCGGCGGATTAGGTGGAAGCCTTCGTCGTACGATATATGGGCAGTGGGCTTGTACCGTCGAGGCTTTCGGTTCGTGTAATGAGAGATGCAGGTCTTGACAACGGTAGGCGTGACGGCAGCCCCGACTCCAACGGTCGTTATTGGCATTGTTGACTCGTGGTGCCCTTTTCACAGGGTCGGTTCACGATGGAGGCGAAGAGGTCTGCATCGTGGCTCGCTACGGAATGCAGCGTTCACGAAGGAGACCGAGTCGAGTAGTTCGTAGTGACAGGAAGAGAGGGAAAGCAACCGTGGTCAAAGCGCGAAGAGATGAAGATCCTTCCCCATAAACAAACTAAGTACTGTAAGTGATTCCACTCTCTCTCCGCATTCTACGTCATAGACAGCCTCGTCTTGAGGAGCTTGCATGCAGCCTCGTCGAAGAAAACCATCTCCCACAATCCCAAGGTAGGTACTTCTAAGGTAGGTACTTTTGACTGCTCGAATGCCACATTGCCTCCCAACGTGTCACAGAAATCGAACGGCTCCAACAGTCTTCATACTCATTTCTGTACAAATGTCTTCCAACCTACCATTATTCACTGGTCTCTGTAGGCTGGACGCCTGACTCCGATCTACTACCATCTGCTTATCCACAGTCCCTCAAAGCTTGTTGCCGGCTTGCATGTAATAATTGCGTGAGGAGTTGTACAACTCTGAACCACTTGTATTGGGTCCGAAGAGCAAGCCTTTGCACTGCTGTTTCGATGCTTGAAGGAAGCAACAACAGGACCGCCTGGTGTAAGGGCCGTATCCTTTACGTACTTCGTACCTCAAGCACGGAACTGACTCCGTAGATCCCGACCTGTCAGCAAGCCGTCTCTCTGGATTCCTTCAAGCATGTGAAAGGTGTCGCGCAAGCTTGCAATGCTGTAAGCGTACCGGAATCATTACAGGGACAGGTCATGCTTGGACGCCAATCGCTTCAATCGAGGCTTTATGCACAACACTAAGTCCATCATGAACTGTCAAATATAGGAATACAGAACGACGATACGAGTACTCTTTCCGTACTGACCACCGGTCGTCTTCCGTACGAAACGGGCACGGAGTATGTCTGGCCAAGCATCGCATAAGCATATGCAGGGATAGTCAATAGGCTATTGTCTTGGAATTGCCGTCGAATTCTTCCAAATACGAGTGTCGGCCCAACCTCATCTGTGCATAGAGGTCACCTGCTTGGAAATCAGCCGATCCTTTTCGATTTTGTTATCCCTTGGCCCTTGGCTGCAACATTGTCCACCGTGTCAGTTGCGGGGTTCTAACGATTCAAGCGAGAAAGCAACCCCAAGCTTTCCACACAACCCCCGGACATCTCATACAAGTGGGCCTGGTGGGCGCCATATGCGCACCCCCCCGGGTCAACGCCGGTGCGCCTCCAGTACGACTTGCCGTGTTCATGGTGATGCACATGGATTGGTCACGCTGTGATTCTACTTCAGATAAAATGATTTCATGATTGACCCCGCAAAGCCCTTTTCCCAGAAGGTGTACAAAAGGGTGAGCCAAAGGCTTGTCCGTGAACGTGGCTTTTGATGCTTTCGTTTTACGTCCTGGGAAATCCGTGGAAGTCTGTTTCTCTTCCTGGGTCCTTCGTCTCACCCTTCAGTACTTCGACACGCTACGCCCTCCTTGCAGGCAAAACGACGTATAATGGCGACAGACGCGAAGATCCAGGATGCCGACCTCCTCGGGGACAAAGCAGATGTCTCTTACGAGGAGCGTATGCACTGGGGTGCTTTGAGCGAGGAAGAGTTGGCCATTGAAAAGAAGTTGCGATTCAGGATCGACGCGATTGTCATGCCATTGGTCATCCTCGTCTATCTGATGAACTACATTGATAGGTAACAACCCTGTCCGATCTGACCTTGAATCCGACTGAGCCTTTTCTCAGGAACAATTATGCAGCAGCACGACTGCAAGGTTTGGAAAAAGACTTGAATTTGAAAGGAGACCAGTATCAAGTTGGACTGAGCATCCTTTTCGTGGCATATGTGAGTTGGCAACTGTCATACTGGCAGACCCGGACAGGCACAGAGACCGCCGCCTCTGCTCGTCTGGTCACCACCGGAGCCGTTTGACTGACAAAGTCAGGTCCTTATGCAAGTTCCTTCCAACCTACTTCTAAATTACTGTGGTCGACCATCATGGTATCTCGGATTCTTCGTCATCGCCTGGGGCCTTGTGTCGGCCTGCACCAGTCAAGTGAGCACATATGGCCAGATCGTCGCGTGCCGGTTTCTTCTTGGGCTCGTCGGTAAGTTTTGTCCTCAGTTCACAGGCACTTGAGCCTGTCGTTCTCTCATCGTAACGCTTTCTAACCTTCTATCAGAGGCTCCATTTTTTGCTGGAGTGCTATTTTACCTTAGTAAATGGTAAGTATGCCATACTTGCATCTAAGTTTACCTTGCTGACCCATTGTGCGAAAGGTACACCAAGTCCGAGCTGTCGTTTCGTATGGCTGTGTTCTACTCAGGCTCTCTTATCTCTGGTGCCTTTGGCAATCTCATTGCCGCAGGCATTCTGTCAGGTTTGGCCGGTGAAAGGGGTATGTCGGCGTGGCAGTGGTTGTATATCATCGAAGGGTCGATTACTGTCTTGATTGGAATCATCATCGTCCTCGTCCTGCCCGATTTTCCGGATACATGGCGCGCTCTGAGTCCGGAAATGAAGAGGGTGGCGAATCGCCGGCTGGCCATCGATGCAGCTGAAGCCGACGTCGACGAGGCAGGAGCCATGAGCCAGGTCCATGGCATGAAGCTCGCCTTCCTCGACCCCAAGACCTACATCCTCGCAATCGCGTACCACGGCATCACTGGCGCTGCAGGGTTTCAAAACTTCTTCCCTACACTCACTGCGACTCTGGGATATTCGCACATTATCTCTCTCCTGCTTGTTGCACCACCATATGTGTTCATGGTCTTCTACTCCTTCTTCCACAGCTGGATGTCGGACAAAGTCCAGAATCGTTTCTGGTTCTTCGTGTACCCGGTCCCGATCACCATCGTCGGCTGCGTCATCTTCATGACCACGAACAGCTTTGGCCCACGGTATTTCAGCTTGTTCCTGCTCAATTTTGTATTCGCTATGAATGGTACCTGCTATGCCTGGATCAGTAATGCCATTCCACGTCCGCCAGCGAAGCGCGCAGCATCTTTAGCCTTTGTCAACTCGGTCGGCAATGCTGCCAGTATCTGGACTCCTTTCACATACTACGATAGCCAAGGCAAGCATTATCCCGTGGCATTGGGCGTCGTCATTGGATTGCAGTGTCTCGCCGCATTGATGGGCGTCATCCTGAAATTCTATCTGCAGCACCAGAATAAGCAGCTTGCTCGGCTTGAGGATGAGAATGTGCAACTAAGTGAGCACGAGTTGGCCAGGTTGCAGAAGACGGCCGAATTCGAGGGTATCGACATTGCAGCTGCCAGAAAGATGCAAAAGGGCTACCGATTCATGATCTAGCTGGAGATCAATGAGATTCGATCTGCAGGTGAAAGACAAAAAGCAGGATATCGCTCGTAATCAGGAAGTTGCAGCGCAAATGACACTGAGGTAGTTTGCATGAGTTGGGAATGTAATATGTTTTCTGACCAATGTCCACATCTAAGTCGAAGGCATCCATAAAGCCTAGCCCGTGAGGTTACGAGACGTGCTTCTGGATCTCAGGAAGGCGGAAGGTGGAAGGAATGGAATAGTCCGAAAGACATGTAGATGCAAAGAGTTGTAACCTGTTACAATGAGATAATTCGGGGGCGTGGGAATGCCTTAACGTCAGAGAAGTCCTAGGTACTCCATACCTTAAAATTAGCTTCTGAAGTTGCTCCGATAACAACAAGCACCGTGGTAGGGGGTTATCCGTCCCTGTACAGTACATCCTTTCAATCGACTTTTTATGTGCTTCGGAATCAACAATCAGGCACCTTTGGGTCACAGCTCCCAAACAAAGTCCCGCAGCAGCTGAGGATACGCAGGAAGGAGAGATGACCTCCAATCGCCCAACCATACAGCCCGCGAAGCTATTGTCTTCGCGTTCCCATCAGATACCCGGCAAACTCTTGGTGACTGAGTTCTTCTTCCAAGTTCCCCTAGATCACTCAAACCACCAAGGCGAGCAGATACGCATATTCTGTCGCAGTGCGAGAAAGTTTGACAAGCCCACGGTGCCCAAGCCCACAAGCGATGAAGACCAACTGCCATGGTTTGTCTACATACCAGGTGGTCCTGGTTTCGGCTGCCCACCGCCACAGAACCTCATGGAGTTTACAAATACAGTTCTGGCTCGCGGCTACCAGGTAAGCAACCTGCGAACACCACTTGACGGCAGCCCAGACTGACGTTCCCAGTTCCTCGCCTTTGATCATCGCGGGATGGGTCTTTCGACTCCAGCGACAGCTGCTAGCATAACCGCCAAAGGCTCGCCTGGGCAGCAGGCCGAATACCTCAAGCATTTCCGAGCGGGGAACGCGGTTAAGGACCTCGAAGCCATTCGTAAATGCTTGACCGCAGACTATCCCGAGGAGAAGAAAAAATGGACCATTATGGGCAGCAGCTACGGCGGCTTTGTGTGCTTGAACTATCTTAGCTTCCATCCTGAAGGGCTTCGTGAAGTCTTTCCCGTGGCAGGGATGGCACCGGTCACGCAGTCAACCCCGGATCTCCCAATCGAGAAGCTCTTCAAGAAGGTCATGGGCAGGAATCAGAATTACTACGCCAAGTATCCCGAAGACAAAGTCAATGTCTGCAAAATTCTCGAACTGCTGGATCGTGAGGAGAGTCGGCTACCCTGTGGTGACGTTCTGACACCCGCTCGATTTCTTGAGATGGGGATCCTCTTCGGTTTCCATGGCGGGCTGGATGCAGTCCACGATGTAGTTTTGAGGGCAGCCAACGATATGGACATCTTCGGGTATCTAACCCGACCTACATTGTCTGCAATCGAGGGCTCCTCTTCGTTCAATGACCAACCTCTATACGCAGTCATGCACGGTTCAATCTACGTGCAGGGACAAGCATCAGACTGGGTTTTCGACCGAGTAATGAAGAAGTATCCCGAGTTCGAGACGGGTCAGCAAGCAACACGGGAGGATGGACCGCTGTTCACGGGTGAGATGGTGTTTCGCCGCGCCTTCGAAAATTACGGCGAACTGAAAACCCTCTTGCCCGTCGCCGAGCTGCTGGAGAAGAAGACGGACTGGCCCGATCTGTACGATCTCAACCAGCTACGGAAGAACGAAGTCCCTGTCTACGCTGCCATATATGTGGAAGACATGTATGTCGACCTCGATTACTCCTTGGAAACAGCGTCCATCGTGAAGGGATGCAAGACTTTCATCACGAACACCTTGTACCACGACGCAATACGCAGCAAGAACGAGGAGGTGCTTAAGGCACTTTTCGCTCTGAGAGATGACACAATAGACTGAACGGGACATGGCATGAACTCCACATGGCGCTTTAATCTGTTCTCAGCGTCGACGGGCACCTCCAGCATCAGCGCCACGATCAGCCATGCTGATGACCTCCCCAATACCAGCAGCTTCCTGTTCATCTTCCAGATTGCGGATCTCTTCCCTGCAATCCCACCATCTCTCTTCAGCTTGCTCGAACGCAGCTTTCCGTATTTCTTTTACCGACTGCTCTGCTGATGCGGACGACCTGGCGCTTCTCGACTCGATCACGAGCTTTTGCCATTCTTCCGACGTGCGTGCATAAAAGTCACGCAGTGATTCGAATGGGCGTGGGAAGGGCCGCGAATCCTGCTCGGCGCTCGTCTCCGGCTCGGTCTCTGTGGCCGTCTCGGCTTCCGCCGTTGGGACGATAACCTCCGTGGGCGCCGTCGAAGGTGCGTCCACCGACATGGTGTCGTTGTCTTCTTCGTCCGTGTCCATCTCCGAATCCTCGTAATCGTCTTCATCTTCATCCATGTCCTCGTCGCTGTCTTGGTCGGTAACATCCCAGTTGACAGGCTCGACATAATAAAGCTCCTTCACGCCGTCCAGCTTCCCAAGGTCGACGGCATAGAGGTCTGAGAAGGTGATCTCGACGTCTTTCTTCTCAAATGTGCCGCCGAACATGTACAGAACATCATCTTGTACAGTCAATTGCGCGTTGAAGCGAGGATGAGGCATCTCGAAGCGCACAGGAAACTCTTTCTTTGTCGACTGAGACTCGTCGTCGCGATCGTCAACATCGTCGATTTTCAGTTCTTCGATCGCAGCGCCAGATCCTTTGGTCTCCAAAGCTGCAAGATTTCGCAAGAGCTCTTCTTCGTCCGCCTTTGCTCGGTCACGACCGCGAGGCTGGACCTGTTTCTTGGCTCCGGTTTTCGGCCGCCTCAAGGTGAGGGGGAAGAACCGATTTCGATCGATGTTCCAGATGAACATCTCGTTGAAGAACTCGCTGTCAATGCCCTCTTCACTGTCCTCAACATCGTGGACGCCACCGAAAGTGACGCCTCGGCCTTTATGGAAGGCCATCGTGGCGCCTGCGCGAACCGGGTTAGGTGCGTTTGCTGGCTTCTTGCGACGTTCCCAGCGAAGTGTTGGAGCACTCCCGCTAGGAGCGTCGGCTGGTGGTGCTGTTATCCTTAGAAACCACGTGTCTTGATGTACGACCGGTTTGACAACATTTCGGACCAGGGGCCCACTACCCTTGCCTTGCTTGCCGCTTGTTGAGGCCGCTTTCACTCGCGAATAGCCTCCATACAAGACCGCACCGGACTCGTGGGGGAGAAATGTGAATGAAGACCGAGGATCGGGTTTTTGTGATGCTGGTGGCATCTTCACCTCGTGCCAGACATTTTCCTTGCAATCGTAGATCCATGTGTCGTTGAGATACTTGGTCTGCTGGGAGGTATCCTGAAACCCTCCAAAAAGAACAATGTAGTTCTTGAAGTAAGTCATTCGATGGCCACTCCGTGCTGGAGGGCTCTTACCCTTTCCTCGCGGCTCCAACTTGGTCCACTCCCGAGTCTCCGTGTCAAAATGCCAGAAGTCGTGGTAATGGTAGAATTGATTCTGCTTGGGCGAGGAGAATTCACCCCCTGAAATGTATATGCCTCCAGTGTTTCCTCCGCGACAGGCAGCGTGACCACTTCGAGGGAGAGGACTGTTGCCGGATATCACTTGGTGCCACTCACCTCTGTCGATCAGATAGACGAAGAGGTCGTTGTAGAACGATGCCGCATTGCCGTCGTGAAACTCGCCGCCATACAAGAAGAGTTCGTTGCGGTTTGACGGTGACGCCACAAGTGTGCTTGAAGACCTCGGACCGGGCGGACCACAGATCTGTTCGGTGATTTTCAAATACTTGGTTTGCTCTTCGGCATACGCCGCCAACACTGCGTCGAGGTCAACATCGTCAACGTCGGAGTCGTCTAATGCTGCGGCCTTGGCTTTGTTTTTCTTATCGCCTTTGGCCGCTTTCTTGGTTTGCTTTGCTTGTTTCTGGGCTTTTGTCTCTGCCTTGTTGGCCTTCTTCTTTGCCATAGCGGCGCTATTGCGCAAGAGCGGAATGGGAAGGGATCAAGCACATCCACACAATGCTCGATAGTGCAAGGTTGTAGAATCGGTATTTTCGAACTCCCGCCACAACGTACGAATGTGTATGTTGCTATCTCACACCCATGATTCGGGGCTAACTCTCGCTCCCTGACCCCACTCTATGCTCAGAAGGATTATTGTGACTTAGATGATATTTTGAAGGACGACTCTCAGAAAGGTGAAAATGAATTTGATATCACGTGGAGACGCACCACTCTCAATTACATAATCCACCCCGCTGCTCGCTGTGACCGGCGCGTCTTTATCCGACGCGTCTCGGTACTATCAATTCTTACCGCAGCCTGGTCAATCTTGTTCACTAGCCACAATCAAACAACATCTGCCATTGCTACCATGCAATGCAGCACCATGGGCAGACCATATGACGAAGAATAACCTAAGCCAGTGTCTTGCATGGCTCTTACAGCACCCACACTCTTTTGGATCTTTGGAGCACGTCTGTGTCATCAATGCAACGGTTAGCGGTCAGGACGATGTGCCCGAGTCAACAAACGAGGACATGGCAAGACTGCAACTCGCCCCACAAATCGCACCACGACCAAGGTTGCACGTTCAACCAACTCATACCAATGCCCTGCCTACCCCCGATCCTTCGCGAGCGTCCGTCGACTACATCCCTACCCCACGTCGAACGAAGCAGAAACCCGAGACATCGTCTCTCCCTCGAAGATCTCCTCGTCCGAGTACGCCGATGACAACGTTTGACGATATCAAGTTTGAAGACTCGACAGGCGTGGTCGATATCGACGAAATTGATCTTACAGGTGAAGACGTGACTACCTCTTCCTTCTCAGAATTTGGTCCTCCTACGAAATTATGGAGGGAAAGCTCCGCCTCTCGTATTGAGCCACTCCCGAAGAAAAGAGGAAAGAAGAGGAAAAGTGACGAATATCAATCGGACCTGCTGTCTCCCGCTTCTGCTCGGAGCACTACAAAGCGTGTGGAGAGGATCACAACTCGCTTGCCATGTGGAGGAAGCCGACACAAAATAGCGGAGGAGAGCGATGTTGAAGAGGACAAGCACCTGACACAGAAGACCACTCGGCCGACACAGAAAAATGTCTTCAAGGAAGAAGAGTTCCCAGACGTGGGTGTGGATGACGATACGAATCTCCTCGACGCTTTAGAATCTGCATTGGAGACTGCAACTGCTCAACCGCCTTCCCAGCAAGCCCGCAGTCAGAAGTCGCGAAGCCTCGTGCCAGATTCTGACGATGACGAGGAGGTCGGGGCAACTGGTCCAGACGTTCTCCGAGGATCGCCTCCAGGATCGCAACCCAACGCCAGCCAAAGTGGACGTGCCCAGGTTGGCCTCGAAGAGCCTCTCAAGAGCAGTGGGGCAAGCCATGACCGGAATGGTGTTCCAAGTCATGACCAGACGCGGATTCTGAGAAGCTTCATTGAGACCGGAGCCGACCTATGCGCAGGCCTATTGGAACGTCTACAAAGATCCAAGAAAGCCGTGAAGATCGCATTGCTTGATGACATGTGTTCCGAAAATCCTGCAGCCAGCACAAACATGGCTACCTTAAAGGACATCGAGAGCAAGATCGCCGCAACAACACAGCTCTTACAGGAACATGAGGCTTTGACGAAACTGCATGACCAACAGACCAAGATGCTGGAGCGCCGGGATGAGCTAGCAGAAGAAGGCCATGATATCGACCCAACCGATCCCACGAATGCACTTACACGCATCTGCTCAGACATTCGACGAATCAAAGTCGATATTGACGGTCGGCAAATGTCAGTACTGAAACTGCTGGAACGAGCTGGTGTTACTATGACAAGTGGGCCACCTGGCACGCCCCGTACAGCCCAGAGTCGTCCTCAACCCCCCTCGACAAGCATCTCCACGAAGAATGTCCTTGTCGCCTCCACGCAAAAAGGGTCGTACCAAGCCTCACCAGTCCGGAACCTGAACCACACCAGAGACCTGGGTCTTCCCGCCACACAGTCCGTCAGACAGACACCGATATCACAACGCGTCAAGGCTGACCACAGAGAGCCCCATTCCACGCATCAAGAACGCTTCCGACCAGAATCCTCCACCTACGGTGCAACAAGGACAGCAGCTAGACCAGCCCCACTATTATCACCACCAGCAGCTCACATGGCTGACGAGTTCCCTTCATATGAAGAAGATGAGGACGATGTCAGAGGCTTCTCTCGGACAATGGGAAGTCCTGCTCGCGACTTCTCATTCAATGATGATGAGTTTGAGGACGATCTGGATGACGAGGAAATGTACAAAGCGGTGGAAGAGTTCGAGCAAACCTTACCGCTCAACGAGCCTGCATCACCCAATCTCCGCGAACGCCCTGCCCTGGGTGAGCTGAGCGAGAATATCCGCAGACAATCACCGTCAAAGCCTGCTCCCAAAAGCGACACCACCACGCACGCAAGCCTTATGCAATATCCTTGGTCTAAGGATGTGGCTTCGGCGTTGAAAAAGAGATTTCATCTACACGGATTTCGCCACAATCAGCTGGAAGCCATCAATGCGACTTTGAGCGGTAGAGACGCCTTCGTACTTATGCCAACCGGTGGTGGAAAATCTCTTTGCTATCAACTCCCGTCGGTCGTTCAAAGTGGTCGTACACGAGGGGTTACCATTGTGGTCTCTCCATTACTCAGTCTGATGCAAGATCAGGTAGATCACCTGAAAAAGCTCAAGATCCAGGCATCTCTCATTAACGGAGACATCAGTCAGGAGCAGAGAAGCTACATCCTCAGCGCTCTGAAAGGACCGCATCCTGAAGCCTTCGTACAACTTCTGTATGTCACTCCGGAAATGCTGAACAAAAGTCAGGTTATGGTAAGGACTTTTCAAGATCTACATCGACGAGGACGACTCGCACGACTAGTCATCGATGAGGCCCATTGTGTCAGTCAATGGGGCCATGACTTTCGGCCAGACTATAAAGCTCTTGGTGAAATTCGCAAACAGTTCAGCGATGTGCCCTTGATGGCATTGACCGCAACAGCGACTGAAAATGTCAAATTCGACGTCATGCACAATCTGGGGATGGACAACGCTCAAGTTTTCACGCAAAGCTTCAATAGGCCAAATTTGACATATGATGTAAGACTCAAAGCCAAAGGCCAAAATTTGATGGACAGCATTGCAGAGACGATTGAGTCACGCTACAAAGGACAAGCCGGCATCGTCTACTGTCTGTCAAGAAACAATTGCGAAAAGGTTGCGCAACAGCTGAGAGAAGACTATAACATCAATTCACAGCACTACCACGCAGGCATGCCTTCTGAGGAGAGAATCTATATCCAAAAGCAATGGCAGGCAGGAGTTTTCCACGTGATTGTGGCTACCATAGCCTTTGGCATGGGGATCGACAAACCAGACGTTCGCTTCGTTATCCACCATTCGATTCCAAAAAGCTTGGAGGGTTACTATCAGGAGACAGGGCGAGCAGGTCGAGACGGTAAAAGATCAGGATGTTATTTGTACTATGGTTATGCCGACACCCTGTCTCTGAAGCGAATGATCGAGGCAGGCGACGGCAGCTGGGAGCAGAAGGAAAGACAGAAGCAGCTGCTGAGGAACGTGGTCCAATTTTGTGAAAATCGCAGTGATTGTCGCAGAGCCCAGGTGCTCGAATACTTCAACGAACATTTCGATCCGGAAGATTGCAAAAATGGGTGCGACAACTGCAACTCGACTAGTTCTTTCGAAGAACAGGACTTCTCTCAACATGCCCGAAATGCAATTCGGCTTGTACGGAAGGTACATCGTGACCAGGTTACACTTTTGCACTGCATTGACGTCTACCGGGGTGCAAAGTCGAAGAAAATCGGCGACCTTGGACACGATGACCTCGACGAGCATGGAATGGGTAGCGACCTGGGCAGGTCAGATGTTGAACGCCTCTTCTACCGGCTTGTTTCAGAGGATGCCCTTGCGCAATACAACGTAACCAATAAGTCCGGATTCGCCACACAATACGCCAATCTTGGACCAAATGCTCAGGTATTTGAGGATGGACGCAGACCACTGAAGCTTCAAGTACTCTCGTCTCCACGTAACAAGACAAAAGGCAAGGCTGTCAAACCGCAAGTTCGAAAGAAGGTCAAAGCCAACACAGGGGTGGCTGCGGCAACAGACTACTATCCAGCATCCACCAACGTCTCGTCTCCGATGCAGCCCCTGTCACGGCGCCGACTCATGCAACAAAGCCCAACATCTTCTGACGACGACTTTGTCGTTCAATCGAGTGAGGAAGAAGATGTAGTTTCTGGCACTCGCAGGAAGAACAAGGATAAATTCGGTCCACCTATCATCACTGATGAGAATCTCGGCACGCTGAATGAAACACACCAGCATATACTCAGCGATTTCGTCGAGCGAGCCAGAAAGGAGATTGATGCCATCATGATCCGCAAGTCTCTCAGACAGAGACCGATCACTGATCGAGTATTACGTGAAATCGCCATCAAATTTCCAACGAGCGACAAGGAGCTCAAGCAGCTCATGCGCCTGAACCCTGACATGTACAAGATCTTCGGACCCACGATGCTCAGGCTGATCACTACTGCCCATAACGACTACGAAGCTATAATGCGAGCACAAGAAGATCGACCCGATGATCCGAATCATGCAACCGTGGTAGAAATCAGCGACGACGAGTTTGGAGGTGTCGACGATGTTGCCGAGAGTGACTTCGATCCTGAGGAGACGGAGAGTAGTCACTACTTCGGTGTAGCTGACGAAGTTAGTCGCTTCAATGAACGCAGTAAGTGCTTTCTGCCGTTGAATCTGTTCTGATAACTAACACAATATAGTGTCACAGATACAAACGTCCATGCCAAAGCCTCCGAAAGCCCCATCCGAGAAACCGGAGTCACAACGAAGATCGCTCCCATGGAAGAGTCGCGGATCGCGTGGGTCTAAACGTGGTGGTGGTGGTGGTGGTTCGAGGCCGAGGACGAAGGGAACAGCGGGCGTCACAAAGAAGAAGCGTGCTGGATCTAGTGCTCGTTCAAGCACTAGTAATCCATTCGCCGCGAGGAATAGCAGAGGTGGGCGGGGAGGTGGAGGTGGTGGCGGCATTGGCATGATGCCAACATGAAAGGCGTATGGAGATGTCACAGCGGTCGACATCGATACAACGGGCTCGAGAGCTTCTTATGGACATGGTTGGTACCTTCATGCCAACGTGGAGAAAAGTTGTAGATGCTACGACGGACGACATGGTCACAACGATGGCGAGAACTCTTACTATCACGGTCGGTACCTTCTCCATTGCATTTCCGTTGACATGGCATTCCGAGGCTTTTCTTGTCGCTTTAATGATTTTGGCGTTCGAACTTTGGTGCTGACCGAAGCCAAGTTGCTCGTCTGCGTTGGGTGAGTGTCGGTCGCTCCTTCCACATCAAGGCTGTTGACGTTGTTCCCTCGTCTCTGTCAAAGCTCTCCTTTCCTGCTTTCTGAGTTTTCATCTCCTCTTCATCTCACTCTCACAGGCCTCCACACCACTCGGTTGCAGAATCGTCCCCCAATCGCGGCCAGGTATGGCATAGGTCATACACGATGCCGCTTGCAGAGATTAGCCCGAACATTCAAAGAGATGCAAGACCTGATGGCAGCAAACAACAAGATGTGGCTGTCACGACATCCACGACATCGCTGCGGTCGAGTGCTGTGCAGAGCATGCTCAAAACCACAACCGAGCTGGGTGACACTGGGCCATTCGCTGTACGACCTCCAAGAATACCTCGATCAGGCTCACGTCTACAGTCGACTAGATTCCGCTCTGGCTCCTTCGACACATCTTTGCCTCCCAGCTCCGCCACCAAACATCTCCTCACAAAAGACATCTTCACCGTCGGCATGGTCCACGACCGGTTCCCTCATCATTTGGCTTGTCAGGCCGTGAGACGGTTCATTCATCGTCACAGCATTCGGGACTACGGTCCAAAAGAGCAGGTCATCGTCACAGATCCCCAGGTCTCCGTACCCTAGGCCCTGGACAGCGTGGACTCTACACACCCAGATCTCTCATCACCCTTCGCGGTCAGCGGAATTTCAACAGTCTACAATCCAGTTCCCCAATGATACGGTCCGTGCATGGAAGGAGACATGCTCTTCGGACCTCTTCCCCTGCTTTCAGCGAGTCACAACTCTACAGATATGCCTTAAGGCCTGGAAACCCTAGAGTTGGAAGTGCTGTTACTGTTGGTTCATCGCCAGGCATGCTCCCTCGACGTCATGGCATGCCCGGCTATCGTCCTGAACTAAACAACTCCTATTCTTCGTTCATACGCCTTCCTTCGCCCGCTGTGTCCTCAATGAATGTACCGTCCATGGCCAATGGACATGCTCTGCAGAGGACAATCACGCCAATGTCTCTGCAAAGCCTCCGACGAACCTACAACAACAGTGCTGCCTCTCTCGCAGGACTACCAACGTCTCCCACTGAATCTAGTGTCCCTCGTTACTATGACTATTCTGAGTCTTTCATCGAAGAAGACTGCTTCTCCCCACTGGCGGACGACCAAGGAGCAAATACGCCCTTCACAATCAATCAAAAAATCATGGGAGATCAACTCGGGCCAGAACGCCGACAGGCAATATCTCCATTTGGGACCATGCCAGGATCAGCGTACAGACCTTCAGAATTACCAACCATGCACAACCGACGTGGTAGTGAAGTTTCAAAGTTGTCGAAGTATAGTTATTCAGGGGTCATACCACCACGAAAGTCGAGCCTGGCTGCCACTACAACTCCCGTGATGAGCCGCAGCACAACACAGAAAGTGAGTCTTCCACAACGTATCAGGACGTTGCACAAGGCCACATGCTAACGAGATGTTGTTAGACTTTGCAGAGGTCCGCAACAGCTGAACCAGTCTTCCCGAGGAGGCATTCCAGGGACGAGAGAGATAATCCTCGAAGCTCGACCGCCTCACGCCGAACATCTGCCTCGATCCATGCCAGTGCATTCTTCCCTAATGCTAGTCGAAGCCCTCGCGACCTGACCACCCTTGCCGCTCGGGTCCATTCACCAGTATTTGACCAAACGACTTCGAACCACTCCATTTTGGAGACGCTGGAACAGGTCAATCATCGTGAGGGGGATGCTCAGACAGGGAACTCAGAGGGTCATGTACATATTCGCTCAGCCTGGGAGTTACCTGATCTGACCCTCCAACCGCTGTCCAATGCCGTATGTCCTGTTCTTTTACGGGAACGGCCCAAGACATCCAGCGCTGCTCAGTCCAAACCGGTCGGTGAGATTCTATCTCCTGTGCCTGAGCGCCCGATGTCTTCACAGAGCCGCAAAAGGTTCAGCCGTATATTCGAGATTGGAGAGAGCTATTCTGTGGAACACAACAAAGTGTCGGGGCAAGTCCAGAAGTTCTGCAGGCTCAGCTTTGTGAAAGAACAATCAGATGCCGGCACCTTCGCAGAACTTCCGGCCTGGCCACCAGATGCAAGGCATGACCGTGACTCCCTCAACGAAGAACCTCGGCGCATCATATCACCACTAGATAGTTCTTGCAAAGAAACGAACATGGCAGCCAACAAGATGACTCTGCACGACAAATCAACAGTCGAGTCTCTCTTGGACCAACATATCGAGTGCTTGGGCTTGAAGGGGGATGGGTCTCCTTCATTCGGAAGTAGCGATGACTCCGACCACTCTGACAATGGTGCTGGTAGCAGTGGCAATAGCACTGTCAAATTACCTCCCTTCTTTCGAGAGACGTGGTCGCAACCCTCGATGAGACCCACAACTTCAAGCTCATGTCAACCATCTAGCCTCGCCAGCTCGGAACAGTGTAGACTAAGGCCCCGACGGCTGTTCGCCAGCATGGACCCGAGACTGCACTCGAGGGTCATTCTGGAGACCTTTCGAGACAATTCATCCGCGAACCTCTCCTCTGCCACGACATCAACGACCGTCAATAGGCAAACGTCCTCCGGCTGGCAGATTTTGCCTTCTACCAGTCAATCGACCCCCCTCCAAACAGGCACAAAAGTATCGCTAACTTCTGGTGACTTGGGAGACGTTGATTCGGATCCTCCGTTGACCAAATTCAAAGTCAAAAGGCATTCAGACCTGAGTATCACTTCCTCGGTGTCCACCAAGGAGTCACCGGACACGGACCACAGGTTGAGCCGGATCGGTAGCCACGTGTTGCCTCGCAGGTCCAAGAGCGATGTGCTCGCTAGACAGATGTGTCACCGCAGACGGAGAGCGCGAATCATGCTTAAAGCGAAAAAGAAATCCACAAGTCATGGACAGGTGACGACGCTGGACACAGATGAGCCGCATGACGGTGAAGGAGAACCCGAAGACGACTGGACAACAACAGAGTCGCCTGAGGAACTCACCACGGCATCCCCAGTGAATGGGTATGCTGAATTGAGCGCGGAGTCAGTGGTCGTGCAGCCACCCACGATGATTTCAACGGATAGTGTTCTGCTTCCATCTTCCATGCCGCGAAGATGGACCAGTATGTTAGCGGCAATGCCGGAGCCGGTGAAAACAAGTGCAGATGTCGTCCGAAGAGCATCTGTCCGCACCGTGCGTACACATAGAAGCAATCCCAGCATCATCGAGCCTCTTAACAGTACCCGTCAGAGCTCGCAGGTCCAACGGTTGGGATCCGTCCCTCAGCTTGCACCTCCAGAATTCGGTCCTCCTTTGACATCTTCAGATCTCAATTTAAGCCTTGGACTCCCTGCACCGCCTCCAAACTCTCGTCCGCCTCTTCGTCAAACCCAGAGTTTCTTTTCCGACGACAGCTCCGCCCAGCATCGTGGTCATGGACCAAACAAGCGTTTCGATCTCCACAGTCTTCGAAGTGGCTTGACGAGATCGACGGGGCTGAGGGGCACTCGAGGAAGCTCCACCCGAAACAATGTCGAGATGACACCACTCCAAAAGGGTAATATGATGTTTCGGAAATCTCCTGATTACGCCCGGTCGTCTCTTGGAGACATTGTTCCAATGACGGATTTCGCATACAAGAAGCGGAAGGTTCTGGATCGATTCAAAGATTGGTTCAAGAGGCATGCATGCAAAAGGCGCCGTTAATCATGAGGGATCGAGTATGTCATGCACGTTCACAAAAGCGTCCTCGGATCAAACAATGCTTCCATGAGAAGCGAGGGAGTGGAATATATTCCTGGGCTGAAACGAAAAGCTTGTATCTTATCTCGTCCATACGTCGTACCAAGAGAGTTTGAATTCATACGCGTAACAGAATAGAACTTCTTCTCCACAATTCGGCTCAAGGCCGAAACTGCAATGAAAAAGATGATGAATGGCAGCATCAGGAATTGGCCTGATGTGCGTGCAAAGCATACATTCGGCCAAACACGATGGTATACATCGATCTGGCCTCCTGAATCCTCGCGAAGCTCTTCCACACCAAGCTCAATCGCGTGCTGTGGCTGGCACGACAACACAAGTGAAGTGGAATGGAATAGCCTCGATAGCCCCCGGATCCCTAAATCCCCCAGATCCCACGAACTCGTCCTTTGTTGGTAGTTCACGACGAACCAAGACACAACGGTCTTTTGAATCCCTCAGGTTGCCCACAATCCTCGTGATTTAAGGATAAAGATAGTATGGTGCAGGTGATGCTCCCATAGATACAATCCTCGTAATTTGAGGATGTATGGAGATACTGACCTCTTTCAGGGTCGAAAGATATTGACCTCTTTCAGGCTTTGGAAGATCTTGACCTCTTTGAGGGTCGGACGTTGCTTGGATGCAATTCCTTTTGTGTGCCCATAAAGACAACGTGAAGAGACAGAGGTTCTTTTGACTTGACACTCCCCTGCGATCGGTATAAATCTGCTCATTCCCATGTCAGGACGGCTTTTCAAAGGATCATCGACTCGTTTCGCTTTTCTTGGGGGATGGATTCTTGGTGTGTTTTGTCAAGCAACGTAGCTGATAGCGGCGTGTAGTTGAACGCGTGTTTTGAGTGTAGCTGTGAGCATGGTCACTGAACGTGTCTGTTGATGTGTGATAACGTGTGATAACGTGTGATAACGTGTGATAACGTGTGATAACGTGTGTGAAGCAGCACAATATGTAGAATGTAACTGCCGCTTAAGATGCCGGACCGAGTAGCTATATTTGAGCGTGACTCGGGATCTTGAGGCTTTGATTTTGTTTGTATCTCTGTTCGGAGGCCAACTCGCTGGTCGAAGATCTCTGCTCAGAGGCTGAATATTTCGCTTGTCAACAAGATCTTCGCTCAGAGATTGTCTCGCGTGTCCAGAGCTGCCGCTGCGAAATGTGCATCGCAAGCGGATCATCCAAATCCATGGCGGATCAAGCTCACGGTCTTTGGGCCTTTGTTCATTTAAACCCACGGCGGATCAGGCTCGTGATGTTTGGGACTTTCCTCCAAATCCAAGGTGGATCAGACTCATGGTATTTGGGACTCTGCCTCTTGGGCTCTGCCTCTTGGGCTCTGCCTCGAATGGCTGGGATTTCCTCTAGGGTCTATCGCCTCTTGGGCTTCTCTCCTAGGGCTGTAATTTCCTCTAGGGCTTGTCGCCACTAGAGTCTTGACCTGAGGAAGGAAATGCTGAGAATGCTCAAGCTTCCCTTTCTGCTTCGAACCAGGGATGGACTTTTCCCATGCACAGGAGCCAAACACAGCCGGTTCCAGCTCGAGACCGCGGAGACATCAGTGTACATTGTCGTCTCCACTAAGGGATGACCCCCCAAACCCTGGTGAGAGACAGTATGTACGACTTCCAAATCCTATAGTCCAGAGCCATCTTCGCTGTTCGAGACTTCCAGATGCAGATGTAGAGTCCATCGAAATTTGGCTTAACGCTGGTTTTCCACGTTGAAAGCAAAAGCAAGATTCTCTTCCATCCTCATTATTCCATGGTGTCCAAGGTAATGAGTTCCAGAAGTTGTGTTGCAACATTTGAAGTTGACCAAGGTAACAGAGTTGACCATAGAAGTCACGCCGAAGCATGTACTTCAAGTGTAGCTTTGTAGACGAGCGAAGACTCCCCAACTGGCCAGGCCGGTCCTATCTTCAACTCGTCAAACATGATGACATTCGTGCATTGGTTCGTTGCATTTTGCGTGACAAAGCCTGAGACAACTGTTTCTCACTCTTATATGCGTCTTCTTCGTCGAGCTTTGAACCCCAACGTTCAGACCCAATGGTGGGCATATGGTCCAGGCCTACATCTGTCGGTGGTGACATGTGTAAACAGAAGCTCCCGCACCAAGGTACGGCATAACCCCCGTCTGCCCGCTGCGCACGCGACCCTTTGCACATTGATAAAGTATACTTTGAGAAGCGCTTTCGTTCCACATGAAGGCGGTCGTTGTTGAACAACGGTTCTTTGTGAATTTCGTCCACCAGGTCTTCAAAGGGACTACCTGAAAGCACCGTTCACTGCCAAACTGCCCACCACTCTGGACAATCCGCATATAAGACTGGATATCGTAGGATGCTTCTGAAGAAGTCTTTGTTGATTGACCCAGGTCCTAGCTTCATGTGTTGTATGAACCCAGCATTTCTTCTCGATAAAATTCTTGGGAGACACAGCGTGTCCACAGTTCGCCCTCTGGAGTTTCCACATTCGACTCATTCGGTACTCATGACCACAGAAGTTCTGCAGGCCACTTTGCTAAAGAAGAATGACGTAAACTCACTCGAAACGAATCGAGCTGAGGCCTGACATTTGGAGTTGCTTTTGTCTCCCTATGACGGGTTTTGACGACATGCACATGGGGAACCATGCCGTCAAGTTTCGACCGAAGCCCCATGATTTTGGTGGAGGAAGAAAAGAAAGAATGATGACGAGGCGGACGCAAGCAGGCAAAAGAAGCGTTGGGAAAATAGCGAAGGTATGGTCGGGCTCGTAACCTGTAGTAAGGCGAGGAGGAAGTCGGCGGGCTCGTAACCAGCGAAAGGATGAGGGCGATAAAAGAGAGAGGAAGGTCGTTTGTGAGGCAGTGGGAATAGGCTGCATTTAAAGGGGTTGCCAGCCACCTCTGCCTTGGCAGTGGATGTGAAAACACGCTAAAACACGGCCAGGCATAGATGGATCTGCGGGGGTAGTGATCGAGACCCTTCGACTCCATCAGCATGGATGATGCAGATAACTTAGGTCGAGAATAGGTAGAGTCTTGTCCTCGTAGGAGGGGTATCAAATCGGACGTTGCAAGAGTCTGTCTGTAATCCCTAACACCATAACTCCATACTCAAATCCAGATCATTCCCAATCTTCTTCGTCACTTTCATCAATTCTACCAGGTGATTTGCCCACCTCCTCTCTTGGGCTGCCAGGCGCTCGACTCGTCGCTCCGCTGACAAGATCATAGCTCGCGTCGCTATCGGCCACAGACTTCTCGTCGTGTGAACGGCGGGCAGGCGCTTCGGGTTTCAGGGTTGACGGATCAGACGATGGCAGTGGCGGTTGCATTGTCTGATGGAGGTTGCTTGACGAGTCATTTGTGATTTGCGCGACGACCACCTTGGGAGGTTGCACTTCAGCCTGTGTCAGGTGTGGAGTGGATGAGGCGACTGGTTCTTCGTCCTCCGAGTCCTCGTCCCAGCCGACCTCCTCTGCTTCGTGTGCCGACGCTGTGATGCATTATTAGTCAGCTCTTCTATCAAGCCAGGTAGGGGCCTCATACCTTTCAGCAACTCTTTCCTCTTTGCTTCCTGTACTTCGACTACATGTCGCAAGAAATAGTATCTTGTCCAGAAGTCCTTGTATTCTACTTTCTCCGGAACAAGTTTCTCCATAGACTTCCTGAGTTCGCTGTATTTCTCAAGATCTGTGGCGATCCGGTCTGTCATCTTGTCGATGTCGAAGCCGCTGGTGAAGTCGTCCCATTGACTGCCAGCACCACTGGGATCTTGTGTAAAGCTCGTCAGAGTAGTGTGAATGACATGCAATTGCGCATCGAACCGGCTCGTGTGAATCACTCTTTTCCCGGATGTAGGATCTTTGCTCTCGAAGAGGACCTCGCCAGGTTGACGGTTGTTGAACTCTTCATCGTCTGGCGGGGTCACTGCGACTGCATCACGCAAGAAGTTCCTAATGTTCGTTCCGAATCGCAGGAGGGCTTCATCAGCAGCATCTTCGGCCTTTTGTACGTCCTTTATCCGTTTGGCAGCTTCCAGCTTGAATCTTTCTAGGAACGTTTCGGTTTCATGGAGGCTTTTCTTCTGCTCATCGTCGGCGACTGGCTCAGGCGCGCCTTGACTTGTCTCTCCTCCATCTTTCTCGGCCTTGTCACTGCCGAGACCCAGACCCATGAGGCCTTTAGTTCGTAATGCCTCGACTTCTTGGGCCATTTCCGCGGCCTCCTTTCTTGCTTCTTCATAGTACGTCTCTCCTTGTTTCCGTACATTTCCCCATAGTCCGCCTAGTTTGGCTCCCCATGCTGAATTCGAGAACACTTGGAATGTCTCTTGGAACTCGGTCTGAAGGCTTTGCCTGGCAGGTGGAGGACTGGCTTTCGGTGTCGCAGCATCACCACCTGGCGCCGGAGTTTCAGCCGAGCCAGAAGGAATTGGGGTCGGTGTAGTGGCTCGATCAGCGGGGCTAAACGTCTTCTCCGCTATGTGATCGTACGCGAGATCCATGTTGTCAAGGGAGTGTCAAGATCGCGCGGCAAGGAGGACAGCAAGGCAAGGTAGAGGCTTACAAGTCTCTCTAACGAATTTCAACACGCTCTTGATGAAGTCAAGAACGAACACATTTGAAGTGAACGCAACTGCGAGTAGGGGTGTCTGTTGAGGTTCAAGGGATGCGTTGCCGCAACACGGCGCCATACGATGCCATGACGTAACACGTGATTCACGGCGACGTGCCATTGCTGCTTTTAGCTCGCATGGTATGGAAAGAACTTAAGGAACTTGATCAGGCATTATTGAATGTACATATGTCGTGATTTTCTGGAAGCTATCTTCATGGACCAACAGAATGCTATCTGTGCACACGGTATAGTGATGCAATATGATAAATTACGATGCAACAGCACTCGTTCCTTCCTTCCTCACCTCGACTGTTGCCTGCAAGCAAGAACTCTCCGAGCATCTGATTCCACCATTGCGCTGTCTCAATACTCGAAATCGTCATCCACACCGCCTTTGCCGTGACCATCTTTCGCGACCACTTCCTGCTTCCGGTACATCTCGGCGATGGCTTTGGTTGTGGTTGCATCCTCAGGCTTCTTGTCTTCCCTCTTCTGGATGAAGCGTGGAAACCTCAAACTGATGCCGTTCTTCCCACCCATCTCATCTATTGCCGCACGATATCGTGGGCTCAGGGTGAGATCGGCGGTTTTGACTTCCCATACGTATCGTGGCTCAAACCAGACGTCTGGCTGGTCGTTCTTCACGGTCGAGTGGGAATAGAATGGTTTGCCTCGCTCGATGACAATCTCGGACAAATCTTTGTGAAACTCCTCCAGGACAGCCTCGGAGAACCCTGTGCCAATGTTGCAAACTGTTTCGAACATCTGAGTCTCGGGATTGTACGCGGCAAGAAGGAATGCACCGAACCAGGATGTTCGTTTGCCTTTGCCGTGATACGCTCCAAGCACGACAAGGTCCAAGGAGTCACCAATGCCGCTGAGGTAGTCTTTCTTGACCTTGAGCCAGTTGCGCGATCGCTTACTGGGTTCGTAGCCTGATTCTTCTGTGTCCAGCATCTTGACCATCAAGCCTTCACAAGACGCTTTGACGGAGTCGTCCAGGAGATGTTGGATTTCTTCGATATCCATAGCGTCCCCATGTTGGGCAAAAGCGAACTCCCCTTCAGTCGGCTCGAATGCTTCATGGAGCAGCTCACGTCGCTCCCGGAGCGTCTTCTTTACCAGTGGTTCGCCATTATAGAACAGCATGTCGAATGCAAACACGCAAACCTTGACTGTGACTTCTGATGTTTTCACGTCCTTGCGTTTGCGAGTCATGAGCTGTTGGAATGGAAGGACTTTCTTGTTTTGAGGGTCCCATGCCACCGTCTCGCAGTCCAGGACAAAACTCTTCGTCGATGGCTTGATCCACGTGTTCAGCTTCTCGAGAATGTCGGGATATTTCTTGGACAAGTCCTCGGAGTTTCTGGAGAAAATGGCTGCTAAGCCTTTGAAACTTTTCGCATCCTTGGTGAGCGTGTTTTTTGCAGCTGGGAAGTCTGCCATTGCCTCAGGCGCGACATAATGAATTTGTGCTCTTTCACCATCATACTTGTATTCGCAGGTAAAATTCTTGCCTTCGAATCGGTCCAGCACTTCAGTGATTGATTTGGTTGGCTTGGCAAGCATGGGTTTCAGTGGTACTCCAGGTTGCAATTTGCAACTTTCGTGTAGGTTGAAGATGCCGTGCTCCAGCATGGCCGGAACGATGACTTCGTAGGATGGTAGTTCACTGTATACAGTCTTCAGCTGGGCTTCGCCTTTCGCCAATTGATCGGTGCTGGGGACTTTGCCCTTCTTCGCAACCTCATGAGTAACCACAGCTTGCGCCAGTGCGATGATGACGGTTCTCTCTGCGAGGCCTAATCGTAATTTGCCTTCCAAGAATCGGACGAGGAACTTGGCTTCTGAGGGACCACCTTTGTCCTTTGTAATGTCGACCTGTTTGCTCGCAGAAGATACGTCGGCTGAAGCCATCAGCTTGTTGATGGCGCGGACCTTCTGATCTTGCGAGCCATGTCCCTCCATTTTCGCTATGTCGAGTAGACCTTGATGGACACCTCGAACTGTAAGGGCTTTCGGCTTGAACATTTGACCCTGCTTGGACTTGCTTTTCGCCGCCACCAGGCCTAGATCGCCAATCTTCTGGTGATCTGCTTTGATCACGGAAAGCGATCGACCAGAACTTTCTCCAATAGCCTTCATGATGAGCGACTCGCCAATGCCAAGTTCAATACCAGCGTAATCAGCTGCAAGCTTATTCAGCATGAGTTGGATGGTAGGAAGAAGGTCTTCTGGTGTCAACCGTAGAACCTGTTGAAGAAACGCCGAGCAATAGGCCGTGATCTGGAGACGCTTTGTCGTCAATTCTACCAAGGAGAATGTTGTGCACAGCGCGGCATACGGGACGGGGTCACCGGCCTTCCAATCTGGGTATGGATCCTTGCCAGATGATTTGATGGTCGACAGTAGCTTTTCCACCTGCTTTTTATCGACTTTGGGCTCTTCGCTCTCGCTGGACGAGGAGACCTCTTCAGGCTCGGATGGAGACTTCTCATCATCTGAGAGTGCGGAGTCATCGTGTGTGGGTTTGCTGGTTTTCAAGCTCTCTTCCTCTGGTAGAGCCTCTGCTTCTTTGCGTGCTTTAATGCCATTCAACTTGGGTATAGAGTTCTTGGATCCATGTATTGAACCAGGTTTGGGATTGGACGTCCTCCTTCTCTTCTTTACAACAGGCTGGTCGTCAGAGTCATCCTCCTCTTCTTGAATTGGGCTCGTTCGTCGTTTATGCTTCTTGCTCGTTGCGTCATCGCTCACTTCGTCTGCCACTGTAGAGCCTTCATTTGCATCTTTCATATCCGTGTCAGGGGTGGCATCTTTCCCATTCTGCAAGTCCGCATCATGGACTTCAGGAGCAGCGTCGTCCTTCTTCGCTGCAGGGTTTTGACCGAAGGAGAGTGTAGATTGGGATTTGGCTTTGGTGCCATTTTGCTTATTTCCGAGAAATTTGCTGTTGAAGTCAGTATAGATAGGTGATTACAGGGGATGCTTTATCATACCCAAGAGTAGACTGCCTTGATTGTGGCATTTTGGCGCACTTTGCAAGACCAACAATGGTACACAGCGGTCGAGCAGATCGATAGTGAGGTTGATACAAGTATGCAGGGCGTAGCAGAGAATGCGCTCTGGCTACTGAGGTCCTGACTTCTGGCGAACGACACGAGCCATGGGAAAGAAAAAGTAGTGGTGTCACGGCCTGGCTTGTTCTGGAACCAAGTTTGGTCATCAATTGCATTCAGTACCTCTTTGTTGATGTTGCGATTGAGTAGTGGTTGACTTGCAAATCTCTTTCAAGAGTAAGTCGCGTCAAGACGCGATTCCAGATGACGTGGTGATGCAAGTACTTAAAGTGATCCCTATGCGGAAGCAACTAGGTGCCGCTTTACATGAGACTGCCTGTTGCCTGTGCCCGACACAGATCAAACAACTTGAACTGATCTTTTCTCCAGTCTATTTCTGAAACGAGTCAGACTTCGCCCGGGCATTCTGGCGAGCAATGGGGAAAATGGTTTTGTTGATAGATCATGCGGATGGATCTACAGTAGTCAGGGCACATGTCCATGGACAGCGCCCCATTTACATAATTATGACAATGTTGAGACCGCTGTAGCCAGATATTTATCCGTTCACTCGTTCTGTCTCTGATGTCAGCCGACGCCAAAAGTGGTACTCGTAAATAGTAGCAGAAGTCACGGTGAGTTGATACCAAAAAAATAGATGGTTCGTGCTGCATGGTGGGCCATACACGCGTCTCTGAGGACAAAGACCATTTCTGGTGTGATGCGATTGGTGATCCCGCCGCAGGACGGACTTCTTCGGCACACTAGCGAGCTGATGTGAAAGCAAGGATCAGAAGATAAAAGCAACGACATTAATTCTGCAATCAATTCTTGCGTATTAAGGTACCAGCCCTTCTTAGGCCTATTACAGCAAAAGCTCTATGCGCTCGCTAGTGGTATGGTTCGGGTAATCCGTAAAATCCGTTACAGCATCAATAGCACCTGCACCTTGCAATGATCGAGAATGAGCCAACCGTGTCCCGTTCGCCGATTCTCCGTTTGCCTCCTGGAGGCCGCCATGCATAGCAGTGCTTTGTGAAAGTGGGTATCAACAACGATCTTAGCAAACAAATTCGAAAAGTCGACGAGGCGCTCTCGAAGTCTCATGTTTCGTTTAGGTAGGTGTCCTTCATAGCAACATGATAGCTGCCAGACCGGCCATACCAGCAAGGCCGTTGGCAGCGGCGGTCATCATAGGTGCAGCGTTCTTGGCAGCAGAGGTGGCAGCAGACGACGCAGCGGATCCTCCAGATGAGGCTGCAGAGCCGGCAGCGCTGGTGGCACTGGCTGCATGCGAGGAAACCGAACTTGCGACGGAGGCTGCGGATTTGGAGGCCGAAGCACCTGCGCTGGACGCAGCAGAGGAAGCAGAAGCGGCCTCGGAGGAGAGGGATGAGCCAACAGACGAAGCCGAAGCACTTGCGCCAGAAGCAGCAGAGGATGCACCGGATGACGCAGCGGAGGCAGCGCTCGAGGCACCAGAGCTAGCAGAACCCTAAGAAGTAAGTTAGCAACCCATCTTGCGAGTGGTCTCGGAGCATTGGACTCACTCCTGCACCTGCGACTCCGCCCAAGATGGTGGAAGTACCGACTGCGCTTGTGATTGTGCTTCCACCAGTGGTGATGGTGGAGAATGAAGTCTCAGTCGACACTGGAGTTTGAGAACCACTTGAGCCACTTGCACTTCCTGCGGTAGCAGTGTCTGAACCAGAGCTGGCACCGGAGATGGAAGCTGTGCCAGCGGCGCCAGAAGCAGTCGCACTAGGGACGATACCAGTCACGCCAGTCGCACTGCCGACGGCACCAGTTGCGCTTCCACTACCGGTCAGAGCAGAAACGGCAGAGAGGGTGCTCGCAGCAGAGGCAGGGGTGACAGAAGCATCTAACACGAGTCAGAAAATTATATTGTCGGAGTATGTATTGGGATCAGGGCAACTCACAAGAGGCACAGTAGTTGGAGCCATACTGGGCGATAGCAGCAATGTCGGTACCGGCTGGGCAAGATTCAACTGAACAGTCACGAAGACCGTAGCCAAAGTTGGCATTATTGCACAGGCAGGAGACATCAGGTGCACCGTTGACATTAGCGCAGCCCAGGTTTGAGCCTTGTCCAAGCATGTTGTTGAAGCAAGTTTGCTTGCAGTATTGTCAGTATGATGTGATTTGTGTTCAGATCGATTTCACTTACACCGCATTCTGGTAGGGATTGGGCAGCGACAATGCCAACGAGGGCGGCAGCAGCGACGACAAAGGTCTTCATGATTGAGGACGGGAAGGTTTTGATCGTGGATGAAGTCTGTGAAGTACGCGTCGTAATGGGTGCTGGAGTAAGATGCACGGTACTTGCGTGGAGAGGAGGAGAGGGAAAGACGACGATCCAAGCGGAGTGTGAGAGTACTGTGAAGAGTGAAGAAAGTGTCGATGCGTCTGATTGACAGAAGAAACGGGTTTATGAGGCGGTTGGCTTTTTTAGTTTGGCAAGAGTGATTCAAGCCAGCGTCAAGATCCAGGTACGAAATAGATTGAAGGGCAGGTGGAGATGCGGTGAAGCGCAGGAAAGGAAATGGCGGGCAGGAAGTTTACTTTTCTTCACTACCACAGTAGTTACTCCAGCTAGTCAAGGGCAAACGCAGCAGCCGGCGCAGGTCAAACTTCGCACTTGTTGCGTCAGAATCAGGTACAAGTCTCTAACTAACTGGAGGTTGGGCTTGTGAACTTGGTCTTGACCTTTCCTGGCTCCATCATCGTTACTACCTTCGTGTGATCATCAATTGTAATATGAATTTCCTGCTTTGCCAGTCAAAACTCCAACGACGTCCATCAGCAGTGTTGGACAGTGCGCACGGTCGTCTCTGCGGGAAAATGATGATGTCTAGCTGCAGGATGCAGCCCTCCAATCGCTGTGTCAAATACCCCTGACTTGTTCCATTTTTCAGCCACATCTCGGTTCCCCCAGCATTCATTCCAAGCTTTAAGCATGCATGGCGATCTACGCTCCATACTCAGCTGGTGCTAGCATCGGCACAATCCAAGCTGAATTGCTCCTCCAGCGTCGGGTCCCAATCGTCAATCGGCCTTTCAGCACGTAAATCCTGCTTCGGTGCAGACGGCAACCATGGCTGCTCCCTTGTCCGCATGGTTTTTCCTCCGATCATCCTGGTCGCAAATCATGTTTACTGACAGCTGGCACTGCAGTCCCGACGCGTCCATGTGTTTGGACCTACAACCACCTCGGCCTGCGACGCGACCACCCAGTACCACGGCAGAGTCTAGGGTGTGAACCTGCAATATTATTTCGTGCCTACCAGAACCCCTGTTTGTGACATGATACAACAGTCGCAGGAAACACGAAAGTAAAAATGTGGGAAATTTGGCTGGGCATCTGATCCACCTTACGGCTTGTGCCAGTGCCACCACATCGGCCACCATGAACTCATCCCTCCTCCACGTTCTCGATCGTGACAGGATGCTCTCTGGGCGGCCACCGAGTTCAAAGAAAATGGCAGAAGCGGTCTAAGAACGGCACTACATCATGTGAACACATATACTATCATCACCACAAGCCTATCTTCCGCAATACCTCTGTATAGAGGGAAACTGGGAACCGGGTAGTGGCAGAGCAGTGGCATACTGGGAGGGACTCGACGCTGAAGCTGCCAAATAATCGCGCCTGCAGTGGTCCGTGTGTTGCCTGGGCGCCGGCGAGAAACCTTAGCGGGAGAGCGCCACACCAAAAAGCAAAAAGATCCGACCCAAAGGGACTGGGGCTTTTTTCGTAAAGAGGTTGCATGGTCACGAGACAAGCAAGTCATCTCGAGCCGAAGAAAAGGGGCCACAAATCTAGCACAGACTGTCGTCAATCTGGAATGTCAAGGAAAGCACGGAGTAAAATAATGGAGATCACGACATCATAATTCGATGCATGCATGCTCCTCGCGGACATTAACATGGTGTCGTCCAAGTTTCATGTGACGGTTGTCGCGTGAACGGTGGCCAGCAGGTCACACATCTCGTTGCCGTGTCAATTTAAACAGTTTGATTAACTTAGCGACCAGGCTAACCACCCTCTTCATAGGAAGAAGCCATACGAGTGTTAGCTACAGTAACTTATCCTCGACCCGACACCTAGAACAGTTACCCGTCCCTCCTACCCCTTTATTAATTTGAGTGATTTCACCTCTCCTTCAAGATGTCGGGAAGTGCATGGCCACAAAGACAATCTAGCCAGGATAAAGAGGTTGTTTGACACATATGTCCTCCTCTCCTCTCTTACTTATTGCGATGTTGATGACACCGTGACCGGGCCCTTGGGAACGATTACATAGCAAGTGAGTACTGCATAGCTTTTGTCCACAAGAGGTTTCAGCTCGAAATGGACAGCTGCTGTCGGTGCTCCAGCATAAGGATATTGAGCGCCGCAATATTCACTGCTTAATTACGTAGCAGCTGACGGTGGTCTCCTCTTGACAGCGGGATCGGCGCTGGTGTATCGATTGCGGCGCAACCTTTAATCTCGTGGACCCTAGGCCATCAACTTACCTCGCACCTCTAACTTTAGTGGACGTCTTAAGCATTCATATACTCCGTACACCGACCCAACAGCAAATGGAACCTCGGCATGCCTAGGGCTGCCATAATACTTGTATCTGCAAGCTTCAAGAATGTTTTCGAATTGTACAATCGGCTCAGTCTACACGCATCAGGGAATACGATAGGTGAGTCTACGATAATTAGAAAGTTGGTTCGCAATAGAAGAAACGACCTCCAGGACATCGCACGTCGCGAATGCGATGGCACTTGAGCTGATTATCTTCGGCAACAGGTATAGTTCAAAGATGTGCGGAATGTGAAGTGTAAGGTAGGGAGAAGTCTGCTAAAGCGGCAAGAGCCATCTCTTCTGTGAACCGTTTTCGCTTAACCTCCAACCTACTAAGTCGAGATATTATCATCGAATTGCACCAGTTTCACAGCAACTTGATTCGTGATGGCAGGGCGAGGCACGCTATTGCTCCAAGACTGCAAGACGACTGACTTGATGGATTACCTTGTCATGCGATGAATTCGGCAAGACAGCAGGCTTTTCAGCGTGTACGTTTCGGTCCGTTTGAAGTTCTCATGAACCGATCGGCTGACATAAATCCAGCTGCGATCACCATGCGTCGAACTCAGTTCGACTGCTCTCAAATTCAAAGCGAACCAGGTCTCGCCAAAGGCAGTGCTGCTGGCCTTGGAGCCTGTCTACCGGGTTCTTCAGTCACTCAGTCAGGATGGCCTGCTCGACGAGAAACTTGCAGAATACGCCTTCTTTCCCCTAACGCACATCTTCAACCAGTCCCGCCGCCTCTCTTCCCGTAGCTTGGAATTGGCGGTCAAGTGCGTACATATTCTTGTGACACAAGGATGGCGAGACAAGCTTCTTCCGGAGATGGCCAAGCAGCTGCTTGTTCTGATGGGTCTGCTGGTATCGACAAGCCCATCTCAGCACAACGAACCTGCCACGGACGATCTCAAGGTCGCATCGTTCGAGTGCATAGCAGTGTTGGCGGCCCAGTCCAATCGCCAGAGTACCTGTGTCCTCGAAGGTTCTGGCGAGAAAAACATTGTCGATCAACTTGTTTACCAGTTATTGGAAGCAATTACTGAAACAGGTTCGGACAAAGTCCAGATCAGTGCGGCACAGGCTCTTCTTGAGCTCAATCGCGCTATCCAAGATCGGCCTTTCCTGGCTAGCTTGCTTCCACGTACTGTTTCTACTTTGGTGAAGGTTCTGCGGCCAAGTACTCAAGCCCGACGCACTCGTAAAGTGCTCGCAACTTATCTGAGGCTCCTTACCGTCGTCTTGAGAGGTGTCCTTGCCGATGAAGCTGGTTCGGTTTGGGAAGTTCGGCCTGAGAAAGCCAAAGGCTGGGAAAGCAAAGATCATATTGTTCTCGACAAGCAATGGCGTGATGCTACTACTCCGCAGGTCGATCTAGCTTTGGTGCAGGTGGTCAAGCTCAGGACGCATGAAGGTTCCGAGGTCGGTCAGGCCCTTTTGGACCTGTGCCTCATGGTTATTGAGGACGCTCCCAAGACTTTGGCTCGTACTTTGTCACTAATGGTTGAAACGGTTGTTGTTCTCTCACGACCATCCGGTTCAACAACCGCGAAGGCAACTCTCAAACATCTCATGATCTCGCAACCTGAAGTTGTTGAGATAGTGCGAGCTAAGTTCTATCACTGGTCACAAGTTTTGCCGCGTGTGATGCAAGGCAACGATGATAGACCAAAGCAGCAAATGCTCGGGCAGGTCGCGACAGCATTTGTGGCTTTAATAGATACATCCAGCACCACCGAAGAAGCGCCTTTCATGGTTGCGTCTGGCCTTGTTGAAACGGTAGCGGCGGCCATCGAAGGTGGCACTGCTAAGCACAAGCTGGTCGATGAGGCACCTCAGTTTGCCACGACTGATCTCGTACAGCAAACTTTGCGAGTCAGCGAAGACTTCAATCCTGTCATCTTGGCTCATCAAAGTCAACAAGCTTCTTTGAAAGAGTTGAAAAGCTTTATCGAAGTGCTCAGGTCGCAATCACTCACCCCAGCTTTAACGCGCTGCGTGCTTGATCACGTTCGAGACCCGAACATCAACAGGAAGCTGTCGGCCACATACTTGGCTCTGAGCTTGCTACGTGGTCATGGTAATGAGTCCATCACGATAGACGACATGATCGCAGACTCTTTTGAGTCAGACTTGTCACTTTCTAGACCATTCCTCGTCGCCGACCTGTACGCTCTGATGTTGCCTTGCCTGCTGCAATATTCAGAGTCACCGAGTGAGGATGAGTCTGATTGGCGGCTTGTGGCTATGTCGCTGGAGTCTCTCATTTTGCAGGCCAATCAACTTGGTCAGTCATACCGACCTGAGTTGATGGAAACATTGTTCCCTGTGCTCACACTCTTGGGATCACGTAACGGAATGCTACAACGGCACGCTATGACAGGTCTGGATCTTCTTGCAAGAGCCTGCGAGTATAGGTCGGTTGCTCAGATGCTGGTCGAAAATGCTGATTATCTGATCAATGGCATTGCCATGCGGTTGAATGCTTTCGACGTATCTAGAGACGGCTTACAGGTGCTTGCTATGATGATAAGCCTGTGCGGTTCCAGTTTGTTGCCATATCTTGATGATCTGATCGGAAGCATCTTCGGTGCTCTGGACAGTTTTCACGGGTACCCTCAACTTGTGGAAGACTTGTTTGGCATGCTCAAACTTATGGTGGATGAAACTTCCAAAACTCCAGACGTACTCGCCATCGATTCGGATATCACTACTTCCGAACATATAGGAAAACATACTGCGGTGTCCACAGTCGAGGTGATCGTGGAAGACCTGCGAAGACGACGGAGACGCAAAGACTCGAGCGAGGAACAGCACGAGGAGATGATTCCTACTCCTCATCGTCCTTGGACAAAAGCAACGGGCAACTCGGACAAAGAAGGGGAGCACGACTCTGAGGGCGAGGGAGAGTCGAAAGGTGAAGACGTTTCCACCACAGCCGATCAGAACAATGAGCGTCCCCTGTCAAAGTCTCATCAGCTACTTCTCAACATTGCACAATCTACAGTACCGCACTTCTCTTCGCCGTCACCCAAAGTAAGGCTTACCCTGCTGGGTCTATTGCGACAAATATGCCCACTTCTGGCGCAGCACCAGAACTCTTTCCTGCCATTGGTGAACTCGATTTGGCCTGCGATCGTCTCCAGGCTGTTGCTGTGGAATGAAGCTATATCAAGCGAGATGCCATACAACGCTCAAGCTGCCGTCGAAACAATGAGTATCATTTGCTCCAGCGCTGGTGACTTTATGTCCAGCCGGGTTGAGGAAGTGTTTCCGGATTTGTTGGCTATCTTCACCAAGGTCTCGTCCGGAGTGATTCCGTCTGCGAAACCATTGAAGTCATCAAAGCTACAGACCGGGGTAAGGCTTGAGTCAGTCGTCGATGAGCGCCGAAATATCGTGCACGCAGGCAATGGCGAACCCAGGCAAAGATCAGTCTCCGCCGTGGTCCAAGGAGTTGTCACAAGGGCTGCCGACATGCAAATCCTAAACTCCGTCATCGCGCTGTTCGTTTCCATACTACGGAATGTCCGAGTGGCCCAGGACACCGCCAACAGAATCTTTGACATAATTGCGCTCTTCACAAATCTCCCAGGCAACAAAGAAGCTATTCGAGAGACCTTGTTGGAGTACAATGCTGACGCACTGTGGCTGATCGAACAGCATCTCGATGGGTAAAGCACGGCCCTGTCTGGGCTCGAATGATGGTTTCAGCACCATACCCATTTCCGAGTCTAGTATCAAACAGGAGAATGCGCCAGCTTGATATTTCAGGCTCCAACAAAACCAGACGTTAAGGTTGGGAGCGGAATCAAGGTATTACCCAAAACGGCACTTACTGGGACACTCGGACTTAAGCATCTTCCAGACTAGCAGCCAGCAAAAAATAACGGGATATTCCGGCGCCGACTACTATTCAGCCTTGCGCAGCCACACTGTGACGCAGCCTCGTACTGAGAAAACAACAGACGTTTATGGTCATTCTCGGAGATTGTGTTCATGTATATCTTGTGCCGTTGTTTGGTGACCTGACTGTCATGTCTCTTCCTGCTCTCACATCTGTCAGCTCTCTCACATTTGCCATTTCGGAGCGTCCCAGAATTGATCAAACCAAAGTCAAAGAACGTGTCGCCGTCGACACCTCGTCTTAGGAGGGCCTTGAAGATTCGAATACGCTTTCCAAAATGCCTGGTGTGACACAGTTCCTCCGCGGGCAGGTTACAACTCCACCATTGCCCACGGTCGATTGTACTGGACGCACACTTCTGGTAACGGGGGCTAATTCCGGCCTGGGGCTTGAAGCTGCGAAGTTGCTTGCGCAGCTCAATTGCAGCACGATAGTGCTAGCCTGTCGGACACTGGCCAAAGGAGAAAAGGCCCAAGAGCTTATTGAATCTGCCCTCGGCAGAAACTCCAGAAAGTCACAATTTATCCTTTTCGAACTCGACCTTGGCTCATTTCAAAGCGTTGTCGCCTTTTCAGAACGATGCAAGAATCTTCCGCGACTGGACGCTGCCATTCTCAACGCCGGCGTCTCAGAAGTCGAATTTTCCCTGACTGAGGGATATGAGACCACCATCACGGTCAATGTCATTTCCACGTTTTTGTTGACGACTCTGCTGGTCCCTACTTTACGTCGGTCAGCGATCAAATACAACATTACTCCCACTATAGCGATTGTGGGATCAGCTGTGCATTTCTGGACGAATGAAAAGGCCCTTACCGATCCGCCTGAAGGACAGATTCTCAAGACGCTATCCAATCCGAAGAAGACGGATATGCCAGGACGTTACTTCCTCAGCAAGCTTCCAGTGATGTTACTTATCAAGCATCTTGCCTCGATGTTGACGAAATCAGCCAAAGCAGATCCTACCGGCAAACCTTTCGTGATCATCAACAATGTTGCACCAGGCTTGTGCAATACGAACCTCATGCGGGGCCAGAGTGCTACGGTGCAGACTGTGCTTGGAGTGGTCAGTCGGTCGGCTGAGCATGGAGCAAGGACACTGGTTCATGGAGCCGTCGCAGGCAAGGAGAGTCATGGACAATATCTGAGTGAATGCCAGATCAAACCATACAGCAAGTTTGTCAAGAGTGCAGAAGGAGATAAAACAGCTCAAAGGTTGTGGGATGAACTCAGTGCTATCTACGAAAACGTCAAGCCAGGATGCACGCGAGAGCTGTGAAGGGATGGTCGCATGAGGCTGCATTCGATTTCCAGCAAGGGCGAGCAGCAATAATAATCGATCGCAATGGTCCTGTATTTTTCTTCCAGACCGACTTCTTCCCCATGACACTCGGTTGTTCTCCATTGATTCTGCTTAAACATCTCGGTCGAACCTTGTTGAGCAGGCTGGCCAACTTAGCTTTTATTGCCGTAGATATCCCGGGCGTGCCCGGGGTAACAGTAACTTATATTATATTCACCATGTTGCAAGACTTGATTGACTTGTACATCCTCAACAACATCATCATATTTATTGAATTGATCATTTCTCATAGTTATCGGCGTGATCTTATTGACCAAATGGCCGATTTCTCATCACTCACGCACAAGTTCAGAGCCAACATCGACAACCAGTCTAATGGAAGCAAAGTCAACAAACGTAACAGGCAGCCATTATCGTGCGGGCCCTGCAGATTCAAGAAATTGAAATGCGACAGAGGTCATCCATGCGAGACCTGTGTCAAACGTGGCGAACCTGCCAATTGTACATATGGCAAAGCAGCACCAGTCTTATCCAGGTCTGAGTCCAACAACAATGCAACCAGCGGTCGAGGAAAGGCCCAGGAGAGGCTGCGGCACCTCGAGCAACTTGTCATGCAAATGGTCAACACATCCGACCCTCCATCAAATAATGGAAACCCGTCACCTCCAGAAAGCGATGTGACAAACTCGAGCATTGCACAGGAAGGACATCTCCAGTACGGATCGACCGAATCCAGATACGTCGGCTCGACACATTGGTCAGCCATCCTGCAGAATATCCAGGAGCTCAAAACCGCATTGGGTACTGAACAGACCACGTCCACGGAGCTGGATGAAACAGATGATACCGAGCCACAGAACTCCGAGAGTCTATTCGGCCCTGTAAGCCATCTGTCGCTGGCACAGATCCTGGCCCAATCGCTGCCTCCTCGACTGCAAGTCGATAGACGCCTCTCAACGTACTTCAATTCGCGATACATGGTGATCCCGTTCATCCACAGAACCCAATTCCAACGTCAATACGAGCAGTTCTGGAGAACGCCCCTGGAGACGCCACCACTGTGGGTATCCATTCTGTTCTCGATATGCTGCATGTCCGCTGGGCTCAGTGAAGCTGTAGGCGCCGAGTCCTCCAACTCGGAAGACCAGCCTAGCGCGCGCATGACATTCCTCAATGCCGCCTGCCAATGCCTTCGACTCGGTGGGTTCCTTCGGCCCAAGCGCTATGTAATCGAAGCTCTCGCACTGTACACGCAGTGCCAGTACATGGCCGTCCTCGACCCCTCTGGCGGCGTAGGCCTCATCTGGTCCATACTCGTCCGCCACGCTTATCGCAGCGGCTACCATCGTGACGCTACGCACTTCCCACGCTTCAACGTCTTCGAAGGCGAAATGCGCCGCCGCATCTGGGCCATGCTCCGCCAATTCGACTTGATGATCTCGTTTCAACTGGGCCTACCCAGCCAGATCACCCCCAACAGCTGGGACACTCTCAACCCGCGCAATCTCACGGACACCGATTTCGACGAGCACACTACAGTTCTTCCCCCATCACGCCCTGAAAGCGAAGCGACCGAGATTCTGTATTTCATCGTCAAATCCCGCCTAATGACATCCTTTGGAAAAGTGTGCGCCCACGCGCTGTCTTTCCGCAACAGCACGGAGAAGGAAATCATGGATCTGGACGCCGAGGTGCGCGCCGTGCACAAGACCGTGCCGGACATCCTCCGCATCAAACCCATGTCCCAGTCCTTTGCCGACCCCTCGTATCTGATCATGGTCCGTCTGAACTGTGAATTTCTCTTCCAGAAATCCATCTGCGTCCTGCACAGGAAGTACATGACACAAGGAGGGTACCCTGCCAGCACGGAAGCGTGTATCGATGCGGCTGTCGCCATCACGAAGCACATGCTCGACCTGCACAAGGAATTCAAGCCCGGTGGCCAACTACACGCAGACCGTTGGATGCTGAGCTCATTCACCATGAATGACTTCTACCTGGCCAGCATGGTGCTGTGCCTGGGTCTGTCGATGTGGAAGAAAGCGAACCCTGGTAAAAAATGGTCCGACGACGAGAAGATAGAAAGCCAGTATTCCTTGCTGAAGGATGCGTTCGGCATCTGCGAAGAATTGTCCCCATCAAGCACCGAGGCCAGACGCATCGCGGATGTGCTGCGAGTCGTGCTGGGGCAGATGGGCTCGCAGCTTTCGATTCCTGCCACGAAAGACTTATTGGGCTCGAAAGATACGAGGTTAGGGCACTTTGGTGTATTCGCGCCGATCTCGCAACTGGATCGAAATAACACGTCTTCAATGCAAGGCACGTCTAACGGAGATTCCACGATGCCATATAATTTCAACTTGGCCCCGTTGAGTCTTAATGACCAGGACAACTCTGCCATTAGAGACTCTTCCTCTGGGTCCATGGAAGCACAAGCACAAGCACAGCCAGATTTCTCAACCTTCAACTATATGAGCCCCAATGCAGGGATGGCAGTAGACTGTGCCAATCCCCATTACCTCTCCCCCAACGCGTTCACATCTTTCTTGCCGTTTTCGCCGTCCTTCCAACAAGCGACGCCGTATCCTCAGCAGACCACTCTAAACCCAGGGACCAACGACGACGCAAATACCGGTGTACCCGCCGCTCACGCGCCGGACACAGCCGGCTCAGCAGACATCAATACCAACATGCCCATGCCCATGGATGTCGACTGGACATTCCTCGACCAGTGGATGGCGCTGCCCGAGCCAGAAATCCTTCCGATGCCCGAGACTTACAACCCAAACTCACCATTCTTCATGCCACCCACACAGCGTACCAACAACAGCGACCTGTTGTCGTCAGACCTCGCGGCAGCGAGTGCCGAACACCAGGACTGGACGAGCGCGCCGTTCAAGTTCCTTGGTGGGGAGATACTGATGAACAATGCTAGGGACGAAGCAGCGAAGCAGCGTCGGCATGGATCGCGAGCACAAGGATGGGCTCCTTTTGCTCAATCGTCCACTTCCGCCTCCAACGGAAATGGGAGTGCAAGCGCACAGAGCAATGGCCAGAGCACGAGCGCAAGCACGAGTGATGCTTCGAAACATGCAGGTGCAGGCACTGGACAAGGGCACGTTCCGCAGTATTGAAAGTTGCTTCACCAGCTTGTGTGAAAGATGTATGACATATAAATCTATGATATGCAACCATGTCAAGAGAGATGTGAGAAAGCAAGGCTAAAAAGGGGTATCATATATCTTATTCTCTCCCATCAAAAAAAAATGTTGCTGATGTTGCCCTTGCGTTTCAATTCCTTCCCTTCCGTCTCGTCGCTATGCCCTGTCGTATCCCTTTTACGCCTTGGCCCAGAACCCAACTTCCAGGTTGCCCCAAAATAACGCTCACTAAGAATAATCAAGGTCCGAGATATGTGATCACTTTGGTCCAGGGTGAGACCCTCTCGCTGCAGCTCTCTTCTTATTTTCGGCATCACGCTTTTTCCATTCCGCCCGGATCTGTTCTGCATGGGACAGGAGGTCTTCCTCGGTGACGTGATCCTCAATCGATTCGATCACGCTCGTAAAAGTCGTAACATGATTAGCGTCGGTCTTGTCGTCGCGGAAGCGGTGGAAGCGCCAGCGTCGGGAATCCGTCGCTCCGTTGCTTACTCCGTTGCCATTTTGTCCTTCGTGGCTTTTGCTGAGATCCTCCTGATAGCATTCAACTATGGAATCTTGTAGCGGGCGGTTGAGGTGTTTCCACTCTTCCCATTCGGCGGGCTCGACGTGTAGATTACCGACGTGGGCGTAATCACCGTCGTTGCCGTGGTAAATGTACAAACCGAACGCGGTGGGAAAAGAGTAGTAGTCGTCCTGCGGTGACTGATCTGGGTCGTCTGGGCCAGGCTCAATCTTGGTCCATTGGATGTGTAGAAGGAAATCGACGGTGTTGTCGGAAGGGGGTTTCCATTTCAAAATGTGCTCGTCCGTGCCGGACTTGTAGGGTGTGTTTTTGCAGGTGAAGATCAGCCCGTCGTTGCCGTGCAGTAGCTTCACTTTGGGAATGATCTCGCGGAACATCTTCTCTAGGGCATAACTGAACTCGGTGGCCTTGTCTTCGATCACGAAAGGCTGTTTCCACCCCGGGCTCTGCTTGACCATCGCTTTATAGGGATTGAGGACGTAAGATTGGAAGTATGCCAGCCGCTTGTCCAACGACCGTTGCATGAGGCTGTTGTTGTCCAGCACCAAAAGGTCAAAGACCAGGAATTTGATCACCGGTTCTCGGTCGGAGTATCTATCCTCCACCAGTTCGCCGTCCAGGATCGTGTTGGTGTGAAAGCGGTTGAACTTGGGGTCTTCGTGGTGGGGAAAGTGCAGGCCTGGCACGTAGTAATAGTCATTCTTGCGATCGATCAGGTAGTGAATATCCCTGTCGCCGTCCTGAGTCAGATACATGAGGTATCGGAGGCCATCTGTCTTCTCGCAGACGTAATAGTCCTCTCTTTTTAACTCTTGAATGTGCTTTGCCGCGAATGATACTGGTTGGGCGCCCGGAAAGGATCGACTGTGGCGATGCAGGAGGTCTGCCACTTCCTTTTGGAATTCGCGCTGCAGTTCAGGACCTGCCCATTGCCCACCAACCCGTACGATGAGAGACTTAGGGTCGGAATGGGGGTCCATGATGGGATTGAAGACAAAGTGGTCTGGTGAGTCAGAATACTCAGCGTCGGGGTCTCATAGAAGACATGGCACGATAGAGCATCAGCAGTCAAGTAATCTGCAAGTCGGCATTACAACATCATCTTGATATGCTGGAGGGAAGAGCGTGTTGCAAGATGAATGCTAAAATTATTGTCGGGTTATGAGAACAATGGAAAGCGCAGTTTGCGCCGCTTTTCAAAGAGTAGAAGCGAGTTCACGTGACAGCGCGACAGCGCGACAGACAGTACCAAGAAGCACAGAAGTACGTACTTTCTAAGCTGCTTCCATTCTATCTTTACCAAGGACCCTGGCTTCCATAGAATGTCCGGTTGTAGGAAGGGTTTAATCTCCCTTCGCGCAGATATTTTGTCACTATTTTCGTCCCATGGCCTTCTCGATTTCAACAAGAGCAGCAATAACCTTCTCGTCATGCTGTCTTCGTCCGATGACTTGCAGATTCACCGGCGCGTCTTTAAATGTTTCTGCAGAATACATCTCGTAGACGAACTTGTCTTCCGTATTCTTCGGCACATAAGTCTCATCTTTCTTATCCTTTTCAGGGTCCACAGTGGTGACTGGGAACACGGCTCCAGGGTAGTCCAAAAGATTCCAGTTGGAGGTGTAGCCCCAGTAGCGCGATTGCTCATGAGGTGTTGCTGCCCCAAAGTTTGGAGGACAAAGGATAACATCGACTTCTTGTCCGTCTTCCTCACCTGTTTGAGTCCAATGCCGAGCATACGCCGCACGATAAGCATCTCTCTCCCGACACAACTGTAGAAGATCAGCATTCAACGATCAATCGAGATAGTGGGTCCAACATACCTGCCAGAGTTCATGCTGGTTCAAATTCTTGACGGTAGGCTGTTCAGATAGAATGAACTTTGTCAAGGGCAGTATCGGTTCGCCTGCCTCCTCTAAGCGGCCCAGAACTTCGGCTCCGCCATCAGGCCAGTATAGTGCCGAGGTGATATCCCATCCTTTTCGATGGTTCAGCTTTTCACTGTCCCACTCGACGACTTTCATGCCTGCAGACTTGCATGCCTCGGATACTTCCTTCAAAGCACGTATCATGGGAGGGTGTGGCATGACGACACCGTCCCACCACTGTACAGCAATTTTCAATGGCTTCGTGAAATGGTACGGTGTCCAAGGCTTGACGGTAAGAGATGGATCGAGTCGCCAAGGTTCTGCGTCAAGGACGACTTTCATGAAGAGTTCGAGCGAGTTTCGGTCTTGGGCCATCGGGCCCAGTGTTGATAAGATGGTCTCTTTGCCTGCCATGTGAGTTTTAAGACCACTCGACGGCACTCTGAGTGCGGTTGGCCTGAATTGTTGTCAGCCATGAAGTACATGCAGGGTTCTTTCGCATACTTGAAGCCGTATATGCCACTATGTGCGGCTGGACAACGGATGCTGCCACCAATGTCGCCACCCACGCCGAACAAGCTGCCGCGAAAGGCTATCAGAGCACCTTCACCGCCGCTGCTGCCGCCTGGAGTCAAGTTGCGATTATAAGGGTTGACCGTCCGGCCGTAGATGTTTGACTCGGTTTCCAAGTGCATGATGGTCTGAGGCTGAGTCGTTCTGGCGTAGAAAACGCATCCAGCGTCCCACAGGGTGTCATATAGTAGAATCGAGCCTTGTGGCGTGCCAACCCAGGTCACATATGATGCATTTGCGGTGCCGTTCTTGCTCTTTGTGCCATGGTGTTCCTTGGTACTGATGGGAAATCCGTGTAGAGGTCCAACGGGTTCCGGCAACGAATCTAAGTAACGTGCTCGCTCGATTGCATCGTCCCAAAGAAGACTGGTGATGCAATTTGTAGCGAACTGCGCGAGCGCCGCTCGTCGAAGAAAGGCCTTGGTGACTTCTTCGGACGAAAGCTCCCTGTTGTGGAGTTTGGCCAAAAGTTCGCCTGCTGTATATCCTTCCGTGATCTCAAGCTCCCTCGCAGTCAAGACAGTTTTTGGGAGGCCTTGAGAATTCTGGGGAAGATGTTCTGGCAAGTTTTGCAGGGGCGGTTCAACCTGGGCGAGCCCTTCATCACGGGCGGTTCTTGCCGGTTGTGCTTTTTCCTCCCATGCTTGCATGTCGTCTTAGATCTGGGGTCTGGAATGATGCTGACTATATACGTGCATAGAAGAAACAAATTCCTTTTGAAACGATCACTGCTGGTCCTCGATACGACAATATCAAGGGCGAGATGTAAAGGGGAGATACTGATAGGTATCCTTAGTCCGGCATGTTTCCTTCTGTACGGATATATACGGATATAGCCGCTATCGGGCTGTTCACCCGGGAGGTTGGAGTGGCATGAAAGTGTGCGCCCTTGGGTCGCGTCTCCCCACAACTAATAACTTTTTGGCCATTACAGCTCCGCGTAGGCCTCAATCAGGTCTAGCCGAAGCCTATAAGGCGCTGTCGAAGTCTTACAACACCAAGGTTTAGGCGACAGCAAGGTTTGCAAGCTATACCAAAAACAGGCCTCCGCGGAGGTCAGGAGTGGAGTTGCAGAACGCCCCTACTTGCTCGTGCAAATCGCCATGGAAAATGTGATACTGCGATGGTCCCACCTACCACTAGCAGTAATACGACAACAGGCGTGCGTAGGAGCGAGGTCCGATCTTACAGCAGCTCCTCCTCCTAAGAGGTGTCAACACGGACCCCAGCATATGAAGAGCTTCCTCGTGTACAGATCCTGAAACCCGGTCGTTGGAACGTACCCATGACATTGTTGGAATGGTCGATCGAGATAGAAAGCTTTACAAGGTTGTTGACACGAAGCCCAAGTTTGTAGTCACGTGGGTGTTCGGCTTACCTTCTCGTTGCGTCAAGTCTGGGGAAGGCGCCAGTGGCACTTCGTTCGTTTTGGCGCAGCCTCATAAACACTCCGGACTTCCACGTACTGGTAGATTGCCCCGATACGATACCGCAAACACAAACGCATTTTCATCAGTTGGTGAATCGGCGCATGTCTGTCACCATCGGGGTCATGCTGGCCCTGAGGGTGCCTACATAAAACAGCAGTGCGCCATCGCAAGACCGGCAACACACCCTAAGAACACTCTCCCCAGGTCGCCGCAGATATGGTATCAGGTCGGTACCCCTCTTTGTGACATGATGGCTCTGGTTGCTGACATTTCCTCCAGCATCCAGCTTTGTGGGCGCCTCCGGCTACAGATTCGGCAAAGGCGATCAAAAACTCGGGAAGGTCAAATTAAAGACACTGTCTGGCAAAGGTAAGCGGGAGAATGAGTCGAATGATATGGCTTGCCATCACACTCGTCCAATAAACGCTTTTGGCTCAACTGACCAGGGATTAAAGATGGCGTATCTTCCTCCCAAGCCCCGTCCCCCGTCCTGCCAAAATTCGACGACGAGACTATGGCCAACTTCCCGAACGGCAAGCAAGAACCTCTCGATACTCTGATATGCAAGCACTGCAAGAAGGTGGTCCTGAAGCGAACCGCGAAAGAGCACGTCGCATTATGCTTGAAATCCAAACAAGAAAAGGCTCGCAAAAAGAAGGAGGCTCGAGAGGCAGCCCAAAGGGCCAAAGAACGAGCCGAACGGGCCGACGAAGAGGATGATGATGACGACGATGTCAAGGACGCCAACAGAAAGAGCGCTCTGAATGGAGAAGGCGATGACAAGAAGAATAAAAAGCGTAAAAATGACGTTGAGGATGACAAGGAACCGAAAAAGAAGAAGAAAAAGGAAGAGCAGAAACCCAAGGCGCCGAAGCCCAAGGGTCCAGTGGACGTAGAGAAACAGTGCGGTGTTGCTCTTTCAAATGGCGCCCAATGCGCCAGGAGTTTGACTTGCAAATCTCACAGCATGGGTGCAAAACGTGCAGTGCCTGGCAGAAGTCTACCATATGATATGTTGCTTGCTGCATATCAGAAGAAGAACCAAGCACGGCAGCAAAGTGAGTCTGCCTGTCTGTCCGATGTGGTTGTTGCTGACACACTTGACCTCAGAAGCGGCAATCGATGCCAATGCTCCAGCTCTCCTCGAGGAAGACCTTGATCCGGCTCTCGCAGGACCTGTCGATTCTGACGAAGAACGAGACGCCATCATGACCGCCATATCTCGGGGTCTTGCTCGTCCTCAACCCCTTGTCACGCACACTCTGTTTCCAACGAAACGAAAGTATCAACTCGTCCGAATGAAGGAGATGTTGTCCAATGCTATGAGTGGCAACAGAAGCGGCGGCTTGTTCAGTGTACCGGCAGAGACCGCCAGAAGCGCAATGCCTCCATCTTCCACCAATGACGTTTTTCCCATACCTGCTTCACCAGCACCAACAGGCGTTGGTATGGCACAGCCAGGCTTGAAAGCGATGCCGAGAAAGGCATCCATCGACGTAACCTAGGAGGACTCGGAAGAGACCGAGGACGACGAGGAAACGAGCGAGGATGATGAGGATGCAGAGGATGACGAATGGTCACCCGATCTGAGCGATGAAGAAGACGATCGGTCGACCTGGCCCCGATCTGGCGCGGCTCGTGCAGAAGATGCAATAAAGCAGCTGGTCCGAGGAAACCGGCGCTTGAGCCGTCGGAAAGTCTAGGCCTTCCGATACAAGGGGCTCGTCATCGAATGACCACCGCTCGCATGACCTCTGCATGCACAGCCCGCTGCATCAATATCCTTAGCTCGTTGGCAGGAGCTAGCCGGCTCGCTTGAAGCAAAGGCTGGCATTTGTACCACCAAAACCGAAGCTATTAGTAAGCGCAACTTGGACATCTGCCTGTTGCGCACTGTTCGCAACATTATTGCAGTTGAAACCCTCACCAGGTGAGACGAGATTAATGGTTGGAGGCAACACGTTCTGCGGAGGACAGTCAATTTGACGAGCATACGTACGACTGGCTAGATCCACGTACCTCATGTATTGCTAGGACGGTGAAAACTGCCTCAACAGCGCCAGCGGCGCCCAGAAGATGCCCAATGGCTCCCTTTGTGCTGCTGACATTGATCTCCGAAGGCTTTCGTCTCCCATGTTCTCCTAGCATCAGTGCTTTGATCGCTTGGTTTTCCGCGGCATCTCCTAGGGGAGTGGAAGTGGCATGTGCGTTGATATAGTCGACGGCAGATGGCAGGACCTGAGCCTGTTTCAGGGCTTTCTTCATAGCCAACAGGGCACCGCTACCGTCTCCGCGTGGAGCGGTAAGATGATGAGCATCAGCCGAATTGCCATAACCGACTAATTCTGCGTATATCCTCGCGCCTCTGTTTCGTGCATGCTCCAACTCCTGATTCGTGATTAGTAACACATCCGTCAAGCAGCTAGATTCTAAGCATACCTCGAGGATCACACATGCTGCACCCTCCCCAATGACAAACCCTGATCTATCTTTGTCAAATGGTCTTGACGACAGGTGCGGCTCGTCGTTGAAGTTGGTCGCCAGGCTGCGAGACCTGGCAAATCCACCAATCGCCAATGGGTGAATACAAGCTTCAGCTCCTCCAGCAATCATTACATCTCCTTCACCTGACTTGATGAATCGAGACGCGTCGCCCAGAGAATGAGCTCCTGTGGTGCATGCGGTGGTGACGGCGTGATTTGGGCCCTTCAGACCATATCTCATTGAGATGTGACCAGCCCCGAGGTTGATGAGAAGGCGTGGGACGAATAGCGGATGGATCTTGCGATAGTTCTTCTCCTGGTGATAAGCCAGTGAAGTTTCGTAGAGCTCTTCGAGATTTCCAATGCCAGATCCAAGGCAGACACCCTGTATCTTGTCAGCGTCAGCTAAGGTTGATGTTGATCACCTAGCATACCGTCATTTCCGAATCCAGGCCCTTGCCATTCTCAAATCCAGCATCTTTGAGAGCTTCGGCCGATGCTGCCAGACCATACTGAGCAAACTTTGCAGTCTGTCTCAACTCCTATCTCACATTAGCCTTGAGACTCAGGTGCTTGGGGCGGAGACCTTGAACACGAACAGTAGACGTGACATGATCCGTTGCCTTCCATGATCCATCTTGATCCGGTAACACCGGCACAAGGCCTGCGACTTGACTCGGGATATTGGTGAACTCGCCGCCAAGGTGTCTAGTCGAGACGATGCCACAGTCACCGTTGAGCAGTCTTTGCCATGTCCTTCTGACTCCTAGAAAAGGGTGACGTCGTCAGTTTCATCCGTGGTCAGGCCGGATATAAGATAAATGGAGCTGTGGTTCAAAATTGCTTACCAACACCGAGGGGCGTTACAGCTCCCAACCCAGTCACGACCACTCTGCGCATCTCATTGTACACAGCTGGTATACTTCCACTGGTCCAAAAACCCAGCGGCTAGACTTCCTTAATTAGGCTATAAAGGCTAGGTCTGTGATCAGATTGACACGCAAAGAAGAACTGGGGAATGTGAAAAGAATGGCCGGAGAAGAGCGTCATACAGTCCGAACCAAGCGGCCCATCCTTCTCTTTTCGTCCACCAACCCACCACACACAGACGTCGACGCCCTATTACTCAATCGATACGGGCTGTGGTTCTTCTTAGATAATACTGCCATAGCTTCGAGGATATATCTTTCTTGTATCTAGAGTTTTCAATTCTCATCTCATGTGCTCAGTGAATATTTCCATCCTACATCGCTAGCAAACCATGGTACCATCATTGGCGTTGTCAGCATGGCTGATCGCTCTTCTCCCGCTGGCCACTGCATCCTTCTATGACAACCCAGAAGTGGAACTCCCACCAAAGTCCGGCACACCTTTGGAGGAGTTGGAAGCCAAATGGGGCACTGATGTGAGTGAACTTCTTCCCATGCAGTGACTGAAGCTCTACCCGAGCAACTCTACCATCCTTGCAAAAATGAAGTGTACAAAGTACTAAGTATATGTGAACCACCACAGTGGGGATTCACAGGGATATCGACCTTTGCACATCTAAAGCACATCAAGTGTTTGACAACACCATACGAGCAATTCGATATCGGTATAATCGGCGCACCGTTCGACACAGCAGTGAGCTATCGCCCAGGTAAGCACCGGAGCAACTCATTCCAAGCTGGCTTGCCCTTCCGTATCGCCTTGATACACCTAGCCATTCATTCTAACCACCATCCCAGGCGCCCGCTTCGGCCCACGCGCCATCCGCGCAGCATCTGCCCGCCAAACCTCCTTCCGAGGCTTCAACCACCGCGCCGGCATCAACCCATACCAATCATGGCCACACATTCTCGACTGTGGCGACATCCCAGTCACGCCCTTCGACAACGCTTTAGCCTTGCACCAGATGACGAGCGCCTACACCGAGCTCGTCTCTCGCCAACCCCTGTCCTACACTAACCCCCCATCCCACACGCACCCAAAGCTCATCTCCCTGGGTGGCGACCACAGCATCGCACTAGCAGCACTTCGGGCTTTGGAGAAAGTCCACAAGAAACCAATTGCTGTCCTCCATTTCGACGCTCACCTCGACACATGGCACCCAGGCTCCTATCCCAGCGCGTGGGCCAACACTCCCACGCAAGCGGACTTCACGCACGGGACCATGTTCTGGGTTGCCAGCGAAGAAGGGCTCATCGCTAACGGGTCAAGTGTCCACGCGGGTCTCCGCACACGTCTCGGCGGCAATGATTTCGCGGACTACGACAACGACGAGCGCCAGGGTTTCTTGAGGATCGAGGCCGACGACATTGATGCAGTCGGCGTGTCCGGCATCATCGAACTCATCATGAGCCGCATCGGTACTGAAACTCCCGTTTATCTATCAGTCGACATCGACGTGATCGACCCTGGTTTGGCACCGGGTACTGGAACACCCGAAGCCGGCGGGTGGACAACCCGTGAATTGATCGGCATCCTGCGCGGCATCGAGATGCTTAACGTCGTCGGCGCGGATATCGTCGAAGTCGCGCCTGCCTATGATGGGGTGGGCGAGTCCACGGCCCTAGCGGGTGCTCAGGTCGCGTATGAAATCCTCACGAGCATGGTCAAGCGCGGGCTAAAGGATCGGGGCGAGGAAGTCATTCTTACCAAACCTGGTACTCAGAAGATTCTGGCACAGGGCAAGAAGAAGTTCAAGAAGGATGAATTGTAGAACAGTGAGCGAAGACAAAGTTGGCTTGATGGCTGGAGATGTGAATGAGAAATGGGTTGTATAGCATTTCATGCGGAGTTGTGATATACGGGAAAACGCATGAAGAGAAGGAATGTGTATGTACGGAGGTACCCTGCAAGACGAGAAATGAAAGATGTGAGATGACACAGGTCTACGAGCCTGGAGAAACATATAAGACACAGCACACACAGTGCAAAGACTTTTAACAGACACACTGCCCCTTGTTGTAGTAATGGCTGCATTCTTTTAAGTATGCTCTTTTACATTCGATGCAATCCTCAAGTGGGGCAGATCAACTTTCATCACAGCAACATCAACAACCCCTTCGTCTCGTAATCCAGACATACCGCACAGGAAGCCGTACTGACCATACCCATGTAAAACGTTGTTTCATGGTAGCATACAGCTTCATCTTCGTCGTATGCGCTCCAGAGGATACTCCGCACAGATGCTGCCAATGAACCTGGCAGAAGTGCTGAAATCAAATGTTTTCATGTTGCAGACCGAACAACATTCATGTTCCCCCCTAGGTGAAATGTGTCTTTTCCCAACCTCAAAAACGCCATGCTGTCTATGTGTCTGAGTGCTTCATTCGTCGCGCCTTTATTTCATCTGGGTCAACTCGTCACGAGAGACGAATGATACTGTTTGGGAAACCTCAAAAATGGTACCTTGTGACAGGCTTGCCCTGACGATTGAGCGCCGGAGGGCCCGTGCTTTTCGTCTCTTCGTGCAGAGATTGCTTCTTTCCACGTGGACGAGGCTTCGGAGGAGGGTCAACGTGCCTGTGGCCCAGCTCTGCTACGGCACTGGTGTTCTTCCATCGAAGACAGCGATGCGTCTTGTCGCTAAGATGCGTCTTCGTCCTCGTGGACATTCTTGTTGGCGGTTCTTCTGATTCCTCACGTGGTGCAAGGTATGCTGCACGCTTTTCCATGTGCTTGATGATGACATCTCTCTGCATGGTGAGTTCTTTTTGAAGCTTGAGCTCCCTGTAACCACGAGAATCAAGCCATCCGATCAACATATCGAGTTCTTCAGCTGTATCGTAGAAGCCCCATTGTTTGGCCTTCACCAGTGTTGTTGGTCCTTCCTCCATGGCTTTACGCTCCGCTGGTGTCATCTGGAAACGACGATAGTAAGCATTCTTGTCGGGCTCGGATAATTCAATAAAGCCTTCACGTTCCATGTCATCCGGACCTTGTACCCAAAGTCGACCATTGGCATATTCGGCGTCTGCAGTCGAGCTGTCGGGCAGGCCGCCATGCGGCATGGCATTTCGCTCGAACCACCAGTATCTGTTGCAGAAGCGATCTTTTCCCAGAACCCGCGTTCGAGGACAGTCTGCCTCACGAAGGTCATTGTCGACCACAAGGATTGCATCTTCTGCAGCTTGGACCTTTTCTCGCTCTTTTTCAATCTGCTTTAGGACTTTCTGATACTCCTTGCTGCCTTTATTCTGCTTCGCCTCCGCCGCTTTTTCTCTTCGTTCTTGTTCTTGTTCCCGCTTTCGCTTTCGCTCTGCAGCGCGATCATTGCCACGCCGGAGCGAGCGTGTCACCGTGAGCTCTTCATCCTCCGAATCCGGAATGGAAATGTCACCTTCTTCAGCTTTCTCTGCCTCCATGGCTTCTTCAAGCTCTGGCACAGGTGTAGGAGACTTCTCTGGCTCAGGCGCCAATACTCTGCGCTCAATTTGCAGTTCTTTCAACTTGGTCAAAGTCTCCTTTCGAGCTCGCTGGTGCTCGATTTTCAATTTTCGATACTGGGTCATGGTATTGCTCATCTCTTCTAGAAAGTCTTTCACAGTCTTGGTCTCGAGGAACAGCTGACAAATCATCTGAAGAGCATCTGCCCGTAGGTTGATGTCCATTGTGGCATACTGGATTCGGGCAGTCTCGATAGTAGGCTCGGCATCCAAGGGGGCTAGATGTCGGAGGATTTTGTTGCATCGCTCTGTAAGTCGGTCCCTTCCGGCAAGTTGATGGAGCAAGCCGACCATGACCAATTCCCAGCCACCGTCGATCAAGTCGCGTTTCCGCAGTCTGTCGATCCAGCTGTATTCACCAAGCATTTCGGCCGCTCGATGAGGCACAGTATCGACCTCTTCTTCTTGAACAGGCTCCTGTTGTTCGTCGGCAAATTTGACTTTGTTAAGGCTGCTCCGCGTACGCTTGGCTGGGTATTCGGGCTCAGGTGTCGGTGTAGGCAACTTGCTCTCTTCTTCCTCGGATTCTTCCTCCTCGTCGTCGGAATGCGGCAGGTCTGGCAAGGAGACCTGGACAGCTCCTTCGTTGTGATGCTCGGAGTTCACCAGCTGCTTGAGCACTGCGCAGTGGACCTCGATAAGTAGCTCGCATTCTACCTCCACGGAAGAAAACAACATCGCCTCCACAAAGTCGTCAAATGTGAATGAATCCAATTTCAGAACCTGGCAGTAGACATTGAGGGTGTTCCAAATTTCGAGTAGTAGGCCAACCGTCTCTTCCCTGAGGTCCGGAATTACATCATCCATCGTCTTATCGTCCAGACATTGCTCCTCGGTGACAAACTTCAACGATGGTCGATGTGTGCCATCTCGCACCGGCTCTACATCGAGGTCATCGATAGGGTATTTTATTGGTGGAGGAGGCGTCGGTGGTATCTCTACCGCCACCTGCTTCTGAGGTACTGGTTGTGGAGGAGCTTGAGGAGGGTGGTAGTGGCCATTTGGAGGCATGTGCTGGTTTGGGTAACCTTGGTAGTAAGGATCATACCCTGGGGGTGGAGGAGGTGGCGGTTGCATATAATCCCACGAACGCGGTAGTAAGCCAGGGTCAGGCATGGCTCGCATATGAGGATAGTCAGGGTACATCCCCATTGATGGATCCATCTGCACTGCTTGCTGTCGTTGATGTTGTTGGCCTTTCCGACTCTTAACCGCAGGCTGCAAATCTGGAAGCCTGTGTGGTTGCCAAATGCCAAACATGCCGTCTTGTTGCTGCTCGACCGACGCATGTTTCTTCTCCGCTTTCTTCGCGGCCACCTTGCTGCTGTATTGAAGATGAGGAGGAACGTTGGTGTCAATTCGAAAGCGCTCCGCTATCTCTGGTTTGACCAGCCAAGGGGCACCAATCCATCCCTCGCGGGTGACAGCGTTCTTAATAAAGGAGCGCAGCATCTGCTTGGTGAAGATCTTTCGGTCTCTGACTATGTGTTGATCGTCGACAAGTGCCTCCTCATCCGGCCGGTCGATCAGCCTGACAAAGTACCGGGAGAATGCATTCCTTGCCACACCGCCGTCTGGTCCTCTGATCTCGGCGAATTTGGCCTTGTCTCTTACTCGCCCATTAAGTCGAGAAGAATCGTTCAGGATGACAGTTACCAATTCGCCTGGGTAGAAATCGTTTTTGAATTCATTGAACACCTCCTCCACCAGGTTGTCAACGCGGGACGTTGTAGAAAACTGGACTCGGCGCAAGACCGGTTCGCGGAGAGCCTGCGGGAACGCCTCGTCGATTTCGCGGGAGCCCGCTTGTTCACTTCGAAGGGCGTCGAAGAAATTGAGGCCGGAGCGGCCGGTTACTTCGCATGTAAACTTCTTAGACTTGAAGAAGTCCATGCGCTCCAGATATGCATCGTAGGAAGTAAAGACTTCGTTCGACTCAGATAGAACCCAGACATCGCACTCTTGATCGTCAATGTAAGGATGAGGTAGATATCGGACAGGCTTTCTCTTGAAGAGAACCATTCTCGCGAACGGAGGGTCGAGTGACCCTTCGAACTAGGCTGGGTTGGGGAGGAAGACGACAGTGGTAGGGTCCTGGAGGGATTTCATGGACACGACGACCTATACATGGACGATTGTCAGCTTGTTGGGAGTGTGACGGGTGCGACTGAGGATCTGACGCGGTGGTCACCAACCCTTGCGCAGAACCACGCAGGAAGATGTGAGACCTACACAGGGCACCGGAAACGCGTCATGGAGGAATTCTGGAGACCGGCAAATGAAGATGAGAATGGTGTGTATTTGTAAAGGACTGTGGTGTTGTGATCGTGTGGGAACAACACAGAGGGTGAAGAATCAAACATGACGAGGTAGAAAGACAGTGAGTGCCCTTAGGGCGACCGCATAATAAGAGTTAGTATGCGGCGAAGAGCCAGTGGGAGTGGCAGAGTGGGCAATGGAGGCCGGGTGGAGCCTTATTATTCCGCGGGTCGTTTTGTATGGGAGAGGGAGTATTTGGACGCCAGCGATATCATGCTGGTGGAAGTCGAAGGTGTAGGTAGCATCGGGATGCAATTTTGTCACTGGCACTGGAAGTACCTTGTGCTCAATTCTGTTCCATTGGCGACGTTATCTGCCATAGCTGTGGTAGAAATGGCGGGCATCTCTTCTGTACATGGCCCTCCAAACGCGCCGCAAACATTTGGATGTGGCATCATAAGCCGTTTACCGACCGATTTGCCTCAATTACTACTAGTGCAGCCGCGCCCCGTCCTTTCCGCCAAGGGATAACAACGCCAAGAATCTTCCCGGCACTATCCAATCATTGACTCGTGTACACTTCCATCTGCCTCGCTAGTCATGGTCGCCCATCAGTCCCTTGCATTCAGCGTCTTCCAGGGCCATAGAGGTACTCGTTCGACTCCAATTTTCATGCTGAATCCAATGCAATCACTTTCAATCTACCACTCTGTACCATCATCACATCGGGTGCTACTATCAACACCTAAGCCTTCACGGCCTTCGCTGACCGACTAGTCGACAATGCCGCCAGGAATGCCGGGCCACTAAGCATCGCTGGGCGCGACACCCAAGAGTCCACAGATCGCCACAGATCGAAGGTCTTCCGCACCAGACAACATTCGACATCAGGAAAAAGCACAATGCCTGCATCTGATACTACGGCTGGCGATTTGCAACAATATTGGCCACGGATACAACACTTTCTGCAACCACTCCGAGGCTATGTATAGGACATCTATATGACTATGATTGTAGATAACACACCATAAAGCCCAACCATGAGCCCAAGACGCCTATCGCCGAGTATGTGCTGATAAACATCAATGGGAGGAACTCATACCTGTCCCCGAAGACCACGCCGTGCAGCAGGGAGCAGTACGCCATCAGCGGAATGGATATGGCAATGTATAGGACTCCAAAACGGTCCAAAAGGAAGAACCTTCTTCTCGACGGCGCTGGCGCCAGTTGATCAAAGGCATAGAGGAAAACGATCAACCATGATATCGTGTATGCCACCTTGATTGGAAACTCTGCTGCCGTGAAAAGAAGCGGAAACAATGACACATGGCCCGCGACAGCCAAAGGTCGAAAGCTCGCCAAGTGGGATCGATCTTTGACGGCAAGAAGACTGAAAGGTATGATGACCAGCAATATGGCCTTCTCATGGACGTGCCAACCAAAGAGGAATGACGCATATCCACAAAGTGTAATGGCCCCAACGAAGGCGTCCCAACTGGGCGTAAACCACAATTTCGTAAGCGCGATGATCTGAAATGACAAGGTGAGTGCGAAACAGGTCCGTGCCGAGATATCTGGTAGAACAGCAAATGATGTGTCGCCGACCAGGCCTCGAGTGACACCGTTGACGGCCGACTGGTCAATATTGAGCCGCAAGGGAGGAGCCGCCACTATCAGAACTCGATCGACGAAAGAATATATGGCCCAGACATTTGGTGCCCAATATGCATGGCACAGGCCTCTTGCAAAGGGGAAGAGCCGGCTCTTGAGTTGCTCGAGTTGACCCCAAGCAGCAAAAGGGCCGAAAGCTGTGGCAAAGATTGCCACAATGCTAGTGCCCAGCTTGACGATGTTTGCAAATCGAGGTCGAAGCATGTTCTTCGGTTGCAAGCAGTAGACTCGGAGAAGATAGACAAAATAGGCCGGCGCCAGGTAGAGGTAGATGTGCTTGAGGCACAAAAGCAAGGCGAAGAGGATACCGCTGTAGAGCATAGTCGACTCTTTTCTAGCGAGGACAATGGACAGAAGCAGTATGCCGTACAGAAAGCCGTTATACTGGAAATGGATGTGGTCGATGATCAAAAGTCCTGGCGAGAGCAGGATAGACAATGCGACAGCATGACTCTGGCGTTTTGTCGATGGCGGAGACGTTTCTGTATACCTTTTTTATGAGTAAAGGTACTGCTTTGGCTTGGGGTTACTCACCTGTGCAAGGCATAGACCAAGAGCAGCTCTGTAGCAATAACCGACCCTCTCTGGAAGCTCACGGTGGCCCTCGAGTCGTAGTTCAGGTTCTTCACTTGGACCATTGCCGAGTCTATGAGACTTGCGGGTTGAGAGAGCAGCCATTCGAAGAGAGCGAAGGCCGGAGGGTAATCCAACGTCCATTCCGAAGTTTTCTGCATGAGAATGAGTTCGTGCTTCGATGGCTGCGTGGGCAAAGTCCGCAACTAACCTCATAGTACCATTGCTTCACCGGCAGCGAATGAGTGATAGCCAGCCAGTTCCGATGTACTTCGAAATCTGTCGACTTGTAGGCCGGAAACATTAGAACCTTCAAAGCCGTGGCTACCACGGCTGTCTGAAAGAGCGACGGCCATTGATCACTTCCCGGCTGCTTGTTGGACTTGGCCGATCGTTGTTCCTGGGCCGAACTTCTTAGCTTTACCAGTCTACGAAGTAGTATAACAATCTTACCGGGATGATCGGAGTCTTGTCGCGAAGGCGACTCGTAGTCACGGATACGACGGAGGCCATCGTTAAAGGCCAGGCCGACTATGTGTTGGCGAGGCGGACGGCGTTATTTCGAGACGCGAGAATATGGCAGCAGGGGCCAGGGAGGCGTCCTACAGGGGGCGTTCACTTTAGGTCACTAGGCTCTAAATCTCTCCGCATGGCTGGGCCATCTGGCCTCTTCGCGCCATTTTTAACTTAGAGCCTCATTTCATGCAGGTCGAAGCGGCTGAGCCCGCTGCTTTTAGTGCCGACCTTTAACCCTCTGTAAACCGTCCATGATGTTCCCGAGCATCAATTACTGGTGCCCAGCTTCGATGCTTCAGGCCAGCCTTTACTGATCCTCTAGATTTATGGACGGATTAGAAGGCTTCAAACACCATGTTGTGTTCCAGAATCTGAACATTAGACACCTTGTTGAACCTGCCCAAGCCACGCTCGACTTGGCCCGGGAAATTCGTTACTGCGTCATTGCCATCTGTGTTACTTGGGCTACTGTATCAATATTTCGAACTTGGTCTACTACTCCCCACCGACGGGATTCATCCTGAGCGCTTCAGCATACTGTTGTCAAAGTTGTACCATTAATCCAGGTGTGTAGAATCTCTGTGCCTGTCATTCTTGCGCCACGCTGACGTCCAATGCTAGTTCATATCCGCCGCACCTCGTCACCATGTTGGCCTTTCGATCCATCTACCTGTTCCTTCTATGTGCTGCCACCGCCCTCGCTCAAAATCTACAGATCGAAAATGCCCTCGACGAGCTGTCTTTCGGGCATAAGCAAACTATCTCACCGAATTCCTTCGCCATCCCTGGCTGGGCCATGCTTGGTGAAGGACACGTGCCTCAACTCCTGTCCGACCGAGTCATCCTTACACCACCCCACGGCGGGCACAAGCGAGGCGCTCTATGGTCAGAAAAGAAGGTCACGTTCAAAGACTGGCAAGTCGACCTCAAGTTCCGAGCTGGTGCAACGGACCGAGGTAGTGGCAGCCTGCAACTATGGTATGTGCAGGACGGAGAAAAAACAGTCAGCACATCAGACATATATTCAGTCGGAAAGTGGGAGGGTCTAGCTATTGTTATTGATACTGTCGGTGGCATACAGAAGATCCGAGGGTTCTTGAACGACGGCACAGTCGAGTACAAAAGCAACCAAAACGTAGAGTCTCTCGCTTTCGGTCACTGCGACTACGTCTATCGTAACCTCGGCCGACCGTCACAGATCAACGTGCGCGCCACATCCAGCGGCCTCCAAGTGGATGTCGATGGTCAACGCTGCTTCGCCACGGACAAGGTCACTCTTCCTACAGACTATGGCTTTGGCATTACAGGAGCTTCCGGCGACCCTCCCGACTCATTCGAACTGTTTGGGTTCGCGGTCAGCCAGGCATCTTCGACCATTTCACAGCACGCCATACATCAGCAGGAACAGCAGCAGCAGCAAGCGCCCCCACCCGTGCCACAGTCCAATCCAGCCGCCGGCCAACCACAAATGGCACAAATGGACGACACTCCAGCCTCTCACTATACGACCTCCGAAAGCCAATTTGCGGACCTCCACAACCGCCTCAACCTGCTTTCTAAATCCATCAGCAACCTTTTCACCGAGATCACGCGCCACACCGCAGCAGAGGAAGCGCGGTACAAAGAGATCCTGGCACGCATTCCGAATGAGCAAATACTCAAGACGTTGGAGTCACGGATTGGCAATCTGGACCGCATCGTAGGCGATGTTGAACGCGAACTGAAGTCGTCGGACCACAAGAGTCAATTCGCCAAAATCTCCGAGCAACTCTCGCAGACGCATCTGGGTGTGACGGAGCACGTGCCTGAGAGGATGAGAGAGTATGTCCAGGCACATACGCCACGGATTGGTTTCATTCTATATAGCTTCATGGCGTTCCAGACGTGCTGCATCGGTGCGTGGGCCTGGTATAAGTGGCGAAAGAGCACGATGCCTAAAAAGTATCTGTAAAGTAGGACAAGGATCGAAAATCAAGGCGTGGAGGCGTTAGCTTGTCAGGTGTTCTCTATCTGACATTATTGGATTTCTTCAACTCCTCGTCTATGGATGCCGTCGATTGTCTCGTCGCTCACTGTAGCCCCGGCGTAGTCCTCATCAGGGTTCACATCCTCACCTCTTGGTGACTCTTGCCACAGTCATCGCATTTCTCACGTCGTATCAATTGCCTTACGAGAATGACATCGTTCGTAATGCCAATCAAGGTGTGCATCTGTACGCGAAGCGAGGGTACAGAGCACATTCCCTGACAGTGAATCTGCCGCACATCCAAGCCAGGAAGCGTTCCAATCCCAAGCCGTATCCGCCGTGAGGGGAGGTGCCGTATCTAGATGCATTTGTCAGTTCCATGCAGGGCTAACGAAGGCTCGGGTTCGATGTTCAAACTTACCGTCTCTGATCAGTGTACCAGTAATACGGGCCGGGGTCGATACCTTCACGCTTATACGCAGCCATGAGTTCCTCATAATCGTCCATACGCATACTTCCTCCGACAATTTCACCAACACCAGGCATCAGGACATCCACACTCTCGGTAACGCGCTTGTCCAAATCGTCCTTCTTCATGTAGAAAGCCTTGATCTCGACGGGGAAATGCGTCAGAAAGATTGGCACGTTGAGTATGTCAGTCATTTTGCGCTCGGCGGCCTCGGCAATGTCGTCGCCAAAGGCGTGTGGCTGACCCTCTTCGTTGGGGATGTCGTGCTCCTTGAGCCACTCGATCGCATCGGCGTACTTCATGCGACGGAAGGGGCGCGAAGGAGGAGTGAAGTTGGGGTTGAGTTCCTTGACATACGAGGCGGTGACGGGGTCGGCAAGCGTGATGTCGATGACCCGACAGATGACGTTCTCGAGATGGTCGAGAAGATCGTCAAACACAATGAAGTCCAATTCGGCCTCGATGTGCGTGTACTCGGACAAGTGGCGGCGGGTGAGGGACTTCTCGGCACGGAAGGACGGGCAGATGCAGAAGACGTCGCCCATCGATGCGAGACATGTTTCCAGGTACAGCTGCGAAGATTGTGTCAGGTAGGCCTTTTCACCGTAGTAGTTGAACTCGAATAACGTGGCGCCGCCTTCGACTTGGGTCTGGACCATGGCTGGAGGTGTCACTTCTGTCAGTCGAGTTTCCACGTAGGTCTGACGGAATGCTCGGGTCACGGCGGCGCGGACCTTCATGACGGAGGATGCCATGTCGCCTCGGAGGACGAGATGTCGGTTGTCAAGGAGAGTTTGAGGGTCACCGCCTTCCTGGACCTTGTTCGTGATGGCATCTTTGTCACCGACAGCAGTGCCGATAACAGAGAAGAAGTCGGCGTGCATTTCGCGGTCGAGAGGTGCATGGGCTTTGGGTGGCAGAGATCTCAGTTCGCCGTGGATGGCCAAGGAGGTCTCAAGTGTCAAGGTCATGGCAGCGTATGTTTTGATCAGCTTGCCGGTGAAGACGCATTGCATGTGGCCGTAACCATCCTTGAGCGTGACAAAGATAACGTCTTTCTGGGATCGAAGGTGGTGGACTCTGCCTAGGACTCGAGCGCGAGTGCCCGGGTTCTCAGCAGTACCAAGCTTGATCTTTTCAGGATCAGTCTCATCAAGGCGGATCTTGATCGGGGCTGGTAGGTTGGCATCTTCCTCGATGACAACTTTCTTGGCTTCTTCTAGCACTTGCTGTCGTTTCATAGCTTCTGCATTCTCTCGGATGGCCAACTCCGAAGCCTTGGCCTGCTTACGTTTGTGTTGTTCAAAGAGGTTGGTGGCTTTCTTCAAGGCGGATTTGCTGGCGGGTTTCCATTCTAGTCGAGAAGCTGGATCACCATTGGCATCGACTGGGCCGGTTTCTGATTTTCGAGTCAGATATGATGCGGTCTCAGGAGGATGTTGAATCATGGCATAAAGAAGGGTTTTGTAAGGTTGGCCCTCAGTGCCAACGGCTGAGTCGCCATCCTTGCCCGTATCCTCGTCAATGTAGATAGGTTCGGCCATCTTGTTTGTCAGGAATCGTGAATTATCGTCAAGGTGTTTAGTGTCTGTTTGACTGATATCGGTTTAAGAAAAGGACATGTGACTCATGTAAGACTGGGGTGGTGACAGTGCAAGGCTGCGATGAGTCTTTTAACCTTGCCGATCTGTTACCCGATGCCCAGTATGAGTGGAAAGGGTACTCAGGCCAGTTGAGCGTTGAATCTGGACTAATGTGCGGTGTGATGCTTTATTAGCCCTTGTAAGAAATATGGCTCCGGGAACTTGATAAGGTGGCAGGCCAACAATGATCACGATAATTATTTTCCCGCGCGGTCGAATGGGCCAATAAGCGGCGATGGCGCTAGATGCTGCTCAAATGGGTTTAGTCAGGAACGCTTTAACCTGCAGCAAAGTCATCTGTTGTGTCAGACAGTAGGATTTGTCCTGCAGCGGCGGAATATAGGCTTAAACACGAGAGCTATAGCTTGTCTGACGCGAAAAGGCTCTTTGGGCTCGTGGCCGGAAAATACGCGTCCAATCAACACCAAAGCACCGACAGCAATCAAAACCCCGGCGCCACAAGTCATGGTCATTTCACCAGTTTCATGATTATTCACCGATAAGGCTTCAACCCTCTCTGTCAGCAGCAGACTCGATGATACCTGATGGCAGTGTCGTCGACCACTGCAGCAACAGCTTTGCATCCAACCGTGTGTCTCCGCCCCGGTACTGGGCTACCCACAGCGCGGCAACATCAAATGAGAAACATTGTGAAGCCGGCACTGTGGCCAGCACCAGCCACTCATCGCAATCCCGTTCCCCTGGCGGATCCCTGACCGGCACGCAAATCCACCTGCAAATTGGTCATCTCCAGAAATCCCATCCTCTCTCCTCTGCAGATGCCTGCCTCCTCTGGACATTTCGAGTCGAGCAGACCTCAATACCTCCAGAGATACCTTGTTCCTCTGTATCACATATGTTCGGATGGTCCGAAAGAGCTAGACGTCAATGGCAGATCGAGAACAAGACGTGCAGACCAGAACTTATGGGCATTGGGATTGCAGTTGAAGCAGCCACACCCGCCCGGCCAAAATGTCTGACCTCCACCCCTTTATTGGCATCCACTGGCTCTTGCTCAGGCACAAGCACCTGGCACGCTAGCCCAATCCCCAAGTCAATTCATTTCATCTCTCACGACTTTCTCGTGGCCCTTCCCTATTCTGCTTGCTTGCGGACTTTCCATTCTCTCTTGTTGTCGTCTTTCTCATCCCTCGTTATTGTTACCACTATCCTTTCTCATTCCATCCATTCGTTTCTATTTGTTCCATTCACTCGTTACATTCGGCACCACGACGGTCGTTTCACCCTTTTGACAGACGATACCGTTTCGCGACTTCATATTCGACCCTACCCTTCATTTGTACAGACCCGACCGGAAGACAAGATCATAGTCTCAATCAATCACGTCCCCTGCTAATATTCTGCCTGTTGGCCGTCCCCCAATCGAACTACACGTCCGCTACAGCCTGTTGTCCTTGGACTTGGTCCTGAGGACACATACAACAAGAGTTCCATATGCTCGCTATGCAGAGTCAAGATGTGTTTGCAGGAGGGTTTGGGAGTCGTTTTGCATCATCAAAATTTGGACAGGACAATACAGGCTTCAGCCATGGCGCGTACAGTTCGAACCAGACTCCCTATCGTGGAGGGTTTGGTGACCGCAACCAACGAAAGTCCTCGATGCAAGCTACCACGGTCCAAGACCACTCACAGGCATACAACCCCAACGAGTCAACACCTGCTGGGCCCGCCTTCGATATGAATTTCACCCCGCTGTTGCCTTCCCAACTTTTGCTGGGAAGCCCATTTCAGCCAGGCTCGCCTGGTTCGTTCGCTTCACCGCAGTTTCCAAGCTTTAGCCGCTTCCCTCAAGGCACAAATGCTCTGCATCAACAGACTCAGCAATATCAGCATAATCAACAACAAGTCCATCTTGGTAGCCCAACGCAGATGCATGCTCAGCCCCTTTCCCCCCAACCATACCAACAAGTCATCTCTCCTGATGCCTACACTTCGCATTCACCAACTGGTTTTCCGGGCTTGGGAGGCGCCGCATTTGGTCATTATCAGCCAATGTTGGGCGTGGGTCAACAATGGATGTCCAGTACTAGCCGTACTGTTTATCTGGGAAACATACCAGCTGATACTTCTGCCGAAGAGATATTGGGCCACGTGCGAAGTGGTCAGATTGAATCTGTCCGTCTCTTGCCAGAAAAGAACTGTGCCTTCATCTCCTTCCTCGACAGCAGCTCGGCCACTCATTTCCATTCCGACGCAATTCTGAAGAAGCTATCAATCAGGGGTCATGATATCAAGATTGGCTGGGGAAAGCCATCTTCTGTGCCCACCTCTGTTGCCCTCGCTGTTCAACAATCAGGAGCTTCTCGCAATGTCTATCTCGGCAATCTGCCCGAAGACATCACTGAGCAGGAGCTCCGCGAAGATTTGAGCAGGTTCGGACCCATTGATACCGTCAAAATGGTCCGCGAAAAGGCGATTGCATTCATTCACTTCCTATCTATTGGTAACGCCATCAAGGCTGTAGCACAGCTTCCCCAGGACCCCAAGTGGGGACCTCCTCGCCGTGTCTTCTATGGCAAGGACAGATGTGCATACGTTTCCAAAACACAGCAGCAGAATGCCGCCCAGTATCTCGGTATAGCTCCTGGTTACGCCCATGTTCTCAACGGTGCGGATCGCGATCTGATCTCCAATGCTCTTGCACAACAATCTGTCGCCGCTGCTGCTGTGGCCACTACAGCTGGAGGTGTCAACAATCTTGGAAACCGTACAGTGTATCTCGGAAACATCCATCCTGAGACGACCATCGAAGAAATCTGCAATGTCGTTCGAGGTGGACTTTTGCACCATATTCGGTACATCCCAGACAAGCACATTTGTTTTGTAACCTTTATCGACCCTACATCTGCTGCATCATTTTATGCATTAAGCAACCTGCAAGGATTAATGATACACAACCGGCGGCTCAAAGTCGGCTGGGGTAAGCACTCTGGAGCACTTCCACCAGCTATCGCCCTAGCAGTGAGTGGAGGAGCTTCCCGAAATGTCTACATTGGTAATCTCGATGAGAGTTGGACCGAGGAGCGATTGAGGCAGGACTTTTCCGAGTACGGTGAAATCGAGCTGGTCAACACACTGCGGGAGAAGAGCTGTGCTTTTGTCAACTTCACAAACATCGCAAACGCCATCAAAGCCATCGAAGCCGTCAGAGGCCGAGAAGAATACAAGAGATTCAAGATCAACTTCGGTAAGGACCGGTGCGGAAACCCTCCACGCCAGAATCTGGCCAATATCAATGGCAACCAAGGCAGACCCCACGGCAGCATGGATGGCAATATTTCTCCCGGGGCGATGAATGGATTTGAGAATCCAGTGTCACAGTCGGGTTCTAGCCCAACCAAGTCAACCATTCCACTTGGCCCCAAGGCTTCAATGGCCCCTCAGGCTCAAGCAAATGGTCGTCCACAGCAACACAACATTGGTGCTCCGACGCCCTCCACAATCTTGAATGCTGGCAGCCACAACCCGTTGACCATGTACTTGTCGCATGTTTCCCAACAACAAGCGCAAGCCGAGCAAGATTTGCGTGATGACACATACTCTTTCGCAACCCTTCAACAGCAACAGAATCAAGCTTTGGCAACCCAGCAGGCAGCCCTGTACGGAGAAATGCCAAATGGTCACAGCGGACTTGATCTGCCGGGCTCTTCACACGTACCACGACAAAGCAGTATCAGCGGCGGCTTCGGCACGGCGTCGAACGCACTCAGCAATGGTACCTCCACTACAATCGGTGGTCTTCTTGCTCCCACCAACACCGGTCTAGCAGCCACTCGAAGTGCGCATTCACGAGCTGTGTCGCTGCCTGCGTTCTCGCAGGAGATTTTTGGTGGGCAGTCTACCCAACAGGGACCAACTTCTTCCCGTGGCTTTGGTGGACATGCTCCTCAAGGAAGCTTCGGAGGATTTGGATCTGCCTTTGGCACTGGCTTCGGAACCAGTGGGTTCAACGGACTCGGCCTGACGAGCGACGGCCGAGGAGGCCTCTCCGGCTGGGCTGAGGAGGAGATCGGCGCAAAATAAGTGATACTTGAAGTACCCTAATATTTCTTTTCTCCTTTTCACTACTGGGTCTGGGAAGGGATATGTTCTTGACTTTATACGAGGTGTTCTTGGGAAAAGATGTTTGTCCTAATACTCCTGAGTTTTCTGTTGGCGGCAAGTCCTCCGCCGTGTGCTGCAGCTTGGACCTGCATTTGTCTCATTATTATGGCGTCGCAAAAGGAGGTCAGACTCTGGTCTGTTCCACCCCCTCATGTCATTTAGTATGTACATATATGTGATCTTGACAGCAATGAGAAAGGACGAGGGTTTGGCATGAGAAGGGCCGTTTCTTCAAGTGTACGCAGCTCGATCCCTCTAGAGTGTTGCAACAATATTAGCGATCACCACCTGACTTGGTTGACCCAAAGACTTGGAGTGATGCACCAAATTCATGAGAAGCCTTACTGGTAGAGATTGGGATGCGACAGTTGAAACACGAGGCAGCAGGGATGCGGCATCACGGAAATCTACGCGTTCGTTTCAGGAATCAGAGTGCTTATTGACTCGCGCCTGTATCCGCAAACGTCAATCATGGAGGTTCGGGCGATCAGTCATTCAGTACATGAAAGTCCTCGGCCGTAAGAGACGCCGGACTCAGCAAGGGCGAAAATTGCATACCGTGCATGATAAGTGTTTTTCCTAAGCCGTTTTGCGTGATCCCATCTGGTTGAGAGTTCATGGAATATCGCCCAGGCTCGACCTTCTAGCGTAAATCTTTCGCGTAGAAGCGTTGCCGTATCGAGATGTCGAGGTCGGCGAACTCCCCAGAGGTGAACCAGCAACTGTTGACGCTCTCGTGTTTGACGCAGTTGCGGACGCGGAACGGGAAGTAGTACGTGCCAGATCAACAGAGAGACAAGGCCGAGGAGTTGTATGCTTTCAATCACCGTTTATGTAGAGGTATTGAGATGCACAGTAAGTAAGATACACCACCAGTATGCGCTACTTTCACGCCGCCTGACAGCTGCACCTTGCGCCTAAAGGGAAAGTCTAGCTGGACACGACAGTTGATCGACTGACCGCGGCCCCCATCCACTACAGTGTACTATCCACCATCCTGCGGCCATCTTCAAGATTCACAATCCTTTTCCATCCTCCTTTCCAAAATACATCCCTTACCACCAATATCGCCTTGTTCCTCGCCCTCTTGACATTTCCGGCAAATGCTCACGCGTCGTTGTTCGATTGGAGTCATCTTCTAGCTTGAACATATTATCCCTTTCTTGCTGGCCAATTCTTCTTTCCTACCGCGAGTCCTGGCAACCATTGACCGCCCTGTCCTACGATTCCTCCGCCCTTCGCTTTCCACGTCGTGAGTGTAGAACACCAAGAAGAGGAGGGGCCATATGCTGACCAGAGACGGCAGCATTATTTTCTTCACAAGGCATACCTCACAATCACTCGCCGCCGCACCCGATAACGCTAGCGCTGCCGCCCTCGACTTTCAGAGGCAGTGACAGCGACTGCCTGACTAGAGCCTCACTTGAAGAAATCGCTTTCTTGTGATCTTCTTCTCACCTTCACTTTCTTGGTAAGCCATCAAAATGTGGTCCGCTATCAAGGCAAACGTTCTCAAAAGAGACAATGAGCTAAAGCCTCGCGTCTATAGACCGAGCGTGCCTATTCGCATTCGCCGCATCGACAACGACGCGCAGTTTCAGCAAGACTTCAACGGGATGGTTGTGGCTACAATCAAGTGAGTTGACCGCTGAACAAAACCGCCCCCTTTGTTACACCTACTGACCAACACGATAGGTGTGTGGTTGTCGGCGACGGTGCGGTCGGCAAGACATGCTTGCTGATCTCCTACACAACCAACAAATTCCCCTCCGAATATGTCCCAACAGTCTTTGACAACTATGCGGTTACTGTTATGTGAGTTTCATCAGCCTTCAATCCATCTATTTTGGGCGCGGAGATGTGCACGGTTGCTGGTCGTGCGACCATCTGAACCTCAAAAGACCGTCACAAACGACCTTCACATTGAGAAGAACATTATATATGTTTGACTCTTTGTGACTCGTCTCTGCTACCGGCTTGACACAGGATTACAACTTCAGGTCACTAATATAAATATTTTAGGATCGGTGATGAGCCATACACCCTCGGACTGTTTGATACAGCCGGACAAGAAGATTACGATCGACTTCGACCATTGTCATATCCACAAACCGATGTCTTCCTTGTGTGCTTTTCCGTCACTTCTCCAGCATCTTTCGAGAACGTCCGTGAGAAATGGTTCCCAGAGGTCCATCACCACTGCCCAGGCGTTCCTTGCTTGATCGTCGGCACTCAAACCGATCTACGCGATGACCCATCCGTTCGTGAGAAGCTTGCGAAACAGAAGATGCAACCTGTCCGCAAGGAAGATGGAGAGAGAATGGCCAAAGATCTCGGCGCGGTCAAATACGTCGAATGCAGTGCCCTCACGCAATACAAGCTTAAGGACGTATTCGATGAGGCCATTGTGGCGGCTCTGGAACCTCCACCAAAGAAGAGCAGTAAGAAATGTACCATACTTTGATCGAGCAACGTTCGCCTATCTTCTCCAGCAAGCGGGGTCTGCCAGGTTGGTGATACATTTCGAGTATCAGAATGTTACAATGGCTAATTCTCGGAAAAGGCTCACTCGTCATTTTCTTCTTTCTCTTGCCAGCGCAATCATATTGGAAAGCTTGGGAGTGTTTTGGACACCACATGCGAATCGACAATTTCTTGGGCCTCGACAATGACAGGAATTTCGGCGAGCACGACTTTTTTTCCGACCGATTTTTCTCGGCGTTGGGTTACGGATTGACAAGGGAAACTTTCTTGGAGCACTGTCTTGCTTGTGGAATGGAGTCGTCGGCGTTTCAGGTCAGAGCTTATTGACCCTGATGGTTGTATTCACATGCCAGGTGTTCAGCCAGATCCAAAGATCTCGTGAGATGAGATGAGATGAGCTTACTCAATTGACATGAAGCCAATGTGAAAGGGTCGGACATGCTGTGGATCTGCTGAGCTGAACCATTTCCCTTCACACGAATGCAATTCACGTTGAAACTGGCTCTTTCTTTCCTTCCCTCTTGTTCTCTTTCCCCTGCGTGACAAATCCTTGTGCCGGCTTGTTGTGGAAGATGAATGGATTGCTCTGCTCTGCTGACGGGAACACGGAAATCTAACAATAGACTCATGCCTCTGGTACATTCATGGAGAATCAAGGCGGGCAGGTAGAAAAGATGCCAGCAGAAGAAGAGGTCCAATGATGCATGGTATTGATGGTTGAGCAGTTAAGGCCTCATAAGAAGCTGGATTACTAACTGAGTAGTCCTCAAAATCCATTATCCATGCTTCCTCTGCATTGATCATACAATTGTTGGATGCCAACAACTCCTTCTCACTCCCCGTAGCACCACTTCTCTGTCGGCCTCGACCACAGACTCACTGAGACTCGAGCTGAAGGATATAAAAGTGCACATCGCATCTATTCTCCTCCATACGTGTCAATCCAAACTCAAACATGCCATGAAAGAGAATGCCAGTCACTATCAGTCGAGTACCAGCCTAGCAGAGACAGCTCTCGCGCTGTCGACGATGTCCGCGCTACCTCTGCTCTTTCCCTGAACGCACAGTAGCGATGAGGCGATTACTGCGAACTCGCCGACGACGTCGCGTGAAGAGAAGCTGCGTTATGTGCACTTGAGACATCTGATATTCCAAGACCAGATAGCGATACGTCAGGGTGGGTTGTAGTGTAATAGGTCGCTACATCCAGGGGCGATACCAGCACGATCAAGGAGTCATCTCCATCTCGTTATCGGCATCGTCTTCTTCTCTATTCGCTGTGCCATTTGTTTCCTCTTCCGGGTGCTGCTTAGCCACATCGCCATTCACCATCTTTGACTTGACGTTATTAAGAAGCATGTTAGTCGATGGGACTTCGCCTCCATCCTGAGCAGGAGTGTCTCGCTCAATTGAAGCCATAGGTGTTGCATGACCGAGTACTGCAAGTCTTCTCGTGATCAGATCTTGCAAGGCAAGGAGTTGGTCAACTTCTTGGTGCTCAACAGCCTGAACGACCTCAAAGGGGGCTTCGCTAACGAGAGCATTCGTTAATTCTGCCAGTGCATCACCAGAATAACCATCGACACCTCTCTGAGACATCTCAGCTAGGTTAAGCACTGCTTGTTGTTCTTTGATGGACCGCTTGCGTAGCGCCGCGTTTGCTTTTGCTGTTTCGGTAATGGCGAGTGCGTTTGCCCCAGTAAAGAAATCAGGTTCTCGAATTTTGACCAATGTCTCTTCGGGCGGATGGTGCAAGACAACCCCATCAGGACGATATTTCTTGCTTCGAATCTTCTTGGGAGCGTTCAACTGTCTTGGGAATGCATGATCTTCGTACCAGCTCTTCTTGACACGATCAATAAAGTCCAGTCGGATGCTCTTCTCCGGAACCCGATATATCTTGCCTTCCATATGAAGTTCTTTAGTTTTGTCGAAAACAGACTCGTCCTTCATAAGATCAATTTCAATGATTCCATTGTTGGGGAACCCTCGAGAGAAAGGGATATCGAGCGGTACAGCGCTCTTCGGCTTGCGCAGTCGAGGAACACGACCAAGATCGCCGGGAGCAGCTTCAGCTTGGCGACCAAGGGCAGCGAGGTCATGATCGATATGAAGGGGACAACGCCATGATGAGCTTGGTTTCCCATCTGCACGACGTCTGGGAGGGACAGCAAGTGGAGGGTCGACACAATCCAGATGCCACTTAGCTGGACAGTAGTCACAAGGAATGATGTCGCGACCGTTGGAAGTAAGACCGCAAAGGTAGCACAGGATAAGGTTTCCTTTGCTGTCGCGAGTCTCTTTGTAGTTTGGTTCTTCAATGAACCCGGCTCGATTCATTTTCACCGCATTATTCTGGGTGCGAGGAAGGCCGACTTCTTCGTATTCGCCTTCTTCGCCCGTCTTAACACCTTCGAAATAGTCGCGAACCTCTGGCGGAAGAGCGTATGCTCTGGGAATGGTCTCGTCAACTTGGCGAAGAAGCGACCCAAGAAGGCCTGTTGGCCGGGTGGTTGATTTGTTCCGCCGGGCGACGCATTGTGGACAAAACCATTCGCCCTCAACTTCTTGCTCGGCATCCAATGGAGGCTCTAAGCATGCGTGATGGAAGGAATTAGTACAGCCGTCACAGCAAAGAAGCTTGCCTTCGCCGCCACACGATGCACAAAATTCGTCGTTGTCCTGATACACGGGGTCAGTCCCTGCTGGGTTATGCATGAAACATTTGGTAGGTATGCTCTCGATAAAAGGCAGTGTGTGAACAGAAGACAGAAATCAAGAAAAGCAAAAGGATTGAGAAGGTAGGAAGGGAAGGGGAAAAAGGCGAGCATGAACCAATGGTGGCAGCCGTGAAGAGCCTGGAGAAAATTGGTTTTTGGCTTACCACTTCAGCGCCTGAATCCGCCCCGTTGCCGATCGTAACATCACGCCCAGGCCCCGCACGTGAAATTCCTGCCGTGATGCCACCATTCTTTGGTTTGTTGGGTCTGTGGAAAGGGTTTGTTAGCTGATATTCCAAGTGGTGGTAGACATCTGCAACAAAGAAGTGCTGCAACTGTCACTGCGTTAATCGCGGGACATGCAATCTCAGCACACCAATTTTCCCCAGTGGCGTAATAGCTTCGTCGTCCGCGTTTCGAATGCAATGTTCACAATAGACATTAAGGGAGGAGGAGAATCACTTACGATACCATCACACGAGCAGATTTGCGTACGCCTTTTGGTGGTGGTGCAAATCTGCTTGATCGTGGAGTTGCACCTCGTGAGGCTGCGTTTGCTACACCCAGTGGCGGTGGTGGTACAAGCAATGGACCCGGTGACTGTGATTCAGAAGTACTAACATCGATATCATCGGCGTAGATTTCATCGTAGGCTCTCTTTCGCCGCGAGCCGTTGATCAGTATAGTATCGGCCGCGGCCTGAGAGCTCAACGGAGATGACAGATTGACGTTTGAGGTCGATAATTGGTGGTGATGGCGGATCGGAGCTGGAGGAGTCTCTTCCAAGTAGAAGTCGGCCGACGTACCGTTGACAGGCCCTCGTTCGTTGCTCTCAGGTCGAGGGATGGTGTTGTAGTCATGAAAAGAGTCATCCAAATAATGGTGCTTCCGGTGTGACAGCTCATCGACGTCGAAATCAGGCTCGTCTCGACTCTTTCTCAACTTCTTAGATGGACCTTGAGTCGTGAGTGCTGGATCGATAAGTGACTGTTTTCCAGGCGACTGAGAATTCGGGGCTGTGGCAGCTGAACGAAGTCTGTTGCCAGCTGTCGCTCGGTTGGTGGCTTGGCGCTGGCCGGCTGACCGGGCGCGCACACTGCCTGACTGTCTGTCACCAAGTGCCAGAGGAGGCCCAAATTCATCAGGTATCGATTTGGCCGACGACAGCGAGGATCCGCTTGATGCGCTCCGTGATCGTTTTCGCTTGTGCGATGTCATGGTGACGGTCTGAGTTGGATTCTCGACGGAATTAGTGGCCTCCATGGTGTGCACTACCGTGGACGGCGAGATGGGTGCATTCCCAGGCCCATAAGATAATTGAGGACGAGACCGATTGAAGTAGAGAGATATTCTGGGGTGTGTAGTTGCTGGGGGCCCGGTTGATGTAAAATCGGGCTGAGCAGGATTCGGTGAGTGATGTGGATGACTAGGAGAGGTGAAGCTGTCAAATCGTTGAGGAGTAGACTGATAAGGACTGGCTGAAATCTGACTTGCACGTCTGTGAGTTTTAATGCCGGACTTGATGTACCGCTTGAAGACTTTGAACTGTGCCGTACTCGGTGACTGCTGCACGACTGCCTCGAGTACGTTCCAGAGGTCTGGCATAATTTGGGCGTCGTCACGTAACCTCTCAAGACCGGGAATAAGATCTGCCGAACCCTTCTGTTGAGCTTCCTGGACAGCCCGGTCAAGATGGGTATGTAGTCGGTCACGCCTCAAGTGTTCTTGTATTGATGGAGGTTTTGGCGATACATAACTCGTAGGAGTCAAGGATAATTGGACCGGCGATGGCGACACATTGGCTGGCTGAGATATATCCGACATGTCTTTTCTGGGTGGTCGGCCACGCGGCGGACTAGAAATGACGACAGTATCTCCTTGTCGAGGTGGTTCAGACGGCTGATCCGACATTATCTCAGACTCCAAGGGTGACGCAAAGTCCAGCTTTTCAGGCTCCGTCGCCACTGCTCTCGCTTCTTCAGGCTGTACCGGCGTGGGGCGTGGTGACGGCCGGACATAGTTCAGCTTCAATTTCTGCAGCATTCGCTGGGTAGGTGCCACCCCGAGTGGTTGCATGTTTTCCAGCACACCAAGCCTCTCAAGCCCTTTTGTGTCTTCGAAACTCGGAACCGCAGGCCGCAGCGGTGGTTCAATCCATGCATCCAGACTCGATTGCCCGCCATTTCGTATCACTGGAGCCTCAGTGGGCTTTGAGGCCATCTCTTTCTCAGCGAACGTGGCTGGACTCGAGTAGCGGCTGGACCGATGCCGCAACGATCTCGTAGACATCCTGCTCTTGCACTGCGCCGTACGCGCCGACTGCACCATATTAGTTCAGGGACACGTCAGAACATGGTAATTGATCACTTACAGTAGCCTGACCAAAGGCTCGACGGGCAAAAGGCGCAGGGTGGAAGGTGTGAGAACCAGGCGAAAAACAATGTGATGGCAGCGCAGTATCTTGGTCGCAAACGTAGGTACAGGAGGTTTCGAGCTTAGCGGCAACGCTCGGCTGCGAACCCCTAAGGCTGAACTCCCTTCCCCTTTATTCAATCGTCTTTTATCGTTATTGATCTAACGCCACCCACCACGGCCACCGAATTTACAGTGGTAACCTTTTTATCGTATCTGGTCGGTCGAAGACTCACTGGCGTGGTCATATGGGTTGTTTACACCTATGGTGACGACGCAGAAGGCAACAGTCACTTCCAAGTCGTGACGTGGCGAGGATTAGGGGGTGCCTGCCTTGCGCTTCACTTAGGCTCTACACAATTATCCCGAGGGGCAAAAGCTGCATGCCTGGATCGAAGCACTTTTGGTCATTTTTCATCTCAGCTAAGTATGCTCATCCGCCCTCTGATCAAGTTGATATCGTCAACCCGGGAGGAACCGCTTAACGATATGCTTCGCTGCGGAGCAGCAACGTGAAGCACGCGGCGTGGATAGGGCCAAGGGTCGCGTCAGCAGCACCCAGCACCTCTTCCCAGCCACTGCCTCGACATCGCGTGTCAGCGATAGTGAATTTCGCCAGGATCGCAACCATGGCCATGTACGGCAATTGTATAGACCGAAGCACTGCATCGTCCAGTCGCAACTACCGAGTCACTCATTCCTCGTCGCTGGACTCTTCTTCGTCTTCGTCATCCTCAGTAGCTGCAGCCTTCTTGGCTGGCTTCTTCTTTTTCTTCTTGTTCTTGCTCTTGGAGCCTGTGGACTTGCTCAGGGGTCGTTCAAGAATTTTGAGAATCTCTTCGTCTTCGATCTTCTTGTCCGATTTGACTGACTCCAGATCCAAGGCTGGCGGTCCCGCCAGACGCACAAGACCATTCTTTGTAATAGCTGTGATCACATTAGCTCAACTATACACATTGCCACAGTCTCCATTCTGCAAACTTACCGACAGTGCTGAACAACCTCGAAACTGCAGATCCGTCGGCTTCTGCTGAAGGCTTGTACTCCCGAAGCACGCCAGATCGGATACACTCGACAACTCCGACCTTGCCAGCTCTCTCGTCCTCCAGTTGTCGAAGACTAAAAGGGAAAGTGCCGAACTTCTTGACGATCTCCGAAAGGACTTGCCGTGAGCTGGGTCGTTTCAAGCCATATGTCGTGTTGGTTCGTCTCAACAGTGTTGAACGCTTGTCCAAGTCTTTGACTTTACCAGAACCTAAGCTGAGACCCATCTCGACACCCCAAACTTCGCCGACATCTGCGGATCCTTCGCCTTTGGTACCATCAGCTGGTGCCAGGATGATTTTCTTCTTGCCCTCAATGTCGTTGCGCTCAAACATCCATGACGTCGTGTGCTGGACGACATTGACTTCGTAGGCTTTGGCAACTTTCTCAACCAGGGAGTTGATCTTCGTCTGGGTGGGTGGCTTCTCCGATGCAGCCTTCTTTTTCTCTTCCTCTGAGCCCGCCGCCAACAGCCCGGGTGGAACCATCAATCTCAACAGCAGCTCGTTGGCATAGTGTGTGGCCAAAAGAAGGTCTGCCTCCCTGCCGGAGATCTCAGCCTTCTTCTCTTTCTCTTGCGGTACCACGACACTGTCTCCCACAATGGCGCCAAAGCCGTCGATCTGTGCGCCTAGCTGTATCTTGACCACTTCGCCCGCCTTGATCGTCATCTCGGCATCTTCGGTGTCCGACTTGAGGGGGGTGAATGGTGTCACATAGCTGCTCGGAGAAATGCTGACCTGGTGGCTCAGTCAGCAAGTATACTCGGACTGGTGTGCACATTGAGAACGTACGGGGCTGCCTGATCCCTTGTTGGTAGCTTTTCCCTTGAAGACCCGGCTGAGCTCTTCCTCGATCAGTCTATCACCACGCTCACAGAGATCCACGATTTTCTCGCCATCAGCGAGCCATCCTAGGCTGCGGTGAGTACAAAACTGCTCGCGTGAGAAGAGGGGTGGTGGGTTGGCATACCTCGAACCTGGCTCAGGGCATCTTCTGCGATCTTGGCTGCAATCTTGTACTTGTTGAGGTTGTCCGGGTTCAGGATCGTTTCATCAGCAGTCTCTGCCATGTTGACGACTTGCAGAGGACTGGTTGTGTTGGACAAGCAACTACTTCGGTGTGGTTTTCCGCAGGTAGTTCTTCGTTACTGTGCCTTTCGAAAACCATGAATTTGTCAAGTTTGCCGAGCACAACGTCACAATCAATAATAATATTGGATTCGGTTCAATTGTGTGGACACGGACACTCTATTCTACCTGTAACCTCCGCCCATCGCATTCACCTTCTTCGTCAATAGTCCGAGTGAGCCAGTACTTCCACTTGGAAATGCGGCTGTGGGCGTGTATGACACCATCTCCAACAAGGCCTGAGAGGACAAGGTCGCTCGAAACAGACTTCAACATGCTGCCCCGATCTTCTTGCATCCAACCACGCGCCAAGCGACGACCTACATGGAAGACGCTAAGATTATATTCCTTCTCAAAGTCCTTGACAAGTCTTCACTAGGGAGACCAAAGCATTACGGATTGAATGGGTCGTGCCCGGCTTCTCTACGCTAAGGAAGACCTCAAGACCGTCAAAGACTCGGTAAAAATAGCACGCCAAAATATGTCTACGGCTCGCGCCTGTACTGAAGTGCACCGTTCGCTCGATTCGCATACGCATCAATGCGAAGAACCCATTGCATCGTCTCACAAATACCAGAGTCCATTGTCGTTCGAATGCGTCTCTTTAGAAGTTTGCTTCTGTGAAGGCCTAACAGTCCTAACCCCAGCTAGGCCAGGCTAGAAAGATGCCATGCTGTCTCACTTACATCTCCAAAATGTTCCATCTGACTCGGCTCTCGAGTTGTGAGACTATTACTCCGGACGCGGCAGGAATAAGCAAAGTCGCATGCACTATTCCTCAGCACTCACGACCATCTGTTCTCCTCTCCTCAATCGCGGAAGCTTGATCGGGACGATCAGAATGACCAGCACCGCTGACGCTGCGATAGCACACAGAAATGTTGTCCGCAGAGATAAAGCATAAGCATCAATCACTATTTACGTTAGAGTAATCATGAAAAGGGGGGAAACATGACTGACCTTGATCTCGCGCAGGCTGTGGAAGAGATTTTATGGCCGCGACAGAAGAGCGGACAGAGTGGATGATCTCATCACGTCCTGGCCCTGTGACGAACGACCTCAGATTGACAGTCAAGCTATTTTGAAAAACCAAACTGGAGAGAGCGACACCCAAAACGACGCCCAAATTCCTCCACAAGCCGATCGTGGTCGTTACAACGGCCTGATCTGCCTGGCTGGAGACCGCGAGAGCGCTCATCATCGTATTGGGGAAGACGAATCCTTGTCCCAACGGCACTCCTGTAATCAGGATGAGACTTGCAACCTCAGAAGTGCTCTTGGTGATGAAGCACGTTGCGACCGAACCCGAAAGGTAGAGAAAAGCACCAGCAACCAGAGTTGGCTTCAGCCGTCGAGTATATGTGATAATATAACCTGTCGAAATACCAGCAAGCGAACCCACTAGGCTGGGCAGTGCCAGCCGAAATCCAGAGTCTGTTGCAGACTGCATCATGACGCCTGGAAGAATAGTGGCAGATTGAATAAGACCGTGTTGGAAGCAATGCCTCCGAGCATGTTAGCAAAAACCATATTTGCAATGGGCGGCTTGCTGAGCAAGTGCAGTGGCATTAGTGGTTGTCCAGCGCGGCTCTCGACAAAGATGAAGGCGCAAGTGGCCACCGCAAATGTGACGAAGCACGCGATCACCAGTGGCGATGTCCAGGGAAACAAGTTGCCTCCCAAATTGAGTGCAAGTATGAGTGAGGTGACCGTAATGACCAGAGACGCCGAACCCAGATAGTCGAAACTTCTGAGCGCAATCCAGGCCCCGTCTGCGCTTGCATTGATGAGCATCGGTCCAAGCTCCGAAGGAGTGAAGATGGCCGCCAGAACGAAGCAAAGGCCTATGAAGGGAACCTGGATACCAAATGCCCATCTCCAACCAAGACCATCACACAACCAGCCACCTAAGGCGGCGCCTGATGCTGAGCCGAGCCCAAATGCCAGATTGATATGAGATTGGAAGACTCCGCGATACTCTATCCGGACAAGATCACTTATGATGATCAGGCTCATTGATAGGACTCCGCCAGCTCCGAGGCCGCAGACTGCTCTTGCTGCAATGAAACTCTCAATGCTGCCTGCAAGGGCACACCAGGCCGTGGTCAAGCCAAAAACGGCGAATGACAACAAGAAGACAGGCTTCCTTCCAATGGTGTCGGAGACACGGCCGAAGAGTGGCTGACACGCCGTACTTGTGATCAGAAATACAGTACTCAGCCATGATGCTGCTTCGGATGCTCCGAAATAGGATGTGATCACTGGGTGGCTGGAAGCCATCAGCGTTGAGTCGAAGCAAGCAAGAAAATAGCCAAGAGCAATGACCACGAAGACAAGCCAGAACCGGCCTGGACTGATGTCGATGAATTTGATGTTTCCAGGCTCCTCAGCGTCCTCAGTCTCACCAGTCTCTACGGCATTCTCGGCGATGGTGCCGTAGGATGAGCTCTCAATTGCCGAAGCCAGCGGCTGCTTCTGAATCGTGGCGGGCCTTCGACTGTTGGCTTCGTAATATGGCGCTCCCGGTACTAAAAGTGTCCCTGAAGGGAATGATCCAGCTTGAGCGAGACTCAGGCTCAATTGATTAATATCCATATCATCCGAATTTGAGGAGAAGGACGATCTGTGACTCAAGAATCCTGGTATTGAGAGAGATCGAGCAAATGAAAATCGATGCTGTTCTCCGGCGGTCGATCGAAGTCTCGAAGCGTCCGGTGCGACTGCCGTTTGATCATCATCATGCTGTGCCAGTCTTTCGCAGGCGTCCGTGGACGAAGAGGAGTTCACCATCTTCCTTGGTGTATGCTTCCTAGGACGCAATATTGCTTGGTACTGAGGATTCGTATATCGGATGTACTCAGCGGGTTGTCAAGAGGCGTGTAATGAGGACAGATTGGATGCATGCTCAAGTCAACCTTAACAGGAGATCGATAATCTAGCATTTCACATCTCCGTAAGCGCGCACGCGGCGAGCTGGCCATCGTGCTGGCCGCTTTTCACATGCTGCGACAATACGATGGAACAGAGATACATGTATAAAAAAACTCTGCAGGGCAAAGGGCGGAGATGCATTGTCCTTCGGGGCCTGGTTGCGCGCAGGGCAGCGGAAGTATTGTCGCTATTATTTTCCCACCGCCTGAGGCATGACGAAGCACGTCTGATAAGGATTGCGGCAATCAGACCACAAGTGATCAACAACTTGCATGGCGAAGCAAGGGTTGGGGAACCTTATATCGCTGGCCGGCGGCCATATGCACTGGCCGTGGGTGTGCTAAGCGGACATCACCAAACAATCTTTCCCGATCCTCCACGCCAACGCTGCATGAGATATCAGGCTTCAATAGCCTACTGGAGCGCCATGGATCAAATATATAAGAGCTCCTTCGCCCACCATGATATCTCTTGCATCAACAGCGTTCAGTTCGTCCAACACCCGCCTGATTGACAACACAGGCTTTCAGGCCTTTTCCAACTTCACCACCTCGAGCGCAGAACACCTACCCATCAAAGACCCTCAGAGTGTACCGGCCCAAAATGTCGATTGAGTCTACCAGAGAACGCGAGTCCGGCTTCACGGAAGATGGAAAAGACATCAAATTCCTCGATGACGGTATCCTGGCCGTCTCTCCTGCAGAGGCTCGACAGGTCTCCGCCAGCATTGCCATCGACCCGGCCGCCGAGCGACGACTCGTGAGAAAGTTCGATTTCCGCATCCTTCCTACCCTGGCAGCCATGTATCTCTTCAACTCCCTGGATAAGTCGAATCTGGGAAACGCCAAAACCGCCGGGCTTGAGAAGGATTTGAAGCTTACGGGTGATGACTACAACATGATCCTGTCCATCTTTTTTGTTCCATACGTCCTCACAGCGCCATTTCTGGGCATTCTCGGAAAGAAATTTGGACCAAACAGGGTGTTGCCCATCATGATGATGAGCTTCGGTTTCTTCACCTTGATGGTGGTGGCTGTGAAGAACTTCGCCGGCATCTTCGCTATACGCTGGTTTCTCGGCATGTCCGAATCCGCCTTCTTCCCTCTAGTCATCTATTACCAGACCACATTCTACAGGCGAGGAGAACTTGCCCGACGCTTGGCCATCTTCTATGCCGCATCTTCAATCGCCTCGGCTTTTGGTGGGTTATTGTCTTATGGCGTCTTCCAGATCAACTCCGGCACCCTCGCGGACTGGAGATACCTTTTCATCATCGAAGGAGGATGTTCGATGCTTTTCGCGGCCTTCGCATTCTGGTTCTTGCCACGCAATGCACAGAGTGCCAAGTTCTTGACGGAAGATGAGAAGCAATTGGCCTTTTACCGAATCCAGGTGGACTCGTCGTCGGTCGTGGGAGAAAAGTTCAATTTCCGATCGGCCGTCGAGATCTTCAAGCACCCGACAAGCTGGATCATTCTCGGCATCGAGATCTGTCTCGGTGTTCCCTTGCAGTCGGTGTCACTGTTCTTGCCTGTCATCATCAAACGCCTGGGCTACTCGCCCGTCATCACCAATTTGTACACTGTGGCCCCGAACGTCTCGGGCGCAGTCATGTTGCTCATCCTGGCATTCGCTTCTGATCTGACGCGACTGAGGTTCCCGTTTGTCGCGCTTGGCTTCGCCTTCACCTGCATCGGTTTTATCATCTTTGCGAGTGTCAACATCACCTCACAATTGAACGTGGCGTACTTTGCCTGCTTCATGATGACCTGGGGCACGAGCGCACCTTCCGTGATTCTGGACGTCTGGTACAACAACAACATCGCCGACGAAAATAAGCGTATCATGCTCACGAGCATTGGCGTTCCCATGGCGAATCTCATGGGTGTGGTATCCAGCAACATCTTCCAAAACAAGGATGCGCCGAAATATCTGCCGGCATTGATTACCACGGCCGTCTTCGGCGCTTGTGGCTGTGTCTTGACGCTGCTTCTTGGAGCGTGGATGATCATCGACAACAAGAGGCGCGACCGCAAGGTTGGGAGGACCGTCAGGGCCATTGATATCCCCTCTGAACTTCTCGCTGAGGGCCCCAAGAACCCTGATTACCGTTGGTTCTATTGAAGAGCTCGACCAATACGCCGACTCTGCGATGGTGCGTCAGGAAGTGCTTGGGTTATGATGACGGTGAAAATGAGTTTTGGTATTTCTGTGTCTGCCAGAGACGTTCTTGTTATGAAGACCCGCGCACAATCCTATGGGTGGAATACGACGCAATGACGAGAAGACATGACGAGCTAAAAGCGATCCTTTTTTTGATGGACGTACAGAGATGGGCGTACAGATAGCTTTCTACGAAGACACTTTACACATTTCCACTTGACTTCCAACTATCCACACTTTGTCTGCTTGTTGAGACCGATCATTGTCGATGTGTTCTTTGTCTGGCGCTTTGTACCACCCAGAGACACTTCAAGCGTCATCCTCTTCCCGCTGCTCGCCATAGCCAAAGCGACGAGCTGATGGTGGTCGGAAGCTTCGATTTCCTAAACAGGAGGAGATAGCGTAGCATATGCCACCGACATACCCTGATGATCGTGTGGGACGCTGATAGCAGATATTGTCAGCGTCCGAAGAAAAAGCCAAGGCTGTGATCGCTGGATCGTCAATGACCTGACGTTGGCAATGATAACAAACCGCACAGTATGACTGGTTGCTTGAAGTGCTTTGCGATTCGATATCTAGCGGCAGTCGGTATTTGACGGTAGTCGGTATCTGACGTTCTCGGTGATTGAATGTTACAGGATCGGCATCTGAACGTTGGCCGCTCCGCGCGGTTGGCTTGTTGGCCGTTGGCGAGCAACTACAGTAAACCCATGGTTCGCTCAAGGCTCTCCAAAATAAAAGTATCTAAGTAGTATCACCCCAAATGCATATTCTGCCATAGAAACCCCTCTGCACCACCGACAGCAGCCCAGTCCGTGGAAAAGTCCGCCTCGTTCAACACCGTCAGGTTATGAGGGAAGAAGTCGTACGAAGCGCCTGACCACGACGTCTCTGGTGACGCGAACGCATCAATGAGCCCATTGCCGTTGACGAAAGCATCGCTGCTACTAGCAGCACCGCTCGCGCCTCCACTCCCACTCACGTCGTCGGCTGCATCGCCGGTTGTCTTGGTCAGATTCTTGGCCATCAGATCAAGGGCGGTCGCAGCGAATTTGGCAGGCCAAAACCCCGTCCCGTGGGCTGCAAGCAGTTTGCGATAATATGCGAGTTGTTCGTCCCAGTATTTTGCACGAATGCTATCAGTCGACAGCCGCTTGAGGCTGGCCATGAAAGTGCCCACCAGTGCGAAATTGAGCCCGGAGCCTACGACGAGACATTCAGGTTAGCTTTGGCTTTTCACCAGGTAAGGAGGTGTACACCTCGCAAATAAGCAGATGACAGAGGAAGAAGCAAGACTCACAAGCCCACCAAAACGCACTGAGGCGATTGATTTGTAACGTCTCGACAAGCGAGATGGCACGAGATGTGACCTCGACGGCACGATCGAAATGGCTGTCCAGAGACAGATTTCGCCGATACAGCTTGGGGAAAATTCCACGAAGCAGCATGACGTGCGCGGTGATGTATGCGATTTCCAAGCTGCCTGTACGCAATAGCCTTAGCATGACATGGGGCATGGCACGGCGGCGCATGTGGCACTTACCGGTAACATCAGGGAAGAATCGCTGTGACAGAATTGGGTCGAGATATACGGCACGCCAGTTGTCCAATTTTGCCTCGATCCTATCGGCAATATCGATGATATGCTGGCCTGTAACTTCGCGTAACTTGACCACAGAGCCGATTGTGAAGAAGTTGAGGAGGACTTCGTTGAGAATAACAGCCAACTCAGCCATGGCGACAAAGCAATGAATACCAGTGGCTAGCTCGGGCCTCCTTGGTTGGTCGCCGTACGATTCTGGGTCGCAGTCCTCAAAATCCGCGGCCGTCAGCATGAGCGTGGTTGTATTGGCATCGTTCAAGTATGACGGTCGGCCCAGAGCCATGGCAAACCTGCACCAACTGTGTTAACCCGGCAAGAGACACGAAAAGGTCGTATGCATCACCATACCATTTATCTTGGAAATATGCGGCCCACCATATTCTCCTTCGTCTCCTCTTGATGGCCGCAGGTATATTCCACGTCGAGCAGTCCACATGCAGGCCGAGATCATGGCTCATACCTATAATGCAGCCAATGACGGCCCACAATCCTGGTGCGCTGGTACTCCTGGGCGGGTGTTAGTCCCCTGCTGTCACACGTCGACCGCATGGATTGACCGCTTACATTCGTCCTCTCAAAGCTTTCTGAGTAAACAAGATGGCAGCTTCGACGGTTTCGAGTCTGGGAGACCGTGCCTCCAGGAGCATCGACGACGTGAGCTCTTCGATCAGCACATTGCTGTGGATGCCTAGTAATTCTGGCGATGTGTATTTTGTGATGATGGCGATGGCCACAGCCAACAGCCGCGACTGTCTGTCGCTCTCAGCCAGCTCCGCGTCCAGCAAAGGGAATGCAGGGTGAGAATTCCTGACGAAGATGGATCGAACAAGAGGCCACTGTGCTTCGACCGACCTGGCAGCGTCTTCAGATGCACTTGACGAGCCTGACTGCGTGGAAGATGATCTTTCCTATGTCAGCGTAGATGATGATCAGCGAGGCTGTATTGAATGATTCCATCTAGGTAGCAACCTACCCTAAAGTAAGCTTCGCGTGCCGGGTCATTTCCCAAGCCTTGAAAGCGATCCACGACAAAGTACACATCGTCTGTACCGGTCAAGCCAATATACTTGCCCTCAGCGCCGGCTTTTTGGTCCAAGGAGGCATTCGGCGTAGTGCTTTCCCTAGCACGGCTCTTTTTGTTGCCACCATCATGGTCATTTGACTGAGCATCCACTGATACCACTGCAGGTGTGCTGGCCGCCGTAGACCTGGCTTGACGCTTCCGGGGTGATGGTTTCGAGCTGAAGGTGCATGGAATTGATCGTCGACTACACAAGGCACAGGCGCCCTCGGCATCTCGGACGCAGCAAACCCGACGGCGCCGGCAATGGTCGCACGGCTTCTGTTTCCTTGAACGATATTTCCTGGCTGGAGGGATCTCATTGGGGATTTTGGCAGTAAGAGCCATCTCTGAGGCACGCACTGTGTGGTGCATCCTCCGTTCGATCCTTGAATAGCTTTCCTGTTTGCTTTTTCAAGGGTGGTAGCCATTGCTATCCTAGGTCAGTTGTGACTTAGTCAAAGCAAAAGATAAGAATGCCCTCGCGCTGATAAGAACGTGCATACAGCGACTTGAAGGTGCCAAAACGAGACCAATCACATGTTACCTATCTATGGGCATCTCAGACTCAGGAGTGCCTGTAGGTTTCGTTCTGATCAGTATCTTCATTATATGTGTTTACTTGATGTTGTGGTTGAGTGACTGCAATGCGAGGTCGAATTAGTGGAAGATAACACTCTGGACGATGCTGGCTGCTGCCGGGCTTGTGGGCACCATTGCCTTACCACACTACGTTCTTTGTTACAGCTCGACAACTCTTACGGCCCACCCACGACGCACGCTGTAGAACATGGCCTACATGGTCGTCATCAATCGTAGCACAAGGCTTCAGGTCAGGCAAAGAAATGAACAGTGATTTCTCCAAACGGTTCTTTTAAGGATATATCGCTATCAAATTCAGCCCTTGGCCATCCGCTCCTCCACTATGGCTCTGTGACCGCGATTTTTCAAATGAGCCTCAAATCCTTCTGCTGTCGCACCGGGACCCGGCATATATGTCTTCCCAGGGCAGTCGGGACATCGAATCCGTGGCACATACTTATGTGCAAATGACCGGTTCGTCTCAGTAGGAGTGACGAGTTTGTGCGTCTTCGGGTCGACGGCCGTATGTTTCATAAGTGCCTCGAAACGATCATTGGGATAAGACTTCTGCAGTCGCTGTAGATCTTGGAGGAGCCAAATTGGTGGCGCAGGCTAGTCATAATTGTTAGCAGAGCGTCACAGATCGGTCAGAAACTGTACTTACAGCAGGATGTGCAGGGCCTGGAGGATGCCAGGTAGCATCCACAGCACCAGGGATCTCTGCCGGAGTAGGGGCAGGTGAAGGTGGTGGCGGCATTGCAGCCAGATTCAGCGGTGCCGGTGGTGCGGCCGATACAGACCTCGAGTGCGTACCAGGTCGAGGACTGCCTTGATTTGAGCCATTGGAGACCAAAGCTGCCCGGTCTTTAAGTCGCTGTGTACGTGCCCACTCACGCATCTTGGCCTTCCCGAGCTTCAACACGACAACTAGCTTCTCAGAACCAGACTCATCGTCGCTTTCTTCCTTGTAATTGAGCTTCTTCCTTACGGACGCTCGTCCTTCATGTTGCGAGGGTGCCACGGACTCCGGTGTTGCTGATCTTACAGAAGCAAAGCCGCTCAAATTGGAACGAATACCCGCTGTCGCCGTCAAGGCCGCATTGCGCGCACTTCTAACGCGAGTACCTTGCTGAAGCAGGTGCGTGGGGATCGCTGGTGAATCCGGACCAGAGTCCTCGCTGTCTGAATCGTCAGTTTCTTCGAAGCCATCTCGTTGACCTGCGGCACGGCCAGATCTGCGTATAGCTTTGGCGACCCTGAATATGCGGCTTTCTTCCATGCTAAGCGCGCCTCCCGGAATGACGGTAGAAACCACGAGCGACCTTATCGTTCGTTGGCGGTCCTTCAGGTCCGGAAGAGCAGGACCACCACGGCGGTTAGTCGACCTTTTCTGCCTCCTCTGTTCTCGGGAGATGGATAGCTCCGTTCGCTCGAGATCTGCTTCATTGAGCTCGTATAGATATGGAGTATAGTCTTTGGCAGACTGATATGGTCGGAATGTAACAGGCAAGGGAGATTGTAGGAAGTTTTCTCTCAGATCTGGATCTTCAATGAGTCGACCGTCGAATGGATAGCCCGTGATATGCAGGGACTTGGAGAACATTTGGCACTGTTCCCGTATACAATGGGCGATGGCAGTGGTGAACTCGCCTGCCAGCGATAAGTCGTTGGTCATCTGGCGGGCAAATTCTTCGGGAGAGTTATAGGGGTTGTTGATCTCCCACTCGAACTGGTCTATGAGTGTGTTCTGGCCAATGGTGATGTTGAGTTTGATCAGAATGCGCTGCTCGTCATTTTTGTAGGCATAATATGGTAATGATGGCTCAGATGGCTCCTCGTCTGTGTATATCTGAGGACAGTAATCGGATATTTGTTCGCGTATGCTGGCGGCCACGGCCTGGACGAGTGGACGACAGTGCTGGACCTCGAGCCCAAAGTCTTCCACAAGCTTTTCGGAAAAGTAATCGATGGAAGTTGTGCGATCGTACAAATTCCAGGTCAATGTGTCGCGCAATTTTATCTTGCCCCAATCGACGTCAAGTCGAACTGGGATGAGTTCTTCGTTCTGTTCAGCCTGATTGAGCTGGTCTTTCCGGGGCACGCGTGGTGGAAGAGTCTTCCGCTTGCCGGGTCTCCTCTGTCTGGGGTAAACAATGGGATCGCGGAGATTCTTCTCGTCTGTCCTGGGATTGCCAAAACCTTCATAGCCATATCCAAAAATCGAGCCGGAGTCATGTTCGCGTCTCGGTCGTAAGCTTTGATAGAATGCTAGCTCTTGTTTCTTTTGCTGCGACAACACCGGGTGGTTCAGTTGCTCTGCCAGAAGAGCTTTGTACTGGTATTCGCGCTGGACATATTCGTCTGCTTGGATGCGTTCGATCGGGGTTTCGCGTTTGCGCTTGCGATTGGCGCCAGCTATGTCGCTGTGGCCATTGGTGTCTGGCGTTGTTTCATTCTTTGCGACGTCTATGCCAGAGGCCGCCAACACTTCTTTGGCCCGTTCCTTGCCCTGGGCGATGGTGTCGGCATTGGAGGAGGTTGGGGTCGAGGAAGCATCTATGGGTGCGGCAACATCGATCGCACCATCAACAGGTTCGCTCATGGCGACAACATATCAATGGGGAAGTCGTGATTATACTGATAGGGAATGCAATGGCGCGTTCGGCGCGTTCCTGTGGATGGAAGGTCAGCCATGGGGATGGGTGTTGGGAATGAAATTTAGGCAAAGTTGGATTGAGTGACGGGGAGCAATCATCAATTCATCACGCCATCATCATCCATGCATCTCCAAAACCAACAGGAAACAATAAACAGAAGGAAACACATACCAAAACCTGCCTCGGCTGAAGTTGATGCGCACAAACGTGTCTGGGATACATTCTCGACGCAAGACTGCGGCGGCCAAGTTTCGCGTCCGAATCAAACCATCGCCGCCCCGATTAGGTTTAGCGTCGGATTGTCAGATAAGGTTCCAACCTCCTTTTCCAATATCACTGAGTCAGCATCTACAGAGTGAGTCTCCGTACTCCACACACCAAACAAGAACCTTGATCTACCTCAGCAAGTGTATCTACTCTAGCCGGGATGGGGTGCTAGAGGTCATGTCATTGCTCTTCTGCGTTTCATCGTGACAGAATGATCTATATGAGGCGTGTGAAGACACAATGGCCAGCCGTTGTTCGTCACAATAAACACCCCTTCTCTGGCAATACAGGTAGCCATTCGTTGTCGCTCAAATGTCCCTTTGAGGTGAATGCTTGCACCTGTGAGTATGGACAAACATTCAGAGCAAAGCCAAGAACAATCTTCAACCCGGGCCGACCATACTGTAGTATCATATAGCATGAAGCACGGTCTTGATATGGACAATATATCCGAGCAGCTGTTTGGCAGTGTTGGCAACTCTGGCCCGTAGTCTAGCAGCTGACCATCACACACATTCATGATTCCTCCCAATGTTATCATGATGACAAAGAGAGGGTGTGGGCAGTGTCCAGCATCCATACCTAGGTACGGAGTAGTCGTTGGTATGGCGGCAAGCGAGTCAGGTATTGCTGACCCACGTCAACCTCCGATTCAGGTTCACCGCCATGATCATCAATTTCGGTCATATCTTACACAAACTGTGGGGTCGTTGGAAGTCATCCCTACCTTCATTTCTTTGTACCATGGTATGACGGTCAAGGTCTCGGTCGCACAAGGACGATTGACGTGGTACAGCCACGTACCATTAAAGAGTTCAACCACATCAATCCTTGTTCCTTGGAAATCCATTCGTTCCTGGCAGTCGCGCGATCTGGCACCAAACCCAACCAGCTCCTTCCTAATCACGGGCAGGAACATCATGTCTTGTTTGCTCTAAAAACTTCAGCCTCGCGTACACATCTTTGAGAAATTCATTTATTTGGATATCCCTTATTTGGCCTTTTTCACCTATCTTTACCTCATTCCTACGAATATCTTACCCTGAACGTCGTCCTTCGTCTACCACAGAAGTCTACCGAGCTCTCACTGGTCCTCACGATATGTGTGGAAGAGATTCAAGCACTTACTGAGCTATTGTTTGTCCAAATACCCCATCTTGTACTTCAAAGTACCCTCCCGTATACTCTACGTTCAAGCCAAGACCTGCTCGAGCCAGCTCCAACATGGGTGATACCGTCTCAAACACGGAGAAGCTTCCAAGCTCGTCTCCTCTGCCTATCCGCATCATAACGCACAATGTCCGATTCGCAACCGACAACGCCGAGAAGCATGAACGCCTATGGGAGAACCGCCTTCATCACTTAACAGGCCATTTCAAATACCACACACGTCAATTCTTCTCTCCACAGTCAACGCTGGTCTGCATGCAAGAGGTCCTCCATGGCCAACTGCAAGACCTGTCCCGTGAAGCTTTCGGAAGTCCCAGCTCGGCGGCAGACTCAACGAATAGTCCAAGTGACTGGATCCATGTGGGCGTCGGCAGGGATGATGGCAAGACGAAGGGGGAGTACAGTCCAATATTCTTGCGTCAATCCGCCTGGAAATGTATACACACCGAAACTGTATGGTTGAATGAGTCCGGCGAGGTCGGCAAGAAGGGATGGGGTAAGTGTTCCTTTCTTTGACAGACTGTGCCATTGTGGCAATAATCTTTCGCTTTGTTGCCGGTTGCACCAATGCAGCTTTCTGACTGTTTGCAGACGCTTCAAGTATCCGGATCGTGACCTGTGCAGTCCTCGAATCACAAGCGTCCTCGAATCCGTATAAGACAATTCTTGCGCTCAACACACACCTTGATGATCAGGGAGAAATTGCACGTCGTGAAGCAGCCAAGTTAATCCTTCAAGTAGCTACTCGTCTACAATTCAAGTACTTGCCACATTTCACCTTTCTGACCGGAGACCTAAACAGCGAGCCTACCGGAGATGCATACCATGTCCTCAACGCTTCAGGATCCGGCTTTGTGGATGCACGTCGACTGATTGCAGACCATGGTAACGCAGACGGCAAGATCTATGCTTATGGAAATGAGTTGACCTTCACCGGATTCGATGGCGACGGAGCTGCCAAAGGGAAGCAGAGAATCGATTTTGTCCATCTGGGTATCTCGAAGAGTGGTGAAGAGTCGACGGAGCTGGAAAACGCAAAGCAAATGGTTCAGGGGTACGGTGTTCTGCCAAGTCGGTTTGATGACGAGGTCTGGCTAAGCGACCATCGTGCCGTTGTTGTTGATCTTCTTGTGTGATGAAGCAACCTTGGTTTAGATCTTTTGGCATGAGCATGGATTGGCATAGAGAAGCATTAGAGTTGGCGTGTTAGATTGATGATGATACTTTTCCAAGCATGACTTCAACACAAGCCAATCGGAGGCAACATCAGTTTGGTAGTATACGTGTTCATCGTGAGATTATCATTCTTGTGCTGGGTCATCTCTCCTACGGTGCTTAACGGGATAAATTGCTGAATCTAGCATCGTACCCTGTGACAAAGCTTCGATCTTCTCCGGGCCAGTCTTTCGGCATGTACTGATGTTACTGCTAGCAGCTCGCTATTATTTCGCGTCGCGCGCATCACCCAAGACACACTCGCTCCCAAGTTCAAGACAACCTTGTTATCAGACATTGAGATCGGTCTTTCGTATCATAACGTTTCGTGCACCTCGTCGCGTTGCCGTGCCATCACACATCCTCAACGACCATTCCGCCTGCCCACTCGCTATTCGACTGAGGTTCCAGCTCCAGCGATACCGGACTTGCCTCCTGGTTGTGGACCACAGGCGGGTAGAAGTTTCTGCACTTGGCGCAGATGGTCCATCCAACGGTCGTGGCATTACGATGCGTCAAGGCCAATTGCATCTTCAGCTGGGCGATTTCTTGTTGCAGCTTGCTCACTTCGCATTTGCGCTTTTGGCGAAACACGCTCTGGGCTTTGCGATTCTGCTCGCGACGTCGATGTTTGCGGTCCTGTGCGGTGGGGAGGTTCGGGATGAGCACGCCGCGGCCGGACATGGCTGTGGTCGACTGCGGCTCTTTGCGGGAAGACGTTGAGGGGAAGTACGACTCAGAGAAGGTTGTCTGTTGCGTGGTGGTGGATGAGGTGTCGGAGATGACGCTTTCGGCAACGCTTGCTGCTCGATGGTGGGTTTCTTGTGGCATGGTCGTGGTGCTCCCATCGTCCAAAAGAAGGAAATCCAGGAAGGCGTCTGAGTTGGAGTCTGCGAACGCGGTGGGAACGTAGGACCAGTCGTACGAATAGGAGTCGGGGAGCGTGGCGGGTGAGTAGAAGGTGTTGATAGATTGATCTGAGTGCTGCATGGTGGGATAGATGGCTGTCATCCTGTTTGATCTGAGTGTGCTCGAACTCGAGCTGGGGTTCGTTGCTCTTGAGTTGACCTTTCGAGGGATGTAGTCAAGTGTACTGGCTTTGGGTGATACTGGCTGGACATGTACTGATGGATGGATTGCTATCGAGGTTCTTGAATGCGCTGATGTTGCCTTTTGTTGTGCTGGTGTAATCGTCTTTGTTATTTCCCCTGTCCAGATGACTGTCCTGTGTGGTATTATATCTCTCGAGTTCATCGTGACGTGTGAACCTGGTTTCTTGTTCCAGTGAAAGTGACGCAGAGTTACAGCATGAGGCTGAAGGGGAGGAGTTGAAGACACGTGAAATTCGGGACAACCCCACGACCATACCTTTGTTTGGAAACGGGGCGGAGGGTCACTGATTCGTAATAACCCCCAGGCCTTGCCCTTTTGTTCCATGTCCAAGACTTGGCTTGCATCGTGACGAACACGAACACGACGGAACGGCCAATAGGTTAGTAATCTCATGCAATCGAACAGATTGCGCTGACCAGTGAAAGACTCAATGACGGGAGATTTGCAGACCTTGCTTGGGAGGAATCGGTAATCAGCCCTTTTGGTCGGATTAATTCCTCGAAGGAATCTGTCAAACTCGTAGGCATGCCCTTGTGGCTTGCTGTGAGTCTGGGGTATTCAACGGCACTTTCTTCCACGATAGAGAATACGGCCAGCTGCCAGGGTCAGTTGACCATGGGGTCGCCGTACCTGGCTGACTAGATTAGTGAGTTGATGATAGCATACATGATTCCCATCTAAGCGAGACCAACAGGCCACAATCCCCGGACTCTATCCGCAGTGCGTGAATTAGTAATTGGAAGAGTGTGCTCAATGTGAAGGTGTTTGGCAAGGAAAGAATGCAAAGGGGATATGGAGTACATTCGTTGTGTGTTGAAGATGACAATGACGTACCTCCGACAATGGGGGGTTTGACCGCCATAACCGCTGATTAACCGAGAATATTCAGTCACTGGTAGTATCAGTCTTTCAATCATAGCCACCCTCAATGTCTGAATGCGACAGCCATGTTATCCTTACCCATAGTAGCCACCCATGCTACAACTGTACCAGCTCGTTCCTGAAGGTGTCACTCCTTCCTACAAGGGCCGTTGAGCTTACCACACACTGCTGTCCGCTTCCAGGTTGCTGCCACCATCCGAGTCACGTATCGAGATAGCTTATGGTTAGCCGATCGAGGATACAGTACTCTACATGGCTTAACTTCCCTTGTCATCCTGCCGGCGGCCGAACTCCATGCCTCAAGGCTACCTGGGACACGGCGCAGGAACCGAAAGCTTCTAAGGTCGCTACGAAAATCATCTATCCTTGTTGTTATTCTTACTTACGATGCATACGAGGAACCATTCTGACAGCAGATTGCAGACCAAATGGGGTTCTTTGGCTCATCCGAGTGCCATTCTTGAGCAGTTCTGCCGCTGCGACAAGCCTCGTTCGTTGTTCACGACTTATGCAAGGTCGTATCCATCTTGTTTATTAGGCTCATTCTCAGAAACCCATAAGCTCTGCTGTATCAAGTTCAACTGCTTGGACGACCAGGCCAGCCATCGGGATCCTGGTCGTGCCTGGTCCCTTGGCCTACTTAAACTTGACTTCCCTTCCTAGAAAGTCATATCTGCTTCTGGTCATGTTCTCATTTCGCACAATATGCTGAATCTGGTAACATACTTCACATCTTTTGTGAGAGGTTTGCCTCGGCATAATGAATGACCGCATCATGAAGCGCATAATGATGTCTTATGCAAGTGTCACTGCCACGTGCGCGTCGTATCTCGTACGTGTCCAAACGAGTGCGCCAATCAAGCCGTCTCTATCTCGCAGCAAGGCACTGTTTAGGAATAGAACACGGCAGCCGAGAGGTCCATCTTCCAGGCTAAAATACCGATCTCTGACACCTGGACGTGGCTGTTGAAGCCTTCTACTTCTCTATTCAACGGATCCCCCCGGTTCTTTCGCTGTTGGATAGTTGATTACTGTTTGATTTCTGCCTGTTTTCCGGAACATTGACTGACTCCTGCTCCGCTTGGGTCTGGTTGTGATTCAGCTGTATATATCATTCGCTTCCAGCAGTACATATCGACGGCAACTTTGGTCTGAGGGATTTCCTGGCCACCAGCAAATCAACAATCTACCACTTCGTCAACGACCTCAGCACATCCGCAATCATGCCCTTTCAATTCCCGGAGATCGTGAGCACATACCGCTTCTGGGCGATATCGTCCTCAATAACCTCTGTACTGCTGGTCAAATTGGCTCCGTCGATATCGATATCCCGATCATATGGGTGGACTGCCGCAGCATTATTCCTCCTGCACTTGACAATATGGTTCGTCTACAACACATTCATCTACCCACGATTTGTCAGTCCTTTGCGCCATCTACCGACTGTGCCCGGTGGCAGTAGAATCAATGGCCACTGGATGACACTCCTGAAAGAGCCATCAGGCATTCCGATGCGAAAGTGGGCGAACGAGATTCCGAACAACGGCCTCATTCGTTATCTTCACCTCTTCAACCGAGAACGTCTTCTCCTCACTAGCCCCCAGGCTCTTAGCGAAGTCTTGACGCTGAAAAGCTATGACTTTGTCAAACCCGAACTCCTCCGCCTCGGCATTGGACAGGTTCTCGGTGTGGGAGTGCTTCTTGCGGAAGGTGACGAGCACAAGGTGCAAAGAAAGAACTTGATGCCCGCATTCCACTTCCGCCACATCAAGGAACTCTACCCAATCTTCTGGAACAAGTCGCAAGAAATGGTCCGATGCATCCAGACCGAACTTAAGAGCTCGACCGACCCGAATCCATTCGTCGAGGTTGGTGAATGGGGCAGCCGCGCCACCCTGGACATCATCGGCGTAGCAGGCATGGGCCAAGACTTCAACGCCTTACAGGATCCTACAAATGAACTGAATCGCGTCTACCGAGCCGTCTTCCAACCCGACCGAACCGCCCAGATCCTTGGGGTTCTACAGTTCTTCCTCCCGCATATCATCCTGCGCAATCTACCCGTGGACCGCAACAAGAGCGTCAACGCCGCCAGCAGTGTCGCCCGCAACACATGCCGCAAACTCGTCGAGCAGAAGAAGTTGCGCCTCGCCAACAAAGAGCCCATGCAACAGGACATCATCTCCGTAGCTCTTGAGTCCGGCGGTTTCACGGACGAAGAACTCGTCGACAACATGATGACATTCCTGGCTGCCGGGCACGAAACCACAGCTTCAGCATTTACCTGGGCAACCTACGCGCTCTGTCAACACAAGGACATCCAGTCTCGTCTACGCGAGGAGATCCACCAGCACATTTCGGGTCTTGACGCAACGGACATCACTCACGACGTTATCGACAACATGCCCTTCCTGCACGCCGTGTGCCAGGAGGTGTTGAGGTTGTGGGCTCCTGTACCCCTGACAATCCGCGATACCGCTGTCAACACGAGTATCCTGGGCGAATTCGTGCCCAAGAGCACCAAGATCATTATCGCACCGTGGGCCGTCAATCACAATGTCGAGTTGTGGGGTGAGGATGCTGCGGAATTCAATCCCGATCGGTGGATGGCCGCTGGCCAGGCCAACGCTGGTGGCGCGGTGAGTAATTACGCTTTCTTGACGTTCTTGCACGGACCCCGAAGTTGTATTGGGATGAAATTTGCTGTCGCTGAGTTCGCGTGCTTGCTCGCTGCGTTCGTGGGGACATGGGAGGTCGAAATGGTTGAACCGGATGAGAAGATTGAAGTCAAGGGTGGTATTACTGCGAGGCCGAGGAATGGTATTAGAGTGTTCCTCAAGAGTGCTGGTGGTTGGGGGCGTTGAATCCTTTCTTGTTGATAACTAATGGGCTGCAGCTGCATATATGTTCTGACTTCCTGACTTGGACGGCGAGATGTGATAGATGCACGATGTTACGAAGCATGCAATGGGTTTTTGAAGGGCTTTTCATCCTCAGGAAATTTTGTACAGTGGCAGCTATGATACTCGTACAACCCCAGCTCAATACTATTGTTACATGGTCATGCTCCTCGCTCGCTTTTGTAGCACATATTGTTCGGTGACAGTCATTATCGTACTCAAGAACGCTCATCCTCGCTCAATTCGCTCAAAGGGCTCAGGTCGCTGACCTCGCTCAGCACACTTTCCTTATCACTGTCATCGCCTTTCTCCTTTTTACTTTTCTTTCCGCACTTGACGTTCTGCTTACCAAACATGTCCTTGAGACTCTGTTGCCCCTTTTCCTTCTCTTTGGCCAACTTTTTCTCTTCTCTTTCCTTTTTCTTCTTCTGCTCTTCTATCTTTCTTTCAAACGCAGCCTGCATCTCTTCTCGCTCTTTTCTGCCCTTCTCGGACAATTCTCGCTCCAGTGTTGTAAAGGCCTCGCCTGCCGGGTCCATTGCCAGCAGACTTTCAAGCAATTTGATCTCCGTGGTCCAGACAGTTTTGTCGTCAATTGTCTTCTTGCCGGTCGGGTCATCCGGATCGGGCCGTTCAGAAGGAGTTTCCAGAATCAATGGCAAGCCATGAAATCGTGAATCGTTCATGATATTGTGGAACGCGCGCAGACCGAGGAAGCCTAGTCCGATGTTTTGATGTAGATCTCTGTGGCTGTTGAAGGGCGCTTTGGAGTCGTTGAGATGCACCGCTTTCAAGTACTTGATACCGACAATATCGTCGAACTCTTTCATCGTCTTTTGAAACGCTTCGGGCGTGCGAAGATCGTAGCCTGCAGCAAAGGCATGACATGTGTCGATACATACTCCGATCCTCGACTTGAGTTCTGGCTTGATCTCAGCAATCACATCGCGGAGGTCGGAGAATTGTCCACCGATCAGGGTGCCATGTCCAGCCATGTTCTCTAAGAGTGGTACGACGGTCTTAGTCTCTGACAGTGCGCGATTGAGGTTTTTAGCAAGCCGACTGACGGCCTCGCCAAATGGTTCCTGCCCGGCTCCACCAGGGTGAAAATTGTAGTAACGTATGCCCAAAGCTTCGCAGCGGTGTAAGTCATCGATGAAAGCATCGTACGATTGTTGAGCCTTGTCTTTGTCTTTGGTGGCTAGGTTGACGAGATATGATCCGTGAGGGACGATGTGCGACATTCCGTCGTATTTGTGCTCGATCAGTGCTTTTCTGAAGGCATCTCGGTTGGCGTCTTGTAAAGGAGGATTCTCCCACTTGCGTTGCGACTTGAGAAAACATGCGAAGGCATTGCCTCCAATGTGTACACAGTTGGTAACCGCATTTTCCACGCCCTTTGCAATACTTGTGTGAGCACCCACATATAGCTTTGAGCCAACGGTACGAGCTGCGAGTGGCATGGCTTCAGCTTCCTTCTCTTCCTTGGTCTTGCGCTTCCGCTTGGGCTTTTTGGGTTCTTCGTCGACGGCAGACTCGTCTCCTTCCTCTTCTTTCTTCTCTTTTGCCTTGCGTTTTCGTTTGGACTTTGCAGGCTCTTCTTCTGGCGCAGGCTCCTCGGCGTCGTCTTCCAAGTCTGCTGCTATCACCTTCTTTGCTTTCCTTCCTCCTGTTCGTTTGGTGGTCTGTGGTGTTTCCTCGATTTTGACTTGCGCTTCTTCCGCGACAGTCAATGTGCCATTCGTCTCGACGGTGACTTCCGTGGTCAGATCTTCTTCGACTTTGAGGGCCACTGCCTTGCGTCTTCCGGGCGACGACTTGGTAGATACGGCAGGGCTTTTTGCGAGGTCGTCAATTGCTTTCGTACGTTTGCTCTTTCTGGGGCTGGGGCTGCTCGCAGTCTGTGTCTCCGCAACGACTGGATCGTCCCGCTTGCGTTTCTTGCTCTCAAGAGACTCTGAGGTTGTACCTGTGGCAATCGCCGGTCCAGCCTTGCGAGGCTTAGGCATGATGACACCCAGGGTCTTGCGCAAACATTGGTTATCCGAATATTGCTCAAGATCCAAAGTGGTGCTTCTTGCTTTGGAGATACTCAAATGTCTATGACGATCCCCATATTTCGCGTCTCAAAACACGCGTATATTGACACGGCAAAACTTCGGGCGCGCTTTCCCGCGGACACAGAAAGTCTTCCGTACGCCAGCACTCTACATTCATAACGTATCTTCGACTCTGAACCACAATCAAAGAACAGCCAAATATTGTCACCGAAAATGACCGACACCGAAGACCCGGACGAGACACCGCAACTCTCAGACTCCGCGACCAGCGATGATGAATCGGGGGAGGAGCGAGTCGAGACTCTCATCTCCGGCAGAGAGAAACGAAAGACCGCCGGCAACCGCTATGACAGAGAGCTGATCGCAGAAGAAGTTGCAGTCGAGGATGAGCCTGACGAAGTCGCGCTCCTTTTCGCTGGTGATGAGGAAGAGGAAGATGAAGAATTCAAGAGCAGTGATGGAGAGGACGATGCAGACATGTCATCTAGCGATGACGATGATCAAGGCCCCAATGCTGCCGTCGATGATATGGAAGGTGAAAGGGAGATAGATAAACAGGCCAAAACTGAGCGAGCGAAGAAGCGAAAAGCGGATCTGGCATTGACAAGTGTTTCTGGACTGAGAAAGAAGCTTAAGACTGATCCTACCAAGCCAGCCCCTGTTGCCGCCCCCGCCAAACCATCCAAGAAGAAAGATCGTGTGACATGGGTCCACGATCCAGACTCGGGTCGGGGTTCTCTACGGAAACAGACGATTGCCCACCGAGCAGAAACGATCGCCCGTCTGAAAGAAAGCGAAGCGCAGAGCAAGAAACTCAAGGCTGTAAGGGAACAGAGGGAGCGAGAACGCGCGAAGGATGCTCCAAAAGAACTCACACAGGCTGATCGGCTGGCGGAAGCAGCAAGAGTCGAAAGACAGAATGCTAAGAGCCTCAATCGCTGGGAGACAATGGAAAAGAAGAGACAGGAAGAACAAGCAGCGAAATTAGCCGCCTTGAAGAACAGAAAGCTACAAGGACCTTATGTCAGTTGGTGGAGCGCAAAAGCCACCTGGGTTGGACCAAAGCTGAGCAAAATTGGCACAAGAGATGCTGGAAATGTGATCGAAGGCGGAACTGAAGGCAAGAAGCGTGGAAGGAAATCAAAGGCAGAACAGCAAGCTGCCAGCAAAGATATGGAGTCTGGTGCGCCTCCAACGGTACCCGAAGGCCAAACCCTGGGCGAAAGAGCGTCAGCGACGCCTGCTACAGAAGCAAAAGAGCCTCCGCCTACGCAGGTTCAGCGAGAGGGAAAGGAAGCAGGCACGGTATCAGGAAACGCAGATTCGACCGTCCTCGTCCCAACAGAAACATCCACAGGCTCAACGGGACCATTACCGCAATCTGCACCCGTGGACACACCAACAGATGCACCCAAACCCACGTCAGGTACTGTGACTGATACCGTTCGAGACGATGCAGCGAGCACAAAGCCCACAGAAGAGAGTCAACAGCAGCCGCCCCTTGCAACTGCGCCATCAGAGCTGGAGAATTCCTTTTTGAAAGGGATTCACGAGTATGCGAGCATGCCAGGAGACAATGCTTCAGAGGGTGAGGCTGTTGGTTCTTCGTTACGAGACAACGACGGGCAAGATAAGGTGCAGCCGAAGTCAGAAGTGCAACAAGTATCGGGGACTGTGCAAGCTGAGCCAGACGAGGTGCAGACTGAACTACCAGAGAAGGATGCATTGTCGCACACGACGGAATCAATACCGACTACCATGTCGCAGCCAAGTTTGAAGCCATCCGCAACAGCACCCAATCCGGATATTCAGATGGAGTCAGATGCGAGCGATCAGGCCAGGACTGTTTCGGCTACAGCAGTGCATCCTGCTACAACGGTGCAAGCAGAATCGACTTCTCTCGAGCCAGAAGCAGCCATGCAAGGTACAACCATCAAATCAGAGAGACAAGAAACGAAACAGGTAGAGGTGCCAGATGTCGTAAAGAGTGAGCCAGAACCAGAGCCTGTCGTGGAATACTCGACCAGAAATCTGGTGCTGCTGGAGAAGTTCGAAGAGCTCTCGACCGAGTCACGCCAGGAATATTCTCTATTCTACAATCATCGAAAGTCATCCAAACCAGTGAAGCACAGTCAAGAGCTGTGTCCTATCACGACACTGCCAGTTCGATATCGAGATCCGTCCACCGGGATAGGATATGCCAATGTCGTTGGGTACAAGAAGCTTCACGAGCTCAAGCAGCACAAGTTTGTCTGGAGCAGTACGCTTGGGTGCTATATTGGCCGAGAAGGAGGAGTTGTTGCGCGCGGTGTACCAGAAGGGTTTGTGAGAAGTAATGATTGACAATAATGAACCAGAAAGATGTGATGTTTGAGTCACTCGGTGGTCTGAGGGTTCCCAATAGCGGCCGCGATCCAGAAATCCTTATCACAACCATATCCGGCGACTTTTGAACATTCTTAGCTGTGAGAACGTTGTGGCAGCGCTGATGAAGATGAGGAGATATCTTGGATGCCATAATCACCATCTCCGTTCCAGCCAGCCATACTGCAAGAAAATACCACGGATAGATTCCAGCTGAAAGGCTGTGAGGCTGTGGTGCTGTGGTGCTGGTCAACTTGGTGAGGCTGACGAAAGCGACAAATACAGGCCGGAAATGCAAATCATGGTCTGTGTGCCTGGCCGGAAGTGGCCTTTGGTGGATTCTTAAGCCTAGGACTTTTGGTGGGTGGCTTGAAGCTAAAGGTGCCGGGCCGCCATTTCAAGGGCCCCCAGTAAGACTTTGTCTGGAATCAGTTTAGCTGTCCTCGGCTGATTTAGGGGCGCAGTCTGGCATTGTTGTCCGCCCATGTCATAGGCACAAGACCATCGCGGAAGCAGATGCGGTGTATCTTTAGTCGTGTTCCCCATGCACGTCTGGACCTCGACTTACCTTACCTTCATGCAACATCTCATCCATCCATATATTGGATCTCACCGCCCTCGATGGGCGACACAACAGCACATGGGAAATCGCCTGGCCGTAGAGTTTCCCGACCTACAAGTAAACCATTGAAGCGCAGAAGTCTCGTTACCGGTGACTCGAATGCCCCTCGCGTTGTGACTTCAACCGCCGACAACAAAGACAAAGAGATGGCGGCCAGTTTCTTGCAATACTGGTATGACAGGCGACACCCTGCCATTGAAGGAGTGTCCAATACTAACGACGTCCAGTGCCATGTGCGAGAAACAAATCACGACTCCCTCAAACTCCATCCTCTACTGCAGCGAAGCGTGAGTCATGTTGACCGCCCTTGCTATGAGAACCCTCACTGACACTTTCATGGGTAGATGCCGCCGCAAAGACACAGCAAAGCCTCTCTCAGCGTCAAACTTGACCTCCCCGTACAATGAATACTCACCATCGTTGTCTCGACCGACCCTGCCCTCGCGCATGTCGAGCACGAGTCCAGATTACTTCAGATCCACCAACCGGATACCCTCCGACATCCACCACCACAAGTCAGATCTCGACCCAACCGAGTGGAAGCCCAAATTAGCACACCGCGGCGCCTCCGAGGCGTTTCGCTATTTGTCTCGTTTTCACCAGACAATGATGGACGGCGACGCTGCCCCACAACACGTTCACCGCCATAAGAGCAGCGCAAGTGCAAGTCTGAGCATGATGACCACGCCGAGCCTGGGAAACACGCCGACCACAACGTCGTCGAGTTTCGACAGTGCGTACTATGGATTGAGCAGTTTCAGTTTCAGCACGCGCCCGCTACCTCCGCGCCAGAACCCGATGTACTCGACCAGTGCGAACGGGAAAGGCATTGACCTCGTGACGCCGCATATTGCGCCCTCGCTGGATGCTACGGTCGCCATGTCTGTGCCTGGCACAATCACCTTCGACGAGGACCTTTGGGGAAAGAAGGTCATTGTGCCTGGGTCGACGCCTCGTAGCGGAGATGGGAAAGGTCTGGGCGCATTGTTCTGTAAGGAGGAGTAATGATGTTCTAGTCCAAGGGGACTCTCCTGGCTTCTCAATGAGCGCGCTAGATTCGTCTTAACGACCTAGACGGAAACATGGCTATGGTAGATAGACCCGGAGTAGACAGGTGAAGGTCATAAATCTCCATCGTACGCTCGACCATCGATTCAAGACGGATTTTGCAATCTGCATTCAAGGTGTACAAGTACATGAAACGCGTACACATCCTCATCACAAACCCCGTCATGCAAGATTCATGGACTCAAAGTAGAAACGCCCGCAAGACACCCTCGCATTGAAGCCTGGAAGATCTCAAGAGCCGGCATATCCCCAAAAGCCATTTCAAGAACATTCAAGCGCCCGGCGTCGTGCCCGTACCTCTCCCACTGATCAACTCGCCATAGCGACCCCTCTGTTGCGTCGTATCATAAGCATTCAGCACTCTCATCTGCTGCCCAGTCTCATCGCCCGCCGAAAATGCGTAACCCCTTTGTTTCCTCATCCTCTGCACCTGCCGCACCTTGCGTACCGCTTTCTGGAATTGTTCCATACGAGGCCGGTAATCCTGAACATTGTACTTCTGAATCTCCTGGACGTGATGGTACGTCTGCGGGAAGTACATGCGCTTGGCGTACTTCCAGGCAAAGTCCCGTAGCAGACACACCGGCGGAAGCACCAAACACAAGGCATAGAAAGCAGGCGATGTAAACATCACCGGAATTATGCCCTCGAGCTCAGTTGAAAAGCCCTTCCCAATATTCGGCGCGGCGTACGAGTAAGCGGGGATCAATGCCAGCCAAATCACGAAGGACCCCGGGATTGCGATGACAGTGTACTTTGTCCACACGTTGGTGATGAGGGCGGCTTTCCCAAGCACAACCAACAAAATCGCCGTGTACGTTGACGTGCCCCAGAGCCAGTGCCCGCCGATCTTGCCGTTCGACAAAATCAAATCGTCATAAAAGAAGTAAGAGGAGAAAATGTACGCCAAGATGGAGTGATAGAACCCGTTGGCGACCCACGACCAGAATGAGTGCATGCGGAAAAACAGGCCCTTCTGCGTCAACTGGTAGAGTTGCGGGTAGCGGTCCAACAGCCTTGCGGAAATAAATTGGTCGAAGACGCCCATAGCGAAAGGTGGTAGAACCGTGAAAAGGACGTTGTAGAATGACAATGTCCAGGACTCGTAGATGGTTTGGCCTGAAAAGGCGTTTTGAAAAGAATACTTATCACACGTTAGCAATGTCCAAATGTGATGGATGCAGAGGTCAACTTACCCAGAACTGTGTCATGAACATAGCGATGTTCTTGTAGAAAGAATACAATATGACCTTGCTAATACGCTGGTAGCTCCATGCTCCATGGACCAGGAGCAGTTTTCTGAGGAAACGGAACTGTCCGATCGAGACGTCGGCGCTGCGAGCGGCTTGAAGACCTTCGACACCACTGATACCAACACCGACGTGCGCTGCTTGGATCATAGACACGTCATTGGCGCCGTCCCCAACCGCCAGAAGTAAGGCCTTGAGGTGGCGCTTGACAAGCTTGACAACAAGCGCCTTCTGCAGAGGAGACACGCGGCAGCATATGACAGCCTTGCACATTACTGCTAGGTCGAGGAAAAGTTTTTCCATGTCCTTTTCCAAGGCGAATGTGAGCGACTTTCCGTCAATGACCAGCGCAAGCGTGTCATATTCGCCGCCGGCGGCTTGATTTCGAACCGCGTCATACTTCTTCTGCAAATTGTCTCTTGTTGCCGTGGAATTGCCCTCGTTAACGATCAGTAGCGTCATGTCTTCACTGATCAGTTTACAACTCATGCCGATATTGATGGCAGTTTCCTGTCTATCGCCGGTCAATACCCAGACCTTGATGCCCGCTGTCTGAAGTGTGTGGATGGTCTCGGGTACGCCATCTTGTAGACGATCTTCAATAGCCGTGGCACCCAGCAGGTACAAGTCATGTTCGATGATTTCAGCGGCCTTGTCAAGCTCTTCGGCACGATTCCCACCCACGGTCGTAGCGGCTCGATCATAGACTTGTCGCCATTCCCGATATTCTTGTTCTGGTACTTCACGCATTGAGAGACAGAGTGTCCGTAGACCTTCCGTAGCATAATCTTCCAGTTGCTGCAGTGTCACATCCACTGTGGGATTCTCCTTTGCCAGTCTTTCGAGAATGACGGTATCAGCTCCTTTACAATAGATTCTTATCTTACCATCTGGGCAGCGGAAGATGGTTGACATCCTTTTTCGAGTGGAGTTAAATTCGCACACAGCCAACAGCTCGTATTCGACTTCCCGTCCGTCAATCTGTACGAAAACTGACCGCGGTTTTCGATCCACGAACTTGTACCCTAGTTCGACGGCACCTTCAACCAGTGCACCTTCGTCTGGAGACGCAGCTTGATACCTGATTTCGGACTTTTCGTCTTTTCTTTCTGGAATGACAGTGTGACAGACTGCCAGTAGCGTGAGAAATTGATCGATGGCCGAGCTTGTCGGATGCGACTTCAAGTTCTCCTTCAGTTGCTTGAAAGTATGGAAGCCGCTCGTATCGTCAGGAGACTCTGCTTTTCGATCTTCAGGCACAACGCCCGCATACTGAATGCCACCAATTGTGCATATACGAAACTCCATCATGTTACAGGTCAAAGTCCCCGTCTTATCTGAGAAGATGTATTCAATTTGTCCCAACTCCTCCACCAGCGATGACGTTCGACATACTGCAGGAGTGTCGGTTTCGCTGTAGTATATGTCCAAATCGTTGCTAATGAGAAAGGCTTGGTAGTACTTCACAAGCTCGATTGTCACGAACAGTGACAGAGGAACTAGATTCGAGTATAACACCCAATAAGTGAACATGTCCAAGAAGAATTGTGAGGCCGCATTGAAGCTGCCATAATCCAGATAGGTCAATTTTTGGCCGGCGGTTGATCTTACAATGATATCGCCGATAGTACTGATCAGACTAAGAACCAGCAATACAGCGATGAGCATCAAGATCTGCTTGTTAAGCATTCGCTCGACATCGGTACGTTTGATAGGCGTGGCGGTCGCATTACGCATCAACTTCGTTTCATGGCCGGTGAAGACAACTACTCCGTATATCCAAGGAGTATTCCTCAGTGTCGCTCCACGCAGCAGTAACTGGTCAGGCTGAAGAGGGAGCTCCTTCTCACTGTTGCTGCCCGACATCTTCAGGGTGGCCTCGTACGTATAGAGACTGCTGTTGGGCTGTTCAGACTTCATCCGTCCTGAAAGTCTTCCCAAGTCTGCAGGGCTGACCAAATGTGCCGTTTCCGGAATCGCTTGTTTGATCTTGAGGTTAGTCTCACCATCGAGATTCGCGGTTTCGATATAGCATAGACCTTCTGGTTCGGAGCTAGCAAGCAGGACCAAGTCGGCCGGAAATGGCTCTTCAGACTCAACTCGTACGATATCACCCACAGCGACATTGATCCATTTCGTGTCGACGAAACTTGAGCCTTTCAGGACATGTGCTCGGGAATCGTTAAGAGCTTTATCCGCAGACTTTCTCTTGTAGTCCTCCACCTGTTCTTTGATTGCGGAGACCAAGAGCACTATCCCCAAGGGAACAATTGTGGTATATCGACTCAGAGGTGTGACGTTTGGAATTTGCTGTAGGATGGCGGTAAACAAGAAGAAGAGGTTGGCATATTTGGAGAACTGCTCCAGCAGAAACTTCGGCAAGAAAGTCACGACATTGTATTTGGCCGTGGAAATGTGATTGTCAACCCATTTATTGGACGCGTTCGCCGAGGGGTTGTTGAGTTGGATGACTCTGGGACCGAGCGTGGACGGGTCGACAGGTTTCCTCCCAAACATGGCCTTGATGTCGTCGAGGTCGAACCTCCTCTTTTCTTTCGCATGATGCTCTTCCTCAATTGATGCGCTATCCACTCTGGCATTGTGTACGCCCGACTCTGTCAACGGTAGGGCCATGTCAGAATAGTTGCTGTCCCGCATGCCCAGCATTCCTTTGGCTTTGTCCATAACACCGCCCATGGACAGCAGACTGCTTCGGTTCTGGCCATGATGTCGTCCGACCACTTTGAAGCCTCCGCCAGGGATGTTCTCGTCCGAGGCATGCCCTCCGCCGTCGTAGTATTTGTATCCGGTGTCATCTTCCACATCCTCCTCCCCGTCCCCATACTTGGCATAATTGTTCAAGTCGGATGTCTGGGAGTAGTTTCGTGCGCCATCATTCATGTAGGGAGCCGTAAAAGGACGCTGGGAAGATGCTGCTACCGGTTGTGCATTGCCTGGCACTGTGGTTGGTCTTCCACCACCAACAAAATCATCGTAACTCGTGGAAGGTCTCGGTTGAGGTTCGTCGGTGTCGTCGATGTTGAAGGCCTGTAATAGTTGCGAGTCATCCACGGGTGGGCGCTCCCCTGTGCTGTAGTAGGGTTGTGAGGACTCTGAGTTGAAAGGATTGTTGTTTCTAGACGCTTCAGGCGCATTGGGCCTCCCGGCCATTTCTCACAGCGTCAAAATGCTGTACGCGGTGAGATTGCACAGCGCTACGATGAATCGTTCGGAAAAGGAGTGTGAGTGTTCTTCAAAAGGCTTGCTGGACAGTCTTCTAAGTAACGTAGAGTGAAGGCATCGGCAGGCGGAGAGTATGTCAGCTTGGGGCCTGAAGCGCAGTGCAGTGCTGTCAACAGGCAATAAAGTGTCGATGCGTGGTCGGAAAGGCGGAGCAGAGCAACGGGCTCAGTGGAGAGGCCCGGTGACAGCTGAATGGCAGCAGCCTTCTAGCGTTTGAGCGCCTAGCCGAGACTAGTGTTACAGGCTTGAAGTGATGAAAGCTGAACCCTGAAAATAGGTGATTGATGCAGGCACTTAAAACACTCAGCGTGCCTCTATCAACTACCTTAAGCCTAAGACTTCTTCCTCATCACTTTTGTAGTGCATTCCACCAAGTATCTACCCTCTCTGATACTCTGCTATTCTCACGAGCGATTGGATCCTGCGTCCACTGCTGAAATGAGATCTGGTGGGGCGATCACCTATCGTTGCACCTAGTGCACTGCCACTCTGTAACCTGACTTGGGGGCGATATTCTGTGCTCCAAGATTGTTGCAAGACACTCGCGAATCTTGTCTATGGTTTCCGGTGGTCGCATGTCTCTTCAGCACCTGATGGCGCGAAGAGTCTTTGTGATTAGCTTATCGACTGCGCAGCATGAGGTCTGCGAAGTCAGAGGACCTCATCTCTCGTTTTCCGCCCTCAATTCAGCAATCAATCCTCCCACATCTCGCTTTGTGGAATCTTCAGCCAATTTCTTGGCCACGATTCCATTGATGTCTCTGCCCTTGGCCAAAGCTGTGTTGATACATTTGAGCAGAACCACGGCATCGACGGCACCTCCTCCCAGTTTGGCAACTTGGCATAATTCGAAATCGTTGACCGTCAGAATCACTTCAGCCTCCCTGACCTGTTCTTCGCTCCGCGTCGCGTCCAGCAGTATGATGTCTCCGCCGTGGTAAAAGCTGAACGTAATGCAGACCGGGTGGTGCATAATACTTAGAGGGACAGGCACTCTCTCGGCCATGGTGTAGATGGTGACATTTTCGCCGTCAACTGACACGTCTGGTCTCCGGAAATGCCGTAGAGCCGCGACAATGGCTATGCAAGAAGCATCGATCAAGCCACCGTCTGCATCCAGAAAGTGCACATCCGCTCGAATCGACCAGCATTTTGCCCCTGCAATGATACATAAGGACTCGGTGTCGATCGCCCTTGACCGCCGGATGGCTTTTTCGAGAATACGCGAGAGAATGAGCTCTTGCTCGTTGGGCCTACGAGGTATATTGTCAGTAGATGTTATACCAACACGTGAGTTGACACAAACCTGCCAACTTCAAATGCCGGGGAGGCAATGGGACTCAGTTCAGTAACAATCGTGAATATGCCTTCGAACTTGCGATCTTCCAGGGGCTTCGTTACTTCCGCCGATACCTGGACGTGTACTCTGCACAATGATTAGTGCGAATTCCTCATCCACGACAGTATCTGCAAACCTCGTTTTCCCTAGGCGAAGAGTCACAGTACCAAAGTCCTCTCCGAACTCTAATTCAAGAGGTCTGTATTGATCTAGGGTTCGGCCATCCACGCGAATTTCTTGTTCTAGGGCTTCGAGGATAAAATTCCGCTCAATGTTGGAAATCTCCACTTCACGAGGCATGCTTGCTCAATGACCTCCACCAAGGTTGTTCCGAATCACTTGCGTGCGAGAACATCGAGCATTGACATGGGTATGTTCTCACGAGAAGATATGGTATGTGCTTCCGAAAGGTTCATCAAACAATATAAAAAAATGGATTGATGAAGATCACGCCGCGACGTTGTCATATGCTCTGCCGTATGAAAATAGTTTATCGTCTACCGCGGACCATGTGAAACGGGCTCACGTGCTCGTCCGAGTCTAGATCTTTTTTCCAATAATTCCAGATTGCTAGCAATCAATCATCTCGTTATCTCTGTACTTTTTGTTGACGACTAGTTTCGCGCTTCAAGATGACGACAGGTACTTCTTCCCGAGTATAAGCACTGTTCAATGCTGACCACCAGAAAGCCCATAGACCGACATTCGACCCTGCACGAGGCAAAGAAGCACAACGAGGTGTCGCGTACCATCAGAGGCTACTTCCTGCGCATACTCTCCTCAAAGTCCGGTGTGTTTAGTTGAAAGATCCCATGTCTAATCTTTTCTAATATCGCCACAGTCAACCGGGTCAAGGCGGAGCGGCCGACACCGAAGAACGAGATCTACGTGCAGAACTCCTTGCTGCAGAGGCAGCACATTTTGCGAAGAATGGGAGAAGCACCGGAGCTGCCAGCAGTCCACCCAATACCGCCAAACGTGAACTCGAAGCCCCTCCAGACGATGACGAGAATGAAGACCCCGATGCGAAGAGACGGCGAATCCTAGAAGAAACTCGTGATATTGACGCAGACTCCGATGGAGGCGACAGCGACAGCAGTGACGAAGAGAGTGACGAGGAAGACGAGACAGCAGAATTGATGCGCGAATTGGAGAAGATCAAACGAGAACGAGCAGAACAAAAAGCAAGAGAAGAAGCCGAGCAAGCAGCACAAGCACAAGAGCAGCGCGAGGAGCACATCGCTTTAGGCAACCCGCTGTTAAACCCCAAAGCTTTCAATGTGAAGCGTCGGTGGGACGACGACGTGGTGTTCAAAAATCAGGCTCGAGGTACAGAGCAAAAGGGTAACAAGGAATTTGTCAATGTGCGTCCAACCTAGATGGTCTCGATCTCGGACCAGAAAGCTAACCATGGTGCAGGATCTGCTACGATCGGACTTTCATAAGAAATTCATGGTAAGTGTTTGCCGCGCCAGAAGCTTTCCAAGGTACTGACTTGGTGTTTAGTCGAAATATGTACGATGATATTTTCGGCAAACCACGAGTTACCAACCAACACCAGCATCACCATTGCGCGCGATCACGCCATTCCGCATCACAGAGTTCAACTGGACCTCGATTAAGCGTTCCTGTTTTCTGGTTCTGCCACCAAACAACCATGCTATGATATCACTCGCGAAGATCTTGATTGCCGGGCCGACGCCATAAGCAATCGGCAACCAAGCTTGTTTTCACAGAGTATGAAAAAAGAAGGTTCTCATACAAAGAAGCTCAAGGAGGTATGTTTTAGTGCTGTGGCTGATGGCGTCGTTATGAGATCGGGATCGGCATTAAAGGAGCAAAGCCACAGGAGAACATTCTCTCGCCAGGGGCAAATGATCTGGCAGTGCTCCGTCAGATCCTTGTTCATCACGTCGGTTGTGGAGAACCGAGCCCTGACAAGAAACAAGGAACGAGGGGCTCGACTCTTTCAGGCCCCCTCCATCCGTGTTCCGATGCAGGTTGCTCGCTACTACCTAATGCGATACGTCAGTGACACAACCCAAGAAACTGAACAGGCTGTACACCATTCAGCAGCACGTACGAGCACCGTTAAAGGAGCAGACTCTGAGGTGCACCCAAGTTTTGGGACAGTGGCATAAAATAATGTGCGTTATAAGTGGGAGAAGGGAGAAAGTGGAAAGACCATGCGCAGTTGGGTCTGAGCGCAGTAGTGACAGTGCGGGGGAGAATTCTGTTTCCTGCCCGACCAACAAGTCACGTCCCTCTCACGACATGAACTCAGCTCAATTCGCTCCCTTGTACACCCGATCGTTGCTTCATGTCTTCTGCAAGGAAAGTTTCCTCTCCATAGCAGACGGAAAAGGAACCAGGCTCGATGCAGTGTTTGGTGCAGCCTCAGATGTCACCGAGCGGCCAGTGATGTGCCTCTTTGGCCCACCTTGAGGCTAGTGAGGCCAGTGCTGTTGAAAGACAGTGACGAAGCTTTCCAAGTTCCTTCAATCACACATGTTCAGCTGTCCTACACCTGTGCCTTGTTCCACGACCCCGCGTCTTTCCAAGTTATTGGTTGATGTCGACATGACTTACGTAGCGGTGGGCGGTGCTTTGAGTCAATACGGTTGTTGCAAACTGACGTGACTGCCATTCACCTGCAAGTAAGCATTGCATGCTCGTCATTGCCCTGTGAATATAAACTGGTCGTATGACCCCTCGCCTGACCCTTTCGACCCTTTTCACATCTACCTGCGTTTTCAAATACACTCTGAAAACTTACTCTTGAACCATTCCATCAAATTACTCATACAACAAACAACAACCAAAAGCAAACATGTCTGGATACAACGACGACAGCTTCGTATGCACCTCACCGATGCGGGTCTGTATCATGTATACTGACTGTCCATAGGGCTCCAGCGGACGCCAGGGTGGTCAAGGAGGCCAGGGCTTCGGCGGCGATGACAGCTACGTATGCGGCTTACCACTGTGTCTTGGTGTCTTATTCTGACTGTACATAGGGCTCCAGCGGCGGAATCCAAGGTCAAGGAGGCCAGGGCTTCGGTGACGACAGCTACGGCTCCAGCGGACGCCAGGGTGGCCAAGGCCAAGGCATCGGCGATGACAGCTACGGCTCAAGCGGACGTGGAGGTCAGAGCCAAGGTCAAGGCATCGGCGATGACAGCTACGGCTCAAGCGGACGTGGAGGTCAGAGCCAAGGTCAAGGCTTCGGCGATGACAGCTTCGTATGCAGCTCACCTATCTACACTTGTATGTTGTATTGACTTTCCAACAGGGCTCCTCCGGTCGCACTGGCGGCCAAAGCGGTGGCTTCGGTGGTGACGACAGCTACGGAGTACGTTTATGAAACTTCTTCCTCACAGTTCCTCCGCTTACATCGACGCAGTCTTCCGGCCGTGGTACTACAGGCGGTGATCAATTTGGCTCTGGTGGCTCAACCGGAGCTGAACAGATCAGCTCTGGCCAAGGATACAGTGGTGATGGCACCTATATCGGCAGCTCTGGCAAGACCGGACTCCAAACTGGTGGTGAGTTCGGTGGTGACCGTCTAGGAGATTCCAACATCGGAGGTGGTGACAACTACGGCTCAAGTGGTCAGACCGGAGGCGGTCTCGGCGGTGATGACAGCTACGGATCTTCAGGTCGCACTGGCGGCCAAAGCGGTGGCTTTGGTGGCGACGACAGCTACGGATCTTCCGGTCAGACTGGCGCTCAAAGCGGTGGTTTCGGCGGTGATGATAGCTACGGATCTTCCGGTCGCACTGGCGGTCAAAGCGGTGGCTTCGGTGGTGACGACAGCTACAGCTCATCAGGACAGACTGGTGGCGACTCATACGGTGGCAGCAACCAAAGCGGTCAGAAAGACTCAACCGCAGGCAAGCTTATGGAGAAGGCCGGTGCCATCTTCGGCAACAAGAACTTGGAGCAGAAGGGTGCTGAGAAGAGAGGTATGGGCGGTGACAACTACTAAGTTGCTCACATGCTGTTGAAACTAGCGACGATACCAGTGATGATGAAATGATCCTCGGTGGCATGACTGCTTGAGCCGGTCCCACCAAAACAGGTCGACGAGCCTGATTATTCATCCATACGTGGACCAATGAACAACTCACATCAATCAATATCATTCCCCCTTCTCATGTTGTACATGCCTACCTATGAAAAGTACTTTATTCACCTGGACATGTTGTCGTAAATGCTGAGATCTTAACTGCGCAGTATAATTGCCCGGAGATCATCTACCTGACCTGTCCTATTTTTCCAAGTTGACATCCAAACAGTCGAAATCCCTCTCTTGGCTGTGCTGCTGCCATTCGTAATCAATCATGCCCGGCTCATGATCCGCCAGACATAAGCATCCCGGATCATGGTATCTCTACCGCAGGAGTATTCCATGGTTGGAGAACCTCGCCCTATGCTTCCATCCCAGCAGGATCCATTACCTCCAGTCACTATCTCGTTGACGTTGACGGCTTGAAGTTCAACGGAAGACTAATCACCGAGTCACTCCTTGCACCCCGCCTCTCCCAACCCACGACACGGATGTCCACACCCCCCTTGTCGTCCCTATACCAGCCAGGTGCGTCGCCACTTTGATTTTGGGATTGGGGTACGGGCAGGCCATCGAGCCATTCATCCAGTCTCCCTTGCGGCAGAGACTTCCACTTGGTAGACTTGATGGACGGGTCTGCAGGCAACAGATCCGGGAAGAAGGTGTCGCATTCAAAGTCTGGTTCGGGCGACCTTTGTTTCGAGAGTTCTGTTGAGCTTGCGAGGGAGGCGTGAGCTCGGACTTGGGTCTGGAGAATGCGCACGTCGAATTCACCGTCACTTTCGCCGTCGGAGTTGCTGTCTGTGTCGGAATCTGGGGCGGGGCGGTCGTGGTGGTTGGAGGAGATGGCGAGGATTTGTTTGTAGATCTCGGCGCCGCCGATGCAGAAAATCTTGTTGATTGATATCGAGGTCGAATTGTTGCTGGTGGGAGCGGATGTTGGAGCGCCTGCTTTTATGGGATCTGGTAGTATGATTGGGGTGGGCTTGGATAGGAGGGTTAGAACTGATGGTAATGACGGGGAGATCAGGATTGGGGCTTGTGCTTGAGTCGAAGGTGGTGGTGTCAGGAATGTGCTTGTGGGATTGGCACCGCTGGGCTTTCTGAGTCGTTGCTTCGTGTGGGATGAGAATTCATGGAGCGACCATTCGCCGTTCTGGGTGTTTGAGGCGCGCAACTCCTTGAGGATGTGTCTGGCGAAGTCGCTTGACTTGGCTCGTGTGATGATCACATTTAGTCGGTTCGAGAGCGGGCGAAACTTGGGAGGGATGCTTTCCCACGTCTTGCGGCCCATAACCACAGCGTTGAGAGTTTGGGTCGATGGTAATGATGTTGTTGATGATGATGGTGAAATCGACGGGGCAATATGAGATGTAGCTTTCCGGAAGAATGCCATATCGGCTTTGATTTGAGGCCATGGGAGCTCTCCTTTATAGCCAATACCCATCGGCGGGTTGAGGCTGGTGGCCACAATGACATAGACGGGTTTTTGGTGGACTTTGATTGGGGTGATGGTCGTCGTTGTCGTCTTAATGATGCGCTTTGTTGGGGACATTTTCTTGGTGTCGGCGTCGTCGTTGGAGTCGAAGGGGTCAGTGAACGTTACTGAGGTAGTGTGCAGTTCCGTTGGCGAGGGCGGTCCTGACAGCGTTGTCGACGGTGGGGTTGCGACCCTCGACATTTTTCTTACTGGCGACCTCGCGCCTAGTTGAGCTTCACAAAAGCTGCAGGATCTTGGTGGTTTCGTTGGGAGCGAGTGTTGCAAGGGAGAAAACACAGTTCGTTCTTAACAGCAGGAGCCAGTAGATGTAGACAACGACATAGACATAGATGACTGAGTGAAGAGGTGAATTGGGATAGAATGACGCTGGCTTGGAGAATACATTGCAAATACCATCTGTTGCGTCGTATCGGTCAGAATGTTACAAAGGCTTTTGGAGCGCAACGTTGAGGTTGTCGCGATCAAGAAAAAGAGGATGCGTTGTCCAAAGGGATCTAGATCGTGCAAACAATGGATGAGGTCAGGCCACTAACTTTATAACTATGATTGACCTGCAGGAGGCATACGAAGCCCTCGTACATTACTCGTCCAGTTGCTCGGGCGGGAATTAAATGCCACGGCAGACTGGAGATTTGAGTGTTCCCCGAAGCCGACATTCACGACGCAGATGAAACAAGCGAACGATCCCTATCCTAACAGAGTCCCAGGGTAAATCAAACCGACGGGCGGAAGATGCGGGTAATCAGCATTGACCTGATTGAGGTGATTCAGGCATCGTGGGACCGATACTATTGGTACCACGGCATCAAGCGAGACGGTTTCAGTCAGTTCGGTACCGCTTTGGTCAACATCCCACAGTCCATCAAGACCCAATCCCAGCGTTGATAGCGGTGATCATTTATTTTACGTCAACCGCAGTCTCGTATCTCTCGAGGAATCTCTTGAATCCATCTTCGACCACTTTGATATCTTCCTCCATCTTTTTTCGTTGTGCTTCGTCGTGTGAATTGTTATCATCCTCATGGTCTTTCTCTAGCGTGTCCAATCCACCAAATAGCCATATCTCTTTCAATGTGCGCGTCAACATCATGATTTCCTCTGCTGCCCGTATCACGGCTGTAGATTCCACATCGAGCTGAAACTGTTGTACCGATGTGTCTGTCAATGATGGCGGAGGTGGCGCCTCCCCTCCCGCACGGGCAGACGCTTGGGCGTCGGTCTCATCTAGTGCGACAGCGAAGATGTTTTCTAGTCTCTTGATCAGAGTTGTAGAAAGGGCCGTGATGCGCGCTGTAACAATATGACATCGTCAGAAGAAAATTCCAAATACACGACGGGCGCTTGAGCGCCTCATCATAGCAGCAATGTTCCCCGCGATGCCTGTCGCTCAAGAAGAGGTCACACACCTTGTAGAAATTTCGCAGTCGGTACAGCATCCGATGTCTTCTCTCTTTTCGTTCCGGCGTCCATCTTGCCAAGTGCACTGCCGCGTCTCCAAGAAAGTTCTTGTGTATGGTCACTGACTCAAGACCAGCAATGCGCCGAGGGCCGAAGCGAGATGGTCTGTTTCACTCGTTCTTTGACAGCCACTGAGCACTGTTGTCAATCACAGAAGAACCAGGTAACTATCATTCTTTCCGTCGAGAAGAACTGCGAATGGCTGGCATTTCGCAACGTTAAAGTTGTGAGGACGAGGACATGGCTGAAAGATCTCGAATCGGAGGGAGGTTGAAGCAGTGTGCCACTACATAGTCTGACATGAAGGTGTTCGTAGCGTCCAAGACATCTGAATGCCCATAGCTTTCGAAGATCATCCGGTGTTGCTACAAACACTGGAGCGCAGGGAAAATACGCAACGAATCATGCGAGGCGCCATCTCGGCACAGCTTGACTCGCCTGCAAATCCAGCTTCCTCCACGACTCTTACTGTACATAAATCATCCTCTTCTGTATTCTTGATACTTTGTTCGAAGCATCAACTTGACACCCCTGAGCCTTCACTGATATTGTAGCTCCAGGCTGCTTGCTTAATGCTGCGTATGTCGACAAGAGGTTGCCCTCTTTGGTGCACTGACCGGGTCACGGGCATGTTTGCATCTTAGCCTACCTGTAACAGACTGTGGTGCAGCACAGCCATCTCCTACCGGACACCTTTTCCTCGCCTCGCGGTTTGTATGCTCGAACGTTACAAGATGTTGCGCAAAGGTCGATCTACAACAGTACGATCTTCGCTTGGGCAGATCCCTTGCGACAGCACGGATCTCTTCCGGACGCCCCGAGTACCGACGATCGGGCAGAATCCGCGGCGCCGGAGCATTGACGATGCTATGACCTCTTGAGATGTCCATATATTGGTTCTACAACTGTAATTCAAATCCTGTACGAGCCTCCACTGGTCTGTCGAACGTATGGTCTGTCGAACGTATGGTCCATGCTTTTGCTGCCATAATTGGGATATTTCTGTCCTATGCAGACCCTACCCAGCACCAGGCGCTACTATGTTCCAGCACTATGGTTCTGCCACTGTCAATGCTATACGCACTCTATTTTCCTATATCGAATCTGGTGGGTATTGTGTTGCTGACTGCACTATCAACCCACCTCGTTATTGCCTGTAAGTATGAATTCGGCCATATTGTGCAATCTAGAACGGTCGTCGCGCCTTCCACGATGTCGAAATCATGGGTATAAACTACTAAGCATATTCTTGCCCGTTTAAACGAGGCACACATCAGTCACTCGCTCACATTGTATCGTCATGTACGCATCATTCATAACCATTACGGTGACAGCGATCTTGAGCTTGCCAGCGGTCGTTTTCGCCTTACCCCACGTGGCTAGATCAGCAGCAAACGATACATCATACCAGTACTTGACTAACAAAACTCAACCTTACGCTGTCGATGGCGCTAACCTCCCTGATATCCCCTTTGACATAGGCGAGAGTTATGCCGGACTGATGCCTATTGACAACGATGGCGGCCGAGAATTGTTCTTCTGGTTCGTCCCGTCCAGGAATCCGGCTGCAAGCGATGAAATTGTCCTCTGGCTCAATGGCGGCCCTGGCTGTTCGTCCTTGATGGGCTTCCTCCAGGAGAATGGGCCCATCAGCTGGCAAGCTGGGCAGCTTGCGCCGATGCCAAATGTCTATTCGTGGTCAAACCTCACCAATGTCGTTTGGGTCGAGCAACCAGTGGGAACAGGGTTCTCTGGAGCTAAGGGTTGTAAGTGTCCCTTTATGCTGCATTCCACACTATGGGGAGGTGTATCGATGCTGACCAAGTTAGCCGGTAATGCGACGAACGAAATCGATGTGGCTGCTCAATTCCTCGGATTCTGGAAGAACTTCATCGACACCTTCGACATGCAGGGTCGTAAGGTCTCTCTTACAGGTGAGAGCTACGCAGGAAACTATGTAAGTCAACATCGCATGCGGAGTTCGGACTTCAATACTCATTAGTAACAGGTTCCGTACATCGGAGAGGCCATGTTGGACAAGACTGGAGAAGAGGCTCAATCCTACTACGACCTCAACGGCATCCTCATATATGATCCCATCCTTGGGGATAGAAGCCTTGGGACGAATGCTCCTGTCATGGACTTTATCGATGCCAATAAAAATTTGTATGTGCACAAAATACTGCAGAAGGATCAAAACCCTGACTGTTGACAGATTTCCTATGGAGGATGATTTTGTCGACACGTTGGCCAACCTGTCAGCAGTGTGTGGCTTTGACGACATGATGAAGCAAGCTTACACCTTTCCACCGGCTGGTCACATTGCGGTGCCCGAAATCCTCGACCTCGTTACCATCGGTAGTTCTAGCGGATTTAACACGACCGTGGTGGAATGTAACTTGTGGGATTTGGTTGATGAATGTAAGTCAATGACCACTCACCAGCTAACAGTGCTGATTACTAGACATGTCTGAACTCAATTCCTGCTTCAATGTGTACTACGTGGGCCAGGCGTGCGAGTACCCTGGCTCCGTTGTTGGTGATCCTTACCATACAAATGCACCTGGATCTCCAGAGATTTACTTTGCGCGACCAGATGTGCAGAAAGCAATCAACGCTCCGGAGAACTTCAACTGGAGCGTATGTCTTCCTGATGGCGTTGAAGTCTTTGTGAACGGCTTCGACCTGTCTGACCCCTCGGCAACCAACGGCGGTCCCTTGAAAACAGTCATTGAGCGCACAAACAACGTCATCATTGGCCATGGTGAGCTTGATTTTGTGTTGATGGTCAATGGATCATTGCTGGCTCTTCAGAACCTTACATGGAACGGGGAACAAGGTCTCTCTGACTTCCCATCCAAGGAACTCTTCGTGCCCTACTACCCGCAGGGCGTCGTGGCCCAGTCTGGCAATGGTACATTGGGTCATTGGACGGAATCGCGTGGCCTGACCTTCAGCACTGTGAAGTTATCCGGTCATGAAGTCCCGGGATACCAACCGGGTGCTGCCTACAGACATTTGGAGAAGCTTTTGGGGAGAATCGAGAGCCTGGACGAGGAGTCTGATTTCAGCACGGCTCACTTGCATTGGTAGCCTTGAGAGGTAGCGTACATGAAGGCAGAGCCGGTTCGCTCACATCTTTGACAGCATAGCATTGTTAACAATAAGAAGTATTTGAAATCAACCTCCTCCAGGCCGCTACAAGTACTTTCGTACCCGATGGTGGGGAAGTAATGGAGGCAATCTGTGGAGCAAGACGGTACTTTCTGTTTTGGGCCATGGACAATGTGGAGGAATCCCTCTTTTTCCCTCCCGATCACCAGCCCTTCAACGCCCTTCCCCTCAATTGCACCCACTTCCGAAGTCCATTGACGCCCTCTGTGGCCAACCCCCGGATGAGTCCACCTAACTGGACATGCAGCCTTTGTCAATTCCTAGGCTAAAATCCCATAGCCGAGAAAGGTTGTGGTGCAGCTGGCAGGCAGGCCTTGTGACCGCCAGAATGTCCAGGGTTTTTAAGCGACGACCGGATCTTCTCTCTACTACGTTAGCCGTCCCACGAACACGACGCACTGCCGTGACAAGCACTTCATGCGTTAGACGCCGGCCTTTCACACAATCCTACACACACGACGGACCTTTCGCCTCTCCGCCTCCCCGACATATCACTCCAGGCTTGCTGAGATTATGTCTACAACGGACAGGACATGCACAAGGCGAAAGCCGTAACGAATCGGCCGGATGATCGTGCTGATGGTGCAGTGCCGCACCCTGCTGCCAACAAAACCTTCCAATTTGTAACTGCCTTACCCTCCTCCGAGTCCGAGCGCTCTCAAAACAAAGTCCTCGTCCGGTCCAACGCCTCCAATTTCCATTGGCGACGAGTCAAGAAAGACAAGAAACCAGAATCTCCTCCAGGTCGGCCTGCTCTCAGGCGCCGCTCAACAGGTCAGAGCCAGAGCTCGACGAGACCATCGCGCAGAGCCCTTGCCCCTTCGAGACCCAAGAAGTCAGAGTCCGGTTCTCCAGAAAGTGATCGGTCCTCGCCCAAGACCGAGGATGTGGAGGAGCAATATGACCAAGCTATAGAGTCGCCAACATACAGCGACGACGTTATATCGCTTCCTGAAACCAGCTTGTCGAGCCTGGTGGTATCAGGACACCATGATCCCTTCGAAACATATCCTTGCGACTTGCCGAAGGAGTTCGTCAGTCCCGTCCTCGATCAAAGTAAGTGATTGTCCCTGCGGCATTGCAATACGCACCAGAACTGATATCCCATAGTTACCTCATTCCTAACTTTGATGTTTCCGCCCGAACGAGGGCAAACCATCAGCCCTCTCGCTGGGACTTGGCTTCGCACGACCTTTCGTGACAGGGGTCTCTTCCACGCATCCCTGTTCTGTCAACTCACGCGGAACCGCGTTTTCTACGCATCGCCAGCAGAATCGCGAGAGCAAGTACAATGCTATACCGAGACCGTTCGCGGCGTACACCAGAAATTCGGTGACACGACCATGAGCTGCGAAGACGAAAACATCCTGGCCGTCTACGCTCTCTCATATCACGGAGATCTCAGACGTAGTCCTCCCGCCGTCGCCCCATCTCAAGGGCCCTTAACCACCCTACAACTCCTCCACATCTACGGCGGACGCCTCGAAACAGTGCCGGTCCATCTCCAAGGCCTCGCCAAGATGTTGACTCTACGCGGAGGCTTGTCCAAGATCCAACTTCCCGGCCTGGCCCAAGCCATCTCCTTGTAAGTTGTCGCCCGCCTTCCTCCCACTTTGATCTGGCGCTGACTTACTGTGAAAGTGGCGACATAGTCCTCGCCTGTCAAACCCTCGCCAAGCCCATGGTTCCATATGTGCCCATGCACGACAACGTAGTCGGCTACTTGAACGCAGCATCGAGAAAGACACACCCACTAGTCGGATTGGGCAAAGGATTCCGCGTCCTCCCGGAGATGCTCAACCACGAAGAAATCTCGAAGTTGTTGGTGGTCCTGAAGTGGATGATCCAATACACCTTCGCGGTAGACGACCACGTGGAGAATCGACCCGAAGCCCAAGCCCTCCGTGCACTCATGGACCAGCGCAACTTCGTCCAGCACAATCTCATGCAACTCACGCCCGATGCTTTCGAGATCGAGGAAGAACATCCCATGTCCCGCCTCGCCCGCTTAGGCACGTTGATTTACAGCATGCTCGTCGTCTTCCCGCTCCCACCGGTCGCAGCGCCGTTCCACAGATTGGCACAGGATGTCATGGCGCAATTAGCCCTGCCCACGGTCCAGAGTCGTTGGTCCGAAGCGTCGGATCTGCTGCTCTGGGTTACTGTCATGGGTGCTATCGCAGCTATCGGCTCGCCTGATCGCCAGTGGTATCTTGTTACTTTGGACCGGCTGACGCGCCGGCTCAATATCAATACCTGGGCTAGCATGAAGGAGCGGATGAAGCTGTTCTTGTGGTTCGAGTATACTAATGACTCTGATGGGCTGAAACTCTGGAGAGAGATTGAGGAGTCGAGTTTGGATAGAGTGCCGAACGCTGCGAATGCGAACGCCGACCATGTATGATGCATTCTATATGTGTGGACATAGATGGTCTCAGGGCGGATTGTTCTCATTTCTACCTTTTGTAAGAGATTGGAAGCGTGCGCTCTTGTTAGCATCCCAAGGCAGAGATATTTATATACCTGAACATCCAAAACACTTGGGAAACTGCCTTTGACAGTACTTCGACGGTAGCTTGCCTTTTACACCAGTTTATGGTATTCTTCCAGGAGAAAGTACTCATTGGAGTGGGAATACTAATTTATATATTTTATCGTCGCAGCCCACAGCGGTCTACGTAACCCATTTGACTATCCGCAGGCCGAGGACGTGAGACGAACGCCATGCTCATTTCTCATTGCTGTACCCATTCGTCGTTTCGTCATCCTGACCAGTGGCTTCTTGCCTAGACTCCCATGTAGCAGTCCCATCACGCTTCCCACGCTTTCTATGATTCACCAGGTTGTTTCATGCGACCCAAATATTGAACACCGACGCTAACATTCTTGCTCGCGAAAAGTATCGCTTACGCCCGGCCACGCCAAGCCCAGATGTGATGCCGCCCAAAACAGAGGTCTTCCAGCGATCAGCTAGAACCTAACGCAAATCCTCTCGGCAAGGAGCGCTGTACACATGTAGTGCTTCAAACTGGGCAGGGCTGTCGAGCCTAGAAATAAAATGTGAACTGATCCGCAGCTGTGCCTTCCAGTGCACAACTCCTAGACATGATCCCAACTCTCTAATGGAGCTTTTCTGCAAGTGGTGTGACCGTGGCTTCTGAATGCGGTGATGACCCAGCCGATAACGGCTGCCACTCGCCCTTGTCTTCGCGACTCTCTGTCTGGGCAGTAGGTCCTTGCTGACTTGGATGCGTATCGACTGCGAAGACGTCTGGTCTGGCTTTCTCGAACCAGCCGCCTCTCTCCCATTTGCCTGGCTCGTAGAGACAACTGTTTCGTGATTCAGACTCGGTGATACCTTTGAGCAATAAATCGACTCTCTTAAAATCAACTGGCTTCAAGATCCACCCATCGAAACCAGTCTGCATATACTTTTCCTTTTCCTTCTCAACCAGTGAAGCAGAGACTGCAAAGATTGGAACCCGGCCGTTATGCTTGGCTCGACTTGACAAGGAAGTGTTGATATGCGTCTTTTCGAATGAGCGGATCATCTTGGTCGAGGTAAAACCATCGACTATAGGCATTTGTAGATCCATCAGAATGGCGTCAAAAGCTGCAGGTTGCTCTCCGTGCGCAGATGCACATTCTTCTCCATTGACGGTCATGTAAGCAGAGTGTCCCAGTTTTTCCAATCTCCTCTTCATGATTTTGCTGTTGATAGGATCATCTTCCGCCACCAGAACGGAAAAGCCAGACATCGAAAACCTGTCTGCTGCTTCCGTCGTGTCGGACTGAGACGGCGCCCCCACTGACTCGGGCTCCTCGAAAAGCACCTTGGCCCCAGTCTTTGGCCCATCTGTCTTGTCAATATAGTCGTCGAGTATGCGGACTGGACGTAGTGGCGTTCCAGAGTCTGCGATCCTTTCGGCGCCGTAATGTTTGAGGATGGACGAAGGTATGTGCTCTTGGGGAGACGAGATATTTCTTGTTCTGCTAGGAGACAATGGAGCTCCCGCTGAAGACGACGATGGGCGTTTGGCGTGGCTCACTGAGTCCTGGGACTGGTTACTCCTTTCTTGGAAGAGGCGCAACGGCTCTTGGATAGCGTTGATAAGCCTGTCGGCGTCACTCTTTTGGCTGGCCTCGCTCTTCACACTAGCACCACTCTTGCCACTCTTCATGCTTGTCAAACTCTGCATGCTTTCTCCACTTTCCCTGCGCACCAGAGTTCCAGGCTCAGGGTCAGGCTTGGGGTTCCTGTAAACCAGGGTGACCTCACCTTCCTTTGGATGTGGCGTAGGAGGTAGGCTACTAGGACGGGATGAGGGGAGCGCCTTGGGTGTGTCCCTCTGAGAGGTTTCCTCGCTGTCAAGATCAAAGCCTAGAAGTATGACGAAGCGCGAGCCTTTCCCCTCTTCCGTCTTGACACGCAATTGTCCGTTCATATGCCTGATTGTTCGAGCCACCACCGCTAGGCCGAGGCCTAGGGCCATTTGTTGGCTGCTAGGCGTCTCGAAGAAAGGATCAGCCGAAAGGAGCTTGGACTCGTTTGAATCCTCCTCGTATGTAACTTCCTCGAGTTCTTTGAATAAAGCGTCGACTTTAGCTTGCGACATTCCAACACCAGAATCTTCAACAACCACCTCTATTTCGGTCTTACCGTGAGGTGGAGTGGAAGCAGAGAGAGCTGCCTCTACAATAATCCTTCCTTCGTTCGTATGCTGAATGGCGTTCGAGATGAGGTTGGACACAACCTGGCGGACTCGGCGATGGTCACCGATGACCTTCGTGGGTAAGTCGGGCGCGATCGAAACATGATACTCCAGATTTTTGCGTTTCGCATCCCCAATGAAAGGGTCTGTGGCTTCTTTGAGCGCTTGCAAGAGATCAAAAGATTCGTCCTTGACCATGCTTTGTCCACCCTCTGTCTTGGTAAGGTCCAGGAGATCGTTGATCACGTAAACCAACGATTTCGAGGCGGAGTGCGAACGCGATAGGTTTTCACGGGTATCCGTGTCAAGTTGCCCCTCTAATGCTATCTCAAGATAGTTGATGATTGCATTCAGTGGTGTCCGTACTTCGTGCGCGGAGTTGGCCAACAGGAGGCGCGTCAGCTGGCTGTTCTGGAGCGCCGCTTCCTTCTGACGCCAGACATCAATGAACTTTCCATAGACGAGACACAGGACGGAAGCAGTTTCTACTTCCTCATCAGTCCAATCTCGACACCGACCGATGATAGTTTCGCTCCAGGCTTTGAAGCTACTGCGAGGCTCCAGGTAGCCTTCAGTCCCTTCTCTGACGAACTTCTCATACGGATTGCCTGCCCACTTGACTTCTTGCAAGACTCCTTTGCGGAAGAATGCAATGAAATCACCTCCACCGGTTGATAGCGGCACGTAGAGAACACCCGCAACGAATTTCCACCCGGGTTCGTATCGGAGATCCGGGAAGTCGTTGCTGATATCCTGGGAACAAAACACAGAAGTCGTTTTTCTCATTCGCAGATATTCAACCATGGCAAGAACTTCTTGGAGATGACCTCTGGACCTTCCCATGACTTTCGTCTCGTCTCGGATTGAAAGAACGCCGACGTCGGCATCAAAGAGTTTCAGGAGGTCTTCTGATGAAGCTACGATATACCCAGACGGATTTGTAGCAGAGGAGGTCGTGTTGATGAGTTTGCGTGCTTGAAGTCTTGACGCATAAGAGAGACGCTCGACATTTCGCGATGCTGTATCTCCAACGAGACGGCACATCTTGCGAATGGGGAACGAAACCCGCATACCACTTTGCCCATAAGAGTGACAAGCTATCAAGCCCCACAACTCGTTGAAAGCATTGATGGAGATGGACATCGACGATCGCACCGCCATATTAGCGAGGTATTTCAAGTGAATGGGTGACATTGCTCGCAGGTTCGCATGTGTCATGTCCAACGGCTTCTCAAGGTCTTCCATAGTCCTGCATACTAGACGAGCCGTTTCTAGATCACGATCATAAAGAAGCCGAACTTTGTTGATTTTGTACAGTTCTCTTGCCTGCTTAGGGATGTCTGATGCTGGAAAGTTCAACCCCTTAAAAAGGTCTCGTGTTGCCCTTGGGTCGACGAGTTCGGCAACGACTCGTCCATTGAAGGACTGGTCAAATTGATAGATCATGACTCGATGGAACCCCGTCAGTTCTTTGACGATGCCAATTAGGACTTTCAAAAAGACTGGAAGGGACGGAGCATTCGAGAGTTGTTCTTGCACCTGTGACATGATGTTGAATACCTCCATGGCTGCGGCTTCGGTTCGCTTTTTGCGTGCACTCCTAAGAACACGCAACGGTTTGTTGATGTTGACGGTGCTGTCGGTCAATTCCTCTTGTGTTGGGTTGCTCCCGAGGGTATCTTCCGGGTGTTCGGGAGTTATGTCATCCTTGGGTCTTAGCGGATTCATCTGGTCGTCCTCGATTTCAAATTCGCAGATGATCAGCCCAGGGTCACTTTCTGACAGATGCATTGCACACCAGAGTTTCCGCGTCCTTGCATGAGGAGGCTTTATGGAAAGCATGAATACGTCTGGCCCGTTCGACGATGCATCTCCAGCACCTTCATCCCTAATAAAATCGAGGTGGTCAAGAAGGTTGTCCGCTTGCTCATCGCTGAAGATGTCCAGGAACGAGTCAATTTTGAACAGTTGCTGTGGCGTGTAACCGAGAATCTTAGCAGAGTTCTCGCTGGCCACACGGACGACAAATTTCTCGTCTTCCTCTCTGAGAGCAACGAGAAGCCCAAAACTCTGTATCGCACCGGGTATGTGTATAGGTTCGTCTTCACATCGTTGTAGTGTTTCGCCGTCTCTGCCAGTGACAACGGCGTGTCCTCCATCAGTCACTATGTGTTTGAAGCGAGCCGTCACCAGGGCAGGTTCCTGTGCCATCGCCAAAGAGACTCCTCCTGACATACTGGACACTTCTGACTTGGATGAATGGCCATCTGATGACTGAAGAATATTGGCAAGCACCCCACTGTCAACGTGGATGGTGGCCTGTCTGCCTGTAGAGGTGCTCCTGCGGTGGCTCTCGCGGCTACGCTCACGCTCGCGCTCCGAAGCCGGTTCTCCGGCTTCTGATATTGTCTTCTGTCCTGATGCTGACGGATTGGGCGGAGATCCAGCCACTCCTGATGGGCCTCGCGCCGTCGATGTCCTTGAGCCTGCAACAGGCCTCATTCCGGGAAATCCTGAACCTGATTCTCCCCTAGGCATGGGGGTGGCGGTAGGATCAATGGACACAGCCGAGCGAATAGGGAAGACGCGATCTATCGACATGGGGCTGAGAGCGGAATGGCCATCGTCTGATCTCAAGGACGGCGCGGGTGATACTGGGCCCTCTGCCCTTCCTGTGAACATGCTGACTTGCGATTGGGTAGGTCCTATGGGAATCCATGTCGGCCGCTGTATGGCACGTTTTTTCTGTGCTTCTGTCCGTGGCTGTTGGCTCCGAGACTCCTCAGCCGAGGTGCGAGCAGATGATTGACCTTTCGGCGAGTCCGACTCATGGATTGAAGGAGGTCTTGACATCTTGGGCCAGTCAATGACTCACAAGATGATGATTCCTACTATTTGGCGAGCGGCTGGGTAGCGGATGTTGTGCCGCCTTCCCAAAGGTGTAGCTTCCCAGCCGGGATCCTCCACAAACAATGGCATCAAGTGCCACTCTAGAGCAAGCGCATCACTATCCAACTGCGTTGTGTTCCCAATGTGTCTCAGTTCCTAGCTTGAGTCAAACATTTGGCTGTTCCTCCTATTGCCTGGCCGCTGTTCTTGTGATTGATGGGATTGGGTCGGTTCGTTGGATGTGGCGTCCTGATGGGTGGTGGAGGGCTCGATCAAGGGCAGGAAAGTGTCCCTGATGTTCATGTATCTGTGCAACGATGCAATAAGGCTGGATTGCCGCAATGCACTCGTCTAGTGACACTGGACTGGGTGGTAGATGTGAGAGAACTGTCCCGAACGCCGTTGGCGAAGTTGAAGATAACAGTAATCGAAGGGTCGTCGAGGGACGGGAAGTTCGAGACGCCCAATTCTCTGATTAAGATGGAGGAGTCGACAATGAATGGACTGCGATCTGAACAATGCAAGAACAGTCAAGTACAGAAACAATAGGTGACTTAGGTAGTATACGAGAGTGCGAAAGGAGAGAAAAGCAACCGCCACCAACTTTACTGCTGAAGTTGCCCTCGTGGGTAGACGAAAAGGCGGGATGCGCAATTGAAGAAAATGGATGGGTCATGGATGTTTGGATGAGAAACGCAGTTTTGGTTGGCGCATTGGAGCGCCTAGAAGTTAGAAATCTAGCCTAACGAACAGTCGCCCAGGGACTAAAGGCACAAAAGCCCGGCGAGCGGCCAGCTGTGGCCCTGTGGTGTGGGCTTTTTGGATCTTGATCGAACCTGCTCCTCCGTGCTCCGGCTCCCTTCCCCTTCGTTTCTTCGATCATCTCATCGCATCCCGTGTCAGATGTCTGAATCTGCCTCCATAGGGTATGCATCGGTCGCTGTCAAGTGGAGCACTGACATGACTCTAGACTTTCCCATGTATCCTGCTTTTCGGGACCTTGTCCCCCTAGATAACCCAGGCAAGTTAGGCATTATTAAGTCCTGGGCCTTTATTCTGTGGCTCTCTCCCACATCTGACCCTGAATCCTTGCGCCTGAGCAGTCACAGGAGCCGAATAAATATATGATCTTCATGCTTGAAGGAGACCCAAAGTCCTGTGGTCATCTCTTCTCCATTGAAAAAACAAGGCACCCACCATATCTAGTTGCAGATCTCTGCCACTATGGATGATCATGAGCAAACTCTACTCTGTTATGGCCACTCAGCTGGTACTCGCAAGGTTGTCTCTGGCATCCGCAAGGCTTCGAAAACACTTGCGTTCAGGCCCAGGAACTCGGGCCCCGTTACCGATGCAAAACAATTTCTTCAAGCCACAAGATGCAGGCTCTCTGCGACGTGACGAAATGTCTTCGGTCAGTCTCGGCTGCCGTGGCGAGTCGCGAAGGAGAAGGCGACAGGGTCCAGCCCCAGGGAGCCACACCGGCGCAGTCAGTTTCCCCTTGGCACACAGCATGCAATTGTTAGGTAAGCAGCAAACAATCCCATGCTGCTATCGACGGCATTTCCCGCGAGGCACACGCCATGTCAACAGTATTCAAAACGACGTCTGCTGGCAAGAGAACATGAAACGCAAAGACAGACGACCCCCAGAAGAGGTTCATCTGGCAACGTATATATATCGTAGAAAGGTTACGCCGACAAGACTGGCAACACCAGGAAACTCTAATCGGGAAATCCCGCCATTCCTTACAAGTCAATAGAATATACTCTGTAGCAGTGTGGCGTGTGCGCGGCGGGATGTTGTTGTATGGGACGGCACAATCATCCTGCGAGCCGTTGACAGTTTCATATTCTGCTGATCGATCTTGTTGATGTATGCAGATCGTTCTTGGTATATACTACAGTATAGTTCCTGATTGGGTTGCGATATCTACGAGATTTCGATATTGTTATGGTCGTTGCCTCAGCCTCAACGATGGCTTTTCAGTCAATGAGCTTAGTGAAGCCCACTACCTTAGGTAAGTGAGGCAAAAGGTTTCTCCAGTATAAGTTAAAGTGCCGGTCTTGGCAAGAATTAACCCGCTGACTTCGGCTCTGAAATCAACTCTGTCAACAACACATGTAGACAGACACCTTGCAAAGGAGTGACAACGATCGTTGCGGTTGAACCTCATCAAAGCCCAAAAGAAAAAACTTGTCCAGAGAGGCGCGTCCAGATCAAGTCTTCTGCGGAAAAGGTCTGCACAAATAATCTGATCAACCTGTCGCGTGTTTCCGCTTTCAATTTCCGGACCTCCACATAATAGGTCGCAAAGGCCCGAGGGGCCAAGGGTCACCATGTCAATTGGCAAATACGTCCATCCTACAACCTATCCCAGCCTGGCTGACGATGAGATCTCTGTAATCAACAAGATACACGACTTCACCGAGAAGTATTTCCAGGATGCGCGCTTTGACGCGTCCCATGATTTCGACCATGTCAAGCGAGTTGTCAACAACGCGCTTGTCATCCTTGAGAAGGAGGAAGAACGCCGGAAACTAAGGGCCATGCCCGCGTTGAACCCTTTGTTCGTCATTCTAGGTGCACTGCTTCACGATGTTGAGGACAAGAAATACGTCACCGCAGACTCAAAAGAATCGCCGTTGGCTAAGGCCGTCTTGGACACCGGCATGTCCACGGAATACGCAGAACAACTGCGACTGTTGGTGGAAGGAGTCTCGTACTCGTCCGAGATCAAGGACCCGCAGCATGTAACAGACCTGATCGAAGTGATTCCAGAGCTTGCAGTTGTGCAAGACGCGGACCGTCTCGATGCCATTGGAGCCATTGGCATTGGTAGATGTTTCACCTTTGGAGGCGCCAAAGGCGCAAGGAGTTTGGCTGATTCAATCCAGCATTTCGAAGACAAGTTGCTGAGGCTGGAGTCGATGATGAAGACCGAAGCAGGAAAGACCATGGCCGAGGAGAGGTCGAACCGTATTCGTGAGTTCATGGGTTGGTGGCAGGATGAAATCGGTCAATGAATATTGACCCAGGACACGCTTACTCCTCGTTGCCACGTGTGCAACAAGCTTTCACGCGTTCTCCTGATGCTCGAGACGTTGGCAACAGCCTGTCCGCAAGTCACCACCGAGCTTACTTCGACCATCCGAATATCTCTAGCTTGCACAAGCGGCATTGTGCTCAAGTTTCCAAAGCCTCACCTGGCTCACCAAGATCCTCGCCCGCTTGTTCCAGAGGATCGGACTTCTCCCGAGTCACCGAGTGAGGTGTTACCTCCGTAGACGCAATCTTTGGCGGAGGTGCAAGGGGTGTGCCTTTTCTCGACGGAGCATTATCTGCTTCAGCGCTTTTCTTTGCTCCCTCCGCGAACATATCTTCGAAGCCAACTCTCGGAGACGGTCCAGCATGGTGTCTTCCTTTCCGTGCTTTGGACGGAGCAGGGCCGGATGGAGGCGGTGCGTTGGGATTCATCATCGGCGGTGGAGGGACGTTAGGATTGACCATTGGTGGAGGAGGCAGGTCTTGGATTGGCGCAGGCGAGAAAGCGTTGACATTGTCGCCAGCTTGTCCGTCTTCGGCGGTCTTCTTGTCCGCATCAAACAGACTCTCACCTGGGGCTTGGATCTCTTCGCCCAGTCCCACAGGTAGGCGATGGAGAGCACCGAAGCCAAGTACAGCTCCTACTGCACCTTCCCCGCCCCATCCTCTTCGAGGCACGAGTTCAACCTCCCTGACCACGTCGAATTCTGAGTTGTAGACCCAAAGAACCAAGCTCCTGTTTAGGTGATCTTCGACCAGTTCGCCGAGGGCCGCCTCTCCTTTCAACGTGCCGCTGGGCGAGCCCAAGATGTAGTCGCTGTGTGGTAGAAGCCCAGCTTGATGCGCGGGAGAGAGAGGAGAGGGAACGGTCAGGACGTGCCAGATGTTTTGCGTCGAGTTGAGCGGTGCGAGTTGTAGACTTAGTCCTAGGCTTTCTGGGGGGGCCGGTACAGTGATTGTCAGGGAATGTGATTTTTGGCCCTGGTAGAGTGACTTAGAGCCGGCTCAGAAGATGCATGTTTAATTCCTACCTTTGCATTCCACAAGTCGAGAGAGCAGTATCCGCCTGCACAGTTGCGCAATTCAGTAGTGAACAGATCCGGGTCTGGCGAGTCCTTTGGGAAGTGTCAGTTATCGCCATCAAGTCTTCTGTCTCACAACGTACTATAAAGTGCCCGTTGATTCCAATGATGAAGTCGAACCAGGGTTCCAGAGGCAGTTCTTTGTTTGTGTTCCGCAGGACTTGAAAGCCATATGAGTCGTCTGAGGGGGCTGTGTCGTTTTGCCGCGGCCCCGGTTCCCCGTCAAGACGCGCGATGAAGCGATTGAGAGCGCCGAACATCTTGGGATTGTTCCAGCAGGATGTCGTCCGATAATGTTCAGTTCTGAACTTTCCAACTGCGCTGCGATGAACCTGCAAATGGTACCAGACACGTGTTTCGTCGCATTGGACGCGTGCTGCCGAAGATCTGCCACAGGTGGAGATCAGCAGATGGTGACTTCACATCTTCCGTCAATCTACACCTCCAACCTCTACTTTGTTTGGCCAACACGAATGACAGGGACGAGTCTAGTATCAAGGTACGATTATAGCTGTTGCATTCAAGGAAGAAACATGGCGACATCTGTATTATGCCGAGAATAACAGAGGCCAACGAATACACAATACTGGCGTCCTAATTTCGGTATCGGCGACGGTCGCTTTATGACAAAGTAGGATAAAGCATCCTAGTCACGCAGACCCCCTTTCTCTGGGTCAGTCCAAATACGCTCTGTGTATGACCAAGCTCCTTTGGCCATCTGACTCTGGAGACTGGCTTCCCAAATGATAAGAAGAGTTCCCAATTGCAGATTCGAAGAAACAAAATAATATGCATTTCCTAGTATCAAGGTGTCTTAGACCTCGTCCGTGGAGGTTTGGGTCAGCCTTTTCAGTGGAAGACTACCTAGATATTTTCAATCTGTATTGCGGCAACTGAAAACAAGGCATGTGGCATGTGCTTTGCGGTCCAGTGTCCTGCGCGGTAATCGAATGCCGTAAGCACGGCAAAGGAATACCGTCAACACAGCAGACATAGATCTCGGCATATGGCGCTAAGTCACCCGAGGGGCCCCGTACCGGCCCCGTATGCCTCTCCATGGTGTCCCAGTACGTGGGGTGCATTAGCTCCGTTTGGTAGAGGACTGCTCCTGCTTTACTAAAGCCTTCGCCATCACGGCTACTATCATGTAAAGTGGTTATTCTTCACACTCTGGACAGCTTAAGCAATGGTGACATCTGAAGCCACTGTTGGGAAGACCCAGGAGTCGCGCGTGGCAATAGTCACTGGTGCAGCTCAAGGAATGTAAGCACGCCGTGCATTTCAAAATTCATCAAAGAGATCGCTGACATAGTTCGGGGGCCACAGTGGAAAAGCCATTGCTCTTCGATTAGCTAGAGATGGCTTCTCTGTCTGTGTGAACGACATAACAGCAAATCAAACAGCCATCGACGAAGTAGTCGAGTCGATACGCGCCTTGGGCCGAGAGTCATGCGGATGTGCTGCAGATGTCTCACAGGGCGCTGAAGTGCAGACTTTGGTCTCGACCTGCGTGGAAAAACTCGGACCCTTGGATGTTATGATTGCGAATGCAGGCATTTGCCAGGTGAAATCGCTGCTGGAGCTGAGTGAGCAGGAAGTTCGCCGAATCTTCGACATCAACGTCGTCGGCGTCTTCAATTGCTTCCAGACAGCGTCAAAGCACTTCATTGCTCAGAAGTCCCGCGGGAAGCTCATCGCCGCTGCGAGTGTCGCAAGTTTCAAAGCGTTCCCCATGTTAAGTCATTACAGCTCCACCAAATTCGCGATCCGGGGACTCGTGCAAGGTTTCGCGCAGGAAATGGCTCCCCACGGGATCACGGCCAACGGATACTGTCCCGGTATTGTGGGCACGTCAATGCTCGACATGATAGACGATGTCATGGCCAAAGCAAGCGGTGGACAGTCAGGGGACGCCAAAGCAGGATTTGGGAAAATGATTGCCTTGGGAAGATTGAGTGAGCCAGAAGATGTGGCAAAGCTTGTCAGCTATTTGGCTGGTCCTGATAGTGATTATATGACTGGCCAAAATATTGTGATAGACGGGGGAATCATACTCACTTAGGAAAATGTACGTGGGCCATCCCCAATTTCGAATGAAATCAGACCATGGCGTTTCAAGTCGCGCTATAGTTGTTTTGTGACTCGTGATTCTTTCGGGACAGGATGGGAAGAGGACAGGCGAGCTTTTGGAATAACCTTTGTCCAAGTACAGCATCGCTGTCCGTTAGAGACTTATGTTACCAGTCCTGAAGGCTTCTTGTGGTCTGAACGATTGTATAGAGGGCTCTATTTTCTTTGTACTTGCCGGATAGGCTCTGCCAGCCTATACCTAATGGAAAAGGGGTAAAGAGTTGTGTAGATGCTCGTGATGATCCTATGATAGCCATGTATTGACAGGATGACCCATGGAGAGTCGGGTATGGGCGTATCAGTGCAAAGATTCATGGGTTTTCCCTGGTGGACCAATTCTTAGCTGTGTGGCCGTGGCAAGGTCCACAAGGCCGGGCAAGGTTGACTTTATATAAGACTTTACTTTGGCCACGACGACGAGGTTTGTCAGACATTAACTTTGGCGTCATGACCACCATGTAAACAAGTGTTATATATGGCTATTTACTTCTTACATGCTTCCAACCCTTACACACATCATACCTGTCTTACACCCCCTATCCTACTGTTCGACAAGGTCATCGTGGTTTTGCAGAAGTGCCTGGGCTTTGATCCCTGCCGGATCCTACGCTACCAGCCTCGAGTCCTTCCTAGACAGTTAAGGGAAACATCATTTTCGCCGTACATTGACGCCGTGCAGCCGAAATCGGATCTTAGGCGCCGCGTTTCTCACGCATCGCCCTCAAAACCTGCCCGCGTACGGCCTGTTCCCTTTCCCTTCCAGGATCTCCTTGAAGTATTCCTCAAATGTAATCGGCTTGAAATCGGGATACAACTCTCTTGCGTCCAGATAGCCGAGATAGAGAGCAACCTTTCTTGTGTTGTCTTCACGGTAGTATTTCGACATATTGTATTCCTGACTCCAAAGACCCATCTGCAATCCGATGTTCGTGGGATCAGCATCGACAGCCTGCTTGGCTTTGGTGATGACAGCTTCTATTTCCTCCAAGGAAAATGGCTTTTTGTCGATGCTCTCGCCAGAAAGTTTCTCTGCTAGAGCGTAGATCTCGTTCTGACTCAGTTCATCCGACCACGTGAAGACCTTCTTGTTCAATGTCCGCGGGTCCCTAATGATGCGAGCCACAAAGGGGCCAATGTCGCGTAAATCAGTCAGGAGATTGGGCGCGTTACCGTCACCGTAAAGCTTGTTCTCTCCCAGGAAGTGGAACTCGTCCAGTTTGCCAGAAGGCAGCGGTGGGAACGAAATCTGGTGCCAGAATCCCGTGTCGATGATAGTGTATGGCAGATGGAGTTTGAAGATGAGGTTGTACACTTCTTCCTTGGCGTCACGGAGTGCCATGATACCGCCTGGGGGACAGACGGTAATGAAGCCACAGGGGACAAAGCGTGTGACCCCGGCAGCTTTGGCCGCTCTGGCAAAGTTCAGTTGACTCTGCTGGGATTCAGGACCAATGCTGCTGATGACAGTATCGAACGGCGTGAGGACAGAGGCATTGACCTTTTTGCTAAGATCAATAGAAAGAATTGAGAAGCCACGGTCTGCGAGAGCGCGAACTGCTGGCTTGTCCGCCGACGCTGGACGGACTGCGATGCTAATGTCCTGCCACCGAGATCTTAGCCTCAATGTGCCGACTAAGTTCTAGGCAGAGTCAAAACTCACGAAGCTACCATCTCTGGCCAGTCCCTCGAGGATCGAAGCACCAGTCTCGCCGGTAGCACCTAGCAAGAGCACTTTTGTTTTGGACATGGTCGATGTCCTCGATGATGACCAAGTGGAAACAGAGGTCTGGAATCGGGAAATTCGTTGACAATGCAACGTTTGTTTCTACCGTCGGTACTGCATCTTCTTGTGGAGCTCGACGATTGCGGATTGTGTTGTATACTCATGCGGAGTCAGAGCGTCTGCACCTGTTTGGGCACGATCACTCACTTCACGTGCCTAAAAAAGGAAAAAGGAACGGTTGACATGCAGCAGGTGAGCAACACACTCCGCAGCACCTTTCCCCTCGGGAAGCTGAAGGCTAGCTTCATGTATGCCCGCGCTAACACGAGTGGGGCGGGTCAACCTAACCGAGTGGGCCAGGGCCGGTATTCGACTACCGAATCTCCCCGGGCATGACCCTGGCCTACTGCAAGATCCCACACCACGACGGCCCACGAAGAGTAAGTGTCGTAGAAGATCATAGCGTGTTCGTGGGAGTCAGTACTCAACCACTCCAGCAGCGGCAGAGCCAGCAACACAAGAGTCGCCATCATCCTCGCGTGGAGGGCAAGGCAATCTTGGAAGAGCAGAGCACTAGGCGTAGATAAAACTTGTATATCAAATTGGAATCCAAGCATCTGACATGCACTAGTATAGACAATTTCTTGTATGTCTAGACCCTGTACATTCGAGTTCAGTAAGATACTAATGCTAAATAACCGCTATCACACCACAATTTCCTTCGGTGAAGACAAGATGTGCCCGGGATATCCATCCTCGATTTCCTTGTTCAATACATTGATGTAGGTAGGTATACCTCCAAAATAGAGAAGAGTCCTGTGCAACTTGGATTCAATGTTGGCACCGACATACCATGACTTGACATCCATGGCACTCTGGGCGACCACCGTCTGCGCGAAAAGGTGGTTAACCTGGTGGCTCCACTTCTCCGCTGCTTCCTGCTTGGATTCAATGCGGTCGTAGTGGTGTTTTTCGAGGTATGATATCGTCTTTCCGATCCAGTCGGCGACGGTGTCAATGACCATAGGTCCATTTGCAAATGGAACCTGGGGTCCGAAAATCATGAACATGTTAGGGAAACCAGGCAGTGTGACGCCGTATGATGTCGTCAATTCTCGCTTGAACACGTCAGCAAGGCTCTCGCCATTACTGCCGTGGATGCCGATGTTTCCTAGGGTGCCGGTGACGGCGTCGAAACCTGGTGAGTTCGATTAGCTGCGGTTCGTTGGAGACGGATTATAGTATGGAGCTCACCTAAAGCGAATATGATCATGTCAAATTCATACTCTTTGCTGCCCAACTTCACACCCTTTGGCGTGATCTCCTCGATAGGATCGTTTTTAATATTCACAAGCTCGACGTTGGGGCGGTTGAATATTGAGTAGTAGTTGTGCCCGGCAGGTGGTCGTTTGGAAAAGATTGGGTATGTAGGGCAGAGTAACTCTGCCTTTTCCTTGTCGTCCACGATAGCTCGGATCTTCTTGCGAACATATTCAGACGCCACAGCATTGGTCTTGGGGTTGGTGAGCGTGTCTGAGAAGGTCTCAAAGAAATAATGGAAACCACCCTTTTCCCATCCGGCATCGAGAACACTTTGAATGGCTTCATCGTTCTCCAAGTCTTCGAACTTCAATTTGGAATCGATAATGTCGAAGCCCATCGAATGGGTTCGTGCGCGGTGGCAGATCTCTTCATAACTTCCCTTGATCGCGTCCATTTGTTCTGAGCCGATAGGGTAATTGCGGGCTGGGACAACGTAGTTGGGTGTCCTTTGGAACATTGTGAGCTTCTCCGCGTTGTGAGCAACGATAGGCGCAACCTGGACAGCAGTGGCCCCTGTTCCAATAAGGCCTATCTTCTTGCCTTTGAAGTCGATCTTTCTGTTGGGCCAAAGGCCAGTCTGGTACCATTCGCCTTGGAAGGAGTCGAGGCCAGCGAAGGGTGGCTTGAGTGGAGTGGCCAGGACGCCGGCCGCTGTAATCAGGTATTTGCAAGTAAAGGTTTCGTCCTTGTTGGTGGAGACTTTCCAGGTGTTGTTTGACTCATCACGGTGGGCACCTGTGATGCGAGTGTTCAACGTAATTTGGTTCCGAAGACCCAAGTAGTCGGTCATCTTGTTCAAGTATTGCTCCACCTCCGGTTGCTGGGGGTAGCGCTCTTTCCATGACCAGTCCATTCCCAGTTCCTCGAGGAATGTGAAGATGAAAACCCAGCTTTCGCTATCAGTTCGGGCGCCTGGATACCGATTCCAGTACCAAGTCTCATAGAACGTCAGTCTAGTCTTGTGAGGAGTCTCCAGAAAACAAAAGAGCTAATGCAGTGGAGGGTGATGCCAGTGAACATAATGAAGAGAATGTGACTTACACCTCCAACTCCAGATGCAGCGTCGAAGACACGGGCAGAAATGCCACGCTTTCTCAGCTCATACAACATGCGAAGACCGGCAAAGCCGGCGCCAATGATCAACGCATCGAATGAGTCGTCGGCGCCATCTTTGTGACCATTCGCGCCATTGACACCATTCGTGCCGTTCACCACATGATTACCATTCATACCATTAGTAGTACCATTTGTGCCGTTCACACCATCGACTTTAACGTCCGGAACGAGAACCCCTTGCGCAGACATTGTCGATTATGTCGAATTGATGGGAGGGGCTTATTTGGCATATAAAGAATTAGGCCGCATGGGATGGGCTTTACTTATAAACGCCTTTGAACTCCACGGAATGCCCTTGAACTCCACGGAGTATCGTTGGGAGACAAGTCCTCTGTCGAGTTCGACCCCAGCTTTGCGGGAGGTCGTCGTGGGGTGAAACCGGGCAAGCGGACCCCGGCGCAGTATCACCGAAGTCTGTGCGTGCGCAGATCGATTGCACCGGGAAAGATCCCAACTAGTAGATGGCTACATATGCAGGGTAAAGTTGTGCACATGATCATCAAGGATGGTGTGCGGAGAAGGGACACCGACACGACCAAATCACACTGAGTTGTCCATGCGAGGTCTGGTAGATCTAGTGTTAGACGCCGGCCAACAATCACCGAGATTCTTTTGCCCAGTCACTCCGGTTTCTCACTGGACATCTGCGTGCCCAATGTCGATGTGATTCTACAGGGGTATTTCCTTGGTGGTACCTCGGTACTCGGGGACCTGGATGTACCAGGACGATCTTTGCAGGGGTGCGCACATGCATGGTATACGGAAACGGCCGACGAATTCTTTTCGGGGCCAATGTCTTGACTGTCCGGACGCGGACCAGCTCTTCTTCCATAACATCGACCATATCTCGTGGAGTTCATCGATAGTATGCCTCGCTCTGATGCTCATGATGCACGCAACGCAGCCTTCCGGCAAGCGTTTGGAAAGCCCTTTGAATACAAGGAGAGTGCAGCGCCTACTGCCGAAGTAATTACAGAAGAAGCGAAAAAGCTCGATGTCCCGCACTTCGTCGACGATGTCCCAGCGAGCAAAGGGGCTCGAATCCACTGGCTTGGAGACCGCTCGGCTAAGAAGGTGCTCCTGTACTTCCATGGTGCGTGCTCCAAGAAGACGCGTTTCGAGATATCAAAACACAGAAGAAACCCATAGCTAATGAATCCTAGGCGGTGGATTTTGCTTTCCCGCTTTCCCTGGGCACGTCCGCATGTGGAACCAATGTCTGCAGACATTGAACCCGAAGACTGACATCGTCATTGCCGCTCTTGAGTACGGTAAGCGAGGACAGGGTGCTGAAAAGATACGCTGTGTCGAGTCTAACCAGCGTTCCAGGCTTGACCAAGGATATAAGGTATCCTGTTCAGATCACACAAGGGACAGAGGCTTTACGGTTCATTTTGGACAAGGGCTACAGCCCATCCGATGTACGTGGACATCCACTGAGCATTCTCCCCTTTCGTCCTTGCCTCACTGATAAGAAAGTAACATAATCTCATAGATTGCCATCGGAGGTGATTCTGGAGGAGGAAACCTTGCTCTGGGAATTATATCAATATTATTGCACGGACTGAATGGAATTCCCCCATTGAAACTGGATGGTCCACTTGCCGGAGTCCTCCTTATCTCGCCCATGGTCAGCTTCAGCACCGAGAGTGAGTCGTGGACAACGAACAAAGACAAGGACTGTGTGGCACCCATAAGCATGACTCTGCTCGGCCCTGCATATGTTGATGCCAAGGACGTGAACAACTATTCTGAACCACTACAGGCGGATGTCGCGTGGTGGAAGGACTTACCTGCGAAGTCCGTCTTGAATGTGTATGGCGAGGACGAATGCTTCAAGTCTCACGTCGTCGAGCTTGGAGAGAAGCTCACAAAAGCAGGCAACCACGTCGAAAATGTGGAGTGCCCGGCACACGTGCATATAGACTGGGTCCTGGACTTACAAGTTGGCTTCGAGCCTGGAATCATGTCCGTCAAGATCTTGGATTGGTTGTCTAGAGTACTCCGAGGATAACGAATCTGTGCTGAAGGGTTTAAAGCGATGTCTGAACATTGTCTGCAAGATGCACAACTAGAGTAATCAGGAAATCTATCTGGCTTGCTGTAGCTACAGGCAAATTCCTGTTCATGTCCGCGAAAGAGTAACTCTCAGTCTGAACGTCCTGTTCATGCAAGCTTGAAAGTTTCATAATGAACCGCGGCGACTTCATTGCACTGCCTTCGGAATTCTGGTGCGGCACCGCTATATCGTGCAATAATACGCTCTTGTTTGCCTGCAACATTCTTGTTGACACCGGTCAACCAAGAATCGACCGTGTTGCTGAGTAGGTCTTTGCCGAGTTCGTGGACATGTTCTGTCCATTTTCGCACCTGAATATAGTTAGCTCAGAGGTCCATGCAGACTATCACATTAAAGGCAGCCTTACGCCTTCTTCCTTGGCTTCAATATACGTGATGTCATGTTCTCTCAGGTATTCGATGCAGTCTGATATCCAGCCGACGGCATACTCGATACTTCGTGGGATGTTGCCGTAAGCTTGATGCGGTCCAATTGACATGAACCTGGATTTGTGCGTCAGTATCGATACCATCAACTAATGTGGGCTCTGGGAATTGGTTCCGTACATATTGGGGAAATCCTGCACAGTCAACCCGAGATAAGTCTGAGGACCATGTTGCCATTTGTCAATGAGGCGAACGTCGTTGTTCCCTCTGAAGTCGATCGCCTCGAAAGATCCAGTGACTTTGCCATTGTTAGACGAGGACAACACTGCTTGGACGGAATAAACTTGCTTGCAGAGAACCCGGTTGCATAGATGAGTATATCGAACTTGAAGTCTTCCTGTGACGTCTTGATTCCGTCCTCAGTAATACTCTGGATGGGTGTCTCGAAGAGGTCAATAAGGCGAACGTGTGGCTCATTGAAGGTTTCGTAAAAGAACGTCTCCATGGGCACACGCCGAAGTCCAAATCCTACCACAATCGTCAGTGATCCATCGCATGTCTCCGGACAGGAACATGAGCCTACCATAAGTCTTGGGAATGAGCTTGTCGGCCGTCCACGGATCCTTGACACGTTGCCGTATCTTTTTTGCCACGAAATCACTGACCAGAGCATTCGCTTTTAGGTCGACGCCGACCTCCTTATAGTTCGAGATCCAGAATCCGAATCCAGGCTGGGCGTACAAGAACTCCCAGAAGGCCTCTCTTTCTTCAGGAGTCGCTTCCCAGATAGAGTCGGTAACGATATCATGCATAAAACTCAGTCGACTGCCGTCAATTTTCTTCAATAACTCTGGGTAGCCTTTTCGAATCGTCTCCATCTCCTCGTCGCTGATCTTAGAGTTATGTAATGGGATTGCCTAATGTTGTATGAGGAAAAATATAGCCCCCTTGGACGCGGAGGGACGACTTACCCAGTTTGGTGTACGTTGGAAGACGGTCAAACTCTTGGCCATCTTCGCTACCTCTGGTATTAATTGGATAGCGGTGGCTCCTACGCCGATAACGCCGACACTCTTGCCCTCGAAGTTGACGGGTGTTTTCGGCCAGCGGGAGGTATGAAACGCCTGTCCTTTGTAGTCCTCCACACCTGGGATATTTGGCAGTGTAGGATTACTCAGAAGCCCAAGACCGGTAATGAGGAAGCGCGAGGTATATTCATGCCCTGATTCGTCGACGAGTTTCCAGTAGCGACCTTCCGAATCCCAATGGGCTTTACTGACAACCGTATCGAATTGCATGTTCCGCCATAGATTATACTTGTCACAGATAAAGTGGATGTAGCGTTCGGTCTCTTCCTGGGGTGCAAAGTGCTCTGACCACTTCCACTCGTCCAGAAGTTCCTGTGACCAGAAGAATCCGTAGGTATACGATTCACAGTCAAAGCGAGCACCCGGATATCGATCTGTATCGTGTCAGATGAAGCCATCAAGATTTGACATGACAATACTGACTCCAATACCATGTGCCTCCGACGGATGAGCCAGCTTCCAGGACCTTGACTTTCAAATTCAAGTTCTGCATCTTGTAACAAGCATAGCAGCCAGACAGACCGGCTCCGATGACGAGCACATCGTAATCCGGCTTCGAAGGCTCAATGGAACCCATGGTGTTGTCGCTTCAGATGACCGACGGTATTTGTTGCTTGAGTACCGAGTACGTTAAGACGAATAGAAAATGTATTTGGAAATCTGCTTTGCCTGAGGAAATATCTGTTCTTGTTGCCCCCAAAGCAGCACAAATGACCGCTTCATATGAGAAATTCCCCAAAAGGTTGTAGCAAGCTTTTGGCCCCCCGCATCCCAGGGGAGATCGAGTTCTAGGCCGGCGTGAACAGGCACGCAACAAATGTGGACCCTAGTGCCGCCCGGAGAGTGGCACTTGAGCCGCTACTGGATGCCACGGCGATTGAACGCCGGGCGCTGATCGATTGCCAGTAGGAAGAGTGATATCCATTGGGCAGAATTTACCATGACCACGATCGCGACAAACCTCCATAATACACTCGTGCTCGAACCTTTTGTGCAGAGGACGAGAACTGTCAAGCATTACTTAGTAAGTAGAAGCTATGTGAGGTGAAAAGAGACTATTGCACTACAAAGGCAATGTCTATAGAATCAATTGTATCGCTCAAAGCAATGACTTGCCGTGCCTTCTAAGAGGCTGGTCTTTATCGCGATAAACTTAGTAGCTGGTGGCTTGGACATGAGTTTTGTCAGTGCAAGGCGCTGCTCCAGGATGCACAAGGTATCTCACCATGTAGGAATGATTTCTCAAGGCCAACGACCGCTGATCTACATTCTCAGCAATCAGAAGAAATTCAGGACCAGGATCATCATATGGTCCGCTCTGGGCCAGTGTGAACTCTGATACAGACATGAGCATGTCCGGCTACGTGGTAGATGGCTTCGCGTGGTGAGAGTCCCAAGCCTTACTCTGAGAGATGGAATCATCAGTAAAATCTTGATCGGGAGCTCGAGCTTGATATATAGTTCTTACCGAAGCGACCAATTTCATCCCATCCTTCAATCTCTGCACCGGCTCCTCACCCAGCCATGTCGACATCGTATCATGATATCCCGTTTCCCATTCCCATCCACTCCCTCCGTCGATGTACACCGATTTCCCCCACATGTCTGTTTCGGTCATGAGACGCAGGGTGATAGCGGCGACGTCTTCGGGCGTGTTGATGGGCAATCCGGCTTTTCTAAAAGTGGTTGCAAGCGTGCTCGCCATGTTGGTATCGACGACACCGGGATTGATTACATTGATGCGGATCTTGTCATTCTCCCAGAGTTTCTTGCGGAGGCCGCGCATGATTCCTTGGACAGCGTGTTTGCTGGCATTGTAGACTGGCAGGTCAGGTGTTTCGCGAAACCCTGCTGCAGACCCTGCAAGCACCAAGCTCTTGTCTGTTCTGTCCTTGTTGTCTAGTTTCAGATACGGTAGCGCAACTCGAATGAAATACAGCACTCCCAGCAGATTGACGTCAATAGTCATATCCTGCTCGGGATCTTCCACGTCCTCGACGGTCAGGTCAGTCCCGTACCAGTTATCCTTCTTGGCCACGCCCGCGATCGCGAGTGCATGGTCGACATGGCCGTACTTCTCACGTGCCAGCTTAAAGAGCTTGACGTGGTCGGCATAGTCTGCGACGTTAACTTTGAGGAAAGTCACGTCTGACCCCAGAGAGGATGCGAGCGACTCTCCAGATTTCACGTCGTAATCGCCAAAGACGACTTTGCCACCATTCGAATGCACGGCCTTGACAACGCTGGCACCGATACCATTTGCACCTCCTGGCAGATAACTTCAGCACATTACCGACCAGAACAGAGACACTGGATCCGGCCATGCGCTCCACGTACCTGTGAGTACAACGACTTTGTCCTTCAATTCTCCAAACTTTGAATCGCTGGGATTGAATGAGTTTGACATGGCCGCAGCTCCTGTCCTACCGGGAATTGAATGAACGTGTCTCGGACGTAAAATTACAATCAGAATGAGGCTGTGCGGTTGCGTAGTCGAGAATACCAATGCTCCGGCACTACAACATGGGGGTGCTTTTCGTGTGACGATCTCGTACTCTGTGGCCGACCATGAAGTGCACTATCCCTGCATCAACTCGGTAGCCTGCCTACTGCACCCGAGGCTGGGGTGCGGAGTCTTTGGGGGTCCATATTCACGGGGTGAACCGATCGGTCTTCGACCACCGAATGTGACGGTTAGTGTATGTTGTCCCGGCGAAGTTGTGATCGTAGTCATCGACCTTGTTCCACTGGCGAAATGCTTCTTGGCTTGGAATGAGACTTTCGCTCTCCTTAGAGTTGTAGAATTGGTTGGTGTCATATTTCTAAATACAAGGCTGTCTACTTATGCCCTCGTTCCGAAATTGGTGCCGTCATGCAATCTGGGTACTCCTCTGTGGGGGCTGCATGCGGTCTTCACACGATACCGTTACTGTTCTCAAGTAGCCCTAGCCTATCGAGGGTGGGCTGGCGAGGGTGTTGACATATAAACACTTGTTCAGATGCTATGCAAGACACCACCATCTACACAAATCTCTTCGCCTATAAGTGGAACCGTCAGTCTTCGTGTCAGTCCCAGCAGCACCTCTAGCAAGGGATATACCTGTGATATAGCTGGCTCGCGTGCTGGCCAAGAACACCACCGTTTGTGCAATCTCCTCTGGTCTGCCGTAGCGAGCGATGGGGTTCTTGTCAATCAACTTGTCGTAGTATGACCCGACGTTGATGGCCTTTTGCGTCATAGCAGTTCTATAGGACTTCCGTTAACGGAAACACGTGGATGAAAGAGAGGGGTGTATCTCACTCGATGAAACCGGGACAGACAGCGTTGATCCTGATGCCTTCGGCCCCGTATGATATAGCATCAACCCTCGTCTGGCCGAGAACGCCGTGCTTCGACGCTGCGTACTGTATGACCGGATCAGATATGCCTTGAATCTCATGTCATGCTCACCGCTCCCGTCCCACCGAGCCCGCTTCGACCGACAATACTCGAAATGTTGACGATACAGCCTCGTTCAGGAGGCGATCCTGTTCTCATCTGTTCCGGGCGGAGGTAGTCCTGCTTGAGCATCTGTTGAATGACCGCCCGTTGACAGAGCCAGACACCGCGCAGGTTGACGTTGATGACTTTATCCCAAGCATCGATGGGCAGCTCGGCAGATCCGGCGCGTGAAGCAGTCGCAACACCGGCGCTGTTGACAGTGTAGTGGATGCTACCAAACTTTTCCACGCCAGCGTCTACCATCTTCTGAACTTCCTCTGGAGACGAGGTGTCGGTCCGAGTAAGTACCGTCTCAACTTCAGGATTCAGCTTTTTCAGACTATTGGAGGTCTCTTCAAGCCCGGCGGTGTTCATATCTGCCAGTATGAGGCGTTTTACCCCTTCCTCAACGAATGCTACCGCGCACGCCTGGCCAATACCGCTGGCGGCTCCAGTAATCAAAGCTACACCATCCATGGTGTAAGGCGCCATGTTCTCAAGGTTATAATGATCACTGTATACTTTTCTGGGAATATCAGGGGACAAAAGGTTCTGATTTCCGGGACCTCACAAATACAGTATGCCTCTTTTGGGGTTGCTATGGTGGGGATCAGTCACCTTCGAACGCATGGGGATAAGTCGGGTTTGGTATTAAAAGTTACTCATACTGCAATATTATTCTACAAAATACTAGAGGTGTGTAGGTGAGCGCTAGCTAGGCTATTGATGGCTACTCATTGTACCCAAGAATGGTCCAAGGCCGATTGTGTAGTTGGGAAGAGCCAGTCTACCTCGGATACTTGCGACTTCGGAAAAACCTGGTGGGAAACATATGACCATAATCAAACCTCGGCACGACAAGCAGAATACTGCTTGTCTCCTTCAGAGGACGCCAATATCGAGGTGACCCTCTCAGTTTAGAGACTCTGTCCTCCAGGATTAGGACACTATCGATTTCTCCTCGTTTAGGACCACACACCGTGATGCTTCTGTGGCAATCAGCTCGTGTAGGTAGACGTGATCCAATTTTCCTCGACCGGCCCTCGATCACCGACGTCTCGGCCACCAACCCATCGCCAGTCGAATACCGGTCCTCCACTTCTCCATCACTGACTGATCTTCAGGCTAGTCTCATGATGATTACCCCGTAGCTTGACAGATCCGCTAGGTAAGTTCCGAGCATTGGCCTTGGTCGGTGGTCGTGGACCGGCCTTTTGAGAACCCGGCGCGCCGTTCTAGAACCAGGTTGCTATTCATTGTGAGCGCATCCGGGCCTGATCGATATAGTGCACTGAAATATATAAGGCATTTGCTTATAACTGTGGCTGAGAACGCCCTTCGCTGTTCAGATCACGACTTCATCTTCTCTCGCAGCCATATTATACTAAGCAAAGTGCTTGTTAGGTCAAGATGTCCACCACCATGACCACCACCACGACCGCCTTGCCAGCTGAACCGACCGTTGTATGTTGAATGCAGGAATCTGAAGGATTTACCCAGCTAACCTGCTTCCAGAGTTGTCCTCTCCCACCGTTGAGTGCCTGCCGAAGTCTCAATTGAGGGATTTCCTCGTACTCTGGTGTTGATATATCGAACCATTGTGCTAACGTCAGAGCAGACGCTCTATTACTACCTTGAGGTGAAGGATGGCGGCATCATTCAAACCTATCCGGGCACTGCGTTCGAGAAACGCAGGAAGCATGTTCCTCATGATATGAACATCAATGATCTGCGCCCTGTCCGTGACGAATTCACAGTTGATAAATGTGGATTTGAATTGGTCAACTTCAAATCAGGAGTCAAGGACTTCGGGGACGAAGAAAAAACGAAGGAAGTCTTCTACCCTGAGATCAAATCTTTGATCAAGAAAGTGTAAGATAGCTTCACAACGACATATGCTTTGTTTTCGAGGCTAAGTTGTCTCGTCATACAGTACTGGCGCCAACGACGTCCACATCATATCGCATATGTGCCGACGAGCCACGACCGCCGACTCTCAAGAGGATGCCAAGGGCAAGTCCGACACTGACTTCGTCACACTCAACAACCCAGCGGTATGTCCAAGCTTTTTGAAAACATTAGACAAGCAAGCTTTTTCTGACAAGAGAATAGAGATTCGCCCACTGCGATCAATCCTACCGCGGTGCTGAACAGCTATTGTTCTTGAACCTTCCCGAGGAGGAGGCCGAGCGAAGAGTCAAGAAGAGATGGGCCATCATGAACGTCTGGGCCCCAATCGAGAAGACCGTCCATCGCGACCCCTTGGCATTCTGCGACTTCCGTACCATTGACGAGAATGATTTCCGTACCGTCGTTGCCAACCTACCACCATCAGGAAAAGGCGAGTACGCAAACGTGTCAAAGAACTTTTCCCATAAGCCCCGAGCCGAATACTCATCCAACGGCGAGAAAGGGGCCCGGTACGAGGTTACCAACCTAGCACACAACCCCGGACAGAAGTGGTACTACGCCAGTGACATGACACCAGAGGAGGCGTGGGTCTTCAAGATCTTCGACTCCAAGACCGATGGCCGAGCCAAGTGTGCGGTACACTCTTCCTTCCCTCTTCAGGACCAACCAGAGCGTGGTGAGCCAAGAACAAGTGTCGAGATCCGCACGTTTGTTTTCTGGGACGAGGAGGAATCGGCCTAGATGGGTCCTTTGCAAGATTAGTGCCAACGTATATAATTCCTGCAATCATGATGTGAGTATAGCGCATAATTGTCATCCTTCAATTGGAAAGATCTTCCACGGTCGTTTGTAAAGTGCAGCCACTTTCCTAGTTGTCAAATCAGACTGACAGAGCGCCGCCACCCGGCCATCGTTCTCCGAAGAGACACCCATACGACCCGAGTGTAGATCTCCCATCGTGGGGAAATGCAGAGAATCAGGTATAGCGGCCTCAACAATGGCGGCCTGAGGGTTGCAGAAAATAATTTGTGGCGGTATGAGTACCTACATGAAGAACTCTTCATCAAGAACGGTAGGCCTTAGATCTAGCTCATGTCATCTCGGTGATCGTTCTCCGGGATTGTCCTCATTGCACATGGATCCTGACAAATCCCGGTGCAGCAGTGTCTTCCGGTCAGTGCTTCTCGTGATGTATGGTGATCATGTCAGCGCTGGGACTGTCATGGTCGATATGGGTGTTTAGAAGTGTAGAGCTGCACATAGCCAAAAGATTGAGAATAACCTGGGAACGCCTCCAGCCCTTTACGACAGAAATACATCTCCAAAATCGTTCCAAGACCCCATGGTCTTCAACGCTTCACAGTCATCCAAGGCGAGCATGAATTGACCGGGATCCGTATACAATGTGTTGTCAGTAGACCGATCCTGCTGCCTGACCAAATGCTGCAACATGACTGGTGGGCTCTCTGTCTGTGCACCAACCGTTGGTAGTCGTGGCAGAAGTGAATCGTTGGCATCTCGGATTGCTTGCGAGTCCTCTTTGGTGTTCAGGAGCTTACATCGGCGCATCAAGTATCTGAGCTGCTTGAGCACCGTTTTGGCACTTCCATGACTGAATTGGATCTCTTCCAGGGCTGTAATGCAAGTGGTCAAACTGGCCAGATACTCGTTGGAAGTTTCAGAAGCCTGCTCGGCACGAATAGCAATTAGTACCACAGCTGCCACAGTGATGTTGTACATCGCTGTCCCAAGCAGTGTTATGGCGGATCCATGAGATGCTCTGTAGTCGGCCAGAAGACGTGATATGGAAAGAACGTGATCGATGCAGATAGCTCGTGATGCTTGTGAGGCGGGGCTAATCTCAGCCTGATGCATACCAAACCTTGCCGTAGATCGATGTAAAAGAGTCATCGCTGCGTGATACTGCAGTTGAAGAACATATACTGCCGGTGCACAACCTGGCGTGTGTCTGAGACGAGAGTCAAGGTTCGTTTCCCATGTCAGAAGCTTCTGGCAACAAGTTTGTAGGTGGTGACTGTTGAATGTTCTCTTGTTCAAGGCCTTGGAAATTTCTCCCACGATAGTGAAGAGCGTGGCCCACGCGGGCAACGTTGGTAGTTCTGTCGAGGAGGATGAAGTGTCATCAGGCAGAAAGGAGGGCGGCGTGATACACACATCGTCCAGGTTGAGTGCACAGGGGCGTCCAAGGTAGAGACCCCAGCCTTGATCGTAAGCAAAGCTTCCCCAGAAGACCGCTCGTCTGACCTCAAGATCCATTGGAGACGAACAATTCGACTGGACTTCCGCGTCGTCCTTGTGCAGGCCAAGTTCGAATACGAGACGAGAGGCCCGTCCCGACTCCAACCAACCTTTTGTATCTGCACCGCGACGGGAATATACCGCACTCAGTAACTGAAGGCTTTGTACAGTCGTCAAGCCTACGTTGTTCTCGATCTCGTGTTCAATCATCTCAGCGGCCTTTCTGAGCAGAAAAGGTTTTGAGCCTTCGGGGTCTTCATCTCTGCTCAGTACTAAAGCTCGTATCTCTGGTACCTCTGAGAACACGGCCGCGTTGGCCAATATGGAGTAGAGTAAGGCTTTGCTGTAGTAGCGAGTCCGACCAGCCTGCATGTCTTGCAGGAACGCTTCGCGGTGAACGACCTGGAGGACCTGGTGCTGAAATCGCCAGTACCGCTCCAAAAGATGATCGCGGAGAGTTGGTGAGATGTCATTGTGGTCGTCAGCATCGACATGGCTATCATCCCACTTCACAAAATTGCAGGACGTCTTCTCGCTGGTATGCAGGCTCGATGTTGGCCCGTAGTACCTGACGCGACCACTCTCATCCGCTTGAAAGTGAGCATTTTCTACACACAAGCCAGCGATCAACGGATGCGACGTCTTTCGAGAATCGAGAGGGTTCGCAGATTGTACAGACTCGTCTGCCAAAGCTGGATCCAAAGTACCCCCAGGTAAATGGGACATGACGGGCGGTGTCAAGTATAAGTTCCGGTGTGCTCTTTGTTCAGTCTCTCGCAGTCGCCTTTGCAAGGTTTCGATTTGTTTTTCCAGCTCCCGAATATGACTCTTCGACGACGGCCTTGACCGTTCATCTTCTTCCGGCACCACGCATTGTATCTGCAACCTCTCACATCGATCACATGTTGGACCTTTCCGACTGCACTTGATTTTCTGTCCTCGACAACTTAGGCACGCTAGCATCCGAGATGCTTCTTTACCGTCTCCGCCTGCAGTGGTCGAACTTTGCCGTCGCCGTCGGCTTTTAGGCACTCGCCTGGTTGTAGGTGGTAGTTCTGGATCCAGCGACAGCGATGGAAAGATCATCTCCGTGCTAAGGTCGACCGAACCGTTCCAGCTTTCAAAGTCTCCGTTCTGGGACATGGGGGCCATTGTTGCAGCCATCGTTGCAGTTTGACGTTGAAGTTCACACTAGCATCAAAGTCCTTGCCTGTGTCTGCGATCTCGATGGAAGGGAAACAGGCGAATGGGTGAGCTTAGCCAAGGCGAGGCATTGCCGAGGAGCAGACAGGGGATTTCGACTGAGTGGGAATCGAAGGAGACTAACTCCAATGCCCCAATAGCGGGGTCAGTCCGAGGGGGGCTGGCTGGCTGCGGATGCACCGTGGGCGACCATGGGGCACCTGCGGGGTGACTTCGCACAATTCTCGACTGGTAAGCAGCAATTACTAATAGGTGGCGAGCGAGGGCCTAGGAGCCCTTTGAGGACTCCGCAGAGTCTTTCTCCTTGTACCGAGACCACCTGTGCATCGCCAGCAGGCCGTTAGAGAGTCCTTCCTATCCTCTCCCGCATAGGCACTCCCCACTCCCCCCACTGCTCCTCCACCTCGCATATGTACTATCAAGCAAGGGAAACAACCGAGAGTAAACAGTCGCTTTTGCATGAGGCTATCAGATTATGCCTCCGCCGGTCCATTCGGGCTTCGCAGGTAGAATTTACTACGGAAGAAGTTGTTTTCGCACCCTATAACATGTGCAGGCACGGCAAGAGAGATGAATCCCAATCGTACTCTACGATGACGGCTGGACATGCCTGAAAAGGCGGCAACCCAACAAAGCCAGCGTCGATCTGACCAATGAGTGGCAGGAACCTTCTTCATTCGTGAATAGGGATCGTGTCCGTCCGTCATTTCGCTTATATGACGGTGTCAAGGGGTAAAATGACAGTCCTGACCTATCTTTGACAGACAATCGCGTCAATTACCTATTCGGGAAGCACCCGATATTTAGTACTCAAATTTGGGTCTAACTCGGGAATAAGTCCTAAAAAATCTCCCAAAATCTTCGAGTATTACATAATATCTCTAAAATTCGGCGGCTGCCGCCGCCTTAGTAAGCCTTCTATCCGAAAGCCTCTAATGTGACGGACACCAGATCAAAATGACAGACGAAATGTCAAGATTTTAAAGTGACAGACGTGACGGTCATGACAAAACTCGATCCCTATTCGTGAAGATTACACGGGACATCTTTCCTTAGGGCGCAAAACCTCCTTCACACACCCAAAGAGGAAGCTACGTCTCCATACCCGGATCTCTGGGCCTGGTGCAGGCGTACTCTTGCTCGGAGCCTCAGCAGTCCTCATGGGAAGCGCACGAATGCCGTGGAAGGTAACTAAGTCTTGTTTCTTGCTTGGGCCCTTCACTGGCTGTTTTCGCCGTAGCTTTTCACGTCTATAACAGGTTTGTGAAGGACCAATGGTAAAATTGTAGGTACAAACGTCCTCTAGAGTCCGCAAGATCCTTTTACTACAAGGAGGGCGCTTGCAGGCTTTGAGCCCCGTACATGACAAGACCCTCTAACAAGATGCGACTTCACCCATTCTTCCTTCTCCTGCACCTTCATCACGGGATATCTCTTGGGCTTCCGACTCGGCCATCTACGCCGGAACCTAACCCCCCACTTAAATCGACCTCGTAGTTTTCTGTTGCTTGAAAGCATACCATTCTTGAACTTCCCAATCAATGGTAGGTATTCTTAGCGGCTTGCACATCGTTCTCCAAGAAGACCTCAATGTGATTGTTCATCTTGGGCCCAATATCTTCAACCCAGAGGGATCCAATCATTCCCACACCACCAAAGGCAACGGAAACAAGAGCAACAGTTCTGATGGCGACAATCAAGCTGGCGATATAAGCCGCACCGGCTGCATCGGCAATTGCGACTGTGACACCTGGAACAGCCATGATAGCCTTGGTGCCGGCTGGTATAGCTGCGAGAAGAGCTAGGCCCATGGCTTGCGTGCCTCCAGCAGCGATAACAGCCGCAGGAACTTTCGTGAGGGCGGCGCTCGTCGAAGATCGGGTGATCACGGTGACATACACAGTTGTCGCAATACAGTTGCCACCAAATCTTCCGACGCCGCTGTAACTTTTGTCAGCACAATATCCTGTCGGGAGTGGTAAAAAAGACTTACCCAAGGGCACCGACAACACCGAGCTCGGTTTGGGGGGCTCCGAACTGGCAGAAGGTGATTGACAGAAACTGGGCCCACGCGAATGCGATCGAACTGATGAAGTTGAAGGCAATCAAGGCTTTCTTGCGGTCGGGTGACACGAGAGCCAAGAGACCTCCAAACAAGGTCATTATCGTGACAGAACCAAATAGTTGCCATTGCCAGTGCTTGATACGACGTCCCAAAACACTCAGGAGGACACCGCCTGTGCACATGCCTAGACCTTGCACGATGGACAGCTCCATGGAGAGAGGGGAACTGGGTTCCCCTGGGCTGAAGATGGCGTTTACAATTTGTCCCCAGATGATGTTGGTTCCCAGGTAGTAGACGGGCACCATGAAGGCGACGAGAAATGGGGCAGTCAATGCCTTTCCACGGTTGACTCTGAACAGGCGTGGTGGTGTCAGAGCTTGCTTGATTGGCGCCAATGTCTCCCAGCAGGCGAATCCGATGAGCGCAACAAATCCGCCAACCAAGGTACCAGTAACCCGGCCGTCCGCAGAGGGGAGGTAAGACGCAAAGACGACACCCACCAATATGAGGACGGCCGCGGCGGTAAAGAGCAACCCTCCTATGTAGTCAATCTGTTTCACGGCGTCCCTGAAAGACAGACCTCTCGGGTGCTTTGGTGGGAAGTAGAAGAGGAAGAGTATGATGGCGCAGATGCTGTTTCCGATCACGGGAACCCACAAGAGCCAACGCCATGTGCCGTGCTGGAGAGAGTAACGAGCGGCCACGGGGCAAACGGTGCAAGCCACGAGGACTATCGAGTCGGCACCCGCAACGGCAGCAGGGCGCCATTTGTTGGGAAGCAACTCTGGAGCGGTGAAGGTTGCCGTCTGGCAGATGGCCCCACCAACTCCAGCAATCGCCATGCCCGCAATGACAGTGTCGAAGGTTTTGGCAGTAGCTGCGATGATGTATCCGACAGGGACAAAGATGTTACCAGCGATCATGAACCACCGTCGACCGAGCATGTCACTACCATGTCCACACAGCATAAAAGCCACAAGACCGGTGATGAAAAAGGAGGCGACCATCCATATCGCGGTGTTGGTGGCCCCGTACTCCAAAGCAATGTTGGCTTCCGTGATAGCCAGACCAGGCAAGGCAGAGTAGGAAAAGCCGTAGGCCATGGTGATGGTCTAAGGTGTCCATTAGCTCCAGTTCACACCCGGTATAACATGGCAAGCTTACACAAACCACAAGCCAAGTCTTGGGCGTGACCACATCTTCCGTGGGCATATCAGACGGTACTTTCTCGACCTCGGACATGGTCATGTCGTGATGCGCAATTTTGTCATCCTGCTGCTGCTCGTTGTGGCCATGCTCGGGGTCGCTCTTTGACAAAGACATGGTGATTGATAGAACGAAGGAACCTGACTAAGGTTGAAGAATATTGCAACTCGCCCTTTGTAGTTCCACCCGTGCTTATAAGCTATCCTTACAAACCCCTGAATACTATGGTGTTCAGGCATTGGTCTATAGACCGGGGTTCTCTGGCCGTGGTCCGGGTCTCGATGGCCGGAACCTGGGGTCCCCTCAACCTGACCCTCACTGTCTTAGCTTGGCGTGACCAGCAATCTGGGAGGTCGGGGTCGATCGCCGAAGCCCAAAAGTCCAAGATCCAATGAGTGAAGTGGGGGCCCCAGATCTATTTCCCGTGAGATACGGGGTCCGAGTACGCGGAGCGCTCGGTGGGTAATTGTTCTGATAGACCTACGGATAGGCTTTTGGGAAAGGTGCTGATCAGTCTCCCCTTTCGATTGGCGCGACTGCTGCGAGTACCGGTTCAGAGAGTAAAGGGACCTACTCAGTGAAACACCTACACCAGCTTCGCAGATACATGACCGACCTGTGATACTTCGACCAATCCTAATTCTCAGTGGCGCGGCAGAGATGATCGTGAATCCAAAACAGGCTAGAACGTCCGCCTTAATTCAAGTCAAGAGACGAATGTTCGGATACCTCCAGCCACCTTGCTGGTAGGGTGAATTGACCAGGTGCGATCGTCGAGCTGGCCATCCCTTTGAGCGACGGTCAGACATTTGCTTTCCGTAAGGGGCCTGTCTATCATACAAATGACATCTTCTTGCCTACAAGATTTTCGGCATAGTCTTGTATACTCGTAGTCACAGGGTTCGGCGTTGTTTCTGCGAACATAGGGTGTGCAAAATTCGCTATGATGACGATTCGATCTCTCAAGCTGGGAACTGCGCCCTCGATCCCAGCGAGCTCAGTATTACCGAGTTTCGTATTCCCATGGCCGATAATGGTGAGTGTATTGTACCTCTTGAGCTGCGCGCTACGGCCTCCATCTTCGTGTTGTGCCCCAGACAGAGAGGCATCTGTCAGTGGCAATACCCCTGGGTAGGAGGTAGGGGATGCGCCGGTGTGCACACCATAGAACGGGTTTCGAGAATGCCGCTGGAGCAAGGATTAGCTCAGGCTTTTCAGGTTGAGCTCCGAGCCTCTGGCTTCTACCGAGGGACATACGCTACTCCCAGGGACACACATCAAAGAAGCCTGTACAACCTGTCGAAGCCCTTCGAGGCCAGTCGACCTTTTTCACATCCCTCACACACGATGCACCCTGTGTGCCCTCAAAAGTCGCGTTGTCTATATCGGGCACGTCTGCCGAGGCACTCCTTCATATTCGCGTTTCCGCGTGCTACTCTCTTACATTGTCCTGCCTACTCCCCTTGCATCAATTGAACACATGAGCGTGATACATGATCATTGGGAACTTGCCTCTTGGTTGGCAGCCTTGCAGAATCTTAGGAGATGGCTATACAAGAAATTTCACTTGAAGATTGTTGAGTGGCACGGTTGAAATGGCCGGAATCACATCTCTGAGGTTTGGCCGTGTTCTTGAGGAGTACTTCCCCAGCACTGCTACGCCGTGAATTGCACGTCTACTGACCTGGTCGACACACTTTGCGGCGCTTATAGGCCTTTGGAAACCATGGTAAGTCACGCTGACACGCGACCAGCAGCTGAAACCTGGCCACCAATCCCTTAAGCGCCGGGCCAATGGTCCGCCACCACAGCCACGATGGAGTTGATAAACCGCCTGGTATGGCCAGAAAGTCACCTGGATGCTTCATAGCAGCATCTATAAGCATCATGTATGCTTCTTCATGCTATCGGATCGCTTCTCTTTCCTGACCAGACTCGAGTCAATGACATCGCGCGTATAGCCCAAGGATGGCGAAGTACCGCTCCTCCATTTAGCGCAAGACATTAAACCAACATGTCGAAAGCCTGGAAGACCTTGAGAAGGCGGGCAGGCCAAAATCCAACACGATCCATAAGCCATGACCGGAATGGAGATGCGACCGAGACGATTACTGAGCTTATTGAGAGCAGAGTACATACATGGAATTCCATCTGGCTATCCAGAGCAACGCTAGGTGTCATAGCAACAGTATTTGCATTGCTGGCGATTACCTTGCTCCTGCTATGGAGGTTGAATGAACGAGATGGCGGATTCACTTTGATCACAAGCAATCACTATTCGTGGACATACGGCCCCACTGGAATCCTGGTTATTGTCGTTGCATTCTGGCGACAAGTCGACTTCCATTGCAAGCTCATTGCGCCTTGGACCGTCCTAAAGAACGAGCAACAGACTGCTTCACAAAACCTGCTACTGGATTATGTGTCTCCTATACAGGTTACGGGTCTCATCAAGTCTTTCTCCAATCGGCATTACAATGTTGCGGTCGGAATCGTGGGTTTCCTCTTGCTGAAGCTGATCGTCCTTACATCAACAGGCCTGTTTGTCACTGTCTCAACACCTGTCCAGCAACAAAATGTCAACCTGATACAAACGAGAAGTTTCGACGGACTACTGGCCTCCCAATCTCCCCCACCTACCTTGAATGATTCATCGCTTGTGTACACAGCTTATGGAATCCTGTCTCGAGGGCTGGATTACCCTCTGGGGACATATGAAGGTCTCGCTTACGAGACATTCAAGCCGGAGACAGCTTCCGTGCTCGACAGCATGGCAATCACTACTACATTACATGCACTAATCCCTGTCTTCGAATGCCAGGCGGCCCCGATTACCGTCAATCTTGCACCTGCAAATACGACAGACTTGCACCCAAGCGATTCGCTACAACTTCAATTCCCAGAGTGTCAACTGCTCCAGAATGGCAACGGAACGCCTGTCTATGCGCTCAATCCGCAGCTTTTCGCATGTCCACCTAGGCAACTCAGTCCTTTGGTGCAGAGAATTAGCTGCTTCAACGAGACCGACGCTGCAACTGCAGACGATTGGCAGCTTCTCACCTTGGTTGATATGCGCTACAATCAGACACTCTCCGCCTCTCCAGAGTCAGACGCCCTTGGTGACAGCGTTGAGGCTTCTTCATGGTTGACCACTGTCACCCAAATTACAGGGATAGCATGCCGATCAACATACACGATGGAACGAGTCAATGTGACGTACGATTACTCGCGGAATCCCGTGAACGTTACCGTCACGCGTCCTGAATATGGAGCCAATCAGACCTTGGACGGCCTCTCCAATTTCGACGTCGGGACGTGGTTTACTGCGTCGTTACTTGCATCAGCTGACATGTTTGGCAACATCGTATTTGACTCCTACGACGAGCAATACCCCAACACAATGTTCGAGATGATGGCTCAAGTGGCGGGTGGTGGCTATGAAGCACTTCTGGACGAGAACACCATGATTCAGAGCGCGGAAACAGTTTTCAAGCAGGTTGCTGTGCAGTTTCTGAGCAAGTACATGGCCCAAGACGTCAAAACGCCACTCCAAGGTCAAGGCCATTACATCCAGGACCGACTGCAAGTGAACACTGTTTCTCTTTGGTTGATGTTTTCCGGATTTCTGCTCATGACAATCATCACCGCATTCATCATGATAAGACCAGGTCAATATGTTGTTCCGCGTGACCCGGAACCGCTCATCAGAACTGCGTTGCTTTCAAGCGCAAGTCCCGAGCTGGACAACATCCTCACAGGTTTAGGAGAGGCCTTCCAGGGACGCATGGAGGCGGCTCTGGAGAAACACAAGTTTGCAAGCATCGATTCCACTAATGATAGATCCCGAAGAACTTTCGCTATTACTGTTTTTGAATCATCAAGGGATCTGCTCGAACCGAAGCAGGAGTTGCGAGCCGCTTGGTGGAAGCCAATGAGCAGTCGACGCACTTTTGTAACCGTCACTTTACTGTTGCCTCCAACGATCATTGCAACTCTTGAGGTGCTTCAACGGATCTCAGACAACAAGTCTGGCATAACAACTGTCTCTGCTGAGAGTTCTCTGTCAGCGAAAGCGTCGACGCGATACCTTCCGGCTCTCGTGATGCTCCTCACCGCGACACTGTTCAACTCCGTCGATTTCACGATCGCGGTTCTTGCGCCATACAATGCACTGAAGTCTGGAGTCCGATCAGCTGAGTCCACAATTATGTGTACCATCGTTGGCTTGATGCCTCCTGCTGCTTTGTGGGTGTCCATCAGGAATCGTTATTGGGGTGCAGCTTTCTCAAGCATAGCGGCCTTGTTGGGTAGCGTGCTCACCATCGTCAGCTCCGGCCTATATACTATCGATTTCGTCCCGGTTGTGTCCTCAATGTCGATACAGAGGACCGATGCTTTCACCCCAACATGGACGAACAGTGTGCTGAATGATAGTGGCGCTGCGGTGCTGACCAGTCTTAGTGAGGGCTCGAATCTAACATATCCGCAGTTTACATTTGACGAGCTCGCTTTACCTGGGGTACAACTTGTGGGCGGGCAGTCCAAGATGTTCATCAATAGCCAGGCCAGTCTGAGCGTCCAGCTTCCAGGTGTACGAGCATCCCTGAACTGCACCTCACTTGAGGCGTTGCACTTCAACATATCAACATTCTACAACCCTGAGTCTGGGCCGAGCGCGTCCGTCAGTGCGTCCGCGCCACTTCCGCATGCATGCCCTTACGGCGGATCAGGTGGCAATCTGACCACCATGGATTTCGAACAGACTTTCCAACTTCCATTCACCGCCAACTCCAGCTTCGTTGCAAAGATGCTGGATATTCACGTTGGTCCGTTCGACCCTATCCTCGCATCGAGCTCGGGCGAACTAGCACCCACGACGCAGAACGACAACCCTCCTGGATGTCCATCTCTAGCCTTTATTTATGGATACGTCGATGTGAACGAGGTGTCTCAAAACGTTGTGACGACGCTCATGTGCTATCAGCAGATGGAACAAATCACTATAGACGCCACACTCGCGCTTCCGGACCTTGCCATTTCCCAGAATTCACCACCAGTCGCTAACGAGTCAACAAGCCTGCTTATAGCAAGCAGTTCTGACGGCGAAACAGCCTTTCCCTACCGTCTGGAAGTCCATATGGACAACGAGCTATCAATCTTCAACCAGACACAGTATAGTTCTACCAAAATCTCACAAGCCACAGTGGATGGGTTCTTCCAGGGAGTGCTATTGGGTAAGTATCCAATACCACAGGCTTGGCTTGCAGACTCGACACGCGTGACTGAGGTGATGTCCGCCATCCAGTCATTCTACAGACGGTACATGGCACAGGCTATCTCGGGGAACATGCGCGTGCCCACGCCCGCAGCGGATGCCGAACTGATTAACGGAACGGTGATCATGCCCCAGGGCATGCTACGGGTGAAACAGAACAAGAGTTCGAAGCTAGTCCTGCAGATATTGCTGGGCGTCATGTTTGTGTGCGGGGTGCTCGCAGTGTCGCTGTCATCTTTGAGGGAAGTTGTGCCTCACAATCCATGTACGATCGCGGGTGTGATGGCGCTCTGGGCTGGTAGCGCGTTCACGGCCCCAGAAAATGCGGAGACGGGCGGACATACAGACAGAGACAACGCTGTCAGAGTTGGCGACGGTGAAAGGCCTGGGATCCCGAAAGAGGCAATGTTCATGAGCAACAAGGAATTACTGCGCAGCAGTGCATTCGATGGCTGGAAATTCAGGCTTGGATGGTGGGATTTGAAGGATGGGAGCAGAAGATATGGCATTGATGCTGTGCGGAAGAAGGCCGATTGGGGCGAGTGGTGATGGCAGAAAATTGCTGGCCGAGAAAGTGCAATCAAAGCATCAGCATTTCGACGGTGGTTTCGCTTGGTTCACTTTCAATCTTTACTTGGGAAGTTTTGTTATGCTGTCTGAACACGCTATAAACGCATGGATGGATTTCTATCGTTAAAAGCCGTTTCAAATCGTTATAAATCCGTGCCGTGAGATTGTGTGACTCTCTATGTAAGAACAGTGCCTGGTGCAGCATGGTGGATGAATCTTCCAGAAATGCCTCTCCATAGTGCGATCCAATTGGCCCTTTTTGACATCCCCTCCAAAGTGGTGGTGTACAAGAATCCCCCAGAAATATGTCAAGCGACATGCTCTTCTAACCCGACTTTCAGAGCACTGGGCACTGGCTTAGTCCAGGTATGCCTCACCGATGGGGCTGGAGATGGAGCTTCCATCGACCAGGACGCCGTCGCTGCACATGAAGTAGGCGTATCGCTCGACAGCCGATTGGCCATCGAGGTACTCTACCGCGGATTGAAGGAAGGAGGCAACGTCCGAGTCCGATCCGGTGGCACCAAATTCAGTGACCCACACCTTGTCGATGCCCTGAGCGGAAGCTGCGTCGATGACGTCCTGGGTGTGTGATTCGAAGTCGGAGATGGAGCTGCCGTACCAATGAAAGGGGACGAAATCAACCTTGCACTGACCGTCGCACGCCTTGAAGAAGGCGTTGAGCCAGTCGATGCCCAACAGCGGGTCGGTTCCAGCACCGTTGGTGACGGCTGGAGCTCCGATTTGCACCTGGCCCGAAAGGGGGTTCATGTACTTGATGTGGTTGGTGGCAGCAGTTTCCGGGTCGATGTCAGATTGAGAGCTCAGGTCAGGCTCGTTGAAGCTCAATACGTGCTCAGAACCGGCCGCGATGGCAGAGGCAGCTGCGCTGGCCCAGTCATCGACAGCGTCCAAGCCCCAGAGCATAGGGACGTATTCGGCTCCGGAGACGATGCTACCATCGGCGGCGTTTCCCCAGTTGTACGCCCAGCTGATGCCCTTGCCGGCGAATGCGTCAGTCAAGGAGGCGGTGTTGTAGGACAGACCCTTCTTGCCGCTGCTGGAACTGCTGGAGCTGGATGTCGATGTGGCGGTCGATGATGCGGACGACTCGGTGGCACTAGCTGCATTGGATGAGGAGGCTGACACAGCAACAGTTGCGAAGGTCGTTGCGACGGCTGACGACACCGACGAAGCTTCAGCAGAGGTCTGAGCTGCCGATGAGGCACCAGCAGCGGTGTATGTGAATGAGTGTCCGCCCTTTCCGTAGAAGGCAGCGGCTGCTTGTGTTCCTTGGGTGGCGCTGGCTGAGGATGAAGAGTCAGAAACAACCAGGACTTCGCTGGCGGAGGAAGATGTGCTGGCTGATGTGACGGTAACAAACTGGACGGTGGTGGTGGTTATTGTGGAAGTCGAGCTGCTGGTGCATGATGTTGTGCTTGATTCTGCTGCCACTGCAGCATCGGCAGCAGAGACACTTGACAAGACATCGCTGGTCGATGCAGGGAGTGGGCTCACGGTGACAGTCGAGAGAGCAGTGGAGGACAGCGCAGAGCCTGCGAAGTCCGTGCCGTTGGTGCTATCGGTACCGTTCAATGGATATGTGCCTCCGGTAGGGAAAGCAACGCCTCCAGTACCGGTGCCGGTGCCATGGTGGAAGTGGTGGTGTCGTTTAGGATGAGCCAAGACGGCAGTCGCCAGGACCAGGATGGATACGATGCTGGAAACCATTTTGATGCGGGTATGCTTCCTTCTGCTAGAGTCTGGATAGAGATCGATTCGGATAGTGTGATATGTATGATAAGCCCACCGGGGGTGTTGTTTTGTATAGATGAATGCGAAAGCTGGTTGGTTAAGGAATGACCACGAGCGTAGCTCTAGTGATGAAAGACGAGAATAGAACAAGGGCTAGCCTTGTCAAAGTCGAAGGAAGGACTGAGGTGCAGTGTGTCGCACAAACGTGTCAAGAGCTCGCAAGAGGGAAAGTTTGCGTGTAGGAAAAGAGAAGAGAGAGATACAATGAAACGACAAGACCAACAGATATAAACTGGGAGGCTATGGTAGAGAGCAGAAAGTGGGCTGGAGGGGCCGAGCGAGCGATTTCCATCTGAACAGGAGGCGAATTGGCACGTTTCATGGTGGACGGTCGTGTCACGGATATCCTGGCCTGGCGAGTCGACGAGGTACCAAGGACTAGGAAAGGGTGCTGGTCTTTTGAAGATGTCTGGTGACATTGAGCTCGGACAGCAGGAGAATGAGCCATATTGATTCTGTCTGATGCAAAAGTGCCGCGTAGACAGGGTAGCATAGCCTGGACGGTAGAGCCAGGCCAGGTTGACAAGGCGGCGCGTGAGAATGAGGTGATTGGCGTGCAGTGCAGCCTTGGGAAGAGGAAAAGGGGAAGACGATGTCTGCGGGCCGGTGTAACTCCAGGCCCCTTTCAGCCTCCTGTCACAGGTCTTGGGTGAGGGTGGCCACTCAGCAGCCAGATCTGGACATGAAACAAGCCTACCATGGGCCACCCATGCAGGGGACAGACTCCAGATGCCAGAGTGGGCGTAGTCCAAGCCGCTACTGTCAGGAACCCGTAAACCTTGTCGCGTTGTCTTCGGGCGGAAAAGAAAACAGACCCAAAGCGTGGGAGCTCGCCAGGCACCCGACGACTCCTTCCCCGTGGCCACGGGATTCAATCGGATGGAAATCTCAGATGCAGCTTGAGCTTGTTTGTTCGCTTGTTTGCCTATCAGTCGTGATAAGCGAGGAATATACGAGTTCGATTTTGGCATAAAAGTATATAGACATAAGGCCATGTAGATCCATGGGCAGATCTCCAGTGTCACTGAGTCGCTGACCTCGGCGGTGTGTACGTGGCTGGCACCTTGGCCATGTATGGTGTACACACACGGTCAAGACATTATTGAAAGTCAAAGGGGCCTTTTCTTGCATTAGTTGTTCCTGGCTCCGGTGTGATAATGGAGAAGATACTACGTACTCTGATCCGGCCGGAGATGAGAAGCTCGGACACGTAAGCTGGCTTGGTGTGACTGAGAAAAGGTCTGTAGAACAACACCAAAATCCTATCCAGGAATCCATGATCATGATGAGCTCTCCGACAGTAATTGCCCTCAGGTGGTTGTTGGGATTTTGTTTGTTTCCCGTCGCGTTCACTTAGTAATATGATCCGTACAAAAGCACGCCGGGATCTGTGTAGAATCCATCCCCGCTTGTGTGCGGACAGAATTCATCCACCACAACTCCTGGCAATTTGCCTCCTGCGATTGAAAAGGGTTTATTCGCCGTGGTGTTCCATGGTTCAGATCTCATCGACCCGGCTATCTATGAAAATTTTCCTACTCACCAGGGTAGGGTCAAGGATGTAATATATATCATAGTGGTATTCTTGAGCACCGTCGATGACAACGAGGGATAACCTGGCTATTTCTCCTCCTTACGACCAGCCAACACTGCCATGACATCGCCTACGCTGTCTTTGTCGCCCTTACGCTTCTTTCCACCTCTCTTCCGACCAGTCTTCTTTGCAGCGCCCTCTCCTTCCTCCCACACAACACCCTCGTCGTCATCTTCATCTCCGAAGCGGCTCTCGCCAAATCCTAGATCCATATCTGCTGAATCTGCTCGATCCTGGTCCTTGAGCCGCGCCAATAGCTGCTTCTGCCTCGCAGCTTTCTCGGGGTCCAGCTCAGTCTGGTCATCATCATCTTGCTGTTGCTCCTCGCTTCGTCGCAACCCAGCCGCACGCTTCAAAGCAGCCAGAAGTGTCGGATCCTTCATGATGGGATTAGCTCGGTCGTTGTTTTCATCGGTTTGATTATTGCTCGTTCCGAAATAATTTCGTGGCTTGTCCTCGCCTGGTGCTGCTGCCTTATGCGCCGGCACATCGGCCTGCCTGGACGTGTCACCATTGCCATCCATATCATCGGAGTCACTGTTGATTCCGGCAAGCGGATCGTAGTCGCCCGCCCCGGCGAAAATATCGTCGTCCTCATCCTCAGCAGCTGCTTCGTCTAGCATAGCCTTTTGCTTGGCAAGGAATTCTGCGGGAACCTCCATTCCAAGAGGTTGACTTTCCCGCTTGTTCGGAACTGCATCCTCTGGGTCAAGCCATCGAGTCTTTCTTTTCGTCGTTCCGTCCTTGTTGGTAACGACAAGGACTTCTCTGCGACGCCCGTTCACTTCCTCGACAAACTTCTTCTTGTTGCTCTTTTTCTCCGACACTACCTTTTTAAACCTCTCATTGAGGGCAGGCGCTGGAGTAGGGACTTCCTCCTTGCCGGCACGTCTCTGCTTCAGTTGAGCCAAAATCTCGTCGCGAGTCATCGGCCGCCCTTCAACCGGCTCGATCTCGATTGACTCGGATTGTTGCTCCTTCGAACGAGAACCATTTGCTTCGACTTCTCTGTCCAGCACCTGGTCCAGTTCATCATCGACATCAGCCTTGACAGGCTCAGGAGCACTCTCTTGGCCCTTTGCAGGCTCACTGTTGATATCTTCTCCTTTCCGCACCCTCTCCAGCAATTTAAAGTCAAGGCCTTTGACCAAATGAGTACTGTTGAGATTGCCACCAATGCCAATCTCTTCCTTCAGTCTGTTCAATGTAGCTTCATCAATCTGTTGTAGCTTGTACATCTCTTCCAGCGCCTTCAGACGCTTCTCCTTGTCATTCCTGACCTCTTCACCATCGCCATCTACTCTCCGCGCCAATGTCCGATCCTGATAGCCAGAAGCGAATTTGGTCCCCTTCGGCGCGGCGCTCGATTTAAACTTCTTCGTCGGAGGTTGTCCGTCCTTTTCGTGTCTTGTGAACTCTTTGGAAGGATTGTAGCCGGCGACAGAGCGCGGAGTCATGGGCATCACGTTGCGGGATCTTGAACCAAGCGCGGGCTTCTTGAAATCTCCCCCTCTGGGAGACTCATTCTCGGCGCGGCCACTCTGGACAAGATTTCGAAATTGGGAGTTGTCCATTCCGGCAAAAATGTAGCTGCGAGCTGCGCCTACTTGGGCTGTTGGTCAGGAGATGGTATAATCACAAAAGTTCTGGATCTGAGAGACGATATTTCATAGTTTGGTTGACGCAGGCCGCTATCGATAAGGCACCTTCCGGGCTTAGATAATTTCATGTCCGTCACCTCCGAGTCGACCCAGGAGACTCCTTTTTCTTTCTACCAAAGTATGGGTTACACGTCTGATTCTTACATACTGTAAGATCATTATGGGGCGAAAAAGAAAGAACGCCGACAGAGGTGAGGACACGTCGGACCCGCCAACTAAGAAGCATATTTCCAGCACGCCAATGCCAGAGCGCGTACATCACTACGAGACAATTGATGAAGTACCGTGGGATTTGCAGAAGTGTGCCCTTGAAATTTGCACTTCCCAGGAGAAGGCTAACGAAGGTCTAGATACTGGAGTCAGGGCTACTCGATTTTCTCAAAATATGATGAAGGCATCTGGATGACCGACGACGCATGGTTCGGGGTCACGCATGAGTCTGTCGCGAAGTAAGTATGGATTCTGACTTTCACGAGGTCATAGCTGATCCTGCCCAGTACCATTGCGCAGCATGTGGCACAGATGGCACCACCCAACAAGTCTATCATCATTGACGCCTTCTGTGGAGCGGGTGGAAATACGATCGCATTTGCATTGTCTGGGAAGTGGAAGAGAGTCTACGCCATAGAGAAGGACGCTGCAACTCTGGCGTGTGCGAAACACAATGCAGAGATCTACGGTGTCGCCGACCGCATAACCTGGTTCCATGGCGACTGCTTCGAGATCCTGGGAGCTATGGACGGCCGGACGAGTAAGACTGTGGACGCGCTGAAGGCAATAGCCGGTCAATTTGGCATCATCTTCGCCAGTCCACCCTGGGGAGGTAATGTGCATGGGCACCTGTGATACTGTGCTTCTGACTGATTTGTTTTTCCAGGACCTTCCTATCGGAATGCCGACATCTTTGACCTCGACTCGATGGAGCCGTACACGTTCAATCACCTCTACCAATCCTTCAAGAAGGTGACACCCAATGTAATACTCTATCTGCCAAGGACCAGCGATCTCAGGCAAATCGCAAAAGCAGTAGACGGTAGCAAGAAGACTCAAATCGTGCATTACTGCACTAGTGGCAGTAGCCGGGCGCTCTGTGCATATCTGGGAGAATGGGAGACCTTGCCGCAATGAGAAGCGCGGCTAGAGCTTCTCGGCCCTCGCCAGCAGAAGCTTGTATGATAGGAAATTGATACCCCCATGACTCTGACAGTGCTCTATGTGTGTTGCCTGCAAGTACAGGACATTGGCAGTAGAGTGATCCGAACATGACAACGTGAAGCAAGGAGTGATGCGCGTAGACATGGTTGAGTATTGATGTTGCCAAGCCTAAATTGAACACGAGTCATGCGACCCCGACTTTCACTGCGGCCTTCATCGCCAAGAGTTCCAGTTACGCCTTCGTCCATGTAACTACTTACAGGCCATCGTGGACCGAAGAGGCCGCCTTTGCCCTCTGCGCAGCGTGTCACACATACCTGTCGTATCATCCGATGACTCACCCTTGACCGTCTTGAATACGATGCGCCGCCCGACGCTCGCTCTGCACACCTCTTTCGTTCCTTTCCAAACAACTCTTGATCACCTCTCACCTGCAACCGGCGACGGACACCATGGCTACAGACGTATATCAAGAAGCCGACGACCTCGATGGTCTCTTCGGTGATGACGAGGAACTGCCAGACTTTACCGCAGGCACGCCCCTCGACCAGAGTTTCAGTCTGCCTGCCGAGGCCAACGATGAACTGAGCGCGCTTCTGAATGAAGCTGGTGGGGGTGGGGAGGGCCTGAACTGGGATGAGTTGAATTCAAGAGAGTTGGAACAGGGAGACAAGGCAGATGACGCTGTGGACTACGAAGATATTGGTGATGACGACCTGCTGCCAGACGAGGAGACGACCCAAGATGCCTCCGCCGAGATCCCTTCAGACATGCTGCCTGGCATCGAGGACAGTGCCATGGACGGTCTTGACGATGACGATTTGTTTGGACCATCTAGTCCCATCCTGACCGCACACGAGCCTCAGCCTGTAGTAGCACCCTCGAAACCTGTGGAGAAGCCGGTACGGGATGCAGATCAAGAGTCGGATCTTGCATCAGAACACGACGATGATGCTATGCAAGATATCTCCATGCTTCAGCCAGAAGTGGACGAGATTGAAGATGCTCAATACCGCATACAATTGGCTCTGTTCGCACAGTCCGGCAAAGGCGTGGCCCCCATGACCGAACAAGAAAACATCGATGAATGGTTGAAGCTGGAATTTCCACGTCTCAAGCGGGAGGAAGCGCCTTACTTCAACCAGCTATTCCCACCAAGACCGCATAATTGGCCGGCCAAAGTGCCTCCAAAGCCACCCAAGCCAGTGCGTCCTACAAAAGTCAACCTGGAGATTGAGCAAGATCAGAAGACGGCCTTCAACTCGCTTATACCGGCAGTGGAACCTGAGCTTGCCTCGGACCTAGTTCGAACGCGGGAACCCGCGCCCGTGGAGGAGGTTGAAGAATCCTCCGAGGAATCCGACCTTGACGAACCCCTCCCTAATGGCCTGTCGATGCGCGATTTGGAGTTCATTTGCACAGACTTCGACACCCTTTCTCACATTGCAGCCTCGGATGATGAGGTACACGAGATTAGGCCTCGGGTTGTTGATGGTGACGATGATGTGTTTGGCTTTGGCGACTTTAACGATTTCGAGCAACCCCACAAGAAGCGTCGTGTCGGTCTTGATCCTCGTGATATCGTCCAGGTTCACCAGATTGATATACCCTCTTTTGACGATTTCGAGACGAAGACTGCCAAACTCGCTGCCAAGGTTGTGCTCGACTTGAACGACTCCGACTTACTGGTGGAAGAAGTCGATCCAGAGGCTCTAAAGGCCAAGGCCCGTCCTGGTGAGAAGACGACGAGAGTCCAGACACTGAAAGATCGTTTACAACAACGTTTCAAGACGTCCAACGACGCCGAATATGACCTCTTGAAACAAAATCACCAACACAAGGTTCGAGGACAACTGACAAATATGAATATTGAGCACTCAATACCTGCTGTCCGACTACAATATCCCTATTTCCAAGTGCGACTGCCTCTGCAGGAGCTCCGGAATTTCCATCGAAAGAAGATGCATTTCAAGTATCCAATCACTTTCTCCCAGCCGGCCAAGATCAAGCGAAAGCACCAAAAGGGGCGAGCTACAAAAGAACTCTTCGGTACCACGAAAGACATTTCTATGGCTGATAACTCTGCAACATTACTCCTTGAGTACTCCGAAGAACATCCTCTCATGCTATCACAGACGGGTATGGGGAACAAAGTTGTCAACTACTACAGAAGACGGACGAAAGACGATACAGCTAGACCGAAAAGTGACATTGGTGAGACTGCGGTTCTGTTACCAGAGGACAAATCGCCTTTCTACATCTTTGGCCAAATTGACCCGGGCGAGACGATTGCGGCGCTTTACAACTCCATGTACAGGGCGCCAATCTTCCAACAGGACGCCAACACCCAAGACTTCTTAGTGATCAGAGAGACCACTGGGACAGGAGGACAGAATCACTATCTTCGGACTCTTGAGAATGTTTATGTGGTCGGCCAGGAACTTCCATCGACTACGGTTCCGGGCACTCATTCTCGTATGGTTACTACCGCCGCCAAAAATCGGCTAAAGGCAATCTCTTTTCGTATTGCTCGTCGAAAGAAGACCCATCGCATTCGTGTCGAAGAAGTTACACGACACTTTCCAGACACCACTGATATGCAGAACCGTCAGAAGATGAAAGAATTCATGGTCTTTAACAAAGAACATAAGGAATGGGAGATGAAGCCTGGTGAGACGGTCCCGGAGGAAGAAACGATCCAAAGTCTCATTCGACCCGAGGATTTATGTTTGCTCGAGTCCATGCAGGTTGGTGCACAATATCTGCAAGATTCTGGGTATGCCGACAACGACGAAGAAGATGACGCTAAGGACGGCAACGACAACGATAGCATCGAGCAGCAGCTGGCGCCTTGGAGAACTACCAAGAACTTCATTCAGGCAACTCAGGGCAAAGCAATGTTGAAATTGTTCGGCGAGGGCGACCCCTCTGGCCGTGGCGAAGCTTTCTCCTTCATCAAGACGAGCATGAAAGGCGGGTTCAGGCCCATAGGAGGGTCGGCTCAAGATGCAATTACTCTAAAGAAAGAACTGGGCGGGCACAGCTACAATGTCGCTCGCCAGCAGAGGTCTTACGAAGAGTCGATACATAACATTTGGGACAGGCAAAAAGCGAGCTTAGGCTCGAAGATTGAGCCTTCGGACCTGGACATGGATGGTGATGTGGACGGCCAAGAGGATGGTTACCCTGGTCGAGCGAATCCGAGAGCAACACCGATGTCAGGGACTCAAACCCCAGCAACGACGCGACGTAGGGACGACGAGACCGCCACATCATTCAGTAGACGAAGTGTCGGCAGTCAGAGTCAGAGAGTGCTGCGAATCGTTCGCACAGTCATGCAAGATGGGGAGCGCGTTGAGCAAGAATACGTTGAGACGGATCCAGCCGTGATCAAGCAGTACATGAAGATCAAGGAGCAGGAAGAGCTGCAGTCTATCAGGTTTGCGAGCTACTCCTGTACCCCTGGAGGTTGCTTACATGATTACAGTCTGAGTGAAGTCGCCCCCACTGGCGACGCCGAGTACGACGCCCGGCAGCGGAAACGGCAAGACATCATTCACTCTCAGTACAGGCGTAATGAACTTGCTAACAAATTCCACAGGATCGAAGAAGAGCTCGCCAAACTCGAGAAAAATGCAGCTCGGCGGAAACAGCGTACCAAGAAAAAGGACACCCTTGCCGCGACCTCACCAGGCGGTACAGCGATGTCTCCCGACGCTGACGGAGCCGGTGGTGGCAAGAACACGCAACCCACGCAACGCAAATGTGCCAACTGTGGTCAAGTCGGCCATATTAAAACCAACAAAAAGTCAGTCAAGTGCCGTCATTGCCATCTCCCTTTTGATCGCAAGATTGGGTCCATGATGATGGATGCGCCGAGCTTCGAGTATTGATGGCTAGAGAGATGTGGTTGTACCCATTCTCTCCTAATCATCGATCTGGGCTTGCGCAGACCATTGGACAACAAACAGTCTAGCCATCCCCTGTCCGCTGCGAGGACATGGCTCAAGATTCTGATTCCCCTGATGGAGTAAAGAGCCAGCTTCCCCCTGTGCGAGATCTACCCGATATCTCGAAATGAGGGTTGCAACTGTTTTCCGAGTGAAGGGCCTTCCCATAAGGTTCCAACTTCAGCTTTCCCCACTGCATTGTTTGAGTTTCCCAGGTTCCACATTCACTGACACTTATCCCAAGATTATGCCCCTTGCTCAACGGCACGATCAAGCAAGAAGACGGTTACAACAATGCGGCCTTCATGGGCGCGCCACCAACGATGTCCTGATGCCACTGAAACATAGCACGAAGTGATGGCGTGTAAAGGGCATGGAAGAGGGGTGGCCCTGACGGTTTATGCCAACGTGGACGTTTGCCGTTATGGCATCACTAAGAGCCATATGTCGCAGCCTCCTAAGTTGGGCCGGCTGTCCTGTTCTCGCAGATGCAGGACCATGAAGTGTCACACTCGCTGAGCATAAACATGAATAAGCAATTCTCAAAATGATAATGGAATTGTACAAGACTTTTTGATTGTGCCCGATCGGATGATGACCTTTCCGACGAGTAGGAGCACTTCTATGTGAAAGCTAATATTACCTGAGTAACCTGAATACAACGGGAATCAGCAGTTGACAGCTATTCCTCCCAAGTTGTTTTCGAACCATGCACGCCGCTGAACGCAGATGATACACCAACAGAAGCCATTCCGACTCAAGACAAACCCGTAATAGAACTTTTCACCGTGTGGCAGACTCGTCAACAAACACAGTCAGAGTCAAACGACATCGTTGCTGACAACGACAGCGACCCCTCCCTTGCGTGCTCACATGACCATCAAATACACTTGCGTCAGCATCAGCTTATTTCACGCTCAAGCACTTGATGTCGAAAGTGAGTCTGCTGTTCTTGGGGATTCCAGGCAAAGCCTTGTTACCATAGGCCAAGTTCGCGGGGATGATCAATCGTCTCTCGCCACCGACTTGGATGCCTTGGAGACCAATGTCCCAGCCCTTGATGACCTCGCCAGCACCCAGCTTGAAGGAGAAGGGCTTGCCAGCCTTGTTGCTGTCGAACACCTTGCCGTTGTCGAGCTTGCCGATGTAGCGCATCTCGAGGCGGTTGCTCTTCTTGGCGGCAGGGCCTGTTCCAATCTTGCGGTCGTCGATGGTCACGCCTTGGACTTCCTTGACACTCTTAGTGGCAGCAGGGGCGGCAGCGGTCTTCTCAGCGGCCTTGTCTGATTTGGCGGCGGGCGTGCCTGATGGAGTTGGGCCTTGTTCGAGGTTCTTTGCGAACTGGACACTCTTCTTCTCTGAGCCGTTGGTGTCCTTCTTGGCTTCTGCGGCAGGGGCCTCGACGGGGGCAGCCTCGCCGTCGTTTTTCTTGAGCTTCTTCAGACGCTTCTTCTCGGTTTTGCTGAGTTTCTTGTCGTCGCCGTTGGTGGCTGGGGCTGCTTCGTCTTTCTTCAAGGACTTGGCCATGATGTCGTCGAGGTTGGCTTCCTCGTCGTCGGCGCTATCTTCAGCGGGACGCTTGTTCTTGCCCTTGCCGGATTGCTTGACGAGCTTGGGGATTTCCTCTTCGTCGGTGGCCACTTCGGTGACGCGGGGATCCTCGAGGTCGTCGAGATCATCGGATTCCTCATCGCCGGCTTCAAGAAGATCGAGCTCATCCTCGTCTGGGGAGAGGTCGTACTCCTGGAGTTCCTCGTCGTCTTCGTCGTCTTCATCATCGTACAGCGAAGCTTGGCCATCGTCCTGTGGGATCACGTAGTTGCCGGTAAGGTGGACGGTGTGGGTGCCGGAGACCTTGAAGAAGACTTTTTCACCTTCGCCAACGACGAAGTCGAGGGTTTGCTGGAAGTTCTAAGTATGTGTTAATATAATCCAAAGCGATGCAGGTGCAATGACAAACCTTTTCAGGATCCAGGGTGCAGATGACGACCTCGTCCATCTCGACTGCTTCATCATCGGAATCTTCCTCTTCGTCATCTTCTTCTCCGTCAATGGCCTTGCCCTTGCCTTTGACAGCCTTCATGATCTTGCGCAGTTGACGGATGGCCTCCTCGTCTTCCTCGTCATCCTCGTCATCTTCATCGTCTTCCATATCTTCGTCATCGTCCTCGGACTTCTTCTCGCTTGGACCACCGTTAACCTCCTCTTCATCGTCATCCTCGTCATCCTCATCGCCGTCAACGAGTCCATCGAGGTAATCTTCTTCATCAGAGTCTTCATCATCTTCGTCGTCGAACATGGAATCTGGGACTCGAACGAGCTTGAGAGTGGCGCGGGGAGCACGCTTGTCGTCGGCGTCTTCGACCTCAGGTTCGGCGCTTGGGTCAATAGCGGCCATGGTCAAGCGGAACTATGGGCGCATTGTCAGCACATAATGTGAGGCTATTGCATTTGTATTTCACTCACCATAGCAGCGAACTCGGGAACAGCAGGGACCATGATGTCCCCCGGAGGGACCCTCAAGGCGTAGACCGCCACAGGTTGAATGCCCGACATGTTGGAGGAAGGATCGCCTTTTGGCAAGAGAGTAAAGGGGATGCGGGTTGTGTGGGTGAGATAGAGATCCAACGTGAATATTTCTCTGCAAGAAATCGCAAGACAGAAACTTTTTGAATAGTGATTGGGAGAAATATGAAACTCGAGCTTTCAGACTTCGATCGCTGCCTCAGAAACCAAGCGGAGAAGCCGTTAAAAAATTTCTTAGAGCCAATGTCACTTAACGACGTAGCAGGCCTTATCGATAAAGGGACGATTGCCTAAGCGAGACTAGCCTAGTTTTCTGCCTGCGCCCGAATCTGGTCGATATGACGCGACTGGAGGAAGCACAATTCGCCTCCATCATATCAATTCACCAGCAACAATTTACTCAATCTTACTCCTGAGTTATTCTTACTCGAGTAGCGACGGTATTGACTTTTATGGACACGACGTTATGATATCGACTCGCAGCCCACCATGGGCTCCAGACTAGAAAAGAATTCCAACTTCGTGCGCAAGCGCATCGAAAGTCACACCTTCAGCGATGAGCAAGGCGAGGAATATGAGGGCTCCAAATTCGGCGGTTTCGCCGACTATATGCGAAGGAAGAAGATAAAACTGCAAAATCTCGATGCAGAACTTCGATCAAACTCTGCCGATAAACCCCCCATATTCCGTGGCGTGGTCGTCCATGTCAATGGCTATACCCAACCTTCCTTGAGCGACCTACATAACCTTATTGTTAGCCATGGAGGCGGATTCTTACAATATCTGGACGGCAAGACTGCAGTCACCCACGTTGTTGCAAGTCATCTGACACCTAAGAAGACCGTTGAGTTTGCGCGGTATCGCATTGTGAAACCGGCATGGGTGGTTGACAGTGTGAAAGCTGGAAGACTCCTCCCCTGGAACGAATACAGATTGGTAGATGAAGGTGTCACGCAGAAAGTACTGGGCTTCGAGAATGGGCAGGTCGTCAGTCAGGCTAGCACTCAAAAGCATGGGTATCGCGATCAATCCGACACGAGTTGGTACACTTCTCAATTACGGCAGCAAAATGGAGCTATCTCACGTCAAGATGAAGATCGCCAAGAAACACAGCCAGCCGAAGCGGACGCCGGTGCCGATGACATGCGAGACGACGAGCCAGTAGACTCCTTAGACGCAGAGTTGAACGATACTCCTGAACAATATGATGGTAAAGATACTGCGGCTGTCACAGAGGAAAGACTCTCGCACGAGTCTGGGTTCGAAGATCTACAGTCGAACAACAATGACCCTGTGTGGTCTATGGTGGTTGAAGAAGAGTCGCACGCTCAAGTTGACAGGACAGCTTCGCCTTCCGACCAGGCACATAACGCCGAGAAACGCCAGTTGACAGCCGAAGAGCATAATGCTATCTTACTCTCGAATCCGCATATGGCCAAATCCAGTACTGCGAATCCAGATTTCATCAACCAGTATTACCGAGAGTCGCGATTGCACCATCTCTCTACTTGGAAGGCTGAATTGAAAGCACAAATGCAGGCACGGGCCCAAGAGAAGGCATCTTCCCAGAAGTCCAAGCTATCACGCAGGCCTGGGGCGAGGAGGTACATCATGCACGTTGATTTTGACAGTTTCTTCGCGGCAGTCTCTTTGCGCAAGCACCCTCAGCTTGCGGATAAAGCAGTAGTCATCGCTCATGGCAGTGGTCCGGGTTCCGAGATCGCAAGTTGCAACTACCCTGCCAGGACTTTCGGCATCAAGAACGGCATGTGGATGAAAACGGCACTAGGCCTATGCTCCGATATAAAGGTGTTACCATACGACTACAAGGCCTACGAAGAGGCCAGCCGGCAGTTCTACGATTCGATTCTGGCCATTGATGGGATTGTGCAAAGTATCAGCATTGACGAAGCACTTGTTGACATAAGCGATCAGTGCATCAAAGCTGGTGGATCTGATGGCAGAGCTATCTCGGAAGGATCGCTATATCGCGAACAAGATATCGCTCAACACATTGCTGAAGCGCTGCGTGCTTCTGTGAAAGAAAAGACTGGATGTGACGTCTCCGTCGGAATTGGAGGCAACATCCTTCTGGCCAAAGTAGCTTTGCGGAAAGCCAAACCAGCCGGGCAGCATCTGATTAAGCCGGAAGAAGTTCTCGACTTTCTAGGCGACCTGACTGTTACCGAGCTTCCAGGTGTCGCTTGGAGTATAGGCAACAAATTGGAAGAAATTGGCATCAAATATGTCAAGGATATCCGAGCTTGTACTAAAGAGCGGCTGATCAATACTCTGGGCCCCAAAACCGGCGAAAAACTGTGGGATTATTCCAGAGGCTTTGATAAGCAAGAAGTTGGCGACCAAGTGGTGCGCAAGTCTGTGTCTGCTGAAATCAACTGGGGCATTCGTTTCATCAATCAGCAGCAGGCAGAAGAGTTCGTGCAGAGTCTTTGTGACGAGCTGTCCAAACGGCTACTCGAGCAGCTGGTCAAAGGAAAGCAGCTAACGATGAAGATAATGCGTAAAGCAGCCGATGCAGGGATGGATCCTCCGAAGAACCTGGGCCATGGCAAGTGCGACACCTTCAACAAAAGCGTGGTACTTGGAGTTGCCACGAATGATGGAGCGATTATCGGGAAAGAAGCCATCTCCATCTTACGCAGCTATGGCTTTCCACCTGGTGAACTTCGAGGTCTGGGCGTTCAGATGCAGAAACTCGAACCGTTAAAACCACTGATTGCAAGCAATACCGGGTTGTTAGAGAGCAGCCAACGGCGATTGCAGTTCAAGAAGCCCTTTGCTGTGTCCGAACTCCCCGAACAACCGCGGCCTCCAGCAGGCTTGCATTCTCCAAAGTTGAAGACTATAGAGGATTCTATCGAAGAAGTACCAACTCCGGAGAAAGCCAAACAGGAGACCATTCCGAGCGCTCTAGAAAGCGCCCAGGATGACGACCTGTCAGATCAGAAGCTCCTCAATGTGAGTGGAACACAGTTCATTCTTCCTTCGCAGATCGACCCGACTGTGCTGGCCGAGCTTCCAGCCGATATCCGGTCGAAACTTGCGCCAAAACAAAAGACGATTTTAAACAGTATCAACCGTGCAACACGCACAGATACGCCTCCTGCTGATCCACTATCCCGATCAGCGTCCCCGTTCCCGAACGAGGTAGAAAATGCTTTGCCACGTGAGAGTCAGCTAGATCCAGAGGCGCTTGCTGCTCTTCCGCCGGAGTTGAGGGATGAGGTCCTTGCGCAATACAAGGCACAAGAGACTGCAGATAGGAAGCCACGGACACTGACCTACTCGCCACAAAAGCCCAGATCCTACACCACATCAAGGAGAACACCGGCTACTCCGACCAAAAAGCAGAAAACTACAAGCCTCTTTGGCAAAGGTCGCTTCAAAAACGCTTCATCTTCCACATTAACACAGTCCAATTTTGTGTCTTTGGCCAAGCCAGTCGTTGGCCAAGGCGGAGAAAACCTAAACGACGCTGAAGAGATATCGGAGTCTTTCCTGAACGAACTGCCAGAAGACATCAGGCTTGAAATCATGGCAGAGCAGAAAAGGAACAGGATGAAGGCACGATCGGGCCTCAATTATGAGAGCGTTAGGAAGAAGATCAAGCCGTCTAACCAAAACGAGTCAACCACAGGTGGTCAACAAAGGTTGCAGCTCACAAGGCCACCAGAGAAGCCTACCTTTACGTCTCAAAGACTAAGTTCTCTTCCAGAGCTGCGCGACGCCACTTCCGCCTGGGTCAGGGAGTTCTCCTCAGATGGCGAAGGTCCGGATCAAGAGGATGCCCATGCTCTGTCAGAATATCTCAGCAAAGTTGTCACCGTTGAGAGGGACATGGCTAAGGCTGTTGCCGTGGTCAACTGGCTTGGTTTAGTGATAGAATATGAGAACTTCCCGAGCGAATTGGTTCGTGGCTCGTGGGAAAGTGCTTTATCTGTTCTCAAGCGAGATGTGCAGCTGGCCGTCCAAGAGAGGGGACTGCCTCCTGTTGTATTCGATTGTTGAGCAAGATATAGCTCGCTCTGTGGCTCGGTAGGTAGTTTCAAACTGGTAATGATGCCAATTTGGATTTGCTACGTTGCACCTTCCACTATCTTGAATGACGCTGGGCAAGTGCAACTTGCGTTCACCTTTCCCTTCCACGCTCTCTCCCCTTCTGGCTTCCTTTCCCTCTTCGTCATCTTCCATCTCCCACTCTTACCATCATCGCTCTCAGCCTTTCTTTTTGGACTGATGCCACACTTAGATCCACATTATTATGCTACATATGTGTAGCAGCAGAAGCAGCCCGGGACTGTGAAGCCAGTCATCACGGTGTACACAGTATGCCTTTCCTCAACGGCGTCAGTCGAAAGCGACGCCCGTCGTGCCCGACCCCAGCACCATCACCAGCGCGATCAGTGAGTTCGCCAGTATCCAAAATGCCTAAACTCAATCATCTGCTGTACGACGGAACAAATTCTCGGTCGATTGAATCTACCAGTACAGGACGGTCAAAGGTCAGTGTCAAGAATCAGTTCAAGAGACGGGTGTCCAATATCAAGACAATCCTGGGAATTGGAGGAAGACACGACGATGCAGACTTACAACATCATTCGGAGACTGTCTTCACCTCAGGCCATGGCTCACAGTTGGGTTACATTCTTCAGAATGACTCCAATGCCACCACTCTGTATCATCCCTTACGGATCCGTTTGACCGCTGTGGACGAAGCCCCTGCCGAGCATACGCAGAGTGATGCCCTCTCGACTGTAAAGAGTGCACCTATAACCCCCGAACCACAGGAAGACGAGAACTTGATACCGACCGAATGGCCAGGCTTCTCAGAGGACGTTCGACGGACCGTTCGCCGCAGTCAATCATTACCAGGTCTACACCAACGTATCACCCAGAAGTTTCATCAAGCCTTCGGCAACCCTACTGTCGTGCGAAGAACTGATTTGCGTTCTCGACCAAGTCTACAAACATTTGCAAACGACGCAACCGAGCCAATTTCAGCCCAATTGTCATCGGCCCCCTCCACTGTCAACAGTGGTACCGGAACCCCATACAATAGAGCCACATCAACGCCGTTGACCTCTATGCCCGTCACTCCGACCTCAATGGCTCGACGGGACTACATGAACTCATTCGACATTGACACTCAGACCTACTTTGCCGAAAGCCGGCTTTTGACGCCCATCCCTGAGACCGCTGCCCTTCCTACCGTCACAATCAAAACAGTGGAGGCAGCTGCGGCAGCCAAGGTTTTCTTCGAGATGCACTTCAACACTCTCCTGAATGCTATACCTGCAAGAGCACTTCGGCGTCGGGAACTAGAGGTGCGAATTCTTCAGCACCACCTACCTGTGAGCAGTCAATATCGTGCCAGAGCAGCATGGGCGCGAGCGGAGAGTGACAATCTCCGACAAAGTCGAGTTCTCAAGAACTCGGCAAACCATGAAAAAGCAAGCCAAGGCATCACTATCGGAGGCTTTGATGTCATCAGCGTCCTCGGCAAAGGCAGTTTCGGTGTTGTCCGTCTTATCAAGGGCACGAACAGCAAGGACATAGAGGAAGATGAAGACGCGGACGAACAGAAGAAGAAGCCACACCCAAAGTCATCAGCTTCATCGTCGAGATTGGCCAGCAGGGCACCAGGCGGCGTAGTCTTGAACAAAAGAAAGCAGCTTGCCAACTCCAGGAAGGAAGTCTTCGCTATGAAAGTGATTCGCAAGTCAGACATGGTTCGAAACGGCCAGGAGGGACATCTACGAGCGGAAAGGGATTTCCTTGTCGCAGCAGAAGGATCAAGATGGGTCATCCCACTGATTGCTGCATTCCAGGACCACAAGCATCTATATCTCGTCATGGAATACTGTATTGGTGGAGACTTTCTGGGTCTCCTCATTCGAAAGAACGTTCTCAGCGAAGAAATCACCAAATTGTACATTGCAGAGATGGTACTATGCGTGGAAGAGGCGCACCGAATGAGATGGATTCACCGTGACGTGAAGCCTGACAATTTCCTCATATCGGTGGATGGCCATTTGAAAATCTCCGATTTTGGCCTTGCCTTCGATGGTGAATGGAGCCATGACCAAAGATTCTATCACGAAAGCCGCCACTCCCTTCTAGGTCACTTGGGGCTCGACATTGAAGGTGATGAACAAGACAGACGCGAAAAGGAGCATAGGGGATCGAAAGACAGTGCCGCTTGCACCACCTCAAAGACTTCTCACAGAACACCTTTCATGGCGTCGGACTCCCGAGACGAGCCTATGATCGGCGAACCCATCGTGGACTGGCGAAATCGGTCCCAGCGTCGCCGCCTGGCACGGTCTGTGGTGGGAACGTCGCAGTATATGTCTCCAGAAGTCATTCGTGGAGAGATGTATGATGGTCGTTGTGACTAGTGGAGCCTCGCTATCATTGTGTACGAATGTCTTTACGGTTACACACCATTCGCCTGTGAAGATCGTCACCAGACCAAGATCAAGATCTTGCAACACAGAAAGACCTTGGTATTTCCGCAGACCGAAGGGACAAAAGAGCCCAGCATCGAGGCGTTGGATCTTATGATGCAGCTTCTCGTCGAGAAGGAGCGGCGCCTGTGCAGTAGGCAGTACGAAATGAACGACTTTTCGAGGAAGATTGTGGGAGGCAGGTTGGTCAGATGTGCTGCCGACAAACACAAACAGAACTACCAGGGTTATTTTGTGTACCCTGGTAATGCCGAGGACATAAAGCGACATCCCTTCTTTAAGAACATCGAATGGGACACGATTCACCAGCGTCGTCCACCTTATCTGCCGCGAGTGAAAGACTGGGTAGATACCAAATACTTCGACGAAGAAGAACCCATCTCCGATATCGACACCGCCACTACTGTAGATGAGGCGAATCTTGCTTTTGACCCAGCAATGGGTGAGCAGACTACGTGTCTGAACGAAATGCAGCCTCTCCTTTCCTCGCCTCGAGTCAGCCAGCATCATCACGAAGACCAACGTATTGTGCCATCTCTGGCAATCAACGTTTCGCGCAAAGATTCAGCTCCACGTGGTCTCACCACTCCAAGCCCCGACTTCATGACTGACATGAGAAATCCATTGTTGCAACCTAAAAAGCAAGGCTACTCTGGTGCAAATGGCCGCATGACCCCCGAGGATGTCCGTACAAACAATGGCGGCCAGGTAGATGGACCGAAGGAGGATACATACGTGGAAAATGTCAAGCCGAAAACCAAAAAGAAGGAAAAGAAGCGGCCAAGGGACATCATACTGCGTGATGCAAGTGCTGGTCATCAAGCTCTGGAGATTCGCAAACAGACTGCGTTTCTTGGCTACGATTATAGGCAGCCCGTGATGGTGAAGGACATTATCGACCAGGTCCTAGCCGAAGACGTTGCGGATATGAGACTTATGGACGATCGGTCTGCAGTGGAAAGTGAAGACCGTGACCTGAACTTTGAGAGGCAGGTATTCATCGACGCGGGCGGCCAGTATTTCCACAAGCCTGCAACAAACCTGTGAACAGCCTCTCCAAAGGGCATACGTGGATGGCTAGTAGTGTGATCGGTGCTTGTTTGGGCTATCGTCAGAGAAGGCACTGCATGTTGTTTTATTCTTATTCATGAATGCATAATTTTCCCACTTTCAAGATTGTACAGAGTGCATGCTTCTGCAACGTCACACATCCTTCATGAGGGCTGGCTGAGAAGCGCATCCAGTGAATACATTTGAGCTTGAGCCTCGTAGGGCCCAAGGCACCTCCTTAGCTCACAATGCCGTTCAGCGGCTTCTGGCGTTCCACCCAACCACCTATAAAATAGGACGGTATGTGTAGAATCTTTTCCTCGGAATCTCGGGCGCTGCAGGCTGTCATCCGCCAAGTTGACGTTCCGGTGTTGATATTGTCTTCACATCTCAGCACGCCGACCTCAACCGGTAGACAATGTCGACCTTCGCCATATGACCACTGCAGCGGCTCCTGCGCACACAACGGCCGCCAAAACCAAGCCATAGCGCATCAGCTCGCCACCGTCATCATCGTCGAGCGGCCGCGGATAAGCAGTCGCAGGATCTAGACCAGCCTCCGAAATGACCGCAAACAAATCCTGGATCGAAGGCCATGTGACGCTCGTGGATATCGGCGGGCCCTGAGGCATGCGCTGTATACTGGCAGTATACTCATCAGGCTGGAACTCTGCTCGCTGTGTCGTTCGATCCAAGTCGGCCTTGAGCGCGACGTATACTGCAGGTATATCTTCGAGGTAAGGGTACATCTTGCGTATATTGGGGATATAAGCGAACGAGTCTGGGTCGGAAGAGTCGTATGCGTAGACAATCACGTCGCATTGGTCCAGCAGTTTGGACTTGTTGTCGAGGACCGCGGCCTCGGATTCGCCTTGCTCTTTGAGGATCAGGTAGCATTGACGTCCGCCTGGCAGTTCAACCGTGTTGACGGCGACGCGAGGCTGAATCGTGGGCAAGTAGAGATTAGAAAAGGGGCGGGCGAGGAACGCGTCTAAAAGCGCGGATTTGCCGGATTGAGGGGCACCCAGGACGTGGGCTAGCAGGACGTTGCGCGATACGCGGGCAGGTCGGGTCCGGCGACGTTTGCGCGGTTTTGTGAGCTTGAGGGCGGCGGTGGTACTGCGGTCGGGCGACTCGAAGCCTAGGTACGCTAGGTATTCGAGGGTCGTTTTGGGGGATGTGAAGGTTGTCATGGACCATTGGGCTAGCCAGCCCTGCAATGTGACGTGGCCGGCGTCGTTGCGGACGGTGCAACTGGGGAAGTTGTTGTCGACCCATAATTGGGGGATACCTGGGGTCGGAGCGAAGAGAGAGGCGAGTTCTTCGTCACGGAGACCGCCGTCGTTGTCGCGGTCAGAGGTCAGGAAGAGGTCGACCAGGAAGCGGTAGCCGGCTGGGCTGAGCTCGGCGGATGCGAATTCGGGAACGTCGAATTTGGGGTGGAGGAACGATTCTTGCAGGGAGAGACTGTCTGTGTATTGGAATGTTCGGAGCATGACCCAGATCGTCTCGTGGCGTCCTTTCTCGGCGTAGAGCTTGTTCAGTAGTAGGAAGCCTTGAGATGTGATGCCTCGATCTGAGGCTGCTCCGTGGAGGTGGTGCTCGATCGTGTGTTTGATGTGTTGCAGATCTTCGGGGCTTAGGTTCTTGTCGAAACATTTGAGTTGGAAGTCTTGCATTTCTTTGTCGTTGAGGAGACCATCCTTGTCTTTATCGCTGAGGTAGAATATCCGGAGCAGAGCTGCTACGGCGGCTGGCTTAAGGGTCGACTCCTTAGCATCGAACAGGGGTGCGATGGGATGTGTGACGGCCTTTTGGCACAGGAAGAACGCCTCGTTGACGTTGTGGTGTTCTCGGGCGCTCGTTCGAATGCAAGAGTCGATCTCCTTGAACTCGGACATGACGGGCAACATCTCCTCCTCCATTATCTGTGCGGATGTGCTGCTTGAGACCAGGTCCGACTTGTTTGCGCATAGTATGACTGGGAGATTGACTCCGAGGGAACGAAAGTATGGTAACCAAAACAATGCGACTCTTTCATAGCTGTAGGGATCTGAGTAGACCAGCAGAATGACATTGGACCTGCGCAATTCGCGGGCAAGGTTGGCACGATCTTGTGGGAGAGCAGAAGTGTCGACGATGGTGGTGGTGACATTTTCGGGAGTGCCCAGGGTGGGAGGGATGGTGATTTGAGGGAGGACGGCTTGAATTCTGTTGCTGATGAAGGTATCTTTGACCAAGGACGTGATAAGACTCGACTTACCACAGCCCTCGTCGCCGCAGACGCATATCCTGACGGTCGCCATTGGAGGGCTGGTACAGAACGGGAGTAAAGACTTATGCCTGTGGACTCATGCTTCAAGCAGCCTCATACACGCCGACGTTGTGGCATGGTCGCAAGATACATTACTTGGCTGGCCCCAGCCTAGCCGTGCGCAAGGAGTGACTGTGGATAGGAGGAAGTCTGCTGTCGTGTTGAGTGCAAGCAAGAGTTTCTAAACAATGTCCGTCTCGCATATCAAACGCGTGGTGTTCTGCCGAAGATCTGCCGAAGATCTGCCGCAGATATTACACGAATTTGACGAGAAGCAACATTGGCATCTCAAGGCGACTTGTCTCATACTCTACATGTCTTGATTATAGTGATCATAACTTCACCTCTCTGGGCATCCCGACTTGCCCACTCTTCCATCCCTTCTCTCTCCATCTCTTTCCCCAGATGCCGTTCCGTCCAGGACTCATTATACCGTTGGGATCCAGCGCGTCTTTGATGGTCTCATTGAACCGTCCCAAAGCGCCGTTGCCCCATTTGTAGGTGCCGGCTACTTGATCCATATACAGAAGATGTGTCCTGTACTCTCCATACCCCTTTTTGGCACCTTCATCGATGAGCTCCCGCATCAAGCACGCGGCACGACGCTTGCTATCGGCATCCTCTCGATCAAAGACGATCTCGGAGATGAAATGCATCTCGCGACCAGCAACGCATAATGTGCTGAACGAGTCGAAGCCCCATTTTGCATAAAGCCGCTCTGCAATGTCCATGAATGTCCGAGCGTGTTTGCCGGTTGTCGGCAGGATAGGACTGCATGCAATGTGCCCGCCATTGGGGAGCCAATTCAGCCAGTCGAGTTCTTTCAACACCGGCTCGCCTTTGTTGACCTTCGCCCGGTCGTGGAGGTAGTGGTCATCGGGAAGGTCGGAAGGAAGGTAAAACTTGGAGCCTGGGACTTTGGCGAACGTCGATTTGATGAGCTCGAGTTGAGATTTAATGGTTGCTTCGTCGCCATACTGACATCCATAGAAAATCCAGCTTACATTCCCGAGGGGCAGTTTGGCTGCTTCTCGGTCAATGACGTCCCGTGGCAATCTTCCCGCAGTATTGCTCCCCTCGGGCCAGAAATGGCTCCTAGGTTTGCCGGTAACGGCGAGTTCCTGCACCACATGCCGAATCTGTGGCACGTTTCCAAAGACTCGGCTTGCAGCCAAGGGTCCAATCAGGTCGACGAGTTGCTCAAAGTCTTCTTCTCGAGGGAAGGTAACTAGGTATGATTGATTTCCCGTGGCAGGCATGAGCCAGAAACCCATCTTGGTCACGATGCCAAAATTGGATTGACTGAACATTCCGTCGACGATGGGACCATAGGCGTTTTGAAATGATTGCCACGTCAAATTGTCAGTGTCATTCTCACCTGGTAAGGCGCCCATGCCGGTACGTAGTAGACTGCCATCTGGAAGGACGATCTCGATTCCGCAGTGCATGCCGAAGTGGTCGCCGTACGGGGTGTAGCCGACACCACGGTCCAGTGCATTTCCCATGACACTTCCTCCACCCAGATCAGGGCAGTCGATCCACAAGGGAAGTCCAGTCTTCTTGACGGCTTCATAGAGTGCGAAGTATGAAACTCCGGGCTCGAGAAGGCAGGAGTAGTTTTGACCGTCGATCTTGAGGACTTTGTTCATACGCTTTCCAAGGTCGACCACGACAGATCCGGATACTCTCGGCGCCGCACCTCCGTACCCCAAGTTTCGTCCCATAGATATAGGGTGAAGGGGTATCAAGGTGTCGTTGGCCCATCGAACAATAGCCTGGACCTCTTCGACTGTGGACGGATATACCACTGCGCTGGCGACGAGCGCTTCCTGATCTGCTACGTGATTGCTGTCGTGGGTATTGCTGGGAAGATCTTGTCAGTGGCAAACAAGTGAAGGTAGTGGGAAAACAACGTACGGATGTTCCATGTACCAGCCATCGACAAGAGCTCCATCATTGACATGTACCCATTGGTCGCCAACAGCGGCCTTCAGTTTCGTGATGGCTTCATCGAACTTCTCCTGGGTTGTGTACGGCGGTAATTGTACTTTTCGGCCGCTACTGCTGGTACTCTCAGATTTGGTTCGGCGCGAGAACAGTAGTTCCTTTGCTCTCTGGGCCTGTGTCGTCAGCCTCGTCGGAACGCCGCTATGCTTTTCCTCCAGGGTAGGAGTGGCACTAGGACTGGTGGAAGCCATCACGATATGAGGAGCGGAAAGATATGAATTTCAGGTTGGTGATTTCGAGGGAGGCGACAATATAAGGGCCCCAGAAAGGGACCCTTCGAGATATACCCCATGTCCGGAAAAGATCCATCATCCAGACACACCATAGTAGCCGATTTCTGGGGCATCGACAGACGCCTCTCCATACATTGCTATGGACTCTAAGTTATCTTAGCCCCACACGGCACACCCCAATGTGGTGGGGCAGCGGAATCGAGGCCGTCGACGTTGAAGCAGATGCTCTTATGAATCTATTCTGCAATATCTGACAACAACAACTCAAGTCTGTGTAAAGTCGACAGAACAAGGCACCACCAAGAGCAGACGGTAAGTGTCGTCCTTACCTCGCTATTCTGTCTTCCTACGAGCTGTTCAATTTGCTCTTTGAGGACTCCATGGCATGGTCCTGACCCTGCATTGGAGTACGAAGCCTAAGTCCTTTATCCCACACAACACGATATGAGGAAAGCTTATCCTTTTTCGCCAGATGGCTGCGGAAGCCGTCGAAACCCATCAGAAGGAACCAGACCCCTCCCAGGATTCCCATCAAGAGAAAGTTGCGAACCCAGGAATGAGTCGGGATGAGATGGGCCCCAACGAGCTGAAATCCCAGACCTGAGTTGATCCAGCCCAGACAGATCATGACTCGACCGACCCATCTATGGACATACGCAAATATACTTTTCTTGCCTGTCCGCTTGAAGTATAGGTGCTGAAGTATTCCCATCGCTGGCTGAACGACGATGATGGTAGATGTCACCAGCAGGCCCACCACGACATGCGCCTTTACTGGGCTGAAATAGTTCAGGTCGTTCTTGGCAATGTCTATGCCCAGGCCCATGGCGCCGATCATCATCGCGAGACCGAGAATCTGGATGGGGGCGTGGATTCGTGTCACTACGCGGACGCCTTTGAGTGGGAGATGGAGAGATATGGCAGCCAAGGGGAACAAGACGATCTAGGTGTTGTCAGAAAGCTGTATCGGTGGAAAAAAAGGATATAACGAAAGACTTGTGCTTCAACGGCACAGTCTTTCGCAGGCATGAGTACTTACAAAGACAATTGACATCATGCAGGCGTGAGCGTTGCGCTTGCGGATGAATATCTTGTAGCTGTCGTCGAAGAATGCTCGCTTGTCGATGTGGGCGTCTGGAGATGCCTCGGACTCAATCATCGCTCCCAGCACCGGCACTGTGGGGTTGGATTAGCCATGCTTGATGCGACGTAAGTCAGATTTACCTGTCAGGGTGCACAGGGCAATGGCCGCGAACGAGAATGCCTTCATCCTTTTGTGGTTGCAGATTCAGAACAAGATAAGGAGCCTAAGAAGATGTGTCGAAAGGGAACAACGAGGGGTGGTAGCGTCGAGATCGGTGAGATGTCGTGGATTTTCAGTCGTATACAGGAGCTTTATATCAAATCAAGACCCTACCCGAGGAATGTGAAATATATCGCGCATGGCAACAAGGTGAATTCCTTCGTATTAATGACTGATCACTTGATGAAGCTGACTTCCCAAATGACGAAGCTTGAGATATTGCGGCCATACTCCGTACATCTGTCTGAGGGTACTGGTCACTGACACAGACGGATTGGGTGGTCAGGAGTGTTTCAACAGCGTAAGAGACATGACTATAAATAGGCGCCACGAGGCTGTCGGTCAATCCCCGGCAATGAAATGGGCAAAGTATACGGGGTAGCCTCGTAAAGTCAGCAACTTCAATGTCGATAGGGACTCATGACCAGCGTCCGTTAGAATCTATGAAAGAGCGGCAGCCCTTCCGAATCCTTCGATTTGAGGCTGGAGAAACTCCAAAACCATGGGAAGCGCTTTGATTGACTCGTGCGCTATGCCCGGGACAATATCCAGTGCGGCGTGGATTCCATGACTTTCCCACGAATCTCGCAGCCTTGTCAGGGCGTCGAGTCGCCCTTCTTTCATGGTCTCGAGACCTGGATCTTGATGAGCTTGAGGATCTATTGCTCCACTTTTTCGCAGGTTGGCTTTCATTTCCTGGACGAATGCCCAGAAGTCATCGCCGCCATGGATGTAGTTGTCCTCGGACCCAACGTTCAACTGAATCGGGATGACCTGAATCTTTTCGATGTCCACCATAGTCCCAGCGCCAAAGATGCTTTCAATGTTTCCGACCCCTCTTGGCCATTCTTGATCACTCAGGAGTGTCGCTCGACCTGGGGCACCAATGCTCACAGCCTTGACTCGCTGAGGGTGAATGTACAAAAATCGGAGTGCGAATTGTCCGCCGCCAGAGAAGCCGGTCAGGAAGATCTTCTGGGTGGATATTCCTGGCCAGACAGCCTCAATCTCGTCCAAAATGTCCAGCAAGACGAGGTCTGAGTTCAGCCCTTTCGCGCGTAACACCTTGTAGCCATCGAGGCCGGACGGTCCATCGCTGCCTGCCGGGAACAATGGTGCCAGGACTGCGACGTGCTCCTTGTCGGCGAAGTCGATGAGTCGATCGCGGCAGTTCTCGGCATTGCGTCCTGTTCCATGAATGCTGACAATTAGGGGAAGACAGGGGAGGCTGTATGCTGGATTCCCGTCGGTTGTCCGACTGGGATCAGGATTGTATGCATGAGGCGGGATGTATAGAGTGTAGCAGACACTGGGATGGGAACGGCAGGTCCGAAACGGGATTTTGCCAACGAGGAAAGCAGACTTGAGGAACTGAGGTGGGACTTGGGCTGTTGAAAAGGTATTGAGATCTGCCATCTCACGAAGAGAGCGGTGACTGAAGCACTTGGGAAGGATATCTCATAACATCACGCAAGAAGCATAAACAACAGGTAGCAAACGTCGAAGCTGAAATATGTAGGTGTCCTCAGCGAAGTCGAATAAGGAATGCGAATATCGGCCCTGGAGATCAAGAACGTTGAATGGACGTTGTTTGTACATTGCTTCCTTCCTACCTGTGTATTCCTGTTTGAGTCGTCCGGACCTGCAGCCTTTCCTCGAACGCGCCATCGTGTAGCATCCTCTCCATCTTTGAAACTGAGTGGGTGCTTATCAAATGTTTCTTCAGGCTGCCAGTGCGGAGAAAGACAGCGAGATGCGGGCAACTAACTTATAAGGTACTGTAGGAAAAAGTGCCGCAAGATGACGACGGAAGTGATCAACGTAAGTTCGTTCCATTACACAAGTAACTTTCAGCTTGCACAGCCTGCTCTCAATCAACCTCTACTAGTTCACAACTCTCCGCGCCCCCAACACATCGAGATTCCTTGTCCGTCGTTACCCTCGTTATCGCTGCCCGTGTCCTACGCCGTTCGTCTGAACAGCTTGTACCATCTATTCTCGACGTTGCGCAGTCCTACGTAGGATCGACCTCTTCCCCACGTTCGCCCAGCCCGTCGGCTTCCGACTTACACACTTAACAGCGAACGCTGCTGCCTGTCTACAGATTCCGACCTGAAGTGGAGAATACACAGTACCTCAGAAAAGGAGTTGAGGGAGCAGAATAATACATCAAGATGCCATTCGGTATCAACAACCCACTGCCCGCTTCCATGCGGAGTAAGTGCTGCCACAATCGTTTGGAAGATGTTCAGATTCTGATACAAGTCCAGGCGAGTGCAAGAAAGCCGGCAAGATTCTAGCATCGTTCGTCGACCCCAGACAGAGCTTTGGCCCTGATAAGATCATCCCCCCTCAGATCTTGGGCAATGCAAAGGTGCGTCTGACCTTCCCCGAGTCCACCACAATGACAAGACAAAGGATGACACTCACACTCCCCTAGGGCCTTGCCGTCCTGACCGTCTTCAAAGCTGGCTTCCTAGGATCAGGCCGACTCGGCTCGGGTATCGTGGTAGCGCGACTGGCAGACGGTACATGGTCAGCACCGTCAGCCATTGCAACAGCCGGCGGTGGTTTCGGAGGTCAAATAGGTTTCGAACTGACCGACTTCGTCTTCATCCTTAACGATGCCGCTGCCGTCCGCGCTTTCTCCCAGTCAGCCTCAGTCACACTCGGTGGTAACGTCAGTATCGCAGCCGGTCCTGTCGGTCGCAACGCAGAAGCCGCAGGCGCGGCGAGTCTAAAAGGTGTAGCCGGCGTCTTCTCATACAGCAAAACCAAAGGCCTATTCGCAGGCGTCAGTCTGGAAGGTAGCGTGCTGATCGAGCGAAAAGATGCCAACGAAAAGCTCTACGGCGGCAGGGTCTCAGCACGACAGTTGCTCGAAGGCGCCATCAGACCACCCCCAGCAGCCGATCCGCTAATGAGAGTGCTAAATACACGCGCTTTCTCGGGCGCCGGGTACAGCGATGCAATGTACAACGACGTGCCCATCTACGATGATGCACACGACGACGTCGTCTGGGAGGGACGAACCGGCGAAGCATTCGGTGCGAGTACTCGCAACAACCGCTCATCAACCGTTGGATCTCGAGACCAGTCAGACAACTACGAATACCGCGATAACCCTCGTCGCGCAAATACCTGGGCCGACGATGTATACGACCGAGTACCAGGACGAACCGAGAGTTTCCAAAATACTCCGACCGGCAATAGAAGTCGGTCAAGCACCCTGCAAAACGACGAGTACACATATTCCGACCGGAAACCGACCAGACCTACGGCGCCGAAACCGGTCTTCAAACAGCGCACAGGATCTGTGGGACCGAATCAGGCGATAGCGCTGTTCACATTTGATCCAGACCAAGATGGGGATCTGGGATTCAAGAAAGGCGATATCATCACCATTCTTAAAAGGACGGAAAACAAAACGGATTGGTGGACGGGACGGACGCAGGATGGGAAGACTGGCGTTTTCCCTTCGAATTATGTCGAGACCACGACTTGATTTCTTTAAGAATAGGCCAGGGGTACTTGTTCTCGAAACAGCTTGATACCCAGTTTTTGTTCCTTGATGTCTGGCTCATCTAGCGTTGGAGTTTAGTATATACAAAATGCAAGCATGTTAATCAATCTTGAGATTGATGAACGTTAACACAGTTATATTGACTGTTCTAAAGGGATATCTCATTTCAGCATTAAAAAAAGGAACGACAATTGTGCTGAGCTGTGGCAGAATGCTGGACTCCATCAGCCAACGTGGACGTTCAATCCAATCCATTACGACCACGGCTTCTAGCTGTCCACCTGTCTGCTCCGACCTCTACTCTTCAACATTTGGCCCACCATGAAGTGATTGACATCCTCGTCCGCCCAGTAACTCAGGTGACTGGCGATACTGGCGAGGAGTGATACATCAAACATGCCCTCCTGGATATGGTAATCGACACGACCATTGCTGTTCAGCGCTCGAACCTTGGCCTCTTCGCGCTTGAGTTTGCGTTCACGTTCTTGCGACGTTTGAAACTCGGCGGATGTCCGCTCGGCAGGGTCTTCGGTTGAGCCTCTGGACTGTGATCGGCGACGTTTCTGGAAGCCTGCAAACAATGTCTCTATCTCGGAGTCGATGAGCGTAGGCGGTTGTTCGCTTGATGATTTGGCTGCGTCGGCTAAGTCCTGCTGTCGCTTGCCGTCGGCAACAGGCATGGCGAGAGGAACATTTGGACCAGCGGGATTACCAGGAGCACCGACCAACGATTTACCTTTGTCTTGGACTAACGCTTGCTCTTCACCAGTGATGCCCAGACTCCTGTTGATCAGGCTGGATGCCACCCCAGAGGTCAGGTTGTACCAGCTCGACATGACCTGTTGACCGAAACGCGCAGAAATATTCGAAATCCCTGGGGCAGCGAAAAGGCCTTTCTTGGTGTACGGAAGAGCTTGAGATCTGAGTTGTGCCATAGCCGGAGATATGAGTGGTTCCATTCGATAAGCAATGGGATCTGTGGGATGAAAGACATTGTACAATTCGTTGCACTTGGGCGAAGAAGTGGTAATGGGAATGAGGCCCCCAGTGTTGGCGGCTCCTGGAGGCATCAGAGATTCAAACGGGTCGTTCTTCATATGGTCTGAATCGAACGGCGACATCGGAACAGCGGCCGATCCGAATGTTCCAGCACCCAGGGCCTGTCGACCTGCAATAGTCCTGCCTTTCAACATCTGAAACATCGCAATCGGAGAGCCGAGGCAGAAGAAATGTTCCACGTCGAAATCCAAGCGAAGATCTTTCTGTTCAACAACTTTATTATCTCTTGATGTTCGGCTAGACACTCGTCGAGGTCTTGTCCTAGCGGTCGATTCTTCTTGACGGCAAAGAATGTCGAACAGAATGGCACTGCCTAGCGAGTGACCACAGAAGGTAACTTTTCCAGAAAAGCCTGTTCGTTCTTTGAAGAGTTGATGAACCCGATTGCACTCTTTCTGCACGATGGTGGCAATGTGTTCTCTGTATGCGCTTTGGTAGAGAAGGACGTCCATTGCAAGATCCGTGATCAGGTTGCGGACTGCCGGAACCCCTTCAACAGTGATGTCTTGCAAAGATGGGTATTCTTCGTCAAATCCATCATCGGCATCTCCTAGGTCGTATTCCTTGCGATTCTGTTTGAGACTTTGCTTGGGGAAGTCCAAAAGATGCCGCCAGCAGACCGGAAGAACCTGGACCCTGCAATTCTTTGCGTCGCCGCTCAAGGCTTGTAGATCCGGAGCCGTCGCGTACACTGCTTTCATGGTCTTTCGAAGAGTGTTGACATCATGAACAAAGTTGATGCTGTCTAAGCGAAGCCCAAGGCGTTGGCCGATTCCATGGGTCACCAATACCAAGTGGTCGATTTGTCTCGCTTGATCTTCTCCGTCCTTTTCTCTGGCATCCTCCATTTCCTTTGCCTCTTCCCGAGCTGTTTCTTCTGCCAGATCTTCCGCGTTTTCAGCCTCTGGCATACCTGCCAATGATGAGATTTGGCGTTCCAACATGGTCCGCCGAGGTTTAGCAGGTTGCTGTTCGGTTTTGTCCTGACCACCGGCTTCCCCCAGTCTTTCTGGTGATACTTTTGCTGATCTTCGTTTTTCTTTTGTACTCGCAGCCTCCGCAGCTTTGCCATCAGACTTCACCTCGACAGGTTTTGGATCTGCAATCTTGGTCTCTGTCCAACCTCGAACGACCTTGGTCCCTCCATAGCCAACAAATTTCCCATAGACTGTGGTGCTCATACGTGACAGAAAATCATCCATGGTCAAATAGGCAACAGCGGTGCCATCCTGATAAGTCACAGTGGTGTTCATGTGAGCCCCAAACAATCGATAGGTGTTCGAAAACGGTGGCTGATTGTCATCTTGTGAAGCAAAGTCCTTGCCGGATGACTGGGGAGCGCCGTCTATAACCTGTGAGGGTGGCCGACTCCGTGGTTGCGAACTTGAACGAGGAGTTGTCCGAGGAGTTGTCAAGCCTAATCTTCGCCAGGGAGTGAGCTTCAAGTAGCCTTCCTCTAACTGATTGGACAGATTTTCATCGCAAGGCATGCCATCGGTGTAGAACCAGCTGCCTCTACGAATTTCGTAGACTGGACCTAACCAGTATGCAGGTTGCAGTTCACGCTTCTCAATGTGCACATCGAAGAGATAGTCTTCATTGACCGGCACTTTAGTGTTGGTGGGTTCGGAACTTTCAATGTGATGTCTGTCGTCCTTATCGAGCGACTGAAAAGCCTTCTCAATGGCTTGGGAATCTGAGGTTGAGAAGGGGACCAATTTCTTTGGGACTGGTGGTGGTTTTGCCTTATCATCGGGTGCCGCCTCCGGAGCAAATGGTTTCCGTTTAGCGACGTCGACAGCGTAGAACCATCTTGTCTTGAGGGGTGGACAGTCTCTTGGATATTTCCGGAGACTGGGTGAAGGCCGATGGGTGATAGTATGATCCAGACCTGTAGAAGGTTTCAAGCCTGGGATCTCCTCTGTTGGTTTCTGGGAGGGTGATGGAGGAGCGGGTGTGGCGCTTCTGCTCCAGGATGCGATTGAACCGAGTAAAGATGCGGAAGTCTTGCTAGCATCAGCCATGCCCTTACGGACAGCCCTCAGCAGGGCGGGAAAGCGATCCAATATGACGGCATGTAAGGTGTCCTGTTCGAGGGCTTGCGCTGAAGGCAGCCAGGTGAGCCACTACTGATAGACGTTATGCTAATCTTCTGTGGATTTGAATGATGATCCACGCTGTTGCGATTTTGGAAGGGTTGTCCTTCACTATCGTCGTTGCCTTGTTTCGTGATTGTTTTCGGATGTCACTTCCTGGAGAGGTCAAGCGAGCCTTGCACAGCCACATACCCAGCCACTGTATCCTCACGTGTCCGCGCGCCACACCTTTCTTTGGTGGGCTGTGGCATTCTCTCTCGGTGGCTGCGTCATTGCTATGCGCAGCGCAGCCCTTTCTTTAGGCGTCACGTCCACTGACAGATTTCTTACTAGGTGAGGCCCAATAGATCCGCTTACACTATATTGCTTGCGACGCCGAGTAGGCACCACCATTAGGGAATTCTTCATTTCCCCAGCCTTCGCTCCTTGACATCGTGCGTCCTTCTACATCTGAACGAATTCACCTCCTCGCATTCTCAATCAAAACAGTCTTTGACCCGTCCTCCACGGGCAATAGTCCCGCCTCACCCGACAACCATGGCAGCTATACTCAAACTGCAACGTAAATATCCTCAGTTCCAACAGAATGAGATTTTCCAGCTTCAAGATGCCTTTCGGAAACTCGATGTCGACGACAAAGGCTACCTGGACGAATCCACTGCGATCAAAGCGACCCAACAGTCCGAGAGACAGTCTTACGATACAGTCAGACAGGCACTCAAAGAGGTGGAACTCGACAGCTCGAGAAGGGTAGAACTGGAGGACTATGTCGACCTTGTTTCCAAAGTCCGCAACTCGTCGCCGGCACAACAGCGCACTGCTCCTACCACTCCCCAAAGACCGGCCGGCAACGGAGGCCCCTCGCCTGCGCACGCCTCCAAATCTAGTCTAGGAGGGGGTGCAGGTGGAAGAATCCAAATGCAAGGCTCGTCTGCGAACGTAACGCACACTATCAACGATGAAGAACGTACGGCATTCACCACCCACATCAATGCAGTCCTTGCCGGCGATCCCGACATCGGCAACCTTCTTCCCTTCCCAACCGACACTTTCGAGATGTTCGATCATTGCAAAGACGGATTGGTCCTTGCCAAGCTCATAAACGACAGTGTCCCCGATACCATTGACGAGCGTGTCCTGAATATGCCGGGCAGGAAGATCAAGACTCTCAATGCATTCCACATGACCGAGAATAACAACATTGTCATCGAGTCCGCCAAAGGTATTGGGTGTTCCGTGGTGAACATTGGCAGCGGAGATATCATTGAAGTTCGAGAACATTTGATTCTGGGTCTCATCTGGCAGATCATTCGACGTGGTCTGCTGGGCAAAATTGATATCAAGCTACATCCCGAACTGTACCGACTGCTCGAAGACGATGAGACGCTCGAACAATTCCTTCGACTTCCACCTGAGCAAATCTTGCTTCGGTGGTTCAACTACCACCTGAAGAACGCCGGCTGGCAAAGAAGAGTCAACAATTTCTCCGGCGATGTCAAGGACGGCGAGAACTACACAATCCTTCTCAATCAACTCAAGCCCGACCACTGCTCCAGAGCCCCCTTGCAGACCCGAGACCTGCACCAGCGCGCAGAGCAAGTCCTCCAGAACGCCGAGAAGATTGACTGCCGAAAATTCTTGACTCCTACCGCTCTAGTGGCAGGCAATCCCAAACTAAACCTTGCATTCGTCGCCAACCTGTTCAACACACACCCTGGTCTCGACCCGCTGACGGAAGAAGAGAAGCCCGACATTGAGGACTTTGATGCCGAGGGTGAGCGCGAAGCTCGTGTGTTTACTCTGTGGCTCAACAGCATGGACGTCCAACCCACCGTCAACTCCTTCTGGGAAGATCTACGAGACGGTACGATCCTGCTCCAGGCCTATGAAAAGGTCATCCCCGGCAGCGTCAACATGAAGCACGTCAACAAACCGCCTGCCCACGGCGGCCCGATGTCGCGCTTCAAGGCCGTCGAAAACACGAATTATGCGGTGGAGTTGGGCAAGGCAAACCGCTTTTCTTTAGTTGGTATTCAGGGCGCCGACCTCACTGATGGTCAACGGACCCTAACGTTGGGTCTCGTCTGGCAACTGATGCGACGGGACATCGTAAGCACACTTTCCGGGCTCGCGCAGCGCATGGGCAAGCGCGAATTGTCAGACTCGGACATGATCAAATGGGCCAACGAAATGTCCCGCAAGGGCGGCAAGAGTTCGTCTGTCCGATCGTTTAAGGATCCTGCGATTACGAGCGGTATCTTTCTGCTGGATGTGCTTAATGGCATGAAGAGCAGCTATGTCGATTATGATCTCGTTACGCCGGGCAAGACGCCGGACGACGCGTACGCCAACGCCAAGTTGTCTATTAGCATCGCTAGAAAGATGGGTATGTTTTGGTCCCGTAACGTTGTGTTGAGGTCAATGATGCTGATTTACTTCGCAGGTACCACGATTTACTTACTGCCAGATGATATCATCCAGGGACGCGCGAGATTGGTCACGACCTTTGTTGGTGAGTACCAGCCAGGACATTCGAGTGAGGTTTCGGGATTATTGCTGACATTGCCTGAACAGGTGCACTAATGAGAACGGCCGAGAAGATGGGCATCTGAGAGAAGACAGCGTTCAGGGCCGATGTGGAACGACGGGTAAGGGCCCAGGGATGGTGACCTCTTTCAGGAGTGCAGCCTCAATGCCCAGACCAGGGTACGGTTGATCGGCCACGACAATTGAATAACAGTACGAATTGCCCCAGTACTTGGTGGGCATACCTTTACGTAGCATTGCGGACACGGAAAAGAATATCATGCTTTTGACGATCGAGGAGTTTGCCGTGACTGATATGCCGGACACTCCTTCATCGTTGATCCGCTGGGAGTGACATTGAAAGCTGGATATCAGCGTCGTTAAGTTCACGGCCGTATTGTATGTGGATATTCTGTTTTTATCTCTAGCATAGTATGTGGCAGCCCTGCTCGAGTGCTTATCGTCACAGCCTTGCCTTTCCGTCGTCGGCCCTACCCAGCAGAGGACAGTCAGGAAAGTCACTTTTTGACTGGGTAAAAACACCGTGGGTTTTGCTGTTCGCATCCACCTCTTCCTCCATGTTTTTGGCTCCTGTCATCCGGTGATACTGTGGTGACTTACTGCAAATGTTCCTCGAACCACTGCAGAGCCTGCAAAAAGGCATTCTCCTTGGCATACACATGCTGTCTGTTCTTGGGATCTCCTCGGACAGCGAAACCGTGCTCAACACCAGAGTACAGATTGAGTTGGTACGGTAGCTTGAGCTCCTTGAGGATGTCCTCGGTTTCGCGACGTTTCTCGGCTGGGAAGATGTGGTCGGTTTCGGCGGCGGAAATGGACAGCGGACCTTTCATGTCCTTGAGTTCTTCGGCCGTGACGAAACTTGGGTGCGCGGTGTATCCGGCGTCGATCTTGCCGGCTTCAGGGCGTAGGTGGCGGACGACGTATTTGCCGCCGAAGCAGTATCCTACTGCGCCGATTTTCTTTATACCCACGATGTTAGCAAGCTCCGCTTCCCATAATGTATGCGGTCCTAGCGAACGAACGACGTTCGCCGCGCTGCTTGGGCAAGAGAGAGGTTCATACCTTGCAGTCGTACTTTGTGCGCATTTCCACCAGACACGAATCGATGATGGGGTCGACGACGGGAGGTAGATGGGCGATCTTGCGCTCGCTGTACTCGCCCTTCATCCACTTCTGGATATCGAAGTCGCCGGGGCGGTTGAGGGGGATGGGGTCGCTATAGAAAAGGTCGGGCATGAGGACGAAGTAGCCATTGGCGGCGAATTGGTCGGCGATGAGTTGGGCGTTGTTGAAGCGGTGACCGATCACGTCGGTGATGCTATGACAATTAGCCCCGGTCCCCTATGCGGCATTGTGCAATTCTGAGGAGATTGTTGGTACGTACATCAGGATACCCTTCTCAGTTGATTTGTCTTCGGGGTATTTTGTGTAGATTTCAAAGTCGCCTAGGGTTGAGATCTCGCCTTTGGCTTCACCTTCGTGCTTGACGCCTTTGTAGCAGCATGATCCTGGTGGGTGGGAGGTCATCTTTGCGTTTGTATTAGATGTGCGAGGAGAGTGTTGCAGCGAAGTACGTGTGAAATTTGCCTGTGAGAAAAGACCCTGTTCAATGAGGGGTCCGTCTTTCCTTTATATCGTTTTCGTAAACAAGAGGGGAATGAGGTAGGTGGGTAGGCACGATAGGCTAGCGAGAGAGTATGTCACTGTGTCAGCGGTAAATCGGATTGGCAGATCCATAAAAGCTTCTTCTTCTACATGCTTCAGTTTTCGGATCACGGAGACCGAGCTTGGGTACCCGGTCTTGCCAGTCTAGCTTGAATACATACGGAGACTCTCCTCGTATGGATTACTGTTTTCGTCAAACGTCAATGGGCTTGCGAGGTCGGCAGAGTGCCTTTTACCTCTACCTTCCGAAAATCGCTTTCTGCTGGAAATAACTGTGATATTCCGTTTGATGCCCCTCATTGATACGGAGTTAACAGAAACACCGAAAAAATGACGTCGTCGAGTCCTGAAGCCTCACGGAGATGGCGGACCGGCGATGGACAGGAAAGAAAAATTTGGCTGAGCGCAAGGAATTAAGCGGCATCGGAACAGCAAGAGGCATCAGAATAGAACCTCTAGTTCTTCGGAACATCAATGCTGGGAGTTTGCTCTCAGAGGTCAAGCAGGTCGAAGTCCACTTCTTCGGGTCTCACATCGAGGAGGGTTCCTAGGTGGGCCATACTGCACACAAGTAGCTGGGACTGATACCAATCTCTGCGACGTGCATCTGCATTGGCAGTGCGCTGGTCTCGGACATAACAGGAGTAAGAAGCTGTGCTGGATATCCTTTGGTATGTCCGCAAGTATCTCCCTGACTAGAGGATATACCTAAACGCGCTGCCATAGTTCTCCTCTCCAGCATTGGTATCCACCTCACCGTCTCGTGCCCGTGCAGCCATCTCCTTGCCAGCCGCGCCGTACTTTCTGTCGAGTTTCTTGTTCTCACAGACCAAGAGCGTCCTCAGACTCAAGGCAAGAAAGCCATTGAAGAACATGAAAGCAGCACAGATGCTCTGCCCTTCCACATATCGCGGCGCCTGACTCGTCGGAAAGATTCTCGTGCCCAAGAGCGGTCCGCACTGACCCACCAAGTTGAGCAAGATGATACTGTAAACACATTAGCTTGCGATTGCTAAGATCGAGAACTGTAGACACTCACCCCATGCCTCTACGGCTATCACTGCCTTGATTGTTGACCACCCACGGCAAAATATTTGCTATGGCAGGAAACACTCCCCCGGCGGCCAAGAAGGTACCGAAGTATCTCGGCGCAACAGCTGTGCAGGTCGCCAGGAGGATGTAGCCAATACCCGCGACGCAGCTGAGGAAAGTGATCATCAATCCACGCTGCTGAGTCCGATCAGCGATCCAGCAGGACAAAACCGTCACTATGGTCGACACAAAGTATGGAGGTGCCGAAAGTCCCTGGGCATTGATCGACGAGAAGCCCATCTGGTTGAGGATGGTCGGTAGAAAAACCGGCAACGAAGAGTAAGAAACGTTGCACGAAAAGTACATCAGCTAGCACAAACATGTCAGCATTTCAGAAAGCATGTGGACGCCTTTGGTTCCAACTTACAGCCGTAAACCAAGCTTTGGCATCGAGCAGGGTCAGTCCGAGATCCTTGATGTTAATACTATGTCCTTGTTCCTGGGTTCCGTGTTGCCGGAGGACGCGAGCCCTTGCGACCTCTTTTTCTTCTTCGGTCAAGAACCTGGCCGTGTCAGGACTGTCGGGCAGAAAGAACCAGGCCAAGGGAGCGGCAAGAATAGTCGGGATACCCTCGACAAGGAACAGCAGTCTCCAATTCGCTAACTTGGAGTGACCGCTCGTGATGCCGTATGCCAGTGCGCCAGCGAATGTGCTAGCCAGAGGCGCAGCCGCAAGGAAGATTCCGCTTCGAAAGCCATGTTCGTGTCGCAAGTAGAAGAAAGAAAGCAGATATGGTATGCTGGGTCCGAAGCCGGCCTCGGCAGCACCTAGCAGGAATCGACATGCCATTTCGCCTTTCCATGATTGAGTCGCAGCTTGGCAGGTCGCGATGATGCCCCTAAAGCGCACGATCAGAGCTGCGAATTCGAGATCTCAAAAAGAATGACACTTACCACGCGAGAGTGATCAGACAGGCCCAAGTGTGTGGCTTCCTGGTCGGCGTTAGTGACAATGTTCCATTGACGAGTGCTGATGCTCGTACAATATCTTCCACATGAAACCCTGAAAAGACGTGAGTATCCTCGGCAACCTGTGATGAGGTAGGACATGCATACCTGGAATTGAAATACAATGTACGAAATGTAGAAAATGGTCAACAACCAGTCATATCGGTCTCCTGTCAAGGACAGATCCGTAGACATTCCCGCGATGCGCGCATTTCCAATATTGGATCGATCGAGGTACGACAGCAGAACTGGCATCACGATGGTTAGGTGGTGCTTCTTCAGCTAGAAAAGGTTGTCACATACACAAAAAAGTCACCAGCGGAGGGACATGATAGTCGATCTTGCGAACGACGCGCTTCTCGATCTCCGGGTCAATTCGCGTGCGCTGTTGCGAGACCTGATTTTCCAGGACACCATCCTTTTCGACATCGGGCCCCGCCGTGTTCTGTTCGGTTTGGCCGCTCAAGCGAGCATCGGATGGGACAGCCGTGGGAGGGACATCTTTCTCCTTTAAGATGGCCATGTCAAGATTGGCCGGACAAGGCTGTAAGGTTGGGAAAAAGACTGAGTGGGAGTAATGAATTTCTCAGGTGAAGCGAGAATGCGAAGAATAAAAGTGTGGTCGACAAAAAGCCATCAACGCCATGACTTCAAACGCCGATGGGATGCCGATCTTTGAAAGGTCACAAGAGCGCTTCATCCATGCGAATCCACCTGGAACTTACGTGTATTGATATTGCAAGCATGAAGTAGGGTAGGGCAAGGGTCTGTGTGTGGGGAAAACGGACGATGCTGTGGGCAAAAATGGGGGCGGCTCCAGGCCGGTGTAACACCGACCGAAAGGGTATCTGAGCGGAGCGTCCAATCTGTGCCGGTCCCAGGCGCCCCAAGCGGGTGATCATTGCGACAGTGGCGCCTGTCCCTTTGCGTCAACGCGGTAAAGCGGGTAGATACTACGGCTATGATCGCGACACTGACCACGTGTGAAGGCTATCGACCTGGTATATAAATACATATTGTATCGACATTTAGATTTACCTTGCCATAAACAGTGTTGCAGCAGGATTTCAACCCGGACATTTCCGTCTGGAATGCCTTCTAGTTCAACGCCCTGTCAATGCTGACTTGAAATGGTACACCGAAGCCATGCTCTCCACCAATGCGATGCTTTTTCTTGCCCAACTTCTCAATCTCTTCGACCAGAGGATTCAGCGCGGTTGGAGCAGTCATCACGTCCTCCCGTCGACACTTAATGTCCAGCTTCACACCGTGATTTAGACCCTTCTTGCCTAAACCGTCTGCCCATCGCGCAGCAAGCTGCAATCTCGGTTTTGCCTGATCTATCTTGCCAGCAGGATATACTGTCCCCACCAGCGCAGCCAGAGCTCCAAGGTAATTAGCCCAAAAGACTTCCTGTTGGGTGAGTATGCAACGTAGTCGTGACTCGAGGGTCGAATGTGGCGGAGGTAAATCGGCTTTCCAGCGCCTGGACAGTGTGAGGGCTAACAATGCTCGGTCGCAATGCGCGATGCCATGTGCCGACGCCAGAACGCCAGTCAATGGAGCATGTAGCGCCGAAACAGATCGCGACTCCTTTGGCATGGTCAGATTCATGTACATCATGTCCGCTACCGCTCGGACAAGAGATCGTGTGAATGTCGGCGGCAGGGAGCGGTCGAAATGGTTGATGCCGGGTAGACCAGAGAACAACAGATCTGATATCTCAGATGCTGATGGTGTACCAAATTGCGCGGTTCCTGCCGTGAGTGGATCGAGCGCCTTGGTACTGGGGTCGAGTGTGTCGAACAAGAATCCCTCGCGCACGCCGCCCTGACAGAATCGAACCTGTTGAATCATCGGCAGGGCCGCTGCGAGGACGTTGACTAGGAAGGCCACAGCTGGGACCTGCTTGGCGCGACGTTTGGAGATGCGGAAAACAGACTGCTCTGCTGCCACGGTGGATATTTGGGCGGTCTGCTGAAAGTCGCGCTTGGCCACGTGAAAGCCGTTGATAATCTGAACTGGGTACGGGGAGACCTTGTGCTGTGACATGAGTAGATAACCCCAGCCTCGGAATCCGCCACCCGAAAGGTATAGTGTCAATTCACCATGTTTGGCTTTGTGTTTGAGTGACTCAGGCAGGTCGAGTTCCTGGTAAGCCTTCTGAAAATGTGCCTTCATTTCTTCTTCAAGCTCGGCGCGTGGACTCAACGACGGCGACTTTGGCGTCAGCTTGGAGTGCCGTTGAGTGTATTCCTCTTCAGCTATATCCAATTCTGCTAGACGTCTCGTCATGGCGGCTGCACCGTAGGGAAAGCTGATGCTGCCCTGTGGGCTCGTTTGGACCTTGCCGTCTTTCGCAATCATCCATGTTATCTGGGTGCTTCCGCCTGCCGCGAGCGTAAGCACATGTCAGGTATTGCGCAAAGAGGGAGAACGTACCTCCCAAGTCCATTACAAGCCCATCAACGCTGACGAAACTACTGGCCACGCCCATGGCTCCAATTCGTCCTTCAGCCTCTTTAGGAAGCATATTTACTTCCCATCCTGTGGCATCTTTGATCTGCTTGCGAAAGTCCTCCGAATTTTCGGCAGTCCTGGTTGCTTCCGTAGCGAGCACTCTGATGTTGGTTTGTGGCACTCCAAAGTCTGCACAGGCAGTTTCGAATCTCATGAGCGATGAAACGACATCGTCAATGGTATCTTGTGGAATGGTTCCTTTGACACCAGTAGAGTACTGAGCATCGAATAACGAGATGCCTTCACGCTCCTGATAGACTGTGGGGAGAGAGCGGGCGGTAGCAGGGGAGAGGTCGGTGATGGAAAACCGGATGCCATTGCTGTTGGAGGGTGGTTAGAAGCCACGGACACTCGACTCCAGGAAGAGATTGCTACAACAACATCTAGAGACACTTACCTTCCCATATCAACCAGGCCATACAGGTTGCTTGGCGCCGGTGTCCGCAACATATCGGCTGAGGTGGAGGTCAAAATTTGGGCGGAATTATTGTCCGGAAACTATCAACAAGCAAGGCCCATGCATGAGACAAGTATCGACAAACATCGACCTTTTGACGTTGTGTGAGGTTGAAGAGAGCGTTTGGAAGATAGCACTGAGAGTCGTCAGTTGTTTTGATTCCACCTTGATTACGACGATAGAGCTAGACGAAAGTCCTGTTGGACCAAGTCAAAAAGTCTTTCAGTAGCACGTGCGTCGTTATGTGCGCGATCGCCGTGGGCTTCTATCTTTTATCTCGTAAACACCAAAATTTCTGCGCTCCACCACTCCCTTCTTAAAGTTGCCATTTCACAACCGCTCACGATATATCATCTTCCTCGGGATGAAAGGCATCTCCAAACGCCGAATCTTCCACGTTATCCAGGTTGAGATCATCATCACCGTAGCTGGCAAGTGCATCCCCAGCCGTATCTACGTCGACGTTGTCAAAGTCCCCACCCATATCAAAGTCTGGGGTATCTAGCGCTGTGTCTTGTGTAGGCTGTGCTTGTTCCTGCTGTTGTTGAACGCTCGTCGTTGGAGCAGTGGTTGCATCATCATTCTGCTCCGATTCGATCTGGTCTTCTTGTGGCTGAGTCTCGGCCGGGAGATCGGGAACGTCCATGGCTCCTTCATCTTGCCCACCCTCCTGATCAATCATGACCCATTCATTGCCATCTTGATTCCCATCCTGCTCTTGAACATCATCGCCGAAATCGTCCATATTCACATCCATCCCTACGTCGTCGAGTTCTGGAGTATCACCAGGTTGACCTTCGTCAGCCGCCGCTTCGACCTCTTGGTTTGTGGCCGCAACTGGATCTGGCTGGTTTACTGAAGGTGTTGGTTGGGCTGTATCATTGGTTTCCGTGCTGGTCTGCTGCTCGCTCGGTGCCCTAGCCGTGTCGTTCGCTTCTGGCTTCTTCTCAGGAGCATCAACTGAGGCCGGCTGCTGTGGTTGTGGGATGCTAGAACCTATTCCGCCAATAGGTGGATTGGCGGCCTTTTCCTGTGGAGCAGGAGTAGGGACGGTTGGCGCCTGTGTGACCGCTGTTGGCTTCACTCGCTCCTCCAACCCTCCTCTTGATACTACAGTGACAGTAGTACTCTTCGCGATCTGCTTCCCCGTGTCTGTCTCGACAGAATATACGATCCCTTCCACAGGGTCACGCGAACTTGTATCCGGGACACTATCGATCTTTGCGTTCGACGAGTCTCGTCGTTCGGCCACATTCGGGGCTGTGCGTAATTTCTTCTCGGCCACGGTCAGCGTGCTCGAGCGCTGCAATTTCTCCATCCTGCGAGTATGTCGTTTCCTCATGCTTTCTAGCTCCGCCTGCATGTCTGCCAGCTTTTTGGTTGCTCGCTCGGCGAATTCCTCGGCTTGTCCGTCTGGCATCTTCCCAACTCGTGATGGCGGTTCGTTGCCTGACCCATTCGTGACAGACACAGGGGCATCAAAAAAGTCCTTAGTCAGCTCTTCAAGCGGGCCTTTTCGTCCCAGTCCGAGATCGCTGGGTATGATGGATAACGTAGGATACGGCGACTCAAGGACTTCCTCCATCCACTCATGGTGTTGCTCGTAGCGTATGCGACTGATCTCCTTGGATGTCATGAAATCCAGCAGGTCGCCTCGGGACACGTCCTCCTCTTCCTCTAAAGTGGTGTCCGCCGCGATGCTGGTGCCTCTTCTGTGGGTAACGGCGCCAGGAGCTACCTGACCTGGTGCAGCAGCCCTGGCCATCGCGGGAGGAAGATGAATTGTAGGCCAGTTCGAACGATCATGTAACATGAACTCTTTTCGCGGCAATTGTCCTTGGCTCTGTATCAATCTTCGTGCTTGAAGCAATTGCTGGATGTGTGGTAGGAGAGGTATGGATGCCGAAGGAACATGGTCACGAGCAGAGGCTTTTGAATAATGTGTCAACCATAGGCTCGGATCTGGAGCAGGCAGTCCAAGGTTGGGGTTGCCTGGAAGAAGTCTATAACGTCTCCTACTATGGGACGCCATGGCTTCTCCGGATGCGCGATAGCCGGACCTCTGCACGAACATCTCAAGAGTATATCCTCTGACTTCTGACTTGAAAACATGTTCTGCGTCTGCCCAAACAAAGCCGTCGCTTGCGAAAGCGGTCCCAAGGTATTCAAGTGGTTGCCATGTGAGCATCAACATGCCGTCTTGCGGCGTATCGATGAACTGCCATTGCACCGGCTGGAGGTCGCGCACGATTTTGGGGGCTTCGAGAAGGTAGCCAACGATGGTCTCCAAAGAGGGATTGCTCGTGACTGGATATCGATACTTCGAGACCAGATGCATGTGAGGTAACTATTTCACTGTATTAGCACTCCGTGTCGTCGAAAGTGAATGCGACAATTGCGGACTTACCAGCTGCGGCGGCACGCCCGCCGCGGGATCCTTGAGCATTGGGTTCATCTTGATATCTATGCGATCATGGAAAGACTCTGTCCAGTACTGACAATGACGCGCAGGGATAAGTGATTATTTCGATGGCTATCGCCAGGGACAAAAGTCGAAGCGCGACTGCGATTGAGACACGCGAATCAGGCTGAGGCTTGGCAACCAATAGTCGCGACTCAAGAGTCAAGACGAGGCTGAGGCTCTAGAGATGCCCGTAAGGCTCATCCGTATCGCATCGAAACGCGCATAAAGCTGTCATATAGTGATGGTCAAATGAATCGCTTTCATTGCCAGTGATCGTAGTCACCGGAAGAAGAACCCTGTCTACCTAGGTAATACACACTGATCAAGTATGTGTTGTACACTATCTGCTTTCCCAGCCGAACGCCGGGTAGCAGAATGCTCACGCCACTGCCGAATCAAAACGATCAGACCAGCTCGCTCGTCACGTTCGAGAATTCACCCTTTTCCAGCTTCGTCTGCCAGAAGATGGGGTTTGTGTCTGAGAAGCCGTGCTTGACCCAACCGTCTTCCTTGACGTGGTACAGGTTGATGTAACCACCAGAGTATGCATCTCGATGTGTAGCCGCCAGAATACTTCTCCTGCCCAGCTCGAGCGCCTCATCATCTTCCAGGTCGTACTTGTACTGAGCATCCAGCACGCCGTAGGCAAATGTCTGACCTGATCCGACGCAGAAGAGGTTACCCGATAACCTTGTCCCGTCCGAATCGATATAATACAACGCAGGGCCTTCTTGAGGTGTAACCCCTGTTATCATAGTACCCATCGACAGTCCCATTCCTTTGTATGAATACACCAAGTTCGACAGGATCTTCGACGCAGCTGCCACTGAAATTCGTCGCTTGTGTCGTAGCTCGTGCAGACGACATTGCACTCCGAGGTAGGCCAACCAGTATTGACAGTCCTGGATAATGTCAATACAAGCTAATTTGGGTGAGAATAGCATCTAACTTACAGCAGCACCTCCTGCCATTGTCCCGAGCAACATTGGGTTAATCTCGATCACCTTTTTTACAGTTTGAGAAGCGATCCAGTTTCCAGCTGTGGCTCTTGAATCTGTAGCGACGATGATACCGCCCTTGAATCTGAAAGCTAGCGTCGTGGTACCGTGTGCAATCTTGATGGGGCAGTTTGGGTTCGAGTAGTCATCGGTGGTGGCGCGCAGGAATGCGGATGGTCGAGCAACTGGAGGTAGGGCGAACTTGAGCGACAGGGAAGGTATGCTTTGGGTGTAGTCATCTTGTTCTTCCGAGGCGAAGCCTTCGTTAGCATATGATGGTTGAGTGTACTGGGCGACGAGGGTATCCATGATTAGAGCGCTTCGCGACGAGCACTGGTGAACTGTAAAAGGATGGTGGGTTCAAAGTAGAGAAGAAGTTGTTGGTACAGAAGCTGGAAGCAGAGAAAGAATTATTGTAGACAAGAGGTTGAAGCAAGCAGATGATAACGAAAAGCAATTGATGCAACTGCGAAGTGATGTTTGATGATGGAGGATCGCGCGTTCTCTGGCAGCCTTGGAGCAACGTACTAGTAGCTGCCGGCGATGTTCACGTGACAGCCGCCGATATTCTTAAATCTACAGGTATCACTCAAAGTCTCATTTCACTTCATCATCCTTTCCTTTGTTATCACTGATCGCTTGGAGCTTGTGCGTTACATCAATGGTCTTTGAAACTACTATGGCCCTACAAGGACTCCAGAAACACAACATAGCTTTGAGAAAAGACCCATGCGAACGATTCTTAATCAATGGTCTGGACAGCCTAAGAGTCAAGCGCCCGATCTAGTGCTTTCTGCAATTCTTCATCATGGTTGGAACTTTTGTCCCTGACCACTCGGTGCAGCAAAGGCATCCGTCTTCGATCATATGCATTGAAACTGCGTCGTCGTCCCCGATAGGCTGTACTATTATGCAGCATGAAAAAACTCGTGGCTAAGTCTGGGGCTGAGAGCGACCTGCAAGCCATCTGGCTTCGAGCTACTAATGTGCCTGGTAATGGTCAGCCCGACGATACCACAGTCCCCCTGGCTCGTGCGGTTTCAGCTTCGCAACCTTCTCTCGTATATGCAAACCATTTAACGTCATGGTGTCTGTTCTATCAAGACAGCTGGCCATTGGGCAACTGCGATATCTATAACTGGGCGCAGTCGCGCGTTTTGCAGCTCACCAATGGCAATGGAGAATGGACCTGCTGACAATCTCATACAGGCGAGGCTTACCTGGCTGGTTTGTGGTGTCACTACTCATTCGGTCGACTTGGACACATCTGACCACCAACGATAGGTAGTGCAGGTGCTCAGAGTGCGCCTGCATGATCTTCGATTCAGCGAGTTGGGTTCTTATGAAGGCAATCTTGTATATGTTTGCCATGTGTCCAATGTCTTTTGCCAACATGTCCGGCTTCTCGAGCTTGTCTAACTTTAACCGTGAACAGCTTACATTGAAGTCATGGAAGACAATATTCTATCTCCCAAGTGCTTGTTTTCTTTCTCGGACAGAGTGAACACCATCGCCAGGGCTCGAGACCGTCCGACATCTCATTCTAATGACAGGTTGAAAGAGGATAAAGTTCCTAACCTGGAGAACTTCCAGAATATCTTGCCTCCAGATGAGCACATCAGCATCAAGCGAAAATCCCTGATCCGACAGCCAGGTCACCACTTTGACGATGGACGTGACCACAATCTTCATGATTGGAAGTACCGGAATTCGTTCAAGACAATAATAATCCCAACGGCCGCGATTTGCCTGCCCATGGCTCTCCTGTCCGCGGCTTTGCTCACGATTGTTTACCTATACAAGGTCGACATTCAAGCCAGTTTGTTTGAACCTGCACTCTCACAACAAGGTGCTTCTTCTCATGTACTGGTCAACTTCTCTGCAAGTAAGTGAAACGGCAATCGTACACATCAAGTGGCTCAATCCTCATTTGTAACAGCGCGATTGCTCTTCCTGGCGAGTTTCCTGTCAACTGTGGCACCATTGCTGGGGTCTTTCATCATGTCTGTGTGCTCGCTCTCTGCTTCACGAGAACTTAGCACGGCCTCTTCAGCAGGGGAGTACCTCAAACTGCCAACACCCTACCAGATGAGCCTGCTTGTGGGCATTCTGGTCGCCTCTTCGGCGCAATTGAGAAGCTACCTATCATACGGGCTCTTCCGGAAGCAAAGGCCAAGCATGCCGCCAGTGCTACATCATGCCGCTCTTATGATTATCTTGAGTGTCCTGATGGCCACCTGCGTCTTCATCGCTGATACGGTACTCCATTACACAACATCAACAGTCGAGCTTGACCAGATCCAGATCCCTGCCCTGCCTATCCAAGAACTCGGGAGAGGCATCTCTGAATATTGCTTGACCTATAATCGAACTAGTTCAGGGTTTCCATGTTCAGTGGATTGGGGATTCACTGATCCAAATTATGTCTTTGAGGAGGAAGAAGCCGTCCGACTAGCTCATAACACATCACAGCTTTCGCAGATCCAGATGGCGGCCGCTGAGGAAGTCTCTGGTGCCGAGATTTCTTACCTTGTCCCGCAAGACCAGACAGTCACTCCAGACTCCGACTATCGTGCGACAACAATCGGCATATCGACGACTTGTCATTTCGTCCCACCAAAATCTTGTGGCATGGCCGTGTGGGGACCGGATGACATTTACACCAATTTCAGCTGCACTGATATGTTTCATGGCACTCTAGGAATCAACCCAAATACGAGTACAGCCAATGGGTACCGGGCACCAGACGCCTACCGTTCACTGCTCATGTACAAACCGGCATCCAACCTCATGTACAGCTTTTTCTCTGATCCGCACTTGGAAAATGTTTACAACACGGTTGGACTTGGCGATGATGGCCAATTCAACCTCAGTATCTTACCAATGCCGGACAACGAGCTGATCAATCCGTTCCATATAGGAGTGGCTGCTCGCGTCGCCCAGGGCTCTTTCTTTACGTCGAGCGAGATGTTAACAACAAACGACACATTCCGTGGCTCGGTCAATCAAGTCATCGACTTTGTCATGAATTGTGCCGTGTCATCGTATGACGTGACCTATACCTGGGTCAATGGGGATCTTAAAGCTATCTCAACAACTCCGACTAACAACGGAAGCGTCCTGGAGATATATCATGCCACTCTTCTCTATACCAGTGTCAGCGGTCAAGCAGATAGTTTCGACCTCCAAGATTTTCTTATGCAAGCACCTCTCTCCGGAAACACGACAGATTCGTTTCTACGCAAGTTCGGCAGTCTGTATTCTGGAAAGGTTCTTGCGAAAATTGGGGCGTATACAACCGCTCGTACGGTGCTTCAAGAGCAGCAAAGACAAAGTATGCTTTTGTCGAAGGTACCAGTTCCAGCATTGGCAATGCTGGTCACTTGGAGCTTTGCTTACACTGTGCTCGGTCTGGTCATTGCCGTACGGGCATATCGCGCATCACAGCACAATGTCAGGGATATTGCAGCCAAATTAAGTCTACTGGGGCTTTCGGAGGCAGCATTTGGGGATCACAGTGCAGGGCCCTCTAGTCCAGAAATTGGTTCCTCGAGTGAAGACCTGGTCCAAATCTCGAGAAGGGAAACTAGGCGAGTCATTGTGGAAGGTGCCGAGTTCAAGGTCATGGTTTGATCGATCTTTCCACATAGAAGACCGAATTGCCTTCTTCGATCAAAAAAGCGCCCGATACTGCATATCCTTGTCAAGCTGCTGTGCGATTGTCTCAAACTAAATCGACGCTCGATGATGCGACTATCAACTCGACGTGAGGTTTAGAAGGTGCATCTAAACCTTGTGGAGTACGCCTCGCCTGTCTACCATGTGAGCCAATGGTACTTCGTCTCTGGCGAGACACAATATCAAGAAGGCGCACACGGTGATTCGTAAGCTTGCCTTCTATGGAAAGTGGTTGGGTCCAATTGAAAAAGGCGACGAATGTCAAACTCGACCATTCCCCTGATTCTTCAGCTCATGCAGGTTCGAGCATGGTCATACGATATATTATGACTGCTCTTTCTACAATAGTCAATGGCGCCGATTTTTCGTATCCTGCTCTCAGCAGTCCTGGCGGTGAATATCTTTTCAAAACCCACGGTCAGCCATGCGCACTCTATACGAAGTCACCGACCCAATCGACATAGAACTGCACATATATAGCACCTGGGACCTACTGGGCGTGTTCCTGTAGTGCATGAATCCAGCTTGCTCTTTCAGCCTGTCAGATCTTGGGGTGCATTGTATGCAGCTATATCGCTAGCCCTCCGCCCCAATGCCTCCTGGATACACAGGTCGAATCATCGTCGCCGTCGCCCTAGATTGGCGCTCTTACCTATACTTGGGCACAAAGCCATCATAACGACACCGCCTCGACGAGAAAATATTCTCTAGCAAAATTTCCTCTCGTCAACACGGCGGTTATGGCATTGGCCATGTTGCATGATATCCAGCCGCGCAGTGAACAGCTGTGGTAGCAAGACCATAGCCGCGCATTGAACAACAGCCTTGCTGGCAAGACAGGTTATAAAAGCAAGGTCTCCTCGATGGAGACTGTGTTCAGTAAGTCTGCTCAGTCAATCTCTCACTCAGCATCTTCTTGTACCGTTCTGCCACGATGAATAATCCATCTAATATGGCTCTTCTCTCTCTGGTCCTCTTCTGGATCTGTTTAACAGACGCACAGGCCCAACAGCCATTGAGCCCAAAGGGCACCACTAACCCATCCTCGACAGACAGCATCAAGTCCATTTTCAGTTCGTTCAACGACCAAGGCAGCCTGTCATACACGCTCGCGGCTCCTACAAGATGCTGCGACGCGTCCTGTGCTCTCGGCTTCTGCAACGGCTTCACAATTCCGGCACCAATCGCCGCCGGATCTCCATCGCAGCTCACTGCCGCCTCTGCACCAGGAATCACTGCCTTTCGTGGACATCATCCAGCAGGACGCCCAGGCATTCCCATCCCAGACGTCTGCTCCGGTAGCAGTGTCAATCCGTGCGTCTGCGATCCCATGTGCAGGATCAGGACGACAACATTCATGTCCGCGTACCCCAAGCACCACGCCACTCCCACCGCTACGACGATTCCCGACTCCACATCCTCCATTGCTGAGCCCAAGCCCTCAGAGTACGACCTCATCCAAGCCTTCCACGCCAATGACTTTTCGGGGTCCAACCAGGACACACTTCCCATTATCGTGCAAGATAGTGTACGGAATCCAGTCTCCCTCATCGCCGACATCGACTTGGACGTTCTGGACAATTATATCTCCACAGCACTCATCGACAAGCTCGGTCTCTTTTCGTCAATTGTGACACTCCCGACCTCGCAACAGAAGGTCGTAACTCTGGGCGAAGCGAACAACACAGTCACTGTGACTCCCCATGCGACACTCATGTTGAATTTCCTTGCGGGACAGACCGACGCGCTCAAGAAATTCGCTGATGTTGATTTCAATGTCTTCGACCTGTCAGACTCTAAGGCGACCGCCGGTGGCAGTGCCAACACGTGGAAACCCGAGCTTTTTCTCGGCGTTCGGTTCTTGAGAGCGATAGGTGCCTTGAGCTTGACGCCGGAATTTGCTGGTAATGGTGTGGTTGACGGCGTGCCTGTCCTTGTGAGGGATATGTCGTTTGTGGATGACCAGGGGAGGGATATCGATGTCGAACGGAATTTGATTGTCAAGAAGAGGGTGGAAGATGTCAAGGACGAGTTGTAGCACTACAGTAGGTTAACGAGTGAGATGGAAGGCAATGCTCTGCTTACTGATACTGCTGGGAAGAGTCACGGATGTTGGCAAGGTGCGATGGGATGCGTCGTTTCACCTTGACTCTTACTTCGGCGTCATCCCCAGCATGTAGGAAGGTTGACGCCCACTGTCTTGCAAATAACCACCTCCTCGAGAGCGTTGCATAGAGGCTGGACAGTGCGCGAGCTATCACGGAACTTGTGGAGTCTGTCCTTTACGTCGGGTAGGTTTAGGAGATCGGGTATATAGACAATACCGATGTTGCTTGGAGATTCCCATCTTGCTGTTTTCGATGTCTTTGAGAGGCTGCATAGCACTAATAGGTTTATCAATGATACTACGTCGTAGCGATGACATTTCGGAAATCTCATTGATTATCATTTCTCATTGAGGACTTAAACCTGGTTCTTGTGCTCGTTACATTATACCCATACATACGGAGCCCGATTTTCCAGTTCTGATCCAAGTTGACTTCTAACCATGGTGCTATGCGGCTGAATATCGTCATGGTCGAATTATAGTATACAAAAAACTGCATCGCAACTCATTTTCTTCAGATTTCTCTGACGCTTCCGCCAATAGGTTTCCTTCCGACTTGTCCATGTTGCAGGAAACTAGGCGTTTCGCTTGGGTACTGGGGCTGGGGCTGGGCATATCGAGGTTCAGGCATGTCAGGCATGCTGATTCTGCTTGAAGCGTAATCGGTAGGCGCCTCATATCTCGTGCTCATGCTGCTCGGAGCATATCGGGTTGGCGAATTAGAAGGATAAGACTGTTGTGGTGGTGGCTGTGATGAATATGGGTTGTGCCTCTGCTGGTTATATGGTGCCTGACCCGCGCTTGGTGCGCCAGTCATGAATCTGTCAGACTGCAATGATGGTGTGTTTGACTGGGAGCGGTACGTTGGTGGAGGACTTAGAGGGGCCTGTCTAAAGTTCTCGTAGCCTGTGCCATTCTGGCTCATTCCTTGAGCCCCCAGATCACCATTATAGGCGTGTGTCATCCCAGTGTTGGCGAATGGGTCGCCTTGCGGACGTGAAGATGCTGGAGATAGGGGTCCATTTGGTACAGCATTGTAGCCATTCCTTGTTCTCTGTGGCTGTCCGTCAAGTCTGCCCATTTCCAGGTCTCCGTTCGGTCCTGAGTGGACAGGTTCACTTGTATCCTCAATCCTTCTGTTGGCAGCGGTGTCCCAGCTGGGCATGGGAGGGAGACTGTCGGGGTTGGCCCTCTTGCTGGGATCATCAAATGTAGCGAATTGAGGAACATTAGGATTGCCATATGCCATGGGCGCTGGTGCTGGCTGATAGCCACCGTAAGGGGCCGGCTGCATGCGAGAATAATCATCTTGGAATTTGGAAGGACGTTCGCGCCTTCGACCAGAGGGGCAGCATCGACAGCAACATGAGCACAGTTCGGCTCCGCAGCAAAGGCATCGGGCGAAACACCAGATGAGGGAGAGGAGTATGAGGGAGCCGATGACAATTCCTATAATCGCAGGCCATCTATTATAGTGTTAGAGGAAGCACTGACGCCAGACATCCGGCAACATACTTGCAATAGGCCTTTTCCATACATTTGTCCCAGCTGCTGAAGGTTGACTTTGCGGAGTCGACATCGCTGGCGATGTCGCGGAGAAGGAGGTAACCCATATCGGGTCCTGAGGGAGAACACTCTTATGATCGAACTCTGAACTACGCCACCCGAGTGATAGAGAGGACGTAGAGTATTCAATATCGAATAGGCTAGACTTGTATGAAGGTGGTGGTCGGTCCTTGTCAAAGGGTGGTTGGAGAGAGAGAGTAGTGAATGACCGACCGGCGGCCAGTGCACCAAAGAGTGACGTTTCACAAAGGGCTGGCGAAAGACTTCTGCCTACAAAGAGTCGGCTTGTATACAAAAAGGCCCCAGAATGGACTGGCCTTTGCTATGAAAAGAAAACGAGTGAGAATGTAAGATGCGAAATCCTGTAACGAAAGGAGGCTGAGCAAGGAAGGCGCGCAATCGCAGTCGCAGTCGCATCGCAGTCAGAAAAAGAGCCGACAACAATTAAACCGAATAGGCGGAAAGGGTCTTACAGTCTTAGGGGTCACGGTCACCCCACAACGCCTGTCATTCAGGCGATCTCCCCCTTGCCTTGAACTGCATCCTGAAAGCTGAAACACTGGCGCAGTCAACCACTATTATGTCACTTCTGAAGCATGCACAGGTATGCATCCGTCAGGGAGCCTGCAGAACATATAAAGAATGATGGTTTTTATTTTACCCACTGCAACTCATTCTATTATCTGCGTCCGGCGGCCTCCTACAACTCATCAGGTCTGCTGCATAATGTACAGTGGCAGCGTCATTTTTCCACTCCATTTTGACCAAAAACCGCCCGAATACCAGTACAACACGATGGGAAGAGATGCATTATGACGACGTGATTGGTGTTGAGGAGGGAATTGCTCATTTCTTCGCAGGAGGAGGACCTGCAGGTGGTTGGTAGACGTTCTCTCCTCCCTGGTATGTGTTCGAGGGTGGTTGCATCTCGACATCGGTCTGTCTGCCTCCAAAATAGCCTTGGTTTTGTCCATAGTACCCGCCCTGGTTTGCATTGTAATTCTCGGTCTGAGGTTGGTAACTTGGCTGCTGTTGTTGTTGTGTCTGGTAGTTGGGGTTGTATTGAGCTTGTCCATGGCCCCATGGGGTCCGTCCGACCCAGCCTGCGAGTCATCAGAATCGATCCTTGAAAAGGTCGCGGATGGGATCATTCTTACCGGTGCCATAGTATGGCTGTCTTCCCGCCTTGCGTCTACGCCTTGCCGTAAGGCATCTATTGTATCGTCAGTGCCTGCCACCGCGCTGCACATCGAGTGTGAGAACTTACGAGCAGAGGAAAAAGAAGAGGAAGGCAGCCACCAAAATGACGGCTAATGCCACCCATCTACCCCAAGAAGACCATCCTGTATTGCAGCGGTACGCGTTGTTGTTGGAATCGTAACATCTAGCCATGAGAGAATAATGTCAGCCACTTCGATCTCAAGATAAAGCGACGGGCTTGAAGGAGGGGTGCAGTGAAAGCGATGTGTAAGAATATGTAGCAGTTGTGAAGGATGAAGCAGGCCACGCTTACACGTTTGAGGAACCGTAGAGTTGTCGCTCGACGAGACCCATGGCTGTGGAGTGGAAGTTGCGACTCGAGAGACGATGATGTCAACTGTGCGCAGGCGAAAGAGCGAAGGGATTCGTAAGACTGTGAGGATGACTTTGCGCGGACGGCGGGTCTTGCAGAGAGAAGTTATACGAATCGACAAGGCTGTGCGACGCGACGACGATGAGGGATTCCAAATGAATAGGTGATGATCATAAGGTTGATGCAAGAGAAAAAAGGATGCGATCAAGAGACTCTCGTAAAGGCGGAGAAATCAAGGCGCAGCGACGAAATATTGGGGAATTTGCCTTTGGTTCGTCCATTGCATCACCATTACAGTGGCGCAGCGCGACCTTTGCACCATTACACTATCGATATCCGATTGGCCTGTGCCAACTCTGCATGTACAGTGCAGTGCCAGTGTCTAGGCAACTTTGAAGCTTGTACGAATTCAGCAGAATAAGAACGCCTCGACAGGAGAGCATTCAGGTGGCGGATGAGATAACCACACCTCGCATTCGCATTCGTGCCGAAGCCAGGTCCTTCTAGAAGGAATCATATTTGGAAATCCTGCACGGCCACTGTACACCAAGACTTCTCAAGGCCTCCCGGTAGAATTCCTCCCTCGCGTGATCAGAAAGCGGCGATGCTTCTTGGCCAACGCGTCACAATCGCCATGCTCTAGTGCATAGCCTTGGTATCGCTCCATGGTCGCCACCACGGTCACGCCGTCCTCGCTTCGTTGATGCCGACCTGGGGAGGAGTCGAGGTCGTCGGACGCTTAGGTCCGGTAAGCAGCCGAACTTCGTGTGCTTGCGTAAATATTACATGTTGCATAATCGTACCCTCATGCGGATGCTCGTCGATGTTGTGACAAAATGTGCTCCCCTCGCACTGGGAAAGAAACCTCGTATATACCAAAAAGGGTCAAACGTGGCATAGAGTAGCTTCATCACTTCCCCGATCTCGCAACGAGCCATTGAAGGACTGCTTCAAGGTTCGTTTCTTCCTTGGCGCTGACTCCATAGCAACTGATTTCCCGATGGACCACCGACTTCAGATCGAGTTCATCTATTAGCTCGTCCACTGATAGCTTGTTGGGCAGATCCGATTTGTTGCCTAGAATGAGTAGAGGAATTCCCTCGAGGGTTGGTTTGTCGAGAAGCGCGTGCAGTTCCTCCTTAGCAACGGGAATAGCGTCTTTATCTGAGGCATCGACCACGAAGATGATAGCATTGACGTCCCGGCAATATCGCTCCCACATAGTTCGGAAACGAGGTTGTCCTCCTAGATCCCAACATTTGATGGAAACATGTCCCTTTTTGACTTCCTTTTTATTAAAAGCCACCGTCGGTAGCGTGTCGATGGTGAACTCATTGCCCTGCGTATCACAGTCAGCCTATCTTTACAAGGTTGAAGTACATTGTGGGAGTCATACTGCGAGTACCCGCACCAGACTTGTCTTGCCCGCGTTCTGCAAGCCTATTATGGTGACATCCATTTCTGTCGCCCAGAACACCCATAATAACCAGTCCCACATCCATGTGAACAAGCCTGCCATTGTGTCGGAAACTGTGGTATCAGTGCTGAAATGAGGTATTGAGAATGGCCCAGTGTTTGAGTTGTCGTACAGTGGAGATAAAATACGCAATATCAAGCTATCTGAGGTAACGACCTGAACACGAGAGAAGGCGATCTGCAAAAGGGCAAACTCGATAAATCTGGGGTTGGCAAATGACTAAGCAATGCTGTGGCTGCATTCTGTGCATCTGTGGCGGTGTCTGACTAAGGCTTTGTTGCTGTGGCTGCCACTTGTCTCGTTTTTTCTCAATCCCTCGAACAACTTACCCGTTGCACCACCTTCAACCCTCACCAGCCTTTCGCATTCGCATATCATCTTGTCCAGGCGCGTCCATCCACCTCAACAAGGCTGATACTCCCGGATCCAGACACCGTCCAGTGGAGAATGGACCGGGTCGAGCTCCTCACGCGTGTCGACCTTATCTCCTACAGTCTCATGATCCATCCCCAAACTTTCTAGGTGGAGTTGCTAGCCGACATGACCAAGTCTGATGGCGGGTTGAACGGGTTCCTCAACCACAGTATGGAGGTAATTCCGTCCCGACCATAGGAGCCGATGGCTACATATGCTTCGCGGATGGTTCAGGTTCTCTCCTAGAATGCCAAAAACGGTGATCTCCTCACCTGCCAAGCTGGATGGGAGTACGTCTCCCCGATAGCATGCTGATCCTTGCATTCTGGCTGCATTCACATCGCCATTCTCCGTTACTAATGCGTCTTGGAAGCCAAGCCTAGATAGCAAACAGACAGAATGGTTATCATGAACAGCCAATGGAAATCTACCAAGACCACGTTTCCACCATGTTGCTATCTTGCCCTCGGTCGCGCTATGTCCGAAAGATAGCATTGAATGGCTTCGTTGATAATGATGTCCGGAACTTCGGTTATCCCTATACCGCGCCATGTATATATCTTCGCAATTGCCGATCCTGCTCCTCCTCCCTCTCCCCTGCTCCTTATTGTTGTCAACTAATATCACCTATTGATCGAGAACATGGCAACCATGGCTGATGCGGAAAAGGCACCGGTCCAAGTGACCCAGCCTCCTACCGAAGAAAGTGCTCCCCAGAGGGCAAGTATAACCGGCAAGGTCGGCTTTTGGAAACGCTCTTTTGTCAATGATCCCAACGAACTGGGACGAGACCTTCTGAAGAAGGCGCTCGAATTCGATGAAGCGCAACTCGAACGAGACGCGATCAAAGTCCGCAGGAAGTTGGACTTCATGGTCCTACCGATGATGATGACCACCTACATGCTGAGTTTCTTGGACAAGCAAACGTGAGTCGGCTATACCCCTGTCCATCACGGCAATGCTAATCTTGCCAGGCTCAACTATTCCAACGCCTATGGTCTGCAAAAGGACACCCACATGAAAGGGAACGACTACTCATGGGTTGCATCTGCGCTATACTTCGGCTGGCTGGTCGGCGCATATCCCTGGAATATCATCCTGCAACGCTACCCGATTGGAAAACTGCTGGGCTGCATGTTGTTTGTCTGGGGAAGTGTTTGTATGCTGCAAGCCGCCGTTTTCACCTTCTCCGGATTCTTCGCTATCCGATTCTTCCTCGGCATGCTTGAGGCCTGCATATCCCCGGCATTCGTCATCCTCACATCCATGTTGTGGACAAGAGAAGAGCAAATGCTTAGGACATCATTCTGGCTCTCGACCAATGGCGTCTCTTCCATTCTTGGAGCTCTTCTGGCGTACGGCTCGGGTCATGCCGCCAATTTGGCCGTGCCAAACTGGAAGCTGATTTACTTGGTAAGATGCTCCTTTTCTGTATCGGACATACGCCTAACTCGTGCAGATCGTTGGTGCAATGACATTCGCTTGGGGATTTGTCATCTTGATCTATCTACCAGACGGTCCCCACAACGCCAAAATGCTTAACGAACACGAACGGATGGTCGCTGTTTGGAGAGTCTCGAAGAACCGAATGGGTATCAAGCATCGTGCCATTGTCAAATATCACATCAAAGAGGCTCTTGTCGATCCGAAGACCTACCTGCTCCTGCTTATGGGAGTCGCCACCGGCATCTTGAACGGTGGCGTGGCCAACTTCATCTCGACTCTCATCAAAGGTTTCGGCTTCGATGCTCTCAAGACGAGTCTTCTCCAAACTCCTGGAGGTGCATTCGAACTTATTGGCTGTATGTTCTTTGGTTGGGTGGCCACAAAGAAGAACATGTTGGGCGCTTCGGTCATCAGTGAGTGCTCTTCCAAGAAGGTTGCCATCATCGTTAGCTAACATCAACTTCCTTTAGTATCATCCTTGCCTGGTATGATCGGATTGATCGGTCTTCTTACCATCAACATCAAGCATCGGTATGCCCTCGTCGCCATGTGCTGGTTGCAGAATGTTCTCGGAGCCCCTATTATCCTTGGATGGACCCTGCCAGGTGTCAATACGTCCGGCCACACCAAGAGAACTACTGTCATCGGTATGTTCTTCTGCTTCTACTGCGCCGGTAATATCATCGGACCACATCTCTTCCTTGCCACCGAGGCTCCAAGGTACTTCACGGCTGTCAAGGGATTACTCGGAACTTATTGCGCCCTCATCGTCTTTCAAGCCATCTACACCCCTTGGTGCTACTTTGACAACAAGGCTCGCGACAAGAAAGGATTGCATGCCGCGAGGGTTGAAGAAGAGCTTCTGGAAGGTTTTGATGATCTGACGGACAAAGAGAACAAGCATTTCAGATACAAGATTTAGTGCAATCACCGAGATGTAAATAGGGGTGATGATCATGACAGGGTCACATTTCGATGGGCACGGTGTGTGACCGACGAGGTCACAAGGAGGGCCCAGGCCTCAATGCTTTTACAAATTTGTCTTTGTATACGTATGCACGTTGTGCGCTTCATCGAGCCAACTTGGGGTACAAGCCTGTGTGGGGCGGTCAACTGCTTTGTTGACACGCACGTTCTTTCCAAAGCCGACCCGAAGTCTGCTTGTTTGGTCCAATCCCGTGCTTGCCTCGATGCTCGATAAGCTATGGTCCCCAGTCCAGGAAGATCTAGTCACCTAGATGTATGTACTAATCCATCCATGGAGTTCAGGAGCAAGTCGAGTTCGTGGCCAAGGGGATAAAAGCGGCATGAATGAAGGCGTATAAGATGAGTCCGAACAGCTTCTACAGTACTTCCTTCCTACATATATCTGCTACCCCGCTCACAGGTCGTTCAGATATCATTCATGTTACCGTCCTCATTGTCTCAGGCGCAACCTTGGACTCAACCTCGTTCTTCTCAAGGGTATTGCTCTGCGCCCAGCCATCGCTCGGTGCAACTCCGTTCACCGGTTCTGATCCCTCGATCAAGTACAACTTTCCATAATCTTCTTCATCTGTCTGCACCGGAATCGGTGATATCGTCGTGCAAATGAAGTATATGAGGCCCGAGAAGACCACCACAAGGACATAATTCCAGGAATACATATTGAGAATGCCTTTGTTGTGGATAGGCACGCCCATCGAGTGCAGCATACCCGGCAAGAGCGGAGCAATGGCCACGAACCACGCCACGAAAGCCCGCCAGTTGACGCCATAGGTGTACCAGTAGATGCCGTGAGGTTTGAAGAGATGGGAGATGTTGATACCATATCCCCGACGGACCCAGAAGTAATCCACCATGATGACGCCAGTGGTTGCTCCCAGAAACAACGTGTACGCGCCCAGGAAGGCCAAGAACGTCGTTGCTTTGGCTTGAATCTCCCATGGACAGATGGCGAAGGAGATGACGGCGCAAATGAACTGTCCGCGGCGGATGTTGATGTACTTGGGGAACAGACCAGTCAAGTCGTTGGCCAAGGGGACTGAGTTACCCGTGACGTTGGTCATGATGTTGAAGAAGATGAAACATGCTCCTGCGAAGAACTTGCCCGCTCGGTTCTCAAAATTGTTGATCACCAAGAGAGGGTTCCATTGGACTTCCCCATACACCACGGATGAAGCCACGGCCATTGTGCAGCCCAGAAACTCGGTCAAGGTCACCAGCACTGGCAGGGCGAAAAGCTGTGTCGCCCATGCAGCGACGTCGTTTTGCGAGTGTCGCGAGATATCCATGATGTTGACTGCGAAAGTGGCGTTGCCTGAGATGGCTGCATTGACGCAAATGCCGAACAGATATCCCACTGACCAACCATCAAGAGGCTTGGACGGCGCTGTCCAGACACTTGGCCATCCACCTGCGGCGGTAATTGACCAGGTGAACATGGCGGTCCAGAACAATGGTACCAAAAGACTCTTGACGATGAACAGATACCGAAGGGTCTTAATTGGCAGATAAAGGAACGGCAGCGATATCAACCAGAAGATCGAGAAGCATAAGATTTGTTGAGCTGTGACGTTTGACGAGGCTGGAATGGCATTGACTCTCCAGTGAGCGAAAGAAGGCCAGATCGCAGTGGTACAGGCTTGGACTGCTTGCCCAGCAAGACTGACTTGGATTCCATAGTAAATGATGCAAGGCACACCACGAACAATCATCGCCACTTCGACCCCAGCATACCGAATGATGCTCTGACGGTCCCCGGAAAGTTCGTTCCGAGTTTGCTGCCCAAGTAGCCAGATGCGGCGCAGGGGATGGAGACGATGATGTTTCCGATCAAACACGCAACCACACAGAGGCCTGGGTTCAATCCAAGTGAGAAGGCTGAACTTGATACCTCGAGCTGGGCCGCATTGAAACCTTCAGCGATCCAGAACAGTCCCATCTGGTACCATGCGTATGTGCGATCTTTCCTCTTGATGGGATCCATGTCTTCATTGGTATATCGAATGGCATTGGGATCCTCGGCTCCGAACGAGCCTGGATGTGGTTTGAGCACCACATGCTCCTCCCAAAAGTCCTTGAATCCCATGGCTGCTGTATGGAATGCTTAACAGGCGAAGGCGATGCCCCCGTTGACGCGGGAGTCTGTCTGACTATATGCTTCCTTGGCTTACATTATGTCTTCAGTAACCAGTCACCCGTTTTTCCGATCTTATCGTCTCTGAAAATGCGAGTACCGGAAGCGTGGTACGAAATCCGAGTACCAGTTCGGACATTTGCGGCGTGAAGAGGTATGCATGACCCATGCACGTTTGTCTGCCATCAGATAGGCCATCTGTCTTGTGAGCGATATAGGTAGACTTGAAGAGGAAGGTGAATGACTGTTTCTGATGTTCGCGTGGCAAGCTGATAAGGCTTTAGCCTCTGATCGTCAAGATTCGTCAATATAAGGTAAAGCCGTGAGCCGTTCATGTCTATTCAGGCCAACAGGACTGCTGCAAGCAACAAGCTAACAAAGGTGGGGTGAAAGGCTACCCGGCCGTTATCCGTGAAGCCAGTGCCAACCACCTGGAGTGCCACCGTCCTTGAGGGCACATAGGCGTTGATCATAAAAGCTTGTGATAACGACGGGCAAGAAATTGATGCCCGCGGGCACCTCAGGCTCATCCCGTATAGGTATGTCTAGTGCCCGCAACGGGCAATTTCGGACTAAGGCGCCTTTCGAAGGTCTACAGCCAACGGAGTATGGCCGGGGAAAATCCACTACATTTGATATCGAAGCCCCTGGACCCAATCATGGTCAAGAGCGCAACATGTACCGATTTAACAGCTGGCGACTTTCAGCAATTGTTGTACGAGGTCATGATCATGGAGACGGCACCGTCGATAAGACTGCATGTTGGTGCTAAGCGCCAGACACTCGGTAACCTTAGGGAAACACAAAATGGACTATCCCGGTCTCAATGCTACCGATCTAGCCCGTCTTGACTTTCGTAGCCAACGTCGTCCACCAACATCTTTACCAGACAGTGGCTGAACAATAGTACCGGCACAAACAGTTGAAGAATCGTCCGCTGACCTCAAACACGCGATACGATGGGCAGCTACACGCCGTCAGGTCCAGAGTGCGACCTCCTGATCACGAACGGTGTCATTGTAAGTTACCAACTAAACAAATGCTCGATCCTCCAACACTGACCATGAAAGGTCTCAGCAAGTGACTTGATCTACCCACCAGCATCTGACATCGCCATCAAAAATGGCAAGATCTTATGCATTGGATCATTGCAAGGTCTCTTCTCGGCGCAGAAGGTAGTCGACGCAGATGGAGCATACGTGACGCCCGGCGGCGTCGACACCCACGTACATCTTGACCAGCACATCAACGGCGCCCTAGGCGACAACTTTGAGAATGGCACAAGAAGCGCCATCGCCGGCGGGACTACCAGCGTGATCACATTCGCCTTCCAACAAAAGACCGAGGAAAGCGTCCTACCTGTTGTAGAAGCATATCACAAAAAGGTATGCCAGCCCAACCTCACTCCCGTCTTGTCATCCATCATTTAACCACATCTTTGCTTGTACAGGCAGCAGGACTCTCATACTGCGACTACAGCTTCCACATGATCCTGACGAACCCGACAAAGACAATTGTCGAAGAAGAATTGCCAATCCTCGTCGAACAAGGCATCACCTCAGTCAAGCTGTACATGACGTACGACCCGATCAAGCTCCGCGACCGCCAGATTCTCGACATCATGCTAGCCACTCGCGCACTGGGCATGACGACCATGATCCACGCCGAGAACTCAGACATGATCGATCTCGTCATTGAACAACTATACGCCCAGAAAAAGGGCGACCCATACTACCACGCCATCTCCCGGCCGAAAGTCGCTGAAGACGAAGCGACCTACCGCGCCATATCGCTCGCTCAATTAATGGACACACCAATCCTGCTCGTGCACATCTCCTCCGCGGTCGCAGCCGCACACATCCGCAAAGCCCAGACGAAACTCCTGCCTATCCACGCGGAGACGTGTCCCCAGTATTTGTATCTGTTGAAAGACGGGCTACGAGCGAGTGAGCATGACCCCTTCTCAGGCGCAAAGTGCGTATGCAGTCCGCCTCTCCGCGACAGCCAAGCAGACCTCGATGCCCTATGGGAGGGTATCGCCAACGGCACATTCACGACCATATCCAGTGACCATTGTCCCTTCAGTTACAACCACCCACTAGGCAAACAATTGGGCATGGCGACCGGCGAGTCACGATTCACTGATATACCCAATGGTCTTCCCGGCGTCGAGACGAGAGTGCCGCTGCTGTACAAGGGCGTGCAGGACGGAAAGATCACGATCCAGAAGTACGTCGAGGTCGCGAGTACGAATCCCGCACGGCTTTATGGATTGAGTACCAAGGGGACCATTGCGGCTGGGTACGACGCTGATCTTTGCGTGTGGTACCCGGATGCCAAGTTTGAGAGCTTCGAGTTGCAGAATGATATGTTGAATCATAGTATCGACTATACGCCGTTTGAGGGCGTGAAGTTTGGAAATTGGCCTAGATATACTATCTCGAGAGGACAGGTGGTATGGGATAGGGATGGTGGTGGTGTGGTCGGGACGAAAAGTCACGGAAAATTTGTGAAGAGGATTAAGAATGGATTGAAGCAGCCGAGGGGACGGTTTGAGAATGAGTGGATTCCAGAGTATAAAGGGCGGATTCCTGCTAAACCTGCTGCTGCTGCTCCGGAGCTTGCGAAGGCAAAGGAGGCGACTGCCGCTGGCGGCGTGGGGGTTGTCAATGGTGTTTGAGGTGAGAGGATGCTATGGTATCGCAGCATGGATATGTCTTGACCGTCAAAAGCTTGATGTCGGGCTGAAATTACAAGTATCACACTACAGTGTACTTGTCTTGTTCGTATAACGGGATCTCGTGATATAAATCGTCCGACAGATCATGACTGTCGTCTCTTCCATGGCCATGCACAGTTCTTTTGACCCATGCAAAGACAAACCCCTTGGGTCTCAATATTGCAGCCGTGTTGGTCCATTACTGGTTCTCAGATTAATGAGCCTCGACGTCCAACCTGTTCACATCCGTTCCAATCATCCTCGTTCCCTCCTCTGTCGACATGATATCACTCTTGAACCAATGCCGGATCCGGTGGCCCACGAACATGAGAGGGATGATCAACAGAATGAACGCGACCATGCTAACAAAAGCCATCATGCCAAAGACCCAACCAACACCAACATTGGCCTCCCACCCATCAATAAAGAATGGGATAGCAATACCGAAGATGGTCCGGTACAAGTTCATGATCGTCGCAGCCTCGACGGGATATTTGGTGAAACATTCGACTTCATAATTGACGATGACTGGCACCGCGACATTGGACGAGAAATTCAGCAGAAAGTTGCCGACCGCAGCGACCATGTAGTGCAGATGATACTTGAGTGCCGCGCCAAAACATCCCAAACCGATATTTAGGCCGATGAAGCTGGGGAGCCATAGCGCATGGAGACGGTACTCGGGTTTCCAGAGTCCGCCCTGCTTGCGACAGATCCAGAGCGGTAGTTTGTCGTTGAAAGCGAGACCGTACAACTGTCCTAGAATGCAGCCGAACCAGGCAGAGAATGTGACTGGAGGTCAATGTCAGCTGTATTGAAGACTGTGATCAAGCACAACTGTGATACATACACTCGGCATTCTGGTTTGGCGTGAAGCCGTATCCGTTCTCACTGACAGGTGATTGCAGGAACACGGCAAGCAGGTTGTTCACCCCGACACTCCTGCCATCTGTAAGTTTTGCAGTGAAGATTGGAGACCAAGACAACGTACCATCCAAAAACAACCATCAGAAACAAGCCACCCAGCATGCCGACAGGATGGAGACCAATGCGAATGGGCATGATAGCCAGGTGGAGCTACGATGATTAGCACGAGAAACCAAAACGCAACGGGAACCATACCGTCTCCTTGGTGGTCAGCCCCTGAGCCACATTTGGCTTCCGGAACAGATAGACATCGATCGACCGCTGGATAAAAGACGTTGCAGGGATGGGAAAGACCGATCGTCCAGGCCTCGTCCAGCCAGTTTCTTCCAAAAATAAGAAGATCATGAGGATCATAAAACCTTCGAGACCAACATTGTACCAGTACTCGACCGTCCACGATTTGCCGTGGCCCACAATGAATCCTGAAAAGGTGGGACCAGCCAGTGTTCTAAGGAGGCGGTCAGCAACCACTCAAAAAGGTTCCAGGCATGACTTGCCCTAAGAGGATCATGACAGTGTAGAAGGCGAAGCATTTTCCGCGTTGGTGCAGGAAGAAGGTATCTGTGATATAACTTGCTCCGACTGTGGTCAAGTCAGTCATATAAGATACAACGGTGAATGGTACGTTCATTCTTACCCGTCGTTGCGCAAGAGCCAGCCAAACAACCAAACAGCCTGGACAGGACGAAACTTATGTAGTCTCCAGGCCCGTCACAACATGCTGCCCAGACGGTGCATGCCAGTGTCAAGACAGTCGCCCAGAGAATGGCACCACCTCGACCAATCCTTCTTGAAACTGGAGACCAGAACAAAGGACCGGCGCACAAGCCGGCAGTGGCGGCAGACACCTGTCCTGTATGTCAGTCGAAAATTACACATCCCTCTCGTCTTCTCATGCTTACCGAGTACGTAATCTCCACTCCAGTCTTGTTGTAAAGGGCGCCTTGCTGGAAGATACTAGACACGTTGCCCACTGCTTGTAGGGTTCCAGTAAAGCCTGCGAAGGACACGATGAAGAGCGTAAGGAGCTTTCTCCCGCGGGACCAGTTCTGGCACCGTTGTCAGCCCGCGTTCAGGAGAGCACCACAACAACCGTCATGGGTGGACGTACCAAAGGATCACGAGGATCATCAGTGGGCTGTGGTACGAGTGTGATGCCTGATTCCTTCTTTGTAGTATGATTGCGCTCCTCGAGGTGTTCCTCCGTAATCTTTTCTTGAGCCATGTCAAGGTTTGGGCCTATTGCCATTGTCCTCAAAAGTCTGCAAGGAAACTCTGGCTTGAGAGAGTGGACGAAGTCGCAAGGACTGCGCGGGCTTTTGATCAGATCAAGTGCATCTGGTAAACCGGGGATCTTGCCACCCCGGCCGATGCAATCTGGGGCATAGCTATTGAGGAGCTGCCACAACCACCCCAAGTCCGGATGCTTGTTCAAAGGTCACGGCATTTCACGGTTCTCCGCGTCGTACATGGGCTGTTGCCCAGGCGCAACCCCTCTCAAACACGATGCGGAATGCACCAAGTGGATTCCGTAGCCCATGGAAGTCCAGGGATAATGCAGCCCTCGTCGAATAAAAAGTGAGAGCGGTGGAGAGTGGTCAATGTTGGAGAAGACAAAAGAGACCTCGTGCAATGTCGCACCAATAAGGGGTAAGCCTTGCTAACCGAGGTTCTTCCTACGCCGCACGCATGGGGTAAACTGCAGCATCCAAAGTCCATGCCGGGTTAACACAAAAGACCCTTAACGATCGGCAACAGGTCAATCAGCGTGAGGTTGAATTTCGTCATTGGGGCGTTGCCCTTTTGTTATGTCTGCGAATGAGAACACCAGGCTGAGTGGTACTCCGAAGGTATATCCAGTGATCCTGCCTAGTCTATCCCAAGATTTTAAACATCGTTGCATTCACGGACACCAGATTGACGCGGCGTCTCCTCGACTAGGTGGGTAATGACTTCAAGCGAAATTTACTGCCCACCGCTGGGGCGATGGTCGTGTAGCGCACAGCGAGGTCGCGTTCCGCAGGCGTGAGTGGAAATGTAGAGTCCCCAGTCAACTTGTGTAGGGCATGGGTCAGATCTACAATTGGTCAGTATAAGAGAGGACACGATGCTATATGGTACAAACCGAGCATCAGGTAGCCAAGACCCCAGACTCTTGCAAACTGAGCAATACCAAGGGTCACGACTTCCCGCTCCAAGCTGTGTGCTTGAGTTGATTCTCCAGGACTACTGGGCAGGAGTGGGCTGAAGTGCATGGCAGCCGGCCCGACCAAGGAGCATACGATGAATGGTGAAGTGTACTCCATATAGTCAGGTGACCAAGCGTTGATGGCTCGGACAACGTCATGGGCATGCTGAACGCACTTGAGCGAGGAAGTGTCTTGATCTTCAGGTATGGATCGGATGCTGCTTGGTGACTGCGAAGCGGGGCTGGCGCCATCGCTTGGAGCACAGAGAGTGAGGGCGCCATAGGTGCGTGCACTGATGATGAAGTCAGCCAATGGTCCTAAGCTTTGGCAACCATTCCTTACCTTTGCAGGATAACGTTTGTGGCAATGATCCAGTTGCTCCTTGCGAAACTGGCATCATTGAATACGAACCTTGGGTTTGTCAATCGGAAGTGCTGAGGCAAGCTGAGACCGAAGCACGTAAGTGAGTTTTCCATCTCGGCTTTAGTCCTTGTACAGACGTCCTTTCGTGTCATCAGGTCGTATGCCAGTGCCATGAGGTAGTTCGCGACAAGAAACCATGCCCGCTCATCTTGGTTCGGTGATCCCTGCAGGCTTTTCCATGCCGTTGCAGGTGTGGATCCCATGGGAGCTGAAGCGACCGGGGTTCCCTCAAACCAGTGTTCATCAGAAGCTGGAAGGAGTACTTGGATCGTATTACGGTCAATTGTGTATGACCGTCTAGCCACAGTTGAGGCAAAAGTGTCAAGCTCCCAAACGGACCACCACGCTCGACGAAGCTCCTCTCTCATGATCCAATCTTCTGTAGAGGTCCACTGTGGGCTGCATGAACCAGACTGGTAGTCAACATCGTCGTCAACGGTGTTGAGACCAAGGTCGTATGCTAGACGGGTGCAAACTCCAGTCAATGTCCAGCCAAACGAGTTGGAATGGTTTGTGTTGTGGTAGAATGCCAGGAGTATGCAGCCCTGTAGATAACGTAGGCTAGGTGCTTCATCACCCTGGAATCGAGTGGCGTCCGCATATATGGATTGCGCCTGCTTGGCGAACTGGTCACCTCTCGTTGTTGGCGGCATATGTTCGAATTGGGGGGATCGTGAGAAGCGGGCAGAAAGACTCATGACACCATTCAAGATCAAGGCTGACTCTAGAGTCACACGTCTGCAGGTTATCTCTTCCTCAATGTCGTCAGGGAGGTACTGATGGTAAAACCTTGGGCGATGGAAGATTGGCAGGAAGGAGGCGACTTTGTCGAAAAAGATGTCAACTCTACCCTCACGTCAGTAGTGATTACTGCAGGCAGACTTCTTTTACCCACAGCTCTTTCAACAACAAGTCTGGCACTATCAATTGGTAACGCTTGGTTTCAGTGTTGACCGTTGCTGACTGATTAGTCGTGAACAATGCACTGCTAGGTGGGGAGCCAGAGTTTTCTCCGTGGCGACTGCCAGACTGCCTACTAGGAACAGCCTCGAGTCCGATGGGCGGAGATGGGCTTTTGTCATTCAGGTATGAAAGATCGTCAGCACTGAAGTTGCCATCGTGAAAGTAGTTGTCTGGAATAATTGGGCTGATACCAATTTGAAATTCCCATGGCATTAGCTCCTGAATACCAGTTTGGGCATCGAGTAACCCTTGGTGAAATGAATCAGGGTGATGCTTGTCGTTCGTCAGGTGCAGAACATTGACGATCTCTCCTCCGCTGCAAGGCTCCGGCGCCGATTGTAGGTCTTCTGGCGGGGACTGGGATGAAAACGGTCCTATGGAAAGGTCTGCTGTGAGTCTTTCTGCGGATAAGCTTGATTGCTTCGCACTATGTAGGTCGGTATTGGTAAGAACCATGAGACGCTCTGGCAAGAACCACCGTCAGCATCAAATCAGGGAGGTGCGAGGCTGGTAGAGATACCAACGGCATCTGCGGGAAGGTCTTTCAGATGAGCTGTGATGTGCTTCTTCCTAGGTCGCAAGTTGGTGTCGTGAATGCGCTCCGGTCGCTTTCTCTTGGTTGGAAAGACACATTGGCTGCCCACTCTCGAACACAATGTGCAAGAGGGTCTTCTCATGTCGCCTAACAACGTCAGTCAGCACAAGGGCCGACCGGATGTATCCCGACAAGCGAGAGGGTAGGTTGTGGTCGGGTGGCGTACATTTGGTCTTCTTCCTGCAAGGGGAGAGTCTCTCTTAGCTCCGCATGTGTGGTAGACGAAGGGGAGGAGAGGTGTGATTGGAGACTTACCTTTTGCATTCTTCGCAAGCCCTATGCGGCCAGGCTGGATACTGGTAAAGAATCTGAACACCAGAGGCGTCCACGGTTGGCTCCGTCGCCGTCATCACGGCGTGCCTTGAAGTGGAGTATTGTCTGGTCTCAGCTTCTTGTCGGGAGGCTCAAGCAGTTGCGGGTACTCCTCGTGTTCATGCGACCGACCGTGGTATGTACACTGATGAAGACGCATAGATGAGCATTCCTGAGCCGAAAGACACTCTCTACGACTTGGAGAGAAAGTTGGGGTTTTGCGGGGGAATATCAGGATAATGGAAAGCTTGTGCAGATGAAGATTTAGTGGCGGAGGCTTAGTGGGTGCTTACACTTCTAGCCATGCTTTTCAGGGTTAGACGTCGAAGCCAGGCGCCATGAAGGCCTAAAGAGCCCTGTGGCGGCTGGCACGGGGTCTACCTGGGGTTCAAGTCCAGCTAATCGAAGCTGCGCATGGGATCAAAGGTGCCGATCTTGCCGTTCTCTTCCCGCACGGCAGATGACTTATACGAGACAAAGGGGCATGTGGGAGCTCCGGTAGAAATCAGAGTGGGCAGTCACATGAGAAGAGTCTAAGCATGCATTTCCCTACCAATATATATCAACATACTTCGTACAAGGCCTCAGCAATGGGAAGCAGCTACACACCAATTCTGCCGTTGCGGTCCAACATGGCTGAAAACGTTACTTACCGCACGCAGCAAATTCAAAATCATAGCCGCACTTGCCCATTCGCGTTCTCCAGCTGAGTTGTCTTCCCATGCTCACTTACCCAACGATTGAAAGCGTTGTTGGTGTCGGCCACCGAGTCAAAAGCCAGCATCTTCTTCTGATACCCCGGATCTGCCCATCCCCACCGGCAAGGCTTGACCCAGTCCACTTCCGCAAGTTCACTGTCCCGAGCTTCCTGCTCCGGACCGTCATGCATGTGAAACATCACTCTGTTCGCTATAGCGCCTTTCACGTTGGTCGTTGTCCTCTTCTTGCGTAGTCCTTCAAACATTGTGAGGACCGAGTTGATATGGGCTTTCTTTTCCTGTTCAGGGATGGCTTCGGTGCTTCGGAGTCGGCCAAGGAGTAGACCCAGGACAAGCCCATCCTCGACCGCCATTGCAGCTCCCTGTGCTTGGTACGGCAAGGTGGGATGACATGCATCACCGAGAACCACCACATTGTTCTGCCTTGTGTTCAGCCAATGGTGATGCTACTTTGGGGCTAGCACTCATACCTTGACCCATGTGCTCAATTCTTCGCGATGGCATAACTTCCACTTCAACACATTGTCATGACACGATATGATCTTCGCAAGACTTGTCATCGATCAGTAAAGAAACCCGCCGATCGACATATGAAACTTACACCGGATCCCAACCTTCGTAGGTCATCCGCATCTCGTCGATGTCACCAAGCGCCGTTCTAGAACCTGGAGGTAGATTGTCCGGACGGCTGCAGTACGTCAGTCGCAATCGTGTACCCACGATGATACCAGACTTACATGAGAACGAGATTGAATGCAGTACAGTCTTTCACCGGATAAAAGACGCTGTGCCTGTCCGGTCCCATCCAATTGTAAGTACATCGGGAGTCGATCAGTTCATTGATGCTGGGATCATTAAAGGCTTCCAGCTGTACCCTTGAAAAGGTTCCTCGATATGCAAGATCTCCAGTAGGAATTGGTGGAGAGGGCTCGCCGAGCACGATGTCTCTGACGCCTGACCACAGGCCTGACCGGATGAAGTCAGTATGGCCTTGCATGGAAGTAATGGTAGGTCGCTTTACCATCTGCACCCACGACTACATCAGCCGTAATGGACTCGCCTGTATGGAGAACGACTTCAGGCCGCTCTGCAGCATAGTTGATGTCGACAACCTCTGCGTTTGTCCGCAGTTGGCCACCAAGTCGGACTGCCTCGTTCAAGAGCACTCGGTGGTAATCTGCTCGATGAATCACGCTGAAAAAGAATCAGCCATTCGGTGCGAGCATAGAAATCGAAAGGGTACTGACAACCACGGCCCATTGAACTCGTCAATCATTTTCTGACCCCCAAGTCTGGTGCACAGGATCTTGCCATCTTTATATCGCTTGAGATGATTTGCCTTCACCTGAATAGCCCCTGCATCTCTGATTTCCTGTTCGAGGCCGAAATGCTGCAAGACGCGTGCTGCATTTGGTGGAATTTGTATCCCGGCGCCAATGGGAGAGATCTCGGGCGCCTTTTCGAGAACAACGACTTCGCATCCACCACGTAAACATGAGATCGCCGCAGCAAGACCACCTGCACTCAATTAGCCGGTGATCTTATGCAATGAAAAAGTAGACGCTCACCAATTCCTGCTCCTACCACCACAATCTGAAAAGGTTGAGAATTCTGTCGCCATTGATCAGCGTCAACACTATCAATCCGGTGTTACTCATACGTTTGCTTCTTCGCCCATCGCTCCTCGAAGATCAGATGTGACTGAATGTGGTATCGATCCGAGCCTTCCGCTTTGAATGCTTTGCGGTAACAGCAGCAGACCGTGGAAGTGGTTTTATAGGGTCCTCTAATTGCAATATGAGACTGCCGGAGGTTATGTACTACTCTTAAAACCCGTGCCTGTTCAAGTTAGGTCATCGCTCAATGTTATCCGTTTCGTACATCTTCCCCACCGGGTCTGGCGGCACTTGTAAAGGAGTCGAGCAAAGTGTGGAGAAGGCGGAATAGCCATTTCCCTTCCCTCGGAACACCGTGCCCTCTTACCGAGTGGCACCTCAACAGTCACCTTATTTTGGAAGGCTACCCAGAACATGCATGCGATTGGGTGGTGAGTCGGCTCACGAAAGTTTGAAGACCGTCTCGCCGTCCATGTGCCTCTCCGTTCCGAAATCATGCGTAGCAGATAATGATGCAGCTGGCTTGGCCATGCAAAAGAGCAGGGGAGGACATCGCCAGACAGATCGTCTGCAAGATCGAGATCTCGTCGAAGTCGTGCCTTGTGAGGCCAATGAACTGAGCCTTTTTGCGACGCGCCCCTGTCGCCGCACTCGGTGACAACACTCGCCACTATGACAGTCAGCGGCATCAGTCATGACGGTAAGCGGGCATAAAGCCTCAACTACGTATGCTTCGGCATTGATCTAACCGAATGGTTCCAGAGATTGAAGATGTTGAGGTCCCAGTGCTCGTGGTCGGGGCTGGTCCCTCTGGAGCCACACTTGCCCTGTTACTCGGACGCCATGGAATCCCCGTTGTGGCAATCTCACGTCATAAAGGAACAGCCAACACTCCCAGAGCGCACATCTTCAATCAGCGTGCCATGGAGGTCCTCAGAGATGCAGGTATCGAGCATCTCGTCAAGCCGATCGCCTCGACAAAGGACGAGATTGCCCATGTGGCATGGCTCCACACTCTAGCTGGAGAGGAGTATGGGCGGGTGTACGCCTGGGGCAACAAACCGAATCTTATAGGCGAATATCTGGCTGCCAGTCCCTGCGAGATGTCCGATCTTCCCCAAAGTGTCCTGGAACCGATCCTAGTCGAGGAGGCCCGAAAACTGGGCGCAGACATTCGTTTCTCCACGGAATTCCTGTCGCACAAGCGGCGCTCGGACGGGCACATCGTCACACGTGTCCGGAATCGTGTCACCTCAGAAGAATACAACATCATCTCGCAGTATCTGGTTGGCGCCGACGGCGCCCGTAGTGCTGTGCTCGCCAGCCTCGACATCCCGATCGATGGGAAACAGCTCGACAATGCTTTCAATGTATACATCAGAGCTGATCTGTCAAGATACTTCGCCATACGGCCTGCCTCGATGGTCTGGATTCTCAACCCAGATGCGCCTGCCTGGTCGTCGCATGGCTCCATTCGGATGGTCAGACCGTGGAGCGAGTTCATCGTCTCGATGCATAACGCCCAGGGAAACTTGAACTTCGAGCCAAACGACGAGGATATCCTGAAGAGATTGCGCCAGATGATTGGTGACGACTCGATTGACATTGATTTGCTGGGGCACTTTCGGTGGACGATCAACGACCAGGTCGCGAGAACATGGCAAAGAGACAACGTGCTATGCATTGGGGATGCTGTGCACAGGCACCCTCCAATCAATGGGCTTGGATCCAATACCTGCATTTCTGATGCTTTCAACCTTGCTTGGAAATTGGCCCACGTCCTGAAAGGCTGGGCGGCTCCTTCGATTCTAGACAGCCTGACCGCCGAAAGGAAACCCGTGGGCGACGGTATCGTCAGGAGAGCCAATGACGGGATGCTAGTGCACAGGAGGTTGTGGGCATTCATGGGTTCGACCGTGGCGGAACGTGCGGTAGTCTCACAAGCATTGCAGTGGGCAACGTCTGATGGGATGCGAACTCGGATGAAGCTTCGGAGCATCATCGAAGAAACGGATGACGAGTTCAATTCTCTGGGGATCCAGATGAACCAGACATATGTGGACTCTCCGCTTACCGTTGTCGAACAAGGAGACAGACCGCCAGACTTGGAAGGTCTGAATGTGATGAAGAAACAAATCGTCTCGACGTTTCCTGGCTTTCACCTACCGCATGTATGGCTCGTCAGAGATGGTCAGACTGCGCGCATCTCGACGTTGGACCTGGCAGGGCATGGAAGTTTTGTCGCCTTCACCGGTATTGGAGGCGAGGGTTGGATAGATGCTGCAAGTGAACTCACCAGCGAAGGTAAAGTGACTGTAAAGGCGTATGGCATCGGCCGAGGATTGGACTTTCTGGACGCATACTGGGATTGGGAGAAGGTTCGAGCGGTCGAGGAAAATGGTCTGGTCCTGGTGCGTCCAGACCATTTCGTTTGCTGGAGGTGCAGTCAGTCATGTCCTAATCCTTCTGGGAAGCTGCGAGAAGTAATGCGCAGGATCCTGGGCCAATGATGACGCATGGGAATGCCAAGTCCAGAGGCACTGTCGCTGTGTACCTCAGGTTCGAGAGATCACGACCACAGGTACATGGTGAGCAATTGTCTAATGCAAAGAGTCGTAATTGCTTACCATCACGGTCGCATGTTGTATCTTCGGAATTATTTCCCTGCTTTCCGACATTTCACCTGTTTGGTGCGATCCATGCGGGGTGTTTACTGGGGGAGGACTTTGGGGCGGTAGACGGTGTTCACCCCAAAAAGGTAATTGCCGTGGTGAGGTGTGCAACGTGCCGTTCTCGGCATCGGCGCAGTTTGAACCCTGCATGGGATGCCGTCGAACGACCATTGCATCCTGAAAGTATTTATTGACACGCTCATTGAACGTGGCGGGGACCTCTCTTGTTGGTTACCTTGGCACAAGTTCTCACAATCAGCGACTTCTAGACCAGTATCGCCATCGTCAACATGCCAATTGCAGTTGATGACCCTAGAGTCCGCCTGCTGAAAACGGCGTTCGTGACATATTATCACAATGACCTGAACAAAGCCACAAAATTTCTGCTAGATTTCGGATTTGAAATAGCTGAACAGAGGGACGATGTGATCTTCTGCAAGGGTTACGGACCAGATCCATACTGTTACGTCGCGAGACGCGCGGAAGGTGGTCACCCAAGGTTTGGCGGTGCAGCCTATCTCGTTGAGTCTGAAGAAGACCTTAAAAAGGCCAGTCGGATACCTGGAGCGTCGACCATCAGCAAGCTAGACGCACCAGGCGGCGGCGTCAGCATCACCTTGACAGATCCAGTGGGACACCAAGTACATCTTGTCCATGGAATCAAGGAGAAGGAGCCAGAGTCGAAAGACCTGCAGAAGCTGGTAGTCAACTATGAAGATGAAAAGCCACGAATTGGCCACTTTCAGAGATTCACGCCGGGTCCAGCTCCAGTCCACAAATGGGGACATTACGGCGTGAGCTACCCTCCAGGAACATACCGGAAAATGGTTGACTGGTACACATCGAATCTGACGCTCGCATTCTCGGATAAGGTGACGATTGGAGGCGAGGAAGCAGTGTCGTTCTTCCACATTGATCGAGGAACAGATTATGTTGACCACCATAGCTTCTACATCAAGCCCGCAAAAGAAGATGAGAAGCCGGATGTGGCACATAGCGCATTCGAAGTTCATGATTTCGATGTTCAGCAACTGTCACATAATTATCTCGAGTCCAAAGGGTACGAGCTGTCTTGGGGCGTCGGGAGGCATGTGCTTGGTAAGTCTGTGAGCTATCCTGCTGTCGAAATTGCTGGCGCTGACAAAACTGTCATCACAGGTAGCCAGATTTTTGACTATTGGTATGATGAGTCTGGTTTCGAAGTCGAGCATTATGCCGATGGAGACTTGGTGAACTGCGAGACCCCAGTCACGGTGCAGGAGAATGGACCCAATACCATGTATGTCTGGGGTCCTCCTAGGCCTGCAACAAGGGTGTGATTTTCAGCTGAAGTCCTGATACTCGGCTACCTGGGTTACTGTGCAGTGGTAATCAAGACGCCCGTACGGAAGGAAGCTGGCAGAGGCGTCGACTGTGATGTGCTGCATGATGTCGCGGTTGAGGATGTGGCGCGTGTCCTTCTGATCATGGGTGAGAGGTGGACTATGTATCATGAGTTTCATAGAGCAATTTACCGAGGCAGTTGCAAGACTGAGCACGAAACCACAACAGCAACGAGGCCTGAAAAGAAGACAATGAGGACTGATGCGTGATCAAGACGTGTCGAGGGTGTGCAAAAGTGCCTTACACGTGACGTCATAGTCTTGTACGTTGAAGCGTAGAGACGCATCTCAGCATTACAGTCAAGCACAACCTGGAAACTGCTTCGTCCTTCAAGCCACCGTCAACCGCCGCAAACAACCTGTTAAACCCACTGCACGAGGCGTGCGAGACTGAGCCTCAATGCTGACCGATGCATGGCTGGTGCTCACAGCCTAGCCTCGCCTCCTTTGTGACTACTGACAATGTTCCAACTGCCGAACAGTGTGATCTCGGCAGCCGCCTGAGAAGCCAGCCATATTAATATCCATTACACGGAATGCCGTGCTTCATCTCGTACATTCCCCGCACTTGGCTCAACGCAAGCGACATGCGTGAGTCTGCCTCCATTTATATCCTAGGAGACTTGGAGAAGGACCCATTGAGAGGTTTGTGTGATAGGGACTTGATATTGGGATGCATACCTGGAGTCCTTCTTCCACTCAGGCACCTACACTCACTGTGGGAGACAACATCCCATCATGGCTGATCTGACAGTTTTTGATTTCTCAACGTGGGCTGTCGCAGCATTGTTCCTGTCCATTTCCTCATGCGTGGCACACATCCTGGTACAAAGATACCGATCCACCCTGAGGTCAACCCCTGGTCCGTTTCTAGCATCTTTCACAAACCTCTGGCGCTTCCTCAAGGTCTACGAAGGCCGCTTCGAGCTTGCATTGCAAGCCGAACACGACAAGCATGGCGATCTCGTCAGGGCTGGCCCGAATTGTGTCAGTGTTGGCGACCCACGAGAAATCAGACAGATCTACGGCATCTCCAGGCTCTTTCAGAAGGTAAGTTCTCATTCATCTACATGGAGTATACCGCGACTCTAAATCTACCCGTCGCAGTCCGACTACTACCGTGTAGCCCAGCCAATACTCAACGGCAAACCCGTGGCGTCCTTGTTCATGATCACCGACGAAGACGCCCACAAAGCAGCCAAACGGCCCATCGCCCACGCCTACGCCATGACAAGCCTTCTCGACTACGAGCCCTTCGTAGACAACACATCCAAAGTCCTCGTTGAACGCCTGACGACCCTATACGCCAATAGCGGCAAGCTCTGCGACTTTGGCGAGTGGCTCCAATGGTACGCCTTCGACGTGATCGGCGAAATGACCATGAGCAAACGTTTCGGCTTCCTCGAACAAGGGAGGGACGTCAACGACATCATCAAAACCCTCAACAACTCAGGCGCCTATACTGCCATCGTCGGCCAGATGCCGTGGCTAGACTACGTGCTCGCCAAGAACCCATACTGGGGCCACCTTTTCTCAAAAGACAAGCTCGGCATCTCCAAATTCGTTCTGGGCTACCTCCAGCCTCGCATCGAGGAAGCCTCACTCCGAAAACAACAGGGCGCCTCAGCCACAAAAGAGAAGAAACCAGTTGAGACCAGGGCAGACTTCTGCGCCAAATTCATCGCGGCCTTCGAAAAATACGCCGGTCAAATTCCGCAGTCACAACTCCTAGGCTGGTCCCTAAGTAACATCAACGCCGGCTCCGACACGACCGCCATCACCCTCCGCGCCATCTTCCACTTCCTCCTTCTGCACCCCGCAACACTCTCGACCCTAGTCTCCGAACTGAAAACGGCCAAACTCAGTGAGATTCCCACGTTCCGCGAAACCAGTAACCTGCCGTACCTTGCGGCAGTGATCAAAGAGTCCCTCCGGCTCCATACGCCCGTAGGCTTGATTCTCGAACGCATCGTGCCCGAAGGCGGCGTCACCTTATGCGGACACTATTTCCCCGCGGGCACTATCGTCGGATGTAACCCGGCCGTCATCCACCAGGATAGTCGCGTCTTTGGTCGACGATATTCTGTGGATGAGTTCCGGCCTGAGCGCTGGCTCGAGGCTGATACAGAAGAACTTGCTGAGATGGAGCGGTGTTTCATGGCGTTTGGTGCGGGAAAGAGGACGTGCATCGGGAAGAATATTAGTCTCTTGGAAGTCCATAAGCTCGTGCCGCTGTTGTTGATGAATTTCAAGGTAAGGCCGGCACACTCCCCGTCGGTATCGACTTTTGTATGTTGCTAACTCCAAATCACAGTTCACATTGGCCGACCCGAACAAGAAATTAATGATTTGGAACACATTCTTCGTGCATCAGAAGGGGCTGGAAGTCTATGTCCAAAAAGCTTGAATCTGGATATCAGGGGGAGACCTAGTCATGAGGTATGATTGTATTTCAGCAAGCCCACGTCGACCGCCCTGACAATGGAACACTGTAGTTGACCACTTAGCAGCGCGCATTTCTGAATCAGGCACAAATTGATCAATCAAGAGTTGATCTGCATTCCAACGATCTCTATGTACAATTCCACCCAATGCCAGCTTTTATTGATCCAACAGGAACCAATACCTGTGCCGTAAGCTGGTTCTGACTACCAGGGATACAGACTTGAAAGTCCCAAGCTCATAATAAAACAACGATACCCTGCGCACCACAAGAGGTTGCAGTAGTTAAACCATTCCACCAACAATGGCATCAAAACCGGTCCGTGTAAACAGCCACAGGCCTCGTAACAAATCGGTTACTTCTCCGTCTCGCATCATCAGGAGTAGCGGATCCGTTACCACTCTCACTGTCTCTTGCCGCACTTTCAGTCCCCAGTCCCCTCGAACCAGCATGCATCTTGGCTTCGAGGAGTGCTAGGGCGTGATCACCCGCAGCTCTTGCCACCTCTGCTTCCCTGAGCAGTCCTCTCCTCGTTATGTCTCTCTCTTCTTCCGGCAGCACAAACCGATGAATCGTACGATGATCCATGACTCTTTCTTCTTCGTCTCCGCCGCCTTCGACCCATGTGCCTTTCCCGCACCTTCCTTTGCGCCTGTACGCGCTGTACTCAACTGTCGGAATGCCTTTCTTGCCACGCCCGCCTCCTGTGCGCTCAAGCAGTTTGCGCGGATCAGGATCGGTTTTGGGCCATTCATAGCCATAGAGCATGCTGTGTCGTTCGCATCGTGGACATTCTCGTCTTGTTTGGTATCCATTAGGCTGAATGAAGAAGCCTAAACACAGTGGATTGTGGCATTGTACCCATCGGTCGTGGGGCTGCGCCAGCAGTTTTCGTGTCAGAATGTAATCTCCAGCGATGCGGATGGTTCCCGTTACAGGATGAACCGTCAATTGAGACACAGTTGTGGTGGTACTGTTTGCTTCGATCGAAGGCAACACTTGACCTTCCAGGATGTCTGATGACTCAGGCTCGTGAACTTTTTTGGTTACGGTCGTTGTAGTAAGAGTCGACACCACATGCGGTACAGAGGCCGCGATGTCGGCGACATCTCTGGGGTCGACGTCGGATGGGTCTTCGCTCATTCTCGTGGAGCTACGACGAACAACGATAGTATCTTCATCTGCCTCAACTTTTGTCGTTTCCACCGTCTCGACCTTGATTGTAACAGCACTGTCTGTGATTGGAGCCTGAATTGTTGGACCAGTGTCTGACCCAGATCCATGACTTGACGGAGATGTAGGAGCTGGGGATATCGGCGCTCGTGCCGAGAATTTGCCTAGTAATCTTGCTGGCATTTTGCTTTCGCGCGGTCCTTTCCTGCCTTTGGCACTAGCTGGGGAGCTCTGCCTAACCCCTTCTGGCCCAGTCATTGTGTTCGGCAAATCCAACTGTACGGGAGTGAGGACGACATTTTCCTGCGTCTCACCCTCCTGCAGCTCTGGCGGACTATCGGGCGGCGACAGGGCAGTGTCTTCTTCCTGCGCATTAGGCGCTACATCTTCGATACTTTCGGTCGTTTGCACAGGATTGGTCGCTTCACTTGGCGGCTCTGAGGTTCCTGGCGGCGTCCACGAATGTTGCAACTTGGAAGGAGATTGTTGTGTCTTCAGATGTTTCAATGCAGGACTGCCAATAGACGATGCTGAAAAGACCTCCGATTCTCTCTTGCGTTTGAGCCCGCGAGATCGAGGTTCCGACTGAGGTTCAGGGGCAGGGGTGGAAGCATGACTATCCGAGCCGAGAATGCCGGTCTTTGATGTCCAACCATTGCGCTCCAGCGTTTCGCAAGTATGGCACAGACAATCGATGTTTGCCGGCCCGAAATAGTCGTCGCCGTAGGAAACAGTGATCTCGTCGCCGATGTCAATGTTCTTCACAGCCACAACCTCCATACCGTCATTGCCCCTGGTCACAAGACGTCCGTTGGCGTCGCAGTCATGGTTGGCGAAACGAGCTGGGCCCAAAAATATTGATGAATTCTTCTTTCGCGCCGAAACAACGATGCTGAAATTACGATTACTAAGATCCAATTCCGCTGATTCTTCGGTAGTGAGTGGCACCAGAGTACCCACGAGATACTTGACCGTGTCTCCTTGTCGTATTCGACGTCGGGCGGTCACAGCGGCCTCGTAAGTGGTAATAGTGTAGCGATTCGTGGTTGAGACTTCCCAAGGGCAATCGGTCTGGTACATCGCAATGTATTTTCGAATGTGGCTGAGGAAATGTTCCTGTTCGGTTCTGGTGCGTAGACCCTTCTTATACCTCTTAAGTCCAGGTAATGCGAGTAAAGCCTTCTCAGCGCCTGGTAGGTCTTTGTCGACAATGACCTTGTGAAGGAGGATTTTGGGCACCTCATCCTCCTTGATGCCACGAACGGGAATGTGCTTGGTTCGGTTCTTCCGTATGCGAGACTTGTAGTATGCCTAAGAGTGTCAACTGTACAGTACTTTCCCCTGATATATCGAGTGCCTCACATTGTCGATCAGAGCGTCCGAGCACACGTCGTCGTGGGCAGCCAACTCGGCGAGAGACAGCCTTTGAGCCTTTTCGGGCTCTTGGGATTTCCGTCGGACCATGGTCGCGTGTGATGACCGCGCTGAGAGTCTCTGTCCCTGGACTCGTGAGGGTGGCCGTCTCACTGGAGACTTCGAAGGGAGGACCGGTGTATGTGCGCGATCGCGTGATCAGGGCTTTTGCCGGACTGAAAATGACAATAATGAGTGGAGGGGGCCGATACTCGAGAAGTCGCAATTTGGGACGCGATTCGAGTTCAGGCCAGCCTGAGGGTGAGAATTATGTAGCAAAAGTGAATGGAGTGCGACATAGCGGTCGCGTGGGCTGGACCTCTCACAGACAAACTCCCGACTTTTTTCGCCCAGCTGAGTGGACGGGCTTCAGCTCGTTGGGTCGAGATGTCCTCAAAGCAAGGGTGAAAGAAGGAATGGAAAGGGAGAGGGGTGACAAGAGAAGACACGGGCTGGATTGGCATCTGGCAGCGGCTGGTGTTGTCATTAGGGCGATGGTTAATTCGGGTCAAAGATTGGCGCAACGATGGGCTGCAGTGCATTCGACTCCACAATATGCGCGGCATCGTTTCTCGATTTTCCTAAAACACCATCACCCATTCGATTCGAGGTTTGAAGAGAGCGATTGGTTTCAACATTATGCTGCTACGATGATACAACTCAAGGTCGGTCTTTCCCGCCGCTTCGTTCAAGCGTCCATCAAACTGACCCCGGGATTAGACGCTGCTGAATTGTATCGACAATTCCGGAGCAGCAATCGTCGAATGTGTTGCGGTGATGAGAAAGAAGACGCAACATGCGCGGATAGGTATGGCTCGAGTCCTACGAGATCTGTGGCATTTGAGAACATTGCTGATAACATTGGCATGTTCAGGTGACAGAATAATCGTCGTTGTGCAGAAACAGAGATCCTTCGGTCCCGACAACCCTGGTGGATCGAGCTTGGGAATTGCCAACAAAGTGCGACGGGGTGATATACGACATGCTGTGGTAGTAAGGGCCAAGAAAGAGCAACAGAGAAAAGATGGAGGTCTGATCAGGTTCGATGACAATGCCTGTGTGCTCATCAACAAGAACGGCGACCCTATTGGCACCCGATTATCGAGTACGTCTTCTGCGTTTGACACACTATCTTGATGACATCTAACGATGATAGGTATGGTGGGAGCCGAGCTACGAGACAAGAAATGGTCCAAGATTTTGTCGCTGGCACCAATGCACATATAAATGATGAGTGGCGGACTATGGTCAGAGTGCGGCGAAGGACACCTGTTTCTGATCCATACCAGGTCAGACGAACAACACCGTGTGCGTCGATATAGGATGCGTGAAATGGTCTCCTCAAAAGGTGACGATATAACCCCAGGCTCTTGCAAAACTGTACAAAACAAGGATAACCAATTTTTGAAAGCCAAAATTCATTTCGCTACGCTAAGTGTTCTCACGAATACCTGCTCCATTGAGAACCGTCTGATGCTGGGTATCTGTAACTCCATGCAATGATCTCTTTTCCCAAAACCCAGCCCATACGTGAAACCCTCATAACCACCAACGCCATGCTCAAACGACGGTATAGACATGATTGCAGGCCGTGCACACGTAGTAGAGTTTCTAACGAAGGTGTTAGCCTGCCGATTGCACTTCTTGAGATATTCGAGCTTACCATTCCCGTGTCCGCACCGCGCTGTTGCGACTGGAAATAAACTGCATCCGTTTCCCTACATCTCGGACATCTTTGACTGGTTCGAGGAAGCTGTGCACAGAAAGAGCAACCTGTCAGCCTGGGTCTATGCAAGACATAGTGAACGAAAGCGACAAGAGCGTGCGATCATCCTTGTGAGAACTCGGACGCCTCAGAGTCCTCAAGAATGTCGTGACCACAGTCGCTGCATCTCAGCTGATTTCCGCAAAGGGTACAGAAACAGGGCATCTTAGAGGAGGCAGAACCCACAGTTGGATCATTTGCAACATCTGTTGTGACTCCAGCCGTCTCTTGCACAGTGGCGCCGAGTTGTTGACGATATGTGCATGCGGAATCATGTGTTGTCATTGCATGGCAAGCCTTGCAGATGTACAGCAGGGTGGAGGTCGCTTTATCTTCTTTGGGGTAGAGCAGGTTCGAACTGCGATGCATATTGTTAGAGGCACGGTTGTGAAGGGGATTCTGGGTAGGGTCACTGACCACTCTTGACAAAATCTGTATGATACTTCGCTTCGCTTGGTCTGCTCCTCGCTCGGAGCCGGTGAGGCCGCTGCAGACATGTTTAGACTAGGCGAAGGACAGGTAGGTAAGAAGGATCTGGGAGATATCGAGCTGGAAGCAGTGGACGATTGTATGGTGGTGTTTGGTCTGGTGCGATGCGGGACACTTTTTGAAAGAGGTCGCGGACGGTATGACGGTAAATGTGGTCTAGTGTTGGGTGCGGAATCAGAATCGCTGGATGCGCCGGTGATCGAGTTGGGGATTTGATATCCAGAAAATTGTGGCGACGCGTTTGTAGACTTTGAACAAAGATGTACTGTACCTAGGTAGTTACCGTACCTGCATCAGTAGAAGGGTGAATTATTTCCGCCCCGCAGCTTTGGTCACCGAAACGCCCAGTCAGGTGCCCCCGGGGTCGCAATTGCGGCGAGATCTTTCGACTCTGCCAGGTTTTGTTTGTGAAGGGTCTTATTCACCGTGGTTACCAGCAACGCCGCGTTTGCATTTCCCTTCCTTATCAACTTTTGCATCCAATCCATTTATCCTAATCCATTCATCCTGAAGTACCAAGTCACCTCCCATCGATCACATTACTATACCCGGAAGTCCCTCGGCAGCATCTGTCTACCCATACTGCAGCCTTGCGCTGACTATAAACAACCGCGACCCCACCTCTTTGCGCCCACCTAAGGTTTCTCGTATCTTCAATCATCGAACACCACGTATACCCACGTATATACCGAAGGATCTAGTAAAAGGAAGAGATCGGACTCGCCGCTAGACCATCGCAAAACCGCAAGAATGGTACAGATTACCCCGAAGATGGAGGTGCAGCCACAGACTAACTTTCGTCAAACAGACCGAGACTGGCCTGCCCTCCGACTGGGAAGTCCGTCACTCCAACTCCAAGAACCTACCCTACTATTTCAATCAGAAGACGCATGAGTCGAGATGGGAACCTCCCGAGGAAGCCGACACGGAGAAACTCAAAATCTACATGGCTCAACATCACAGTTCTGCCAACACTCGAATCGACGGCGGAGGCGGCGAGGGTAAAATCCGCGCAGCGCATCTGTTGGTCAAGCACAAAGACAGTCGTCGGCCGTCTTCGTGGAGAGAGACGAACATCACACGCACCAAGGAGGAAGCAATTGAGATGTTGAAGGGATACGAGGAACAAATCCGCTCTGGCCAGACAACACTCGGCGATCTCGCCGTGTCGGAGTCGGATTGCAGCAGCGCCAGGAAGCGAGGTGACTTGGGATTTTTCGGGAAAGGCCAGATGCAGAAGGAATTTGAAGATACTTCCTTCACCCTGCAGCCAGGTGAGATGAGTGGCGTGGTTGAGACGGCATCTGGGGTTCATCTCATTCAGCGGTAAGCATCGGCCATCGAGCATAATGACATTATACAAAGGCTGATCTGAGGGACGAAGAATCCAATAGAGGACTGCGATCGGAGGGATGCTGGAGAAGACAGCGACGGTGGGTGCTTCAGCCTTGCCAACAGTTTCGTCACGTTCCGGAAGGGTTTACCGTGCGGGTGTGTGACCCGTGCTCCATTCCAGCCCGTGGAGCTCAACAGCAGAATGAGTACAGCCTTATTACATCAAGGAGTGTGGGATCCTCGTATGATCCAGTTGAAATGGAAAGCCTCCCCTCCGCGACAAAGCGAGAAGGGTGAGGAAATCGGCGTCATACTTGTATGGTTTCTTCTGAAACAGCCCCCGAATCGGTCGATTTAGGTGACTTCCGCACCCCGTATCCGAGCCCACATCAGCAAATGTGCCATGAGTGGCAGTTGATGGTATTCTCCGCGATGATTTGCACTGGGATGTTTGAGCGTGGGCTTTTTGATTCGATGTCCGACCGCCCGTGGGAGGGCCTTGAGTCCCTTGAGGCTCGGAGACACACGCGGTTCAATGCTATGGTGAGTTTCGTACGTCACACAGCGGCACGTTGCCTCCAGCCAATGTGCTTTCCTTCCACTAAAACAGGCAATATCGCAGACCCACCGTCTGTGCCCTCCCGGTCCAATCACAGTCCACACTATATTCCCATGGGTGTGCCAGCTGGTGCCAGCCCTCGACAACTATTTCACTCTCCTTATATACCCGCAAACATCCCCAGGCTAAAAACGCCATTCCACACCATCGACTTTTTGTAACACCATTACTTGCCTTCTTCTCTGTCTTCATAAGCAACAAACACCATTTTGACCCTTTCCCAGCTTTGTATTAACAAGTCAAAGCCCTTTCAACAAAGTCACATCTACATCTACGATCCCAACATCTACATTTCAATATCCAACACAATGTCGAGAAGCGACGCTCCTGACGCACTGTTTCTCAACCCACCTCACTCGCACGACCCAAGCAATGTTTCTCACGTCGCCGCATTGCCAATATCAATGCTATCACAACTACCTCAACCTATTCAAGAGAAACTATGGGACTTGCAAGAGTCTACTTCAATCGTCTACGCCTCATACATCAGACTACAGACGCTGCTGGATGAGCGCTTCGATCGTCTTGTTGAGATGCCATTTGGCAAAGGCTCAGCTGACAGCTGTATGTTTTCAATGACGAAATCTATCGGCCAATGCTAACGTGGAACCCAGACTCTGAAGGAGCATTCTTCAACTACGTAAATCATCTTGCGGCTGAACGTCAGTATCTGCTCGAAGATGCTCACCCAGACTGGAAACACAAAGCAACCCGATCAGGCCTACGACAATACGGTGACCTGATGGTGACGTTCCGGGGCAAGGAGATGACGGTGAATGAGTGGTTCTCTCAATTGCAAACGGCGGAAACGTTCTGGATTCAAGCGGCCAAGGAAATGGAGGTACCCGATTTCGAGTCGACCATCCTGGAGTTTCAGTCTCAGACCACCACCCCGATCAGTGAGAGTTCAGACGATGCCGATTCAAACTTTGGTGGAGATGCGGTTCCGACCGGAAGAAAGGCGGTTGACTCTGAGCGACTCGGGTTTGGAGTGTCGAAAGCGCTCGAGGATTTCTGATCGCCGTGAGTGGGAGACACTCACACCATCATGGCTTGGCCTATCACGACACGAGACGTGGCTATATTACACGACAACCAACATTTTTCTGTCACACAAGACTAGAATGTGGTGTGTTTTTCTCATCATAGCGGAGGATATTACATTTTTGGATGACTAGGGAGTACCCCATAACGCGATCATGACAAGATTCCATGTTTGGACAGGAGTTTGAAATACTATAATGCTTGAATCTTTGCCAGACATGGAAGTTTCATAAGGTTATCGATCGACAGGAGCGCAGTGAAGATCCTTACAGCAAACCAGATTTCGACAATTGTTCGACGAAAGTCTAGGCATTTGTGGCCGATTCGATCCGTGGTCTGCTGACTGGCCTGAAGGCTGGTCTGATATCGACACGTGGGTTGGTTGCTGGTGGACAAGGATCTGACGAGAGCCGACTGTGTTACTACAACATTTCATTGTTCTGGGTTTTGGAACACTCCAGACTAAGAGCGTTGCGTTACGAGTTACGCGTAGCCGCGTATGGCTTCGAGTGGCATTGGCATTAATTGGCATGTGAGCGTTTCTACTTTTGTTTGGATAATGAAGATACGAATGGGCGGAGAAGATTCCTCGGATGATGTCGATAAGATATTTTGGTCCCTATGAGTTACAACGTCAAAACTGGAATGTTTCCCAAGATTGTGATCGAGATCAACACCGACGTCGTTATCGTACCATTGGAGATGGCCATCATACCACAGTAACTTTTTAGACTTTCGACAATTCCCTGTTCTTGCATGTTCTTAGCGCTCAAAATAGGCTGAAGCTTGAGCCAACCAGCATTGAATGTCGATACCTGCCAAAGGAGATTTCCTTGACAATCGTGTCTGCCTAAACAACATGCCTCGCTGAAATTCTTGCCGCGAGTATGCGGCATTGGCAATGTGTAACCTGCATTGTGCCTACATACCTTATGCAGTTCAAATCAGAAGCGATGCGGCCGGCAGATGCAAGCATGAAAAAGTTCCTGGGAGGGATGAAGTCGTCTGGGGGGCCTGTTCGCCGTGGAGTTTATCCCGTTACGGACGCTCCCTCCCTCCCAGGCTCCCACATGCTCCAAGCGCTTTTTTGGACCACGGAAAATGACGAAGAGCTGACACGCACGGACCACGCGGACCACACAGGACGCGCAAAAGGCTCGAGCGTTGGCGCACGCACTGCCGCAGCATCTCCTTCCCCCCTCATCTCCTGTGCAAAGCCTGGTAACCACACTTCCCACTTTTTCACTCGGCTGGGGTATCTGGCATGGCCCCGGGATCCTGCATCAAACCTGGCACGAAACCACAACCCTGCCACTCTCTCTGCGCAGACAAGCAACACTTGAGAAGTGCCGTTTTCTATCCTGATGCCTAGTCCCTGCTCAACAACCTGGTAAGGTACGGGACCCTTTGAAACGTTGGGACCAAACGTGCCTGGAGGTTGTCCAACCCCGGAAAACTCGGCTCTTTGCCCAGCAGAGCCGTTGAGTTGACAGCAGCGCGCAGGTTTTGACGGAGATTTTGGTGTGGCACCGTGGATCATTCGAGACCTTCATTCTTGTGTGACGCCATAATTCTATTCATTTCGATGCTAGAGGATAGGTTTCATGGTCAGTTAGACCTCAACCAATCGCCGTCACCGTCGATATTTCCTTCTTTCAACACTCTTAGCCAGTGAGAGCATTTGACGTGCAGTTGGTCAAGTACACCATCATTGGGTCTGAGCCGTGAGTGGCACATTCTTCCGACCTTAAATGCAACCAAACAACATTTCCGCAGCCTGCTTTCGCATACACAAGATTTGTGTGGACGTTGTGCTCGATCGCGGAACCAAAGGTCTAGAGGTTTCTCCACCTGTCGAACCATCGTCACGCCATGTCCTCCGCACATCCTATGTCTCCACAGTCTACACTGGGCGTGATGATCATGCAACAATCGTCTGATGGACACGCACCTAATTGACGACCCATCTTGCCATGTGCGATGGCAGCCTCGAGTTGCGTGGTATGAACCTCCCTGGACAGATATGGCCCTTGTCATTGCTGCTTTTAGAGAACCACTTTTGGCCTGATCTAGCCATCTACTCATAGCCATCTCATGTTCGAACAGTTTTCTGCATCCAAATCTACTCAGTCGAAATGCAGTTGAAATTGGTACCTCAGGCCAACACTCAAGCCCTGAGGGCAGAGAAAGAGGAAGATGATTGGTGCCCACGCACTCGCCACGTCAGGGATGTTGACTGACCGCATGACCGCAGTCAGCCTGACTTCGTGAGACTCTGTCAAAGTAAGCAGCTAAACAACAGGATGATGTCTACCATAAGCCTTCAGTGCGCAGTCTCAAGAACCAGGAACTGTGTAAGACTAACATAGAGTTCGGATCTGGGCCAATGTCATCGTTATTATGGCAGCAGCTCTCCTCGAAGAGAGCAACGCGCCTCCTTGTCCTTCACCCTGTAGACCCGAAAGATCCAGGCCACATCTCTGCTTCGCTCGTCGAGGCCATATCCTGGACGTGGGGATTGGAGACGACGCAGGAGCCGATCCAAGTCGATGGTGATGAAGTTTTTATTCGTCAGCATCTACGACATTTCCTCCTGAAGTTGAGGAGATTTGGGTATGAGAGAACACTATGGATCGATGCGCTTTGCATCAATCAACATGATCTGGTTGAGAAGAGTCGCCAGGTAGCCATGATGGGTGAGATATGCCAAAGGTGCGACGAAAGTACTGGGTTGGGTTGGGCCTGAGGCGAATTGGAGCACGGAGGCACTGAGGTGGTTTAAAGAGGCGATGCGGAATCAGTACGGTAGGGCACCACTCATGGACATCATTGGGACCGTCGCCCAAGCTCACCGAGACGAGATCGTATGCGCATGGGAGGCCTTTCTAAGTAGGCCGTGGTTCAAGCGTACGTGGATCGTGCAGGAGGTTGTGTTAGCAACGTGCCTCGAGATACACTGTGGCAGCGAGATGATCTTGTGGGAAGAGCTGCCTGACAGTAAAGAAAAGATGGTTACCGCTACGTCTGGCACTTTTCCAGAACAATTCACCCAGCTTGATGCGCGAAGACGATCGTATCAGAACTGTGAACGCAACGTGAGCCCTCGGGTGGACGATCTTCACATCGCTAAGCAGATCCGGGACATTGTGATTGAGTTCCATATGTTCAAGTGCAGTGATCCACGCGACCACGTCTATGCCCTTCTCTCGCTTGTGGCAGACATTCCCGGCACAGTTAAGCTGAAGCCTGATTATGCCTTAACGCCTGGACAAACGCTCGTCTCGGTATTCAGGCAGACGCTGCCGGGTCTGAAACTGCGTTCGGCCAGGCCCACGAAGGTATCTTACATGCTTGACCTGCCAACTAGGGCCATGGCCTTAGGCGGATTGCTGAGGTTGGGCGGTCGTTTGCGTGAAGGTGTTGCGGACCTTTTGGAGCACGGTGTTCGCGCAGGAGACGACGAAGAGCTGTGGCGCGGCACGGCTCAAGAGATCCGAGACCTCACTAGACTACCTTGACCTGCAAACGTGCCTCAACGCCGCTACGCTGTTCTAGAGCACGCTTTGATATAGGGCGGCGACTGTTGTACATCGACCGGCGTCTGAACGGCAGATTATCATGGCTTCAATTTGGCTCGACGCCAGAGTTGCGACAATCCAATTCAAGGCCTTTTCCACACCTTGACTGTCCTTGACTGTCTCCACGAATACAACTGCCGCGACGTCGTGTCTGTTTGCCAGCAAGTCTCACGTGTCGGAGGATGTTCGCCCCTTTCAGCGGATCAGCGTATGGACACATGGGATCGCGGGTCGGCAGGTTTCGCCTTGACCAGGCCACAGCACATATCGCGTGTAAGCCGAACATGGGAGTTGGGTCCAATCGGCTATTTGCAGTGCATACATATGTGATTGGTTTTCTCAGGACGACAAATGTGCCCAACCAAACTTCCGTCAACCATCTCCGCTGGGATCGGAGAAATACCGCTCCAGGATTCCATGGGCCAACAGCATATCTCACACTGAACAGCGTTCGACATTCTCGCCGTCCTTGACATCTTCGCTGTCCTTGCCCCTTTCGGCGCGGAACTTGCAACTCCTGCTGTGCAACCACCATCGCATGAAGCGGTACATGGTATGAACCTGTGTCACGGCGCGACCCCAATGGTACTCCAGCCCCAGATGTTTCGAGTTCGCCATGCGTGTGAGACTTCATCTTGGCCGCGTCCAACAAGAGACGTGACAACACATCTGCCCTTCACGGCTATTGTCGGACGGTTTCCAATGTGAGGAATTATCCCGGGTCGAGGCAATATCGCGGTATGGTGCCCTCCCTCGGGGGCATAATCTCTCCCACCAGCGACGTTGAGAGACATCACCCACCTTAGCTTTGCAGGCGACCTCCGGGATTCCCCTTTTGCAACCGACGTCGTACATGCAGTCAAGGATCCGCAACGAGGTCCCGCCTCTTCCAGAAGATCCAGCGTAGGTCCAGGACGATCCCCTAGCCCCTTCTTGTCCCGATCCGGGATTTCCAAATCCACTGGAACAAGCGAGGTTGTTATGTTGTACATACCCGCTCCAGAACCTCGAGAGCTTACAGTGTGGTAGTACAGCATCAATAACAATGCATTATCCAGTATCCGTCGCTGCCCGACGTTGTCGCTGTGGTCTGCTGTACCGGTATAGAGGCGGGAACAGGCCGAGAGAGAAATCTCCTTTTGCTGACCTACGGTAGCATGTGGACATGTGGACCCGTGAGAATAGCGAGTCGCCGCACTATAGTCTGTCCACACATGCTCGTGCGTATCTGAAAATGCGTGTTGGTGTCACGTCCGTCTGTCCGCCCTGCCTGTGTCTCGAGAGTCCATAGCAGGACACGCAAATCGGCTCTGATCTCACAGTCGAGTCTCGCGATTTGCTATTTCAGCCTTGACTCGCACCAGTGTAGTGAACGGACGCATTTGCCGCTTGTCTTTGCTGCCATTGGAGAATCATTTTCTACACAAGTATCACAGTAGGGGTATCTACGCGCATCAGACAGACAGGTCTTGAATTCAAGCCTTTGCAGGCTTTACACGCATCTGAATAAATCGCACATGATCCCAGATCGAACCCAACGCTTGAACGACCCGCCTAAGCAACCCAAACCATCATTTCACATCATAAAAACACACACCTGTAGTCCGTTACTCGCTCAAAACCCAAGAAAGATAGTCAACAAAGTGATTACTGCCCCAATACTCATCGCACATGCAGAGTTTCTACTGCCATCACCCGTGTATGTCTGCCAGGGGTCCACAAGGCTGCTTGTTGATGGCTTGACAGATTTTAGACTGATGGTCGCGGTAGCTGTGGCAGTGGCTGTAGAATTTGGACTGGTCATTTGTTTCCTTGAAGTCGTGCTTTCGCTTGGATCGTTCCAGTCTGTCCATGTAGGGTCGGCGGAAGTTGTCTCTGTGGAGCTAGCCCAGTCACTCCAGGTAGGGTCGGCGGAACCTGTCTTCGTGGAACTGGCCCAATCACTCCAGGTAGGATCCACGGAGCCTGTCTCTGTAGATGTCGCCCAGTCACTCCAGGTAGGGTCGGAGGAGGTTGTCTCTGTCGATGTGGCCCAATCGCTCCAGGTAGGATCCGCAGAGGTTGTCTCGGTAGAGGTCGCCCAGTCAGACCATGTTGGATCCGCGGAGGTTGTCTCTGTGGACGTTGCCCAATCGCTCCAGGTAGGGTCAGCGGACGTTGTCTCTGTGGAGGTAGCCCAGTCAGACCCAGTTGGATCCGTAGATGTTGTTCCTGTGGACGTCGCCCAATCAGACCAGGTAGGATCCACCGAGGTTGTCTCAGTGAGTGTCGCCCACTCAGTGAATGTCAAATCTGCCGAATGGAGACTATTCATTGCAGACGTCGTAGTGGTATTGACCCAGTCAAGCCATGATGATGGTTTGTCGGCGGCCGCCCTCGTTGAAGCCGGTGTTGTAGTCGCTGTCCAAGAGCTGATTCTGGTGCTGCTCGAGAAGGGAGCAATCGGCGTACACCAAGCTGGGATGGACCAGCTACTGCTTGTGATAGTACTTGCCCAGGCCGAGGTCGATGGTCTTGCCAGACCCGACGTTGTAGAGGGTGTCGTCGTGCTAGCCGTTGACGTGGTATCGAATGATGGAGTTGATGTGGAGTTGGCCCGACGAAGAAGCTCGTAAACATTACGTTGAGCATGTCGGAGAGGTTCAGGGTATTGGAAGTCCGAGTCTGGCTTTTTGTTCATGAATGCTGCGATGCCAGCCACTGCTTCCTCGTACTGCTCATCCTCCTGAGTCATCCTTCGGGCTTTCGAGGAGGCGAGATTAGGAAAGGCAGGTGAGTCGGGTTCAGCGATTGTGCTAACATCCGGGATCACTCCTGTGTCAAAATACGATTTGACGTTCTGAGTGACCTGTTTTGAGGGGTCGCGAAGCGAACAATGCTGTGAAAGTCGAAGTCAGCAAAGTGCAAAGCCTGTTTTCCAGCGACATTACTTACCCCGAAACCGTTGTGCCATTGAATAGCACTGCCAACGAAGCCAGCACTGGAATTGCGAGCTGATTCTGACGGAGTTACAGGATCGTAGAAGTTCTCAACGAAAAGAATAGGCGTCTTCGTGACGATCCCTTCGAAGCTTGGGGGTCCCTCTTTGGCACTTACCTGCCAGGTAGCGCAGGCAAAGAGAATCGCGGTCAGCGTATCCCCGCCATACTGGCTCCTGTCATTGTAGAGAGCTCGCCACTCCTCGAACTTGGCGACACTAACATCGGAGAAGCGATTCGCATCGCCACAAGTGATAGCTACAAGAAGGTTCGGCTGACCTTTGATCTCAGACCGGATTGCGTCTAACGGGTCGAACGGTGGGGTCGCGCGACGTCTGGCAGCCGATACGGCCGTGCGGTTATGGTATCCGTAGGCCCACATGTCAAGGTATTCGCCCCATCCGGAGGGCCCAGAGAAGATGACCTCTTTCATGAGGCCTTGAAGATCGTCGTACTTAAGCTGATCTCCTTCTGCGGTATATGCTGTGACCTTTTCCTCCAACAGGTCGTTGTAGAAGGACCATTGCTCGTCGAGCAGTTCGCTGCCGGTCAAGTCGTCATGAGCCAAGGGGCACTGCGTAGGACCCGCCTGTGCGCAGAAGTCGAGAAACTTTTCTAGACCTGCATCGTAGTCGCTCACAGCCTCGTCACCCCTAGAAGGGTCAGCCAGGGTGCACCTCACATCGTCATGCTGGGAATCTTACAGCCCGTAATAGTAGTCGGTCGGGTTGATGTTGCCGTCAAGGACGACTCGGTCAACTTGGTCAGGAAACATGGCGGCAACGGTGGCACCCAGCAAGGTACCATAGGAAAAGCCTATAGGGTCGGGCGCGTTAGCCAAGGTCAAGGCACAGATCACTCTCAAGTGATCACCTACCCCAGTATCTGATATAACCATCTTGGCCGAATGCCTCAGCCATGGCTTGGATATCACGCGCCACGAATGTAGTGCCAATGAGCTCTCCCGCAGTATGGTACGTAGGCTCTGCACACTTCTGACCTTGTGCTACCAAGCTGTTGTAACCGTCGTTCCAGTACGCGTTGGAGAATGGCACTACGCCGTTGGGGTCGTCCAGAACAGGCACGTTGAAGTCGTTGTCGGGTACCAGGTCATCACCATCCTCCTCGGTCAGACTGTCATCTGTTTCGGCGATGATAGTTGAATTGACACCCGGGCAGCTGTACGCCATATTCAAGGCAACACCACTACAAGCACAGTCAATCAAACTGCTTTTGAAAGATGCCGAAGAAGCTTGAATCTTACGTACCGAGGATCGAAGGTGACCAAGTCCCAATCATCGCCAACAAGCCTAGCTGCTGTTAGTCTGACCTGTAGCTGATGAACAATGAATGGCGACGCACGTCTGCAAACGAGATCCTTGCCCCACTACGAACTGTGAGATGCCGCTCGCACCTGGGCCACCGGGGTTATAGATGATCGTCTGATTACGAGGTGTTGCGCTCTTCGCGGGCACCCGCACCATGGGCAGGCTAATATTCTGTCCAGAAGGATTGATCCAGTCTAGCGGCACACTCAGAGTTCCACACTGAAGGTTTGGCTCCAGGTCGACAGCACACGGGATCCACTGTATTGTACCATCGTCAACAGGAGTTGGGGTCGGCGTTGTAGTGGTAGTGCTGCTGCTAGAGGACGTCGAAGACAAGGAAGACCTCGATGACAAGCTTGATGTCACGCTTCCATTGTTGTTGCTATACGATGTTGATGACAGAGACAGGCTTTGTGACGATGTAGATGCGATGGGAAAGTTGGACGTTGTCCAGGACGTCGTGATTGTGGAGGTGATGGGGGCATAGCCGGAGGGACATGTCAGACTGAAGGACGCCGACGCAGCAGCCACGGCCATTTTGAAAAGGAGTGACTACAGTTAGTGCTTTTAAAACCGCTGAAGAGCAAGAATGACTTTGAGTGCAGATGGAAGAATCACCTCAACCCTTTATATCTTTCGCATTGCAGACACATTGTTTCTGTCACGGTGAGCGACCCTGGTGGTAATCTCTCAAGACCGAAGTTTGAATCTGCTCGACATTTATGCATGAGTACTTGGGAGCATTCTCACAAAGCCCCTGCAAACTCTACGTGGCCAAGCGCAAGTCTTCAACAAGAGTGTGGCTGGACACAAATATCGAGTTTGTTCGATCAAGGCTCCCGTCGAAGTCCTGGAGACAGGAACGAAAGTTCGCTCGAGCAAAGTCAAGGGCGAGAATGACGGGAACAATCACGGCCGGTTGGGTGGAAGCATATGTCGCAATCAGATCTCTCCCGGATCCTGCAATACCTTTTCCTTCGAAATCCTACGAGTAGGGTCTGGTTTCCAGGAGATTCTCCGTGCAGTTCGAAAATGCTCGAGCGTGATCTGTCATGTCGATACAAGTGAGGAGATTGCTAGCGCAAGCAACGAGGTATGCATGAATGTGCGCGCACACTGACCACGAGAGATAAGTAATCAAAGCTGACAGGAGCAACGCACGCCCCATGAAGAGCTTGGGCCATTGAGGAGATGGACCAACACGTGATCGCAGCCTTGTCGACCTGCAAAAGTACCGAAACACAGCCTTGCAGCGCTGAGGTCGGATATATCATTTTACATTCCTGAGCGTTTCGGTATCGGCGCGCAATACCCGGATAATCAGAGACCAATGCCTCTGGAAGAGTCGAGAATGGTCCACCCGTAAGCCGATACATCCAGTGCAAAGAAAGGGCACAAGAGCTGCGAGGCGTGGGATGGCATTACCCCTATTCCACGGGTAGGTCAGGCTGCCAGTATATTTACCTTTCAGTGACAGCAACGAGATCGTTTGCCATCCAAGTCTCTTTGAATTGCCTGTGGCCTGGTCCGGTAGACCCCAGTGTCAGTTTTAAGCATCAGTGCAGCCTTAACTCGACATTGCCAAACCTCCACGTTCGGCTGGCATTTTACTTGGTCCAGCCAGCCTCGAACGTATAGGAACTTTGATTCTTCGACTTGTATCGCCCTGATTGTGGTGTTTTAATTGACCTCATCACCTTGGACAGCTTCTTGTCAGTTTTGCTGCCTCGTTGTCGGTCTTGTCTCTGGGTTTAACGATTGTCATTCTTCACACCGTCGGGTTCATGTCAAGAGTCAGTCAGAGTACCCCTTTCAACGGAGTCGTGGAATATCAATGGTGTCGAGGATCCCCCGAGTTTCATTGCCTTTTGTCATGTACACGGTCACAACTGAGGCCGTCCTCCTTGAGCTCCAGAGAATACCAAACGGAGAAGAAGAAGACAGGACCTATACAGTAGGTTTCCATTTGGCAATAAGTGATGCTACGGTCATTCTAGCCAATCACAAAAGAGCGATAAACAATTGCTATCACCATGAAATGCATCCACTTCAACTGCACCTTTCTCCTTCACCTGCGCGGAGAAACACCCTTTGACATCACTCTTTTTCCATACCAGCTTTGCTAGAAGGCTTCTTGTCAAGCTGCAAGCGAATCACGCTTATCATGATTGGCTTAATATGGATATCTCCCTCTCTCTCTGGGGCCCTCTACCTGCCCTGTTGGAGCCGCACAAGACACTTGCAGCTCGATTGATGCCCCAAACTCTTTCATGGACGTCTGCTCCATTGATTCAGCTAAACTTTGAATTACCGCATGCAGCACTGACGCCGACATACTGATCTATTGAAAATAGTCCCCTCACCTCTACTCTTCTGACCTTTTACTATGCCTGACCCAATGACGATACAGGAAGAGTCTGATCACTTCTCCCCCTACAGGGCGGATGGAAAGCTGTATGGCTTCGTGTGCGTGGTCACTGGCGCAAACATGCCAGTTGGTTCAGCTATTGTGACGGAGTTGGCAGGTAAGAGAGTCATGACATATGAACAAATCAGCTCGACTGACAGCACAGCACATGGCGCAGCATGCATCTACGCTTGCACGACCACCGAACAGTCCTCAGGAGTACAATCCTCGCTCCTCAAACGTTACCCGAACACCAAAGTCATCGATTATCCCTACTCTATATCCTCCGAGCAAGATACATTGACTCTGATTGACGAGGCTCTTAATGCCTGGGGAAGACTGGACGTTTGGGTTTGCTCTTCGGGTCTGCTTGGTCCTCCGTCCATCGACCTTACCACCCCGGAAGATCTCCAGAAATGCTTCGAAGCCAACAGCCTAGCACCATTCTTCGCCCTCAAGTACGCTCCGCCTGCGATGACAAAGACCTCGCCAAAGGGTAGCTACCCGAATGCGGCACCCAAAGATCAGTCCTACGGGAGCATCATCGTGGTGTCGAGCACGGCAAGCACATATGGTGGATGTTGGGGACCTTGCTATACCATGAGTTCACATGCTGCCCTCGGCGTGGTGCGTGCTGGCGTTGCCGTGCTCAAAGGCACAGGTGTGCGTATCAATTCAATCAGTCCTGGTCAGATTGATGTCGGAGTCAGTCTCAACGGATTCGAGAAGAGGGGCATGTTCAACAACACTCAGCTGCCTCCAGCCGAGTTACAAAATGAGACTGCGCAAAAACAGAACATTGGTTTGGAAAGAGCAGGCCAGCCAGCGGAAGTGGCTAGAGTTGCGGGCTTTCTGGCATCTGGCTTTTCCAGTTACATCACGGGCTCTAATATGATAGTGGACGGTGGCGCGAGTGTGATGTCCCCTCTTATGGTACCGATATAGACGAGACAGTCGTTAAAGTATAGCATATATCGACGAGAAGATGACAAGGTTGGAGGATTGGAACCTCTTCTCGACAAGCTTCCTGTCTCAATGGGCCTTCCATTGTGCAAACACATATGTCCTGATCGTCTGATTTTGTAGGGAGTAACTATCTAACAGTACCGTCATATATGAGACTTGGGTCCTGCTAGCGAAAAAAGACTCCCTTGGGATCCGTTCTGGGCACCGTGTAATGATCAAAGAGCCATGAGGAAAAAGCGTTTGATGATAAGGAATTGGTGCCTGGAATATGAGCGAAGAAGCAACGTCCTGCTTTACATATCCGTATGGTAATTTGTGCAAACACTCGCGGCAGCGCTGTCCAAAAGGAAGCTGAACCTCCAGCAGCATACAGGCCTCATCAGCATCAAGAGGTCTCATAGAGACAAGACGAGTGTCTTTGGACTTGACGTCTACGGGAATTTCGTTGCTTGCACATCATGTTCAGGAAAATGTAGAAACATGAAAAGTGTAGAAATCAAAAATACGAATGGGACCACAATCCTCCGCCAAATCCGGTATAGTTCAATTTTCAAATGTTCCTGGCAACTTTTTGGACCTTGAATCCATTGAAACATTGCACAAACACGACTCCTGCGCATCGCTTTCCAGCGAGCGCATATCACATCTAACCATGTCTCCTCGCTCGAGAGGTGTAAACCTCATCGCCGATGTCCTCGGCACATCCGCTGCACCCTTAGCAGCCAGACGAGTGCTCACAAGATCAGGCTTTTCGTCTCAGAACCACATCTGCCGCTCATGTCGACAAGCTCTGTCTCAGCAACAGCACCGTAACGCATCGACAGCCACGGCAAAAGCTACAGTCGAAGCACCTCCCATCACACAGCTATCCCCCGACGGGCCCGAAGCCTCGCCAGTATCTCAACCCATCTACAGCATAAAAGCCGGCGTGGTTGTTTCGCGGCCGCCCCTCCTCACTCCGGACCCTCACCCCTTCGAGACAGCATATCATCTCTATCAGCGACGACTTAACGAGCGTCTCGTCCTCCCATTCACACAGTACTTCTACTACAAGCGCAATACACCCGCGTTCGAACAGTGGCGCACAAAGCGTCGGGAAAGAGGAGGTGTCGCGGCGCGTGATATAGGCAAATACAACGCCTACACCGAGGAGAGCTGGAACGACGAAGCGCTAGTGGGCGATGAGTCGGGCGCCCCGGAGAAGATTGTGAAGGATCTTGTCGCCGAAGAAGGCCGCGCAGAAGAGTTCACGGGCGCTGGAGATGCGACGTTCGCAGGTCTAAGGAGAAAAACCGAGGCTGATGAGAAGAATGACCAGCGCAGTCTGGAAAGAAGTCTGCATAGGACGCTGTACTTGCTGGTCAAGAACAAGACAGTCAACGCTCAACAGGATGAGAGCGAGCTGTGGAGATTTCCCTCCGGGACGATTGCTGGGTTCGAAGGATTGAAAGAGGTGAGCTTCCTTTCCCCGTACACCGTTCGTGCTCAGATGCAAAAAAGACTAACCTTTTGTGTGACAGGCCGCACAGCGCATCCTCTTTGCGTCGTTAGGCGCCAACATGAACACCTTCTTCGTCGGCAACCACCCCGTGGGCCACTATGTGCAGAAATTCACCTCGCCAATCCCACGTGCGGCCAGACCGCCTACAACTACGCAAAAGGACAAAGCGTCGAAGGAGATGCCGCTGAAACAGGATCTTGCGGCTGAAGGGTCGATGGTCGACGGCGAGAAGACGTTCTTCATGAAGGCACGGATCATGGCCGGACAGGCTGATTTGAGCGTAGCGCAGCAAGGTGGAGAGATTGAGGATTTCAAGTGGTTGAGTAAAGATGAGGTTGAGGCGCTGGTGCATCCTGATTATTGGACTAGGGTGAAGAATATGCTGGTTGCGCAGTGAACTTCATCGTCAAAGTCGACTTTCTGCCTACTGCAGTGGATAAGGGATGAGCCTGTGGGGTCAAGAGACAGAGACAACCCAGCAAAAGGCAGAGGCTGCGTGAGCAAGAACAGCGCGAAAGTAAGTGTGCTTGTACTATATCTAGACTTTCCATGTCCTGTACAAGTTGTGATCATTCCATTGCATATTGGTGCATTGCATTACTTCTGATACGGGATATGGAAAGGCTCCCTAATGATGGGCTTTCCCATGCTTATTTTTGTCGGGCAGTGCTGATAAAAGTACAATACAGTGCATGTCCAACTCGTAAAACCCGTTCATTTTTTTCGTCATTGTACACTTCCAGTCATGATTCCATCTCCTTCCTTCGTTGCGCTTGGGCCAAGCGGAAACGTCGTAGGACAAGCATACAATTGATTTCTTGGGATGTGAGTGGAGGAAAGGTGAGTTGTGTGGTCAATCTGATTCTTTTGCCCATGCTTTCCCATTTTCCTAGTGACGAGTGTGTGCTGTATTCCGCTTTCTATTCCGATCCATCACCAAACACCCACCCGGGAAATTCGTCAGCGAACTTGACCACCGCTTTGAGCCAGTACTCGTCCTGTCCGCCCCAAGTGCGCTCCGCCTCTAGCATGGCCCGACAGCCCTTGACGAAGTGCGCGTCGAATTTGTGTTTACCGTGCAGCGCCTTGTCGGTGACAAAGTCCCAGTTTCGACCCTGTAGATCGTACTCGGTGACGTACTCTTTCTTTATCAGTGGGCGGGATTGCGTGATGTAGATGGACAGTGTGATCAGCAACCACTGCTTCACTAGCGGTAAATGGTGCTGCGGCTCGAGGAAAGGGATCAAGATTCGTATGGCGTGCGAGGTCGTTAACAAGTGGACGAGCAGGAAATCGTAGCCATGGCCGCCGACGCTCGTTGCGCTGGAGGTGTGTAGGGCGACCGCTAATTCTTGGGATTGTTGAAAGTCTGCGTTTGGATCGATAATCTTCCAGGCCGACCAGTGCTCGAGCAGGATTGATACAAGGGCCTGATCTGTCCAAAGGTGGTTTAATTTGTCATCGGTGTGATCAAAGGCTGAGTCAAGACGTTTGTCGGCCTGGACCCGGCTGAAGATCTCGAAGATGTTGGTAGTCGTGTATGTTGGTGGTGGATTGGATTCGAGGAGTTTGGCAAGCGTGGGGTTATAGCATGTTGCTGCTAGACCTAGGGCTTCCATGCCGACTTCGCGGCTGTTCAATTCGTAGGCATAGCCCAGGTGAATTAGCGGGTGGCCTAGACCGGTGGTCAGACAATTGAAGATTGGTTCGGCGTTGGGAGACTTCTTGGAGCCGCGCTGAAACAGGAACTTCTCGACGACATGTTTCCAATCGTAGCTCTCAAGCACGAGCTGGTCTTCGAAGAAGTCGACAAAGGCTCGTTGGTACTCTTTCTTGCCCAGGAACTCGCGATAGTCGTGTTCGGCAATTTCGGCGGGTGAGTCTTCCCATTGGTCTAGGCCATCGTTGGCGGAGTCTTCGTAGATGTCGTTCAGATGGTCGGCTGTGCCGCCGAAGAGGAAGGCTGAACCGAGAATCTAAGAAAGTTAGCATAGCGACACGAGATAGTGGAGGAATCACAGACATGAGGATTGTGATTGTGGAATCGGAGCTTGCTGTACAAGATTGAAAAGGTTGCATGGTTGAGTTTGAGGAGATGCTTGAGGCGTCGGGCGCGTTTGTCACTGGAGACTTCGATGTCATGGACTTCGACAGAGGGGATGTTGATGGCTTGAGCGGTTTTGACTCGGCCAAAGCCGAATCTGGGGAGGGACGATGGGATGAAGTTTGAGAACATGTTGACTAAAGAGTTATTGAGGTAACATTGTACGGTTCAATCTCATGCAACTCATGTCATGCTGAAAACCGGGTAGATGGATGTATTAAGTACAGTCAGACTCGACATGCAGTTCGAGGAAGGAGGAGGTGAAGTCGTGCGGAGTGTATGACTAACACAGCCACGTGCACCGCCACAATGGGAAGGAGCAAGGAAAAAGAGGGCGAAAGCGGTTGGGATATGCTACTTCTACCTTCAAACCTTGCACAAAAGATCAATCCTGTCCTTTCAACGATGGTACCTATGTTCGGACAATTTGACATCCCACTTGTGTTGTGTAGCTCATCCTATCCATGGTTCAGAATGGTACACGTAGCCTCAAAATGCTACTCCAGCCATCGTTCCAATACACTTCGTACACATTTTGAGCCTCCTGCAACGTGCTCGCCATACTCAATTCCGACAGCCACTGCATCTCATCGATCAAGGTCCAAGATCTCTACCGGCTCACATTTGATGAACATTTTGGCTGTATCGACAATTGTTGCGGAAGGACAAGTATCAAGTACATGTTCAGCGTCGGCACTTGTTTTGGTGACACTGGCTACGGAGCGCCGCTCACTGCTGACGTGAAGTTCTGCTTCCCTTGTTTGCGTGGGTTCAATCGAAGGTGTGATTGAAGTCGTTGTGTTAGGTTGAAAGTCACTTTTTGCTGTTGTGCCGGTTTCGACGGATGGCATAGCCGGCGATGATATCCTTTCAGTCGCTTGCTTTTCCGAAAGGTTGTTCTCCGATTGGGCACTGATGGCATGCTGTGGTGCAAGCTGGCCTGCGTACGATTCTGTTGTTGTCAAGCCAGGTTTCTGCTGTTGTTCAAAGTACAACGGCATGTTCAGCAACTCCTCGTATGAGGTGGCAAGTGGATTCAGACCGATGTCGTTGTCGAATATATGATCTGCCGAGCCTGAAATTACTCCAGAATGGACAGTCGGCTGCGACCACTGGTTGACATTTTGTCGCGGACTAAGCCACGAATAATGGTTGTGAGGCTGGCTCACCTGATAGACAGGCGCTGTGGTCATTGGCATGGTGTGGGAACTGTAGTACCCCATGGCACGCTGAGCGTTGGTATATGCATCAGCTCCGTTGTTGGTACCATAACCGCTGACATAGGTAGGATAGTAGTACGCAGGAGTAATCATCGGCTCCTGCTTCATCGCAATTGTATCCGGTTCATTTTTGACCGCATCGACCACCGGAGCACGTATCTGATTGTCAACATGTGCTGTGCTTGGTTCCTCCTTGATCGGCTGGTCCTGCGTGATAGACGGCTCCTTCTTGATAGGCTGTTCAGAAACGGAGGCCTCATTCACAGCGATTGATGTGTCAGGTTCGTTTTTGATCAGTGGTGCCTGCGACTTCGCTGCGTATACTGGTTCGCTTTTGATAGTTGGTTGATCCCAATAGCCGCTTGCATACTGCTGACTAGGCATGACGGAGGACGTCCAGGTAGGGTTTCCGAAGAAACTTGATTCTAGTCTGACCCTCTTTTGAGCGTTGTGTTGTTGTTGGTCATATCCTCCCATGTGGCTTTGCTCGTTTCCAAGTCTCTCGCTTTCTTCTTCCAAGAGCTGCCTCTTCCCTTTTGCTTTGTCTTTGACAGGTCTCTCCTTCTCCTTCTTCGGCTTGATCGACTTTGACTGATTCACAATTCCTTCGAACTGAGTCCTCATTCGGCTATATCGCATTCGTGCGGCGTGACCGTTCGAGATGTCCAGACCATCTGCCACTTGGTTCCAGTCAGTTGATCGAAGATCAAGCTGCTTGAGAATCATGTACAGGAATATTGGAGTTTGAGCATCTTGAGCAAAATTCTTGGTGCGTCGAGGAGATGCCATGGTGTGGTTCACACGTCGTGGAGGTGATGTGTAGGAACGGCCTCCAGCAGAGAAAACAACAAGAAGCTGGTGATGTGTGTGAGGTGAGAAGGGTTGTGAGAGACACTTCACAGTGCAAAATATAGTTCTCACCACCAGCAGCTTGCTTTGTCGTTCTCAGTCCAAAAGCCAACCTTCTTCTTCCACTAGAGCGAATGGCGTCCAAGCCCTTGTTCCGGAACAATGTTGACATCTCCAAGCATTAACGTAGCTTACACAGCGTGAAAGAAACATAATGCCCCTTTCTTCATACCAGCTGTTGTCATAGTTTACTGTCAAACTGCAAGGCACCACTCATGAAGTATTCTTGTTCTTCTGGCTGTTCTCCAAGCATGACATGCTCACGCCCACCTCTTGACGTCCACCAAGCCACGCAACTCGCGGCACGCTCCACATCCATCTCACCATCACTAAGGGCGGCCCACAGTCGTTGTTGGCATTGTTGCTTCTGTACAGGGTTCTTGACCTTTTGTAAGAGGTCGGCAGTCACAGGTAGCCAATCCTCCAGAAGGGGAATAGGCAAAGAATTCAGACAGTCGATGATGGACAAAAGCAGAACCGTTCTTTCAGACAAAGGTTGATTGCTCTCCACTGGTACGTCATGGTTAGAAGGGAGCAAATCTTCGGAAGCATGCTCCACTCTTTCTCTAAGCAGATCAAGAACAATAGCCTGCATGAGCGGCATTAACATTGCTATGGGTGAAGGTGGTGCAGCAAGCAGTACGACAGATTTCATGGCGAATCTGAACTGTCGAGCAGTCAGTGGCTTTGGAAAGCTATGAAGCAATGTCTCCACATAGAACGGCACATTCCTCGTTGCCACTTCGGCATTTTGTGGTGCAGCCAGGATGGCCAACATCACACTGTGAGCTGCTTCGAATATTTCTCCCAGACGAGGGTCCCCTCTTGGGTCAACGTATGGTGCTGCCGAGTTGAACAGAAGCTCTTGGTTTGTGCGTGGCGATAGAGTCAAGGTAAAATGTTCGGCAGTGTTGAGGAAGAATAGATCATAGGTCCTGTCAAGAGGATGAACAGGAATGCGTTCTAGTTCCGCAGGCTTGATTGCTTCCAGGAAATGTTCAGATTGAGCTTGATATCGGCTTAGTATGTCGATCGCTGTGGTGTTGACGAAGGTATATTGGGACGAGGAAGTGAGTCCAAATCGATGTGCTATGAAATATGTGTCGCGTAGGATATGCAACGTTTGCATCGCCAATGATGGAGCAGTGTTGTTTGATGCCAAAGCAGAATCGCAAAGGGTGCGGCCCACCACAGACCGAAGAGTTATAATGGCTGCGAATACCGTGTTTCGAAGCAATTGTAGAAGCACAGGAAATGTTTGGTTGATCGTTTCCTGGTCGAGATACTGAGCCTCCTCGCGTGGGTCGACCTCAGAGAGTTTGTTCTGTCTCCAGGAAGTCGCCAGAGTCCGGGCAAATTCCGCGATCCTGTTGGTGCTGTACACTATCAAGGATGGGTCTTGTACATTGTCGATGCAATGAGCCATCAAGCGTGACAAAGCCCCAAGAGGGGCGACAAGGCTTCTTGATTTGATCTTGTTGACCTTGCCGAACGATCTCGATCTTGAGGACCAGCTGAACTTTTGTCCGCCAAACTGCCGCACGTCATTGTCGATAGTTCCCAGCCAATATCCCTGCTCAAGGCCTGCTCTCGAAAAGAATATCGCATTCACCAAGACAGGCAGGAGAAGGTCAAATTGCACCTGAGACTGGTGATAACCTGACAGCAGCGGGAAAGTATGGTTCAGTACAAAGATTACTGGCAGTTCACAATTCGGCTCCGCATCTTTCTGTAGCAGGGCTAAGTTGGAGGCCGTGACCAGTGCTGCCTCTAGCTTGTTCCGTAGGTCAGGCGGCAGGTCTTCGAATTGCCTGGACTGAAATGCCAGAAGCAGTCCGCCGATTAGTAATGTGTGCCTCCATCTCGGTGATTTATCGTCTGCTCCTTGGACTACTGCTTTCACCCATTCCCTCACAGGCAGATTGCTGCGTAGCTGCGCATGAACGGGGCTTTGCTTGTCCTCAATCAATCTGAGAACGGCAGTGTAAAACACCGAGAATATCTGACGAGATTGAGCAATCTCGATGGGCCGAGGGTAAAGGATATCATTTGACAGTAGATGCGAAGTCAGTAATGTGACATTGAGAGGGTTGGACAGTCTGGACAGAAGATTCGTGGCAGTGGGTAGTAGCCTGCGACCATGTCAGTACGTGTCTAAGGTGCTGCGCGTCACAATACCTCAAGGCATCTGCAGAAGAATCTGAAGTCTGCAAAGATCTCAGTAAGGCCGCCAACGACCTGTCCATCGTCTCGTTACATCTGACAGTCGTGAGAAGGGGGCTTGGAAGCGATGGTCTTGATACGTAGAAGACGAGGAGACAAAGCCATATATTATTATGCGGTCAAAGCCGAGGTCCAGCCTCGTTGTGTGTCAGCCAATCATGTTGCCCCACCGACGTATGCAAGGCTGAGCCATTGTGAAACTATGTCTGCCCATTTACTATAAGGCTTGCAGTCGTTGTGGGTTCACAGGAGGGTAGTGTCGACCATTTCAACATCAGAGTCTTCGCCTGCCTCGAGATCGTCTATCCCGTTAGCCTGAAGGCCGGCAAGTTCCACGTCCATATCACTATCCTCCTCAGCATCGAAATCATAATCCTCATCAAATTCGGGTCCATCCGAGTCCTCGACTGGATCGGGGTGGTCGTCTGGCAGCCACACAGACATATCCGAGAACTCAGAAAGCCGGTCGTCAAGATCACCATCCGGGTCCATAGAACTATCGAATCTTCTCCAGCGACGGTGTTTGAGTGGATTGACGCCGCCATGATTGATATAGTGCACGAGGGCGTCCTTCGAGACTCGGGACGGAACCTGGCAACCGTCAAGGTCGTTCGTCTTGAACAAGCTCTCGTAGTCTTTAGGTTCCTTCAATTCGAAGGAGTCAAGGACGAACTGTGTCCTAGCCGACCACAGGTCAAGAAGTGTAGCCCAGGAGCCGCCCAACACTGGTCTTCTCAATGCTAGATTTCTAAGTTTCGGGTGCTTGAACAGCCATTGATTGATTTCCTGCATGGTGGAGAAGCAGAACTCTTCCAATGTCACCGACCTGAGTTGTGGCAGTGTCGTCATTGGAAGGATGTCGGTGAGGCACATTTGGGTGTTCCCCTCGGCCGAAGGCAAGGATATCTCGAGCTCCCTGAGGTTTGATGCCCCTGCCAGCGCAGTCACAAGCTTATCTGAGTATGTTGATGGTAATGGTCTTGGAGTCACTTCTAGACAAAGCTTGAGACTTCTTAAATAACGGAAGGCACCATCGGAAGCTTGATCGCCCAAGCTGGAATCCATCCAGCTAAGAGATATGCCGCGTTTGATGAACAGGTCCTCGTTTCGTTTGATCTCCAAATGTTGGATGTTGGAGTAGTGATGAGAGTCACAGAGAGCCTGCCACATCCCTATGAATCCGTGTCCTGGCCATGTTGTTTGCCATGGTCGGAAATTGGTATGTAGAACGGCATCATCAACTGGGAAAATGTCATGCAGTTGGCGTAACTGGTCATCTTCTTCGATCTCTAGATACCCAGTGGCGATGCCGCTGACCGGCTCCACAGAAACAAGATGTCGAAGGTTCGGCAGGCGCTGAAAAGCGAAAGTAAAGGACTCGTGTAGATATCCACTGCTCTGCAGTGCTGCTTTCTGGTTGTACGATTCGATAACCTTTGGAATGGTCCGCAAGAATTCGGTCAAGTCTCCTTGGCCCTCTTCGTGATCTTCAGTGGTACCGTCCGTGTAGATTCCCCCTCTTTCCTCCTGATTTTCGAAGTCCTCTGGTCTGAGGCCAATTTTTTTGACGTGGGCAACATGTTCGAGAATAGTCCCTAGGAGGTTCCGAATATGGTCAGTTTGGTCCCAACCCGGTACCGTGGCAATGCCAGAGAAATCCATCTCGAGGTACCACAGTTCTTCCACATAGTCAGAGATCTTGGGGTGTTGAGCGATATGACGGAGATGATTCACTGTCAGTATTGAGACGCTGACCTTGCGGAACAAGGCTGGGAGGACTTTAACTCCAAGAGTCCTGTTGGCGAGTCTCAAGTGCTTTAGATCTGCTTGTCCTAAATCTAGGATGAGGTGCTCCAGAACTTCTTGAGGGATTTTATCAAGCATTTTGGATGACTTCGAGGTGATAGAATGAGAAGAGAAATGGCAACGAGGCTGAAGTGAGGTAACCTACTGCATTGATGTATCAGGCAGCAGGAGCGACTGCAGTCTCAGCCTCGATGACCAATCATGTCCATTGCGTTGCACTTAAGGGGAACATTATAAAGACCAAGACTTCCTGTGTAACTCTTACCTTAGATAGCGTGAACTTGGCCAACTTAGGGAAGCAAGACAGGTGAAGAAGGAACGACCTCGCGAAGACGTGGGCAAACATAAAGCATTGGGAAGGCGACTCATATGCTTGACCGTAGCAGACTAGGTCACAGCATAGGACCGTCAGCGTAATTCTCACTACACTCACAGTTACCACAGAAATCACCCTTCGTCCTGTCAGGAATATGTCTCATCAGTTCAAACCCTTGATGTCTGACAAGCTGGATCACTTTGAACCAAGGTGAGAAGCTCATATCATGCATGCCGAGTCCGGAGTGATCACTGTGGTGACACAACAGCCATTATCTGGATTCGCTCGATCACGAAGCAGCACCTGTAGAAGGCCTCACGTCGCCTCCACTCTCACACATGGCTGTATTTCGGAAAATCGATGCTGGTGCGGATATACGTGTCAGTGATGCAGCTGGTATATCCGTAGGTTGTGTAACCTTACAGATGAGCATGTTTGCTCAGGTATGGATGTGGCTTTTTCTTCTCCCTTCCCTGTATGTAGTGACATCATTGAAGAAGACAACAATGAAGTCACCACTTTTCGCTTCGAGGAATCTCTCGTACACGTTTTTAACCCCCGGATCGACCGGACAAATCGATCAGTTACAGTTTTGGCGGCTGTTAAGAATTAGATCTCGACGTCATGAAAAGAATTGTTCATGACCGAGATAATACGGTAAGGTCGGTCGTTCTATAGACGACGTCGACTTCTTCCTCTGGGGGCTTTCGCCAAACGTCGAACAGATGTCGTCGTTCTATGCTTGGGTTACGAGCAGCACAGACAAGATTGCCAGTTCTACAAATCCAGAGGCTCAGCCTCGCCGGCAACCACCCGACAACAGGGGCAACATGGCGGAGTCACGTCGCACGAGTTCGGAACGCACCCTCGAACCGGATCGAAGCGTTCCTGAATCAAAGCAAGAACAGGCGCAAGAAGGTTTCCAAGAAGGTAAGACCTCTACGGAACACCAGCAAGACCAAGAACACCAAGGCGAAAAGGATGCAGAGAAGAATGACCCCAACAACCCTCCCTTACCAGTCGGCCTGCTTCATCCATCTCTACGCAAGGTCTCGCTCGAGGTCGCCAGGAAATGGGCCTTGACTGTGCTCATCCTCTTCACTTTCATTCTTACCGTCTTGTCTCTCTACTGGGCCGTTCTTTTCCACGTCGAAGAAAATACATCAGCCCTCACCGTGGCCGTGGTGAGCTTCGACGGCCGAGTAGCCCCGTACGAAGGAACAACCCCCTTGGTCGGACAAGTAATTGAGCAGATCGCGACTGAGCAAGCTAAGATACCCAAGGGTATGCTGGGCTACAAAGTACTACCTCCATCAATGTACAACAACGACCCATTCGCCGTCCGCCAGGCCGTGTACGACGAGCACCACTGGGCGGCCATCATTGTCAATGCCAATGCCACAGCTCTCCTACAGCAGGCCGTGGCGACCGGCAATGCCAGCTACTCACCCCTCGGCTCAGCCCAGATCATCATCAACACCGCTCGCGACCAGGACACCTATTACGACTACATCGTCCCTTTGCTGTCCCAATTCGAGACCCTCGCCAGTTCCACGTTCGGCGAGCAGTGGATCAAGACTGTCCTCTCCAACACATCACTCAGCGCAACGACTTACGCTCGCGCACCCCAGGCTCTGAACCCAGCCATCGGCTTCTCAACGTTCGATCTGCGACCGTTCTACCCTTACCAGGTCACCCCTTCAGTAACCATTGGCCTGATCTACCTTATCATCATTGCCTTCTTTTCCTTCTCCTTCTTTCTGCCTGTATACACGAAATTCCTCATTCCGAAGGGTCACCCGCCCATGCACTTCTGGCAATTGATCCTGGTCCGCCTCTTCGCCACCACGGCCGCCTACATGTTAATGTCCCTGGCCTATTCGCTTGTATCGCTAGCGTTCCAGATCCCTTTTTCAAACAACTACCCGCACAATGGCGTCGAGTCCGCCACAGACCCGGACGCTTACGGCCACGGCACGTTCGTGGTGTACTGGATGTTGAATTGGGTGGGCATGTATGCCCTGGGCTTGGCATCTGAGAACGTTACCATGGTCATCGGCCAACCTTGGACTGCTTTGTAAGTCGTGCACCAACAAACCCCCCATTTCGATGACTTGAAAGGCTAATTGATCATAGCTGGCTCATTTTCTGGGTCATATCGAACGTGGCGACTGCCTTTTATGCCATTCCGTTGGCACCAGCATTCTTCAAGTACGGATACGCTTGGCCCTTGTACCATATTGTGACAGCGAGTCGGACGATCATATTCGACACCCATAGCCGGATCGGTCTGAATTTCGGTGTTTTATTCGTGTGGTGTGCCGTTAATACGGTGCTATTCCCATTCTGTTGTGTCTTCATGCGATGGAAGACCAACAAGGAGTTGGCGAGAAAAGTGCCTAGAAGGACGATTAAATATCTTGTTGACGGTTAGAGGGAACGCGCGAAGATGCATAGCACGGCTACTGATTTCGGAAATTTGAGCACAACAAAATAGATTTTGGCAGATACGAGCATAGCGAGTCTTTGGTTTTGTTGACGGTTGTAATATATTATCATTCTGTACACTAGCATTGCGAACATAGCGAAGTGAATCGAATCAAAAGAATGATAGCAAACATGAGTCAAACTATGGTCTGCCAGGTGTGCCCAAATGGAGGTCGACGCTCACAAGGATCTGCAAATCCTCACAACTCGACAGGAGAAGCCAAGAAGAACAAGGTCCCGTCAGCCTTATCCTGCTGACTCTGATACGACACACAAAAGGACCCTCTAGATGGCAGAAAGGTCAGTGAGTAAGTGAAGGCAAGTCAAAACCGCTGTTGTATGTCAACAACCCGACGCACAGCTGGGGTAGAGATCGTTGTCGATTGTCATGATGGATAGCTGATAAAACATCAAGATGGAAGTTGACGTGTGACTTTCCCGTGACTTGACCCGTCACCCGTGACCTCGCCGTCGACACTGACGGATCGACTGGAGCGCTGGAGTACTGGTCATAACGCAGGACAAGAGTCACAAGACAGCCAGGACAGCCGTTGAGTGACTTGAATATCGGGCTTCCACACCAAGAGATCGATCGACCACAGCAGTGGTCATAACGTAGGGCAGAAAAAGCGACAGTTAAGTCACTCAACGGCTGTCCTGTCCTGTCTTGCCCTGTGTGCCTACCCACCCATCAACTTCACCTTTGTTCTGAGCTGGTCAAAGTCCTGAAGAAAAGCACAGGCGGCTCTTCAGATGAGCACTGCACAGCGACGTCAGCATCAGCATCAGCATCAGCATCAGCAATAACGTGAGAGTTTCTTCGGAGCATGTAAAGGATGCGAAGGATCTCGCCACCAAAAATTCATTCAACCATCGGGTAAAGGGCAATCTCGATCTCGATTGTAATCTTGTAATCATCTCGCTTTCCGTAAATGCAATCAGCACAACAAAAAAAGCAGTGGCTAGGTGGCGACAATCGGGCAGATTGCCCAAAGCCTTAGGCCGACAAGAACCCAGAACAGGCAGTGCAAACCTTCCGTAGTTCTTCGTCAAGAGGAGCCGAAGGCCCGAAGCACCGACTGGCGTGCTCTTGAGCACATACGTACCTCGAAGTTTGTGAGAGGACGGACCGTCGACGAAGGGTCCTGATCATCATCGACTTGACAGAGACGATCACGCACCTGAGCCCCCAGGAGAGCAAGGACGACTTGTTTGCCGCCCAGCTAGTCGGAGTCGTCAGGAAACTTGACACGAAACAAACGCGGTGGCCCGAGCACCTCCTTCTGGGGCCATGAGGGTACTTAGTGTGGTCTCCATCAACACGTTGATCCGAGCGTCAAGATGCAATTTCAAGCTGTGACTCGGGCGACAGCAGACATGGACACAGACAGCGGGACAGGGAAAGATAGACAGTGAAAGCGTGTCCTGTCTGAACTGTCAAAGCTGAAGAATGGACGGACCTCCACGGCCTGGGCTAGCCAGCGAATGGGGGTCCCGATGTTCAGGGAGAAAGTATGGGAAGGTAATCGAGGGAGGGGACGGTGGTGATGGTGGTATGACAGCGTCCTCGAGTGGCCTGCTTTCAGGCTGTTGACAGTTTTGACTTCCGTGACCTGTTTGACCTCCGTGATGGTGACGGCGACTTTGAGTGATTTCTGACTCAGGTACGTGCTCGAGGGCATTGGGCAGGAGAGGGAGGCACCCCTGACTGCTGGATGAAGAGAATCAGCACCCACTCCTCCATCAAGTCAATAGACTGAATAATGGCGAACTGTCGCAGAACCATGCATGCATGAAGCAATGTCAAATCCATCAACTTCAAGAGAAATGGACAGCTTGTTCCTGCATGAGATGAAATGCCCAGACAAATTGTGGGCAAAGCGAGGAGGGGGAGTGTGTCCCAATCCGAACATGAACTTGGTCAACCGAAGAAGAAATCGGTTCGTATCCTCTACTGCTTGCCCCGGCCAACGGTTCAAAGAAGTTTAGTCGCAGCTGCAAGACACATAATGCATCGCATAGTGCATACAGGCGAAGCCCCAAGGCCCCCAAAACCGGTCGGAAGCGAAGCAATGCACAGCCCGACACGGTAAAGTGAACGACGCAGGCCACCCCAAAGCAGTACTGGTCAGTTGGTCTATGGCCCTACTCGTACAGAATCGAGGACCTGCAGTGCCAACACACCTTGGTCCTCGAAAACCCTGACCTGCATATTGACAGCTTAGTTCTTGGGTTTCTTCGCTCGATCGTATTGTCGCCTCTTCCGATGGAGTTCACGGAGTACTGCGTTCTTTTAGCAGCAGCGGAGAGGCGACAAAGGTACGTTTTTCGTGGCGAACTTCAACCGATGCCATGCCAACCGGTGTCCATGATGCCGACGAAGCGCTGGTGTCTTGCAGAAAAGGACCCTTTTGCCTATCAACCGAACCAAAGATGAGTAATCCCGATTAAGTGGCTGAAGCAGACTTAGTACTGGGGGTGGCGGCGGCCTCTCTTTGCGATTTCGAGATCTCGACGAGACACCCACTGCGGCCAGCGGCAAATGGCATGAGGCCAAAAAGCCCAGGCTCGCTGTCAAAATGCAAGTCAGAAGTGACAGTGACAGATGGAGTCTTCAAGTGTGCGTGCTCCAGCTGCTGCCTTTTGTGTACAAGTGTGTTTCTCACGAGTCCACTCCCTCCCTAGTCCTAGTGCGTAGATGTGCAGTAGTTCCAACCCCGCCACCACTTGCCAGCAACCCACCAGGGAAAGTCTACGCCTGCACCACACTCCGTCATTGTCCTGGATTCGGCTCTGGACCCTGAAAAGAGCGGCAGCTGGCTTGACCCTTCCTCTCCCGCGGATAACTTAACTTGGAATCTTGACTCAAAATGCGACGACATAGGTAAAAAGCACGCGTGGTTTGGGTTTGGGTGTAACCTACACCTGACCAAGTTCTGTCTCTGATACTTACGTACTCTCCCAAGCCCTCAAAGGTAAATTCCGAACTCTCACTTCGCGGAGAACGGGAGTTTCCCTAAGGAACATTGGAACCTAACAGTAGAAGATCGAGGGCTGGACGAATTGAAGACCGCAAGTGAGTCCTATCTACGTACTGTGTAGTACGTATGCCAGCACTTTGCCGATCGGAGGGGCCGGCGGGAACCACAGTTGCCAGCGCAGTACACAAAACATACTTTCAGTAGCTATAGTACTACTACTATTCAGTTCACGGCAATCCGATTGCCTATCGCACCAACTGCTGTACCTGTTTCCCCGGCAAATTCCAAACGGACGTGGAACCATCATCACGTAGATACTGCTGATCCGGTTCAAGTCGGTCGGTAATCGTCAAGTCAACGGTGCGCTGGCACCGAGAGGCACCAGCAGTATCCGTAGAGACTACTGTACGCACTTTGTAGTGCATTCTGGACGTAGTTTTAGCACAGTAGTAGGGCATTGAGGGGCTGGACAAATAATGGGTACACTACTAGTATTGCTGCACTATGTCGTCGACTTCTGTATCGGTACCCCCTGCCTGCCAACAACCCTGAAGGTCTTGCCCTCTTTCGTTCCTGACAAGTTGAGCACTCCAATTCTTTCACTTTCGCCCTAAGCGATGCGATACAGCTATATCGCGATACCGGTAGTTCTCTGTGATAAGCGAGGTTCAAGGGCAGGCCCCCCTGCCTCAATACTAAATAGGTGTCTGCGAGTGCCGACTCGCCTAAAACGGTCGCCTAAGGCTGCCTGTATGGTCCATTGGTCCGCCCCGAAAAGTCGCCCCTGGCGGCGGCTTATTCACCTTAATCGTCTTAATCAACTCTACTTGCACGTCCGCTACTGTACGTCCAATGGCCGGTCTCTCCCAGCCCAGCCACGACACGGACTATACCAACGGTCGCCGACGCCGACCATAAGCGAGTTTTCCCACAGAATTGGTTCGGCGTCGATGTTAGTGCCGACGCATGGCTAACAGCATCGGTACCTGGTGGTCTCGTCGGTCTCGGAAGTCCCTCTCGAAATGGCCAAGGTCCTTTCGGCAATGCAACTCGCGTGCCCTCGAAGGATGTAGAGTGATAGTAGCACATGCGAAGAAAAGATTTTGATCAAGTTATCATAATTTGCTTCTTGCGCTGCTGCTGCTGTGATCTTATTGTTGTACAAGTAACACTGGATGATAATCATCCACCAAGCTCTTCGTGCTTTGCCCACGCCCACGTTTTGTTTTTGTCTTTGCCTTAACAGTACTGTTGGACCCCAAGACCTGTTTTCTTTCGAAGCAAGAAACATCAAAGTATCGTTCATGAAAAAAATGCGCCTCGGCAACATTAGGCCCCATGTTAGCACGAAAGGCATGTGCAGACTGCAAAAGCGAGACCATCTTTCGGTATTGGTACAATTGTAGCTTTGACATCTCTTCAAACCTGGAACCCAACCAAAAAACCCTTTCCTTGTAAGCCCTGGGGTAATTCCATCCCATTGTCATAATATCCCATTTCATCATCAAGAAAAATCGTTCTAAATCATAGCAAAATCAAATGGCGTCGTAACTCAAGCCCGGCTTTGAATGGCCTTAGACCTTTCCCGCTTGAGTTTAAGCGCCGGCAACTGCCGACGACGAGCATTGATAAACCAGTTGCTGATCTAGAAGACTGTCAGTAAATCGATATCGGAGAGTAGTAGAGTAAAAAGCTTACCTGACTGATGGTCAAACCAGTACGTTGGATAAATATTTGCTTCTGCTCGTCACTTGGGTAGGGGTGGTCGAGATGCTCTTGCAGCCAAAGTCGGAGGATGTCCGTGATGGGCTTGGGCAGATTGCCTCTTCGTCGTCGACCATTGCCGTGGGAGGGATAACCCATCATAGGGTAGGACAACAATTGGCTAGCGTACTTCATGTGGTAGGGTGAAGTCTCTAGGGAACGGGGATATCCTCCTTCATAACCCAGAGGGCTCCGGTACTGGTCGTAAGACTGGCCGTAGCGGTTGAAGTCAAGGGGTGGGTTGTATGACCTGTCGGACATGATATATGGGTTATATCTGGGAGTTGACTGCACTGCCTCGGGTGCCCTCCATCTTGAATACGAGTCCGGGCTGTCGTGAGGCTGTCTGTTGAGGGAGTAGGCCGATGAGTAGACGCTGTCTTGGGTGTCGGAGGGGATCATTGGCTGACTAATCCCGCCGAATGATTGTGCTTGTGTGGGAAGAGTAGGTCCGGCACTCATTGGGACAGCGGTTTCGGTGTATGTTGATGATGTTGACCATGGCGAGCTGTACTCCGCTGCACTTCTTGCAGGTGTTTGTAATTGGTGGTGAGCAGCTGGGATTCCGCTCATGTGCATCTGGCTCGGCGCTTCGGTCGTGTATGCCATGGGACTGGACTGAGGTTGAACCGGTGCTGGTACATTTGCCACGCCCATGCCCGTGGTGGGCTGAGAGCTGAGATATGGCACCATCATGGGCCTTGAGTGCGAAGGCACCTCTGGGCCATGGGACTCGAGAGTGTTTGAACGTGGGGGAGGGATGACCTGATGATCATGTCAATGGATGAAGGTGCTTTGCTTGTGAAGCTGTGACTTACATCTCGAATAGATGGAAGCTGTTGCTCCGGTTGAGATGGGACCGGGTTGCTATGAGCGGCATAAGGCCTGGCAGCTGTTTGACTGTAGTGGTCCATGTTTGGCAAACGATTGACTTTTTGATAGAGAGATGACAGTGATGTTTGATGGTTGAGCTTGGAGGAATGAGATCCAAGAGATGAGCAGACTCGAGGATAGTTATCTACTTGAGATAGAAGCGGGACCGCACGTCCCTACTTGCTCCTTTGTCGTTGAAGACTGCTGTCTGCCAATCACCAATTGTCTGCGGGGAGAGAGCGCACTGTCCAGCTGTCTTGCTGCAGGAGAACCTACGGCACAGGAGTCTTTGCGCGAGGTTGACAGTCGAGTGACAGTAGTAAAAGACAAAACAACGACAAAGAGGTAGTCCAAGCATAAAATGGAGACATCCATATCGCGTCCAACCCACGATCGAGACACTTTGATGGCTTGCATAGACAATACGTCGACATCCGAGACCATGCCAGATTCGAGCCAGCTGGGCCAGCACGACTTGGTCGAAAAGAGCAATGATGTGGGACCGAAGATGCGCAGAACTGGTGAGGAAGGCAATATGCTCGCCCTATGATTGTGCACACTGTGTATTCCAGCAAACCGAGTTGGATAGAGAATGCACTGAGGTGGCGTGCCTCCACCCAAGTCGAGGCTTTCCCACCAACCGCGTTCATCGAGGCAGCGCCTTACCAAATGTGGTCAGGGATCAGTAGAGGAGGTCTCTCTTAGGTGGGTGTGGGCCATGGGAGTCCCTCTTGGACATTCGTCAAGAGGGGTAGACATCTGACATCGTACCTGAGTCTGGCCTTGCAGCTGGGCTCTTGCCCGTTCGGATCCCCCTGCCACTTCACATCGGGCAAGTTCGAAAAGCGACAGCACCTGCCAGTTTCAAGGACCGCTGTCTGGTCTTTGCTTGAAGAAGGCTTGCGTTGCAAATTACCGCAAGCTGGCACGGACGACAATAGGGGCGCAACAATCTTGTCCGTCAACCACGCAAACATGTGCAAGACGCGCACCATGGTAGAATGACGACTGATTGTTATGTCGATGACGGGCTTGCGCTTCCCAACGGCACAGCAGCTCGCCAACGAGCCAAGTATACCAAATCGGGGTATGAAATGGCTGATCCAATGGTATCTTCGGATGTGGCTGGAGGATCCTGCTACTCACTAGCACGAGGAAGGCTCTGACCACACGGCGTTAGGGACCTCGTCAACTCCTGCTTTGCATCACCTGTTGTGCAGGAGGATGGGGGTGGCCATAATCGTAAAGAACTGAGCAAACCCAGTCGGGCCGGTTCGGAGGTGGCTCCTCCCACAGGATTCCTCAAACTTGAAAGCATCCATAACCGTAAGTGAATCAAGGCCAACATAGCTTTGAAAGGTAGAACGCGGTGATCCACAAAGCCTAAAATGTCGGTTAAGCCGGCGAACAATCCTGCTGAACGTGGTCAAGAGTGACCCAATCAAGACTAGACCTCCAGCAGAGCTTGCCCTAACCCCTCCATTGCCACCATCATCCACCCACTTTTCCTTGGGTGATGGCGTTGTACGGCCACCAGGCCTGGGCCGTACTTTAGTTTTGGGGGAGAACGCGCCACATCAGGTGGAGTATGATAAACAGTACAATTTGATATTGCGAGCAGCAGTAGAATATCAACAGTTTCCGTGCGCCCTCACTTGTGCATGAAGACGCGCCGAGCAAGACGCGTGCGCATTCCGGCAAGTTTTGGATACTCTCTTGCCATTTGAAGATAAGACTTGGGTTTGACAAGCAGGCCTTGGATTACGAGCAACCGATCTGGAACCGAGCGTCCATATCTGGTCGAGCTTTCTGCACGGCGCAGCGAGCTATGGAGTGCTGGTTTGCAGTAGTCTGCAGCGGCAATTCGGTCGCATGCAAACCAGGATATGCCGAAGGACTTTGGGGGCCGACATGTCACCAGATCGTGCAGCTTCTCTCCGATGAGATAGCTTCTGGTCATCGGTCCCATATCGTCGTCGCAGGGTATCCTGGTATCTGCACAATCTTGCATCGCAGATTGGAATGTTCATCGAAAAACCCAGAGGATATTATTCTTCGTATCCATATCTCTGGTTGGTGTGAACTTGAGCAAGGATCGCATCTGGAGATTGAGTTTGCTTACCCAGATGAGAAAGAGAGCTGGTGGCAGGGTAGCAGTCATGCTTGACGAACCTGTGCAACCAATTTCGCGTATTGTGAAGCGAACTGTTCCAACCCTGTTCCAGGCACTCAGACTAATGTTCCGCATTCGATACCCCTGCGGTCGCTTAACCCATTTCCTGCATGATTATGTAAATTCGACTTTCGCTTCTGTCCAAGGTGGCAGATGTAGGCGCTTGCACTGCGATGACTGATTTCGCAGTCAACTGCTGTTGGTGGTATCTTGCCATCGGTGGCCATCATGAGGGGTTGGAGCTTTCATTAGTCCTTTTCGGATGGATCCGAAAATTTGAAAAGTGTTGGTCCAATCCGCACCTATGAGCAAGGACTGTCCCGCCGTCATGTTAATAAAGTTTGCGATGCGAAAGCGGGATGAGTATTGGTGTGATAAACTGCTGTCGAATAACGTATAGGGTTTTCGTCTATGTATGTAATTGCAGGGGCAATTTTTGAAGTTGGACAAACATAGGTATGAGTAGCATCACAGATTTTGCCTTATAGTCGCTTAGGTCCAAAGTAGAACGCGGGGGGGAACTCCAGCCGGCAACCATCACCTTTGTAAGTCTTGCTTGCCCAGTGACCATGTGGGTGAGGCTCATGTTTTCGAACTTTGATATCAATGATTCATTGACCCATTTGATAAGAGCTCGCACGATTCATGATCATGGAAGAGGATGCTGTTGCTCTTGGGCGACGGCGAGCTTGCTTGCAATACCGAAGTTCCAAGCTCGACTGGTCGCATGATATTCGCCGCTCGCCACGCCGTGCGAACCTGTACGCCGCAGGTTGGCATTCACAGCGTACATTCGTGCTGCTGAGTCGACACCTTGGCGGCAGTGCAGAAGAGCGTGAGAACAAGTTTTCTCCAGCCTCCCGCGGGCCGGCGGGTGCGCTCTTCGGAACGGATGGGATTGGCCGATGCAATGAGATTCTTTCGAGTTTGTGGGTTGGAGCTAGGAAGAAACTTACAAGAACGAGATCGAAATAAGGTTTGGAGTCAGGTAACAAAGATATTCCTTGAAATGGTAAAGCGTCCTGTCATCAAGGCGGGACGCGTTTCCGCCCGGAGCGTGCCCTAAGCCCCTTCCGGCCTTGGCGGCTCTTACTTCTGCCCCGCCGCCCAATTTCTTGAAGAATTGTTACCTGCAGGATGCTGCAGCCATGGATGAAGACGTATGCTTACGCCGGGCGGACCTGTATCGCGCAATACGCTAATGCACAGCAGCCACAAGTCTTGACGCTATCAGTTTTATTGTCCTCATACGTTCATCCAGTTCCTGTTTCGGCCATTGCCCCTCGTCGAGTAAGCCTCCGTCCGATTATCCGCCGCCCTTCAACGAGCTAATCGAACAAGACGCAAACGACAACCCCGCCTGAGACCATTGTTGCCCCTCCAAGGTCCATATAATAGAAGTACGTAAACTGGATCCCGTTGAATGGGCAAGATATTGCATTCTTCAGCAGATTTACCTCTCATGATGTACGGTTTCTGCTCACGGTATCGTCGAGTTATGCTCATGTGGTGAGATACCCTCTGGGCAGCGTTACAACGTCCTACGTGGCTTGCATGGTATCTTGTCTTGGCCTCCAAACTTTACAAGACTGATTGAAGGACAACCAGCTCTGACATAAGTGGAATGATTAAACCTCCCAACGAAATGCGACGACTTACGGCATAGGGCTTACTGAGTTGTATTCGAGCTCTCCTCGTTTCCTGCCGATTCAAGTTCTAGGCTATTAGGGCTAGATTCCTGGGGCGGTTTGCAAATCTGCTTCACGACTCCCTCCAGCCGCATGAAAGCGGTCTTTAGCCGGCTGGATGGCAGTATCGCTTGAAAAGAAAAGTTCAGTTCTCTAGCTAGGTATTACCGCGGGATGTTCCATGCGGCCGAACGAAATGAAATGCAAAGTTCAGCGTCTTGTCTCGTTGATTAAGTTGCGTATGTGAAGATTGGCCATGTGGCTGCCGACCGTTCCCCGACGACATTGCCTATATTCAAGGCGAAGTGATAAGAACTGCGGACTTGACTATCGACATGATTGTTAGAAGGGCATTGATTGGCTTCACGGCGCGCACGACATCGTACGGCGAAAGCTACGAGTAGACACAAGGCGCTTGACCTCGCCACAGGCTCTTTCTGTGCTGTGGAAAGGTACCTGATAGACAAGAATAAGCTGCAGGTGAACAAAAGTACTAGAGTATTGTTGGAAAAAGGCATTGATCTACAATGTGCCGACTATCCAGGGCTGAACCTTTTGCGAGTTCGCCTCCAGGATGCTTGAGTTCGATGAGCTCACACAGCAGGGTGCGAGTGAACCTACTGCTTTTCTCGATCGACCCCTCCAGATCGATCCCGCACGAGGGGCAGGGCAGCTGGATTTTTAAGACCCTTACCCATGAAGGTAAATAGACTAAGATTATTGAGCCTCCACGACACTGGACCGGGGTACCTTGCCAGATACTAGGAGAAGTTCAGGCGATTGAGTTGCGCATCTATGGTCTTTTCGAGATCTATCCGAAACTTTGCGAATTATAATTACTTCCTTGTCGTTATGATGCGTTCAAGGCAAGGATCTTGTAAGTCCGCTTGTAAGTCCACACAAGTACCACATGTATGCTATTTCACGATTACTATGGAGTACTGCGACGCCTTTCGCAAGTGAAATCCGGCAACATCGATAAGCATCTATCGGAACCGTCTTACCTAGCATCTACTTGCATTTCGGATTCTTTCCCGAGCAAGCCGTTCATAATCTAGGGCGTTACGCAAGTTAACCGATGTGACCAACATATCTCTCTCTGCTCAATCCACAACCTGTTGACAGTGCATTTCCAGTATATACTAAGTGCTTAGTCTAGTGATGGCTTTGCCGTAGTGGACGGTGGTGGACTTAGACAAGTGCATATCTCTCTAGGGGCGCCATCAAGATCGAGCCACCAACCAGCCACGGGACAAGATTATGCTTGTAGCAAAACGGCAGGGAATTGGAATCCGGCGAGCCGCAACGTATCGCCAGCCACTTGCGTCCGAATTTGCCAGTCACATGTAGGTAGTGACTGACCCCGCCTATCTTATCTCGGAGGATCCAGATCTGGGATTTCTTGCCAAAATGAACTACTGACTCGGTCCGTAGGCGCCACTGCAGGACGGCCTGATGCTTCAATCCACCGTTCTGAGCCCTGAAATCTGAGGATCGATATGTGCTGCCATGCTCCCAGCTTGGCGTGCAACGCGGTCGTAATCAATGAATCATGATAGTAACAGGGAAGAATGAGGCTCAACTTTTCCAGGAATTCCCTGGTATCTCAAAATGCAATTCTCAGAGTAAATGCAAGTCTCACGATGCAAAACTTCTTTGACGGAAAATATCCATCATGGCTGAGCCGGACCCCGGAAAATCATTTCTCCATGGTTCGGTTAATTGCTCGCTACAACGGAGGAATTTATTTCTCGGTGAAATTGTATAGCCTCAAAGGATGCATCAATGCCAGCAGGTAAACAAGTCCTCAAAGCAGCAGTGATCCCCTGGTTGTCTGCAGTCGAACTACCCAGGTTCGTCAGATACTTCATCAGGTAGTGTATTCACGTTTGCGCACATCCCACATTTGGTATTCTGTTTGCATTTGTTATTGCGAGTGTTCCGTTGCTTCTGCTTAGAGTCCTGTCCTGCCCATACCATTCAGTACATCTGCGATTTGCTGGAAAACTGCTGGATTGACGCAAAAATGTCTGTCTCGAAACCAAACTGGTGGAAAGCCAGCACCTGTTATCAAATCTGGCCTGCGTCATACAAGGATAGCAACGGCGATGGCATCGGTGATATCGTGGGGATTATCAGTACGCTCCCGTACCTCAAAGATCTGGGCATAGAGACCATATGGCTATCTCCCATGTACGATTCGCCCCAAAAGGATATGGGTTATGACATTTCCAACTATCAGGATGTGTATCCCGCTTACGGCACATTAGCCGACATGGACAGACTGATAAAGGAGTGCCATGACCTAGACATGAAACTCATTCTTGACCTGGTCATCAATCACACGAGCGACCAGCACGCTTGGTTCCTCGAGTCTCGCAAAAACAAAACTAACCAATACGCAGACTGGTACATGTGGCGTGACCCTAAAGTCATTCGAGGCGAACGACATCCGCCCAACAATTGGGCATCCATTTTTGGTGGCAGTGCGTGGGAGTATTGCCGAGAAAGAGATCAGTACTACCTACATTTATTTGTGAAAGAACAACCAGACCTCAACTGGGAAAACGAGGAAACTCGGCGAGGAATCTACGAGTCTGCCATAAAGTTTTGGCTCGACAAAGGCATTGACGGCTTCCGAGTTGACACGGCGAACCTATACTCGAAAGACACTTCATACCCAGATGCGCCCATCTTGGTGCCCGGTGAACCATACCAGCCTGCATTCAAGTACTTCACCAACGGCCCACGCATGCACGAATGGCTACGAGAGCAGCGCGAAATCCTCGACAAATACGGCGACGTTTTCATGGTCGGCGAGCTTCCCGACACCAAAGCAGACGAGGTCCTGCGATATATCTCTGCAAAGTCCCGCGAATACAGCTGTGTGTTTGACTTCGACGTGGTCATGCTGGGCCAGAACAAGGAAGGTGGATCCAAGAAACACCACACTCACAAACATACTCTGCCGCAGTTCAAAGAGGCTATCCGTAAAGTCCAAGGCCTGCTCCACGGCACGGACGCCTGGACGACGGTCTTTCTCGAGAACCACGACCAAGGTCGCAGCCTGTCGCGCTTTGTTACCGACAAGGCTCCAAACCGTGAACAAGCGGCCAAGATGCTAGCCGTGCTGATGTGCTGTCTGACAGGCACGCTGTTCCTGTACCAGGGTCAGGAGATCGGCATGTACAACCACCCTGAGCACTGGGGGATCGAAGACCTCCGAGATATTGACTCGCTTAACGCATACAACGACGTCATGCACCGCCACAAGGGCGATCCGCTGTGGTTGAAAAAGGCCATGAAAGGTCTACAGCTGGTCGGCCGAGACAATGGAAGATTGCCCGTGCAGTGGGATGCGTCGGCCAATGCCGGCTTCACGACTGGAAAGCCCTGGATCCGCGTGCATGACGATTATGAACAGATCAACGTCGCGGCGCAACAGGCTGATCCTGCATCACCGCTGAATTTCTGGAAGAAGATGATCAGTATGCGTAAGAAGTATGCGGACTTGATGATCTTTGGGAAGGACTTCCAGGTGTGGGACAAGTTTGATCAGGATGTGTTCACGTTCACGAAAGTCCATCCGGACGGGCATGAGAAGATACTCGTCTTCTTGAACTTTTCGGATGACGAACAGCCGCTGCACTATCCGACTGGGTTGGAGAACGTGCATAAGGAGTTGCTTGTCTGTAATGTTGATGAGCCAGGGAAGTATCTGACTCCATGGGAGGCCAGGGTCTATCTGATCAAGGAGGGTGTGGTCAACGGTGGCCAGACGTGAGCGTCGAAGAACGTCCGTCTTCCCGCCTAGGGTGCTTGTCAGGGGACGGTCTTTCAGCGAGGCGGTTCTGGCCTATAGGGTTTTTTTCAAGCAATAACGTCAATGAAGATCATGATCTATTCTTACATGAAAACCACCTCCCGGCAGGTCTATAATACATTATATTACAGCAGTATCTTCTTACACTCAGAGATGGAGTGGACGTTATCTCTCCTCCATCGTCACATTCCTGGCGCATGGGCTCTGGATTCCAGCTGTCGCAGCCTCGGATTCACGAAACCTCCAGACCCAGACGCGATGAAGTGAGATATTTCGAGGTTTACTAGACAGTCGACGGAGTTTGAGTAGCCTTTTCGAACTCGCATACGCAAGAGCGTTATCGAACAGCCGAGCAGACCGTCGTGCCGGTCGTGTTGTGGCATGCCATAGTGCCACCCGCCTCGACTGTTTTCGTAGGCATGACGGGATGGAGTGGCGATAAAGTACTCAAGGTCGATGGATGCGAGCGGTTTGTTACTGCCATCTCGTCGGTCATTCGGCGGTCTTGTGTGCCCCTTTGTTTTGGGTGACGGCCCGTCCGTCTGGACAGGAAGTGCTCAAGTCTGAGGTGTCTGTTGCTGCGTAGTCTTCTCGTTGTTCAGAGGCGTGTGGGTGGTCTCGGTGCCATCCTCCCAAAATTCAAGATCTTCTTCCCCTTCATTGGCGACAATGGCACCCGGACGTATCCCTAATCGACCCTTCTTCAACAACTTCGTGAAATCCTCGCCATTCGCTAGCTTGTCTTTAAGAATATCTTCCAGGGTCTTTTTCTCATCAAGGAACACTTTCAGGTGGTCTGCTATAACGTGGCGCGCTTTGCAGGAAGGGCAAGTGACAAGGACGGTGCCATGGTGATAGCCGTGCTTGGTCACACGATGACTGGACCGGTGAAGACAGGGCTTGCAAGTGAAGCTCAACTGATACGAAGGCTCGTCACGAGAGAGAGCTGCTTGAAGCGGTGTCCCTGGAACAGAGAGCGAAGAATTCTGGTGTCTGACAGATGTGGCAAGGTATCGTCGAAGAAGAGGCCATCGAGGCACAAACGATGTAGCTGCTAATGTTGATCTTTGGCGGATATGTGGTTGGATGGCCTTGACAACAGGAGTCCTGCTCGAGGAGAGCCGTTGCGTCAACCTGGTGAACTGCTGCATGACTGTAGTGCGATGTCAATAAATGTTCGGCGACGATGAGATGTTCGCGAAGACAAAATGTTTGAAGCGCAGCCTTGCCGCCGAAATATGACGCAGGCTTGGCAAGGCTGTGGTCAGGGTCAGTGAAGATCCCGACTGCCACTCACTGGGCTTTCGGAGAAAGGCAAAGTCTCCCGACCTTTCCAACGCATTGCAATGAAGAGCGGCGAGAACAAAGCAACCTTTTTCTTCACTTGGGTGTGGGCAAACAAGACAACCCTCTAAATGACTTGAACAAATCCTCCTCTGCCTGCCCTTTCCCAAATATCTCACCTCGCTAGAAACCCCTCCGCGGGACCTTATCCATTCCGAACCTCGTTCGGCCTTTCCCCACACTGCCAGCCATTGCGAGTTCTCGGACACCGGGACTGCAACGGTCGACACGTCGGTAGCGACGATGTTGGCGAAAGGAAGGGGAGGCAAGATCAGAGCTCCTCGAAGGGTGCGTTAGACAACTCTCCCCTCTACTTGCACTGCACGCCCTGCGGCGGTTCGTGGTGATGCCTTTGCCTCAATGCCGCCGCACTCTACTCAAGTGCCGCGGCTGATGCTAGCAACTGCGACTTCTCATTTTTGTGTCCCCAGACCACATTAGAACCCGTTACGCGATCTGATATGTGAATTTCGCTAACGTGCCATCGTGCGACAGGGTCTCACAAAAGACGATGTTGACTTCGAACCGACATGGAACGTTCTCTCTACCGCTTTCCAAGAAATCCATAGTAGAAATGCTTCCAAGCTGTCCTTCGAAGAACTCTTCCGCAATGCATACAAGTTGGTCTTGAAGAAGAAGCAGGATATGCTATACGACCGGGTGGTACAACTGGAGAAAACATGGCTGCGAGACAATGTCCGGGCGAAGACTATTTCGCTGATAACTCCATCCATTGCTGTCGGCACCGTTGACCAGGCGGCTGGGTCCGATGCAAACGAGCGAAGAATTGCAGGCGAGCGCTTTGTTAGAGCTCTCAATAACGCCTTCGCCGATCATCAACTGTGTATGGGTATGATCACAGACGTTCTGATGTACATGGATCGAGTGTACAGTCAAGACCAGAGAAAACCCTCGATCTATGCTACGGCTATGGCTTTATTTCGAACCGAAGTACTCAAAGCTCCCTTTGGTGCAGATGCGACGTTCGACACACTTTCCTTGCTTGAAACCGTCGTCCTGGACATGATAAAAATGGAACGAAAAGGTGAGGTGATTGACCGATCACTGGTCCGAGCATGTTGCTACATGCTAGAGGGTCTTTACGAGACCTTTTCCGAGGAGGAATCGACGAAATTATACCTGACGTCTTTCGAACCCAAGTTCCTCGAAGCGAGCCGACAATTCTACCAAGACGAAGGAAAGGCACTCCTGGCCGAGGCCGATGCGAGCACATTTTGTACACATGCACGGAGACGACTCGCCGAGGAGATGGAACGATGTCAGCAGACTATCTCGCCGATTTCCGAGCCAAAGATCAAGGCCGTGGTGGAGAAGGAGCTGATCTCGGCGCATATTCGCGACATAATAAACATGGAAGGGACCGGGGCGAAGAACATGCTCGACAACGACCGAATTCAGGATCTCGCTAATGTTTATGGACTCATCGCTAGAGTAGACCCCAGAAAGACCGCGCTCAAGGATGCTGTACAGAAACGCGTGATCGAACTTGGGACAGAGATCAACAAAGCTGCAAGTGTTCTAAGTGAGGCGCCGCCACAATCCAGGACTGCACCGAAATCTGCAAGTGAAGGAAAAGCAGCAGCGGAAAAGACTCTGAGTCAACAGACACAAGCGGCGATCACATGGGTGGAACAAATCCTCGAATTGAAGAGCAAATATGATCGGATCTGGATCGAGGCGTTCAGGAGGGACGCCGTGATGGAAAAGACGCTGGAAATCTCGTTCCAGGATTTCATCAACACCAACGACCGAAGTCCGGAACATCTTTCACTATTCCTCGATGAGTACCTCAAGCGTGGAGGAAGAGATAAGACGGAAGCCGAAGTCGATGCGCTTCTTGACAACGGCATCTTACTGTTGCAATACCTGGCCAACAAGGATCTCTTCGAGACATATTACAAGAGACATATGGCCAAGCGTCTGCTGATGAAGAAGTCTGTTAGCCGAGAAATGGAACGACAGATGCTCTCCAAGATGAAGATGAAGATTGGAAACCAATTTACTCAGAAATTGGAGGGTCTCATCCGAGACACCGAATTATCTGACAACCTCAGTACTCAGTACAAGGAATACGTCAATCGCTTGGGCGATCCAGATCCCAAGCGGATCGAGTTGGACTGTCGGGTCTTGACAGCGAACGTCTGGCCTTTTGAGACTTTATTCAAGCCCGAGGAGGACGGAGAAACACGACGGGAGATCAAATTCCCAGCTTCTGTGGACCAGGTCCGACAAAGATTCCAGAAGTTTTATCTGGACAAGCATACCGGTCGAAAACTGACGTGGATGCCCAGTCTTGGTGATGTTGACATGAGGGCGACATTCACCACGAAAGGCAAGACCCGGCGGTACGAACTCAATGTGTCGACACATGCCATGATCATTTTGATGCTCTTCAACGACCTTGCCACCGGACAATACCTCACCTTTGAGCAGATTGCGGCCGAAACAAACATACCTAACCACGAACTCATCCGAAACCTCCAATCACTCTCTCTGGTTGCCAAATGGAAAGTCCTCAAGAAAGAGCCAATGAGCAAGGATATTAAGCCGACGGACAAATTTTGCTTCAACGAAGACTTTTCGAGTCAATTTCTCAAAATCAAAGTCAGTGTGGTTGCTGGTGGATCGAGTAGAGTGGAGAATACAGAGGAGCGACGTGCAACCCAGAAGAAGACGGACGACGAACGTGGACATGTGATTGAAGCAGCAATTGTTCGAATCATGAAATCGCGCAAGAACCTTTCTCACTCTCAACTGATGACGGAGACTCTTGCACAACTGTCAGCACGGTTCCAACCGGATGTCAACATGATCAAGAAAAAGATTGAAGGACTGATAGATCGGGAGTATCTGGAGAGAGGACCGGATCCGACAAAGCCTTCTTACATCTACCTGGCGTGAGAAGGGTGGTGGGGCAGAACATTATGGAGGTTTTCTTTGGGCGGCATCTTGCGGCTTGTGCCGGGCGTGGCATTACGATGAGATAAGGATGTCTGTTGTCTTAGGGAGCATACTAGCATTTGGGTCCTGGCTTCGCATGGAGCATTAGCATGGCGTATCCGGAAAGAGAACGTTAGCATCACCGTTTGAGCAGGGCGAATGGTTCGGACGACGACAATGGAATTATGACCATACATTGAGCGAGGACATTGTTAAATGCCATATCTTGGAATCCAGAAGCTGGTTTCATATTGATTGAGTGTCTAGAAATGACACACCCGTAACATCGCATCTTTGAAATCGAGAGTAGATAGACTTATGCCGCAAGGCTGCAGCCGCAATGCGCCAAGAACCCCCGTAACCCCCTTTCTTCACATCAGTCCCGTCAGGTACACGATCAAATTGTCGGTAACTACAGCCGAAACGAACTTATAGACGCGTTTACAACACAGGATCAGATTGGGAAAACACAGAAGAGTCACTTCTCCACACGCAAAATCTACGCCGAAAACCACGCGACGTCTGCGCTTTACGTGCTGAGTGGCTTCAATCACCAAAACGTATTGCATCAAAATCGACTTCACGACCACACATCGTGCGAACATTATTTCAACCGTGCAGACCCTGTTGATAGCGTTGGACCAGTCCGAGCAATGGACCTCGACATCTCAGACATTCTAGCCTCAGTATCTCGGCCCTTCGACCGCACATCTCAATCACAAAGTCACATCGCATACTCCGACACCGACAACTTCACAGACCACCAATTACTCACCAGGGCATGGACTTCAGAACGCTGCGCACCGGATTTACTTCCATACCCAAAGGAACTTATGGCACGCGTCATGTCTCGCGTGCAGGCTCAGATATCGCGCATCGAAGATCTAGCTAGTGGCGGCGGCGAGACAGGCAAGGGCCAGAACACGAACTTGATACTGTCGATACTTCAGACCGATCTGTCGCGCACGCAGTTTCTGGTGCGGAGTTTCTTGAGGCAGCGGCTTGCGAAGATTACGAAATTTGCCGGCTGGTATTTGAGTCGAGATGTTGAGTCGGATACGAAAACGACGTATTTGAGTGAGGCCGAGGTCAGTTTCCTACGGGGCCATCAAGCGCTCTTGTCGGAGTTTTATGACGCGAGTTTCTTGACGGCTGTGCCTGTGGGATTGAGACGGTTGGATGATGCGAGTGGGGGTGTTAATATGGTTGAGGGGCCGGATGGCGGGCAGGCGGTTGTTGTGCGGTGTCTTGGTGAGATGTGGACGAATGAGAGGGATGCTGATGGGGAGAGGGATGAGGCGGAAGGTGCGAATGTTGAGTTGAGGATGGGAAGAGGGGAGGTGTGGGTTGTTAGGTGGCGGGATTGTAGGAGAGGAGTGGAAAGGGGGGAGTTGGAGGTTTTATAGCAGCATTGCAGGAGTGGTGATGTGGCTACCAGGCACTTTCCTTATGGAGAGAAGTACTATGAGCGAAGACTGCGGTTTGCAGCATCGTACGCGATATCTGGGTTGCATGACGTCTGAAGTTAACTACTGTAGTGACTCAAAAGGTACTGAGCAATCGACTAGGCTTTCTGCTTGACCACTTGGTCCAGCCGTGCTTGCTCGCCTTTCTTGAGAAGCCATCTCATTTCTTCTCGTTGGACGTCCGTCAATGCTTCGGCCATGCCTTCTGCCGTCAGGAAGTCGTGGTCTGAAAACTCGAAACCTGGCACCACCGTCTCGCTAATCAGTAGACCCTTTTCACTGCCCGTCTCCGCTCCGTCAGCGGCGGTAGCATCGTAACGAGATGAGTCCGGCAGGAGAAAGCTGGCCTTGAACTTGCCGCCTTCTACGATCCATTGCACCTTCTCGCCGGCCTCGATATCTTGGCCGACCACGAACGTCTCGATTGGGATCTGGCCATTCTGGTCGCGTTGGTCAAAGTGCATGATGACATAGCGGCCTCGGCCGCGGTGCAGGGTGTGAACGGTACGTCCGCGGTTGCGGTGGAAGTATCCGACTGGACTCTTCTGGCCGATTAGGTAGTATATTGTCGTGCTTGCGTGTCGGGTTTCTGAGTGATCTTTGGATGTGGCGTTGGCAAGGAGCGGGAGGTTCTTGAATGGGTTAGGGACCAGGAGATGGTCACGGTCTGTCTCGACGAAGTAGCCTCCTTCGATGTGATCTTGGAGATTGAGTGTGCTGATAGTGCTTTGGATGAAACCTGGTTCTGAAGGCGGAGGGTGAGCCAGCAGGGACTGTGCGTATGCGGCGTCGGTGGGTGGAATGATTGGTGACATCGTCGGAGCTGTAATAGGAGAGTGTTGTTCCGGGTGCTCGGCTGTAGCAAAGCAGTGGCTGGTTGAACTGGAAACCGAGATTCTGTCAAAGCTGACCCAGGTCGAGATTCCAAAGAGAAATATTGCTCAAGGCCGCCAGGTAGACAAGCCAATGTGCTGCACGGACGGTTGGGTTCCAAGGGAGGGATGGAACCACAGTAGTGATGCGATCGGACGAAGTGATCTCTTGGTGAGATGCGATATACTGTAAAGGAAGAAACGAGGAAAGCTGGTAAGAGAGTATTGTCGTTCTGGTAGATTATATTTATGCTTGTCTAAGCCGCGGATGTGCTCGGCTTGAACAGCCACGGTGGAATCACGACAGCGACAGAAGTGGACCGCCTGAAGACCTAACAAGCATGCAAATATGATGTCTAAGTCACCTATTAATGTCTATGATAGTCGGTCACTTCATAACCTTCTTCCACTTGTTCTCCTGTTCTAAGTGCGAAACAACCGCGCGCCGTTCTACCACTCTGTCTATTTTCCCCCTTATAAGCGTACGCAATTTATATCTTGCTTTCACGCTCAAACTCCGCGCTGAAACCAAAGTCAATATAACCCTTTTCGGACTTTGGGTTGTAAAAGGTGTCCCTGTCGTATGGGGTCAGGGGGATGCCCTTTTGGATTCGGTAAGGCAGATCAGGCGTCGAGATAAAGTATCGTCCGAACACAATGGCAATGTCTTTGTCATTGTACTCTTCATCGGCAGCCCTCAAAGCGGACTCCGGTGTGAAACCGCCAGCAATCAAGATCGGGCTTGTGTTTCCCCAAACGTCAATGGCGAAATCCACCTTCTCGGTCGATTCACTATCTGCGCTTCCAGATATCCGAGATTCGACCACATGCACATAGGAGAGCTTCAACTCCTTCAAGCCCTTCAGAATATGAGTAAATTGAGGAACGGGATCGGCCATTCTCATGCCCTGGAATGTACTGTAAGGGCTCAGCCGGATGCCAACCTTATCAGCGCCTACGGCGTCGACCACTGCCTTGGCGACTTCAAGACCGAAACGAGAACGGTTCTCAACGCTACCACCATACTCATCGGTACGTCGATTGACATTGTCTTGGATAAATTGGTCGATAAGATAGCCGTTGGCGCCATGGAGTTCGACGCCATCAAATCCAGCCTCGATTGCATTTTTCGCGGCTTGCGCATAATCGGCGACGTATTCCTTGATCTCCTCTTTGGTCAGTTCCCTGGGAACGGGGCGCTCGCTGTCCATGGGAGTTGGGCTGGACGAGACGATGTCAACACCCTGAGCCTTGCAGTACTTTTCATTTGCCGTCCGGCCTAGGGCCCATAGTTGGCAGTAGATGAAACTGCCCTTGGCGTGCACGGCGTCGGTGACCTTCCGCCACGCGGCGATCTGGTCTTTGTTGTAGATACCTGGTACGTTGGGATACCCTCCAGCGCGTTTCGTGATGAAGGTCGCCTCTGTGATGAGCAGGGTGCCCGGGACTGAGCCTCGTTGTTCGTAATAGGTGGTGACGAAGGGAAGGGGGACGTGATCGTCGTCGGCACGGAAACGGGTCAAAGGTGCCATAACCAGGCGATTCTGCAAAGTGACATTGCCAATTTTGAGAGGCTCGAACAGCCTGGAGTTCGTGGATGTGCCGAGGGACCCCATATTTGATGATTATTGAGTGTCAGTTGTAAGAAGATGCCGTGTATGAAGATCTTGTCTGCAAAACTTAATGAATGATAGTGCGTATATATATCAATAACCACAGCTAGCAACTTGGAGTAGATAGGGAGGAGACAGCCTGGTGAAATTCCAAATGATTGCAAAGAAAGTGCAAAATGCCCAATAATACTGTGCAACGTCAGTGTGGGTTTGAACAATTACATACACACACTCCCATTCCAATGCGGTGGTCAATAACCGGCAGATGCGAAATGCGAGACGCGGGATGCGAAAGACCAAAGCGAAGGGCAATTAATCAGCAAGTCGCTTCTTTCATGTCCACTGGATTCTGGAGTGACGAAACAGAGTTTGATGGCGGCACTGTTCATGCATCTCATTGGTGCTTCAGGTTGAAATCGCCCTGGCACGTCATTGCCATGCTGTGCTGTTATTGTGATAGAGAAGCATCTTGCGCTCGACGACCTATGCCATCTGCAAGGCTGACAGTGACAAAAAAGAAAACCCATGGCCGTTCAGGGATCAATTTTGTCAGGCAGGAACATCCCAAATCATCTGGTATCAGGCTGAGGTAGAGGGTAATCAAGAATATTTGTAAGCTCGTCCTCACGCGCATTATTCATGTCTCAATTTCGCGATATCACACGAGCGCTGGGTAAGCTGATGCCTGACGAATAGATCCGGGGTATTGCGGGAGCATCGAAGGTATTTCGAGATGACACAAGCAAAAGCGAGGAGTAAATGAGGAATGGCGGTCATCCACAGCCTTGCGCAGCCTTGTATATCTCAGCCTTGGCGCCGGCACCGGAAGAACAAGACTCCGGGTTCAAGTTCAAGCTGTCAAACACAGCTCGTTGCAGAATCACGACTTCCAAAATCATTCCCTACCTCGATAAATCGCGCGACTCTTAGTAGTTGCACCTGGCGCAGAGCAGGATATTTCGTGAATTCTGTACACGCCGTTTCGATTTCTAATTCCTCCGGCTGTCATCTGTTCCCCAGCTTCTTTCACCTCAATGTCATTGTACTGGTGTTACTGTCGCAGGGTTCTATCTCAAATGTACTTTCGAAATTCAAGGACGCGTTATGGCAAGAAAGTGACCGCGGACGTCAGTTCACTGGGAGCAACCATTTTGCACGGGGATTTGGTTTTACTGATAAAGGCTACAAACTGTTACCGACGCAAGCCCTCCCTCAACAGGTGATACGTCTTTCCCCTGGGGTTGGCCGCGCTGGTCTTTCGGTCGCCTTCGATCTATCGTAATTGGCGAAATATCTGAACAACTTTTCCGGGTCTTCTCTGACTTTGGCTCTTGTCGACGGATTGAACAGGGTGTGTAACGATACATCATCCTCAATCAACATTGATATGCACCACCATACTATTGTCTTGCAAGGAAGCTTGCATGCCGGAACATTGAACTGTCGACGCATTTCGCAATAATTCCTCCAAGCCTTGAAGTGCATCAGCCCGATTTCGCGGTTGCCGGCACAGTATTCCGACAGGGCGAGGAACAGGAAAGCCACCACGTCCTCGTCACTCGAGTCATGATAAGAAGCTAATGCGGATATCCTAGAGCGAGTCCGCGCAAGGATACCATTCTGCCTAGAGGCAAGGTACTGCTTTTCTGCATCGAGCAAGTCAATGTCGGTTGATAAACTTCGATTTTGATGATGATATGCACTGAACAAAAACACCAGGGTCTCAAAGCACCATTGATTCGCAAGCGCAAATGGCACAAATAAAGTGAGGATCGGATCGTACTGCTCCACAATCCCAGGGTATCGGTCAAAGCCAATCATGGTTGCCGCGTTGGCGGCAAAATATCGAATGAGATTGCAGTCTGGTGGCAGCAATGGAATGGGTGTGCATCCCACAGAATTGGTGAGTTCTGACAAAACCTCATTTGACGGCTCATTTGCCGACTCGGGCGCCGACCTGTGGTCCGTCGTCTCTTGCAACGGTGTACTCTCGATTTGGAGTCCTTCTATTAGGGACAGCCTGAATTCCGAGTCACTCATGAGGCTAATTCGGCGCCCTATGTGGTCTGCTTGCGACTGTTCAGTCTCAAAGCTATGCCGTCCGAGAAGACCTCCTGGTACCTTTTCTCCATGGTCAGCTGAAACAGTTGGTATGTCTTGCCAAGATTCCGTGCTTGGGGATGCTTGGTCCAGTCCTGTGTCGGGTGAGTCTGTCTCCGAAGGACTTTGACGGGATTCGACATTCGATGTTGTTGCTGATGCCGTTCTCCTTGCTCGAGTGGGCGACATCGACCGTGATTTCTTCTGCACTGATTCGATCGTGGCCATATCTTTCTGGAAATCGATAAGTGCCGCATAGTGTGACATAGGTCTTCTAGCGAGACTTGGCCGCGTGGGCAGTTCCTGCTGGTCTTTGAGGTTGGCAGCCATGGTCTCTGTACCAGGTTCGTCCTTTGTGGCTTTTGGTTGCATCCATCGCAACGGCGAGAATTGGTTTCGAGAGATCCATTCCGATCTGGCCTCTCTTTTCGATCTCACACGATCTTTCATCAGATGTGTTCGTGCAACTTCAGTGACTCCCCTCCGATTGATATCATAATCTACAAAGGTGAATAGCCGTCCTTTCTCCGGCTTGTCAGTCGACATACTGACTCGTGTTTTGTCTGTATTAGGTGATTTTGTGCCACATTGCAGTCTCTAACTGGGTATATAGAGCCATCAAGCCCAGGTACCTCTCGGCCGTTGGCCGCGTTTTACCAAAGCGTGAGACTCCATTTGCCAACATCATTTCGAGATGATGGTCTTGTCGGTGACCCTGGATCTGCTACTGAATCCACAACACACTTTCCGCCGGCAATGGATGGTTTTCGACCCCTGTCCAATCGCTCGACTCCTCGGGTGCAGACACGGAGACGCTTTACCCTTTTCTGAGAAGAAACAATTCCCGCCCATTGGCCAGCAATTCTGTCTACCACCAACACTAGACCTGTTCCCACCAGGTACGAAAGAACCCCGTTGACACCTTGCTGCACAGCTAGTTGCGCAATACACTCACCCCAGTCCTTGCAGTGGTCGTGGCATGCCGTTTCATGCCTTCCTCTCCCTTCCTACAATCGATTACCGGGATATCGTTCGAAGAGAAGCTTAATCGCCTACGCGGCCTCTGAAGGCACCACTACGAATGTATCGCTGCTGCTCGAATGCGGAGCCGCACAAATCCGCATGCAACTACTGACACCGTGTCCGAAGAGATAGTTGACATCAACGACTGATCAAGCTGCACCTTGCTCGTCAATCGACGTATCTGTCTGCGTTGGCTGCAGCTACGGGATTGTTTGTAAGCCTCCGCCCCGCCATATTCTAACCACACGCCATTGTCAACCACCGAAAAGATCGAATCTGGATGTCCTTGGATGTCCTTGGATGTATCTCTTGCAAGCGGTGCATGTCGATACATCCAAAACACCACAAGATCGGCTGTATCACTATGCTAAAGTCAAAAGAGATCTGCGACTGTCATGCCGCATTTCTCCACATGCATGAAAAGGCTTGTTTGGATCCCTGCTTGTCGAGTACCATGCAAGTATGCATGTTGTCACGAGGATCCGAGAGGCTCGGCTGCCTTCGAAACCAGCGCGGAGAAATGGTTATATCTGACATGGTTCTCGAATTACTACATCCTCCTCTTATGATTGATGGCCCTGGACGAGATGACCAAGCGGGCACTCCCACCTGGAGACCTCTACGGCACTCTTGACTCAGAATAGCAGACTCAGGTCCCCTTTATCAAGCACCTACCAGAAGGGGATCCTCCGTGGAGGAATTACCCCAGTTCTTAACTTCCAATCGCATATCATTGCCTCATCATAACCAATCAGGACATTTGAGAACTCTTCCAGATTCGATGTAGGAGTTTCGTTACTTCAGCACTTGCGGCCGCAACACCGCCTGACATATCAATCGCCAAACCTCACACTGCGCCCTCGATCAGTATTTGTGAAAGCGAGCAGAACGTCTGAATGACACGTGTCCGCCAGCGGGACTTCAATCTACCCAAAGCCGCATCAGGTATATTTCGCAACTAGTGCCGAAGTTTCGTCCGGAATGTTTCATGCCCGGCGACTGCCCGAAGTCCGCAGAAGCATGCACAAACCTCGTGTGGGAAAGTTACATGCAATTGACCACCAGACCTCGCTTGCAGGTTGCTTTTGGCGGGCCAAAGTCTAACGGTATGTGGCAGCCGTATACTTGGAAATCCACGATCCAAACTTTCTGTACGACGGGACGGCCTGATCGTCGCTACTATAATGCGAGTGGTCGGGGGAGAGAAACCGATACACGTGTGACGACTATAATGTATGTGGTGCTACACGCCAGAGTCAGTAGGACCTATTTGCTGGAATGGACTCCGTAGCTCCTGGAAGCAATGTCTACTTTGCGGGAGGGGATCATCAAGGCTGGAATGCGTCAGGACTGGAATGCATTTCAGACGACCGGCGGTATTATGTCCGCGGCACTAACTACATGCGCAGGGCTGATCCGCACAGCAACAGGGTTCAAGCCTTCGGGATCCTGACTTTGGAAGGATCCTCAACAGCTGCGTGGCATGTGTGGACCAAGACACGGTCAGAATAACCACCGCAGTACTTTTATTGCCCCTGGGAAGACACTCGGTCACAGCTCATCGATGCTGGAGATCGTTGTGCCAATGTTGCAGATTCACCGAAGATGGTCCGCTCGAGAAATGCTCATGTCAACAAATGCCACTGGAGCCCTATTATCGTACATCTTCAGCAACGTCACAGTAGCCCGGGTGCCGTCCTTCCTTCCATACTTGCAGCTAAGGTCAAGCTTGCTTCTAGAGACTCCCCTGTATACAAGCGCAACAATGGGAGTTATTGTCCGGAGGTCTCGCACGTGGCATTCACAGGGGGTTTGAGAATACATCTGGGATCCTCCTTAATTCATGGGCAGAGCAAATAACAAGGTACGAATTTCCGCGTGTGTTCTTCTTTGCTTAAGAAGAGCTTATCGAAATGCCTCTGTGACATTCCAGTCATTCGGTATGATATAGAAGAGGAACCTGAAATGCAAGAAGCAGTCCTTATACCGCCAGGGATTTTCGGATGCTTGTACGGAAGCAGTGAATGTGAATACTGGGGGTCTCACTGTCACAAGGGTTATCTCACTGACTATCTCTCTGGTCACCTGGACATTGTTTGTTCACTGGCTTTGCCTTCACAGGGACCATTCATATCTTGCATTGAAGTGCACACTCTGCCAGATGACACCCCAAGATTGCATAGAATACTCTGGCATGATCACGGCGTGATTGGCCTGACAAAGACAGCCTTTACATCCTTCATCCAGTCGCTGTTAACCAAGTCAAGGATGATCTTCTGGTCATTGTGCTTTTCGAAAGCTTGTTTTGATTTATATCGTTCGAAGAAATGGAAGATACTAGGATCATTGGCGTCCCGAGATATGCAGTAGTATATCGTGCCTTCTTCACTCTCAGCACGTTTTGTTGTTTCCTTATACACGGCTTCGACTTTGTCCGCGTGTTCTGGCGCGGCATACACCTTGAGGCCGTGTCAGAATGAGTCCATCAATTCAGCATTAGCTAGGACTACCGTTCCATAGATGGCGAACTCTCCGGTCTCGGGTATGTCAAAAGCATCGTCGTCTCTCCAGTCTTTCTCGGACATGATTGAGGTGTTTTTGCTTGATGAGCATGGGCATATTAAAAGTTGTTAATTTGGTGATGCACATGTTAAGTTGGTTGACTAGACGCGTCCCTTTGCACTTTACGCGTCTGTGCACCACAAGCCAATGAATGACGTTGTTTTTGCCCCGCGAAATTTCTTGGGCGGCAGCAAAACTTTCTATGATCGTACTTTTCAGTCACACACCGCGACTTCTGTATTTCTCCTTCTTCCCGCCTGGCAACAGCCAGCCACGGCAACCTGCATTTCCTTTGTTCTCCGTTTGTTCCACGCCCGTTACAACATGAAGTACGTCCTCGTTAGCGGTGGTGTCATCTCCGGCATCGGAAAGGGACTCATTGCCAGTTCAACCGGTCTCCTCCTGAAAACCATCGGCCTTAAAATATGTCTACCCAATCTCAGTACATGACATCTGCTGACCTTCCTGGCAAGTGACGGCGATTAAGATCGATCCGTACCTCAATGTCGATGCTGGAACCATGGCGCCGACCGAGTATGTTTGAACACACCCTGCAGAAGGCTTTGTCTAAACCATGTATAGACACGGCGAATGTTTTGTCCTGGACGACGGTGGAGAAGTAGACTTGGACTTGGGAAACTACGAGCGATACCTCAACGTGACCTTGACTCGAGAACACAGTATCACAACTGGAAAGATCTACCAACATGTCATTGAACGCGAGCGGAAAGGTGACTACTTGGGCAAGACCGTCCAAGTGGTCCCACACATCACGAACGGGATCCAAGAGTGGATTGAGAAGGTCGCAAGAATTCCTGTCGACGACACAAATGAAGAGCCTGATGTCTGCATAATCGAGCTCGGTGGTACAGTGGGTGATATCGAAAGTGCACCTTTCATTGAGGCCATGCGGCAACTGAGACGGAGAGCCGGTCGTGACAATTTCTGCCAGATTCACGTCTCGTTGGTACCAGTGGTGGGCGGTGAGCAAAAGACGAAACCAACACAGCAAGCAATTCGAGATGCGCGATCAGCTGGTCTATCGCCTGATCTTGTGCGGAACTCGACCTGGTGCCTTTGAAAGAGAGCTGACATTTTCCAGATTGCTTGTCGGTGTCAAGAACGTATCGTGGAAGCCACGGCAAACAAAATTGCCATGTTTTGCCAAGTCGAGCCATCGCAGGTCATCGCGGTGCACGATGTCGAGTCAACATACCATGTGCCGCTTCTTCTCCAAAAGCAAGGACTTGTCGACCAGATTCGCGAGCTATTCCGTCTCGACACCTCCTCTATCCCTCAGGCCCTCGTCAAAAAGGGTGAAGCAACATGGCACGACTGGAATGCGTTGACGACATCACAAGAACGTTTCTTGGAGTCAGAGACAATCAACATTGCCCTAGTTGGCAAATACACCAACCTACACGACTCATATTTGTCCGTAAGCAAATCTCTCGAGCACAGCGCCATGGCATGTCACCGCAAACTCAAAACAGTCTGGATCGACGCCAGCAATCTCGAAAAGGCAACCTTGGAAGCCTCACCCGAGTCCTACCATAAGGCCTGGCATGATCTTTGCACAGCAGATGGCGTTCTTGTTCCTGGTGGCTTCGGTCACCGCGGAACAGAAGGTATGATAGCCGCAGCAAACTGGGCACGTACCAAGCCTAAACCATACCTCGGAATCTGCTTGGGAATGCAACTTGCAGTGATTGAGTATGCTCGGAACGTGTGCGGAATGAAGTCGGCCGGATCCATCGAGTTGGATGCGCAAACTGATAACCCGGTGGTGATTTTCATGCCGGAAATCGACAAAACCACCATGGGCGGCAACATGCGACTTGGCCTGCGAGCTACCAATTTCCAGGATGGTACAGAATGGTCGCGTCTGAGGAAATTGTACAACAACCAGCCCAGCATTCTCGAACGACACCGCCACAGATATGAAGTCAACCCCGAGTATATTGAGCGGCTCTCGGAAGCCGGTCTCAACTTCATCGGCAAAGATGACAAGGGTGAACGTATGGAGATTGTGGAGCTGAAAGATCACCCTTTCTTTGTCGGCGTTCAATTCCACCCAGAATATCTCAGCAGAGTTCTCCGGCCTAGTCCGCCTTATTTGGGCTTCATCGCCGCGAGCGCTGGACTTCTGCAGCAAGCTACTGCTGCAACACTGGCTAAAGCTGCCTCGGCCAATGGTAAGGGCAATCACACGGGACAAACTAACGGTGTCGACAATGGATTGGTGAATGGAATGTCTCAGGTCTCGCTTTCGGACTCAACTTCTGGGTTCTAGACGAAGAATGAAGGAAATCTTTCAACGGCGCATGTTTCTGGTGAACGTGGACTAGACTGGACTTGGTAGAGTGCTGGAATTTGCGACCCGGGTTGACTTCAAAGTCAAGGTACAACTATCTATCGATGGTTTGGTGTTAAACGTTGTTACGAAATTGTTCGCATTAGAGCATTATGCCGTATCGTGTCATGATCTATCTTAGCTGGCATACAAGCCCAGCATTTTGTCGTTAACTTGGCGGTCACCAAGCACGACTACATGTATAGACCCAGTACAATATACATAATGAGACATCATCTCACATGGACTCGTCTACTTTTTCTTCTTCCGACCAGCCTGCCGACTCCCACTTCCACCTGGCACTCCAATACCATCAGTGCCGTCGTAAGCCTTGACGCTGACTTGTGCAGTTTTCCCAGTTTTCCCAGGCACTTCAATCAATTCCTCCGCGTCACCATGTTCAGACAGCACAAGGTTCTCTCTGATGTTCGCTCTCGCCTCTTCGTCTCGGTAGGACGAACCTGGCATGGCATCGCCAGCATCTTCTGACCCTCCAGCCCACAGCCGCTGCCTCTCCCTATCAACCCATTGTCTCCAGGGCTTGTAGCAGAGCACACTGATCCCGCCAAACACGACGAAACTCGCGCATATAGACCCGCCGATGATTTCGTAGTTGTCGCCTGCTGTCTCGACGCCGTCCCAGAATTTGCCGGTAGGAGTCGCGACGTTGAGGATCATGGTCAGAAGCTGGATGACGCCGATGATAATGGCGCATATCACAGTCAGAGTCGTCAGGACGATGGAGTAGTACAGGAATGTTAGGGGGTCTTTGACACGTGGTGCTGGTTGTTCGGCGTCCGGTCGTGCAGGAGTGTGTTGCTCAACGTCCACCACTCCATCCACATCGGGCGTAATTCTGTCTGTATCTGCTGGCAAATCGACATCGGCCTCCATCGACTCATCTCGCTGACCTTGGCTCTCAGAGTGAGGCTTCTTGTCATCAGGGCCGGACATGCCCATAGGCGCGACATACAAACTCATCATCAACGCCCCGTCAATAGTATCGACAAGACACATCCCAGCCGTAAAGAGCACCGGGAATACCAATATCAACCACATACTCGTCCCCTTGGCTCCCTGTATACTACTGATTCCCAACAATGCAATCTCGGAACTGGTATCGAAGCCCAGCCCAAACAGCACACCTAAGGGATACATTTTCCAGGGACGATCAATGAGACGAAATGCCGACTTCAGCACGCGGAACAAACACCCTGCCCCTTCGATCTTCCACGCCTCAGCGGCCTCTTCGTGCGGTCGAAGACGAATGACTTTTCGGATCTGCAGGACAAGTCTGTACAGGATGTACGCGTTCATTAGACCCAAGAGGATCAGAAAGGCGGCGGAGACACTTGACCCTATGATCCCACCTATGTTGCTGAAGCCGTTGAAGCGCTTTGATACGCCGGCTGCGGTGGCAGCGACGACGATGGACGTGACGACCACGATGGTGCTGTGGCCGAGACTGAAGAATGTGCCGACTGTAACGGGACGTTGGCCTGTTGCTATTAGACGGCGGGTCATGAGGTCGATGGCAGAAATGTGGTCTGCGTCCAGGGCGTGGCGGAGACCGAGGGTGTAGGCTAGTGCTGCGGTTGACAATAGTCGTGTGTGTGCTGTTAGGACGAGGGCGCATATCGCCCAGGCGACGAGGTTGATGATGATCAAGAGGGCGATGATCAGGATGGCGGCCAGAGGCAGTCTGCGAAGGTAGGGCGTCCCGGAGTGCACGGTTGATAGGCGGGTGCGTGTTCTGTGGATGAACTTCTTCCATGGCTTTCGGAACTGCTGTTGTGGTGCTTCCATGGTGGGAGGTGAAGTGGTCTCCATGATTCTTCTTTTTCTCGGTGAGCTGCACCCTCTGCTACCGGCGTACTTAACTCGACTCCTCGCCGTCGGTCAGTGCCTCGTCTCCTGGCACGCACAGCTTGTCTCGGGCACCACACCTACCAACTGGCTCTTCTCTCGCTCACTCTTGAGGAGGCAAGTAGGAGCAAGCTTTTCAAGTCAGGCCGGTCACAGCTAGCACGCCATGATGTATTCCACTCGGCTCGTATCCGAATGTGCTCTTCAGCCAATAATAGCGTACGTGTTTCCCCCTCCAAATTGCGGGGAGATTTTCTGATTAGCGATAAGAAAAAAGCGACAGGGGTAACCGGACGGTACCTAGGCAATATAATATACAATGGTAATAGTCATAAATACTGGCGCCATGACTTTTTTCGGGGTCTAGAGTCAGCTTCACGGCTTTTGATCACCGAGGGTCCTGGTGATATATACTCGGCCCAAGCATTGCAACGACCCTACCTTGACACCGTCTTCTCGAACCATAGCTGACGACGCTATCCAAGTCTGGACAACATATCGGCCTATGAATACAGGATAATTGATCATCGAGGAGGACGTCGCATCGCCATGTCGTGGCCACCTCTCAAGGATCGCCTGCTGAGTCTGCTCGTGCCAGGCTTTATCCTTTGGCCGAGTGTCAAGTGTGAGTCGAAATAGGAAGCCCTTGAATGCCCAGGTTCGCAATATCTGACAAATTGCCATGCCAGCCTTTGTCATCACTGCTTTTCAGTTCTACATTCTGCAAGCCCACATTCCCTCGGCTTCGAATTTCCAGCAGGTCAGGGATGACGCGTTCTCCAAGTTCTGGGCCAAATTGAATGGTGGGATGCACATACCTTTGGGGAGACATTATAGCTAAAGTTGAGGTTGCAGCACCTGTTGATCCGCCTCCGCCTCCAGTAGGCTCCATGACTCTGGTGCCGCCAATCCTATCCCGGGCGCATGGTGTGGTTCTTGATATCGGTCCTGGATCCGGTACTCATGTTGGGGATTTTTCAGACAATCCCAATATTACCACTATCTTCGGCGCCGAGCCAATGTCGGGTCTCCACCCAAATCTGCAACGGAGTATCAACGAGGCGAAGCTTTCTGGCAAGTACCACATTCTGGGCTGTACCGCCGAGAAGAAGGATCTCCTGGCAGCACTGAAGAAGGAAGGCGTAAGAGCGACAACAGAAATCTTCGACACCATTGTCTGTGTCCGTGTCCTGTGTTCTGTGCCGAATGTTGATGAGACAGTGACAGAATTCTACTCTCTTCTCAAACCTGGAGGTCAGTTGATGGTGGTTGAGCACATCAGAAATCCCTGGAAGAAGAATGGCAGTGTCCTTGGTCGATTGGCACAGTTGTTTTGGTCGGCTTGGGGCTGGACGTTTTTCATGGCCGCATGTGAGTTGAATCGAGATACTACTTTATCGTTGAAAAGAGCGGGAGCTTGGGAAGCAGTTGAATTGAAGACGCATTTTGAATGGGCGGCTCTGCCGTATGTTTCTGGCACGCTGACCAGAGTGAGGTGACTGAAACATGCAACGGTATGAGACTGGGCGCTTTTGCATAGGCACTCAAGAGATATATATACGAATGCGCGGTTTTGTTGGAGCATGGCGCTGAGCATAGATGGCTGCTGCATGGGGAGAGCCTTGTGAGAGTGAGGCAGAAGTGGAAATCGAGCGCCCTCTTGGCTGACAGTCCGTCGAGACATCTCATCGAGCAGGGTTGTCCAGGACCCGGGTATGTGTATTTTTGGCTGTGTGCTGTCAAGGCGAAGACGCGGCTAGTCATCCACAAATTGAGATGCAGTTTGCGAAGGTCCATGCAGACAGACACCGCACCGCAATCATGGTTGGAGATTGAGACGAGGGAACATCAGTGACGTACTTAAGTTAGTGCAGGCGCGCCCAAAGCCCCTATTGAAAAGGGAAGTGTGTTGTCGTGTTTCAAGGACGTGTCATATCTTAACCATAAATCTACAACTCTTTTCTCTCCTTTCACAATAACTCATTCTGCGATACAGAAATCAGTATTGTACACTACGACTTCAACATGGCTCCAGGCGCACAAACTGTACTCAACTTCCGTCCTCCCTCACCCGAAATTGGTTCCAAAGCCGACTTTGTCCCACCTACCATATCCTTTCTACAAGGCAAATGGTACATCACACACTCGACTCTTCCCATGTGGAAATCGAATAGAAACGTCACAGTCACCTACACGCCCCTTCCAAACAATGGCGATGTCCTGGATGACCTCGTCGAGTACCAACCTCTGAAGTCGGATAAGCAGAAAAAGTTGGAAGGCTACGATACTCCTGACGCCAATGTCAGCGCCTCGTACAGTTGGCGTGGCAGAGGCTTATTGAAACTGATCACCAGCCACTGGCAAGTTCTTGGGTATGGCGACGAAGATGATGGTTGGATCGTTACCTACTTCTCAAAGACCCTGTTCACCCCAGCTGGTCTCGATATCTACTCTCGACGCAAAGGCGGTCTTTCCGAGGGACTACTGCTTCGAATCCGGAACGATCTGAGGAAGATCAATGACGAGAACATCAAGATACTGGCAGCGTGTATGTTTGCCGTTCGTCACGACTGGGAAAAATGAAGATGAAGATGAAACTACATATCATGCGATTCACGATTTATGACGAGACAAGGCGCAATTGGAATCTTCAGCGCTGTAATACCATCCACCATCAAGCAACTCTTGTTCCATGCGTGCCCATTTCTGGACCTTTCCTCCGTCGGTCGTCTTCAGATCCAAATCGGCGAGTTTGACGTCTACCAAGTCTACACCACCGCCTTCGTCCCGTCTCCGCAGAACCAGAAAAACACTGCAGTCTCTCAATGCCATGGCCAAACCAAAGTCTTTCCCAGCAGGGGTTTGAAAGTCCTCCAACCCCACCGATCTATGCGCTTGCTGGAGCGCCTTCAGATGTGACAACACAGGCTGGACTTTTGCCTTAAATGTGGCCGCAAATGCCTGAACACCTTCTTGCATTGGCCAGATGTTAGCCAGGGCGCCCTCGAGAATGTTACCCGATTCGAGAAGATCCATTGGACAGAACCCGGAATCACCTCGACCCTGACGCAATTTTGTTCTTCTGCGCATTGCATTCAACGCACAAGTTCGGCAGTTTCGTGCATCTCTGGGTGCGCTGGGACTCTGCACCAACCACTTTGGCTTGAATTCGACCAACCAATCGATTCCTGGACCATGGAGATTGGGCATCAAGATGCCATATTGTTCCTCTTCATAAGGCGGCAGATAGACGTGCCGTCTGTGATGGTGCCTGATCTTCCAATTCGGCCTGCTTTGTGCGTTGACGTCGTTAATCGACAGAGCGGATAGATCTACACTGTCCATTTCCACCAGCTCTCGATTCGCAGCTTCAATCATCTCTGGGTTCAACTCATACAGTGCCTGCTCCATGAGTAGAGCCTCGTGCCCGGCAAACAATGGTACTATGCGCTCTCTGAAGTCAGACATGGTCTGAACAGCCGGTTTTGTGGAGGGCAAATCCTTGCGCAAACGCATAACGTAGCAGTGAGAATGCGCTTGCAGTGGTGCAGGCGATGTCACCGACACGCTGTATATGATGTTGGCGGCGCCTTCGGCCAGGTAATGCAGTTCGAGACTGGCACCACCAAGAGCCGAAGGGCGGCTTGGTAACGATTGGTGTTCCGTCGTCATAGTTCTCGGTGTAGCACCATCTGACGAGTAAAGCTGTTGACAATAGTGGTGCTGGTAGAAGATGATCCCCAAACTCCTTGATTGAGGCTGTCTCTTGAGATCCTTTTCTATCCGAAGTTGTCGACTCTAGACCTTGCCATACTTGATTTGCCTGTTCCCAAAGCCACCCCACCAACTAAGGACAGTGTGAAGCGAACCTACGTCGTAAAACGAATGTGTGAATTCTAGAGAATCATGTCGGAAAGTGAACGTGAGTTTTGACGTACAAAAAGTTATGAGGTTTGAGAAGCAGAAGCGGCCAGAGTTGAAGTTATCAAGCGATTTGTTTCTCCACAGTCGATCGTTCTTGGAGAGACGACGCCGGACATGGAATGACATCTCCTTGGGTACGGTACGTTCCTCCGCCATCACGGCGTCTACAATGTCCTCGAGCAAACAATTGTCGATACTTTGATCTCCACATAGTCGACGGTCTGATACTGCATCATTGATCTCAGTAGGGAGGGACATCCGAATCAATTCGCAGACTACGCCTTCTGGTCCGCCTGCGGTACACGACGACAAGGAGACACAAGTCCCCAGTATCGACTTACAAGACCTCTCAGTTAGCCCCTCCAAGTACATCTCAAAACAGCCCAGTGAGAAATTGAGAGTCTGTGAACAGCATCGAAGGTATCTATTCACGGAGAGAAGTACTATCTACTTCCTTCTGTGCGTTGCCCTCAATACTCGACAAATCCAAGCCCAGTCCCGCTAGCCTGACCCTCTCCCCAGCACTGCGTCACGGTCACAGCACGGTTGCAGCACTAGCAACAATGTCCCAACCGTCAACCCTAACGACCGACCTCAAGCCACACCTTGCCCTCATCACCGGCGCCACAGGCGGCATTGGCAAAGCGACAAGTCTCGCCCTCGCACGCCTAGGCTGCTCAATAGCAGTACACTACAACAGCGCCGCGGACACTGCGCGCGAACTCGTCGAACAACTTCAGCACCTCGGCGTAAAGGCATCGGCATTCCAAGCAGATCTGAGTTCATACGATGCCGCACGCAAATTGCACGCCGATGTCGTCCGCGAGATGGGCAAGCCGACGATCCTGTTCAACAACGCTGGGTTGACGATGGGAAAGAGTGGTGTCAAAGAGGTAAGTCTCCCACCAAAAAGTGTTCGGTGGTCACCCATAGCATACCTAGGTACACTCTTCTGACCGCTCGCCACGCGAGTTGTAGATCACAGATATTTCGATCGAGGAATTTGAGCAGACGTGGCGCGCCAACTGTGGGACTGCTTTCCTCCTCACACAGCTTTGCATACCGGATATGGTGGAGAAGGGATGGGGACGTGTGATTTTCTGCTCCAGCGTCGCTGGGTTCACGGGCGGTGTTGTTGGTCCACATTATGCGTACGTCTTTCCTCCCCTTTCCATCCCTGGTACGTGGTGTCTGGTTGGCCGAAATCTTGACTGTTTGTTCTGTTGCTAGATCCTCCAAATCCGCAATGCATGGCCTGATACATTGGTTGGCTGGGGCTTATGGCAAGAAAGGCATCACTGTCAACGGTGTGGCGCCGGCCCTGATCGAGGAGACGAAAATGCTGCCTGGAAGTAATGCCGAACTTGCTGCGAGTATGTGCTGACATCCACCTACTGGGCGACCGAGTGACTGACAACACAACTTGCATAGGAATCCCGATTGGTAGACTCGGCAAGCCCGAGGAAATCGCTGAGACGGTCGTCTGGATGGTCAAGACCGGGTATGTGCATAACAAGGTCATTGCTGTTGATGGTGGGTGGTTCATACAGTAGCCACGGATGCGCCTCAGATATGTTGGTGATGAGAAATACTCGATACCGCAAGCAATGCAAGGTGTATCGGTTCAACCGCCTCCCTCCTTCTTCTTCCTGGCCTCTTCTTCTCTCTCCTTCTTTCGCTGGAGATACCTCTCTTTAGCACCCATCTTGTCAGCCTCCGTGACCTTACTCTTAGTCTTGTCTTGTATTGCGTTCTCTTCTTCCTGGTCCGCCTCAGTCTGTTTCGCAAGCATCTCCTCAACCTGTCGTTCCACCATCCGTGACTGTCTTTCGCGCTGGGCGTGTCGTGCATCTTGCGCCTTGGAAGACTTCCGGTACTCCTCGGGACGAGCTGTGTCTTGTTTCTTCGCGTCTTGCTCCTTGCCAGGTTTCTTCGGAGCGGAGTTCAGCCCGGCAGAAAGGAGCTGTCTCTTGTCGACAACTTCTCCGTCGTCATTTACAACGACTCTCGTTCCCTGCTCGTTCAATTCTTCCGCGATCTTCGCTTCAGATTTCTCTTCTTCAATCTCTGCCTCCTCTGTTGACCCGCTCTCTTTCTTCTTTGCGGCTTGTTCTTCTGCTTCCTGGATCATGCGCATCCTCTCCTCGTCCTTCTGTAACATCTGTTTATGAAATGCCGTCATACCACCGCCCTTTCTTCGCCGCTCTTCTTCGATTTCCTCACGCTTCTTCTCTTCCTCTGCTAACAGTCTTACTTCCTCTTGCTGCTTCTTGTATGCTTCGGTCACGAACTTTTCTTTGTCTGCAAACTCATCGCCTTCAGCCTCTCTTTCTCGTTGTAACAGTTTCTCCCGCGCCCGTAGTTGGTCTCGTTTGCGAACCTCGGCACTTTGCAGCAGCGAGCCGATATACTTGGGTCCTGACGCTTCTTCCTTGGTCGACTTCTTCTCTTTGGCCGCGTGGAACGTGTCGTATACGGCGTCATAGTCGTAGACCGATTTGTCTATAGTCGAGGCTTCCTTATCATGCAGTTTCGCACTTCGCAGTGCAGAAAGGTTGGTGTACTTGTCGGCACCATTTCCTGGCGCCGCAGGTTTTCCCTTCGCAGTTTGTAGCCCATATTGTTGAGGTGTGTCTTGAGAAGGCTCGTCAGCATCGTCATCGTCGAAGGCGCTCAGAGGTCGGAGAGGCTTGGAGGATTTCTTTGCGCCATATTGTGGTGGAGGGACGGTCTGTGAGGTCTCCTCCTCCTCGTCGAAGAAGCCTTTTCGCTTTTGTGGAGGTTTGACACCACCAGACTGCGGCTTGCCAGCCTTCAGTCCGAAAGCAAGGGCAGGCATCCTCAATCAGTTAATATACGGTCGAAGAGTCGACGGAACAGAGCGATGTATGAAATTTGGCTGCAGAGTAGTCATCACGTGACGGTATGCACAAGGCTGAAGCTAGCCTGATCAGATATTCTCTGCTGGTCCGTTTCCGGCGTCCATCTCAGCCTCGTCCGACATCTAGTCTCCCACGATATCTCTCACGTTCACAGATATATGCCAACAAACACGAATTTCACGACGCTGTCCGCGACAGACGTACCCAGGCTGAGCTGAAGTCGCCTGTGCCATCATCACCATTGCAACATGTCATACTACTTCGTCATCATCTCCCCAACCGACACGCCGCTCTTCGAATTAACGTTCGGCACCTCCAAAGCTGGCGGCGATGGCGTCGCTCGATTTCGCAACGGCGAAACATCGCGGTACATGAACCAATTCGTCGTGCACGCCGCCCTAGACGTTGTCGATGAAGTCCAATGGTTAAGTCCGAACATGTGGCTCAAGGTTATCGATAACTACGCCCCGACAAACTCACACATCAGCTGCTTTATCACGGGGACGAACGTGCGATTCATGCTTCTTCACCAACCTTCCGCCATGACCAACGCATCCGCTGGGAATCGCGCCTCGACTATATCCGCGACATCGATTCCTCAGAACCCGACCAGCCCTCAGACCGAGGAGGCTATTCGCCAGTTCATGACCGAGGTTTTCGAAGTGTGGGTCAAGACGTTGATGAACCCCTTTTACAGTGTCGGGAAACCTATCAAGAGTCCCGTGTTCAGACAACGAGTCACTGCTGCTGGCCGAAAGTGGTTATAGTTGTGCTTCGACCACGTATCCTTTGTGTGGCTATTGTTTGCGGTCGTCGATTTCAAACAAAGGAAGGCAAGCCCCCATTTTAGCAAATCTGATGCGCGGCCAACCACAAATTACTCATTATCCATGGCCCTGATTGAGCGACAGTTGGAACAGATTCCCTCAGTGTCGAGCATTGGACTTCACAATCCCGGCTCAAGCAGCTCATTTGGCCTCGTCCGCGTCGAGTCAGCTTCAGCGGCATATGCTGTCCGCCACAGCATATACTCGAACATAAGGCCCCGCGGATCCATCAAACTTAAGGAGTAAATGCGACTACATCCTTGTCGCCGCTCAAAAGCTTACATCACCATTTCAGACGACATCGAGCCGTGCGATTTCAGGAAGAACCTGCTCCAAATATCATCCACGAAACCATGGCCCCCATATATCTCCACCCCAGATCCTACGCCCCGTCCATCATCCGCCGCTCAGCAGCCAACTACCTCGACTGGCCCTTATGGGCGCAGATCCTGCTTCCAGTCCTCGCAGTCACCCTCTGGGTTCCTGCATACTTTGTCGTCGAACTCGTCAAGGACTTCTCCTGCTTTCGTTCAAGGGAAGACTAAAATGCACAGCGATAGAGTATATTTTCAGGGACTCAAAAGCGAGTCAGGTCGTCCGAGTTGGGTAAGTCCTCCAGGGCCGATAAAAGATCCTTAGGATTGTACGGTTACCACTGGCAGGGCTGCACAAAGGGCTGGAGGAAAGTTCTTCAGATTCTTTTGTACCGAAACCTCCAAGATAGCCACCCGTTGAAGGGGCTACCCATAGCGGTCTCTTCTTTCATGACCAGAAAAGGCCTGGGTTCTCAAATTGAAACCCCATTTTGCCTTCTCCAAACGACATTTGTAAAACAGACATGTTACCGCTCACTAAGACAATGGCGCAAAACCCGCTTCAAAATCGTATACTTTGTTCATTACGGCCGTCAAATCATTGAACATCCAACCACTCTCAACAATGATGCCAGACATCCTCAAAACAACCAGAAAGCCCCGCCAGGACAGCATTTCGTTCCTGCCCAGGCTTTTGGGAGGGTATCTTGCTTTTGACGCAAAGAGCTGATCCATCCGCATTGCTGGTGCAACATCGAACAGGACTCAGCTTGTAGAAGCCCGTGCGACGTCAACCGCGACTAATCCTCCACAAAACGTGCAAGTAACACAGACATGAACAGAATTTCCTCCAGCTTCGGCAATGTCATACTCAGACTCTCCGAACAAAATGCAAACACCAATACATCCCGCCTGCAACTTCCCAATCAGATTGAAAATAGTGCCACCCATCGAAGCTCAATTGTACTTTTAGAGTGTTTGAGACTTTTAATTCGACGTTTGAAAGTCGGTCTCTAGCAAAAGACAACTGCTCCAAAGGCATAGCAAAAGGGAAGGAACGCAGAACAGTCCGAAACCCGTATGGCTCTTGGACGCGAAAAAGAATCGCCGAGATCACCTGCCCCAGTATCGGTAATCCCGGTATTCAGGACGACAGCTCAGAAGATAGTGAGAAGAAGAGAATGAGAACGAAGGTGCGCGCCGGCTGCGCAAAGTGGAGTCCGGCTCGTGCACTTCAGGCCCCTGCGATGTCCTCGTATCCTTTGTAGTCCACACTCTGGCGGCGGGTGGTATATTCATAGCTTTGTCGACTGACACTCGGGGCTCGACTGGGTTGTCTGCTCGATCTGACACTTGGTATCCTGTCTTCCGCATAAGAAGCGCCAGAAGGCCGTCGCGATGCGTGAGTAGGATCGCGCTCTTTACCTCTGCTGGAGATGCCGCTTGATAAGCTCTTTCTCGATTCGCGACTGTTGATACTTGGAGCACGGTCAATCGCCTTCTGCTCTTTGACATGCTGTTGTCCTTCGGCGCTGACAGACAGGACGAGGCCATTGACATTGATGCTGAGAGGACGGCCTTTCTCCATATAGTCCTTTGGAATGCTCATATTAAGTCCGCCTGGGAGAGTAATGCTTGTCCTCGTGCCGCTTGTATGACTTCTACCACGTCCAGACGAATCCTTGGAGGAAGACTGGAGACTTTTGTGACTGTAACTGCTGCCAGTCTCGGACTTGGAGCTCGTGTTTCCCTTGTTGAGATTGCGGAGGGCTTCAGCAGTCAGTTCACTCGAGGTCTTGCTCCTGCGGCGAATGTACTCTTCAACGTCGTCCGCTTTCTGCTCCAACGGCACTGTAGCCAGTGTACTCCGACGAGGTGCTTCATGGACTTTGCTCGAAGCCACTTTCGTTGTTGCGTTCGGTGTAGTATAGTTTCGCGCTAAGCCGGGTCGATCGCGGCTATCAATGTAGCCTGGTCCTCGGTATGAAGACGGAGGAAGCGATGGAGGCTCTCGTCTATCCTTGGTGCCAGCAGGAGGACCGCGAGACTTGGGCACGTCAACGTGTTCGTCATCGTAGTGATCTGATTCATAACGACGCTCACGTACAGGCGGCTCTGAGGGGTGGTATGTTTTTGCCCTTCTATTGCTCGGCCTACGAACAAGAACAATCTCGGGTTGTTGCTGCTTCAATGGAGGTGGAGGTGGCGGTGGCATAGCAATTCGGTCACTCTCAACGGTGCGAACTGATTGCCGTGAGGCGAGTATAGGCCGGCTTTCTCTCGGTGAATCTCTTTCTAGCCTTGCGGTGGTGCCATCAGGATAGCTCTGTCTGATGACTGGGTCGCCATAGGTGCTCGATCGTCTCACTGGACTAGGTCGACGACTTCCTCGACTGGGAGGACGATCCATCGGATGAGGCGCATCGACGTATTGCGGGAACTGTTGATAGCTAAAGGAGCTGCCTGGTAACGGTGATGTCGGAGTGTATGAGTAAGTTGGGGGATTGAATGACACTGTTGGTGTGACTGGAGTTGCCCATCCAGGTGAGGCGACGACCGGCGTGCCATAAATAGCCGGAGTGAAGTAGTGCGCGGGTGGCTGGTGTGCTGAAGCCATGCTTATGGGTCTAGGCTGCCTCTCTAAAGACGGTCGTCGTGGACGACTCGATAGCGCGGCATCGTCTCTGACGCCTCTCGGTGCGCTTTGTCTGACCGAATCAGGAGATGATGGTGAAGGAGCGAATTTTGATGTCCGGGACCTTTCTTGTTGGATGTCGATGTGCTCGCCGTAATGATCGCAAACTTGACAGGTACCCCACTTATGGACGATGGCTCTGGCCTTGGCCGGTCGTGGTTCAGCATTGAGGTCCTTGTCATCTCGAGAAGATGACTGTCGACGTGTTGAAGGCTTTGCGGGAGCGCTTTGGGGGTTACCATAAGGCTGTCGCTCCCTCTCTGGTATGGCCGTATCGAGTTTCAAATCGAGCATCTTCCTCCGGCTTCGACCTGTTGATTCACTGACTAAAGTGTCTGCTCGACTAGCATAGCCTGAGTCAATGGCATCGCCTGAAATTCTCTGTTCACGCGACCTGATAGTCAATTCTTGCTGAGGTCGCTTAATGGCCACATTGGCTGTTGTTCGAGAACCAGGGAGAGCTGTTTGGGCATCATCATCCCAATCCTCAACACTAGCTACACGAGGTTGACGACGGCCAGTCTCTGGCATGAGCGCGGTATTCGCGATAATCAATGACCGAAGACTGCAAGGGTAAGTTGGATGTACTGTGTAGAGCAGATCCCAGTGAGGAATGTGGTCCTTGAGGTGGACGGTTCAGCGGGGTAAAGAGTTGCCAGGGTTATGGTATCTCTTTCTCCAGGCTTATCCACCGCCCAGAATGGATTGACGATTAGCGTGGAGTACTTTTGGCACGGGTGAAAAGTCCAGGCGCGGCTCGCGGCTGCTGGCTCGTTCCGGGCAGTCTCTGCGTGGGCTGTGGCTACCCCGTTGCTTTGCTTCTTTCTTGCCCGTGACGACAATATTGTCGCTGTCCTGTAGAATGTTGGGTTTGCGGGATATACTTGATTTTCCCTATATTCCCAATTTTCAATCGTGCTCGTCGTGATGGGCGGCCATGCCGCGTGGATATCTCGCTCAATGGACCCAGGTCACTTCATGCTCTGCGCTTTTCTGGTTGTCTTGTGATTGAGCCGATGAATTGCAGCTTTTGTGTTCCGCATCCGACGTTGTGTCAATATGCTCGTAGATGATCTGCACGATTCCGGTCGCACGGCACGCTGTGCTTCGGTCGATGCAATGCGTTCAGCAGCGCAAGAAGGCTCAATCGCGATCGTATTCTTCTGAGGTCGATGTGACTGACATGGTATCGTAGAGAATCTCGATTTGTTTGTCAATTGTCCGCGTACGAGAATGAAGGAGAAGCGCAGATACTTGGAAATGCGAAAAGGACACTTCGTGTGGAGAGATGCTGGTGTGCGCCAGAGGACGAGAGAGTGTGGAAAACGAGAGAAGCTCGAATGCGTCTATGCTAATTCTCGTTGAACACTTAGGAAAAAGTCACTCTCATCAACGCCACCACGCGTTAAGTCCAGGCAGGCGACGCGGACAGATTGAACCAGATGGAAAGTTGAGTGGCAGACAAGTCCTGCCTGGTGGTGACTGCAGTATGACGAACGGTAGAGGTTGGAGAGAGCAATAGTCGTCAACTACTCGCAGGAAGCAGGGTTCGGTGGAAGTTGAACATCCCGCTACTGGCGAGACCGACCATTTCCTGCGTGAGAAGCTAATGGTGAGATTGTGTTAGAGCCAACCGGTATGCCATTAGCTGCGTGATATGCGGGCTGGTGTATGTTGCTGCCTTGTGAATGGACAATACAGGCCAATTGAAGCCAGACGCTTCTTCTTCGCGAGTAAGACTTTGCAGGCTCCAGACTCCAGAGAAGGCACCTGCAGGAAGGAAATCTTCATCAACACCCGCTTCGCCAATTGATGACAAGTGCCCAGAAGCAAGGGGCCATCACTCATCGCCGTCTGGCATTCCTATCTCACCCCATTCTGCTTAAACGTCAGAAGCGTGCGGTTTTGATGGATGGTGGCCAGTACAATTTCCAGGCTTACAAGAATAAGCAACTGTGGCCTTGGACAGCGTCACGCCTGCGTCGTTGTTGGCCTCAGCATCCCAGCATGCTCCAGGTTTCACGAAACGTGGAGTTATGGTGTATGGTGTTTGGACAGTGGAGCATGTTGTGATACAGCATTGCTGATGCCACTCTGGTTGAAAGAACAATGCGGGGTGGCTGCCTGCATGCATGTTCATGGTATTGAGACAATGCCTATAGAGGATGCCCCTACATTGTTCGCTTCGAAATGGTCATGCGAGACCTTCATAACACGGAGAGATCTTTAATTCTTTATGTGCTGTCTATGGGTCTGGATCGGTGTATATCGAATCAGATGCACCACCCATTGCAAACACCCACAGCAGTCTCAATATCTTACACTTTCTCCTTTCATTCGGCTCGTAACCAAACATTCTCACCCATCAAAAGCCGCGGCCTTTCCTCCTCAAACCCAGGTGGTGGCACGAGTAATAAAGCTCCATCCATGGCCGCCCAATGCACTGTGACGTTGAAAGCATAACCCTCCCCTGACTAATATCTAGTCCGTACAGGTGCATGAACTGCCGCCAGCCTCGAGAGTGCCCTAGGAGCACATCATCCGGTTTGCCAACCCCATGGAGAATCGGATCAAGCTCGGATTAATCATTTTCGGCTGGACAAAGTCCGGATGGACCCAAGTCGATCAGTCAACTAATATCCCTGTCGCTTTCTGCTTCTTGACCATGGTCGGAGCCATGCGGCTGTACGTGGTGCAGCAATGCATTCCGACTTTTCCCGCTGCAAATCCTGATCATACCCGTAATGACGCTATTATCGCCTCGTTATGCTGTCGACATCCGGCGTGTTACATGCGCTGCACCGGTGTTAGGCCGAGCAGAGTCATGCCATTCCACAAGACCTGTCGAGCAGCTTCGTATAATGCCAGACGAGCTTTCTGCAATTCGGGCTCGCTTCCTACGACTTGCAGATGGTCATAACTTGAACTCAGAGCATGAGCCATTTTGAATAGATATGTCAGCAACGTCGATGGCTCGCGGGTCTTGAGCGTATTGAGCACCACATCAGGGTATTGCGCCAGCGCTCTGGCTAGGTTGATAGCATGGCTTTCTTGCAGCAATGACAGGTCAGCCGAACCCAATGCACTCAAGTCTGCATTGGCTTTGCGTTCGATCGAGCACAATCGTGCATGCGCATATTGCAGGTATGGGCCTGTGTCTCCCTCGAATGCAGTCATCTGGTTGATGTTGAATTCATAACCGTTCCGAACCTTGCCTGTCAGATCTTGCACCATGATGGCAGTGATGGCAAGAATGTCCGCCACAGCATCTGGGTCTTCCAGAGCATTGTACTTGTTTTCGTTCTTCATCATTGTCTCAAGCATCGTGTCCTTGACCGTCTGGATGATATCGTCCAGGAACTTCACCGTGCCTTTGCGCGTGCTCATACCTTTGACCATGCCAAAAGAGATATGCTCACACTTTTCGGCTACATCTTTATGACCACTGATATCGGTTGTTTTGAATAGTTGTGCGACATGCTCATTCTGCTGATCAGCAACAACATAGATCATCTTGTCAAAGTGGTACTGGTCGTGGCGCTCCAGGATCGCAGCCAGATCTCGCGTCAGATACAGAGGAGTGCCATCTCTCCGCACAATGATGGCTTTGTTCAACTTTTTGGCTCCAAATTTGGAAAAGTCTATCAGCAGAGCACCATCTGACTCCTCTGCGATATTCTTTGCCAGAAGATTGTCGAGGACTTTCTTGATGTTTTCTGCTTTCACTTGCGATTCGCCCGAATACACGTCGAATTCGATATTTAGTCGTGCATAGGTCTTCTGGTATTTGCCAATACTCATGTCTCGGAATTTCTGCCACAGAGCAAGCGCCTCCGGATCTCCATCTTCCATGCTCTTGAAATATTTCCGAGCCTTTTCGTCCTCACTCTCCTCAACAAGGGGTGTGAGCTTCTGTTCCAGTTCAGTGACGTCTTCTCCCTTGGCCTTCTTTTCCTTGATCTCCTTCTTCAACTCATTGATAGGTTCGTCCTGCGCGCTCTTGATCTTGTTTATCTGCACATAAACCTGGAAAAGATGTGCAATAGAGTTCTTGTCCAGCTCCTCTTGGCTTCCGAACTGTTTGAAGCCGTTGGCCAATAGACCGTATTGCTTGCCCCAGTCTCCCAGGTAGTTCATCCTTATGACCTCCCACCCCATAATGGTGTACAGCTTCGCAAGAAAGCCTCCGATGATCGTACTTCGGAGATGGCCAGCATGGAACTCCTTTGCGATGTTTGGCGACGAGAATTCCACAATGACCCTCTTTTGGCCTTTCGAGGGATCCGACGGGTCTTTCAGGCCTGAAACTGGATTGGTGCCGTATGCTGTCTTACTCGTCAGAATTTCGGGGATGAGCGTCTTGAGCAGGTGCTCTGGTTTGAAAAAGAATGACACAAATGGGCCATTGGCTATCAGGGTCACCAGTGTATCAACCGAGGTTGGGAAAGATTCAGCGATCTCTTTGGCCAGATCCTGAGGTGGCTTTCCTTTGACTCGCAAGGCGGCCACTGGCAAGTTTAGATCTCCTTTATCCAAAGTGGTTGCCCATAGTAGCAACGGAACAAGTTCAGAATCCTTTCGATTCAGAATCGGTGCTAGCCTCTCTGCAATGTGGTGACGATAAAAGTCGACGGGATTCTTTGCTTTGGCCATCTGCCCAATTGACAGAGATGTGAACCCTTCACTAATCTCTGCCGCCATGTTGTACTTTGCCGCAGAGACAATCGAGAAGCGTTGACACTGCTGATTTGGGACTTTGAGACCTTTGTTGGTGACACTCCTCCAATTGGATCGAGATTGACTTGGCTTCGGAGGACAGCGGTGATCTCGGTGATGGCTCCCTAAGGCTATGCGCTTACGAACCAGGTTACCAGCAGACTTGAGAGGAGAAGAAATGGAAGCAGGACGAGCACAAAAGGACATTGGACATTCTTTTCACAGAGTCATCTTTTCTGATAGTCCGCGAACAGGTTTGAACCAATTGAAAAGTTGGAGCGGAGTGCTTGGCAAAAATATCAAAGGCAGCGACTGGCCATTTTTAAAGCGGCCGGAGATCTCGTTCATTTGCCTTCACTTCATGACTGTTTATCACCACTTCTGCGACGCCAGGCTAATGACTTCTGCGGTGCTTTTGATGTTGTTGGAAAAGATATGCATTTGGCCAAACTACCCCAACCATGTCCGCGGAGTCGACCGCTCCCTTGAAGTCCGAAAGCGTCGATGATGGTGGCGGATGTGAACACAGGTCGAAGCGGTTTCGCTTCAAATCCAGAAGGGAGGATGACCCTCGCAGCGATGAGGACTTGAGAGGACACAAACGAAGCCGAGGCCACGAGTCGTCGCATCAAAGTAGAAAACGTCACAAGTCCTCGAGGCATGCACGGAGCGAGTCACCCTCGCGACATCACTCGAGCTATCTCTCTTCAGACCAAGCCTTTCGAGAGTCATTATTCGACGCACTTGGGGATGATGAAGGAGCTGCGTTCTGGCAAGGCGTCTATGGACAGCCAATACACAACTACCCGGACACTTACGAAGACGAAGAGACAGGCCAACTCGAGCGTATGACCGAAGAAGAGTATGCACAATTCGTCCGCCGCAAAATGTGGGAAAAGAGCTGGGAAGGTATAGAAGCCGCCCGAGAGGAGCAGAAACGGGAGCGGGAGCGTGAAAAGCAAAAGAGGCGTGAAGAGGAGACAAAGAGTAATGCGCAAAGCCAGGGGCCAAAAGACGACTACATTTTCGATATTGAGATCGAAGCCAGCCTTCGCCGAGGTGAGAAGCGAAAAGACCGGAAAAGATGGCAAGCTTTGTGGCAGGGCTATCTGGAGCGATGGGAGGAATTACAAGGACTTGCCCAGCATCGTCAGAAGATGGATGAAGATGTTGAGCAGCTCTTCCTCCGCAATAACATCGCGTGGCCGGTTGAGTCAGGTAAGCGCAAAGATGTCGTCAAGGACGAGGTTGAGCGTTTTGTCAAAAGGGGCACGGCCACAGCAGAGAATGGCGTTGCGAGTCAGGAATTGTTTGTCAACGCCGTCAAAAGCGAACGCGTAAGGTGGCATCCAGACAAGATTCAGCAACGGTACGGGTTCATGGATATCGACGAAAATACACTCAAAGGGGTCACTGCTGTGTTTCAGATATTCGACACATTGTGGAGCGACCTGCGAAATAAGGCAGAATAAGTCTGCGGTTGGCAATGCTTCCATAGGTGGTGAAGACGATGTGTTCAACCTTGTCAGGAAATGCAGGCTACAATGACACTCATACCTTACAAGAAACAAACATCAACTCTGCACATTTCCAAGTCCTCTAATCGCCTGGGCAGGCAAAGCTTCACAAGGTCTTGGCGAAAAGATGACGATGGAGTGATCCCTGTGATTGAGACCTTTCCTTTTTTACTTCATCCTCACTCCTTCCCCTTCTGCTGAGGCAGTCACTCATTCTTCGATACTTCATTCCCCTCACTCATTCTGCGTCGCCGCTTCTCTTGCCACTCGTTTCAAGAGTTGTAGCCGGGATGGTCGCAATTACCACAAGCCTGTGCTTGACGGCCGTTGTCACCTTGAGTTGCTTAAGGAGAACTGAAGCTGCTCGAAGATTCGATCGACGCAGTGACCTTGACGATGTGCCTCCTGTGAACGTCTCCACCTCAGGATGGACAGTACCTCTTCACGGAGGCACGACATGTGACTTGAATGGGACTTGTGAGCGATTTTCAATGGCTCTCACAGACAGCTCGCTAAGATCTTCCTAGGTACGGACTCACTTACCGCTCCGCCTGGGAACAAACCCCTTCAATACCTTGCGGTGGCTCGTGGGGTCTACACCTGGACCTGCACAGGCGGTGGTCCATCAGAGAAGCCCGTCTTCCAGTCTCAGTCGACTCAACTCTACAACGCGGCACCTCTTGTCACTCAACTTGCCAGCGAGGCTGCCTTCCATGCATTGATTCCACAATTGTGTGACTACGACTATGCTCAACTCGAAAACTCGACTCTCGAATGCATGGGAACAATAGGGACAATCAACAACACGGCAATCGTCACTCTTTTCGAGATCGCCACTTTCGCTGCAACCTCGTTCGAATCAATATTGGCTCCAAACGACCCCGAATACAACGGCCCATGGGGTCATTCGATCAGCCCGAGGAAATCATGGGATGTCTATCGTGTGGAAGTTGCTGGGGGCGCTCCGCCACTATGTGGAAGCGAAGAACTTGAATATTCGAGTGACTATGCGGCGGAATACTGGTTCTTCCATGCCGGAAGGGAAGACCTATGGGCGGATATCAACGTCAATATCACATCAGGGAGGACAACTGAAGAGATTTGAGAAACTGGTGGAGATGAGAGGAGCTACGGGAAAAGCAATGGGCATCCGGGACCTTGAGAAACACAAGCAGGAGATGAAAAGCAAGATGACGGATTTCATCAAGATGGGTGAAGCATTCAAGTCTGCAAGATGATCATACGATTTGAGGATGCTTGCAAGCTCGAGGCCAAAAAGACCGGAACATTCCATTATGAGCTTATGAATACTAGAACTTGGGCTTGCTTATCGCGAACCTTGTTGAGGATGATGATGATAATACCATGATGAGACCGTCAATTCATTTCCTTTGTTGCAGGTCCATACCAGGTAGATGGTGGTCAGTACGTAGCTGGGATATGTCTCGTTTCCGTCTCGATACACTAGAGACTGCCGCCGTTATAGTGGAGATTATCTACGAGGTATCCTTCAGTTATAGCTAGCCCCCAGTGATTTTGATGGAGTCTCCAGCTCCAACCCCGCCAAGCCGAAGGATAGGCTCCTGCAAACAGTAACACAAGCGAGCGCCGTCATAGGCAGCCAGTCGCAGGCTCACTAGCCTAAGCCGCAGTCCCCTCCCTCTTCCACCTCTTTCCCCAGTCTATCACACGAGGCCTTGAAGCCATACCAACACCGACCACTCATCCACACTTGCCATCACAATTTCGAATTCTACTCACATCCTACAACCGACGCCACTCTTCACATACCATTCGAATTGACAGGACACTGCTCGACGCCCTCGAATCTCCCTGTGATAGTCAAATCACTCTGATCATCATCTGTCCTGGTTGTCAGTCTCTTAGTCCAACACCGGAGATGCTTCACCACCAATGCAGCGATTATTGGTGAAGCAAATTCCTCATCGCAGCGCATTACCCTGAAGTCCGAGACTTCTCTCTCTTGTTGGAATCTAAAGTCCGGCCTCTGGTCTCTTAACCCATCCCACATAGTCCATCATGGCCTCCGCAATCAACGATGACGAACTGTCAATATCTCTACCCCAGAACGAACATACTAAGTCGAGACCTACCTTACCTTCGATTGCGTCTCCTCCAGCGCGACAAAACCTGAGCCAGACACCCATAGCGGAATCTCCGGGCACCGTTCGAGCCATGAACCGGCTACATCAGTACACCTTTGTGCGCAATATTGGTGAAGGCTCATTTGGTAAAGTCAAGCTGGCAAGGCATAAGGTCACTGGTCAGGAGGTGGCGATGAAGACAATCAACCGGCGTAAGTTGATCAGTCGGGATATGGCTGGTCGCATCGAGCGCGAGATCCAGTACCTACAACTGCTTCGTCATCCACATATCATCAAGCTGTACACTGTTATCACGACCAAAACCGACATATACATGGTGCTGGAGTACGTTCCAATGGAGTTATTTGACTACATAGTCAAGCATGGCAGACTTGGAGAGGCGAAGGCTCGAAAGCTATTTCAACAGATCATTTGCGCTGTCGAATACTGTCATCGACACAAGATTGTGCACCGAGATCTGAAGCCGGAGAACCTTCTACTTGACAAGAACATGAATGTCAAGATTGCCGACTTTGGTTTGAGCAACATCATGACGGACGGGAACTTCCTGAAGACGAGCTGTGGGAGTCCGAATTATGCAGCACCCGAGGTTATTGGTGGGAAGCTATATGCCGGTCCCGAAGTCGACGTTTGGTCCTGCGGTGTCATTCTCTACGTCTTTCTTGTCGGCAGACTTCCCTTTGACGACGAGTTCATCCCTGCTCTGTTCAAGAAAATCCAGGCGGGCACTTTTCATATCCCCTCACAGACGCCCCCTGGTGCTGTCAACTTGATCAAGCGATGCTTACAAGTGCACCCGGTCCACCGCATCACAATCCCAGAGATCCGACAGGACGAGTGGTTCAACAAAGATCTTCCTCCGTATTTGCTCGATCCAGTCGAAGAGTTCCTCGATACCGGCGTTGATTCTTCAAAGGCGATCGATCCGCGGCAACTTGCACCTGGAAAGCCGGCTGACGTCGTGGAAAGAATCCACGAGCAAGTGATCGGTAAGCTCGGACGGACGATGGGTTATGCCAAAGAGGATGTCAAGGACGCCCTAAGCAAAGACGAACCGAGCGCCATCAAAGACGCGTATCTCATTGTGAGAGAAAACCAGTTGATGGTTGAAGCTCCAGAATTCCGGACACAGAATCCTGAGCTGGAATCGTTTATGGCATCGTCTCCTCCCGTTGAGCCTAATTTTCCTAACTTCCCCAATCACCCCGGGTCGCCGCTGGGCAACGGGCGCAGGTTTGGAGACGATGTGAAACCTCTCACACCAACTCGAGGAGACGTTCACCGCACGAGCCGCACGTTATCAGACACCCCAGCACCATTGAAGGAAGAAGAGAAACCCAGGATATCGAACGTCCGTGTATTAAACACGTCGCTCCCTCACGTGCATGAGGAGCTTTTACAGATCAGAGACAAGGCAAAGGCAAGAGGCGAAGATCCCGATTCGATTCTACATCCATCCCAAGATCCAGACAAGGATGAAAATGAAAGTCCCATCCCTGAAGAAATCAAGGACGACAAAGGCAATCCTATCTACAGATCTAAAGAGGAACAAGAGGCTACTTCGAGAGCATTAAAGCCCCATTCCAGATCTGTGACGTCGATGAACACTCTACGAGAACAGAAGCAGCGCCCGGAAGGAATGACGACCATGTCTCAAGAGGAGAAGCGCCAAGCTGCCTCGGCCTCAAAATCAAAACCTCGAAAATGGCAATTCGGCATTCGCTCCCGGAATGCACCCTATGAGGCCATGAAGTGCCTCTACTCTGCGCTTAAGGCCATGGGCGCTGAGTGGGAGGTTAATCCCTGGCTTAAATTGCCACCAGGGGAAGAAGGTGAAGAAGAGAAGGACCCTGGTCCAGCATTTCCGATTGACCTGGCACCTGGCGAGCGTCATGTTGTTCTGCAACAAAAGTGCTCATTTGTCACTGAAGACTATTACATCCCTCGGGATCCTTACAACATCCGAGCACGCCTTCTCAAACACGGCATGTTGATGCCTGGAGAAGCACCGTCCATCTCTGCACATAGTTCTGCTGTCAGCTTGCCGACTGAAGCTCAAAATCAGCTGAAGAAGCACATCGAACAGCTCGGTGGATATGCGTCAGACGACGTGGCCAAGGCTTTGGGAATGAGAATCGATGCCAACAATGAGTCCGCCAAGATCAAATCTCCCGTTGGAAGTGTGCAAAGCACGAGAACTAACACAGGACTTAGCGAGCAAAGTAGTCAAGGCCAGGAGGCATTCTCAGGGCCAGGGCAAATCGTCAGCAGAACTGACAGCTTATCCACCCTCAATAAGAAAATCCCCAGTGAGAATATCGGAGTGTGGGTGTTCATTGATATCCAACTGTACACCCTCGAGAGTGGGACATATGTGGTCGATTTCAAATGCGACGGATATCAGAACGTCATTTGGCACGATAACAAGAAGGACAGGAGCAAGACCCCTAACACCAGCAGTACAGTCACTAGTCCAACGACCAGCCGACCGACAAGCGGATTCGGCGAAGTCAGTCAAGGGAGCTATGAGAATTGGGACGATGAAGCATCAGAGGGGTATTGGAAACCGGTCAGCAAGCGGTACAAGAACGTGGAGAAGGAGATCTCCAGTCCATATCCATACCTCGATGTGGCCAGTGACTTGGTTGCTCAACTGGTAAGTTTGAGTGCCAGAATGTGATGGAAATCGATCCTAACCGATGTTCACAGTGGGGTGGTGGTGCTTGATTGTTACAACAGACTCGGAGCATGTAGGATTGATGCTAGGGTCATGATGTTTTCGGCGCGATGGGAGCTTGAAGATTCGGTTAAGGGTCAGCAAGGCCTAGGTACACCCCTTCTCATCATAATGGGAAAATGTCCACGTCGAATGGGCAAGGTGGACGATGAGGTCTAGCAGCGTGGAAGCGTATGTACGAAATGTTAGCATGGGAAACCTAGTGAGGCCAATCTCTGAATGGAATGACAAGATTCAAACAACCTCTGTCTGTTCTTGACTACCTACCTAGGTATTAATGTAATACTTTGGAAGTACATTCATTCTGTCACCAATGTCTCGTACTTGTGGTTGGCTCGGGTAAACTTACCTAGACAGCTTACGACATCCGACACGACGCCATTGCTTCCTCGAACCTCGTCTCATTCCTCATCAACATCAAATACTTGACTACCGCCAGGAAACTGCTTTAGATTCTCAACAGGTCGTCCCGGGAATGTGAATCAGCAGTCATACCTTCATCTTCCAAACTCTGGGAGTGCTGCTGCCCGGTTTTGACCCTTTCTAGACGAGCTTGAAACCACCAGGTCACCATGGGCCTCATATCCAAGCTGAGATCCTGGTCTCATGAGCTTACTCCGTATTTCATCTATCTCCTCTTCGTGGCCACACTTGGTCCCCTTCTCTTCGGCTACCATCTGGTTCGTCTACTCTTCTTGTCATAACATGACTGAAACTGACCTCACAATTCAGGCCGAGCTCAACGCGCCCCAAGACGTAATCACCTGCACGAAAAGGTCGACCGATATCTCAACATTTACCAGTCTACCGCAATGCATACCCATGAATTCGACACAGATCGGCCTCGTGTCCTCGATCTTCACACTGGGCGGGCTTGTGGGCGCGCTCTTTTCCGGGTTTCTCGCCGCAAAGTATGGACGATTGCTCGTCATGCGTGTCAACACTCTGCTCCTTGCAGTCGGCCCCATCGTTGAAGCTCTGGCGCCCAATTTAGGCTTGCTTGCTGTGGGTCGTTTGGTGTCTGGCATCGGTGCCGGTGTGTCTGTCGTGGTTGTGCCCATCTACATCTCGGAGATCGCGCCGCCTAAGGAGAGAGGATTCTTTGGAGCCTTCACTCAGATCATGACGAACATGGGCATCTTCATCACACAATTGCTCGGTTACTTTTTGAGCCACGGGCAGATGTGGCGCGTGATTCTCGCTGTGGCAGGGGCTATCGGCGTCCTGCAACTCCTCGGCTTGTTGTTCTCGGTCGACAGTCCCACATGGCAGGCCGACCATGGCGACGCGAGAGAGGCCAAGGCCAACCTGAAACGAATTCGTGGTCACAAGGCCGATATCTCAGAGGAAGTAGCCGTTTGGAGAGTTCACGATGATGGGAATGTAGATGGTAATAGTCCCATCCCGTTATTCCTCCTTGCCTTTGCTACAGAAAACTAATATGCTGAATGCAGAAGAGCAAACCCCACTCGTGGACGAGGACCAGACCGCTGTACAGCGCGTCAAGCAAGAGGCCGTTGGTATCATTAGCGTCCTGCGCGACTCGACCCACAACCGCGCCATCCTCGCTGTCGTTCTCGTCATGATGGCTCAACAACTCTGCGGCATCAACAGCATCATCATGTACGGTGTGTCCCTGCTCGCTGACCTCCTAGCCAGCAATTCCGCCCTCCTCAACATCTTGGTCAGCATTCTCAATGTTGTCGCCACGACGGCTTTCGCGCCGCTCGCCGACATCTTGGGCAGGAAAATCTGCATCCTCGCGTCGATTGCCGGCATGGGCGTGTCATCGATCATGCTCGCCGTAGGTATCCGTTCGTCTATTCCAGTGTTATCGGCCATCTCGGTGCTCCTCTTCGTGGCCAGCTTCGCGTTCGGTCTAGGTCCTGTCCCGTTCATACTCGCTAATGAACTCGTGGGTCCGGAGGCTGTTGGCGCGACGCAGAGTTGGGCGCTCGCTGCCAATTGGATCTCGACATTTGTTGTCGCGCAATTTTTTCCAATGGTCAATGAGCAGTTGGGCAAGGGCGTGGTATATTTCATTTTCGCTGGAGTGGCGGCTGTGTTCTGGGTCATCGTCTTCTGGTATGTGCCGGAGACGATGGGCAAGCGTGATGCTGATGAGGTTTGGGGGCGAAATACGAGAAGAGAGGATTGAATGAGAGATTATGCTCTACGACAGCATAGCGAAAGCTGGAAAAGTCGCCGTGGTACATTGCGGCTGGCGCGACTTTGGATAGCCCTTGCTAAATGAAAGATCGGATTGCATACATGGGAAAACCAGCGATCAGGCAGTCTGATTGCACTGTATCGAAATTGCCATGGAGGCAGCCTGGTCTTGTTCACGCAGCAATATTGTATGCATACCTTTAATCATTACATACCTGAACGCTACTGATACTTGTCATAGTTTCTGACTTCGCCTCGGCGCTTCTGTTTGCCTCGGCCCGTTAAACCCTACCCTGACCCCGGAGTGCTTCCCCGACCTCCCCCGGAGCGATTCATCAAGGTCTCGGAGAGGCTTCGTCTATATACTTCACAAAACATAAACGCTGGACATAAACTGCTCTGACTTTGAAGGCATACAGTGTCCCCGTAAGTGTTGATTCTACACTGCACGAAGCTTTCGACAACCGCGGACGTCATGACTCGTCAAAAGTTCGTCAAGATCACCCTGTTTTGTCACAAGAGGGCAGACATCAGCGATGAGGAATTCCACCGATACTGGGCCGTCGAACACCCCAAGGAGGTGAAGAAGTGCCGTCCGTTCATGGACAGGGTTTGGCGATACAACCAGGTACTGAAGCCAGTCATCCGTCGTCGTTGAATCAGAGGTACTAAAACTGTCTTTCCACGCAGTACCACATAAGCCCAGAAATGCGAAAAGAAGCGGCCACCATAGGAGGGTCGACCGTCTTAGACTACGACGGTGGTGCAGAATTCTGGGTCAAGGACATCGAAGACTGGAAGGCCATGATCGCCGCGGAGGGCGGTCTCCTAACTCTTGTTGGTGAGTGCTTGCTCAACAATGCATGCCCCCGGGGAATTTGAATGCGGCTACTGCTGACGACTAGCTGCCAGAGGATGAGGCGAAATTTGTCCAGCACCCGCTTGATATCATGTACGGGTACGAGGAGTTGATTGTTGGCGAAGAGATCCCGTTCAACACCAAGCACCGCAATCAGTGATACATCTTGGGCCTTCTACGAGGCATGATAGAGACAAGGCTCTGGACCGCTCACGATGTGGGGGTCTGCTTGGGTGAGGACATGGTACGGATACTGTTTCTTTTAGTGTAACTGTCAATCCTGCAGACGGCCTGTATACCACTGAGAGACGTCACCCAGGCGCACTCAGATCGAAGCGTTCGGAGACACTCCCTAGTGCACCGAACTATAAGACTTTCCTCGGCCCGCGGGCCACTGCTGTCTCACTCGTCCTTGGACTGGAGTAAGTGCTAATCACTGGCAACAGCACTAAGATACGCACGACGCAATACTATTCCCCAAAGGCCCGGAGACAAAGTCGGCGGAGCTACCTAGATAGCTCCACAAGTACATTGTTTCTCCTACCCCATGGAGCTTCGGCCCACCCCCGGGGTCAGCAACCCAGTACCCCGACTTGCAAGGTCAATTTGGTGGACATGAATATAAGTCGAGGCCCCGGGCGCCATATGGGAGTCCGTCAAGGAACGCATCAGCCTTTACGACCTTCGATTCCAGCCCTTTCTCACTAGACATTCTTCATCTTAGCATGTCTGCGAAAACTCGTCGAGACCACGCCGTCGAACTGGAAGATGTCGCTGGTAACATCATCAAGCCACATACCAGTCTCTACAACGTCTTGGTACGACGTATCCCCTTTGAGATGCTGACAGTTCAACGCTGACAAAAGTCGTCTAGATCACCTGCGCCGTGACTTTGGGCTCCATCAACTACGGCTATTCTTCAGCTGTGATCGCTGGAGCACTCGCTCTGCCGAGCTTCAACGAGTTGTTCTTGGCCGTCAACACGTCTCCACGCGTGGGAGCCGTTCTTGGAATGTAAGACTGATACAGATGCGGGATTGGAAAACTCTGTTGACGGGGACTTGACTCTAGCTTCCTTGGTGGTGGGTTTATTGGCGCCATCCTACAACAACCCATAAGTGATCGTTATGGAAGAAGATTCGGATTGGGCTCAGGGGCCTGCTTCATCATCGTTGGCATATCCCTGCAAGCCGGAGCGGTCAACTTCCCGATGTTCCTCGTCGGACGTCTTATTGCAGGAATAGGAACGGCCATCTGCATCACGGTGTCTCCAATGTTCATCAGCGAGCTCGCCCCGGCGCACTCTCGAGGCTGGCTGGTCTCATTTCACGTCGCAGAACAGGCTATCTCCTGGCCTCCCTCGGCTCGCTTGGGTTCAGCTTCATGACCGCCAAAATCCAGTGGAGGATCAATTTCATCATCGCCCTCGGCGTCGCTATCCTCCTTCTGCTACTTCTCATCTTTGTCGTTCCCGAATCACCAAGGTGGTTGGTTGCTCAAGGACGCTTTGACGAAGCCAAACGCACTCTTGACAGACTACACGTCAATAAACATGACCCTCAAGGACTTGTCGCGAAGGCTGAGTTGTATCAGATCAAAGTGCAGTGCGCTGCAGATAAAGAGTTGCCGAGAGGATTCATCCACATATTCCGAACACCTAGCTTGAGGAAGCGCGCATTCTGTACCATTTTGGTCTGGTTTGGCAGTATGGGTACTGGGGTCCTCGTGATTGCGAACTTGACGCCCCTGGTCTTTGCCGGCCTCGGCGAGAGCTCTACAGTGCAACTCGGTCTTTCTGCCGCTTGGTATGCCATCTGTATCATCTGCTCTTTTGCTGGTGGTCTGGCTGTGGACAGATTTGGAAGAAGAAACTTCCTTGGTATGTGCCTGTTGTTTTTTCCAGACGTGACAAACGGTATCGCTAACGTGTGACCTTAGTCATCGGTTGTGTCGGCTGCCTCTTGTCATTGACTATCGAGGCTGCGATGCAGGCAAAATATATCGGCACGACGAATACATCAGGTTTGACGGCCGGAGTGGTATTCTTTTTCATCTTCGCCATCTTCTACAACGCCTTCTACGATGCCGGCTCTTTCGTTTATACTGCAGAAATCTGGCCGACACATCTCCGTGGTGAGGGCGTCACAATCGCAATGTGCACTCTCTACGCTTTCGCCATCGCCTACAACTCTCCGGCTTCCCTGGCCTTGAGCACCATTGGTTGGAAGTACTACCTGGTTTTCATCTGCGTCTCAGTGGTATCAAGTATCTGTATACAATTCTACCTCCCTGAAACGGCAGGCTTGACTTTGGAGGAGATCGGTGAACTATTCGGTGAGACAGCGCAGGTTCACTTCAGGGACATTCATCTTGAACAGGTACAGTCAGAAGAGCTAGGAGGTGAAAGCATTGTGAAATGATAGACGAACGCATAGGTTAGTCTTGGGATGAGGTCAGTTTCGATAGGCTGGCGGTATACTCATTGACGCAGAAAAGTACAAGTAAGTAGATACTTTCACGTGAAGAGCTGCAGTCACCTTCTGGAGAGGTCATTGCACCTAATTTTGAACAAGTTCCTTGTCAAGTGCGACGTCAACATTGTCATGTCATGTCCAGATCGTCGGGTCCAGTTCGTCAAGTCAAGTACACCTATTCCCATTAGGACGACAATCACCATCTCGCCCTTCCCAGGCTACACCACATTACACTTTCATCGCCCTTTCCCCACCTCATGGCGTCGTAAAATCCCACAAACTACTAACAGTGACATTCTTCACCCACTCTCCCTGCGTTGTATCATTCTTCACCGTAAACATCACGGTCCTAGGCAGCCCAGGAACAAGCCAGAACCCATTACTATCAAAGTTCCCCACCACCCCGGACGGGAAATCCAACCACATCCACGCACTGACACCACTCGTCGCTTCGACCGTCCAGCTCGGATTGGCAGTATCATTCCCAAACGTCAACTTCAGTCCCGGATCCACAAGTCTCGCATCGGCAAGCGACAAGACAGGATGAAACCAGAACTCGTGCGTGAACGTCGTCAGCGTCGAGTTGTTGGGTAAGTATCCCGTGGCAGTCAAGTTGAGCCGCAACACCGCGTTAGTCAAATCAATCGTCTGAGCCAGAGTATTGGTGTTGGTCTGAAGGACTTTCGTCGTGTTCAGTGCGCCCACCGTGAACGGCACACTCGTGCTTGTATTCGTATTGTCCAGCACGCTCCCACTCCAGTCATACCAAGTCATATCCACCGTCCCGCTTACCACATCCCACAAATCACTCGTCACATATGCCGTCAAATCGCCTGTGGTGTAGTTCCAGTACGGCGCGACAATCACCCGCGAGTACACATCCTTCGCTACATAATGCAGTACCTTCCATCTACCAGAATACTCGATCCCTGCCCACGTGGGCGCCTGCCAAATGTCCTCGAGTTGCCAGTACAGGCTCCCCAACTGGCGCTCCGGCATACCCGATCCGCGGCGGTAGTAGGTGATTTGGCTGCGGTAGAAATCCGCCTGGAATATTTGCGTTGCTAGACACCATGATGAGAAATTGGCCAGTGAGTCGCTCTTGTTAGGCGCAGGGTAGTACCGTTGCACGGCGATGGTCATCTCGCCCATGCCCATTGTCGAATTGGCGAAGTTGGACGTATTCAGCCCGCCGGAGGGGTAGTGGTGGTTGCGCAGCTGAATTGTGCTAGAGTTGAAGGACAGATCCTTCGGGGCAACAGCGTCCTGCCAGGTCTGGAGAGATGGCATGGAGTGAAACCCAAATTCATTGGCGAAGCGGCCTACGGGGTACGAGGAGAGATTGAAGGCCACGCTGCTATCGTAGTCGTAGTGATCGGTGTCGCCGTAGATGGAGCCTGCCGTCAGGTTGTTGTAGCGCTCGACCATAGGTTCGGGCGCTGAATGATTCAGGGTCAGATACCCGTTTGTCGTACTGCTAGGTATATATGAGATGGATCTCGAGTTCTCGTAGACGGCTGGAAGAAGCACACCTAGGAAAAGTGTTTCGTACTCGTGCAGCCATCGCGAATAGTTGCCCGGGTCACTCTCATTGGCGATCTGCAGCTCGAGGTTTTCCAGTTCATTGCCGCCAGCCCAGAGTGCCAGCGAGGGATGATGGTTGACGCGTCGGACGTTGTAGTTTGCTTCTTCGCGGACGTTGTCTAGGAAGTCAGAGGCCACCGGATACAACGAATCGCTGAACTCGAACTCCGACCAGAGCAAGATTCCTCGCTCGTCCGCAATGTCGTAGATGAAGTCCGGTTGGTAGGCTCCGGACGCCCAGACTCTCAGCATGTTTTGACCGCCATCCACAACTGAGTCGAACAATTGTTCAATTCGTGCTGAAGTCACTCTCGGCCAGAAAGCGTCCGGTGGTATGAAGTTCGATCCCTTGGCGTAGAATTCGTGGCCATTGATTTCGAAGTGCCAATTGTTGCCGTTTTGGATTCCTTGTGATATTTGCTGCTGCGATATTGCCTCCATGTTCAGCAAGATAGTCCTGAAAGCGGTACGAACAGTCGACGTGGCAATTGAATTGTTGCTGGAACCCAGGAGAGTGACTGTGGCATAGTATAGATTCTGTGTGCCCATGCCATTTGGCCACCAAAGATCGACCGAGTTGTTCTCGACGCTGATGCTCCCGCTAATAGCTCCGCCAGATGATGTGACATTGCTGGCAATACTGCTGGCTGCGGTGTTGTTGTTGGCATCTATGATGTCGATACGCAACCCGGCATTTGGTGGCAGCGTACCGAGAACATCAAGCGAAGCGTTGACAATCCAGGGCTGTGTCTGATCCGGAGGCAGATTGTTGACCTGTCCCTGGCGATAGATATCGAGTAGGGTGTTGCGTACATATAGCTTGTTCGAGCCTAGCTGGACAATGTAGGCTGGCTGCCACGGACCTGCTGGAGCGAAAGCTGGACCCCAGTCCCAACCAAAGTCAGATTGCTCCTTTCGAATGAACCAGCGATTTGGGAACTCATAGGTCATTTGTGTTCCATAAGGCCAAGGTTCGTTGAGCGAAGTATTTGCCAGAGCGTCTGCAATATTAGGAGCCGATCCGAAATCGATGCTGATTGTGGGTGAGGTGCAATTACTGAGAGATTGGGTCACCTCGAAATAGTATTGTCGGAATTGATTGTTTGTGCTTGCAATGACCTGGTCGCATACTGTGACGGTGCTGAAAGTATCAAGACCATTGAAGACTAGCCAAGTGGAAGCATTCGTGGACAGGTTCCTTGAAATGTCAGGCGATCGTTGCACCAAAATTAACTCGACTTACAGAGCAGACAGGCTGGCAGAGTACGTCCAATTAGTCTCGGCGACCCATCTGAGATTGAAGTCGTTCAGACCATAGTACGGATCGCCGATCACTTGCGCATTATACAAGTCGAGATGTGCCTGGGAAGGTACATTGCCTGGGACAGAAATGGTATCATTTGGATTAGTCACAGTCCAGGAGAGGTCGCTCATAGAGACAACGGTCTGAGCAGCGGTAAGTAGAGGCGAAAATGACAGTGCCAGGAGCATGCCCAGGCGAGATGAGGCCATGATTGAGGTGCGCTGTTACGACAGCTCAATCTCATACACAATCGACCTACCTTGAACCAGAACATGCCGGAGCTGGCCACACAATTATGTGCGCATCTTATACAAGACCAGGTCCTTTCTCGGACCAAGGCCGCCGGCAATCGGCAGGCAAGAATTGGACAATAATGGAAGGTATCATGATCGGCACTGTGGGAAAGAGGAGATGTTACCGTACTGAAGCTTTGAAGTCTTTGGCCGGATCATCAATGCCCGACTCGGCACGGTACAGCTCCCCCCGAACTAAATAAAGTAGAAAAGTGGTAAGTAACAGTACGGAGTATGTTGTGCAGGTTATATACAGGACAAGGCCTATCCACAATCATATGCACGAATCCAGAAATCATCAACATCAAAACTCCTCATTCATGATCTCATAATAGCCGCTTCATCCACCGGTCTCCAGCCCAAATACTGTGTCTACCGAATCTGGCCTTGACTTTGCTGCGTACCTTGACCGACCTGCCCTTGTCGTTGCTGCTGTAATTCCCGTTGTCGACCCATGGCAAGATAATCTCGATTCTCCACCGTGACACTCTTGGTCATATGATTGACCTTGTAGATTCCTACAAGCCGCTCGGCAAGCTCGAACATGTTATTCCGCAGCGAAATCACAATAAACTGCGCATTCTTGGTGCGCTCCTTGATGTAGCCAGCCACAATCGACACCTATAAACTGTTAGCACGTCCCCTTCCATGTTCCCGTGTTTTGCACACTTACATTTCTGAAATCCAGCGCAGCGTCAATCTCGTCCATGACATAAAGTGGCGTCGGCCGAAAGACATGCAGTGCAAAAACCAGTGCAAGAGAGCTCAGCGTCTTTTCTCCACCAGACAAGTTACCAATATTCTTCCAGCTCTTCTTCGGTGGCATGACACTGAACAAAATCCCCTCTGAGAAAGGGTCGAGACTGTCGACGAGCTCGAGTTCCGCATTACCACCCAGTGTGATCAACTGGTACATTGACTTCAGGTGCGAAGAGATGGTCGTGAAGCCTGTCATGAACTGCGTGAGACGGAGATTGCGGAGATCTGTAAGGCGAGCCTTAGCGGTGTCGCGGGTCTTCACAGCGCTCTTGAGATCTGTCGTTCTCGAAGCCACCTCTTCGCAACGTCGACGGTACTCCGAGATGACAGACAAGTCGATGCCAGAAGCTGTCGAGACTTTCTCTTCGAGTGCCGCGATGGAAGCGACGAGATGGTCTTTGGACATGTCGGCCAATTCATCGCGAGTAAATGTTTGCAGCTGTCTTCGCCCTTGGCTCTGTTCCACTTCCGGCTCCTGCTTCGGCTCGTGCTGCTCCTCGGGCTCGTCCTGTTCATCAACGTCCATAGCATCGGGATCAGCCTCTGGTGGCGCGTCTGGCATTTCCTGTTCATTATCAGGTGTGCCCGGGTTCTCTGGCCGCTCTTTCTGTCCTTCAGGTATACCTTCAAGGTCGGCAATATCATGCAATGACAATTTAGAAAGCTTCTCGACCCAGTAGCGACTCTTCTTGTTGTTATCTGCCAGAACCTTCTGATTCTCCTCAAGTTTGTTCTTCATCTCAATCTCGTGAGCTCTGGTAGAGTTCAATTCCGATGTCTGGGCATCAAGATCCTTCTTCAGCGCCGCAAGCTCTTCTTTCATGGCAACCTGCTCATCTTGTGCCTGTTCAGCCTGACCGCGGGACTCAGCTGCGGCAGTCTTGTGCTTCTCTGTGTCGTTATCCAGCTTTTCCAGGTCCTTCAGGAGGGAGTCGAGCTCCTTCTCGGCATCATCTTTTGCCTTTTCATTCTTGGCTCTGAGCTTCTCATTCTTTGTCTTTGCAACTTCAGCATTGGAGATGTCGTCGTTGAGCATGTCAATTCTTTCTTTCAGTCCGTCGACCCTTGCTTTCTGCGTTCGAAGCTGGAGGCCGCCAACTTCCATGATCTTGTCTTGTAAAGCTTGGATCTCTGCTTCCACAGTGGCAGTCTCAGAATGCAGCTTCTCAAGTTCTTTATTCATCAAGGAAATTTGCTTTTCCAGGCTCTTGATCTGAGAGTCGTCCGAGGCAGTGCTTGCGAGTTCTGCTGTGAGGTCCTGAACCCGTTTCTGAGCGTCTGCGAGATTCCTGGTGCAGTTCTCAACCTCTAGGTTGATCTTCTGAATCACTGTTTCTTGCCTTGGGATCTCTTCTTGCTTTTCCCGCAAGCTAGCTTCAAGCTCTCTCTGTCTTGCTTGAAAGGCTTCGAACTGCGTTTCCAGCTGGTCTCGTTCGCCCTCCAGCTTCTGCACTTGTTCTTTCGTCGTGTCAGAGGTCAGTTTGGATGACATGGCGCCTCGCGCCACTCTGGTACCACCACCACTCATAGTACCAGAGACATCAATCAATTGTCCGTCAAGTGTAACAACGCGCCATCTCTTCGCACCGTAGGCAATGCGGTTTGCTTGTTCGAGGTTCTGTGCGACGAGGGTGTTCTGCATGATACTGTAGAAGGCAGGAGCAAATCGCGTGTCTTTTGGCTTGATCAGGTCGAAAAGTCGAGGAACATTTTCAGGTGTTTGAATAGGCGAGAGGTCTCTCTGAGCAAGCTTGTCGAGGAGGATGAAATTGGCTCGGCCGAGATTGTTCTTTCGTAGGTATTCGATGCATTGCTGACCGACCTCGACGCTATCGACCACCATGTTCTCAAGAGACGGGCAAGCAGTCGATATGGCAACGTCAAACTTCTCGTCAATTGTTCCAAGGTTGCCAAGGCGTCCATGAAAGCCATCGATCCTGCCAGACTCTTTGAGTCGTAGCAGTCCCTTCAGGACGTTGCCTTGGTTTTGGCTACTCGCAAGGCTGGCGCGTGCTTCGTCGGCTTTTTGTCGCGCTGATGAGATCTGCGAGCGAACCTCTGGCTCACTCGCCGCAAGCTTCTGAAGGGCATCCTGGATTTTCCTAACATCCTTCTCTAGCCGCGCCTTGTCGTGCTTGTGTCGTTCGATTTCCTCGAGCTTTTCCGACCTACTGATCTCGATGCTCTCAATTTTCGCGTTTGCTTGATCGATCGCCTTTTGTCCACTGCTCGCTTTTTCTTTCAGGATATCAAGCTCAGATTGGGCCACCGCAATCTCAGACTGCTTCTGATTGATCTTCGCATTCCATGGCTCTAACGACTTTTGCTTGGCTGCGATTTGATCTGATAGGCCCTGTGTTTTGCCTTTCAGATTCTCACGAATCACCCCAAGCTCCTGCTCCTCTTTCTTCATCTCTGCTTCAAGGTCGGCCACTTCAGCGCTTTTCTTCTCAATGTCGCTGGTATGCTTCTCCACCAGACTCTGTGCCTCAGAGGCCGTGAGTCTGCTTGAGGTTGCCTGCTTTTCCGCCTTTTTCTGCTTCCCGTTGATGAACTTTCGCTTCTCTTCAAATTTGACGTTCTCCTTGTCATATTTGGCGAGCTCCTTGGTAAACTCCTGCGCCTGCTTTTCGATCCGCTCGTACTGTTTAAGGGCTTTATTGTACGCCTTTTCCAGTTCCTTGATGGTGTCTTCGCTTCCGGCATGCTTTTCGAGCTCAGCATTGAGTTGCTCTTGAATCTGCTGGATAGCCTCTTCGGTGACCTTCGTGTTATCTTCACACTCGGCAGTATAGATCTGATACAGTGCTGATTGTTTCTCTGCAAGCTCGTTCTCGTCGCGGATGAAAGTCAAAGCTTTATTCTTTTTGTCCTCCAAACTGTTCTTTTCTTTCTCGACGTGCTGCACGCGTCCTTGTTTCTCAATGCAGACTTCGTTGAGACTTTCGAGTTCCACAGCTGCCTCCTCGATGGGGGTCTTGTATTTCGAAGTTCCTATGATATCCTCAAGATACTCCAACAAACCATCGTCGTGCTCGTTTGCTGCTTTCGGCTTCATTTGAGCAATAGACTCCACTTCTCCTTGCAAGATCAGAAATCTCTTGTGATCAAGGTCAATGCCTTTGTCTTTAAGCAGTGTCGTCACAGTCGTAAAGTTTGTAGTTCTGCCATTGAGGTAGTAATTGCTGGAGTTGTTCTTGAACGCTTTCCGCGAGACCACAAGCTGCGAGTCCAGGACAACCTCGTGTTTGCCGCCTGGTAGATCGATGATCTCTTGAAAGTAGACTTCCACCTCACAATAGTCCAGATCTTGATGTTGTGCGGAATTGTGGATAAGTGCTGATATCTTCCCCTGTCTCATCTTGCTGGCACGAAATCCGAAGACGAAAAGTAGCGAATCGATGACATTGGATTTGCCGGATCCATTGGGCCCGACCACGGCAGAGAATGAAGCGTGGAAAGGCCCAACAACCTGCCTGCCTGCATAGCTCTTGAAATTGGTCATGACAAGTTGTCTTATAACCATCCTAGACCTGGACCCTATCGGTTCGTCCACTGTGGGCACTGCCTGGGATCTTGCGCGGATAACAATGTCCATCGGCTTTTCCAGACCCATGTCCGTCGGACGGGTCTCCTTGATGAAATCATTCTGCAGTTGCGGCGGCGCATTCTTGTTCAGTGCCTTGGTCGTGATATCCTTCAAGGGAGTTGCTTGTGTCTGCTCCGATTCCGGCGATGCGGATGCAGCTGGGGTAGGCAGGGCAGGCACTGGGGGTACAACTGAAGATCTTCGGCCTTTTCGGGGGGAGGTGCTCTTTCGTTTTCGAGGGGATGTAGTCTTGGTGGGAGAAGGTGGTTCGCTCGGTGCACCGCTCTGCTCTGGGTCGAATATTTGGGTCGGTTCTATACCCTCCCCTGTCTTGAATTTACGCGCTCTGGCGGATCGTTTGGGTGTTGCGCTGACACTGTTTGTCGTTTGTCTCCTCGTCGTCGACTTGCATGGACTTCGCTTGGGCGCAGGCGTAAACTCCTCATCCTTGTCCTCTTGTATCTGGCTCAGCTCGTCCTCGGATTCTGCTTCGACGATGGTTCTGCGCGCTGCCCGACGCGTCGGACGGGCGGGTGATTCGGCGGACATGATACCGCTGCTATGCTCTAGGTCTTGTCGACGTGATGTTTCGCAGTTGAATTGAGAATCTGTTATTGTTGACATGCTTCCAAAGCGGAATGGTGGGAAATTCGCTGGCTGACTAATAATTGTGGGCGACCTCAAGATCGCGTCTTCGACCACTTGCAAATTCTACTCGCGATCCTACGGGAATGGCTTAAGGATATGGTATAACATTAACATGATAGTAATTCTCTATCTTTCATTGCAGACCTTCGGTCTGAGCCCAGTATCCTCGTGGTGCCTTCTAACTTGAATTTTCAACGCATTGTGCCCCGTCCTGGTGGCCGTCCTTCCTTTCATTGACCTAATTAGGCCAGACCCATTTTCTGATGTACTCAGGATCAATACCTTCGTGGAACGCCTCATTCTTGCATTTGATTTGTTGGTTAAGCAGCTTCTCTCTTGCACTTGCGCCCTTGTTGCCAAGACCTGGAATCTTGTCCAAAGCCCCCATCGCCAGGCTGAACCGGTCGGTCTTATTGCGGATGGCCAGTTCGAGGGGCGTGTCAATGTTTCCTTTCTCGTTGTAGCCATGGACTACCAGGTTGTGGGATCCCTTTCTGTTGAAGGTCAAGCGGTGGATCAACCATGGGTATGAGTGGAAGTTGAAAATGACGGGCTTGTTGTCGGTAAAGATTGCTGTGAATTCAGTATCCGTCATTCCGTGAGGATGGGATCCGTGTGCAATGAGCTTGAAGAGATCCACCACATTGACGAAACGGATCTTGAGGTCAGGGACATATTCGCGGAGCAGGGCGGTGGCGGCCAAAGACTCGTGAGTTGGAACATCACCGCAAGAAGCCATGACAACATCGGGCTCTTCTCCTTGGTCATTGGAGGCCCAGTCCCAGATACCAACGCCCTTTGTACAGTGCTCAATGGCGGCTTCCATGTCGAGATATTGCAAGTGATTCTGCTTGTCAGCGACAATGACATTGACGTAATTGGCGCTCCTGAAGCAATGATCCATGACGGACAACAGACAGTTGCCGTCTGGTGGCAGGTAAATGCGCACGACTTCGGGAGACTTGTTGGCTACGACGTCGAGGAAACCAGGATCCTGGTGAGTGAAACCGTTGTGGTCTTGTCGCCAGACTGTTGCTGTGAGCAGGATGTTGAGAGATGCGACCTTGGCGCGCCATTCGACCTCCAAGCATTTCTCGATCCATTTGCAATGCTGGTTCACCATGGAGTCGATGATGTGAATGAAAGGTTCGTAGCTGTTGAGCAAGCCGTGCCGTCCAGACAAGACGTAACCTTCGAGCCAACCTTCGACAGTATGTTCGCTAAGAATCTCCATGGTACGACCTGCAAGTGCAAGATTGCCACCGTCTTCATCCTCTTCGAAATATTCGCCCAGCCAGACTTTCTTGCCAGCCTTGTAGACACCGCCGAGTTTGTTCGACTCGGTCTCATCGGGGCCAAAGAGACGGAAGTTGGTTGGGTTTGTCTGGATGATATCTCGGAGGAAAAGAGCCATGTTGGACATGCTGGGGGCGTCGGTCTTTCCGGGCTTGACTTCAATGCTGTAATCCCTGAAATCAGGCAACCTCAAAGGTTTCTTGATTGCGCCACCGTTGGCGACAGGGTTTGCGCTCATCCGTCTGTTGCCTTCTGGTGCGACCTTTGCCAGTTCTGGGATCAACTTGCCTTCCTTGTCGAAATACTTATCTGGCGTATAGCTCTTCATCCAATCCTCTAGGAGCTTGAGGTGTTCTGGCTTTGAAGCGACCTCGGGAAGCGGAATCTGATGGGCTCTCCAGTATCCTTCAAGATAGTGACCGTCAACCGTGCGAGGACCGGTCCAGCCCTTGGGACTTCGGAGGACGATCATAGGCCAGAAAGGACGGAAAGCTTTGCCGGATTCACGTGCTTTCTTCTGGTAGCCTCGGATTTCCTTGACACACTTTTCTAAGGTGGCAGCCATGGCCTGGTGCATAGTCATGGGGTCACTTCCCTCGACGAAGTATGGTGTCCAGCCATAGCCGTAGAACAGTGATTCGAGTTCTTTGTGACTGATACGGGCAAGAACAGTGGGGTTGTTGATCTTGTAGCCGTTGAGATGTAGGACGGGAAGGACTGCTCCGTCTGTGATGGGGTTGAGGAATTTGGTGCTGTGCCAGCTGGTGGCCAGAGGTCCAGTCTCGGATTCACCATCACCGACCATGGTCAGGGCAATCAGATCCGGATGGTCGAACACGGTTCCGAAAGCGTGACTGATGGAGTAACCGAGCTCACCGCCTTCGTGAAGACTGCCAGGGGTTTCGGGAGTGGCGTGACTGCCGATGCCACCGGGGAATGAGAATTGCTTGAAGAATTTTCGGAGACCCTCGACGTCTTGCGACTTGTCGGGGTAGACTTCGCTGTAAACGCCCTCGAGATAAGATTGGGAAATGACGGCTGGAGCGCCATGACCTGGGCCGGAGATGAAAAGAACATCGAGATCGTACTTTTTGATGAGACGGTTCATGTGGACGTAGGTGAAGACTTGGCCGGCATCCGAGCCCCAATGGCCGAGCAGTCTGGCTTTGAGGTGTTCGACTTTGAGAGGGTCCTTGAGAAGGGGGTTTTTTTTGAGGTAGAGCATGCCCAGGCAGAGATAGAGACTCGCTCTCATGTAGTCGTCAATGTCCTTGAGCTCTTCATCGCTGAGAGTTTTGTCGTCTTTGACGGTGGAGCGAGCTTTGCCGTAGGCTGAGATGCTCTCGATGGAGACATCGGTCTGAGCGACGACCGGCGGCGCCATGATGGAGATGAATGAATGTGTCGAGTAGTGATGAGATGATGGTTTGAGGGAGGGGAAGAAGGGAAGGCAAAGTCAAAGTTGAGTGAGAAGCAAGGATAGCTTATATAGGTAGGTATTGAATGCAGTGTTGGGAAGGTTACGACACTACAGTACAATTCCTCCCGTCATTTATTTTATCATGGATCATCACCGCGCATTGCATCCGAGACCAGGGCCGGACTACGAGCTACGTATGGTTCGCTCTCTTTTGTCACCGAGTTACTGTTGGATTTCCGGGTCCCGTGTGCTCCGTGCAGGATCTGGATTTCAAGCAGCTCTCGAGTTGCTTGGGGAAGCTCTAACCCTTGCACGTGGCTCCGAGATAGCTGTTTAGACCCAGCCGGCGAGCTACATAAGCATGTGCTCCAGCAACTGCATCGTCAGGCTGACTGTCTCGCCATGTAGAGCGAGGGTCTGTCCAGTCATGAGTGACATTCGTAACAAACTCCGTTACTGCTAACTCCAAGTGGGCAAAAGCAGGGACTTGCTGAGCGAGAAATGATCCGAAAAAGCTAGTTACACCCAGTGCGGACGTTGGATTGGTTTCGAGCAGTGAGGGGCATCAGGAGATGTTAATAGTGAGTGACAAAAGTTAAGACTTTGGATCAATAAAGTGGTGTGAGGATGTGCAACCTCTAAGCTGGAAGTGGTTTAGCAGGAAGTTGTGCTGCCGACAAATCCGACATTGGTTGGTTCATCGAGCTAGCCTCAGGCCTATTCTTACCCAGGCAAGAAATCCATGCCCAGACACTTTGTGTATGTTACTGTACAGTGTAATGTCTCATCCATCTCAATACAACATCTTATGATCTTGTGCATCCATTAGCACAACAAATAGCCTCATCTAGAGCTGATCCCGCCAGATCGGCCATCGCCTGTGTGAGATAGCTTTGCGCGGCGCCTTCCATAGATTGAGTTTGGTCGCTATCTGGGTAACATATCAAGGACACATCGCTTCTCAGCCGACTGTGAAGTATCAAAGATACCATGATAACGCATCACGCGCAAGATCAAGAAGATGGAAAACCATGGCGACGATTTCATGAAACCCAAGCATCCAGTGTCGCCCTCCTACCTGCCGTCTCTTCTTCCCGTCGCGACAAGGATCACAGTCGTTTGCATCCTACGGCAGGAGCTGCGCAGACCACCTCTTGGCATATTCTGGGCTCTTATACCAGCGCTTAAGGTCCTTTGCGGCGTGAAGCGCTATGGACTGCGATCGGCCAGATCGTAACAGACCTGCGAAGATGTCATATCACTCCTCTACTACTCTTATAAGATGTATCACTCGTGAATGCGCCTTTTAGGTCACAGGGAAATTGTGCGACTGGTGAAGGCGCAGTCGAAGTCACCCAACAGCAAATATTCCTGAGGGACAACCAGGTATACAAGAAAAGGAGACCCTGGAACGTAAACGGTGCCAGAAAGAGGAAGCCAAGCCAACAAAGACTGCGCTACGGTGGAAGTGCCTCTTACTCATCGGAGCAGCCTGCCTCCTTCTATGGATTACCCATCAGTGCCCGTCCTTACCGAAAACACCAATCCTTGCCAGAGACGCTGTATCAATTTCTAGGTGCAATGGCCACTCGGTGTAACAAGATATTCAATTCCTTCGAACGACTTGTCAATCACTGTGGGCAAAGTGCTATTTCAAGAGGCCGCCAGCATGCCTGCCCATACCGCGATACCTTGAGATGGTTTCTGAAGCCCAGAAGCAGAGCGCACACTGCGAGGTGAGTTCGAAGAAAAGGCTGCGAGGTCCCGGTATCGTGATCGTGGAGAATGACCAAGGCATTGATGTTGAAGAGTCTACCCTGGATTCTGCTCGAGTAAATCTGGCGCCGATGTGTTTGGCCGCTGATCAAACGTTTACCGGCATCGACTTCTCGTTTCCCTCAGCCTGAGAGGCTGTTGGCGACTTTGCTGGCAACATCAATGCCTGCAAAACACTGACGGCCTGACAGGCTCATAGAAATTCTCTGTTGCCTAAAAGGGTAGTATGCCTATCAAGATTCCCTTAACTTGGTGAGTTACTGCGGGGTTGTCCAAGTCGCGGCGGACTTGCACGACGCGATAAGAGGCAAGTGAGCGAGGCATCGGAATGCGATATCAATGCGCGACAGGGTCAGTCGTTCTCTCTTTCCTTTATCAGAACAACAAGAATGACCCTCTCATGCCCACTGACTGCACATGCCAACCTTATAAGACCCCAAGAGTGGCTTTCGTCTTGAGGTAACCTCCTCGCTTCTACTACACTTTGCGTCTATCAAAGTGTCAGTTCTCCCATCTTCACCATGTCTACCACAACCACCAAGACCACCACGGAGACCATCCCTCCCACCACTAACGCCCAATACTATGGCAAACTCCGCTACATTCCCCTGGGCGAGACGCCCAAACCTTCTCCCCACAACTTCCATCTTCCCGAGATGAAAGAGTTCGGCGACGTCCGTCTCCAGCCTCTAGTCGACATGCGTCCCGTGCCTACCGTTGCCGACTTACCAAATGCGAAAGAAGGAACCGCTCAATTGTCCACGCACGGCTTCGCAGCTGTCCACCATCCCACCAGCATGAACTCGGCCCCTTATACCATAAACAGCTGGAAGGACCCCAACTTGCTCAAGCAGCACTACGTCCCGGAGACGGAAGAGATGGTCAGGCAAATGACAGGCGCCAAAACCGTCCTTACCGAAGCCCTCCTGATCCGCAGCGCCATCTGGTCTGAGCAGGACGCCTTAGCAACCCATGCTGGACATGGTGAAAATGAGCCTGAACCCGAGCAGAAATCACAAGAAGACACAGATCTCGAACTCGGCTTTCCCCAGTTCATCGGCTTCTCCAAGAAACATGGCGGTGCCAGCCCAGCGCCCAAGGTCCACCTTGATTATGCGCCCAACGGCGCACGTACGCATCTCCGCAAGTATCATCCAACCATGACGACTGCGGCCAAGGAGATCATAGCCGCCGAGGACAAACTGCTCGCCGAGGGCAAATCGCTGCGGGAGACGTACGCCGAGTCCAAGCTCGGGCCCCGTTGGGCACTGTTCTCGATCTGGCGACCTTTGAAACGCGTCCACCGCGATCCCCTGGCGCTGGGCGATGCCCGCACCTTCCTCGAGCGTGATTACGTGCCTGTGATAGTCAAGACCCCAAATCTAGGTATTCCAGGTGATATCTCCACACATAGCACCGAGAGCTATCTCGCGCACTGGTCGGAGGGTCAGAAGTGGTACTTTGTTCCCAAACAGGAGCCAGAGGAAGTCTTGGTGATTGGATTGTTTGATTCCGAGCGGGATAAGGAGACTGTCGCCGCGGGAGGTACATTGCACAGCAGTGTTGATTTGCCGGGAACTGAGAACGAGGAGCCCAGAGAGAGCGTGGAGTTGAGATGCTTGGCCATCTGGGACTAGTGGTCTTCTAACATGAAACTTTTGAATGCTTGATGAAACATGCACTTCCCGAATGTTTTGGCCTCTCGTCGATCGATGCATCGGACTGAACAGTGTTCACCTAGTCCTGGAACAGATCTTGACTCGCCGTACGAGTCGCCAAAACTCGATGAGTAGACTCCCTCAATGTGGCACAGCATCTGCGATACCCGTCACCACAGTATCCCAGGTAATACCTCCAATGTTTTCACCCTTCAATCTAGAGAGGCCATTCTCACCCGATATGGATCTTCCAGTAGCGATGTTCCGTGCCATGACCGAGTCCTTCGCGTTAGGAAGTTTTGAACCTGCACCGCTTAGCAGACATTCTTCGAACCAGGCCTCCTCTTCTGCGGTAAATGGTAGGCCCAAAAGTAGGCTTGCCCGTTCAGCACGCGTAGCTCCAGGCTTTTCTTTATGCACTGCGACTATGATCTTCTCGAACAGCGTCTTGTGTCTTTGTTTTCCCTGCTTTTTCGCAAAGTAATAAGCCTGCACGATGTTGTTCGCAAGGACGAGGTCAAAGTATGCCTCGAGTGTCGATTGATGTTTCAACGGAGGAGACACCGTGATGTAGTATGCGGTAGCCAACGAGGATTGGCATTTTGGATGGTGTATGAGTGCAAGAAGGATTTCGTCGGCGAAGGTTGGTGTCAAACAAGGGTCGGTGAGATGTTCCAAGGCTCGCGAGAATTGCGCATGGTCAAGTTCCCACAGTCCGGCCACCAGTAGCTGGTATTTCTGAGGGAGGTATGTTCTTCGTGCAAAGTTTGTGTCTGCATTGGAGAGTTGTCGACAGTCTCGGAGAACGTAGTAGAGTAGAGCGAGTTTCTGTTCATCGGCTGCGGGCGACTGTACAATTTTGGACCACAGATTCCGTAGGTCTTGATTTGTTCTTGGAGGGTAATTGTTTCTTGAGGCTTCCGAGGTGTTAATTCTAGGTTCTCCAGCAAATGTGGTATACTTACGACGCGTCAGGCCGATTGACTTCCATATGCGATCGAAGAATAGCTGGTCTCCAAATTCCTTGCGGTGCTTGAGGACGCTCTCGACGGTCTTGTTGTCAAAAGCGAAGTCAGGCTTTGGCTGGAACACAGTATCGAAGTCCTGCCAGTCGAACATCTTGAACTCCACTGCTTGAGGTTGAGCTCGCTGTCAGTCGAGCGAGACGACTCTGAGTTATGTAAATATTGGGCGACGTGGATGCGGAGAGGCATCAATGGAGAGAGTTGGTTGAGTGAAGCACCGTACAGTATCAGTGATCTGCCGTACCGCCTGGCAGAAAACGACCCGGAACATCTGCAACGCTTCCTCCGTTAACCTCATCTTCACCATTCACAGCTGCAGCTGCTCGTCCTTACTGCAGCACATCCCTAGCAGCATGTAAAGCCAGCATTCCGCCATGCCCTGGCCAATCCTACGGCGATTATGGGAAGTAGAGCACACCCTGGCATTTGCGGAGAAAACAGTGGACCCATCCATCCCCGCCTTCGTGTAGAGATCATTTTGGCCAAAACGGCAGAGTTGAACTATCCGGTGGATATACTCCAATGGCATCTTATTAGCCGAGGTGCTGTATCTGCTTCCGTCATATTTATGAAGCCGAGAAGAATCGGTAGGGATCCAAGGTAGGTTATTTGACTTGACTTCTACCTGTTCTCTCTCCCCAGTGCGATTGTGTTCTCCGCTCGTACGATCAGCATCACAATGGGTTCCGAACGCTGTCCCGTCCAACATAAGGGCATCTACCACAATCTGCCAACCTTTGATCCTTCCATCAAAGGACTTACAGCCATAGTCACCGGCGCCAATGGCATCTCAGGCTTCCACACCATGCGAGTTCTGCTCGAAAGCCCGGAGCGCTGGTCCAAAGTGTACGCGTTGTCTCGACGGCCTCCTCCCAAGGATATGATGGCTTTGTTACCCGAGTCGCATCGAGCTCGTGTGCAGCACGTCGCTTGTGACTTTCTTGAAGACCCCCAGAAGATTGCAGACGCCATCAAGTCAGCCAATATCACAGCTGACTACATCTTCTTTTACTCCTATCTGCAACCAAAACCGGCTCCAGGTGCCGCTGCTTGGTCCAATGCCGAAGAACTGGTCAAAGTCAACAGTGCGCTTCTGGACAACTTCTTGCAAGCATTGACCATATGCAAAATCACTCCCAAACGCTTCCTCTTACAGACAGGTGCTAAGAACTATGGTGTCCACGTTGGACGAGGACGAAACCCCGCAATCGAGTCCGATCCTCAGCCAGCTCACCTAGAACCAAACTTCTACTACCCTCAGGAGAAATCGTTGTTCGAATATTGTAAAGCCAACAATACATCCTGGAACGTCATCCGCCCAGCGTGGATCTTAGGAGCCGTCAACAACGCCCAGATGAATGCTTTACACCCAATAGCAGTTTACTCCGCCGTGCAAGCCCACAAGGGAGAACCACTGTACTTTCCTGGCACATGGAAAGACTGGCAGGCCGATGAACATCATTCCACGGCAACGCTGACAGGCTACTTGTCAGAATGGGCAGTGCTCGAAGACAAATGCAAGAACGAAGCGTTCAATTCTCAAGACACCAGCCCCATAAGCTGGGATCGATTTTACGAGGAACTCGTGCGTTGGTTTGGCGTGGAAAAGGGCGTTCATCCTCCGGAAGAGGATCTGAGCTTATTCAAGGAATTTAAAGGTAAAGGTGGCAAAGCCACACCCATGGGGTGAGTCACACGATCGTCCTTACAATGCTCGAATGTCACTGACCAAAACTAGTTATGGACCACCTATCGTTCTTCACAGTCTCTTTTCCCTCGTGGAGTGGGCGGCAAAGCCCGAAAACAAAGAGGCATGGGAGGCACTGATGAAGGAGTCTGGAGGCCAACTTACCGACAATCCTTTCGGAGACGTTGAAGCTAATTTCGTATTTGGCGACGCTGCGTTCGTGCAAATCTGCATGCTGTCCATGAACAAAGCCCGAAGACTGGGCTGGACAGGATTCGTGGACACCATCGAATCACTGTTTGAAATGTACTCTGAAATGGGGAAATTGGGTATGCTGCCAAAATTGAAGGTTGACAAGCCGAAGCCGATGGCATGATTGTCTCAATGTTGCAATTCAAGAGTATCTCACGCAGAAATACTAAGCCCACTGTCTGATTCTGATCTCCGCTGGAGCTCGACAGCACATGATGGTGGATCGATCATCGTATCCTCTGGACTCTTGACCTCGAAGCCATGTCAACCATTCTTCATGACTCTACTCTCTCGCAGGTCACCCGGTGACTCACCCTCCGACATCCCAGAGCAGCTCCCAACTCCTCCTCCAACATCTTCTTGTCCTTCCTGAAGAACAGCCTGAACCCAAAAGTCCCAGGACAAATTTCCCGCCGTACTGGCCTGCCCAGCATTCCCAATCGAAGCAATCCGCCCTCCCACAACGCCCACAAGCCCACTTTCCGCTCCGGTAATCCAATGTTCCACCAATCAAGAAGCCTGAATGGCCGAGGACCACCATGATCACTCCCCTGTAACGCCCACTCGAAGCGATTGAACGGACTGTGCACAATGTTCAGCGTCTCAAGATGCAGCCACGGCCGCTCGCACTGTTGAATCACCCTCTCAGTCCAGCATTCTTCTTCGTCCATGTCCATGTCATCCGGCCGTGGCGGAAGGATATTCGTAACTTGTTGAAAGATTTCGTTCAAAGCGCGTACATCCATATTCCTCCAGCATTCTGCAAGTAAGACCCGTCCCGAGTGCGCATCATTGTGACGGAACATCAGAAACCCCTTCGGAATGAGACTGCTGAGACTGCGACTGCCGTAGGGAAACTCAAGGGCGCGGTACTCCAAGTGTCGGATATTGAAGACCTTCTCTGGTGCCAGACATTTCACGAACGCCACGAACTCTCCCGGTGTGTGTTTCTCGAAGCGCATACAGAACGTCGTCGAGCGAAAGAAATGTGGTGTGAACTCGTCGTTGACAGTCTTGCACGTCAAGCGTAGTGCCTTTCTGGTTTTGGAGAACCCGTCGTACTCATTGCGCTTGTGTTGGTCTTTGTCCGAGCTGTGGTCGACGACGTCCTCGAGGATATCGTATACCTTCTTCCTGATCTCGGCAGGGAGGTCGAGAAAGGGGAACGGTGAGGTCCTGCCTTTGCGCTTGCGTTTGACGCGGGTCACCATCGCGTCGACAGAGCGTACCAACTCCATCGTTGATGGTGGTGGTGGTTGTGATTCCGAAGTGAGGCGACAGTGACATTTCTGTATACAAAACCACCAGCATCATGACGAATGCTGAACATGGCAGCTGTGCCGACATGATAGCGATGGTATAGGTCGTCTTCACGGTGCGAAGGCGTTAACAGGACCGTCGTTGTTGAAGACGGCCTCCTGAATATCAAAACCTTGCACGTGACTTTGTTTGAAGGGGAGTTCGACAAAGCCTCAACTTACCCCCTTAGAGAGTATTAACATGGGAGTTCGACACAACTTCACCTCCCTCATCTCACCAGTTTGTATGCCTGGACCGTGTCGTAGACAAATGCATAATCTCACCTGTTCCTTCGCAGTCGTCCTCCAACAGCATCCAAGAGACAGTGAACACTATCGGCAGAGGGCACCCTGGCGGCATTGTCAGTTGCAAACAAGGATAGTCATCGGGCACACTTCCACTGCAAGAAAACGCAGCTGATTCAAGGTTCATTTTATTCATTCCTTGAGTACGTACTGTACACATAACCACGAGCACGAAAACGCCACTGTATGCCCACCTACTGAAGCCGTTGATGGAATACGCCAGTACCCATACCCAAATGCAAAAGATGCATCAAGACACTCTCTCTATGCACCCACTGACCAATGCAATACAAGGTATCGCGATGAAAAGGCAGCGAAGCCGACCACAACTGAAACCTAACAAAGAACCCACTGTTGGGGCGTTCGATGCATCAGCTGTGCCATCTTGGTCACATAGTAACAATGAGGTCAATGCAATAAATCCCACACGCAACAGATGCAAAGATGTAAACCCCTGCTCATGTCTCATCACATGGCGTTTCATTTTTGCTGTGTGCTTCCCATTCCCTTTTGTCCGTTAAAATTCATCGATGAGGATTGATGGTCCGATCTGCTTCTTTGGCATACTCGGCTCTCCACCAATCCCTGTCCCAATAGCCGCTTTCAGAATGATTCTCAGTCATTTCTGTTCTACCACGACGATCCTGGCTTGCGATTGGATACAAGCCTTGCTTTTCGTCTTGCACTTGGCCCGAGTGTTGTCATTCATAGCCAGCACCGCGTTGCCAAGGGCTAGCATTGTTATGTTGTCGGTATCCTTGTTGTGGGGCATATCCACCGTGAGCAGATCGTGGCGGGGCATAGCCGTTGTTCAGACTGTTTGTCGAGTCGGCATAGGTTTGATAGGATGGAGCTGTCCCGGGCCGGCTATCATAATCGTAGCCACCACTTCCGTTGTATCCTTGGTTGTACATTTGTCGTTGCTCGTAAGAGTCTTGTGGTCCTCGTCTTCCATTGTTCTCGCTGGGGTACAAGGGAGTTTCTTGGTGCATAAGGGCTCCTTGAGATCGTGACATTGGTCTTTGAGAAATTTCGGACTGGTGCTTCAAGGACTCCTCGGAGACCGAAGCATCATCATCGTAGCCCTTGTAGCCTGTTTTGGGTTCGTCTTCGCCTCGTGCAGTGGCACCCAATGCATCGAGCTCCGTGGTCAAAGCAGCCTGAGACTTGATGAAGCTACCCCGGTCGTCACGCATTGGCTGGTATCTGACTTCAGGGTTCTTTGAGGCAATAGCGTATATAGACGCGATGAGCACCAAAACCAAGAGGACTACAGCGAAGACGATATTGTAGAAAGCGAAGATGACGCCCATGACACCCGATACCATCTCCGGCTGACCGAAGACATTTGAAAAGACAAGGAGGAAAATGGCGTTGAGGAAGTTGACAGCTGCGATTGAGATGTTGAAAATGTTGGTCTTTTTGTCCATGAATGGTCGGACAACGCTGACGCCGATCAATGCGACAGCCTCGACAATAACAAGGCCGATGGCTTGAGCAGCGGGCGAACTTTGAGCGAAGGCGATGAAGACGGCTTTTGCCACAATGTAAGCCAACAAGGGCACGACAAAGTAGTAGGCAGTAGCCCGATACTGAACATAGAGAAAACCCCACTTGTTGAGACACTTGGGGTCGGAGTAAAGAATGTAGGCCGGATTCTTATGCATGGTGACTGATTTCTTGGCAAGCTGAATGACTTTGAATGAAGCCCAAGACAAAGCGACAGCCATGGAGATGAAGACGATGAGGGCGAGGACAATTTCCGCGGCCGAGTCGCGTTCGACGATCTCCCATAAGCAGAGAACGGACATCTGGACGAAGCCAAGGAGGACCTATATGCGTCAGTATTCGGCACTGTAAGGAGGTCGTGATTGGAACTTACCAATCGAAACAAGATGCCCTTGATGACGATCTTCCAACCATTGCGGAACTCCAAGAACTTGTTCGACTTCATCCATCCGGCTTTGGAAAACAGATCAAGGAAAAGCTTGGCCAAAGCGACCAGGACGGCGGTCAAGAACAGGATGAAAATGAAGAAGATAAGACCGGTCATGAAGATGTTGGTTTGCTCAATTCCAGCCCGGAACCCGACTCTCTCAATACCACGGACGACCTTAGTAGTATCGGTGGTAGTAGTAGTAGAGGAGGTGGATCGTTTCGCGAGATAACGAGCACCTCTTGAAGCATATGAAGCAGCAATAGCCATGTGCTGAATGGACCGCTTGACGGCACGTTTTTGTACCTCGACGGAAACAGTGCTTAAAGTCGAAAGATATGTGGTAGGGGTACCTCCCGTTGATCTTTGATACCATGTGGCAATAGATTGAAGGAAGCCAACGCGAATGACACCCATGCTCCATTGGAAGTTCTGTGTCCATGACTGAACAATGGGGGGCATAGTAACGGAGGACATTCCGATGATGGCCTGGGCCTGGAAGAATCCGAACAGTGAGACGGCATTAGCGGCAACGTGAGCAGCGGTGTTGGGATGACCAAGTCCAGATGTAACGCCAGCAGCGACGAGACCAAGACCGGCGATAACAGCAGTGGCCCATCCGACAGCCACTTGATAGACACTCTTGCCATTTGACAAGTCTGCTTCCAGACATGCAATGACTTCGTTCGTGTCGGTAGAGGTCACATAAACCCGCACGACACCGTCAAGATCGGGGACACCATAGGCAATGCCTGGGATATTTTTTGTAACACTTGATGGGACATCAATGTTTGTCTCGATGTTGATTTGACCTGTCTGCATGGGGCAGAAACCGGAAAGGTTATCGTCGCAAGGGTTGATCGTGTCATTCAAGATGTTGAAACCATAAGCAATGAGCTGCACCAGTGCAGTGACATTTCCTGTGATAGAGGAAACACCATTAATGTTGAGGTAGATACTGCTGTTCGCGGGAGTGTAGGCGACATTGAACAAAGTGGCCGTGAAGTTAGAATTGGCCTGGCAGGAGTTCAATGAGCTTGACTCGATTATGTTTTCGGCGAGGACAGATGGTGTCAAGGAGACGGTGGCGAGGAGGAGGGAGAGTAGGTAGGAGAATGAGGTCTGCGGACGCATCTTGTCTGTCGATGTTCAGATAGCGACAAACGACGCGTGAGGTGTTGAGGGGCGCTGCGCAGCAGCAAAGGGCGTCAACCACGACAACTCTCGAAGCACCTATTGACGAGGATCTGTATCTTGGTGATGTTCTTTAACGGTAGCTGAAGTTGTAGGATGTGGTTCGTAGGATTAATCGTAGGTATTGATCTATTGTGTCATTGACTTCGAGGTTGAGGTGGAAAAACCGGGTTGGAACGAGCGGCAAAAGCAGGGAACGGCGGCTTTCAGACGGATTCTGATCGATGAATCGTTGATTGCGTTTGATGGTATTGTTCTCGGTCGCAACAAAGGGCCGTTGAAAGAGTGGTGAAGGATGTATACAATTGCGATGACAGAGAATAGCGAATGTAAGTGAGAGGTAGTCGAGTGTTGAGTAGTGAATCTACTACTTAGCGAGTGCGTGCCTCAAGAAGTGGTGACGGGGGGCTGGAACAGAAAGAGATGCAAGTTTGGGAGAGGCAGACAGGGAGGGTTAGTGCTTGCACCGCTTGGAGGAGGAGGTGGACAGTGGACACTGCAAGGCCCAGGGCGGACTCTTGGTCATTGGATCACCGGGAAGGATTTGATGAGGCTAAATGGACAGTGCCCGGAGACAGCTTTGGTTGGCTGCAGCACCCCCCAAATGGAGGCAGAAGAACGCATCGAGGTGCCAAGTCCCGGCATGGACGCTAATCTCAGGCTGGTCAAGGCCCATATCAAATTCTTTACACCCCCTGTTTCTCCTCTTTTTCTTCTTTTCATGACGCGCGGCAGCACGGGCACTGAGGCGCAGCAAAACACTTCGCAAATTGCCCAAGACAAACCAAGACAAAACACCAACCAAACACTGTTGCATTTCTGCAAGGCTGCCTCGAGGCCTTTTTCGGTAGGGAGTACGAGTATATGTGTATCCAAACCCCAGCTGGAATCCCATCAGCGGAAAGTCGTCTGCCGAATATACCACAAACAGGAGTCGTCACAAAGGAACGCGTTTCTGCTATGGTTGACTATGGAAATCTCTACTCGACAAGTACAGTTCTTTGGAGATCATCGGCTAAGTGCTACTCGTCACCATCATAGAGGCATCCAAGCAGACTTTCAACACATTCGCAAAACAAATGTCATTGTCGTGTACTGGTGATTGCCGCGCTTGGGCCCCTTGCCGCACCCGGATCTGCAGTGTTGATATCAACCACATCCAGATCGTTGTGTTCCACACATGAGTATCAAGACATCTTTGTGGTGCTTTCTGTATGACAGCTGTGCTACTCAGCCAGAGACCTACAACCCCGTATGCTTGGTTGGTCACTCTTCAATAGATCTGTGCACCTTATTGAGAACTCCACGGTTCCATGTTGAAGCCTCTCACGTCATGCTGTCTCGGTCCCTCGGCCTGGCGTATCCACCGGACAACGATCTGCCGTTTGACCATTCTCGGGACCTGTCGTGCCTGTTTCAACTTCGGTTTCACGAGAGAAGTGTGTAGCATAGTAATGTACACTTTGTCTCGAATGTGCAGATGTGTGTCACAATACATCTAGCAAGCTGCAGCAACAGGTCCAACCATATCTGTTTGAGGCCGTCTTGAAGTGCGGCAAGGACTCGCGAAAATTACGTTGACGGCCACGGAATAATGAACAGTGTTGTGGATAAACTTCCTACATCAACTTGCCGCTGAACCAGATGAAAGTTCTCCAAGAGAACGTGCGCACCTGTATTCAATTAAGCCTGGCATATGCGGCTATTACCGTTTGTCTCTAAAAACAGCAGGCCGCGCATTCATGACTCGCCAGCTAAAACCTTGTGTCTTCCGATGACAGCCATATGCATTTCACCCAGCCTTGTGTCTCCTCGTCGACTCAGCTTGGCCGCATGTTCGTCGGTCTCTGATCCTGTGCAATAGCTTGTAGCTCTCTGAGCTCCCGAGCTCGTTCTCGCTGCATTAAATCTCCGCGAATGCTCCGCAGGTATTTCGTAGCCTGCTCAATTAATTCCCGGCTCTCCGTGCTCTCCTTCAAAGTCTGCAACAGGATGGCCACCTGTTTGTTATCATTCACATGAGGACAGGTTCGTCCATGTCCTAGGTGTGCAATCCCACATAGCCCGCAATGCTCCACACCAGCTACTTTGAGTCGACACCAGCCCATAGGATGACTCTCACCACATGCAGAGCATAGATGTGGTGGGGGCATGCTGTGAACGGGACCAAAATCAAATGCTGCATCTCCGTTGAAGTGAGGTGCTTGTCCAAGGGGAACTCTCACTCGTTTGAAGGGCCGCGCTGTGTCTCCATCAGTTTCGGCGACTCTGGGGTGTAATTGTCCTCCTACCTTTGACCGTGCGTTTGGGAGTCACATCTGTGTCTTCGGCAGTCAGATTATCTTCTTCCTCGGGTATATCTGCGGGCTCTTGATAGTCTGGGTCAACTCTTTTGGGTCCCCGTTTTGCTTTGAGTTTGTCTTTGTCCTTGTCTTTGTCTTTGTCTTCTGGGTCGCCATCGCCTATGCCGCCGTAGTCGACAGTCTATCGGAATTAGTCTGATCTTCAAAGACCTCCTCGGTCGACTTACCTGACGTTTGCGCTTCCCTCTACCAAATGCCTCTGCCTTTCTGGCTTGTTCTTCGGCAAATGTGCGCTCACGCTCTTGTAAAATCTTATCCCAAATGCCTGGATTAGGTGTGCTCGTCCCGGTGTCAGCCAAGTCCTCTTCCAACGTCGACTTGTCATTCGCCCAGACTCTGGCGAAGCTGAATTGCGATTCGGCAGATTTTTCTTCACTGGTCTTGGTGTCCTCAATCTGAGACCGATCAAGCAGACGATCGACTGAGGCGGAATCATAGACAATGTCATCCGCCTCAGAGTCGCCCTCGAAAAGAGCTTGAGCACCATGTCTTAGAATCGACTCAAGATCCTCTCCAGCATCGTCCTCTCGACCCATTCGTTCAATGAGGACATGATCCAGCGCCATCTTTTTCCGCCCAATCTGCATGATCTTCTCCTCGACACTATCCCGAACCATGAGTTGGAACACAAGAACCTTGTGCTTCTGGCCGATACGGTGAGCCCGTGACAAAGCTTGAATATCTTGATGGGGATTGAAATCAGGATCCAGGAGGATAACCGTATCGGCCGTCGCCAAATTAATACCAACGCCACCAGCCCTAGTAGATAGGAGAAATGCGAAGTATGGTGAATCGGGAGCATTGAACTCATCGATCCGCTTCTGCTTCTCGGCTGCCGAGATTGTGCCATCGAGACGACGATGTTGAAGCCCAAGTCCGTCAAGAAAGTCCTCGATGATATCCAAATTGTCGAGAAACTGGCTGAACATCAGGACACGATGACCGCGTTCAAAGAGCTTCGGCAGCATAATGGAAAGCAAATGTAACTTGCCCGAGGCTCCGACCAAATTTTGAAAAGCAACCGTTGTGTCAACCGTACGCTCTTCAATATCTCGGCTGTACACAAACGGATGACAGAGCGTTTTCCGTAACTGCATGAGGATGTTGTTCAGATTGGCTCGTTCTTTTGGTGCAACAGCGCCTTCTCGAGCAAATATTGATCTCATCAACTGCGGGTTTCTTGCTAAGATCGACTTGTAAACCTTCTTCTGCACACTTGACATACTCACGGGCACGATGACTTGCGCCATTGGCGGGAGGAACGTCAAGACCTGTGCTTTGGTACGTCGGAGGAAGAATTTTCTCAGAGTCTCGTGCAGCTCCGGCACATTTTCCTGCGTAAGATTGGCGTACTTTATCTCGAGTTCGGCGGCATTCATGTTCTTGTCCAGGAACTGCAGTAGATTGAACAACTCACGAGCATTGTTCTGCAACGGAGTACCGGTCAAGAGGACCTTGAACGGGAAGCGGAATTTCGAGAGGCTGTCATAGATCTGAGTCTTGTCGCCTTTCAGCCGCTGCCCTTCATCAACAATGAGACCTTGCCAGGGCACTCTCATCAGATTCTTCCGCACGGAATCCTCCACAATGGCCTCATAAGAGGTCACGACGAGGTGAGCTTTGATGTCTTTGACTTCTGATCTGCTCTTCTTCTGTTTCCGTTTCTCCTCATCATCTTTGTCCTTGGGAAATAGTTCATAATCCTGCGCGAGCTTCCTTGCAACCGAGGATCCATAGTAGGTAACGACCGTAAGAGATGGAGCCCACTTCTTAATTTCTCGCCGCCAATTGGGACAAGTTGCGTTTGGGACGACAACGAGGAAAGGCCAACATTTGTGATCGTGAACAAGGGTGGCGAAGAATGAAATCAGTTGGATAGTCTTACCCAAGCCCATCTCATCTGCTAGGACAGCATTCTGATTCTGATACCATTGGAAGAGGAGCCAGTTCAAGCCCTCTAATTGGTATTGCATCAATTCACCACCAGTTATGGCGGACGGCTGAGTTTTCTTGATGATGTTGGTCGAAAAGTCTAAGGCCCGGACGTGAATAAGATGCCGTCGTAGCGTGGACTGAGGAGGAATCGAGACGTGCAACTTGTTGACATAGTCTTCGTATGCCAATTTGAAGTCATTCCATCGTTCGGTGTCAGCATAAGTTGGAGGCTTCTCCCAAATCGCATCCTCGTAACCGAGACCCTTATACTTGACGAATGCTAGCTCGACTTCTTTGACACGGGCCAGATCGATTTCTTTGGTGCTGTTCCTAACAACACTCGAATATCGTACATCGAAGACGATGTCAACGCGAAAGACCTCTTCTGGTATTGCATCTGCAGTCGTCATCTTTGGCAGCTGATTCTCGGGTTTCTTCATGAATGCCAGACGCATTTGTCCGGCGGCTATGCCCCAGACCCAGGTCCCTGGCATCCATGTGGTGCGAAAGTAGGACTGAGCTCTCCATTTGACGAGGTATTCCTTTTCAATTTCTGGGACCTGATCCACGACGGTACCAGGAGCATAGGCTTCGAGATTAACCGGTCGCCATGCAACGAGAGCGTCAATTTGATGTTGGTTCTCGATACAGTCTTTGCAAGTCCACGATCGGTGATAGTGCTCAAAACGCTTTTGTGCAAGTTCAACCTCATCTAACATTTCTTCATCTTCAGCTTCAAGCGATGAATGGGCCGTTTTGCGTTGAGGAAGATGATGCATATGCCATGCCCGATTGCATTGTGCACATCTGAACATGACATGTGTGATGTTGTTGAGCATATCCGGTTCGACGATAGTGATAGGATCTGTCCCGCCGTTTTCTTCTCTCTGAGCTTGTTCCTGACGACTGGTGAGACGGTTGCGCAAAGGCCGCGAGCAGGCGCCCAGCTCGTTGCAATCAGCACAACGACCTTGATGTGGTGCCAAATTGTGCTTTTCTTGAGACAGCCCAATGCACCTTCGGCATTGCAGTACGAACAAGCCTTCGCCAACCTTCGTGACCAAATGATCTCGGCTTCCCCTGGGTCCAAGACATGACTTGTGGTAGGAGTTCGTGCAGCCCTGACAGAATACCAAAGGCCCCTTTGAAGGATTATCGGAGGTCCAATTGCAGGTGTCACAATCTTGTCGATGCCGCTTTCTGAAAGGATCGTGATCAGGGATTCGAGCGAAGTGTTCTTTTGCACCCACAACTTTAGGAGCAGATTTCTCTTCTTCAAGACTTGATATCTCGTCTTCTTGCCGCTCGCGCATGCTCCGGTGGGGCTGGGTTCGAGTTCTTTCTGAACGACGGGTGACGACCTCCGGAGACGTGTCAGAGACTCTTGCTCTTGTACCCCTAGCTCGCAGAGTACGCATGGAGCCTCGATTTGGTCGCATTGCAGACTTTCGACCGCGTTCCCTCCGTGCGCGAGGCTGGTCGGAATCATCGTCGAGTTCGACAAGCTCTTCCTTTAGGTGAGCGAACTTTCTCTTTGAAGTGAGTCGTGCCGAGCGTCGCCCTTGCTCCTGGGGAATGTCTGAGTCGCCTTCTTCTTCCGTCTCCGCTTCGTCTCTCATCTCCACGTCCGTGACTTCGCTGTCATCTCCGGATGTACGACGTCGATGAGGAGCTGAGGGCTCATCTTCACCAGTATCCGAAATATCCATCGTCGTCCAATCTACCATGCCTGAAGCCGCTTGTTTGACAGATCTCCGCTTGTTTTGCCCAGAAGCATCCAGTTCTTGGAACTCTTGGAGTGAGGACGAGCCGTTGTCCAGAGCACGTAACTCGCGTGCAGAAACCTGTGTTGAAGCCATGATTCAGTGCTACTTCGAGTGGACTGTGATGACAGAAGGATGAAGGTGAGGTGAAGAGCATGAAAGAAAGAAGGTAGTAGTGTTAGTGGCAGAAATTGTATAAGTCTGCGGAGGTAAAAGATACAGAGCAGGCCAGTAAGAGCCAAGTGAGACTGAAATGGACGACAAGCCGCAATTGAGAGTACACTCACGAGATCTCGTTCACCACTCTTGCGTTTTATCAGATATTTTCCATCTTCCAGCTTTGATAGCACCCTCTGAACGGAAAAGTGACCGGGCAGATACTCATACGCTTCTTTCTCTTCTCTCGATAACCTCGGTATGTCAATGTAGAAATTGTGTTGCAGGCGAGATGTAGTATCCCGAACAGAATCTTCGTCTTCATCTGATACCGTCACTGGAATGTCATTCTCGGGGCTGTGTTCAATATCGCCATTGTCGTCAGAGTCGCTCGAGGAATAAGCATCGCCGACTGGGGACTTGGACTGCTGGCTGAGTGTCTCTTCTGCATCCTCCCCCGTGTCCTTTTCCGTATTCTTCGATTTCTCCGGCGGCTTTCCAAGCCAACTGGATATATCCACCTCTATGCGGTCCATGATTACCGCGTATGTACAATGAGTATAATTCGACAAGGCCGAGCGGCGGCGGCGGGCGATGTTCTATCGGGGACGCATTCTGTCGAAAGAGGTGCGGATCGCCGGACACTTCTGGCGCAGACAAACCGAGGCGATGCAAGTACGGACTTTCAAGTGTTCGTCCGATGCGAGTGAGGTCGCGATCATGCGATTGTAAGGATGTGAATCCCTGGTTGCGGCTTCTCCAACTGAACGCGGTCGCGTCGCCTTCTTATCGATAACTTAAATCTATGAATTTCGCTTGTCGCTTCTCCAACTACCGGATTTTCTTGCTAGCATCAACAAACCACTTTCGCACTTCTGATACGAGGCCTGTGAATGAATGCAGCCCTTCGCCCGACATGCCTTGCGAAACAGGCTCGCTGTCCAGAGACTCGCACTTTCACGATCTATCTCGCTGACCGGCGCAATCGAAAAGGGTATCCGGGATGGGCAGCATGGCAGAGTCAAACATGAACGCCGCTACCAGGGTCCTCGAGACCAACGTCCTCAGTCTGAACATGACCCTTCGGAAACAAATGACAGGAGGAAGGCTCCTGACGGGCTAGCAAGAGGTCAGCTAGACAGGGAAATACAAAATCGACCGGTCAAGGCACGGGGCAGAAGAGAGGGCAGACCATTCTCATCTGATGATGTAGCACCTACCAGCATTGCATACACGACGGCTTCATCGGAATTTATCTATGGGACATTTTCCGTGCTTGCTGCTCTCAATGCAGGACGGCGCAAGGTGTACAAGCTTTACAGACTCAATTCTGAGCGGGAAGAGGAGGAAACGAGTGCACAGACATCATTACGCGACTTCAGAAAAGACCCAATAAATGCCCCCAGTGCTCTGGTGACCATCGAAAGGCTTGCCAGGCAAGCAGGGCTCGTAATTAAAGATGTTGCGGGTCCTCAATGGACCAGGATTTTCGGCAAAGCCACAGATGCGCGGCCGCACAATGGACTACTCTTGGAGGCATCTCCGCTTCCCCAGCTACCTGTCACCAGTTTGTCTGCTCTCGCGCAACCCATGGATGATATTCATGCTACGGTTGGATGGACATCTCCAGAAGCGCGAGAACTCAATACTGTATTTGATGTTCGTGGAAATGTGGCCAAGCTCGCTTCTCCTCGGCCAGCTCATCGCTATCCATTTATGCTCTTTCTCGATCGCATAACTGACACCGGCAACTTCGGTGCGATTGTACGCTCTGCCTGGTTCCTGGGTGTCGATGCTATCATCCTCCTTGAGCATGGCACAGCCCCTGTCTCTACCAGAGCGGTCAAGGCTTCGGCGGGTGCTCTGGAGTACATGCCAATCCTACATGTCAAGAATGAAAGAGAATTTGTCAAGGCTTCGCGAAAGAACGGGTGGAAGTTCTTTGCTGCAGATGCGCCCGAGAGTGCTGCTGATCTGCGCAGGAACGCTGCCAGAAATATCCAGCACCAACGCGTGGAAGTAGAAGGCGCGTTGTTGAAGCATCCTTGTGTCCTTATTCTCGGTAATGAGGAGACTGGCATTCGAGATTTCATGCAAGATCTTGCAGATGGTGTGGCGGGCATCTCGAGTGCCAGACCCGAAGTCGGAGATATCGACAGCTTGAACGTGAGTGTGGCCGCGGCTTTGCTTACGCAAAGATTCTTCGACACAGCACAGGCCCCGACGTAGAAGACAGGTCGCTACACAGGGTCGTCACAGGGTGGCAGTTACCGTACTCACCCTCAGTCTTCTAGCCACTCCAAAGAGTAAATCTGGCTGTCCCGCCGGAAGGGAATGACAACATCACTTGCCGCGTCTGCGCCTGCACTCCCGACGGCCAACTTGGATCTGACCTTCTCCTCTCGAGCCGAGAGCCTAATCTTCTTACCACTAGCTTCGATGCGGTAGAATTCCCGGCCAAATCCACCGAGAAACCCTTTCAGGACAGATGCCGTAATGCGCTCCTTCTCGATGATGCCTTTGTTCACCGCATCCTCAAATGCTTGGAGCACATACTGCGTGGCATAAGGCTGCGTGAACACGCCAGCCGCGCATTTCCCGCACTCATGTGGGCCGGCACCTCCTTTCTTCGCTCTGAGCGGATGCGGCGCCGAGTCGGTGCCCAGAAAGAACCTCGGATCACCGCTCGTTGCAGCCTGCAATAGCGCAACGCGATCGCTGGGTAGTTTTGCCACTGGCTTGCAGAAATTGATAGGGTCGCCCGCCCAGTCGTCCACAATAATGGACAAGTGATGAGCAGTAATTGTCGCAACGACATTGGACCCACACTTCTTCGCAGCTTCAATAGCAGCAGCCGTAGTGCAATGCTCCAATACAATTCTCAACCGTGGAAAGCGGTGGTGAAGATCAAGCAAAGTCGGAAGAAATGCTTCTTCGGCGTTCAGAACCGTAATGTCCTTCCCGGGGGGCGCTTCGCCATGCAAGTTGAGCACTAGGTCAACTTCTTGCATAGCTTCGAAAATAGGGTAGAATTGCTCGTAGTCCACGACTCCAGATGCTGAATTAGTTGTCACGCCCGCCGGGTACGATTTGACCCCGTAGATGCCTGCTTGCTTCGCCTCGCGGATTGTGTCTGGTGTGATGGAGGGATGCAAGTATAGAGACATCAAGAGCTTCGCGTCCGTGTATTTGGCGATAGACTTCTTGTAGGATAATGCGTGCTCGACTGTTGTTATCGGCGGGACGAGATTAGGCATGACGAAGATGGCATCGACACCCCCAGACGCCACAGTAGGGGCTACTGCCTCGAGCATTGGCCCATCACGGAGGTGGACGTGAAAATCTGCTGAAGCTGGCAGAACCAAGCCGTCGAAAAGTCGAGGTGGCATCTTGAAGATGGAAAGGCTGGTTCAATCTTCCTCAAGAATTCAAATTTTGTGAGAGGAGGGAAAAGTAAATACCTGTCGGCAATAGGTTTGAAGCCAGGACTGAATTATATGCTGTCGTTTTATGGGAACCTTTTTTCACGGTTGAAAATGGTTCGATATTGCTATGGAGAAGTTTAATTGTGGTCAGCGACAAAACTACAGCGGCGTATTCGGGCTTCGTATAGCAACACTCCTGGGCATTGCACCAGGTCAAAGTATTGTTACCTGTTCTTTGGCAAGGCCATGTCTGGACGGAATATATGCATTCCTCTCTATGATTGTGGTTGTACAGAGTACATATGTGGCATCTCGGCGGAGCTCATTTTTAAGTCGTTTCCCCTGTCCATATCTCATTACCAAAGCCCTAGCCCTTCGAAATGTTCGCCATCTCGACTCGATTTTTGATGTATTGTACCGATCATGCCACATATGATGGAGCTTTCCGATTAGCTCGCCTGCCATTGAAATACTTGGCTGTCGAACTCATGTCCGTCTTCAAACGCCCGCTATATCCATTCGTCGAGGAAGTTGTTGCTTTCTCATATGCTTAAACCAGTAAGTCGCTCAAGTGCATTCTTCAGATGCGAGTTTAGTCCTGTGTTGCAAGTCAGCATATGTCTTCAGATGTGGTGGTTGGAATTTCATACATCATCAGTAAGTCGATCCAGTAATTGAATGCTCAATATCATAACCAGCAGTCCCAATGTTACAATGACAAGGAGACCAAAGCCAAACCAGCCCAGAACCATTGCTGCGGTTCCGACGCCAGACTTGACACTTCCGTTGCCCAAATCTTGCGCGATTGTGCTTGCTGCTACAGCAGCGGTATGCTGCCACATGACAGACACCAGCACAAACACTGAGGCAATGAAGATTGTCGCCAACGCAACTTGTGACACGGCTCTGGAGGGAAATGGTCGCACCTCAACTTCATCGCCATCCCTGCCAGTGCTGGTATGCCAACCGGGGAACGTTGCAAGCAACAGAAACGTTAGGAAGGCAAGCACAATAGCAATGATGAGTAGGTAGGGGAACACAATAGCGTTCTTGAACGTGCTGGCCACCCATATCAAGTTCAGTGGATCTTGATCAATGCTCACCAGATCTGCCAGCGCCGTCGAGTTTTGGTTGCACATCCATGCTCCGCCGTCACACTTGATGCATATGCCAAAATACCCCACTCTTACGATGAGATCTGCTGAGCCGACGATGTTGGCAATGGCTGTAGACACTGAGGGGTCGACTTGGACCGTGCTGAAGACGGGAGCATAACTTTTATAGTAAAGTGAAATGAGGTAGATGTCGGGAATGAGAGGTGAGGTCGAGGAACATCCTGCGAGTAGAAGTGCTACGGAAGATAGGTTAGTATTGTCCTCTAATGCAAGAAGCGGATGATACTCACATAGTAGGATGATGGCAATGGCTATGAAGATCATAAGGACATGGTGATATCCTATGAATGGGACAAATCTTCTCCATCCTGTTGCGAATCTGGGAGCCATTCTGGTTCGAGGTCAATGCAGATGGCGTCGGTGGCCGTGTGAGATCTTCGCGGGTTACCGTCCGTGCGGACGGTTAACAGTATGGAAACTCAGCACGGTGCAAGCACCTTGAATTTGACTCGGTTCGAAGAGTGGTCAGAGCGATATGTCTGTAGGTGTATGATATGATCTCCGACGGTTTTGCAAGTTTGATGGTTCACTTTGAACAACAGTATGTCAGCTGCCTGCGTCTTGTATGATGCAGAAGAGTATGAAAGAGAGGGAGGAAGAAGGGGAGGAGAGGCGTAGCTTGATTTAGTTCTGAGAATATTCTGAGACTGGGACTACAAGGCACCAATTGCCATAATTGCTCATAGATTTGCCATTGAGAAATCGCGAGGTTGGTCTGTGTTGCGGTGAATTGTATGGTAAAAATCGGCAGGCTGGGACTGCGCCTTTGCGGATGAGGAGACGATCTCGAGCCATAATTTTTGCCAAGGCGACTGTTGATGTTTAGCCATTTGAGGTTTAGACTAGCCTTTCTGCAACCTTAATTCTTAGACTTGACCCTGTTTTTCTTTTCCCCGGTTGGCAAGCGCACAAGGCTGCATTTCAGGTACTGTTCCTAGCTAATCTACGTCATCTCACTGAGGTTCGAAGACCTACTACTCGTATGATAGTAAAGCACATTGGTACTCCTACTAAGCAGACAGTGTCATTTTTCAGAGATAGTCTTTCGCAAGGTAGGAAGGTATTCATTACTGTCGTCATGCGTAATAAGCAAATCGTCGACGAGGCCTACGCGTGGCTCTACCTATAGCGACCAGCTTCGAGCGACCTCATAACCAATAGTCGTCCGTGTTTTGCGCCTGTTCATGATGCCCAAATGAATGCCAGTGAATGATGACAAAGTCCAGATTCTCACATTGCCTCGCTGGCGCCAATGTAAACCCCGACTCGAAAGAACGCCAATCAAAATGCTGAACACAATGCCCAAACGCTCATGCCCGTACAAAAGCAAATGAACTCAAGTCAAATGTCGGCTTCCGTATGGGTGACCCTACTTCGGAGCACTCGTCCTCGCTGTTAGGCACCATCGCATCCTCGCTCCCTCGTACCTCGTTTCTGGTGATAGACGGAGAATGCTCACGCATTGGTGGGCTGAGAACTGCGGACCTCTTTGGCACGCCTTCGTCCAATATCCTCCCAGGTGTCGCAACATCCGCAGAGAGTGATTTCAAAGCTGACTGACGTGCTTCTGGTGACTGATGCGCGAATGTTTCGCGTAGGTCAGGACTAGGGCGTGGTTCCGGTACTCTATCCTCCGTGAAGAGCTTACTGAGTGCAGCCATTTGCACCACCTCTGGCTGCGCGGAGAAAGCCATCTGCTTTCCCTTTGGGCTTGATAGAGACCTCATAGCTGGCTTCTGCGATGGTGTAAAAGCAAACTTCTGCAAGATTGCTTCATTCTGCTTCCGCACATGGAAATCTAGGAGGTCTTCAAATGCTTCAGGATCATCGTCTTGACTGAGCTCGCGAGCTTGTGACCCATTTCGGGCGTCGTCGCCCTTGACACACCTTCGCGACGGCGAGATACCCTCTTGGGACGGTGTGGAGCCAGATAGAGCTGGCTGAGCAGGCGGCGAGGACTGGGGTATCGAATCTAGACCATTTGCATTCTCGCTCAAATCCCCTAGGTCTGGGTATGTAGGGTGCTGATAGATCACCTCCTGCTGTGGACTGGCTTTTTGCTGCACTTCACCATCAAGCAACATCTCACCAACAGAAGAGTCGGAAAAGACCTCAAACGCTGACCGCCTGGACTTTTTGACCTTCGCTTTCTTCTCTGCTAGTGGACTGACCTCCACTTGCTCGAAAGTGGATGTAAAGAACGGACTCTGCTTCGTCTCTTGTATGGGCGAAGGGTCTACAGATTCTGCGCACAATCGTTGTCGCTTCGGAGGCTGATACGTTGACTTCGTTGAAGCCCTTGCGAGAAACGCGGTGCGATCGGTGCCTGCTGAGATTTGAGCCGGGGTAGTCATGCCGCGTCTCAAGGCAGGAGCCGAGGATACCAGCCTCGGTTCCCATGACTCGTTCCGATGGCGCTCAAGGAGTCTTTGCTGTGACGGTGAAGGCGTAAGACTGTTTGGGTCCAGCTCTGCAAGCGGCTGTCTCTGTGGTTTGAAGAAGGTCTCAATGGATTTCTCCGGTTTGAGGTCCGCAGGCGTAGCGTAACTTTGTCGACGGTTCTCACCAAGCGCTGGACGACTGACCGGCGTACCGTTCCTCGGCTGAACATGAATGGGCTTCTTCGAGAAAGGGTCCAAGTCTCCGCAAGCAACGCCTGTCGCCGTATCCGAGTTCACAAAGGGACCCAGATAAGGCATATCTTCCTCTAGCATGCCCGGGCTAAGTTCCTTCAGGCAGACCATCTTCTGCGCGATGGGACAGAAGACACGGTGGTGCAAAAACGTCAACTCTGCTTGCTCAAACATCTTCGAGTAGTCCGCAGGGACCATCAATTTTCCCTCGAACTGAATCACACGGATGATTTTCTCAATATCTTTGTGTCTCCGAACATAGGCATGGGCTGTCTTCAACCCAATCTTTCCAATGTTTGGTAGGTAATCGCATCCACTGAGAATCGCCATGCGCATGAACATTGAGTCGGTCCACCCAGCCAGATTCATCTCCTTGCACATTGGGAAATCTGCTCTGTCAATCTCGACCAGTTCGCCATATTGATTGAGCTTGGTTAGAAGTCGTCTTGCTCCAAAAACCAAGAGATCGGAGTCTTCAGACAGTATTCCGTCGATGATGCCTTTCTGTTCCAGATAGACCAGCTGCGCATCGGCCTCATACGGTGCCACAACATACTGAACATTGAGCTTCTTGAGTTCTTCAATCAGCTGCCGTGCCATGAATGGGGTGACGTCGATCGCTTTTTGAAACTCTTGCTGTGCTTGACTGGTCTTGCCCGCTTTCTGCAACTCTAATGCCAACGCCTTGCTTTCTTCCCTCCTCTTTCGTCTCGCAGCATTTGTACCAGCTTTGCTGGGTAGGTTGTCTCCATCAAAGATCAAATAAGGCGTCACTCCAAAGTCAAGAAGCATTCGGACCCTGCTCAGCACAAAATCAATATGCACACTCGTCGGTTTGTCCAGGGCAAGGGCGAAGGCGCAGCCCACAACACCACGGTGTAGCCATCCGTAAGCGTCAACTCCAAGCGTTTGTCCGGCGAATTTCTTCAGGTTGCAGGGCTTTTGGATTGATTTGAGCAAGGGCAGCAAGCCTGTTTTTACTATTAGTGGGACGCAGGGGATATTGTATACGACTCCTTACCCTTGATGCCCATTTCTGTGGCGCGGAATCCTTCACCGCCTAAGTAGAATGGATACTGAAACTGCGAGAGAGATACCTGACGGCAGGAGTGACGGCAGTGTGGCTTCGCAAGACCAGATCGTACATCAATCGACTTTCCTGGGCCATCAGGACTATACTATTGTGTGGTGTAGAATATCTTGAAGGTATGACAGAAAGGCAAGGGACAGGCATCTGCATTGGCAACCGTCCGTTTACGCGCCTGTCATGTTCATTAGACGCGACTTGGAGAAGCGGCATCTACTATAGCCGAAGTTCCGCCGCCCCTGAAACTTTTTACACCCATAATGAAATTGTTCAGATTCGGCCTTCATAATGTTTCAAGGCGAATCCAAAGCCGCTATACCTCACGGCAAATCATCAAAATGGCTCGCGCTTTAAGCAAAGTCCACAAGCAGATCTCCAAGAAGAGGAACGGAAAGATAAACAATCTTCATGAGAACAGTCGTTCTGCCCAACGGTTACGCGCAGCAGGTGCCCGGGAGGACAAACTGACCAGGATGATGGACGCTGCCGTGAAGCAGAACCAGGTCTATGGTACAAGATTGCCCAGCTGAAAATGTTGGCATGTTGCTAACGAATTGCATCCCCAGTCGACAGAATCGCGTGGTTCAAATCAGCGTTGGAGGGTTCTGTTGGTGCCGTGAGTGATGAGGAACTACACTTATTGACCCAGAGGTACGCTTGACGAGGATTTTTCCGCTCTGATACTAAGCTTTACAGCTTCATTGACCGCGAGGATGAACAACTGGCGGAGGCTCAACAACAGCGAAGACCAGGACGTCCGCCTTCAAAGCTTGAAGAACAGATCAAGCTGAGAAAGGACTCTGAGGAACGTGAATTTCGTGGCGGTCTCTGGGTTCCCGAACTTCGGGCGGAGGAAAGCCGCTCAAAGCTCGAAAGGTGGAATGGAGACTGGAATGGACTCAACACGCTGAAATTTGTCCGTGTTGTCAAGAACGGGGAAATCAAGCCTTCCAGCTTTCCGCCAAAAGGACTGTCTTGAAAAGCGCAACTTCGATTATCTCATTCATCACGGGAGAAGTCACGTCGCCACAGACGACGACCAGCGACAGTCGCAAGAAGGGTAGCTGAAATGCCCCAGCTATGCGAAGCACCAGCAGCCACGAGCGCCTGTAACTGCAAAGTTGGCATGTGGAAAGCGACTGGCTGCTGAGAAGTCGCCGAATCTCATTCTGCCTGACGATACAAATACGATCAGGCCACTTGCATCGAATGACCTGAACACCACATAGCTGGTCAGTCACTTCAGCAGCGAAGGAGACTCTCCAATTTGACGAGTATGGGGAATTGTCAACAGTATCATGGTCGGTTGAGGCAGTTGTGGAGGACATGGCGACTCGATCTAGCTGGAACGTATGTTATCAGGACGGACCGTGTTGGGCATGGGGACGGGTCAGTAAGAAGTGAAAGGGGAAGCATTGGTGGAGCACCTCATTGATGGCAAGCCACCTGCTAGCAACGGGAGTTTCGAGTCCTGGGATACATCCGCATGATGAAGAGCCCCATATCGAAGCGGGCGGAAGGGAGTGGATGATTAGATGCTCTCAGAGACGTCGACGCGAAGATGTGTCATTACAATTAATTTTTCATGAAGCCTCGTCTCCAAAAAAAATAACTGGCGACAACTAAATGCTTCATTCAAATTGCGCAGTCTCTGTCCGTTATCTTCCATCTTCGTATCCAGTCTCGAGCATCATCGTCAATCGTGCATGATGAATTCTTTCAGACTGTTCCCCCGGGCCTTGTCCAAGGCAGCCCTCCGTCAGTCCTCAGTCCGTTGCGCTTCAACAGCCTCAAGGTTTGCGGCTCGTCGACCAGTAAGGCAGCCAGCAATGAAATCGTCCTACCCTGCCTTCTCAACGTCTACACTCCACCGAGAGCCTGCTGGTGAATGTTAGTCAGAATTGCTATGGGCTATGAGCCATGCTAAAATCATCATAGTCGACCTAGAACTCGTCGAGAAATTGAAGAGCGAACGGAGTTTGGAGCTCGAGAATCCCGAAGAGGGCAAAAAGGAGGCAATCGACGAGTTTCTGGCAAACAACTCGTGGCAACTACTAGACAAGGAAGGCACGCATGAGGTCACCTTGACGAAAGAGTTCGGAAATGAAAAGTAAGTACAGCATGTCGATACAATGAGTCGTCCAAGTCATCTTACAATGATCCTGTAGAATCAAGGTTGCGCTTAGCATCGCCGACTTCGACAACCTGGCCGACGAGGACGAATACGATGGCATCGAGGAAGACGGAGCGCTTGATGATGAAGCAGAATATCGCCCGAAGGCCATCAATCAGTCTGGTGCGAAGGGAGGCAAATTCGACATTAAGCCCGAGGATAGCATTGCGCCCGTCGACAGAGAGGGAGACGAGGGCGCTATGATGGACGACGGTGCTGGCCCGGCATATCCCCTCCATCTGACCATCACGATCACGAAGCCCAACAGCCAGGCCATCGAGATCCGAGCTGTGACTACCGAGAACGTCGAGATCGAGACCATCACCTTCTTTGCCAAAGACTCCCTAGTCGAGGCGCAAAACCCTAAGGATGCTCAAGAAGCACGCAGTGTGTATGCCGGCCCTCCCATCGGCAACCTCGACCCCGATCTCCAGGCTATGCTGGAGAGATATCTTGAAGAGAGAGGAATTGATGCACAATTGGCTCAATTCTTGCCCACGTACGTTGACTACAAAGAGCAACGAGAATACGTCAAGTGGCTTGGTGGTAAGTGTGACTGTCCATTCTGTCTGGTCGATGCTAATTATGTTACAAACAGATGTGAAGAGTTTTGTCGAAGCATAACTGTTCTCTTGGATTCGGCGTTACGATTGCGAGATTCACTCATGTCTTTCCTAGACCCTCCACTTTCAGTAGCAGCAGCAGTAGCAAGGTGCTATGCTCTGCAACATTGTACAGTATGTCATTATGGTCGCGAATCACAAAATAGGCAGTTCCGATACCCATGTGCTTGTCGAGGATGTGGTACAAGATGCATAGCAGCAGAGCCACATCTTCTCATCTTACCCTCATTCTTCGGTCGCTTCAGTCGCGCCGCAATAAAAGTTTAGACAATCGGCCATTAAGTGTCGGCCCGTCGCATCGTCATTGCCCATGAGGTGTGCTTGTCGAGCATCTGTCAGATAGCACTCGAATTATGTTTTTTTCAAGCCAGCACATTTGCGTAGGTGGTACCTCGTATAGCTTGCCTGTCCTTGCATGTGTGTGAACTCCGATTGGTTTCTGAACACCTGCTCATAACACCTCATCGACCTATTCCGCTCTGCAAGGATCTGTGGCACCTGTAAGCATGATGCTTATGCACCAGGGTCAGCTCTGTTTTCGGAATCCTTGCCTCGACAACATCGTTTAAACAACAGGCAGCTCGGTGCCGCAAATACTGACGATAGCAAAAGAGTCAGGTTGTCAGTCACTCTGACACGTCTCAAGAACGGCCACCCATTGGACCAAAAGTGCTGAACCCCGTGAAAGCCTTGATCCCTAACCAATCATACCCGCAACGATGTGGTTGACATACTCTCTCAGAGTCTCCATCTTCGAGTCGTAAGAGCGAGGGGAAAAGGCTTAATTGTTCCAGCACAAAGCAGGGGGACTGTGCCACCACCCCGCCCGGTACCCGCCCTTGAAGAACTTCGACCTCACAGGACCTCCTCCTCCCGGTTACCTACCGAGACAACGAACCAACCGGAAGCATGATCACGGCATCAATGAACACAGTATCAACACTGAAAGAGCGCCAGTAACATGGCAATACCGTCACTGTTTTGCAGGTAGGTACCTACCCATGAGCCGCGTAAATACGACGTGGATACGAAACACGATCACCGAGGCAGATGCCAGGCGTCCCATGTCGATATCTGCCTAGCCCACATTACCCCGGCAGGGTCCTATCATGGCGTCGCAGATACCAACGTTAGGACGTAGTCGCGAAGTACTTCTGCTGGTTCTTCCTCTCTTTCCCTCCCCTCGCGAATCCTTCTCATCTCGTCGACCTGGCGGACTGTTCCCGCTTCATAACATGCTCTTGGAGTCTCCATAGGCATCTATAGCCTGCGTCGTCTTGTTCCTCAATTGTGTCCCTGCTGTGTTCAAGTTAACATGTCGCACTATTTGAACGCCGTTCTTGGGCTCCTTGTTGTCTCTGTCGTTTATTTTACTGTCACGTCCTTCCTCTCCAGCCGTTACCATGCCCAAAAGGCAAAGGAACTCGGGTGTCAGCCCGCGTTTCAAAGAAAGCACAAGTGGCCATTGGGAACTGATTTTATCTACCAGGTCGCCAATGCCGACAAAGAGCATACAGTGCCCGCATTCTTCCAAGGCCTATATAAGGAGCTAGGACATCCAACATGGATTCAAAACGTTCTGGGCACATGGGCCTATGTTACCGCTGATCCGAAGAACATTCAAGCTTTGCTCGCCACGCAATTCAATGACTTCGAGATTGGCGAGGCACGCCGAGGAAACTTCTTCCCAGTCTTTGGCAATGGGATTTTCACCACAGATGGCAAAGCATGGTAAGTGATTGATTCAATCTGAGTACGGATATGTATTGATCTATACTGTAGGGAACACTCTCGCGCTATGCTCCGACCACAGTTCGCGCGTCAGCAAGTCGCCGACCTGAACTTGGAAGAAGTTCATGTTCAAGACCTGCTTCGGCACCTTACAACCCGGAACGGTTGGACAGATCAGGTTGATTTAGCACCTCTCTTCTTCCGCCTGACGCTTGATTCTGCCACGGAGTTCTTATTTGGTCAAAGTGTCGACTCTCAAGTAGCAGCCTTGCCAGGTTACTCGAATGAGAATGCCAAGCGAGCCGGCACCCTAGATTGGACCTCTTTTGGAAGCGCGTTTGATGCCGCAACCACGGCTGTTGGCCAACGAGGTCGACTTGCGGACATGTACTGGGTCTTAACGCCCAAAGACTGGCAAAAGAATATCAAGATTGTCCATCAATTCGCAGATTACTATGTCAATCTGGCATTGACCACCGACTTGTCCACATTGAGCGAACACAACCTTGAAAAGGGTCAAAAGAAGGAGAAGTACATTTTCCTCAAGGAGCTCGTACAACAGACTCGGGACCCGGTCGAGCTGAGAAGTCAATTGCTTAACATCTTGCTGGCTGGTCGTGATACCACAGCCGGACTACTCGGATGGACATTCTATCATCTTGTCAGACACCCAAGTATCTTTCAGAAGCTGCGTGAGACCATAGTCGAGCAATTTGGTTCCTATGAGAAGCCCAGAGATATCACCTTCGAAACACTCAAGGGCTGTTCATACCTCCAGCATACCATGTCAGAGGTTCTTCGCCTCAACCCGACAGTACCCTTGAATAGTCGCCGAGCGGTTAAAGACACTAGCATTCCTAGAGGAGGAGGACCGGATGGTGACGCGCCTTTGTATGTCAAAAAGGGCCAAGAAGTCAATTACACGGTTCATGTCATGCATAACCGCGAAGATATCTGGGGGCCGGATGTCGCTGAGTTCAAGCCTGAAAGGTGGATTGGACGTAAGGCTGGATGGGAGTTCTTACCCTTCAATGGTGGGCCACGGATTTGTCTGGGTCAACAATTCGCTTTGACTGAAGCCGGCTATGTTATTGTGCGAATACTTCAGAAATTCGATCGGCTCGAGAACCTTGAGACTGATCCGGTCATGCGGCACCAATATAGTGTCACGACTGCACCTTGCCGGGTTCCTCTACGCTTGCACGAAGCTGCTGCGGCTTGAAAGCCATAGCGGTCATGTTTGTGGCGACTTGCGACACCGAGAACGGTACTGGGCTGTGCGGACAACGGTAGCTATTTCCATCAGCATCAAGTGGTGCTCACATACTGCCACTGACGGCGCTTGTACGCCTCGAGGTTGACTAAGTGCCTGCTTGCATTTTACGATCGAAACGACTACCCTCTCCTGAGAAGGTGTGGCACGACTCTCTGTTCTGCTTCGTTACAAGTATCAGAGGGCGTTTCTCAACCCAAGACTACCGCAGCGTAAGGACGATGGACGGTCGAGCAGGTGTTATCTGCTGGTTCCAGGTGCGGTGCCTATCAAATATGTACCTGCACCTTGACAAGCACCCATGATACAAGTTTTCTATGCTATCTGCGGAAATGATTGCCGATCTACAATTGGTTTTGATTTGATCGAAAATGAGCCGCTTATCTCAAGCATTGGCCTCATTATTCCCTTGCACTCCATCTTGGATCTTGATCCTTTCAGCTCGACAGGCACGCGATACTCGTAATTCCCCAGTATATTCCCACATGTTCACCAGGCTTTAGTTTCCGATTCGACATGGTTGCCAAAAGATCGTCGCCCTGGTTCCACGAGTCAATCACCACTGTGGCGTACACATGACGTCGCCTGCGTATCATGTAAACAGGTTTGCGTTTGCAACCAGGTCCAGCTGCACGCGACATAATGCCATTGTGTGCGGGCAGGTGAAACGGTGAGTTCGAACTGAGAAATAGAAAGAACGTTCAAGTACTTCTGGTTCTGCAACTCTTTTTTCACTTGCACTTCCACTCTTTCCCCTGACCGGATCTAACCACGACAACCTCTACTGCCACTGATATCTCGTCGACGTGAACACTTAAACCTCAATCCATTCGAGTACGTGAAACAAACCAATTCAGACCAACCACTCGAAGCACAGATACTCATGTCTTCCGCAAGCTCAGCAGCTACCAGCGCAAGTTCAGCAGCTTCCAACGCATTTTCCTCCGCAACAGCCCTGGCCACTGGAAACGGTCCAAGCAAAGGCATGTCGACCACCGGCATTGTCTTTACATCCGCCGCCGTCATCGTTACCCTCCTAGCTCTCGCCCTCGCAACAATCTACTTCACAGGCTACGCCGATGATGCAGCAGAATGGTTCGCCAAGCGCTACTACAAGGCCAAGGCCATCGCCGAGGTGAAAGTCCTCGAAAACGCCGGGAGCGATGAGCTCCAGGGTGCGCTCAAGGGTAAGATCTCCACCGCAGAGTATCTACCAGATTGAGAATTGACTGACCTTATGAACAGACTCGCTGAAGAAGAATCCCATCCTGGGTGAGGGTGAGCTTGACAGCATCTCTGGCGGATTAGGCAAGGAGGCGGCGCAGCAGGGTTTGGGCGGTGTCAGCGACAAGCTTGGTGGATTGGGAAAGTTTTAGAAACCTACCATCTTGTGCCTCGACGAGGGTTCACTTTGCCACCGCAACGACTTGTCTAAAACGAACTGGCATGGATCTACTCTAGCAGCTTCGGCGATCGACGACACGAACATGGAGGTCTTCGTGAGAATGGCATGGAGCTCTACCCTATGAGCTCGACGACGACATGAGCACACAAAAACTCGTGAAAACTGAGCGATGACTGTATGAATAGCACATCTTGAAGAAAGACGGCCAAAATGATATTCAAGGCCCAGCAGGCCCTCTACCAGAGCCCATGACTCCACGCTTCCTTTACTATTTTACTCCAAGTAATCCGGTCTTAATTCAAAAATAGCATCCTTGGTCAATTTCTGAAACTCCTCATCATCATAGAAACTCGCCATCACTTCGACCATATCCGAGGTTGACCCCGAGAAGAAGCGCTTTTGACTAGCAGGCAAATGGCACCGCATACTGTGGTTTGGATAGACTGGACTCTACAGCAGCAGGGCTAGTCAGCCACCATACCGGAATCTGACAACAGAACGTACCTGATATCCCAGCCCGATCATGATGCGATGCGTGTCCGTTCCGTTCGGCATACCAGCGTGCCACAGCCTCAGATCTCGAATCATGATATCGCCAGGACAGCACGCAGGTTGTACAGGCGGGCGCACCCTGCGACGCGCCTCCTTAGCTTCTTCATTGATGCGTGGTAGCGGCTCGCCCAGGCGTCCGTACTCGACAACCTGCTCCGGATCCGTGGCGATGACCTGTTCACGCCATGAAGCGTGGGCATGCGAGCCGAGCCAGAACTCCGTGGTTCCGTTGTCAATGCTGAATTCGCACAGGGGAATATTGGCGATGAAGTAGTATGGATACTGTGGGTGAGCGAAAGCGCAGTCCTTGTGAGGTGGTTGGCGGAGACCGGACGTGTGAGATAATGCGGTGTTGGACGTTAGCCAGTTCCAGATAGGGCGGTGGCCGAGATAGCTGGCATATCATTCACACACCTCAGCCTGAGAGACCGAGACATTGGAAGGGGTGTACGAGGACTCACGCGTTGGCCACCTGCAGAAGAAAAGGGTTGAAGTAGACGTCTTCGAACAGATACGAGGCGTCTGTGACAGGAGGTCGTTGAAGAAAATTGGCTGGGTTCGGCGTGTCAGTCGGTGCAAACGACGTTTTGGGATACCGCACATTTGACGCCATGATTGTATACTTGATTTGGATCGGTCCTTCTGAGTTCGGCGTCGGCGCACATCTTGTCATTCAATGCTTGGATATGCTTGACGTCGATGACGCCTTTGAGCAGGACGAGGCCATCCTGGTGCAAGGCCTCAAGTGCTTTCTGGAGACTCAAGGGTGAGTATTTGCCCTGATGGTGTTCATCATCGGACACGGGCACAGATTGCACGTCGTCAATGGTAGTCGTGGTGCCGTTCATTGTGATAGCTGTCCTGTTTCATAGGACCCGTATCGAGAATGGCATTGACTGGTCAATCTCAAGCACGTCCGACAAGTGGCAGTGTCTCGTCCACTGCATCATGCCTGTAGCACAGTATCAGTATCTTCGTGCGATAAGCAGTGAACAGAAGAGATATGACGAGGCTGCATAAATACGGTGCCTGGGTTGGTGGTCGAGGCGCAGCTACTTCCACTTCCTTCTCCACAACTCACTCCACCTGCGGTCCCTGAATCCTCGATTCCTTCCAGCATGTGTTCCGTGCGGTGAACTTTCAGGCATCTCCTTTTCATTCTGCTGTAGCCTTCTCTTAGCCTTCCTACATGCTTCGATAAACCATTTGGAAGCTGCAACGCACATGAACAGCACGCTATCCCCAAAAGACCGCGTATGGTCTCGGAGAGAGATTGAGGGGTTAATCGCGGAGGGGAGAAAGATATTTATACTTGATGGACAAGTGATCAAGGCCGATGCATGGCTCCCATACCACCCTGGAGGCAACCATGCCATATTGCACATGGTTGGAAGAGATGGCACAGATGAGATACGAGCATTGCACTCGATCGAGACTCAAGCATACATGCGAAAGTTTGTCATAGGGAAAATCCAAGGTCGTTGGAACAACTTCCTGCCTCCCATACAGGGCGGCACGTTCAGGCCGCTCACCCATGACAATCATCAGGAGGAAGAAGACTTCGAGTGCCCACTGGACGGCACCTCCAGTTCCGCCAGCAGCAGCATACCGCCATCGCCTATCTTTGAAGCCGTCGATGCAGAAGTAAGCAAGTCAGCCACGTCCGTATCGTCCGCCTCTTCTATCTCCGAACACGAAATACCTCCTATCAGCACAAATCCGATTGAAACAAAGCTTTCGGCAGAAAGAACGTCCGATCTTCTGAAGTATCCGTCGCTCGACTATGCTTCCCAGGATCAGATTGTCAGCAAATACAGAGAGTTGAATGTCCGCATTCGCGCCGCGGGTCTTTACGATTGTCCCTACTGGGCTTATGGAATCGAGCTCTGTCGTTACATCCTCCTCTTCGCCAGCTCCCTCATCGCTCTACGCTATGGCTACTACGCACTCTCCGGCGCTTTTCTGGGGATGTTCTGGCATCAACTTGTTTTTACCGCCCACGACTCCGGCCACATCGGTATAACCCACAATTACCATGTCGACAGCTGCATTGGAATCTTCATCGCTGATTACCTCGGCGGTCTGTCAATCGGATGGTGGAAGCGAAATCACAATGTTCACCACATCGTCACAAACTCCCCCGAGCACGATCCCGACATCGAACATATGCCCTTCTTCGCCATTTCTCCCAAGTTTTTCAGCAGCCTTCGCTCGACCTACTACAACCGTATCATGGATTTCGATATCGTCGCGAGATGGGCGATCTCCGTGCAGCACTGGTCATACTACCCGATTTTGTTGCTGGGGCGCTTCAATCTCTACCGTTTGTCCTGGGAATACCTCTTTACAGGTCAAGCACCAAGGAAAGGGCCAGCTTGGTGGCACCTCTACCTCGAAATCGCAGGCCAATTCGTCTTCTGGGCCTGGTACGGCTATGGGATTGTGTACTGTTCCATCCCCACGGCCTGGGACCGTTTTGTCTTCGTCATGATCTCTCATATGGTCACCATGCCATTGCACGTCCAGATTACTTTGTCACATTTCGCCATGTCGACCACGGATATGGGCGTACACGAATCCTTCGCACAGAAGATGCTCAGGACTACCATGGATGTCGATTGCCCAACGTGGCTCGACTTTTTCCATGGCGGTTTGCAATTTCAAGCTGTGCACCACTTATTCCCACGGATTCCAAGACATAACCTGCGCAAGGCACAGAAGTATGTCAAGGAGTTCTGCGAGGACACTGGCATTCCGTATGTGATTTATGGCTTCACCGAAGGTAACCAGAAAGTTATCAGCAGGCTAGGAGACGTTGCGAAGCAGGTCAAAGTCTTTGAGGAGTGTCGTAAAGCCTGTGCCCGAGAAGTTGTCGAGGGCCATGGGCTCGCGCATTGATACGTACAGAAAAGCAGGATAGAAAAATGACTCAAAACGAGTACGGAAGTGTGGCGTCTGTGATTTCTGCGAAGACTTGGTCATAGGTATAATGAAGAGATGAGAAATGTATAAAGAATGAAGAGAAGAATAGAACAAACGACACAGACTGGAGTTTGGGAATGCGTGGAGAGGACTCGTTGCACAATGTCTGTATCTACCTGGTAGATAGATCTAGTGACCGCTCAACAGCTGGTCATCGTTCTTCTGCTTTACTCGATATCAATACCAGACCCATCAATCTTGAATGCAAATCCAGGATGATTTCCTGATCCTTCTCCTGCGCCCATCGCTATCATGACTCTGTCCCTTTCCAGCGACTGACCAGGCCGCCACTCTACTGTTGCTATGAACCTAGCGTTCCGCACGGCTTCAAGTCTTTTCTCCGCGTCACGTAGACACTCTTCCAACGACATCTGCGGTGCGAATTGCGGGACTTGCGCCCTCGTCAGGCTGAGCGTGAGAGTGGCATACATTGTCCACGGCGATAGACTTGGACCCTGGGGCGCAGGGGTCAATGGCGTCGTTTCAGGACCTGTATGTGTCTGAGTGATTGTCCGTGACGGAGCGTTGTTCGTGCTGAAGGCCACTGCGCATTCGAATCTCGTCTGAAGCGCTTTGAGACGTGCGATGATGTCGGCAGTCTTGGATGGGTGGTCTCGAGCTGCTACGCTCGGAGTATCCAGTTGTGCCATGGTTCTGTCGAAGCGGTCTTGCCAGTAGAATGCGGTGGCTGAGTCGAGCACCACGAGACCTAGCGGTCTGTAGATTGAAGAGTGGCGTGTTTTGTCGAGGAGAAAAGATGGTGAAGACTCGAGAATGGATAGTAGCTGTGTGGACGACTGTGGGCGGAAGATGTAGATGTGGTTCAGGGCTTCGTGGGCGATCTGTCGAATGCTTTCTGACGTGAGGTTTGTGCTGGTTCCATGGTGTGTTTCGAGATGGTGCTTAATGATCTGTACGAGGCGGATGGCTGAGAAGCGGCTGTCATTGTCTATGTATATGACTGCTGATTCGTTGCCCCCATTTACTCTTGGTAGGGCTGCCAGGGCTGAGATATAGAGGAGGAGAGTAGTCTTTCCAGAGGCGGATTGGCTGCTGGTCAATTCGATGACAGCAGGCTTCCGCGTGGCATTGTGCTGGCGAGATGGAGCTTCATGGCGATGTGAAGGTTCAGCTTCCTGATCATCATGATGCTCGGCTTCGTTTTCTGTCCCAGGACGGTGTCCTGTTGCTGATGTCCATGATGGATGATCTGCTGGTTGAGATGGTAGGCGAAAGGCCTGAAGTAGGTTGTCTAGCTGCGGTATTCCGATTCTTGACTTCGACTGGGGGCATGACCTTTGTCTGATCTCTGCCAATAGCTGAAGGAGAACAATGGGGTTAGATATTGTCTGTTGTTGATGCACAATCCCAATGACAAGGCTGAAGTATGCATCGGAAGAAAGTCGGGCGGGACAATCTCCGTAATTCCACTTCATATTGCGACTGGGGAAAAAGCTCACCTGCTCGAGACCTTCCTCCTGCACCTCCTCGAGGAGTCTGCGGCCGTATTGTTCCGCCGACATGACATCGCCATGACCGTCGCCCACGCGCCAGCTTAAGTTACCCTCAGCATAGCGGTGTTGGAGGAAGAGAAGAAGAGTGCAGGATACGAGGGGAAAGAAGAATCAATGGCTCCGCCCGAACAACCCTTCCCCGTAAGCTCCCTCGAGCAGCGAGCACAATTCCACTCCGTCAATTTTAAGGACAAGAGCAGGAAATTGGGGGACTTTGATCTCAAAAGAGATTGTGAGCTACTCGAGCTTGTCCAATACAGTTGCACCACGCCCGAGCAGCAAGCTAAGCGTGCTATGGAAAGTCCGACTGGCAGCGCGAGAATGGAGTGTTTCCCATTCGTGCGGCTATTCAGAAAGTATGGAATAGTGCCATATCCTAAGGATGCTACAAGTCTGACGAATATTGCAGGTGCGAGAAGAAGGGCAAGGTCTTTCACGTAGAAACCACAGCGTGGGAAGGCCAGAACGCATGGAAGCCGCTGACGAGCTCACGACCAACGGCCGGGATGAGCAACAAAGAAGAAGGTACTGTCGACACAGAACTAACGAAAAGCGCCTTTGCTAGATATAAGGAGTATTTCTGGTCCGGAGAATGAGCCTCGCACTGGGTATCATATGCATATCTGCTATGCGTTTGCCGACCACCAACGCCAACGCTATCAAAAACACGAGATCTGACCTCAAAACAACTCCAGGTTCGAGGAGGAATGCATCACCCTCGCAGGTTGAGTCGAGCCGGCCTCGTTTACTGCCGCGCGCCTCTTCACCTGCACATCATCTGGCATTCGATACGACTTTTCGCAAGTCACAATCGGTCCCAGCTCAAATCCTCCAGGCTCTTTCGCCAGAAGATCTCGTAACGTCTCCTCGAAGACAGCTTCTTCCGAGACATCGACGGTGTCCTTCCAGCGTTTTCGCTGTGTGATCTTGGATCTTCGTTTCGTGGCCTCCAACTCAAGAGGATGCGTCGCATCAAGCTTGACTGCGCCGGCCAACTTCCGCAACGCCTGCTCACCCAGCTTGCCTTCCTTTGTTGCTAACTCTCTGATTCTCCGAGTATCATTCTCGCGGTAAGGATACACAGGCGTATCCTTGAACGTATGCGCAGAAGGCAGCTCCGGCAGGACCCGGGTGTTGAAAGAGAACTTCTTGAGTTCGCCATGACCGTCCAACTCTGGCCCGAGGAAGGTAGCAGGAAGCTCGACAGTGTTATGGAACACATCCTCGGGGGGAGGAGTAGGTAGTAGGGGCCTATTGACAGACGGCTGAGAAGCATACGGTCTAAGCTGGTCATCGGGTCGGGGAACGTCGAGTACGTCGATTGCTGTGTCAAAGTCGGCAGCGATTGGGACTGTTCGTCGGGCGGCTAGCATCGATCGACGGACCATGGAGAGAATTTTGAGCATGTCTTGGAAAGTCAGTCAACCAGCAAGAGACATGTAGGTGTAGGGACGATATACATTCTTCCAACAACGCCATGAGTGATTCGAGAGCGGCAGGCTCGATCAGAGGGCTTGTAATATCCTGTTTTGCCGCTTCTCCTATGCATATCCTCTTGACACATTGTGAAACCAACTCGTCGACTATCTCTTGTTCAACCAGCGCCGGTTCTTGCGTAGGCACAGACTGTGCCTTGTGTCGCATGACATGATGGTGATGGTATGGTTGCTTTCGTCTCGGTGAATATGAAGACATCTAGAATCGCGACGGCATATGTAGTGACGAGAGGAAATGGACTGACGGAGCCGTCGGGTCACTGTATTGCGCACAGGTGGGAAGCTGGGGACGACATGAAATGTTATGAGTGACCTAGAGACTAGAGACACTGCGCTGTCGCAGTCGGAGACAATACAGAAGGTGGACTGATCCGAGCGCGGCGGCGTGAAAACCCGCCAAGACCCGCAGCTACGACTTCTCATTCGACTTCAATGAGCTTCATACAAGCTATTCAAACGACACTTCCACATACATTCTCCTCTCTGAACCACATCTCCGCCGGCAGCATTCGTGCCCGGTATACCAGTCCACCTCAGTCTACGTTTACAGCGGTCGGAAGAGCTCAGCAAGAGCTACAACGGGAAACATGGCTATCAAACCAATCACGGGAGTACGTCCGCTCGAAGGTTGACCAGGTTTATGTGCTCATTTGAGCATGTTATGCATCCTTGAGTTTTGTGCTGACGGCTGGTCTTGCAGATGCTCCGACGAGGACTCGTCTTGGATTTGAGTATTGCCATGGGCCTAGGGACGACATTCGGATACCTATGGTGGTACGGTATGTAAAACACCATCGGGAGGCTTTCAGAAGAGCTATATCCCGCACGATACACATGCCGAGCGCTGCTGATGCTCTCAGGATATCACCTGCCTCGCGTCCGAGCTCGAGACAACTTTTACGCCAGGTTAGAAGACCAGCGCGCCAGAGAGGCCGGCTTCAAATAAATCACGTTCTCAATTATGGGCATTTTGCGAGGAGAAGGCCAGTTCGGTGTTTGAGCCGGGACATGGACAAAGACATCTGGAGAGGAACGAGGCGCTGTACATACTGAACCAATTGAAAAAGAAGCATTGTGGATGGTCATACCACCCCGCAAGACGAGCCTTTATATGATCTTCCCGAATCCTTGATTTTTGCGAACGAGTTCTCCTTGCTGAAGGAATGTGGTCGCCAGTCCTGAAGGCCCTCCATGTCAGAGGCTCCTAAGGCCATCTGGACATAATTCGGTGTTCAAGGAATGCTAACAAAAATCTCAAGAACTCAGATGTGATATATCACATTTCAACAGTGGTGAATATTTGGCACCATCGCTATGTAGGTAGCTCTATTTCGTGACTCGTTTTCGTCTTCTGAAGCGCTGGAACATCAGACTGCAGCTCATTGCTTCTTCCGGCGCTCTTTGCCAGACGTCTTATTCCAAGCATCTTCAAACACCGTCGGTCTCTTCCCCTTATCCTTACCATCGACGTTCAAATATCTCACCACCTCCACACTTCCAGTGCCGATGTTCATAGTCTTTCCCACGATGACCGACTCACTGACACCCTCAATCTTGTCGACCTTGCCAGCAATACCCGCATCAAAGACGTGGTCCGCCGTCTTCTCAAAACTGGCAAGTTGAAGCACACTATCACGCATCTTGGCTAGGCCAAATCGCGTAATACCAAGAACCTCACCCTTGTATGTCATCACGTCCGCAAGGAGAGCCATATGTCGTGGATCAATGGATAGAGACTTCATGACTTCCTGGATTTCGAGGATGATCTTTGAGCGTGCAGCTTCGATACCCAACACCTGCAACGTCTCGACGACAGAGTTGGTCTGGGTGTGGTACGCATCTACACCCTCGGTGTTCATGCAGTAGCGCAAGCCGTAACCTTCGACCATGACCTTGTGCATTTGGACCGGCTTGCCGTCTGCCGGTTTGGGCTTGGGCATATCAGAAAGTGCGGGTTCTTCTTCCTTCACTTTGACTTTGGCCGATCCGTCGGCTTCAGCCTTGACCTCGGGTTCTGTGGAAGAGACCATGGAAGCCTGGGCAGCGTCTTTCTCTGCTTTGATGCGCTTCGCGTGTGCCTGTAGGGCCTTGATCTCCTCGGATTTGGGATCGTCTTCGGCCATGACCACTGCTCTAGTCGCCTGCGGATGGCCAAGGATATGCACAGCCGGCAGAATACGCCGAAGAGTCTGAAGACGAACCAGCCGCTCGCTCTGGCCCTCCTCATCGGCTGCCTTGGCCGCAGCGCCACGCTTGATAGACTTGATGGGAGTGTCAGTCGAGATCTTCAGCTTGTCTTTGCCTGTCATACGGAGGCGCAGCTGCGCCGCTTTCAACTGGCGGTGTTTCTGGATGGCAACACCGACATCCTGGAGCGTGATGTCTAGAGCTAAGTCATTGATGGTATCCGTCGAAATCTTGAGTTCGATGCAGCTCGGCTTGGTCCGAGAGTGGACAATCTTGATGTACTCTGTGATATCTTCCAGGTACAAACTCTCAATGCGACCCTTGACGATTCTTCCAAAAGACTCGGGGATCGAAAGGTCACTCCTGCGCTCCAGTCGACAGGTAATCAATGGAGTGCTGATGTCCTTGGATGCGTTGATGATTTCCTTGATACGAGGCACACCGGCGGTCAAACTCATACCTGCAACACCGGCAAAATGGAAAGTCTTGAGCGTCATTTGAGTACCCGGTTCGCCGATTGACTGTGCACCAACGGCTCCAACAGCGTGGCCTGGTTCGACCTGGGCTTTTTTATATTTCTCCAGGCAACGGTCGACGAAATCTCGCAAAGTCGTCTCAGAGAGCTTGGATGTTAATTCAAACCGATCACTCGTGGATGGAGGGGCCTGGGTTCTTGCTAGGGCCTGATCGTCGTCTGAGACATTCTTTTGTTTCTTGCCACCTTTTGGCGGCGCCGTCGTGGTAGTTGCACTCTTCCTCCCGGATCGTCGTGCTGGTGTGGCAGATGAGTCGACGCCCACTTCGTCGGCTTCGGCATCTGCCTTTCTCTTGCCTGCGCTAGAGCTTCTGGCCGGAGGTATGGCAAATGCTTTCTTTTGCGATCTTGAGAGCTCGAAAGAGCGCGCTTTGCCCATGACGAAGTCATGAATAGATTGTAAGAAAGCCCGATTGCTTTCCTCTTGGTCAACAAGTCTGTCATCGTCTGTGGCGTAGCCAAGCTCAGTAGTACTGGGATCGCTGCGGGTCCATTTTTCCCGTTCCGGGGCTAAAATCTCCTCCATGACGGCGAAGATGTCCGTGTCGCTGAGACCAGGCTCGGTCATGTCAAAGGTGGTCGCCTCAACATGAGTGTAGGTGCGCTCGAAGTCGACAGGTTGGGCAGTTGCCTCCATGTCGACAGGGTCAAGCTCGTCGTCACCGAAGCGAAATTGTACAATGTTCGAGGCTGAGTTTCGTACAGTGTGGTCATATTGGGTGGATAGATCTTCAAGGGATTTCATCAATCGTCTTGACATGTACCCGGTTTCAGCTGTTTTGACAGCCGTATCGACCAAACCAACTCTGCCACCGACAGCGTGAAACAAGAATTCGTATGGTAGCAGACCGCTGAAGAAACTGTTCGAGACGAACCCTTTCGAAGGTGGCGATCTTTGATGCTTGGGAAAATGAGGCAATGTACGGTCCTGGAATCCATCTGCGACACGCTTTCCCTCAATATCCTGTTGTCCGAGCAGAGCAGCCATCTGCGTGACGTTGATGTTGGAACCTTTGGAGCCAGAGATGGCCATGACCATGGGCGAATTTCTCTTGCTGAGTTGTTTCGTCAGGCTCTTAGCGATTTCTGTTCGCACGGTACTGAGTACTCGGACTTGCTCGGCTTCAAGTGAAGCTGCGTCATCCATTCCTGCCTTTCTCTTCAAGTTCTTCTCCTTGGAAGCTTTCACAAATCCTTTGCATTCGTCAAAGATCTTGTCAATCATAGCGAACTTCTCCTTGATAAGCTTCTCGGGAGGCGTCACATCGCTGATGCCGACTGTGAAGCCTTGATTGCCAAGCCATCGAGCACAGAGCTTGGACAGCCGGTTCATCCCTTGTGCAGCAGCATCGGCGTCAAAGTCACGATAGAGTATGTAGAACACTGAGTTCTTCTTTCCTGACCCTACTGTTCCCTTGTCCATTCTGCCACACAGAACTTCGGAATTGCGAATGCACAGAAAACTGTCGTCTTGAAGATCTCGATGTAGGCCTGGATGGTATTGGTCGTAGTCTCGGCATGCAGCATCTAGATTGACAGTGACATTCGATTGCTTGTTTGGTCTCATCATCACGCTGAATACCTGCTTGCCAGTCCAGAGCGCCTCGGGCTTGACGATAGAGGGTGGCGGAAGCTCAAACTTAACATCGGGCTCCAACATACCCATGCAGATGTTGACGAATGTTTTGCGGTCGAAAAACTGATCCAGACTGCTAAGTAGGAAAGAAGCCGTGATAAAGTCCTGGATGGCAGAAATGATAGGCTCGCCGTTTTTCGGCGTGACGATATTGTGCTTGACGCCCATCAACAGTCTGGCTTCGGTACGTGCTTCCTCTGTTTGAGGTACATGCAAGTTCATCTCGTCTCCGTCGAAGTCGGCATTGTAGGGATTGCACACACACTCGTTGAGTCGGAAGGTACGATGCGGCCGGACCTTGACGAAATGGCTCAGGATACTGAGCTTGTGGAGAGACGGCTGACGATTGAAGAGTACCACATCCCCGTCTTCGAGGTGACGCTCCACGATATCGCCTTCCTTCAAGTCCTTGGCAACATGCTCTGGCTTACCAAATTTCAGGAAGATGCGGAAATCACCATCCTTCTTCCAGACGTAATTGGCCCCGGGCCACACTTTGGTGCCGTTTCGAACACGCTCCCGTAGCTTTTTAATGTTGATCTCATTGACCACCTCGGGATAAGTCATATTCTTTGCGACCAGTTCTGGCACAGCGACTTCATCAATGTTGAGATTGGGATCTGGTGAAATGACGGTACGTCCAGAAAAGTCCACACGCTTTCCAGAAAGATTGCCTCGGAATCGACCTTGTTTGCCCTTCAGTCGCTGGACAAAGCCGCGAATCTGCTTTCCAAACTCTCCTTTTGCAAGGCCCGGCACGTCACTGTTAATATACATAGCCAGTTGTAACGAGAGATAATCCCAGTGTTCGACGACGGACTGCACAGGTGCACCCTTGTCAATAGCCTCCTTGAGTGCAGCATTTGCTGCGACAATATCTCCCAGCTTGGCAGTGATGTCGTCTTCGGTGCTGGCTGCGTCTTGTCCTACTGATGGTCGAATGCAGACTGGCGGCGCCGGGATATAGAGCCACAGGAAAGACTCGGGTTTCGCAGACCGCAAACCTAAGAGTTCGCGATCCGCCTGCCGTATGCGTCTAAACAGTTTCAACACTCGTAATGGGTTCAGATCATCCATAGCCTTTTTGATATGCTTTTCGAGCTCGGTATTCGATCGTCTCGCGTAGTCGAACGAGGCATCGTACTCGACCTTTTCTGGGGGTGGCACCTTCTTTTGAGCAGTCGACGAGTTATAGGATTTGAATCTGTCATGAGAGATTTTCAACGAATATGTTCCGGCTTTTCGGACCAAGCCATTGATGGCGCCACAGTCGAAGCAGGTCTTGGTCTTGCGACACTGATCTGCAACCTTTCTTACGATAGCGGCTTGTCTTAGACTGTCGTTCTGGGCTCTGCGCAAGGCACTGATGAACTTTCGTCGGTCAACTTCTGACAAAAGGATGCAGGAACAGTCCTGAAAAGGTCAGTAACTTTCCCCAGATCTCCAAAGACAGGCTGCGTGCCTTGCAAATGCTCTGCAATATTTGTATCACTTTCTTGAAGTATCCCACATGAAAGATCGGCAGAACAAGCCGAACGTGACCAAAGTGCCCATTACATGTCTGCAATTGCTCTCCGCAGGTTGCGCAGATATCTCTCTTGCCAGAAACACCCATGCGCCTATCGAGGGGGCCATACTCGGCGTATGAACGACCTTTGTCCAAGTCGAATAGTCGGCGGTCTGCAAGTTCGACTTGAGACTGGTTGATTATGTCCTGGTCTGACCTGTGCCGTCGTTAGAGCCATGTCCAATATTTCCCTCCTGTTGAAAGTCATACAAGACACCAAATTGTAATTCCTTGATGACTTTTGGCACATCGTTGACCACCTGCTCTTTGCCTGGCCACTGGCTGGCCACCTCTGTAGCCACCGGCATTTTGTCGCAACTCGTCACCGACACAATCGAAGCAGATGGGGACGTTGATCACCCATGAGTTTCTCTCGAGTCGAGTTTGATGGTTCTTGAGAAGGTGAACTACCGCATTATTGTTCGGAAGAGAATGTTACAATGCTGGAGAAGGATTCAGAAGCCTGATATTTGGTACGTGAAGTGAGTCTTATCATAATGGTGGGTGACCAAAAATCGCAGGCCAGTCTGCGAGCCTCAAAAACTTTCTCCAAAAAATCACTTTCGTGTCCCCGCCGCAAGGCTCCGCGGGCAGGTCTCGGAGCCTTGCTTAACTGTTCTGCGCCTATCATTATTGTTGTCGACTCATTTTATCATGGTCAAGAGCAACTCGTCTTGATTATGGTGGTCAAAAAGGAAGGACACCTTAGCTTTCCTTTGTTGAGAGTCATTATCATGTGTCGGCTGTGTCCTTAGATAGACAATCCTTCCTAGAAATCCGGCGCCGACCCGTCAACACCTTGCTTGTCCCGTACCCAATGTAGAGGCTTCAATCCGCCAAACGATAACTGACCAACGTATCTACCTTGTGATTGCTGGTGCTGAAACTTCGAAGCTGCACCTTTTCTCCATCTCTGATCTCTTTGGCACCACTATCTCCCCATTCGATCGGGACGTCTGAATCTGCATCTGCGTAGACCAGCACATTGAAAGTGCAATTCCCATCCAGAACAGGCAGAAAGGTGACCGAGGCTGTGATCTGCCGAAAGATCGCCTGGATCTCTTCTTGTATCTGCGCTTCGGTTTTCTCTGGCTCTGGTTCGGCCGGCGTCGCATCTCTGGAAGTCTACTCAGTATCTGGGCCGGTCTTCTTCTTTTGTCACTTACTCTGGTGCCGCATTCTCCTTGTCTGGAGCTTTCTTCGTGGACCGATGTTTTGAAGACTTGTTCAACATCTGAACGTCGAATTGCCATCTCTCGACATGTTCTCCCGTCTCTTTGCTTGTGATCACCACCACCAACTTCGAGATCTTGCCTCCAATCATCCATTTGTTCAATTGCGACATGATCTTCTTGATATATGCTTTAACCTGGTCATCGGACGAGACTTGATATGTGTTAGTACCAGTGGGTAATGGTGGAGGAAGCACCCATACCCAGCATGTTAAGGCCATATTTCTTGACACTGTAGTCTCTCAGCAATTGCGTTGTGCTTTACGACTTTCGCAACTTACGGTGTGAAGTCCTCCGCGGGATAGACACCCCTCTGAAATCTGCGAATCCATTAATGTCTGCTTCCCAAGCTCCTCTGGTTTTCAGCTTACAGAACCGTGTTGATTGAGTATTCGAACTATGCTCAGTCAGTGATTATCGCACCGCAGAGTCGACGGACTCACAAACTCGGCGACGGTCTTCGAGGATCCTGTCGAGTACAATTAGCACGTTTTCAACCAGAATTTGTAGTCTGCCACATACCCCGAAGAGCAAGCTTGTGAACCTGAGATTTGTCCTTCTTTTCGACCGCCATCTTGATGATTATCGGTGTGAATGTGTAGTTGGAAGCCGCAGTTGAAAGCCGCAGTTGAAAAGGTTCGTCTTCAATGTTGACGTGTGTGGTTGGCAGGGCGATAATCGATACTCGGATTTCGCGCGCCGTAGATTGGAGCACCAGGACAATTTCTCAAGCGATTGCAATTAGTGAAGGATGGTGCCTCAGCATCACCACAAGTCGAATCATCGCAACTCATGCGACAATGGCTGCAGGTCTTTGCTAGGCGAAGAGCTGCTTTAAGCACTGCTTCTGCCCAACAATGGTCATCTTACAATAATCTTCGTTCGACACGGACGTTTGCAACCTCACCTTTTCGAACTGCGCCAGTCTCTGCTCCCAGCGAACTTGAAAACCGCATTGCAGCAATACCGATTGACCGTTACCGCAATTTTTGCATAGTTGCTCATGTTGACCATGGCAAAAGCACACTCAGTGACCGCCTCCTGGAGTTGACGGGGACTATTGAACCGGGCGCGAACAAGCAGGTGCTAGACAAGCTGGATGTGGAAAGAGAACGCGGCATTACAGTAAAAGCGCAAACATGTTCGATGATATACAACCACAAGGGGGAGGACTATCTTCTTCATCTTGTCGACACTCCTGGCCATGTGGACTTCAGAGCCGAGGTCGCACGTAGCTACGCAAGCTGTGGTGGCGCCCTGCTGCTGGTCGATGCAAGTCAGGGCATTCAGGCACAGACGGTCGCCAATTTCTACCTGGCTTTTGCGCAAGGCTTATCGTTGGTTCCCATAATCAACAAGGTGGACTTACCTCATGCCGATGCGCCACGAGCTTTGGAACAAATGCACGATACCTTCGAGTTAGATCCTGAAAAGGCTGTGTTGGTGTCTGCAAAGACCGGGTTAAATGTCGAAAGCGTCCTACCGGCTGTCATTGAGGAAATACCTCCACCCGTTGGTGACAGCAAGAAACCTCTCAGGTTATACCTGGTTGATTCATGGTATTCGAGCTATAAAGGTGTGATCCTGTTGGTACGACTTTTCGATGGTGAACTTCGAGCTGGCGACCAGATTGTCTCTTTCGCGACAGGTCTGAAGTATACTGTGGGAGAAGTGGGCATCATGTACCCGGACCAAACCCCCCAGAAAGTGCTCCGTGCTGGGCAGGTAGGGTATGTCTACTTCAATCCTTCCATGAGGAAGAGCAGCGAAGCTAAGATCGGTGATACCTATACCAAAGTGGGTCTCCAGCGACAGGTCCAACCGATGCCAGGATTTGAGGAACCAAAGCCTATGGTTTTTGTCGCCGCATTTCCAGTCGACCAGAGCGAATTTGAGAATCTCGAGGACAGCATCAATCAACTCTTACTCAATGACCGCAGCGTCACGGTGCAGAAGGAATCCTCACAGGCACTCGGCGCAGGCTTTCGCCTGGGATTTTTAGGTACTTTGCACTGTTCGGTTTTTGAAGACCGCCTACGCCAGGAACATGGCACAAGCATCATTATAACTCCACCTACTGTACCCTTCAAGGTACTTTGGAAGAATGGCAGAGAGGATGTCATTGCCAATCCAGCTGAATTTCCGGACAGTGAAGAAGCGCGCCGGAACGTGGTGGAGCTGCGGGAACCTTACGTTACGACGACGCTGACATTTCCTGACGAGTATCTCGGCAGGGTCATGGAACTATGTGAGGGTAATCGCGGTGAACAGAAGTCCATGGAGTATTTCACCGCCTCACAAGTTATCCTCAAATACGAGATGCCTCTAGCTCAACTTGTTGACGATTTCTTTGGCAAATTGAAATCAAGTACAAAGGGTTATGCCTCACTGGACTATGAGGAGGCTGACTGGCGGGTGAGCAACATTGTCAAACTCCAGTTGCTGGTGAACAAGGAACCGGTGGACGCAGTGTCCAGGGTCCTACACCAGTCTCAAGTACGTCAAGTGGGCAAACAATGGGTCGAAAAGTTCAAAGAACACGTTGACAGGCAAATGTTCGAGATTGTCATTCAAGCTGCTGTGGGCAAGCAGATCATCGCCAGAGAGACAATCAAGCCTTTTCGAAAAGACGTTCTTGCGAAATTGCACGCCGCTGATATTACCAGGCGGAAGAAATTGTTGGAAAAACAGAAAGAAGGGCGGAAAAAGCTCAAAGCAGTTGGCAATGTTGTCATTGACCACAGTGCATTCCAGGCTTTCCTGGCGAAGTGAGGTAATTACCACCCCTTCCAGCAGAAAACCTGATATAGTGTACAATGACATGATGAGTTTCAGCTCTACAAGTTCTAAAGTTAACTTCACAATTCTTGCCAGGAGTGCGTGCCGGGCAGAGAAGACTCGAGCGCACGAGGCTGGAGACGGATGCAAGGCTGCGAAAAAGGGGGTCTGAACCACCAAGTTGATTTACTCCCCACTACCAGTATCACATTTCGGTCTCTGCTCTGCACATGTTCTGGCCTCACATTACAAAGACATCTCTGTGTCTTGATTCCTTTCAATCCATTGTCCATCTCATAGTCATGTCTCTGTCTTATCACAACCGAATCCTTTCAAGCCATTGTCCATCCATGTCAGGTCTCTTTTTCTTTGTCCGCCGACTGCCGAAGGGGGTATTTCTACTCGAACTGGTGCCGAGCTATTCTTGGACTATCGATACCAAATTGTACCACAAGCATACCAGAGTTGCCTCTAACAATGGAACCAGAAAGAAGACACGCACCTCCTGCTCCAGTGCACTCCAGGGCGGAACTCCCACGCCTGGAAACAACAAACCGAGATTTCACACCATCCCCCATTGTTTCGGCAGATCTCCAATGGCTCACGAATGACGACGTTTCCAACCCTTCTGTAGACGAACATTCTTCTATAGACTGGGCTTCAACGTCACACGGAACTACAGTATCAGAATGGCAACAGGTGACAGAGTACAGCCCTGCTTCTAGCTCGTGCCTATACACGCCCAAGTCTTCGTTGAGTTCTCCACCACCGTATTGGAAAGAAAACTTGCCTGAACAGCAAATGGAACTGACTTATCCCCAGAACGTGGAAAAGACATATCCTTGCGTGGGGCCAGGACCAGCTCCGACCGGATAATCTCCCACGATAAGGCGCTCCCGATTTGGCTTCCCCATGACACTGGGAAGGCTTATGTACTTTTGGACTCCTATTAGTCTGATGCTGCATTTGAGTCTTGAAGTCGCTCGTACTTACACTTTTTCTGCCGTCAGAAAGGCTCCGTCGACTTGTCCAGATACACACGTTGGGTTTGATGGAGATGGCATAACCAGTATGGAGGATCGCCGGCGCGGTAAGTTGTGTGTTTCTTGCACGCACCTGTGGCCGCGGTTCCGGCACAGTAGAGTTTTCCGTCGAGAAGGAAAGGATTGCTGCCTGCGCCAGGTGTTGATTGTGAGGTACCCTCTCCCGATGGGGGACTTGTTGTATGTTTACTACCGTTGACTCTTCTTCGTCCTGTCACGAGGTATGCAATTCTGATGGAGGGTAGTTGGCTCCAGATTCCTGCACACGCACTCGATATTAAGGCGCTTGCCATAGTGCAAGTGTTCTCAGCAGCCGCAGTCGCTTGAGCCGGCGTGCAGAATAGAGTTAGGCCGTAGAAGGCGAGGACTATTCCGCAGATGAGTAATAACATGCTTGAAGATGCGTTACTGAAGTAAGAATCGAACAGATGGACAAGAATGGCGGCACGCGACTACCTCTAGGGAAGGTGCGTTGATAAAGGGTTGTACTAGAGGGAAGATTATCTGTTGACCATTGAAGTAGCCTCCAGACCTGTGAAGGAGTAGGACGTGCTTGGGGATCCAGATCCAATGTCAATGGAAGAAAAACAAAGAAGGCCACGGTGCAGGACGTTTAGTAAAGCTTCATGTCATCGCATACAAAGCGCAAAGGGCAAACGTGTAAAATACAAAACCCTACCTTGAAAGCTGCTTACGGATTACTGGAACCTCATTGTTATGTATACGCTGTTTCATTGAGGCGTTGTTTGCGTTGCTCCTCAATGTTCCAATGTTTCACCAGGCTAGATTGGAGATGCAGTCCAACCAGTCGCAGAAGGTCGAAAATTTCGACCGTGGGCCTTCTGGTAGTTACAGAAATCATTGTATGACCCCCGCCAAAGTGAAAACAAAACTATCATAATCACGTTGTTGAGTAGATAGCGTCAAGCCGAGCTCGTTACTCGTAGTGAGAGTGGGGTGGAAGTCTGGAAGAAACCGTTACCTGAAAGAATACCCATAGGAATCTCTGCCGTTAACACAAAATGACGAGGCCTGGTTTCGGGTCGAAGATCAGGTTCCCACCAACTCAAGGTAAGCTTCGTGGATCGGAAATCCGTGGTAAGAGTAACATTATCAAGCAGACGCTCGCGGACAACTTGGAAAGTATCTTATTAACGCTGGCGATGAGACCTTCGAACATTCTCTTCGAAGCTTAGCTCCCTCGCTTGCGCTTTGAGTATACCCATCTCTAGCCGAGAGTCTGGATTCACTAGGCGGTAAAACCAGCACCGATCACTGCGGCTGCCAATCCGGTGGACCCGTTTAGATGCTTGCTCCTCCACTGTGACCGAATAGCTAGGCTCCATGAGAACAAGACGGTTGGCCTTGTGTAGCGTTAGGCCCTGTGCCATGATCCTCGCTGTACCGATGAGGACGCGAAAGGTCCGACTCTCCGGCTTGGCTCCATCCTCATCCTCGACTGAACCTTGTGCCTGAAACTCGTTGACCAGGTCATTACGATCGCCGGGGCGGACTCGAGTCATCCAGCGCCACCCTATGCCGAGATGTATGCACAACTGCAGTCGTTAACCCACAATGTTCGGCCAGCCAGCAATGAGAGGATCAAACCTACCACAACAACACAGAGACAAGTGACAGGCAAGTGGCTGATGACAACCAGTTTCTCCGGTTCTCCACTGGCATCTTTATCCAGCCGAAGGATGATGTCCCGTAGACTCTGCAGCTTACTACTGCTGGCAAAAAGCTCATCGAAATATCGAAAATAGAGACTCGTCTCGGGTGCTAGATGCCAGTCCTGCTCGAGAATGTAGTCAAAAGTAAGCACCTCTCCACTTATGCCGGGAAGTCGTGCCAGCCCAGGAACCGTAGCGAGAGCACGAGGCCGGAGTGGGCGTTCTTCCTGGTCGAAGTCAAGCGCGGCCTGGGGTACAATGGGTCGTGAGAGGTCCGCTGACAAGAGTCGTTCCAGCACGTCGTCCACCATCGTCTCGTCGGTAAGATGGCTGTCGATAGCAGAGGGACATCGGATGTCGAGGCAACACAGCGGTGGCAGAGTGGCTAATGGCTTATCGTCTTGGACAGTGTCGTCACGGCGTTGAATCATGTACGCGACCTCGAGAGCAGCGACTCGCTGCACATGGTGTGACACTTCGAGCGGGCCGAGTTCGCCTTTGAAAAGACGCTGTTGTTGTTGGTCGAGATTCGCGAGAGCCGCATCCGACGAAAAATGTCGGAAATCAGGATCCATAGCAATGTCTGGGGACACGGCATTGATGGCTCGCACGACTGGCAGCATGTCTGACACGCCGTTCCGAGCCCTCGGCGTGGCTGACAGTGCTATGATATTTGGCCTCACCCAGCCATTGCTCGACAAACTCCGCAAAATCTTGTAAAAAGCAGCGTTCCCGCCGAAGAGGTGGACCTCGTCAACGATAACGCGAGCCCAAGCCAGCCCATCATTGCAATCATCGGCCGATACCGTATGACCACCGACAAGCCTGACAGGCCGTTCCCGCTGGAAGTATCGCAGGACATGTTGTGGATAGCTACCAGCTGTTGTGAGCAGGATCATATCATGCGCTCTGGACGTAGAATTCAGCGTCATTGTTGCGTCAGGGCTCTCGCCACAGTCGACCTCAAGTGAGAGGTGGTACCTGTATACCCAAGGTACGCGGTTTCGGGCGAATTCGCGGTGGTGGACATGCAGGCACAGCCTCATCCCCTTGGTGTTCTCGACGCCAAATGCCGTCCATTCCGAGTCCCAGTTCCCCAGCAGGCTATATGGGACAAAAACAATGGTTCCTCCAGGACGTGGGGTAAGTTTGAGCTTTCGGGTGACTCCTCCGAGTTCACAGGCGCAAACGATGGGCCATAGATGAGCAGACGGGCAGCTTTTTACTCCTGAGCCACAATGCTGATCGGGGTGCGTTTGAATGTGCCGCTCATTCTCAACGAGAAGGTATTCGAAAAGGATGAAGAGAAAGGTGGTCGTGGTCTTGCGGCGTTAGTCAGTAGAAGGTCCGGTCTCGGTGAGTTGTTGGAATGCGTACCTTTCCTAAGCCCATGTAATCTGCGAGGAGGGCCCCACGGCAGTGGCCTCTGATCTTCAGTAACATCCAGAACGCTCCATATAGCTGGAACGGATAGAACTGCCGTCGCACGCCAGCAATTTTGATATAGTTGCGGGGAACTCGGATTCTCTCTTCAATGCGAACGTCGTATTTGACAAATTGGAAGGCGGCACGCTGGATATCCTTCACAAACTGCTCGGTCGAGAGCTTGGTGTCTGCCTTGTGAGTTTCGCCGCGTTCTGCCTGCAGCCATGGTCGCGGCTGGCCTATTTTGAGGTCTTTGGAAACGAAGACATTGTTCGAATCGTCGCAACATGTGGTCCCACCATCGGTGGACTCAAGATACTGCACTATTTGATCGATCTGGAGCTCGCTCAGCGGCAACAGCGAACTTGGGAGCTCGTTCAGAAGCCTTGATCCCGGGTGTTCAGGAGGAGACGGCCGTGGATGATGTGGGAGGGTAACGAATGGTAGGGGAACAGAGCCCATGTCGAAGAACGTGTGGCCAGGCACCAGTGGTCCCAGCAGACTTCAAAGAAATGAAAAGAGAAGTCGTTTGGAGCATAGCACAATATCGATGAGCAAACAGAGAAAAAGCGGTACACGTAGACACTAAACTGCGGCCCTCTCAGCCCAGCTGTCTTTGTGTAACATACGTTCGTCATATGAACGGAAAATCTCAGATTCTGACTTGTCTCAAAACTGCAGGTGGAATGTTCTGCCCTGAGAAGTTTGTCGCAGCGCACGAGGAAGTCTGGGTCAATACTGGACATCCGCTGAATGGGCCCTTACTAACTGTACATGGTCACTCTCCCCAACTAGGGGAAACCCCTACGTCGTACTTCTTTCTTCTGGCGATTGAGCACTCGATCAGCCATCGTCGCAATAAGTCTGGGTTCGTGGAGAGTAAATCATATTCACTGCCACGACAGACGAGTCAACATGGTGAGAAGAATTCGGAACCCGGCAAGATCGAGTCAACAAGCAGCTATAACTTGGAGTATATTGTGCTGAGAATGCATTTGATTGGTAGGATATTGTCAAACAGCACCGTGGTTATTTTCACGGCTGGAATACCAACTTACGCACTGACTACAGCTATTCGAGTATCGTCAACGACGGCAAGGTCCTAGCTATATATAAGACGTCTATATAGAAGCGTTAAGTAGGCAACTATCAGGTAGAAAGGTAGAGAAATCAATGAATCGTACCATGTACAGTGTTTGACAATGATTCTTCCGACGAGACCTGATCATGCAATCTACCTACTACCTCCCCCATCTCGGATCTGACTCTCAGAGAAACCATTATGCATATCATACCAGACTAGCAGTGTCTTTCACCACAATCTTCGATGTTCAAGCACCTGATCTGGCAACAAGTCGCATGCCCGCGTTGATTGCGTAAGCCCGCCGTCGCACGTCGAGTAATTCAAGCCTAGTGTAAAGACCGTCCCATCGGCCCGGGTTCTGGAACCGCAACATGAGGTCGGCCACCATCTTGTCACATGTATCCTTTGGTCGCTCCGTGCCATTCCTCAACCAGTGTTCTTGACAGCGCAGACAGAAACCCGTGTCCTGCGCAAGCGCGGTTTTGTCGGCTTTGACCCGCACTGTCTCGTTGGTTCCCCGGATCTCAATCATGTGTCCTAATGCACTATCCCAATTGCAGTTCGAATTCCTGCACACAGGAGAATTTACCGACTCCAGTGCCAGTCCCAGTTGATCCAGCCTACATTTTTGCTGTGGCCGCATAGCACCGCCGTGCCTTTCATAGAATAGTCCACAAGGACCACAAAGAGAGATGCCGTCGTGGACCTGCATTTTCCACAGACTCGCTTCACATTGCTCATCGCTCAAGAGGATATTGACGGTACAGAATGAGTTCTCGCAGGTCGCCGTGATGGCACGCAAGGACGGTGTCACTACCAGATTTGGAGTCAAGCTATCGTCAGGGGTTGTGTCGGGGTGATATGCCCAGCGTGAGAAACAGCCAAGACATGCTGGCTGATCATCAATCGCCGCACAGACTTGGTGGCGGGAATCGCACTCGTCTATGCTGCATCGGACATACAGGGATGGAAGTTGAGTATGAGGTAGCTTGCTGTGGTGGCCGATGGGGTCAACAGCCAAGTTGCTCGGGCATTTTTGAGAATCGGCTATGCACAGTCCACTCCCAAGCTGCGAAGAATCGGAATACATCACCAATGTCTCTTCTGCATGCCCCGATCTGGCCGGTCGGTTCGGGTGTCGTGACAGCTTAGGGGAGACGTCTCCATGATGCTTTGTGACCCGTGGCGTACTGATGGGTGCTTGCAGCTTCAGTGACCCTAGCCAAACCTCTTCACGGTCGCTACTGAAGCATTGTCGCTCCGTGATTGGCTCTGGTCCATCGGGCGTGCTATCTCCCTTGCTCGCAAACAGCGAGGCCGCGACATGGGGCCGACCTTTACCGTCGAACAGCGCCGAAGTTGGAATGTTGCCTTGCTTGATAGGGCTGCCGTCCTGGCTCGAGCGGGACTCGACGAAGGCAGGGTTGTAATGGTTATGGAATTGACCGCTGGTTATGGCCGGAGAGTCTTGTTGAGGGCGGACTTTTTGTGACTGAGGAGCTGCCGTACCTTGCACGGTGGTGACTGGCGCTCCCGTGTCATCTAACCAATCGAGTTCTGGCTGTGCCGTAGATCGCCTCTGATCGAGAGTGGCCGCGGGATCCTGCCCGTGGTCCCCTCTTCCAATCTCCGTGCTTGACGGCGTGGTGCTGGTTAGCCAGTCAACATCGGAGTGGTTGGAGGGTGAGGTCTGTATGCCTAGTGCTGTGAACGCTGGGGAAGGTGCGGCGGGTCGACGGCGCTTGGCCATGGAGTAGAACATTGCCTCTGCATTGTACAGCTTGCGTTTGCGCGTGTCTTGTGGTGTATCATGAGGCACTTCCGTGATCTGGTCATCTCCAATGGCAGCTTTAGATTGTGATGGCGGTTCTGGTTCCCACAGCATATCATGAGTACTGGTATGAGCCATCAGACAGATCCGTTGTCCAGCTGAAGGCAAATGGAACGAGTCGTGACAGTCAGATCAAGCAAAAGTATGTAGCAATAAGGCTTAGTTGGCGCGAGAAATAGGAACGATAGAGAAGAGCTGCGAGGGGCTCTGAGAGCAGGTAGTTTATAAGAGGAAAAGATTGACCACAGCTTGGGTACATCACCCTCGTGGAGCAAAGGCAGTGGCTGACTTTAGTTGATTTTCGACAAAGGGTCACAAAGGATTGCGCTACCTAGTGTGAGGCAGTGACTACTGAGACAATGCCAGGCGCAGCAAGTAGCACTTCATTGTGACCTTTACGATTTTGACTTTGTGTATGCGAAGCGAAAAATTCATGACCGGACCTTGACCACGATGGTAAGTGGTACTGCTGCATAGCTACCAGGAGCTCAGTGATTCTCCCATAGGCGACGTAAGATAGATGTGGAACATTGGTCGTCCATGTTATCAGACACTGTGTTGGTCAAGGCGACCAGTACTTGTCAGTCCGATTCAGTTGCCGAATCGTTTGACAGTTGAAGGTGCCGAACCTGTCTATGGACCCCTCACACGTTGGCCGCGTGTACCGTATCCGTACCTGTCCTTGGTGATGCTTATGGCCTCGTCTGCTGCGTGCAGAATTCCTTTGACAATGTCGGCTTTATTGATGATAAGCTCACTCAATCGGACGGTTGTATGACGCATCGTCGTATCATCCGACTCGGGTCGAAGTAGCCGCATGAGAAGGTCAGCATCATCTCCAACAGTAACTGCGAATTGGTCGATAAGTTTGCCGTTTCTCAATGTCAATTCTATGTCGGATTCATGCGATGGTCGATTGTGACCATCCCTGAATTTCGTGTGAGGTCGCACCACGCGTTCACAACGTAGCTCGTGGTATGGAACGATGTACCGTACAGTGGACGGAAATGTGGGACTGAGCTGTCGATTCAAGAATGGTTGGCCAGGGACGCACGGTACAAGTACGAAAATCGGTTTCCTTTGTGTTGAAAGTGAAAGACGCCGTAGCATCTTCGTCGTGCTTATCCCGAACGAGGAAGTGGGCATCAAAGTCCCGGAAAGGTAGACCGGCAGAAACTCTATGAGAATAAGTGGTGCTTGAATAGGTAGTGATGCAAAGTTGGGAGCAGGCACGGGTGTTATCAGATGCTCCGGTGAGAGGCTCGCTCCAGTGCACATGACTCGATAATCCGGTCCTCTACCCAACTGGTCAGTGTAATGCATCGCAACAAAGACGACGCCATAGCCTCCTACCTGATCTGGCACTCCTTCGCAATCCGTGCCACTTCGTATGCTCGAAGTGTTTTCAGATCAAAAGTACAAGACTCGTATCGAACGTGGGCCAGAGACTGGGTGGCAGGATGATCAGGCTTTAGTCCGCCGGCCACACATCTCTCAAGAGGCAAATAAGGTCGCTGCCTCCGCGTCTTGAGACTACGACCCCCGGTGGTGAACCGCACGAGAATCTTCTCTAGTTGCGCCGCGAACTTCCTGCCTTCTGCTGGATTGCAGTTGATGGTGCATAACTCCCAGAACTCGGTATCATCAGGCTTCCAGGCACACTGACTGAGTTCCCTATCGTCCTCGAGTCCGTTGAAAAAAGAATCTGGAAGCTCGTCTCGGTGGACAAATATCCATCGCTGGTCACCAGTTCCCCGAGCCGGTGTCTGCTTGAACAGATATGCGTCGACGAGCCTCATCGTTGAAAAGAATCTACGGCTCAGTTGTTGCCATCCAGTGTTAGTGGTGGCGGCAGAATCAGGATCATGTCGATAGTAACAGTAGAGAATGCCGTCCTCGGACAATAACGCCATCCTGATCTTTAGCTCGATAGTCATGCGCTCGCCTGTTTCTTTGTCCCAAATCCCGAAATCTCCCAGCAATGGTTTTGTCCGAAGATGAAAAGCTTGGAAGCGAGAGCTTCCGTGACGTTCAGACGCTTCCACAATATCGTCTATCCACCAGGAATCCCGATTAAAATTCTGAGGCGCTGGATGCAGAGTCTCTATCGGTTGCAATTCGTCTGGACGGGTGCCTGGAAACTCGATCCCATTATGAGGATTTCGCCTGTGTACGCAAATGTTAGCCTCAGCAACCTAGCCTTCGAGGAACACCAACTGAAGACTGCAACACCTTTGCAGCGGCGGAGACATGATCGGCCAAACATTGAGGAGCGACAGTGTGTCAAGACTCACAGATTAGTCCGAGCTCCGCGAATGAACTCTGCCTGCTCATCCCACGCCATCAGTAAGGACGAGATCGGCATCGCGAAAGGGCTCCATTGAGGCGGAGTCACCTCCAGCAGGGGCGGCAGCGAACCAGGTAACACTGGCCACGTCTTGCTGACCATTTGGTGTTTCTTGAACGTAGGTCCTGGACCCATGTATCTTGTTGGAATTACGTGCACTTCAGACGGTCGATGCGGGGAGAGAAGCAAGATTGCGAGACAGCCCTTGGACTGAGCCTGAGTCAACTTGCACGTCGTGGTCAACAAGGGGAGGACCAGCCTAGGAGTCTTGTCATGTGTATGTCGTCGTGAGTACTTTCTGTCATGGTAGAATCTCGCACATTTTGTATCCAAGCCGGCAATGACCTTGCCTCCTGACTCTGCGGCCGCTGTCAGCTCTCGGAGGACCGTTATTTTGTTCGCCTGCGGTAAAGGACCTTCTGTTCCTAAGAGACCTAGGTCAAGTATTGCGCCCTCCATACCAAGGACCGTGCAGGGCGATTGCTCCGCCAACCGATTGACGACAGTTTCGGCTGCGATGCTAGTCTGGTACGTGAGCCAGTGCGAAAAGCCCAATGCGAGCTGCATCGTCAGAGTCGGCACGTCCATTGGAACTGCTGAGACGTAGACTCAACGGGAGAAGAGCAGATTGAAGGATAGTATGTTGGTTTATCCTTCTTGACGACATCTTGTGCGAGATAGGTAGCCTTATGGTCCACCTAGGTACATATCCTGAACAAGCTGCAACACTTCGAATTGCAACCTCTTCCCTGCCATGATCGCATTCGATGCACTGTACGCCCCACGCCGGTGGCCAGCTGGCATTCGGGCTCAATTGTAGCAGTCTCGTATTCGCACCTACCCGTGCATCCCCGAGCAGAGTCACCCGACCCAAAATAGCCAGCCAAATTGGTGTTGCCCCAGAACTCCACCTCACCGCTGGACGAGCGATGGAACGATCACCGAACCCCAGGCCTGTAATCTTACCCCATCCACCACTAGAATAGACTAGATCTAGTTGGTAGTCCTTGTCAACTACGGCGTGGCGCAGCCTCGGTAGGGGTGGTACGCCATGCGACTGTCTTTTCAACCGGTCTAAGCGCACAGCGTGGACTATCTAGAAACCATACATCAGTGCATCACTAGTCTTGTCGCCGTGGGTGTTACAGCCAGAGTCATGCCACGTCATGCCACGTCCGTATAACGATGGCCTGCATATCTTGCTGTCTCCTTACGTGTCACCGACGGACACCTGCCTCTTGATTACCACTGGCCGCGAGTACGGATGTCTCCGACCTCACTTTCCGGGCTTGACAGCTACTTCTCGCATAGGTAACGGACAATGACCCTTGTACAGTATGCTCAAGGGCTGTGCTACCGTGAATGTCCCGCGCTTTGAAAAAGGCATTAGGAGGTATAACCGCCGCTCTTCTAACGTCTTATTTACGGCAGTATCAACGACTCCATTGCTTGAATGATATGGAGGCGGACCGTCAAGTTCCGGCCGATATCTCCTGGATTATCGGCCTCAACGAAGAATGTTGCTTCCGCGGTCGAGGGAAGGTAGCGTATCACCGATGATATCCAGAAAGTAGACACCTAGCGTTAACATACCCAGGTCTACGTCTTGGGGCCCGATTGTGACCAACCCTCCTCTGACGAGAGAATGTTCTGCAAGACGGCATTCGAGGCGTTCAAAAAAGTCCCACGCTTCTTCTATCTCCCGGCAGCTATGAGCAATGAGGAACGGGACCATTGGACTTCCCTCGGGAATGACCACAAACTCAAGTTGGCATATCGACGTCCACGGCAGACAGGCCTACCGAATTATATACCCGTCCTACCGTTCGACCTCTCAATCGGCCACAAAGAACCCCAAATCGAGTCCTCTAAAGCGGCACCGGTCACGATTTGCGTGCGCAGCTGTCTCATAAAGGCGCTTGTCGGCCTCACTTCTGAACTCGAAGCTGCCTGTAACCTTGACACAGGCCTGGTACTCACCAACTTAGCTGGCTGGTCACGATTCGAACCCTGGAGTCGCCAAGGACTCCACGCAGTGGTCCATGAGCTGGATAAACTGTACACGGAGCACCCCGAGCATCTCGAGTTCTATTCGAGCCTGGTGGACGGCTTGGTCACGGCAGCAAACACTGCGGCTGGAGTCGGCCAGGCATATGGTTTCGTGCCGGGGGAAGCTCGGGAGGTTAAGAAAGAGAGGGCTCAAGCTTCGCGACAGTGGAGGCAAGAGAGAGGGGAGCAAAGGAAGAAGGAAAATCAGCACAAGTCTTCAGGCTGACCGTGTAGGCCTCTCAAAATCGGTATCTAGAAAATCGATTCCCACACTAATAAGCGTCCTGGCATGACCCGTAGTATCTTCTTCCAACTTACCATGATTCAATGGACACGAGCCCTGACCAGGAAGTCCGATATGGCCGCTAGGAAACATCCCCAGCCTTCCAAGGTTGTTCAGAGATATTACGGACAGAGCTTGAAGCTCAAACTGTGTACGGGTTTGTATTCCTTTATTGGTGCTCACAGCATAAAGAGAAGTCGAGGGCCAGCAGACTGAATATCAAGAATACACCGAGTCAAGTGGCGCTGCTTGTCAGGGAGCCACGCCCCTCTGGTCTCATCTTCGATGTTCAATAGTGGCTCATCCTTCAGCAGGGTCGTCCAGTTGGCTGTCTGGTACCTCCTCGGCTTCGACATCTTCATCGTCGGAGCCCCTATCAAGCTGGGCGAGGTCCGCATCACCCATGGCTTGCGTCACGATATCAATGAATTGGGTGACTTTGACCTTGGCGTCCTGCGCCCGTTCGTCCGCTCGTCGCTTACCCGCCGCTCCAGGTGCGCTGTTCTGGTGCTCCCAGGCAAAGGTCAGATAGTCGAACGCAGCCGTGACCCGGGTCCAATAAGTCTCCTGTTCCCAGAGATCGTATTCACTTGGGGTGGGCAGAATCTGGGGCGGAGTCTTGTCTCGCTTCAGTATGCGGAGTATTTCGCGGAATATCGTGCCGTCCTCCTCGAGGCTATGTGACAACGTCAGCTCTGTGTGCCCACGTTGGAATTCGGGCATGATGACTTACTCCTTCATCGGGTATTGAAACTCTTCGATCAAGCACTGCACGACTGGCCAGACATGCGGGAGCTTGACAATGGCTAAGAAAGTCCTGCATGTGGCTTTCTCCTGCTGGTCGTGGTCACTTCCTTTCCGTACAGTCCTAGTATAGGAAATATATTCCTTGCAAAGTTGAACGAATCTGCTCATGGCGATAGGAGTGTCGACCGAGCTCGGACGGTCAAAGGTCTCGATCCGTTCATGGATCGAGTTAGGTTCCGGATTCATCGTCGAAAGGGATCATAACAGCACCCGCCAATGATGCCCGATGTGAACAGTGACAGAATTGAACCCAATGCGACGTTGTAGCGATACAACTGCAGAGTCGTCGCATAGGAAGTAACGATACCTTTCAGCCACCGAATGGCCAGTCTACGCCCAATGTCGATCATCCAGGATATGTACACATCGGATGAAACGAGCCTGGGGAGTCATTGGACATGGCTGGCTGGAGAAAAATCCCAATGTTGACATCAGCGTCGTACGAATGTCATGACACACCAATGTACTTCAGCGGACTGAACAGTGTCATTGAGAAGGTGGGCACTTGCACCTCGCCCCGGTCCGGCCCCGGAATGAACATTGAGATGACATTATTGGGTCAAATTCACCCGCCCAAGGTTCGAGGTGTGACATTCATGGTCAGCCCAGATCCATGCAAAGGATCGGTAATCAAACATTGGAGCAGAGGTCGAGACCGCCGTGGAGTATGACGCCAAGTGTTGTGCCAGACATGATGGCAACGTAGAGACAGAAGGATGTTGTGTGGATCAATTTCATTAGGTACAATAATACACCGCTAGTAGACGTAGTAGCACGTTGCTGCAGATTCTGCGCCGCATGACGCTATTTTGCGAGTCGTTCTGAGATACGGAGGCGTGCACCATTTGTAGTGTCCAGCAGAAATTTGAAAAGACTGGTCTTTCAAAACACGCAGGCTTTTCTGCCGTGGCCCCTATTAGGAGTGCCTATATCTTGTTGCCTATACTTCCTTACCGAAGCGGGTATAATAGTTATCTTAGGCTTATAATATAGCTACTAGCCCCTGAAAATACTTGGCTTTACTCCGATAACGCCTATACTTAGTTACCTATACTATCTGAGCGCGTTACCGTTTTTAGGCATCTCTAGGTTCATAGGGCCGGGAAGCTAGGGAGTTGCTGTGTCAGGTCATAAAACCCGGTCTTTCTAAGTTTTTGCTGGACACTACAAATGGTGCACGCCTCCGTACGCTGTGCAGTTCGTGTAACTCACTGACCTTTCGCGAAGCGGCGTAAACTGCCACCCACGCGAAGTATAATGAAGGAACAACGTGCTTGGGATATCACCGCTCCATCACCACACGAGCAGTAAGATTTGAAGACTGTTGAAGACATTGAAAGTCTCTCATTTACGAGTACAGCCAACGTGAGCCGTCAATCTAACGAATTCTTCAAATGATCCAGTGCCGAAATACTCACGCCAATTCTGCAACGCAACGCCTGTGACACATCTCACTGTTACACTGCCTCGATGTAGAGTGACATCCTGCGTCTTGTTTGTGCGCATGAGGTCCCCCTTCGATGTTGCGTGCCTGCACTTTCGGGCGAGCACGTCTTCAACTGCAAGTGCGCTTAGCTTTGCAGCTGACGTGTTTGAATTCATGATGTACTTTCTGTTGCGGGTCAAGCTGCCCGGCGTTATAGGTTTGGCCCGGAACACAGCGGCCTTCATCGATCAAGATGTTGGTCCATGCTCCCCCTCGGACCTGTGAGACCCTATGCAAGTCATCTTTTCACTGCCCGCTCAGCCCCTGCCTCCTCTTCATCCTCCAGTTCGTTTTGAATCGCGTCAGCTGCGATGCGTTGCATACTCATCTCCGCATGGAGAAACGCAAAAGGGTTCTCGCGCCAAATGTCACGCAACGCCGACTCGCTTAGGATAAGCCCACGTTCCTGTGCCGAGCTATGGTCAAACGTTTGATGACGAACGAGGGAGCTATCCGTGTCATTCAGCCACTGATGGTAGGCAGGAATCGAGGGTCGTTCGGTAGAAGTACTCTGAGTGTAGAGCTGCGGCAGGCAAGACTCGAAGGCTGAATAGCAGACGATGAATCGATCCAAATCAACAGGAGAAGCTTCGAAACCCCACGCGAGCAAGGCGCTCAAATATGCGCAGACACCGACGAAGACATTCTGCGAGAGCGAGATGTGATACTTTTCCTGAAATTCGCTGAAAATACGCCGCGTTGAACTGAGGGGCTCGGTGACGGTCGGTCCTGCTATCGTGGGGAGGGGGGCGGTGGATTGTGGGTTCGCCATAACAAGGTTCTGTAGACACTGAGACGTGTAATGTTGTCTCTTGCCGCATCTATTTACGCTAGGTAACTGTACCGAGGATTAGTGTCTGTCATAATCTGGTGGCTGGTGAGACTTGAACTTTATGGAGACTGCAGGTCACTTCGTGTTGGCGATGCTGACTTACACAGCAAGTGGCAGTCTGGTACGGAGTAGATACCTGTTGACACCTAGTTCTTCACAACGAAACATCCACAGTATACTCGTAGGTGATGCCAATACTTGTGTTACCAAAATGCTATTTTTGGCGATCTTGGCATTTTGCTCGTCATCTCGCGGCCTTCAAGTTTCCTCCAACCTCAAGCCGAGAACATTACTCTTCAAGCAGAAGACGCCTATGCCCCAGTGCACCTGACAAACTGGATTCGCGCTGCGGTCCACGTCGGCGGGTGTGAATGTTGCAACAAGTGAGCATACCAAAGGCCCAGCGACCGGCAGACATCCTGATCTGACTGAGCAAGAACGTGCATAGACCTTCAGCCTGTGAGGCACCAGCTGTCCAGAGCTTTCGAAGTACATTTGAGACTGGGTCGACTGTACGCGCCCCTGTATCAGTGCGCTTTTTCCAGACTCCATGGGACGATATGCTCTCCAAGGTGCCGAGTATCCAGAAGAAACTCGCTGCTCAAACGAAATATCCCTGAGTGACGCAGTCGCCCACACTTATCAACAAGCCTCGGTTCTGTGTTTATAATAGAAGACGTCTACATGCAGGCCAGAAAAAGGACAAGGACTAGACCGTTGGTGAAACCCTTATGCGAGCCTTAAGCGCTGAACATCCGGCCACCCAGAACACACTCCCTTCGACATGACTGCGATGACCCTCTCTCACAGAGCTACGATGCACATATGACCTCGGTAATGCATTGGCAACTGGGAAGATGCGACCAAGCACACATCACGGCCACGGACCGCATTTCCCACGCATACGCCGGGCTTTGTCTCGAAAGTCGGAGGACCATGGCTACAAGTACATATCTGCGCACGGTGCACGACTGAGCGTTTCCCACGTGTCATGGTCCCTCTGACCGTCATTGGTTGCTCTTGGGCCTGGAGTAGAGCATTTCGCCACTTCCAAACCTGCTGATGGACACCACTGTGCCGCTCGAAACTCGACAACCTCCAGGCATTGCTTCCTCACAAAACCTGTTCAGTTCGCTATCACCGAAGTCAGCAGGTTCTCCTGGCGTTGGAGAGACCGTCGGTGCCGGATACAAAAGTATGAATACCTACAGCTATAGCGTGCCTCATTGCTAGGCGAACGAATCCTGTACGGACTCACTCCTTGGACTGCTGCCGGTGAAAGCAGTGTGGGCCACAGCACCTATGCGCGTGTGGCGCCGTGGCGTCTCGGCATAGCCCTATGAAGTCTCTCACATATCTCGGTAAGCTTCTTCTGCGCTTCGATAAGGTCAAACACTATCTGTGTATCGTTTTGGCGCGCCCTCTGTCTCTGCCGATACTCGTGAGCGAGTTGCTGGACGCGGAGAAGATCAGCTTGGTGCTCGGGCGGGAGCTATCATCAGTGAGCTTTTTCATGCAGAATCAGGGTTACATGCCACACCTACCGGTATACATTTTCTGGCTCTCCGGCGGCAGTCATGACATCCTTGTTTGACATTGCGGGTGTGGCCTCGTCTCGTCCGATTGTCTCGAGGTTCACAGTCACAGGTGAGATCCCTTGTTGACGGTCAGTTGAGCCATAGGATGACGTGGGCAGAGCATACGGAAAGTTCAGATAAAGCACTGCGCAGCGCGTGCAACAGGGGTCTGCATGGCCATCCATCTGTGGAGTCGTTTCCTCGACCCTGCTTCGTTGGTCTTCTCGTTGGTCTTCCATGATGTAAAGGTCTCGGTGGAGGTCGACGGTCAGAATTGCGAGAAACGAGGTTGGAATTTGCGCCGTTAGTCCGCAAACGATGTTCTGCTGGCTTTGGGAATCGTGGCCGCCGGTTGGTCGTTCTTGTCGCGATCTGAAGCCGCCGATGTGGAAGACCGAACAACCTACTGTTCAGAATGGAGCCATCTCTGCCTTATCTGTCTGCCGGCAGTATCCAGCAGAAGCAGAACATGAAAGCCTGACTGAATCACGCCTCGCTCGGTCACTTTCATGGCGTTCGTCGGTTTCATTGTGCTCGAGCAGGGTGATATGTGTGCGCCAGATCTGGCGGAAACATTCGTGGATAGGTATGTCCTGCTTTTCGCATTGTTCATTGTCGGTTTTACCATTCATGAAGAAGACCTCGTCCCCGATTAGGCAGTCACCATGTCTCACGAGCCTTGAAAGACGGAAGAGTATGATGGGACCTTGCAATAAAGAATATCAGTAATTAACCATGTCCTACTCGCCGGCTAATCACTTCTATCCGAATCTCAGGCAGCTTTCAAGCTCCAACACCACTCGATTGTGTTCGGCAAGACGACAAAGGGCTTTATGAGAGTACCTGTCTCGCCATGCCTGCGCGAGCAGATTCAGGTCTGACGTCTGGCAATGAACGTCGAAACCTGCCAAGACCCACGTCGATTGTGACTAGGGCGGGTGTCTCGGCCCCAAGAACGGAATACTCTCTGTCACCAGAGCCGAACGCTTGATCTCTGCGTCACGTAAAGTGTGGTATAGCGGATGTCTGGCATCGTTCTGCATGCCAGGTACAAGCCAGAATGATGCCAGACACAAGCAAGGTGCAGTTTTCTTCTAGAAGTGACCCAGTGAAACCTACGCCCCAGCCACTGTCCTGGCCAGGAAGTCTGAGATACAGCGAAGCCGTGGTGAGACATCGCGCAGCCTAATCTCTTCGATACAGCCTGGCCGCCATGACCCCTTTTTCTCTTGAACAGCCGGATTACTCTCTTCTTCATCCTTCCTTACCCGCTCTCCTCACGCAAGTCTTTCCGATCTGTGGCTAGAACGTCTAACCCACAGCCTTTCGCACTCAACACTAGCAGGGGCTGTCTATCTTCGCTGCCGAACCTCAGCTAGCAGTACTGTACTGCGACATGCATGCTGCGCAGTATGGCCTATCTTAACACCACCGGTCTAGCAGTCGGGATGATGCTTCTCGGGATCGAAAACACTGGCATGCACATCACATCCGATGGCCGCCTGGTTGACTATCGCCTTCGACCCGGCATCCAAGCTAACCCACAATCTGCAAATGGAAAGAAAACAGCCTTTACGGACAAAGAAGTCGAATTGCTTCGCCTGTGGATGGCGACTTCCTCTGATGATACTCATCTGAAGATCTCCCCTTTTGAGACTCTGGAAAATGTGGTTCGTAATGGTCCCTCACATGTCGCCAGGCTCCAGTAACTAATCCTCATTGTTCCCGCTAATAGCTTCCCACACATACCTTTCTAGCGTGGAAATCGAAATGGAAAGAAGGAGGCGTCCAAAAGCTTGCCCCTGTCACTCTACGGACTGATGCCCCCTACAAGAATCTCAAATCCAGCGAAGAGCTGGTGGCCTCCGCGGAAGCTCCTCTGGTCACCACGATATCGCCAGACACTCTGACGACGCCATCGACCAACGAGTCCATCTGCATTGCCACGAAAGCAACAACAACCTTGACACCATCCGAAATTTCCACGTCTAGCAGCTCGAGCGATGGTACCAACCCGTGTGTAGCCACTGAACCTCGACAGCCTACTGTTGATGGTGGTCACGGCGAAAGTAAACGGCAATCGGCATCGCAGCCTGGCCTGCGCCAAGATGAAGCTCCCTCCTACTATGAGCTGCGGGCAGATAGACTCAGCAACATACTTCGAGAACTCGATATTGAAGATGAAGCGGCCTTTGAAAGATGGTTGGCACAGCCGTTCGTCCGTTCGGCCTACAATGAAGTTTTCACGTCAATGATTGTCCCAGAAATCGCCAATACCGAAGCAATACGTGCACTGGACCAGCGGCCATGCTATAACGAAACCGCCTCGACCCTCAATTCGAGAGTGGCTAAAGCGATGGACGCGCTAGGCAACGGGTCGTCAAAATTTCTGTCCCAAAACCCCGACAAGAGTGGGTGGATGAAAGATGACCATAGCGTCAGGTTCATCGTTAGTATGGTCTCGGGAGGACGCGCCCCAGGCTCCTGCTGGAATCGGTTCGACAATCCCAAGGACCAAGAACACCTGTGTCAAAAGGCGTTGTTGCTTTTGCGGTGGCTACAGTGGGTGTATCGTCCTGCAGGAGGAAGCAGTCTTGATTCGATCCGAAGACAGGTCCTCAAGGACGATTGGCGGGCCAAGCTTGCCAAACTTCCACTCTGCAACTCAAAGGTGACGGCAAATCCACCTTCACCACCGTCACCGGGAGGGCTACCTCCAGTTCCGATGGAGCAACCTACGATCACACCAACCGCGAATGATTCAACGTTGGAGACCTCTACCATTACCCTACTACAGGAGATATCAGACAGGTCAGTACGCCAGGCAAGCCCCACGGCCGCTATGGAACCACGTCCGATGAGCCTACCATCAGCTTCCGCACCACAAACTTCCGCGCAGACGCCCACGGGGCTTTCAGCGTCGCAAGATGAAGAAATGACTCTGACTCCATTCCGGACAAGGTTACATTTGGGTCCTCAGTCTTCGACACCATTCAGCACATTGTCTGCCTTGGCCGCTGCAAGTCTATCTGCTGTAGCGACGGTGCTACCTCAGCAGGCACGAGCATTGCTGACAGACTGTCCTGGGCTATCCTCCCCGCGGTTGTTGCCAGTGTCTGCGCTTCTTGATCGAGGTCAATCTACAACGTTCAGTGTCGCCGCAACACCATCAGGACGACTTCCAACCGTCCCGATAGACCTCCAGGAGCACGGCCACAGTGACACAGGTAGCCACGATGAGGATACAATGGCAGAGCTAGGGTACGACAAGGATCAACCGCCCAGCAGCACGCGTAAACGTCTTAGAGCGGGCAGTCCACATCAAGGCGAGGCTTCCAAGCGAGCAAGAACTGATGGAGAGGATCAACAAGCAGAGGCAGTGCCAAAGCGGGTGTACAGCCTGACGGGTCCTACCCCCAAACCCGCTGGCGGCGTCAAGAAGGTGCTAGATGTCCCTGACTATCCAGTGACTTTGTCCGATAAACAACCGCAGATGAAGGGCGCTGCGTGGCTGAGTGCCGCAGCCTACAAGGCGTGGCAGAACGAGGTCACAAATCGCCTTGCCGGCTGGGGCGTCGGCCCGACGCACATGGAGTCTTGCGTTCTGGTGCCGGAGGCATGGAAGAGAAGATGCCCATCCGATCTCCTGGAAGGTGCGCGCTACTTGAGCCTCGACGAGAATCTTGCCGAAACGGGTCGAATGGTAAGCCAGTCCTGTCCTTTCCTTTATCATATCAACCTAACTCTCACGAAGACTCGTACCTACGGAGACGCGACTGTACTATGGGCTCGAGCAGCTGCATGGTTTTCGGTATGGCCGCGACGCGGAGTCGATCTTGATGTCTTCGTAGGCGGCGGCACTGATAACGACTATGGCAAAATGCACGGCTCGCACCGTTGCCATCAAGGCCTATGCATTGTACCCGGTCATATATGCTGGGAACGAGATTTTTTGAATCTCTACCGGAATTCGTGCAAAGCATTCGCGAGACAGCTTCGGCGATATGGCATGGAGATTCCTGTACATTGTCGCGTCCACGATCCTCCTTGTCTGCTACAGGTGGGCCTACTCTCACAAACACTTGGATCTCGTACTAATATGCTTACAAGCACGCCGCATTGACAGCGACCGAGGCAGTGCATATTCAATTCTTCGTCCTTCGAGAAGCCAAAAGTCTGCCCGAGTCACCACCACCTACTATATCGCCACCGGATCGCTTCGAAACGTTTGAGTACCGCCTTCCCCTGAGTTTCAAAGCTGAATCTCGCCCGAGCCTCTCAAACTATCGATCACGATTAGTCAGACCTCCAGACCAGCCTTTCGCCCCGCGAGACAAGGTCTTTATGTGCCCATTCTGCGACAAATACCAGCAAGGATGGGGTATGATTGACCGTTATTGGGCCCACCTCCGCGATCCGGAGAAGCACGGCGCCGAGGTACCCAATCCGGCTCGACTACAGGCGGTCATTGATTCCGGCACCTTGTATCTCGAATGGCAGGCAAGACGGGCTTACGACTATACCTACAACAATAAGCGGATCGCCGAGATGGTTCAACAAACCCAGTTAGACAATTTTGACTGGGAGACCTTCCAGAACTGGACGCTCCACACCCGCAAACCAAAAACAACGCTGCTCGACCCTGCGGCGCCGAGCGAAGAATGACACCGCCTTTTTCAAATTTGAGAATACGCATAGACGCTTTTCCATATTGTTTGGTGTCCAAGTTCGAGAATCAAGATCAGCTGGCGGCGCTTCGGCAATATTTCTCCAGTCCTTGCGAAACAATGGTCTCCTTTCCTTTTGTTTTCACCCCTATCTCTGAATCATCTTCTTGGAACCTCAAAATACGTTTCTTGCCCTCTGGAAAGTAAACTTAACAATCAAAAATCCCTGTTCCGCATGATGACTGTATATATGTTCATCCATCAGCCATGCTGTGATATACGACAAGCAAGTCAATGATCCAGAATTTCTAAGTCTCCTTTCAATGTCTTATTACTGATGTGGAACTCTGCCCAATGGTTCAGGTATCGCAACTAGCCACCACTAACTCTACGTACTCTGCTTTGATCCTTGTGTGTTCGTTGTGTGATTTTGACAGCATGGTCATTAGGGTGGTTGTCGTGGCGTTCCATAAATGTTGTACATACACTTAGCACTACTCTAAATACTTGAGACCATGCATGAGGCCCGACAGCAGCCTGTACCATAGGTGTGCCTCTTGATAGCTAAAGTTTGATCAAATAACTTGAGCCTAATGTGACTTCTCCTTCTTCTGCCCGGATATTGCTCTGGGCCGAGGCTGATGACAAGGTCTGTAGGCCTTGGTCATTTCGACGAGGAAACTAACACTCCGAAGCCGAAGATCGCAATGTAGGAGGGTGATAGAAACTCTACCAGATTTCACTGTGTCTCGTAAGTCATTCTGGAGAACGAGGACATTGATTGTGTGAAGAGACAAGTTGGAAACTCGTCAAAAGCAGTCGAGGAGTGATCGAGGGTATCGCCCATTCGTAGGGTCGGCAAGTGTCGAAGGTCAATACTCTATCTACATTTGACGACAACTAATCGAACAGGCAAGGTACTGCGTGTGCTACTGCTCTTTACAGGCCACTTCTCTATCTGACAAGCGTCCTGGCATATGTGTGAGCACGCGTCTCAAGCACCATCAGATTCGCTACCCTCAGTGTCAAGGTCAAGCATCCGCTGACGATCCCGCGCCCGTAGTACCTCAGGTCGCATCCTTGGATGCTCTCCATCATGATTCTGCCAGTATCTGAGGCAACCAAGGCACCACATCTCGCCCTGTTCATCCGGGTCTCGAGAATTGTGGAACTGGGAAAGGGAAGCGTTGCCACAGACGAAACATTTCATGTCGTCCCTGCCCGCAGGGTCTCTTCCCGTTCGTCCGTAGGAAACAGAGCAGTTTAAGCACCAGAACTTTGTCTGATCAAGCTTGGAGAGACTGAATCGTTGACTGCCGTCATCGACGCGACGGCAGTGGCCGGCACAGACGACACCACGACCAGTTCTCGCCAAGATCGCGGCGGGCGAGTAATACGGATCGACTTGCTGTCTCAACCAGAATTTGTAACAATTTTCGCACCATCGGATACCCTGTTGACCACTCACGCGGGAATGGCACCATCTGCGGCTGTTGAGCGTCCCACACGTGTGGCACCGCCGACGTGGATCAGACCGCCACTCCTCTACTGTTGCAGGGTCTCCTGCATGGCAGTCTCGAGCTGTGGCTTGCCCCAGATTCGATGACCACACGTCGCAGGTAGAAGCCGTCGCAGATTTCACCTGCTCATTTGCTGTTTGCTGTCGGTATAACCGGCGGCAGGTAGGGCACCACGTATTACCTTCTTCGCCATCGGCCAAAGCGACCGTGAAAGACCTGGCGTCGACGTTCTCAGCGAAACAGTACCAGCACGTTCTGTGTTGTGAATGACTGGAATGCCGGCCACTTTTGTTTTCTTCATAACCACATTTACGACAAACTTTTTCATGCCGGTGATTTTCGATCCGTGAGTAATGGGAGGGTTGAGATAAATCAATGACATAGCCGCAGCCAGAACAGTAACGCTCCTCATTGCTGATCGCCAGTGGTGGGAGTTGATCTTTCGCGGACTCGGTCGTGCGTTGCTTCGCCTTCTTTTCAGTCTTGTGATCTCGGTTACATTGATTGCCTATTCCTGCAAGACGACAATTGTTGCAGGGCAAGACACCGTCGCATGAATGTTCTCGACTGCGAAAGCATGTAGCGCACGGATCGGTCGTGATACTACGGTTGTTGTGGTCGAAGAGGCGGGGTTTGTGAGCGGCGTCGAGCATCTGTGCTGTAGACTCCGGGTCTTGTGGGCGACATTGCATCATTCTCCGCTGGCATTCGAAGCACGGTGACTTGCCGTAACACTTTTTGTTATCCCTGAAACAAGAGTAGCATTTGGAGTCGTCTCGGTGTTTTGGAAGCCACGGCGATGTGCGGTACGGATTCGCATCGTCGTCGTTGTCGTCGTCGTCATCATCATCCAAGGACGCCATGGGCTCGTCTGAGTCCGTGTTCAAGCCGTCCACGGCCGGGTCTCGCTGGCGAACACCTGTCCAGTGACCACGAGAGTCGGGATCAAAGAAGACGACCACCAACGAGGAAAGATCATGACCAAGGCCATTCAAGACTCTACCTTGCGCAATCCAGCCCAGGCGTAGTGGCGTGGCACAGTCGAGTGATTTGCCGTATAGCTGAAGGATGAGATCTAGCTCATAGAGCGAAAAAGGAGTTGACGGTAATATCGCTGCTTTCCGATGGCTGGCTTGTTGAGTAGGCACGTAAGGATCGATGGTAGATTGACTCGTTGTACCGAAATCTCCTGACGAAGGGGTCTCCACGTTCAGCGCCGTTCCTTTGGTCACAGTGAAGCCGGACGTCTTGCCGGCACTGGGGATTGTGTTCTGCCTGTTGGTTGGCTTATGGTTGTTGTCACCCACGTAGGAGCCGGACACCTCACCGTCTTCCAATGTTTTCGTGTCATCGGTGGTGGGGCCTTGGATCTGGTCACTGTCAAGTCTATGGATGTTGTCCACCGTGGATTGTGCAAGCTCCTCTGTGGCATGACCGAGTTGAATTTGCTGCGCGATAGAGCTGAGTTCAGAGATAAAGGGCACTCGCACATGTTGCTGCTTGGTCAACTGCGAACGAATGGAGCGTTGCAAAGCAAACAAGCCAGCCCGCCGGTCATCTGCTGGATTTTCTTGAAGGATATGGCCGTGCGGAAAGAGTCGACGGTAAAGGTCTCGACCATCGTGATCAACAGGGAGGGGTGGTGCTGGCGCATCAGTCATGATGGTATCAATCGCGCTGTCAGTAGGCGTAGACAGGCATGTCCGAGGTTGGCCTTGCTTGGCAGATGGACATGAAGGATAGCCTAGGAGATCAATACGCAGTCAGTCGCTGGGAGGCATACTCGCGATCAGGGTACCTCTTACCGGGAACTTGAGGACGCTCATGGATCTCACTAGTGTCGTAAGTCGAGTGATGACGAATGGTACCGAGTGACTCCTCAGCGTTGCTCGAAATGCCGGCTTGAGAATAGTCAGTACTAGGAGTCTTCTGCCGAGATGAGTGCCCTACATTCTGCAAGATGTTGACTGTCGTTATGATTATCTGTAGTGCTGGAAGCTTTCGAGAACCCTCTTAAGATGGGCCCGGCAGCGAGGTCAGCAGGCGTGTAGCACTTAGGGCAAGCCCTGAGTCGTTCTGGATGAACGGTGAGGGGCAGGACCCAAGCGGCGTTGCATTTTTCGCATCGCTCGTATCGATATGGCATTACTGGGTCAGGCATCGCTACTAAGGTTGGGTGAGCGGATTGAGAAAAAGTGAAGAAGTGAAAGTCGTACCTGAAGATATAAGAGCCATCCGTTAACGGGATGCCCAAGTCGAATACGGGCAGGCTGTGAGGTGTTTGCTTCCAAACCCAGCGGGCTGCCCCATTGGCAACGATTCGTGTGCCTGCATGGTTTGACATTAAATAACAAATTGGATGTGGGCAATCAAGCTTCCTGACGCAGACACAGCCAAAAGCCCTGGTACACCATCCATCTGGCCCCCCTTCGATGCCGTGGATTGGGCATAGCAACTCCTTTGTAACGTAGCAGTATCTTGTTATCTCCGGAGTCTCAGATTGAGTATAGCGATCAAGACTCATGAGTAGCGGATCAAAGCAGAAAAGTTCGCGAGGGCACTCTCACTGCATGGAAATCCCTTCTCCCCGAAAAAGACTAGCGCCAAAATATACGAAATGGAAGTCCAATGTTCAACGTCACCGCTTTTACGTCCAGCTTTCTGAGGTTAGGTATCTACATCCCCAGTAGTCCGCACGGCGCTCCATAAGCCCTAATGAGTTCAATGGTCGGTGTGTAGACACGATTGCTAGGGCGCCGGATCTATGGGTAGTCATCAGACCAAGTAGGCTCTTCCGACGCGTTTGACCGCGAGGCTGAATCACCGATCCCGGTCAATATCACTACTTGATCCAGAGGAATCGGGAAGTTCTACAACCCTCCCGAGAGAGCCCATCTCCTTGGTCCACCATATCCGATACTGTCGAGATGCTTCTTCACGAACACACACTTCTTTCTCGTCCTCGTTTTATCCTGCAGTGTGTATTAATCATGTTTTGCTCGTCACTGCTGGTCAGATCTGCGCAGGACTGGCCGAGCTTAACGGCTGGACACTTCTGATTTCCTGGTCAGCACGGGCATACATTTCGCTAGGGACCGAGCTGTCTGACCGCCACCATCTCCGTTCTTGCAGGTGGTTACTGCCTTCGCCTCTCTTTGTCTCAACACCACGCCACGATGCTGGCCAAGCAATCGCTGAAACCAAGGAGACCTACTTAATGGGGGTCTACATGTCCCCCTCTTGATTCCTTCTCTTCTTCACTCAGCAAACCTCATCTTTGATCAGCAGCGGACAGTATTGATTTATCAACACCATATCTACCTTGACAGCTCACCACTCGGAAATCAGCATCTTTTTTTTGGCTTTCTGGTCGTCCCCGTATCTCTGTGTCACCCTTCCCGTCATCATGTTCAAGACGATCTTCTATGCCTTACTGGTGCTCTCCCTGTCCGTTTACTTCTTGAACCAGAATTTGCCCAGTGTCATGCAACTCGTCGACAAGGTCGAAGACATGCTGCCCCCGGAGGCGAAGGACGGCATCTCCCGTGCAACAGATATCTTCAGCACCCTATTTGACAAGCTCATAAACTCACTTCCTCTGGACGTCCAGTGCCGGTTATTCCAGGCTGAACACGCTCTCGACATACTCTTCTACAAGCTCTTCCGCCTTGATCTGCACGGCCACTGTCTCCGCTTGGCACGGTATCATACCTTTGATCGGAAAACTGCCAGCTTTTACCTTGGCTACGCGACTCATAAGCTGCAACAACTGTCTGCTTGGGTTAGAGGTCTCCCATGGAATGAATGGAAGACCATCTCTCTTATTGTGGCCACCCAGATTTTCAAGACGATGAGCGTCGGCACGCAGAACGCTGTCTTGTACATCCGCAATTGTTCTTGGCAGGTGTGGTTCAACAGCCTACTCGGCTTCGGAAAAGCTTGGGTCAGAGTTGTTTGGGTCAGAATTGTACTTGCACTGCTGGTCAAAGCCATTGCCGCCTGTGGACGCTTCGTTCGCCATGTCTGGCGTGATTTCATTCTCAACCAGGCCCCTCCAGTCGTCCAGCACTGACGCTTGCTCGATTAGGTGTCTTGCCAGGTCGGCCATGCCCGTTGCTGCACTCCATCGACGCCATCAGGGATGCGGAAACCACCGCAAAACACCTGTCGAAGACCCGGTTCAATTTGTGGAGCATTATTGGTATGAAGCAGAGGATGGTAGTCCTGCTTGGAAGATTTGAAGAGGCATGCCAGTCAGGCAGGGATTGGGAGAGAACGTTTTGATTCTGAGATGTATGGACTTGTGTTTCCAAATTACTAGACGTAGAATTTTGGTGTGATCTGGGAGGCGAGTAGGCCTGTGGTGATCAAGGATGACTTGAGGCACACAGGGTCCAACATCAGAGACATAGAGTAGTGGTGGAATGATACGCATGCGCTGTTTGCCCCGTCGCCCTGTGAGCCCTTGCCTCAATGATGCACACGATCTACCGCTATACCTTCTTTTGGTCTCTTCCAATTTGTGGTCCGCTGGACCTCCCGAGGCTGCTCTACCGCAACGGGCAAGAACCTGCAATCTATTCTCTTCCTCCTGGTCGATCACAAGATCCGCCTCCGTCCAGGGCTCGCGTCCAATTTCTCTACCCCTCTCTTCGTTACAAACTCACAGCTGGGTTCGCAAGAAAGTGGATCATCTCGACGTCGTTCTTTGTTTGCTGGAGGCACTAGCGCTTGGCGCCATAGATTGCAGGGTAGGCGATATTACAACAGCGCGGCCAGAGGGGGGTGGACAAAGACACCGGCGTAGGGAAAACGTAGATAAATTGGCTGCTGGTAGCGCGCCATTCCTTCTTTCCTTCCATCCACTCTCTCTCATTTTCATGCTTCAAGACCTGCATCAGTTTTAGCCTCACATTAGCTCCTCAACATACCGTCCTCATCATGAACTCACAACAGTACAACGCAAGTGACAATCTCCCCTCCTCCCCAGGCAGCTTTATCTCGGCAACCACACCATCTCGCAGTGGCACGCCCATGGGACCTTCCACATGTAAGTTTGTAACGCGGAGCACCAACCTACAATGGGACTTGCTGACCTAAGTCCCTCAGTGAAGAAGCCCCCAACATCAAGTGTGGCGGGTGGAAAGGGGAAGCGTGCTCGCACGAGCGATACCGAGATGGAAGCAACCCCAAAGAAACGCAGCAGAAGGGGCCCCACCAAAGAAGTGCTCGAGTACGGTCCAGGTCCCAGCACTTTCTCAGTCCAGGATGCGATTCAACACACCTTCCGCCGTGCGGAACAGATCAAGAACGGGGAGTTTGAAGATCTGGAGACGACCATGATGAGAGACAGCCGAAAGGCATCACACACGCAGATCAAGGTGACGTCAGCCAATGCAATGATGCCGGATCAAACAATTCCGCAAATCATTGATCACTTCCGAGCGGTCGCCAGAACCGTCGACGACCTCAGAACGTTGATGAACACTCCAAGAGGTCGAGATGAAGTGTTGCATGCGGCTGCCACGGTTCAACTTCTCAACAACTTTGCCGCTGGAATCCAAAAGGAGATCGACGATCTCACTGTCGTCACGAAGGATATGCAATACCCAGAGGTGATGGCAGTTCGCGAGCAGATCAAGACAAAGGAAACACAATTGGCACATGTGTATGCACAAGAAGTTCATGGTATCTCCGCGTTCATGGCAAGAGGTGACATAGTGTATGGCAATGCTGTGCTTATTGAGGCACTTGGTCGCATAGCCATCACAGATTCCGAAGGGGTCGGCGCCGAGGTGGCCCAGGCATTCATGGGCTGAGCAGGAGTGCAGGGTCGTTGAACATGGCAGTTGAAAGTATGATGGTTGTTGGCGTGCTTTTTCTTCTTCTTGGTCTCGGCAAGTTTTTCGTCATGCTTGCGCTTCAGATTCTGCTTCTCGGTGTCGGGCTTTGGTATGCAGGTGACAACCTGTCGTTTGCATGTCGTTCATAGGTGAAACTTCAATTCTTCTGTGGTAGAGTGTGAAGTCTTCTTTGGCCACGTGTTTTGCTTTGTTGTCCCTCAGGCTTACGAGCATCCGTACTCCGTACTCCCTAGAATCTCCAAATTGACGTTGCCAAGGCCACCACCCTCGTAGAGTATCACGTGTGTCAAAGGTTCCCGAATTTGCTGACTTCTTACCTAGCTTGCTAGTAGGTAGTCGGTACCGTTCCTAGATAGGTGTGTGGACGTGTGCGCACGCAATCGCCATCTCAGATGCCAAGATCTCACGGAACCGAAGCATACTGTATTGACATCTCGACTGATCTTACGCATAAACAATACCACAAGTCCAACCCTGCATCACACAAACCACGTACGCTACCATCACAAAGCCACGGCTGCGCTTCCTGGATTTGCTTCACTGTCTGAGTACGCACTGCTTGCCTGGCACGCGACTGTTCCGCCTACATTCCAGCCTCCTTGTCGAAGGGGGCATTACTGATTGACAATGTCGGGCCATCGCCGTGGATAAGAGCATAGGAGCTCAGTCAACGTCTGCTCGTCACTTAGGCTCAGCATCATTGCCCATGATTGGCAGTTGACACTGATACGAGACTACTCCAGATCTAGCAAAATTCGAAATGGCGGCCAAGTACCATGGAGACCTTTCAGCTACGGAGACCATATTCAAAACCATCATATCAGTGTGTGAACCACCCATTGAGATGATCACTGAAAAGCTCCATCTTTTCGCTCTTCTCCGACGACTTGACTGTCTCAGGCGGAGCACTGCCCAGATTCTACCCATCGGGGTTTATGGTCGGAAGTCTAGTCTCAGGGTATGATAAACACCACAACCAGATACTGCTTGCTTCAACGTGATTGCTAAGTATCTACAGACATTGTCACTCAGCCAGAGCAAACCCCCAAAAGCCTGTGCTTTGATCGTGCCCCAGGCAACTTCATGACGGCGCTTTCGTGGCTGTGGAAGTTGTCATGCAGGAACAATCCCATCGTTGTTCACTATGTCTAAGAGCTGCTTGCTGATGTGCGTCGTGGCCCTTTCAGAGCCCTTTCACCCTTGCATTTTCCAGAGACAGTTTGCTAAACTCTAGACGTGTCCGATTGGATATACTCTAATCTAGCAGCAAGATTTCTTTGTATATTGATACGATATCCACGACACCTTTGTTTTATGATTCAATACATCAGTAACAATCATCAGCACTTTCCAAAATGTTATTAGTATCTTGCGTCGCTACAATCTCAGATTTTTTCTTCATCATACCTTGACTACTCACTCCTTTTCCAAGTAGCAAATTTGGATCAACCGTTCCGCGATGGCGCAATTCGACACCGATGGGCTTCGAGATGTGGAGAAGCGCAACGGCGTCTGGTTCTTTGACAATGCCTCAGAGGAACACCAGTATTTCCGCGGGCACACTCTTTTGTACATCCTGCCAGACCCTGTCTACGGCCCGAATAGCCCATTGAGAAACAACCTCTTCTACTCACGAGTCAACAGAGCAAGAGCCTTCGGAGCCGTCATCGTCGACACATGGCACGACAACGTCACTCATGTTGTGGTCAGTACTCACCAGACCTGGGATGGCATGCTTGAATACCTACGCCGTCACGACCTACCTCCTAAAGTCCAGGTCGTCCGTGATGGATACCTTGATGAGTGCCACGAAGCTCGAGCCATCGTCGAACCGTCAGCGCTACAACATCTAACTCCTGGTGACAATCAATGCCCTCCAGCCGGTCATATGCTGAACCTGCCACGAGCACAGTCAATTATGGTTCTCAAGGAGCGCAAGGACCTGGCTGAAGGCGACTCGGATGAAGACAGACCAGCGAAGGAATCGACCAGAGAGCTCTACAACCCCTTTCAAGGCAACGAGATGGCAAAGCAGCTCGACGAAACCTGTCAACAATTTCTTCAACGACTCATTCCATCTCAAGTGGTCAAGGGTGAATTCGATCGCCTTGCAATCGCCAACCCAGCTGCCGACTGGAGTTGCCAACCCAACCTCAAGGCTTTCAAATATCGTGCGAATTCTTTTCTCGAGCTCTTCCTGGACAACAGATGGGACATGGAAAAGGACCATCGCGAAGACGAAGACTTCTCCAGGGGTGAAAAAGCTCGCCTGAGAATGTTGCGCACCAGTCTCGAGGTGGAGATCCTCTATGCCGCCAAACAGACCAACGTGATTTGTGGACGATGGTTACTGCCCGCCACAGCCAAAAATATCGACAAAAATTGGCAGGTCGTGGTTGAGTCTACGTTGCAAGGTGGCCTAGGCTGCGCCGCGGAAGTCACCCGTGGCGAGAGGGTCTCCTTCGTGATTTCTGTCTACACATGCGACATCAACGACAAAGGGGAAGCGAAGCGTGTGTTGAACAAGCTCAGGGAATTGCAAGTCTTCAACCCTGGCCCAAAACCGATCTACTACAAAGCCTTGGCTTACACTGAGGTTGAACTCCGCGCCAAAAACGAGTACAAACTTCGAACGAGCCTGTACAATAGCGACGAGATTTGAGGCCAAGCATTGACTGAAAGAGAAGGGGGGAGAGCGCGCTAGTCGGACACATACTGAAATGTCCCTTGGAGTGGATGAGAATGTGTTATGGGTGGAGTAGAGAACAGCGACGGTTGCTGTGGGAGAACGGATGTTATTTGCTGGGCCATCCTGACTTGCGCTGCATTGGACATGGGATGATTTGTATTGCAGCATGAAAGGTGTGGGATGGGTTTCATGTCATGGTGCTTGTACTTTTATTACAAGTCTCGAGATCATGTCAATGCAATTTAGCTTTTTAACATATTGAAAGTTCTCCTGAAAGGTGTAATGGAATCAAGACGTCTGCTCTGGCATTGACAAGCAATGTATTGGACAGCCATTACAAGTCCGCGGTTATTTGACTTCGCGCCTTAGCCATGTGGAAGCAACCTTGCCAGCGCGTCTCGCATCCTCCTCCGCCCAGTGCTGAGCGTCGACATCTGACGCATCAGCCAATCTCAGACAACAGATATAAGCCAAGAGACATCGCTCCTCGTCAGCCAATGCAGGCCACAAGAAAGTACCCAACGCTCTCGTGGGTCTGGAGAAGTGTCCGTCGCAGCGCCCCTCGAGCCAAGTGTGAAAGTCGGTACGATCGCGGTTGATTGCTTGGCGTTCCACCCTCAAGGACTCGGTCTCCCATGCTCCATTCTCTTCCTTTTCCGCTCCTGCTAGATCAACCAGTACGATCGAGCGAGAGTAGACGCCCTTCGGCCGACGCGCACCAGACTTAGACTCATGGCTGAGGATACGGATAATGACGCAGAAATGCCCTCGCGACGAACGGCAGTTTCTACCGGTCACTGACCGGTGGAGATTTTGATGCGCGTATCGAAGGTTCTGCGTCAGTTCTTTGGCCGATGTGCAATTGCGATACTGCAGGTCTTCCCATCGTTTGACATCCTTCCGTCGCTCCTGAGCTTCTCTTCGGAACTGGTCTTCGACTTTGCCTCGGTATACCTCTGCTGCAGCACATTCGACGGTAAAATTGCAGCCTTCCTGGTTCAGGTGCACGAAGAGTTCTGCCGCTGTCAACGGCATAACGCTGTCATCACGATCGAACATGGTGAATGACTTGCCACTCCCAGTCTGTCCGTCGACGATGGTCACCAGATACTCCGGCTGCAGGCTTGGATCAAGGAGACTGATCAGCAGTGGTCGTACACTGTGCCAAATATCCGCATTAGTGGCCACAGCGGGAAGAACACTAAGGAACCCGGGAAGCTTCTCAACCCTGTTGTTCTCGGAATGTATCTCAATCGCGGAAGGATCATCGTGAGCGATCTTGACGTTGGCGGATTTGGGATCGACGTTGGCAGGAGCAAAGAAGCGCGCCAGCACCCAGCTCCGTTGCCTGACACGCACAAGGCGCTTCACCACGGCTTCGCACAAAGCCCGAGATCTCAGGGCAGCGGACTTGTGGACCTCTAGCTGAATGGCCTTTTGCTGTTCAGAATCTCCGAGCATGGCCTTCAATAGTTCGATCTCCGTAACATGCGCGTCACAAGCCTGTTTCAGCTCAACGATTTGACTTTCGTAGAAGCCTTGTATATCTTGGATTGCGTTTTGGCCTTCGTGCACCAATGTCCGGAGATCATCATTGGTATGCTGTCCCACTTGTTCAATCTGTCCCTGATACTGCTGTCGTATTGTGTGTGGTTGTCCAGTATGTTGTTGTTGCTTTTCCAAGGCTGTGGTGCCCAATACTCCCTCGTCACATTCCGTCCGCGCCTGCGGATGAACGGTTGCCATTTCCAGTGTGGGCGAAACCTCCTCCTGATGCTGGCACGAGTCAACTAGTGCAAGCGATAGACTAGTGTCTTGTTGAAGAATATCGCAGTACTGGCTTTGAAGATCCTGAGTGCATGCCGTAATGAGGGCGTTCAGTCTCAGAAGGCGCAAAACCATAGTGGGATACTTGGTCACCTTCAACGGTCGAAGTGCGCCACGGAGGTATGACTTCGTGATGGAAAAGGACGGAAGCAGGAGATTCGGATAAGCCGAAACCGATAGGAAGTTGAACCTATGCAGAGGCATTAGTGATGCATTGAGATCATGTGTAGAAAGCAACGCGGAAGGAAGATGTCCACTGAGCCGGGCGATATGAATCGATTTTGTCTCGTAGTATATATCTAGGCTGGGAGATCTTATACTGCGTTTGGGGATGAAGCCAGTGTATCAGTCTTGAGGAAGCCTACCAGAGCCCAAGATACCACGAACCCCAATACATGGTCACCAAAACAATAGCCCCAGCCATCACGATATCCAGCAAAACTTCAGAGTACAACCACGTGTCCGCCAACGCATCGGGAATCGGCAGCCAAGGCAAAGTACACACATAGGAATATATGAACTTCATGAAGATCTGTATAGCGACGAGGCCGACGGTCAAGGCTGCCAGGCATAGTAGCATTGGTGGGCATTCGTTGTAGGACTTTGAGGATATCGGGGCTGGTTGCTTCTGCTATCCTGTCAGTGTTCGTTGCAACCAGAGGAAAAGGTGGTACCATACAACACGAGGCGTGGTTTCATTCTTCATGGCTTGGAACTTGTGGCGCTGTTCGTCATTGTGTCGTAAGAGACTAACCAAGTCATCTTTGGTGGCATTTCTGGGAATTTTGATAGACCTAACATAACGTAGCTCGTCCACCAGCGCTGTGAACGTCCAAGAATGATAACCCATGAGGGTGAGAGAGTAATGTGTTCCGTGATTGTCAGGAGTAAGGAGGTGGGCGCCGATGTTTGATGAAAGGCTACGCAAGTGGGCGAGGAGCGTATGGGTTGGAAAGATGCTGCGAGTTCAACTCGGCAGACTTCGGCAGAGTGATCGCCGCGACTGGTAGCCTGCTGCGATTTCAATCCTGTCGGGCTTGTCTTGGCTGCGCCACGACAGCAGAGTGAGATCTGGGGGACGAGACGGCAAGACGCGTTGCCATTCTTCGCGTGACACAGTTAGGTTTCCTGCTTCGGAGGCTTCGTGACCTTGATATTTTTGGACTGGGCTTTTTTATTTCAACTGTCTTTTCAGCGGTAACTCTGCAGTAGTTGGAGCACTGAAAATATCGAAGAGAGCAGGGTTTAGTCATGGCGGATAGCGATGTCAGCAATATCATAAAAAGACTGGCAAAGCTGCTAAACCAGGAGGTTGGATCGACAGCTCTTTCCCTACCTGCTGCACTGACAGAACGATAGACGGTTGACAGGGTCCTCGATGCCGGTGACCGACGTCTATTGCACCCAGACCAAGTTGCAATGCTTGCACAGCTTCACACCTTTTTCAGAGGCCAGACCGCCGAGAGCGAAGAAGAGAGGGATGAAGACAAGGGCCCCCGTGGCAGACCACGACGGGGCAGGCGAGCAGGCAAAGCCGCCGGCAACACGACCAGGAATGAGATGATGCGTCTCGCGAAGGACGTAAGGCCACATCCTCTCGTGACCGAACTTTTGGACAGCCAAAACTGCACTGCTAGCATATTCCTCGCTGGTCGCAGTGGCGGCGAAGGCGGCGACGAGGACCTCGCTGATTTCCCGTCACAGCTGGAAAATTGCCGAGAAAACGGGAAACAAAATGTCGCCTTTGCACATTGCGTACACTTTCTGGAGACGATTGAGAAACGTAATGTCCTGGACGCGGGTCGAAAGTGTTTCTTGTACCTGTTCTTCTTCGATATTACGCTCCATCTGAATCAAGTAAACAATACCACGCACACTGGCAGTCGAATGGGTCAGAAGCAGAAGGAGAATGCTCTGAATTTGCTGGCGGGGAACTTTTTTGAGCGCGTCTTTGTCGATCCCGAGGAATGCAAAGAGGTCAAGAAGAAAGTGGACAAGTGGACGAAGCGCGGCAAAAAGCTCGATCAGCTGTGCGAGGCTTTCGACGAGGGGGCGTTGCTGATTCTGGCGGACAAGCTATCTGAGGACATGTGAGCATATCCTCTTAGCGACCCCGAAGGCAGGACAGACTAACGCAGTCAACAGGTTAGACAACAAGTACAGAGAGGGCGAAGACAATGCAATTCACCAACAGGTATTCCAAGAACTCGAGATGCAGAAGCTGAAGGAGCAAGGCGAGGTGTCAGGCGCGACAAGGTTGGGGAAAGAAGTGCGGCGGTTCATGTTGCTCAACTGGATCGACGATGGTGCTAATACAGAGGAAGTCGAAACTGCTAGTCCAGCATCTCAAGGACAACATATCGAGCCTACTGACGATGCTGAAGTTGATGCATCGGTCAAGGATGGCGCGGGTGACTCCCAGTCGGATTCTGATGGTCAACAAGACATCGAGCCCGTTCACGATTCTGAGGTCGATGCATCGGTCAAGGACAGTGCGGTCAACTCCCAGTCGGAGTCTGACGGTCAACTTGAAAGAAACGCAGAGATGGACGAAGTTGATGTCGAAGACGGCAGCGCAGATGGTCAGGATTCGGACATCCCCGAGGACGCAGGCCAGCTCAAGCGCAAGCGGGTGAACTCCGCAGATGACGTTTGAGGCTCTCGAGGGGTGGTCCAATAGGTGAACATAGTATCTATGATCGTGTGTCCAAACCGCTCTGTACCACATTACATGGACAATAGACATGGTACATGTGAGGATGTGTAAAGACCATGATTGCAGTGAAGCCTGAATTCGACGCGAACAGCTTTCACGTGTAAAGTACCGACAATTCTTGATTCACCTGCATCTTAGGCGAGGTCATCGCAACTGTACAATATGGGAGCAGGTTTGAAGGAAGGGCTGTTAGCTACTCGCGTGGAATCAAAGCTGCCTCACAACATCAGGAAGCCTGGAAGGGGATTATTGAACTCAGACAGCCGAGAGCTACGGACAGTGCTGTGCCTCGGGTTCCGGTGGCGACTGAGCAATGAGTGTGAAACTGTTGAATATTAGAGGTCACGGATGGCTGTCACATTGTCCATATCATGCTTGTAATCATCACATTTTGCCTGCCGAACGCCGACCCTCACATACTCTGCCAATGGCCAACAATCTCCGTTGAATTGCCGGCATGGCTGCGGTAGAGGGTTTGCACAACCACAAACGTACGGCTCAAGAAAGTGTTCTTGTCCCTGTCACCAAGCACGGTCATATACTCCAGATCAGCTTCCATTCCCAACAATAACTCGGCTGCATCCACCTCTAGCTTGATTTGCTGGTCAATCCTATCGGCGCCGGCTTGGCCCAGACTTGAGGCACGTTGGAGCTGGGACAGACAGGTCGTCTGATTTCGCCACATCATCATCTGGCTTGGGGATAGGGAGGCAAGAGACTGCAGACCAGCGGACGGAGCAATTGACTTCTTCGCCCAGGTGAATCTCTGAGCCCAGGCTCGGTTTCCGTATTCCACAATTCCCCGCTTAGTGGCACTCAATACTCTAGCAACACAGCTCTCAGGGCCGTCATACATGCTACGAAGCTCCGTGAGAACTTGACGCCGATCTTGGGCGAGATGTGAGCGAGCCCGTTGAACCTGCTGTTGCGTCTGGGTCGCATTCGCGCGTGCAATGTAGGCCTTAAGCGTGGCCAGCTCCGGGTCCAAATGGTCAAGAAGAGCACTCCACAGAGCATCCTCTTTGTCTGTCATGACTCTTAGGGTGTAAAGGCACTCCTGCAGATCCGACTGCAATATACAAGAGTGGCAGACATCTTCAACGGAGTCCACCCCGGATTTGGCGAGGGCCACGTAGCTGATAGCTTGTGGGCGGCTGACTCTTGCTGAGGCTGCTGGTGTGAACCTGTCCAAATGCAGCAGGCCACTTGACCATGCTTCCACCACCAGGTAATACGAAACAGTGGCTAGCGTCAACAAGATACCGAGGTACAACGAAGTCAACGGACGGACAACAGCTTTGTGAACTTTGGGAGGATTGACAGAGTGCTTCCAGTATGTAACCGCTCGACTGTCTATGCCATTCTTTTTCCTCGACCCCGCTGTCGCGATTTCTGCAGATGACTGTTGTGGTGATACTTCAAAAAGAACAAGCTCGTGCGCCTTTTCCTCTTTTACTTGTGTGTCGAGTTGTTGCGTCTCGACATGTTCAGAGTGCGTAGCGTGTAGCTTTGTAATGGGTCCCGGAGAAGTGCTCTTGGTTTCTTTCTTGACATGACCAATTGGAGACACAGCTCTTGTTTGAGTATGTTCACCATGTGACGGAAGCCCAAGTTCTATCTTGAGTGCGCTAGGAATGGGTGCTTGCAAGACCCCGTCTGCCCGCTTCTTCCGTGCCCGGCTTCTCGATCGTTGTCGTAGTTCTCCAGCTACTCGTGGATCTGAGGGTTGTGGAGCGTTTGAGATCGCGCTGTCTTCACGAATTTCGCGCTTCCCCACTCGCTCGACTTTGAAGGTAGGCATAGGTGCACGTAGGGCGGTATGACGTTTGAAGGTATATAGCTGGATGCCTATAAGACAAGGTGATCGTTGTATAGGTCTTTCCTGGCTCGATACTAGGGAGAAGTATGCAATGTAGTGGTCAGCGTGAAGACGGTCGACCTCATTATGTACGAGGCTGGAACGGCCATGTATGTTCGGTAGACTCTGTCTCATAGCGGTCTAATTTTAGGCGGCATAGCTAGGCACCGGACTGAATCATTAGCAAATGATATCTCCGAGGCTACCGTTGGAAGTGATACACATGATGGACCGAATCAAAGTCCACTGCTGAGATGCTTATGATAGCCGCGTAATCATTCCTCTCTTGCCCTACCATCTTCCGTAGTGAGCCAAATGTCGCCTGAATGGGATGGGCCAGAGCCTTAAGTTGTCTCACTGCAGCCAAGAATGGCAGCGTCATATTTGTCAATAATCGTCAAGATCGTCGATTTCTGGCGGCGCTGTGATTGCAGTAAATTTTATGTCTTGTATAATGGCCGCCACCGTGTCTCGCTCGAAAGGGGATCAATTTGTAACCACAGCAACGCTATGAGCAAGCCGCCCTTTACGTGGCAGCAAGTACCTTACTACTGTACAGTACAGTACGTACCCCTCACCTTTCGAGCTCGTCGTAATCCAGCCATGTCCGTCGGCATGGGTATACTCGTGTGTGCTCGTGCATACTCGTGATTACATAATATACACCGTTCGGGACACAGCCGGATCATAGTGGCATGTCATAAGATTATGCTTTCAACCTATGCTCAATAAGTACCAGACCCATATATCTCTTTCAAACGCTTGTCAATCCAAATCAGATTACACGGAAGGTGCCTTAATCTTACGATCACGACCGTAGGTCTCGTCGAGCTGTTCTACCAAGCCCCATAAGTGTAAGGCTCTATTCTTTTGGCTCTTTACATGCATCATCATTGGTGCGGTTTGAATCAGGATGGAAGGACTGTTCAAGCTGTCCGCCGGGAAGAATTGTCAACGAAATGTCCATCACGATTTTTGAAGACCATATGGAGTTTCACTTTCATATAGCGCTTTCGCAGTCATCGGCGAAGCTGATCCGGCTCTGACTCTATTCTCTGACTGTGCTGCAAGTAACCCATGCCACAAGACCTGAATAGCTGAAGTGCTTCATATCATTAAGATTCCATCATTTCCCTTCTACGCTTCTAACTTGAAGTCTGTCTCTTACCTGCTACCTATCTCCTTATTCACCTCATCACTCAGATGTTCGCAAAACTTCCCGACTGGGCACATCAGACTTTCGCCTTACTCTGCTTCTTCGCAGCTTTGGCGGTGCCAATTCCGACAATACGTCTATGCCGGTGTTTCTTCACCGAGTTCACATGGGGAAAATACTATCCGGACGTGCGCGGTGTGCCTATGTTCCTCTTTCAAGCGGTAAGTCTGGTTCAGGTAGCTTATGAACCCTTTCAGAGTTAATCTGATCGATAGGCTCAAGTCGTATTTTCTATCACCCGATTCTGGATCACGTCCATAGCAGGAGCGCTCAGGGTCTACTATGGTTGCTTGCGGGCGGTCACCTACCTCATATTCATGTCTATTCGTCTCTACGACTCTGGCTTGAAGGCATCGGAACTAGCTTGGACTCGAGCATCTTTCGAGGTAGTAGTGACAATGGCTCTAGCGCTACTTATCTGGAGGCAGCTGAGATCCATTTGGGATTTATGTACATCTTTCTTTGGGATAGTGAAGAATATGGGCTTGTTGCCACTTCGTACGGTAGTGAGGGTATGGCAGCTTCTTACTTGAGCTACCGTTCGAAGAACGTCGACGAGGAGTGTGTCCGAAGGCTCACCCCAGCAAGGCAGATTATGCTTAAAGGTCATCACGGCGCATAAAGATAGTCTTTCACCAAGGAGAAGAATACACAGATAGCAAGAATAGTAGTTCGTGAAAGAGTTTATTCCACCGTAAAAGTATATGGCTCTCTCCGACCTCTATGGAATCCCACCCGCATTGGGTACCACCTGAAAGTGAGGATAGCTTATAAGGCTAGGCTGGCCAGCCATTAATTCGAGTCCAGATAGATTATGTTAGCCAGGAAACGTCTTTTCTACGTTCTAATATATGGTGTAGAACTGGAGCACATCTGTGCTATCAATACGAGTCCAGGCCCCGGCTACGAGTGGATGTTCAGGGAGGACCATTCCAATGGTAAGTCTGATGATGAGTCCGTCCACGAATCTCCAATACCGCAGATTACTTGGGTTGATTGCCGCGATGAGGATGGAACAGGTGCCCGTACAGCCCCTAACGGAGACTGGTCTAGTGAAGCGGCTGATTGGAACGAGGAAGTGGTCACTCAAGGTGACGACCATCCCTCTGCGCGCCGCTAGACCTTTGCCTAATGCCTCAAGAGCTGAAAGGTAAAATGCAGCAAGGGAAGGAAAACGAGTGGGTCCTGCGTGGACATGAACTCATATCCCCACCTCTGACGGCGCCGAATAGTTTGAAGTTCAAGACTTTCTCGACCTCTCCTGGCATGCTGGAGATTGCAAGCTACCTGAATGTTGTCAAGGGCACCCCCTCCGATCCTTGGGGAGCCATGGTCAATGAGTCATGTGGCCTCCACGTACACGTTGCAAGATCACGACCAAAAGGTGAGAAGGACAGCGAGATGATTCCCCTGCCGGTTCTGCAGCATGTGGCACTTATCATCGTTCGCTACAAGGACCTCATGACCTGCCTGCATCCTGTCAGCCGACGAAATAACGTGATGCTAGGATCAAACCTGATGGGTGTCCGCCGCTGCCCCCATTCGTGTCAGCGACTGGGAGGAATCAACCTAGACACAGCCCAGAAGAAGATCTTCGCCAAGAACATGACCCCCAAGCGTCTGGCTTATCTCATGGATACCGCTTACAACAACTGGCCCGGAAGGAGAAGTAACGATTTGAGATACAAGAACGTGAACTTCCAGCGACTCAGCATGAATGTCGCGAAGACCATCGAGTTCAGGCAATATGAAGGCACACTGGACATTGACCACATTGCTCACTGGGTGCACTTCATCGTGAGCGTGGTGCGAGCCGCTGAGCGGATGGCCACCACTGACGACCCCGTTCTCAGCCTCCAGACTCCCACAACGGCGGCGAGCCAAGGACAGCCCAAGGTCACCTTCCCGCGTCAGCAAGGAGACAAGTACAAAACTCGCTGTGCCAAGGTGACTGACGAACTGGAGAATCTGTACGATCTGCTCGACTTCGAAGAAGAGACTAGGATTTGGTGGAGGAAGAGATTTTGCGAGCTCAATCCTGACGGGGTTACCTCCGTCACAGAAGAGCAATGCCCAGCGTGTCGACAGGAAGCACAAGAGAAAGAAGTGAACAGCCGTTATGAGCCTGGCGAGTGGAGGTAGTAGTGGAAAATTTGACACAATGTACAGTCGTGTACGGTAGGACATAGCTTGTCGAGCCGAATGAGATGTTATTCCAGAAAACTTGCCCGATTCCTGACTAGATGCACACAACTAAGCCCATTCTGACCATGATCGCGATTCCTTGAGCAATAAGAAAGATATTCATGAAGTCGGGGTATCACCATCTGAACCATGGATCGGCAGCTCGAAGACCATGAAACATGTCATTCTCTATCTCTAACCCAATCCACCGACGTCGAAGAATCGCATTCCCGAACTCCTGCAAAAGATACCTAGTAAGTTGTACTCCATTATCATGCCCCATAAGTCGCATATCATCATGCGCCCCCGTCTTTCCTGTGCCCCTTCTACCGAGTCCGTTATGCAAGCGATGCTGAACGATCTTCAAGGGAAGAGCTGTCTAGATGGGATTGTATTCGAGTGTTCCGTAATCAGAGCAAGTTGAACTCAGGCCCCGTCTTTGCCTGATCGCGTGCTTCTCGCAGAGTAGCCAAAGGACGTGGCTTTGGCAGTGCCGACAGCGCGGGTGTCTGTGTCTTTTGCGGCATGTTGTAGACAATGACGAAAGGCGCGAGAGCAGTCGCAGTGGTTGCGAGGAAAGTGGTGAGCGTGAAGTGAGACATTTTCGACGACGATTGTTGTTTTGATTTGGTGGAAGTCTCGAAATGCGCAAGTATATTGGTAGTGACCGTGGTTGCTCGCTGACTAGTACAAACGTCTAATCTTTGTAGCGAAGGACGTAGAGAGAAATCTATACTCTATGATGCTTTGGAAAAGACTGACGGAAAGCAAAATCGCGATGAGATATACTCGAAAGTGACGGTGGCGGTGAAGAAAGGAGACAAATAATAAATCACGCAGGGGTCTAAATGTTGATGAGACATTGAAAAGTCTTGATGCAGGGGTGTTGGAGAATGAACGCCGGACGGGAGATCTGCCACTACCGCTTGAATTGTCGGGGATCTCGGGGGTCGAAGCCGTGTCCACACTGCCCAGACTCCATTATATTGGGGTAAAGGGGGTGCCCTATAACTATATCAAACTCTGATATCTTAACTTCATCCGCCATGATGGACAGCACTTTTCCTGCCTTCCTCTGTCCCTATGTAGCTTGACCGATCCCTAGGCATACGTCGCATAATATGCACGCGCTATGAACACTCGCAGAAGGAAGAGGTGAAATCATTGTGAGTATAATTGTCTTGTGTTCTCACGATATATTGTTGCTATAACCACGTTGCCTGTTGCTGCATTGTAATGAGTGTGGGCGGGCTCCTGCTATACGGGCTCGACCTGCTCCGATCTCGTCCACGTCATCTCCTTCACTCGACAGTCAAGTCTTTGCTGATGGACCACCGCATGTGCTTCGAGGATGTGTGAAGGGCAGCTCAAGCCGTCGCCCAGAATCGACGACGGCGTAAAAATCATGATTACATGTGTTTAGTGCTGTACACGTCAGTTCAACGTGTCTTGCCAGAGGTGTTCCCAGGGAGAAAGACGTACTCCGCAGGTTTTGCAAGCGCAGGATCCGCTGCAGGCACCGTTGCAGCAGTTACACGATGAGCAGGGGCCCATGTTGTTAGTTGGAAGGACTGATTAGAAGGATAGTGAAAAGTATATTGTTCTGATAGAAAGGAATATTGCACTTTGCTTTGAAGTTGTGTACTTGGTATATCCGGATAAACAGGAAGACACAAGACTGAGTGGGAGGGGTGCATGATATATCATGATAGCTTCTACCTGAGGTCGCATTCTCCAAATAGTCATGCGGACGCTCTTGGCCTGATCCCTTAAGTTTGTTGGCACCAATGGTTGGTATACAATGCTCTAGTCTTAGCACTCTCAAGACTGCCAGCAGGGTATCACAATACGTAGACGTACGCCCCTGGCGGAGGTTGTCAACGAGTCACGACCTGGGGCGCGATCAAGGAACGTTCAAACGGGTTGTATGATCTGTGGTGTTAACCTATTTACTCACGGACCTTGCTATACTAATTGGCATGAAGATCTCCTATCAAAATGTATGTAGTTAAGCATAAATGGTAGTACAATAGCATGAGGGAGTACATGAGGTTGCATAATTGGGAATGCCAAGAAAAAAAGTGCCAATCCTACTGCACAGGGGATAGGCTAGGTCGGCATCGAGCAAGCTCGACAGGGTCAGGGAACAATCAAAGTCGAAGAAGCTTGAAGAGATATAGCATCTAATGCGAGTCTTCATTAGCTACTAGTACTAGTAGTACTTTTGGCTTCGCCAGGCCCCTAGTAACTCTCTTCCATAATCACCCCCATTAGGCATCCGTATTATCGTGTGAACATGACATTTGGACGGTTCCGCGTTCAGCAGGAACACACCTGCATGGTGATCGAATTCGATGAGTACGACAGGACTCTGAATACGGTAGTAAAAGGGGTCCTCTTCGCCGAAGGCGCCGATCCAGGAGAAATAGGTTTCGGGCCAGTGTGATTGAATCTGCGCCATGCGTGCGTTGAAAGGCCCACTGGGTAGAATGCCCATATAGGTGGCGATAATAGAACGGAGATAGTCCTGTTGTGCTGAGGGCATTGAGATGGCAAGTACACCCTCGTAGGGAATCACTCGATTGTCTTGAGCAGCCCCCGACAGTTGACGCTACAACTCCTGGTGTTAGATTGGTGGAATCGAGAACAACACGTAAAGAAGAAAACATTGACCGTGAGAGCGCAGAGCGGCGGATATACCTGACATACCTGATCTGCGGGATGCCATCGCCCTTCCGGCATGGCTGGGTCGTGCATTTTCTTGTATATCTGGGCTACCGCTTGAAGGTCTGGTGGCAGCGATTGCATGAGCTTGAGGGCCAACTCGGATTCGGGGAGGAAGAGCGCTGTGCCTTTGTACGGCCCGCTGTCGATGACCTAGCATATATTAGTGTGTCAATTCGGGGGGGGGTATTCATTATCCTCATCCAGCCTACATTAGGCTCTGCACCGACAAACATTGGACTTATCACCATCTGCTTCCCAAGAACGAAGACACTCAAACAGAGATGATGACCAAAGAGTAAGAAGCCCCAAGGCGTTGCCACCGATGGCTGGCCAAAGAGGAGAAAGCTGTTGGAAAGATCAGCAAGGTAATATAGGTAGTACAAGTGGTGGTACGTGCTGATAACTATACTCATTCAAAATCGGTTTCGCATTTACTAATTCTCCCAAAAACTGATTCGTCCTCATAACACCCAGTGCCTTTTCGAATCCGTTGGGACTGAGACTTGAACGCAATAGATCTAACACAAGATCCCTCTTCCTTGGATCCATGGCTTCCAGGCGGATGCCAATGTCATTAAACATGATCTCGGGATTGGCCCACTTTCGCCTTCTTTGCTTAGTCCTTGGAGCAGTGAAGGGCATTAGGAAGGTCATTACCATTCAACACTGTCAATGTCGAAGCAACACTTGAATAACTCGTCTGGCGAGAAGCTGGAAAGTAGGGTTTCCGCAGCAGCGACCTAGGAAAAGAAAGGTTGGCTCAACTCCCGTCAACCCTTCAAGCATAGATACGTTACCATCTCAGAAGTTGGAGCTCCCTCCTCCTTTACCGAGTACAAATCTCGGATCTTGGTGTTATCACATGTGATCCCAATGAAAGGCTTCTCCCAGTTCTGATACCACGGTGCAAACAGACTTTGGGGTCGAGGCCTACTCAAGACATCTCTTGAGTAGGAGTGCACGGTGACTTTGTCCAATCTATGTATACGAGGGTGTCCTGAGGTTGGTTAGATCAGTCTCCGCACTTTTATGACGCATGTAAGGATTCGAACCGGCAGGTGGTATATATTCGCGGAAGTCGTTCTTCCATGTCTTCCCGGAGTCGAAAGCGTCAGAACGATGTTCAACATATTCTGCAGACATTGTATTACGAGAGGGTCATGGCATAAGTCTAGTATGCCTCTCACATTTGCACGTACTTCAACTTTTCAGAAACGAATATTAAACCTCGGGTCGTCTAGCCGATCCAAACTCTTGGGTGTTATTCTTCCACGGGACGAGACCTAGAATGGAAGCTTCCGGGGCTACCAGCAAGCACTCGGTGACTCGGACACCGGTCCAAAGCACTAGCACACTATGAGACACTTCGGTGGAGACCCTCGACAACCCAGTTTTGATGCTCGGACAGACTTATCGATTACAACAGATCTGAGAATGTTTGTTCTCGACCCCTAGGGCTACTGCTTAGCCTCGAGAGAGAATCTCTTGTTGCTCGATATAACGAGATAAATCCACAGTGATGCTTTTCCTTTACTCTTGCTTCTAACCCTTTGATAGAGACCTGACCAGGGTGGCCAAAGGCATTTTGCTACTTCCTAATGCTCATTTACTAGGGAAAGTGTTTAGCGATCGTCCACAATCCTCCGAGGACCTTCCGCGAAAACTACCAATTTTTGTGGAAATCACTGGCGTTGCCGATTCCATAGGGCTTCCAAGCTAATATCGCTCAAATTGGGATTGTATATGCTCATCAGCAGTCTATTACGAAGTTTTTTATAGGTAGATGAACTGGCTTTGGTATTTACATATACTGAATAACAAAAGCCCCCAATGATATGGACCTAGGTGATTCCAATGCTCGTAGACTACTAGTATCTGTACTGATGTCGTAGTTGACAAGAATTACGGCACCTATGCCATCTTCATTCCCGCCTCATCGTAAGATTTAAGTAATAAACTTTTGGCAAAGCTGAACCTTTATCAACGACAAAAAGCCCACCAGATACAGCAGTGACGAGAATTAGCTCCTGATGTCGACACCATCAAATTTCCAAAGCCAAGCCATCCGTGACGGTTCTCCATCACATTGCAGCCTTTTCGCTCAGAGACGAACGAAGGACGTTTTCCAGAGCTTCCTCTCACTGCCTCGTCTTTTGATCAGTAAAAGCCTTCCAACTCCCATCAAGACCACCCCTAGCACTAAAGAGAGGACGCAAAAGACGATAGGTTTCCACCAGATATAATCCGTGCCTAGTAAAGCTCCTTGGATTGGTGACGCGATCAAAGTAGCCACACCTGCAATAAAGTAGCCTGTTCCCATACGGTGCCCGACCTCAAGCACGGTATTTGAGAGTGTGGCAAAAACAGGGCCGCCCATCGCTTGATAGCCTGCCGAGAAGAAGCCATAGAGGATTGAGACAGTAATAGCGGCACCATCAGTTTTGCAGGCAAGGATTGTAGCGAGTAAACCGGAACTGATAAAGGTCGAGAACATCACAACATTGAGAACGCCGAGTATGTCACCAAGGTAGGCCCATATTGGACTGCCGAACAAGCCGCCAGCAAAAGTCAAGGGAAGGAGATAGAATGCCAGAGAGGGGCTGATATGTCCTTCCAATTGTCCAAAGGAGGTGATGTATCCATATGGCAGACTCGTCCCCATCTGCATGAAGAAGCATCCCAGGACGGTAGCCACAAAGGCTCCATCGAAGAATGTTTTCCAGTCAATCGTTGGGAAGTTGGAGATGCTGACGGAAGGCACCAGATCATTGTCCGTCGTGTCACCTTGGACATGGTGTAACGTAGCCGCACCACGGCGTCGCGAGGGCAAGCGCGTCGATACTGACAGGTTGGCGATGACTAGTAGGCCGAAGACTAGGAACCCTACTGATCTCACGCCCCAGCCGAACCCGACTTTCGGAATGAGCTTGTTGACCATGATAGGTGTCAAGATTCCACCCAGTGAAGCCCCGGCCTGGACAATGCCCATTGCGAATGCTCGTCGTCTCTCAAAGTACTGGCTGACAATGGCGACAGACGGTTGAAAGAGACAACCCGTAGCCACACCCATCATGAGACCTTGAGTGATCCAGATCTGCCAGTACTTCGTGCAGAGAGAGAGCATCATAATGCTGAGGACGTGCAGAGTTGACCCAAAGATGATCAAGTGTCGATAGTAGCCGTCATCGTAGAGCTTTCCGACCAATAAGCCAACGAGCGAGTGAATGAAGGCTGAGGCGGATCCGATCCAAGCAACTTGGGAGGGTGAATAGGTTCTGAGATTATGCGTCAGGTAGTATGTGATGAAGACGCCGAAGGCGTACTCGATACCGCCAACGAAGAGGGTGAGGAAGGCCCCTGCAACCGCCATCCATCCTCGTAAGCCACCTTCGGGAAAGGAGGCAACATATGGGTCATGCGATCGATGCTTTTGCTCTTCGGCCGGTTGGTCTGTGTACTCAGAATGCAGCGTAATGGCCGGCCGATTTGCTGTATAGTCGAAGTCTTCCGTCTCCAGAGGAGTGGTACTGGACATTTCTGGTTTTGCCATGATGATCGGAACCTGACGGCGTTGGAGAAAAGATTGGTGGTCTGATCGGGAATGTGAGGATATACTTATAGCATCGTGATGCCAAATCTTCCGGGGCACTGAATGAACAAGTCCCCAGAGCCACGTGCAGCACGGAAGAGCAAGTGCCGCGAAAAAGCTGGAGAACTGCGGGGTCTCGGGGTCTGAATCAGGACAGGCTGCTCCTCCGGAGGCAAGCGAACGTGGAGATGCCCCGGGATCTCTGTAGCCCGTGCGCCAAACTGCCTTGTGTGTCAGCTCGTGCTCCACGGAATGTGGATGTCAATCCCCTCGACCCAAATGACGACACACAGGATCCACGGGCGCGATGCAAGATCATCGAAGGTTCTCAAGAATATCAAACATACTCAAGATTTTAGAAATCCTCAAGATTAGCAAGGAAATCTAGCATACTCAAAAGTACCCACCAAAATGTCTACGATGAAGGCGGTCCTGCTGGACCGTTCTCATCAACCTCCAGCCTTGCGCTTAACGGAGGAATACCCTCGACCACACCTCGTGCCCGGAAAATTGCTGGTCAAAGTCAAAGCGTTTGCCGTCAATCATGCTGACGTGATGACGAGAAAAGGCAGTGGTGCTAAAGGACCTGCGCCAACAGCAGACATTATTGGAATAGAGTTGATTGGACTCGTCGTGGGTGTCTCATCCGAGTTAGAGAGAGCACGTGATGTCTCAGAACAACGCACTGGACCGCAAGGCGCTCGCTACCGGTCCGGCGATATTGTGGCTGGCGTCATGGGAGGGCTGGGTAGATTCTGCAACGGCAGCTACTCCGAATACGCTCTCTTGGATCCCGACTGCGTCTCTGCTCCTTTGCCAGTAGGGGATGCTGCGCAGATTTCAACGTCCACTCTGATATCCCTTGCCGCAATCCCGGCAACTTTTTTGGCAGCTTACGGTGTACTTGTCACAAGTCTTCAGATACAACCGGAGGACACGCTTCTCGTTCACGGGGCTTCCTCTTCCATCGGTATGGCTACTGCATCGCTTGCAAAACATCTGTACAATGTTAAGAAAGTCGTGGGAACAACGCGTGATGCAGGAAAGGCTGCCCGATTGAAAACCGCCGGTTTCGACGAGGTTCTCGTGAGGCCTCATCAAGACGACTCCAGCATCGAAGAGCAAGCAAAATCTATAAAAGAAGCAGCAGAAGAAATGGCAGGGTTCACAGCACAGGTCGATTTGATTGGCGCTGATCACATACCAGTTGCACTGGCTTGTGCCAGGTCACCGGGTGGTGCAAGGGTCTGCCAGGCGGGCATGCTGGCAGGCGCGTACTTCTGCACCGAACCTTTCAGTCCCATGGCCATTCCCGTCGGCGTCTATCTCTGCGGCTATAGCAGCTCGTTTGCAGATCATCTCAATCCTCTTCGCGAGTTGGTGACCGCGGTACTCCAGAAGAAGCTCCCTACAAATGTGGACAAGGTCTTCAGGATCGAAGATGTCCCTCAGGCGCATGAATACTACGAGAGGAGTACCCGATGTGGAAAAGTCGTCTGCTTAATAGATTAAATTGTAAATTGACAATATTCGAGGGCCTTACCGGCTGAGTCCACGGACGACATGTCAATATTCGAAAGAGGGCGATAGACAACAAAGAACTCCATCTCTCGCGCTTTAGTGCTTATGTAGAGTTGGGTGGTTCGTCGAAGCAATAGGGTTAAAAGATGGGCAAAAATTGACCACGGTTGCCGCTCTCTCTCGGGTTGCATGTTCCGTCTTTGTCTGGGCAAGATACGCCTCTGGACATGTATAAAGACCCGTAACCACCAACCCGGAAAATGAAATCGTGTCTGCATTTTGCGCACGGTTCGCTTGATTCGACAGCCCGAGCCATGGAACGAGGGAGGGGGAGAGGGACGGGACCGGTCCAATCCGAGCGATAGTGGAGCAGGGTTGGGACGCTTATAAACCATTCATTGACCCATAATTACAAGGTCCCGATTTCCTCCAACCTCATCGCGTTTCACGAGCAGAGTCTTGGATTTGCGAATCCGGAGCTTCAACCTGAAAGAACCCCCGACAAGAAGAAATACAAGAAACCATGACACCACCCGACGCCGGCTCGTTAGCACGAGTCCTAGAGCTTTTAGAGCGCCAAGATGCAGTCCGCCAAATCCATAACGTCATTGGTAAAATGGCTCTCCTCTACGAGGCGGCCATGTATGACGAACGACTTGAATTCATAGCGTCCAAAACGCCCGGCGTGACGATCGAGGTCGGTGGACGAGGCGTCTTCGAAGGCATGGACGGGGCGCGCCGCTGTTTCGTTGACGTGGAACGCACGTTTGAGAAATCGCACGCCGCTGGAATGCGCAAGACCTTTCCTGATGTCAGCTTTGGCACCGAACATGCAGGTCTTTTTGAGTCTGAGTTGCCATGCGTACCTGTCATCGAGGTGGCTGGAGACGGCAAGACAGCCAAAGCCATCTGGACCAGTCTACAGGCCTGTGGCAAAACCCACGAATGGGACCCTAAGCCGCAGGCGAGTTGGATCTGGTGGCGGAATGCAGTCGACTTCGTTAAGGAGGATGGCAAGTGGAAGATCTGGCACATGTTACGCAACCCTTTCTTCTTCGCTCCCTACACAAAGGACTGGGTTGACGCGAGCCTCACCCTACCTCCTATACCACCTCCAGGGACGCAGAAGGGCATTCCCGGACACGAGGGGGCTCCCGATCGCCCGACGACCAAAATGTACGACTCGTATCGGATCACAAGGGAGCCGAGGTACTGGCCCAAGGCGCCCGAACCATATGAATCGTTCGACGAGAAAGAGGCCTACATCGGTGACATTTGACCGCCTGCCTGCTGTTGAGCCAGGTAGCTGAAAACGCTTGCAGGCGGTATGCTCGGAGTCGACATGATTTGACTATATAGCTAGCTGACGGCTTGATGGACTGGTGCTTAACTTCCTCAAAGATATCCGAAGATCGTCCAAACGGTATAAGGGAGTGTAAGAGTTCATCTATGTTCAAAGTTCCCAAAAGTCCCTTCGAGCATTCTATTCATTTCGCTCTCAGCTCTGACCTGTCTGTCGAAGGGTCTCATCTACGAGCGCAGCCAGGTCAGTCGGACTGAGCTCTTTCACCCCGACTAGATCGTTTGCTAGTCGAGCGGTGAAATTGCAGCCGTAGTCGGGAGCAAAAATGGCCCGAACCAAAAATGCCCTCATGCCTGACATGTCACCTTGCTTCATTTTCTCTAAAGCCGCTTTCTCCATCTGTTCGGTGCTGACATTAGTCACCTTATACTTCTTGCCCAACGTACGCTCAGCGAGCTCCAAGAGCTGCTTTTGACTCGTGCAGGTCGATTGGATGTATATGGGTATATTGGCTGTTTTGGAGGGATTTTGAAGGATGCCAATGATAGCCTGACCGATGTCAGTCAATCTGGAGGTTGAAACCTGGGTTGAACCACCGTCGAAAAATGTGGCATCTGCTGCAGCTGGTTCGAAGCCAAAGAGACCTCTGCTAAGACCTGAAAAGGTACGAAAGATTTGCATTAGTCATATGCTTCATCCAGCTTGGAATGCCACCACCAGTGGCATTGATTCCTAAGCATCCCGATCAAAGGTAAATGGAGTTTTGGAACAACTGGCACGTACCCCAGTCTAAAAAAGGACCTCCAAATACCGCGGTCCATTCAATCAGCCCTTCTGCAGCCTTTGCCTTGAGTAGATTCAAGGTTTCGACCTTGGCCCGGTATACCGGCAAGCCCCTGGCTTTCTCATGCAGGGTGTCTGCCCCAAATTCCGACGGAATAAATCGCCTCACTCTGGCGCGAATGGCTGCTTCAATCATCCTGGCCTGGGAAGCGAGGCCGGAAGCGCCAACGGTGACAACGACCACGTCAGCACCTTGAAAAGCAGCTGAAAGTGAGTCTACACTGCCATAATCCGCAGTGATCACGTTGACCTCCTCAGGCCGGACTGGACGAGATGAACTTCCTTCCCGCGACAGGACAGTCACTTCGAGCGAGGGCGTTGAAATGAGACTCTCCAGGACAGCAGCACCCAGATTGCCTGTAGCCTAGTTGTCGTTAGTAGCACTTGAGAGGACTCAACAATGCGACATACCCCAACTTGGACCACCTTTCGAAGGACAGCCATGTTTGAATAAGCCGAATAATCACCTGATTCCAGACAAGACTTGGGAGAAGGAAGGATACAGGCCTAATTCTACGCTGATTGCAAGTTTCTCCTATGGTGGGTGAGGGGAATTACTTGTTTGGACTCTGTCGGTAAATGGTCGGTTGAAAAGAGTCAGGCACATTAATTTCTTCCGGGCATCTGCTGCGGCGCCTTACCTCGTGACATGTTTGCTTCCCGGGGAAGCGGCAATGCTCTGGCTTGAGCACCACCGTAGTTTCCTCGGACCGGAAGTTTTGTCACACCTTGGTACAGCTTCTCATCGCCACCATTCTTTCGGGTCTACTCAGTACCTCGGTGGGGCTAGAGTTCAAGCCTTTGGGAATACTAATAGTAAGAGGTGACGACTTATGCGGAGATTGATGAAGAGGTTACGCGCTCCGTCTGAGACGTATTTCCGATGCCAGAAGAACACGACCGCGAGGGGTCAATCTTTACAATACTCATGTTCGTGTATTTTGTCCTATTTGTGTTCGCCCAGGTATTGTGCAAAACTTTGCGAATATCCTAGTCCGTCATATGACCGGAGACGCAAGATCCCAGCGGCCACCATAAGAGCGCGCACAGGGTTCTTGTCCTGTACCGCTTCGTCGTAGGGCACACTGGCATTAGTGTCCGAGGCTCAGTACCCGCATTGAATCAAGGCCTCCATTATGTGCTCTATGTCCAACGACCACCTTCAAGGTGTCTGTGAAAATTGCACGGGACGAAAGAAGCGCCCATCAACATTGTTCTGCATGGCATTAGCTCTCAAGGTAGGCGCCTCCTCTATCGAGATACCCCGTCCACTTACGTGAAGAAACTTGACTCGTTCATGACCTTTCTGGAAGCCATCATGGGCATGGACGGCGGTGAACTTCTGGGTAGCGTCATCGCCCTCGTAGACCTACAGATCGCCGATGTTCTGGTCAATATACACGCCTCCCCTGAAAGACAGCTGGACTGGGACTTGCAATTGTGGCGCACCTCGACGATCTCAACTTGATATCCGTCCACACTGGTGGATAGGTGGAATCCAGATGCTCCTGCTTCGAGAGCCCGAGGTCTATGTTCGGTGAAGATTTGAACCAATTCGTCTCTCTCAGCCGCTCCCAAGCCATTCAGAGTACAAACAAATATGAGTGGCCCCGGTCCTTCCGGGAGAGGTGGGCGCCGGGATTTAGGTTTGGTGCCATCAAGAGGAATGGACGAAGGATTCTCAGTCATCTTGTGTTGAATGCCGATCTTGTATTGGTTCAATGCTACTCTGCTCTTCGAAAAAAGGCCAGGCGTACGATCAGGAAGGATTTCTCTAAAATACCTACCCGGAAGAGGGCTATCCGTTGGGGCTCAGCCGTCCACATTTCAATCCGGGGTAACGCTCGGGGTCTTGGGACCCCGGCAGATGTTACGTGCTCCCAATACCCATACACCATTTCCGTGGGTGAACACGCGACCATCTAGGAGGCAGGGGGGTTCAGCCCCGGCGCATTTCGCGTGTCGGGAGTATGCTGACAACCACACAATACACATGACTTATATGAACCATCAGGTTATCTGCCCAGATACTTTGACCTATTCAACAGAGCTGCTAAAACTTTTGCACACTGCTACATTCCTGACCCATTCTAATTGTCTGTTTCACAATGAGCAAAGAGGACATTCATGTCAACAGAGTCGACGATGTCGAACACGGCGAGCAAAAGACGCAAGACTCTCTTGACATACTCAAGGATCCCGTCATCACAGCGTTTCCGGATGGTGGCTTCAGAGCATGGTTGACGGTCGCGGGTTCATTCTCCGTCCTTTTTGTCGCCAGTGGTTTCGTAAGGCTAGCCCTCCGACCATGGATGTTATACATGTTGCTGACCCGGAGTGTGCTCCGTAGACCTACGGCTATGGCATCTTCATCGTATGTTCATCAACCTTGGACACATTCTTGAGATTTCTGACCGAGATCTAGTCTTACTACTCTACGAACATGTTGAAAGACCATACCATCTCTCAAATATCCTGGATTGGCTCATCAGCCCCATTTATCCACTCTGTCATCGGCGTCCCTGTTGGTAATGCCTACGATGGTCAGTTGCCCTGTCTTCTTGACCACCTGCATAGGATTCTCAATCTGACCAGTGCAGCGGGATATTTTCGCCACTTGATGATTGGGGGGAGCCTACTTTACGTAGTGGCAATTATGCTGTTGTCGTGAGCTCTACCTCATCTTGCACCTTCTGCTGTTGGTAATGAGATTTCAGGATTTGCAGCAAATACTATCAAGTCTTCCTCTGTCAAGGCTTGCTTGTTGGGGTACGAGAATTCTTGGTTCTCGAAGATACAAATACTGATGTGAACCATAGGTGGCGACGGGCCTGATTTACCAGCCATCCGTCACCATTCTGAGCCATTACTTCAGCAAGCGTCGCGCTTTAGTAATGGGTATTGCCGCTAGTGGAGCCTCTCTGGGAGGCGTGATATATCCAAGTAACACAACCCCAACCGTCACCCGTGGCTTTCTATGAATCTGACCACAACTACATAGTCCTCTTGAATCGATTGTTCGTGCGAATGGGATTTGCGTGGGGCGTGCGAACAGGTGGGCCCAACCTTCCTTCTTCTGAAAGTGCTCTCCATTGTCCTTATTGACACATAATTAGCTGGATTCATGATCGCCGGAATTTTGGTTCTGGGCAATCTCGCCATGACCACCCGACTACCGACTCGCCACAGGGGGACGGCCACCGTACACGCCGCGTCTGATGATGTGGTGAACTCGGTTGTACCGGAGAGCATTCCAAGTTTCAACTATCGATCTCTTGGAGAACCGACATATCTGTTCACCATCGTCGGCTGTGCGATGATCATGATGGGTATAAGTCTTCCGGTCTGTTAGTATCTTCGCATGAAGCAGACTGTGCCTGACACCCGTGTAGTTCTCTTACTTGCAGGTTTTCGCCTTGACACACCAAGCTATTTCGAATGATCTTGCTTTTTACGTGGTGAGCACGAACTATCTCTGTAAATGGAGACTTGACTGACTGCCCTTTGATAGCTCGGGATCATGATGTCAGGATCTGTCTTTGGGGCAATCTTCTGGGCATATCTCGCAGATAAATTGGGAGTCCTCAATATTGTCATCTTCACAACCACAATTTCGGCCGCACTGCAATTCTCGCTGCTAGGGGCGAGCCATTCCGGTGCTGTAATTGCCGTGGGGGTGCTGTACGGCTTCTTCAGCAGCGCCTTTCAGGCCATGTTGGGTCCAATTTTCTCTCGCGTATCCACCACTGTCACGGAGATTGGACATCGCATGGGATTTGGCTTCCTTGTCATCGGCATCGGATCTTTGATTGGTACGTGCGAGATGAACAGCTACTTAAGAGGCCACCGCAGCTGACACACAAGGCTAGGGCCCCCTATCCAGGGTGCTTTGCTAGGGAAAGACCAAATGCACTTTGGCTGGTGGAAAGCGCTTTTGTTCGCTGCGGTGAGTTTGACGGACCAGTAACTGAGCTGCCACAGTAACTAACAAGGTCAACAGCTATCGATCCTCACGGGTGCCGCTCTTATTGGACTCGGCGCAAGATCGCTGCGCCTGAAGTATCACACTCGAGGTGTTTGAGCCTTTCAGATGGACTGAAGCGTGCCTGAGGACTTGTGCATGGGACGATAACCGGCTCATGTGTTTGTGTTCAAGAGATGCTAGGACGAACAAATACGTCGTTGACTTCGGAAATTGATTTTTAGAAAAGACGTCAGGCAGACTGTTGTAGAGATCCCCCTGACGAGGGTGCTCCTATACATGAAGCCTGAACGAGTAGTTAGATGCATGATCATGGCTTTTGATTCTAAGAATAGCTCTGATTTGTCTCATCATCGTGTCCAAACATGGAAACGTCGTACGATAATCAACAAAAGAGGGTCCGAAGCCTTACATACTCCTCGGAACACCCAGACAGGCCTTGAGCGGTGGTATCAAGTGTCTTGGACTCCCGGGATCATCCCTTAGGCCCGTGGACCACCGACCACGGGCATTACGCTAGCCTTTCCCGTGTTATAAATCGCCAGTTCGCCAACTTCCCAGACCTTTCGTGTATAAGATCTGCCCAGGTACTGCTACATCCGAGTCTCAGTCTGTTTTGAATAGAGGTTTTCTTTTTTTGATCACCGTACCCAGGTCCAGGTAGTCGCTTAGTTTTCCCGCTATGGCTCCGGGTCCCGGTCCGCAGCCGCCGGCAGCTGGACCCTTCTTCCTGACCATGACGGTTACAGCCAGGTCGGTGCAAGATACCGATTCACTTTATGATGTGTTTGCTGAGCAGCGCGCCGGGGCGCTACAAGAAGGAGGAGCGACTGCTTTCCTCGTGGGACGCGGCATAGGGGCCAATCAGCATACCATCACGATTTTTGAGGTGAGTCTAAGCGAGAGCTGTGGCAGGTCCAGGGCAACATGCTTCGGTTGAGATATCGACCTGGTAGTGCTGACGTCGGTATTGTTATTTCTTGTAGCAATATGACGATATCTCCGCTTTCCACAGAGTCCACAGTCCCGAGTTCAAAGACGAAAAGTATTTCGAATCGAGGCGGATGGTCATGGCATTAAAGGTGAGATTGAACGACATCCCCTGCTCATTTTTGACCATTGAGCGGGTAAGGATTGACAGCTGAACACAACAGGAGTCAATGCATGTTGAGTTCTTCCAGATCCGATGGTCTGGGTTGTGAAGGCTGTCGTGCAAGGCATGGTACAAGGCGTGCGAGGATCCTATCTCGGAGGTTCAACACAATGAAAACCAAAGTGGTTGATGTGGGCTATGCAAGAACTCTGTTCCACCCTCAAATGTGACGATGGACCTGAAGGTACCACAGCGATAGGACGTATCTCCTCTGACCAGAGCCAAGGTCTACACGGATGGTTGAGCCAACACGTCAGACCACATCCAATCCGTTCAATTGTGTAGGCTGACATTAGAGACTCACACCGTTAGGCAGAATACAAATCCATCGCTGAACGATGGACTGAATTCGACTAGACAAGGTCAGCGGGGAAAAAGTAACCCCTAGGGAAATCTTTGGTCAATGGTTCGAAAGGCCAGTCAGTAAACGACGAATAAGGATACCAAACGAATCACATGACAAAGTTTGAGCCATTGTGTGATAGTTGGTGACCATTGCTAGGACTTGAAATACGTAGAAGATTGCGGTGGCATCTCCAATCCAGCCCAAACTGGCTGTAGAGCCGGACACCACTTTCGCGATACATGAGCGGCCTCAGAAGCAAGTCTTTTTCGGATGGATCATGTAGCCACGCATGAGATCAAGTTCTCCAAAGACATCCAATGGTCGACGTAAACAACGCGTATGCGGCAGAGAGGTCTATGTTCGCGCACAGGAATAGATCCTGCCCGGATGTCTGCTTTCCGATGAAGCTTGGTAATCTGTCAGTATTTGCTGTTTTGACTCTGTAGTAAGCTCTCTGCAGATGACATGATCTTGTGGAATAAGTTTCGCATCCTGGGATTGAAGCGGTATGGATTGACTTGCTGCGTGAAATGATAATGACACGCTTTCAGGAATTCAAGGTCTGCTCGGGCCGACATCTTTTGCGGATACTTGAAGATGTTGGCGAAGATGATGGAGATTGCAGTCATGTAGTGATCCGTGTGTGTGCTTCCAGGTTCGTCAGCCAAGAATCAAGGAGAAGAAAAGGAGTCATGGATTCTGGAAGACATACTATACGGGCGGGATTTTCTCCTCACTGAATTCTTCAGATAGGCTAGAGAGTTTAGTTGTCAACAGTGATCAAAACCAAGATGTTCCAAGCCTTACTCATTGAGCACTTTAATGAACGATCGTGCAGCCGAGACCGAAACTGATTCGCTTGCCGAGACACGGGGGTGGAGGCGGGAGTCCAGAGGCAAGCGGTCTCGACGCGCCAGATCAGCGGAAATCCAATGGAGAACACACAACGTGTTGAAGTACTGGAGATGAAGCATGGCAATGAATGGGTAGTGTTCGCGAGCGGCGACAATTTCTTGCTCAGGCCTGACTTCCAATGGCAGGTTGTCCCGCCAGGTAGTTAGAGCCATGTCCAGCTCGCCAATACAGCCTGCCAGCATATCCTTTGCCACAACGCCTGCGAAAAGGCATGACAGTTTGTTCTTGATCCGTGAGAGTTCGACATGCCAGCGGAAGGTTCTGGGAATCAAGACGTTGGAGAGGCCCGGCGAGGTCAAAGCTTCGAGATCTATTGAAGTCTCACAAAGTTCGTCCGGAATTGCAGGCAGTCTGCCTTGGCTAGCGGAGAGCAGGCTAGCCCAGTCAGAAGCTCGACGCCAAATTCTGGCAAACTGTGGCTTACTTACGCATCAAGTGTGTAACAAACCCACCATACTGCAGATCTGACTCGCTGTTCAGCTTCGGTCAGAGACGGGTCACCAGTGTGGCGCCGGTGCAGGCCTAGAGACTGAGCTATTCGGATCGCTAGCCCGCAAAGCACCCAAGAGATACCACTCTTACTCAGGTGGGAAAGGTATATGACCTGTGTGTGACAGTGAGCGACCATCTATGGCAAGACAAGTGGCTTCATGTACGTGGAGGATGATGACTTGGACAGAGCGCATGTAAGGACGGTCTAGGACATAACCTAGTAACTCCCAGGACTGGCGGTGGAAAGCCTGAGATTGCGTGATTCGTTCGACCTCCGACGAAACTCCGCTATGGTCGTTGAGACAGCCTATCGCAGTAATGAGATAGACTAGAGATAGGGAGGTGGCGGTAGCGTGCTGATCCCGCACGCTGGCCCATTCCGTCTCCAGAGTTTGCTGTACGACAATGGGATACACTGGATGGACATGCCGGTAATAAGCTGTCTCATGTCAGCAAGAACTCCCGCAATCCGTGTCTACCCAGGTGATGCGAACCTTTGGCAAAGCGTCGTGTCGCCTCGTCCGATGGTAGCGCGGGAGTGAAGACAGAGTCGTGATCTACGGCGCCTGCCTCGTCGACATGCTCCACCGCTCCAATGAGGTAGTCTCTTGCGTCTGATTCGGTCAAGGTACCGTTGAGCTGGATTGGACCCCGCAAGCTTGACGAGACGATATTGCCCGTAGAAACGGCTCCTTTCTACGAGTTAATTGACAAGCGAAACCCCTGAGCAGTCGGAGATGCGCACCAATAAACTTTCCATTGCTCAAGTCTTTCCAGACTGACAAACCAGGAGCACTGAGATGCTCCCTGTCGTCTGAGTCGAGATTTGAGCCAACGCCGTATTCCAACCCTGACACTCTGCCACTCTTTGCTTCCAGGCCAGGGCTGAGGTTCAGCAAGCCGGCCGTATTATCGAACGGGATTGGAGAATATTGCTCCATGAGCGTGACAGGCTGTAATGATTCGCCGAGGCCCGGCTCAAACAGTTGGGAAGTCGGTACATGAAGAATATCTGACATGTAATGAATATTTTCGAAGTTGGTAGGTGTGAAGTTCATAAATGGGTCAAAATCCGGCGCTGCATCTCGAGTTACATGCTCCTGACCTGTATCCGGGAACACTGCAGGACGCGCAGAGGATGAAAGGTTATTCTGCGCAGCAGGGGGAGAAAAGGATACTATCGAGCCTCGCGGCCCTGTGGCAGGCGCATCGGAGTTTGGTGTAACGGTTCCCTCGCCCTCAACGCTGGAGCGTCTACGTGCCGAGGGGAGCTGATCTGATGATTGGTCCAGAGCCGCCTGCGAGGACTCGGCGGGCTGTCGCCTTGAAGTTGTGGCTGAAGGAGACTTTCGTGGTCCTCTAGACGAACGAGAAGCGGTACCTGCAGAGTAGGTACATTCCTTTTTGTACAATAGACAATTGTAGCACGGTGGCGATCCCGCTGAGCATCTAAGCTGTAAGACGCGCCGATGGTGAGTCTGTGCCTTTGGCCATTTTGGGTAGCGGGGTGTTTTTGTGCGTACCCTCTTGCTGCGACAGCTATCGCAGGCTTTTCCGACCCGTCGCGGCCTTTTATGAGCTGCATCCCCATTGAGGTCCATCGTACCATCTTGAGACAGCTCTAACTGACCCTGCGCCATAGTCACATAAAAGGTAGGCCGGAATCCCTCGCAGCCACTCGCCACAGGATTGAAATACTGCCTTGAAGTCGGAGCAAGGTTTTTGGCGGTACAAGAGTGAGCTGGTCCAAGGAAGCTAGTCGGAGCAAGGAGGGGTTCGGGACCACCACAATTTTGAGCTGGGGTAAGTCCTGCTGGAGGTGGAGGTGGGGAAGGCCGTCCAGCGCTACATGGCTGGGCTCGCGGTTAGGAACCTGAGCCTCCAAGGTCACGTGAAACCTCCGCCTGTCGACTTTTTTCTAGGGTGCCCACTCCAGTGAGATTTTCCCATGCGAGATTTTTTAACCTTTTATTTGCTATCTGGTTGCCCATAACTTACCTCCAGGTGCTGCACTCACCAGATCACCTCTTGCTACCCCCATATGGAGTCGATAGCTAAGATCATGCCTTTTAACAGGCCGGCCGAGGCGACTAAGAGACGGATTCGAAACCTCGCCTCCCAACACTGGCTTGTCGCCCTGGTCTCTTTTACCCACCCATCTTTCTCGTCGACTCCCAAAGCTGTCCGTGGGAAATCTGAGAATTTTCCATATCTGTCTTGAACAGCCAATGGGGACATGTAAACAAGTCACTTCGCTCATTACAGATAGTGGTTTCTTTCAGCCATTGGTTCCACAGCTAAGAAGTGGATGAAAGCAGTGCACTGCAGATTGAAGGACCATGCTACGGTATGACCGAAAGCTACCATATGCAGAGGGGTACACGGACCTTCGGGTTCAGTATCATGGGCCAACGCTATAAGCCCAGGCGTCCCCCGGGGTACTGGCGCCTGTTCATTCGCAGAGACAAACATTCCCCGGAACACATTTGGTAGGCTCCTTAGCGACCTGGACCTAAACCCAGACTGGACAGTCGACCAAAATGGGAGAAACCTTCAAGATCTATATTGACAATCTTGATTTCATTCAATCTGAGGATCGGTAAGACCACCCAAGAAACCATAGCTTAGAACAATGGGTTCTGTGTCGCAAAAAGATCCAGAGGCCACACAACGGCAAGATGACGTAAGCGACCCGTGGGATCCTCCTTTCGTGAAGACACAGTCACGGTCTGCAAGACTCTGAAGTAACTGACAATACCAAGGTTATCATAGTCGGGGCTGGACCTGTTGGTCTCTTAGTGGCAACGCTTCTATCTGAACATAATGTTGCGGTCACCGTCTTGGAGAGAGGTGATGCAGCCGACAATCGACCTCGTGCCACGCATTATGGTTCACCCGCGGTCAAAGAGCTCGTTCGAGCAGGGGTCTGGCATGATGTCCTGAGTGCAGGCTTCTGTCCCTCGGTCGTCACGTGGAGAAAACCGAACGGAGACAAGATTGCCAGCATGCCAATGTCATCAACGGAGAAGGACTATCCCTATCCAATGGTGGTTCTCCCCGTGGGAGATTTGGTCACTGTGCTGCTAGAGCACCTTTCCACGAGAACCAATGTCAGAGTCTTGTATGGCCATACCGTTGAAGGCTTGGGTCAGACAGACGAATCGGCTTGGGTGAAAGTACGAACCAAGGGTATGTATATGTAAAGGCGGCCACGGCTTGCATCATGACTGCTCACTGTCGCCAGATGATCACCACCCAAAGACGTTTACAGCTCCATGGATTGTGGGTGCCGATGGATCCTCCAGTGCTATCAGGAAGTTGAACAACCTACCATTTGAGGGAAAGACGTGGGACAGGCAGATTGTGGCAACTAATGTCTATTTCCCCTTCGACGAACGTTATGGCTGGACCGACTCGAACTTTATCATCGATCGTGAGAACTGGTACATGGCCGCCAAAATCAGCAAAAACGGACTGTGGCGTGTTACCTACGGCGAGCAGAGCGGCTTGTCAGATGAAGTTCTGCTGTCTCGTCAGCCAGAGAAGTTTCGTCATATGGTACGTCTGCTCTTGTACCGAATCCTCTTGACCAAGTGCGCTTGGAGGGTTTCGAACTTCTCGACCCAGCTCCTAGGCTTCTGGTCCTGTTAATAAAGTGATCTGTATTTTACAGCTACCCGGCAATCCAGATCCCTCGAAATATACCCTCACCTCAATTTCTCCATATCAGATCCATCAACGACGTGCACCAACTTTCCGCAATAAGCGCTTTCTTCTAGCAGGGGATGCAGCACATGTTTGCAACCCCTTCGGAGGCCTGGGCTTGACAGGAGGCATTGTGGATGCTGGAAACCTGGCTGATGCTCTTCTTGGTGTGCTGCTGGGCGTTGCGAACCAAGCAATATTGGATAAATACTCCGAAGAAAGGATCAAAGCTTTTGATGTACGTTATCTTATTCCCCTGGTGCGGCGAAGTCTGTCACGATCTGATAATAATATGATGGCTTCTCCAGGGACCGATCGATTTCATTTCATCGACGAATTTCTGTCGCATAGCATACCAAGACGCTGAGACTGCCTTGCAGAATGACGAGTTTCTACAACGGCTCGATGTGGACGACAAGGCTAATTCCGAGGTAGCAAATGAGTTGCACGAGGTTAGTTTCTATTTCTCGCTGACCAGATTATACTTCACCACCCAAAGCAGCCGCTTCGCACCCGTCGCGTGCTTCCTTCCACGGAGCAAGTTACAGTGCTAATCGATGATGAACAGAGTGTCTTCGCTATCCAACATGATTTTACGCAGTACTACACAAAGACATGAACAAAGTATGGTTACTCTTGTACCCACCTGGGTGTACAGTGCTTATTTTGTTGCGAGAGATGTCGTTGGCATCCATTTTCAGGACTTGGGCTCCTAACGATGCTGATATCGGGTCATGTGGCCAATCTAGTTCTGTGGTAGATCCCTCGAAATCCTGCACCATGATGGCATGAGGCATAAAGGTCGGCTGACTGAATCATCAACGTTTCGGTTCGGACCCCTTATCTCGTCTTTTATATAGGTCTACCAGTCATTCCAAGGCTGGTCGATTGTAGTGGGTTAAGTACGCATGGCAGTGCTTTTGATCACTCGGGAATGACAGAAAGTATGTTGGCGTATTTCTTTTGGCGCTATGTAGAGTCCCAGTCTTGTCCTGGGCGCGAGTTTTCTTGTCTTCATTAACCAGCTTACTCCAGGGACGCTGCTTCGACCCTATTTGCTTCCACCAAGTTCTCTTGGAGTTGACGCTCAAGCGCATCGACATCGAGCTCTGTTGGCGGTGTCTGATTGTTCCATGTTTTAATCATAGAGACAGCAGCAAGTACGGCTTTGACAACCTTTTTCGAATTGCCTAGCTGCATGGAAGCCATAATGTGACTTCGTGACTGCCGGGTCGCACCCATACTTATGATGGCCGCGGCAATGATTAGTTCTGTTTGACGCAGAGTGAAGATGTCCAGCGAGCCTGTTGCCAAATACCCAAAGACAAAAGTGTCGGTAGCATAAGTCATGTCGGGGAAGTAGTTTTTCAACATCCAATGCACTTCCGGATTGCCAACGCCGCGATATATCTGCCGACGCGTGTCTAGGCCTTGTTCGAGCGTGAGTGGATGCTGGATATCAGCCCTGCGTTGTGGTGAAACAGATAAACCAAGATCAGCGATTCTGGACCCGAGAGAGAAACACAGTCAGATGGATAGGATTTGTTGTACCTGCGACGTTCTCCGTCTGGCTCAAAGCCCAGGTCACGCATAACCCCAATCACACCAAAGCATGCCGGAACACAGTTCGGAAGGCCGATGAAAGGATACGTGACTGTGATCGCTTCGCGCACAGCTTTCAATATGGCCCAGGCGGTGGCTTTGTCTTCATTTTCGGTAAGATCATGAATCCAGGAGCCGACTGTGTCTCCTCGTCCTTGAGCGCAGAGTACAACACTGATGAGAGCAGGTGAGAATGAGGCAAGATATGGAAGTTCGGCTAGATCAAGCTCTTCCTTCAAATCCGTGAACAACTTGGGATCATAGGGAGATGCATTGTTGGGAACATTCGCAGAGGTATAGGTCGCGTTGAAGTCGTTTGCCAACGAAGGTGCAGCAACTGTCGAACCCATATCGGCGGACGCAGTCGACGACGAGTCCGATCAGTACAGGTTGCAATGCAAGTTGCAGGTCGAGCCTGTAGTCGAATTGCCCGACAAGAGATGACGTTGAAGCATCCGGGGACAGACGGTCTCCCCATCGAATCCGGGGATGGGGTTTTTTTAGCGGTCTCCTTAACCACGGGACTCACAATTCCGTGCTTGACAAGGTGGGAATCGCCTCTGAATCTCATATGCTTGGATGCTAAAAAGATGACACCATGAAAGAACGGAATCAGGAAATAGCACGTTATCATCATCTTTGTACCTTCAAGATTAAGCATTGGCAATTATGCCGGGAGACTGGCAAGACAGCCGTGGGGAGGATTCGCCCGCCTCCCCCATCAACGGCCACGATACTTCTGGCTCTTCGGTGCAGTCACCAAATATCTCTTGTCAAGATACCTCAGACGTGGCTCTCTCAGAGCCTGCAAGTTCTCAAAGCCCTGCCACCGACGTGTCGTTAGACCCTGCGGACAGGAACACCTGGTATGCCGGAAGCAATCTCCATCAGCCTACAAATGGTCCACCGGCTATCTCAAACGTCCCAGTCGTGATCATTGGAGCAGGTCCAATAGGCCTCCTGTGCTCCATTCTCCTCGCCAAGCAGAACTTTCGGTCGATTGTCGTGGAGCGACACGCAAAGAGGCTGGGTCAGCCCAAGGCCCATGCAATCAACCCGCGCTCGCTAGAGATCCTCCGTCAGCTTGGAATTGATACGAAAGAGCTGAGGTCTCTGGGAGCCAGTGCAGAAGATGCCGATTTAGTTCGCTTTACAACTGCTGCCATTGGTGGGACGGAGCTTGGAAGTCTTCCCTACGAGCGACAGGATGAAGCGGTGAAAGATTTCACGCCGGAGCCACTTCTCAACATCCCTCAACCGCAGTTTGAACAGGTCCTCTGGCGTACTGCGCTTGAAACTGGGAAGGTCACCATTTGGTGCGAAATGCAATGGCAGGACTGCGCTGAATTTGGAGACCAAAGCGTTGTGTCCACTGTGCTGAACCGAAAAACACAAGGCCGACACCTCATTGAGAGCAAATGGCTGATAGCCTGCGATGGTGCTCACGCACGATCGCGTATCCGGCTATCGATACCGTTTGATGGTCTTGATGGCAAGCCAGAGGAGCCGATCCACTATTGTTCGGTTAACTTCGACGCCGATCTGAGCAAGGAAAAATCGGGGATGCTCTGGTTCATCATGGCCAAGAATGCAGGCAAGCGGAATTTCATAGCCTACAACCGGTCGAACAACTGGGTCTTTGTGACATGTTATGATCCCACAGCCACGCCGAAGGAAACCTTTACAGAAGAATATTGCAGACGGCTTATAGATCAGGTTAGTCTGCCGCTTCCCTCTTTTGAGAGGATACTACCGATAACACCCCATAGTCACTCGGAAAAAAGATACCCTACAACGTCCTGAGTATCACCACCTGGAACACCACACCTCGAGTTGCGCGACATTACAGATCGAAATTGATCAGGCATGGCTTCGTTGTTGGCGATGCGGCTCACTGCTTCCCTTCAACCGGAGGTCTCGGTGTCAATACTGGTTTGGGGGACGCGCATAACCTCGTATGGAAAATCACGGCAGTAGAGAATGGCTGGGCAGAAGATAGACTGCTTGATTCTTATGAGCTGGAGAGGATTCCCATCGCGGTTGAAAACTCGCGCCAGAGCCGCTTGAACGAAAAGAAAGTTCACGAATTGAGCCGTGCAGCCTTCGGAGACAATGGACAGAGTTTGGAAGAGCGGATGCAGGACCCAAAAGCCAGAAGCGAGATCCAACTTGCTCTCATGGACAACTACAACCACTTCGATTCATTGGACCTCCAGATCGGATATGTCTACGGGAAAGCACGGTCTCCCCACCGACGCGCCGGCCATTACATCCCAGAATGTATTCCCGGTACAAGGCTACCGCATGCTTGGGTCTATACAGCAGATGGACGCACCATCTCGACCTTGGATGTGACTGACTACAGTGCTTTCACGATCTTGCTCTCCGGCAGTCTTCAGCGGGACAATCGCCGGCCACTAGACGATGTCAGTTTCCCGGTGAAAGAAGTATATTTGGGCAAGGATATCATCGACAAGGATGGCGCCTGGACGCGGCTGATGGGGTTGGAAAGAGCATCTTCCGCAGTTGTCATTCGACCTGACCAGCATGTCCTCGGTAGAGTTACAACTATTGACGAGCTGCAAAATCTGGTCAATTCTTTTGTACTTTGTTCTAGTTACGTTCCCGACCATGAGAAGCTCTGCGGGACAGACCTTCAAATACTCGCAGAATGAGTTTCTGTCGAGTTCAGCCCGCAAGAAGCCATGGCGCTCTGTCCGAAAGTTCTTATAGAAAGCAATTTATCGTTCACGGCAAGGAGATCACACCCGCCGTGCCAACCTCATGGGCCTTTCAGTGCGGTAAAATGAAAAGCATGCCACAACGGCGCTGGATTACATTCTACTTGAGCTTAGCAATGGCTATAACCAGAAGCTTGGATCATTGGGTAAACATGTAAGCTCCTAGAGCCCTCGAGATTTAAATACATCTCGACGATTTCAGAATACACTTCCTCCTACTTATCATTGGCTGGTTTGCCTTGAGTTTCCGCCCAGTTGAGGGGGAGATAGCACATACGCATACAATACGCTGACATTTACAAAGATCGAGAGAACAAGGATTCCGCCTAGTCCTTGAATCTTGTTTTGATGGGATTGGAGCGTCGCTGTAAGCTACTCTTCGCCAACTAACGGGTATATTTTTCACGCTGATTTGTTTCTGCTGTGCCACATAGCTCTCCCTATATGAATCAGACGACGCTCCATGGTATGACCACCAAGAACGGTGGTTGACCAACGGCATCGCTAGCCAGATGGGTGGAGTTTGCGATATTGGTAAAACTGTGTCGCCATGTCCGTGACTGACGTCCTCAAATCTGTCCAGCCAAAACCAAAGTAGTGCTCAGACTTTGAAACATCAACTGCTGGTCTGGATTCAACAAAGTAATCGACGTCGGTGCGAGGAAACCGCTCTTCAGGAAAAGATTCATGCATCACAGTAAAGGCCTACAACAGTGCTCTTAGCTTGACCGTTTCGGTGAGCCTTCAGAGCCCCTCACCTTTTTCCAATCAAACTTGGCCGGATGTGTCACAAGATATCTCCCTCCAGGAATCCTGGAAGAGTCTAGTGCGAGAACATGGGACTTGGCGGCATCACGGACATCGACCCAGTACTGCACCTTGGTCGACGGCAGTTTATCCTTAACGTCCATGAGGGTAGAGAAGAATTCCCTCAAATTCTCGTTGAGATCGCTTGCCTTGTCGATTCGATAGACTGACGGACCGACCAGCCAGGACGGATGAATGGTCACCAGATCGAATGAAGGAGCTTCATCCTTCATGAACCGCCAAGCTGCCTGCTCTGCCAGAGTCTTGCTGCCGCAATAGACATAATGCCCATCACTGCTAGCAACGGCTTTCTCCCAAGTCACTGGGTTGTGGTCGGCTTCCTACAACACGGTCAACGATGCTGTCGCTATACTGATACATGAACCGGAAAGCCTTCTGGGCTTACATTGTATACCTTGCCCGGAATTGGGCCCGAACCGATATGAGACATTGTCGCCATAGTCGCTGTGACAACAACGCGCTTGACAAACGGCGACGCGGCTGCCACTTGCAAAACAGCCATCGTTCCATTGATGGCCGGCAATAACAGATCTTGCGCATTGTTTCTGGGCTCGAAATTGACGGGGCTGGCGACTGCATGGATCAAGTCAATCATTGGCACAGGGTTGGTGGACACAACGGCCAGGGTCAACGAGCTCACTTACCGTGGATCACAGCCGTGGCGCCTCGCATTGCTTCCTGTAATGGGGCACTTGGCGACTCGATCTCTTCAATGATCGCCAGGTCAAGTTTGGCCTCGTGCGGGAAGAAAGAGAGTACCCGATCATACTGTCGTTGAGATCGGACTGTCCCCCGGACGGTGAAGCCACCCTCGAGAAGCCTCGCAAGAATATGTCCTGTTATATCTCTGTCAGCTTCGCCGCAGAATCGTGTTCCAGGATATCAACGCGAAGACGGTATTACCTCCTAGGTAGGCAGATGCCCCTGTCACCTACAATCGTTGGCGACCAATCTTGCAATATACTGGCTTGACACATGTAACGATCAACGAAGTGGCCAGACTCACCAGGACGAAATCTCCCCCGTCTTTCCCTGGCTGCATCTGTGCCCACGTTTGGACGTTGATTGTGGATGAGAAACCACCACCTATCGTCCGTTGTATTCGATTCTTGTTCTTGAGTCTTGTTGACGTGTACATAAAGGGCCAGACCAGTCGCGTGCTAGAGCATGGGATTCCGTTTTCGTCTGGCATGGAGTTCCCACGGGTAGCACATCATTGCCTCGGAAAAGAGGACGACGAATTCCTTGGCACCAGTGATTGTTCCACGGCAAAAGTGCTCACCTTGATATCTAATACTAACGACCAGTGATTGTTCCACGGCAGCAGTTCTCACCTTGATATCTAATACTAACGACCAGTGATTGTTCCACGGCAGCAGTTCACACCTTGACATCTAATACTAACGACCAGGGCTTGTGCGTACACCGGCCGAGGTGGAGCATTTACCCTTTACCACACACATCAACCCGCATCGAGCTTGACCATAGTTTGAGGTTACCCAAAGTTTTACACACATGACCTTTCCTGCTCTTGACTTCAACTTGGAGACCGAAAGCGCGCATTCTCAGAATGAGCACCATCCTCGTGCCCACGATGACCACGATCGACTCCACCTCCGGTGGCCATGATACCAAGACGAAAATGCAGTATCTTGACCCAGAATCTACGCTCATGCGCAGGTACCTCACGCCTGGGTCGGCCTTCAACACGGCTAAGTTCGTATGGACGGATGTGAATGTGCGAGATGCACGGCCTATGCGCAAGGATTTCAGTCTTGAAAGGAAAGGCTTTACCCTGGTTGATCATGCATCCAAGGTACACTTCCAACCCCGCGTGCTGGACTTGAACCGAGCTGATTTCCCTACGTCGTACCTCTAGGTGTCCGACTGGGACGATACTGAACAGCAAAGTGGAATTTATTCGCGCGAAATTGAGCAACTCATCACTTCCATGACCGGTGCGGACAAAGTCTACGTCTTCGAACCGACTTTGCGTCGAGCCATCACCAACTCGCAATATCAACCCTTTGGCAGTGAAGTGCATGTCGACTACACGAGACAAACAGCAGAGAACCTCATCTCTTCATTTCTCGCCAAGGACAACAAGCAGATGACAGACTACAGCCGCTATCAGTGTATCAACGTGTGGCGAGTTTTGAGCGAAAGCCCACAAGACTACCCTCTCGGCATGTGCGATGCGACCTCTGTTCTCTCGGGGGACTTTCGTGAAATGAAGAGGATCCGGGTCGACACTTTACCGACAGGGCTGGACGACCTCCCTCCGCAGGAGCCGCCTCCAGATACACCCGCTGCGGATATGTTTGAACATAGAACACAACACAGTTGGTGGTTCTTCAGCGATATGGGGGTCGACGAAGCCTTAGTATTCAAGTTGTACGACTCCGATCAAAGCGCCAAAGCTCCACGGTGTCCCCACACAGCTTTTCAGGACAGAGTGAGAGAAGGAACCAAACCCAGGGCAAGCATTGAAATCAGAACAATAGCATGTTTCAAGTAGAGGGGACACAGAGGATGCCATTCTTGATCTTCAGGTCGTACATCAGTCGCCGATGCCCCCCACTATGATGAAAGGACATCAACTTACATCCAGTTGCCCAAACAAATGCTTCCTTCTCCTTCATTCCGTTCGGGCACCCCTTGGGAATGGCTTGGGATGCCAGATTTGAGGTTGCCATAATTCACTTCTCCTCAACTCGCCTCACCTTCTGAGGGAGAAATCTATGTTCATCCAGGACGAAGCTCCCAGTGCCCTACAACAGCGACCTAGATGGACATGATCGGTCAGAAGCAGTTGGGGGTCCTGTGGCGTTGACAAGACTCGCAGGATCTCGTCTCACTTAGAATATCTGAAGATGATAAGTAGCTTAATCGGCATTAGAATTGGCCATGCAGATCAGGCAACAGACAGTATTTTAGTGGTCTTCGTCGCCCATGGCCCTACGGTGGGGAGTCCTCATGTTCCAGGCGCGAAACTGCATGAGCGAACTTTCAGTTTTTGCCCTGGCACCACGTCCAGCTTGAAGTCTGGGATTTAGCTGAGCACTGAGGTGGTGATGGACTTTTACGGTAGACCTCGGATATGGGAAGTCCAGTTGTTCTTCCACATCGGCTCCACAGAGCGCTAGTCCCCAGAGTGTGGCAAGCCTGGCTTCTGCCCACTTGCCGGTTCCCAGACAGTGGAGTTGGGACATCCAACTTCGACCACACGTTGGACCCAACATGTATCCCATGCGATGCCAACAACTTATAGCTCCCTCGAGGGGGGAATAGTGCTGGCTTGTGGCTGCTGGCCGTCGCTCTCGCACATTTAACCCTTGTGGCCGCCCTTCAACGATGGTACGGGGGTGCACCCATAGCCTCGCATAATGTGAAAAAACAGTATTATGTCATCACGGAAACTACCTGGTGCAGCCTCTTATCTATCACTCTCATTGCCCTCCAGCGCATTTTGTGAGTATGTACGTGCACATATACCTGGGACGGCACAGGCAAATAGGCATTGGTTTCCCTGGCAGGTCGTTGGCGCAGCACGTGCAGGCTTCGCTGAGGGTGCTGGGGACTATGTAGGGGCTACACCGCTCTCCCGGGGGACCTGTCCCTCCGAATATATAGGCTTTATCGAACGCCTTTCCCGGCGTTGATACAGCGTGATTATATTCAACGAATATTTAATGTATCGAGAAAGAGCTTTATAATCGATAAATATCGCTGGGTCGCTTATAGCCGCTTCGGCTATCCGCCGTCGTTCGGGTATCTTAATCCGTAGGGGCTCTAACTTAAGATTAGGGATATTCGTCTCGCCTAAGGTACTCTTGATCTATCGTTAAATCGTCTCTATAGGAGCCGTATTATTATACTCCTACTAAATACGCTTTAGTAAAGCTCGCTCTTCGACTCTAATAGTACTATTAAGTATTCGTCTTAACTCTTAATACTCGTTGTAGATCGGTTCTCCGATCGCTTATTCGTAGCTCTCTAAACTTCTAGAGAATAAGGCGGCGAACCCGATCCCGTGTCTCGAGAAACTAGAGAATCGATAGATATTATCGAACTTACTAGCTCTACTTCTCTATTAGCTTTCTCGGCCGGTTTAGATCGCGAAGACGACCGATACGACTCGCTAATTTAACGGTCTATATATCGGATTCTCGGTTTCAGAATATATTCTAAGTACTATAGCGAAATATACGAGATAGATAGTTACGCTCGAAGATCGTAAAAGATTTAATATAGTCTAAGGCTAGGTTATAAAAGACTAAATTAGAATTAGAGTTATCTAAGCTTATAGATATATTAGGATTAACTCTTCTTTATACGCTTCGACTTTTTAATAGAGCTTATATACTATTAGTAGTATTGCTTAAGATACGGCGAAGATAATATATAGTTAGGGTTTATAGGTAGCTTAGCGTCTCGCCTAGACGCCTAATCTAGATCTAATAGACGTTATAGATTAGGACTTTATTTATCGACGTCTTAACGCCCTCTCTAATAGCGATAGCTCAACGAAAAATAAGTACATTCATTATATCTTTTCTTTACGGGATAGACTAGTATCCTTTATTACGCCGCGCTCGTAAGCGGAATAAGACGTTAAGTAAATTAAGATCGAGTGGCTTAAAGGTCGAGTTATCGAAGGCTAAGCTTATAATATAGGTAATAACGTAAAAGATTAGATTATTGTCTAGATTAAATATATATATCTTCTTAGATAGTTATATTAGTATTATTTAAGTATATATCGATATCACGAATCCCGAGACAGTACGGTATAGCATGGGCACTACGCAACCTAACACACGGCGGAGCATGAGCACGACGCAACCCAACAGCTACGCCGAGGATCGGAGGATTACGTGGCTTCCAAGTAGCGATGTCGCTCACATGCTAGTAGCATGCGCCTCCCCTTCAAGTAGCTTGCTCTGCCCCTGAGAGACTGATGTTCTCTCATGCTTTGAGTCTTGTACCGATATAGATCAAAGGAATACCTATTAGTTCAACCTATCGCTGTACTCTACCTATTCAACCAAGGCTATCCCTAACATTCTTAAAGTATCTCCCACCGAATCGGTCGGAGTAAGCGATACGCACAAGACACGATGGCTCCTAGCACTCGTGGACAAAGTCAGACCGGTGGCGTTAACCCGGGTTCTAACACCACTGAAAGAGCAACACTAGGAGACCATCACGAAGAGGAGAATGCGGGTCCTACGCGAGGCGCAGAAGAGACCCCTACTCCTGATACGGAGCTGAATACTAACGAACTCCTTCGCCGTGAAAACGAAGAGCTAGTTAGATTGGTTACTAGACAACGCATGGCTACGGATAATCAAGCCCTACGCGATGAGCTCGCAGGGCGAGACCTAATGCAGTATGTAGACCTCGCTGGTACCACGCTACCGTCTCGTAAGCGAGCCCATAGCACCACCGACTTGGACGAGCAATACCTAGCTAAGTATATTAAGCTTACGCAACCCCCTAAGTTCGACGGAAAAACTATCGAAGGGCTTCGCAAGTATAATATAGGCTAGAAAAAGATCTTCAAGCCTATAAGGAATATCGTAGTGGACTAGTATAAGCCACGCATTAATATCGTAGCTACTTTCCTAGAAAGTCGGGCGGAAGAAGTATAGGATCGAGATAACCTATCCTTCAACACCTAGGAGGAATTTATCGAATACCTCAAGAGCGTCGTTACGACGCCTATAATTCGTAAGAGCCAAGCACTTATGCGGCTCGTAGAGACAAAGCAATTAGCGACCTAATCTATAAGGGAACTCCTTACTAGAATCGAGATAATCGAGACCGATATCCCTACAATGACAGAGGACGAGAGCAAGGCTTGGATATTAGTCAATAGCTTGTCGCCTACGTTGCGCGCCGAAGTTATGCACGAGAATAAGGAGATCCTCTCGCGTAAGTAGGTCCTTAACTCGGCATAAAGACACGAAGATATTATTAAACAACGCAATAAAAGCGAGGCTACTAAGGCTACCCCAATTTAGGGGTCAACCACTACTAAATCCAACTCGCGTACGACCTATGCGGGGCGCTCGCGACTTACATCCGACTTATAGGGTAGGAATAATACTACTATTGAGAAAAAGGAAGAGAAGAAGATCATTACGGGTCAAAAGTTCAATGGTACCTATTTCAACTACGGCAAAGTTAGGCATAAAGAGGTCGACTATCGCTCGCCTAAAAGGCTAGGCGTAAGCGGCTCGATAGCGAAAGATCATGGCTAGGCAAAAAACTAATGCCTAGTGCGTTGAGTGCCGCCATAGCGCTAGGCCTACTCGATAACGAGCCAAAGTCAGCAGAAAAACCATAGTCACTAGTACTAGAAATTCAAGTTAATACGCCAACGGGCCCTCGGACGCTAAGCGCGCTACTCGATAGCGGCGCGCAAGCGAACTTCATATCCTAGCTATTGGTCGTAGAGTTTAGTCTAGAGCCTATGGAAACAAAGAGACGAGTACGCACTATTATAGGCCAAGCTATTCGAGTATACGGCGAGCATCGTCTCGATACGTATACTACGGATATATAAGGTGAACGCAAGGAGCACGCGACGACCTTTATAGCCATAGATATCTAGACCCACGACGCTATATTAGAATACCCGTAGCTTAAGATAATAAACCCGCAAGTCGACTAGGGGTCAAGGACTTAGTCCTATTACCCGAAGGTCATAAGCGTGTCGCTTAAGGATCTTATGGGTGACCCCGATAGTCTCACTATGGGAATGCTTGTTGTATTACCCTTAGGCCTAGAACGAAGGCTCGAAGACGGCGTAACGCTTGCGACTATGGAAGAAGGCGAGGTTGACCTACCTAAAGTATACTAAGGCTACGTCGATATCTTCGAAGAGCCCTCGGCTAGCGCCTTTAACGAGGGTACGAAAACAAGACACTCGATACCTATTAAGGAGGGCGAGACTATACCTTATGGACCTCTCTACCCCCTTAGTAAAGTTAAACTCGAGGTCCTACGGGAATATATCGAGAGTAGCATACGAAAGGGATAGATACAACCTAGCGAGTCGCCTACGGGTGCTCCTATCTTGTTTATGCCAAAGAAAGACGATAAGCTACGACTCTATATCGACTATCGTGCGCTAAATAAGCTAACCATTAAGAACCGGTACCCGCTATCGTTGATTCTAGAGGTACTAGATCGCCTTAGCGGAGCTAAGGTATATATTAAGCTAGATTTACGGGACGCTTACTATCGTATTCGCATTATAGAAGGAGACCGCTAGAAGACTACATTTCGCACGCGATATGGCCACTTCGAGTACTTGATTATATCGTTTAGCTTAATAAACGCACTAGCGTCCTTCCAAGCTTATATCAACGAGGCTCTATGGGGGCTCCTCGACGATATTTGCGTAGTATATATAGACGATATACTTATCTATAGCAGTAGTCTAGAGGAGCACGAGAGACATATGCGACTCGTATTGGATAGGCTAAGGAAGTATAGACTCTATATCAA